CGGTGCCCGTATCAAGGATGGCTAGAGCCGCGCGAAGGAGCGCGTCGATCTGATCTTCGCTGAGGGAGCGCGGAAGCCTTTTTGCAAAGGCACGGATTTGCTCGGGAAGTAGGGCGCTTGAGAGTGTGTCGTTTTGTCGAGACGCAGAACGCGATCTGCGATGAATCGCTGCTGAGACGGCGCTATCGCCGTCGAAGGAGGAAGCCGACAAGTGAAACTTGTACACACACCCCCTGCGGTGGTCACCAGAATGATGCACTCAACCGACCGGTAAGGACGGAAGAAGGAGACGGTCGAGAGCCCTAGGAGGTCGAGACCGGGCTGCGGAACGTCTCGCGAAGCGCGAGGAGAAGCAGGTTCGTGTCGGGTGCCCTTCGGGCGGCGCAGTACGCGGGAGAACGCGGTAGAGGGAGCGGAAGAGGGAAGGACGGTGGACTGATGACAACTCAGCTGAGCTGGCGCTCCGCGGGACGCAGGAGGGCCTCTTCGCAGCCCGTGTTAGGCTTCGCAGGGAGTTCGCAACGCTATCGCAACGCTAAACGCTATTTCGCAGGGGTTCGCAGAGTTCGCAGAGTTCGCAGTTCGCAGTTCGCAGGGTCGTCGAGGGTTCTTCGTGAGAGAAGGTGAAATCTGAGCCAAGGGGGAATCTGAATTCTCACAGTCCGAGGGCGTAGGTATTTTCAGGGCCAGCCAAAACCGTGCTACAGTGATCAGAAAGTCTTTACGGAACGTCCGTCGCGGAGGGGACCGGCGCCCGCGATGCGCCAGCCGTCTACCGCGTAAACGCGGAACACGCCCCTGCGCCCTGCCGGTCCGGCGATGCGGAACACACCCCCTCCGCGCGTGTCTGCCCATGCGGTCGTGATATCGCGCGATAAGTTGTTCCGCGCGAGTGCGAACCCTCCGCGCCCGCGCCGCGAAGAGGCCTCTGCCCCAGTGGAGGTCTCGCGAACCCGCGGAAACCGCGAAAAGAAGGCCGGGCGGGTGGTGGCTCGGTACCGGGCGTATCACCGGCCTCACCGGTGCCGACATCTGTTTACGGGCTCTGATCGCCTTGTAGGCGAGTTGTTGGGTGAGTACACTCAACTTGGCGCCCGTCAGTCTTAATTCGTCCGGGATCTGCATGTCGACTGCATCCCCGTCGCATTTGCGGGCTGCCACGCCCGCCAATTCGTCCGCTCCTTCATTACCCGCGTGGCCGTCATGTCCTTTGACCCACCGGAACAAGCTGTGGGCCTTCCGCGCACGCAGCGCCACCAGAGTCGCGACTTGCACGTTTGCGTTGCGTTGCATGATGTAGCCCGCATCTTCATGTTTCCTTCTGTACTTCGTCAGAGATTCCATTACTGTCTTTGAGTCAGTTTCCTGGGTGAGGGTCAGTGCGCCATCGAATTCCTTTGACGCAACTAGCGTGGCCGTCATCTCCGCCGTCTGGTTTGTGTGCTCGAACGAGTCCGGGAGCTTGACCGCCCGGTTCTGGCAGTGACCGGCAGCAACAAACACTCCAGCACCCGCCTCTGTGTTCCCTCGACCATTGTTGAGGCATGAGCCATCCGTCGCCACCGTCAGAGATTCACCGCTCGGTCGCAGCTGCATGTCAAGCCGGCCATTGTACGTCGGTCGGTGGTCGGTGAAGATGCGATAGGTATCGCTGATCGAGCCGCTGGTGGTGACTCGTCTGTCGAAGAGCGTCGCATTTTGAGCGGCGCCCTGTCCCTCCCTCATGTCCTCATCTTCATAGTCTTCCGGGTGCGTGCCCCTCGGGTCCCACTTCGGCGGGAGAAGGTCAAGGAGCCGTCTAGCACGTTCGAAGCACCTATCTGGGTACGTGCATCTGTCTTCCGTTATCGCACGCTCACACCCCGCACAGGAGCACTCTCTCGATCGTCTGTGCGATGCATCCTCCAGAACTCCTGCCATCTTCTCGCAGTCGCCCACTGTGCGGAGCCTGTGTTTGAATTTCAGGCATGTCGTCGTTGCTGACTTCACCGCAAGCTTCCGCAGGTCTTTCTGGTTAACTTGCTTATGTGCCCAGATCGGCATGTCGCGCAGTATCCGCCTCGAGAACGCTAGACCTTCTTGTCGAAGGCCATATTTCTTTGTGATCTTCACCATCGCTTTCAGCTCCCCCGGCAGCTCCCGCAATTTCGGTTCCCAAGACTGGGCGAACAGATTCGTTCGTAGTTCGTGTTCTCTCGGGTAGACGTCCTTCGGTACCATCCTTGCAAAGAGGTCGTCAGCTACTAGTGCCCATAACGGACGATTATCACCCGAGCTCAAGTACGCTTGCAGCCATATCACGTCGATGGCCTCGTTCCTCGCCTCCATGTCCAGGATGTTTAGACCCCCTTGCTCGTAGGACATGTACAGCTTCTCCATGCTTCCCGGGACTATGTGCTTGTCATCCCAAATATAGTTCCTTATCATCTTTATTAATCTCTTCTGGATTTGCTCTGGCATCCTCTGTACGCTTGCGAGAAATTGGGACATACTCCCAACCACCATCTGAATGACCTGTTTCTTCCCTTCCAGCGTGACATGGCTGTGCTTCCACAGGCCTAGTGAGCGTTCTATCTTCGCCAGTTTGGGTGTCCAGACATCGAGCTGGTCCGCACCATTCCCGAAGAAGGCGCCTAGGATTCTCACTGCTTCCCCCGCACCCGCGACGTGGACGCCCGTTGGGTAGTTCCGCCACTGCCCTGTCCGTCTGTAGGTCTCCGCCATCTCTTCCTTGAAAGATTTGGTTCCGAGCGGGATGATTTCCGTCTTCCTGATGTTAAATCTCGCCTTTGCGGCCGAGCACCACGTGTCAAGGATGTTCTGCAGCGTTTGGAAGTCATCCTCAGCGGCCAGATACACCGTCGTGTCATCCGTGAATAAGGTTGCCTTCAAAGCAGTAAGTGAGTTCGGGATGTTAAAGCCCCTCAGTGTTGAGGCGCGGATCATCGCTGATAGTGGTTCTATTGCTAGGTCGAACAAGAGGCACGATAACGGGTCTCCTTGGCGCACCCCTCTGTAAATTCTGTACGCTTTACTCGTCACACCATTGATTACTACCGATGTTTCTGCATGCGAGTACAGCATTTTGACGATGTTCACGAAGGACTCAGGTACGCCGAACTTGGCAAGTACAGCCCATAGATACTCATGATCAATTTTGTCGTACGCCTTCTCTTGGTCTAGCGCAACGATGGCACCATTCTCTTCCGTTGCTTCAGCCCATGCCATCATCATTCGTGCTAGCTGCGTGTGGTTGTGCAGCTTCCTGCCCGGTACGAACCCTGCTTGTGCCGGGTGGACTATGTCCGGTGCCACCGACGCTAGCCGTATGGCAAGGATCTTGCTCAGGAGCTTGTAGTCCGTGTTCAGAAGTGTGATCGGCCTATAGTTGACCACCTTCGTGCGTTCTCCTTGTTCCTTGTATATAGGTGACATCCACCCATCCGCTAACGTCGAACCTTCGCAGACTCCGTGCTTCTGGATGTCTTCAAACGCGGCCTGCAGAATCCTGAGCACATCCAGCTTTGTTCGCTCCTCGTGCCGCGAGTCCTCGACAAATCGTGCGTGCATCGCCTTCCATACTTCATATTGTAAGCCGTCCAGTCCCGGTGCGGTTCCCGTCTTCGCGAATTTCAATGCTAGCTCACAGTCGCTCCAGTCTATTGAAGCTCCCATCTCCTCCGCTTGCTCCGGAGTGACTCTCGCCTCCAGGCTGTTCAGCGCTGTCTCCATGTCTTTCAGCCGCTGCGCCCGCGGCTTCACGTCCGGACCGTCTTTCTGGAGATCATCGTGGTGCACTCTTGCCATCTCCGCCATCCTCTTGGTGTCCGTCTCATACACACGTTCACCTGCATTATCTCTCTCGTTCTCCTTCTCGAACGCCGGGATGAGCTCTCTCGGTGTGTGCTCCTTATTCATGCTCGTCCAGTACTTTGTCGGCGACTCCCCTAGTATCCGGTAGCGTGCTCTCGATTTTGCTTGCTGTTGCTTCACGCGTCTCGCTTTGAGCGACCTGAGTTGCGTGGTGAGTGCGGCTATCTCTCCTGCCGTCTCCTCATCCGGGTCGTTCCCCCCTTCCTGCAGTCTCTCTGCCTGCTTGTTAAGCTCGTTGATCTCCTTCACCAGCTGGGGTACGATCTGCCTCTCGCGCTTCCTCGCCGCTGCCAGCCATACCTTCTTCAGCCCCATTAGGATCGTCTGCGGGTTGTGTGCGTCCGTTCTCCCCAGCCGCTCCACTTCCTCAAGCTCGTGCAGGGCCTTAATTCCTTCAGACTTCATTATCCTGCCCAGCTTCTTATCCTTGATTAGGTGCAGCGGGAAGATCGGCCTGCCTTTCCCGACTTTTGGCGCAGTTTCGGTCGTCAGCAGGGCCGATACCATACTGTGGTCGGTCTTGACACCGACTGGCTCGATCTTCCATTCACGGGCCCATTTCATCGTCTCTTCGCTGAGATATATTCTGTCCAGTCTCGACATCATCGCTCTCCCCTCGGAGAGTCTCTGGAAGGTGAACTCTCTGGTGTCCGGGTACGTGAGACGCCATCCGTCGACCATTTTCAGGCACAGTGCCCTCTTCAGGTCGTCGAGGGTCTCTAGCGATGGATCAGGCGTGCCGGTTGGGACTGGGACCCTGTCTAGGTGGTCTTCCACTACATTGAAGTCCCCCGCCATTACATGTGGGACTTGCCGGCCCTCCCGGGAGTCGTACCATTCTTGGACCGTTCGGAAGAAGACCCTACGCTCTTGTGCACCCGCCGACGTCGGGGCGTACACGCACAGGAGCCGCCGGACTTCGCCGCCTCTCCACGGGATGGAGAGCTGTATCGCACGGCCCGGTACTACCTCTACTACCACAGTGTTCGCCGCGCATATGATCTTCTTGTTGATCACTATCGCAACCCCCTCGCGCTGCGTCGGTGCCGTCGGATGGGCTGATGAATATATTTTGATTCTCCCCGCAAACATTCGTTGGACATCCGCTCTTCGTTGTTCTGTTAGATGCGTTTCCTGGAGCATCAACACTCCAATTCGTTGCTCGCTCATGAGTCTGTATATTTTCCCCCACTTATTGTCCGGGTGGTCCTTCGCTAGACAGCCGAATCCGTTCATGTTCAGCGTTGCAATTCGCACAGCCGTCTTCTGCGCCATTCGTTCATCGCGGGATCGCGTTCTCCTCGCTTCGTTCTGTCTTGTTGTACCGTCATTTTCTTGTCTCGCTTGCTGCACTCGTGCTCGTTCGTCTTCCTGCCCTTCGCGCGGGGCCTGTGAGCCCCCCACGCTGCCACCGTTCTCGTTGGCACCATCATTAGGCTGGCGGTCGGCAGAGGGGCCCTCGTGCCTTCCGGTGCCTTCGAGGCATATAGACCGTTGTACCAATTCTTCGTCCGTATAGTTCGTTGTGGTTGGGTGAGATTCAGGTGTTGCGATAGTCCCGCGCGGTTGCAACTACCGCCGCGCAGCAAGGGAACATTGACCGGTCCCGCGGCCGACTATGCACTTCGTGCGGCTTCCGCATACCTAGAACATGCATCTACTCGCACTGGCTTGAGCCTCTCGGCACGGCACGTCGAGATCTAAATAGATTGCCGTTGTTTGTACGCCACCCAGGCTTTCCTGTCCCCTCAGGTCAGTATATTTGGGCCCGGGCGGGCCTACCGCACTCCCCTTGCACCCTTCTAGGCGGGTTACGGAGACACACGGCCCCTACACATGCAGGGCGGCCACCTCCTGCATGCATTTTACCAAGAAGGTATATTGCTATTTTGGTGTTTGCTACTTGCCAAGATGATCGTCTCGAGGTTCCTATGTATGTGTGCTAGTCCATGTGCATTCACAGCCAACGTGTACGGGCCCTTCTACCGCTACCGGTGGTGCGCGAACCCCCTGTTCGAGGGCGGAGGAGAGCGGTTCTTGTTCCGTCCGCCCGCGCCACCACCGCCGCCGCCCCGGTGCTGCTTCTTGTAGCCGCCGCCGTTGTTGTTGCCATCGTCGTACTCGTACTCGTACTCATCGCCTCGGCGGTCACTCCAGTTGCGCCGCTGGTGCTCGTTGCGGCGCCTGTACTCGTTTGTGCGACGGTTCCCACCCGTGTCGTTCTGCCGTTGAGACGACGGGCCGGCCTGCGCGTTGTGTGACCGCTTCGCGTGCCTCTGCGTGGTCGTCTCGCTCGTGTTCCAGTCGTCGACGTCGCGGAAGGGGCATTGCTGCGTCGTGTGGTCACCGCCGTGGCAGCCCCTACACCTGACGAGCGCATGCGGCTTGATGCGCCGGCCAGTGGTCTCCGAGAAGAGGTGGTCGTGGATGCCCTCGCGCCACTCGTCCCATTTGCTCGGGCGTTGCGTTGGGGACTTGATGTAGAGGAACGCCACCAACGGCGACGACTTATCGTCCTCGCGCGCCAGGCGGAGCTCGACCTCGATCGAGTCGATGATGTAGTCGACCACATCGTGAGGGTCCCATTCGTCGAACTTGCTGTTCTTGGTGACGAGTTTCTCGATGGCGGTGCGCATGGCCGGGACTTGGAATTCCTTCTGGAAGACCCTAGTCGCGCCCTTGTCGTTGTTCTGAGTGAATCCGTCGAACCCGCCAAGGCAGCATGGGATGACGATGTCCTCCTTGTAGACGCAGAACGAGATGTCCGGCCTTGAGAAGCCGCATTGTTCGACCATCGCGATCTGCCCGAGTTCCTCGACGTCTGACAGGAACCACGCTGAGGCGTCGTCGAATGGGTCGCCCGTTGAGTCATCCGGGGGCGCGCTGTCACGCACCAAACAGGGTTGGTACCTGGACAAGGGTCTACATACACAATCAGTATGGGACCTAGAGAGCAGAGATAGACTACGGGAATCATCAGTCAACATAAGCCATGCAATATAGAAGAGGGCGCTTACCAGGATGGCTACATCACATATTGACGTGGCGCCTAACAGCATCATCACCCTTCCCTCTTCTTTCATCACCATGGTCGGAACTTCCTACGATCTCCCGCTCAATGTCCGGTGCACCATTCCCCAACAGATCCCGGACAGCCAGCTTCGACGCTGCCCTGTGGTTTCAGGTGGTCGCAACCAGCACGTTCTCTTCTCGCCTGATGGCCTCTTCCCGCATCAACTACGACAAGTTGCACTGGACGGGGCAGATCACGAGGAGGATGCATGGGTCGGTGTAGAACCAACATCACCAAAGGTCCAGAGGATGTGGTTTGTTCCAGGAGTCGGGAGCTACTGCCGGTTGGTGTTGCCTGACCAGCGGCGATTCATGGGACGGATCACTCGGGTCGTCGAGTATCAGCAAACACGCATCATCCTCTGGGTCGAGCATCCCTACTCCCCAGCCAGCATCACATTGGCGGTGCCCTACTCGTTTTATGAAGGAACGCAGTGGTGGTACATCCGGCTGAGGAGGTTCTTCGGATACTTGCAACCAGACGAGAACAATCATCATTCAGGCAAGTGTATATGGCTTTCAAATCTGTATATTGCTCACTAGGCCACAGTCATTGGGAGTTCACCCAATGTGGACTGGTGGGAGCTGGATGATGTCATTCAAGGACAGTTTTGTTGGCCGCATGCAGGTGGATAGGCAGGGTATGGACTTCACGGACATCAGACTTGGTCACCGTACCTCGTATGTCACTCGTTGTGTCAAATTGGACTTTGTGCACATCAGAATGAGGCTTCAGATGATGAGAGCTCCATTCTAGACCCAGTGATGGCTCCACATCCATCATGGGTGAGTCCTTGTGACTCATAGTTTGTCAGCAGGGAAGAACAGGCTTGAATATTCCAGGAGGTTCCGCAAGGTTCCGGGACATTCTCTGACCTGTAGGAAGGAGCCGGAAAGAAGGAGAAGGGTACGGATTAGTGTTAGTCATCAAGTAGATAGGCTTAGTCATGTACATAGAATATTCTGGAAGGCCTTCAGGAAAGGTATATATACCAGACCGAGGGGGCCGACCAAGACAGTGACTTTTCATTGAATTTTATTCATTGACACTCAACCCAATTACAGTTGGCCAGCAAGCTTAGTAGCAAGTTGGTGATTGTGATAAATTGCCTTGTAGTGTTTGATTCAAATAGGATTGAATCTCTCACTTTAGTTGATATTCTGTGTCTACAACAGACAGGTTTTTCAGCTAGCATTGTCAGATTTGTGATAGTCATAAGTCGCTACACGGTTGGACCTAGTCGGGAAAACATTTCCCAGGGTTTAGCAGCCTGAGTGCAGGCATAGGACGGAACAGAGAACGGATAGGAAAGGTTCTAAAGGACAGGACAGGAGACAGAGAACAAGATAGGAAGGTTCTACGGGTCAAGGACCACTCAGACAGAACACATCACCGCACAGACTTGCTAGGGGAAACTCTGCCAGTTTTACCGGTACGTTCTAGGGTAGAAAAGGACTATACATTTGTGACGATCCCGCAAGGCATCAGAGCAGAAGTATATCACTGAGATCAATACAGGACCTAGGGAGAAGAGGTCAGATCTCATTGGAGCGATACAATTCACGTACTCGTTCTTCACACAACAGACTTAAAGCTGACCTACATCAAGTAAGGGAACACTCCCGAACTCGGCAAGGCCTCTGTCTGGAAAGGAGGAAAAACCGACACGCTTTGCGGCACGGTGGCACAAACTTTTGGTAAAATACACAGCAGAAACCTTTGAGGCCTCCTTCGCACAACAAAAAAACTGAACCGTGGACCCACAGGTCTTTTGGTTTTGATAGTTGTGTATTGAAGGAAAGTCCAGATCACACACATTTGCAGGATTTGATAGAAATATCATATCTTCACCCCAAGTCACCATCGATCGCACGACAGCGCGCAGGGTGAAGTCGCTGTGCCCCAGCACCGACGTGAAGATCTTCTCGAGGGTCTTCGAGGTGGTGGTCGCACATCCTTGGTTCAAGCCGTGTACGTTGACAATGCAGCGGCGGTTCGGTGCGCATCTCTTCCACTCCTCGTGAGCCGCAGAGCCGACCATCCCTCTGATGCGGTCGAGCGAGGTGTGCGGCTGCACCATCGGGAAGCCGTCGTGCGGCGCCGGCGCTAGGTCAAGCGCCTCGATCGCTTGACGGTAGTCCTCGAGTGTCCGCCTTCGGGCGATCGGCGGTGGGTTGTGCGGCGCATGCGACGATGCCCGCGCCCTTGTTTGGTCGCCCGCCGCTTGTCTTGCTTTCCCGGTGCGAGGCGGGCAGAGCTCCGTTGCTTCTTGCGTTGGGATGCGTGGGCGGTACGACGTCGCCGAGGCCTGATACTGTGCCTGCGGAGCGTCGACATCCATGCCGACTTCGTCCCCCCCCTCGTCCTCGTCGCCCGAGTCGTCGCGCTCGCTGTGCTCGTGCCTGCGTGAGATCGTGGGCTGCGGTCTTGGTCTGATTCGGGGGTCCTTTGTCGGCTCGTTGCTCCGCATCTCGCCGCTCTGTTGCCAGTAGACATCGTTGAGCGCGCTGGGAGGGGGGTGTATCGGGTGGTGGTCCATCTTCCTTGCTGTCGATCGCGGCGGTATCGGATCTGCAGCCGAGGGCCTCATCATGCCGCCGTCGTTCGTCGTCCGGGTCGCCCGAGCTCGGTCTCCTTCACCAGCTGCGTGCGGGTGGGTTACGGTGGGGGGCGGACGAGGCTCAGTGAACTGCGGCGCCGAGTAGAGGATCTTGTGGATGTCGACAGCTGTGATGAGGGCTTCAGCGACTTCCAGCTTGATGTTCAGCTCACGCGCCAGCGTGTCAACCGTTTCGCGGTATTGCAGACGCGCTTTGTTGACGAGCATTGCGATGATGGTCTGGCGGTCGATGTGTGCGACTTGGGGGGCCGGGTACGGCGGGGGGACCTCTGGTTGCTCGTTCGCGGCACGCCACTCTTGTTGGGGCCCGTTCTGAGCCTCCAAGTTCACAGACATCGGTGGTGGAACAGGTCCCGGCGCGTCTTGCATCTCCTTGTCTCTTTCATGGGCTCCAGCGGGTTCCTCGTCCTCTGGCGACGAGGTGCGCTGCCTCTTGCGCACCCGCTGCGTCTGTGGAGCCGCCTTCGAGAGCTCGCCGTTCTGTTGGTGGTCGGCAGCGTACTCGACTTCAGAGGCCGGCTTATGCTATCGTGAGTTTGCTTCCACGGCATAGCAGATGCCTGTACTCACATCGCGTTCACGCGTCTCGCTGTGCTTGTTGTTGCTCGGCGGTGACGCATCGGCAAACTGCCTCCAGGCGTCCTCGTTCGCGGCGGAGCTGTCGCTCGAACGCTCGCCCGCCGCGTTCACCTCGTCCTCGCCAGTCGGAGTCTGCTGCGCTCCCCTGTCCTCCCCTTCAGGAGCTTCCCAGCCGCGCTCCGGCGGTGTCGGCGTGCTATCTCTTGATTGTAGAGGCGAGCTCGGGGGAAGGTGGACGAGGTTGTCGTGCTTGCGTCTCATCGCAGAGATTCTTTCGCCTAGCTCGGTGTCGACGTCGCTCTCATTTTGTTCTCCTTCCTCCGGCTCTCTACGCGGGGCTTGAGTGAGTGGCGGCGCGTGCAGGGCAAATGAATGCTGGCGTTGCTGGGGATGGGCGTTCGGACGTTGACGGTGTTTCTCGTACGGCATCATCGTGGTTGGTTGCGGTACAAGGGGTCTACGCGCTGCCTGGTTCAGCGGTGGCTGGGTGAGGGGCGGGTGGGGCGGGATCTGCGAGCTCGTCGGGGTCGGCGTCTCCATGATCAGAGGCCGGGGGCGTGGGGAGGCAGGCAAGCGGGCTGGGGGGGGCAAGGGGACTCGTTCGCTCGCTCGTTCGACCTTTGAGGTCGGCCTCGGCGTCTTCTGCCACGCCCCGTACCCTAAGTCGCTCCGCTTGCGCTTGTTTGCGTCTTGCACGCCTCTCAGAGCGCGCAGCGTTGTGCTTACCCGCATCCGTTAGTCTTCGGCTTCACCAATGCTTCCCGCATTGTCTGTGAGCACTGGTTAGGTTCAAGCTTCGTTCCTTCCATACACGGACACTCGGACTGTTCCGGTGCTGTGTACCTTATCGCTTATTTCTTACGTCCAATTACAAGCTGCGGGTTGCCACCCGTGCATCTCCCGGCTGTCCGCACCGTCCGTGCTCGCCTATCGCGCACATCAAGATCTCGATCGCAGCGTCTACAGTGACAATTCGGAGTTCTCCCTTCTACGTTTGTCCTGCTTCCTACTCTGTTTCTCCGCCTCGCCCGCTCTCGCCCGTGCGCTCCGCGGCCGCGGCAGCTCCTCTCCCGCCCCTGCGTCCGAGCTGCACCGCCGTCTCGTGGGTCGCGTCCACGGGTGTGCGGTGCTTCGTTTCGCGTCGGCGGTGCGCGTCGTGCTGCGTTTTCTTCGGGGCCTGTGTGTCGCTTCTGAATACTACGGCGTTGTTCTCGAGTGGGATGTCGCGGATTTTGGGGATCGGCCTGGAGATCGTGGCGCGTAGGAGTCTCTGCCATGCGGATAGCTGGACTGTTACGCCCTGGATGTGCTGGATGGCCAGGTAGGCGTGCGTGATTTCTGACCACGGCGACTCGTTGCGGATGACAAACTCTGTGTTAGAGCTGTCTGCTGTGATCATTGCCACCACAGTCCCTGAGATTCCGGTGGGGTGGGCGGTGTATCTGGTGGGGATGGGATGGTCGTCTTCAGGGAATAGGGAGTTGCATGGGATGAGGGAATGGATTTGGACTTCCTGGCCGACGTGGAGTGGGACACGTGGAGCGATTGGGACATCATAGTATACCACCCTCTTGTCTGGCTGGTCAAGAATGTTGGATGGGATGGTACCTCTCTCTCTGGCCAGGATTGTGGAGATCATGGTGGTTTAGAGAGGGTTTGGTTAGTCTGAAAGGCGCGCGCCTTACATTTTTATTGTCGCGCTTACCGAGCGTTTAAAATGAGCCAAAACCTTGGCCGTTCCCTTGCTGGTCTACAGCTATACTCGGTGAACCCCTTAAAAGGAGAGTGCTTCGGCCATTCTGTGGGGAGTCCGGTCAGCTTGAGTTGCAGCCTCCTGCCGCCTCCTCCACACTCACGGATTGCGGTTTAATTATGCAGGGCTATTGCGCGGTGGACCAGCTCTTCCTGCACTCGACTTCCAGCTACGTTCGACGTGCAATGGTTGAGTAGGCAGGGGAGTCCGCTTGTTACGTTTCGGTGGTGTGCAGCGAACTACACACTGTCCATATTAGTCCATCAGCGCTTGCAGGCCGCCGGCGCTTCACGACCTTCCTTTCTGAGTTGCCGCCTCCCGCCGGCGCTTACAGAGTTGCCTTCTTCGGTCACTCGCGCATCTTGGGCGCTTATTTGCTCTGCGCCTGTGCCGGCTTGCTGGCATGTTTCTTGTTGTTGGAGTTCTCCTGCTATGCTTCCGCTTCTTCACGGTCGTCTGCCGTCGGCAGGCATCTGCGGACTCGCAGGCATCTGCGTTCTAGCAGGCATCTGTTCTGACAGGCATCCACTCATGGGCATCCTTTCGGGCATCCGCGTCGCGGGTAGGTCGCGGCACATTATTGTGCTTTCTTGTCTCATGTCGGCTGTGTCTTCGTTGTTCTTGTCTTCAACGTATTCCTGTTAGTCTATAGCATAGTAAATGTGTATATTGGAGCCTTGTTCCCAGCCCGGTGGCTCAGACCAGGCGTGGGAACTTTACCATGGTGGTGGTATGCGGAAGAGGAGCCCGGCGATGCTAGTACTTGTTGGAGGGCATGTCCGGGTGAAATTGATGGAATTCCCTCTCAGGGGCTCTTGATCGGTCGGTTTGCACGTCCTGTGAGTTACCAATCATTCTGTCATTGCACGCCCTCGACTCCGCCAGAGAACGATTGTAGTACTTACCGTTAGCTTGAGTGCAAACGATCAGCAGAAAGTTTTCATAATGGAATATCAGCTTCAGGCCTATCGCGGTAGCTTCACTTCCCCCAATGCTTATTCTGTAGGTGCGAACTAGTACTTGTACCCGTCAGGTTTTCTGAAGTCGACGACGTTCTCCGGAAGGTCCACTCTGTTGTAAGCCAGGAAATAATAATCGGATCTCCCTCTACGGTCATATCTAGGTCTTCCGATGTTGCAAGAGTCGAATCATCGTAAATTACAAAGAGTACTATAACAACACATAGGCAGCACATACGACGGAAACATAGAATGCAAGCTCACGGTTACTCGCGCTGGTCCGCATTGTCGAGTTGTTGTCGCTTGCGCGATCCACCGCTGTGAAAAAAAAAGGTATGAGTACCAGGCAACGCGCGACGACGAAGTAGACTTACACCTCGGTGTCCAAACCACGCTTCCGGCCGCTCTTCGCCTCGTCCAAGAACTTGTCCAGTCCGAACACATCGCCGGTGTCCTTCTCGAACTGCACGGGACCCTCCCGGGCCACCTGGTCGTGTGCACCCTCGAAGCCGACGCGGGGCTGACCCAAGCCAAAGCGATCGTTGTCGAGAGCCTGGTTGATACCCTCTTCCGTGCCACCACCGAATGACTCCTGGTTGCCGTCTGTAATGTTCCCACTAGCCTTATATATAGCCGCAGCAGCAGTGGAACCGTGGAACAGTGGCCGATCATAGAGGTTGTAGGCATCGTCGTCGGCGAAACTGCCAGAGAGAGACTCCTGGTTGAAAAGACGCGTGTCGAGCATGCTCTCCTTCGAGAGTGTGGGCTTCGCCAAGCCAAGCGCAATCTTCTCCGAGATGTCGCGGTTCTGTTGCCGTGCAAGCATCTTTGCGCGTTGTTCTGTACCCATGTTGCTCATCCGCATCTCCCGCTCGCGCTCCCTTCTCTTCTCCTCACGCATCTTGTCTCGAATACCCGCTGCTTCCTCATCCTCCTCTTCTTCCTCGGACTCGGATTCGCTCCCTGAGCCGTACGCACCGAGCGAAGACTGCATAGCTGCAGCACGCGCCGCCGTGGGTCTCGCCAAATCGTTGGGTGCTTCGACGGAGCGAGGGGCGATACCGGCACGCTCCTCGCGAGCACGCTGGGCGAGGAGACGGAGGTTCTCCTCTTTCTGCGCCTTCTCCTTTTCTGCGAGCTTTTGCTGCATGAGCGCACGCTGCCTGACTTCTTCACGCGCATGCCGGTCAGCGACGAAGAGTGCCTCCGAGAACTTGGCGAAGTTATCGTTGATGTGAACCTGGGAGTACGGCGGCGTTTAGAAGGCATGCGAGAGAAGACCCGTATATTACTTACGTCCTGGAGACCACGACCATCGGCCGCAAGACGCTTGTCCAATGGAATGGTGTAACCCTTGTTGTTCTTCCAGTTGGAGATGCAAGGCGGGATCATCCACTCCTTCTGCTCTTGCGCGGTAGCCTTTCGTGGAGGACTCCGGAGAACGGGTGGGGGAGGGCTGGGAGGACCGCGGGGGATCTTCTTGTGCTTGAAGCGCGGCGGCTCCAGAGGATCCTCCACGACGTCCGTCATCTTGATGATGCGCTGCTTTAGTGCGTCGGCATTACCCTGCTGACCAGGAGTGTACCGGATGAAGGCGGTCTTCCCTTGACCGTCAGGGACGTTCTTGGGTTGTGCTGCCTTGATCTTGCCATTCACCAGCTTCTCCAGAGCAGCGCGAGTCTTGTCCGTGGTGGCTTGGACCTCATCTTCCGAAGGACGGTCCAACGCGCGCTCAGCCTCATCGAGGTCCTTTCGATGTGAGAGCGGCACAAGGTCCTTGAACTGAGACTGCACAACCTTGCCCGCACGCTGGCCCTGGAGGGCGATGGCATCGTAGCGGACGTTTCCCTCGGCATCAACTTGCAGAGCCAATGTGTTGCCGGCGGCAGTCTTGATAGATTGTCAGTGACCATGAGGAGCCCAACCTTGTTTAACTCACCTTCTTTTTGCCCATGTTCAGAGGATACTGAGCAACATGACATTCGGGGTACGCTCCGCCGTCCCCTGCAGCGCACTAAGTGGCTAGAAGCGGCATACTGGCAGTTAGAACGTACCGAAGTCCTCAAGCGAGGTTGGCTTCCATCCTCTCCTCTGACCATAAGGTGGTACCGCCTGGCGAATGACCACCGACTGCGAAGGGCCCGCCTGTTGTTGAATTGGAGCCTGTACCACGACATCCTCTTCGTCGTCGGACACTACGGGCGCGTTCAAGGGTTGGGGGAGGAGTCTGTCCAATGAATAGCGTGAGCACCAGTGCATATAACACGGAAAGAAGAGCTTACGAGGCGAGGGCAGCCATGGTCGCGAGTGTGGAGGGTGAATGTGCTAAGCGCCATTGTCTGACCGACCGGGCGACAGCGGTGGCAGAGCAAGTGTGGTCGTGTTTGGCTGCGGTGGCGCTGACCGGCAACGGGCGCTAGGTCCGATCGCTATACACGTCCGGCGGCTGCTGGACGCGAGCTCTGTCGCCAAAATCTTCGCGGTCACCGTCCACAGCACTCCAGTCGTCATCGCTGACGATGAGCTCAAATGGGAGCGAGAGCACTCTGGCAGCCCCCCAGCCTCCAAAATCTGGAGTGAGGACGGTCTTGCAGTACACCGGTATTCCTCCGTCATGGCTTGACAAACGTCCCCGTCTACCATCTCGCAACTGGCTCATCTTCCTCTCCGTCACTTCTACTGTCGCGGGCTACTACATCTACGACCGCCAACAGTGCAAGAAGATCCGTCAGGAGTATGTCGAGAAGGTCAAGGATCTTGCCGAGCAGCCCATGGGCAGCATGGAGCTCCCTCGTCTGGTCACCGTCTATGGCGCGAAATGGGTGGGAGACCAGGAGTATGAACGAAGCATGCGGTACTTCCGGAAGTACGTCAAGGTCCGAGCGCACGCTCCTTCGCCTCCTCCATAACATACTGACAACGATGCCAGCCCATCTTAGTCGCGGCTGCCATCGACTATGACATGGTCAAGGGTCGCCGTCACGGGGATATTGCGCGCCATGTCGAGGACAAGGTCCGCAGGGAGCGCCGGATTATGGCCGGACTGGAACAGCTCGCTACCGGGCCCTTGCCTCTTCCTGGGAGCACGTTCGAGGAGAAACGTCAGCGCGAGCTCGATGGCGGGGTCGTCATCGTCGGCCGGCATACTCTTAAAGAGTTCATGGCAGGCTTGAAGCGCGGCTGGTCAGACGGGCTCCAGCCAGTCGACAGGGAAGAGCTGCTCGCGCGCGCTCTGGAGAACGACGGCAAGTTCGACGAGCCCGAGACTGAGCTCGCTGCGGAGACTCCTGTCGGAGACGGCGAGCCTATACCTACGCCTTCCCGGATCCCCTCTTCGAACGCGTTCTCGATACTCAACAATCCGGCCCTCCGTGCGCCTCCACCACCCAAGGCGGCGGAGTCCATCCCCCACCACCTCAATGCGCCTCCCGCCGAGATTCCTCCCCAACCCCCCATGCTCTTGACCCCCTTCACCAACTACATCGGCCTCACCCAGATCCCGCTTATGATCTGGGACTTCTTTAATGAGCGCTACAAGGTCGCGGAGGGCGCGGAGGCGGCTTATAAGCTCATCCGAGGCAACTCGCGGCCATTTACCGCGCCTCCAGCGGATGCGTTTGTCGTTCAGGCTGGTGATGGCGACGCAGCAGAGCCCTCAAAACCGTACCAGGCCGAGCTCTCGCCAACAGATCTCGACTTCGACCTAGAGTCGGAGTCGTACTACAAGAAAAACGTTGTGCGGGACTTCCTTTCGGAGATCGAGAGTGCGAGGAAGGGGTACTACACGTCTCTGGCAACGAAGCTTGAGATCGCGCGCGCCCTTTCTCGCGGGACGCGGGAGCCAACGAAGGAGGAGAAGGCGAACCCGCCGCCGACGGAGGTCGAGCTACGCGCGGAGCGCTTGAAGAAGGAGCTGCGGTGGACGGCAGACGAGGAGGGGTGGGATATTGTCAGGCCGGACAAGGACGTTCAGTGGGATGAGCGATTCCGGAACAGGCTTCGTGTATACATTGACCCCTTCCCGGAGGAAGATGCCGGCTCTAAGTCGACCGCCTCATAATCCGCTTGCTTAGGGCTACGATAGCTACATACACATTCCCCTAACGTACAGCCGGACCTAATGTACACGCCCTCCATACTTAATCATCCACTTCACTCTTCGTACTCGACGGCACCGCTCTGTAGCCAAGCCTCGAGTTCGGCAAGCGGGTCGTCCATAACCGCTTCTTCGTCCTTCGCTGGTTCTAGGGCCATGTCAGAATGAAGCGTTGTTTTGGGAGCTTCGTGCGCGGGAGCTGTGTGTCGACCAGCCTGCCAGTCGAAATACTCGCGCGAGGTCTCGACCCGTGGTGCATAGTGGGTTTCATGCAGGACTGGCGTAGAAGGCATGATATCAAAAAGACTTGTGTCCAAGGTGAAGCCTTCCTCGTCATTGACCAGGCCAGGAGCGGGAGATGTAGCTGGAGAGGAGCGGGCAGGAGCGCGAGACAACAAAACTTCGTCCGAGCGCGAGGGTGCGAACAGCGACGTCTCTTTCTTAGGGGTGCCATACTCGGGAGAAGAGATCTGACTACAATTTAGCGCGAACTCTTGCGTTTGCGACATGTCCCGTACCTCGATAGGTGGGCTACTGCTGCGAGTATATCTCGCCCGTTTTGCCAGAGGGGAGGGCTGTGGTGATGCTTGCTCTCTCTTCTTCGACGGTGTGGCCGGCGTCCAGTCCATAGTGTGAGGGGCACCAGAAGCTTTACCAGCACCAGTTCGACCTGCAGAAGCACTAGCCAGTCTTTCGCCTCCAGATTGTTGAACGCCGTCAACCAGAGGCAGCTCAGCGATGAGAGCATCGAACTCCGAGTTTGCATAGTCGGCCGAGTCCGAAGAAGCAGGTTTCTTCTCAGGTGCCGGTTTCTTCAGAGCGTCAAGAATGCTGCCAGGAAGATCGTCGTCTGAGTCAGTATCAGAAAGCTCGATGTCCAGAGGTTCGCGCGCGGTAGACTTTTCCGCCACCTGGGAGAACTCCACGTCGAACTTCGGAACAGGCCTGCGAGCCGGTTTCGCCTCAGAGGTTAGGCCGTGCTTCAACTTGATCCGATTCCCGCCACCAAGCTGGAGGCTCTTCTCGACACCCATGCGTTCGTGAAGAGCTTCGAGTTGCTTTAAGGAGCGCTCTGACTGTGGAGTCGGCTTCGAGTTGTCCTTGGGCCGCGGTTTGGGCTTGGCTTTCGAAGGCTTGTGGCTCTCCTCGTTGAACTGGGTCGTGCTAGAAACCGACTGAGACGAGCATTCCGCAGCTATAAGCATTTCGATCTTTTTCTTGGTTATTGGGGGAGGCTTGGCCAGTCCGTCCCGGCAACTGTTAGGAGTCAATGACAGAACCGACTTGTAGCAATGTCGATAGCGGCGTGCGCACCAGAGATGTCTGCATTTGGTCTTGTCCTTGCACGCGTGATTGCATCTACAGCTTCGATTAGAAACGCACATCGCCAACGTTCAAACCAACGTACTCATAATTCCCGTTCGGTAACTGTTTCGGTGCGGCGGTGAACGTGGACGAAGTCTCTGTAGGTTTCTTGTCTGTGCGCAAAAATGACGACAATCAGTAGGATAAGGGGGGTTAGTGGATTAGAACGATAGATACCGGGGTTTTCGTTTGAGGCTATGACAGATAATCCTTTCTCGGGCATAGCGTCAGAGTGCTCGCCTGGCGCATCCTCATCATCACCCATATCCCAGAAGTCGGGCATGTCTTCAAGTCCTTCCATATCTCTTGCCTGTGACTACGCTGAGCATCGTGTAGCATAAGACGGTGCATAAGCCCTACCAAAGCGTCTTGAGGACGAGTATCCATGATGGGAAATGCCGATGCGTCGATTTTCGGCTTGTACGAGGCGGAGACCGTCAACCCGGCGTAGATGTCCTACAAAACCGTCAGCCTATTGCTCGTCCTCTGACCGAAAGGTGGCTTACGGATGTCATGTAGACGATAACGGTTTGACTGGGTTTTGTCAACTTCACCATGACTTCAAACGACCGAGACTCCTTGAGAGCCGCCGTGCTGTACAACCATCACCGGTCAAATTACCACAAATGGGGTCTCGAGGGAGAACAACTCACGAGATTCTGCGAAAGTCCACGAAAGCGTTGTCCGAAGTCAAGGTCAACACCATAGTCATGTCCCAGCGCTTCTGTTTCTTGTTCTTCTTCGCCTTGGTCGCCTTGACGTCTTTGAGCAGACTACAGTCGATTGATAATTCTACTTCGACGCCGTCCTTTTGAGGGGTGATGTCTATCTCGGTTATCTGAACCGCATATTGCGGGAGTTGATTGACGGAGGCGAGTATTTCGTGACCGAAGGGTGGCTTCCTGTTCAAGTACTACAGTTGTGTTCAGCGAGCAGCTCAAATCACACCGTTGCGGAACATACCGATTCGATAAGGCCGGGGTCCATTCTTCGCAGCGCCGCAAACGTCGTGATGTTATGTTCGGCGAGGACCTGTACAACTTGTAATCGAAGTTAGATATATGCTGTGAGACGTGCTTACTTTGAGGCTGGCGAGCAAGCGTTAGCAACTAGCAGGGCGAACAAGTTGGACGGCTCACGATTTGAGTCCAATGTCGTCGAGCTGGCGGAAGACAACACTGCGATCCTCCCATGCTTTCGCATTCAAACATCTCATACTTACACCGGCTCAGCGTTTTTTCCTGGTATACACGACGGATGTCACCCACACTTCGAGAGCGTTCTTGGCGAGCATTCCGGCCTTTCGCATTACGGCAACTTCAACGACGGCTATGCAAGAGTCATGAGCTAATAATTAACCGGGTGGAAGAGTTACTCACTCCGCGCGATTCGGGATATATGACGCAAGATAGGAAGGGACTCGAGGAACGGCTGTGTCTCTCCTGTTTTGTATTCTGGATCCGAGAGGTTGATCGCACCCAATATCGCTTGTATCAAGATGAACACTTTGTCCGACGGTTTCTCGATCTTCTTGATGGTGTAGCGGATGTCCATATGTGTGCGCAGCTTGTTGTAGACCTATTAAATGTCTCAGCGCCAGTAACGGAAAGTGGCACATTTGTTCGAAGCCGTGCCTGCTTCTCCCCAGCTCTGAACTTGGTGTCGGAGAATCTGGAACATCACTGTGAGAGACATGTGCTAAATTGATGAAGATTCGCCTCACTCGTCTGCACAAGAGATGGTCTCGAGCTACTTGATGGTCAGAAAGCCGGGGTATTGATTCTACCAGTTATGAACTCACGATCTCTCGTACCGTGGCCTTTTCTGAGAGTTTCAGGATAAGAATCATCTGTGCCGTGTATGTCAGCTTTAAAAATTAGGTGACAGTCCCTTACAAAACTGACGGTTGCTTGTCTGATATAGAACTGAGTATGTATGCGTAAGCAACCAATACGACCCGGATGAAGGCCTAGAACTCACTTTGCTCATGATGTCCCCATACTCCGTCGAGGACAGTGCCTCGTCTTCCTCATTCTTCACCATCTCCGCGCTCTTGAGCGTCTTCACGCTGTCCGTAACGAGGTCGTCCATCCTCTCCTCCCAAGACTTGTCTCCCTCCTTCTTGATGTCGTAGTGTCCTGGGTTCTTCTGCAGACGCCGAAACAAGAACGAGTTATGGAGCCAGTCCTTCGCAGACGCCATGTCAGTGATGGTCCCGAGCGCAATCTCCGAGTTGAGGTGCTCCGGGAGATGGAAGTGGAGACTGCTCTCCAACACCGTCTGGCCCTGGGCGAGCGCTCTGTACTTGGCTTCCAGCTCCTGCTCGCACATAATAATCGCGACACCCTCCTTGTCGAATTGGGGTCGGCCCTGATGTGGAGTCTGAGTATATGCTCTCAATGAACGAAGAATGTGGCATAGGCTTACCGCGCGTCCTATCATCTGCATGACGTCGAGGTCGGAGTACTCTTGCGAGGCGTTGTTTTGGAACAATTTAACCCCCTTGATGATGACGGTGTGTGCAGCTATAGAAAATGGTTCAGCCTCTGTGTAATAGCCTCTTCGATACTACTCACGAAGATTAACACCGACCGCCAACGTCTGATACCCCAGTGAGCATAGGCGGGACATATGATATCATGAAGCGACTTGCCGACGTAGCGAAGAGGACCTTGAGGGCCTTCTTGAGGTACAGTCTTTCAGTAGCGCTTCGATCCTCCCTAGTAAGACCTGCATGATGTACGCCAATGCCCCATGCTGCGAGCTCTGAAGCAGATCACCAATTTACAGTTTGTAAATCGCGCAAATCAATGCGTACTGCGTCCGACTTACTGTCTAGCTGCTTGTTGACGAAGTTGTGCTCAACCCTAAGGCAAAAGTCAAGATCCCACATGGACAATAGTGACGATCAACGACAAACCTTGGAGGTTTTGACCAGGGCAGAGTCTCTTTCTTAGCTGTGGCCTCCTCGTACTCTTTGAGTACGTGCTCGGCAGCAACCAGTACGCCTTGTATAGATATCAGGTTGAGAGACGGAGCTGCATGGGTTGGGGTACGCACCTTTACGCGTGGCGCAAAACACGAGCACTGGTTTATCGTGACAGTGCTGCTGCAGGATGGCGTAGAGCCTGTAGTCGAGGGCCTTGGCGAAAACGAAGTCGTTCGTGTCCCTGCGGCGTGGAGTGCCGTATACGAACCTTGAGAGCTTGCATGGCCGGAACTCTTCGCCAAACTTGTGTACAGCTAGCTAAGTCTCTCCACTCTTTTCCTCAAAGACACGAAGAATGACGGACCTCCTTGACTGTGGCGGGCCCGTTGCTAGCGCTGTTCCCAATCCAATCTGCCACATCGACGACGTTTGGGACCGTCGCCGATACAACCATGAACCGGACGGCGCTCCCGCGCAGCTTCATGCGAGAGACGACAACCTCCAGCGTACTGCCTCGGGATTCATTCAGAAGATGGACCTGTGTGTCTTGAGCACGATAAATTGGTAAAACCTGGCGAACAGACTTACCTCGTCAATAAGGAAGAGCTGGATCTGCGAGAGAATGTATTCATGGTCTTGCCTGTGGATAACTAATCAGCCCAGTTACATCCTGGCCGTAGAATTTCGTTATTACCAGTTGCGCGTTAAGCTGTCCCATTTCTCTCCCTGTGATTTTTGTCAATATGACCCGAGCGGACAAGAGGAGCCGCAAGAATCACCGTCGTGACACTGAAATTATATCAGTACCATGACTGTCGATATAACGCGAAAACACCCCACATAATTGTAGCGTCCTTCGCATCACCCCATGCACCGCGGCCGGAGTTGACAGTATCCCCGGTAAGTTCAGAACCTGGGATGTGTTCAGTACCGAAACGACAAAATGTATGAGTACTGCCCGCACATTTGGCTCCAAAAGGGGTGAACTTATTCTGCCAGGAATCGGACTTCTCTGTGCAAAGGGACTGAACAATTTATGAGCGCATATAGTCATCGTAACAATGCACAGTTGCTGTACCTTGGTCGGGGCTATGTATACACATCTTGCTTTCTCGTTTGTTACCGCGGATTTCTTCAGCATCTTGATAATGGCGAGCTCGAACAGCACCGTTTTGCCACTACCGGTAGGAGCTACAGAACATGATATAGCGCTCTATACCCTAAGAATATCCAGGTCCTTACCACTGATCACCTGCATCTCTTATAATCAGAGCTGAGACGTTCGAAGGCGGAGAAACATACCATGTTTTCGTCCGTGTTCATTACCTGCGGTGTTGTTAGTCGTAGTCGTACGAAGCGATACGAGAGAGCGTACCGTGTCGTAGCATTGCGATTGTACAGCGTTGAACACGCCGAACTTGAAGAGGCCCCGATACATGTCCGCTACAACCAAGCGTATAGGCAAACAAGCAAGATGAAACATATGAAAAAAGGCGTACGAAGATCAGATACGGGCCGAAGTCGAGTCTCATGCCAGTTCCGGGTTTCGCGTGGAGTAGACTCAGAAGATTGGTCGTTGTATGCGCGTTTGTGCGCTTCGGGGGCGGGTGCTACAGGACCACGGTGCTGAGGCACTCTGTCAAAATCTAGGGGGTGCCATGGGTTTAGATAATTATGACGTGTTCTTGTTCCCTATGATAGAATGGCATCTCACACGTTCTTGACTCCGCTGAACGTGCAAAAAATTGAATTTCTGGCCGAGGCGGGTTATGTTGATACGACGGCGGCGGCTCATATTGTTCCTCAAACGGCTCTTCTTCGTACAATTCATGAGCTTCTTCATATTGCGCATGTGGAGAAGGATGCCGGTATTCATGGTGTTGAGCAGTTTGCCGATATTGCGGGGACATCAGAACTTGGGACCTCGACCCGTCACGGTGACTCCGGTCGGGTGGGGACGGAGACGATCTCGCTGTAAAGATGTTGTGAGTACAAATACACCTTTTTGAGCGCATATACCGACCGATGTCGTTCAAAAGCTCGTCAACGTCGTCGTACATGTCGTAGTCTTCATGCGCGTTATTCATACCGGAACTGCCAGGTACTCCACGCTGCTCTTCATGATAGTAGCCGTCGCCTAGAAGAAAGTTCTGCTGTTCCTCTTCGAAGTAGTTTCCGTAGTCCTGCGAGTAGTTGTTCATGGGGAGCGGAGACGTGGTGGAGGAGGACAAGAAGCGCAGGCCTCCACTTCGCCCGGGATTCGCGGAGAAGCACGACGCGTCCCGATCACGTGCGCATGCGACCTGTCACGCGTGACTCACCGCGTTCCCGCTTGGTCTCTGCTCTTTCGAGTGAGCCCGCTTTGTTCCAGCCAGTATCATCGCCGCTTGCTAGTAGCCACTCTTTCTCCCTGCGCTTCTCACCATTTTCCCATCATCCTCATTCGACAACTCTTCTCACGCCGACATGGCAGCGAAAGACGCCAAAGCACAGGAGGTAGCCCGCAAACTCGAGGAATACATCGAGAAGTACGCCCTATGTGAACTTCGAAAGAAACTATTGGCTCATGACTCCGGAATGCTAGGATTCACTACTCAGAACGTTACTCGGACGAAGAGTATGAGTATCGGCATGTCATCCTGCCCAAGCCACTCTTCAAGATGATCCCGAAGCAGTTCTTCAATCAAGATAACACCGGGACGCTGAGACTACTCTCGGAGGAGGAGTGGCGGGGGATTGGTATCACACAAAGTCTTGGGTGGGAGCATTATGAAGTGCATGGTACGTGTCGCGTTCGATCTATAGCGTCCGGGAGGCTGATTGGTATGGCCACACTTAGCTCCCGAGCCTCACGTACTGCTGTTTCGCCGGCTGAAGAATTACGACGCGATGCAGGCAGCACGGGCAGCAGGGAAGCAGCCTGCGAAGAGGAAGTGACCCTTGCTCGCCTTGTTCGGATCGTTTGGTCTCCTCAATTCGGTCGGTGGATTATCGCGGGCTAGCACGTTTCTCCCTCTTTCATGGATACTCTCGCCTCTGTCACTCATTTCCGTTATGTACATCGTCTCCAGCTCTGTTGTGCACTATCGCGTCGCTTTCTTTTGTTATACGCTGTGAATCGATAAGCCAAAGTCTCCATCGCTGCCTCCGATGACCTGACCGACTTGCGTGCATTCACGGCCCATTGGCGTTGTGCGGCCAGACATCGTCCGAGGAAGTGAGTGATTGAATTCACCCATACCCGCGAACTCGGCGCGTAGAGGTCGGGCGCCCGAGTCAATCAAGCGTGCCGCCGGAACGCGAAGGCCCCTTTCAGCCCCTTGCTGGACGTCCGACTCCGACGGGTACCGCGTCGGTTGGAAGCAGGGTACTGTGCCAGTCTGCGGACTGCCAATCGCACCACTCGGACTCTCTATTGCCTCTTGTCTCAGCTGCTCTTGCTTTGAAGCGCCCCCGTATGCCGTACGTAAGCGGCGAAGAACAAAAGTAGTTCTCTTCTCGCGAACAGGCCGCGCGGGCATGCTACGACTTTTAGCGGCGACTGGTCGTCGCACCTTTTCTCGGACCTCCACCCGCACCTCTCTCTCCTCCCCCCACGGTCTAGGCTATCGCTCGGGCTTTGCCATGGTCGCTGCTGCTAATTCGTCTGACGCTACTGGTACCTGGCACCGCGTGTCGAAGGGACCCACTCCATACCAAGTCTACGGCAAGCCTATTGAGAAGTCGCCCCAGGATGACCGCGAGTATAGAGTAATCAAACTAGACAACGGCCTGGAGGCCATGCTTGTTCACGATATGAAGGCGGACAAGGCTGCTGCCAGTCTGGATGTGGCTGTTGGCCACTTGTATGACCCGGTACGTGCTTCGCCACAAGTGATTGAGTCTCCACATGTCCGCCTACACTTGGTTCAAGAGGGTCTACCAACCAGAACGAGGGATATCTTGACCGAGAACGTCCCGTCTCTTGAATGAGGTGCTTTCGCGATATACACAATTATTCGGTGTTCAGGAGGACCAGCAGGCTCTGCGCGTTCAGTAGAACACGTTCTGCTGAACTTCTGTTACGGATGACCGGACTTCCTGTCTTGATAATGGGAATATTATGCTGACATCTCCGGCCGCTAGGATGACATGCCCGGACTCGCGCATTTCTGCGAGCACCTCTTGTTCATGGTATGTGCACTCTGCCGATTGGTTCGCCAAATGTCCTCACGTTACGTACTAGGGGACCGAGCAATACCCGAAGGAGAACGAATACTCGGAGGTACGTTCTCCCCCAGCGCGCTCACCAACCCGCCCTTACTCAACGATCCCGTTATCTAGTACCTTGCGAAGAATAACGGCGGCTCCAACGCATACACTGGTACATCGAACACGAACTACTACTTCAGCGTCTCTACCGCCGCGCTCCCAGGTGCCCTGTCGCGCTTTGCCGGATTCTTCCACTCCCCACTCTTCGCCCCGTCCTGCACTGTGCGCGAGCTCAACGCAGTCGACTCGGAGCACAAGAAGAACCACCAGAGCGACTTGTGGCGCATCTTCCAGGTTAACAAGCATCTGAGTAAGGACGGTCACGTTTGGCGCAAGTTTGGTTCCGGCAACAAGGAGAGTCTCTCGCAGGTCGGGAAAGACCTCAAGGCGAAGCAGAACGGCAACGGCAACGGCAGTCTGAACGGCAATGGCGCAATGAAAAGTGCGGATGGTAGCTTGGCTGCTACGCCGAACGACTCCAGGGCAGCGTCTCCCGCTCCTTCGGTAAGCTCTGCGAGCAGCGAACTGGAAGGAGATGGCGGTGTGATCGGTCGGGAAACTCGTCGCAGGTTGGTCGAATGGTGGAGTCGGGAATATTGTGCGAGCCGCATGCGCCTCTGCGTCGTGGGTAAAGGTGAGTTGATACGTAAGTCACATATAGCTAGTAGTGCTGATTCGGTTCGCAGAACCACTGGACGTGCTCGCTGACATGGTCGCTTCTCTCTTCTCGCCGATCCCCAACCGTGGCAGGGAACCCTTGCACATGATTACTGATCATCCATTCGGGCCGAATGAGATGGGGGTAAGCTTCGAAGTTCACTGTAAAGCTAATCTAGTCACTAACGCTATGCTTTAGACGCTAGTGTCAGTACAGACAATCATGTCCTTCCATGCTCTCGAAGTCAGCTTCCCTCTGCCGTACCAGCCTCCCATGTGGCGTCACAAGCCAGGAAACTTCCTAGCCCATTTCCTCGGCCACGAAGGACCCGGCTCTCTCCACTCCTACCTGAAGCAGAAAGGCTGGGTTACCGGCCTGAGCGCTGGCCCCCAGAACCTTGCCAGAGGATTTGCCATGTTCAAGATCACACTGTACATGACGCCCCAAGGGTTTGGTGAGCCTTTCGGAACATCTTATCCCTTGTGAGCACACATACTGATAACATACTTCAGAGCAATACGAGACGCTCGTCCTATCTGTCTTCAAGTACATCGCCCTGCTCCGGTCCTCCTCCTTCCCCGCCTGGTATCAGCGCGAACGCAGCCTAATTTCGGCCACGCGCTTCCGCTTCGCGGAGAAGCGCCGCCCGGACGACTACGCCGTCTGGGTGTCCGAGCACATGGCGTGGCCCGTCCCGCGCGACCTGCTCCTCTCCGCCCCTCAGCTTACGCAGGAGTGGGATGAGAGCGACCAGGTGAACGGGGGCGAGCGCGAAATGCGTGCACTTCTGGACACGCTTACGGTCGAGAGCTCGCGCACGGTGCTCATGGCCAAGGCAGACGAGTTCGAGCGCGTGCTGGGCAAGGACCTGGTGTGGGAGAAGGAGCCGTGGTACGGCACACCGTACCGCGTCGAAAGGCTTAGTGAGGAGTTTGTCAAGAAGGCGGGCGGGCCGAATGACCTCAAGGAGCTGTTCCTCCCCGGCCCGAACGAGTTTATTCCGACGAACTTGAACGTTGAGAAGCGGGAAGTCGAGCAGGTGGGTGTTTCTGAGTCGAAAGTAAGTATGTGTATGTGAGTGCTGATGGGTACGTGTTCAGCCCGCGAAACGGCCCTCCCTCATTCGCGAGACGCCGCTGTCGTCGCTCTGGCACAAGAAAGACGACCAGTTCTGGGTTCCGAAGGCGCAGGTCATCATGGACATTCGCAGGTAAGACCACATCATATTGACTGAACCGTCCAACAAGCTAAGGTTTTTTCTTGCAGTCCGATACCCAATTCCTCTGCTCGGGCATTCGTCATGACTCGGTAAGAGTACCAGTTGTTTTTATTCGTACTTGTTACTCACTATGTATGTAGCTTGTTTGCTGACCTCGTCACTGACTGCCTCACGGAGTTCGCGTACGATGCTGACCTCGCGGGGTTGTCATACAACTTTGGCGCCCACTCACTTGGGCTGTACGTCACTCTCAGCGGGTACAACGACAAGCTGCATGTCCTGGCCAAGGATGTGCTCGAGCGTGCCAAGGCCCTCAAGGTGAACCCCGAGAGGCTCAGCGTCATGAAGGATCAGGTGCGTATAATTGCAGATTCCCAAGGGACCATGTGTTAACACCACAACTGTAGGCGAAACGGGAGTATGAAAACTTCTTCCTAGGCCAGCCATACCGTCTATCGGACTACTACGCGCGGTATCTATTGACTGAGCGAGAATGGACCATGGCCGAACTGCTAGAAGAGGTCTCAAGTGAGGAGCGATACCACACAGCGATCAAACAACTTACTTACATTAAACCATAGCCGTTACGCCAGAAGAGCTTCAAGGCCACATTGCGGCTGTGCTATCGAAGGCCCACATCCAGATGCTCGTAGTCGGCAACATGTACAAAGATGTACGTTTGTTGACTCAAGCGAGGCTTCCTGTGACTAACTGCTGATTTGTTCTCATAGGAAGCGTCCAGATTGGCTCAGATGGCAGAAGACATCCTCCAGGCATCGCCCATCCCGGCTTCAGAAGTCCTGGAGAGGTCGCTCCTGCTTCCATCAGGCACGACGAAACGTTCGTGATAGCCCATGCAATCTTCGCTAACTTCTCGTAATAGGCTCCAACCTCATCTGGCAAACCCCCGTGCCGAACAAGAACGAGCCAAACTCATCTTTGACCTACTACATGCACATGGGCAAGCTCACCGAGCAGCGCCTACGCGCGACCGCCGCGCTCCTCGCACACATCCTCTCCGAGCCTGCGTTCAACGTGCTCCGCACGCGCGAGCAGCTCGGCTACATTGTCGCCGCCTCGCAGTGGAACCTCACCGGGGGCGGTCAGACCGGCGTGCGAATCGTCGTGCAAAGCGAGCGCGGGCCAGCATACCTGGAGCAACGCGTAGAGTCATTCTTGAAGGAGATGGATGAGAAGCTGCAGACGATGCCCATGGAGGAGTTCCTCGAGCACAAGGCGGCGTTGCAGAAGAGGTGGCGCGAGGCGCCCAAGAACCTCGGAGAAGAGGTGAACAGGTATTGGGGCCACATCGAGCACGGATACCTCGACTTCCACCGTCGTACGTTTGATGACCGATCTCTATGCCCCCTTAATGATGCTCACCGGAATTTACACAGGCGACAAGGATGCGGACTTCCTGGAGAACGTCACCAAGGACGACATCCTGGCGCTATTCCGCTCGAATGTCGATCCGTCATCCTCCGGCCGAGCGAAGTTGTCCGTGCATGTGAAGTCTCAGCAGCCGCGCCCCGCGAAGATCACGGTCGCCGCAATGGAAGCATTCGCCCAGAAGGTTGCCGAACGCGGATACAAGGTTGACGAGCAGGCATGGAAGGATGCTCTGAGCGCGGATGGCGACGCCTCCGTGGAGAAGTTCGGGGGCTACTGGCGCGACGCGCTGCTGGCGCAGGCATCGACGGTCGACCCGTCGGTCGCCCAGGAGCTCACGAAGGTCGTCCCCGAGCTGATGAAGGCATACCCGGCTGCCGACGATGGTAGCGAGGCCGTGAACGAGGGCGCGACGTTTGTGCAGGACCCCAAGGCGTTCCGCGCGTCGTTGGAGGCGTCGGAGCGACCACACCCTTTGGTCGAATGGGGCGATCTTCCTACATCGAAGTTTTGATTATCGTACACTGCTTTGGCTTCTAATGTGTATCCTTAGCTCATCTTTGTTTTGAAAGACAGCTTTCGCGCTCAGAGCAACATGATTATCATATTCGCAGCCTTGCACCTTGGATGGCGTCTCTGAGGGCTGCAGTGCAAGATTTATAGCACATCAGAACGGAAATGCGTTTCAACAGACCTCCTCCAACTATACAAATAATACCATTTCGTTAAATTTGGACCTCCCCTGTATGCACGCTGCTGTACTAGCATCAGGCTGGCCGTGCTCGAGACTCAGATCAATAATGGGCGCTTCCAGAAGGATATCTTAAATGGGCGACGCTTACGTAAGGAACGCGTGAGGTTAAACAGGACGCGTCCTAGCCACGACGCGTCTCTTCTCTCTCATCGACCACCACCATGGCTGCCCAGCTCACCACCGGCATATGTTCGCGTCTCAACGGCTCTGAGAACGATGACGATGAGCTCTTTAACTCTCAACCCACCGTGCAGTTTCTCTCGTTCAAGAGGGTACCCCCCAGCGGTGGAGGGAGCAACATGGACCGCTACCGCGTCATTGTCTCCGACGGAGAGCACTTCCTGCAGTCTATGCTGGCCACTCAGCTCAACCACCTTGTGGAGGAGGAGCAGATTCTGAAGCACTCTATCGCCGTCATCGAAAAGTTCACGTGCAATCTCGTGCAGGGCAAGAAGTGAGTGTCCCCTGACGCGTCGCGTCGCGTCGCGTTTAATTAACCTCCCTCCCAGGTTGTTGATTATTCTGGCTTTGCGTGTCGTTCAGAAGGAGGCCGAGAAGATTGGTAACCCCGTCGGCATTCAAGCTCGGGCTGGAGGTAGCATCGAGGCTCAAGCGTCTCCCTCGGCTGCTGTTACCCCTGCCCCTGCCGCCTCCACCAAACCAGCCGTTTCTGCCGCTCCTGCTCAATCTTCGCGTCAGCCCACCCAAGGGAATCGAGGCGGCCGTACTGCGATATACCCTATCGAGAGTTTGAGCCCTTACCAGAACCACTGGACTATCAAGGCTCGTGTCATCTCGAAGAGCGAGATTCGGACATGGTCGAACCAGAGAGGCGAGGGCAAGTTGTTCAACATCACGCTCATGGATGAAAGCGGGGAGATTCGTGCGACCGGTTTCAATGCCACTGTCGATGAACTGTACGACCGCATTCAGGAAGGCAAGGTTTACTTCATCTCCAAGGCCAAGGTCAACCTGGCGAAGAAGAAGTTCTCCAACATTGCCAACGAGTACGAGCTTGCCTTAGAACGTAACACGGAGATCGAAGAGGTAGGTTAACATATGCCATGCCGTGGTTCAAATACTCACCTTTTTGTGCATAGTGTCCTGACGCTGCTGACGTTCCGACGGTGAAGTTCAATTTCACTCCCATCGCGAACCTCCAAGAGATCGCCAAGGATGCAGTTTGCGGTATGTTTGATCAACTTGTGGGCTGGCTCTCATTCATCGACTGACGCGCGCCTTAGACATCGTCGGTGTCGTCAAAGAGGTCGGAGAACTATCCTCAATCACGTCGAAGGCGACGAGCAAGCAGGTGGGATGTTTGCATTTCTGCTAGGACCTCTTATTGACTGTTGCATAGATCCCTAAGAAGGAGTTGACAGTGGTCGACGCGTCTGGTTTCTCCGTTAAGGTTACGTTGTGGGGCAAACAGGCAGAACAATACAACGAGGTGGACTACCCGGTCATTGCGTTCAAGGGCGCCAAAGTCGGAGACTTCCAAGGTAGCAGTCTAACTTCTCGCTATACACACCTGATTTACGCTATAACATTTAGGCCGCTCCCTCTCGATGATGAGTTCGAGCAGTCTCATCATCAACCCTGATATCCCTGAAGCGCACCATCTCCGTGGTTGGTACGATGCGGCAGGCGCCGAACAAACCTATCAGTCCCACACGAACACTATGTCGTCTGGTGGTGGCGTTTCCTTCGATCGCGCAGAGATCCGCAGCCTGAACGACGTCAAAACCTCGGAGCTGGGCATGTCCGACAAAGTCGATACCTTCTCATCTCGGGCGACAATCATGCACATCAAGGGGGACAACATCGCATACCCTGCGTGTCCATCGCAAGGCTGCAACAAGAAGGTTGTGCTCATGGGCGACAGTTGGCGATGCGAGAACTGCGACAAGTCCTACCCTCAACCGGAGCACAGGTTCGGCATGGCCCTTCTTGCTCTGCCGATCAGATCACTGACACGGTGTCTGCATCCAGATACATCGTCCCGATGGCTGTTGCTGACTACTCGGGTCAAGCGTGGTTCCAAGGTTTTAACGATGTTGGGCTGATTGTCTTCGGCATGCCTGCGAACGATCTTGTGGCCATCAAGGCAAGCTTCTGACGATCTCGGTCCTTGACTGCGCCGTGCTGACTGTGTTCATAGGAACGGGATGATACTGAGTTCAACCGCGTGCTGGAGGGCACCATTGGCACCACCTACAACTTCGCCTGCCGCGCAAAGCAGGACAACTACAACGTGTGTTTTGTTTCCTCGCTACGGCACATTGTACCGCTGTACTGAATTGTTTCCATTATCAGGATCAAGCGCGTGTCCGCTACGGTATCTCGCGCATCTTGCCGTTGGACTACCGTGAGGAGGCTACGTACCTCGCGAACCTCCTTCGCCGCAGCGAGTGGAGCAACTGAGCGCGCAGCTAGAACCACCTTTGAGTTCAGATAGTCGAGTTTGTATCATCCGGTTTGCCCTTGTCGCAGTGTACCAGTATCGTGTAACTTGTTGATTTGCGACAGCTATGCAGTGTTCGGATCTCTAGTCCAACATGTTCGGAGCAGCACAGCGATGCTTTCATGGCCAGAGTCTCCAATCCGTACATTATCCGCTCATAGCGAGCATCGGTAACAACAACCCGGGGCCTCCGGTCGCGCGCAGGCGCGGGTATCGTACGTCTACGGGTAAGTAATAACAGAGCAATAAGTTCATAACGTGCATACGTACGGGAGTGAGGGTCATTAGTGCTGGAGGGTATACATAAAGCGTCGTAGATCATGCATCGTGCAGTGTCACGTATCGTGTATCAGGACTTAGTTGGGGTAGGTCATCACTTTTGCGCAAAACCGGTACACGGTACCAATAGAGTCCAGCACCGCGTGCAGCGTTTTGTTCGCAGTGTCGAGGGGGTCGAACTGGGGGAACTCGAGCTTCGGCATCTCGAAGTGCAAGTGCCACTCGTACAGGAACTGCAGCAGCCCGTCCGAATCTCCGTCCGAGTCGGCCACCACGGGCGTCGGCGTTAGGGTTGGCATCGAAGAGCGCGTCGCGCGTGACGGTGCGGTTGAGGCAGATGGGGCGCCAGCATGCGACTCCGCCTGCGGGGGATTCGTGTCTGACTCGGGGTGGTACCATCTCGCCGCAGTCGACGACGGCGCAGCTACAGTCGCTGTGACCGTGATCGTTTCGGTGAGGCGTTCGTAGTGGGTGAGCGAGGCGACGCGCATGTGCTGCTGCGCATCTGTGCCGTGTGCGAAGAGCGGTCTGTCCGACTGGGATAGCTGCTGCTGTTGCAGGCGGTCGAGGAGAAGCAGGACGGAGATGATCATGGGGATGAGGGTGACGATGATCTGCGACCAACTCCAGATCGGGCGCGGCGCTGCGGCGAATTCGTGCGCATGGGCGTGCGTGGCTTCGTGCCCTGATGCTGCAAGCTCGACGACAAGGCGCGGGTAAAAATATTCCTCGAGGGCGTAGTGCAGGAGCTGGTGGCCCTGTGGGACCGACTGCTCGTGGCTGAGGTTCGTCTGGACTGAGGCGATCTCAAAGCCTACGAATAAGGACGGCGATCAGCAAATGCATGCGGGGTACGGACTTCCAGATCGTACCTGTCTTGACCCGCACATTCACCTCAAGTGCGCCCACGGGCAGCGAGAAGCTCGGAAGGAGGGCGTTTAATGTGATGGGCTCGAGTGCCTTGTCCTTCCCCTTGAGCTTCTCGACCACAGGCACCTGTTGGCCCCTCACGAGGTAGATTATCTCGACCTTGCCACCACACGCGTCCCCCAGATGAACCTTAACCCAGGTGATCCATTCTTTCCCGCTCGCCTCGCCAAACGGCACTGCCCCGTTCGTCTCCGGCTTCACGACGGGGTTCGTCACAAAGCGCACAGACACACCCTCGATACTCGCGCTTGCGATCTCCACTTTTGGCGCCTCCCCTGCGGGCGCATCCTTGCCAGCCAAGTTGAGGTTGGGGAGCGCGAGCCCAAACTCCAGCCACTCCATGTCCGTGTCTGTAGGGGCAGGCAGGTTTACGCGTACGGCGTATTCTGGCGGCCCTGACATATCGGCTTTGGGTAATGGTGTGACCGTGATCTTGACGGAGGGGATAAGAAGGGGGCCGTCCCGTCGGATGGGCGTCCGCAGCGTCGACGTGAATAGCGACTGCCGCAGGACCGACGGAGACAAGTCGCAGCGCGAGAGACCATTCGGCGTTCGTGGACGGCTGCGTGCGGTACGAGAAACGTCTATGCTATCCTCTGTACGCCCGCGCGGCGGTGGGGATGGGGACTGCTTGATGGGGCGGAGCGCAACACGAGCGCCGTCCGTCCCGCACTTGACTGAGCCTCCTCTCTGGAGGACCGTCTTGCGTGTCTGCGCGTTGCGGACGTCCCCAGTGGAGTTGTACACGTCGAGCGTCGCGTCATTGACGTCGTTTTGGATGGTACAGGAGATGTGCTCTCTGTCGGCGCACAGTACACGAAAGCGGGGAACGACGAGCACGTCCGGATCCGCTTCGCTGTCTGAGGGCGGCTGTGACGCGTTGGGTGAGGATCTGTACCGGTGCGAGCCGAGTGAGAGCACAGGCTTGCGGGGCGCGACCAGCACGGTCCCCGTTATCCTGAACTTGAAATCGTGCTTCGCGGGAGGCAGGAGGTCGTTCATGTTCAAATGGACGGTTATCGGAACCTTGGGTGGGCGCGCCATGTCTTCATCCTCGTAGTCCGTGTCCAAGTCGGTATATCGTCCGTTGAGCGAAGACGCTCGACTCCTGCGGTCGGTTTCGGGACTGGAAGGCATAGGAAGCGAGGCCAGAGAGGAAATTGGAGTCGAGGCAGGCGAGTTCTCAAACGAGTAGTCGGCGACATGCTGCGCGGGTAGTGGTGCTCTGAGCAGTGACGATGTCGAGGACGAGGAGTCGTGGCGAGCGGGGGGAAGTCCGTTGGCCATACCGCGCGCATCCGGCGAGGAGGGAAGCACGTAGATGGACGGGTTGTCTACTGAAGACTGTCGGGAGAGTGGTGGTGTAGGCGGGGGGCCTATAGCATACCCTGTAAATCCTTGATCTCCACTGATAGTCCACTTGCGTTCCAAGCCTGGAACCCACGTAATGTCACACTCCCCGCCATCCAATCCCACGTCGAGACCCACAAGGGTAGCCACTCCAGGGAACCATACGCCTTTGCACGTCACCTCGTATTGCACGCGCACTACGAGACCCTCCACGGAACCGTAATCTTGACCTCGGCTTGCTCCCAGAACGGAGCAGTTCATCGTGGCCTTGACCTCCCTGATACCGACTCTACGTCGTCCGTCTACTGTCTGCGGAAGCTGTTCTGGCCTCATAGGGCGTGCCCACCGAATGCGTAGGCGGTCTGTGCTTGGGAACGAGCCTTGAATGCCGCATCCGTCCGAGAACCCTGCAGATGTCGACGCGTCACTCGATTCGTCGTCCGCGAAGTTGTTGTATGAGTGCGAACGCGACAATCGCGCGGACGCGCTCCGGGTGACGTGAGGATCAGACGTCATGTCCCAGCTTCCGAGGTCTTCGTCCGCCGAAGATAACGAAGCAAGAGACAAAGACGTCTTTGGCGTATTGGGAGGAAAAATCTTCAGCCTGACGTGATTGGAAAGGCATCGGGGTGTCGGGATAATCAGCTTCGCGAACGTCAGTAGGCAAAGTGCGGCATGGGGCGCAAATCACTCACAAGGAAGGGCGCGTGTGGGGGTTGGGTAAGATATGGCACCCATAAATCAATAGCGGCCATGAACTGAGCAACGCTCGATGGCCTTTTGCTCCGAGCGTCGGTCTCCCGACGCGGGAACTCCTTGGGCAGGATGTAGGAGACATGATACGAGCTCACAAGGATTTGCCCGGTGTACCGTTCGTCCAAGGGTGGCAAGTTGTCCGACGACGTTGTACTGGCAGATATCGGCACATAAGTTTGGGTGGAGCGCGCCGGCAGGTTGAGTACGCGTGCAGCTTTGTGTAGCAGGGGCGAGTTGACGGAAGAGAAGTTGTATGGAGTAGAGTTGGCGTCCAGAGGATGTACTTGCGAGTCCATAATCTTCAGGTTTTCCTCTGGCGCCACGACAATAGTCAGCTTCCACCTGTAGCGGGGCCCTGGGCAAACTCACCAGGAAACAGAGGAATCGAAGAACCGGGGGTAACACTCTCCAGCGGAAGAGATATCTATGATTGAAATTAGCAGGCGGAGCTGAAGGCGAGCAAAGGTGGCAATCGCGGGGAGCACACCTTCAGGTATATCTTAATGGCCGCGCCATTCGCGCCGCGCTCCGCGCGACCCTCGATAGCGAGGCGCGTGACGATGTTCAACTTCGACTGTCCCACTGTCGTCGCATGCGAGACGGAATACGCGGCGGTCGAGAGAGGCGGGCTCCCAGGCGTCGACTGGCGACGGTAGCGCGTAGAGCTCGGCATGTCGCTCGGTGGTAGAACTAGTATACACGCGTCGCGTCGTGAAATATCGCGTCAAGAAAGCGGGCGAGTTCGTTATGTGGGTCCGAGAGTGTCGAGGAGTGCAGCGAGGTCCAAGGACGAGGGGAGACACGCTGGTGGCATAAGAGAGAGAGCGCGGTACGGCTGAGGACGCGGTGGTGAATACTATAGCGCGTTTGGGCGATCGGCGCAGGCTCGTTCCCAGCCAACGCCCAATCGCCCGCATCCGGCCCATGTGGCTACCCGAGCTGCTTCTTGAAGCGCCTGCTTCAATTGTCTGTCTCTCGTCCTTTACCACGCTTTTATGTTCGATCATTGTCATTGACTCACACAACATCCCACTTTGACGACTAGAGAACGGATACGAATGGCAGAGCCAGTCCAGGCAGGTCGCACACTTGTCGCCCACTTCAAATCACATTAAATACTACTTAATAGACGTCTGTGCCCGTGTTCCGTACATAGGCTCCCCCAGTCTGAAGCTGGGTACACATCCCAGTCCGCCCGCGAGCTTCTGAGATAAAGCAGAACGTCCAAGCTAGACCCACAGCTCAGAATTCATCGGAGTGAGAGCATCTGCGCGCTGTAACTCCCGGATCAGAGTGAAACCGTCCGTAAACTTTTTGGTAGGAAGTAAGCCCCGTATAGCGCATGTCCATTCTGTATAGAGCGCGGGCTCTCCGTTTACTCAACGCGACTCAACGCAAACCGTCCGCGCGAGTCGATGTTTGTAGAGTCAACGTCGAGCCGGGCTCACGGACGGTAGAGTGTGCGCCAACTCTCCCGTGGCTTTTTAGGCGCCTACAGTAGAAGATGCTAGTGCAAGCTACTTAGCCTGTTGCAAGCACGCCCTAAGAACTCGATCGTGGCATTGGAATCGCAGATGCATGAGGGTAAGGTTCCTCGTAAGACGCCCGTGGTCGACGCCTGGGAATGTTCCATATGTAAGTAAATCCAGATAAGATTTAGATTGCGTACCACCTCCTGCCTCGACGACGACGACGACCGCGACGGAAGGAAGGGCGGATTTGTTCTTCTTACTTATCTCTACCCCACCGTACTAAGACTCCCGTGGGGAAGGTTGTGAGACTAAGAGTAACGGTGAGTATTAATTTTGTGTCATGACCGTTATTTACGTATAGATATCCCATCAGGAATATATTCCTTCGCAGATGATGTCGATGGCAGAGTCTGTGCACCTGCCTCCAACCTTTGCTGAGGCATGCCAGGACGATCTTCTCCCTTCCTATCGCTGTCGGCGAGACTCGCCCTGGTCGAACGTCGCATCCAAGAAAACACATTCATTACGGGACTACTTGCTACATCTACTGCGCTCTAGGCGGATACTATGCTACGGAGGTCTAGATTATACAAGAAATCCAAGAATCAACGGTGCGGTAAGGTACGTCTATGTCTATGTGTGTCGCCCATTATATAGATATACTCAGAGGTGAATAGCTGCTGGTGCGTATCGTATCATATCAAAATCCAAGCCCCGATGCTCCCAGATCAGTCCCGCAGGGTGGTACGCTGCGTCGCATCGCGGCCGGCCTTCAACAACGTACCCAAAGGGTTGCCCCCAGTGCCCAAAGAAAGATCGCTCGTGGGCTTCTTGAAGGCCTCTGCGCCGCCCATATATGCGGGAGGAGTAGACCTGGCCTGCGAGATGATGTAGAGGGTGCCGATGCGGATGTGGCCGTCCCGGAATCTTTTCAGGGCGTCCACCGCCGCGTTGTACGGCCCACAGAGCGCGGGCGTGCGCAAGACGACCTCGCGGACGGGGCGCTTCGCAAGCTCCGCCAGGTAGACGCGATGCTCCGCGGGCATGTACCGGCGCATCTTCTCCATGAACCCGGTATCCGCACGGCGGTTCTCCGCAGACGGCGGCGGCTGCCTCGTCTGCTTGAGCGCGTGGTCGACGTCGAGGAAGATATCGAGAGCGTGCATGACCGAGCTCTGCCCGGCCGACGCGCCCCCGAGGTCGTAGGACGCGTTAGGAGGACCACCCTCGAAGACCCAGGGGGCGGCGGAACTCGAGCCGTTCCACCAGGGGCGGACAGCCCAGTAGAAGGTATGAGGATCGATGTTCTGGCGAGCTCCCTGCAGAATCGCGGATATCTCGTCGACGACGGTGACTAGACGTTCGAGGTCCCGAGCGACGGCAGCGACGGCGCTTCGCTCGTTGAGGCAGGGCAGGTTCATAAACCGCTCGAAGATCTGCAACATCTCGGCGCCCCTCATCTCGGCGGCTACCGAGAGGGCGTAGAAGTTCCTTTCGGTCTCCGTTCCCGAGAAGACCGTGAGGAAGCGCATGTTGTTCAGGGACACCGGCAAATCGGGGTTGACCAACTCCCAGTTCCACAGGACGATATCCGCGAACGTGAGGATTGGCGGCATATCGATCTTTTCGGACACGTAGAGCAGGGGGATGGAAAGTGGCTTCGGAATGACAATCGGTGCGTTCGTTGGCTGAGGGGGGAGCGAGTGGATGTAGTAGTGTTGCAGGCTGGTGAGGACGAGGTGGGCCCGCCTCAGGACGCAAAGCTTGTTACCGAGCCGCGCAGCATCGAGCACCGGCCACTGCGTGATCGAGTGAGTCCCAAGCGGTCGCATCTTCGGGGAAGTACTCACCGTTCGCAGCTGCTGGCGCCAACGCTCTCCATCCATGAACTTCGCCCGTGCCTCGTCGCCCTTGTCTTCGCCGAGCTTCAAGACACGCGGTGCATCCGCCAATGCCCTCTCCCAGAGCGCGAACTCGCCTTTGAGCTTTGCGAGAGGTTGGGAGGGAATGAAGCCTGATTCTGGGGCGACGTCGAAAAGCCGGTTGCTGAATGGCTCAATAGTGGGACCATCGGAGCGGGCACCTCGGTATGTGGTACGCTCTCCTGTGCTGTCGAGGAGGCGGTTGACCATGTGGACGGGGGAAGAGACGTTCATAGCTGAATAACTGGAGGAGAGGAGAGGAGAGAGGAGGAGAGGCTTTATACTAGGCGTGGTAGGTGGATGTCTGGATATCTTCCGACTCACTGGCAGGGGTCGTATATATATTGACATATGTCGAGACCTATGCGTCAAGCGCTTTTGCACCAGCCGCGGGACAATTCACCCGTGGTAGCAAGCCCAAAGCGCCAGCGGGCTGTTGGAACTTCCGGCCATTCACGCAACAGAGACGGGCTGCATCGCAGATGCGTCCGGATACAGCTTTGGCCTCTCTGTTGCGAGGACACCGATGGACGACGCTTGGCGCTGCCTTTGCCACGGAAATCAGACAAACCATCTCACTCCGGCCAGGTCAACGGGAAGTCTTTGTTGACCATCATTTGTTGAGATCGAATTGGCCATCCTCCGCGTGTCACAGCAAAAAGAATATTGCTTTCTCGACAACGGCCCCGCCGACCCTTCAATTTGCTCTAGAGCATGTACGTACTCACGTAGCTTCTAGAAAGACGCTTACGAGTTGGCGCTCCTCGTGCTCCGCGCGCGCAGCCGTACTCACTCACCCGAATGCGAAGATGCTGCCCGCTGTGCATATGGGTGCTTTCTTAGATATATTAGATACACGCGCTCAATGCAATTAATTTGCCTGCGCACAGTGCACCCAGCCATATATGTCGCATCGATTTACTAGGGCGCAAGTTTCGGTGGCGCGCTTCCACCTACGGCGAGCGGACTTCGTATCGCAGGCCAGGATGACAACGAACGCTCCGTATACGGGCTGCGTAGATGACCTTCATCCCAAAACGGCAGCGCCCAACAGGGCACAAGTCTCGTCGGTCGGTCCTGCTCACCTGCCTAGCACAGACACAGGCCGTGTGGGGCGCCAGCGTGGCGCGTCCCGGGCAGATTTGCTTCGGAGGTGCTGTGTCACGGTGCAGCGCGGCGCAAGATGCGTATGGCGTCGTGTTCGCCTACTGAGATTGCAGCTTGGTCTGCCTGCTTCGGATGGGGTGAGCTCCGCGGCGCGCCCCACATCATACTCCTATGCCGCACAAGAGCCAGCCCAGCACAGTCGGCGGCGGCAGGACTAAGCTGGCTCGAGCCCCCGCCGAGTTCCCATACAGCCGGGGCACCCGGTCGGGACGACGACGACGTCGCCATTCCGACAAGTCGGCATCCGCGGGGCTGCCAGCCGTGTACATGATGATACTAGCTTGCGCCCGGGGGAGCTCAGCAAACGGGGGCGCTCTCTCGACTGCGCTCGCGCGCGGGTCGATGCGATCTGTGGGCGCGCACAGATAATAGATATGTTATTAGACTCGAGACACATTACGCAGTCAAGCGTGCCCGTCGGCAACCTACGGTGCAGTGCTGATGGACCGTGGGTCCTTGTAGACGGTGGCGGCACGAGCCAGTCCTCCGGAGGAGGTACCTGTCACTGTCGCGGGCTGTTCGTGCGACAAACTGGCAGTCATGGGGCCTTGAGGCTCCGGGCGCAGACGCTGTTTTTGACCCGAGTGCTGCGTATATGTCGTGACTGTCAATGTTATATCGTACTCGGTATTCGCTTTGCTGAGAGAGTGTGTACACGACGGAATTGTCGTGACGGGTGTTCATGAAACGTGTCCGGTCGCTACCAGACGCAGTTCAGCCTTGATTTCGACAGATCTCGGGGACCGCTAGGGAGACAACGCACTACTTACTAGACCATGTCTCGGTGCAAATCCAACCGGATGACGACCGTGCCCGACTACAATGACTACCTCTTTGAAAAGCGCAAGCAATAGCTCGGAATCGCCGTCCAGCCCCTCCCGAAGTCAGAGTCAATACAAATCTCATCAAGTGTACCGCCCAGCAATGCATCGATACCCCTGTATAGATCAGTGAGAAATATTGAGGCAGTGTCGATATTCAGCGCTTCAGCGCTAGCGGTCGAAGCGTATGGTCGAAGATTCGGGGAGGTAAGAGATGTCTATACGATATAGCATTACAGGGCCGAGGGGGCTGGAGAATTACGTACGAAGGGCGCCGTGAGGAGTAGTGGTGTATGTGTAGATCAATGCTTCCACTTCAGCCATTGCTTGTTCATGTGCTTATCCTCCTCGAAGGCACACTTGCGCTCGACGACCTCCAGAATCTTCTCGCGAACGCCAGCCTTGCCCTTGCGCAAGCTCTTGAACTTGTCGAGAAGCTCGTCCAGGGTGATCTCCGTAGCGCCGCTGGACTTGTGGCTGCCGTCGACCATGGAGCGAATCTCCGCCTCGGAAGGGAGTGCGAACTGCATCGGGTCTATCGTTTTGTTCCCTTCCACATAGGGCGGAGGTGTAATCCTCGGCGCAGTCTCCTTGTCAGGCGTGAACTCGGAGAAGAACTTTTTGAGTAGCTCGCTATCGTTCACGTCCTCTAGGCGAGCCGGCGACCATGCAGGCCGCGCCTTGATTTTCTCCACAAGCACGGCCGTGACACCGGTCTTGAAGTCCGGCGTGGCGCCGCTCTGACGATGCCCAGCGGACATATTAACTACAGTTCGACTTTGAAAAGGGAGAGCACTTACGCAGAAAGCTGTGGCGATGTTCATTTCCATCTGCAGGGCGTCCAGGAGCGTCATCTGCTTCCCCCTACGAATGGCGGCGAGTGCCACCTTGAGGCTCGTCGGACTGCGTTGCGCCAACTCGTCCAGAGTGTTCGCTGCCCACTGTCGGACCTCTTCATTCCGATGGCTGGTGGAGGTCTCGGTCAGCGCCGCCACAATTTTCTCCACGGTGTTGAAGCTGAAAGCCGAGTCGAGCGCCTCCCGCTTGGCACCGACAATGGCAGTAGTCGGCTCGTCCGGTTCGCGTTCGGATCTCGCCTCCTCGAGCAGTGCGTTTATCCGTTGATGAGTGGGATTTTCCAACGCTGCGAGGCGCTCGAGGAGGGCGGGGACGAGTCGGGACTCCACAAAGTGCGTCGCAAAGCCGTGTTCACTAAAGCGCCGGAGTCAGTCGAGAACGCAGCTGGCAAGTCGAGACGCGTACAACACCGCACGACCGGTAATAGTGGCACCTGTCAGCCCAAGGTACGTTCCGATCTCTCCATCGACTCTGGAAAGAAAGTAGCTGGCTCCGACGTCGGGGGAATATCCAATCTTCGTCTCTGGCATGGCGAATACAGTCTTCTCGGTTGCGATCCGGAATTGCGCGTTGACAGCGAGACCAACGCCTCCTCCCACTGTGCCCGCATGAGCGTGCGAAGGGAAGGGCTATCGTTTACACGTACTTGTGATACCATCCATTACGCACACGTATGGTTTCGGCACCGCAGCGAGGATGTAATCCATTTCGAACCTGGTGTAAACCGCTTTCTGGTCAGAACAAGTGATAGACCTAGGGCCCGGCATACTAACTCCCTGTGAAAGAAGTCGATAGCCTGAGGCCGCGTCGCCGGATCGCTAGCATAGCGCACGACGCCTGCCCGACGCTGGTGTTAAGTTGCCGGACATCACGGTGTGTGAACGGCACTCACTCTCAACATCACCGCCTGCACAAAACGCCCGACCCGCGCCCCGACCAACAATGACCTTCGCCAGTTCACCCTGAGACCATTCCTGAAGTGCGAGGTCAATCGGAGGGCGCGCTACGAGGTCGGAAGCGATCTCACCTCAATCTGAGGGCGGAGCAAGTTAAGCATAGGCTCGTTCAGGGCGTTGAGCTTCTTTTGCCGGTTGAGAACGTAGGTGCGCACTGCGCCGCTGGACTCGAACAGCACCGGAGCTTCATCGGGGGCGTCCACACGGGCCTTTGGGGTGGGTGTGGGGGCGGAGGTGGACATGAGATGACGGCCAATTGCTGCTGTTCGTTGAGCTGCTGTTGCGGTTGGACGAGACATTCTCCTCAGCAGAACGTTGCGGGCATACATCTGGACGTCTGGACGAGAGCTGCGGCCACCCGAGTCGGCCTAGCAAGAGATAAAGCGGAGAACGGTGGGTAACGCGGGAGGCCGACGCTCCCAGGACGCTCGTCACTCGAGCCGCACCGGGCCAAACAGGCGCGCGCCGAATGAGCGCCTACACACACAGACGGCCTGCGCGGCCCGCTGTGCTTCCTTTCTTTTGACCATCATCTCCTCCGATTCCTCCGCGCCGCCATCCTCGAGCACTGTTATATTTCCAGCTGCCACAGGTCGCATTCGACATATAGGCGGTGAACATGACATCGGTCCTGCCTACTCCGGGCACCCGCCTGAGTCATTCCGGCTTTCTGGGGACCGTTAGATTTGTCGGTCCGGTCGATGGTACCCAAGGCGTCTGGCTCGGCGTCGAATGGGATGATCCCAAGCGCGGCAAGCACGATGGCGTCAAGGATGGAAAGCGGTACTTTACGTGCCTGTAAGACGATGGGCTTACGTTCTGCCTCGAGGCAATCCTGTAACACTTTGTGTTTCGAATAGCGTCCCAAACAGTGGCTCCTTCATACGCCCGTCCCCTGCCATATGCTATGGCGTGACGTTTCTCACTGCCCTCACTGCCAAATACGTCGAATCGCCTCTCGGCGCACTGTCATCGGAGAAAGTCGTTTTAGGCTCCTCCGGCGGTGCAATCGAGGTGGAAGCAGTTGGTCTTGACAAGATCAGAGGCAAGCTAGCGCAGCTAGAACGCTTGCGTGAAGTCAGCCTTGACAACGAATGTGTCTCGCAGGCGGACACTCCTGGAGAGCTTGCACGCAAATGTCCTGGTGAGTAAACATATCATTGTTGCAGAATACCCGCACATCTCGCCATCGAGTGCGGCACATCAATCCGTGGGATGGCTGTGCCGTTCTCGAGTCACTGCACGGCTCTTGAACTATGTACAATGTTCGGCATCGGTTTATACTCACTAGCATCAAATGGTGAACGACAGGGAACCCTTCTATCCCGTCCAATACAGCCTGCGCCTGGGTTTATCATCAATCTACCATCGTTCTCAGGATGGTCGTCGACTCAATGAGTGTGGCTTAAGCCTGTGCTGGATGTCTTACTCAGTCATCTATCGTCTGGCCGCAGCGTCATCGGGTCTATTGGTAGAATTCTTCGCCCGCAAATAGCGGGTGGACTCCCGATCTGAGATTGGATACGAAGTATCGGTAGGTCCGGTATGTGGTTTTACCGGTTACATGCCTGTTTATGCTTTGCACGATGCTCCTGCTTTTTAATTGCATGTCGGGATACCACCTGTACGAGTTCAGCACGGAGCGCCCGTCATCATCATAATTGTTCCGTGCTTCATAGTGTATCTGATATATCACAATTATCTCCATAGGAATCCGCGGATTAGACCTATCCAAGAACTTGATATCGGGATGGGACGTTGTCTCTGCTATCACTGTTGAGTTATCAGGCCTTCGCAGGTTGTCACTAAAGTCAGTCACTCCCTCTCAACGGTTGAGGACACATGTCTGACATCACATGCGCAGCCAAAACCGTCTCAGACCACCGCAATATTTCTGTGTCGCCGCATTCGAGCGGCTTGAAGAGCTGCAGTTGAACGCAACGTTCACGACGTGGGAAGAGTTTCAGGCCATTATCCCACACATGCCCGCCCTCGCGTCGGTGGAGTTAGGCTACAACGGCCTGAGGTCTGCGGATAAAGTACAAGGGCACGACACCGCGCGCTGGCCCAAAAATTCAACCATACGGAGCATCAATCTGGATGGCAATGAACTCGATCAGTTCGCGGACGCGTGCGCCCGCATGCACAACCTCTCTGCGTCAGAATTTGCTCTCGCCCCGCCTCCCTGCTGCGTCCTCCGCTCGGACTGATACGCCACCAACAGATTACAGCGACTCGTACTCACCTCAAACCACATAACACAGATACCCTCGCCCTCTGGGGATGCCGGGACTGCTCCTGCGGCTGTCTCCGGGGGCTCGCCCGTCGGGGCGCTGAAGCATCTCGCGCTCGCGTTCAACCGCATAGCGTCCTGGTCCGACATCGACGCACTTCCGTGCTGGTGCCCCCAGCTCGAGTCGCTCACGCTCGCCGGCAACCCCCTGTTCAACGGTGCGCCCGCGTTCGATCCGATCGTAAACAGACTTGGGCATCTTTGTAATGGAGCGCTGACACCCCCCTGCGGCTGCTGTGTTAGATCCAGCGCATAGAAGCCATGCGCGCCCATACACCATCGCCAAGATCCCGTCGCTCCAGATCCTCGATGGAGCTGCAGTGCGTACCTCCCCACCCACCACTCTTCTCCCGTGTTACGCCCGCAAGGCTGACTCACGCCCGCGCCCACGCGTACGACCCTGCAGGTATCGCCGAAGGAGCGCAGAGATAGCGAGATCCTCTACCTCTCCTACATCAGCAAACAGGCCCTCTCCGAGGACGAGAAGCGCGCGGCCCACCCGCAGTACGAGCCCCTCTGCGCCAGTGCGTGTCTTAAAATTAACTAGCAACGCCCGCGTCGCGCGGCTCACGAGTCCCCTGTCTCTGCCCATCACGCCCGCCCGCCCACGCTCGCTCGTCATGCCGACTCGCGCGGCCCGCAGAGCACGGCGCGACGGACGCCCCAGCCCCCACGACCAAGGGCGCGCAGGACACGCTGGGCAACCGCCTCATCGGTGCGTGCGCTCGCAATTTTCCGTGCCCCTGTCCCGCGTACCACAGATCTGACCGCGCCACCGTAGGCGTACGCATCTATCTAGCGTCCGGTGGACCGCCGCCGCACAGCCTCCCCTCGGAAGAAGTAGAGGAGTACCTTCGCGGCTGCCGGGCCGACGTGGCCCTGCGCGTTCTGTCCACTATGTCCGTGCGGCCCTTGCGGCTGAAGGCCATAAAGTCGCTCAAGATTCCGAAGGCGCAGCAGAGCTCGATGCGGCTGTGGATGGTGATGCCGGACGGTCACTTCGTCGTGATAGATGAGGAATATGCGGGACGGGACCTATCTTGGTGGGGGGTAGAAGAGGGCACTATATTTGTACTCGCAGCGAGCGAAGCATAGTCTTATATGGCATTTAGGATTTCCTTGCGTACGAGGTCGGGATCCTCTAAACCATTCCACAGACATCGGTCAATTAGCGGCGTGAAGCGCTCATCGAGTATCCACTCAAAGGCATATTATAGCATGACACAATCCATACCGTAGAAACACGCACACATTGTGAATATGACGTTGGTTCTTACTCGTTGCACACAATATTTTGTTTCGGGTATGAGGATAGATATGCGATTCATATGTACACGATACAGCCGGTCAAATACATGCGAGCGGACAACATGGACTCGGCTGGAACACAGACCTGAGTTGATTGCACGCACCTTTCTCGTAGCCATTGAGGAAGAAGCACAGGACTTGCATACAGTCGGACCTCCTGCTTGGCTCAAAGTTTCGGCCGTCCTGTGCGTGTACCCCCGCCAGAGCGCTCGACGTTTTGAATTACGTGCTATGAGAGCCATGGGTGGCTTCGATGGCAGTCGCCTTGCTACAGGGACGAAGCAAGCTCCAACGGCCTGGATTCCTGGACAGCGTCGACGAACGTTCGCACGAAAGTCTTGCGCGCCCACATACGCCCACAAAACAGCCGACGTCCAAAAATGGGGTCCTCCTCGGCGAGTCCCGCAAGCGCCTTAACGAACTCCGATAAGCGAATACCATCCGTGAAATTGCGTCGACCTCCTCGAATCCCGGGAGCCATATCGACCAACGGACCTCGTGAACATGGCACGGAGAACACAGGTTTGATGGGACGCCAACGGACCAGGTCCCCCGTCCTCTTGATACGGAAGGAAGGCCAGCGCAGGGGCTCCGTGCGCACAATAGGAGGGATATCCTCAGGGGGACCTGGAAGCGCCAATGCGAACGAGGGTCATAGCGCGATAACCTCCGAGCTCGAAGTACAGGGCACCTGTCCATACAGCAGAAACATATTCGACGCGATGCGAGATCCAGTCCAAGACGCCTTTTGGGGAAGAATTCGTGGTCCACACCGAAAACGGACAACCGGCCATCCGGAAAACCATGGCCTCTCAGCGCGCCCAACCGCTGTCTCCGTTGGCGGCGTGCCTCGGGGGCCTGTCGTCATACCGATCGTCCTTCTCGTCCCGGCGACGGTCGTCTCTGCGCCTGTCCACATCGTCCCTGCGGCGGTCATAATATGCGTCAGGGCCTCTTCGGTCATCATAGCCGCCTCGCCGGTCATCGTACCCTGCAGGCCTTCTTTCTTCAACATCCCTCCTGGGAGGTGGAGACCTGGGGCGACGATCATCGACTTCACCACGGCGAGGAGGCGACCTGGAGCGTTCCCTGCGGTAGCCGCCGCGGTCATCCCTGTGGCGGTCATCCCTGTATCGATCGTCTCTGTAACGATCATCACGGTAACGGTCGTCTCGAGCATACCGGTCGTCCCGGCGGTCATCACGGCGGGGCTCCCGGCGGTGGTCATCTGCACCACCACGCTAGATAACAAGTCAATCGCTTGTTTTCAGAACTCATATAAATGGGGCTCACCTCACGATCCATGGCGACACGGACTGACTGACCACGGAGGTCGCGACCGTCCAGGTCCTTGACTGCGCGCTCCGAGTCCTCACGGGAGAGGTATTCAAGGATACTGCAACCAAACAGTTCAGACGAAGCCGAAGCCGAAGCCGAAGGATTAACTGAACTGACCCTTCGCCCGGGTTGTCGCGATCGATGTCAGCGTAAGAGACACTGCCGGCTTCACGACCGAAATCTTTGAGGTCCTGGTAAGAGTGAGCGTGTTAGAGCCTCTTGCTCGATTTCCAATATCGTTGTGGCATCCTGGGTCCCGACGACGCATGCGGTGTCCAGCGCCAGGGGCGAATCTAGAAGATAAAAGGAGGGGGTATAGGAGGAACGTACCTGCCAACTGGTGTCACGTGAAATCCCAGAAACTATAACGCGGAAGCCGGGAGGTCGTCTGGCGCGCACAGCACGATCGGCGTCGTATGGGTCGCGACGGGGACGTGTTTCCTTCGCGAACTCGACAACAATGCTACGAGAAGATTAGTGACGTGAATATGATGGAGATTGTGATGAATACGTACTTGGAACCCATGAAGTTCTTCCCGTTGAAGTTCTGCATGGCGTCCTCTGCGTCGCGGGAGCTTTCAAACTCAACGAAACCAAAGCCTGCCGCATGGCGCTCATCAGAGCTAAGCCTGGGTTAAAAGGCTGTATGCCACAAACCTGTCATGACGCGACAGTCGACGATGCGACCATACCCGTCGAAGAACTTCGAGACTTCTTCGCTGCGGACATCCGGGGGGAGTCCTACGAAGATTGAGAGCCGCTGTCAAAACATCATCGACAACGAGGTCCACGGAAAGAACCAACGTACTTCCAAGGTAGAGACGGCGTGCCATGATGGTGGAAGGGGGAAAGGTGAGGACTGCGGTAAGCGACGGCGTTGAAAAGACCTCATGCCTGTGGTCCGTGCGCGAGACTAAGATGTCGCGAGCCATCACTGATGGGTGCCGCATCGGGAGAGGGTCCTGAGTTGGACAGGGCTGGGGCAGGGTCTGGTGAGGGACCCCGGGGACGCCGAGGAGCTGCTCGGCGCTTAGCGCTCGTGACTAGCCGGCCGCTGACAGACCTCAAGAAAGGAGCGTATTTCACGGGGACCGCAGAGTTATCTGATAACTCCGACACCTCCTCGTCGTCCACCATGTTGTCCAGAGTCTCTACCCGGTCCGGAAAGGCCCTCTCTCGCTCTGCACTTCGCTCTACTGCTTCCCGTGTCGTCGTCAAGGATGTTCGCAGGTCTTTCGTCCAACCGTCCGGCGCTGACCGGGCCAGTGTCGTCGATGTTCCCTCGTCATACCAGGAGGACACCGCGTTCGCCCCTAGAGTCGGTGAGCTCTCTAGCTACCATCGGATTGTCTCGGAAGCACTCATGCGCCTTCGCAGACATGTTTGGCTTCAAGCTAGAGGCAACTCGTCGAGAGGGCGGCGTTTCTGAGCAAGCCCGCCCGATTTACCTCGACATGCAGGTAAGTTCTCACCGAGCGACTCGCCCGTTATCTCAACTCATCACCCCTTAGGCGACCACGCCCGTGGATCCTCGAGTGCTCGACGCTATGCTACCATATTTGACCGACCAGTACGGCAATCCACACAGCCGGACGCATGCGTATGGTTGGGAGGCTGAGAAGGCCGTGGAAGACGCACGCAAGGTACGTGACGCGCCTGATGCATCCACGGGGAGGTACTCATTGTCTCCGCAGCACGTCGCAGACCTCATTGGCGCTGACTCCAAAGACGTTGTTTTCACTTCTGGAGCTACTGAGACCAATAATATGGCCATCAAGGGTGTAGCCCGCTTCAACAAAGAGAAGAAAAAGCACGTCATTACAACCCAAACTGTAGGTTACGCTTCCTTTCTGCGCGAATTCCGCCTCACATCATGTTTAGGAGCACAAATGCGTTCTCGACTCTTGCAGGAAGCTGCAGGAAGAGGGCTTCGACGTGACCTATCTCCCGGTTCAAAAGAACGGCATAATCCGTCTCGACGAACTTGAGGCCGCCATTCGCCCCGATACTTCGCTGGTTTCTATCATGACCGTAAACAACGAGACCGGTGTCATCCAACCCATCAAGGAAATTGGCGAGATTGTTCGCAAACACCGTGGCGTCTACCTCCACACCGACGCGGCGCAGGCCGTAGGCAAGATTCCAGTCGACGTCAACGAGATGAACGTCGATTTGATGAGTATTTCGGGACACAAGCTTTATGGCCCTAAGGGGGTCGGCGCTGCATACGTCCGGCGGAGGCCTCGCGTCAGATTGGAGCCTATTCTGAGTGGTGGCGGACAGGAGCGTGGCCTGCGGAGTGGCACCCTCCCGACTGCGCTGGTGGTCGGTATGGGTGAGGCTGCACGGGTGGCGAGGCAGGAGATGACCGTAAGTCCCTCTACCAATTGTGCCGCTTTGATGAAACGTACCACGCAAAACACATTCATCTTCATCTCCTGAGCATCGTGGCTGCGCAGCTTGCTTCGGCAAGTCAGCGCGCTAGCTTTGCATTGACGTTGCGTGCAGGGGTTCTGAGCACGCATATCATTTGGTGTCTATGTTATGACCATCCGGCTAATCTGCGTATACTACAGAGGGATCGTGCACGCATCCGGGCGCTCTCCGACCGTCTTATCAACAACATCAACGCCCGCATCGAGCAAGTCGTGCGGAATGGTGACCCCAACGGGTACCCCGGTTGTGTCAACTTGAGCTTCTCATATGTGGAGGGCGAGAGTTTGCTCATGGCGTTGAAGGTACGCCCTCTGTCGCTTTCCTGGCACGCCCGCGCAGCTAAACCTGTTTCACTAGGACGTCGCGCTTTCCTCCGGCAGTGCATGCACCTCCGCGTCGCTTGAGCCGTCCTATGTCCTACGTGCGCTTGGCGCCGCAGAGGACATGGCACACTCGTCGTTGCGCTTCGGAATCGGCCGCTTTACCACCGAGGCGGAGATCGACTACGTAGTCGACAAGATTACTTCCGTCGTGCAGAGGCTCCGTGACATGAGGTACGTCCGATCTCACCCCCAACTTCGCGTGTATTTGATACTGACTGTTTGCCGCACTCAGCCCGCTGTGGGAGATGGTTCAGGAGGGTATCGACATCAACAGCATCGACTGGTCGCAGCATTAAACACATGCTCACCTCCCTTTTCCGTTATGTCAAGCTATCTCCCCGATGCTACCCATGGACGGCCTTGCTATGCTTGACCATGCCTGCTGTCGTGTTGCCAAAGCTATTGTCGTGACACCGCCCACAAGTTTATATTCGTACTGTATGACCTGTCTGGATGAGTCCTCCGTGTATTCTATGCTTCCCTGCGGAATCCAGTAATCCCTCACAAAATATTATCTCGACCTTGCCCATGCACGTGCTGCGCGCGCGTACGTTGCGTATTGCCTCGGGGACGATTGGTGAGTATTCATAGGATGTGGGAGTTGCCTGCGCCGCCTGGCACAGGCTGTGTGCGCACGACAAAGCATTCTCATCCTCGACGACCAGTCGTGCGACCCCCGCACACGCAGTTCGAACCATGATAGAGAGCAAAACGAAAGAGACCCCTAGATTTTGGACCAGGTACAGTACAGAGCGGGAACAACTGCGGACACCATCCCTCTTCCCCTCACAGCGGCGGGTTGGCCTTCGACACAAGGGTCTCGAAGTACGCCTGGAACCAGGTTCCAGCCTCGGGTGCGGGGATCGTCGCGTCGGACTGCACCATAACAGTGAGCACACACGCTTGCGTTCGCAAAGAGGAGTGAAACGTACGAGAGAGCATGTGCTGTCGTAGCGGGGCGACGAGCTGTTGGAGGTACCGTCGGACTCGCCTCCGGGCTTGACCCAGATGATCGCGTCAATGAGCGGGTTGCCGGTGCTCGTCGTCGGGCGCGTGCCGAAGCCGGCACCCTTGATGTTGCACCAGTCGCCCCACTGCTGGCGGAGGTTCTGCTGGCCGGCGCGGCCCTGGTCGACGACGAACTGCGCGGGGAAACCGGCCGACTTCAGCATCGGGCCGAGCGCCTGTATGCGTGCGCGATGAGCATGGTATAGGCGGAGTGAGAGCGAGGAAAGCTTACGTTGATGTAGTGCGACTCGTCGTAGTTGGGGTTGCCCTGGGTGATCGGGTCGGGGGAGGCGGCGGTGAGGGCGTTGTAGTTCGCGACGTCTGCGGAGCCCTGTCAGTCTGTGTATCGTCGTGCTCGGCGGTGGATACTCACTAGTGGCAAGACCGCGGACGAAGGGCGACGAGTTCGCGCTCTTGAACATCTCCGCGAAGAGCGTCGCCGCGGGCTGGATGTTGGCGGGCCAGCCGAGCCAGCCCGCGTGGCCGGCGTCCATGTACTGGTACACGCCGACGGACGACAGCTGCTGGAGCGCGTAGGTGACGCTCGCCTTGTACGTCGCCTCCGCGTTCGCGCACTTCTGCACGTTCAGGTTCGTGACGAGGTTCGCGAGGGAGTCGGGCTCGATGACCGCGACGACGCGCACGTCGGGGAACTGCTTGATCTGCGCGACGATCTGGTCGATGTAGTCCTTGTACTTCTCCGCGCCGCCGTCCGCGATGCTGAACTCGCCGTTGGACGCCTTCGCCGCGCAGTCGCGGTCGGGCAGGTCGTACACGACGATCGGCACGAGCTGCTTCTGGCCGGTCTTCGTCTGGATCGAGGACGCGTCCGCGAGGTACGTGCCGAGGTCGGGGACCTTCGCGACGGAGTCGAGCCAGGTGAACGTCGGGATGTTGGCGACGCTCGCGGCCTTGGCCTTCAGCGAAGAGTCGGTGACGGCGGCAGCGGCAGAAGCGATCTCAGCAGAGTAGTAGGGGCTCAGGTAGACCTGTTGCGGCGATAGTTTAGTATTCGAATGTTTGTATATCACTCGATGACCCCTACCTGGAAGCCAGTGAAGGGGTTGCCGGCAGCGGGGGTGCTCGAAGGCGTGCTCGGAGCCGAGACGGTCGTAGGAGAACCACCAGGGGCCGAGGTTGCGGGAGCCGTGGGTGCGGTCGTGGGTGCAACAGTGGTTCCTGGTGCACCAGCGCCCGGACTGCAGTAAGGAGTTTCATGAGATCGTGCTGAGTCCGTGAAGATTGAGAAAGACGTACATGCACTGCGAGTAGTAGTCGTTCTGCTTGGAGCAGACGGACCCAGAGACACAGGTGGTAGCTCCCGCTATGGGAACGCGTTGGTCAGAATACATCTTACAGCCCCATATTGATATAAGACATACTCCAGCCGATACCACCGCACTGTCCGTAGATTGGAGACTGGGCGTAGGCCAGGGAGGGGACGACGGCGAGCAAAGCGAGGAGCGATGCGAACTTGGACATCTTGGGAGTACCGGGTGTTGAGAGGGTCTGGGATCCTGTCTCTCCACCATCTCTGCGCATCCGTTATATAGCGGGGACCGCCGTGACCGAGCGCGGGCGGAGAAGGTCTTCGACTGGTGCGTAGCATCATGTCGATACCCAGAATATCCGGCGAAGACCCGAGCGGGGGTGGCGGAAAGACGTCGGTGGAGGTCAGTTGTCGACTACGACCTCCGCCCGAGCGGGTCATGAGACTGCAGTTCACCCGAAAGCCCAGCGCAAAGGCGGACAAGCGGCGGGGGCATTGTGGCGAAGGCGCACACTCCGGCCACCCGGGCGTCGGTACAAGCTCGGATAGCGCCTGACCGGACCCAACACTGAAACCATTTTTCCGCTCGCTTGCGGTGCGGTTCTGTCATACACGCCAGGTTTGACAAGGAATGCCACTGCAACAGTACCTTGTCGGTGAGACTCGTCGCGGTCGGTAGCTGTCTATTCGGCGCGAGTTCGCGAGCTCTGCGGTGCTCCACTGGGGTTCCTCGCAGATGGTCCTTGGCATGGGGCGGGCATCCGACAACTTTGTCCTTTTCCTCACACGTTCATTCCCGTTTGCGTCATGCTGAACCGACGGGATGAACGCTTTCGTTACGTCGACGAGCATGCATGACGGATGGCGGCCACGGCCCCCCCACGGAGATCTGCTCTGTAGCGTAGTGTCAGCCATGTGTGCGGGACGAGCGCATGAAAGGAGCTTCTCACTTGATCTTGTGGCCCAGACAACCTCGTGACCTAGAAGGTTAAGAGCTTCGAAACAGGCGTCGAGAATGCTCGGTATCTTTACCTCGGCGGGTGAACGGTCGTGATCAGCCCTCGTGAAGATCGCCGTCCGTGATCAATGCTGCTTGAGGTTGCATATGCTTTTCTTGGATGAACGTAGGCTGTGCCCATTGGAGGTTAAGTTAGTACAGGCACACACCGAAGACACGAGCGACGGCTCCAGTCTACCGAACGTTGGCATGAGGGTAGCCCGACGCATAGGTATTGGACGATCCGCTGAGCGGAACGGAGGTGCTGCGGACAACTTGGACATGTGGCTCGCATGTCGAATTTCGGCTTGCGTTGGAGGACACAACCGCCGAATGTACGTCAGCTTCCGCCTGGAGCTGCGAAAAATCGCTTGTGCGTATGGGCTGTTCGGACAGACGCAAGGCGTGAATGGTCCAGCTTGTGGCGGTAGTATGGATTATCCTCGAGGTCTAGCTAGGCTTCTCCGGACGGAAGCGTTGCGGAGAGAAGCAGTTGGCGCGGGGTAGAGGGGAGCGACGAGGTTGTTCCGGGGTTGTTAGACTGCGCTCCGCAATGCTGTACTTGCGCCGTTCGACTATAGTCTCGCCACTCTGGGGCTTCGTTGGCGTGATCGAGAATAATCCGGGCAACAGTCATCGTAGTAAAATGGCTCCGAGCAGACTTACTCGAGTCGACGTATTATACATGGCGCACATCAGGAGTCTACCGTTTCCTGGGGGCACTTGGCGGGGGAGGCAATAGAGCAGGAATACCGCCACCACCACCGGAAGAGAATGCAGAGCTGCCACCTAGCAGATTCGGGCCGGACGCGACGCTGGTGGGCTTGGCCCTTCCGGGAATAGAGATGGAGAAAGTCTGGCCTTCTTTGAGGGTGTAATCCTTCTTGGGTCCGGTAGGTATATGTGGGGAAGGTCCTTCTGACTCTGCTTCACCCGGATTCATCCGGGCCCTCCATCGCCTAGCAGAAGTGTTGAACTGAATGAGTATCACAGGTAGTAGAGATGGGGCGTACTTGGTATAATCCTGAAGGGCGACGTCTAAGGCAGGTGAGGTGAGCAGAGGTGTGAACAGCATGGTATACTACTCACTGAAATCAAAGCTGTCCGTGCGCTCAAGGAAACCCATCCCGATGTACGCTCTCCGTCCGTTGTCCTCGACTCGGACGACGAAGTATCGTGAGGAGTCGAGGACGGCCTCCACTGAGGGCTTAGCGGGATCATAGTCGGCCTTCGCGAAGACTGCAACTTGCTAAGAACTCCATGAAAAGTAGAACGGGGTGTATAATAACGTACGTTCACCTATGACAGGAGAGTATTAACGGATATGTATGTCGTGTGCATGTGGTACACACTCACCAGTGGTAGGATCCTCGAACTGTATCGCAACACCAGACGATCGCTCAATGATGCGAAGGCGCCCCTTCCATAGCGGGTTTCCCAAGTCACCCCACTCCTGCGCGCGGTGTCCTTCGTTCTTCTTCAGAGGTGGGATCTTGAACACTGCGCTGCCCGTGATGAGTCCGATCGAGCCTGCAACGTACGGCGGACAGCCGGCTGACCTGAAACTTCGCGGCCGATGTAGAGAATGCTCTCAATTTCCTCCTCCTTGAACTCCTCCATATTCTCTGTCTGCAGGGTATGAGGTGGGCTTTGTGAGGTGGAGGTGAGCGGCGATGCGAGGGTTGCGGGGACAGCCTCACCGCGCGCGTCGGTAGTCGGCAGGCGCCCATAAGCTATAGCGAGCACGTGGAATTTAAATGGGCGCCTACGCGTAGCATGCGCGTCCAAGTCCGCTGCAGTGCTTCTCCTCGTACCTGGGTCCCGTCCACGACCTTCATCCTCGCTCTTTGCGTCCATCACACCTCAAACCACATATAGTTTCTAGCTATGACTGGTCCTCCTACCCCACCCCCTTCGAGTGCTGTTGAGATCGAAGATGCCGCCCGTACAATGTTGCCGCCACCGGCTGCCGTACCCGCCACCGAGCCCGTAGTACCTCCTGCGGACGCGTCTGAGCCCGAAGGGGCACAACCACCTCCCGTTGCACAGGCAAAACAAGTCACCTCATACGAGCTGCTCTTCCCGAGTATATCAGATATGGCAAGGAACGGCAGTCTTGGGGAACTCATTGAGCTCGCAGAGCGTGGAGATCTATCTGTATGTCCCCTGAAGTTGTGGACACGTCGATCATAGCACTCATCTGCATTAATTTTTTAGGCTGAATACCATACCGATCCCTCACGAATGCTCCTGGTGGCCCCTTTAGTACTCGCCTACATGATAACGGACCAGCTGTGAGCGGAACTCGCAAATTCCCTGAAACCGACACAGTTAACACCCAGTCATATCTTACAGACCTGCTGCACGCCATGCAATGACGCGACTGCCTGAGAGTCTCGCATCTTATGGACTGTCCCAAGCGCTCTTTCAGGTTCTGGCGTCTACACACGAGCGCAAGTACTCGGACGTATACCGCCGGGCCGAAGAATTGCATGAATTTGTCTCGCAGCCTGCGTTCGCGGATGCTGCTCTTGGTCAAATCCTTGCCGGGATGGTCGCTTCATTCATCGGTCAGTACCCGAACGCCAATGCCACCAGCCTGCCGCTCATTAACTGTGTCGTAGTCTCCTTCCGGAAGAAGACATTCGAACTATTGTCCACGGCATACACTTCGATCCCCCTGCCTCTAGCACAGTGGTACTTGGGCTACCCCGGCGACAAGGCGGAAGAAGTCCTGAATGGTACGTACAGCCGTCTGGAATGGGATATTTGTAAGGTGAACACAATTTGCACAGTCGCTCTGGCCAACAACTGGAAGTTCGACCAAACCACTCGGATCTTCACACCGTCCACGCAACCGACTACATCCTCCCGAGGGATTGGATATAGTGAGCGTCGCCTTGTTTCATTTCACATGCCGACGCTCATATCCATATCCTCACGCTCAGCGCAATCGACGCTGCAGGCCTTGAATTTGGTAGCGGATACCGTCGCAAATCTGGAAGCTTGAGCTTCAAATTGGAGGGGTGCTGCACGCATGATTCTCTGAGCCCATGTATAGTATTCTTGATGCCCTGGCAAACGACTTCATGTTATGTTGGCCTGAAGCACAGCTAGGGCCTGCGTTTATGCTGGCGCAAGTTTGCCCGCCGTCGAGTAGACGGATATGTACGATTGATGAAGGATAACTAACAGGTTGCAGCTTGTCTCCGATGAATTTAATTCTAAATTATCAAGCACTTGGGCACTACTAATCTACGAGATAGCAAGGATACATGACACCGACACCGACACGGTTACGATAGCAAGGAATAAACACAACGGACGACGATACGGATCGACGGCAACAACACAAGTCGAATGACGCTCAAGAATGGTGGGATGGAGATGGCCCCTCCGATCCCGCGTGCGTACCACGAGTCGGCTGTAAAGAGCCTCAGTCAACACAACTCAAAGACAGCTGTAACACCGACACATTGAAGAAACACGCACTGCATATCTGACCGATACCCACAACGAACACGGCGGTCCAGACGAACCCGAGCGGGCCTCCGACCTTCTTGCCCGTCACCCGTCTGAACGCTGTTTCGCACAGTATGCCGACGGCTTGCAAGAGGAAGAACGCGAGCACGCTCGGATCAAGCTCCTTCCCGGCCACAACGAGTCCAAACTCGTGAAACAGCCCCGAGGCGAGGAAGCACCCGAGCACCATTCCGAGTCCGCCGGAGAGCCACTTTCCGAAGAACCCGCCGAGGGTGAGGAAGGTGTATCGGAACGCCTGGTGCCACGATTTGGCCCAGAAGTCATGCACGGACCGCGCGGAGAGGAGCGCGCCGTGAATGGGGGGCCAAGCGTCCGGCGACTGTCTGAAGAGAACGATGCCAATGAGAGACCCGACGTCGTAGGTGAGCGCGACGCCGGCGAATATCAGCAGCCCGTGCCCGACATGTATAGCTGTGGACAAGAGGTAGCGCTCCAGGGGTGGCAGCTCCTGGAGAAATATGGTGCCGCCGGTGGCGGTGACTCCCGGTACGCACTTCGTCAGCGTGTCGATGAGGTCAATGAGGAGTTGGTTCCGGATGATGTTCTTCACAGTCGCTCGTATGAACGCCTCACGTTCCGACGGACGGGTGGTCTGCGGTATTGGTGTGTACTTCCCGAAATCCCAGCCCACGCCGCGCATGGTGAGACCGACTTCCAGGGCGTCGAAGACGCAACGTGGGAGGATGCGTGCGGCAGGATTGCGCCCCCCTAGCAGCGCCGCCGCTCGCGCGCTGCGTACACGTTGGGGCGCATCGCGGTCGAAACTTCGCCTGAGCTCCTTCTCTCCCACTCTCAGCCGTCCATCTTTTGCGAAAGCAAAATCGACTGACTTCGCAATGATGAACATTGCGAGAAGACCTGGAACCGTCGCTGAATGTTAGCGAGCATAATGCATTCAGCAGAAGATTATGATCACCTCTGTTCCACTCGTACCACGCCATCCGCGGGTCTTCGTTCCGGTAACGGAAGGTGCAGCGCAGGGCCATGGCCACGACCGTTGGCAGGAGGAGGAGCCGCATGAGATAGGTGCCTTGTCTCCGCACGAGGTAGGCCAAGAAAAAGTAGGGAACGAGATAGAGCAACGCCTGAGGGAGCTTCAGCCATGTCAGCTCCTCTCGGTCCTCCCAGGGTGGGATGAACTCTCGATAGGCTAGCACCGCCGCAAAGTACACCCTGTATGTTTCGGAATACGAGACACGTCAATAACGTTTAAATCTACGCCGGTGACGAAAAGTGAGCTCAACTCGTTCGAGACGGTGCTCATGTTTGTGACCCCCATTGTTGGGACTTCGTACTAAGAATGCCTTCAGGTGCTCGCCGCCGGCATCCCTGGTGGTCCGGGATAGCAGGCAGGCCTTCATTGACGCTTGGAGGTGCTGTACAACGTCAAACGAGCGCTAACTATCGCTCTCTTCAACTCTTCTCCCGGGCCTCCCGGAACCGGCCGCGTCCCGCCGCCAAATTCGAGGAACCCTTGTCCGATTGCATCTGCAACGCCAAGGATTTAGGATCCGAGAATCATTCCATTTAAACGTTCGTCCCTCTGCAGATCTAGATCGCGATCGAGGAGGCGCATGGGACATCGCAGGCAGGGCCCGTCTCCCGGGCCAGTGAGGATCTGAGAAACCGATGGTGGAATAGTCATGGGGGCCCGAGTAATTATACAGCTCTACGACGTGTCTAGAAGAAAGCGTACAGCTACTCGGAAAGCAGGAGTCATGTCAGGAGATGCGGAGAGCGTAATAGAGAGACAGAGAGAGAGGGGGGGTCGTAAAATGGCGTAACAGGAACCAGAATAATTTACAGTGCAACCACTACAGGCCTCCACGGACCAAAATACGAATCATAATTGAATAAATTGGGGGAAATGATGAGAAAAGATGTCGCGAGAGGTGGAGAGCTGAGCGGTGGCGAGCAGTGGAGTGAAACCGAGCGTGAGAGTGAGAGAGAAGGATGGAGAGGATGTCGATGTCGTCAAAGCGGCTGCGCCGTGCGCAAGTGCCGGCTAGGGTCGCTGAGTCCCAGCGCCGGGAAGGGCACGCCGCTCATCGCGAGCAGCTCGCTCTGCTGCGTCCCGTACTGGTCCGTCGTGAGCGTCACCGGCACCTCACAACGATACGCGGGGAAGTTCTTGACGTGCTCCGGCGGGAAAATCACCAAACGGATGACGTGCTGGCGAACGGGACGTAACATCAGCACCGTTTCACAAAACACGATCCGGAACATGGGAGGCGCAACACACCTCGACCGCGACGGTCCCCTCGACGCGCCACGAGCACTCCCGTCCAGCCTCGCCCGCCTGCAGTTCCATGCGCAGGTACGCGGTGCCCTCCTGCGAGTCGTCTGCGAGATATACCTCCGCGCGGGAAAGCAACAGCTCGCGCACGCTGACCTGCCGGCCGAGCGAGACCCAGGCCTTCTGTCGCTTGATGAGGCACAAGTGCGCGTTGTGCGACAGGAGCTGTGCGAGTGCGGGCGAGCGCGGGCACGAGATTTTGAGCGAGAGCGGGATGGTGTCCCCAGACGCGAAGCATTTTGATGTCGGCATCGTGAGCTGTAATAGGGCGCGTTTAGGATCAGGATCCCGTCGCACAAGCCTCGACGTTCGGCAAAGTTGACTCACCGAAATGACGGGCAGATCATCAGCCTGATGTGGGCTTGCGTCGCAGCCCTTCGGCCATGTCGGCTCGAGGGGAATCTCGCACACACGTCCGTCCGCCGAGCTGTCCACGCGCACCGACCACGGAATGTACTCGAGCGAGGGCACGATCGGCCGCGACTTCGGGAGGTAGAGGATGGGGACCGTCAACCTACGCGATGAGCCCCGGTCAGAACGACTGCGCCCGATCCAGTGGAAGGGAGCGTAGCGTACTTCTCGTGCCGCCGCAGGCCCTTACGGACAATGTCCACGCGCACCTGGTACGAGATTTCGGTCGTCACGCCTGGTTGGAACACCGTATATGACGGCGGGAGGGGGTCCGAGCCATCCTCGATAAAGGGTGGGAACTGGGGCGCGAATGGGAATTCTCCGCTCACTGCGTTGGTACTCCCCGCTGGTGCGGAGTATAACACCACTTTCTGGCGTAGCACAACGATCTTCTGTACGCCGGGAACGGCTATGCTCGCGTGCTGGCTAGCGGACGTCGTCAGAGTGCCGTACAGCTACGCGTATTGTTTATCAGTCGCGATACCAAGTAGATAGCGTGTGCACTCACCGATACAGACACCTCCTGTACGTGGTTGCACGGCTTACGGAAAGTCAGAACGCCGTCGACTGTGCCGCCGAGGCCGTACGCAGGAAGCGGAGAACCCCAGCGCGGGGGATGCAGTTGAACCTCAAGGTGATCGGACTTGTACACGAACTTCTGCGCGTCCGCCGCAGAGGAACCGGGGGTGATGCAAGAGCAGTGGCCGGTTTGGAGCACGCGCTCGGTCGCGGTTGGTGACTCCGAGTACAGCGGCGCGGGGCTGTTGGACGACATCCAGCAATAGGCCGGGGGCAGATCAGGGGACTCCTGGACCATGGCGGAAGGAAAGGGGAGATGACTCGGGCGGGACCACTTAGCACATCAGACTTTTGAACGTTAAGCTCGGACAGGCGCAGCGAGGCTGATGGATGGGTGCTGGTATGGTGGGATTGGTGGTATGCTGCTATATATGCCCCCGCATGATGGAACGTTATCTACGCTTCCCCAGGGCGCGCGGTCGTGGCGGACTTCCAAGCGAGATCGAAGGACGTAATTCGACCTGGCGCCCGGACGGTGACTCGAGAAACATGCGCTGACCAACGTAGGCTTTCGCGCGTTGAGGCCCGCTAACCGCAGGCCCGCAGGAACGCAAGACGGTCCCATCCCAACCCAAGCTCGCGCAAACTCCTTACAAAGCAAGGTACGAACCTGCGTGCGCTCCGTCCGGGTGTCCGTCGATAGGCGCTCCACCATGATTGGACGGCACGGGCCGCGCGACAGATACACGTTGGGTGGGCTTGCGGTTGTTTTTGATCCAGACTTGGCCTCTGGCCTCTGTCGCGTAGCATGAACAAGGATGCGAGAAACGTGTTGCTTTGCCAGTATGGCACACATGCGAGATGCAGCGAGTACATAGACATCAAGTAAAACCACACACTATAAATATTGACGCCCATGTCGACTGCGGGGTAGATGCTAAAACAAATTAGAATTGCATCTTTGACGTCCTGGACAAGCGACAGGCCGCTCAGTCAGTACCGCGAATTGGCAAAGAATTCAGGATGACTAACCTCATTCTCGCCAATATCGCCACAAGCAGCACTATGGGGCTAATTGTGAACGCGAGCAGCCGCACGACATACGGGCTGTTGCCTGTCGTCCAGCTTGACCAAGCGCCTCCAAGATAGGCTGCAAGGAGGAACAGCGGGAACAACAGGTAGCCCGAGAGTCTGGAACGCCGCCGGGAGGGTAAAGTTCGTCATCTGCCCGATAGCAAGGGCGGCAAGCGCTGACTCACCGGTGGTATTTCCACAACATCTTCGCTTTAGGGCCACCAAACAGCCGCCCGCCGAACCACACACTGCCGCCACCTACAACCATCTGGACGACCATCCATGCGATTGACGCAATGCCTATGGTCTGCCGGCCCGATGTCAGGACAAACGCAATGTGGCGCTCGTCGATCTTAACGGAAGGTGACTCACGCCGTGCCATGTGGTGAAATGAGGGTGGTCATGCAGCGACTTGCGATAGTAAATGGCAAAAGTGCCAACGCTAATTGCGGGAACACCGAGGGCCAAAATGACTACTTGGTGCCGGGTCAAGCCGGCGGCCTTCGTCCTGGCTTGAGACGTGGGCTGTAGAGTCAAGATGCCTGCATGCGCGGAGAAAGGTCGGCAAGATACCCAAACCGGTATGAAGGTCATAAGGAACCTACCATAGGTAAATGCAGCAATGGCCAGGCTCTGGAGGATCGGGTGGAAGAAGAATAGCCCGAGCGACGTGGGGTGGTTGGCGAAAGTGATCGCCCATGTCGATACCAAGAAGACCTGCCAAGAGGTATAGCTGAAAGCGTCATCCTTAGTCACCGACAGAGAGACATACTGCTACAGAGGTCTACGACATTGCGTGAGCTGTGTCATGCAAGGAGTGTTACAAAGCACAGAAGACGTACGGATGCTGCCAATAGTGCGGGTCCATCCCCTCTTCTACCTTCCGGCTTCACAAACTGTTCGTCGTACCCCATCTCCGTCCGGTCGGGTGCGTTCACAGCTGGAGCCAGTGGAGCTGTTTCGTAGTGGTCGAGGTCGACGCCTGAGTGCTGCTCAGCACCCTCGTCGATGGCAGAGAGAGGTGAGGGAGCCCGGGAGTGAATCGTCATGGCCAGCTATGTCAGGAGATATGATTGGCGACCGCAGACCTGGGAACGAGGAGAAGCGTACGTGTCAGGACACGATATGCTGTTCCCGCAGCATCGGGGAGAGGCCATAGAGTGCTGTCGGTGTGAACGCCTGCACATCAGCGTATCGTGAGCAGTGCCTGATGAAAGTCTATCGCGCGTGGGGACGGCATTCGGCGCGCCCACGCAAGGTACTTAACCGGACTCGCGCTATTGGCCAGTAGCTTAGCGCCTGTAAGTATTCCAGCTGCGTACAGCTCATCCAGACGTCTCGATACTGGCGTACGCAACCTATGCATAGGGTGAACTTGAATATACTAGCGTTACGAACGTACCTCCGCGATAATCTGCTTTAAAGCGATGACAGCACGCATATGCGGCGCGGGGAATCGATCCGACAGCTTCTCAGTTGCAGAACTTCATGAGCGACTGGATACTTCAAACATGAGTGTGCTGGACTATGGGTGAAAATGGGAGGATATCCGTGCCGGCGTGGATGAGCGCAGAGACACAGAAAAGCCAGAACGCGTCCGTAGGCGTGCCAGACCAAGTAACCGGCGGGAGGTCCGGCAGGGTCCGGCCCGCTGGACCCTGTTTCATTGATGGGGTCCTACTCAGAGTTTGCCCCGATTTCGGCATGCCCGGGACCCCGGGAGCTTCCCCGCGGGGACAAGTCGGGTGGACCCCGCCCAGGTGTAACGGCGCGCTCGCGCGTTACACGAGTCCTCGGGTTTGGGCCTTCGGGCCACGGTCATTCTAGATAGTAACGGCTCGTATTAGATTACATAAGCTTTCCCTTTTCGTACATTATATCGCTCGTCCGTTCTTCGCTCTTCAGCCACCATCGGGAGCCATGCAGCTCGCCCTTCCGTACACTCCCGGACTCCGTAGCTACCCGCCTCGCGCCCAGCTTGTAACTCTCCGTCTGACCAACACCAGTACCCGCTGGCTTACCACTCTCTCGCTCGCCGCCTGTGCTCGCCTCGCCCGCCCTGCTTGCCCGCCGGCCGTTACAGTTTGGTCAGACCAACCAAACTCGTTCTCTACTTGCTCTGCTTTGCTCTTATCGTCTTGACCTCCCTCTGGCAATAATCCTGTGTGTTCGCGGCCGCTACCTCCCTCGTCGTCGTCGACTCGCAATTAAGCGCCCGTCGAACGCTTCCCTTCCGCCGACTTTCCTTCTTCACCACGCCGACGAATCCTCCCAAGATGGGCGACGTCGGATCCGCTGGCATGGAGGCATGGGGTGGTAACGTTTTCCAAGCCCCCCAGGCCGCTCAAAATGGCACCCCAGCTCAGCAGGCACCAGTTCAGCCTCCGCCCACAGGAGCTCCTGCTCCTGACGCCCCGCAGCGGCCCGCAGCGCCTCCAAGCGACCCTCTAGTGGACCGCATGAACCTGCTCCTAGAGAGTGTCGTTCATATCGGACACGCAGCAGGCAACGCCCATCAAGAACAGCTCATCAACCGTCAAGCACTCGAGGCACTCGTCCATCGCCTCGAGAACCTCTCAACCGGCACACCCGCGGCCTCAACCAACAGCTCGTCCGGACCTCCTCGCGGCAATGTCCGTGTCCGCGACCCTCGGATCTTCAATGGCAAGGCTTCGGAGGTCGACGCGTTCCTTGAAGAGGTCGATGCGGCCATTCTCTTGCAGCCCGCACTCCGCGATGCGGACGAGACCGTTAAGTGCCATTATTTTGTATCATGGTTAGGTGACGGCGCCCCGCGTTCTTGGCTGAAGGCCATGAAGAACCGGGACCTGCTTTTCCTCGACGACTACATGGCATTGGTCTACGAGTTCCGTAAGCGCTTTGAGGACTCCGACATTGAGAACAAGATGATTCACAAGATTGAGGCGCTCAAGCAAGAGGCGTCTGCCGCTGTGTATGCTAACCAGTTCGAAGAGTATCTTAGGTACATCGACTGGACCGAGGCCTACGCAATCAAACGCTTCGAGCGTGGCCTCAAGCAAGATGTCCGTATGCAACTACTCGGCAAGCCGCGCCCCGCCACCCTCTCGGAGTGGATCCCGCAAGTTATCGAGCTCGACAACGAGCTGCACAACCTGCGGCTCGAGACGCGCCAGCAAGGCGTGCGTGTCACCACCTCGAACACAACTCGCCAGTCTCAGCCACAGCGCTCGACGACTGCATTCGCACCCACATTCACACCGCGACCGACTGCCGCCGCGCCCGCTGCCACAAGCGGCTCCTCCGACGTTGTACCCATGGAGGTCGACGCCCTCCGGCACGGTAAGCTCACCTCTCAAGAACGGCAGCGCCGTTTCGACAACAATTTATGCCTCTACTGTGGCGAGGGCTCTCATCGCCTCGCCAACTGCCCGCTGCGCACCGCCAAGGACTCAAAGTCCAAGGGAAAAGCGTAGCCGGGAGCAAATCAGAAGTCCCGGAGCTCCCGGCGACACTAGGGACTCAGGTACCCGCCACGGGGGCTCCGAAGCACGTCCGTCTCAAGGACGGCGTGTGGATACCCAAGCCTGCTGGTGCCCCACGTTTCCGACTCTCGTCTCACGTTCATGCGTCTCCCTTTTCGCCCGACCATTTCTTCCTCTCTGTCTCACTCTCGTTTCCCAATCATAAAACAATACGTACATATGCTCTCGTCGACTCGGGCGCCACCGCGTCCTGCATCTCTCTTTCGTTTGCCAATCGCCACGGACTACCTCGCCGTCTGAAGGATGTGCCTGTCCCAATCACTGCGGTCGATGATCGGCCAATAGCCTCTGGCTTCGTCACCCACGACGTTGTCACCTCCCTCCGCGTACAGACTCATTCGGAGACGATCGCCCTAGGCGTTGTCTCCGTTCCTTATCCTGTAATTTTAGGTCTTGACTGGCTTCAACGCCACAACCCGTCCATCGACTGGGTTCGCCGCTCGCTGGCACTCAACTGCTGCGGTGTCAACCCCGTACACCCGTCCTCCGTTCTCGGCCACGGCGCAAGCCTGGTCACTCCTCCCGCTTTTGTCTCATCTCTGCACGCGTCCTCTTCGACGTCGGTCGGCCTGGGCCTCGGTCTTCGTGGCCGCGTCCTCACGACCGCGCACCCCGACTCTATCGCGCGCTCTGATCAAGCCGCGAATTTGCCTCTCCCTCGAGGTCGCTCGTTCCTGTCTGCTACGACACTCCCTTGGCATGCCTTTCGTCCTCCGACTCCGTTTGCCTCTGGCTTGGGCCCCGGTCTTCGTCATGCGCATCCGACTCCGTCCATCTCCCCGCTCTCTCCGTCTGCGTCAGCATCCCAGGGCCCCGGTCTTGGTGTGTCTAGCACCCCACATGTTGTGGCAAGCCTGGGCCTCGGTCTACACTCGCCTTCGCCACCCTTCGTCTCAGTCTCCTCGCCTTCATTTCCATTTCCGCCCACTCCGCTTCCCCCAGACACGCCCTCAGCTCCACTCGACATTGCCATGATTGGCTCACGGCGCTTTCGCAAATATGCCCGCAACAGCCCGAGTGGTGCACTCTGGTATCATCCTCTTGGCACCTCCGGCTACACAATTGCGGCGGCTCGACTCGACACCACCAGTACGGCTGCACCGCCGTCGCCTGCTGCTACTCCCGACCCTCTCCCCGAGCCGCCTCCACTCGCCGACTTCCTCAATCACGTGCCCGAGAAGTATCACAGTTATGCGTCAGTGTTCTCTCCAGTGGACGTCGAGAAGCTGCCGCCGCACCGCGATGGTTTCGACATGTCCATCGACCTCGAGGACGACCAGAAGCCACCGTTCGGTCCTCTTTACCACCTCTCTGCGCTCGAGCGTCAGACACTCTTCGACTACATCGAGGACAACCTGCGCAAGGGCTTCATACGACGCTCGACATCCTCCGCTGCTTCCCCTGTTCTGTTCGTCCGCAAGAAGACCGGCGAGTTGCGCTTATGCGTTGACTACCGCGGTCTGAATGCGATCACGAAGAAGAATCGGTATCCCCTCCCTCTCCTCGACGACCTGCTCGACCGCGTCCAAGGATGCAGGGTCTTCTCTGTCATCGACCTCAAGAATGCGTTCAATCTCATCCGCGTTCGCGAAGGCGATGAGTGGAAGACTGCATTCCGCACACACCTCGGCTTGTTTGAGTATACAGTTATGCCTTTCGGTTTGACTAACGCACCCGGCACGTTCCAAGCGTACATCCAGGACACCCTGCGCGACCTGCTCGATGTCGTGTGCGTCGTGTACATTGACGACATACTGATATTCTCTCGCACGCAGGAGGAACACGACGAGCACGTCAAGCTTGTGCTCGAACGCTTGCGCGACGCCGGCCTCTTTGCGAATGCAAAGAAGTGCGAGTTCGACCGCTCTGAAGTCGAGTATCTCGGATACCTCATCGGAGCGGACGGCGTCAAGATGCACTCACGCAAGCTCGAGACCATCGCCAACTGGCCATGCCCGTCTTCAATGCGGGACATTCAGTCTTTCCTTGGTTTTACTAACTTCTATCGTCGTTTCATAGACAACTACGCACGGATTGTCGTGCCTCTCAACCGGCTCACCAAGAAGTCCGCTCGGGACACTCCGTTCGAGTTCCCGGCGGACGCCGTTGATGCATTCGAGTCCCTCAAGCGTGCATTTCTGTCAGAACCCGTCCTCCGCCATTTTGACCCCAGCCTGCCGTCCACGCTCGCCACCGATGCGTCCGACTTCGCCATTGCCGGCGTCCTCCATCAACCCGACGCAGACGGTCTCCTCCACCCCGTCGCATTCTTCTCCCGTAAGCTGTCACCCGCAGAGATCAACTACGAGGTGTACGACAAGGAGCTCCTCGCTGTGGTGGAGTCGTTCCGTGACATGCGCGCGTGGCTCATCGGCACCGACACGCCCGTCTCTGTCGTGTCCGACCACAAAAATCTTGAGTATTTCATGTCCTCTCGAGTCTTGAACCGCCGCCAAGCGCGGTGGTCTATGTTTCTCTCAGAGTTCAATTTCGTTCTGTCGTACTCACCCGGTTTGAAGAACCCCGCAGACGCACCCTCTCGGCGGGCGGACTTCGCGCCTCGAGAGGGGGATGACGTCCTGCACGAGAACCGCAAGGTTTTGCTGACACCTGCGCACACAGCCCCTCTATTCACACAAGATGCTTCGTCCGCACGCAAGCCGATCCAAGTCGCCGCCGTCACAGCACTCGCCGCTGACCACACCGCATTTCAAGAGCGTTACAAGGCCGCTATCCGCGCGGACCACTGGCCACGAGTAGTCGCGCTTGACAGACGTGAGTGTGCGTCTGCGACCAGGGTGTCCTGCGGGAGGAGAGTCGTGCCGAAGGCGAAGAATGTCAGCGCGCTGTAAACAGGCTGAGACACCGCTGCTCAAACCGTTACGCCAAAAGGCAGTTTAACTGAAAGGTTATACTCTCAGCTAACGCGGTGTATATATGCACTACCGGCATATCTGTGCTAAGCCTACAGCCAGGCTTACACTCTCACCCACTTTAGGAACTTAGTCCCACCCCCGGTGCAACCGGCGCTAAGGGGTCCCCAGGGTTTCCCTGTAAGTGAGAGTGCTATACACTGCCCCAAGGGAACGACCCCTTGAAACTTGCCCCCAGCCAGGATTGAACTCCTGACCTGCAAGCCTAAACCTTTCAGTTAGTGTAAACAGGCTGAGACACCGCTGCTCAAACCGTTACGCCAAAAGGCAGTTTAACTGAAAGGTTATACTCTCAGCTAACGCGGTGTATATATGCACTACCGGCATATCTGTGCTAAGCCTACAGCCAGGCTTACACGCGCAGAGGAAGAGGAATGAAGAGGAGGCCGTCATGGAAGATAAGGTCATCCTGGACGGCAAATGCTGGGTCCTTGCGCCGAACAGCGTCGCGCCACTCTGTATTGCGACCTACGTTCGCAAGTACGTCGCTGCATGCGACGTCTGCGGTAGGATCAAGACACCTCGCCACAAGCCCTTTGGCCTCCTCCAACCCCTCGACATCCCTCTCCGGCCATGGCAAGCGCTGACGATGGACTTCATTGTCAAGCTGCCTCGTTCACATGGGTACGACTCGATATGGGTCGTGTGCGATCGCTTGACGCGATACGCACATTTTGTACCCTGCAACGAGACGCTCGACGCGCCCGGCCTGGCCTGGCTCTTCCTCGACCGCATTGTACGCTACCACGGCATCCCTGACTCGATCATCTCCGACCGCGGCTCGACGTTCGTCTCGCAGTTCTGGCGCGAACTTGCCCGGCACCTGCAGACTGAACTCAAGCACTCGACCGCCTATCACCCTCAGACGGACGGCCTCACCGAACGCACGAACCAGACGCTCGAGACCTACCTGCGTGCGTACGTTTCGTACCAGCAGGACGACTGGGTCGACTACCTTCCTCTTGCCGAGTTCGCGTTCAACAACGCCGTCAACCTCTCCACCAATCAGTCCCCATTCTACGCCAACTACGGCTTCCACCCCAGCTTTGAACCTCGCCTTGCCGACCCCGTCTCCGTCCCTGGCGCTGCTGATCTCGCAACACGACTTAGCCGTCTTCATGACGAGCTGCGTGCCGAGTTGAAGCATGCCCAGGAGCGCCAGGCTCGCAACTACAACAGGCGCGTTTCGGATGCGCCCGTCTACAACCCCGGCGACCTCGTCTGGCTGCTTCGCCGCAACATCAAGACCACCCGTCCCTCCGACAAACTCGACCACCGCCGTCTTGGCCCCTTCCCTATCCATTCCCAACTCTCCCCACTCGTCTACAAACTCTCGCTCCCTTCCTATCTCTCTCGCCTCCACCCCGTCTTCCATGTTTCCCTTCTTGAACCCTACCACTCTTCGCCTGAATTCCACACTCCTTCTGCTCCAGTTCCTTTCGGTCTCGACACCTCCGACTCTACCCCACTCGCCCTCAAGGCCATCCTCGACTCTCGGAAGCTCGGCCAGCGCTACGAGTACCTCGTAAGCTGGCAAGGCCTCTCCGAAGACGAAAACGCCTGGATTCCCCTTTCCGACTTCCCCACTACTTCCAACGAGCTCCTCGAGCGCTTCCATCGCCGCCACCCTCGCGCTCCTCGACCTCCGCACGCTTTATTCAACTCAACTGCACATTCTATTTCGCCGACTACTGATACTTACATTCCTTCGCAGCCTGCCTCGTCTACTCCGCCCGTCGCTCCCTCATCCGCTCCGCCCGTCCCCTCCTCGTCGCACCCTGCCGCATCCGCCGTCCCACACGCCGCTCCACGCCCGCGCTCTCCGCCGCCCGTCCGCGAAGACCCTCGCGTGTTCTACACGCCGCCGACGCAGACCACACTCCGCTCGGGGCGTGTGTCTCGTCCGCCGCCTCTTCCCGACGCGTGATGCTCGGGTGTTGAGACCGAGATCACACCTGCGTCGCGACGAGGTCGTGCGCTGTCGTACGCGGTGTCGCCGGTCTTCAGCCGGGTACCGTGCGCTCAGTGTCGCGCCGCGCGCGTCGAGTCTCGAGGCCGCCAGCCACTAGCTGGGGATCGCGCTCGCATGCGTCGCGCCCTCCCTTGAGGAGGAGGTAGTGTAACGGCGCGCTCGCGCGTTACACGAGTCCTCGGGTTTGGGCCTTCGGGCCACGGTCATTCTAGATAGTAACGGCTCGTATTAGATTACATAAGCTTTCCCTTTTCGTACATTATATCGCTCGTCCGTTCTTCGCTCTTCAGCCACCATCGGGAGCCATGCAGCTCGCCCTTCCGTACACTCCCGGACTCCGTAGCTACCCGCCTCGCGCCCAGCTTGTAACTCTCCGTCTGACCAACACCAGTACCCGCTGGCTTACCACTCTCTCGCTCGCCGCCTGTGCTCGCCTCGCCCGCCCTGCTTGCCCGCCGGCCGTTACACCAGGTTCGAGCGTAGCAGACTCGAGCATCCGAGGCTTGAACGCTACCACCATCTTCTGCGCTTTCGAGCTCTTGGACACAGCCTAGTGCTCGATATGCGACCTACACCACGCCTTCTCCGAGCCGCCGCGGCGGTTGCGCAGCGGCAGAACAGCGTCAGCTTCATTGGGCTCGGGCGGATGGGCTCTGAGATGGCGTACAACCTCTTCGCGAGAACCTTGGTCGAGAGTAATGGCGGAGCACGGTTCGTCGTCTGTGATGCAAGGGAAGCGGTCGCCGAAGGATTTGTGAAAAACTTCGTGACGCAGTTCCCGGGAGCACAGGTTCAAATCGCGAGTACCCCTGCGCAGTGCGTATCGTTCCTCGTTTAAGCACTATTAGCCGGGAGTTGACGTCTTCTCTCCACAGAGCCTTGCATGCATCGCGCACAGTCGTGACCATGCTTCCGTCCTCCCCACACGTGCGGAATGTGTATGTCGAAGAAGACGGCATCATCTCAGCGCTGCGTGCGCTCCCGCCCGAGATTGCACAGTCCACTCTGTGTATCGACTCGACCACTCTCGACGTGGAGGTTGCCCGCGATGTTGCAGCGGAGGTCGAGCGTGCGGGTGCGGCCATCGTCGACGCCCCCGTTTCCGGCGGTGTAACGGGAGCAAGGGCCGCGACGCTCAGTTTCCTCGTGGGCGGACCCGAGAAGGCGTTCAAGGTCGCGTACCCACATCTGCTGAACATGGGCAAGAACGTCATCTACTGCGGGGACTCCGGCGCGGGGCTCGTGGCGAAGATCTGCAACAACCTCATTCTCGGGGTGCAGCAGATCGTCGTCGCCGAGGGGATGCTTCTTGGCCAGAGGCTGGGGCTGGATCCGAAGGTTCTGGCTAGCGTCATCAACAGCTCGACTGGAGCATGCTGGGCCTCGTCTGTCAACAACCCCGCTCCGTCCGCGCTGCCGGATAAGTCACCTCCGTGCGAGCGTGACTACGAGGGCGGGTTCGCCACCAGCCTCATGTTGAAGGTGTGTTTCACCGCGCCAGTCTTGTCTCAGCGCTCATCTAGAACTACACAGGATATGGGATTGGCGACGGACCTTGCAGAGTCTACAGGGATCCCGCTACCGCTAGGAAACGCGGCGGAGAAGATCTATGCGGACGTGGTGAGCGAGGACCCAGAGCTGGCGAACAAGGACTTTTCATCTGTGTACCGATATCTGCGGGTGTCGAAGCATATCTAGCGTAGCACCGCGCGCACCATGTACAGTAGCATATAGGACGGATGGACGGAGTGTGTGGACAAGTGTGTGTGCACCGGTCGGGCCGTGCTCCATAGCGGGCGCCTAAGACGGTGAGGCTGAAGGAGGGCCCGCGGCGGTGATGCAGGAAATTGTCCGGCTCATAGCTCTCTCTCCTCCATTTCCATCTCCTCCATCTGCGCCTCTCGCCGTCCTCGACCTCCTCCTCGCCGTCGTCCACAGCGAGCAGCCGCCTCGTTGACCGAGAACCCGCAATCCGCCCGTCCAGATCCGGTATAGCCACAGACCAGGCCGCTCGCTAAGTACACGCTGGGACCGACCGCCTCTATACATCATCGCGCTTCTCCCAAATCGCCCTTGATCTCCCCGTCCTCCTCCTCCCCCCGGATCCCCCACCGCTCGCCCGCCCTGCACACCCGCGCTTTCGATGTCTAAGAAGCCCAACGCAATCATCTTTGGTGCGCTTCCGTGCCGCACACCTGTCTCTTTCTCGCCTGCTGATCGTAGACGCGCATCCGTCCTTGTCTCCTTCCAGGCGGCCTGAACACCTGCTCGCGGACCCTCGCAAACCTCCTCGTCCCCGCAGACGGCAGCGAACGGCTCGTCGAGGTGCGTGTTCCCTCATTCGTTCTAGCCGCGCCGATCCCAATCGTTGTTCGGCCGTCCAGCACCTCCGGATTGTGGACAAGTATTCCGTTGCGCCTGCCACTACGTAAGGTTCGATCTTACTCCCGTGTGGTCTGTCATGCTCAAACGGGCTACCGCGCTGCGCCAGATACCTCGGCTCTGTGTTCCCCGTCGTCCTCAAGCAGCCGGATGTCGAGTACCGCCAGGCGAATCTGACCGTAGCGGGTGCGTACCACGAATCCGCATGTCTCACTTGACGGGTGCATGGCCTGATCGGATTACAGCGACGGTCGCGTCTTGTTTCGAGCCACCACAAGGGCAGGATCCCTACGACTACGTGTTCGACTTCACCGGGGAGATTCAGTGGGATCGGTCGGAAGCAGTACGTGCCATCTTCCTCGCCGTGTCGGCCGGATCGACTGAGCCTGCATCTCCCTTCCTTTCCCCGCAGGTACAAATCACGCACACGTTCAAGATCGCACGGCTCGTTGGTCTCGAGGCTGCGCGGAGAAAGGTCAAGGCGTACGTCCGGATACAGCACCCGTTCTACAACTGCAAGGAGAGCGGCTCGCACGATGAGAAGGAGGAAGTGAAACCCGAGGGTGTCATGGGAACGTGGTGGCACGAAACCCTTCGCGCTTTGGGTGCGATTCCAGAGTAGGCAATCCTATAACTATATCTGCGACAGGAGGTGCTGATTACTGAATTTTGCACCTTGCAGTCTCAACCTTGTCATTGTGCGGACAGCTATCCCGTACGGCCCTTACGTCAACTATGCCGGTATGTTCGCTGGCCTTTATCGTTGGCGTTTGTATACTCATTTCCTGAAGCAGCTGTAATCCCGTTCATTGCTGTGGCCGCATGCTACGGATACCTCAAACAGCCTATGAAAGCAGTGTAAGCCTCACGACTGCTATTGGCCCAGTGGATGTGAACTAACGGTTCTTCTCAGAAATTCTCCCGGAAAGTACCCGTCACACACCGTGCATGTCGATGACATCGCAGGCGCTATGTGGGCATGCGCGCAGTGGATGGCCAAGATCGGGCGGCAGGAAGCTGACTCGATCGCCGGCGAAGAGATTCCTTTCAAGAACGAGAAGAGCAAGGTCAGCGAGGTAGAGGGCATGATCCCACACAGCCAGAAAGTCATTGCGCCCCTCTTCAACGTCGTAAGCTTTCTCCCCAGCGCTCCGCATACCGAGTATATGCTGATTTGTATCACAGGAGGATGATTCGAAGGTGTCACTCGTTGAGATGGGTAACATCATCGCGTCGTATTTCGGCACGACGTTCGACTTCCACAACTTTGTCACGAATATCGCAGCAAAGGTATGTCTAACTCTCCCCGTATATGTATTGCGAAAAGCGCCGACCACGACCGCACCCAGTTCCGGCTGGAGGACGTGATCGAGGACATCAACGAGGTGCACGTCACGACATGGACGAAGATGATCACGACGTCGAACCCGCCCGTGCCGAACACGCAGTTCTCGTCGTACATGGACGTGTACCACATGCGCAAGCGCGTGATCGCGTTCAGCGCGGACAAGCTCAAGAACGTCGTCGGCTACCAGCTCCAGCGGCCACAGTTCAACCACGAGTCCATCGGCGACATGGTCCAGAAACTCAAGGCCGAGCACAGCTGGCCAAACAACGACGCCCCCTGACCGGCGCGCGCCGCGCGGTGAGGGGCATGGATGGAATGTAAAACCGGGATTGTTCTAATGATGTGTTATGAATGAGTTATGTGCGCAGCTGCCCCGCTCTCCTCTCTCCTTTCTGTTCTTTTCCGTTAACCACTACGTACCCGTTTCGTCCCATACCCGTACTGCCTGCGCTGGCTTTGGTTCCTGCACTCTAGCGCGCTAATGCCTTTTCGCATAATACTATCACGCCCTGTTGTTCCAACGCCAGGATCGGTCTTGCTGCTGTCGCTTTGCTGCTCAAGCTATTCGGAGGTGGTACTACGTACGTCATGATCACGAGCTTGCATGTAATTTCGGAAGACGATGAAAACATAAATACGAATGTGCAACACCAGCTACGCTATGCTATGGTCGGGGCGCGTCATGAGCTGGGAACGGGTGCGGGCTGCGATGCGGGAGGCTCGGCGGGCTGTGGCGGGGGCGTGGGGACGATGTCGTCCAAGAAGCCAGGCAAGAACCGCTCGATGCGCTCGTGCGTCGCTGCCCATACGGACGCCTGTCGCTCGTTGCGCACATCCTCAGGCGAGGTCGGCGGCACCAGCAGCCCAGTCGCGTTCATCACGAGCAACACGTTTTTCAAGGACTCCGGCACGGCCTCGTACTGCGATAGAAAATTAGCAACAGAGTCACAACGAAGGCGGGGGCATGACGTACCAGTTGGTCACGGCGATCAACGTGCATCAACCTGTCGAGCAAGTCGAGCACCTGGATCCACAGGACCCGGATGTCGGCCGTCTGGCCCTCACGCGCCTCGAACTGCATGAACGCCTTGCAGAGGAGCGCGGACGCACGCAGGCGCGTCTCGGGCAGGCCCATCGGGTCACGCATGAGCGTTTGCGGCTTGAGCAGTTCGTCCAAGAGCGGAAAGAGGACGCGATTGAAGACGTCTTCGATCTGTCCGTGGTTGGTCTCGTCTATAGGAAGATGAGGGCCGAGCAGGATGCGCTGCAGGTGCACCAAAGCGGCATGTCTGATCTCCCGGGAGGTGTTGGACGACTGGCGAGCGAGCGAAGTCAGGAGCGGTAGGCCGAACTGTCTCCAGACTATACGGAGTCAGTTATCATGAATCTGTTGCAAATAAGTGCACCTACTGTGGTTCTTGTTCAAGCCCGCGGTCTCCGAGAAATGCGCCCAGAACTTCTTCAGATCTGCAACCATGTCGATTGCTTTCCGGCCTCGCTCCACAATAGGAGAGCTGAAATATCATAAGAGACGGCAATGCAGCACGATGAAAGGGACAACTCACTTCGCAGCGGTCAACGATTGGGTGCGCCGGCCTTGCTGTTGCGCGTCGACCGCAATCCCCGCAACAGTCGCGAACTCGTCCAAGGCGTTCACCAAACCCGTGAAGTTGTCTGGAGTGACGAGTTGCTGGGTGGTGTCGGTAGCGATGCTCGCCAAGATGTCAAACGACTGCCTCGCAGCTTCGGGATGCGAGATAGTTGAGCGCAGAAGCGCAAACACTACGTTCCACTCTGTTTGTGAGTGGACGATGGCCCGGTGCTGCTGTAAGATGAGGGTGAGGCCTGCGACGACCTGTTCGGCCACCAGACTGGCCACTGCAGGGGGGAGTCGTGCAAGGAGGTCGAATGAGAGATAGATCTGGTCTCGGAGTGTATGCTACCCATCCTTCAGCGCGAGGAGCATTGTACTGGTCAATCTGGAACTCACACGTTCGGCTAGGATCAAGCACAACCTCAAGAGTGCGACGACTGCACGCTCAATCAGGAGGATGCTGTATTGTGCCGGGGTGGACAGGAGGGCGGAGAGATGCTCGAATACGATAGGCCTGCAGGGATCAGTTTAACCCATGCACAACAGTCTCCCTGACGTGGTACTCACCAGACATCTTCGATGTGTTGAGGTGTCTGACGCGCAATGCTGACCATGGTCTCCAGCAAGAATACTGACGCCGGGTCATACGGTAGTGTATATGGCGAGCCTGGAGCTGCGCCAGCGGCCGAGACATCATCCGACTCCAACTTCAACCTTGCGACCGTGCGTTCATGAGCGAGAGCCTCCAAAGCGCGAACCGAGGCGACTAGAGCTTCAGGCTCAAGCTGCCTGTCGTGGGACGTGAGCGAAGCGTTTGACGGCTTCAGAAAGAAACGTACATGATCTGTGAATACAGCTCGTCCAATCGACATGTCGAGATGCAGTCGATGGTACAGAGCGTATTCTCCACGTCTGCATCTGTTGCGTCCGGTACAAGCGCATCAGAGCTGGTGGCATAGGGCGTCATCAAGTACGAGGACAAGGCAGACAGAAGGCCGTCAGATCGGGGCTGCACCCGAGTAGGCTGGCTCCGCCGCAGGGGAATGGTCGAAGTGCCCCCCAAAAAGTCCTCCATCTGGAGCATACGTGATGGCAACAGAGAGTGCAAGAAGAGCGTTTGGAACATCTCAAAGATCTGTGGAAGTTTAGTTGCTGCATCCGACAGGCTGTAACTACAAACGTACTTGTGTCCATCCCTCGCGCAGCGCATTCGCGTTACCGTTGACGATGTTGAACAGCACAACGGCAGCAAGTTGACCCTTGAAGTTGGTCCCGAACTTGACGGAAAGCGACGAAACGGTGACGGGCTGTCCGTCCACGTCCAGCACAGGATAATTCGGCACTTGCGTTGGTTGAGCGTCGGACAGAAGAGATGTCGCCTGGGACAAGGAGACCACAACGAAGTCAAAGACATCAGGCATGTCGAAGTGACGTGCAAGGGTAGCACACTGCCGGAACCCAGTGATCGCCCGCTCGATGATGTAGTCGTCGTCGAATGTGATGAACGCATAGGCGATGGCGGATACGACGGTACGCCAGACAGCCTTGAACATGTCTCCGTCAAACAGAGCTGTGTTGCACATCAAGAAGTCGCCTGCAAAGTAATGCATTGAGAGCCGTATTCGCCTTGTGAGCGTGGTACGCACCTGATTGTCGTGTACGGGCTAGTAGCTCCTTCCACGCGTACTCAAAGCCAAGTTGCCCCGTGTGCTCTTCGGGCATGACTATTTCTTGTTTCCGGATCGAGTCATAGATGTTTTGCTGTAATGATGTGAATAGCGGAACCAGATGACGGAAACCAAGCAACGCACCAGATAGTCCATGGCGAAATCCGAGCCATCGTTTACGCCCTTCAAGTTGCGCATATAGTCCTCCAAGGTCATCCGTTTCTGCTTGCCCATCAGCATTGCATTCATAGCATATACGCAGCCGGTGACTTACCCGCACTTGCAGACTGTGCTGGTCCGTGTTGAGCATGATGATCGAGTATGTCAGGACATAAATTGCATCCTGAGACTTGACGCCCTCTGATTCGCGGTGAGCAAATACCAGAAATGAGAGTAACGTTTAACGGACCAGGCTCAGTGGCAAAGTACACCTCAGCGAAGGTCTCCGCGATCCGGTTAATCTGTTGAGACTCTCCAGGTAGACGGAAGCTCTCCAGCAACTCCCTCAATGCCTCCACGGCAGGTTTCTGTACGAGGTGAGAACCAATGGTGTAACTTTTATATCAAAAGCACCTACACCCTTGAAGTCGAAGAGTCTCAGGAACTCCTTCAGCACGTCGATGTTGTCTGGTCTCGAGATGAAGTCCCCAAGTAGCCGTTTATCGATACGCGCAGAGTTCCGCAAGAACTTAGCCAAGCTGAGAGGACGAGGCTCGTTTGGGTCGCTATAGATGAGCTTGTTCTCCTCCAAAAAGGCTAAGCCGGTCTTTGGCTTCGCGTTGAACCGCGCCGCACCGGTAAGGATGAGCCTCTTCTTTGATTTGGTGTGCCGCAGTTCGCCAGCATGTGGGAAGGCCTATGCCCATTATGAGCTACTTTAGATTCACGAAAGATCGCCGTAAAAAAATCTTACCTCAGGCCATGCTTCGGCCGCCTAAGAAGCAGTGTCAGTCGGAGGGCAAGATGAATCAAATAGTAGTGTACCGACACCTTCAGCCCTCGCAGCCATGCGTCCCACAAACGCAAGAATCAAATCCAGGCAGAGGAACTGGGAGTTCTGTAGATGATAATCGTGTCCGCCTAGGTTCTGTACCGGGTAAATGCCCTGCACGCAGAAGATGAGTACGCAGTCCAATCCGCGAAGGTAGATAGTTACCTTTGCAGAGAACTCCACCAGCCGCTCGAACATGTTCTCGCAGTTCATGTCGCAGTCATAGTTCACGTACAAGTCGACCATGAAGCTAGGGTGACGAGAGATCTGGCACAGAGTCTCCAGCAGCAGCTCACGCGTATCCCCTCGCGCAGGCGGCACTAAGAGGCGTGGCGTGGAAGGCGCCTTCTCATCCTCAAATTCCGAAGGTGGAGGCCCAAGATGAGGTGTAGAGGGCGCAGGTGTGCCAGGTCGAGGGGATCCGGTGAGCGCCTTCTGCGCCAAGGGCAAGTTCTTATTCGAGGGCGCAGGGGGAGGCGCGAGTCGGTCCATGGTAAAGGCAAGGAAGAGCTCTTGCTGGAGCTTCAGTTTGAGCCGCATAGTCTCGAACATCGTTGCAATGGTTCGTAGGGCAGTCTGAAGGACAACGGGGTGCTCTGAGCGGGCAAGTTGAAAGAGGTACTTGCAACCATGATCGAGAACGAGGGTAGAGAGGGATGGGTATGCGCATATACGCGTGCCTGCGACTTCAATGGCGACATTGAGGGTACGCAAGGCGGTAAGACGCGTCGAGTCTGTATGCGCCTGGTCATTAGGGTCGAGGATGTTGATCAAGACGCGTAACAGTTCGAGCACGGAGGGCAAACCGTCTACACAACCATGTGTGAGTACGCATCGCATAAATAAGCATTGTGTGCCACGTACATGAAGGACGGGGACCGCTTGGTGTCTCGGGAGGTTGTTCTTCAATCAATGTCGAAGCGACCTCGGGTGATTGGTGTTCACCCTCAGTAACCTGGTCTTCCGGTCCCACAGGTTCATCCGGTAATGGACCGGACGCAGACACGCTCATCTTCATCTCGGCTTCCAGATCGCCGTTGTCGGCCAGTTTCCGCTCTTCGACCTCGGGGTCGAGGTCGTATAAGCGTAGGAAGACCGTCCTTACCAGATGGTGTAGGCTTCCTTCTGCCGATCGCCGAAGTACCTCTGCGAACGAACATTAATAACTGCGGCCCTGGTGAAGGCTATACTAGACCTACCGCTAAGACGCATCTGACATGACGTAGTAAGGACAGTTTCCAACATCTCGCACACCTCGATATCCCCCAGCTTCCTCCCCACACTTCCGCACAAGGCATCCTGGATCACGGTCATGATCTTGAGCAAGGTTACCTCGTCCCCCGACGAGTCGCTAGCTTCAAACTTGCAGCTAGATAGCGCACTGCTCAGCTCTGCCAATGCGCTTTGTAGTGATGCTGCCTCAGGGTGGACGAGACCACATAGGAAGAAGTTGTGTAGGGCGGTGAGGGCAACAGAAGTGATTGGTCCGGTAGACAGCGACGAGCGAATGATAGCAAGAAACGGCGAGAGGAGAGTGCTGAGAGGCAGCGAATGTATGTCTGTTCATCCTCACAGTCAACAGCGGCTCGCGAAAGTCGGGGTAAGTCCGAACCTTCGATGTCCTTGACGAGATGTTTGAGATCCTGGAAGCCCGCCATGAGCTCCTGCCCCGTACTTCCACGCCCTGACGCGTAGGCATTGATTGCCGTTCTGTTTACCCTAAGTCCCAGGCTACTGGCCAATGTAGAGTCGCGTGAGGTGACCGAGGGCGTAGACAGAGCCCAGCGGGCGTTCTTGCGCATCACAGACGTGACCGAGAGGATCTCAGAGAGCAGAATGTGTTTTGCAGAGACCGAGAAGGCCGTCGAGCTACCGGGGCTTGCTGAGTCCATGTCGGCCAGCGAGTGAAGTGGGTGGTAGTAGCAGGACGTGAGAGAAGGAGTACCGAGCCGCCGTGCACGTATGCGAGACGTGTCGCAGCCACTCTCATTACTGCCGCTTTAGGAAGGCGGCTGTTTATTTCTAAGGCTCTTGCCAAACACACGTCACCGATCGGTAGCAGCCACCACTTGTGCACACATACGCGTGTTCGGTCCTCACAAATGCCCACACGATATTCCCAGTTCGGAGCAAGTCGGAAAGTCCAGAGCGACATCGATAGTGCACGATACAATACAATGCAAGTAGAAAACATCTTCACTGCCCCCCCGCCGCCTGCGACATTGCTGCCTGCCCCGCAGCCGTCGCAGCCAGTCTCGAACGCTTCCGTTCCGCCTCTGTGGCATACTTGTTAGACGCGTAATCAGGTATGAGAGGGAGTCGACTTACCGGCCTCCTTCTCGCGCTCGATCTCCGCGACGATGGCCTCAATTTGGGCCAGGTCGAGAGTCTGCAAGGCTGTCAGTGAGACACAGCACGAAAGAACGCGAATAGACAGACCGTGATCTTGGCATAACTCTCCATGACAGTGATCTCGATGTTCTTCGCGCCGGTCTGTACGACCTCCAGCAGACTCTTTACAGCGAGTTTGATCGTCTCCTCTCGTGACATCTCGTCTTTGTGGTTCTTCTCCAAGAACTCGCGGACGGTCTTCGAGGAACGGCCGATAGCATTGGCCTATACGGAAAAGGTTAATGAGGATGGTGCTTTACAGCTACCGTAACCCGACTTGCCTTCCACTCGCTGTAGATTCCTCCCGGCTCCGTCTGGTACAGGCGTGGCCGGGTGTCGTTGGGGTCGAAGCCAACCAGGAGAGTGGAGACACCAAATGGCCGGACGCCTCCGGATTGGGTATATTTCTACACATACATTCACTGCTGTGTTCATCATGAGGACAAAGAAGGGCGCACCTGTTGGATTCCAGCGATGTGGCGGGTGATGTATTCCACGGTGACAGGGTCCTCGACCGTTAGCCGATGGCTCTGGCACTCTATCCGCGCCTTGTCGATTAGGACGCGACCATCAGCGGTGAGGCCTAGCATAGGTGAGTAATAGTCGGTTGTGCGCACACTCGTGGATCCAACCTACCGGCAAAGGCAAGGCAGACGTGGTCGTCCAGCATGGCGACCTTCCGGACAGTACGGGGATCTTGCAGCTGCAGCACGGACTTCTTCTCCACGCCTAGTACGACAACGTCCTTGCCGCGGACGCCGACCTGCGAGAAATGTCAGGAAACAGAACGCGGACGCGCATCTACACACGACATACCGCACAGGTCCCCTTGCGTACAGCTTCCAATGCATATTCGACCTGTGGCACAAAGTTTGAGCGGGATGGGCCATAGAAGACCGCGTAATATGTTCGGTAAAGTGCGCACCTGGAACAGATGCCCATCCGGGGAGAAGACGGTAAGAGCTACAGCACTGAATCAGACGAGCTGCAAGACAGAGCAATGGCCAAGCATACCGCGATCGTAGGACCTAGACATGGTGGTGGTGTGTGAGACGCGAGAGTATACAGACGAGAGGCAGGAGGAGGCGGACCTGCATCCGACGCGCGTCGAGCTTGCGTCTCCCTGTGACGCCGCGCACGTGATTAGATCACGTCCGTACCGGACGCGACGCCGGCGCCTATATGCGCTCTCACTTCAGCTCCACCACTCACTCTGGCCAGTACGACGCGGTCGCCTCCACATCTACTGGCCGATCAAGAACGTTCAAAGATGACTTTAAGCATGAAAGGAACTCATGCAGATGAGGAGATAGAAATTCTGGCACATAATCATCCGTAGGTGGCACTAGCGCTTTCACATTCGGGCTTGTGGCTTACTATTCCTGGCAACACAGAAATAAGACGATATGCCAAATGTGCTCATTGGACTTGACATCTATGTCTGCGCACGGAAAACAGGCACATTACGACGATCATTTCGAAGAACAGCCTCAAGGTCAGCACTGCAATGCAATCCGAGCGGCTGCGGCACCGCTCATCCTTGTTCCCGTACTCCCAGCTTCCAGTTCCAGTGGGGACTCCCCTGCTAAAGCAACAAAGACATACGGCGCTGGATATACGAAGCCGGTGTCGAAATCCAAATTCAAGCCGCCTATGTTTTTCACCAAGGGCGTTTCGATCGAGGCCCAGAATGTTTTCTGGTATTCCACCCAAGCCACCGAACCTCCCCCAAATTTCAGCCCAGGTGCCTTCATATGCAGCATATGTACGATTGTCGATATTCTAACACCCTTTCGTTATCTTGTCGGACAGGTCTGATCCCTGTGCTCAAGAAAGCGCTATCAAAATCGCATGAGCGCGGCTCGACGCAAAGGGCCTGGTTAGCTTGTGAAAACGCTGTACACATCCAGGCCGAAGGATGGGACAGAATGTGGGGCTGCGGGTAAATCGACTGTACCCATGACCTTCGGCATAGCCGCTGACACCAATTTCTAGCTATCGGAACTATCTAATGGCATGTGCTGCACTCATGGCTCAACAACGTCAGCCGATGTACTTCCCACTACTGGACACGCCCACGCCGCCCGGGATACGTAATCTACAGGTGCTGCTTGAGGAGGCTTGGAAGAATAGTGAGACGCCTGATGCACGATGAAATACCTATACTGATCACTTGCCCCAGGTTTCGATGAAGAAGGAGCCGAACAACTCCATTATAAGCTCGTCGAAACAACGAAGTGGATCGGTACTGCGGGTGAGTCTCATAGTAGTTTAATTCTAGTTGTGGCACGTAGACTTACACATTGAATAGACCTCAATGTCGCATTCACATACCGGGGCATACCGTAAGTTTTACGAACCATAGAGCGCTGCGTCCAACCACTCAAGCGTATACAACAGTGCAAACTTGGCAGACTTCAGCGACTTGAAGAAGGGTCAGTCTGTATCCACGCGACTCGCCAAGCTTGGCCGCTAATACCTTGTCACAGGCGTCGACCCCCTTCTGCAATGGATTTACAACTACTTCTCCGGCGGAGACCCACAACCGAAGAGCACTACAGTCGGCGAAGCTTTGCGTGGTGCACGTCCCGTGATAGTGACGGATAAGCTGCCCATCGTTCTGCAGTATCAGGGGCACTCGCGAACGATCGTCGGATGCGAGCGGGCGAAGAATGGCTCCATAAATCTTCTCGAGTTCGATCCCTCTAAGTGAGCATTTCTTCGCTTTTCGTATGACGCATTCGCTAACGGGTCTTCGGTCGCTCAGGAGGATACCTTCCAACATCAGACAAGCCGGCTTGCGCTACCACGATCCGCAAAGATTAGGCGAAGCCGCGTCGTCCTCGTCACGGGTCCTCCACAAAGTGATGCACCCGGTGGAGACCATGAAGTCGAAGAAGCGTAAGAGCGTAGAGCGCGACGCCGCCGTCCCCAAGCGCAAGCGTCTCAGCGACCCGGGCGACGTCATCGACATATCCGACACCGAGGAGGAGAAGCCGCCGGCTGGTCCTTCTAAGGCCCCGGTGTCCCACGACGAGCCGGATTTTGGTGCCGTTCTCAAGTTCTTCCGGGTCAGTTTGAGCTCTCTAAAGTAAGTTCGGTTTACTCGACGTATGCCCAACGGCTCACCGGGCTTGCAGTAAGAAGAACAAGTACCAGATTCTGTATTTCCCGCTGGAGGAGCCGCTCACCGAACAGGAGAAACTGAGGAGGCGTATCGTGACCAGCGAGAAGGTTGCCTAGCGGATACAGTTCACTCGGGACTCTTATCATACACGGTGACAGCCTATAATCATTAGCTAAATCATACCTAGTCAGTTAGTTCCTCAGGTGAGTACCATCTCACGCAGTAATTCGAGTGTCTGTAACGAGAAAATATGAATGAACAGCTATTGCTACAAGTAAAACATCAAGGAATACGGTATGAGACATGCTGTAATGCGAGGCGGCGAAGGCGGGGAGTGGTATGAAGCTTTCTACTCTTTTCCGTGAAGTCAGCCGCGTTCGAAGTTGCGATGCACAAAGACTCACGGATCGGAGTGCTGTTTACGCGGTGGCCATCACCACATCTGCTGGTCCTTCGCTGTCGACAGCCATGGGCTCTGGAGCCTGAGGCTGCTCACCAGAGAGCGGCATGATCTCCAGCCCGGCGACCGCGAACCGCAACGCCCGGTCCCAGGCCTGCTCCACCAAGTACCCGCCAGCCCGCATGATCCCGTCCCTGTCCCGCCGGACCGCGTCACTCACCGGATCGTGATAGCTCTCGCGCATCGTGTACATGTCATCGTACGCGTACCAGTCGTCCTGCAGCGGGACATGCGGCACGTCGGGCACGACCGTGCTCTGCGCCGCGCGCGAGCGCAGCAGGCTCGCGCTGCTCTGCAGCAGGTTGAGCGCGGCCGACGACGATGCGCGGGCGGACGCACGCCGCTGCGCCTCGAGGCGGGACTTCGCGACGAGCCGCACCGCGTCCTTGTCGCTCGTCTCGAGCTTGTCGATGATCGCCTGCCGGCCCTTCTCCTTCTCCTCGCGCTCCTCCTCTTCGATCCGCCGGAGCTCTTGCGCGCGCTGCTCGCGCTCCTGCCGCTCCATCTCCTCCTGCTCTTGGAGGTAGCGGGCGTACTCTTCTTCGCGTTTTGCGTTGAGCTCGATGAGGGCGGCGTTGTCTCGCCGGTACTGTCTTATTCGCTCCTCTGTCTCTGGGACGTCGATGTCGTTGATCAGGTTGAATGCTGAGGAAATGAGTTAGCTTCATTGTCCATGTATATGCTAAGCGTAAGCTTACTGATATCTTCCACCATTTCTAGATAGTCGTTATAGGACCGCAGGTCTGGAAAGTCTTCCCTGCGCTTGTTGAACCTGTAGGACGTTAGGGCAATGAAGGAACCTGATGTTTTCTGCGTACTCTTTTGCTATCCTTCGCCGGACGGCGACTTCTTTTTCGACGCCCAGATCCTCAAACGTCTGAGGGGTGAAGGCTAGTTTTCGAAGAATCTTAGCGCAGATGGGACATGGCGCAGGTCCTAGCGTGAACAACCGGTCTATACACGACTCGCACCTGGAAAATTGGTGATCAGTTCAGCATTTACGATACTAACATACACGGCATACATCTTGTGATAGCACGCGCTGACCAGCAAGCGCAGCTTGGGGTTCAAGTATCGGTCTGACTTGCACACAGGGCATTGGTCATCCATAGACTATAGTGCGCGTTAGATGGAGTTCCAACGACACATAGCATTCTCATTGCATACGAAGTACTCGCTAGTCCGGCCAGACGGGTCCTTCACCCCTCCGCCAAATATCGTGGTCGACGTGCTTTGTACGACATGAGGCGTGGTATTACGCGTAGTGGATGCCGTGGAAGGCCCCGACTTGCGGATCGTGGTGCCACGCAGCCAGCTGTTTCGTTGAGCCATGCTGTCAAAGATATAGTGTATGTGGCCAAGCCAACGAGTGCAGCTGGAGGAAGTCTGACTGAGTTCTGCGGACGTGCTGGGATGGTCTCAGGAATCAAGAGCGCGACTGTGGCGCCGGCAGCTTCAAAGCACGCGGCATAAATAGACGCCCTCTCGGCATCTAAACAGGCAAACAGGCGCTTGTGCCTGGCATCCTCCGAGTGCGGCGGGTCCGCCAAGGTCCGCCACTTCCGCGAACGCGGTGCTCTTGACGTTGTATTCGTTCATATCGGCAACGCTCGTACGCGAAACTACCGCGAGAGAACGTGGTGAATGTGCATTGAAAGCACCACCCGCTTGCTGGAGTCCACAGAGAATATGGACCCGGCACATACTACAGGAACTGTACAAACCCCCTGATCGCGGAAGGTGAGCCTTGGCTGTCTCACTGAGCCCTGCTTGCACAACATAATGGTCTAGTAATCTGTACTCCGCCGACCAAAGACAATCGAAGGCGCCGCGCCCACCGCTGAATTTGTCTCGGGGACTTAGCAGATGAAGATGAGTAATCTTGGCTCTCGCTAAAGACGGACAGGGTCCCAACAAACTCTATTATGGGGGCCAAGTGCGGCTTGGGTAGAGTATAACGGCGGTAAGAGGACGGGAAGGTAGGCGAATAGCGGATCGTTCCTGGTGTGCGCCGGCGAAAACGTGCCCGCGCCTTCCACTATTCGAAAGGCCGTGGGCATAGGGTGGCAGGATCGGCGCACGGATATGAAAGGCGCCACACTTCCGTCCGAATGCTTGGCATCATCGTCCGTAATGGCGAGTGGTAAAAGCGCGACTTTTGCGGGCTTCTGCGGGCTGTCGACGGCAGCAGTAGTAGCATAGGAGGCCGGTGGAGACGCCTTCGTACGCGTACTTGGCGTACGGCGATCGCCGTTCGGGCGTCCTAAGATGCTATCTAGAGGGACGTAGCGGTCAGTCTAGCTCGACAGCCCAAGGACCCAAGGACAGCAAAACTCACGCATGCCGTCGTGCCCTAGGCGTGTGTTTGGCAGGCAGGTGAGACTGCTTGCGAGGCTCCCCTCATCGTTGAGGCGGAAGCGGGGCCCATTGGATCTTCTCGGAGACATGGGCAGGAGCGGGCTGTTGCTGCGTAAGTTTGAGCATTCTGGCATGCTACCTGCATAGGATAGTAAGAGAGGCACTCACTGGAGAAGGTGTCCTCGAGGTGGACGAAATGCCGTAGGGACCATGCATCCGCCGAGGCACCCGCTCATCCGGGCTGTGACTGTAGTTCTCCACCCTGCGTCTACGCCGCTTCTGCCGCCACTTGATGAGCAGTATCGAGCCAGCAACAAGGCTTATTAGGACCGCTGGGAAGGGACGGAAGAGGGAGAGAAGGTAAGAACGCGCGGACCATGCCTGGAGAGGGCGCCAGGACGCACCCAAAGTCGCAGCAACCGCGACGACCCATGGCTCCGTCAAATGTCCGTCAGGACCGGTGTCCTCCTCGGTACCGACTCTGCAGCGTGGTGATTTCATTGAGAGGACGCGCTTAGGACAAACATAACGTTGAGCACTCACTCCTCGGCACGGCTGCGCAACGCCCTCGCGTCCGCAGAAGCAACGACGGCACAGATAGCCAGCACGCAGCGCAACACAAACGGCATCGATAACCAGCAGTGCTCCGGGTCTGTCAGGGTCGAAAGCGTTCGTGAGGCAGACAAGAGCGAAGAGAAGCGTTGGTGGTAGAGAGCAGCACGGCAAGAATAGCACAGCGCGCCTCGGGCAGCAGGTTTAATACTCCTGCGGGCATCCGGAAGCCCTCCTTGGGCCTTGGCAGCGGAGAGCTTTATGTTCTTGAGCAGAGCGCGGTGCGGTTCCCATGCCCGCCAAGGGCCTCGGGGTGAGCGGAAGGAGCGCCTTGGCAGGCCAAGCCATCCGTGCTCCGAGCATCCGGTTCGTGCGCCAGGCCCGCCGAGCGACCTCCCGATCGTGCCGTGCGCAGCCGCGAGCATAGTCTTGCATGATATCGCGTTGGTCTGATTCGGTGAAATGTTGTAAGCCAGGTTCGGAGCTGCAGCACGCCGACCGAGCGCGCTCGCCCCTCTTGGAAGTTGGGACCAGATATTGCAGAGACACAGGGGCAATCCATGAGGCGCTTGTCTCCGCGGCTTGTTGAACCTGGCTGCACCGAAGGGTGCCGACTCGCCGTTTGCACGGCGTGATGATGCTATGGGATCTGAGAAGGCTGAGAGGGAGAACTTTTCTTACAGTTTGTATGGACGGCGACACACGGTGACACTGCACCGTCGGATGACGGCGTTTCGACAAGGTTCGATTCGACCGCCGCAGCAAACCTAGACGTCCGGGTAGGTGCGCGGTTATGTTTGCGAGTTTCAGGACAAAAATGTGGACGCACTGGGAATTGAACCCAGCACCCCCCGCAACAGATCCAAACGGATGCTAAGCGGATGTGATAACCAACTACACCATGCGCCCTTGTAACTAGTGTTCCGTGACAGTCCGAGATCGGCAGCCTCAATCAGTAAGAACGGCGACGCACGCGAGACACCTGTGCAGCTGACTCCGAGTTTGCTCCGAGTCGGACGCATTCGCGAATTCGTCACGAACGGTCTTCGCGTCGTCATTAGAGCAAACGCACAGTTTTGGTAGGCAAGCTAAGGTACATCGTAAGGAACACGGGCCTGTGTCAAAGGAATAAAACAACTGATTCTCAGCGCTTACAGACTTCTCAAACCTCCAACTCAAACAGTCCAGTACTTTAGAGCATAAATTGGTGGGAACTATGTTCGTGGCAACTGCACGTAGCCAAGCTCGACGGGCAACAGGCTTGTCTTCCGCCCAAATCCTCCAGAGGAACTTCAGCCAGTCATCCGCGCGTATGGCCGCTGCATCCTTTGTCCAGCAAGGCAAGAAGGTACATTGGAGACGTCGCCGTGTACAACTTGGCGCTGTGACCAACTGATCGCTGTACCTTCGAAGATCGTGGCCATTGGCCGCAACTACAGCGAGCACGCGAAGGAGCTGAACAATGCGGTCCCGAAGGAGCCCATCATTTTCCTGAAGCCCACGACGAGCTACCTCCCGTCGGGCGGAAACATGGAGATCCCCAAGGGGGTCGTTGCTCACTACGAAGGTGCACATTCTTCCCCATCTGCTTCCATATGGGTTTTGCTAAGATCACATAAAGTTGAGCTCGGCGTCGTCGTCGGCAAGCGCGGCCGTGAAATTCCCGAGAGCGAGGCCGAGTCCTACGTTGCTGGATATGGTGATACGCCCGGATTCTGCGCATCATGGCGATTGCTCACCCGCTACGCCCAGCCCTTGCCGTGGACATGACCGCACGTAACCTCCAGGAGGAGGTCAAGTCGAAGCGGCTGCCCTGGACCGTTGCGAAGGGCTTTGACACCTTCACTCCCATTAGGCATGTAATTTCCGACCGGCTTCTAGTCTGCCAAGCCCTGACGAACTACATAATATCAGCTCCTACATTCCCAAGGAGCAGGTCGCCGATTCCGCCAACCTCGCGCTCACGCTCAAGGTCGGGCATCATTTACGGATCGCAACCGTTTCTTGGCTAATAATGGTACCTGGCGTAGGTGAACGGCGCGACCAAGCAGGACGGGAACACCAAGGACATGATCTTCCCGATCCCCCGCCTCATCCACCACATCTCAACCATCATGACGCTAGAGGTACGACCGCTATATCTCCACATGCCTGCCTACTGACGGTGCTTTGCAGGAGGGCGACCTGATCCTCACCGGCACGCCGTCGGGCGTTGGTCCCATCGTCCCCGGAGACAAGGTCGAGTGCACGCTCAAGAATAGCACCGGGAAGCAGCTCGCCACGCTCGACTTCAACGCCGTCCAGCGCGAGGCCGGGTACCACTACAAGCCCGAGTAAGACGCAGACGTAAACGTCTAAATGTGTTTGGTGGACATCAATACACTACTGGTACTAGGGACAGGCATTGTGCGGGAGACAGCGATCTAAACCACAGCACTGACACTGGCTATACAACACTGGTCGTGGGCGAAGCGTACATGTGCGTTGTATGTGTGTCTACGCAGTCCGTTCGTCGTGCTCGCGGCCTGCGGTGCCCGCGTCGGGCGCTCGTCGGTCCGCGAAGTTGTCGTCGAAGGAGCCCGTGCTCGACGCGCTCGTGAAGCTCCAGCTATCCGCACCGGTAGGCGTGAGCGTCCCTTCGGCCTCGAAGGACCCGGAGCCCGCGCTCTGGAAGTCTCCGAAATCTCCGAACGACTCGAAGGAGCTGTCTTCCATGAACTCTTCCGTGACGGCGGTTGCAGTGGCGGTGGACGGGAAGTTGAACGGATCTGAGCCACTCGCTGCCGCCGTATCAGAGAAAGGTCCGAAGGCGTCCTACGAGCGGATCTGTCAGCGAGCGGCCTCGTCAAAGGAAGCCGTAACCTACATCCTCAAAAGGGTCCTGGTGTGATGTAAAATGTGAGGAGCCGGCAGGTGCAAAGGAATCCTGTAACGCGTGTCGTTAGACATGGTCGGAGGTCTCTGCGTGTTTCAGTACCTCAAACCCTGTGGAACTCAACGGCCTCCGTCCATTGTCATGTGCGCGTGCAGTTACAGGAGGAGGACGCAGCTCGAAAGTCGACTGCGCCAGCCACCCGCCCTCATCTTCCTCGTCGGACGCCTCGTCTGAAGAACCCAGGTGATCGGAGGACTGCATCTCCTGCACCAGATAATTTGCAAACTGCTCTCACACCTCAGTACCCCGCAAACGAATCACGCGCGCAAGGAAAAAGACGCACCCTCGGTGGCGCGGAGCTGAACTCCTCATCCTCCTCGTCCATCGGCATCGCGCCGAAGTCCGCACTGCCCTCGCGCGTCGCGCGCCCCATTCGACGGAATTCGCCTTTCATCTCCGTTGGGGGCGGCCGCTGTTCGTCACGGCCGGACCCAGACGCACCAATGGTGTCCGCCTCATCGACCTTCCATTGTGCCGCGCCTGCATTTCGCATCGACGGCGCGATCACAGGCTTGCCGCCGCCGAGTAGGATCATATCCTTCTTCTTGGTCTCCTTGTAGCGGCCGGTGACATACTCGTCCCACTCTGGCTGTGGCGCGTACTGGGCGATCTGGAGGCGCAGATCCGGTGGGAGGTGCTCGAGCGCGTTGATGACGTCCTCAGAAATGAGGGTAAGGTGTCCCATGTAGCCGAGGCGGACGCCTTTAGGTTTCGAGCTATAGGAGCATCCTTAGCAGACGTAGGCCAAAACATTGGAGTATACGAACCTCTCGATATCGTTCCGTATTGACCCCTCGATAATCCGATGCATGAGCCTCGCGTCGCGGAACAGGGCTACAGTAAGCTCCCTATTGTAGCCGCCGTCTACCCTCCCAGTGAGAATCTGGTGGATGAAATCATAGACCACGCTATGCAGGAAGTTGTTCCATGGGAAGTCGTAGAACAGATCCTGAACAGAACGTCAGCTAGCCTCTCCGATATTGACCCAAGCGAACTCACAAGCAATGTCGAGACGACGTTAGCTTCCAGGAACCGCTGCTTGAGTCGCTCGCCAAGTACTGGGCGCCCAGCCAGTGTGTCCCGTGTGGATCGTCGCGTACTACGGCGCGAGCTAGCCGAACGGGGCCTTGACACCGGTCCCTCGGTGTCGGAGCTCCACGAGTTCTGTCGGTGGTGTGGCTGGGGGAACGCGGCGATGTCGGAGGGGGAGGTGGATGGCGAGGGGGCGGACGCCGACGGGGACGCCGCAGGGGAGTCCGCCACGGATGATGGTGGCTCGGACGGCGCGGGACTTGTTTCTGGCACAGGCGAGTCGTACATGGCGATCTCCTCCATAGCGTCGTCGTCCGAGCTTCCCGGCTCGTCGCCGCTCATGTCGTCATCTGAATCGGTGAGGTTCGAGGACGGCGCATGCGAGACGGGGAACTCGTGCGCGGACTCGACCTCATCGGTCTCGTCATCGTCCATCCCGTCATTGTCCCCGCTCCCGTTCCCTATGGCGATGACTTGCGCCAATTCTTCCAATGCGGACAGACCGCCTTGTAACCTGCCCTCTGCGTCGTACAGATGGTCGAATTCGGGGGCGCGATTTAGCAGCGACATATTTGAGCAATGAAGCAGCTCGGCATAAAGCTCGCATATTCGATACCGTTCGAATGTTAGAGGTGGTAGCGAACCGACGGTAGTCAGAACGGGCCCATCCTAGTATTCGGAGTGAGCACAATACTGATTGAGAGCGTGTACGGCTTACCAGCGAACGTGGCTGCTTCAGGAAATGCTGGAGTCTGGCCAGATGCTCGCACATGAGGTCCAGAACCGGCCCGAGATGCACGACGCCCATGCGGTTGACCATCTCCTTCATGGCCGCCTCCAAGGTTTCACGACCGCCCTCGGGGTTCATCTGCAACTGCTGTTGCACCTGGATAAGACGATTCCGCAGTGTGTGGAACAGGTACGGCTCGAAGTAGTCCGAGTTGTTCTGTCGTATAAGCTCGATAATGATGCATATCGACTGCACAACCGACGATGCGGCAGACTCGGGGGACAAGGGCTGCAGAGCAGAGTCGGACGTCCTCTCTTGTACCATTGTTGGTTCCCCAGGGCTCCCAGGGCCAAAGTCGCACAGGATATAGCTGACTAGTTTCGTCACGTTGTCGCGGTGCGCCAGCTCGCGCGCAAAGATATTTGATGCGGGCAGATGGTTCAGACCGTCAGAGATGCCCGCAGCAGGAGAGGGAGCCGCCATCGCGATGATGCCCTTGATGAGTTCTGCAACGACTGTATGCATGTCGCTGCTTTGGGCGGGAGACAGGAGGTCGATGAGGCGGGACATGAGGTTCTCCTTTGACAGCCACTGCGTGTCTGGAGGTAAGAGGAATTCACGGGAGCGCATATATCACGCAAGGGGAAACATACGTCAAGAACCCCAGCGCCGGCAGGGTGCTCGTCAAGCTGAACGATGCGGACGAGGAGGTCGGCGAAGGGGGGCGACTCTATATGCTGTAGGATGCGCTCCGCGATGTCCGGTTGCGCTTGGATGAATGCGAGCATCTGAGCACGCCGCTCAGGTTACAATTCCACAGGATGGACGAGGAGAGACGGGCGTATTCACCTCTGCGGGCTTTTTGCTCAGGAACGCGACGTTCACCTTCGCAAATTGGGTCGCCATCACCACCCGGCTCTTCATCTCCTCGGGCGACTTGTCGAGCACGGTCTCCCAGAACGGCACGAGCAGCTGGTCGCGGTGGCCGACGCAGGTGTCCACTATTGACCATATTTCGCTGCACAAGACCTCGGTTGCGACGTAGGGGTACCTCCCGGACGCGACGCCTGAGCTGCGTAGATGGCCGCGTACAGCGAGATGGCACTCACTTGAAGCTGCCCCGCTCGTCACTCTCTATCTGGCCGGTCACGTAACCCAGCAGGCGTTGGAGGACGTCGACGCGGGAGAAATAGTCGATAAGCCTCGTGTTCTGGGCCTTGCACTCCTGGAGCAGATCGTCATCATCGAGGATCGCTTCTAACGAGACGTCCTCCTTGTCCAGGAGGTTGTCGATTGCCGTTGCATTATGGAAGCCAAATCTGCCGGCAAAGCTGGGGTGAAGAGAGTTCGCGCGGCAAGAGGCTGTCTGTGTACCTCCAAAACATGCAGGATCGTCTGTGGTCGTGTCTGATTCAGGCCTGAGTGCCGCAGCGCGTGGTGGGCAGAGAAGCGGGGCAGGTGGACGGGAGGGCAGGCTGGACGGTGCGGAGAGAGAGGGAGTGGAATGCAACTGCCTATTCGGAGGTGGCGCGAATCCTGCGCGGGTTGCACAGTGCGGAGGCGCTCGCAGGACAGCACCTCTGGGACGAGCACCGGCCGTGTACGTAAACACTACATGAAACGATCTCTATGCCACGTTCGAAACCTCCCACATTTCTCCAGATGAGATTGATCGACGATGGCGATTGAGTTGCTCAGACTTGTGGGGCCAAGTATGAACTCCCTCCGGTGCCTGTTCTCCCTCTCCTCCGCCCGTCTTCCCGCGTCCTTGGGTGCAGGTGGGTCCATCACGTTGCGCAGTCGTGTAGCATAGCGTCTTCCGCGCGCCAATGGCCATGCGTCTGAGAGATGATACCACACCCGAGGCACCAGTCGTTCTTCCAGATCGCAGCAACCTGCCCTGTCGCGACGCTGCTCTGCGGACGTCGGAAGTTGATTCGCACGGTGCCGTCCCCCCGTCTGTAATAGAAGTCAGTCATATTCGATTGATGACGGGGATGGACGCACTGATAGACCCGACAAGGGAGATCCAACATTCTGTGCCGAAACTGGACCTGCGCCAGCATGCCGTTCGCGGTTGCGACACCGGGCGGAGGTGTGTCTGCCCAAACCCACCTCCAGTTATCCACAATCATAGAGTCGCTGTATAGTGCAGGATGCGTACTAAAAGAATTCACTCAATGTCCTGATACGTCACTTGAAGCACGGGAAAGACTCACGAGCCAGGAACGACGTAGAGGGCATTCTCCTTAGCGTCTTTCCGGGCCACGAACATCTTCTCGGCCATCCCCTTGAGCCGAGCGTTCTGGCCTATGGTCAAGGTGTGCAGACCTCGATGTCTGCCCACTGTCTGCCCATTAGTTAAGTCGATTATAGGTCCTGGTTTGGGCGTAACATATTGAGCTGCAAAGGCAGTTAAATCCAGCACAAGAACGAGCACCACTTGACCGATACGCACATAGAAAATCGTCAAATCGGCGCTTCTCGCCGACGAAGCAGATGCCCATGCTTTCTTCCCTAGAAGCCGTCGGAAGTCCCCACTTCTGGGCCATCTCCCGCACTTCGGTCTTCTTATACGGCGCGAGAGGAAAGATTGACCGGGCGAGGCTCGCTTCAGAAATGGCAGCAAGATAGTATGTTTGGTCTTTGGACCTGTCTACGGGTCGTCGCAGCTGTGGACGCGGGGGAATCTTGTTGTACGCGTACATATTTGCCCAGCTCAATTGAGGATGCGCCCAGCTCTTGTCGGTGTAATGCCCTGGTGATGTTTGGTCAACCTCTGGCTATGCGACGGCATTTGCTCGTGTTTAGCGTACCGGTAGCCAACCACGCGTCCCTGCTGTGGAGGCGATCAATGAGGGCGCCGAACTTGACTTCTCTTCGCACCTACTTCAGCCAGCTTAGGCCACAGTATTCGACGCTGAGACGCACCGGTTACACCATATATCTGGATTTGGTGTGTTGCCCGACTCCCACATTGCCAGAGCGGGCTCAAAGACACGAGTCCAGTACTCGCGCGAGAGATCGACCTGTGTTCGGAACATAGTCTTGTGAGGCATTCACTCTAGCGTTTCTCCTTGAAACATACCATTTCGCATGGAATGTCCAGCATCCGACAGACGCGTTGGACGTCTTCCCAATCTTTCTTCCACTCACAGCCGCTGTCAGTCCCGGACTCGTCCCGAGTGTCCCAGTTGCGCATAAACACAGCAGAGAGGTCGTAGTCCTAGGGGCGGCACCCATGAGCCAACGCTACACTTGACACTCCGATTATGTGCCGTACTTGGTCTGCGAGCAACTTGGCGGTGACAGAGGAGTCTACACCTCCGGACATAGCTACGACGACTGCCAGATGATCCATCATGAGTATCAACTTCAGCCCCAATGTGCAATGACATTCGCACCCCGGTCGCCTTTCCGCGGAACAGGCTTAGGAGATTGTGTCCGGAGGACCGGGAGTGAACGTCGTAGAGCAGCGGTCCATGCTTGCATTAAGACAGGGCCAGAACTGGCAGACAAAAAGAATTCGAGCCCAAGCGTAGTACAGACTCAGAGAAAGAACCAATGATACTGGCCCGAGTGGGTGGCGGAAGAGGCCTCCGAGTCCGAACTTCGAGGAGCAGGTGGCGGGCCGAAGACAAGTTTATGGGCGTCTACGCATTCACGGTGTTGCAGTACTCGAGCGGCTTGCTCTCGGCTCATTCGACCACCAATCGCTCCGCTTCGTCTCATCCAACCACTTTCCCCTCTAGAACACATCACATCTAGCGGAAGGCGACTGCACGCCCCAAACGATCTACATGTCCAACAAGCCGCGTTCTCAGCGGAGCTCAGGCGACGCGCCTACAGACGATAAAACCTCAGGCTCGAGCCGACGCGCACGCAGGAAGGAGAAGCAGCAAAACGCGGAAGCCGGCCCCTCTGGCTCGAGTACACAAGATGATACGAACGCCGTCGTAGAACCCAAGGCCTCTGGCAAGGGCGAAGGAGAGAACACGTTCACCGAGGCGGACTTCATCCCATTCTCGTTCTCTGACCCGGAGGAGCCCGCCGAGCCCGCCCCCGCGAAGGAGGACTGGCCGCCCGCGAGGGAGTGGGACAGGGGCAAGGGCAAGAGTCGCGAGAAGGAACGCGAAAGGGGGGACGAACGCGAGAGTGCGGGGCGCAAACGGAAGGTAGAAGAGGTTGATTTCGACGACGGGTACGCGAACAAGAAGCAGCGTGTCGCGGCCGCATCACGAAGGGCCCCATGGGTAAATAACGTCGACTGGGATCGGTGTGCGAATGTCGCGGAAATGTATGCGCGTATGTGTTATTCTATCGAGCGTGCTAACTCGTTGGTTGTAGGCTCCAGAGCGAAGTGGAGGCGTTCGTGAAATACATCTCACCAACGCCAATAGAAGATGAAGTCCGCTCGCTCGTGGTCGCTCTCGTATCTCGGGCAGTCACCAGGACATATACAGACGCGCAAGTTCTACCGTTTGGCAGTTACGAAACAAAGTTATACCTGCCTTTAGGGTACGCCACATTCGTTCCAAGTCTCCGACACCTAACTGACACTGGTGGCGTCATAGTGATATTGACCTTGTCATATACTCCCAGTCTATGGCGCGCATGGACAGGGTCTCCGTCCTCCACTCTTTGGCAAACATTGTAAAACGCGCCGGTATCACCGACCGTGTCACGATCATCGCGAAAGCCAAAGTCCCCATCATCAAATTCGTCACGACCCACGGCCGCTTTTCCGTCGACATCAGCATAAACCAGGGGAACGGTGTGACCGCCGGCAAGATGGTCAAGCAGTTCCTCGAGGAGCTGCCCGCGCTCCGGAGCCTTGTCTTGATCATCAAATCGTTCCTCAGTCAGCGGAGCATGAACGAGGTCTTCACGGGCGGCCTCGGGAGCTACAGCATCGTGTGCCTTGCTATCAGCTTCCTGCAGATGCATCCCAAGGTACGAAGAGGGGAGATTGATCCGTCGAAGAATATGGGAGTGCTCGTCATGGAGTTCTTCGAGCTCTACGGCTGCTACTTCAACTACGGTGAAGTGGGTATTTCATTGCGGGACGGCGGGTCGTACTTCAACAAGACCCAACGGGGTTGGATGGACTACGGCCAGCAGCGGCTACTGTGCATCGAGGATCCCGGCGACCCGAGTAAGTGACCACATTGTATCATGCTAGTATCTGATTTTGACGTTGGGCCCTGGGTCGCAGCAAATGATATTTCCCGGGGCTCGTACAACATCGCGAAAGTACGGACTACTTTGGCAGGAGCCCACACTATCATGACCGCAGCGGCCTACACCCAAGCCAGCATCATCAGCGCGCGCAGGGAAGGGCGCACGGTGCGCCTGCGCCCGGCACCCGAGCCCGAAGATATGAGCATCCTCGCGAGTGTCATGGGAGTGACGCAGGAGGTGCGTACACACGCTGGACGTCTGGACCAGGACCATCACATTGACCATCACCCACAGACCATCAATCATCGTCGAGTGGTGCAGGAGGTGTACGACCGTCAAATTCTACACCGCATGCTGGGCATCACGCCCAAGACGCTGGCGCCCAAGGTCGAGGTGGGCGGGGCGTCGCGCGCAGCGGGCGAGGCAAGCGTCAAGTCCGCCTGGGGCGAAGCCGACATGGAGCCGGAAACCGAGGACGAGGAGGGCCGCCCTGAAGATGCAGTCGAAAGCAGATACGAGATCGACAGCAAACGACAGCCTCCGAAGAAGCGACGCCGCACCGGCGCTCGTGCGGACAGGGACGTCACGGCAGAGACGGTGTATACGACGGATGACGAGGACCCGTACGACGACATGTACTCGTTTGCGCAGCAGGCGAAGGTGGACGACGGCATATCCGAGGAAGAACGAGAGTACGACCTGGCGGCGTTGGACAAGGGACGGGGGCGAGGTTCGGGCTCAGGTTCGTCGGACGCGGCGGCGGCGGCGAGTAGGAGATCGTATTGGCTCTCAAAGGCTATGACGGGTGATCTCGATGACTGATATATTTGGGCGGCGTCGTGCTGTGCATGTCTCTGAAGGACGTCCGACGACGTTCCTCGATACACTGGACGTATTCTGTCGGCAGGGCATGCAGGACTCGGGTCCGGGCCCGAACGCGCGCGAGATTAACCACTGCATCTGCGGTCGTGTGCGAAGTAGAGAAGTCGCGTCTGACTTGTAAGAAAGGGAATGCTGAGCAAGAGTTTGGAACATTGATCCGTGCGCTGTTGAAGGCGGTGAGGGGATGATTGACGGGTACGCGGAATGTGGGCGAGGCGGGATGATATGGTGGCACGCGGGCGAGAACAGCGATCACTGTGACCGGGAGGAGGTTGATGGCCAGAGGAGCAGTAGCCGCCGTTCTCAGCCCGACGCCTCCCTACGCTCGTTCATCACTTCCACCATCATCTCCTCCGCCCGTTCTCCAGCTCGACGAGCAGACCATCGCAGTCGCGGGTCGCTCGTGGTCGTCGTCGCTTTTGCTCTCGTTGCGCTGATTGTTTCCGTTCTTTCAATGTATGTCCTTCTCCCACCCTCACTCTCCGCCCTTCCCTGCGCCGTGTCTCAGACTCGGCCTGTTCCAGGACCTCCACCCGAGCCCCCGTCCCACCAGTCGACCTCAAGGCCCGTATCGCCGCATTCCAAGAACAGCAGAAGGCCAATGCGGCCAAGCAGCCCCACTCCAACGCCTCCCAGACACTCCCGAAGCCGTCCGCTGCTGGGGCGGGTAACTTCCGTGATCGTATAGCCTCTTTCGAGAAACAGGGTGCGGTCCCCGTCCCGAAGAGCAGGTTCGGCTTTGCTCCCATACACCAGGATGAGCAGGCCCCGCAGAAGCGAGGTGAGCTGTACGGCAACCGTGTCCCCGGCCTCTCGCGCCCGAACATCCCCGTCCCCCCGAGCACCAAGGGCAAGAGGGATACGTCAAGGCCACGCGACTTCGAACGCTATGTCACCTCTCCCAGTCCACCCGGCTCCCCGTTCCTCATGTCCGATAACGGCGAGTCGATAGGAGAGGTGCTGTCGGATGGAGATATGCTTTCGGCGGATGATCCGTCGGGAGCGAGACTAGAAGAGGCTCAACTCGCAGCGTCGGCGCAGTTATCTCCGCCTTTGTTGGACGACCCTTCCCCCGCGCATGGAGGAGACCCGCCTGAGGTGGCACCCCCGGCTGATGAGGCCAGTGCATCTACTACTGTCGAACAGACTGATGAGGTCGCAGCGTCCGGCGACGACGAACTCCCTACACCATCCGTCGTCGTCTCGCCCTCGGAACCCGTAACGACTGAGCCAGCTCAAGCCGATGTGCTGGTGCCCACGACAGAACTCGCCCCTCCGCCTAGCGAGAGCATCAATGAGCCGGCGGACGTGTCTTCTGAACAACCCTCGGAATTGCAAGATGGAGAGGACGAATCTTCCGCTTTAGATCCCGCAGTACTGGCCGCTATTGCACAACTCGACAGGGCGACACAGTCTGGAGATGCCGGTGCCGTCATCGTGCCCGCGGAGACCTTGGAGACCATTGCATCATTGGACACGGAGCAACAGAAGTCTGTGCAGGACATGCTCGATCAGCTGCTGCTTCAGCAAGATGCCATTGACATCGCGACACCTATCAAGCAACGGTTCTCGCTCAACGGCCAGCTCTCGTCCCAGGATGTTCTGGACTACCTTGCGCAGCAGAGCAATATCGCGAAGGACGCGGATCCGTCCACACCTCCGCGCAAGAACTCCGCTGCGGGCGCTCCTGCAGCGCAGTCCAACCAATACCTGTCCCCTACCGCCGTCCCCGCCAGCTACTCCGTGGATAGCCCGTTGAGTAGCGAAGAGCCTCTCTCACCGGCGAGTGACATCTACTCCTCATACTATGCCGCGACCCCCGCAGTCAGCGAACAGTACCGTCGCGCTCTTCCAGCCATTCCGGAAGCGCCAGACTCTCCCATTCCGTCGAGGGTGCCTCGCAGGGGTACCTTTGGTCCTGATTCGGACGAAACCTCAGGCGGTAGCTCCGCACCGACGTCCGCTCCCATCAGGACTCCCAGTGATGACGGGAGGTTCTCTTCGCAGCAAGACATGACGAGCAGGAAGAGTCAGGGCAGTGTTACTCCCAGTGACGGCATGGTGAGGATCGCTGGCACCCCTCCACCTCGGGTAACTTCTCCTCCACTCTCCGTCGTGATTCCCCAGCCCGTCATTGCTTCGCCGCCTCCGCCGACGAGGATCCCTCAACCGGTCATCAGACAGCCAGAGCAGCCTCCGGCCCCGAAGAAGGTTGACCCTGTAGTCATCAACGAGCCCGCCCGTCGGCGCTCACCAACGGTCTCGCGCGACTCTCTTGCAGCTACAAACTCTGCAAGTGGGTCATCGTCATCATCACCTGCATCAGCGTACTCTCCCAACTCCAACTATTCGGATGGAACGTCCCCCTCGTCGACGGGCGTTGTGTCGCGGAAACCCTCAGCGCGGAAATCCCGGAGTACGCTCTCTCCTGCACCACCCAGCGCGCCCTTTGAGGAGCCTGAGCTCACGCCCATCGAGGGCCCTCGGGGCTTCCACGCGGTAGTGCACAGGAAGGTGATCGAGGGCAAGAGCCGGCCAGTGAGTATAAACGTCTCATACCCCGACCTCCCCTCTCCTTCGCCCTTGAACCCGACTGGCATGAGTGACCTTGCGGCCCTCCTTGCTGACGCTGTGGTGTTCGAGGAACGGCTGGCGGACTACCGCTCTCCGGCGAAGAAATCGCGCCCAGGTCCCCAGTCGGCGATGCCTGCGCCTCCTGGCGGACGTCCGTCGTCTGATAGACCCAGGCCCACGCAGGACTTGCCAGAGTCTCCGGAGGACCGGGACGCCTTTGCTCGTTTGTCGCAGGATCGGAGCGCTGCACGGACCTCCCACTCCAGTGGCCGGCCTCTCCCTGCGCAGCCGCGTCCCTCTTCTCGGCCTTCGGCTGAGCGCAGTGTGGAACGCGATTCCGAGCGTACCATCCAGCGGAAAGCCTCACGACCTTCGCTGGACCGTATGCCGTCAAGGCCATCACTTGACCAGTCGAATTCGGCGCGACCGTCAGTCGACAGCACTTCGTCATCGCGGCCGCAATTGCAGCCGATGTTCTTGACGGCGGACCCGAATGCCGTTCGCGTCCCTCTGCCTCCCCGACCGAAGAGCGCTCTTGCGCATTCATCGGCGGCGTCGATACGCAGCAATGCGTCAACTCCACCGCCTCCACCCCCACCGAAGAGCCCGCCTCGGACAGGGTACCTCACGAACCTACTCTCGCGTGCCAAGAGCTCGAGCAATCTCCGGCTGCCAGCCGACTCCCGCGATAGCATGGGGTCGTCATCGGAGGACTCGGTCATGGTTGCGACCCCGCCGACACCACCATACGAGCCGTCGATCAGTGAAACTGGATCGATGCGACGCAGTTCGACGATGTTCAAGAACAGCTTTTCTCGTGCGAGTAACTTTGCCGACAGGCTGCTACACAGGAAAGAGGGTAGCCAACAGGGCCCTGATGCTGGTATTGCCTCTGGAGGTATGTCGACCAATTTGTAGCAGGTGACGTTCTCAGCCTGACTTTTTAGACATAGACGACGACGATGGTCAAGGAGGTCAACGGGCCCTCCCTCGCCCTCCTCGTCCCCTTCCCCTCCCGCCCCAAGCTATGCCACCGCAGGGCAACCTTCCGCCTGTCCCCGGCAACTCTCACCCCAAACCAAACAACCTTGCACCGATACCCCCTCCAGGACAGCCCTCGCTCTCCCGCCGCGGATCGTCGAAGTCCATGGCAAGCGTCTCAACAACAGGCATCTCCGAGGCGCTCGATACCGCCGGTATATACGACTCCTTCCCCACCGTCCCCGAAAGTGTGCCGCGCACCAGTGTGTCCCGATCCGGCCTGCCCTCGGGGCCGGCTGCATATACCTCGCCCCGCCCCGCACCTCTCCCGCCGCTCCCTCCTCCGAACCAACCGCTCCCTCCACCCCCCTCTCAGCCGCTCCCGGCGCCCCCACGAGGGGCATCCATGATGGCGCCCAACAGGCGTCCCGGCCTCCCCGCCAGCCCCTCCAACCGACCACGAACGCTCCCATCCTCAAAGCCCCCGCCCCAGCAGCTGCGCTCAGGCATGATCTGACCGCGCGCACACGCAGGGGCGGGTATGCCGTCCCCTATCTATTTCGCTTCATCTTCTCTCGTTGGATGTCCCTGTTTCGCTTAGCATCATTAGCATTACTGCAACTGGCTGGTCGGTCTATCTATCTTAAATCTCGCTCATTGGATCGCGGAACCGGATCGCCCCCGCGCGCGCGCACGGCTGGGCGCGCCCGGTCTCTCCGCTCGTGTACACATCGTCGACGTCGCGCTCTACTTACCCTCACATCGCAATTGGAATCGTAATGCTCCGTAATAGATCCTGCGGCCGCGCGCTGCGTGCCTTCGTGCCAGGCTCTCTCATATCTACACGCATCTGCGATGAAGATGAGGATGTCCGAATGTTTCATAGAAGACCACTTCCTGCGAATCGTGGAAATCAGCGATGATGAGTATATATACAAGTATGGCGGTGATCGTAAAATGGGCTATAATACACATGGATGGAGTCCGGCATATGGCATATAATGTGTCCAGTACATGTTTGTATTGAGATCTTGGCGTCCGTATTCGCGTGAGCGGAAAGTTTGCGAAAAGTCCGAAGGGTATCTTGGTCACATAAACCGACGCAAAAAAAGGGGGGGTGACACGCCGAGAATGAACCATCGAAGAATATGATCCGTGCCTGACAGCCAGGGCTCGTCAAGGGTCGAAGATCTGCTGCAGAACCTAGAAGGTCTCGGTGAGCACTCGTATCGTAGGTGTAACACATATAGCCTTGGCATACCGTAGGTCTCTGACTTTCGACCTACATGAACGTCGCAGGTCGATGGTCAGATTCTCCTGTGTAACGAGGCAACTTCCTACAATGCTCACCTGCGGTTCGGAGTAGTTGACGAGCTCCAAGGCCCTTTGCCTCTCCGCGGCTTCACTGGCAGCGATGAGGAACGCGACGTCATAGTCGGGACGTTGCGAGATCTTCTCTTTCCAGATCCTCCTCTTCTCTTGGCTCCATTCGTGCAACTTCCGGCTGTGCTCGTAGGCCCCAAATCTGCCGGGACAGTTCAGTGTCACTGACCACGGCATCACAACGAGGACTCACGTCAGTGTGTTCACAAGCTGAGCGATGGTCTGGTGTGGGTCGAGCCCTGCAAGCAATACCGTTCGCTAGAATTCAAGCATGGTAAAAAGATGTCTACTTACTGAGTGCACGAATGAGAGCCTGTACGAAACATCACGAGGTTAGTTACTAGAAGACAAGTATCGGGTGGAAATCACAAAAGACCTGGGTAAACGAGTAGTCCTTAGTGTCCCAGGTCCTTTGCGATTCCCCGGAGGATGCTACCGCAACCTGACAGAGAACATCGTGAGCTTGCGTAGCCTATAACGCGAGGGCGGGGAGCCACGTACTACATTGGGGCCGTCTGTTACCCCGAGGCTGGAGGACGAATCACAGTGATAACCGTCACAGTCTTCCACAGTGGGCGAAGCACACCGCTGGAAGTGTAGATCGTCGAAATTGTGGGGGCTCTCTGCACGTGTCCAGTCGTATGCGTCCTCAACGATTTGGAGTAGAGAAGAGCCCGTCCGACGTTGATTCGACGACTGCCGTCTGGTAACAGATACTTGGCGATGCTTCCCCTTACCGCTGACGATATTGACCGAGGTATCGACAGTCTGTACCTCATCTTGGCTGAGTCGTTTGCTCTGGAAGATGCGAAGGCTCGAGGTAGACGACCCTGTCGGTGATATATCAGCATTATCAGCCGCACCGACCCTGCCCAGTACACATACTGCGAGTGCCAGGGTGTGTACTGGAGTTATCGACGGACTCTTGGTACGAGAGCTTCTTGCCCAAAGCTAAGTCGATATCGTCCATGACTTTCAGACGACGCATTAGTTAGAAGACAAAACATCTGCAAAGTAACAACGTACTGCAGCCATTCTTGCGGCCTGAATGTAAAGTTCATCGGTCAACCGTTCCACGACAAGCAATGACTATGATACTCACGAACGCCGCGCCACTGGGTCATACGCTTGCGGAAACCAGGACTGATCCAAGGGAAGTAGACGTTGTTGCAGCGATGATGGAGCAGTTCCAAGAGACGTCCAGAACCGCAGGCATCGAAAATGACGTTCAGGTCTGCATTGACTGGGAGGCTGTCGACTAGCAACTTCCGCAGCTCGTGACCGAAGATCGCTCTCTCGGTGATTGGCACTTCCTTGGAGTGGTTCCAGTAATCGCACGGAACTAGATCTATAAACAGATATTGTTAGAAAGGAGGACGGTGGATACGTAGGGTATACTTTGTGCACATTTGACTGTCTCTCCGCCATCGGTCCAACGGTCCGAATGTCCAGCATCTACGTCGTCATAGGTATACACACAATGATAAAGTTGAGTAGCAGGTAGATCTTACAGAAGAAGAAAAAGTGGTCTCCCGGCTTAGCATCCTGCACGAACTTCGACAATTCACGAAGCTTGATCATCCATAAGCTTAGCGGTCACTTGTCAAAAGATCCTAAACACGCACGATGTTGTCTTTGGAGGGTGTAAGCTCCGGATCAACACTCTTGGCATCGACAAGCACGACGATGTTCTCCTTCGGGTAATCATACGCCGCTGTTGGAGTACCGCTCAGCCAACGACCCTCATAGACGACTAAAGGACATACAGTTGAGAAGACCTGCGAGTTCTCTGGTATCCTTGACAGCTCGACCAAGAGGGGGATACCTTCGACACCCTGCAGATTTGGGAGCGCCCTCGAGACCGCTGCCGATGAGGAGAGCCTTCTTGACTGGCTTGCGTCCTGCAGGGGTACGGGCTATAACATCATCATCAACCTTTCCCATGTAATAGTTACGAGTGCGGAGTGTAAGGGGTGTGCGTGAGGAACTTAGGGATCGCTTGGGTAGGACGCCACCAAGTCAACTCGACAACAGTATCCTTATATACCCAGCCATACTCGTATGGCAGAGCCATCCAGGATCCTCCCGGATCTGCCCGTCTCATCGCATTTCAAGCAGCGCCACGAAAGCGCAGTGCGGGGTATATGACATGTCAAAATCCACCAAGCATGGAACGTTATAACAACGGCAGACGCCCACGCATATGATTGATTGTGGTTGTACATGGTAAGGTCACTGCAGCGGTTTATATCGAGTCAGCCCGGCATAATGCTTCACCCGCGAAGATGAGCGCAGCAGGGTAGACGGACGTACAGCAATGCCGCCGGCGCGGCGACGTCAGACCACATAAACCTAGTACGATCAACGTTTCAGCGAAACAGCGATAGGTAGGGTATAGTGCGCGATGTCGTTGCCGGGATGAAGATGGGGGCGAGCACGATGATCAACGCTGCGATGGGCGACGCAGCTAGATGGTGTCCAACTTATCAGCAAGCATTTGTATAGTATGTCTGATGCTTGGGCGTCGGGGTGTACGCTGTACACAGGGTGCGGCTGAGAACCTGCGCACGCCGGTGCTGCATCCTAGAGGCCGTGTTACAGGAATACAGCTCGCGAAGCAAAAGCACGGCTCACCTGTTATCTGCACTTCTGTCGTACTAGTCGGCAGCAAGCATGCTCCGGTTGACTCACCTAAGTCCAAGGACAGCTGGAGCTCTTAGGAAAGGGACCAGTGCGGTATGTGGCAGTAGCGGTGTGGCGCCTTCCGGGCCTGTGCTGCGAATACGAGGAGGGACATGGCAGGGCACAGGCTGACGCTGGACGAGGACAATTTCCGAGCTCATCGTGAGAGACGTCGTGCCGTACGGACCGAGGAGCCAGCTTCTCCTCCTTCCGTGCGCGTCTCTTGGATCCGTCCGGGAGGGCGGAGTGGCGAACCGTCGGCTCAGGGATATCCAAGGACAGCTTGCCATGAGCACGCGCGCGATACTTCGACATATAATTGCTTGTAGGTATGGTACACAGGATGTCACTAGTCAGAGTCAGCATACACACGAGGACCAGAGAGTCATGGCTACATGAGGTCCATGATGGAGGATAGGCTGGGTGAGATGCGGGGGTAATGTGAACAGGGAGCGAGCACAGATAGTTTCCGCTATCTTGCTGAAGTGCCGCGGCGGGACTTGGTCTTGGGCTGCTCTTCCGCATTGACGGTGTCCGATGACGCCCGGCCTGTAGACTCGCGGCGCAATGCCTTACCAGCGGACCGCGAGCGCGAGCGGCCTTCGTCCTCAGACGCCTCATCGTCCGCTGGGTCCTTGATATCCTCTGGCATCTTGCGCGCCTGGGCGAAGAAGATCTTCGCGTCGCGCTCGCATATGTTGGTAATGTAGTACACATTTCCTGTATGCGCGGAATTAGCATACACTGAGGCGGTATTGGCTGGACCACTCGCCTCGAGGGACCATGAACATTCCTCCGGTTGCAAGGATGAAGTTATTCTGGTGCACAGCGAACTTGATAGCACCTTGGATAACATAGAACACCTACACCGCAATTAGCACAGCTTTACCAGACATCTGCAGTAAACGTACGAAGGTGTTATCCTTAGTCCCTTTGGTTGGCTTGGTCGAATGAGGTGGAATGATGAGCTGGCCAGCAGCAAGGAAATCCCCGTCTCCGAATATCTTCTGGAAATAGAACGCTCCTTGACCCGCAGCCTTCGGCTGCACCATCTTGGCAGTGAACGCAACACCTACGCAGCCAGGCCTCTTAGCTCTGAATTCGCGCATACAAGCACTTCAAATCACTTACGTCGCGTAACCTCCTTTCCGTCCTCTCCGTACTCGAGGACATTGCAATACGGATCAGTCTCGTCGTCCCACCCGCCTTCGGGATCGTAAACGATGACTTGCTGAGCCTCTGGCTCGTCAACCGTACGGCTCTTCCCGCGCTGTCCGCCCCTCTTCTTCTTTCCGAGAGGTTCCGGTTTGATTTGCGGGATTCGGTGAATCTCCTTGATGCTGGGCACATAACTCGCTCCGTTCTCTCTGCGTCCGTATACCACCTTCTCCAGCCTCCACCAGGCGAGGGGAGAATACCGCATGCGCTTGCTGCGTCGTACACCATCGGTGTTCGGGTCATCAGGAGAGACTGGAATGCCATGAGTGATTGCTTGCGAACAGACATGCACCAAATCTGACACCCACGTTCTCGTAGCACAATATCCTTGCGAGGACGCGGCTTCTCTCTTGGCTTTGCACGCTCCTTAGGCTTCGTGACGACCTCTTTGCCCTTCTTACGCTGCACGACCTTCATGCTTGGTGGCTCTATATCTTGCCCTTCGTCGGGCTCCTGCTCGAGGTCCTCAAGACCCTGCGCTATCTCGGGTTCCATGTCGTCCTCGTACTGAGGAGGTGGCGGTGACACATAGCTTGCACGCTGCTTACCGCGCGCTTTCGCGCTCGGAGACCGGCCAAAGTCCATCGCGTCCTCCACCTGCGCTTCCTCCTCGGCCTCCTGGTCCATCTGCGCGAAGCTGGTCCGACGCGGCGTTTGCACTCTGTGAGGTGTCCTGTGGGGTGTCCGAGAGACTGGCGGTGGGGTATCATCCTCGTCGTCAAAGTTGTCATCGTAGCCACCATAGTCAGGGGCGCCTCCCCCATCAGACCCGTCGTCGTCATCGTCGTCTTCTTCAGGTGCGACCGTAGAGTGCGAGAGACGCGACCGACCCAAGGAGAGCGTTTCACGGCTGTGTGGGAGCGACTTCCTGGCTGTGTACGAGGGAGACGCGCGGGGAGAGGGCACCGCGTCAAAATCAACATCGGAGGTATGTGCGACAGGGCGGGAAGAAGAGCCGGGTCGTTGCACGCTCGAGGTGATGGGATTTACGCGTGTATGCGCGAAATACGCGGACGGGCTGTTCGGTATGCCTAGCGCGGCGCGTCAGGAGAGGCTGAAACCACGCATGTCGCGGGGGGGTGGAGGGACGCACTGTCTTCAAGTTCCATGGACATCTCCCCGTCCTCATCGTCCTCCGGCTCCTCGTGCACGACTACTGGTGTCTTCGGACCGCGCTTCTTACGCGCAACCTGTGGTCTGAACGGCGTGCGGTTGTCGGCTTGGCTGATGACCTTGTCGAACGGTTCGAATTCGTCGGACAGACGGTCGACGTAGCCAACCGCGATTCCGGTCTTCTTGCCATGCTGAAAGTCATCGGCGCGGTAAGGGATGTACTTCTGGGGCCCGCGGCGGAGGTTGCCTAGGCTGCTCTTGCGTGCGGAGGCGGGCATGGACGGGGTCGAGCGGAGAGTTGAGTAGCCACAGCGCGTACTCGAACAGCGCCGAACCACATCTTTGTTTGGTCCTGTTTACAAAAGTACTTGACCCGGTGCCGGCGTCTATTGTAATGCAACCGCTCTCATCATCTTATCGGCTCACTCGGACCCTGCTAATAGGCTGCAGCTGCTTCTGGTATGAAGCGTACCTCCAATCAGATTTTCATCGCCTTCAAAAATTTGGACGCGGTTTCCAACCTGTTAGACTGAGGACAGATCGCAGTAGTACTCCGAGCTCGCCGACATCTCAATATTGTATGGCTCAGAGTGCATGAAGATGGTAACTCTGACTTGCCCCTCTCACCTATCGCGCACAAGTACTATCCATATACTAGATGTCCGCGCGAACATCAGGTGCCATAGCACGATATATCTTGTATGTCTTTTCCGTTGTTCAACTTGAACTCCATGAGCTCAGTAACTGTTCCATCCAGTTTCGTTTCATTTGGTTCGCCCCAGCGCTGGCGAATCGCGTATTTCCTCCGAACAACATCAATATCATGCAGCTGCCAGGTTGCGTGGCGCTTCTGTGGCTCTGAAATATCTGAAAGGCAGTGATCTCATATAGTACAACGTGGACAGACAGTAACTCGTGGCAAACTATCCTTCCGCTTCCCTGGGGTTTTCCAGCTCCCCACAGAAAGGTCACGCACCTTCCGGATACTATCCGACTCTAGCATCTAGGACGATTTACGTATACCAAAAGGTCAGCTCTAATTTGACTTTCCATTGGAATGTACTAAAACATAGAGACTTCAAGCGATTCGATGCACATCACTCGCGACAATGGGCCCTCCTATGAAGAGTCCGTTGGCTTAGACTTTGGCATCGGGTCTTCCTTCGTTGGATTGGTCATCCTTGCGGTGATTGATCAATTTCTTGGAGGTAGAGTGCTCAGGACCATCAAGAAGTGGGCGCGAGCATTGTTCGGTATGTAACTAGCCATGAAGCAGAGTAATTCTCATCGAAGTTCATACCACTCTTCACAGCTCGAGTGCGCACTCCCTATCTCCACAAAGATACGCATGTATTGCCGAACGATCTCTTGAGGCATACCACGAGCACTCTAGGGAACGCGTTGAACACCATACCTCCTGCCGTACTCCCTGGGCCCGGTGCAAAGCCGATGACAGATACACACCATTCTGAGTTACATAGGAACATGACTCAGGCTCCCGCTTCTGACACATTCTCCCAACCTTCGAGACCTTCGATCCCGAACAGGCCTCGACATACTTCCGACACTCAGTCACAGTGGCGCCTACCATCTATCCCATCTTCTACTCGATACACCATTGCTTCCGCGACTGTACCTGCATCTGAGGACGATGGATATACATCCGATGCAACGACGTCGACAGTACCTCCCTCCTACAAGACACACCGTTCACATCCAGATCTTCCCGACTACTCTTAGACAGCTGACCTGGCACCTCCCCTTCCTACGGCTTCCACCTCCAACACCGAATATGTGACTGCACCGCCCTCAGCGTATGTTCAGCCCGGAAGGCGGAGGCGACGCAGACATCCTCGCGCTGGCGGTATCGCTAGGGGCCTGGCTCACAGCGAGGAATCCAAAGCCACCGAGTCCCTTCTCGACCAGCAAGGCCGGTCCAATGCTACACAGTTGGCAGACGTAGAGCTGCAGAGATACCCAAGGAAATCGGTCGACGGAGGAGTGAGACTCGCCGGAGGGCCGTTGCACGAAGCCGAATAGGGCGAATTGGACACTGTTTCGTGGACTCCGCTTCGTGGTAGCAAACTTCTTGAGGACAGTCTAGCCTTCGCCGGAGGCTCTTTGCCACGCAAACTACAAATCAAACCACCACATTGTCGCCGTCGTGCACGGACAACCGTCGTAGAAAACGAGTCCCCTCCTCCAGCTTCCCAGCCTCAGGTTCCCGCACCTCCGCATAACCTCGCAATCTATAGCCATGGCCCGGTGCCTCTTCTACAACCCCCGATACATCCACGATCGAGCCCACTTCCTGTCCCCCTCTCCCCCCACTTGCTTCCCATCGCTCCAGAGTTACGAATTTGATCCCCTCCAACTGGACGGCAAATTGCGCATGTTGCAGTCCCACCACCTCTATGAGGCCCGTCCCCCGCTCGAGCAGCTTCTGGTTCGCCTCGCTCGCTATCCACGCCTCGTGCGCCGCGACACTCTCCCACCCCGTGAGGATATAGACGATCGCCGCGTCGGTCGTGTCCTCGAAGTAGTGTAGCGGGTAGCCCGACCGCGCGGCCTGCTGGGACGCGGCGGCCGCGAAGAACGATCGGGTCGCAGGCGAGCTCCAGGTGTGGGGAGGCACGAGTTTGAGTGTGGCGATCTCGGTGACGGACATGGTTGGGGTGCGAAAGACAATGGGCTTAGCGTTCTTTCGACCGCCCTGATATACCGCAAGGCGAGGGGACGCGTCATCGATCACGAGCTTGACACTGCTGCGTGGATTTGCAGATCGGTGCCGCTTGTAACGGCATCCAGTTGAGGGAACGACGAGCGCGTTATACCTAGCTTCGTGGTGTATCAAATGGGTAGGCTGAGTGATATGTCCTGAACACAATCCGCAAGTACGCTCGAACAATTACGTCGACTATACCGTATACAAAGCATTCATAAATCAAAGCGTACAGAGATGCGTCGCCGCCGCCTACCGTCCTTCGTACTATACAAACACTCTCCTCAGAACTACGTTAAGTTAGTACATAGTTTTTATGTCGAGATAAGATGGATAGACGTACCCGGATCTGATAGGACCCGCTCGCCTTCGTGAGGTAGCGCACCCACTTCACGCTGTGGTAGTTGCTCTTTTCGAACACCTTCAAGAAGCGCACAATCAGGCCCGACGAGGTGAACATGAGAACCTGGAAGTCGACGTCGATCGGCGGGCGCGCCCAGACTTGGCGGTTGGTCGTGCTTGTCAGCTTCGCTGTTCCAGAGAACGTCACTTCCTGTCCTCCCTGTATTCGCGGTATCCTAGGGGGCAACGACGTCAAAACTGCCAACCGGCATATATGCCAGGGGAGTACTTACTTCCAGACCACTACGTTCTCGGCTGGCACATATTTCGCCTTCCCAAGTGCAACTTTGCAGTCGACGCTCGTTGTGTTGAGAGGTGTTGGTATCCGTATGATGACGCTCGTCGCGGAAAGCTTGTTGTTGAAGTTTGTCTTGACGGCGACCACGTAAGACACCTGCGTCGTGCCAATCTCGTTCACCGTGGCAATGACCTTGAGGGGCAATTTGACGTTCGTTGTTGACCGATACCTATTGCCATCACGGGCGCGTAAGCAAGCCTCTCTCCGGGACGGGGGAAGTAAACCCACTTCATCAGCTCGAACTCGCCATCTGGCGGAACAAAACTGATTGTACGACTAGAGTCGAACTCATCCAACCTAACACACTGATGGAAACGGCAATCGTCAAGTTCAACAGCGTCGCCCCCAGTACGCTCGTTCTTGTCGATTACGAGCTTGTCGTTGAGGCCGAACTTGCATTCCGGTGTCCCGGACAAGTATGCACGCATCTGAATGTGACCATCCACGTCGGCACGCAGAATTGTGCCTATGGTAACGTGAAAAGTTAGAAAGCCTGCTGCGCGTGCTAATGCATTGCACTACACCTTTTGCGCTCATGCTCAAGTTGACAGTCTCGACCACGTCAACAAATGCTTCATTCTTCTTGTACTTGACGTCTCCCCGCCGCCAACTTGTTGAGCCAGTCGCTTGCGTGGTGATCTTCGATGACTCTTCCTGTACGTCCATATCTACAAATGAGGACATACGCTGGTGACATATGCGGGATTACTGACCGCAGCTATAGAGGACGCTACCACGCTCTCCGTCGTGATATATGTCTTCAGGGTATCGGCTTCACTGTTCTGGGGGTATCCAAAGTCGATAATTTCTGTCACGTAGCGGGGTGGGTAGAGGAACGGTTATACATGTGTAGTTACACGCACCATCAATGAGCTCATAGATAAGAACGAAGTTGTTCTTGATGGCCTCCTCGTCGACCTTGCCAAAGTAGGACTTTGCTATTGAGATGAAGCGGTAGCAGAACTCGAATACGAGGGCAGCATTGGCATTGCACCTGGGATGGGATGTGCGGTCGGACTTGGAGACACACAGCGGAGGATATGGCAACTCACTTCGTGACCGCAACAACGTAGAGATTGTTTATGCGTACGTGGAAGAAGCTTGTTGAGCCAAGGGTGATAATGGGTGAACGGACGTCGCTGTTCGAGACAACTTGTATCCTGAACACGTCTGCGATAGAACGCCTGTGAAGAGATGGGTTGGTCTGAGCATCGAATCTGCACTTCTTGGCAAATCCTGTTTCCGCCTACTTCAGGTCCGTCCGATATAGGCGTGAGATGAGGACCTGGAGTTGCAGACTGTAAGTGCCGGGGAGACCGAGATGCGATGACACCTGCGCATACCTCGCCCTTCTGGTTGAAGATGAAGAAGCCCTGCACAACCAGTGAGTACGGTCCCTCTCCTATGCGTCTATGTGCCCACCGAGATCATGGCGGTCGGAGGTGATGATGGTCGGAGGGTCGGCCGCGGTGCACGTCGCGTTCCCCGCCTTGGTCGCTGTGCGTTAGGCGCCCATAACAGATGAAGCCACGTGGGAATAAGCACTTTAGGCGCCAGCAGCCAAACCTTCGCCAGCCGGGATCTCGGACATCTTGCACCGCAACCACAACCACCACCTCCTCCTCATCTATCAGATATTGCTTTGTTGCTGCTGCGCCCCTTGCTCGTAATCTGCTTGACTGAATTTTCGGGTCGGCTTCCCGGGGCTGCCAGCGTCGTGCAGGTAATTATGTGTCAGACCAGGACCCTTGACAATCTTCCCAGATGCCTTACACAGTGCCCGGACCAAAAAGGGCTTTCTGGATGCGCGATGCCTTACACACACCCGGACCAACTCTTATTCAGGACGAGATTTGGGGTCGCGTCGAGCGAAATTTCTGGGGTTTGAACGGCCTTACACAGTTCCTGGACCGAACCGAGTCTCTTGGAGCGTATGCCTTACTTACACACGGCGCGGGCCAAAAACCGCCTCCGAGGCCCCAAATCTGGCCCGGACCAAAACGCGATATTTTGTGACCCGCCGTGTAAGGCATCTAGGAGGATTGTCAGCGGTCCTGTTATACCACCTACGAAGAAGATCGTCCTACCACACTTCACTATATCGCTGCGGCCGCGACTACGTACAAGGGTGCCGGGGTAATGACCAAGATGTGCTAATGCTGGTCTCCGAGCTCACCGCTGAGAGCCACTTGGCTCTCGACAGCAGTTCTACTACGGCCACGCAGTCGGTCACTGGGTGCAGCCCCAAATGCAACCGCGAGAATGCACCAACACATGCAGCGTTCTCGCATCGTCCATTCGTCAACCACGCTGATCCTTCTCACCTCAGTCCCATTTAGATCAGACACGAGACCACCTTCGGAGGTGATGTGCACTCCGCCGGGCCCCGTCATCCCGCTGTATGGAGTATCATCGGCGTTCTCTCCAACGAGCAGTGAATAAAAGCGGGCGGAGAGGGTGCTCCACGTTGCAAAGACGCCTCGCTACCTACCTCCGTCTCCACGAGCTAGTGTCTGTGCCCGACTCCGCGCTGTGCTGTACGAAAATGCTGTTCGGGAAGGCTGCTGCTCTGTTATCTACTGTCTCCGCTGTCTCCGCCAAGCTCACATGGGGAAGCACGAAGTTCCTCTTCGCGTTCGGCGATTCGTACACGACCGACGGCTTCAACATCTCTGCCGGCGTCGACTCCCTTGTTCCGGACTTTGTGGGTGCAAGCCGTGTCGAACGCCGACCACATTCTCACGAGTCGTTCATTCCGCCTGTGCTAGACTTCTTCCAACGGCCCGAATTGGGTACAGTTCCTCGGTTAGTCTTCACCGCTCCTACGGCGCATCGTGAGCTGAGTACCTCCCAGGCGGAACGTATAACGTCACCGACACGAAGGTATGGTAGCTTTCCCCGCGCGGAGATCGCGATCCTGAGAGAACCCTCGAGGTATTCGATCTGGCCTCGGGCGGCGCAACTATCGACGCCGCTCTCGTAGCGCCGTTCCTGCCCACGGTGCTGTACGTCAAAACGAATGCCGGCGGTTTGAGGGGGGACCCTGCTGACATCATCTCACAGGTCGATTGTCGACCAGGTTACCCAATTCCACGACATCCTCGCCCCGAAACCCGTCGGGGCGCGGTGGGCAAGCTCGAACAGCCTTTTCGCCTTCTGGATAGGCATTAATGATGTCGTAAGCACCGCGCACTGTGATGTCGGCGGCGCATCTCTCATCCTCGCTGCGTCTCGCTAGGGCAACTCTTTCGCCTCGGTGCGTAATCCAAGCAGCCGCCGGCCCATGAGCCGCACAATCGTGCAGGACGGACCCTGACGTGCTCGATCGCAGACGAACATCACGTCGCAGTCGGACTTCCACCGGATCCTGATGAACAGGCTCTTCAGTCAAGTTCGTCCCCTTTTTGAGCGTGTTATCATTGCGCCTGGTTGATGACACTCCGGCAGGTCGAGATCCTGTACAAGGACGGGGCACGCTCCTTCCTGTTCTTGACCGTCCCGCCCACGAACCGCGCGCCGCTCATCCTCGTGCAGGGCGAGCAGGCCATTACTAAAATCACCGCCGCTCTGGCGGACTACAACACCCAGCTCACAGCGCGTGTCCGGGAGTTTCAGGCGACGCACCCCGACCTCGACCAAGTTACCGTGTTCGACACTCGCCCGATTTTCAACACACTCCTCGACAACGCGCAGACATTCGGCTTCGTGAACAGCACCGGTTTCTGCGAAGCCTACCAAAACGGCACGCCCTCGCCCACGACACAGGTTCCGGGCTGCGCACCCGTGTCGAGTTACTTGTAAGTGCGCCGCTTCTCCGCAGACGTCGGTGCTCTAGTGCTGCTGCTGTTGCTGCTGCCGCACGGGAGCGGTGTTTGGCACGGCACGCGATCGGGGCTAATATGCGTTCACGCCCGCAGCTGGCTCAACTCTCTGCACCCGCTCTTTACGGTGCACAAGTAAGCGTCTCTCGGTGCCTTGTCCTTCTTCGCTGCCGCCGCTGATCACGCCGACCGTGCAGCATTCTCGCGCACGCCATCTCGACGACGTTGAGTGCCTAGTAGTATCAGTGCCGCCGGGGCGTCATGAGTACGAGAATACAATACTGCATGCGCCTTGTTATCGGGTCGCCGGACGATAATTCTTGGAGACGCGCTGCAGCGGTTGTATTGCAACCTGTGCCTCCCGCGCCCGTCCTGTATGGTACCCGTCTGATGCCTGTCGCCGTCTATAAAAACAAGGCACGGTTCTGCCGCTGTTGCTCGGAGATAAAGCTGGCGTGCGAACCGCGCCCAGGCGCGCTCTCCGCGGAGAGCGCAGACGACATCCTTTCTCGTTCTGTCCCTCTGGGCGACCGCAGGGTCCGTATAACCAACGCCCCTGACGCCGGCGGGGTTCGCAGCACCATCAACGGTCCGACAGGGCTCGGGCCAGGCTCGGACTGTGCACACCCCCTCCCGCGCCACTAGCTCATATCAATGTGCGCAACGCGAGGCTAGCAGCCGCCGACACTTCATCATATTCTCCACCTCCATTACATTGAGCAACTGAAGCGCAGAAAGAAGCTGCCTACGGACGAACGCGGCGGCTGTGATAGAGTTTCCAATCCCCGAGCTAGCCAGGGACTCAGGTGCGGGGCACCCGCCCGGTACGCACCTGCCCTCCCGAGTCCACAGTTCAACGCGTTAGGCTCTTCGCCGACATCCCTGGGAGATCGTAGCCCGCACCCAGCGCCCTCGCCTGGGAGTCTGCCCCCCGAAACATACGGCTGGGGTCGCATGCCCCCGCTACGCCGTGCCATATATCAAACCTCCACGCACCGTGACCGCCGCCCCCAGAGCCACGGCCCATCCTCGCTCCAAGCGGGGTACGCACATGATGGCCTCGTAGGCGCGGCCTGCCAGATGCAGCCCGCACACCGTGATCTGCGAGGCTGCGAAACACGCTGCGGTCGCCCGGCCGTGCGTGTATACGCCGGCTGGCGGCCACCGTCCGTGCTCCGTGTCGCCTCCGTACGTGTGGCGGCGTTTCACGCACCGAGCCCATCGGACGGCGGCCCCGCGCCCGCGTCTCCAGTGCCCAGTGGTGGCAGGCATGGATCGACTGCGCCCGCGCGGTCGCCCGTGGGCCCGCGCAGCTGCGACGCCCCAACTCCGAACGGCGCAGCTCGTATTTTAGCGGCTCCGCACGAAAGCCAGATTGGGAACGACACCGGGGCGCACCGCCTCGCACTCCAGAGCGCTCTACGCGGCCCGAGGGTGCGACGCCGTGACGGGGTGCGCGCACGGGCTGACATGGCGACACCCCGCACGCGGGGGCAGGCTGCCCGTCCCGTCGCGGCGGGGCGTCCGTTCAGGACGGGTGATGGGGAAATTGATATTGGCTGTCCGGGCGCATTTTATCAGCCGCTAGGCACTGCGTGGCGGGCCAGGCGGCGGGGGGTGCCCAGGGCGCGAGGCGGAATGAGTGTGCGAACGCGGGCGGGCGGCGCAGGGACGTAAGTCGGCAACGCGTCATGAGTGAATGGCGTATACGTACAATCGGACCTCTGGGCCTATCGACCCGCGGACGATACGGCGGGAACGGGCACGACGCGCCCTGGGGAGCCGCCGGCGTGCGGGTCAGGGGCTCTCGCAGGATCTGTATGTAGGTACGGCCGGACTTTGCGGCGGCACTCGAGACGGATCCAGGCGAAAGTCGGTACCTCGGCATTGAATGGAAGCAGGAGCTAAAGTGCGCTCTAACGTCGAAATCGTGCAGGGCCTCCCTAAGCAGGGCGTCTGGACAAGGTGGAGATTAACGGTAGAAGTCCTTCTCTCCCGTCACGTCTGCCATGCGTCAGTAGGCCGGGGACCTTGACGGGGACAGCGGACAGATTTCGCGGACTCACTTGGGGAATGGTGTGCTGAGCACGCCCGCATGAGAGGTTTGCGCGTGTTCTCAGTTCTGAGACCTGCATGCTGCGCTAGGCAATCTGACAGGGGCGATGAAGGGATGAACCACATACGCCCATTCCCCATGCGTTGTGGCGAAGCAGCATGTACCGGGCGTCCATCACTCGGCATGCACTAGATAGAATACACGTACATACCTCGACATTTCGCGTTCCCAGAATACGAGAGGACGCCACCAACACCAAGGCGATGCTCCAACGTAGGAAGTTGTGAAGGGAAGGTCCATCGGGCGCCCGTGTATGATGCGGCCATTTAGCGAGAAGCGGACAGTTGTCCCTGATGTCTCACGCCTGTAAAATGTAGGAATGTGAGGTACGCATGTGTCCTGGTCCATACAGATGTCGCAAGAAAGAGAAAAGAATGCTGAGGAGACGTGCCTTCGGTGTTCGACGGGGGCAAAGCGTTCGCGAGATACCGCCCCCTTTCCGCGGCTTTTCTGCGACTGAAAGGGCCCCTGGTGCCCGTACTATGGGTCGGATGAATTCAGCACGACACATGCTTTTGACGGTGCCCGTGCAGACGCCGAACGAAGAAGATCCATCGTGGACGGAGGATGCATGGGATGACGGCAATTCTCAACGTATGACCGTGCGCAGTCTGGTTATCCGGGCATCGACGAGAGATGACGAAGGGCATCTGTCACTAATTATAAGGGACTGAGAGATTACGGTAGTCAGCCCCGTCGGCGGCGTTCACAGCGGACGGAGACCTACCGAGTCATTGGGGGCGATGTGAAGGCGTGAAAAGACGGTAGACTGTCCGCAACCACCATGTGGGCGTGCAAGTCTCCCGACCAATAATAGCGGGTTTGCCACAAGGGCCTGTGGTGGTTGCCACGCACGGTGGTAGAGGCGTGTCACGGAAGTGGCAGCGGCACTCGCGATACCTCGACCCTGCTGATTGAGTGGTCACCGAGCAAGGGTCAAGCGAGCAGAACTCGGGCGTCCTGAGCACAGGAGGCTGGCGGTCGGACGGAGTTCGACGGTGCAACTGCTGCCGCTTCGAGCTGTCGTGGTGTGGTATTTCTCCCGTTGTGTTGCAGAGAACAGGGCGCGATGCTCACGCCGAGGAAAGCCGCTGGGTGAGGGCCGTGGCCGTGGGCAGGCCGGTGGGGCACGGGCGCCTGTGCGCTTCTTCTCGCACCCGCTCGTTCTCGGAATGCATTTTTAACTTTTGTGGCGAGGCTGCAACTCGCATCTGTCAATTTGAGAGTAACCGCAGGAGAAGTGGACAGCGTGAAACGCACCCGAGGCAGCACCGCACATACTCCTGCCGTGGGACGCTGGGCTAGCGATGTGAGTGCCGCTGCCAGAAAGACCGTTTAGGCTGACATATGGGGACGTGCTCTGCAGCGCAGCGGGTGTGCCGGATGCGCGACGCTCGGCGGTCCGCGTCAAGCATTTGAGGGAGCGTTTAGGACTGCGTTGGCGCGGGCACGACTTCGGATCATGGAGACGGACGGCGTAATGCCGTGCAGGCTGCTGTCAGCCTGTGCGTGCTTGAAATGGCCAGCGAGCTGCCCGAGGGACTGATTTGCCGAAGCGGGGTGTTCGCGGACCGCCTTGTGACTGGAGGAGGGCAGGGGGCTGCTGCATGGCGCACGAATGGAGAGACGGCGGAGGAGGGGACGGAGAGACGGAGATTATCGATGCGGGACGAGGGTCCGCTGGGGCTGGGAGCATGCTGGAAACACATGCCGTGCTCGGGGACGGGCGCGCGGACGCTGATCGTCTTGGACGGAGATATGCGCGTACGACTAGGCTGGCTGAATTGATGAATTCCTCTAGATCGGTTGTAGGTCCGTCGTGCTTGGCGAGCATCACCCTCGCGCGCTCGCCCCGCTGCGCTGCCTGATTCCATCGCCTGCCAGACGCACACACCCACCCGTCTTTTCTCGTCCACCGTGCCGGATATGGCCCACGATCAGCCACGGAGATAGCGCGGATTCCTCCTGACCGTCGTCCTCGGTGCGTGCCGACACCGCACACGCCCGTTCACACCCCAGCGGAGACGCGGACACGGACTCGGACCTCGCTCGGTGCGCGGCCCACCCAAAAGTTTATTATTTCGTCCCCGACTCCGACGCGAAACGCTAACGGAAACGCAAATGCAAATGCATCGCCCTTATCCAGGACCCAGCCGCCAGGTCCGCCAGGGGCGCGCGCGCAATTAGCGTCCGCGAACGTCACCGCTTGCCGACTCGGTCTCCCACTCATGGCTGTGGCCCGTCCGGCGCGTCGGACGGGGGTGCCCTCCCCCGCCCGCTCGCCGAGGAATGTGGCAATCGGGTGTGCGTATGCTGTGTCCGGCCCTGGAGAGTTTGACCGGAGACAGCGCCGCTCGGATTCCAGTCAGACATCACGGGGCGACGTTGTCAAGCAAGGTGTACCGGTGCCAGCGTTGCCCCATCACCCGCATGCGCAGACCTCTCCTGCTCAGTCCATCCTGGGCACACTCCCCGGAGCCTGCGTAGCCTCATTTCGGCGCACAAGGCCAGTCGATAACATCTTATCTGCCCGGACGCGCTCTGACATAGACCGCCCTTTTAGTGCCTCTTGCGGCCAAGTCCGTCTCTCTCCCCGCACGAGGCTCTGCTTATATTGGCTGCGCCAATACAAATATCCTTGTCTGCATGTCCGGACGCGTTGTACCTCAGACGTCTCTATGACCACGACATTTCCGCCCTCTCCGCCCAACCACCTTATTTCAGCTTCCTGCTCACACTACCTACCACCCCCTCCTCCCCACCTTCCCAATGGACCCGGACCACTCGCCGCATCTCCCTGCCGGCCGTCCGGTCTCGTCGCGCTCTCGCATGCCCTCCCCTCCAGAGCGCGCGACTGCTCCCGCCGCCGGTCCCAGTCAGCCATCGAGCCGTTCGCACACCACCCTTCCTCCTATCCACCATCTACACCCAGGGCTCGCGCACGCGTCCATGCAGCCCCCACCGTCGCGTCCGCCCCCGCGAGCTAGCTCGCCTCCGTACATGCAGGGCGCGACGTACCCCTTGGCATCTACGAGTAGTCTTGGTGCGCGAATCCGTACCACCCGAGAGCACATCCGCTGACCTCTGCACAGGAGTGCGCCCCGCACCAGAGGACTCTGACCCGGAGACGAGTCAAGGTCGCCAGAAGCAGAAGCGGCGCCGTCAGGCTCTGAGCTGCACAGGTGCCCCCTAGCCTATCTGTCACATCCGCGCGCATGCTGACGCATCGACCATCGTGCCTGCTTATCACCCTTCATCTCCCGGTCTCATGTCCGCGCGCGATTGGGTTTGCAGAGTGCAAACGGCGCAAGATCAAATGCGATAGGTGCGGGATCACGTCCGCCACCCTCGAGCCAGCCGTGCGTTCTATTGACTATTAAACCTCGCCTTGGCCTTCTTAGGGCGAACCCGTGCGGGCCCTGCGTGCGCCGCGGCGAGCAGGCGAAGTGTCAATGGCACGTAATCGAACCCATGTCAGTCTCGTTGTTGTCCGAAGCCATCGGTGCGCTGACGCCGTGCTCGCGTTTCTAGGGAGAAGTACGTCACCCGGAGCGAGTTCGACGAGCTCAAGGCGCGAATGCAGGATCTCGAGGCGGCAGTTCTGCGCGGGATTCCTGGGGTCTCCCCGCCCGCGCCCACCTCGCGACGGCCCAGCATGTCGGCAACGATGCCCATGACATCGGGACACCCCGCGGAGCCCGTCCACGGCACCGCAATAATGCCCTACCAGGCATATGGTGCTACATCCGTTAGCCCATATGCGCCGCGACCAGGCTCTCCGCGCTCGCCCGCGAGAGGCGAGCCGCCCCCATACTACCGCCATGCACACCCACCTCCGCCACCCCATTCAACCGCAGGCCGGAGTCCAACGATGCCGTACCACCAGCCCCCTGGGTCCAGCGCGTCCGCGCGCCCCGGATCCATCGGCGGAAGCGCCCTGCACCTCCCGCCGCCGTCACCGCGCTCGCCCGCGCGTGCCATTTCCCCAAGCGTGCGTACCTCGCCGTCCGTCCGGCGCTCCTCCATTTCGCTCGCGGAGATCACGACGCCGTACCACGCGCCCCCTGGCGGCGGGGCAGGCCCGGGGCCGGGGCCAAAAAATCACAGCGCGCAGACGACACCGCCGCCGGGCCCTCGTCTGCGCCCGTCGCCCCCGCCAGGCCCGGCCACCGCACTCACCCAAGCATCCCCTCACCTCCGTATCCACATCGTCGACTTGCAACGACGGCGTCCGGTCCAAGTGTAGAGTCCCCCTCTCCTCCCCGCCCCGCCCCCGCGTCTGCTCCCGCGCCGCGCCAGCCGTCTGCGGCGCCCTCCGCACCGCCCGCTGCGCGCGCTCCGAGCCGTCCGTCGACCCTGTCCGCGTCGTCCTCGTCCTCGTCAAGCCGCTCGCTCGGGCAGGACACCTCCGGGGAGTCGTCCGCGTCTCACCGTGGGCACGCGTGACAACAGTCGGCGCGGCGCCGCCAGCGCGCCGTGCCGTCTATATCAATCTAACGATTCGTGCCCAGGATCACTCCTGAACCTGGAGGCCCGCGGAACTATATTGCACCGTCTACTTACTGTACCACATACAATACCGGCCCCACGGGGTTAGGGTGCTCGGTTGTCAGCGCCCCTGTCGTCGTAAGCTTCTCCGTCGCCTATTTATTATCATGAGCATCCTGTGGTCCGTACCTTACGCGCGCTCCTGCAAACTGTATCATATACCCCAGATCTCGTCGAGAACGCACTCATGTCGCATTGTACTCGAGTCTCCTACCATCACATGTGCCTGCCCACTGTAGCCCCGGACCACCCACTCACGCGCGGAAACCGTTGTACGAGAGTCATACACACATATATTGCACAGCATGGAGTCATATAACCTACACAACGATGCACGTAACGAGGGCAGGCGGGGGAGTTCATGTTGGGACTGAGCTAAACATGGTGGCATGCGGATGCAGAGGAGACATGGGCGGGCGCGGCAGGTTGGAGGGTCAAAGGAAAGCTGCTGCCCGCATCAATCACGCCCATCACCAGGCCAGCGGGACGAGGCACCGGGCGCGCGCCCTGTGTGGGCGTCCGGGACGCTTGCAGAGACCAGATGGACGGGTCTGGCGGCAGGACACCGGTCAGGATGCCTGCGCTACCGCGGCACGGCCGCAGCGGCCAATCGGCGCCCACACAACGCCCGACAACCACAGGGGTAGATCCAAGATGCGAGGCTGCAGCGCGCAGTGGGCACGCCGCTCGGCCGCGGGGGGCTGATAACCCGGGGAAGGCAGACCATCAAAGGCAGCTCGCCTGACGACCATCCCTGGTGCGGCACTAGAAGACGGTAACGCCGCTTTGGGTTCCGGTGTACTGCGACTTCATGTCGTCTAGATCGGTGCCATCGTCCTGCGACTTGTAGTCGTACTGCGAGAGGCTGCCCATGTCCGAAGTGCCTGCGGTCGAGGAGAAGGAGGAGCGGCGCTGCAATCTATCAGATTGCGAGTACGCCATGCCCCCAGGGCGATCCGATGCGCCGACCGCACTGCCAACGACGCTGGAGGTGTCCGTGCCTGCTGGACCAGCATCCTGCGAAATGATGGAGCTTGCGTAGCTGCCATAGGTGCTCCGTTTTGCGCCACTCTGGCGTTGCATGCCCGGGCCGAACGGGCCGGCGGCTGCAAACATGGGAATGCCCGATGAGTATGTGGCCTGAGAGCGGAGGGACTGGGCGTCGGAAGGGATGTAGCCCAGCGCATCGTGGGTACGGTAGAAACTCGCATCGAAGCGGCTGGGAGTCCCGGATCTCCGGCCTATATTAACTTCATGTCAGTTGACGTCAAGAAGCGGAACTCAGATGGCACTCGGACGCACCGTCCCCCATCATTCCGCCAGTGCCGAGGTAATCCCTTGCGTTGGTTTCATGTCGCCGGAACTGGTCCATCGCCTTCACTAGCGTACGCCTCGGCTTGCTGAACTGTATCATGCTAGGCTGGAGGTTGCTCAGCGGCCCTTCAACCAGGCAGTTCTTCTCCTTGTAGTGTGTCAGGAGGTAGTGCCAGAGCGGGTGCTGTAGGCGTGTCAGCTAATCCAAGCTGACGGACTTAACGCAAATGGATCTCACCTTGCTAAGAACCTTCGGGTTCCCGAGAATCACCACGCCGTACTTCGCACGCGTGAGCGCGACGTTCAGTCGCCTGGGGTCATTGAGGAAGCCGATGCCCTGATGCTCGTTGCTCCGCACGCAACTCAGGATGATATAGTCCTTCTCTCGGCCCTGGAACGCGTCGACGCTGGCCACCTCGATCTCCTTGTACAGATCTTTCTTGAGCGAGCCGTTGAACTGCATGTAGTTGACGATGTAGGAGCGCTGCCCCTCATATGGCGTGATGACCCCGATTTGGCTAGGCACGACGCCCGACTTGAAGAACTTCGTGACGATCTTCTCGACGTTAGACGCCTCGGTCCTTTTAGCGGATATTAGACCCGTCCGCGTGCATACGTAACGCATAATGAACGCGGTACCCACCTGTTCAGGAACGACGTTCCGCTCGATGAGATCTCCTCCTGGCCCAGGTTCTGATAGAAGAACATGGGGGTGTCCGGAACGGGCCACGGGAAGTCGACATTCTTCCTGAGCCGCTCGGGAGCAGTGACGCCGTTCTGCAACGTCCCTTCGTAGAACATGTTGGAGGGGAACTCGGACAGGCACGGGTGCATGCGGTACTGCACTTGCAGACGGATGGGCCGGTTGCCCAGGACGACCAGCCGCTCGAAGAGCGACTGTGTCAAACCCGCGCGTGCCGCCTTCTTGTTCATGATGACGGGGCCGAGTTGCTAATCAAGGTTGCGTCAATACGGCATCGCGACCTTGTGCTCCATGCACTGACCTGATGGTCTCCAACCAGAACCACCTGTTTACAGCCGAGGATGAGTGGTATCATACATTCTTGTTACCACAATTAGTAATTTGCGTTACGAAATAGGAAAGCAGTGCGTACCAGGCTCCGCGGCTTGAGTGGCCTCATCAATGAGAACCGTCCTGAACTTGAGCTTGCTAAGCCGAGGGTCGCCAGCACCAACGCATGTGCAGCAGATCACATCCGCCACACCGAGGATCTCCTTCTCGCACTGGCGAATGAGGGCCTTGTACTTCCGCTCGTCGTTAGAGCTCAGCTCGCCCTGCTCATTCTTCAGCTGGATGAGCTTCTGCAGCTCGACGTGGGTCGTGTTGTTCGCCACTTGCTGATGGAGTGTCAAGAAGGAGACCGACGAATCCAGGGCCTCGCGGGATTTGGCACTCAGCCGCACGACCTTCAACCCGGTAGCGTGGATTTTCTCGGTCAGCTGGTCGACGGCGACGTTGGAAGGCGCGCAGACGAGCACTTGTCCCGGGTTCATTTTGGCAAGATGATAGACAATGGAAGCGGATGTAACCGTTTTGCCCGTTCCTGGAGGTCCCTGGATGAGGCTTAGTGGTTTCTGCAAAACACTCTTGACAGCGAACATCTGGGAATGATTGAGTTCGGGCAGGCCGGGGGCGGAGAACCGCTTCGGCATCTGGGTTCGGAGAACCTGCGGCTCCAGCTCGTGTCCCAGAAGCTTGTGATACTGTACACACGATAAAGATTTATTGTATGGCGCAGAAGATGATGAACACTCACGATGTAACCGCTGACGCTCTTCTCGTCCACAGCAAAGGTCTTCATTGCTAATTGCATGCGGTCAAAGCTGGTTGACTTCCATACGAAGTCAGCGGTGTAGCCGTGCGTGACCTCCGTAGGAACACCCTCAGAGCGCCGCAGCTCCAGGCCGATCTCGTCCGACACATCTGAAGGCGCATATAGTGAGTATACATACACATATCATCGTAATATATCTTACTGTTCGGGATCTTGATGACATGGCCGTCTCCTTCCCAAGGCTTGTGCAGCGTTCCATTGTATTTCAACCGCAGTTCATCGCCCACCGCAAGACGGACTTCCCCGCTCTCCAGTTTGGGCAAACCAAACCAAGCGACACGTTTCTGGTTCAGACCCAGATCCCAGCGGACGGTGATGTCGGTCTGTGTCTGTGACTCCTTCAGACGCTTGTCGTAGTCAGCTTCGATCTTGACAAGCGGGCCGAAGATGTTCTGATACTGGTATGCATCTTCGTAGCGGAGTATGACGGGTTGGGGCTCATCGTCGACGCCCGGCTTCTCTAGATCATCAAGGGTGGCGTTCGCATTCTCCCGCCATAAGTCCTCGAGTCGGTTGATCTGCTGGAAGGAAATTTGGCGAGACCGAAGCTGCTCCTGTTCGCTAGGAGGCTTGACGAGCCACGACAGGAACGAACGGTCGTCGATGAGGGGTGCCCAGAGAGTGGGGTTCCACGAGATGTCTTTCGACACGGCCGCACACGGTTGTCTAGGCGGAAGTCAGTTAGAGGGATAAGTGGCTAACGTGGATATATATGGACGCACCGGCAGAGCAGGACCACAACTGTGTCGCTCTTTGCAGGAATGAACCCGAGCATGAAGACATTCTTGCTGCCGCAGTTGTAGCACTCCGGAATGGTCTCCCCAAGCGGGCTTTCACTGTGGAGAATGACCTCCTTGTGCTTGGCGCGGACAAGATGATTGACGATGTGCGACGCGGAGGTATTGCCCCTAGAATTGCAGAACCACTTGGAGCAGATGAGGCACTTCACCACTGATGCGGGCGAATGGATGCCGCAGTAACTTAGCGGCTCCGTGGTCAGTACATAGCCATACCGCTACCGCAGCTGACTCACCTGCAGGCGTGTGGAGGCAGATCAACCTGCCCCTCGTCCTTCAGATCGTCCAGGACCGCGTCGAAGTCCTCGTCAAGAGAGGCTCTGCTCGGAGTCTTTCCATGGCTGCCGTGCGAGTGGCCATTTGGAGATGAGGTGAACGAGCGATCGTCCGTAATAGATAGGTTTTCGAGATCCGGAACGCGACTTTGGCTTGTGGTTGTGTTCACGGTGTAGACAGAAGAGGTGTCGTCCACGACACTCATGGCCCCGCCATAAGACGAGGCAGAGTCATACTGGAAATTTTCAAACGTGTCCATGGTGAGCCCCAGGAGAGTACAAGAGAGAGCGAAGGAGAACGAGAAACAGAAGGACGATTGCAAGTCTGTGCTCTGCTTAGTCGGGGATCAACCCCACGTGGGTGCCACATGGTTATCTACCACGTGTCCGGCGCACGATCGGGCAAGGACACAAGCGCCTACTAGGACACACCTTGCTGCATCTCCGATGGCGAGTCTACGAAGCAACGGCCGGCCAGAGCCAGAGGTCATCGCAAACGTACGACAGCTCTCGTGCAGCGATCTTTCTTGCCAATAATGCTCACCTTCTTGTCTTTTTCGTAGTTTCTTGACGGACACTCCTACTCCAAGGGCAAATTGGAGGAAGTGTTCCGTACCCTTCGCCTCGACAAACCCTACCCCAAACCTGCGAGGGCTCCGCCTAGCCCGTATAAAGCCGAGGATATCGATCTCCTCGTAAGTAGTGCTGTATCTGAGTCTCTTCTCTCGTCTACATGTCCATTGCAGGTGCAAGAGTTCGAAATTACGCGGCCCCAGGCGGAAAAGGCTCTCGCCGAGGTGGACGGGAACGTGGTTGAAGCATTAAGACGAATGGTGACACTATGACAAGCCCGTGTAGTATAGTAGACCGTAACTGCAGCCCCCATCCTACTCCTGGCTTGCTTACCGCCCCAATGTGCCCACCCCTCTGATAATTTCCAAAGACTGCAACAGCTTGCCGGCCGTCTCCTTGCTGTTAACTTTACCCATCTTCGGCTCCGTAGTCGGCGTAGTGGTCATGCCCGCGGTGCGGTGGATAGGGTCGACGTGCGCGACGTACTCCTTCGAGCCCGGTGGATGAGGATTGGCCCTCAGGTCGCGCGTGACGTCCGAGTCGATTCGGACGGTTGTCACCATCTTCACCCCTTCGAGGCCCTCCGGAGTGACGCCAACCGTGGCAGGCGCAGCGTCCAGCCGCACATGGTTGAAACGGAAGGTAGTCGCGGGAGCGGTGTCGATTCCGCGGTCGCCGATAGTGAGCTTCGCGGTCATACCCGCCGTTGCAACGACAGAGGAGTTGTCGTTTTGTTTGGAGAGGATGCGGCCGACGTGGGGCTTGACGATGAGCTGGGTTTGTAAGGGGGTAGAGCGTGCGTAGCTCAGACCAGCGTAGCGATGGGGTAGCTGCTCGATGTGACGAGGTCGAGGAGCGTGGTAGTCGACGTAGGCCTTGTGGGCGAGGAACTCCTTGAAGTCGTCGCCCGCGGCATGCAGTGACCGGTTGAGGAGAGACTGCTCCTCCTCCGAAGACACCTTTTTCCCGTGCTTGTCCAAGTATTCACGGAAAGCAGGACGGAGCTCCCGGAGGCGCTTGAGGTACCAGTTGAACTCCTTGTCCGACATGGCCTCGACGTTGCGCGTAGCCTGGCTCATCCGTGGCTTCACGGCCGCGTCGACCGGAATACGTGCCTGGTCTGCGTCAACGTCCGCATCCGCATCCGGGTCGGTCTTCTTCGTCTCCTCCTCTCGCGGGACCAAGTCCGAGTCCACAGAGAACTCGATCTCGCCCAGCTTCCCCAACCTCATCGACCACATACCATTGGCCTTGATCTCCGTCGGCGTCGCCCCTGTCTCATCCCACATCCTGATCCACCTATTTTGCTGTTCCGCACTCCGCCATACTGTCTGCTGTTCTCGAGAGTCGATCGCCTGGACAGTGATGTGCGCGTTCCTTCGGCGGATGGCGAGCGGCCGCTTCAAGCCAAAGTTGCCGCGCGCAGCGTGTCCGTCGAATGTGGTGTAGACCTGGCCAATCTGGGGGTCGAAAGACGCGAATTTTGACCGCCGCAGGAGGGCAGCGAACTGGGACGGCGGCGGGGTAGCCATGAAGACTGTACGAGGCCGGTGTGCTAGCAGCTAGGCGCTCGCGAAGGACGCAAGGCGGACCCGCAAAACGGTTCAATCGCCGACCAAACAAGATCGGCGCGCCATATAAATGGACGTGCACGCGCCGCTGGTTGGCTCAAAACCACCGACGTCAAATTGCTGTCCTGTCCTTTGCTTGCCTTCACCGGCGCTGCTCTCCCGTAGGTTGGACGGTCCAGACAAACGTCGAAGAAGAAGCCGGATGTCTCAAAAACAATCTTTGCTGAATGCTTCTCCCTCTGGTTGAGAGGCGAGGACGCAGGATCACCTGGAGCTCATCTACATTCCCCTTTGTTACCTACTTGTACTTGGTACGGGCGTCGGAGCAATATATCTTTTGTGAGTCCTTCCTGTGCGCTGTGATGATGAACCGCGGAGGCCGATGACGAAAAACCTGGTAACATAACGCACCCACAATGTGTGAGCCTCTGCGCCATGGCAGCTGGGTCTCGCAGGCCTGGTTGTCGGTGGTGCGGCACGGTTCCACAACCTTTGGCTTGTCCAATATTCACTCATGTGCGTAGGGTGCGGATGGAGAGTGTAAGGCGAGGCTGAGGCCTCCGTCGGTTCATCAACCTTTCCGCTGGCCATCGACTGATTGTGCCTTCTTGCAGTTATCGTCAGGCACTGTGCTGGAGTCGGGCTCTCTGCGCTGGCGTTGCGCGTAGGAAATGGGGGGCTCGTTACATGTACTGTATGTATTCTAGTGTTTCGCTACGAGTATCCGGTGTTGTATCATAGCGACTGTGGAGTGCGAGTGACGCGGTCGCGCAATGCAAACTGCGAGCGGGCGGAAAATTGATTTGCGAGCGTCGGTGCGCCATGCGCAGCCGGGCGCTTGCGGGCGGAGGGATCGAATTCTGGCAGAGCCGACGCCTGGAAGCGCCTGCGAATGGACGCACCAGTTCGGGGGCGGGGGCGTCCCTCCTTCGCCCGTGGTTCGCTTCCTCCTCCACCCTCCACGACGACGACGACCTCCCCTGCGCGCAGGCTGTCGCTCCGACGCTGTTCTGCTCTCTCCTGCGGCCTCTGCCATCCTAGCTAGTCGTCTCCTCCGAAGCTAGCTCTTCCGATGGACACCCGCCCAACGCGCAGAGTCTCTACCCTCGGCATGTCGGTGCCGTCCTCGCCAGATGTGTACCACCGTCCATACCCGACGGTCCGCAACATCTCTACCATATCTCTCGACGACCCTGCAGCTTCAAGACCACAGTCCGTCCGGTCAAGTCCTCGACTGACGCCGATTTTGACACCCATCGACACCTCGCCTCTTCCTTCGCCTACCTCTGCTTCAACGAGTAGTAGCGGTGGAGACAGCAAGGGACCCACTGTGTTTGGTTTGCCATTGAAATACGTTTCGTACGTGATTTTGCCTTCGTATGCCTACTTGCACGTCTTTACGAATTCGCGTAGCTTGGTCACGCTTGCTGTCCAGAATGCAGCGCTGTCAATCGTTATGCATCAATCTCGAGTGTCCGCGCCCGCCGCGCAGTCATACTCGCCCGCCACGGCAGTCCTGCTTAACGAGATGCTCAAGGGTGCAATTTCCTTCGTCATCGCGTTCCTGCGCGTGGCGTACGCGTCGGACGCCAGCCATCTCGGGTTCGCCGGCTGGTTTTTTGCGCTTCGGAGGGTCTGTCAAGAGATTTTTAGCCCCGACTGCTGGAAGCTGTCTATCCCCGCTCTGCTCTATGTCGTGCAGAACTCGCTGCAGTTCGTCGCGGTCAGCAACCTCCCGGTCGCGACCTTCCAAGTGACGTACCAGATGAAGATCCTTACCACGGCCGCGTTCTCCGTCGCTCTCCTCCGGAAAAGGTTGTCGTCGTCGAAGTGGATATCCCTCTTCTTCTTGGCCGCCGGCGTCGCCATCGTTCAACTCCAGACCATCGGCACCAGGGAAGTTCCCGCGAACACGCCTGTGGGAAGTGCGCACGAGTCCGCGCCGCTTCACATCCACATCATGAGCCCACTCAAGGGGTTCGGTGCGGTCACCGCAGCATGCTTCACCTCCGGCCTTGCAGGGGTGTACTTCGAGATGGTCCTCAAAAACTCCAAGGCGGATCTTTGGGTCCGCAACGTCCAACTATCATTATTTTCGCTTCCCCCCGCCATCTTCCCCCTGTTGTTCCAGACCTACCACCCTGCACACGGCGGAATTTGGGCGAACATGCTGCGGAACTTCGGAGGCTGGGCATGGGCGACGGTCAGCATTCAGGTGCTCGGCGGGCTGATCACGGCTATTGTGATCAAATACTCGGACAACATCCTCAAGGGTTTCGCGACCAGTCTGTCCATCGTGTTCTCCTTCCTCGCCTCTGTCGCGCTGTTCGGCTTCCACATCACCCCTTCGTTCGTGATCGGCTCCAGCGTCGTGCTCGTCGCGACATGGATGTACAACCAGCCTCCTGGCAAGGAGCTTGTCTCCATCACGAGCGTCATGCCCGGCGGAAAGTCTCAACCACCATCTTTCCCGGGCACGCCGGTCAGCCCCGATGCGCCTATCCTAGGACAGTTTTCGTCGGAAAAGAAGAGGCCATCGCCGTTCGGTAGCCCGCGCGCCTTCGCCACAGCGCTCGGCGTAGTGGCCTCGGAGAGACCGGAAAGCGAGCCCCACTTCGGGCAAACACTGGACACAAACCGCTACTTGAACGCTCCGTACGGCTCTCCATTCCCGTCTCGGACGCCCTCCCCCATCCCCACCCCTGCGCACCCCCCGCCGTCCTCCCTAAACAATTCGCATTATTCCGAACGGCGGCAGTAATACATACAATTACCCTACGACAAGTCTAGCTCACGAACCGGCGTACATGATATACCCCCACCCGTATTGCCGTAGACAGTTGAACATCACGAGAGCTCCTCGCACAACTATCCTGGTGCCTTACGCACGACGCTCCCTCCATGTCTGCTCAGGACCTATTCCCGCGTAGGATAGCATGAGACCTAGAGTATTTACGATATCTGACTTCGCTGTAATCACCCTTGACCTTTTGCTCACTCCGTGCGCGAACTAGAGGATCTTGGCCGGCGTCTCTTGGTGTGATCGGAATCTTGCATGTAGCCGGTAGCGCGCTTCTTAGACTTCACTCTTGTGCCTGCACCCCGCTGTACCTCTGAATCTGAGCACTGCTGTATACACAAAACCTCTGCACATGCAATGTCCATAGACCTCGAATGGAGCAGACTGGACTCGTCGCTCGCAGCGACGCTCGTCGACCTCATCAACCGGCAGCTCGCCAGCACCTCCCGCCCGTCCTTCATCGGGCCCATAGAGGTCACCTCCTTCGACTTCGGCTCGAGCGCGCCCGACGTCGAGCTCGTCGACATGCGCGACATCTACCGTGACTTTCTTGAAGCCGATGACGACGACGACGACGAGGGGGACGAGGACGGCCGCGCGCGCGCCGCGGCCGCGGAGCTCTCGGACGACGACTTCGAGTGGGTCTCGCGCAAGGCCGTGCGCGGGAAGGGCGTCGAGGACGGGCCCGCGTATCACCTCCTCCCTCCGCACATGCGCTACGGGATAGGTCCCGGGATGGGCGGGATGGACATGCTGCACTCGACGCCGTTCCTGCGCTCGCCGAGGGATATCTGGAGCCCTACGCTCACGAGCCTCGCGGACCTCCGCCCGTCGTACCCCTCGCCCTCACTGTACCTGTCCGCCATGTCTGCGATGTCCGCAGCACCTCCAGCCTCGATAGCGGCGCGGCGCGAGTCGCAGCGTATAGCGGACGCTGGTTCACAGGCCGGCGTGTCCGACTCTCCATCCCCTTCCCCGTCCCCCTCCCCGCCACAGGAATCCGCGCCGCCGCCCCCACCACCTCCTCAGCACCCTAACCTACAGTTGCACGCGCACATCACCTGGCACTCGAACCTGCGCATCACCCTCACAACATCCCTACTCATCAACTACCCGTCCCCCATGTTCATGTCCCTGCCCATCAAGCTCTCCGTCACGGGCCTGCTCTTCAACGGGGAGGTCGTCGTCGCGTACGAGGGGGAGCGAAAACGCGTGCACCTGTGCATCGTCGACGAGCTCGACCCGTATGGCCCGCTGGGCGGCGAGCGCCCGAAACGCGACACGCCGTCCTCGGGGGGTACCCCGACGGAGACGGACGAGGAGGCGCTCGGGAGTGCGCGACCGGGGAAGCCGCTGCCCATCGGGCAGCGGTTGTTGCCGACGATATACATCGAGAGCGAGATCGGGCAGGCGGACAAGCACGTTCTGAAGAACGTCACGCGCGTGGAGCGTTTTATCCAGGACGTGGTGCGCAAGACGGTCGAGGAGGAGCTCGTGTTCCCGAACTTCCAGACGTTCGTGCTGGGGGACGGAGACGGGGACCAGGACGGGGCAGACTGATTGCTAGGGGTACATTGTGTTCGCGGACTGATACACTACGGAGACGGACATGTAATACTACAGGGATCGATGTATACTCTACAACAGCGACTTGCTCATGTACGGCCCATCCAATTCGTATCCGAGCCTGCGGTAATAGTCTCGAGTGCCAACGCCTGCACAGACCGGTCAGTATCTCCGCTGTCGAGGCTAGTGTTATGCACTAACCAGAAATGACGGCCAGCTTCACGCTACCATGCTCCTCCCGGGCAATCCTCTCGGCCTCCTCCATCAGCAGGGTACCGAAACCCTGCAACCAGCGGTCAGAATGGTGTCATTGCGTATTCCAGAGGCCGCCCATACCTGATGCTGGAACTTGGTCGGGTCCCGGCCATGAACGGGGACCGCAGTTCCATACACATGCAGCTCCCGCACGATGCTACATCCACCCTCCTCCCGTCGTACCAGCTCCGGCCGGAACGTGCCCTCCTCCGAACACTTCCTCAGCCGGAGCAGTCCGATTAGAATATCCCGCTCCGGGTCCTCGTACGACAGGAACGTCTCCCAGCCGCCGTTCGCGGCGTAATCCCGCCGGAGGAGCTCGACGGACTCCGGGCGGACCTTGTGGTGGATCTCGTGGATCTGCAGAAGACCCCCAAGGTCAGCGCCGCAAAACAAGCACCGGAGATGAAACAAAAAAGGGACGTACGCCCACTTCGCGGAAGCGCACATCTCGGCACTCCGCGCCGAAGTCCTTCATGCGGTTCAGCGCGAGCTCGCGCAGGTTCCCGGAGTTCTCGCACCCGCTCGTGACAAGCGGAAGCGGGATGTCCCTGATTGTGCGGTTTAGCGTGGTTCATACCGCTCGGGGACGACGGGGTGATCGGAGCGGTCCGCGGACACTTACCTTTGCACTCGGTACACCCGTGTCCATGGTGGCACGAGCGCCAGAATGCGGGCCACCACGTCTACGAGCACATTGGGCGTGTAGTTCTTGTACCGTCCGGTGCGCCAGAGCTCGTACAGGCCAGTTCCGCGGATGACGAGGGTGGGGTAAATTTTGAGGCCGTCGCTGCGGAATGCAGGGTTCTCGAAGTACTCCTTGAATTGCTCGAGATCACGTTCGACGCCGACATTGGGCAAGTCCGGCATCATGTGTGCGACGACCTTGAACCCTGCGTCCTTCGCCAAGTGAAACGATTCGGTCACAGCGCGCACGGTGTGGCCGCGGTTGGTATCACGCGCGACGTCTTCGTAGACAGACTGAACGCCAATTTCCAGGCGAGTACAGCCATATCGCAGCATCTGACTAGGAACTCGGTGAGTTACGCCGAAATGAAAGCAGACGGGGTGCAGCCTACCTGAGATGTGGCCGCAGGCAGTAATCTGGCCGCGTTTCTATTGTGATGCCGATCGCCTTGGATTTGCTCAATTCGGAGTACCTGGCGCAGCAATTCAATACGCGCACAGGGAGCGTGCCGGGCGAAACATTGAACCTACCGTACTGCCTCGTCAACGTCGAGACCGGTATAGCCGGATAGGGCATTATGAAGCTGGGCGATAAAGGTATTCCTATATTCTTCTGGCATGCTCATGAACGTGCCTCCCATGACAATAAATTCGACCTGCGCAATATATTAAGTGAAAAAGGCCAACACGGGCGACATTAGATCCCACCTTGTCGACGTTATGCCCGAGGCTTTTGAGTTGCTCTACTCGACCTCGTGTCTGCTCATACGGATCGTACCGCGCTCTGATAGCTCGCATACTGGTCGGCTCGTATCCAGTATAGCTCTGGGTGCTGTAGTCAAAGTCCGAGTCGGGCCCTCCTGGACAATACCTAGAGGCAAATTAAATCAGCAGTTCAGGACGGCGTGTAGTTTTACGCACACACAGATGTTTCCAGTCATGGCGATGTGCGGACACCGATGGGGCTTGCACATTACCGCTACTACTGCGATCTTGACGCCTCGGTGAGCATATTCGTACCGCACAAAGATGATGGACATACCCCACTGGCTGTCCGGATCGGACGCGCTTTCAACTTTGGCAACAAGGCTTTCTTGTAATCATCCGGAATTGCACTGATGATATCGACTAGACGCGGAACGCCGCCAAAGCCATACTTTTTGCTCATCTTCGCGCGGAGTTCGTTGAGAGAGACAGTGGTGCCCGCATCGTGTGCTTTGATGAGTTCAGCAGCGATGCCTGAGGTGACTCGCAGCAGTTGCTCGGCCTGCGAGGGGCCTGTATGCTGCTAAATACATTGAACTGGGCGGCCCAAGAACTTTGCGCTCACCCTCCGTTTTTGTCCTTTGCACCATGTCCGCCGATACACGCGTACCTCCGATATGTTTGGTGCAGTTGTGTATGCTCTATATGTACCCCGATGAGCAGCTTGGTGTGGAGGCGGGCGTCGAGATGAGCGTCGGGAGCAAAGTTGCAAAGTTGCAGCCACCGGCAAGGCCGCACCGGGATGGAGGGGGCAGCCAGTGCGCTGCGCGGAATATCCGCGAACCGCTTTCCCCCATTCCATCAACGCCACCACGCGCTGCTACGCTACCTCCTCTCACTCTGCTCTGACGACCCGCACGACCTCGGCTCTCGGCCTCTCGCTCTTGGTTATCGTCTGCGTGTCTTGGTCTGCTGATGTTGGTCCATGCCGCCTCCTACCGTCGTCGATCCCTGGCTAGCTTCGCGCCGCTTCGGAGTTGTAATAGACGCAGGCTCGTCCGGATCTCGACTGCAAATATACAGCTGGAAGGATGCCCGCACGGTGCGAGAGCAGCTCGAAGGTGACGCTTTGCGCACCCTGCCGCAGGTGGGGAAGGGGACGGAGAACGGAGACGAGTGGTCCCTCAAGGTAGAACCAGGTTAGTCGGGTCGCACACTGTCTCGCGCACTTCAGACCGCTTTAATATCCCATCAGGAATCTCTTCCTTCGCGGACAATGTCGATGGGATCGGCGCATACCTCCAACCGCTGCTCGAGCATGCGAGGACGCATATTCCTCCCTCCCTCCAGCCCGAAACTCCTCTCTTTCTTCTCGCGACCGCAGGGATGCGGCTCCTCACACCCGAGAAGCAGGCTGAAGTGCTACAGTCGACCTGTCACTTCCTCAAATTCCACTCAAATTTCCGGATAGACGACCCGTCCGCCTCGGGACCGTGTGGTTCCAGCGTCCGTATAATCACGGGCGAAGAGGAGGGTCTCTTCGGATGGATAGCGGTCAACTATCTCATGGACGGCTTCAAGGGGTCGGACGAGGAGCGGTTAACTCATGGCTTTCTGGACATGGGCGGCGCGTCGACCCAAATCGCGTTCGAACCGAGCAAGCAGGACCAGGGCCAGGGGCAGAATCTCCTGGATGTCAGGCTACGACTCTTGGACGGCAACGACATTCACCACAAGGTTTTCGTGACTACGTGGCTGGGCTATGGGACGAACCAGGCGCGGGAGCGCTACGTAGCTCAACTCATTAACGAGTACGACGCCGGTCGTGCTCTCTCTCTCAGCGCACCGGAGTACATTGAGGACCCCTGTCTTCCTAAAGACCTCATCGTTACGAACGCTCCAGCTCAACCCGAGACTGCATCTCCGCACGCTAAGACGGCGCACAAGTTCGTCGGTACCGGGTCGTTCGAGCAGTGCCTGCAGAGGACGCTTCCACTCCTGAACAAGGATGCTCCATGTCCGGACTCACACTGCCTATTCAACGGTGTATCGGTCCCGCCAATAGACTTCACCGCGTCAAATTTCATCGGTGTATCGGAATATTGGTATTCGACCGAACAGATCTTCGGACTTGGAGGGGCCTACGACGTCGTCCAGTACGAGCGTGCGGCCTCTGATTTCTGTTCGCAGGACTGGCCGCGGGTCCTCAAGGAGCACGAGGAGACACGCAAACAGGGCCATCTGGGCGGAGACGGCGAGGTCGAGGAAGGCGGGGTTGTGGTAGACACCGGAAAGTGGGGAATCGACGTGGAGATTCCGCGTTTGCAGATGCAATGCTTCAAAGCGGCGTGGATCGTCAATGTTCTGCACGAAGGCATCGGCATGCCCCGCATCGTAGACCCCGGAGGGAACGTTACCACCGACGGCGACCAGGTCGCGGCACAGGCACAGACCAAGGGGCTCGGTCGGCCTACCTTCCAGTCGATGGACACAGTCGGCGACATCGCCATCAGCTGGACACTCGGGAAGATGGTGCTGGAGGCCAGCAGAGACGTTCCACCCGCGTCCGCAGCGGCGCGCCCGATCGTTGATCCTCTCGACGACATACCTGACATATCGACGTCCCCGGTGCAGCCGATCCGCCCACCGTTCCTCGACTTTGACGGGTTCGAGGATAAGATCTCGCACCACCTGCCCCCCGCGCTAACGCGACATTCCCTCGGATTTTCGCCGATCGGGTTCCTCTTCTATGTCTGTGTCGTCTCCCTGTGCTGCACGGTCTTCTACCGCATGCGACATCGGATACGAAGCACGGTCCGTCGCTTCACAAACAAGCGTGATCGTGCATACCTCGCGGAGGGCTACATGATGGAGGAGGGACAGTCTCTGACCGGCGGCCCGCCTCCCTCGCCCCCGTGGTCTCCGTCTGCCTCGCGACTATCCTTGCACCTCCTCCCCCCACTCCAACGGATCTCGTCCTCCCTTGGCATCCGCGCCTCACGGCCGTCCCCGCTCACCCTCAGCCGCGAGTCCTCCATGCGCGGCGGACAGTACTCCCCCGCCCGCATCTCCCCGAACCGCTCCTTCTCCCACCCTGTCATGAAGACGCAAGGCGGGCTCGCGCCGTACGAGGCGCCAAACGGCACGGCGACCTCATATGTGCCAGGGTCGCCGCGCCTGCAGGACGGGAGCATCGTGTCTAACGGCAGCGTCTCCTCGCTACTGTCGCGCTCCCGTAACAGCTCCCACATCAATCTCTCCTCGCTCGCCCCGCGCCAGGCCACCTCGCGCTCGGTCAGCAGCGGCATGTACCCGCCCGCATCCCCCTTCCACGAGGAGTGAAATATGAACGCTGGACACCCCGGACACCGATACCGCTGCGAGACCGCGCTCGCCGCCGCACACGTCTTCTCCCGCCCCTTATAGTTATTGCCTCGGACTGACTGTTGTTGGGACATGTCGTTATGTAGACTAAGTATATATGCCCTATGCTGGTTAATCAGACGCCTTCAACGGCCGCTAGCGTGCGCTCTGCCCGTTGACATCGTGCTGTACGCATCCTCGTGAGCCCTCTGCCTCCTCGCCGAAGTTTACGCTCAGGAACACGGTCCCCCGCCCCGGCCTCTCAACATTGACAAGCTCTGCCGTGCCCACGGTCATTATCGCTGCTCTCGCGCGGGCGAGTCACCTCTCGCCTCCGCGGGGAGCCGCGCTGCACGGTGCCTGTGCTCATTACCGCGGCGCAGCGGACGAACGCCCCAGCGCCTCCGCACCTGCGTGAATCCCATCCGCGCGCCATATGCTCGCGAAGCGCGAAGCGGCGCGCACCACCACGTCGAGCGTGGGGGACGTGAGAGCACCTCCACGGCCCTGCCCCGCGCTCGGGGCGTCCAGGGTCCTCGCTGGCGCGCCGCGATGCGGTAATGCATTAGCTGCGTTGCGCGTCATGCACCATGGTTTGCGACTCTGCGATCCGCCCCGTGCGCCCGCCCGGTGTGTGGGGACAGGGGTGCGGCACCCTGCGGGAGTGTGAACTTCGAGAACCCCGCACAACCCCGGGCCCGGGCTGTGGTCATTGCTCGCAGCGGGGGCTGGATAGGTGGGCCGTCCTTCCCGCCGCGCTGCCTATACTGAGGCATATTGGATGTGGGTGCCCTGTGCGCGTGGTGAGAAGCAGTGGGCGTACGTGAGGTTCGCGTACGCGTGCGGTGATCGAGTGCGCCGAAGGCAGCTTTGGGTTCAAAGTGCCCGGCCTGCTAGACTGCGCGCCGGGCACGCGTTGCTGCTTCTCGCCGTCCGGTCCTCGAGAGCAGCGCCGCGCGTCGGAGCGGCCCCGGCCGCAACTCTCGCTGGAGTGAAGCTTGGAGCTGTAGATTTGAACCTTGTAGCACAATACGCGTGTCCGTGACATTATGAGATACCAGCAGCGGGTCGCACGCCCTACCGTACATTGCATGCGCGCCACCCCCATCCCCGGGGCGACGTCCCTTCCCCTTCTCGCCCCGCTTCTCCAGCTTCTCCCCAGGTAGCAACGCGTAAGTTGCCGAGCCCCCGTACGGCAGCGCACAGACACTACAGAGCCCGAGCCGTACCGCGCGTCGAGCCAATCACGCCGCGCGTCGCGTGCGTGCGCGCCCGCCCGGCGCGGGCTCCGCCGCCTTCGCCTTCTCCTTGCCTTTGGCTGCATGCGTCGGGAGCATGCTCTGCTCGGCCGCCTGTCTGAGCCGTATGATGTCGTGCACCCAGTTCGTCTTCTCGCCCTCCTCCATCGCCAGGTCGTGCAGCCGCCGCTCCTCTGCGGGCGACAGCAGCCCGAGCGCCGTCCGCTGCCCGGTGCGCCACAGCAGCAGCTGCAGGATCGCCTCCTGCAGGAGCACGTTGTTGCAGTACTGCGCCCCCGCGGTCAATCCTCGTCAGCATGGCGGTCTCGGGGCGCAGAGCTCGAGCGGAACGAACCGTTAATTTCTCCACGGTGTCCAGGTCGTGGAACGTTGTCCGCGGCGGGGCCCGCGTCTCGCTGCCTGCAGCCGCCGTTGCATCCTCGGGGCTCTCATGCTGCGCGTGCGTGAGCCGGACGCCCTGCCGGGAGAAGGAGGTATGAGCACGCACCGCATCTGTGTGTGTTGTGGGATTCTCGGAGGGGAGATTGGCAGCTGGCACGTCCCCCACCGAGCCGGCATGCTGCAGATCGTCGTCGCCCATCATCAGCGCCCCGCTCGACAGGCCCGCAGGCCAGCCGCTGCCACTTACAGCGACCTCGCCCGCGACACCGTCCACGATCCGCGCCTGCTCGTCGTCCTAGACCGGCGTAGGCCCGCCCATGAGTCACTGCGCGCGAAACACAAGCTACGGCGACGCTCACATCTGTTTCAACCTCCGTCGCCGCTAGCGAGGATGACGGTGGCTCCGTCTCGAAAACTAGTGGCTGCAGCACGCAGCCGTCAGCCACCTCGACGCCTCGCACGCGGCCCGCGCAGATCGGAGCCTCAGCGCATGCACGCACCTCCGTGTCGCCCCCAGAGGCGTCCGAGGTCGGCGTTAGCACGCTCTCCGCGTCCGACTCGTCGTGGTCGCCGCCACCCTGCGCATCCCCACAAGAATAAGCACCGCATGACGCTCCCGCCAGCCACCAACTGTCCACCACGGGCGGCACTTACATGTCCATTAGCCTCCTTGTCGCCCGCTGCGCGTGTCTTAGCCTCTCCGGCGCTGTCCCGGACAGGCGGGTAAAGCTTCTCGGGCGGGTAGTCCACGCTCACGCCCAGCTCGCGGCGCCGCTCCCGCCGCCGCGCCCACGCGCGCACCAGGTACGCCACCTCCTCCTTGTCGCGCGCGCTTAGGCTCCCGCGGAGGGGCACCGTGTTCAGCACCTTCTGGCGGGCGCCGGCCCCGCGCATGAAGCCCTCGTGGGCTGCCTGAGAGGGACCATAGGTGCCCTCGATCACTGCTGCGAGCACGGGCTTGACGTAGTCGAACTGTTCGGTGAGCTCTAAATCATATTCAAACACTTCTGGCGCGGGTGGGGGGAGCTCGGGCAGCGGGCTGGGCGCGCGCAGTGCCTTCTCGTCCTTTGCGGTGAATGGGTGGTTGAAATCTTCCGGAAACTCCCCATCGTCGTCTGTGTCGACGTCGCTGTCTAGACCGTAGTTTCCCGTAGACTGTCCCATCTGTAAATTATTATCCCCCCTTCGTTAGTACACCTCCCCGCCCATGTGGTCGGCCCACGCATAGCGCATACACATACCTTACACGTCCCGAATTCGTCGTCGGCTGTCGTCCAGAACCATTCGGGCTCGATCTGCAGTACCGTGCCATCGAAGAAGAGCGCCCGGTACCGCGGCCGCTGCTTCTCGCTCTTCGGTTTCAAGTACTCGAGCAGCTTCGCAGGCCAGTACTGCGTGCGTGCCCGGCCCTCCCTCGCGAGGACGAGCTCCCCGGGGATCTCGAGCAGCGGATTTGCGGATGGCGCGCGCCAGGTGTGCTTCCACGACTCGGGGCTGGCATTATCGTCAGAGTCGGACAGCGAGACTTCGGACTCGGAGCCTTTGCGTTTCGCCTTTCCCTTCCCTTTGCCTTTACCTTGACCTGCCGGAATGTCAAGCGAAGGGAACGCGTTCAACTTGCGTCTTGCGCCCTTCGACGATGGCGGGGCGTCAGAGGAAAGCAGCACCGACGGCCCTCCGCCGTTCTGCGCCTGCTCCTCCCGCAGCATTAGGTCCCGCGCCTCTCTCCACGCAGCGTCGACATCCGTCTTGCGCTTCTTGCGCGGAGAAGACTGAGCTGACGGTCGTCGCGCCGGCCTGCAGTCCGTCTCGCTGAAGCGTATTCGGCCGTTATGCACCATCGAGCGCACGTTGGACGGCGATGGGTCGGGAATCGTGAGTTGTCGGGGCCCTGTGTCCGCACGTCCCGGAGGTTCCCCGAGGAATACCACGCGCATACATGGTCTCGGAAGATAAACCTAGTCGAAAATATCAGTAGCTGTAGACTACACAGATCATAAGCAGAGCAACCTTGGCAGGCCACCATATCGTGTCGGCTTCGTCCTCGTCGCAGTCCATGAGATTACCCTCGAGGTCGATGCTGACCCACACCAGACTCCCAATATCATGGTCGTCAGGGCTGTCCTCCTCGGACGAAGAGTCGAGCTTGAAAAGGTGGTCAAACGACTTCGACTGCTTCAGCACGCTCTTCTTGCCAGAGCCTTTGAGTGCATCCGCTTGGGACTGCGAGCGCATGAACTGACGCGCCAGTCGCGGCGCAAGAACCGGCATCTGTCGCACGGCAGGAGACTTGTTCATCTTGTTCATCTCGGGCGAATGCAGTGGGGTGAGCACGCTCCCCTCGCTGTCGGAGGACGAGATGGAGAGCGGCCGTTTCTTGTCCCGGACGGTAGCCGCAGCGCCGTTCCCGTTTCCGTTCCCGTTGGACGTGCCCACCTTCGGCGCGGGTTTAGTGTGATCGGGAGCTGCAGCTGCGGCGCGGCGCGCGCTGGGGGCCTTCGGCGCGTACTCGATGAGGTCGGAGGAGTGCCCGGCGCTGCTCTCGGAGGACGAAGAGGTAGTAGAAGCCGACCTCGCCCGGATATTCCTTGTCGTCTTCCTCGCCCCGCGTCCTCTGGGGGCACCGCGCCCCCGCCCGGCGCTGCCTCTCGGTTTTCTAGGGCTCTCCTCCAGGAGAGACTGGGACCGCGGACGCATCCGGGACGGGCCTGCCTGAACAACTGGACTTGTCTTGGCCACCGGGGACAGCTTGTACTTGCGTTTGCCCCCGTAGGTCACTTTCACATTAGTGCCCCGAGGCGTGGAGGGTTCGCCGAAAGAGACGCCACCGTCGTTCTCGGCGTCGGACGGAATAGGCGAGCTCTCGAGCTGCTCCGCTGCTAGCTTCGAGGCCTTGCGCGCCGCGGCGCGTCGAGGGAGCGCATTAGTTGCTGGTTTGTCTCGAGCGGCCTTCTCAGGCATACGAGAGAGGTTGTGTGTGCACTCTGAGTAGTCCGGGTCCAAGCTAATCAGCTTGGTGCGGGAGCGTGGCTTGCTGGCAAGTGATGGCAGAGCGCGTATGTGTTGCGCGAACGCGTGCGCCAGGTATGAGGAGGAAGACAGCTGCAGGGCAGAGCACCGGGTGGTGAAGAACAAGCGAAGTGGCAGAACTCGAGCAAGAGGTGCGAAGAGAGTCTGCGGCAGCACCTTGCGCTTTCCGCCGCCGCCATCACTCGCGTGTCAAACGCGTTCAGGCGCCCGTTGACGCGCTCGGTCACACCGTGACTTCCCTCCTATTAATCACATCCTTCGCGTTCGTGTGCAGTTTCTCGGGCAAAGAGATCGTTTGAAGTCGATCGAATGGTAGACACAAACGTTAACCATCAATAGACCCAATGAACTAGGAAAGCAAGCAGGTAACGTAATCCATCCTAGAAGCCCTTCAAACGTGACTACCACGGCAAAACCCGAAACTTAACAGATGCCCTTAGAGGAAGAAAGCAGAAAGCAAGCCAGCAACGCCCAACGCGCCCACCATCGACGCGCCCGTCTTCCCGACACCGTTCCCAGCGCCGGAGGACGTCGTCGGGGCCGCGCTCGACGTCGCCGACACACCGCTCGACGCGCCTGAGCCCGCCGTCGCCGTCGGGGTGCTGCCCGAGGCGACGCCGCTGCCCGCGCTCGGGACCGCGGTCGCGCTGCCGACCTGCACCGCGAACGGGGTCGCGCTCTCGGTTACGACAACCGTCTGCACGGCGCCCTCCGCGGACACGACCCCGGAGCAGACCGCCTGTCCGTTCGCGACCTGGCAGTCCTCCGAGACAGACAGGGAGGCCAGGGTGTCGACGTAGACGATGTGCGCCTCGGTGGCGTCCGCGACGAGCGTCGCTGTAGGTGCGAGTGTGGGGTCAGTACGCGGCGTGGGGGTGCGGACAGAGCGATAGACACGTACCGGTGCCAATAAGGCCGTCGTCTGCGTCAAACGTCCCGCTGGCCGCGCCGGGGCCGATGAGGTACGTCGTGCGGCCCTGGGCGTCGACACCCTCGACTTGGACGCTGAGGGCTTGCGGGTCGAAGCCGGGTACATAGAGCGAGGTCTGCGCAACAGCCACTGTGCGACATTCGGGTCAGCACTGCATACTTCGAACTTCGAAGCCACACAAGACGCTTGGCCACGGAAGATCTTCGCGGAACTCACGAGAGGCTTGGAGCACGGCCACAGCAGCAAGAGCGCCAAAAGAAGTAGCCTTCATCCTGGTATAAATTCAACGAGTGGTTGGTGGGGCAAAGAGCGACAGGGGATTTTTGGGAGGCGTAAAGACGTGGGGCACGGCGCACACCAAGAGAGGTGATGGTGGTGGTAGCAGAGAAAGCGAGAAGGAAGGCTTCTTTCCGCCTGCCACCATCATGATATATGCCCGCTTTATAATACATACAATCCACGAGGGCCTCCGAAGGCCTGAGACTGGCGTTGTCTACATACTTGCCGTGGATCAGGAATCAGCGCAGGCATACATAGGCTAGTCCGAGTCACTCCGGGTAAAGTCTTGGCTTTTGTCCGCAGGCACCGATCAGAGTCGTCTGGACGATGTCGATGAAGGCAAGCCTGGCTCGCTGCTTTTCGTCGAGCCAGGCACGGGTCACGGTGGCAACTTCGAAGAGTTCTGCCATGCCCACACCTCCCGACACCCTCCGGAGCGAGAGCTTGTTGCTGCTTCCAACTTGCGTTCTTGAATGATACGCGAAGAGGGACGTAAAGTCGACGCAGGTCGACGGGCTCAGAGGACCGCCGCCATCGGAGAAACGCACTCCAAGCCTCCCATCAAAGACGTGCGCAATAAAGCCCGCGATCGACGATCAGCACTCTCCAGCGGCCACTCGAGCACGCAGCTGTGCCGGAGCCGTGCTCTCACTCTCCCGCCCGCTGGCCTCGGAGCAGAAGTTGGAGCTCGCAGCCTCTCCGGGCCCGACAGGTAGGAACCGAACATACGAACCCCGTCTCAAACGCCCGACGTCCCTCGGAGGCTCCGATCGCTCCGAAGCGAACAGGATCGCCCTGATCCGACGCGGAGGCACCCCGCACGCGACCAGAAGGCGCATCACCGCGCCCCCGCGCCTAACCCGAGCTGGCATGCCCCGTTCCCCAAATGGCCGCCACGCTACTTGCCGCCACAAATATTGACAAGCTGCGCGGGCTTCTGCGGGCTTCTCGCGCACCCGGAAGCTGGGAACTCGAGCTTCTCGTCCGCGGGGGCTTCCCAGCATCCGCCGCCTGGCTTCACCGTGACCGCGGCGGCCACTTGATGCTTGATGATGGCGTCCACAAGCACCTACAGCGCGCTCGGGCGCGGCGGGTACTCCGCGCTGCCGGTGCCCGCGGGGCCTGTGAACGCATCGATCTCAGTACGTACACGCGTTGTGTATGCGCACGCGCATATACGTGTACGGTGCATACTGTGTACAACAAGCAGCCGCGGATCGAGAAAAGTAGAGTTCGACGCGTCGGCACCGAGACGCGTGTGGGCATTGCACATGATTGCAGCGAGTTCCTCGGCGAGACGAGAAAGGCCAGGATATGGTACGACGACATGTCATACACCTGTTGTCAAACCATCGGTAAGCATACAAATAGCCTTTCGCGTCCGGACGTGGCGGCGACCCTTCGCGTAGAACGTATAGCACCTAGCGAGCACCGCCAGGAAATATAAGGGCCTACCTAAGCTTGTACACCGGCGACCCTCCTCTCCCATCACCGCCCGAAACAGCTATCCAAAATATGTTTTGAATGCGCCACTTCAGATAATAGCTGTAACATACACCACGCGACTGGACGTACGGAGATTAACGAGACCCGAGGCAGCAAGCGAGCCGGAGCGGAGACCGGAAGTGAGGGGGGCGAGAGCGACGACCATGCAATGCGACATGCGACATGTAGTACGTACAACGCGGTAACCGCGCGGGATACCGGACTAGACAGAACTCGACACAAAAAACATATGGAGCGTACAGTATATTCTAGCGAGGAGCAGCGAAGCATCGGCGTCGACGTCGACGCCGACGAATCCAAGTGAGCAGTCCGTATGCATACCGAAAGACGAAGACCCATACGATGCATAAGGATCTGGGGGGAAGGGGGCGACGCAGCGTTCATGCGCTCACGTCGACCTGCGCGGACTGGCCCTGCTGCGAGGAGCTGCCGCTGAAGGGCACCTCGAGCCCCAGCTCGCCCGCAGGCGGTCCGCCGTCCTGGTGGTGATGGTGGCCGTGCTCCCCGCCCCGCGCAGGCGTGTTCGCGCCGGACGGCAGCGGCGACATCCACATGCGGGGCGTGATCAGCCCGCTTCCGTTCGCGCCGTACACGAAACCGCCGCTCAGACTCTCGAGCGAGTGTGACGAGCCTACGCCAAGTATGGCCCCATCAGCCTACGCACTAGCTGCTGATGACCGCAGAACGCACCTGGCACTAGGACGCTGTCCCAGAAGTCTGCGCTGAGGATACTGTCCATCGACAGCATATTCACGTCCATGCCGTGCTGCTGCGGGGGCGCCATCGTCGGCGGGAATGTCGAGATGTCCGCGACGGGCCCCATCTCGCCGCTGTACGCGAAGTTGTCCAGGAATGTATCCAAGTTCCCGTTTGCGGACGCGTGCCCGTTCGTATGCCCGTTCGTGTAAGGATGCGAGCTACCCGACGCGACTGGGGCATCGTGCGATGTGCTGCTCTCCCCGTTCGTGTGGTGCTGGTCTTGAGTACCGGCGGTGACGGAAGACGACGACGAGTGCGCGAGGTTAGAGTTCGCGTTCTCCTGTGTCCGTGCGCTGATGAGAGCGCGCAGGAAGCAGCTGTAGAGGGCAGGCGTGTGCAACTGGTTGACAGCAATCTGTTCAAAGACGTTCGCGACGTCGTTGACGATGGCGACCGTCTTCTGCTCGTGATCCAGGAACGCTTGGAACTCGGGGCGAATGAGCTATGTCACATAAGCGTAATGAGCGCACTGCGAACATCAGAGAGAACAAGCAAACTGGCCTTGAGCAGAGAGAGCACGGCGTAGGAACCCATGACGAAGTGCGAGTCCGGCGCGTACTTCAAGAAACCGAGCGGACCCATCTCGTCGCGGAGGAGCAGCGCACAGCTCACCGCGGACGAGTGGCACCGCGCAAAGAAGTGGCCAATGTCGACCGCGGACCGCTCGAGCGCGTTCTGCAGCCCGAACGCGTTGATGGTGAGCATCGCGTAGTGGAAATAGTAGTTCGCGATCAGCCGTCGGTACTTCTGCACGCGGTCGTTCTCCCCTGCTGAGAGGTACCATCACAGTTTAGTGTATCTGCTATGCACGAGAGGAGCCAGGGCGAGGACGCACCGATAGTGGCATTCCGGATGTGGAGCCACTCGTGATGCCACGCGAGCAGCTGCGTCTCCATGGTCTTGATGACGAGCAGGAAGTCGCACTCGACCTGCAGGCCCGACGAGTTCGTCGTCCCCGAGTACAGCAAGTCGAGGCTGCGGGTGAGAATGCGTTGTAGGTCCTGCATTGCGGGATCCGCGATCAGCATCGCCCCCCACAGTCCGCGCAGTCCGCGCAGCTGGTGGAAAACATACCGCATAGCCAGCGAGCGCACTGTCCGCGGGAACAGCGGTCGGCGACCTTGCCCACTGCGATGCATTGCGAATCATGTAACTGTGCGCCCGCGATCATGTCCGTCGGAGCACATGCAACACGACGCGTGCCACCCCGGCAACACCGATCACGGAAGAGAAGCGCAGGGAGAGAAGAGAGAAGAAGCCCGGTCAGCACCCGCGCAGCGCAGCCCAAAGGGCCCGAAAGAGCGAAAAATGTACGCACTCTTCCTTGATAGAATACGGCTTGCCCATCTGCGCGCTGAAAGAGCGGTCGAGACAGAAGCAGAAGATCCATGTCCGCTCCCGGTTGTGCACCTCGCGGTCCCGGGCGCGCCCTTCCGGCGTGTCGGGACTCACTGCGGTGGACCTGCGGTGCAGGTTCAGGTCGGTCGCCATCCTGCGAGTGGACGAAGCCAAGTTAGTGTCATGTGGGGAGATCACGACAAACACGGTGATCGACGCGTGTACGCGCCCGGCGAATCGAGAGGTAAAAGAGGAGAACAGACACGGATCGTCGGCGCCCAATTTGGACTCGAGACACCGTGTTGGCGTGTGTGGTGGAGGACAACGTACCTGATAGCCATGCCAAGGAGCATCCATGTTTGGTCCTGCTCGTATCGCTGCACGGGACCGCTGCCCCACAGGGTGTTGATAAGGTAACCCTGGACGATCTCAACGGACTTGTAGCCACGGGCGGGGACTTGGAAGGTGAGTTTCCGAGCGATCTCGGATAGTTTAGCATGCAGGTCAGGGCGCGCATCGTAGAACCGAGAGGCAACGGCGCAGACTAGGGGGATGTGTCAGACAGACCGAGGACGTGGCAAACGATGACACGCACTCGAGGTCAGCAGGAAGGGCGAGCGAGAGCACACCAATGACGGCGTGTGGAACTCAGGGTCAAGAAGGGGCGAGTGTACCTGCGCTCAGGGATAAGTCGGCGAATTACTCGGGGGCAATGCCTTATGCTTACATTCATATGATCAAAGTAGCTACAACGTCCGCGCGGTCAGTTTCCATTGATAACAACGCCATTGGCGAACTGTCATGCCGCTGGCAAGTGGTGCTTACATTTTGAAGAGGGCCAGGACCTCTTCGGTGCTGACAAAACTGAGCATTTCTGGCTGCACCTGCCGTTCGATATATAGTCGCCGAAGGGGAAGAATCGTCATAGGGCCTAGGTGAATAAACCGTCAGGAATGTGTTCTGATAGACGGTAGAGGGTGGATCATATGCACACCTGGCTTGAAGTACACGTCACTTGCGACGCCGAAGTTGGCCTTCTCGGTGGATCCTTCAGCCGTAGAACTGGACTTTGCGGCTGCTTGCGCACGTCGGTTGGCAAGACTGGCCTCTGCCAGTAGACCTAGCGGGTTCAGAGTGTTGTCGGGAAGTGAGTGCATCTTGGGTGACGTCGGGATGATGTGGTGTGAGGAGTGGTGCATGCGGTCGGGAGATGGCGGCGGAGAAGGTGAGTTGATGAGAGCCTGCGTATTCTGGGTTTGCAGCGTCGGCGATGGTGATCGAGAGAGCATCCCTGACGCTATGCTCGGATTTCCGAGGGAGCGCAGGACCGTGTCCAGAGTACGCTCCATCTTGCGCAAAGACCGAGTGAGGATCTCGTGTTTTCTGAAGCAAGGGATTAATTTCGGGGGAGGGCTTAGACAAAGATGGCACGTACTTTGTGGAGCGCTTTCCGCGGTTGGACTCCTCAAAGATACATTCATGGTTTCCCGTCTGACACCTCTTGCAGGGCGGACCGTTCTCTGCTCCGACGCACTTCATCTTGAGGCGTCGGCAGACTGTGCAAGCACTGCGGAGATGTAAGCGAAGGCGCTCAACGTGCCAGCAAGTGACGCACCGGGAGCCGCGAGTTGGCTTCGCCTTGGGCTCATCCCCTCTCTCGGTAATGGGACTTTGTGGGTCCGCATCGTCATCTTGACGCGCTCGCTTGCGACTGTCATTCGAGACGCTGTTGGATGACGCAGGGCGCTTCCCGTTAGCGTTTGCGCTGAAAGAAATTGTGTCGTTTGGAGGGCTGCCAATGGTCTCGGAGCCATGCGAGGACGGTGAAGAGAGGCTTGCGGAGAGCGTCAGGTGGGGCGGGGGCTGCATGTGCTGGTGCGGTTGCTGGTAACCATAGTACTGGGGCGCGTAAAGGGCCAGGGCGGGGTCGATCGGGATGGGCGGCGAGGGGGGCGGCTGCTGCATTTGGTGGGCCATGGGGTGCTCGTGCGGGTGGTGCAGGGTAATAGACTGCGAGGAGTAGGAGGTGGAGGCGTGGTGGTGGGGGAGCTGTTGGTGGGGGACGTAGTAGTCCTGGTAAGCCATCGGTGTGTGAGACATGCGGGCAGAGAAGTGAGGAGGGGGTGTGCGGGAACAGGGTCCGGGCGGGAGAGACTGAAGGAGGAGGCAGGCGAGCTTAATAGAACGTACAGGTTTCTTTTCTTGCGATGGTGGTGGACTGCACGTGGAGGAGCAGCCGAAAGAGCGGGACGGGGTGTGATTGTCACACTGGGAAAAGAAAAGGGAGGTGGGCGGAGGCGAGAGATGGGAGAGTTGCGAATGCGGAGACCGATTCAGGACTTGCGAGATTGCGATTGAGCAGAGGCGCCGCGGCCAATCAGCCCAACGGCCGTTTAGCGCAGTATCGGGAGCGCCCTCCGTCCGGATGACGGTGGGAAAGGGCGGGCGAGGCTGCTGGTCGCTGGTGCAGATGGTGGCAAGAGCAGAGCAGGCGACGCGGACGGTGCCAACGACACCGCGGGCAAATAACCATGCTCTTCTCAACGACATACTGAAATCATTGTGAGAACTGAAAAAATGAGCTTTGTATGTTGGTGATCGGAATATCGTGAAAACATGCTGAACACATGGGGTGTTTTCAATGTCCCAAGCATGTATTCACGATGTTCCACACAGTACACAATGTTCTTTGTATGTTCGAAGCATAGCGCATGGTGAAACAACGTGGTGGCATTTTTTCAGTCATTACCGTGTTATCAAAATGATTTATCTGGAAACATGCGGATATGCCCGCGGTGCGAGTGCGACCCCCAGCCCCTCTCCCCCGGACTCTGCATCCCTGCTGACGCCCAGATGATCCCCCCGTGCTGACTGTTCCCCGCACTCTGCCAATCAGGAGCGGGCGCCTGCTCCGGCGCGGCACGGCCCGCCACAGGGGACCCCGCACGGCGGGCAGCCCACAACTCGCGCTGCGCCAGTATGTTTGTCCGCCCTCGATGCCGGCGGGGGCGCGTCCAGACAACGCCCCCGTCGCGGCTCGTCCTCCTCTTCCCCACTCTACCCCAGGCTATAGCCTGCGCCACTGCCCGTGGACGCTGAGCAGCTCGGCGACCGGCGAGTTCTTCCGTCTCGGTCCCGCTTTGGGACACCCAGCACGCCCTGTGCGCGTACGTGGGAGTGCTCGCGGCAGTCTGCGCGGAAACGCCGTCCCAGGAACACAACTTCGCCCAATTCCAGCTGTCCCCCTCTGACTTCACTCCTCCACGTCCGCCGCATCTTCCTCCCACCGCTAGGGCATCTCCCCCTTCCAGGAATCCTCGCTCGGACCTTGCGCCCAATGTGGATCAGGCCCCTCTCACTGCACGCCTATCACGATCCCACTCCGGGTGCGCTTCCCCTCCCATTTGACAATCCCCTTGCCCGCTCGCTTGCAGATAAAATATACTTTAACTTGTCTATTTTCAGGCGGGCGAGCACATACTCCCCGCCCTTCCATTCGTGTTTTCGATGCGCCTCTTTGCGTTCCCTCCACGGCCGCTTTCCTCCCTCCGTATCTCACTCCCTGGATCCTGTGCCCGCGCCAATCTCGCGTCCGCACCCCACATCCGTCCTAGCTCCTTCTCGCCGCGTCTCCTCGAAATCCGTTCCCGACCTCGTCGACGTCGCAATCCCCCGCGGCTTCATCGCGATCCCGCGCACATTCTCATGTCTATCATACAATGACCACGCTTATCTGATCCATTGCACGGGCTCCCACCCCATCGCGTATCCAGATTGCAGCTCCGCAACGGTCACTCGTCCGTGACCGACTCGACTCCTGCTCGATCCCCGGTTCGTGCCAGGAACTCGTCTCACACACTCATACGCGGTATCCATGTACAGTAGTTCACCGAATTCCAATATTACGCTGACCTTATTCATAACCCGAACACAGCTTTCCACCTCCCGCCGCGTCGCGGGTAGTGTCCGGCATTTGAGCCACTTAACATGCTTAAGACATACTCCTCCCGGATGAGAGGCGTATCAAGATCAACCGTCAACGCTCAACGTACCGATTCGCCTCCGACCCAGGAACGCCTCAATTCACCCCACTCGCGTGCGCTAGACGCGTGCCGCGAGCTATGGCGGAATGCATCTGCGCAGCTCCTTCTCCAGTATCCGCATGGTCCGCCACTTTCATAGAAAGCCCGCCTACACGCCTGTCTAGTCCCCTGGAAGCTCACACACAGCCCCCAACCTTACACTCGACGGACTTGGAATACACCTACCAGGGTCCGACGCGCTCTCACGTCCCCCTCCGCCCGCGATCTGCCGTGTCATCCCGCCCTCCCGGGCACGCCGAACCAATTCGATGCCCAACGAGGTTTCTTCGACAGTACCTCTCGCTTACCCTCCCGCCTGCGCCCTGTGCGCCCACGCCCCAAGCTATTCTCGATTCGTTTTCTCTCTCGAGGAGGTGCGACGCCCCACCACTCGCCGCACGTCTTTTTTTCAATATTGGCCGCGTTCGGCATGTCTCCCTCGAGCTCCCAGGCTCCCAGGGGCTCGCGGTTGACTCGGCCGTCCCAGGAACGGAGTGGCTCCGCGTCGACTCCCACTGTCCGTGCTCAGCCTCCGACGGCGCGAATGCGTCAGCGACGCCTCTCTATTTTTCGAGCACGTTCGCGACGGCGTGCGTTCGACCCCGCCCCTCCGCGCAACTCCGTCGGCACCGTTGTGCCTGCCGCTCACGAGCTCCGTGTCCGCCCCCACCCGTCTTATGCTTTTCTATTCTCACATTCTCCCCGCCCCCGCAATATTATTCCCCCTCCCCGGCGCCCCAGAGCCAGCCCTGCCGCTCCCGAGTCGACCATGTGGTACAGAAATATATGCGTGGCCTCGCACATTCCATTTCTCCACGTTCGGGTTCCCACGAGGACATTGCGCCAGTCGGATGAGGCGCGCCCAGAACACGACCAGAACTGCGACCGGCGCAGGTAACGTTGTGGGCCCCCAAAGATGGCGGTGCGTGCCCATCTGCCTCCTTCGTGCCCCTGCAAGGCAGCCCCACCTCCGCGAGCTCATCTCCGGTCGTCACACCTGCCAGTCCGAGCTCGGTCCCGCCTTGAACAGCGTGGACCCCGCTTCCTCTGCGTCATTGCGAAGCTCAGCGCACCATTTGGAGCCTCGCAGCATTGCACCCATCACTGTCTGTATTGTTTTCCGCCCTTCTCTTCGGAGGGTTACGTGAACCGCACGATATACACGAGGCGGCGAAGATGGAGGATTTCTTCGTTGGCGTGACCGCAGAGGCCGTGGAAGCGGAAGTCAAACTGCGTCACCGACAAACACGACCGCGAAGGCGGCGCCCGTGCACCAGAAGGGCTCTCCGCAAAGAGAGGTTCGTGCGGCCTCTTCCTTCGCTGGGCACGTAACTGTCACTTAGGCTAAACAACAGGTGGACGGGGTTTTGCCTTCGTCGCCCGTTTGCGGGGCCATCCTTTCGTAAATGCGTCGGATGCTCAGCGCCGCTTCCAGCGCGACGTCATCCCGCGAGCGACCGACTCTGCGAACACTGCGAGGAATGGGACCACTACGCGCTTCCATTTCCCCAGAACCGTGCGGCTGGAGTCGCCTGTCGGTCTCGTACGCGACGCGGGGCGTGATCGCGAAAGGCAATCATGCGCGTCGCTGCGTCTTGCCCACGTCCTTTACGCGTCCAGCAACACGCTTCCCTTCTTGCTCAGGCGCAGCGTCCGTGTGGCCCTCGCACGCCCTTTTCTGCCCCCATTTTCCCATTTGTTTACTGCGTTGCCACCGCTTACGACGTATGTACTGCGGTCTCCATTCCGTACATATTCTTGCGGAAGACCACGCGCATGAGTCAACGTACACATCTGCCACTGTTCGCCTGAGCGGACAGTCGCAGCTTCTCTCGCGCGCTTGTCGAGTTGCGTCCCTATACAGTTCTCGAAGCAATGCTGTCCCGTGCACTTGCAGACGCTCACGGCGCTCTTCCAGCAAGTAGACATCGATTCTTGTCGTGCAGTGATGGCGCCGACGATGGTCGCGGGAGCGGCCTTCTGCGCTCCTGCGTCCGACTTGGCATCGTCTTTTCTGCGCAGTGCACGGTCATTGCTTCGATATTCTGATGGGCGGCGTCTTATGTACCTGAGTTTTCGCAGCATTTACAGCGCCGGCGGCGTACTGTACCCAGTGCTCGAGCCCGAGCTCGAGGAAGCCCCGAGTAACGCACCCGGACGCGAACCCTGGTGCTGCGCACTATCACCAAAGATCGAGGCGCACGCGCTTCGTCCAAGCGAGCGAGGTCGGGGACGCTGATGCGCTTCGCGACGTCGGCCTGGCCCAGGGTTTGTCCGGGCACGACGCCTCGTGCTACGCAGCGCCCGGCGGAACAACCGCCGTTACGCCCCATCCGGAGACATCCTCCGCGCCTCCGACCAGCGTCGACTCCGCCGCAGCCGGTGCGCTGCCTGAGAGTCCCAAATGCATAATGCATCTTCGGGGGCGGGTTTCGAGGTGCGCCGTCACCCCCCGCCGTGACACCTCCCCAGTGATGCTGCACCCGCGCGATCATCATTATGCATGTACCGGTAAGCACTTACGGAAGATGCGCACGTCAACTCGGTTCCTCCGCCGATGCCTCTGAGATGCATCATCCGTCTCGGAGCGTCCTTCCGCGCCCTCCGCGCCTTCCGCTTGGCGGGCGCTGCACCGAGCAGCGTTCGCACCGCGGGCCAAGTGGCCACCACCGCGGCGGCGAACCGGGGTGCACCGCCACTACTCGTCTTGCAGAGCTTCCCGGGAGGGCACTGGCCAGGGCTGCAACGCCGCATACGTACATACGCGGGCAGCAAACAAGCTGCAAAAAGGTCCGCCGCGCGCTTCGTGGATGTGTCAGACGTACGTACACGCGTGCGCCCCCGTGCCTGATGGTGGGGCCCAGTGAGGGCAGCGCGAGGTACGCGTCCGTGCGCACGTCTCGGCGGGAGAATGCCTTCTGGCGCTGGCGGGTGACAACGCCTGACAGGCGGAGGGCGGCGGACGCGCCACCAGGATGTCGATGTCAGTATGTTGAACGTTTGGCGTGATGGGACGCAGTGATCAGCCCGCTCGACGGCGCCGGGGGTGACGTTCATGATGCAACACTCGTGCGCATCGTCCGCGGAAGACGGTTGGAATAGGCATGGACGGACACCCGATGGGGATGCGCCCCGAAAATCACCATCGTCATGCTGCTGCCGTGACAGTGCATCGCGCTAGTGTGTGTGTTTTCTCGAATTATGGCAGCGAGCGGCCAGCAGCTTACCCGCGAGCAGTCCGCCAGGCAATGCGTGGGCCGGGAAATGAACCGGTAGGTCATGGGTTGGGCAAGGAGTGGTTGTGGCACACGCGAACCGCTGCAGCCTGCGAGAGCAGAGTACCGTTCGAATGCTCGGAATTATTCCACGATTCTACCCACGGACCTTCCTCGTCGGGAATGGCCGCAATATATTCGCTGAGAGACGATCATGAGTTCATCTCGGTCGAAATTCCGTAAAAGTCGTCATGACTCGCCTGAACGCCGTTCGCTAGACGCTGTCGTCGGGGTTGCGCCGCGATGGACGCTGCGGTAGACGCGCGCGGCGCTCGACGGGGGCGCGCACTCGTTCTTGGTGACCTGCCTAATCGGGGTCATCACCAGCTCGGCGTGTGCGGACCGAGGCGCCTACGGGCCCGAGGGGCACTGCCGTGCGTAAAGTTGAGGGTCCATCTGATTTTCTGCGGTAGCGTTCCGTTGTATTTGGAGGTTGCGACGGTGCGCGTCCCGTGCTACCGTCCAGAGTATTTCCTGATCCAGCGCTGCTCTCTCAGGAGCTTATGACCGTGAGTACTCGTCCGTGCCCACCAGACTCCAGCCGTCGCGCGCGGGGCGCTCGCCTCTATCTGGGACGTGCATCCGACACTACAAATCATCTGTACTCGCTCGTTGGTAAGCTCGTGCCGTTCAGCCGCTCTGCTTGCTCACAAAGTCGACACTAAGGTTGACCTCATACACGGAGCACCTCATGTTACGCGCCTGTGACTCAGCCAAAAGCGCTGTCACGTTTGGAGAACGGGATCCTATCTCGTCCCGCAGCTCGTCGCAGAACCCTCCAGAGTTTCCCATTTTCTGTTTGTACTGCAATTCCCCACAGAAAATGAGAGCTTTGCAAGGGTGAAGCGCAAATTTGCGGGAGGAGATAGCTTCCCGTTTCGATGTCACGCAAACTCACGTGATGAGGTGCTCCGTGTATGAGGCCAACCTTATTACGCGCAGATATCGACTGCGGGGTTAGCCGAACATGCCGCCCGCGTCCTCGTCGTCAGTCGCGCCCAGTGGGATAGCAACGCTATGTCTTCCCCACGGTCCCCCAACGGCCCCGACCTTGTTTCCAACCTCTGCGAGGCCCTCGCCATTGGCCAAAGCATCCTCTGGCGTGCCCTCAATCAGAAGCGGCGCGATTCGCAGTGCCTGTGCACGGGCCTCCCATTGGATGCCCTCTCTGCAGTCCAACCCACACCGGCCGTGTCTACGTGCCGTAATCGCCACACACCTCTCTAGTGCCTACGCGCGCGTGTGCACGTACAATGAATGCCATGACATGGACTCCTCTGCATCCCCGACACTACCCGCACCGTGACGATCTTTCTTGTACGGCGACGATAAGGACCCAGTGACTCTGCCTCGGGCGCGCGCACCACATGCTCGTCCAGTCTTCTCGGAAAACGTGGGTCCCGTTTTCTCAGGAATGTCTTCGCCATATGGTATGTGCTGATGCCCGCGTCGAGCTTAGCCCTGGCGGTCTGAATGGCTGATCGTGGCCCGTTCTCACCGCTGCATTCTGAGACGCAGGCGAACCTGTCGCAAGATGACGTCGACGCCCGTGCCGCGAGTCGTTCACGGAGTTCATCGTCGACCTCGCCGTGATCTCAGGGCACCCGAGGCTCTAGCAAGTCCTACCTCTCGTGATGCCGTCGTTCACGCCACCGAGGCTGACAGCTTTGTGGCGTGCCGAGCTATACGAAACTCGAGGCGGACATGGGCGCGCGACCCAGCCTATGGCTCGGTGGGTCCCATCCGCCCACCGATTGTGCTCCCGCTTTCTTGGTGCGATACCGATCACTTGTTCCCCATCGCTCATCGTTCGACCGGTATAATCTGATCGTACGATCTGAGGCAAGAGCTCTTCGCAGGTACAGGGCGGGAATTTCCATATTTCCTTCTCAGCGCCCGGCGTGGCTGGATCCTCCATCAAGAACTTATGGGCTCTCTAAGTACTAGTGTCGCCCCGGACGTCTTCGAACAGTGACGGATGTGCACGGAAGCCCCGCCCATCCGACAGTGTCGTTATCCTTCTCCGTCCGTGTGCGGTTGCGGTCCCGGGCGTGTACACTCGGACAATGTTTTGGGTAATGTCAGGGTCTTCTTCGTTACACCGGTCGGAAGCCGCATTCATCCCTTTCTCTTCTACATTCCTCCGTGCTCGCACGGCCACAAGGCAGCAGAGCTCGCATCTCGTAATTGCAAGAGCAACCGCAATCGCCCAAACGGCGCTGTCAACTTGGCGTAGCTATGCACTGCGGAAGAAGGAGGGTCATCATTCCCAGGAACAAAGGTGCGAGATACGGACAGGCCGTATCCTCGTGGCAAACGAGGTCTGACTTCAAGCTTCAGGACACAGCGGGACCGTTGAGTTCTCGAACAGTGGGGAGAGATGTTCTCGCAACAACCTCCCCAGTATTTCGGAGCCGCCTTCAATTTTTCTAGGCGTCGCTCCGGCCATTCCGCACCTGCGGTACCGCTCGCTGCACGCTCGTTTCCTTCCAGACGATCGACGGCCCTGGCCACTATCGCCAAGCGCACCCGAGATGGCGCGACTCTCCAATACGGATCTGCAGACACTGAACCGACCTCGTCCCATAGAGACGTTCGTGAAGCTCCTCCCGGGCGGCGTCAATTCCGAATAGCGACCTTCTCGGTCCCCCTCGGACATAGAAGGCGCGTCCAGATGGTGCATCGTCAGGCCGGCGGCGACACGATATCGACACCACCTGCATTCAGTCCCACCCCGCGCGTCCCATGCCCGCATGGCCACTCAGTGCCACTAGAGGAGACTAGAGGAGCCCCGAGTAACGGCACCGCGCTGTATGGGCGGGCTACCGCAACGCCGCACCGAAGGAAGCAGCGCGCCGCCGCCGGCGTGTTCTACGTGGATGCTCGCTCCGTCCCTGGGGCGCCCGCGCTCCCAGGGTCGCAGTAGGTGTGGAGAGCGTTCCCGACCCAGCACCCGTTTCGGCGATGTCATCGAGCACGCCATGCGTTCACCCTGCGAAACACACGCGGCGAGCCCGGGCATGCTATCCTGCGTGCTCGCGTTGGCTGCACTAGGGCCCAAGCAGCCTATCCCGCCAATGGGATTACGCCATCCCCGCTTGCTTGCGCGCCGCTGAGGCTCTTAGCTTGTTTGGTGAGTCTTCTCGCTGAGTTGGGAATGCATTTTTCCTCCTCATGTCACTCGTCACAAGTGGAGGTCTGCAGCAGGTTCTCCGACCGGGCTCAAGTTGTCGATGCTCGAGCTTTACCAATCACGCGCAATAGAGAACTTCGCCTTGGCCTAGCGTCATGAGCACGCTCGCGAAAGGTTTATTCGGGTTATACGTGCTGAGCGCCACTTCTGGGCCTTGCCCTGAATATACAGTGGTGTGCTTTCCGTTGTGGGGAGACGCAAATCGTAAAACACGCGCTTGGCTTCGCACACGGCGTCGGACGCCTCGAGTTTATTGCACCGGACGGCTATTGATACTGCTGGCGGGGTGCGAGAGAGCCCGCAGAATATATGGAGGCCAGGCACTTCGGGCAACGGGCAGCCTTAAGCGCAGTGCGTAGCCTTGGCAGAAGGATTACTACGACGCGGGACGCTGAGGGCGAGCTCCCGCACGCAGCAGCAGAAGCGGGAGACGTCCGTGCCAATATCAACGGCCCGAATAGAACATGACGGCATTCGTATTACCCAGGTTGACAAGCATGGGGGTTCGCACCAAGTATAGTACCCGCCGCAGCGCTCTCGAGGTCGATCTGCGTGAATCTGAGCACGCTGTCGAGAACGTGCTCTGTCAGACTGGGGAGGGCTCCCCGTCGGCACGGTGAGTCAGCTGCAGCAGGTGCACGGGCTCGAGGCCGTAGACAACTGACGCGGGTTTGCAGCCGGGAGCTTATGTGAAGTCTAGGGCCAGGTACCGAGGGGGAGGGCATTGAATGGTTCGAATCCGTGTACTGCGCAAGGACTGGAAGACGTCGGTGTCCGCATGGCAGGTGGCGCACGAAAGGAGCTCGTCGACCGCCAGCCATGGCCATGGCAAAGACCCTCTACCGTCCTCCAGGAGGTGGGTGCGGGACTGTAACCTTGTAGCGCGGTTCGTCCAAACAGGCACATCCCCTCCACGACGGAGTGGGACGGGCCGTTATCATTGTCTCCCCGCCAATTGCACGCGGGCAATGCGAGTTGTGGTGTCCACCGGATCGACTGTCACGGGCTGCAAATGTGCGCCTGGGAGAGGGGGTGGAGAGCTGGGTGAGCGATCCCCATAAAAGGAAGGCAGTCAAGATTGTGCTCACGAGGGCCGTGTCTTCGCGCAGGAAGGTTTGCTCAAGCTTAGGTGCCCGTGCCGACGTCGATATCAGTAGTCCCTCGGGCAGATCTGGCCAAGTCGGGAAGACAGATGAGCCCGTAGGCCTGCACGAGACCTCGCATCCAGAAAACTTTTGAGTGCAGTACTGAGCGAGACTGGGCGTTCTACGGGGCGAGAACTAAGGCATTCGTGTCGCCGTGTGGTGGAAGCGAGCCGCTAGAAGCAGCGCTGAGCATTGGCAAGAAGCCAATGAAGCGGATGGGAGGGCGGACATGTACGCATACACGATACGTCGCGTCGCGGCTGTCACCCTGGAGATGCGAGCTCTCAGCATAATTGCGTCCGGGCCCAGTCACCGTAGAGTTTCGTTGCGGAAGGAGACGGAGGGCCGCAGAGCGCTATGGCGCTGGGCATCCCGCGAGCTTGGCCTACAAATTGCACCCATAATGAGCGAAGCGATTGTTCTCTATCACACAGGGTTAATCTGGTACCTTGTGAGGATTTTGACTGAAGAAAATGAAAGACGTGGGTTTGGGCGCGGTTCGGGTGTTCTATGCCAAAGCCGGCTCCATGACCTTGTGGAGACCGGTGTGTTCCCAGAGTCAGATATTACCGCGCCAGGCCCACTGGTGACATGTACCTTCCCGACGTCTGACCATCGCAGCGAGCACAGGACCCATCACGCGGAGGCGTCGTGGACTCTGCAGCGTAGATGCGTCCCGCCGCTGATCGCAACACCAGGCGCACATATGTGCCAATGGGGCTTGTTACCGGTCAGTGAGGAATTGCTTTAATTATATTCAGACCCTGAATAATCCTCCAAGGTGCCTAGACGTACCTTCTGCAGCCGCCCTGAAGACACCCGCGAAGCTTTGAGCGGGCTGAGGTCGCCCGCCACAAAGGAGCGGAGGGAGGACGCGGAGACGGAAAAGGATGATTGGCCCCTTGCGGTAGATTCGGACTCCGCTGTGGCACTGGAGAGACGCGCCGCTAGACGCCCGTCTCATCGCTTCACGTCCAACTGCCCGACACTCGAGCTGCGCGGGGGGCGCACTCTCTTCGACCACCATCATGACCTCCAACCCTCGTCCTTCGCTCTACCTCGCACCGTCTGTGAACACTACGACGTAAGTAGGCTATTTCAATCAGCAGTTTGTTGGTGTCTGACGATGTCGCTTTCAGAGTGGTCACGACGACGACGACGACTACTACATACGCGCCCATCCAGCTCCCTCCAATACCTCCACCGTCTTCGCCCAAGGACCCGAAGCTATACCCGTTGCTCAATGCGACTCTACCAAGATCATTGCGAGAGTTTCCCTTGGTCTTCCCTGGAGGTTCGCGTGCCACTTTCCACGACGGCGAACTCGGTGAACAAGAGATGCAGGAGGAGGAATCGGTGGTGGAGGGTCAGGGTTGGAAGATGATCAAACGCGACGAGAGCGAGCCGAGGAAAGAGGTTGGTCTTGCGGAGGCCATCGAACGCTACGGCCGCAAGAGGTCGTACAGTAACGAGAACATGATGGAGGGTATCGAGGCCATCCCGGGTCTGGTCACGAATACACCACCGCGAAAGAAGGCGAAGAGTCATCCACCGCCCATCAACACGATAAATAACGCCGCGCCGCCTTCCCCCCTCCCTTCCCCACACGGATCCCCACCACCCGAGAGCATCTGGCCTTCGGCACCCCCCAGCGGCCATTCCTCACCCCAGCCCCAAGCACAAGCACCTGTACAACCCGACCTATCTCTCACGACACTACTCGCTCTCCCGTCGCTGCTTTCGCACTTCTCAAGTCTACCGCCATCACTTCAATCTCACGTGCTACTTACGTTCCTGCGTCACTCTCCGCTGTCTGTACTGCGCACTCTCCACTCCGTTCTTACTCCCACACTCGCAAGAGACTTCCTCACCCTCCTACCACCTGAGCTTGTGTCCTTGATCCTGAGCTTCCTGCCCTTCCCCGACCTCGCTCGTGCATCCCGGGTCTCCAAATCGTGGCGGGCAATCATCGATTCTGATCCTGTCCTTTGGCGAGACCTTCTGAAGGGTACTAGGATTTGGTTTGGGCACGACTCCGAAACAGCATTCTCAGACGCAATCATGGCGCGGCGGAGGCGACAAGGTATTCCCGCATCCAATTCACTTCCACTCCCTCATCCGTATAAGATCCTGTTCAAATCGCGACACCTCACACGCTCGCGATGGGTCACCAACCAGGAACCGAAGCGACTGACGTTCCCTGCACACGGACGGTCAGTTGTGACCTGCCTCATCTTCTCACATGGTCGCATCATATCTGCTTCGGACGACCACTCGATCCACGTCTACTCCCCTGTGACCGGTACGCTCATTCGCTCTTTGGATGGCCACGACGGCGGCGTGTGGGCGCTCGCGGCAACCAAGAACACTCTTGTCAGCGGCTCCACGGACCGGACGGTCCGGATATGGGACCTCGAGACGGGACGCTGCACGCATGTATTCGGCGGGCACACCAGCACTGTCCGGTGTCTAGCGATCGTGAAACCGGAGATGATAGACTACGAGAACGAGCATGGCATAATGGTCAGAGAGAAATGGCCAAAACGACCGCTCATTGTCACCGGCAGCCGAGACCACTCGTTGCGTGTGTGGACGTTGCCACGACCCGGAGATGAAGAGTACAGGTGTTATGGCGCGGATGATACCGAGGTTGACCCTTCAGAGGTGCGCAGTCGTTAGGTGGCATGCGATAGTCATATCACGTAGCTAACGTAACAATCCGCAGGAGGACGTCGACGATAACCCGTATCATAAGCTTCACCTCGAAGGCCACGACCACGCGGTTCGCGCGCTTGCCGCCCGAGGACGCACACTCGTATCAGGGAGCTATGACTGCACCGTTCGGATCTGGGACATCATCACTGGAGACTGCAAGTGGGTTTTGGTTGGACACACGCAGAAAGGTGCGGATTACGACAACGCGCAGTCGACTGCAACCGTGTACTGACGTCCCTGAACTAACAGTGTACAGTGTTGTCCTTGACATCAACCGTAATCTCGCTTGCTCGGGTTCTATGGATGGCACCGTCCGTGTTTGGAACCTCAGTACCGGGCAGTGTCAGCACATCTTGGCCGGGCACACCTCCCTTGTCGGCCTACTCGGCCTTTCGCCGTCCTACCTCGTCTCTGCCGCTGCGGATTCAACACTCCGAGTCTGGGATCCCGACAGCGGCGAGCTTCGGCACACGCTAGCCGCGCACAGCGGTGCGATCACATGCTTCCAGCACGACGAGTTCAAGGTCTTGAGTGGCTCCGACGGGACGCTTAAGATGTGGGACATCCGGGACGGCACGCAAGTGCGGGACCTCCTCACTGGTATCGTCGGCGTTTGGCAGGTCGTCTTCGAGGGCCGATGGTGTGTCGCAGCAAGCAATCGTATGGACTCTACCGTTCTAGATGTATGGGACTTCGGCAACGACGAGGACGAGGACTGGGAGGGAGAGCCCCCTGGCGGCCTGTACGACGAGGAATCAGATTATGACGAGGAGGAAGAGGAGGATCTTGACCGAACACAGGCGGAGGTGGACGCGATGGATCAGGATCTCGACGGAGTGCTCTCGGACGCTGAGTTCGCAGACGCCGACCAGGACCAGGAACTAGGGACGACCGATGATGACGATCACGAGGGGCGACCCGCCGCCTGGCGAGGACTCTCCCTGTCCACCGACGCCGATGACAGCACGAAGGGGTCCACTAGCCGGGAGACGTCCGCGAGTCATTACCGTAGCCGCTCATCCGCCCGGACAAGATCGCAGCGCGAGGCACCGTCGTCCGCAGGCCCCTCGGAGCCGCAGCTGCGCATGCTGCCGACGCTGGAGGAGACCCCCACACGGCCGCGCACGCGGAACGCAGGCCACCGCAGGCGGTGGCAGCCGTAGACTAGGCTTTGCTATCGCCGTCGCAGACACTGTATTACCCCTGGGATATCTGTACTTATACACCGTTACGTCGTCATCACTCCCTTTCCTCAGCTCTCCTCGCGCGCTCATCCTCATGTCTTCTGGTTCGTCGACTGCATAAGTATCTGTTCGGGATTTCGGTACAGCGGACTCATGTCTTGTAGAAGCCTCATCTCATCATGATTATGTCCGTGGAGTGTCGTGTACATAACCTACTCGTGTCGAGCGTAATCAATTGTGTTGCAGGTGCGCCGTTCGCTCCGAGACGGCCTCGTCCATGAACAGCATCTCCGACGGACCGAGTTGCTTTGAATGCGACCCAGCACAAGGGCAAATCTCGGTCGTTCTCCCTTTCTCGAGAACGTGCGCATCGCGATAATGTCCGCGCCATAGGGCATGGCAGTTACCGTTGCGCTCCGCGCCCAACGTGCGGGACCGACCCGGTCCCGCGGCGTCGGGCACGTCGGGTGCCAACAGAGAAAATAGCGGCTCAAATTCCCCACAAACGTTCAGAAGGTCCAACCGCGGCCTTCCTTGAAGTTCCTTCGCTTCGTACAAGCCCCGAGAGGACGTACATTTCGGGTGCGCTGCAGCACGCCCGCGCGGTCCCCGTCTCCGCACCGCTTCCGAGGCGGGGAGGGTTTGGGCCTGCCCTTGTGGCTGCGGCTTTAGGAATGACCTCAACGGGTCGCATGACGCCATGCCGCCCACGATAGTCGCACTGCGATTGTCAGAACGGACGGTGGAATGGGCGTTCAGCACGCAGAAGACCGTCAGGAGGTGCGAGGAGCCTCGTGCCCGATTCCGGACGCCAAGGATCGGCGCCCCCCAGCGACGTATTAGAGCTCCTCGGGGCGTCCGACCGTGCCGTAATGCTGGGTGCAGGTCGTCGCCGATAGCGTCGAAGAGGGCGCACCGGCCAATCGGACGAGGGAGCAGCTGCATCACGAAGCGTCCTGTCCAGTTTGCATTGCCGTGAGAAAGAAAGGCGCGTGCACCGTGCGTGTGTGCACTCGTGCAGGGGCCGGGGCTTCCACGACAGGACCGTTGCGCCGGGACCCCGCCGGGCGGGACGGAGCGTATATGGCATGCGCGGGGCATGTACCATGGTACGGCGCAGATCGCGGCAACCGCCGCCGACTCCGAGTTCCTGCGAAGCAGATATGGCAGGTAAACAGGCACGACGTCTCAACGCCTTCCTTGGATTCGAAGATACCGTCGCACTCTGCATGTGCAGGGCTCGTTACGAGAACTGTGCCCCCCGGTGAAGCTAGTGTTCACGCGTTCCCCGCCCCATTCGCTGATTTGCTACGGAAGATTGACTGCGGCTGCTGCTCGTGGTTCTTGGAGGAGATGGTGGATGTACAATCAAGAACAGAACATGTGGCGTTTTCTCAGTGCGTATTAGTAGTACAGCGATGGGCACGTCGATTCTGATGGAGCAGTTAGTCAGAAGGACTTCGGTGTTAGGGTCTAAAGATTCACCTCTCGTAGTGAGTGCATCGCAGAGGGGTAACGTAAATCGCCGAGCTTAGAGGGTGCGCCCCTTATATATCTTCACGTCTTCCCGAGGTCTTGGCAGCGGAAGAAACCTCTTCAGTGTCATGCGCAAGAACTAGCCATGTTTCGACATACCGATCCTGAGCATCAGTGCCTACGGCGCCGAGCCTCTGCACGACGCGCATGCCCGCGCTAACCCGACCGAATATGGTGTGTTTATTGTCCAAGTATGGCGTTGGCCCAAGGGTGATGAAGAACTGCGAGCCTGAACAAGGGATGTCGGCATGGTGGCAATCGCACCCGTATCATGTGGATCTCACCATTGGTGTTCGGTCCAGAATTCGCCATGGCTAGGATTCCTGCGCCAGTGAAACGTAGCTCGGGGTGTATCTCATCCTCGCTAGGTTTGGTTTAGGAGAGGTACGAGTGTTGCAGGGAGCGGGAGACGTACAACTTCTGCCCATAGATACTCGTTCCACCGCGACCCGTGCCTGTTGGATCACCCGTTTGGATCATGAAGTCCTAAAATGGTGGAGGGTGGTGAGAGACCGAGAGGAGAACGTGATGAACATTGGTTCGTACGGCAATAATACGGTGGAAGACCACTCCATTATAATACCCCCGCTTCGCGAGCTCAGCAAAGTTTTTGCATGTCTATTGCATACGCAAGTTAATCAGGAGGTCTGGACGCGACCAAGGGCATAGCCGAACCTACTCGAGGAGCATGATCCCAGTACAGTTCGAGCTGGATGTCGCCCATGCTTGTTTCCAGTACCACTGATTCCATAGTTGCGAGTTGTTCGAGACAAGAAGTATTGCGGTGGTAGTAGATGCGTGGTCACTGGGTCGGATGGTGAGGGAGAGAAGGAGAGGAGGGACCGACCTGCCAGGGCGGCGGGACGTTCTTCCCAGGCGCGCCACCGCGGCTCCCGCACTTGCCTTCCTCCACATCGGCCACCGCCGCGCCTGCGACATATAGCATAGCGAGGACACGTTCTACTGCGCTCGGCACCCTGGCAGCTCGTCATCATGCGTGCGATCGTCCAACGAGTCAGCTCGGCCTCAGTCACAGGTGTGTGTAAGGTATAATTCAGTTTTGCAGAGTCTCACTCTCGTCCAAAGTCGACAGTGAGGTCATTTCAACCATCGGCCGGGGCCTAATGGTCCTTGTAGGCATCGGTAGAGGTCATCATTTTGACCTGAATTCAGCGGCGGAACAAACCTGCTGAACTGTCACAGAATAGACGATACTGCGACCGATCTCGAGTCGCTAACCAAACAGATGTGTGTTTTAGTCCGCTAAGCGACATTTGAACCCCCATAGTCTCCACGCTGACGGATTATAATTCACTGGCGGGCTCAGTCTCTCGCTCAAGGTCTTCTCTGACGAATCATCTGGCGCGATGTGGAAGAAAAATGTCAAGGATATTGATGGCGAGGTCCTCTGTGTCTCGCAATTCACACTATTGGCCAGCACCCCCAAGGGAAAGCCGGACTTCCACCGGGCCATGGTACGCACTAGTGCTAAACTTGCCACACGAACCCGCGAACGTCCGCTAACGGCATCGCTCTCCCCCTCTCGCCAACTCGCCGCGCGCCTCTCACAGGCCTCAGGCCCCTCCCGGGATTTGTACGGCTCTTTCCTCAAACGGATGGGTGAATTGTATGGGCCCGAGAAAATCAAAGGTGCGCCGGGGTCACTCAGTCGCACCGGACGCAATATTGCGTGACACGCGGCTCGCGAGGTTATTTCTGTCCCGCTCATGCCGTTCCTTCCTGTGAACAGACGGACAGTTTGGCGCGATGATGGACGTGCGTCTTACAAACGAGGTGCGTAACGCTGCGCCTGCATTATAATTGCCTTTGTCACCCTGCGTTCTGTCGGAAGACTCGGCGTGCGTCCAGGCCAGTCTGACAAATTGCGGTTTTCCCTTAGGGCCCCGTAACGTTCACTCTGGACTCGAAGAAGTTTGAATACGTGGACCAGCCAGTGGCTGCGGTTCCCAAGAAAGCATCTGCATCGGTCAAACAAGCTGTCAATGGCCGGTCAGGGACGGCCGCCGTGAATCCCGCTTCGACGACCTCTAGAACGCCTTCCGAGGAGTAGAAACGGGAAGACGAACGTATACCTTTGGACTCCGCGTACGAGATAGCAGTCACCTGTACCTCGTACCTGCGTTTCGACATAACGTTGACCCTCACGTAATTCCATTGAACCTGCCAAGTATCTGCTAGCTACTTTCGTAAAGTCCGATGGTAATTGTTGCTCCACCGAAATACACGTCTTCAGTTGCATGACTAGGCACAGCACGCGATGTACACAGGCTAGAAGGCAGGGTGTGGTAAACATGATATCCCCCGGGTTGAGGAACTGGACAGTGCAGCACACCCATCTATCGGAAAGCGAAGCACCGCGTAACCGGTAGCTTCGCGGGCGCAGTGGGACGAATCTGCCGTGGCATCGAGGAAGCAATGCCATTGCCCACCCGGGGTCGCCCACCAGTCTGGAGACGTTGTCGCAGCATACGACGTCAGACATGGCAGTTCTTGTATTCATCTCCGCGCGCGGTCACCTTGTAGAATGCAAACATGCACTCCGCTGGATTCAGCCACTGCCTACAACATGCCTCCTACAGCGCCGACCAAAAGCCGCGTTCCCAGACGTACTCGTCTCTCCTCGGAGTTGTCTTCACCGCGCCATGTGCGCGCGTGTGCGCGCAGTCCGTCAACCTCCTCACCGAGGCGTTGCCGGAGCACCGGTGACGTTGTTGCCAACACGAATGACAGCTCGGTATCGAGGTTCGCGGACCGGGAATTGAGATTCGTCGAACCGAACAGAGTCAACGCGGGCGTCGAAGACGGAGTTGGACGAACCCACACGCCTGATTCAAATCGCGGTCAGCGAACCCGGAGATGAGATGCCTGTGAGGGAGGATCGGATACCTTTGGCATGGTACGTCCAACCTTGGCGTTCCCACTCGCTCAGCAGCACTGCGGAGAGGGCCTCCGAACCCTGGGGCCACTCTTTGCCGGCGGCGCGCACGGCGCTCATGAACCGCCGTTCAAAGAGCGTGTAAGCCTCTGGAATGCGTCCTGAGACGCCTTTCGAGGCATAGAATCCATTCGCCTGTGTGCGAAAGCTTAGCATAACGATAGGAAGCGGGAGGCCGTAAGGCGCTTACCTTCGGGCTGGCTGCGAGAATTCTACATGCGAGCCGGGAGTGGATGACCGCTTGCTGGTATGGCTTGTACAGCGCGAAGTAGCCACTCGTGAGGTCGACCACGGGACCATCGTATTTCGAGGGCCATGGTAACTGGGGCGGCTGCTGTGCGGATAGCTCGCGGAACAGAAGGCCCAAACACCGTTCTTCCTCGCGAATGTTGAATTGCCCTGCTTGGATGACGGGGAATACCAATACGTCGTGCTCGCTCTCGACGGTGTGAAGCGGCCCTTTGTCCGCAGGGACGGTGAGAGGCGCGGGAGAAGCGAGATGTTGAGATCTTTGGAACGTAGCGAGGACCTGCTGCGCTTTTGCCTCTATTCGGTGTGGGTGTGTCATGGCGTCTGGCCAGTGCAGAATATAGTCTTCTGGAGAATGAGGTGACGGCAGGAGACCGTATGAGAATGTCGACGCGGCTTGCAAGAAGTCGAAGCAATAATCAGCTAAGCGACTCTGATCGGTGAACTGCAGGTATCGGTCCTGACGGTTGGTGAAATACGAGGTGTTCATGTTCGCTCTAGAATAATCAGAACACGTCAATAACGTTCAAGTGGGTGCTGCGGTTAAGACGTACTCCCTTACCCAGATATTACTAAGGAGTCATCAGCACCGTAGACTTTAGGGTGCCAAGTACCCCAGCCCTCGTTGAATCGGGGAGGTACAATGCGTGCCATAAGGCCCTTGAGTTTAGGGCTGCGGAACAGCGACACGTGCACTCTATCTGGGTGTTCGCGCAGTAGCGGCAAGAGAACGTGCGTGGTAGAATCGGGCCCCGGGCGAGTAGAGCGATTAAGGTCGAGGTGTAGGTAGACATGGAGGGCAGGATTATCACGGAGAGATGCATGTATAGCATCTATCTACATTTTGATATAGGTAAGCCCTTGTTACAGGAGGGTGAACACATAGACGTACGAGCTCGACGTCTTCCGAGCCTATGTAGAGGGATGATATGAATAGTCTGTGTCGCGCCTTTCGTATCATACTCTGTCAAAGAGGTCAGCATACGCGGTTCGACGCAGACACGACTTGAAAAAATGCAAACGCACTAGCAACGTCTGGTAGAATAATCGCGGTTCGTGCATTATAGCGACGTTGGCAGAACTCATGGAAAAGCACGGCTGGTGTTCCGCGAGCTTCACGAGGAACTGCCGGATGGATGGATCGAAGGAGGCGGTCGAGATATTGCGCGGTTTTTGGGCGGCAGCGATCGGTAGCACAGCGGAGTACATCCGCCAGCGAGAATGCAGAAGCGCACTGCGCGCCGAGCTGAACATCGCGCTCGAACCGTCGGTCACCGTCTCAAACAGCGAGCACGGTACGTCACTGGACGCTTTGGATGAGCGTTGGCGGGGAGGACCGTGGGAACGGCAGATGCCGGGAGAGGAATGGTTACACGCTGCAGCAGACGCGCTTCAGATTTGCAGCTCACCTTTCTTTCATCATCACCATGGCCGCAAGCTTCATCGGGTACGTTCTGCTCTCTCCTCGTCGTACACACATATGCTGACGACACGTCTCCAGAAAGCCCATCTCCCTCATTTCCCACTCAGATGTACGATACAGAGGTGTCCTAGCGGGCATCGACCCTGTCGCGTCGACCATCCAACTTTCCAATGGTAAGAGCCACTGCTTTTTGCCTCGTCAGGAATTCGTCCTGAATCCTCTTCATCGCACAGTATACTCTATGGGCACTGAGTCGCGGAGGTGAGCTTGGTTTCCTACGTGACTGGTTCGAATGATGAAACCATACCGGATGTAAATGAGCTACGGCTCTGCTTGTCCGAGAGCGCATAACCTCGTGTGGATGTTTCCGTTGCCTTCCTTCTGACTTTCAGCTCTACTCGTTATGCATGTCGACACTTCATACTGACCCGGTCTGTTTACAGGCCACAAGACCAGTACATCCCCCCTGTGCAAGAACCATACACCTACATCATCTTCCGCGCGTCTGAAGTGAAGGACCTTGCTGTTGACGAGACTGTAACCCAGCGCAGAAATGTCACAGACGATCCAGCTGTTCTTGGTGTGAGTGGCTCTCCTTGTTCAAGTCTTGCAGTCGTTCTGCACTTTGACTTGTATGATGAAACCATTAACGGATGTAAGAGCTACGGCTCTCCTTGTCCGAGAGCGCATAACCTCGTGTGGATAACCCGTTGCCTTCCTTCTGACTATATGCTCCCCTTCTGCCTACGTGTCATGAACGAACGCTGACATTTCACACGACTAGGCATCAGCGCCTCAGGCTACTCCTGCCTTCCCCCCGTATGGCTCTCCGTCATACCCGCAGCAAGTTGCCGCAGGCGTCCAGCAGCAGCAGGCTCAGGTTCCCCCACGACAACAACAGCCATACCAGAATCTCCAGCAGGGCAGCCAGCCCTCAGGTTCAGCGGGCCCGTCACCTGCTGCTGTTCAAGCGCAAGCCAATGGGTCTGCCGCGGCTCCGCCGCGTGCTGTCCGGAACCAGTCGGTAAACTCGGCAACGGCCTCGCTTGAAACCGTTGAGCGCGCACTTGGCGACCTGCGGGTGTCGAATTCGGGCACAGGCAATGGGCAACACCACCGTGGAGGTCGTCGTGGTGGCCGTGGTCAAGGCCAAGACCACAAGGCGGATCTTCGTGTCCCAGCCACAGACTTCGACTTTGAGGGCTCGAATGCCCGCTTTGACAAAGCTGCCCTTGCACCGTCCCCTCGCGGGACCCCTAAGAACGACGGTGAGGCTGCTGAGGGCGAGACGGAGGAGGGTGAGGATGCTGCGAAGGACGATCGTCCAGTGGCATACAACCCGGAGAAGTCCTTCTTCGATTCACTATCGTCGGGGAGCAACGGCCCTGGCCCCGTCATCGACGGTCGTGGTCGTGGTGGACGTCGTGGAGGCGGACGCAACCGTCGGGAGGAGGAGCGGGAGCGCAACTTTGCTACGTTCGGCGAAGCGGGTGGCCTTGGCCTCATGGGTCCCGGGGCGTACGTTGGCGGTTGGGGAGGCTACGGCAGGCGTGGTGGCGGTCGTGGACGGCGTGGCGCAGCCGTTGGTGCTCGCTAGTGTTCCTCGTTGGTCTGGCCGACGTTGAGGGTTTGAGTTTGTGATTTTTAGTCTTTGGACTGGCCTCGTACGCATCTGTGTTTCAGTATACTCTAATTTCGTCGTGTTGCCCGGAATCCGAGTCGATGTCGCTCTCAGCTATCTGTACTTTGTCAAAAAGCGCGAATGCACGCTCAGTCTGCTCACACAACATCTTGGAAGGAGGGGGACGAGATGAATAGCATAGTACAGTACAGTCCGTGTAACCGAACATACAAGCAGGAGGTGAAAGTAAATGGAAACGAAACAAGATGTGCTACCGCTGACCGGACTTCTTGCGCGAGCTCACTTTCTGCGAACGGCGCAGCGCCCTCCAGCCAATCGTGCATACCGCCGACGCCACGCCCAGCGGCGGGCAAAGCCAGCTGATTCGCCACGTCCAGCCAGCTTCCTTCACGAGCCGTTGCACAAGCTGGTCCACTTGCCGTTCGAGGTCCTGGAGCGAGCCGGAGTTGTCGAGCACGACGTCCGCGTACTGCACCTTCTCCGCAATGGGCAGCTGCGCATTCAGGCGGGACGACGCGTCCTCCCGAGACGAATTGTCGCGCTTCATGAGCCGTTGCAGCTGCAGCTCCGCCGAACTAGCACGCACAAGAGGCCGCGTCAGCGCCCTTCGCAGCAGCAGACCCGCCGCACCGTCGAGGAGCAGCACTCACCAGTACACCACGACGACCTTCGCGACCCACTTCCACAGCCCCCCCTCGATGAGCAGCGGCACGTCGAGCACGCACACGCGCTCGCCATGCCACCAGCAGCGCAGCACCGCCCAGAACATCTCCCTGCGCACGGCCGGGTGCACGATCGCGTCCAGCGTCGCGCGCTGCTTGTCGTCCGCGAAGACGCGCGCGCCGAGCGCCGCGCGGTTGAGCGTGCCGTCCGCGCGGAGCACCCCCGCGCCGAACGCGCGCACGATGGCCGCGAGCGCGGGCGTGCCCGGCTCGACGACCTTGCGCGCGAGGACGTCGGCGTCGACGATGGGCACGTTGTGCGCGCGCAGGAGCGCGGAGACGGTGGACTTGCCGGTGGCGATCCCGCCCGTGAGGCCGACGACTGCGTGCGGGGGGTGGGCGTGGTTAGCGTGCTGTTGTGTGCTGTGGCGAACTGCGGTGAGCGTACCTAGCATTTTGGTGTCAACGTTTGGTGGTGTGTGGTGGGCGTTGAGTGTTGAGTGGTGAGGTGCTTGTGTGCAGAGATAAGGAGGTGGTGTGAGCGTGGGCTTAGGGGATGGCTTGGCTGGAGGTGCTGGTAAGAGCGAGAGGCCTGCGCTTGGGCATGACGGTGTACTTCAGCTCGCGAGGCGCGCGACCCCCGCGTGCATGATCGCGGGTACAGCGTCCGCATGCTTGAAGATCTTTTCTTTCGTTGAAAGTCACACTTTCACATTAAAGCACACAGCAGCCGTCGAGTAAAGATTGAAGGCAACAGCGCGCAACGTAAGGGTATATCATTAACTTCTATGTGATTCATCGAGCAGCAGCGATTCGAGCGTAACAAACGTAACCTGAACGAAAGTGATAGTGATACAGTCCTGCGAAGTCCGTTGTATTCAGCCAGGTCATCAAATGAAAGAGATGTCATCGAAGGATCGGCCGCGGAGGGTGTGTCGGCTTCGGCTGGCGAAGGTACATCCGCGGCGACAGGTGCTGGTGCATCTGCGCCTTACGCAGCTCCTCGTCGATCCGCCACATGCCCTTCACGAACGCATCTCTGTCGAGCGAGCCCGTGCCCGACGGGTCGCACTCGATCCTACACGAACAAAGGGGCGTTTAGCTAACGTTCCGAGTAAACAGGAGGCGAGGACTGACCATATGACGCGCAGCGTCTCCCTCTTCAGACGCGACAACTTCCATATTGCGCGCACGACCGTGCCCTCGAGTCGCTCATCCGCGCCAACCTCCTCGTCAACCGAGGCCGAACGCGACGGGGGCGCGCTGGCAATCTCTTCGGGGTTCGTAATCAGGTCGACGGATAGCCCCCGCCACCCTGCGGCTTGGCGTGCCTTCCGTGGCGGCGACTTGGTGCGCTCCGCCTGTCGCGCCGCGATTACGTTCCCGTTAAACACGGTCTCGTAACGCTTGCGCGCAGCAGGTGGGACAGGCGTCGGTCGTGCGAGCTGTGCAGCTTTCGGTTTCGGCGTCGTCGTGCTGCGCGTACTTATGCTCGTGCGGGACGTCGCGATGCTTAAAATAGAGGAGCGATCGGAGGTGGACGCGGCGGAGGTAGACGCGAGGGAATTTCGGGAGGAAGGGGGGCGTGAGCGGGGTGGAGGTGGCGGAGGAGGGCCGTCTCGTTTTGGTGCGAGAAGCGGTGAGTGGCGGGGCGAGGTGGGGAGGGATGGGGGTTTGGAAGGACGCTGCGGTAGCTTGGGAGGTTCGGGCGCACGTTTCGTGGCGTACACTTCCCAGTCGTGAGAGACGGATGAGGCAGACGGGCTCACTGCGGACGTCACAGATAGGTTCTCAAACGATTCGTCGAGGCTCACGGGGTCTGGCTCGTGGATGCTGTCATGTTCAAGCTCGTGATCGTCATGGTCCATGGGGTACGTTGCAACGTGGTTTGATAGAGAGCCCGGGGTGGCCGGGTCAGTGCCTCCATCGGAGGAGAGAGATACGGAGTGAAATGAGGAAATCGAGGAGGCGGGCGCATGGCGAGAAGAAGACCCGATTCCCAATTTAGACAGCGGGGGGTAAGTGTGGTCGACCGTCAGCGAGTCTGACCTGGAAGGTATAGGAAGAGGAGGAGTTGGCTGGCTAGGGCTTCGAGGTAAGGACGAAGAAGACGAGTTCGAGGCTGAGACGGATCTGAGCGACGAGTAGGACGGTTTGCGGGGCGGTAGTGGCGGCGCAGCACGGGTTTTGGGGGGCGACTCGAGGTGAATGAGGGGTGTAGGGACTCTGGTAACCATAGAATCCGAGACATGTCTTGTCACAGGTTTTGTCACCAGAGGAGGAGGAGGTTTTCGAGTGATCGGTGGCCTCTGTCTGGGCACGTAGGGCAAAGGCCCGTCTGGCACGACCCATTCCTTCAGATCGATGAGCGAGGTTTTCCTGCCCAGGTTTGGCGGGGAAGGTGACGGCGACGGCGCCGTTGGTTTGAAGGCTGTTGCTGAAGGTGAGGGGACCATGGGAGAGATGGACGTCGCGGTGGGAGAGATGGGACTCTCGAGGAGGTTTGGCGGCGACTTTGGCACAATGGTTGCGCTGGAGGACTGCATAGACTCGAATGCGCTAATGCGCGCCTTCACTGCTGACGAGGCCATCGCTGCGGCAGAGAAGGAGGAGGGTGCGGACGAGAGGGAGGGCCCGGACGGAGCAGCAGGAGAGCAGAGCACGAGCAGAGAGAGGCAGCCCCGGATGGTTCTCACTCCCAATCCGCACGCGCGCGAGAGGCTCGGGAAGTGCCGAGGGGGTTGGAAGCGTCGTCACCGACGGCCCGACGCGCCAATCGACCCCGAGGCGCCCTCCTCCATGGCGGTCCCGGGGCTCTGCTCCGAGGACGCTCGGCCCTCTTCCCCCTCCTGTTCGGACTCCCTGACAAATATCCCTCTTGCCTCTCAACCATCACCACGATATGGCTGCCGCTCCCCAGGACACAGGCGCGCAGCTCCGCGCCGCCACCGTAGGCTTCGACTGGATATTCGCCAATGAACTCGAGAAGGCACGCGAGACGTTCGCCAGCGGCGACTCTCCCTTTCACTCTCTCGGTCTCGGTGTATGCGCCTTCCTAGAGGCTGCGCTGGGTATGGAGGTATGCACGCCTATCTCTCACACCTCATCCCATCCTTACACGCCGCGATCCCCGTAGACTGGTTTGATGGCCGAGGGTTCTCGTCTCCTCGCCCTCGCGGAGGCGGGCGCGAAGAAGCAACTCAAACTCGCCAAGTCTTCCGACAAAGCATCCCAGTTTCCCCCAGGCACCGAATGGGAGCTCCTTCATTCGGACGCCGTAATCCTTCTTGGCCTCACCCACGCCCTGAGGTAAGTCGTGCCGCTGAGATTTCGATCGACACCGCTCATCTCATCTCTCTGCGCCTTCTAGCGAATCCTACATGGGCTATTTGCAATGTCTGTATGCTATGAATACGTGCGCACCATTCGTCCCATACCGTTAATCCGGTGTTAACGCCATTTTGGCAGCGCACATACCAAATTCTCCAAGTACGCACGTTCCCTCCTCGGCGTGACCAGTAGAGTTTAACTCTGCCTTCCAGGTTGTATAAGACCGTGTACCCTAACGGCCTCGAGAACTACGCAACCCCGGCCGCGTCGACCGCTAGTTCTCGTGCTGCGAGCATTCGATCGGAAACCTCCGGCTCAAGCTCCCCCAAACCCGCCAGATCCGGGTTCTTCAGCCGCTTTACAGGCGCGACGCTCACTGTTCCAAGTACCCCACATGTACCGATAATCGCGGAGGAAGGTTCAGTGGACGAGCTCATTCTCTCCGGAGCCGCTTTCGGTAAGCTGGTAGTTTGATTCTGGTACCTTGCACGTTCTTACTGTTCGCTCCAGGATATGGGTAGGTTTAAATCGTCCTCCTCAGGGTGAATCTTCTCCTGATCCTGAGATCCGACCAGTCTCTTCAACCTCGTGTTCTCCCTGCTCCCCGCAAAGATCAGGTACGGGATGCGCTCCAGTGGGAATGCTCGCTGAGTATCGGCACTCACCATTGGCTCCTCAGAGGTGTTGTCGGATTCTTTGGGTTCAACCACGATAGGAAACTAGCACTGCAAGCTTTGGCCGTGTCCGCCGCCAAGACCGATGTGCACTCCGTCTTCGCAGGGTATGCTGCGCATTTCCACTACCCTTCAAACCGATCCAGAATATAACTCTCACATCTTGTAGCTTGTCATTAATGACTTACCACGGCGTGGTGCTTCTACTTTCCGGCTATCAAGCCAATGAGGCCCATATAATAAAGCAGTACCATGCCATTGTCGACAAGTCAGTCCCCTCCCATTGGTCCATGGCTCGATCTACTCACATCTCCCCACAGGCTGGAAACTCGGTATCCCACGGGTTCACTGTGGATTCTAAACCGAGTTAGTGGCCGTTTCATTTAGAGCTCAAGGGAGCGTCATTCCTGACGTGCTTGTCTTTTTGCAGGCAAAGATCCTTCGCATGTCCTATGATCCGGATGGCGCTATCAAGGTCCTACAGGACGGCCTCGCGCCAGGTCGGCCGCATACATTTGCTCAAGCCGATGGTCTGGTGAGCACCGCGCACCCTGACTGAGCCAATCCGTGCGAGTGTTGACCGTTGATTTGCCGTAGCTTATCTTCGAACTCGCATGGACCCTCCTGTCTCAGAGGCGCTATCAAGATGCCGCGGACGCTTTCATAAAAGTGACAGAGATAAACAGCTGGTTCGTTTTGACCCTTGATGTCCCCGCTAATCTGCTGCTGAACTGCACCCTTTTCGTTCTCTCAGGAGTCATGCAACCTACTACTTTATTGCTGCAGGCTGCTACATCTCGTTGAAGAACTATGAGAAGGCCCAGGAGCTGATGGATCGCATTCCAGAGGCCATCGAGAAGAGGAAGATCGGCGGAAAAGACCTGCCCACCGAAGTCTTCATCAAGAAGAAGCGTGCGTTCGCCGCGCACGTTTCTCTTCGTTTGGGCTAACGGGTGCTCTCCTTAGTTGCCTTTTACAAGGAGAAGCAGCTCGCCCTGACTGGGTCTGAGGCTAATTACGCTCATGCTGTGAAGATCAGCCCGGCAGAAGGTACGTGAATTGTGCACTAAACCGCACGTGTGCTAATGATTGGTCCGTGATAGAACTTGGTATCTGTGAGTTTTCGATATCCTTTTGAGCACGGTGCTTGAGCTAAAGTAACGTACTTAGTCTGGAACACGCACGCTCGTATTACGAAGGACACCGCCATTGCCCATCTGAAGGATTGGGCCACCTGCATGAACCCACCGCCCACCATCGAGACCGCGCTTCTCAAGGAGCACGTCCCCGTTCCAACTGCCGCAGAGCCTACTGACGGGACCAAGAACGTCGCAGACACCCCCGACGAGCTCGCGATCCGCTCCCTTCTTCTCGGCATCGTCCACCGCACCGCGGGTGACTTCGCCGGCTCACGAGCGTTCCTCGAGGACGCCGAAGCACGGCACTCAGCAGTGGTCGTGAGCACGTGGGTGGGCGGCGTTGCCTGGTTTGAGCATGCCGTGCTCGATTTGAAGGAGATGGAGGCGCGCGCAGGCACGAACCAGGCCGCCGGGCTCGGGGCGACGGGAGAGAAGGAGTGGACGCGCGTGCTCAAGGATGCACTGGAGAAGCTAGACAAGGCGCTCTCGCTTGCGACGCAGCAGGTCGACCTGTCGTCCCGCCTGGACAGCAGGATCGCGATGCTGAAGGACGAGATCGCGCTCAAGAAGGAGATCTTGGGCCTCCCGGCATAGAGTGCCGAGCGCAGGCCGTAGAGCAGTTGGCACCTCGGACAGACTAGACGTACGTTACGGTCTCGCTAATATCTTGGGATTAATCGGGGACGGTGTAGGCCCCGTTACCAGCATTACATGACAGAGAGTATCTATGTACGGACGTTACACGACATGAACATGACATTTATACTAGCGCACGATCTACTATTCAGCGTACCGGCGTTAACGTCCGCACCGAGGCAAGTAGCACAAGATGGCAAGCAGAGCTCGAGCAAAGCAAAGATTCACATGAAAGGTCGTCACAAACATCGTACTACCAACTCCTGTACCATCATATCGCGCGCGGAGGACCGCGTCCACGTCCCTTCAGGTTCGCACCAGTCCCGTAGATCTGCGCAAGCAGCCCGAGCACACCGCCGTCCTCGAGCATATCGTCCTCGTCCTCCTGCTGCGACTGCCCGGCCGTCGACGCCCGCGCCCGCCGTCCGTCCACATACGACTCGCCCAGCCCGCTCCCCACCCCGCCGTCCGCCGCCAAATCCTCCTCCGGGATGACCGACTCCGCCAACACCTTCCCCCCAGCCGGGAGCGGCATGATGCTCCCCTGCGAGTCGCCCAGCACTGCCGTCTGCGCCATCGCGCCCCCGCCCGCGGTCGACTGCAGCATCGAGTCTGCCCCAGGGCGCACGCTCTGCCCGAGCCCGCCGTACTGCCCGAGCTGCGCGGGGTGCAGCACGCTCCCAGCCATGCTTGCGCCCATGCCGCGCCGCCGCAGCTGGCTTTGCCCGGGCCCGGGGGCCTGCAGCTGCACAGTGCCGTCCATCTCGGGGCCGCCGAAGTGGGGCGTGCGCTGGAGGAAGCGGCGTCGGCCGAGGCCGATGGGGTGCGCGGCGCTGAGGTCGGCCATGCGGCTGAGGTAGAGCGAGCCGGAGGGGTCGTTGGGTGTCCATTCTGGGTGGGCGGCCTGTAGGGATGGAGAGTGAGTACGGTTGATTAGTGAAGACGGAGGTACTGTGGACAAACCTTGAAGTTGAGGAAGCTCTTCTCCATCTTGCCCTCCTTCGACATCCAACGCTCGTCGCTGACCTGTGTCGGCGCGCCGAACTGCCCGGACGTTGCCATGTAAGTGGGTTTGTAGCGACAGCAAACAACAGAAACCGCACCTTGACGTTCCCATGCCGCTGGAAGTCAAACACCGCAAACGAACACACATACCCCAGCCCGTCCACATGCAGCGTGAACTCGCGGAAGAAGTCGACGATCGCGGGCGCGCACGTCGGGAGCGAGTACCACAGCACGAACGGCGTGAGCAGCACCGACGCGAGCTCCTGCGCGAACACGAGCACCTTCATCTGGAAGAGCGTCCCGAACTCGGCGTGCACCTTCTTCGAGTGCAGCAGCCCGCGCCACTCGTCCGGCATGTAGTGCGTGTACTGCACGACCTCGCTCATCAGCAGCTCCGGATCGAACACGCGGTTCTCCTCGGGGATCATCCCGCGCGCGACCGCGAGGAGCGAACCGAACACGGTGAGGTAGAAGAGCACGGTCCGGTGCGGGGTGATCTCGAAGTGCAGGAAGAGGTCCGGATCGACGACGGAGGCGAGGAGCAGCACCGCGGCGAACGAGCCCGCGATGAAGGCCACGAATCTAGTTCACATGTCAGCGGAGCTCTGTGTTGATCAAAACGGGACAGGACAGAAGGCCGCACAGAGACCCCCATTATGTCGCATTCCATAGAAGAGGGCCTCTAGGCATGATGACGAGACTATTGATGTGGCAGACGGACGTACCTCACGATAAGCGTCACTTGCTCGTTCGGGAACTGGCCGTTGTACATGCTCGCGGCGGGATACGATTCGCTCAGCCGCCGCTTGAACAGGTGGGGAAGCTCATTGAACTCGCGGAACTTCCACTGTGCGTAGGGTGTATATGAGCGCCCTCCAAAGTTTGACGGATTCTTGTGGTACTCCTGTTACGTAGTCAGCTTCGAACGTATGAGAATGTGAACTGACGCGCCTCGAAGTAGCGGAAGAACGAGTACATGATGAGGTACAGCACGATGAAGGGCGCGAAGACCGCGTTCAACATGCCCATGAAGATGAATCGCCGTCGCAGTCTATAACGGAGACAACATTGGTGAGTTGCTCGCTTACTAGTTCGCGAACGAGGGACCCACCCCTCGATCAAAACGGCTCTGTTCTTGCTCTTCAAGAACACCTTCCTCACCCGTCCGCTCTCGTCGAACAGATACTCCATCAAGCAAAACCGGAGGTTCCACTCTAACGCTCGCGTCAGCAACCTGCCCTTGCCCTCCTCGCCTGCGCGGAAGCGCGCCAGTGCGTCGGGGAGCGGAACGCGTAGGTCGAGCAGCTCCTTGTTGAAGAGCGCAATGAGGTAGTTCTCCTGCCGCATGATTCGGTTCGCGATGTCGTGCGCGTCGAGCTTCGCGGTCACCGACTGGTGCGTGGCCGCATTTGAGGAGATGGCGGTGAGCGGATTCGACTCCCGGATCGCGCCTATCCGGCGCACTACTTCTGGCCAAGAGATGGTTTGAATATCTTCCTGTAGAGCAGCGCAAGTCAGAAAGTATACCCTAAATAGTGATAAATCGGGGCGCACGTCGGGAATATGGAGTAGATGCGTGTAGAAGCGGTACATGTCTACTAGGCGCAGCATGTTCAGGACGTACGAGACGAGTTGCCAGACGAAGAACGCGGTGAACAGCACGAAGAAGAGAAGCGTGAAGCCCGAGAACCTGGAAACACATCGCTTCACCACAACCTCGGACAGTCGTGTGACCTTGTCATGTCGGATACGGGAGTAGTCCACACACCCGAGGAGAAAGGTAGAGAAGCCAATCACGAACCCGACCGTACTACACACATAAATCAGTATATTTGAAGCAACCGGTAGAACGAGTGGCACAGACAGCAGATTGAGGCCCCGGGACAATGCTATACTGTAGAGACCCTTTCCCTCGTAGTAGTAGTACGCCTCTTGGAGGAAAGCGTCCAAGTTGTAGACGTTCACCCAGTTCCACAGTGCACGCTCGTGGTCGTCGAGTCCATGCATGTGTTTGCTCTGCGGTTCATGTAGTGGCTCCGATTGCTGCTGCGGCATAGGGTCTGTATTGATCTCTGAGGGGCGAGGGGGTATTGATACGGGCGTGTCGGACGTGTTTGAGGGGAGTATTGGCTTGGATGACTTGCGTGCGGAGACCAAAGGTCGCTTGCGGGTCTCCCGCTCCTTGCCCTTTGCGCTCCGCTGCGGTGAAGGAGGACGGCGTGCGGCCTCGATCATCACGTCCTGCGGAACCTCATCATCTGAAGACTCATCGCCCTCCTTCGGGTCGGCCTGGCGTATGTTGGGACGGAGCACGTTCATCTCGGAGGCGTCTCCGCCCCACGAGACCCTGCGCTTGCCATGCGACTTTGTCGTGAAGATGGAGCTGCGCTGGGGCTGGCCAGACTCGAGATCGTTGCTCGCACCTTCTTCGTCCTCCTCTTCGACGACGGATTGATTGGCTTGCATGTAGCCCTGATACGTGCGGCCCATGGGGTTAAGCATGTTGAGGAAGGGGCGCGAGCTGCTGCCTCCGGGGAAGATGGACTGAGAGCCATGCATAGAGCGGGAGTTTGGATTACTGGACATCGTGCATGGCCCGCGGGGAAGATGGTGAGACGAGGAGGATGGGAGACAAGCAGATGGTGTACGCGTCCAAGGCCGCCAACTTTGGCGGACGCGAGGCAGGCAGCGTACTCGTAGACGCCCGCTTGGCGCGGTAGCGAGTGACACACCGTGACGTAACATCACATGTCACGAATCACATAGCACCCTCTCACCAGTTCGGAGAGTCAAAATATAAGTTGAGTTCAGAGTGATCCTGTGTATGCGATACACCACAGCTGCTGGAAACCTCAAACACTGACGAGCGAGATGGAGAAGATGCAAGGAGGGAGATGCGGCTGCGTGACTGTCCGACGCTTATACGAAAATGGGCTTTATGGGCGCCTGCGGATAGCTGTGCGGTGATGCGTGCCTGGTACGCGCGAAGGCGCCGAGCAGGACGGAGCCCAGTCGCAGCTCTCTCCTTTCCCTCACCATCCTCCATGTCCCAGCCCAAGTTGTGCGTCCTCACCTGCTCCTGGACGCGTCTTGTGAACTCACGCTGTCTGTAGAACGTTACGGCCGCCTCCTAATGTTGACTTCGTTCAAGGTGTGTTCGTAATACACATAGCTCCGAGCGCGCTCTGACACCCCATTTTGAATAGGCTACCCCGGTATCCCCCCTGGTGGATCGGACCGTCCCCAGGCTGCCGTGAAAGGCGTACGTTTGCTCTGCTCTGTGCCTCAGACTGTCCCCATAACCTCCCGCAGGCTATCGAGGTTAGGGTCGGACCGCAAGGCGTGAAGGCGAAGTGGGTCCGCATCGAGCTCAGGAAGATTGAGACCCTCCCTGGCGGTGGTGTCGCCAACACATTCTTCGATTTCGTAGGCCAGAGCCCCATCAACCTCTGGCAGTCTCCCAACGACGAGTACAACACATTACACACGGTGCGCCCTATCACAGACTGCGTCCACAACTCGTCGTCACACTCCCTGCTGCGCAGAACGACTTCCCGTTCTTTATTCGGATTCCGGAGTCGATACCGCCCACAATCTCACTCGAGAAAGGAGGTAAGTCATCGTCTTGGTGTCTATCATGATCAGCGCCCGGTCTCCTGGTGTCTCGTTGCGATTGCTACGCCATCCCTCGTCCATGCGTCTACTATCACCCCAACACCACCAACTGCGACGAGCGTCGCCGAAGGACCATCTTAACGCTGCTCTCAAGCGAGCTGTTTGTGTCAGGCAGCTGCGGCGGGTACTCTCTTAGGCCACTCTGGTTCATCTGTCTCCTACTGCGGTTGCCTGCACAGACCTGCTTGGATATGGTTCTACCACTGGTTCGCTCTGCACGAAAGCCTCGCTCTCAGCGTACATCTGGTTTCTCCAAGCGGTATTTCCTGCCCAGCGCGCGATATCCGGCCGCGCATTCTGCACGGGCGTGTAGTTTCTGACCGCGGTGATCAGCCGTCACTCAAAGGCCGCACTTCCGGTCAAAGTTTAGGATTTTGAAACATCACCGCTCTGTTGCACCAGCATCTGTGTTGCATGTCATGCAAGGCTTCTGTGGTCGTGGTTCTTGACGTGGTCGGCTTCGTTCGGCCAGTATAGTTCTGATCCGCCGACGTCCTCTACACACTTCGTGTTGCGAGCGCCGAGGCTCTTGGGCCCATGTTTCGCTTCGTATCGCGAGGGCTCACTGACATGTTATTCCAGCCGGCATCAAGTATGAACTCATCGCGTCAATATGTGTTCAAGGCAAGAAGTAAGTGTGTCAGGTAAAGGTGATAACTTCATGCGCTGATAGAATTTTAGGGGCTTCTTGCGACGTGACAAGCCTACCATCACCGCGACCGCATCCTCCATCGTCATTGACAAACACGAACTGCACTCGACATGGCCCATCTATTCCCAGCAGGAGACGCGGACACACTCGCAAGACGGCGTTACACTCATGATCGAACGCGCGCACACTTGTTATGGGCCGGGGGACCGCGTCGTGGTGATGGCGACTGTCAAGTCGGACACGGTCCACACGGTCATGCTGCGCGGCTTCGAGTTCATGCTCCGCGAGACTACCGTTTTCCGCGCCGGGCCGCAAACACAAGGGAAGAAGGGCAGCCCACAGGTAAAGGTCGCGAGCGTCGGCGAGCAGAAGGTGCCGGTGAACGCGACGCTGTACGGGGGTACACACCACAAGGCGGAGCTTAGCGTCACGATTCCGAGCCACCATACGTCGGCCACCATCAACGCGGCGCGACACATCGACATCACGTACGTGCTCACCGTGAAGGCGCTAATGAGCACAGGCCAGCCGGTGAGCATGGACCTTCCGGTGATGATCTCGAACTGGCCCAGGTGTGTTGCTATCATTGTTAAAAGTGTCAGCAAAATTTACCGACGTCACAATGCAGAGCGGTTTCCGTCGAGGCGATGAGGTACGTCTTCCCAGCCAGTGCGCCTTGTTCTTGCAGATGTTGATCACCCGCCGTAGACGGATAGGACACGCGTTCAATGTGTCATTGCCCGGCCAGACGGGTGCCCAACACAACTCTTCCTCCCACCCCGAGCCATACGTATCCGTGCTCACCGGCAAAATCGCACCCGTGTCGGCGCCGAACACGTCGAGCGGCCGCACAAACTCCTCGCACGGGTACAGCAACTCCATCGACAAGAAGTCGTCCGTGCCGGACCTGCGCTCGCCCAAGAGCGGCGCCATCGGGCCGTTCGCGACCTCGCCCATCTCGTCAGAGAAGTCGGGCGACCGCTTCGGGCTCGCGGCCGACGAGTTCGGCGCGCGCCCGCGGAAGGGCTCGGACAACGGGCACTCGTCCTTTGCCGCGCAGACGATCGGTGCGCTGAACCTCGCGGCTAGCAGCGCCGCGTCGTCCGAGACGAACCCGGTGCCCGTCGCGCGTCCGCGTTCGAGTAGTGGCAGGGCGACGAACCCGACGAGCCGCCTGACCATCGCGAACCTAACGCAGGAGGAGATCCGCGAGCACATGGAGGCGGAGGCAGAGCTCGCGCGGAGCAAGCCGGCTGCAATCATCGAGAGCCCAGTGGACGTCGTGCCGCCATTGAACCCCATCACAAGCCCTGCGCCCGCTAAGAATAATGCGACGCCGAAGCCGAAGACGTCGTCGTCATCGCTAGGGCAAAAGTGGGCAAGCGCGGAAGATGAGAAGAAGCGGTTGTACGAACGTGCAGTCGCCAACGTCGAACGTGTGCAAAAGGGCGCTGTCCAGCTTTCGGAGGTGAGCACGGCCCCCTATAGGACAGCTTAGTTCTGCAAGATCTGACGGATGTGTAGACACCGAGCAATGCTGCTGATTCGGGCAGTGGGAGTGGTGGGGGTAGTAACAGCGGTAACGCCACTGCTACCGGAAGCACGCCCGCCGCCAGGAAGTCCTCTCCCAAGTGGCTGACTGCTGAGGAAGAGAAGGCGCGTCTTTACGAGCAAGCGAAAGCTGCCGTAGATCGATCCCGGAGCTACGACGGCTCGAGTGCAGCCATCGCAAGTGCCCGCGTAGTCAGCTCAGGTTCCGTCGCCACAATAGGGAGCCCTGCCATGTCTCCTGGTGCTGCGCTCTTTTCTGAGGCCATGACCGCTATCAACCGGCCTGTCGTCCCTGGGTCATCACCTGCGCCCACAAACACGCCCCCGCCTGTTTCGCTCTCTTCCAGCTCCTCACTGACAGCGACCAGCCCCATCGCTAGTCCTACACCTGGGCGGCAATCCACTACACCTAGCGTCCTTTCTGCCACGGACGAGAAGGCGATGCTGCAGCGGTACTACGAGGCGAAGAACGCAGTATACCAAACCCAGACTGCACACTACGGGCGAGTGCCTGGCAACGCCGGACCCGTCCCGTACGATGCTCTCTACCCCAATTCGCCGCAAGGGGGCTCTTCGGCCCCTTCACAACCCTTCTCTCCGCCGCCGATGACCCAGACTCCCCCTGCGGGGATGCCGCCGCCCTTCCAAGCCGCGGGTGGGTCCTCTTCGCAGCACCCCATCCTATCCGAAAAGGAGCGCCTGCGTAGACACTTCGAGGCTCAGGACGCGATGCAGCAGCAGCAACCACCACCGCCTCCCCAGCAACAACACTGGCAGGCCCCTCCCCAAGACGCATACCCGGGCGCTCCAGCCCCTCCCCAAGTATACCCATATTCACCTTCTATGGCGCCAATGTCGCCCGATGTTGCCCCGCGCGTCACTTCGTACGGTCCTGCTCCCACAGACAGTCCGCCACCGTTCTCCGCTGCTCGTTCGTCTCAACCATTGTCGGCTTATGAAGAGAAGGAGATGCTCCGCCGGCGATTTGAGGCGCAGGACGGTGGGTCGCCCATGACACCTGTGCCTCCTCCGCGCGCATCACAAATTGTCAATGGACGTGGTGCTCGCCCACCGCCAACACCTCCCATGTCGCCTCACGCCCAGGGTAGCGGACGCCCGCTCACCGCAGCTGAGGAGAAGGCGCGTCTGAAGGCGATGTACGAGAACGAAGGCCGTGTCCAACACTCCCCGCCGCCCGTGCAGGTCCCGCCTCCGGGGGTGCGGGTGCCATACCCCTCCCCGCCGCCCTCAAATGGGTACCACTCCGCCGACATGTTTGACCAGACGCCGAAGCCACCCTCGCGCGCGTCTACTGCGATCCCGAAGACGCCGCCGCCACCGCCACCACTTGCGCCGAAACCGCCTCGCGAATACATCGAGGAGACGCGCGCGGAGGATCTCCGGACGGCGGCGAAGCTGCAGGCCATCGACCGCGCGGCCCCGGCAGATGTCCTCGCATCGCTCAATGCTGAGGACGCCGACCTTGCGTCTCTTGGCCCAACCGACCGCCGCGACGCCGATGAGGACGACGACGACGACATGGCCGACTACTACGACCGCATGGACGGGGACGAAGGCTCTGGCGATCCTGCCGAGAACACGTTCGGCCCAGGAGCGCTGTCTGCCATGATGAACGGCTCTACCCCCAAACCTGCGTCGATATACGGTACGGAGGACGCAGTCGCACCGCCAACACCCAACTTGAACCCGGCCTTCCCGCTCTCCGTCCCGCCTCCGCCTCCGCTCCCCACAAAGGTGCCCGTCGCCAGCAACTGAACGTGCCGCACCGATCGGTCGGTGCCCTCCTCCCAGTCCCCGGCTGCGGGCGTCCTCCGCACGTCTCCCTCCACCTGGCATCCGCCTTCGCAGCCCATCGCCGTGGCCCCGGACAGGACGGCGGCACAGCATTGCGGGGCATCACAGAGGTTGTTCGCACTCTAATCCCCGTCTGCAAGCCCGCGTCGCGGTGTTTCCTGCACTTTCTTCTGAGATACCTATCGGATCGAGATCACAGGGCCCGGAAAGTGCTTCTGGTCCCGCCCTCTATCAGGCCCCATTCTCCCTGATCAGTCAGTTATTGTACCTCCAGGCTATTCTGGATCTCCCGGACGGTCCGCCCTTCATGTGTGTATGTGTGTATAGCCCCGTAGCTGTTTGCCCCCAGCCAGCCCCCGTCATTCGTTGCTCCGCTTTCTTCTCTCGCCTGCTTCGCTCCGCGCACATTGCTCCGCGCTGTCGCTGGTCCTCGGGCCAGCCAGCCGCCCGCCATTCGTTATCTTTCCTGCATCTCATCTCAGCTGTCGACATATGATTACACTATATATTGCTACAAATACATCTATAATCTTGTCATCTGCGGCGCGCGCACACTTCGCCGCCGGAACTAGCACTGACAACTGCGACGCCCATACCTGCACGACCGTCCCCTGCGTGTCGTGCGTGCTCCGGCGTCCGACCCGGGACGCCTCTCGTGATGCGTACACGTATGTACGTGCTGGAACGTACGCGCCGCGGTCGCCGCCCACTCCCAAGAGAGATAGCAAGGTGAGAAAGAACAAATTTCGGGGGATTGTCTGGGAACATCGATGGGGAGGAGAGATGGGAAGGAGAGGGGAGGAACGGCGATACGGCAAGAGAGGGGGGTTCGATAAGCCGTGGCAGAGCGGGATAGATTGAGATAGACGGCTTGGGAGAGGGACAGCAGGAGGCATCGAGCCCGGATGGGGAAATGTTGACAAGAAAGTAAACAGATAGCCTCACGGCGCACGACGCTCATCTCTTGCGCTTCACCTTCTTGCCCGCGCCTCCCTCCGGCGACGACGGCATCGGCACGTCGATCATGACCTCCGACTTGCGCTTCTGGTGCGTGCTCATGAGCGGGCTCCCGTTCGCGGGCGTCGCCTCCGAGCTCGCGCTGCTCGCCTCGTCCAGGAACGCGGTGAGCTGCTCCGTGCTCGCGTCCTCGATCGACGTCCCGTCGATCCGCGCGCTGTGGTCGTAGTTGTCCGTCACGTCCCGGTAGTCCATCGTCACGTCGCCCCCACCGAGCCCGCCCCCGCTCCCGCCGAGCCCGCCGTTCGCGTGCGCCGCGTCGCCGATCTGCGAGAGGAGCGAGTCGAGCAGGAAGTCCGGCTGTGAGTTGTCCCCGACGCCGAGCTCGCCCATCCCGTTTAGCACGCCCATCCCATTCACGCCGTTCGTGAACGCGTTGTGTGGCATGGAAGCGTGGAAGCCACCGCCGTTCGTCGTCGCCCCGTTCATGCCGTTGACGTGCGGTACACCGTGGTCGTCCGGCGTCTGCGAGAGGCTACCGGGATCAATCCCGAGGTCCTGGATGAGCGAGTTGATCGACGTCTGCAGCATGTCCATGTCTGCGTTGATCTCGGACGCGCTGTGGTACGACTTCTGGAGCTGATTGGACTCGTCTATGAGCAGCTGCATCGGCGAGTCGTCCACGGGCGGCAGATGTGGTGGTGGGACTGGCGCGGCAGAAGTGGGAGCGACGGTCTGGTTGAGCCACCGACCGTAATCGGCCTGGCCGGCGTCGTAGGGGGAAAGAGCAGAGGTGTTTCCGCGCATGCTGTCGGGCGCGATGTTCGCGTACGGCTGCTGCTGGCTGGCGAACGCCTGCATGATCCGCTGGAACTGCGCTGGAGACTGCATCATATGTTGGATCGCAGCCTGCCATAACGCGTCTGTCGCATTCGGTCCAGCAGCGTTTCCAGACGACGGAGCCTGACCATTGAGGCTGGCGTTTTGGAACGGATTCGAGGCGGACGCACTGGAGATTCGAGGGACGGAACTCGAGCTGCTAGACCTTGAGAGGATCTCGGACGGTCGGACAGGAGGGGTGTCCATCTTGTCTGGTGAGCTAGCCGAACTTGGGGAGAATGCCTCCGATGGAGCAATGGACTCCACGGTCGACGGAGACGATGTTGTTGGCGTGTCTGCGCTCTCGATGGTGGCATATCGATCTGTAATCACACGTGTGTCAACAGCCCGTCTTGCAAGTATGTGGCGTGTAGAATAACTCACCAGAGAAGAGTGACCTGAGCCTCTTATTCCGGAGGAGGTCGGCCTCGTCATCCTCGACTTCGGTGATGTCAACATGCCTCCCCTTCAAATTCGGCACGCTGTCGCCAATCATCAGTCGTTGTCGTATGCGGGGCGTAACTTGAGGGGGAGTATTTGAGCCTTCGCTCGACTGGCCAGCATCGTCGGTGTGCCCGAACACCCCAGCTAGGAACTTCAAGATGCGGTTGATAGTGTCCTGGTGCTTGGCATGGCGCTGCCGCGCCGCAACAGACTCCTTCCAGAGGGCGTCGTTGGACTGTTTGAGGGAGGAGAGTTCGGAGGAGATGGCCTGCTGGTGGCGTTTGATGACCGCGATGCCACTCACGATCGAGTTGATGTCCATGAGCTGGTTGGGGGTGACGTTTGTGACGCCATTCGGGGGCAGGTTCGGCTCCTGGACGTCGAGGGTGGCCGCGTCCTCGCCGGTCCCGTGCGTGGGTTGCTTCTTGCGCTGGATGAGGCAGAGGAGATCTGGCTGGCCGCGGTGAAAGTTGGGGTGTTCGAAGTGCCATGGTTCGGTGTCAGTGTCGCTCTTCAGGACGCCTTGCTGCAGATGAGGAATTTTGTGAAACCCGTACATGTTCAGCTGCCGGACAAAGGACGCGAACTTCTGGTGCTTGAACCAGCGACCGAGCACCTCGCGAGCGAACTTTTCATGATTGAGCACTGCCGGGACAATCGGGTATGAGGGCTAGCCGAGTGGGAGGATGTGGTTGCAAGCCACAAAAAAGCGGAGACGCACCGTAAAAGGAATCCCCATTTTCAGACCAGCGGATGAGCTCCTCATTGGCAGGGTCGTTGACGATTCTAGGAAAGAGCACGCGGCGGGGAAATGGGCGCGCGTGAGCATGGAAGGGCACCGAAGGCCGGGGAATGAGACGGACTCGTATAGTTTTTGGAGAAAGGGCGGGACGACCTGCCGCGCGGCTCGGGAAAGATGGCTAGACTCGCCGCGATTTGGACGGGCGAGAGCGACCTGGGTGTCGAGCGACATGCTGCGGCCGACGATGTCGGGGGGTTGGGGGACGTTGCGAGCGACGACTGGAATGCGGAAGAAGGGAGGACAGGATCGTTAAATGAGGACTTGAGCGCAGGAGGTCAGTGACCAATTGGGCAGGGATGATGAAAGCTATGACGCAAAACATACCGCAACCAAACAGCCTGGACAGCACAGCCACCCTCTTGCCGAAGCGCCGAAGCCGATCGCACCAATCTCGGACTCGCGGACATCCCCTCTGCCACTCCCTTTGACGCACCCCATGCGCTCATAAACGCACACATCCATGCGCGCATCCTTCCACCGTTCTTTCCTCTTTTTTTGAATCGTTTTTATCGCCCTCGAGGACCTCGCCCTATGGTAGGCAATACGGCGCAGGTAGCTACGAGAGAGGTATTGGGGGTCAGCGGACATAGGTAGGGGGGTTGGCGAGCTGTGACGGTCGGGGCCGCCACAGGCACAATAGTATGGTTGTAGAGAATAGGCCGGAATGGGAAGTACGAGATTCAACTAGTGAAGAGAAGAGAAGCAAAGCAAAGGGCCTCATGCTGGTCGCACCGCGCCTGCCAATATACGGCAGGTAACCAGGTCACAAACCTGCCCGTGCTTTGCAACAGCGCTTGCGCCGCCAGGCTCAAGGCCTCTGACCACGAGAGGGGTACGCGGGTGTCGTGTACGGGGGTTCCTTCCACGGTTCACAGACAAATTTTAAGCCGCAAAAATCTACAGACGTTCCTGCAACCCAAAGATCTGCCACAATAGCCGTACCTGCCCAAACGGCCGCTCGCTTCCCAGCAGCGTCGCCCCTGCCTCGTACTTGTTCTCCGGCCGCTTCACCTCGTCGCACACCCGCTCGTACGTCTCCGCCACACGCTCCAGTGCTGCCTGGTGCACCCGCGCCGCCACGCTCTGCACCGTCAGCAGGCCCAGCCGCTTCGACTGCACGACCTCGAGCCCGCTTAACCACTCTGAGAATCGGTGCAGCGCCCCTTGCAACGCTGCCGGCTCGGCCGCTGGTACATGCGACAGGGGTTCCTGGTCGATCGCGAACGAGTTCCGTCAGTTCTGACGGACTTGCATAGAATTCCACGAAAGCACTCACGTTGGGGCGGCGGCCCTCGCACGCTGCCGCTACCTCTGCCAGCCCTGCATCCTTGAGCACGTCTTGGTACTGATTGATTGGAATGTTTAGTAGGAGAACCTTGCTGCGCCATCGATGCCCCCGAGGACAAACTCACATGTTCCTCGATCAGCTGAAGCACCTTCGCGTCGGCCAGGCCTTGCACGACACCCTGTTTCTCAGTCGTGAACGCATACGGCTCCAACACGCTCTGCAGATACGCCAGAGTGTTCAGCACGAACACGGCCTTGTCCCACGCCGGCCGCTGCCGCTTCTTCTCGTCCGCCTGCGTCAGCGTCAACTCCAGCGCCGGGTCGACCATCTTGTCCAGGATGTCCCGGAAGCCGGCCTGGAGCTCTTCCTCGTCCTCGTTTCCGAGCAATGACGACTCGTATACGATCATCATTTCGCGCAGCACTTGCGCATGATCGAGGATGGCCAAGGGCGGGGACACCCCTGTATCGTCCAGATCCTACGCTTATCGTTAGCGATAATTTTTGGGGACCGGTGCTAACACCCACCAGGGATACGCGCAACAGAGAACGGCCTTGAGTCTCGATAGCCCCAGAAAACACAGAGTAGGCCAATTCAGTCAACCTGCGCCGCACCGTCAGCCAGACCCAATCAGACCCGCAGCGCAAGCACCCACTCTTCAAGCGTCTTGCTCAACAACGCCTCCTTCCCGATCGTCCGGTGCATCGTCACCATGTAGAACTGCACCAGGTTCGCGATCTTGTACGACGTGATGCTGCTCTCCTGCGAGCGCACCGTCTGCTGTACACGCACCCGCAGCGGCCCGCACAGCCCGCGCACGGCGCCGTCCATCATCTCCGCGATCCAGCCCTCCTCCTCGCTCGCGCCGAACGCGCGCACGGCGCCGACCATGCGCCGCGCGTCGCGCACCCCGAACAGGCCCTCGAGGAACTCGCGCTCCGCCGCGATCGCCTGGTGCACCCACGCGAGCATGTCGCCGACGTACCGCAGCGGGTCGTGCGCGTGCAACTCGATCGGGCGCGGGAGGCCCCCGGGGCCGCCGCGGGTGAGCGCGTCCATGAAGGTGGAGAGGAGTGTTGCTTGGCGTGTTTGGGAGAGATACGTTAGCGCCTCCCTGAATTTGATCTGCCGGTTAGCTCTGTTTAGGTGTAGTGCGAATGGGTGGAGAGACATACATGAGCAGCTCGGACCGCTCTCGTAGCCGCTTGACGGCTTCGCACATTGTTGGGGTCACCTCCAGACTGGCGTCTCGGCCCATCTGCCTGAACTCGAAGCAGCACCACCGGAAAATCTTGTCGTACGCCTGCTCAAGCTGGCCAGCCGTTGCGGCCAGAATGTCTCGTCCCGCTTTGGTCGCTCTATCCTCTTCGTCTTCATCATCGTCATCTCCAGGGTTCGGAGCTGGCGCAGGCAGAGTGAGGGAAGCGGTAAGAAGTACACGGCAGTCGGCCTGTATGCGTGCTGCCTTGTCCATCGCAGCGAAGAAGGTCGTGCCCAGAGGAACATCTCGCGAGGCAATCGCGTCTTTCTCGGAGGGGGACAGGGTGAATCGGGAGAGGAATGCGGATATGATAGATTGACGGGTGGAGATGCCTTGCCTGCGAGTATGTTAGCTGGCCAGCGGGCGGGATAATATATGCACAAGGAGCGCACCGCTCCTCACGAAGGCTGCCGGCGCGGTCAAGCAAGGATTTGCATGCCTCATTCGTCTCGAAGAGCTGCGACTGCGACTCGTCACACCGGACGCGCATGAGCCCGATGTGCTCCTGCAGGGTATCTAATTGCTGAAACATTTCCTCAGTCTCCGCGCTCTGTATGGGCGGCCAGTTAGATGGGACACATACTTTGTCCACCTCCCCGAATGCTTTGAGGAATTGTTTGCTGGACTCTGCGAGTTTACTCTCCACATCACGCCGTAGGTTCTTCCTCGCTCGCGCCGCTATATCCCCCGCAGCAGCCTCCTCCACACCGGCGGGGGCAGCTAACCCGGTAGGCTTCAGCCCGTTCAGCTCGTACTCTTCATCCGCATCTTTATCCGCGTCGAGGTCGCGCGTCACATCCTTCCCCTTGCCTACACCAGTGTGAGGAGCAGAAGGCGGCGCATAGAGTTCCGCAAGGGTATTGAGAGCCTCGCGGGTCGCCTCATCGTCGAAGTTCGCGCCGAGGACCTTGTATAGCCGTAGAGATATTGGATTCTGTCCCTGACCCTGATGTGAGAGATTGGAGGACGAGGCCTGAAGACGGGAGGACGAAGCGGAGGAGGAGATGGCGGTGGTCATGCGGAGGCGCGTTGCCGCCCGCGCGACCCCGCACCGCGTCGTGACTTGACCGCTCTCCACCTCGGACTCTACCCGGACGCGTCCAGCCGCCCGGCCTCGGCATCCTTGCTCACGCTTGTTTCCTCTCTACCACGACTCTGTCTCTGAGGTCTCGCGAAAGTCTTGCTTCTGCTAAATTCTGGCTAGGATGTCACTCCGGGTACCCCTACGTGCTTCCGTGCGCGCACGCCGTGTACAACACCTCCGCGCATTGCCCTCATTACGGACGCACTATTCGACAAAGCCCTCGGAGGACCACCATGAAAAACATGCCCCGCAAGTTGAGACGTTCGACAAGACCGCGCGCCCTGGTCTGTATTACCCGCGGCCGCAGCGCGAGCGCGACCTCCCCCCTCTCCAGGTGCGCCCCCTTACCCAACTACTGCATTCCACATGGGTCTGATGATACTAGAGCAAATGGCCTGCCATTCTCGCGCTCAGCGTAGCGGGTATCAGCGCATGGGGGCTGTTCATGACCTTCGTCACGAACCAGGAGAAGCTCTCCTCGTCCGTCATGCAGCAGATCATGAACACCCTCCGCGAGAACCCGGAGCTGCGCGCCGCGCTCGGCGAGGCTATTCGTCCCGAGCCCGTCTGGTGGATGAATGGCGACCCTTGGATTAGCGGCGCAGTGTGTATCAGTCTCCTAATGTGCGATGGGCATGGCGCTGAAGGGCTGCGCAGGTTCACATGCCAGGCGGAAACATTGACTTGAGTTTCCGGGTGAAGGGTCACAAAGGTGGGTAGACTCATGCTGCCTAGGAAAGTCGCTGACCAGCTTCGAAGGCGCGGGGACCCTCTACTTCACCAGCATACGGAGAGAAAAGGGGCAGCCCTTCCAGATCTGTGAGTGTAAACACATGCTATCTCAACTTCCAAAATGACATTCCTTGCAGTGCGCTTCAAGGTGATCGGCGACGACGGGACAGAAATAAATATCAACCCTGTGAAGCCCTCGTAGGGTGATGCGCCGCGTCGCAGACTTGAGTTGCAATAGAATATCAGCCATCCCACCGGTTCGAATACGATGACGTCGGTCGTATAGGTATCATAGCGGGCCGGACTTTGCATGGATATCGACCCCCTCTAGTAGACACAGCAATAGCCCAATCGGCGTAATGTATTAGTCTATATAGCTAGTAACAAACCAAGACACGCCCGCTCTCAAAGCTGCGAGTAGTGGAAGACCTATAGGAAAGAGTTAGTACGATTCCGCAATGACATATCCACTTGACGTACCTCCTCGCGCTCACGGCCACGCATGAAGGGAGGCTCAGTGCCGGCGGAATAGATGTCGGTCCAGAGCTCCTTCTCATCAGGGTAGGGGGACTGCTTAGCCTCCTCAACCGCGGCGTCGACCTCGGCCTTCGCCTCCTTGTCAACCGCCTTGAGATCGTCCTCCGAAGCAAGACCCCACTCGGAAATGTAGCGCTGGAGACCACGGATAGGGTCCTGCGTCGAACGCATGCGCTGAATCTCCTCACGGGTACGGTAGGTGGTGCCGGGGTCGGACATGCTGTTGTCAACCCGTGTTAGAGAGGCAAAGAACCATCTGAAACTAAGAGATGACGCACGAGTGACCGGCGTAGCGGTAGGTAACGAACTCGACCAAGAGGGGACCCTTGTCGCTGGTGACCCACTCCTTCGCCCACTTCGATGCCTGGTGGACGGCGATGATGTCCATACCGTTCACCTGGATACCGGGGATCTTGTCGCCACGGGTGTAGTACTCCGTGTTCGAGGAGCTGCGCTCCGCGGGCGTACCCATACCGTACTTGTTGTTCTCGCAGACGAAGATGCACGGCAGGTTCCAGAGCTTGGCCTACAAAAACGATCAGTCCGTGTCCCATCGCCATTGAAATCGCAGATGACGCACCATGTTGTACGACTCAAACACCTGACCCTGGTTGCTCGCACCGTCACCGTACATGGCGAAAGTGGCGGTCTTTTTGCCCTTGTACTTCTGGGCGAACGCGAGACCCGCACCGAGCGGGACCTGCGCGCCGACGATACCATGACCACCCTGGAAGGCCTCGGTGAAGACGTGCATGGATCCACCCTTGCCCTTCGAGACACCGCACACGCGACCGAGCAGCTCGCCGACGAGGCTCTTAAGCGTACCTCCACGGAGAAGGACGAAGGGATGCGTGCGGTACGACGAGATGATCTTGTCCTCGAACGTCGTGGCAGAGTTGATACCGACGGAGATCGCTTCCTGCATGCCAAAACGAATACTAAGCATCCACGAAAAGCTCTACCTTGGCATATACGACGTACCTGACCGATAGCAAGATGGCAGAAACCGCGGATGAGCTTTTGCTTGTAGAGAGCGTCGGCCGCCTGCTCTACGCGACGGACGAGGGTCATCTGCTTGTACCACGCGAGCAGCTCGTCCTTGGTGACCTCGACGTCGAGGCTGGGGACGTCCGTCCGGTACCCGCGGAAGGAGTCCTCATGGAGCTTGACCGTGAACGGCTCAGAGTGAGACGCGTCCTGGTGCAGCTGGGTGGTATCCGCCGCCGTCTGGATGGACCGCGCGAGGTGCTATCATGACGATGTGTCAATTTCCCGAGCCCGGATTGCGATTTCCGAAGAAGTGTCTCACCATCCGACGGGGCACAACAGAGCGGATCCGAGCGAGAGAGGCCATGGTGGTCGAGGGGGAGGAGGAGGGAGGGAAGAAGAGGAGAGACGGCTCGCTGGCGTGAAGGTGAGGGACAAAATGGGGCGGCGGGACGTCTCGTAAAGCGCGCCTCGGGAGAAATCGGTCACGCCCCAAAGTCACACCACTTCCATCGCGTCTCCGGCGCGCGGCGCGACGCGCGACTCGCGGCCCGTAATGTATAACCGCACGATTCCCCCATCCAATCGACTTCGCGACCTCGAATAACATGGCACGATCCATAGCGATGACACAACAGTAAATAGCGATACAAATTCCGAGAGAGCATAGAGACATCCCCATAAAATCACAAGTCCATGTCCGTCGCCGCCTCGCGATTCAGCTGTGCTTGCTCAAGCCAATGCAGCGCTTGCCGCGCCTTGTCCTGAACCTCCATATCGTCCTCCGCCCCCATCTGACGACCTGCTGCGAAGCGCAAAGTTGGGCTCGCGCTGACGTGCGCCGTATGTTCTAGCATGTGTCGGAGCGTGGCGTCGATGCCAGCATCGTGCAGCTCTCGGTAACTTCGAGGGTTCTGGCGGGCAAGCTCGAGCACGCAGGACACCGCGGGTCGACGTATCTCAACTTTCGCGTCGACGAGGCAATCGCGCAGCCGCCCGAGGATGCGTGGATGCGATAAGATGTTCTTTTGGTGCGCGGGGCTATTTGCGACGTTCGCCAGGACGAAGACGGCCTGCGGTATAGATCAGTATCATAACCCCATCTATCAGGACAGTGTGCTCACTTGTAGCACGACATCTTCATTTTCGGACTCCATCGCTTCCGACAAATTGCCAAGCAGCTCCTCGCTACCACCCATCTCGGCGAACAGGAAATCGACGTCTTCTACGCCATCCGCGATATGTCGCAGAACGTGAAACACCTGTTCTTGAAGCCGCGTGTCGGGGTCGAGTAGTAACCTGTGGCGCGCGCCCTCAGTATGCGCTGATAAATGCAATAGTTCGCACTCACATATTAATCTCAGTCCACCCGATGGCGCTCATGACCTCACGCTTCAGTTCTGGGGTGGCCTTGTAGAGCAAATTCTTGAACGCCCACAATGCGTTGAGTTTGAGTTCCTTGTCGTCGGCGTGGAGAAGCTGGACCAGCCGTGCAATTGCTCCCTGCTCGAGTAGATTCTGTAACGAAGCGTCAGGCGGGGATGCAGTTCCATTGGACCATACTGACTGTTCTTAGAGGCGAAAAGTTGGCGAGCACATTGCAGATGACGGCCGATGCTGCGTGCATAACCTGGCGATCCTCGTCCTGCTTCATGAACAGCTGGAAAACCGACAAACCGAGGCCCGTGTCGACGATGTTCGTTCGTAAAGCGGAGACAGCGCGGCTGAGGGCACGCGCGCATTGGCACGCGGCGTAACGAACCCCCACATACCGGTTGGTGAGGCTTGCCTGAAACGCCGGGACGAGATGCAAGTCGTCCGTCACCGCTGTGCGTATATCGTTGTCAAACATAGAAATCGCCGCGACGGCAGTCAATGCAGCCTAAATCCCGTTGAGCGAAAACTCCGCACATACAAGTTGGCCACTAACCTCCCGTAACCGGGACACGCTTTCCGGCTCGTCTTCCTCGTAATCGGACGACTTTTCCGCAGGCGTGATGCTGTTGACGAGCGAGGCAATCTGATTGAGAGAATTACGCTCGTAGGCCAGCTGACAGAACACACGGTTGTCGGATACCAGATGGTCTGTAACGAAAGCCGTAAACATTCCAGACTTGAGCATGTCACGACATTGATACGTACGGACAATGAAACAAGCTCGTGTCCGAACCTGATTGTTGGCAGTCTCAGAACCGATTATCCGGTTCAGGACGTGCATGATGGTAATAGCGGTGGTTTGCTCCTGCACAGTCACGAGAGAGTCATGGTTGCCGTGAGCACAAGTTCGCAGGATGCTGGTCGCACTACGGGACAGAGAAGTTAGCACACCGAGGGCGTCACCAAAGCGATCAATGTACCAAAAGGTCGCAGCAAGTTGGAGATCGATATTTCGCGATTTGGACAACGTCAACGCCACGGACAAGACAGCTAGAAGGCTCTGTTAGTCCAGGGGAGAGACCAAAAATTTACGACGCGTACATTCCGTACCGGGAGGCGCCTTCGCAAGGCGCCTTGCCAGTCCGTCGCTGTCCCTAACAAGGTTCGCAAACGCCGAGAGAACGGCCTCTTGCAGCTAGCCAATTAGTCAGTGTCTGCGAGAGCTTGTAATCACAAGGCGTTTCACGAACGAACTTTGACATCTTTGCGGAGCAGTAGAGCGGTTAAAGTCCGTACGATCCAGCCTCCCTGCCGAGTAGGGGAAGTCGTAGGATCGCGCCTCTCCCAACCGCGTTTGCCCTTTGCCTCGCGGGATCGTTCAGCGGGAGGACACCATTCCTGTACTCTCGCACGGTGTTCCGAGTTTCGCACGGCCAGATGCAAGAGCTGGGCGATAGCTGCGTTTACTTGCGGCGATGGATCGAGTAACAACGGGAGGTAAACGTCCAGCACTTCGGGCTGGCACTCGTGAGCTTCAAATCGAGCGAGTTAGGCAAAACATACCTGGAAGAGATAGTCGAGCGCGACTTTAGCCTCCGCACGGACATCCGAGACAGTGGGGGAGAGTCCCCACTGAGACGGTCCAACTGCGTCAGCGATCGCAGCAGCAAGTGCTCGGAGAGCGCGGGTCAGCGCAGCCTTGAGGACAGGTCGGTCGGACGGTTGGAACGTGGAAACGGCATAGAGGAGGGTTTGAAGGGCGTCAAGTCGTAGCAATGTCTTCAAAGCGTCGAGAGAGCCTGGTGCCATATAGCGATGTAGCGGTAGTGACCGATGCTGACGGCGAATAGCGGACGTACCATATGACAGAGACGCAATAATATGCGCAGATTCTATACGAACTTCGGTATCGGGCCCGCTCGAGTGGCTCGCGGCAGGGGGAGATGCATGAATGCACTCTATAAGCCTTACATACGTTCAGCATCTTCCGAAGCAGGGCTTACAATACGGCGGCCGAGAATACGCACCTGGCCACATATACTTCATCCTGCCCCAATGCTGCCTTTGCAGTGCGGTTTCCGATGACGGAATTCTTGATTGCCTTCAAGGCAGTTACGTCCACGATCGCGACGGTCATAGCTGAGTTCGCGCGACTCGTCCGGAGGTCTGTAGGCGGACCAGGGACCTCGCTCGAAGCCTCAGACGTGCGGCGTCGCGCTCACAACGCACTCGCTAGCGTTGAAAGCGAATCGAACCGTTTACGCGTCCGTCGAACAGGGCGAGTGGGAGTAGCAAGCACGAGTGGTGGTGGTGGTGGTGGTGGGGGTGAGAAGGGCTGCCCGGGCCGCGCACCCTTTCCGTCTCTCTCGCGCGCGTACGACTCCGAGGCCCCCAAGGACGCTTCCGTTCTGCCACTATCTGCGCGATTCTCTCCTGCGCCCTCTGTTTGCTACCACCTTTTCGAAGTGCTATCGGTCCCATATCCCGCTCGCAATCTTAGACAATGTCGCAAACAGCCCTTCCGGAGAACGATCTCTACGCTGTTGCAGGTGCGCGCGCCGCGAAGTAGCCCCATAACTTCGCGAACTGACACGACCGCGGCGCGTAGATTTCTGCCTCATACCGATGGGAACACCCGGAACCTCCGTAAGGGGCGAGCCACTCCTACCGTCTGCAAGGTTGACTTTCCTCGCGCACAGGTCGCAGAATACATCGCTGAGTGCGCACGCGTTCTCGAAAAAACAGGGCTGAAAGTCAAGGTATGATCGCGATTCGCTATAGTCGGGGTTGCTGCGACCTCTCGCTGACCATGTATCTTGTATAGATGCAGTAAGTTTGCTGCCTCTCTACAGTGGGGGCTCAGTCTCAACAGCCTCTTGTCTTCGCGGCACAGTGGCTACGGTACGAACATCGGTGCGTCATATATACCGTATACTAGCCCCCACTTTCGCTCATGCGTACATCTAGAGGGTCCGTGGACGGAGGTCATGCAGGCCATACATGCATGTCATGCCGCTGTACACGCAAAGGGTGCACCGCGAATTGCGACTGACATTCGCATCGGGACGCGTGTTGACCGTGAGATTGCACCTGGTACCGGGAATGAGGGCAAGGTCAAACGAGTGGAAGATATACTTGCAAAGGATGCGACTTAAATGGAGTCATGTTGAACTCAATCATGAGGAGTATCTAACTGTATAACATCTGTGAAATATCCCTATTCTGTCCATATCCTGTGTAGATTGTTCCCTAGGTCAGGTGTACTTCTGGGCTGTTGGCTCTCCAAGCCTGCTCTTGTTCCTCACGAGTCCTCCAGAGCTCATGCAGAGCATTACCTATTGCCTTTCCAAGTGCAAGGGCAAGTGGCACAGGTACAGCATTCCCAACTTGTCGCATTTGCTATGGTAAAATGTGAGAAGGACCAACTAATGCAGAATCCACAAGACTCACGTCAGCAACATGGTCATTGGCTTTCTCATTCCTTGATAAGAACTGGTATCTATCAGGGAAGCCCTGGGCCCGGGCACATTCCCTAATAGTGAGGATTCGCTTTTGCTGCAATCCTGTCAGAATAGCTCAAGAAAGCATGACTACAACTCACATCAGGGTGTATGACCCTGCCTCCTTTGGCATTGGGAGCAATGGTTGTCATTGCTGTGACAAACTGGCCATTACTGGCAATTCTGCCATACAAGCCTATATAATGTCAGCCAAGTGAAACAGAAGTGAAGTAAAAAATGTACTGCGGTAAACTGATTTTGGCTTGCCAGTCTCTGTCTTGTATAGCTTAGTAACTCGGAGATCCAGAGGAAGGTCTGTAGTTGCTCAGAATGAGCTAATATGAGTGAAATGTAAGAGGTCAAATACCTTCATGGCCTGCATTAGGCTTCATTGGAATATTGACAACCCTAAAATCATATGCATTAGCCATTTAACCAGCACACTCAAGGTTGTATGCTTACCTCTCCACAACAAGTTTTGACAGCCATCTTGTATAATGGTACTGCACAGTATCACCATTCCCTGCTCTCAGCCAGCTTTGATAACGGCTAAGAGGAGGTTGAGGATAAGGCACAGGGGTGTAGAAACCAGAGGGGTGAGCCTGTCCAGTCTCATCATGGGCACAGGCTGTGAATCGAGCAATGCCTTGTGCAATCCTGCTGCCCAGCTCATGCAGGACTGATGGTGTGGAGCGTTTTGCAGAGTTTGGATCAATCCTAAAATTAAGCAAGACAATAAGCATGGAAAATACATCAGAGGGTTGTTGCGGCATACCAATCATATCTGGGCTATATATGCATGTATAAGTTGGTTAGCCTAGACATTCACAGTTTAGCACTCACCAGATCACTGATAGCTTCCCTCACAGTAACAGGAGGGAGTGGGGCACACTGGTGGCCATCCTCATCTGCACCTACACGGATGACTGGGTGTAGAACCTCGCCTGTGGGAAGGTTCACATTGTGGACTGGAGTTGGGAAAGCATGCTGAGGTAGGGGGAATGCAGGTAGAGGCACATCTCTCTGGGCACCAAGGAAGATAACCCGTCTTCTTCCCTGTGGAGCACCATGTTGACCAGCTTGAAGTACTTTGAAATGGACTTGGTAGCTGTGTATGATAATGTCAACAACCTATACCATGAGAGATAGCATGACTTACCCAAGAATGGTCAGTGACCCCAAAATGAACTTGACCACTCCCATTTCTATCCCTCCCACCACACGGTTGTGATCCTGCTCACCACCAAGACGGTAGGAAAGCATGCCTACAACATTCTCCAGAAGAAAGAACATTGGCCTATAATACTCCACATAGGAGATCATGTTGCAGACCAAGGTGCTTCTACACAACTTGTTAATATTGCAGTACACTGACAAAAGGTGAGTCATACCTGATATCATTTGCTTTCTGACAATGCAGCCATTGAGCGAGTTGTCATATGCTATTAACATTCCCAAACAACTTACCTTGTGATGATTCATGTTAGAGAAGCTTTGGCAGGGTGGTCCTGATGTGATGTTAGCACCGGAGTATAGGGATACATGAGGTTGAGGCTTACCACCGTAGATGAAGTCAACCTCCCCAGGCTGTGGCAAAGGTGGCAAACACTCAGAAACCTCAGGGTCAAGGCTTCTCAGTGGTGGGAGGGTGGAATCCTGAGCCAAACCAATAGCATGCTCAAGCAGCTTGTTAGAGCACTGGCTGTATACTATAGTGTCAGGGTGGTTGGCCCTGCAGCGGATGTCAGAAAATATGGGAGACTGTACAAATACCACTCACTTGTACGTCCTGGCAGCACTAGGTGAGAACTCCACTGCCCATCTGGTCTGGACCATACCAGACATGTCCAAACCAGTTGATAGCCCACCAGCACCTAAGCCCCAAATTAGGCAAACCTTAGTAGAGGAGGGTCAATATGCACTCACCAGCAAAGAGCTCCAGTCCTCTCAAAGGACCATAGAGCTTCATGAGCCTCTCCTTCTCCAGGACTGTGTCCATGAATGCAGAGTAGCAGGCATCACATGAAGAGAACTCAGAGGGCTCCAGCACCTCCAGCTCATCCATAGACTTGGGTTTGAGGGACTCTGACCAGAGATCACAGTAGAAGTGATCATCCAGTTGCACAAAGGCTTCTGCCTGCCATGCTGAGGAGGGACACATGACATAGGCCTTACCACAGATCTGCTCAATGCTGACCTGGGTGAGGACACCAGTCCTGAAGAGTCTCCTCTGTTTGAGAATGTCAGTACAAACACTTGCTGGAGACTATACACTCACATTGTCCAAGTGGATAGGCCAGCCATCGCTGTCACTGACAGCAACGGTGTCGTAGCGGCCATAGTGAAGAACACTAGCCTCCAAGCACAGATCATCATGGTGAATGAACTCAGTGATTTGGGCAATGCCAAGGAGGCCAGCCACCTGCCCGGGGGTATGCAGGTAGATGAAGTCATTGACATGAAAGTCAATGCCTTTGCACTTCATGCCACCGCCAGGCAAGGGCGTGCAGTGGTCTGCCTCTTTGCACAATGCAGTCAACCCACAGGGGACACACTGACGAAAGCTTGCGCACTTTGACAGAGCACAGCTAACCTGGGAGGCTGAAACCTCAACCAGTGCACACTCTTTGCTATCCCAGGTCAACCTGTCTGAAGACATTAGCTTGCTCCCATTCCAACGCACAATATGCATACCCAAGATGAAAGCGGTTGGCGGAGCCTGGTTGAGTTTCAGGCGGTGCTGGTTCCCCTAATGGCCAGGCTTGAGGGTCACAATGGGAGTAGATACACTCCAAGGGCTGATCACCGCACTCATTCAGCCGAAAGAGCCCCCGAGGATGTGCAGCCTCCTGAAGGAGAGTCTGAGACCCGTGCTGCAGCCACTGTGCATGGAAGTGCTTGGTCCGCTGGCCGAGCTTGTCGACCTTCTCAAACATATATGAGATGATGCAAAACCTGTTGAGTTATCAGCAATGCACAATCAATATGTTCACAACTGTAGGAATATACCATTTGGTGTCTGCCAAGTAGTTGTTGCTCCGGGCTTGCACGGACAGCGCATTCCGAGCTCGAGCACGGTCTTGATCAAGCCCCGGCTCCACTATAACCACATCGCCGACCTAAAGGAACAGAACATGAGTACGTGGAGAGTGACATGGCAAGAGCATACCTTGTAGAGCTCCCCGTCGATCTTCACCTCGCTATAGTGATCGGGTGCTGTTCTGGATTCGGTAACCCATTCTATCGTAGCGGGGTCGGAGGCGTGCACCCGTCTTTTCTGGACGGGGGGAGTGGAAGTGTCATGAACTGGGTCTTCACGTATATTGGCCAGTTGCATTGAGATGGAGAACAATTTTGCAGCGATAGCACCGACGCGTGGAGTCACGCACGTAGCGTTCCGGTGCTCCAAGACTTGCTTCTCCAGGTCTTTGTGGCGCTTGCATGACTTGCTCTGAGGGGGCGGCAGTGGCTTCCTGGTGGATAGCTCGGGGTAGAGCGTTTGCATGGCCGTCGACTTGGTAAGTCGGCGGTGTAAGCGTGCATGCTCGCTGTGCAGCTTGTCGAGGACGAGGACGAGATATGATACCTAGCCTATGGCATTAGACCAGAGAATAGAGCGTTGAACATTACATGGTACTCACCGTATCGTCAGCTGTCAAATGGCTGTCCGAGACAGGCGCTTGAAGATCGTCGAAAGTGCGTCGGGTTGGGCAGTCGTCTGGAGGAGCCTGGTTAATGGAGCGCAGGACTTTGCATACAGACGCATCCGCATCCTCGTTGACCGTGGTGAGTAGGCCTTGCACAATGCGGCGGCGAGTCCAAGCTGCCTGGTAGAACTTCCTATATTTCACGGAAGGTCGGAGTAGGATGTACCAGGCGTGTTGAGTGCGCAGGTAAGTTCTCCTGCGAGCAAGCATGAGACTGTGTCCAATGATGGAATGAGAGGACTTACGGATTAAATTCCCAGCCATCGTGGTGTTTTGTGACGAAGTGCGAGTCGCACTCGAGTATCTCAGTGAGTAGAAGCCTCTGATCGTCGTCGCACGGACCCGCCTCCATGTCCGTGTCCTCTCCATCCTCGTCATCGCTATCATCTTCGACGAACGCACGAACCACGCCCGCCCCAACTAAGACGTAGTCCTCCTGCTCGCGCACGGCAAGGAGTTCGTCGAACGCGACGAATTCCCGGGTGACCGAGTTGAAGATAGCGAAATCATCGAGCGTCCGGACGGGTATCTCGTCGTCCTCGTCTTCATCCGGCGAAATCTCGCCGTGAACGCGCACTTCACTGGATTCTGTGACCTCGTCTCCGACGGGGTCGTATTGTGCAGTAAGACGCCTGAAATGGCGTTAGCAATATCCGAATCGATCGAGATGCGCAAAGACTTACGGTCGAACTCGAGGGGGGATCTCAACGTAAACTTGGGCCTTGCGTTTCCCGAGCATCCTGCGTCGGTAGATAGAAGCCCGAACCGCTGAACCAAGAGGGGTAGATACAAGAAGTGACCGGCACACGCAAGGAGTGAGCAGCAAGAAAACAGAGCGTCGAGAGCCGTCGTCAGAGACCCCACAGATGCGACACCGAGCAGACCACGCGAGAGCAGAGAGCGACCGTCGAGACGTCTGCAGTCAACCTCACAAAGAACAAGAGCCAGAACGGGCGCCTACGCACGTGGGTGACCTCGACGCGTCGCGTACTGTCACGGTCACCCGCACCTCTCCCCCTCTCCCCTCACTCCCTTCCTCGCCGTCCCCCACGCGTCGCTCGCCATGGCTCTCCCCGTCATCACCATCGACGTCGACTATACTGCGGAGAAAGGCGCGTTTGCTGCTCAGACACGCGTCGCTAGCCACTGATCGGACGTGCAGACCGCATCAAGCAGTTCCTCTCAACATTCACCTCCCAAGACAAGGACCTCGTCGATGGCTTCGCAGACATCGCCCTCGGAGACGAGGGTGACGCGCCAACCAGGACAAAGAATGTCAAATACATGCAGCAGCTGGTGTGTATGCCGTCGCTCGACTCAGGCATGTTTACCTAACCTTCGCCACAGCAAAGAATAGCCAACCGAGAGCAAGAGATGCTTATTATTGACTTGGAAGATATTTCAGAGGTGCGACATGACGTCCAGCTTACCTTCGCGGCCTCTCACGCATTCTACACAGCATGAGCGTACTGTCGCGGAGCTGGTATCCAGAATTCGCCGAAATGCACGCCGTTATATCGCGCTCTTCAGCGAGGTCGTCGACCAGCTCATGCCTCTGCCAACAAAGGATATCAGCGAGCACGACGAAGTCATCGACGTCATCCTTCATCAGCGTAGAGAGCGTAACGAGCGCACAGAAGGGACGCAGGAAGGCTTTCCAGACCATCTGTTGAGGCGATAGTGAGTCGTCTCGCGGTGTCTTTTACCGCTTTCCACTCATCTTGTGCAGCAACCTGTACTTCCAACCTCTGAAGTCCGACATCGCAATGGCAGTTCGCGACGTGAAGGGCACGCATCTCGGTAGACTCATCACCGTACGTGGGATCGTCACTCGCGTCTCGGAAGTCAAGCCCCTCCTGCGGGTAAACGCGTATACTTGCGACGTTTGCGGCTCCGAGACCTTTCAAGACATCTCGCGAAAGGATTTCCAGCCCATCCTCGACTGCCAGAACGAGTCGGAATGCAAGAAGAACGGCATTCACGGCACCCTACACATGCAAACGCGTGCATGTCGCTTCAGCCCTTTCCAGGAAGTGAAGATCCAGGAGATGGTGGGTGCTCGCCTCCAGCCATATACCCGCTTCTTAACAGTTGTGATCTTCAGGCAGACCAAGTACCCGTAGGACACATTCCACGTTCGATGACCGTGCATATCCACGGTTCCCTTACGCGTCAGATGAGCCCTGGCGATATTGTTCACCTCGGAGGTATTTTCCTGCCCATCCCGTATACGGGCTACCAGGCCATTCGCGCCGGCCTTCTCACCGACACCTATCTGGAGGCTCACCACATCAACCAGCTCAAGAAACAGTACAGCGCCATGGAGATTACACCTGAGATCCAGCGTGCTATCGACGGCTTGCGCGACGATCCACAGCTATACATGAAACTTGCTCAGAGTATCGCTCCGGAAATCTATGGCCATTTGGACGTCAAGAAGGCTTTGCTTCTTCTCCTTGTTGGCGGTGTCACGAAAGCTATGGGCGACGGCATGAAGATTCGTGGGGACATCAACGTCTGCCTCATGGGAGACCCCGGTGTAGCCAAGTCGCAGCTCCTCAAGTACATCACCAAGGTCGCTCCTCGCGGAGTGTATACCACCGGTCGTGGTTCGTCGGGCGTCGGCTTGACTGCTGCCGTCATGCGCGACCCAGTTACCGACGAGATGGTTCTTGGTACGTTCGTCTTCACGACACATTTGTAGATGGCCACTGACGTCTTTGGGGCAAAAGAGGGCGGCGCTCTCGTTCTTGCTGACAACGGCATCTGTTGTATCGATGAGTTCGACAAGATGGAAGAGTCCGACCGTACCGCCATCCACGAAGTCATGGAACAGCAGACCATCTCCATTTCCAAAGCGGGCATCTCCACTACGCTGAACGCGCGCACTTCCATTCTCGCCGCCGCCAACCCTCTATACGGCCGGTACAACCCAAAGATTTCCCCAGTGGAGAATATCAACTTGCCCGCGGCGCTTCTCTCGCGTTTCGACCTGCTCTTCCTCATCCTTGACAAGCCGACCCGCGAAGACGACGAGCACCTGGCGGAGCACGTCACATACGTGCATATGCACAACACTCATCCCGATTTCGATTTCGAGCTCATCGAGCCGACCCTCATGCGGTAGGTCGCATGCGATAACCCTCGTGTTCAAGCACTTACAGAACCTGCAGGCACTACATCGCTCGCGCCCGCGAGCACCGCCCGACCGTCCCCGCGGAAGTGTCGAACTACATCGTTGAGACCTACGTGCGCCTGCGCAAGGTCGGGAAGGAGGACGAGGCGCAGAAGAAGTCGCACACCTACACCTCCGCGCGAACGCTCCTCGGCGTGCTCCGCCTCGCCCAGGCTCTGGCGCGTCTCCGCTTCTCGAACGAGGTCGCACACGCGGACGTCGACGAGGCGCTGCGCCTCATGGAGGTGAGCAAGCGCAGCCTCGTCGAGGACGAAGACGAGGGCCACGACCACGACCGCTCGGACGTCAGCAAGATCTTCCGTCTCATCAAGGAGATGTCGAAGCAGGCGCAGTCGGGGAAGAAGGGCCGCAAGGCACGAGGCGCGCGGAGGTTCGGACGTGGCCCTGGGGGCGAGCGCGAGATGGACGTGGACAGCGAGGAGGAAGAGGACACGGACGAGCTGTCTATGGTCGACATTCGGTCGCGTGTGCTCACGAACGGCTTCACGGAAGCGCAGCTCATGGAGACCATTCTCGAGGTATGTTGTTTCACACATCAGCTCTGTGCATGAGCACTGATTGTCTTCCCCCTCGCAGTACGAAAGCCTCGACGTCTGGACGCGCGTGGCGAACAACTCAAAACTGCGTTTCATCGAGAGCGCGTAGAGCGGCTGCGCTCCGTATTCCATCGGTCCCATCTCTTTCCATATCGTGTAGGTTATCTCTGCATCCCGCTGTTCTCGATGTTGTCCTTGTCCGTGTACTATTATGTAGCTTATAAATACTATCCATCCATCCCGCATGAGTGCTGAGGAGTACAAACCGCCGATGCAATAAACGTCTAGCTAGCTGTGGAACGAACGACCAAGAACGCATACTCGTACTACCGCGTCTCTGACGCATGCTCCCAGCTGCTTCCGCTGCCACTCCCGCTCCCCGGGCTGTCCGCGCGCAGCTTCTCATCCTCTACAGGAGAGTCGGGTTCGTCCCGATAGCGCGCGTGCTTCGGCGAGCCGCCTGCAGTAGGCGGGTCGTCGTCCTCCAGGAACCCGGAGTGCAGACCCGTCTCGAGACCCGGCGAGATAGTGTGCGGCCGCAGCGCGGTCTCCTCGTCCGCGTCCTCGTCGTCCGAGACCTCCCCGAAGGCGTCGTAGAGCTCCTTGGTCTGGCGCGGGCCCCGCGGCCCGGAGCCCCGGGCGTCGAGCGAGCCCATCGCGACGTCGTCGCGCGCGGACAAGGTAGAGTAGTTCGCGCGGCGTCTACGGAGTATCGCACGCCGCCAGAAGAACACGCCGACGCCAATGCCGAAGACCGCGACCGCGCCAATCGCGACGAAGAACCACATCTGGTTCTCCACGAGCTTCGAGAGGTCGGAGAACCAGCCCTCGTCGGGCGTGGCCGAGATGCTGGGAGCAGCGGTGGCGGACGACTCTGCGATGTCCTCGGCCGCCTTGGTTGGCTCGCCGGAAGAGGTGGCGGACGGGAATGCGGGCTTGTGGTTCTCGCCCTCTGCATCGCCGTGATCGCCGGGCAGGTGCTCTGTGGGTCGGGTGAGGGTCTTCGAGCTCGTGCTCTCGGGGACGGCGGTGGTGGAGGTGGCGGGTTCATCAATGGCTGCGGGTACGGGAGGGAGGACATCCTCGACTACCGGGACCTGGTAGACTTTGATGTCCTTGCCGGCGTCCATGACGGATCCCCAGACAGACATAGTCCATCCCAAAAACACACCGCTTTCATCCTCTTTCCGCTGGTCACTGACACGGATGGTCCACTCTCCCAGTGGGTCCTCGTCCCTGTAGTACAATCAGAGTCGCTCTTGATTCATGGTAGTGAACACGTACCAGTGCTTCACGGTCATGAAAGTCCATCCAGGATATCCAGTCTTGGCGTTGTCGCTGTTGCGTCTGGCGGCCAAGATGCTCCGGATGCCATGTGGACTGATCAGCTCGACCTCGACATCCCCGCGGCGCGTGTGGGTAATCCAGACTTTGACGGTGATGTGCTCCAGCTTCTCGAAGTTGTGCTCGTCCAACATCTCACGGGTGATCGTAAGCTTGCTCTCGACGCCATCGGGAAGGATAGGTTGGCCTCCTTGCGCCTTCTCGTCCGCGTCCATGGTACCGTTGTTGAGCTGCACCACCGGCAGATCGATCCATCCCTGCGGCTTGACGGGTTGCCAATCCTGAGCCGCCTTGACGAACTCGTATCCGTTGAGGCTTCCAAAGCCATACTTGTAGCTGTACATCCTTCCGGATGCAGTGGACTCCCAGTCCGGATCATCGGGGTTGACCTGGAGCGCAGTTCGAACACACAGGTGTTGTATATCACGCCAACTGAGGTCAGGACTAAGGCGAGATATGTGAGTACCTGAAGGCCTCTGTGTCGATTCCTAGCTTACCGAGCCTGCAAAGCCAGAGCAAAGACGCCGGCTGCATTTGGCGCAGCAGCGGAAGTCCCACCATGCGAATGCGAGCACTTGTTCTTGCCTCGATCAGTGGTAGTCTGTCATCCCATAACGTGTTAGATCATAAAAGGGACGATCAAGGTTTCCTGGCGCGCACGATGTGGTTTCCGCTTCCAGACGTATATGCCACAATCATATTCGCAGCACACGCCTCGGAGTATTCGGGATGAAAGCCTTTGAAGTCGATGGCCGCAACCGTGACCGAGAAGATACTGTTCGTGTAGCCGTCGAAGTTGCACTGGTCGCCGCTGCGTCCGCCATTCCCGCTCGCGAAGACAAAGACCGAGCCCTTGCCTGCCCGGCCTTGCTGGATGCCATTCACCATGGCCTTCTTGATCAGGTAACCGGGTCCCTCCATGGACCTTCCGTCATCCGGGGGTCCCCAGCTGCAGGAGTAGATCGAAGTGTTCTGGTAGTCGTAGTTCAAGGCAGCAGCCTCGTCGATGTCCGAAATTGGGCCCGAGAGGATCCGGATGCCAGCGACCAGGGAATCGTACGCGAGACCAACTCCACAGACGTCGTTCTTCACAGCAGCGATCTGACCTGCACAGCGGGTGCCGTGATGGTCATCGAAGAGGACAGGTGTCGGCAGCGCGGTATGATCGTTGTAATCATATGACCCGTACGCATACTACGTCCAAAACAATCAGCTTATGTGTGCAGATATAGTCTCGTCAACATACGAAGTTTGCAGCCAGGTCGTCGCTGGTGTAGTCCAACCCGTCGTCTACGAGTGCAGTGATGACGCCCTTACCCGTGATCCCCATATCCCACAGCGGTGTGACGTTCATCATATGTTCCGGAAAGTCATCGTTGACAATGTGCCATTGCCGCGTAAACTCGGGATCATGGACACCAAGACGCTGAGCGGCGGCCGCAGAGGATTCGTGGTCTTCTGGCGGCCGTATAGGTGGGGGCGCGCGCTTCACGCGTTGGCGGAGGGTCTGCGGGAACACATTCCTGACCGCCGAAGCTACTCGTCGTCTTTGGAGGGCCTCTTCGGACCTGTGGGATACGTGCGAAGAGTCTGCGGATCGCCGGAGGCCGTCTAACGAGCGTAGGATGGGATCCGAGTCCCGCTTCTCGAGGCCTTTGGGTATCCGCACTAGCCAGTGGTTCAAAAGCTCGCCCGCCCGGTCAACAACCTCGACGCCCAGCGTCCCCGCACACTCGGCCAGCGAAGCACCTGCCAGAGGGTTGTGTTCCAAGACATAGTAATCATGGGTGTCATAGTGCCGCTTTACGGGCGCAAGGGCGAGGACCGACTGGATGGCCAGAAAGAGAGAGAGCGGGAGACGCATTTGGCGTCGGGGTGCAGCAAGCCGTGCTGCGCGAGGAAGAGAAGAGAGGAAGAAAGCGAGAGAGGGTGTGGAGAAGAGAGAGACGTTGCGGTGTCGTTCACACCGGACCCCGCGGTCGCCTCCAATGATTGGATGCACCGCAGCGCAGATCAGGCGCCCGTGCCTATATAAGTTAACGCTCCCTCCCGCCCACATGTAGCTTTCCCCCGATCCCAGACTCCGCTATACACCGGAGGAATATCCCCTGCAATGATGCTAGGCTCGCGAAGTCCCACGACACAGCGCATGGAGGTATTGGTACATACATTCATTCGACGTCGTTATATCACTCCTAAAGACAGCAAGTATACTACACGAGAGGGTCGTCACCCTTAAACAAGAAAGTCCACAACGCGGCTGGATCCATGTAGTCGTGGTGTACCAGGCTGACAAGCCAGCGCTGATCCCGAACGCCCTCCAAAAGTGTGCGCTCCTGAGAACCGGGTCGGAAGAACGATGCCCACTCCGACCAGATGGAGAAGGCTTCGTCCTAAAAAGCAAAATCTCTATTTAGCACTCAAAATTAGGCACGCAAGGAGCATTCTTACCTTCCATGACAAGAAGGACTCCTTTTCGATGATGGTAGTCTGCGCAATTTCCTGACCCGGGAAGACGCCCCAGGTGACGGCGTTTCGCCCGCCTTCCGGTACACTCGTCAACACCTCACCCTATGCGAGAGTTAGTAACGTTCCGTCGTACAAATGGTAAGTATGTACGCACCTTCACATTCCCTGCGAACAGATCCACCCAACCGGCGCCTTCCTCCTGTACCCTCTTGACAATGCGCTCGACGTCCTTCTGCTCGACGAAGAACTCGACGAAGCACTTCTGATATACGTACCCGCCCTTGGGACCCCAGCCAACGACATCATCCGTAGAAGGCACGCCGTTGATCGCGGGCTGCGATCCAACAGTCCACCATCCTCGTCGCGTCAGCTTCTCCAGGTGGGGAAAAATCATCAGCGACTCCGGAGAAAGCGGCGTCGGTGAGAATGGCGTCGCCGCGATTTTAGAGTGCAAGTATCGCATGAACATGTTGGTGAGGTCCTCGACAGTCTGCGGGCTGCCCCAGTGCGAGAGTGCGGCGTTGTTCTGCAGGGCAGAACTGCCCCACCGGTCCGTGTCGCCGTAGGCGGGACTCTTAAAGTCTCCGAACCGACCGTTCGGGAAGTCGTCCCAGTCCGCCGCAGCGTTGAGCTCGCCTTTGCCCGCTTCGAGCTCAGGTTGGGGGGCGGACGCCAACTCCTTCGTTGCGCGATCGGCGGCCGTGTGTGGTGTAACTGTGCGCTCCGGTGGCGATGGCATATCCTACAGCACCGTTAGTCTGTATCGCGACGCTGTGGCGAAGGTCGACGAACTGAGATAAGTCTGTTGGCAAGAGTTGGAATATTGCCCGCCAATCCCAGTGATTCGAGGACGCGGATGACACTCTTCTCCAAATTGAGTGTGCAAAAGTGGACACCCTCAATGCCGCCGCGCTGCAGCTGCCGGATCATGTCCACAGCAAGGTTTACGCCGAAGTCTTTGACCTTCTGGTCGTCATGCTGCCATAGATAAGATGAGACTCCGGTTACGTATGCATCGGGCAGCTAGAGACCTACGCGGATGGGAACAAGGTCCGACATGAGGGTCGCTGGGACCCGCGTCGCGCAAAGCTTCGTCATGCGAAGGAAGGACGCATATGTTTGGATCGGCATGACGCCGGGGATGATGGGGACAGTAATGCCTACATTACGTTAGTAGGGGAGTGCGGCTACGTCGGTTTGAGCCTATACCTTTCGCGCGTACTTTGCCCACCCACTGCAGGAAATTGTCGACATCGTAGAAGAGCTGTGTGATGATGAACTCCGCGCCTGCATCGACCTTCTCTTTCAGTTGGTCCAGCTCGACGTCTTCATTTGTATCCCTGTCAGGATGACCGTCGGGATATGCTGAACCGTATTACACAGGTGGTGAGTACGAGTATAATTGGCGCATGATTGGTGAAGAGACCTGCCACGCCGACGCAGAAGTGTGAGAACTCCGGGGTCGACTTGATGTATCGAACGAGATCGACACCGTGCTGGAAGCGGGAGTCGGTGGGTATCCAGTGCTCCTCCCCTCTTGGTGGATCTGCGGGAGCGTTGAGTATGAGTCGCGTGGGCAAGAATGGTGGTCGGTACCTCCTCGGAGAGCAAGGATGCTTTCGATCCCTCGCTCCTTGGCTTCCTGGAACGGTTGAGATACAGGTATATGGATTAAAGAGCAAGAGAGCATACCCTAAGCGCAGCATCCACCATCCCTTGCTCCATGTTTGTACATGTCAAATGTAAGATCGTGTCCACCCCGTACTCGATCTGGGTCAGCCCCGCGAGGTCGAGACTACGCTCCTTCGTGGTACCTCCGGCGCCCCATGTAACGCTGAGAGCCAGGGGGTTCAGCCCGACCATGCGCGCTATGCGCGAGACCAGGTTCTCGAAACCCTAACACAATATGAGTTCGGCCGAGGTTCTGGACGCGCATGCACGCACCTGGTCCGTCTTGGGCGGGAAGAACTCGAACGTGTAGAACAGCCTGCTCTTACCATGCTTGGCGATCTTGTCGACGAACTTCATGGCTGCACTCCGCCGGGGACGATGGTGAGAAGGTGAACAGCGTCAATTGGCCCCGCTCAGGCTGCAGGGCGCGAGTCAAATTCGACGGGCCCCGCGGCGTTCACAGACGTCCTGCTCAAGATCTATTACGCCAGAGAGCGCCTTCCCTTATCTCGGTGCGCGTCTATCTAATCATGGCAGCATGCTGGGATCCCGCGCAGTAGCAAACATCCGTAAACACCCTCTCGCTGTCTGCGGCAGTGAGCGCATCACCTAGCACAACACCGCCGCCCCGCACGCCCGCCGATCTTGTCCAGTTTAGAGCATTAGCCCCTTTCTCGCCCAAGAATGTCGTCTACCACCCCAGTGACCGCCGACTTCTCCTCGCCTCCCCTGAAACGGAGCAAGATCGTGCTTCTTGGAGACCAGAGTGTGGGGAAGACCAGCTTAATCACAAGGTACGAGTCGACTCGAGGCCGTCCGCCCTCGTACTTCGCGATTGTCTATGAGTAGGAGCTTATAGCGTTCCCCTGGCGGTGATGTAGATTTATGTACGACACGTTTGACAACACGTATCAAGCAACGATAGGGATTGACTTCCTGAGCAAGGCGATGTACCTCGAGGACCGGACAGTGCGGCTACAACTCTGGGACACTGCGGGCCAAGTAAGTAAGGGTTTCGTCTGGTCTGTGCACGCACAGGATACTGATTTATCGCTCGCTTTGCGCGTTCGTTTCACCTTAGGAGCGCTATCGGTCGCTAATTCCGTCATACATCCGTGACTGCTCAGTCGCGATCGTAGTATTCGACATTACGAGTGAGTGTCTACAAAGTCCTCGGACGACGGCAAGACACTGAACTGTCTCCAGACCGGCAGTCATTCTTGTCGACATCCAAGTGGATTGATGATGTGCGTTCGGAACGAGGGAACGACGTGATCATCGTACTTGTGGGCAACAAGGCAGACTTGTCGGACAAGCGGTACGCACTTATCCATCAATATGCGCGGTCACCTACTAATGGACACCTCTCCTAGGCAAGTGACGCTTGAAGAGGCGAATGCAAAGGCGCAGGAGCTGAACATCATGTTCATGGAGACGTCCGCCAAGGCCGGCCACAATGTGAAGAGCTTGTTCAAGAAGATTGCCATGTCGCTAGTAGGCATGGAGAAGGAGAACGAGGCGGCCGATGCGCAGAATACTAGTACGTGCCCTCGCGACGTCAGCGTATGCGTACTATCTAAACGTAACTCGCGCAGAAATCGACGTCACATCACCACCAACAAACGAGGTACCGGACGCTTCCCAGTGCCAATGCTGAACTCTCTCCCGGTCAAGTAGAGCATGTCGTATCGTCTCCTGGTGCTTGTCTTATCCCTGTATGTAGTTCTTGAAGATGTGTATACCTTCACATTGTTTTATTGGCATCGCGGAATTTGTTGTATCTGTGGCGTGTGGTCCGACTTCCAAACAGCAATCCGCCCTTACTAGCACAGTCCTAGAGGTACAACAGGTATGCTACATGTGTTTTGACTTCCAATTGGCACATTAACCGCGATTCATGGTATTCCCGGCTCCCTTCGGGTTGCTATCAGTGAACTGCGCCCAGCTCTCGTCCTTTTGCCTCTTCTCTTCTGCTTTCTCCTCGCCAAATGCTGCGCCGTCTTGCTCCGCATCCATGGCAAGCTGTTCCTTGGATGTGGGTTCGTTCTCGGAAGCCGCACTGTATATATATGTAGTAAGTAACAAGGTTGCACGATGGCCGAACCAAACGTACCCTCCCCCTGTTATGATGTTGCCGCGCTGCTGTTCTATCTGCAGATACTCGTCGACGGACATGGTGGGTAAGCGGTGGCCGGGCTGGAAGACCTGTGCCTGTAGCCTCGCACGGTCGGCGGCGTTCTGACCTAGCAAGACGAAAGGTCGTAATGGCTGCGGACGATTGAGTCAATAATCGAGATACTGTATATGATGCGGAAGTACTGACTTTGCCTTGCTGGTCGAGCAGCGGCCCCTTCCCATCCGGACCGCCCTTGTTGAGTGGACCGTCGAGTCTCCACATGTCGTCCGTCTCTGGCTTCTTGCCAAGTCGCGCGTCTTCCACGGGAAGCCGCTGAGGTGGCAATGTGGGTGCATTGCGTAGGAGTTCGAGTTCTTCGTTGGTCCTCTCGAGCTGCGTCTGCGCTTCCGCGTAGATGAGGCGTAAAAGTAGGATGACCGCGTCGCGGAGAACTTCCTCGGTGTCGGCGTCAGGGTCTTCACCCGAGTCGGCGGATTTCTGTGAGGGGTCGGGTAGGATGGAGGCTATAAGCTCGAGGTTGGAAGTTGGTTCCGCCGCGCTCTGGTTTGTCCGCTTGCGAGCGACCTTGGAATAGTTGATCAGGTGCCCCGTCCGAGTGCATCAAGAAGCCACCGCCCGCACCTCTATCTTAGCCTTGATTTCTTTCTCTCGCTTGTACTGCTTGATCTTCAGCTCCCTGCGCTTTGCGGGGTCTGCAACAGATGAGGCTGGACGTCCATACAAGTCCTTGTCTTCGCCCGAGACGATTTCATATTGCTCCAGGTAGTGGATGTATGCCTCGAGACATCTCTACCTAGCATGATGAGCATGACGCGTGCTGGTCGTATATTTCACCGCGTACCTTGACCTCTTTCACAAGCTCCAGCCGATCCTCTCTTTCTATTGCGCGGACGCGAGACTGAACTTCGGACATCACATAGGGCACCAGCAGGTAGACCAGATCACGGGTCGGAATGTCGGCAAGCTGCTCATTCGGACTGAATAAGGCGAGCTTGGAGATACCGACACTGCACTGACGGAGGTCGGAAAGTGATGACCGCACTAGTTCCTGTAAGGATTCTGAGTATAAGCTGAGGTCCTTCGGCCATCAAACCACACACGTACTTGGGTTCCGTCTTCGATGGTCGGTAGATCGAATGCCTTGGCCGCCGAGGCCAGAGCGCGGCGGAAGAGCGCAGAGAGTGGTAGTTCGTCCATTCACACTTAAATGAGAGTGTTCAGTGTCAAACCGTCAACTGTACGAGTCGCCGTCAGCGGTGTGGTGTACTAAGAGGAAGAGGATGGAAGGCTGAGAACGCCGCTGCGCTCGAAGACGCGCGAAATCAAGTAGCGGGAGTGCCCGGCCCGGCGTACCGGGGTGGTGAGTAAACGCGTCTCGACGCGTCGACGCGTTCCTCCTCTCTTCCCCGCAGCCACAGCGCGTCTCCAGCCACTTGCCCGCGACAACTCATCCAGCCGCTTCGCCGTGGCTCGGCTCAACTGAACATGAAGCGGTCAGCGGAACCTGGTCCGTCCTCGTACCACAGACCGACGCCGACGCCCCAGGCTCTCATTCAGGCCTTCCCGCCGGATCAGAAGAAGAAAGCGGGAGACATCTGCCGCAAGGGGTCGGACGGTACGGGATGGATAGAAGGCAAAGTTTATCAGCGAGGGGCACCTTCTGGACAGACCTGGGAGTTCATCATGACGGCGGAGCTTGGCTCGCGTGTGCAAGTCCTGCTCTCCGGGAGCTGTTTGGAGCACTTTCCCAGTCTGCCGATCGTGGTCGGCGCGCAAGTGCGTATACGCGCGAGGGGACTCGTCTTGGAAGATCTCGATGAACCTCCGAAGCTACTTTTACCGAAGCGGTTTGCCTGGCGAGAGCGTATAACGCTACATGTGCACAATCCGAAGACCGGCGAGCAGTATTTCGTCGACACTTGGGCAGGTGCGTTCCGGTGTTTCTTACCTGATCCCCTCCTTGTGTTCTGAAAGAGCCATCACTTCATAGATTCCTCATCTATACACCCTCCGGTAGACGATGCTTCGCCGGATATGGATATGGCGAGCGCACCAAGTGTTCCCAAGAAGAGAAGACGAACACCAAATCCCGCGAGTGCAGACCACGATGTACAACGCAGGAGCGCGTCCCTACCATCAACAGGTATAGCACAGATAAACAGGCTGACTATCAAACGTTTGCTCATCTGTCAACTTGTTCATAGACGTGAATGGCGTTGTAGAACCTACACCGCTCTCTGACCCCATGCTCGTCGACCACGCAGGGCCGGTCGAGGCTACCTCAGAAGGAGAACCGGTGGAGAAGCCAACGGAATCAAGTGACTCACAGTCTGATTCGCAGAATCCGCAGAGCCTTCCTTCGCCCCCTCCGGAGCTCACCAAGGTAGTGGGAACGGATGAGCAAACTATAGGCCTCAGCACATCCGACAAGGAAGTCGTGCCTGCTCCTGAGGAATCACCCGAGGGTCAACCACCGAATGGCAAGACGGTTGCGGTAGCCCCAATGCAAGAACGCCAGGAGTCCCCAGTGATCGACGGAACATCCGCCGTGACGTCTCCACCACCACCACCTCTGCGCGCTCGAACTGGGGCTGGTCTCTCGGGGAACGGTAGAAAACTATCAAGTAAGGACCGAAGAAGAAAATTAAAGCAACTCCAGAAAGCCGGCAAGCTGGTAGATGAGGCGCCTCCTACGAAGCGAAGTGAAGCTGCCGCAGACGTCGATGGTGAGGAACACTACTGGGACGAAGCGGACACCATTCCCGATGATGTCCTCATGGATGATCCCGGCCAGCGACAGGCTGCAGTTGAACAAGTGAATAGCCAACCTGACAAGGCTGAGCGTGCCGTCACTCCCGCTCATCATCTCCAGGTGATCCAGCCAGACGAGCCGCCAGCCGACGGTAATGGGGAATCGAATGTCCGGGAATGCAACGGCGACCCACTGGAGTCTCTTCGCGCGGGTTGCACTTCTGGATTTGTACGTCTCCCCTCAAGTTACAGTCTGCACGACACTCATGATGCGCACATAGGTCACATATACCCCATTCGATCAACTCCAGAGTGTTGGGCCGCAACATATCATCGGTGTCGTGGAATCTGCTGGAGCGGTTACGCAAACCAAGAAGCTAGGTAGGGCGCACGCAAACACGCATGTCCATTGATTGACTGACACGCCCGCAGAGTTCATGTTAAGACTCGTGCTTTATGATCCAACGAACTATGGTTCTAGCGGTTTTAGCGTGATGTTGTTCGAGAAAGCAAAGAATGCTCTCCCGACGGTGGAATCAGGGGATATACTGATGTTCAGAGGAATACAGGTAAGAAGGGATTTGAGCACGTCAGACGTACATTTTTCTCAAACCTCGCTGCAGATCGACAGGTTCAACAATTCCTTGTGTGCTGTCGGCGCGTCCTTCAAGGGATGGCAATGGGCGGTGTTCCATGTGAAGACCGGCATGCTATCGAGTGCTCCCGAGGACACTTGTGCCTTGCGCCATTTCAAACCCGAAGGGGCCGAGTTGCAGTTCAGCATACGGCTAGGAGACTGGTGGCGGGACGTCTCGTCCAACGCGACATCGTTTGCCCCCGACATATCACGAGCCCGAGGACGCGGTCGGGAGCACAAGCTGATCGCGGATGCCACTGGTGATGAATACTTCGACACCACTGTCGAGGTAAGTTCGGCACGCTCTGGTAATGCATGCGTCGTGTTCATGGCTATCCTCCTAGGTTCTACATGGATTGAGAAACGACAACGGGGTCTACAGCGTTTTTGTTACTGACTACACGCGCAACCCGGCTGTGTCGCCGACTCAGGGCGAATGGTGTCCACCGCGACTCGCACCATACGTCCTGCGCGTCGAGTTGTGGGACTCCTCTGCGGAAGTCGGCCCAACGATGCAGGCGGGCGAGTACTATTCTATCCGCAACTTGCGCTCGCGGATTGGCGGCGGCGGATATCTTGAAAGCAAGATGCAGGAGGGCGAGAAGATCGTTAAGCTTGACGAGGACCAGTTGGAGAACTACCCCCGGCTGGCAGCATTGCTCAAGTGAGTCTCTCATTTACCGCTCCAGCGTCTCAGCCATAACACCAAGGAACAGGCGGAAGAAGGATTTTGAGACTGAAATGAACGCGACGGGTGGAGTGCACGAGTTCCCTCACAAGCTGGTCGAAGAAGCGGAGGAGAACTGCCACTTCAAATGCACTGTTGAGGTACGGGTCCTAACGTCCCTCCACTTCCACGCTCGCTAAATGGGCACCCTCTTACAGGTTGTTCACGTATCACCCAAAGACGACTTCACCTACCTGTACGTCACGGACTACACCTCTCGCACCGACCTCGTGCCTGTCTCAGCTTCCATCGCTCCCGAGACACTTGCCGACCGAGTCGTCCGAGTTGAGCTGCGTGACGCGCAAGTGGACATCGCTAAGAGCCTCGAGGCTGGCGACTTCGTCGCCATACGGAATCTCCGTCTACGGCCGTCAGGTGGTGGCACCCTCCTCGCTGGACGCCTGGGTGGTGACCAACGGCTGATTACGAAGCTGAACCCTAAAGCGGCTGGGAATGCGGACCTGCGGGCGCTGCTGAGGTACGTCTTGCTCTATACTTGGCAGGGCTCCGGAGCTTAGTAGGGGTCGGACAGCCGAAAGGAGGAGTGGACCGGCGCACAGACCAAGTCCAAACGCGAGGGGAAGCGTACTGCCGCGCGCGCCGCTCGTCTAGCGGCGGCGGCGGCGGCGGCAGCAGATACATCCACCAACGCCACAGCGGAGGTATCAGGCTCCAAGACCGTCGCGGTCCCTCGCAAGGGCAAACATAAACACAAGGGAAAGCAGTTTGTGACGCTCGAAGATGTTAAAGCGAGCGAGACGTGCCCCGCGGTGTTCCGTGTGCGTGCACGCGCGGTCGACTTCTTTCCTGACGACCTGCGGGACTGCACTGTTCTGCGGTGCACGAACTGTGCCGAAACGTGCGTGTTTCCCCTTTCTTCAAATCCGAAGACGGGCGATCTGCTTTGACTGATACACCACGCGCGTGTGGCTGTAGGCTGCCCAAGACCCATCGGCGGTGTTCGAAATGCGACGATGTGATGGAGGACGACACCGCCGTCGCGGCATTCTTCCAGCTCTGGCTGCGTCTCGCAGATGCAGAAGGCACGACCCTCGACGTATCCATCGCGGACGAACGTGTAAGTGCCCTCTGGTTATTGCAAACATCAATCTTGACTCCGATCGTGCGCAGTGCTCCATCTTGGAGGATCTTTCGCCGGACGACGTGCACGAGGACGACGGTGCGTTTGCGATGCTCGTAGCAAGGGTGCGGCCGCTCCTGGGCGGGTTACTGGACGTGCGTGAAGACGAGGCGCGACGGCGGCCTCTCGCTGAGGATGCGGATGCAGAGCCGACACCGTTAATGGACTTGACAATTGGGAGCTGGCTGCCTGAGGGGGAGCCGGAAACCTCGGATGCGCGTGCATATGTGGTTCTGAAGCATGCTTTATGCGAGGACGACGATGCTTGACGTGGTCGGCGACCCCCTGGATCTTATCTTTATACTGGACATACTGTAACACTGCGCACGTCTTTTTCATACATCAATCTTGCTCGTCCATACACCCGCCATGAATGCTACATCCGTATCTTGTGAAAAAGACCTCTAACGCTCATTCCGGCTTGCGCACCACCACCGCCCAGCCCGCCAACAACCCCGCATCCACGAGCGCCGCCTCCCACATCGTGCACACCCGCTCCTCCCGCCACGCCCTCGCGCCCCACTCGCGCACGAACGCGTCCCGGATCTCCCAGTCGTCCTCGAGCGCGTGCGCCGTCCGCCGGAGGAACACCGCGTACTCCGCTGACACGTTCCGCACGAGCACGACGCTCAGCGGCGCGCGCCCGGATGTCAGCAGCCCGAGCACGCGCGGGAGCGTCGCGAACAACGGCGTCGTCGTCCTGCGCTCGCCCGCGTCGGAGGCCCGGCCGCGGAGGTATGCGCGGGGGAAGAAGGGCAGTGCGGTGAGGATGGTGCGCGGGTCGCTGAACGTTTGTGAGGCGGGGCCGGCGCGTGTGGTGAGACCGATGGTAAGGTGGGCGCCGGGGGTGAGCGTGCTCTGGAGCTTGCGGATGGCGCGCTCGAGCGCGTGGTAGGGCACGCAGTCGAGCGAGACTGAGGGCGCGTTTTCGTAGAGCATGCTGAAAAAAAGCGTGGACGGGGGCGCCGATGCGGCGTGGATGTCTGCATGTTCGTGCGTGGCACGTGGGTAAGGCGGAGGTGGGGAGCGAGGGAGCGGTGGGCTACGCGTGATCGGGTCGTTTGCGCCTGTAAGGATGTGTGTGAGGATGAAGTGCGCGATGAAAGATTGGAGAGCAAAACTACCTTCGTGCCTAGTAATAAGCTTTGCAACGAGCATATTCGATAAGCAGCCTACGACGCATTACACCGACGCTCACCGCGACAGAGGGTCGACCGCTACGCATATAGCAGGAGAACATGAACCATAGTAGCTTGAACCACCAGAAGAGCTCAATGTCGATGCGGATACGAGTGGGGACTGACAATTTGTCGGATAACAGAAGTGGGAGATGCTCTCGAGGATTCCTGAGCTCTATAGCATCGTCTAGCAGATCGCGGTAGAGGGTCCCCAAAGGCAGATGCATGGCCCGTTTATTAGACGTGGCAGCTGAGCGAGCAAGTGAGAGATATTGTACCGGCCAGAAGGATTGGGTGGGGGTGATAAACGCATATAGTGACAGGAGCGCTTCCCTAGTGCCGGGGAGAACCTTTTCCTTCGTCCTCCAGCAGTAATTCGCGTAGATAACAGTCACCAGTAGAGCACATGGGAACGAGACGAGGAGAAGGTCGTTCAATCTGTCCGGAGAGCGCAGGTCCAGGTTTGCAGAGTCCAGCCTAAGTGTCCGCAAGTGCCTGAGGAGAATTTGGCCATTTTCTGCGGCATATTTCCAGTACTGATCAGACTTGGTGCCGATGTTGTCGAAGCCGAGGAGAGGATGCATGGCGGAGAGAGCAGAGAAGACACACGCGCGCTAGGCGCCAAGCGGGTGCGTGTACGTGTATCACATGACCGCGGTCCGCGACGGGTGGCTGCTGCTCAGCGCTCAGCCTGCCCACAACCACCGACGGCTTCTCTCTTTCTACCACCACCTTGCTGCTTGTTTCGCCGACGGCACCTCTGCTACTTCTGCGCCAACAAACGTTGCATGTCGCAAGCCAACCAGGTCGCTGTGGCCGGCCCCAGCTCTCTCAATCTCGCGGATCCATCCCTCCCTGCCGGTGCTCGCAATGGGCAACCGCACCAGATTCCTCGCTTCCTTCTCAAGCTATACGAGTAAGTGTCTGATCGACCCAGGTTTCGAACTTATCTCACTTCCTATCTAGAATCCTCAATGACCCAGCCAACGAGGAGCTCATAAAGTGGTCGGAAGCAGGGGACTCATTCTACAGTAAGCACGAAGCTCGTCTCCACCCTTCGCTGTTCGAGACATAACTCACCAACCTCTACAGTATACCATCCAGACAGATTCGCTCGCGAATTGCTGGGGAAATGGTTCAAGCATCAGAACTTCTCATCTTTTGTCAGGCAGCTGAACCTCTATGGTTTCCGCAAGATATCGGCTCTCCAGCAAGGCCTGCTCCGAATGGACCATGATACTGAGACGACCCAGTTCGCTCACCCCTACTTCCACCGCGGTCAGCCCGACTTGCTTGCCCTTATCCAACGCAAACGCCATCCACCCAGCCACACGCTTACCGAGGAGACTGCGGGTCTCCTCCAGGCTTCTCAGGATGGCAAACTTTCCGCTCAGGCTGTCGACGTTCGTACCATTGTAGAAGGAATCAACGCCATACGCCATCAGCAACAAGTCATAGCCGCAGATTTGGATGCGCTCAAGCGGTCGAACGACGCTCTCTGGAAAGAAGCTATCGAGGCCAGGCAAAGGCATGCCAAGCATGAAGACACGATTAACCGTATCTTGAAGTTCCTCGCTGGCCTCTTTGGACGGGTCGTGCAGGGCAGTAGCCGGGATCAGTTACATGGTGAAGGACAGGCCCCGAGAGGGCGGATGCTCATGATCGGCGACGGACGTCCTGGTCACGGCGACGGAGCCAGCGATTTCGGCGGGAGTGACGCTGGAAGCAGGCCCGCTAGTCCATTTTCTACCAGTATGTTATCCCCCGCCCAACGCACACACGCGCCTCCTAACATGCTCTACAGCGTCAGAGCGATTCGCAACCATTGAGACACCCGCAGCAACTGTCGCGTCTCTGCGCTCCCCGTCCGCCAGCGAACCCAGTCGACCCATAAACGTGCCCGGCTCGGCACCCCCAGACTGGAATTCTTCGCATTCCGGCACCGCCCTGGGTCTTCATCCCGGGCCTCCCGCAACGGTTCCCTCTACCTCCTCATATATACCACCTCCGCCTGCGCCTGCACAGGGCGCGCCGAACCCGGAAGCTTTGTGGCAGGCTACCTTCCAGCAAATGCTTCAGTCGCCTGAGCAGTTCCAGCGTATGGCACAGGCGTTTGGGATCGCCCAACAGCACCACATGTCTAATCAAGAACAGCCACACACATCCGACCTCTCCGGTGCCCTCCAGCGTCCGGGATACGTGGATTCTACGGCATTTTCTTCCATCCCACAGCAGGTCACATTGCCCCCTACCTCCTTGCCCATCCAGCCTTCTCAGTCCTCGCAACTCAATCCCCAACACCCGCTGTCGTATCCACTCCCCGTCGCGCCCACGACCGTCGCGCCGCCGCAAACGTATGCCGAGCAGGCTCTACTCGACAACAATGCGCGCATGCAGAAGGCATACCGCGACACGGCCGAGATCAACGCCGACGTGGACGTGCTGCAGTCGAGCATCCATTCCCTCATCCGCGACATGGGCCTCGACCCTCAGAACCCCGTGCTAGGGGCCGACGCGCCTCCCGGTGCCACGGGCGACCCCCCTGGCTTCTCTTTCGACTCGTGGCTGGAGCAGCTGTCAAACGGAGGCACGGACTTCGCATACCCTGCCCAGGGAAGCGCGAGCGGTGGGGATGATCTTTCTGCGTTCTTGAATATCCCGAATGTCGACGGCGACCTGAACGATGTGGGCCCGGTGCCGGTTCCCGTACCAAACGCGACCTCCCCCGCTGGGCAGAAGCGCAAGTTGGACGATGCGGAGATTCCGAAGGCGCCATCCGAAGCGGAGCCCCCGGCGAACAAGAAGAAGCGATAGGTCGTCCGAAGCTGAGAAGCCGTGCGGGCGAGGACACTGGGTTTTCCGATGTGTTCCGCTGGGCCTATTTTACTGAGAGAAGATATAGGGACGCGTCGTACGCAGGTGTATTTTTACGGTGTGTAATGGGTATAGTGTTCTCCAGTGCTCATAGCTACACTACGCAATCACAGATACTACTTCAGTGACAGAGCTAAGGTCGGGTTCTACAGGGAGTCCTAGATCCGCCCATGGGTGCACCCTTGCTTTCTGCAACTCGCGTACAAGACTCGCTACGTCCTGTGTCACATCCGTCCATCCCGCCCCGCCCCTAGGATCCGCCCCCAGATTTCCCAGTGTTGTCACTTCAACACGATCGCCTGCCCACCTTCCACGCACCGGAGGACCCGTAACGTCCGTTACCTCCGCCGCACCTGGGCCCGGGATACAGCAGACGCACGCGAAAACAGCAGACCACAAGAGCCGTTTCGGGTCGCCCCAGCTCAGTGCGTCTACGCGCACGTACTCTCGCTGCGAAACGCTACAGAGCACCCATGGAGCTGCACGGGGATAGTATGGCTCGCATAGTTGACGGAACACGACGAGGTCGCCCGCGGACATCCGCGACACCGCGCGAGGACGCCACAATATATCGGTCGGGCGCAGGAGCGCAGGCGGATCAGGCGTATACCGCGACCACGCCTTCCGGATAAGCCCGTACAGCGGCGTGTCGGGCGCGCCGCCGAGGGCGCACGCCTCTGCGGGGGTGAAGAACCCCGCGGGGCAGTGCGCGAGCGTGCCGGGGCCATCGGCGAGGCAGACGAGACGGTGGCCGGCGAGCGGGGCGTAGTGGCTGCGCTGCAGACGTGCGATGTGCGGCTGCGCGAGGGCGAGGGCCAGCTTGCAGGTGGTGGCGAAGAGGAAGACTGCGGGAGCGTACGCGCCTGTTGGATTCAGTGCGCTGAGGATCTCGTGCAGCAGCTCGGGGGGTAGGCGGAGGAGCGGCGCTGTGCGCTGGTGGGCGAAGCGGCCGCAGAGCATGCTGTCGATTTTGTCACTGGACGTGCGGAGGAGTATCAGCTGAGTACTAACATCCAGCGGGGATTGAGTGGCTTACTTTACGCAGGGGATTCGGAGGGTCTCTAGCGTGAGGGCGGCGCAGTTCGAGAACCAGTCATCGAGTCTGCCTGCACCCTCGAGCCAGACACGCCGGTCAAGGTCCACTCTAGAAGGAACCAATAAGCAAGGTGAGTGGTTTGCAGTCGGTTGCGAAGTTGCATGAGAGTACTGACGCGATCCAGTTTCGGGGCATTTTCAAAGGTCGTTCTTGCTACCAACGTTAGGCAACAGGTTCGAGGGGTGCTGCACCGATGACCATTGGGCATATATACGCATGCGATCGCATCCGGCCTGCAAGGGGCATGCCGCATGTCGTACTCGTCCTGCGGCGTCCGTTTCAGGCCAAGCCCCTATACGCTTGCGCGCTGGAGCAGGGTTCGCGAAGTGCCCGCTCGGAGTGCAAATTGGCAGCGTTAAGGTGTCCATTGTGCTGATTGGGCGGGCATCAGGAGAGGTACGTACTGATGACCGCACCCTCTGACAAGGTTCAAACGCTCTCCTACGGAGAACCCCTGAAGACTTGATCGCTCTGTGGCTATGGGGAGGGTCATGCCCTCTGAAGACGCCTCAGTCGCTCGCGCGCAGCCTCGACATGGGCACGTTACGCCACAGCATGACCCGGTACATTGAGTGGAGGGCGGCGTGCAAAGAGGAGCGCTCTCTGAGCACCTGGCGGGGTAAGAGGGGCCATCCCAGAAGCTCAGCGATACGTCACAGTAGGTCAGGAGGACCGGTGCTGCGTCTAAGTAGAACCTGAGCGCGTCGACTGAAGCTACGCATAGGATGGAAGCACCTCAAAGAGAGCTTCGATATGTCGACGACCGAGTGGGACCGTATCGAGTAGTCGTGCGGGATGGTGTTGGCATGCAGGTAGCTGCAAGGACGTACTTCGACTGCGATTGCCCCCATCCTAGTACCGGGGGCGGCTACCATAAATGACCGCGCCGGGGATTCCCTCATAGGGATACACAACAAACCATCAGCGAACCATAACACGGTTATATATTCCGTGCGGTGTAGCATAAGTGCACATGCGCACAAGCTTTGAAGCACAAAACATGCAGCGGTATCCAAACGCGCACGCATCCCCCGCGAGCCCAGAGCTTCCTATTCCGTCTCCGAACCCAACTTGTCCCCACATTCAGCCGCCCATATCCGCTTGACCAGTGCTGCCACCTCGTCCGTCACGTCCTTCCATTCGCCTTCGCCGGGCGCAGTAAGCGGCAGGTGGTCCAACGGAGTGATCGCGAAACGATCTCCTGCCCAGCGCCCATTCGCCAGGTCCTTGCCCTGGTATGTCATGGCGTACGAAGAGCTGTACGAGCAGCAGATGTTCGCGAGCAGGAAGTGCCAAAACCCGGGTTGCTTGCTGTCCCACGGCCTCCACGGTTTCGAGGGGAGCGTCTCGCACAACTGCATTGCAGCCTGCTCGCGCACGTACTCGCGCTTCACGAGGTTGCACAGCGCCCATGGCCAACGCTTAGGATAGCAGACAACGCCCATCACCAGGATCCAGTCGCCGAGACGCCAGCGTTGCGGCATCGCCCAAGCACACTCTTGAACGCGCTCTTGAAACGACGTGTTGGGGTTGCGTAGGTCATAGTTGGAGCGACGGCCAAAATGTTCGGAAGCATACGCCCAGAGGCTAGGGCTGCCGTCCGACTCCTCGTTGTGTTCTCCGAAGTCCCGGACCTCCTCCGCCTCTTCATCGGTCAGCATTCCGGACGGAAGCTGCGAAAGGAGGTTGGCGTATTCGCCGACACAAATAAGTCGATGCCCAGAGAGGCCTCGGGGGATATAACGTCGCTGATGTTTTTCGATGTGCCTGCGAGAGCGGGCGAGGGCGGCCTTGCAGGTGACGGCGCAGCTTAGTAAGGCCATGTAGCTCATGTCCTCAAGCTCATCCAAGATAAGGTCGTAGAGCTCTTGAGCCAAGCCGAGCAGCCTTGATGAAAGCTGGTCTGCGACGGTACCCAGCAACAACTCATCGACCTTCGGGCTGATGTTTAAAGCACCGGTAGTAAGCACCAAACTACAAGTCTGAAAAAAGGGTAAGCACGTACTTTGGGACAGGAAGCCGCAGGGAATCCATGATGTCCTCGCCATTATCCCAAAACCACTCTCCTAACTTCCCGCCGCCGGTGCCCAATGTTTGCCTGCCGTCGAGGTCCACTCTGTCAAACCGTCAAATCGGCGAACTGTTTGTGCCGTAGTGCTCCTGACACTGCTGTAGAATGCCACTTACAACTCCCAGTACTGGCCCATCGAGCGCTCGAAGCACGGTGATAGAGATACACAACGAAGGGGATCGCGCTGACAGATATGCACCGGACTCGTGTTCATATATCGTTGCGCCCACGTGTGATTGGCGAGGCATGATTTTGGCCAGAACAGCTCGATAAAGGCCACTGTGACTTACCGCCAGCGCGCTCGCGCTCGGAGGCATAAATCGATCCTTAATTTCTGGCCGTACTGCCGAAAAGAGGTCACCGGTCACCACTGGCAAGCGAGCTATAACACAGAATCGCAAGACTCTAGAATGTCAATGCCGCCAACGTTGTTATACCCTGCCGTTGTCATTCACAACCTGAGCCTCCCACATCCGCTTGACCAGCGCCCCTACCTCATCCGTCACATCCGTCCACTGGTTCTCATCGTCCGTCGACGCAGGTCGCAGGTTTTCCAGCAAGGTGACTTCGAACCAGTCCCCTGCCCAGCGTCCCTGCGTCAGGTCGTCCTCATTGTACGGCATGGAGCTGGTAGGATCGGGCGACCAGCAGATGTTGGCGAGCAGAAAGTGCCAGAACGTAGGCCGCTCTTTCTCGCCCCGGGACCAGCGGGACGGGTTATCGGGGAGGCTCTCGCATAGCTGCACCGCAGCGTCCTCCCGCACGTATTCGAGCGTCAGGAGGTTGCACAGCGCCCACGGGCGGTCTTCGGGATAGCAGGGGCGAGCTACGCTCTGGACCAAGGCCCAATCTTGGGGATGCCAGCGCCGCCTCCGATACGCGACCCCATCGAGCGCTCTCAACGCGTCGTCGGATCGAAATCCGAGCTCGTGAGAGGGGAGCCTGTCGAAGTAATGTTGCGCGTAATAGAAGAGGCAAGGCAGCTCCTGGTGACTTCGCCCGTAGGCCTCGAGCTCATCCACCTCCTCGTCGGTGAGCATCTCCGGAGGAAGCTTCCAGGGCCGGTTTGCGTATTCGCCGATACAGACCAGACGGTGACCTGCAAGGAGAGGTCTGCAGTGGCGGCGCTGGTGGGCGATGATGTACTCGCGGCATCCAGCAAGGGCAGCCTTGCAAGTGACGGCATAGCAAAGCAGCGCCACGTAGTCCTTCTTCGCAAGTTCATCTAGAATGAGGTTGAAGTTGTCTTGCACCAATCTGAGCAGGACGCAAGCCGGCTGCTCCGTCATCGGTCCCTGCAGCAATTCATCTACCCTCGCGCTTCCAAAGAATGCAACTTAGCCGCAACTTCTGACGGGGATAAAGAAGATTCAACACACCCGTAGACAGGAACTCTGAAAGCGTCCATGATTCCCCACTGGTTTTCCCAGAACCATTCTCCTAGCTTCCCACCGCCGTAGTCACCGACTATGACCTCCCCGTCGAGGTCAACTCTGTCAAAACTCCATCTGTCAGCCTGATGTCCAACGAACCGATTTTAACTGAACATATCACTTACAACTCCCAGCACTGCCCCATGGTGTTTTCAGCGGAAGGACGAGATGCGCAACGATATACCGAACTCGGAGGCTACGTTGGAGAAGACAAGTTAGTCGGCGCCGTGTCTTGACTATTATGCGTACGTGCCCATGTTGCAGCGCACGTGTGATCGGTGAGGCGTCCCACCAGGTACAATATGCGACGAAGGATCGAATGTAGTGGCAGTGATGTGGCCGGCTACAGCGGGCTTTGATCTGATAGAAGAGTCGTGGACTGTCGTGAACGTTAGACATAGGACAATGATAGTCGGGTCCGCTGTGGTGCATACATACACGCGCACTTCCGAGCAGCTCTACTTGTCATACTCCGCCTTCCATACTCGTGTGACCAGTTCACCGACCTCATCCGTGATATCCTTCCACGAGCCCTTGCCCTGCGCAGCTAGACCTTCAAGCAGCGTGATGGCGAAACGATCCCCAGCCCAGCGGCCCCGTGTCAAGGGGCGGTCCCTCTTCCGACCGTCTGCGTCGTTGGCCTGCGCGTCGTGATCACCATCTTCGTGGTTGCCATATGCATTCTCGGGGTCGTCGTCATACGGCATGGAGATTGAATCATCCGGCGACCAGCAGATACTCGCGAGTAGGAAGTGCCAAAACTCGAGCCGGTCCCAGTCACGTCGCCGATACCCGAGAAGGCTCTCGCACAGCTGCGTAGCAGCCTGCTCGCGAACGTACTCGTGCTTCGTGCGGTTGCATAGTACCCAGGGCCGGTCCTTCGGGTAGTAGCCAGAGCCCACATCCCAAATCAGTGCCCAATCACTGGGGAACCAGTGTGGCGGGGTCCGAGGCCTTGATCCATTGAACACCCTGTGTAGTGGATACCGGTACCGCGACAAGATGTCGAAGGATGAGAAGCACTCCGCCGCGTACTTCAAAAGGGCAGGCGGACGTTCTAGGTCGTGTGACTCGAAGCTCAAAAGCTCTTGTTCTTCTTCGGCAGTGAGCATCCCCGGAGGAAGCTGCGAAGGATGCTGAGCGTATTCCCCGACGCAGATGATACGGTGTCCGGCGCGAAAGTGGAGATATTCTCGTTGGCGGGAGATGATCAGTTTTCGGGATAGCGACAGGATAGCTTTGCAGGTGACCGCAAGGCAGAAGGCGGAGTAGATATTCTCGTCGTCTACACCCACAAGCTCTTTGAGGACAGGATCGAAGAGGTCTGCGGGTAGGCGCAGTAAGGGAGAAGCCCGTTGATCCGCTACAACGCCCCGCAGCATCGCATCGATCTTCAGGCTTTATACCTCAGTCAGTTCATTTCATTGTCTCGATCAATTTGGGATTAGAGTACATACTCTGTCTGAGGGACTCGAAGGGTCTCCATGATCCCCGGGTCTCCACGCCAGAACCACTCTCCCAACTTGCCATCGCCCCCTATAACCCCACGTGAGCCGAGGTCAAGACTGAAAGGATAGAAAGTAATCGGATGCGTCAGTAGTGGTCTGATGAGTAGTGTACAACAAGGGTGGCCGACTTACATTGCCCACTGCTGGCCCATCGTACTTAGGAGCGTGACCGCTGTGAGCGAGGAGTATCGGCAGGCGATACACTCGTTTGGCGCTAGCTCTGCGTGGCACCTCACGTGGGATGCGGCATGAGCGCACGCGCTCGAGATATAGATATTGAAGAAAGATCCTTGCGGTTGATCGTGTATAAGACGGAATACGTCGTACTTACCCAAGCATCCACGTTTTCTACTGTCTATCAGCGAAACGCATCAGAGATGAATGACTTACACCCTAGTAAACGCCCCAGCGCGAATCGTTCGAGCAATGACCATGGTGGGTTTGACAAGTATCGTTGAGGACTTCGAGGTGCAATATTATACAGTGATCTTGCAAAACTCCTACCGTGGATGCAATGCAATAGACTAGATTGTCAGTAAGTTAACGTCTCCACGACCGCGTCCAGGACCCGGATGGGATCTGGCATGTAGAACTTCTCGTATTGCATCGGAACCGGCATGCTGTCGTGCTAGATAAGTCTCCAGCTCTTTGCGCAGTAATGGGCCACTCACTCCCAGCCAGTCACCAGTCTCACCGGCGCGTTCAGCTTGAGGAAACACCTCTTCTGAATCTCGGCGCCTATCTCAGCACCTGCGCCTCCAGTGCGCCCAGCTTCGTGGACGACTATGAGGCGGCCAGTGCGGTTGACGCTCTCCACGACGGCCTCGACGTCCCAAGGCATGATTGTGCGTAAGTCAATCAGCTCAACCTTTGCCGATCGCAGCGACTGTGGTACGAGCGGCGCAAGCGATGGGGATGGGTGGGAGAGCATCTTCAGCGCAGTCTCGCAGTGGTATATGGGGGTGCCCCAAGAGACGATGGTCAAATCGTTGCCTCTTATGAGCGTTTCTGCCTTCCCTAGTGGTAGCTCGTAGTCGTCCATGGGGACCTGCTCAACTACGGAACGTCGTAAGACATCGAGTATCGCATCATAGCGAAGCCGCTTACCCGAGGATCGGTATAAAACCTTTGGCTCCATAAAAATGACAGGGTTGGGATCTCGTATTGAGCTCAATAATAAACCCTTGGCCTGGATGGGGGATCGAGGGATGACGAGCTAAATTCGCAGCGTGGGTACGATGAAGCATTACGGAATGAGAGACCTACCTTCAGCCCGGCAGCTCCCATGAAGAACCCTTCAGGACTCTGGGAGTGGTAATGACCGCCGTGACCAACGGCCATAGACGGGCAACGAATCGTCAACTTGCCGACATTGAAGTTGCCGCTGCTTCTGAAGCGGAACTTCGCCGCCTCGTTGACAATCTGCGGGGAAGTATTCGATGAGAACATAAGGTCGAGCTTCGGACAACTGAATTGCATGACGTACCTGGTCGAATGCGGGGAAAATGTAATCGGCAAACTGTATTTCAGCTATTGCCGTCTGTCCCATGGACGCGAGGCCAATGCCAAAGCCTGCTATTCCTTGTTCCGTTAAGGGCGTGTTGAAGACGCGTTCTCGGCCTGCAAACATTAAGCACATTCCTTATCGAGCCTCGAGCCCGGACATACCAAACTCCTCCGCAAGACCCTGGAGGGGAAATGGTTGAGCCTACGCGCAGCACGATGTGCCTCCCTCCGCGAGCTTACCATTGTACACCGGAACACTCCTCCGAAGGCAACATCTTCTCCAAAGACTACCGCGGTGTCGTCTTTGGTCAGGGCAATGCTGCAGTGGCGTACAATTGAGATGAGCCATCATCAGGGACGAGAGCGAAGATTAGGACGTGCCTTAACGCGTCTCGAACTGCCTGGTACATGTTCATCTTCCGCGTCTCACGACCGACCATCTCGCGCGCGGGATCCTGCTCTGTCTGGTCCACATAATGCAGGCCTGCAGTGCGTAGTGCCAAGTCGCGCGTGGGTTTGAGGAAGGTAGAGGTAGCCACGGACGGCAAGTGGCCGCCTGCCGGTGGCGGATGTGCCGCCGTGCTCTGCCACCGGCGGCCCGACCTCTACATAGTGCATGTTAGTCTCTGCGTCCTGCATGTTGAGCAATAAAAGCTATAGACATACGTGAATCCTCGCGAGAGCTCTAAGCATGAGATGCGTGAAATTGCGGGGGATGGAGGTGGTCGACGAGCAAGAGCGGACGGGGGACATGATCCGGGGCGTCATGAGATCCCATGAGCCAACTTGGTCTGCGCTTCCATCCGCCGCCACGACCACCCGCGGGTATCCTGCTTTGGCCGCGACATCCGGCGACGAGACGATGAACTATGGAGAATGAATCGACCTTCGTCGCTCCGGAGGGGGTGTACTCGGTCACAGAGGAGCACAAGCCTACCCCGCTCGCCCAACACACCATCGCGGCCGCGCCCATCCTCTACCCCACGCGAATATCCACCGTCTCCGTGCGCTTCTCCGTGAACAAGCCGACGAACTCGCCTGGGTTGTCGCAGCTGCTTGGCGGAGGCCGCGAGAAGGAGTTCAGGAAGGAGAAGGTGGTTACGAGGGACAAGGAGCGCGAGGACGGACTGAGCGTGTCCAGTAGCGACGATCCGGACGACGGCTCTCCCGATGCCTCGAGCACTCCCGCCCCAGACGGCGCAGCCTCGACTGCCGCAATCCCCCATGAGCAGTCCTCCACTCCCTTCGCTCACAACCCGGGTGGGCTGGGCAAGCGCAAGAGCGTGCCCCGGCCCAAACACAACATGCGCACAACCTCCTCCACATTCATCACCCGGTTGCAGAACATCGACAACCTGAGCAAGGCTCTGCAGTCGAAGCAAGGGGACACCACCTTCTTATTCTATAATGCCGCTAAGACATTCGTTTGGACGGAGGCGGGCGCAAAGCTGAAGGTATGTTCCGTGGTGCCTTTCCGTGTGCCTGCCCCATAACGTCAACATTCTCAGGAACCTTTGGCCCGAATATATTTCTCCGCGTATCCAACGTGCCACGATGTGAACCTCGCTACTGTCTCCTCGGAGCGCATAGACGTCATCATCGGTTTCAACACGGGTGACATACTATGGTTCGGTGAGTACCCCTATAGTCCCCGCAAACAAGCGCTGACAAGTATACAAGACCCCATATCATCTCGCTATGGTCGTCTCAACAAACAGGTAAGTCTCAAGTTTACACCACGCGATGCAGGAGGTTGAGACGATGTCTAGGGACGAATTTGCAATTCGCCATGTACCACTATCCGTTGGGTGCCCGAATCGCCCAACCTATTCCTCGTCTCCCATGCAGATGGCACTATCATCGTGTACGACAAGGAACGCGAAGACGGCGCATTCATACCACATGAACCTGGGAGCTCGCCTCCGACGGTCTTCCCGCTGGACGGGTCTTCGTCAAGCAGCTCCCAAGGGGAGTGGAATCCCCTAGACTCCATCTTCGTGACCATGCCACCATGGCATCCCGTCACGGCAGGTGGGCCTGTGCCTCCAGGTGGCAAGGTTGAGAAGGAGAAGACCGCAAAGAACCCCGTCAGTCATTGGCGGGTATCCCGCAGAAGTATCGTAGGTAAGGCATTCAACGCACGATACGTCGCGGCCACTTACTGATGCCCTATCGTCTAGATTTTGTATTCTCTCCTGATGCTAAATACCTGGCTGCCATCGCGGAGGATGGCTGCCTCAGAGTAATAGACACCGTGGCTGAGCAGTAGGTCCCGCCCACCGCTATTGCACAAGATGAGCTGAGCTCATGCCCGCAGGCTGGTCGATTGCTATGCATCGTACTTCGGCGCGTTCACTTCGGTCGCCTGGTCGCCTGATGGTCGTTTCGTTTTGGTCAGTATCAAACCCTACTGTTTCTTATGCGCGGGTTTGTCTGACATGTGCCCCGTAGACTGGTGGGCAAGATGATCTTGTGACCATATTTTCACCATGGGAACAGCGGGTAATAGCGAGATGTCAGGGGCACTCATCCTTCGTATGCGGAGTCGCCTTCGACGACGTCCGGTGTGACGGCCGGACGTACCGCTTCGGGAGCATCGGCGAGGACAACAAGCTCATCCTGGTGCGTGTGCCGCGCGACCTCACTTCGGACGGCAGATACTCATCGGATTGGCAGTGGGACTTTTCGAGTGGCGCTCTCCATCGACCAAAGCTGCACGTAGGTACAATCGCGATCTGCGCAATGTGTGTTCTGACAGGTCCGCTCTCAGGCTGTCCACCACCAGCGCATGTCCATGACATCCTCTATCTCCTTGGCGCTGCGCCGGCGAGGCGAATCTACCGTCTTTCTCCCGCCCACCGGCACGCCCGGCGGCGAATCGCCCCTCCCACGATACCACCCCGCGCCATCTCGGAACGAGGTCGCGGTTGTTCAACCCGTTGTGGTAAGCCCGTCGATGCCTTCGTGTTCGTCCGGCACTGACCTACGCCTTCCGCGCTTCAGGTCAAGCACATCAGCAACGAGATGCTGGCCCACATTCACTTCCTTCCGCGGGGGCTGCTCACCGCGAACAAGCTTGGACACATCAAGTTCTGGATCCGGCCGCTCGCCGTCCAGCCGCGTCACCTACGGACACAGAGCGCGTACCGCCGGGCGTCACAGACCGACGCCATTAGCTGAAATTTGTGCCTGCGTGTCAGTCTTCGTGTCACTTCACACCTATCTACGTTTGTCGTTCGCCCCGTTTGTTGTGCTATCTTGTATACTGTAGGGTTGTTTATATTATTCTGCGCTATTTTCCCCTCTATGCACCTCCACACAGCGGTCCGTATCGACCCGGAGGCTCCGCTGCACAGCAGTACCTTTCGTGCGTGAATCTCGACACCCGAAGGGCGTGTATCCTCGGTCGTCGCCGCGACTCTCGCCTTCATGAACCTGAGAGTGATATTGAGGGTACAAGTCTTCCTCTGGATGGGACCTGCGATAGAGCCCTCTAGGACCAAATAACACACGCGATGATGCCCGAAACGTTTCGTGTGCGTTTCTATTCGTAAAGCTACACATACACAAGAATACTACTACGTACGCTACCTAGGGAAATGCACGACAGCCCAGATGGAAACAGAGACGCTCAGTTCGCGGGCAGCGCACAGCGGTCCGCAGACAGGTTGAGGTCGTTGCCCCACCACTCCGGGAAGCTGTGCGCGGTGCCGGACGCGCCGAACACCGCGAAGTTGAGGATGAACGAGATGACCTGGGTGCCGCCGTCGAGCGCCGCGGCCACGATGTAGCTGTCGCACGTCATCGGTATCCGTCGCAAGTAGGGCAGGGAGGAGGGGGGGGGACTCACTTGTACTTCGTGAACCAGCGGGGGTAGCGCGTGCGCACCCACCACTGCGAGAAGAGGCCGATGGTCATCGACGGGTTCACGGAGGTGTTGATGCCGACGGAGAGGAAGCACGAGTACTGCATGATGATGGGCGTGCTGAAGTTCTCGAAGCCAGCCTTGGGCCAGATGTACCACTGCAGGACATGGCGACGTGTGAGCACGAGTGCGCGAAAATGGGGAGAAGAAACTTACTGCGAGGATGAAGGGCAGGGGCAGGAAGACACCGATGGCGAGGCAGATGGGCACCATGTGGTAGACGGAGTTGGCGCCGAACATCTGGGGAGCGAGACCACCCCACGAGATGGCGTTGGAGTTGTAGCCCTGGGCGTTCTGGCCAGACCAGAGACGGGTACCCGAGATGGAGAGGAGGGCGTCACGGTTGGCATCAACAATCGTAACCATCATAACGTCTGCGAATGCACATTGTCAATACAAGGCACCTGCAAAGTTGCGGGGGGGCACTCACAGTTCAGGATAGCACCGACGACGGTGCCGATGATCTGCATGGAGAACGTCACGCGCGGGGGCAGCTTCGCGTACTGGCCGAGCTTCAGGTCACCGAGCATGGCAATGCACTGGCCCTGGGGGTGCTGGCCGTACAGCGCGCCGTACATGTTCGCGATCGGCTGGCCGGGGACCATGTACGCGGTGATCATCTGGTAGAAGCCGTTCGCGGACGACGTGAACTCGCGGAAGCCGATCGTCGCCGCGAGCGTTGCGAAAAGCAGCGAGAGCACGAGCGAGATGAGCAGGATCACGGTGAGCGCCCACCACGGGAGCCCGGAGTGGCCCTCGTAGTTCGTCGCCTGCGCGATCGCGTACGCGCCGACGAGGAGCACGAAGTACCACCAGCGCGGGATCTGCTTGTACACCTTCATCTTCTCGTAGTGCGGGTCGTGGACGACGAGGGGGGTCTTGTTCCACGGGTTGAATGTCTTCAGGAAAGGCTTGATGTCGGCCCAGTGCCAGAAGAAGACGTGGGTGAAGGTGGCTCCGAGAGACAGGTTGGAGGTCATCAGGTAGAGCGCGTTCGTGGCGGAGAAGAACGCGGGCTGTAGCGCTTTGTCAGATATTGTAGAATGCCAACGAGATGATAGCGCTTACCCCGAGCTGCTCGTACTTGACGGGGTCGAACTTGCCGTCGGTGAGGAGACCAGTCTGGTTGTACTGGGAGCCGTCCTCAGCCTAATAATGCGAATGCGTTAGCGGCCATGATCAACGGCGGTTAGAACCGATAAACTCACGAAGATGGCCTGAGACATGAAGGGGAAGTCCTTCGCCCTCCAGAGGTTGCCGTAGTACACACCCGCCATGAGGATGTACGTGAGGAAGATACCGATGTCCTGGTTGATCTGGAGCCAGAGCGGGGCGAACAGGCAGTCGCTGCCGATCAGGTTCCAGTCGAAGCACCACGAGAGCAGGCCCATGCCCTCGTTGTTGCTCGCGCCACCGAACACGTTGCGGAACACCGTGCTGGTGTTGTTCGCGAGGCAGAAGATGGAGATACCGGTGAGGAGGGGGAAGATCCCTGCGGAGCACGTGCGTGTCAGGAACACGCCGGCGGAACGACGCAAACAATGGACCTACACTGCGGAATGATCTCCCAGACGAACATGACACAGAAGACCGTCCAGAACAGGCGCACACGCTTAGAGGTCATCTGGTTGTCGAAGTGCAGGGCCTGGAACAGGTTGGCAGTGGAGACTGTGGAGCGCGTAAATAAAGCTTCCACATCGTAAAGGAGAGAATCTTACTCGTCGAGGGCCAGAAGCACTTGGTGGGCTTAACCAGCAAGTCCTGCAGCAGACCGGCGTAGCCGTATCCGAGCAGTTGCGAGCCAATGAGAGTGAAGATCGCAAGTCCGGCGTTCTGCAGGGGCGTTAGTCTTTGACATACAAACTGGAAGCACTCCACTAACCAGCTTGTTGTTATAGTACACTGCATCGCATGGTCAGCCTGGTGCGCTCGGTTCGCGGCACACGTTACTCACAGTCCTGAACGGAGATAACTTGGATAGCAGTAGCGGAGACCGCGGCCGTGGACGACATGATGATGATGGCTACATGCTCCTTAACTGCACTAGGATGAGCATGATAATCGAACGAACGCTAGTGGACACTTACTGTTGAAAGGGCCGGGGTTAATCCACCGGAAGATGCCCCTGGACGGGAGAGCCATGGCCATGGCATTGCCGAACCAGTACGACAGAACCAGCAGGAACAGGGTCGAAACGGCCAGTGTCTGCGGCTTGAAGTAGTAAATCTGGGCCAATACGCTGGTGGATGTGCATGAGGAAATGCCGAAGCAGACAAAATCGTTGCGACTCACGCGCCAAAGGCGGAGAACCCAAGACCTAGGACGAATGTCCGGAAGGTGATGGGGGGGAGTTCGGGGTCGTCCCGGAGGGACAGGACCTGAGAGACACCATGTCAACCGTCAGTCCACCGGAGCATATGGGCGCTATGTGTGCGTACCTTGATGGCGACCTCATAGGCCTCCTGCACCCGGTACTCATCCTCGGTGGCCTCGTCGTTCTGGAGGCGCTCCTCGAACTCTTCGACCTCCTTGGCCATGATGGCGTCGTCGGTGAGGCCGGCGCCATCGGCACCCTTCTTGTCGAGGGAGTCGTCGTCGATGGAGTTCTTCTCGTCGAAGGCCGGAGCCGAGCTTACGAGGTTTGCCATGGTGGGAGGAATGGGGGGAGTGGCCCTGGAGCGGTGTGAGAACCGGGACGAGGCATATATACGGAGGAGGTAGGAGGGCTAGCGCCCCTACACCCACAGTGGTGTCTGCAGCACATGGTGCAGGTGCCTTCCGGAACGGCCGTCTGAGCGAGCTTATCGTACGGGCAGCCCAGGCACACGAACAGGGCCCGCGGGGTCCTGCAACGTCAACTCTGTGCGATAGCATTCTTAGCGAATCGGGATGAGAACTTGGAGAGATGGCCGCAGGCCCGCAGTTTATCGCACCTGGTGCTCGAAACTCCCCATGCTCTCCCACCCCACGCGGATACCCAGCCCCGCCGGTGCGGCTGTCCGTCTTCTGTTTCTCCCAGCCGATGGGAACCATCGCGTGATGCGAACTTGCCCCGTCTCCTTCTCAATTGCGTGTGCGGCCCCCGGACGGCAACCTGTGCAATGTGCAAACTACGCTGCGGGGGTTGCACACGCCGACGAAGACGAGAAGACGAATCTCGGGAGGCGGGTCGGGTGCTTGCGCGGACGTCCGCGTTGACGTCAACGTTCGCCATCGCCGGGGAAGCCGCGACGGCCTACACATCCTCCTCCCTCGTCGGCGGTCGGCATCCAGCGAGTACACCGACCACATCTCCGCACTGTCCGCAACAGGCCTTCCATGCAGCCCCGTATGGTCAATAGGCCCGGTGACCGTGCTCCCATGCTTCAAATTGTCAAAACCTTCGCAACCGTCATCCCTTCCGAGCCAAGTAGATGCCGCATCTGCACACGACGCCGTGCGATGTGCAAGGAGCGGTTCTAAGTAGCATCAGCCACACTGCAGCTGTTGATCCATGTCTCGCGTACACTCCTGCCAATTTAGCGGCCGTGATTCGCTGGCGATAACGCGCGCACCCTCACCGGTTCCTGGGCATCCCTGCAGTGTGCACCGCTCTTGCCTTGGCCCCGCACGGGCGGTTGACGACGATGATGGGCGTCCTGCCGAACCCGAGGCCCCATCGAGACCGAGCGCGCGAGCGATGATGGGCGTCGTCCGCTGCCCTGATCCGATCGCTCTGTGGGTGCCCCGGCCCGCCGCCCCGGCCCCGCGCAAACCACAGATCGCTGCCGATCCGCCTGCGTCGCCGTATGATTTCGAAGTCGGTTTGACTGCTGCTTCGCGATGCGCATGCATGTATCACCAGCTGTGCACCGTTGCGCCTCCTTCCACGCGCAGTTGCGCGCAGACGCTGTAAAATCAGCGCCCCGGCCGCTGATGATGAAACCCCCGAGGAACTGCCCACAAGGTCCCGCACTGCGATAGCAGGTGATGTCGCAGAAATTTTACGGAGCACAAGTCTGGCTGCCCGACAAATTGTGGGTACGGCGTGCCAGATACGCTCTGGATCAGTGCCACTGACGCCCCCGCGAGTGATGCTCTGTGATGCACCCCCGGGCAGTGAAATGGCGTTCAAGTGCACCACGCGGTCCGTCTGTCGATCTCGCTCCTACCAATCGTGCGGGGCCTCATGCGGGCAGCGGCCTCTATCGCCTCTCCCCCCACTATGCTCCGGGGCCATAGAGCGAGCTCGTATCTCCAATCGTTCCGCGTATCCACCGCGGTGCACAGAGTTCGTACTAGCGCGAGCTGAAACGCCGGGGGGATATTTCGGGCCCGCCGAAAATACGACCTTCCACATGTGTGCGCTCACGCTGCTGATGCCTCGCACACTCCGACACCGAGTCTCCCGCGGTGCCTGTCCGTGCATAGACTAGGGGTGCATCATTGCGCCCTATCGCCACGCTCTGCTCCGGTGGGCGCAGACGGACGTGTGCCTTGGGACCATCCGGCGCGAGGGCCATCGTCAGGACTTCCATGCGAGAAGGATTAATTAAGCATCGTTCCAGATGCTTCTCGCCAGGAACCTGGAGAACACACTCCTGAAAGGCATCTGCTTCTCAGCACAGGAAAAGGCTCGACGCTCAACCTATATATAGAAGCTCACCCGTGTGTTATCGCTGCGCAGGGCGCACTGATGGATCCTCCGGGTGCGTGACCCCGTGGACTGCGGCATGTCCAGCGGTGGATATCTGCCCGTCGACGCACAGCAAGCAAAGATCCACCCGTCGGAGCTCATGGAGCTGCGATAGGGCACGACGGGGCCAGCTTGCTCTGGCTGCCGCCGTAGCCGCGGCCGCGGGCAACGGGCAACGAAGGTAGAGTCTAGACGTTGTCAATTGCACGGCGATGTCCACGAAGAAAACACAAAGGATACGTTGAGCCACGGCACACCCTGGGTTCAGAATATATTGTACAAGTAGGGTTGATATGTAGTCGATGTAGGGGGTATGTGCGCCGAGGGAGGGTAACGGTACTGTGCGCATATTCCAGAGCAGAAGGAACGAGGGACGAGGGTAGTATCAGTAATGATAGGGGAAAGCAGGAGCGAGCGGCCGTACGTGATCGAATAGCAAGGACATACTGTGCGGTTGCTCTACCCGGCGGAGATCATGGCGACGCATAGCGGACGGGCATTAGCAGCGAACGGTACGCAGGCCGGGGACCAACGGGCTTACCGAGAAGACCATCTGAAGAGACCACCGGACATTACTCGTCGTCTAGGAAGCACCAAAATCTTCGCGGGAGGAAGAAGTCCATGGCCGCGCTCGCTCCGCGAAGCCAAGCCCATGCCAGCATGGAAAGATCATGGAAGCCAGACCTTGATCGTCTGGTCGACGCTCCCGGTGGCCACGACGTTCACGAACTTCTCCGGTTCCGTCTTCCCGGACCCGGACGCGCCGTTCGTCTTCGCGGCGTCCGCGGGTGCTTGGGGTCCCCACGCCATGCAGTTCACGAAGTGCCCATGCGCTTCAACGGTCTTCACACAGCGTCCCGTGCTGATTTCCCATACGCGGATCGTCTTGTCGTCACATGCCGAGAGCAGGAACTTCCCGCATGGATGGAACACCAGGGCTCGTACCCAGTTATCATGCCCTTGCTGTTAATTTCAAAAGTGTTATTTCAGTGATAGCAGCGGCAAACAACGGAACAACTCACAAGGGTACGGAGGAGTTGCCCTGTCTGAGTGTCCCACAGTTTGATTGTTCGATCTCTGGAGCCTGTGGCGGCATATGCTGCAGCCCTATTTGACCGCTCGGTGCTCTGAAATATTTAAAATGAGAGGTGAGCACCAAAGGTATGACATAACCGAAACATACCGGGATCCCAGCCAATTCGCGAATTGCAGCATAGGCTGCTACGGGCGCAAACACCACTACTTCGATTGTGTGCTCGTGACCCCGCAGCTCCATTTTCGACTCTCCTGACAAGGGATCGAATATGCGCGCGGTCTGAGACGCAAAGTTGTCAGTGATCCCGTTTAGCCACAACCGCATATACTCACCTGGTCGTTCGAGCAGCTTACGATCAACCGGCCGTCGTCTGAAGGCTCGACGCACCGCACCCAGTCTGTATGACCGCTGATTGTTCGTACCAGATGCCTGTATGTGGCTACAAGTTTAGTTTCTGACGGGGAGAGCACTGTCGCAGCCACTAACGTAGAAGCGACGTCGAATATCCGGATCGTCTGGTCTCTGCTAGCGCTGACGATTTGTAGATCTCCGGGCATGAACCGCACGGATGAGATTGTATGCTCGTGTCCGGGGAACGTCTTCGTGTTTCTCCATTCGTTCTGCACATCCCAAATTTTGATGAACAGGTCGGACGAGCAAGTCACTGAATGACACCCAGCCGATCAGTAGCCGAACATGCAGCGCCTGCGGCTATGGCTAAAACGCACCTAGCAGGTTGCCCTTGCTGTCGAAAGCCACGTCGTTTACGGGTCGTGTGTGGCCCTTGAGCGTCCGCTCGAACTCTCCCGTCTCCCAGTCCCAGATCTTCACGGTCGCGTCTTCGCTCGCGGATGCAATGAGGTTGAATGTGGGGTGGAAGGCGACTTTCAGCACTTGGCCGCGGTGTCCTTTCAGTGTGTATGCCGCTGGTGCCCTAGGTACCCAGTCCGTTTGGAGAGCGGCGCGTTTCGCGGGTGATAGTGAGAGTTCCTCTTGCAGCGCGGAGTTTCGGTTCTCGAGGTCCATAATCTATTACGTACCGCGACACGCCATCCAAGCATGTATGTTCGACATAGTAGGCCATATAGTCCAAGCAGATACACGCACCTTCTTCTGCAACCGTATCACACTCGTCCACTTCTTCTCTAGCAGGCCCGCATACTTCGCCTTCGGGTCGGGGGTGTAGTCGATCCCCGCGTCTGCCTTGAGGGCGTTGAACGCATCGTCAAAGTTGTTTGCATGAAGGTACTCGAGGATAGACTTCTGACTGTATGACGCGCTGTGCATGAAGCTAGCTGCCATTCAAGAGGTACCATTGTCACGTACAGTTCCTCCTTCTGCCGCTCCGACAGCAGAGACATCGCGCCCAGTGAGTGTCACAGATGAGAAGTCGTAAGCAGTGTTCCAGGAATGAGAGTAGGGTCGTTGCGTGAGAAGAGAATGAGCGTGAGGCAGGCGTAACGTAGGAGGAGGTTGTGGTCGCGTTCTCGAGACGCGGGAAGAACAGCATACGAATGTGCGCTTCCCGATATGGCAATCATCGTAGATCATCGCAACTGCTACTCAAACAGCATGCTGACTTTGCCCGCACGAACAGGCCCACCGTGACTGTACGCGTTCGATAAGGCAAAATGATCTTAAATCGCACAGCAGTATATCAAAGAAAGATACAACAACATAGATCTATCGAAAGATGTCCGTGACTAGATCCTACACCAGCCCTCCACCAGCTTCTTCGCTATCTCACCACTCATCGTCCTCCGACGCGGAATCGTACATGCCCACCGGCTTCGGCGCGGGCGTGGGGTTTCCGGAGTGCGCTCCGGGTTGCACTATATCGTTCGGATCCACGTCGTCGTCCCCTCCTGCGCCTCCAGGTGCTCCCGGGTAGACCTCGATCAGTTCCTCCTTGGAAAACAGATGTCGTGACGCGCGTTGCTCGTCGATCGCGATCGAGTTCGCCATCTCTTCCCAAACGTATCCAATGAGCCTGTTGCCATGGTAAGCGTATCGTCTGTTACACAGAAGTAATGCTATACGCGCCTGCTCTCTCGTCCTGCACACCAGCTCTGAGGATCGACATCCTCGTAGATGACCGTATCGTCCTCTCCTCTTACCGGGGCAGTATCGCGCACGGCAAACATAAGGGCATGCGCCATGATTGACTCGTTCTTCGGGACCTGCATGAGGTTTTGATACATCTGCTGGACGTCGACTAGGTACACAGGCGGCGGCGCATGGGGCTGCGGCGGAGATCGCGGACGGGGAGGATAACTCGCAGCATTCGATCTACGCGGCGAACGCGACCGTTCGCGTTTCCACTTCGCAGAATAATCGCGGACGTCGCGCTTGCTTTCATGGTACGAGGTCTGTCTCGGGGTGACACGGGCGTCTGGGAAGTACAACAAGTCCTTGATCCCAGCCCTCCATTGGGAAGTGTCGACGCCAAAGCTCTTTAGAACGCAACGCGTCATCTTGGCGTCATGAACGAGGAGAATCATGGGCGGTTTCGGCGCTCCATCGCGTGAGGGTGCGAACACGTCTTGCAAAAGAGTCGCGATAGTCGCCCGTGTCATGCTCTGGGTAATATCTGGAAGCGACTATCCCCAACACATTAGTACGTCTTGCCTGCCTGTGTTTGTTTGACATACCAATTTCTTCCTGCCGGGGTTGCCCAGAAATCGCTGCTCTTCGATTACGTAGTGGGATGTGGACAGCGCAGTGAGGTCGGCAGAGTCGTTAGGCGCAACGAACTCCGTCCAGCCGACATCCAGTACTTGGGGATCCTCTTCTCGCTCAGGTAGCGACCGCGTATCTGACGCCCAGGTGTTGAATGCGAGTGAGAACATGCGAACACTCTTGAACCAGGGAGCTAGGTTGAGGGCGTAATCAATCGGCCTCTCGATGGTACTCTGGCAAAGTCTGTAGAACACCCTAGACATGACGTAGGTCAGCGCAAAGATACAAAACCGCTAGCACTTGAGCAGACCTCTGGTGCTCAAAGGACGACCGCGCTATCCCGATCTCTGAGAGATAGTTTCCCCCGACAGTGTACGCAGTGTTTGCCTTGCTCCGGTCGCGTGGTATCCCATCGGTAGTCTTCTTGTTCGACACGAGCATGGCAAACTTGGCGCTCAGGTCTCTTTTGGTAGCGAACTGGATCGGGGAGAGCGACTCGTACTCCGACGCGTACCGCGGGGGATCGCGCGGTCTTCCAAGATGCAGCCTGGTAAATTTCGTGCAAGGCAGAAGCAGGCTGGACGCCCCGCAAGGTTGTATACCTGAAATACACGTGTAAGAACATTTGGGGCTCGTGAAGCCGAGACGAGCTACCTAGTACAAAATCCGCCTCAACACCATCTCTCATTAGCTTCGCGGTGAGAGCATCATTGGAGTTGTCTCTTAAGGTGCAAGGGGAGGTGGCAACTAGGTCAGCATGGGGTTGTTAGTGACAGATGCCCGTTGAATATCTTACTTCAGGTGCGCTCTGAAACCACCAATTTGGTAGTACTCGATGGGCTGCATGCGAGGTGCACAAGCGAGGTGGGAGCGGGAAGGAGGAGGCGGGAAGCGCGGGGCACGCCCCGAGGGCTCTTTACGTATCCCCGGCGTTCTCCGTGCAGCCCTGCAGCACGCGTCGCGTCGCGGTCACGCCCCCTGCTGCAGGGCCCCCGTAGATTCGCCGTTTGCCCTGCAGCATCGGCTGCAGCCCGTTGCGACCGTCCCTGAGATTTCATGTCATACAGGGTTTAGCACCTGCCGCAAAGCCGCGCTGCAAAGGGAGACACAAGGAAACGGGTAGATTTGGGAACGAACCAAGAACTACAGTGCGTATGTGCGGGACATTGCAGGACAAATACATGCGAACATTCGATAGTCCACGTCCGTTCAGATTCATCGTCCCGTTGGTAGTACCATGTAGTAAGGAGGGTCGCGACTCTTTGTGAGATGCAATGGAGCGTATACGTACTAATGAGAACAACGAGAAAGAAGTAGGGAAATGGAAAGGAGGGGGGTAGCGGCAACGAACATGCGAGCACGGAAATGCAAAGAGCGCGATAACGAATTCCTCGGGTCGGGGCACAATAACGCAACAAGAGGCATACCGTACGGAAACAGTGTAGGCAGCGCGGCTAGTGAGAAAGGGAGTCACGGGGGCGTGGCGGTCATTAAGGTAACTTTACGCTGCAACGGAAGAGGGGATAGATAGGGAAGAGCGCTGTAGGCAAGCCCCGATGGTAATACAGAGAGGATGTTTGCAAGATCGGAAGACAAGCAGAACAAAGAAAGGAAGAGAAGGGAGAGCAATGAAAGGCATACAGAGATATTAGTGCACAGATGTACCAGTTTCCGCCCGTCCGAGGGTCGACGGTTCGATTCTATATGCAAGAGGCGGTCATTGAGCGTTCGTTTGGGTGAGACGAGGGAGGGATGGAGGGGGTTCGCCGGGGTGAATCGAGGGTAGGTGCGGCGGAAGAGGGTACGTGCTCAGGGCTCAGAAGCCCTGCATGCCGCCGCCAAGGCCCATGAAGTTCTGCCCGCCGACGGGCATCGGACCCGGGCTCGGGTTGCGCATGACGCTCTGCATGGCGTGGGGGTTTGCGAAGGGCGTGCCCATGTTCATCTGCATCTGGAGCATCGGGTTCATACCCATACCCATGCCCATACCCATGTTCATGTTCATCTGCGGCAGGCCGCCCATCTGCTGGGCAGCGTACGCGAGTGCGGCGGGGTTCGACATGGCGAAAGGGTGTTGACCGGTGGTGGTGGGCGATAGTCCTTGCGACTGTGAGCCCGTGTTTTGCATGCTCATGGGCGCCTGGGTGGGCGAGGCCGCGCCCTGGGTGAGGGCTTGAGCCTGCGCCTTTTGCATAGCTTGGAGCTACACAAGTATAAGCTTGCTGTCCGTGAATTTCTAGCAATCGCACCGACCTCGTAGAAAGCAAAGTCTTGAAGCAGAGAGGTCCTGGCGGGATGGGTGTGGAAGATGCGCAGCATCTCCTGGCCCGCGTCCGGAAGGAGCTCCTGCGTGTCACGAGAGTTGGTGACGGGCTTGCGCTCTTGCGTGTTGCTACACTGATATCAGAGCCGCGACTACATAGTCGTCACCAAAACGACGCACTTGAGACGGATGTGACGAAGGCCAGCATTGGGTATGTCGCGAACGAAGATCCACCGGACCTTGAAGACACCCTTCCACTTGTCCGAAGCCCATACAGTCGAGCTGCGAGTATAGTCAACCTGAAAAGCACTCGGCGTTAGCGCGCAGATGTACTACGAGACATTTACGTATCCACACGTACGGGGGTCAACATCTCAGCCATGCCGCAAAAGTGGCCGCTGCATTACCCCCGCTGTCAGAGAAGCTCTATCTCGCTCGATTGATCTGCGGAGACGAACCTTGCGTTAACGCTGAAAAAGAGGTAGATAGGTCCCCGTCCGGCAGTCTCTTTGAAAGCCTTGTCGAGACGCTTGTTCCCGGGGTCTGTCGAGCTCCAAATTTCATACTTGAGAGACTTGTGCACGTCGTCCTCGGTGTAGGACTTGATCACGAAGAACCGCGCCTGTCTCGGAGCTCAATCACCGCAGATCGCCCAAGAACGGAGTAGACTCACGAAGGCGGGTCGCGTGTCGAACTCGACCGGGTTGTATCCCTTCGCCGCGATCAGCGTTGGCACGTCCATGGGAGACGTGATAAAGTTGTCTACGTTTCCATTCGGTCCGCTCTGCCCCTGATTCTGGCCTCCCTGCCCACCGACGTTGTTGGCGGACGTAGGGGCACCCATGCGCGGTGCTTGACCTTGGTTCAGGTATTGCGACGGAATTGACGGTACGTTGGGAATCTGGCCGTTACCTTCCGCAGCAAGCTTGCCTTGCTGGTACAATTGCTGCAGGCTAGGGTTCGAAGCACGGCCTACCAGAAGGCGCTCCTTGTTGTCCCACGGTGTACCTCCGGAAGCAGTGAACGCACGGTCGCGGTGGTGGGGCGGCTGCTGCTGCTGTTGCTGCTGCTGTTGGTCGTCGCGGTTCAATCCCTGACCGGGCTGTCCTGGCTGCGAAAGTCCATGACCGATGGGAGGAACGTAAGCGGAGGCGCTCTGGACCGAGCCCTGATTGTTGCGACCGTCCAAGTCTGTAACAAGCTGCAACTTGCGCGAAGTAACGCCACCATTACCGCGCTGCAGGCCAGGCGCTTGAGCGGGAGGAGGGTGAGAGGGGTTGAAGCGGGGTGGATGAGCGGATTGGCCTTGAGACACATTGCCATACTGTTGGTTGATCTCGAGCTGCGAAAGGGCGCGGGAGACGTCGTCAATAGCAGGGTTGTTGCCTCCGTTATGCCCCCCGTAGGCGCCAGCGTTGCCAGCACCCATCTGAGGGCGCCATTCGCCCCCGGGAGTGCTCCAGGGCGAGGAACGGCCAATGGGACTACCAGGATACTGACCGCCAGTCTGTCCGGAGGCTGCAAAATAAGATTCCTCGGGGGCTTGGGCGCTCTCGTCGTCGTCGTATTCATCAGCGTTGGTAGGGCTGGGACTCTGCGCGCCGGAATAGGGTACCCCCTGTGCACCTTTGGCCCCCACCTGGAGGGTTCCCGCACGTTTGAGGCCAGAGGCCAAGCGTCTTACCGAAGCAGTTGCGGTAGGGTAGTTGAGACTCTGGTGCCTACGCACACCCCCTGCTCCGGTAGCACCAGGGGGAGGCGACGGGACGTTAGGCAAGCCGCCGCCGAAATGCGGAGAGAGCGGCGAGGCAGAGGCAGAGGAGTCAGCCATGCCATGCCCATGGTCGGACACAGACATCCCAGGGTGCTGTGTATCATCGTAAGTAGCCGCGTGCGCAAGCGAAGGGGCGGAGGATGTCACACCTCATCCTCGTTCCGGAACCCGCGCATCTCGCGTTCCCATTCCTCCTCATCGCCCTCATGGCCAGCGATGGCGGAAAGACTGTTCAAGGTACGCGGAGTATGAGCGCCGGGCTGGCGTCCTGCCTGGCCACCGAAAGCTGAAAGCGCGATCAGAACGGGTGCATTTATTGAACTGCATAGAGAGCCCAAACGATCGGGAGTAAAGCTAAATGGTCTGGGGATATACTTACCACGATGGTATCTAGTCGGCAATGAGGCCTGCCTGTGAAGCGAGGACTTCTCGCCGACAGCGCCGATGCCACCGACCCAGTCTTGGTCCACGAGCTCGTCATCGTTCCACAACTGCTCTGCCTGTGGATCGTCGAGGTTGTCGAGCGCGATTTTGGAGGTGGGACGTGCGGCGCGCGATGAGGCCGAGATAGTGTGATGCCTGCGAACACCGCCTGCGGATGCACCTGCAGCGTCGAGAGGGGGGGAGATGGGGTTCCCGGACTGCGAAGACATGGCGGTAAAGGAAAGAGGGATGGGGCAGAGAAGAGGAGCACGGGCGAAGGCAACGTGAAGCAGTACGACAAGAGAAAAGCCGAAATCCAAGGGAGGAGCCGTTCGCACCGCCGGCCGGTGCCCTTGCCCGCCAGATCCACGCCGCCGCCCCGGCCGGCGACGGCGATCATCCCTCCACACGTGAGCGATCTACGCGTCGCGCGCGCCTACGCGCATACAGCCAGGCGCGAGAGGCGAGAGCCGTCGAGAGCTTCCTTGACCTCGACGTCGCTCATCTCCGTCTGCGCTCGTCGTCGTCGCACTCGGAAGATACGTACTCGCCCGCTCGATGGCATAGCAACTCCCCGTCTAGACCCCTGCATATCAGCCTCGCGTGAGACCCCAACATTCCGCCACTATGCCTCCGTTCATTCCTCCAATCACTCCTGCCGAATTCTTCCACATTCTCCAGAGATGCATTCCGCCCACGGGTTGGACGAGTCGAATTGGTACGCTGTTTATATGCTTACTGTCTTCAATGCTCATGTAGACGTTCAGTGGTCGCGAACTCGGGTGGACCGGATTCCACCGCGTTGCTTTTTCTCCTCGGAACGCTTGTACGGCAGCAAAAAGGTGAGCTGCATTCACCGTCCCCCCACATCTTGCATACGAGACGCAAGAGCGTATGCACATGCGTCAACGAAGTGTCGTATGCTATGGACCTGTTCACTGAACGTCCGCTTTAGCATTGCGGTCTCTTCGAGATGACCCCGCTCTTTTGGGCGAATGCCAGTTCCCACAAACCGTGTGCTCAGCCCACGTAAATCACAGCCTGCAAGATGCGGCTACTGTCATGGAAGAGACAGCAACGTGGACGGCCAGGCAGCTACAAAGTCCCCACGTCACGGAGAAGATACCATGGGGCAAATATCCGTACCCTCCAATACGCGACGTTGACGAGAAGGTTGCGCGCGAAGCACGCTATAGCATGCTATTCCAAGCCATGCAACACTTTAGCGCGAAAATCATCGCGTTCGCCCACCACGCCGACGACCAGGTTGAGACCGCTGTAATGCGCAAAACTCAGGGCAGCGGCATAAGAGGGTTGGCTGCCATGCGTCCCGTACGGCGTTGGGGAATGGGTCACCGGGAAAATGACTACTACGCTTTTGGCTCGGAAGGCATGCGCAGTTGGATTGTGCGTCCTTTCCTCCAAGTATCGAAGGTGGGTCTGCACGAGCTCCCGCGAACTATCACCGCAAGATGTACTAGAAAGCCCGTGTAGGACAGGCTCTTAGCCACATGCGAAGCATACAAACTTAACTATGTGAACGACCCCACAAATTTTCAACCGGGGTTGACGTTCCGCAATGGCGTCCGGCGCATTCTGTCAGACAAGGTGCGTTTCGCCTGGGTTCAAATGCCTACGGTCGGAATTGAAAGTTCACTCCAGGACTCGGCGCAGCAGCAAAAGCACGATCACTCCCAGTCCAGCCTAAATTCCGCAAACTTCGAACCCTATATCGAACAACTGCGCGCGATGGTTCCTGACGTTCGGCCTGCCGACCAGCTGCGAGAAGCAGTACGGCTCTATGGCGTGCGCTTGGAAGAAGTCGACACTCAAGGTACTATTCCTGTCCTCTTTCATTGATGACGCTCTTGCTTACGCTCAGTGCAGTCACAAACGCCATCGCACGCGCCCGTATAAAGTCCCCACCATCGACACTCCTCCTCCGCGGTCCAATGCTCGAGGAAACGACCGACGACGAGATCCGCATCGCGCTCATCCGCCGTTGCATGCGCTTCGTCAGTCACGGCCCATGGGGCGCCGTCTGGTCTGAGCTGGGCGGAAACCACAGCAGCCTTCGCCGCATCGCGAACGAGCTCTGGCCATCCAACCCGATGCCGCTCTCGTCGTTGCTAGTCGACCCAGAGACAGGCGTGCGCGAAGACCCGCGGCGGGCGTTCACTGCTGGCGCGGGCGTCAACGCGTACCCAGTCACAGTCAACGTGCGCCAGGGTACCATCACGTACCGGGGGTGCCGCGTCGGGGTCAAGCACGAAGAACCAGGGTGGATCTTCGCACGCGCGCCACCCCACAAGAAGTCGCCCAGCTTGAACATGGAGGCGCACGCAATCCTCGACGTCACGGAGGAGCTGCTCGCGGCGCGCAGGGAGGGCAAGTCGGTGTACACGGCGCTGTACGACTACCGCTTCGCGGTGCGTTTCGACTTGACGCGACCATGGCCCGAGTATATCGAGAGCCGGCTGTCCTCGCGCAGGGCACGCATCACCATCGAGCCCGACACGAAGTGGGTGCTTCCCCAGATCGTTGTCAGCGGGGAGAAGACGCGGACTACGTGCGTTGGCAAGTTTCTGTGGTCGATTCCGGGCTGGCAGGGCGGCTGTCGAAAGCCTGTGACGCACCAGTCGCGGATTAGTATGCAGTTTGTACGGAGCTTAGATGCCATCTAATGCGTTAAACGAAAGCCACTTAGTGCGGCTTGAAGTATATAACATGGAGCGGCGGGACAGAGTGATATAAGTCTAATCATCAAACTTGATACTGTGGGTGGCCAGCTACAACAATAGTTAGGGTCGCGATGGTGCGGCGGGAGCTGTGTAGCGCGTACCGTAATGTCCCCTCCACGGTAGCTGCCCCGCTTTTTCTTGTTTTTCTCCTTCCTGAATCCCGCACCGCGCGTAACGATGAGATCCCGCGCTGCGCGTGCACCATAATCCGATATACTGGCACCTTGGGCGAGCTAGGAAACAGCACCATTGAGCCCCAGCGTCACTACTCCGTCGCAAAGAAGGGACACGCACCCTCGACTCGAACGTGTTGTCCTTTAGTCGCTCATCGACGTGCACTTCCTCGGCCTTCACCCTCTGGAACGGCGTATTGCTCTTCCGTGGCTGCTTGACTTTCTTCTCCTTGCCGATGTGAGACCCGCTCGCCTCAGGAACAGCGCTCTCAGTCTCCCGGGCGGTTTCGGTAACGGCGGTGGGCACGGACGCGCCGCTCTCGTCTGTGCGCCGCTTCTTTGTGACCTTCACATCCACCGGCTCCTCCCTGGGCTTGGATGCTTTCACGGAGGCTTTCGCCTTCGCTGCAGTTTTCTTTGCCTTGGGCTCATCATCCGAGTCCGAGTCGGAATCAGAGTCTGAAGAATCCGAGGACTCGGAGCTCGAATCTTTGACCTCATCCTTGTCCTCGTCGGAGTCGGAGGAGTCGGAGGAGTCGGAAGAATCTGAAGAGTCGGAGGAGTCGGAGGACGGGTCCTTCGCCTTTTTCGCATCCGTCTTCTTTGCAGCCACCTTCGTCACATCCACTTTCTTGGGGGCGTCCTTGACCTCGACCTTCTTGCCCTTGGCTGGCGTCTCGTCATCGCTCGAGTCCTCGCTGCTCGAACTATCGCTCGAGCTGTCGCTAGAGTCGGAGTCTTCACTGGCCAGTGTCTCACTTGACCGGGTCGGAGAGACTGCCTTCGCCTTGACCTTCGCGGGTGAAGGTTTCGGCTTTTCGTCAATGATAGCTTTCAAAACTTGTGCAGTTTAGCGACAAGAGGTATGACATCGGGCTATGGCTCAACGTACTTGTCTTCGTCTGAGCGGTCGGTTTCGCAACGCTGGACGAAGAGGAATCCGCTAAGGCACGCAGAGCAGATCCTGTCAGGTCTTAGATAGGCTGTGATATATAATGTGAACACTTACAAGAGTCCGAGTCGTCGTCCGAGTCTGAGGAGTCTGAACTCGAGCTGTCTTCAGACGAAGCTATACACAAGAGGGTTAGTATGACTTTCGCCGAGTGACCTGCGCACAATGCATACAGTCATCTGAGTCAGAGCTATCACTACGGTAGCGTGAGGAAGAGTTCGAGGACTTAATCCATGCAGACTCACGAGGATTCCGCCTTCGCCTTCGCCTTCAGCTGCTTCCACTCCTTCACGATCACGTCCAGCGAAGGACCGTCGTGGGTCATGCCATCCTTCAGCACAACAACATCCTTGGCAGCCTTTTTCAAAGCCTCTGCAACCTTGGTATGCTCCTTTTTGATGAGGAATGAGTAGATGTAGGTGTAGGTGGCTGAAACCTATAGCTGAGTGACCTTGTCTCTTGAGCACTATTAACGACTCACTGGCGAGGCTCCCGTCCACAGATGATTTCCCCTGCTCAATAGCCATCCTCAGACACCTCAGCAATATACAAGTGAGCCTATAAAGCCGGGAACGGGAAGCACAGATGTGAGCACAGTGTGGGGGAAGCAAGCGAGACAGCTTCGAGCCAATCACAGGCGCATGTCCCGAAATTTCTGCAGCCACCGATCGCAAACAGGCACAAGCAGTGGCGGCGGGCGCTCACGTGGCACATGACGGAGGCGCGCGAAGAGCGCGCTCGCCTGCGCATGCTCGCGTAGATCTCCATCCCAATCCTCCCGACACCGACGACAACGATGAGCGACTCAATCAAAGGCCCCGCACCACCTCCTGCCACGCTCGACGGCTCGCCTCTGCGCGTCGCGATCGTCCACTCGCGTTGGAACAAGAGCGTCATTGACGCGCTTGTCGCCGGCACGATCGCCAAGCTGAAGGAGACCGGCGTAAAGGAGGCGAACATTGTGGTACAATCTGTCCCTGGTAGCTTCGAGCTGCCTCTAGCCTGCTCGAAGTGCGTTGTATGTTTCCATTTGGCCGTAGCAAAGACTAACGGTCCATAGGATGATCTCTGGCTCGCATGTCCAGGCTGGTGCAACCGCAACCGACCTCCTCGGCGGCTTGACCTCCCTCAATCCCAACTCGCGCACCTCTACCCCTGCGCCCCAGGTCGTGACCATGCCCCACCAGCCCTTTGACGCTATCATCGCGATTGGCGTTCTCATTAAGGGCTCGACCATGCACTTCGAGTACATCTGCGAGTCTGTCTCGCATGCGCTCATGCGCGTGCAGCTTGACACTGGTGTCCCGGTCATCTTCGGTGTCCTCACGGCGCTCACGGACGACCAGGCGCTGGAGAGGGCTGGCATCGGCCGCGGCGCAAGCAAGGGCCACAACCACGGCGAGGACTGGGCGCTGGCTGCGGTGGAGATGGCTTCGCAGTCACGGAAATGGGCGGAAGGCAAGTTCACCTGAAGGGCGGACGGTGCTGTGTGTAGGAAGGACACTTGTACGAGAAGTCAGCAACACAAACATAATGTATATCATGGACATTCCCAGTATTTTGTTCGCTGCGTTGCAAGGCTCGGTGAATATGTATGAAGCGGATGCGAATGACTCCGGAAGGGACCAGCGCTTCCCCAGATTTACCTCATCCTAATACTGCCATGATCGCCTCTTGCCTCGAAACCGCAACTGCCATCCTCGCACTCCCCCTGCTGCTCTCTTCTACCCCAATACCGTGCATTCCAGCTGCTGCTCTCTAGCTGATTGACTAGCTCTGAGCTTATTCGTCGTTGTTGTCACCACGCACGTCCACCTAGCTACGGCGGTTGGGCGTTCTATTTGAACTCGTTCTTGTCCAATATCACTCCGCCAATATGAAGAAGAAGGTGAATACAATGTGACAAATGGCCTAGGATGTCAACCGATGTAGTCTAGGTCTTGTTGATGGGTGCCTCGGGCAGTGGGAAGACGTCCATGCGCTCTCTGATCTTGTGAGCACGCCTCTTCCCTTCCAGAATCAGCTCTTCTCACATCGTGCTTTCGCACAGTTCCAACAACCCCGCCTCCCTCACGTCGCGTCTGGGCGCGACCATTGACGTCGAGCAGAACCATGTCCGCTTCCTCGGAGATCTCATCCTCAATCTATGGGACTGTGGTGGTCAAGACGCGTTCATGGACTCGTACCTCTCCATACAACAGTCGACGATCTTCCAGCACGTTGGAGTCATGATCTACGTGTTCGAGGTCGAGACACGTAATATGGAGAAGGACCTGGACTACTACAAGGCGTGTCTGGCGGCGCTGAAGAAATACAGCCCAAATGCGGCGGTGTTCCTCCTTGTGCACAAGATGGATCTCGCGAGGGGGCCGAAGCTGGAGACGTTAGCGCGCAAGACCAAGGAACTCAAAGAAGCCAGTGGGGATGCCGAAATTACTGTGTTCGGCACCAGCATATACGACGAATCGCTATACAATGTGAGGAGACCACGATTCTAGGCGTTTGTATGTCACTGATCGCGGATGCGTCGATCAGGCTTGGTCACGGATAGTGCACATCTTGATTCCCAACGCGTCTGTTCTGTCTCGACACTTGGCCAAACTCGCCGCCGCCTGTAGTGCCACAGAGGTCGTCCTGTTCGAACGCACCACTTTTCTGGTCATCGCCACATCCACGCCTCCCCCACCGCCACAGATCGCCTCTTCGGTCGCGTCTGCCTCATCATCGGCCAAGACAAATGGCCACACATCCGTCGGTACGAGCCGCGAGGACGAGGACGAGGTGGACCCCGACCCGCACCACATGGCGCCAACGCGGTACGAACGGACGTCTGAACTCATTAAGGCATTCAAGTACTCGTGTGCGCGCGTGCGTGAGGAGTTCCACGCCCTGGAGATGGAACTTCCAGAGTTCACGGCGGTCCTGGACGAGCTCACCAGGAATACATACGTGCTCATAGTGGTGCACGATCCCACAATTGGTACGTGCTGCGTTCTATTACCTCTTTTCGGAGTGGTGTTTGATTTTCCATCTTAGAAACCGCCGCACTGAGGATGAATATTCGTCTGGCTCGGCCGAAGTTCGAAGAGCTTCAGGGTGACAGTCTTCTCTCGTAGGCGGATAATGTCCCGCCGTGATCCCATCTTGGTTTGTTTATACCGTATCTGACCGCTCTACCCTACTCCTGGTCCACTCATAGAGGTCACCGTATTGCCTGGAAACTACTCATATGCCCCTCCCTGGCGTGTCTACTCTTGTGTTACGCTCTGTTGACAGCTCCTCGTCGCTTGCTATATGCCCGGCCTCCGATCGGCCATTGTGTCTTGCAGTGAAATGTTAAAATCTGTATATGCCTCTTGCAACCGCCCAGCGCACACAAGAACTCGTTCGATCGGTCGCACACACAAGAGCAACACCCGCGCCTCCACGCGCTGCGCAACGGCGCAAACCCAGACTGCGCGGGCCCCACAATCTCCGCGGGTTCCGGGAACACCATCCTCGATCGTGATCGTGCGGGTAGTTCGCCAGGGGTAGCCGCTTTCGGGCAAATTTACGCTTGTTTCGCGATCTCCTGACGACCACAACACTGCTCCTTTCCCCGCAGCGCTCGCGCATCCGCCCGTCCTTCCCGGAGCATGGTCGCGGCAATCCTTAGAGCGTGCATCCGGCCGAGATGCCGTTTATCCCGCCAGCGATCGTACGTCCCCCGACTTCTACCAATTGGATTTGATGACATATGGGTCCTCAGTCAGATACCTTTGAGGCTGCGTCTTGCACAAAACGCTGCCGCATAGCCAATGTTATGTTTACATCGGCGTCGGCGACAAGTTGATGCGGTGCTCTCGACAACCCACAAGTTCGAGATCCCGGCTCCAGATTCAATAACGATTCAGTTGTTGTCAAACACCAGGAGGATCTCGCTAATGATGAGACACGACAAGTATTTGGAAAGGGGCGTGCCGCATGATATATCCTCTATTTTTGTTTCCCGAGCGGATATGGCCCTTCAGCTCGGTGTGCGCCCCGTCAGTGTCACTTCTACCCCACTCACCTCGCAGTGCAGCTCGCCTGGTTCTGTGGTCGCGTCGCCGTCGTCGGTGCAATGAGCAGCTCAAACCAAGATGTAGCGGCATACACCACGTCGTACGTCACAGCCAACTCCTATAAGCGCACACTCCTGATCATCTCTGTACAGGATAACCGGAGCGTATTGCAACTTTGCGGCTCTCGGTACGTCGCCCTCATTCCCTGATGCGACCCCCCGCCTTTTCATTTCATTTCCGCTTCCCAGCACTGCTTCTGTATGAAACTCACTTGACCTTCGACCGGGAAGTGAGGCACATCTGGCAGCGCAAGGTTTCGGCCGCGACATGGATCTTCTTGCTCAACCGATATCTCGTTATCGCCTTGTACGCTGTGAACATCCCCAGTACGTTTACCGTCGGTGATTCGGTACGCCTATCATTCCTACACAGCTTATAATCAGTTCACGCTAACTGTTATTCTAGAGGTGAGTTCGACCGTACCTACCACACGGCTCCCGCCAAGGAATTATCTCTTTTGATCATTGGCCTTGCTCAGCTGCTCTGTTCTGGTGCGCCTCTGGCAAGTGCTCATCATACTTACATATGGTGCCTGGGGGAGTAAGTTTGCCCTTTCATGCCCTTAGCGCCATGCTGATGGGCCTCGTTAGTCTTCTCGTGCCTCCGCACATATGCGATGCATGAACGGGCATGGCATGTTGCTCTGGTCGTCCTGACGCTATCATTGGTTCCAGTATGGATCTATATCGTGAGCCTTTCCGTTGCAGACGTCGCCCGGACTGTACGCATCACTGACGGCTCGAAGTTTCGCGACTCGCGCCAAGACATCAAGAATTTTGTGGCTCCAATATTTTGTCAGAGTGTGCCCAAGTATGCATCGGCGCTGAATGGACAGTGAGTGTTGTGCATATCTCTTTCCTTTTGACATGCTGACAGTGTGCACACCGCAAGCCGTACGTTACGTTAATCCCTGCACACACCTCAGAGTAGCCTGCTGATGCACTCGCCTGGCTCCTGCGCGCAGTGACAATCGTCAGCCGATCCTGCTTAATCCTGTCGGACCTGTTGGTACTGGGCGTTACTTGGACGAAGACGTACGGGATCATGCGGCTTTCACGGGAAAAAGACGTACACACGCCCTTATCCCTGACTACGGTTCTCTTGCGAGATGGTAAGTGGGCCCATATGCAGCCCCCGACCCACATGTTAACCGCAACCTTGTTTATTCATAGGGTCGACATATTTCACGTGAGTGCGGGGGGAGCGTCTGTGGCCAGATGAGCTGTTCTGACGTTCCTTTGCGCAGCGTATGGACTGTGCTCAATGCCTTGCACATAGCGGGGACGTACGTCCAGGTGCGCTCAAATGGCACGCTGCCCCCATAAATTTCCACTCACCCCACTCGAACAGTCCTTACAATACATCACGATATTCACCGAAGCGTGCGTCCCTGCTTCTACCCGGCTCTGACCGTGCACACCTTACAGAGCTCTGACACGGCGGCAATCAGGGCTACTTCTATCCTCGTCTCGCGCTTCATCCTCAACCTTCGTGAGGTGGCTTCAGGCCCCTTCTCCGACTTCGACCCCACGTCGGACGCGTACCAGGACCTCCTCGTCTCCTGGCACATGGTCAGCCACTCTTTCGCAGCAAGTGCTCGCTCCTCCGGACGCGGCATACCAGACTTCCTCGCGCCCTTGGGTGCGTCTCTTGACCAACGGTCGTCGTTCGAATCGGATGCCTACGACTCAGAGTACAAGGAGCGAGACGCTGATGCTATAGAGGGGGCGGCAGCGGCCGCTGGAGGTGCGGATATGGAACTTGTGCAGACAGTAAGCCTGCCTTGGAAGAACTTGGAGACGAATCCTTTCATTTGGAACCATGATAATGAACTAGAACCGTTGTAACGTATAGCTGAGAAGGCCCGTGTATCATAGGCAGTCTAGATTATACTCGCTTAATTTGCACATTACTAGCACTCACATAAACCGATTACAACCGCACGTTCGCTGGGCGTTGAGCTTCATCTATGTTTATGTACCCAGCATGCGTGCTCTCTAGTGCTCGACCGAAGATGCTGAGCCCAAGAGCAGCGGAGTCCGGACCGATACCTCCGCAGCTGTCACTGAGATCCACATACGAGATCGCCGCGCCGCCGACCAACGTCGTCCTCGACCTGCCAAACCTGCTCATCCACCTACCCCATCCTGCTCCCGCGATCCCAATGACCCTCGTCGCCCGTGTCTACATCGTTCGCCACGGCGAGACGGACGACAACCGGGCGGGCATCATCCAGGGCCACCTCGACACGCCGCTGAACGCGGCGGGCGTCCGCCAGGCGTGCCTCGCCGCGGACGCGCTCGCGGACGTCCCCTTCGACGCCGCGTACACGAGCGACCTCTCTCGCGCGCGCAAGGTGCGCAGATTTGTCTCTGTGCGAGGAGGGAGGTAGGGCTCAATGTCGGACGCGTAATATCCCGTGTGTGCGTATGGCAGACGGCAGAGATCATTATGGAGGCACACCCTGGCGTGCTGCTGGAGACATCGGAGGCACTCCGCGAGCGGGTGCGTGGGCCCATATATGGACACGCAGAAACTGGCTCTGATCACACTTGTGCTCTCTGCATTATACTACTACGGCTACGCGACATCAGTTCATGGGCGACTGGCAAGGCCGGGATATGCACGCACGGGGCGACCCGCCCGCGAACCTCGAGCCCGTCGCGCACCTCTCCACACGCGCCGTGCAGTGGTGGAACACCACCGTCGCGCGCCTCGCACAGCGTAAGGCCGCCGAGCTCGCGTCTGCGGGGGACGCGTCTACGTTCGCGCCGGCACACGTGCTGGTCGTTGCGCACGGCGGACTCATCGGGACGCTGGTGACGACGCTGACGGGGAGCAGGAAGGTGCGCGCGGCGCAGGGCGTGGTGGTGGGCCGGTGCTTCAACGCGTCGATCTCGGTCGTGGATGTCGAGGAGGATGGAAGGGGCGTGTTGGTGAGCTATGCGGATACGACGCATTTGGATGTGGATTTGGTGCAGGAGAATGCGGATTTGTTGCCGTGACAGACGGGGGTGAGTGTAGATGTACAGAACAGCATGATAGACAGCACTAGCAAACAGGGGCATTTGTTGGATATAGTACACCGGCACCTTCGAGCCTTGGTAAGGCCGGAGACGGCGGGAGGTATATTCAAGGGTATGCAACGCCGGCCTCTTTCATGAGGTCGGCCACCTCGACATCTGAAAAATACATCGAGAGATGGTGAGGTAATAGCGGCATACTTTGAGTGAACTTCGGACTTACGGTCTTCGGTATGCTTCATCCTTGAGGCGTATGAACAGGTCTCACCTACACATGCATTAGTGCCGAGATATCTGGACCCCGGAGAACGCTGCGAGGGTACCTGGGCCAAATACAAAGTCGCCTCCCAACTGGGAGATGTTGCCGTTTTTCCCAATGTTTTGCGGGTTCTTGAGCGGACCATCCTGTACGGCATAGGAGCACATCATAAACAAGCCCATGGCGCACAGTAGACAAAGCCGGAGTCAGCGGGTACGCAGTGCGGTGCACACATACCCATATACTCTTCAAGACGCCCGCAATGAAGCTCTTGCCAACATAGCTGCGCTTCGGCTGTCCAGCAGGTGTACGGTCAAGGCTCTCCACGAGGCCAAAAGTGTGATAAAGTGCGCGGGAAGGGTCCGCGTACATGGCGTACGTGAAACCCGCGGTCTCTGAGGGGTACAAACCTGTGAGCGAACGTACCAAGACGAGTAGCGTTGTCGGGCTCGCACCGCAGTAGTTCTTAATGAGCTTCCAGTCGCCACAGCCTATGACGATTAGACGGACGCTAGCTTCATCGAAGGCTTCCTTGCGGACTGAAGCTAACTGAGTGACATATTGCTATTGGATGCAGGTCACGATCAACGACGATCGGGGAGTACCCAAGAGAGCGGAGATATACTTGGCAGACCTGCGTGTACCGCATCGGAGGAGGGTACTGTCAATGCCAGAGCATGCGCGACATGAATGCTAGGTACATACACCGCAGAAGAAGTGTCCTGAGTTAAATTCGAGCAGGCGCGGAGGTGGACGGGCGCAGCGTTAGCTGATATTGAGCGGCGGCACTGTGGCGGAAGTATACTGTACGAATGAAGACGACGACTGTCTTCTGGTCCTGGATAAGACTGCCAAAAGAGACTTCCTTGCCCGACTGATCAAACACGTTCAACGCTGCGGCCTTCGCGAGGACGTCCGTTGCGGGGATGGCGGTGTGTGTGGCCATGAGGCGAGGACCGGGGTGGAAAGGAGAGAAGGTGGCCGAGTGCGAGCGGATGAACGCTAACCGTGAATGGCGCGTTACGTAACGGGGGGCTATACGGCGAGCGTTGCGCCAAGGTTCGCCGTTCCTCATCCCGCCCTTTCTTCTCTGCATCTAAAAAGCGACCGCTGTCTGCTGCACACCTCACCGACTCTCTCTTTTTCCTGCTGTATCTCTCCTGCACATGTCTGCTGTGACCGACCGTACGCCGCTCCTGGAAAACGGCAATGGCGCCGAGCCACCCAAGCCGTTCTTCAGGCGCTTCGCCGACACCCTCAGCGCCGAGGGCCAGCCGTCGTGGCTGCAGTCGTACAAGTTCTTCTTCTTTGGCTCGTATCTGAACGTCCTGCTCGTCTTCATCCCGCTCAGCTTCTTCTCGCACTTCCTGAACTGGGATGCCGCCCTGCGCTTTGGCTTCAGCTTCGTCGCGATTATGCCCCTGGCCGCAGTACGTCATAGCCGTGGCGCCCGTGTGGTTTGAATGGGATTGACTGTTTGCAATGTTCGTGTAGCTGCTCGGCACCGCGACAGATCAGCTCTCGCTCAAGCTGGGCCAAACACTCTCCGGGCTGCTCAACGCGTCCTTCGGCAATGCCGTCGAGATCATCGTCGGAATTGCGGCGCTCCTCCAAGGTTCGTCTCGCACGCTTCCGCGCCCGTCCCGCGCGTCTGCTCACTTCCCCGCAGGAGAGCTGCGCATCGTGCAGACGTCTGTGCGTGCCGTAGTCCGCTCGCGTCCTGTTTCCAAGCTCACACGCGTCACAGCTCCTGGGCTCCATCCTCTCCAACCTCCTCCTCGTCCTCGGCTGCTCCTTCCTCGCAGGTACGTGACGGCGCCATGACGCGTGTTGCCGCGCCTTCCGGTCCCTCTCTCGCGCCGCTCACCCGGCATCTGCATGCAGGGGGCATCAAGTTCCAGGAGAGCAACTTCCAGATAACCGCTGCGCAGGCGTGAGTAGTCCTCCGATAGACTGCACTGCCTGCCCGCTAATAGCTTCCGATCGAATGTCCAGCTCGAGTTCGGTATGCACCCGCCACATTGTTTCCGCCCTCCGAAAGACTCACATGATACCCCCTCATTGTCCGCGGTTTGACGCTGCGCGCAGCTCATGACCCTTACATGCATCAGTAAGTCGCACCGCCCCGCGCCCAGTTAACGGTGTGTCCGGAGCTGACTTCCGAGTCTGCACTATCGTGCAATGGCGAAAACAGCTCTCGTCATTCCGGCCGCATACCACAGCGCCAAGTCGCACTCTGGGGGCCTGGAAGGCCCGGCGAACCTCACGTCCATTGCGCCGATCATCAGCCAGCTCGACCCGAAGCACGAGCTCGGATTCGACGGCATGGACGCGGGCTCCGTGCACGGGCTCAAGATCATCTCGCGCGGCACGGCGATCCTGCTGCTCATCGTCTACATCGCGTACCTGTTCTTCCAGGTCAGTGCAGACGCGCGCCCGACGCACGTGTGCATCCCGCGAGAACCACCCGCTGACTTATGCCTCGCGGCAATGCAATCTAGCTCAAGACGCATGCGTATCTGTACACGCCCACGACCGAGGTCGAGGAGGAAGACCCGGAGATGAGCATTCCGGCGGCTGCTTCCGCGTGAGTCCGGGAGATGTACGGTCTCGTCTATGGCCGGCGGACGTTGAACGTGTTTTACAGGCTTCTTCTCGTCACGGTGATCACTTCGTTCTGTGCAGACTACCGTGCGTACAGCTCGGCTGGCTGGTGCTTCTCTCTTCTAACTTCCCTGCGTATACGTAGTCGTCGCTTCGATTGAGGAGACCGCTACCCGGTATTCAATTCCGAAGCCATTTATCGGTCTAATTTTACTCCCCATCGTGGTGCGTACTTCCAGCAATTCAACGTTCCGGTTTCCGCGTATACTGAGTGTTCCGGACAGGCAAATGCGGCGGAACATGTAACGTCCGTATGGATGGCGATGAAGAACAAGATGGAATTAACCATCGGCATCTGTGTCGGGAGCTCGATCGTGCGTTCTTTCCGATGCTGCCGGTGTATACGCGCTGACGGACAGCGCTCTGCAGCAAATTGCCGCCTTTGTTGTGCCGCTGCTCGTTATTGTGGGCTGGATCACGCACCACGACCTCACGCTGTTCTTCGCCGACTTCGAGGTGCGTTCTGCTTACTGCCTCCTGCCGATTTTGTTGGCGCTGACGTCTACGTGCAGACGATTGTTCTGTTCGTGTCGGTGCTGCTCGTGAACTTCCTCATCCAGTATGTCTCTTGTCATTGTTGTGCACACGCACTGTTGCTTACCTTGTTCTGCAGGGACGGCAAGTCCAACTATATGGAAGGTCTCATGCTGGTCACGCTTTACCTCGTCATTGCCCTCGCTTGTGAGTCGCCCCGCTGGATCCCACGAAACATCCGCTCACTCGCCCCCCACAGTCTGGGTCTCATAACGCACCATGCATCGTGTTCCAGCGTTCCCGACTCTCGCGACACCTCCCCGCCCTCTGCTCCCTCCCTGGTCAACATGCGCTTACACACCTACCGTATATCCTTGCTTTCGGCCGGCGCCCTCCCCAACCGAGTCGCTCCTTTTGTCGGACGTTGCTTTGTCCCCACCTGCTTCATGTTCATGTATCGTACTTTTCTCCTGGAGCTTCAGCGCGTGGCGGCGTGCCGCCATTTGGAGCAGTCGTTGTCCGGGCTTGTCGCCCCTGCCTAAGTATCTGTGTTTTGCCACGTATCAAGTGTGAGCGGCGTAAATACTTGAATGATCTGATAGTTGGTCTCGGCGAAATAGTGTTGCATCCGGTTCATGTCGGACAAGAGAGATTGCACAAGTCGATTTCATGATGTTACAACGGAAACGCGATGGTGCGCAAGATGCAGTCCTGCACGGCGAGACCTCGTTAGCGCACGTTCTCGAAGAAGACCGCACAGACAGAATAGTGACCACCTACTAGTACCCAAAGCACAACTACACCAACCCAAGAACCCAAGAAATACCGGAATGTGCCCAGCAGTCTAGTGGCAATGATGGCGGAGATGGCGCGATGGAGTGTGGGCGCACGCTGCAAGATACATACGCGGGAGAAGTCGATGAGCGAAAGAGGTGTGAGTGCATGAAGCGGGGGCATGGCAATATGTGGGTGAGGAGAGGAGAGGAGAGACAAAGACATGGGAAGTATAGAAAGACAACGCTACATTGATGGTGGATACCCCTTCTTTACGGTAACGAAACACAAGTCCATCCGCCTCAGTCAAGAATCGAGTGTCGAGGACGCTCGTCCGCGGTGCCTCCGTGCAACGACCATTCCCGCCCATGAACAATTTGAACAACCTCCTCGGAACGAGAACCAGCCATCCGACCTACGTATACCCCACGCACAGAAGCACGCGTCCCTATTTCACCGTATAATACGAGCATATGTTTTTGGGGTTCGTGGAAGGGGGCGCGAGATCAGAACAGTGCGACGACCTCTTTTGAGACGTCCCGGATGCGGGGCTCGGGGAACGTCACGGTGAGCGCAGCGAGCACTTGTCGAGCGGTGTTCTGGTGTTCTGGGAGGAGCGGGTGCGCCTGCTCCTTCGCGGCGAAAGCCTGCACGTGGGTCAGCTTCGCGCATTCTAAGGCGGCGCGCGTTAGTACTTACAATGTCGCCGAGGGCAACCAGGGCGCGGTACGCGGCTTCGCCTTCGGTCTTCTCTGAGTTCAAAATCTAGGACGCGGTCAGACGGAGCCGCTTAATATATCCGACCAGCATACCTCGAGAACCAGAGCGACGAGCTGGTTCCGCAGAGGAACGGTCAGCATCTCCCGCAGGCCGGTGCACGATACGCTGGACAAACGATCAGCTCCCGTGGTCATAGGTCATAAAACAACAATGCTAACTTGAACAGGATGGTCGTCAAGGACACACGAAGCGAGTTAGTGAGGACAACGTATGGGACTTCGCCCAACGTGTTAAGAACCTGTCCAGCGCAGCGGTAAGCTTCACACGCAGTAGCGGTGCCGAGATCACCGACCTCCTGCACCCATGCGCCGTCCTTCAGCGTCGTTCCGTCCTGGAAGACGTTGGCAAGGGAGCGCAGAAGAAAGAGCGTGTTAGTCTCGCGCTGTTTAGGGAGCGGTGACGACCACGGCTCGTTCCAGCTCGCGCCCTTGAACAAGGCCGCGAAGAACCGGGTCCGCAAAGCCGGGTCGGTATACGCTGTCGGGCAGAACGCGAGGACAAGACGGCTGAGGTCCATCACTGCCAAGGGTGGAAATAATGAGCACCAAACGATGAGCGCGGGCGACGTCTACGAACGGGGGAAAATCTGAGACTGGGGCCAGCGCTCGAGGAGCTGGATGATGGCGTCGATGTGGTTGCTGGTGAGCTTCTTCGAAGGGGGGTCAAGGGGATGTGATACAGCTTGAGCAAGATACGTGAAAGTTTCGTCGATGAGATTCAGCTCTTGAGGATACATTGCGAGATATCCGGTCGACTATATGCGGCATGGTCAGTATGCATGCATTGGTCAGAACACTGGGCGAGCTTACAATTTCGTTCCGGAGGGCCTGGTCGAATTGGTACAGTTTGGCTTGCATTGCGGATACATGTGCTTGACGGAAAGATAGTGGAGTTCTCTGCGAAATAAATTAGCGGGGGTCGCGAGCATATTGGAAGCAACATACAACAGGTATAACATTTACTACATTCGTGTTGGTGGCTAGCGGGGGCGGGGGCATGACCGGCGAAGTCGCGCTGTTGGAATACCGCGAGGCGCCCGTCCAAGGATCGTTGCCGGTCGCAACTGCTGGAGGAGGTGTAGGGGCAGCCGAAGGAGCACGGTACCTTGAAGCGCCTAGAAGCAAAATATAGGTGTGAAAGAAGCAGTACATCTGTAAGCATTACTCACCGGTGAAGGGGTCCTGGTAGTCGGACGCTCCCGCGGATGCCGTTGCTTGTGAGGCCTGGTACCTGGAGGCACCTAATGCATAGTGAGCTTGTGCACGATATTGTTCGAAATCCAGGTAGCGCACCGGTGTAAGGATCCGCAAATTGCTCGCCCGACGGGGCGGCTGTCGCGCCTCCCGCGTTCTTCTCGATGAACCGAACAACTTCGTCGAGGTAGCTGAGGGGAAGCTCGTTGTTCTCCAGGAAGCGCTGCGCAGCAATGTAAGGATTGTCTGGATTGAATGGTAAGACGAGGTCCCGTGATGGTCGTGCGACAAGGTTCTCACCGCCCGCGTTGTAAGGAAGCTTCAATGGTGGGGCACCCTCCTTGACGTCAACGTCGAAGACGAAGTCGTACTCGCGGCCCTGGTACAGCTGTTTGCGCCCCGAGCCGACGGCATCGACGACGTCACCGATTTTCTGCCAGCTCGACGATGCGCTGTCCCACTGACGATAAGGACGGAATTAGCAGCCGCGTCAGAGTGCGGATCGCATCCAGCACAAACCTGGTGAGCTTCTACGCTCTCGCCGCGCCTGATCATCTTGACCTCTCCAGGCTTCTTGCCTGAATCACCGTTAGCTTGTGGTCCATCACTTACCCGCGCCGTCCCGCCGACGCACCTAGCTGCGTCAACGCTTCTGGCCCGGGCAGATCAGACTTCTTGATGTCGCCGATCTCCTGGGCAGGAAGGGCTTGCGCCGCGACCAGGTCGTCGAACGCCTTGAGCTGATCTGCTGGTGCCCAGCGCTCCTCTTCTGGGCTGAAGACGCGCACGATTCCATCACTGCAACCGGTCACAATATCACCGTTGGGAGTCGTCGCCACGGTCCACACTGAAATGGCGGGGTGCACGAGAGTCTGAGCACATTCACCGTCTGTGGATGCCGCAAACGAGGTCAGAGATACTGGCGGGGGTAACGGTGTGAGAGGTAGAAAATGCGGACCTCGCCAGACGCGGACTGTCCGGTCCTCTCCACCTGACACGATGTCGCCATTGGGCAGAACGGATATGCTGTAGACGAAAGACGTGTGACCTGATAGCGTATACACGCAGTCGCCTTCCATGGTCCAGATCCGGATTTCGCTGCGGGTGGCAGGTCTAGACCAATGTCCAATAAGAACCGGCCGACCACGTACCTGTCGTTCGAACACGATGCGAAGCCGATGTCAGTAATCAAGGCCAGGCCGCGGACGGCCTGCGTATGTCCGGGATAGGTGCGGACGTTCTTGTGCTGCTTCCACAGCTTGATAGTGTTGTCCGCAGAACCTTCCCATGTTCCTCCGTCAATTAACGCGCGTGCAATGCTTACTAGCGCGACTTACCTGTCAGGAATTGGCCGCCATCGATAGCCAGAACGGTCCAGACGGACTGCTGGTGGCCAACGAGGTCGTATAGTAGCTGGAAGTCCTTCCACACCTTCGCGGTTCTTTGACGGATTAGTTACACGGCCTGCAATGACAGGAGTGTGGCGCGAAGGAAGAAGTACGCACTTGTCCCACGAACCCGAGATAATTGTGCCGTCCTCGGCGGTATGGAGCGTGCATACGTTGTCGGTATGGCCCAGGAGGGAGAAGTTTGGCTCGCCCTTTGTACTGGGGAGTGCGAAGACGTTGACCACCGTGTCCTGTCCGCCAGTGACCGCGTATCCTGTCCATCCCTTGAGCGGCGCGCCCAGAGACACCGCGCCACTAGCCGACATGATTACTCACCTTCTGGAGCACCCGGGGCTGGAGGCAGGTACGCGACGGCGTTGATGTACCTCGAGCCAGCATGGAGGGTGGCGGATTGCGTGAAGGAGGAGCCGGCCGCTTTAGTCCAGACGATCGCTGTCGTATCGCGGGAGGCGGAGAGAACGAGATCGTCTCTGGGGGCCACGACCGCCCTAACCTGAGAAGGGTGAGCACTGGCGGGGCCGCGCGGGGCGGGTCAAGCGACGCACATCGGAGGAGTGTGCAGACAACGCGGCCGACAGTTTGTACGGCATGGCGGGGCAGTTAGAGTCGTGAGCGGATCGTGAAGGAGCGAGAGAGGGAGTCTGGGCGTCGTCGGTTCGGACGAGATGGGCTTTACGGAGGAAAGGGCTGGTCGAATTGGGGAGCAGCGAACCCCCGTCCAGCCTCGAACTTTCGATAGCCGACCATACTCAGCTTCTATTCCAGCCAATCCCTGCATTCCTCCCGCCTTTTCCTCCCTGATTACCGCGACTCTCTCCCCGCCCCGCCGCTCTCCTCCCCGTCCACCCCGCCGACGCGTCGCGCGCCGTCCTTCCCCGCACCCCGCACGCCCCGACGTCGTCCACAGCGCCCCCAACGTCACTCCACACCATGGGAAGATCTGCGCATCACGGTCGGGCGCGATAAATACCACCCGCGCAGCCATTGGACGACGCGCATACGTCGGAGCCCGCGGACTCGGCGAGGGAAGCTCAGGCGGACGGAGATGAATGTGACCACCAGCACGGATTGCAGTGAGATCAATCGCAGCAGTGCATTATCATATGACTAGTACGTCCGAAAGTAAGATGTACACCACTCTAACGAGTCCCGGATACGTGAGAGTGTCGCAGCCAGGGAGATACGGAGGTGCAATAGTCTATGCCTTGCACCGGTTACTTCATCTCCTGCGAGGGCCTCTAGACGCAGGTCGTCGGCCGTGGAGGACGACGCCGACGATTTGCCAAATCATGAGGGGATGAAGAGCGCCGATAACCGCCCAAGCGCCGTTTATACTGCCGCATTTAGGGCAGGCCGCGACTCGCCTCGCCACGAAGATCTGCGCCCGATCCATGTGGCGCCTGAATCTTGTGTGGTTCGAGCCAACAAAGTCGCAAACATCGCGACAGCAAACAACGGCCCACGCCCGGTGCACCCTCCGGTCGGTGTACGCTTGCGCGTCCTTCTCGCCCGCCTCTCGTCGCACAGATGCCCTCGTATCCATGCCGCCCTGGCCCACGGGCGCATTCGTACCCCCGTGCGTAAGTGATGGGAGCCGTTGGAGTCTTTGATCCAGGGTCCAACGTCTGCACATCGGGCGCACTCCAACACCCTCCAAGTCACCCGCCGTGTCAGACCTCTCCCAGCGGTATCGACGCGCTCCATCCTCGGGGCACAGCTTCCGAGAACAGTATATCGACGCACCGACTCGGACGGCGGCCCTCGATAATGCGTATCGCCTCCGGGGCCAGAGTCCGCGCAGGTCAGCTGCAGGTGCCTTCCATGGGCGCAATTTAGTACGCCTTTCGCAGGTCATACACCTTACCCGTTGTGCCGCGCCATGTGTAATAGACGTGCAATTCAGGGTCGCGCGCGCGAACGTGCCCCACTAGCGTCTGCCACCCCGAATCTGGGCGATCGTGTGCAGCACTAATGCCGAACCCGGGAGCTCCACGAGGAGGGTTCTCTCTCTCCACAACCCGCGGCTATATCTGCCCAATGTCCGTATACGCGATCGCACTCGCACCCTTGGCCACGGACCCTCAAATCAACGCGCACCGAATATCCTCATGTTGATCTTGCGGACGGGCACCGAATATCGGTGCTACCACACTTCAGGCGGGGCTACGTCCCCCTGTCACATTTCCAGGGCGTTTCCACCGCTGGTCGCGGCCAGAACGCCTGCGCACGGCGGACGTAATAAATACCTGCGCAGGCGGACGCGCATCCCCCAGCGTCCGGCTGCACACGGGCATGTGCTGGCCCGCTATGGCAGGCAGACGACAGGTGTGCGCTTCAGCTTCCACGGTGATAGAGGATATGCTCTGACGAGAATGTTCGTTGTCTCGCCGAAGACCTGGCGGCTGAGCTAGAAGTCGCGCAACGTGCGTCCCGAGGAGCCGTGGGGGCCGACGATCCAGGCCACCGCAAACTTCGGCGGTGCACGCCTGTGGGTCTGACGCGCTGGTGTAGGCATAGGACCGTATCCGAAGGTCCGAACATCAATGCGCCCGATCCTTTATTTCACATTTATTTCCACGGAATATACAGCCGTCGTGCCGGCGGGAGACCGCACGCGCATGCGCATGACCGCAGAAAGCAAACGTCGCTCGATTCGATGCATTTTTGGTTCTCGAAAGTCTCAGGCGAGATACTCGAAAGTCTCAGGCGAGATACAAAGGAAAGGCACAGCCGGGACCTTTTCGAACGTCGTCAGCGTCAGCGACTTCGTTCTCCCATGCCCTGCGACATCTGCTCGGCTACCATGCATTCCACGGGTCAAGGCGTTCACCACGAGGGCGTCGAGTCAATTCCGCGGCGCAGCATTCCGCCACAGAACTTGGCGACACGCGCCAGGCGGATCATCGCGACGGAAGCGGGCAGAATGGCCGCCACACCGTGCACATGTTAGGACGAATAGGGACAAAGCTAGGTATCAAATTCTTAGACGGTAACAAAGTACAACATAACGGGCAGAGCGAACGAGAGGCACAGAGCAGCAGAGTAGACGCAGGTTCTCAGGGTCCATCACAGCAGAGCAATCCAGAAGTCGCAACAGGCAGCAGGGAAGAAACGCCGCACGAGTCTCGGCAGCACCAATCGCTAGAAGTCGTCGACCATACGCCTAGTCCCCCAGGTCGACAGCCGGTCCGAGTGAAATCTTGATCTTCTTCCGGGCGTTGGCACCGTCTTGGTCGGCGCTCGAAGTCTTCCGCTTGAGGTCGTTAATTCGCTCGTCGGCCCCTGGATATTGCGTCTCCTCCTGGGTTTGGGAGCCCAGGCCGACCGGCAAGGGCTGGGTTTCCTCTACTTCGGCGTTAGCCAGGGGCAAGTCCCGCCCATCGGGCAGCCGTGGGAGAGCCTTGGACGTTTCCCTGCGGAAGACATTGGTATCAGCCGAGCATCAGGGTGGGGAGGGCGTCAGCACATTTCGGGATCATTAACCACGTTGTTCTTCTTTCTGCGGCTCTTGCGCTCCGGTTTCTAAAACGCCTCGGTTTAGACTCCTGCCCGGACCAACTGCAAGAACCACCGACCAGATCAGAGAGGCCTAGAAGTCTCTTTTCGACTTCCGGATCGGGATTGAAGTAGTCCTGGTATGCTTGCTCGCTCTTGATCGCCTGCACAAAGACGTAGACCGGTTTCTGCAGGACTTTGCGCCGCTGCGCTGCTTTTGTCTTCGCGTTCACCTTTTTCGTCTTCTTCTTACTCGCGAGCGAGGTGGTCTCCATGAACCCAGATTCGTCGGCTTCTCGAACCTCCTGCGCGATGAACCCTGTGCAAATCGGCACGGTTTAACTTTCGCTCGAAGTAGACGCATATGACCGACCTTCGGCCTCGAGCCGCTTGAATACCTGTCCTGCTACGGTAGAGTCGCAGCCTGTGCAAATGCTGCGGTCAGCGAGCCGCTTTACCAGCGCGTTCACGCACAACCGACCGATCAATTTGGTGAACGCTGACAGGCCCTCGGGCACATGGGTCTCGAACACTTTGATTCCGCGCCTAAGATCACGCTCAGCACAAGAGATCGAACGGTCTAGAACGCGTGCCTTACCTTTGAATGGCCAAGTCCCTGAACTTTGCAATCATCCGCGGGTATAAATCGTGGACCACGATGAGGTCCCAGTTACGGTCGGCCTTGACGCGGCAATCGAAGCAGATGAACTCTGACGGAACGCGTTGGTCCTGAGCGGAGTGAAAACCCATACACCTGTAAGGGTAATATATACGTCAACCGTTGTCGAATATCGGCACGATCCAACCAAATTGAACTTACCACAGATGAAACCATCGGCCGCAACCACCATCGCATTTCAAGCAATCGCAATCCTCGAGCTGCCAAACCAATCAGCTAGAGAAATTTGAGGTCGGGCAAGCACCCTTACAAGAACGCCGCATTCACAATCCATGACAACGGGACTCTCACGGTCCATGACAATGTCAACGCCGCTTTGAGCACCCGCGTCGGTGAATGACTGTATCGGATCTTCCGTACCAGGAAGCTCGGCCTCACGCTGCGACTCCATGTCTAATACCGGCTGTCAGCGATGCGTTGCCACACCTGAAGACGAACTCAAGAACAAACCTAGTATCATGCTATCTTCTTGTGTCTCCGTAGCTCCGCCGGTGATGATATCTTTGAGAAGCTGGGTATCGAGAGATTCAGCGGTCTGAAAGCCCATCGACAAGGATGGTTCGATGTCGGACGGCGGAAGGAGGGACTCTGCCCTGGAGGCGTTATCGCGCCGGTATGAATCCCTGGGCCTTGGCGTAGGCGTTAGGGACCTGGAACGTAGGGGGGACGCTTGTGCGGAGGTAAGAGGGGAAGGGACAACCTGCGTGCCCTCGATCTCTTGTGTAGGAGATACGTCGTCCCTTGTTTGTGATTTACTTTTGGCCTATTGGGAAAGACCTGTCAGAGTGCAGCCTCAGGAATGCGGGGAAAGGGCACACCAGTTGGCCGATACACATAGGCACCGACTCAGGTCTCCCAGCGTATTGTGCCTCTGCGTTCCTGTCCAAGCGACGAGGCGTTTCCGGCTCTGTGTATGGGACAATCGTTCCCTCGTCGTCCCTGAAACCCACCGGTACCACGCGCTCGACAGCCGAGGCGTTACTCTTCGGGACGGCTGTGAGAATGATGCCGTGAGTACGCGAGGCAGATCCCCTATGCACCTCGTGTAAACTTACCACGACGTTCTTCGCCTTCAGAGACGTTCATGTCCGCTAACTCTATATCCGTATCCCAAACAACTCGGCGCTCCAGCGCGTCTTCGCGTTGTACTTCGATCTGCTGAGCACGCATCGAGGCTTCTTCGGCAGGAGTAAGCGGAGGCGCTCCGAAAGGATTTCCGCTTGTGGTGCCGAGGAATGGCGCGTTGTTATCTTCCGCGGACGGTAAATATCCGGATACAGACGTCACTTTGACGTCCACCCCATGGTAGCCTGTCTGCACAGACCCAACGCTGCAACGCTCTGGAATCTCCCCCTTGTTGTGCGTCGTCATGAACCACTTATCCTTCTTCAAGTCACCAGCCCGGAAGTGAGGTGGCTCGTAGTCCTCCGGAGTGTTCTCGTAATAGTAGAGTTTGAAGGTGGCGAATCGGCGTTCTAGATAAGGCCACCGCATGAGACGAGACTCGCCATTTTCCTAAGATGGAGCTTACTGGGTAGCGCGTCCATTTGCGTCGTGGCTTGTATGAGGTTCTTAATTAGAGTCTATATTGCGCGGGTTGGTAACTAACTGCTTTCGCTAGGCGCGAAAAGCCTACCTTTAAACTGCGCTTTACTTCACCGAGAGTGGGTATCTTACCCCTACGTGTTGCGTCCGCCACAGGGTCCTGTGATTGCTTCGATCCGGACAAGGATAGATTCATCATGTCTTCCCCCAGAGACATCACAGGCACTGTGCTCTCTGACCCGGGAACCTTACAATACTGCAGGCAGTGCGTCAATAGGCCAATATTAGAGTTAACAGAACTTACGCTGAAGTTGAACGTATAAGCTTCGACAATACTGGTCGGATATGCATGAGTTTACGATATTTCCATGATCTATGAGCCTCACTTGTTTGGGTCTTGATCGTCCTGAGCCGGCCTATCTCAGCAAAAACGGACGTAAACGATGAGATAGTTAGCTCACCAGGTACACGGCGAAGACAAAGCTACGGAGGTATTGCTTCTGCACAGCATCAAAGATACCATTTTCCTGTATCGAGTCAGTGGGTCTGTTCTCAAATCTCTACAGGTGTCGGGTTACATACCATATAATCGAGGAGCTTGTCTGCCTCCTCCGTAAACCCTTTAGTAACAGTCATGATCTTGAAGCCGCTGACATTCCGTCGTTCGTCTGCGGAAGCAAAGGAGGCCCCGCTCTTCGAGGGTTGTGAAGACAGGGACCCATGCCCAGCAGATGTCAAGTAACCTAGCATATACTCAACAAATGCGCGCATATAGTGACCTCTGTCACTCACTCTCGGAGAAATTGTCGGATGGCAGCAGGTTCCTGACATAGTATGAGCAACTTAATCAATGACATACGGGTTATATCGTACCTTAAGTACGTTATGCAGCCCAATCCTGCTCTAAGTAGAGTCTGTATGGATTGCAAGCTCTGCTGTGAGGTGATGACTGCCTGCACGCCCTTGAAGGTTATGGCATAGGATAGCGAGGTATGTGTTGAGCACTTGCCTGATTCTGGTCAGTTCTGATGGCCTGAGCCTGCATGGTGTTAATCACAGAGGACGGTCAGTGGTGGATGAAGATAAGAGTGAATGAGAGGAAGGACCGGCCGAGGGACGAAGGCAAGGAGGGATTCAAGCGGAGTTTGAAACGCGACGCGTCTTCGACGCGCCCTGACGCGCCCTGCTCATGTGGACGCGGCGCGCAGCGCGTCTAGTCGGTCTGCACTACCATCATGGCCATCTTCGGACTCTGGGTACTTTTCCCTTTCGTACAGGCGTTACCAAAGATTTTACTCAGTATGATGGAGTTAGGTCATCAACAAGGCGGGCGGCTTGGTGTATGAGCGAAGCTTCGGAGGCAAGCGATAAGCGTATGCCAACGAAAGCGACGCTGACCACCAGACAGATGGCCTTCCGCACCTGACGTCGAACGAATACCTCGTCTTGGCTGGAACTCTACACGGAATACACGCCATTACGAGTCGCCTTTCGCCGACCGGATCAAGCTCTGGAGCGCATGTCATCTCCGGCGAGTCGTTCAAAATGAACATCCTCCTGACCGCGACCGGTACAGTTTGTGCTTTTATCAGGTCGACCTCTCTTCTAATGAATCGTACAGGCACGAAGTTTGTCCTCCTCACATCACTCGTCGAGCCCACCGCAGACTCTGTGCTGCAAAAGGTGTATGAGATCTACGCGGACGCAGTCATGAAGAACCCCTTCCATACTCCCGAAATGCCGATCCGAAGCGAAGGCTTTGACACTCGCATAACTGCTCTCCTGGGATGAATTCATTGCTCTTCAAATCAATGTATCCTAGTGTCTGTTCGTCTGGATTGTTCTATGTATGTATCCGTCCGCTCGCAGGTACGAGGGAGGCCATTCCACTCAGTCGGCATTGTGGCGTACACTCGTGCCCGATGCGGAAGGTATGGACGTTTGATGGACTTCTGCGATTCCCTCGCCCATTTTCCCCCAAAGTAGGGCAGGGAGCAAGCTCCGCTTCGCTGGCTGGCTCACTCTTCTCCTACCTTCGCCTTTACCTCCTCCAACTCCTCTCTCTCGCCTTTCGTGTCACCAACGATCCCCATGGCCAAGAAAGCGACCAACACTGCTCGTCAGCGCCCTCTACTCTTTCACCATCACAGTCCTGACATGTTACCTCAGACCACGCTCAGCCTCGTGCAACGGGTGGCCTCAGTCAAGCAAGGTTCGCTACTAGCAGGCCCTCACTTTCGCGCAAGCCGGCGGCGGCGGTTTCGGAGATGGCTCGTGATGATGATATAGAGGTTGACGACGAGGAGGGTGAGGGAGACGATGACAGGTGAGTGTCTTCACGTCGCAATATCTCCTTGCCTTGCTTAGCCAGGAAACACTAGCATGACCGAAATGCTAGTCATGCTGCAAGAGATACAAAGTTCGTAGTATCCATGGACTCCATATCGCGTCTTCTGAATCCTGAATCTCGTCCGTAGAGAGAAAGGTGTCGAAGACGTCCGCGCGAACGGTTGCGTTCCAGAAGGAGAAAGCTGCGCTGTTTGCCAGTGCTCGCCAACGAGTGGACAAGGCAGTCCGCGTCGGTGGCGTCTCTATGTAAGTCAATATACCCCTTCTGACTGACTATATGCCAATGTCGATGTAGCGAGAAGGCACGCACAACGATGCTGGACCTCAAGGCTAAAGAGGTATCTCAAGAAGCGGCGCTCACCTCCCTCAAGGTTCTCTGGGACAATCAAGAAGTATGCGCATATATGGCTCTCAAAAATATACTTAACATACTCTCTAAGGATTGTGTCCAAGATATCCTAAGCAACTTCAATGGGATCATCGAAGATCTGGCCCATCGACGTGCGGAGCAAATCAACGAAGCCAGTGCCATGTGTGCGTCCCCAGCTACAGCTACGCGTACTTGTTGCTGGAGACCCACCTGTGCTCATTGATCTGTGCCTCCACCAGTGGAAGCTCACGTTTCCGAACGAGAGAATTCCCGTAGGAAGCTACTTGCACAAGCATCCGCTTGCATCGAAGAGAACATGGAAAATCAGAAGGTACGTCGCCTATGTGAATATTACAGTGCGGGAGCATTCACGTATACGTCCTTGCAGATCGCTACCGACGCCGACAACCTCATCAAGCATTACAAGGCTCTCCTGCGTTCTTGAAGCTCTGCACGGTCTATCCCATGCTTCCATGGCTTCTAGCTCAGCTTTCTCTGGCTTCGACTCGTATCTCCTCTGCTTGACGACTTTTTGCCGCATCTGGTGCTCTTACAGCTTTCTCGGGCACTGTCTTCAGTCTTGTTCGAGGCTCTTCAAATGGACGGATCCGCGTTCGTAATGTCCGCGATGCCATTCGCGTTCTCTGCATGTGTTCTTATGTCCGAATGAGCCTGCTGCTGTACCCTTATACATTCTCGTGAGGCTATTTCAATGTGATCGCACACGAAGACGTGCTCAGCACTCATCCATTCAAGTTGAGTTCCGTCGGTTGTCCGAGGTTATGCGCGTGAGTACTGGTCTCCGTGTTTAGCATTCATCTCTCAGGTTCTCGTCTTTGTCAGATAACTTATTGCCCACGAACTTCGCTTCTCGGATGACAAACAGATCATGCCTGGGTATAGCCACCGTTGCTGCGAGCGTCTGCATCTCGTCCGACGCCGTCGTGCATAACGCGTGGCTTCAATGCGCCTCACCGCGTCATTGTGTGGCTTGAGTTTGCCTGCTCGTCCCAGTTCATCACACAGACGTGAAGTACTATCGAGCATGTGTACCGGACGCTAGTGCGTCTCCCGCATTCGCCGAAGAGACAACCAAGACGCCTACAGGAAGGTATCCCATGGCGATGGCGATCGTCGACATGATGTTCACGCACCGATCTAGAGGACTGCGGGCATGATTATATCCATGCAATCCAGACGCAGTCGAGATATACTGCATCGTTTCTCTTCCTTCTCACTTCGCAGCTAGCAGCTTTGCAGCGCACCAGAGCTCCCCAAAGGTCAGTCGTCGTATTCGAATCTACTAATACGCGAGTTTTACCTCAATGGCTGATACTATGTTTAATCGAAGACGGATGGGCTAGCAGTTATGCTTTCGACAAACCAGACAACCGCACAGCTCTTTCAACCTAGCAAAGTCGGGGATATAACACTCGGACACCGCGTCGTCCTCGCGCCTCTCACTCGTTGTCGTGCAAACAGCGCGCACGTCCATGGCGATCTCGCGGTAGAATACTATGCTCAGCGCGCGTCCGTACCGGGAACACTGCTTATCGCGGAGGGTACCTTCATTGCTCCGCACGCCGGTGGGCTACATCTAGGTCCCAACGTTCCTGGTATCTGGAACGAGGAGCAGATTGCGGCGTGGAAACGGGTGCGGCTCCTTCATACTGATTCGAAATGTCTGCTTGGTTGATAGTATTGGGCCGCAGGTCGTAGACGCGGTACACGCGCGAGGGTCCTTCATCTACCTGCAACTTTGGGCGTTGGGCCGCGCAGCCGACGTTGACCAGCTGGAAGCGGAGAACCCAGACTTCCCGCACGTTGGACCTTCTGCGATTCCTCTCAAGGATAGCAAGGGTACTCTACGCGATCTGACGACTTCTGGTGAGTGATTGCATGCTCCATCCCTGCTAGGCGCGGCCACTCATCAATTGGATTTGGAATGCTACAGAGATCAACGAGTATGTCGAGTGGTATGGCAAGGCCGCATTCAATGCTGTTCACGGCGCTGGGTTCGATGGCGTCGAGATTCACGGAGCGAACGGGTACCTCGTCGACCAGTTCATCCAAGACGTTTCGAATCAGCGCACAGACGAGTACGGGGGGTCCATCGAGAATCGTGTTCGTTTTGCGCTCGAGGTTGTCGGTGCGGTAGTCAAGGCTGTGGGCGCGACGAAATCAGCTATCCGCCTCAGCCCATGGTCCGAATTCCTGGGTGAGTTGCATGAGTGATCATACGCGGGGCGTAACTGAAAAGGCTCTAGATATGCGCATGGAAGATCCAATCCCGACGTTCTCTTACCTAGTCGCGCGGCTTCGAGAGCAGTACCCGGATCTTGCGTACATCCACGTCGTGGAACCTGGAGTCCTGGGATTCATAGATGTCGAACAGCGAAAGGAGGAGGTGAGTTCCTGCTGCACCTGAGTGAATATATCGCTCACCCATTTTGTAGTCGAACGACTTCATACGGGACATCTGGCTGCCTCGTCCCCTCATCAGCGCTGGGCGGTACGACAGGGATACCGCGATCGCGCGTGCAGACAAAACCGGGGAGCTAATCGCCTTCGGTCGAAGATTTATTGCCAACGTGAGCGAATGTGATAATGTCCTTCATGTATGCAGTCTGTCTGATCCTGACATGGTCGATCGCAGCCTGACTTACCACGGCGTCTGCTCAAGAACATCCCATTAGCGCTTTGGGATCGCCAGTTGTTCTACTTGCCTGAGGAGCCTCATGGATACATCGACTATCCCTTCGCAGAGGACGAGGGAAAGCTGGAGACTGCCGGGGCTCACCTGTGAGCGCACAGGATACTGGAAGCCTAGAGATTGGGCCATAGACGTTAGCAAGTATCCAAGTTCTACTAACCTCGGGTGTTTCGACGGGAACGAGAAATGGTTTTGTGGATCAAGTCATTCTATAGTCGGCCGAGTCTCTGAAGAGTACTGATACATGGATGGGTCTATACGAGAATAGATGAGAATAGATAGGTAATAAATGAGAACCGAATGTGAGGCGAGTGTGAGTCGAGTCGATAAGAAAACCGGCGCCGCTTAGGGGCCCACTGGTCGGGGATATGAAAGTAGGGAAGGCAGGTGAGCCACTTGCCGCCTAGTATCGGGGAGCGTTGATCGTGAGGGGCTGAAAAGTCCCGCTCGTCTTCAGCAAGTTCTTTCTCCGGACGTGCTTGGAAGAACCCTGTGGAGGGGAGGGAGTCGCCGCCTTGGCCGGCTCATGTTGGGTGAACGCTGGGGTCAGGAAACATGTGTCTCTCCGGTGGGGTCTGAGCGAAGCGAAGGCGTGCGCGTCCATGGAGGAAGAGATAGTCATGAAGGACAGACTGGGAGGTTGGGGCGAGGTACCTTCGGTGTGGTGGCCGGATCGTTTGGCGGGCGTCGAAGCGTTCTCGACGAGCTGTGCGAACTCGTTCGACAGGTTGTTGGAGAACGAGCCTTCGAGTGGGTGCGTCGTACGAGACGATATCTTCTCCTTGCCCCTAGAGTTACGTGGGAAGACAGACGGGACAGCCATCTTCGAGGACTTGCTGTCGCCGAGCCATGAGGATCCCTGGTCCTTGGGGAGGAAGGAGGCATTGTCGCGGAGGAGGTCGCAGGACATGTCATCGACGCGCATAACGAAAGACGACTTGTCCCCGGCAGCGCGGGGCTCGCCCCAGCTGCCTTTAGGTGCTGAGGACGTAGGAATCTTTCCCTTCTTGCGCTCTATAGGGGGTAGATGTTTCAGCAGACTCTCCTGGCTCCAACCCGAGTCCTCGTCCTTGAGGCTGGGAATGGACATCTTGTCGTTGAGGAGGTCGCAGGAGACGTTGTCGAGTCGCATAACGAAGGAAGACTTCTTGCCATCCGCACAGAGATAGCCTGAGCTTTCGACCCCAGCGGGAACGTCCTGCAATCTGACGACGACCTTCGGCTTCTCTGGGGTGTCCGTGAGCCAGTGAGAGTCCTTGTCCTGCGCGAGGAAGGAGTATTTGTCGTGCAGGAGATCGCGGGAGACGCCTAGTATCGCGGGTATTTGGAAGGACGACGTTTCTGAGCAGGACGACCGGCGTCCGCTCGCGTCCACCTCCTTAGGCTTGAGAGCACACTTCCCCTGCACCGGGCTCTCCTGAATCCAGCACGAGTCCTGGCCCTTGGCAAAGAAAGAGTACTCGTCACGAAGCAGATCGCAGGAGACGTCCATTTCCGCTAGCTTGTCCTCGATGGTGAATGAGGGCTCCTCGGCAAGCGGGCATGACTGGACTGGGGAGGCCGGGCAATGGGCGGACGAGGAAGAGAGCCGGGCAGGAGAAGATGGCGAAGGTGTGGGGGTTAGGGAAGTCAACTTGCAATGCCGATCAAATGCAGACGACGACGGATCAGGACGAGGGGAGCATAGCGTGGACTCCGATGAGTCGCTGGTGTCCATGGGTTGTGCTCCGGTTTGGTTGAGAGCAGACGCTAGTTTCATCTTCAGGCTCTCGATCTCTAAGTCTCGCAGCATGAGCTTGGCCTCGAGCTTGTCCCGGATGCGCATGTTGTCGGCTTCGTATTCCTCAAATTGTGCGCTGATGGGGCCAATGACATCTTGGGCGTCCTTGAGTACGCTCTGTGTATCTGTAAGCTGGTCCTGTGTGCTCGCAAGTACGCTCTGGGTGTTCGCAAGCTCGCGGTGTGTGTTTACAAGCTCGCCTCGCGTATTTGCAAGCTCGTTCTGTAGGCTCGCAAGCTCGTTCTCGCACGCAGCGATCGTGCGGTCCTTCCGTGCGATCTCCTGATCACGAAATATGATTTCGGCCTCGCAGCGCGTGTTTATTACCTACGTGACAGGTAGGTTTTATACACGGCGATACACAAGGCGAGAAGCGCCTACCCTCATTTCGGCGATCTCCCTCACGGTATCCGCCAGCTCCTTCCTCTGTGCCATCACCACTTTCTTCGCTTCCTCGAGTTCGGCCTACGGAAGTTGAGCACGTCAGCGTCGGCGAAATGGGAATGCCAGAACGCTGACATACCTTCAGCTGAGCAACCTTCGCGTTCTTGGCCTCCATAGTAGCGTTGTGGGCGTTCCTAGCGTTGCTGAGCAGGATCGCGTTCTGGGCACACTCGGCGCGGAGAGCGTTGAGCGCGGTGACTATGTCCTCGGTGTCGCTGTCTCCGCCGACCACGGTAGCATCGGAGTCGTAGACGGTGTCGTCTTCGAGATCGACGCCGGCCTGGAGATCGCGGATGGTGTTGTCCTTGACAGAGATGGCGGCCTGGACTTCCCGAAGCTCGGCGCGCAGGGCAGCGGTACGCTCGTTAGAGTAGCGGAGGGTGTCGTGGAGGCTGACTACTTGGGCCTGAAGGAAAGCCGTCGAGCGTTCCAGAGGTGCTGATTGGGCAAAGAACCAGGCAGAGCACAAGATGCAGAGCCCCGCGAGGAGTTGGACTTTGCCAGAAACCCAGGGAGAGGAGGAAGACCAGAGGGCCAAGACCTGTACGAAGACTCCGAGTGAGACCAAGGCGACCTTCGCGGTGACGAGCCGAGTGACGGTGAAGAGTAGCCCCGCCAGGAAAACCACGCCGGAGAGCGATGCCAGTATGAAGAGGTAGACATCAAGTCCGCCGGTGAGGGCACAGAACTTGATCTCCTTGCCGAGGGCGGCCGCGATGGAAGATGGGTAGCACATGTTGATGATAGAAGGTTGAGGATGTGAGTCGGGTGATATGGGGAGTGACTGAGGATGGTTTGTGTATGAGAGAAAGTTGAGGATGTGAGTTCGCTGTCGGGGAGTAGCTGGAGAAGATGGGTGTATGAGAAGAACCTCGAGAGGCGTTGAAGGGCACCCTATATACCTCCTCAGAGCGTTTGACATGGAGGCTGACCGGGGCTGACAGGACTGTCAGTGCCGCTACCGAGCGGATTTTAGTCTCGACTACGTTCAGCCCGCGGGTTGGGCTGGTGGTTCAGCATGAAGCCTATACTTCCCCATAGATAGTAGAGTCGACAGTGACATTGACACAGTGAGGAGCTGTGAATCCTGGGAGAAAATGAAGGGAGGAGGGGGATGAACGACCGAGAGAGGACCAGAGGTGGAGGAGGGAGGGACACCGGTTCAACAAACGAAGGCTCGTTAGCGCCTACTTCATTACCGCAAACATACGCCCAATTTGGCGAGCCTTTACGTTCGCCGACCTCCCTGCTTTGGTGCAAGGCAGACTATTGCATATGTCCGTGACTCTTTTCACAACCGTATCGCGGCCGCTGACCGAAGCCTAATCTCGGTCCCATCCCATCCCTTCTGGCGCTTACTCAGCGTACTACCAGAAAGTCTGGTGTGTTTCGGCCCTTGTGGCGAAAAATGGTCGTTACAAGCGCGGAGTGCTGGGCGAATGTCTGCCGAGCGTAGCGAGGCATAAGTGCAGCAGAGTAGCCTGTGGAACTTCTGGAGCCGAGACTAACCGAAGCCAAGCAAGAGAGCGCCTTCGTGAGCACTAGCAGTACCACGAAATTTGAACTCAGGCTGCGTGCGTCGTAAGCATGGCATCAACTCAGAATGTTGACCTGTTGAACACTGTCTGCGGGCTTCGCTATAGTCAAGGCCACTCCCTAAACTCGCCTCTAGAGGTACCAACCGGGAACTCTGCGATGCTTCCTTATCCCGGGTAGAGAACTCACAGCATTGTCCACACCCAAATCCGGTGTCCCAGGATACAAATACACTTCGTAAATGATTAGCAGCACCGTGCTGCAATAAGCAACATGAGGAAGACAGCTATGATGCAGGCTACTAAGATAGCATTAGCCTCGTCCCTTGCGATCAGCCTTGCACTCACCAGCTCAGTTGCGGACCGTTGTATCCTAGGCGCGTCCTCACTCTCTTCTCGCGAGGACGTCGAAGGCTGAAGGTTCAGGTACTCCGCCATGAACACGCGCAGAATCAGGTTCCATCTCCGCATCGTCGGGATGTCCAGCGCAGACGCGTCATCCTACAACACACCAAAGTCAGCATAACACTCAATAACCGCAAACGAGACCCACATACTTGCAGCTTATGCCACACCCTTGGAAACGGGTTCGCAATAACATGCAGCACGCTCACGCCCAGCCTCAAGAACGGGATATGGTCGTCCTCGATCCCGCCAAACCCATATACGCCCTCGCGCGGCGTGAAGAAGCTCGTGAACTTCTCCTGTGTCTCCGCGCCGTCCGTCCCGTACACGAACGCCCCGGCCTGCGCGAGCCGCGTCTCCGCGGCGGCCATCGCGTCGAACAGCCACGCGGTGTCGACGAAGGAGGAGAGGATGGTCGGGTTGGGCGCCCCCAAGAGGTCGAGCAGGATGAGGTGCTCGATCGTGCCGAGCTCGGTTTCGGAGGCGGGGAGCAGGCGGCGCTTGGCGTTGGGGGCGATGTAGGTTGTGGACCATTTGTGTGCGAGGTGCCTGCGCGGATGAGCATGTTATGTGGGAGGAGGGGAGGTAACATACCGAGCGCCGTATATTGAGTCGGTGGCGGTCCACTGCTTGTAGGCCTCCTCGCCGTCGAAGAACACGAGCTGTAATGTGGTCTCTGCGACGTCCTCGTCGTCCTCCTCGCCGTTCTCGAGACGCTCCTGGCGTTCGTCGAGAAGCGGATCAAGCGCCTCCGCGAGATCAAGCATGAATGCACATGGCGCGGCAGAGTCAGTCGCCCCAACAAACTATTTCCAAACGCGTCAGCGTTAAGGCATTTCGATATAAAGGGTTGAGACGCGCCTGGTTTGCAGGATATGTCGAGAAGAACTTGCTATCGAAGTGCGCGGCGACTATAACACGTCTGGGGGCTTTGGGGTCTTTCGTGGCGATGATATTCGTGAACCGTTTCACGCCGTAGGGCGTGGTATCGTTAAATGCGTCCTCCTCGATGTGCCATTTGAGTTTCTTGAGGGTGGAGACGATGTATTCTCGGACTAGCGTGTTGTTTTCGGTATCTGGTGGTCTAGGTATGAGGATCTTGAAGAGGTGCGAGGCAGGATTATGAGGGTCTATGTTGCGGACAGGGTCTGGCGAGGACACGAGTGTGCCGATAGCCTTTGAGGACAGAGGCTTGAAGTCGCGCTGGCCGAGCTTGGCAGCATGAGACGAGATAGCAAGAGCAGCCAAGCTGAGAAGAGCCAGTCTCCAGAAGCCGAGCGCAGGCCATGGCAGAGCGGGACGGCCGACGGAGGGCGGCATGGTGGCAGTCGACGGAGGAGTCCAGTCGAGTGCCGCCGCGTGCTGGCCGCCGTTCCGCCGTAACCATACAGCGTCCGTACCATAATCTAGGGTTAGGGCCTCGCGCCTCCCACCCGAGGCGACTTACACAAAACACCACAGTATATTCTACAGCACGTACAGATTAAAATCGTGTGCTTTCAGATGGCATGGACGTTACAGCGGGAGAAATATGCTACAAGACGCGGTATATGGAGTGCTACATCTTATACAACAAAGGGAGCCACACGTACGCTCGAGTGAACGCGTTACTCCTCTGACAAAGACCCCTCCTCTGAATCGGGCTCTTCCGGGTACATTTCGCCACTGGCATCAGCAGGCTGGTCCATGTCTTCCATATCCGCGTCGAGATCCTCTTCCTCTTCTTCTTCCTCCTCCTCCGTCGAGTTCTCGTCCTCATCCGTCAATGAGTTGTTGTCTCCGGTATGTCCGGTGCCCTCAGAGCCCCCAGACGTGTCCTCCGCCTGGAGAGACGGGTTAGCACGCTCATGTGCTGAAGGCTTTGCGGCCGGCCGGGGAGTGCCACTCACATCGTTCTTCTCCGCGTGCTGCGTCCACGTCCGGCCAATAGGGACAAGGAAACTGTATCCCCTGTTCTTGATCTTGAGGGCCTACAGACGCGTCTCCTATTAGCACGGACGATACTCGGACGCGTCGAACGCGTGCGGGCGCACCTGGTCGTCGACCGCGTTCTCCTCGTCGCTCAGCTCCTCCATCTCGCGCCACAGGTCGCGGTAGTTGATGAACCGCTCCCGGCGCTGCATCGACGGCGCCGCGGGGATCGGGTGCGGGTGCGGCGGCAATGGCAGCAGACGCGGGAATATGGGGCTGCGAGGAAGCACGGTGGGCGAAGCGACGGACATGGTGGTGGTCGGGAATACAGAGGTGCGGCGGGTGGCGCGGCCCGCGGCGATGTGGCTACGGCGTGTGCTGAGCGCTGCGCATGCAGCGCTGGCACAGCCGTCCGCTTGTCTTTCCCGTGATGAAAGAGATGGATGCCACCTCTGGTCGTCTTACGCAGCTTGCGTCATCTCCCTTTTCAAGGCTACCAGACGATACGCTATATGCGATATTTGAGTTGCTACGCAGCTGGATTTGCTTTCCGGGAGAGTCGGATGACGTACCCTACGACCCCTTGCCGAATGTTCGTCTTTCTACAATATTCCACTAGTGCTTGCTGACCCGTGTGTTGTTTCCCAGAGAACGAAAAAGGGCCATGCTGCTGCTGTTATCGCACGCAAGTCCAGCCTGCCTTTGTGGACGCTCCCCATCGTCCTATCCTCTGTCTGCTCCCGGTGGCGCGCGTTCGCAATTAGCTCGTCTCGTCTCTGGAGCTTCATTCGTATCACCGGGACGTTTCCAAACAGAATGATGATGAACGCGTTCCTTGAGCGATCCCAGGACATCCCGCTCTCAATCCTCCTCACTAAACCAGTAGCTCCCATTGACAGGAACGCCAGCACTCAGTTTATCAATGTCTACTCTGTCAAGTCGGTAAGACAGAGCAGGGTGGATCACGGTGAGTGAACGACAAGAGCAACATGCAACGTAATCTTGTACCAGCGTATGCCCGGCAACTATATCGACACTTGACTCGGGATGCGCGCGCTAGCTCAAATATCTAGGTACAAAAATCAGTCACACAACAAGGGCGCCGAGCTTGGAGAGCGTGTCGAGCACGACGCCGAGCGCGACGAGCCCGAAGCTGCGCGCGCCGAACACGCTCCTGTTCCGCTGCCCAAAATCCCACGCGAGCCACGCCTGCGACAGCCCATACAGCAGCTCGCCCTGCTCCGGGTTGAGCACGTCCGCGGGCTGGTACAGCCGCCGGCGCACGTCGCGCACGAGCTCCGACGAGTGCAGGCGCATGCGGTGCATGCGGTCGCGCCGCCACCGCTGCTGCGAGCACACCGCGAGGATCGTGCCGACCACGACCTCCTCCTCCTGCAGCCGGATGTCCGGCGCGTCCGAGAGCGCGTGCGTCACGCAGATGTACCGCAGCTCCTGCTCGTACCGCTGGAAGAGCGCCGTCATCTCCGCCACGTTCCGGTCCGCGTTCTCGAAGTAGAACAGCTGCCCCTCGATGAACGGCCGCAGCGCGATTGAGATTGCGTCCGAGAGCGGCTGCTCCCGGGGCGGAGGGAGGACGAGGGCGCCGTTCGGGAGTGGGGCGGGGGAGACGGGCAGCTTGAGGTTGTTGAGGTCGATGCTCCGGAACAACTCGCCCAGTGCACGGCTGGAGAAATAGTAGTCGGTGTCTCGCGGGTCGCTGTCCTCCGCCTGGTGAAGATGTTAAGTATCGCTCAATACGCACAATGAGCGAGCTCACCTTCTTCCAGTCAGGCTTCTCGCGGATTAGCAGCTTCGGAGAGTCGAAGATGTCGACAGGTACACCGTTCTTGGGGTAATCCACAGCCTGACTGCACAACCTCGCAAGCTCAAGACACGCTGGGTCACTTGTTCCGTCCTGTATGTCGCGATCAGCATTCGTTACACGCGTTTTGTTCTAGTTTCCACACCTTGGATTGATCTGTGTGGCAGCATCGTCAGCACTATTTTGTGGACGAGGCAGAGAGTACTTACCAGCAATGATCAGATGACGGTCCGACAACAGGCCCTGCGAAGTACGTATACGGTCAGGACGAAGGTAGCGAGATCCAGTGAAAGAACGTACCAACACGTCCGAATTGATGTACTCTACGATAAAGTCGCAGATGTCGTCCACCGTGCTATCCCGGCCATCCGGAAGCGACCTCGTGCCTACGCTCACATAGCTGCCCGGCTCCGCATGTTCAATCGGGATCAGGGGGTCGTACTTGATGATGGAGTACAGATCGCTGGAGCCAGTTCAGACACTTGCACTTGCACTGAATCTGTGATAAAACCAACGCACCCGTCCAGATCTCCGCCGCCCAGCATCGACGCCAAGGACCGCTTACCTGTCAAATCGCGTCAGCCTCTCTATCTCGATATGCCCGCCAAAAATTCGACATACCGACTGAGGGGAGCACCACGACGTTCTTGAGCCCACGGAAGAAGCACTCCTTGCCCGCCGGCGGCTCTCCGATGGCCCACACTCGTTGGACTGTAACAGTCTTATCAGACCCTGCAAGCTTGCATTTACGGTGTGGGACTTACCATCGCCTGGATGGACGACCGGGCTGCGAGATATCGACACAGTGCCTGTGCAGCAGACTAATCAGCCTTTCCGAGTAGACCCGAAGCACGGCCCGCGTCCACATACCTTTGAGGTACACAGGCTTCTCGTCGGCCTCGTTCTGGATACACGCTGCACAGACGACCCATCAGCCCCATGCATCTTCGCGCTTCCCACGAGCGCACGTACCATAGATCTGCCCCTCCTGCAGCATAAACACATCCTCCACACCCTCCTTCTCATACACCGGGCCCTCATCCGCCACGCCCACGAGCAAATAGCTGTCCGGGATCGGGATGCGCGCCCCATGCTTGATGTCCCTGAGAATGTGGTGTTGTGCGAAGATGAGCAGGCTGCGGAGGAACGTGTCGCCGAGGTCGCCCGCGGGCGAGTCCGGCTCGCCGCGCATGCCGAGCCCCGCCGCACGCAGCGCCTTGAGGACAAACGGGATGTTGAAGCTCTGGCCGAGGTTGTGCGCCTTGAGGAGCAGGGTGGTGGAGGTGATCGTGTCGGAGGCGGTCGTGATCTGGGCGGCGGCCATTTCTTGCAGCTTGAGGAACGCTTTTTGCTCGACGCCGCGGTCTTCAAGGATCATGATGAGCGCTCTAGGGTGGGTGGGGGTGAGCACAAGTCAAGGGAATAGAGGAGGGGGGAAAGGCGTACTTGTTGAGGTAGGACGTGCCGGGCCTGTCGAACCAGCGCGCGATCTCGATGGGCGCAATGTCCATGTCGGGCACCTCGAACTTGTTCATGGACGGGCGCAGGCGCATCTTGATTCCCTTGAGCCTCTTGTCGATCACTACGACACCCTTGAATCCCAGGAAACGGATTTGGTACTGTCCACACATGTTAGTACGTGACGCGCCTCCGACACTATGAACACTTACCGCATGGGGAGTGTGGTCAACCCTCCGGAGCGACTCCTTCGCAGTACACAGCGCCTCCCAAATCATGTCGCCCAGCTCCTGTGAGATCGTGCCCACGCCATCCGTGAACAGGTAGTCCTCCTGCTCGCTCTCGAGGTCCTCCATCTCCTCCCACTGGTCGCGCGAGATCGACACGGACGGGTCCGTCGCGGTGAACGCCTGTGCGAGCCGCGCCGCGTACTTCGACGGCTGCTTGATCACGTTCGTGAAGTCGCCCAGGCTGTCGCGGATGCGCTGCGCGCACACGAAGCCTTGCGTTGGGTGCTCGAACGGGTTCATGAACCACACCGCGTGCTCGCGCAGCGCGGAGGACGAGTACGCGAGGAACTCGTACTGCCGCCCCCCAAGCTCGAATCCGTGCTTCAGGATACCGCCGACACGCTCCGTGAGGAGTGTCGTCCCGTCGACCTTGAGTGGCGTCGATCAGACCTAGTTCATAGACAGAATCGCGGCGGAAACGGCACTCACCTCTCGTGCCCATCGGTACTGCAGGCGATCTTCATCGCGGAAGTCGACCCGTACGAAATGGTCCTCGAAGCCCGCGAACTGTCTGATCACGCGGTTACTTACACTCACGTACGGGCCCTCCAGGATGACCCGCGTCGGCGTGAACGTGATGTGGTGGCACTGGAACTTGCCCATGTCCTTGTCGCGCGCCGCGCGCTCCTCATAGTCCTCGAACTTCCGCATCGCCATCCGCGACGCCTTGTCGCGCTTGCCGTTCTCGGGCATCGAGTGGCGCAGACAGTCCGCCGCGGAGTCCTTGGGGTTGCGCGTGCGGAGCGCCTCACAGAAGTTACGCAGCACGATCGCGGCCTGCGCGCCCATGTCCTTGTAGAGCTTTTCGAATGGCACGCGGAAGTAGCCGAGGATGTCCTCCGTGTTCAGGAAGCCGCCGCGAAGGAGCGCCTCGATCTGGAACGCGACGGGCCAGCTGAACTGCTGCAGCCAGAGGTGGAACTTGTGCAGCTGCTTCGGGGCAAAGAAGCCGCGGCAGAAGGCCTCGACGTTCGCTAGGATGGGGCGCTGCACCTCGGCGATCTCGCACAGCTCTCTGAACTTGCGGATGTCGGCCTCGGTGTGCATGATAACCCGCAGATTGTGGGCGTATGGGGCGACGATGGCGTGCGCGGGAGTGAGGCTGTCTAGCCTCTGTCTGAACTTGCGCTGGTCCCTCCAGTCGTTCCCCGTGAGGGTGCGGTTGAACCGCTCGCGTTCCAGCATAGGCGGAGTGAGAAGATCAAAGCATACGACTACAGGTCCATCCTTGAGTAATTATGTCTTCAAAAAGGGATGCAAACATACATGGGTTACCGAAGTCCATGCCAATCGCAAGCCTGCGGATGTTAGAGAAGTTGATCGCGATGTTGGTCCCGATTTCTTCTGTCATCCTGTCACCCAACTGTGCAGCCACGGCAGTTAGCTTCTGGAATAGACTATAAGTTCTGGGCGATGCCGATCACCTGTATGCGGATAAGTTTGTGGTCATACTCAAACCACAAGAAACCCGCGCCCTTGTCGCGATGACTGATCTCATATTCGTTTGAGAAAACTCGAGGTGCAGTCATCGGCTGTTCAGGCCCCCGATAGAACACTCCAAACTGAACTTTGTCGACATGCAGACCCAAGTCAAGCCGACTGAGCTTTTGCTCGCGCTTCTCTTCCTCGTCGGGTTCGAGGTACGGTGTCTTCTCCAGGGTTTCCCTCAGAGCACGACCGGGTGGCCTCTTGCTGCGGAAAAGCCTGAGCTTGCGTCCGTTGATGGTGATGGACTTTCCCTCTTCATACACTCGTTTGAGAAGCCTGTCGCCGAGCTTGCGGTTGGGCAGAATCAAGAAGCCACTCCCGTTGTTCCTCACACCACCGGCGCCGGGGTTGAGTGTAACTCTAAAGTTGCTGGTCAAACAAAGAGATGCTTTCAGTAATATTCGTCACATCCGTATCTGATGTACTCACACTGCTCGCGGGGATTTGGGATCGGCATTATGGAATTCATCGCTGTGCAAGATGGCCCCAAATGTACGCTTGACGTCCCAGACTGAGGCTTCAAATGCAACATCGGAGAGTTCGATCTCCATGGCTCTGTTGAGGTATCAGAAGGCTGGACGTGATGAGAAAGTCTGTAAGGGTTATATGGAGGGAATGAGAGAGGCTTTGGGGGTGTTGTGGCTGTAGCGTTCTGGAGTCCCGAGGGGTGGGTGGCTCAGGCCCAAGCTCAAAGGTCCTTGCGTCGCTTACGGCAGCACACGACACTTCCGAGACAAAAGAGTGCACCCGTTCAATAGGGAGACCTCGAGCCTATCGCGCGGTGTGCTGCGGTAATGTTGAAGAAGCAGAAGCACCGAGCGCTGCAGCACGAACGTGGCCGACGATCCAGATATCCAGATTCACCTCATCGCAACCTTGATCGCCGTAAGCGGCATGCCACAATGACAAGCGCCGGAGGACCCCCAACGACCAGAGGGTATACTGTATACCCTCCAGGACCAAAGCGGCGGGGGGTTTGGGCTGGTTTGGGGTGTGACCGGCCGGACACGACCGTCCAAAGCGGCGCGACCGGCGGTGCCTGTGACCGCCCGGTAGGCAAAGCGGCGCGGGGCCCCGCAGGGCCGCCAAAAACGCCTTTTTGGAGTGTGACCGGCGTCGGCTCGCCGCCGCTGAAGCGGCGGGGGCGACTGTGACGCGGGACACACCCCCTAAAGCGGCGCGGCGGAGGTCGCTGTGACCCGTGACCCGCCGCTTTGGTCCTGGAGGTACAGTAGACGAACGACTGTGTAGACTACGCTAAGACTCAAGTGTGAAACGGCGAATGTCACTCAGTGAATCGCATTATCCATCACATAGGCGCATGCCACATGCGAACATGATAGCCATGGCGTAGTCACTTCACCCATGAACAATTCAAGGCGAGATCAAAGCAGCGAATGCGTCAGTGATAGAGCAGAGAAAAGGGAGCGTATAGTAATACCGGGTCTTGCTACTACTTGTAGGGAATACCTGTAGCGTCAAGCGTCAGCATATGCAAAATATCTAACTAAGGTACTCGGGCACTTACCGTTCTGAAGCTAAGGGGGACGAGGAGACCCGGATTAACACACTGAAAATGATAACGTTGAAGAGAGACTCACTCTCTGGAACTCGTCGTAGGCAGTGCTCCGCACGTTCTCGTGGGCGTTCCGTACAATAGACACCATGTACTCAGCGGCTGCTCGCTCGTTGAGGTGAAGAGCGAACCGGTCCTTCAGCCGTTTGATCGTGGGTTCACCCTTGAAGGAGGGCAGGCAAGTATCAAGCATGAGCTGAACCGTGCTGACGAGCTGATCGGTATGCGGCCGGATAGCCAGGAACGCCTTCACGGTAAGCTGCTGGAAGAGCAGGTACCCTTGCGAGTAGCGCCCGCCCATCAAGACGACCATCTCGTGCGTCAGCTTGAACGAGTTGGGCTCGAATTTGACACCCTACGCGATCATGTCAGTAGCGAACAGCTGGTATCGCCTACAAGACAACTCACTCCAGGACGTAAAGATCCCAAGGCATGGTCAGTCAGGTACGATAAGAAGTATGAACGCAAAGGACTTATCTATGTCGAACAAGAAGCCAAAGTCTGCAATGTGCCACATCGTCAGAATAGCACGTCACTTTTGAACTCAACACATACCGATATGCACGATGTGCCCCTCTCCATCAATCATGATGTTTCCGTTGTGACGGTCCTTGATTTGCAAGATGTAGCAAGCCACAGAATACGCCGCCATGGACTGGATGAAGTTGAGCCGCGCCCTTTGGAACTCGATCGTGTCCTCGCCACCGTACTTCGCCACGAAGAAGTCCAAAAGATCGTTGACCTTCGCGCGGCCCATCTCGTCGCGAGAAGTCGCGTTCGGCACGACATCGATCACGCCGCAGCCGGGGGCCGTCGCAGTGACGCGGTACGGGAACAGGTAGAGGGTGAGGCCGACACTCGTGAAGATATTCTTGAACATCGCGATGATCTGCAGCGCGAGCACGTCCTGCCGGCAGTCGTCGCCGACCTTGAAAATCGCCTGCTGCCAGATGTCGTATTCCTCGATCTCCTCCCTGCCCTGCCCGTCGGCTTCGATGACGTTGTCGGAGTTGTTCCGTTCGACGATCCGCTCCTTGCGCACTTTGAAGGTAGCCATAAACGGTGCCTATCGTATGAATGAGCCTGGAAGGTACTTGAGACAATAACAAGGCGATCTGACCTTGGCGTGGCTCTGCAGGGGACGACCTGACTTCTTGTCGATGTCGATGACCTTCCCGTCAGGGTTACTCGGCAGATAGACGCCGACTTCGACGTGGATCTTCGCCATTTCCTCATCAATCTTGGCCTACGGTTTTGAATGTGAATAACAGAACGCAGTAAAAGGCTTGAAGATCTACCTTCTTCTCCGGCTTGGTCTTCTTGATGTACGGTTTCAGCTTGCCGGAGATCGACGTGACCTCGTTGAAGAAGCCAAACTCGCGATCGTAGAACGCGCGGGCTTCACCAGAAAGCGAGTCTACAACCATATCGGTCATCTTGTCCAGGGTGGGCTTGAGCGGGTCCTCCTGAGGAACATGTCATCATCATGTCGCTTCCTAGAAAATCATAGGCCATACCTGTTCGCATCCGTCATCTCGATAGCAGTTTGCTTTCATGTTCCATATGATCTGGTGACAGAACAGCTGAGATATCTTTGCGGTCTCGAAGATGAACCTCGCAACGTAGCCTATGTAGAGTGTGAGCATATCTACGAACCAGCAATTTATATCGCCTACCGAGGTCGTCATAGCGCAAAGCTTGCACAACTTGAGGCACGAAGAAGAACGTCAGCTCGACAGGATGCTGCTCCAAAACTCTGTGGGCGTATTGGAGCAATTGCGGGTGGTTGTGATACCGCCGCTCGAAGAACGTGATCGCGACGACAGGAGCCACAGGCGCCCACAAAAGCAGATACTAAGACGTAGTCAGTTAAACAGCCACACGCATATATCCGCATTGAACATACCCTCAAATCGCGCTGAACACCGAGATCGAGTTTCTCCCCCACAAGGAAATGCAGCGCCTCCGGTACATCGAGGACGTCCGGCGTGCTCGATCTGACAAGACGTGCGACTTCGGACTGTACGGCCGGATAGTTGAAACGCTCGGCGAAATAGATGGTAATAGCGGGATCAATCTCCCACGTCTTTCGCACTGCGGCAGTCCAGGAGCTCTGTTGTGCATAAGTAAGGAGCTTTTTGGTATGGATCAATAGTGACTCACATCGAGCATGGTCTTCTCAAGTTGACAGACATGGTCCATCCCTCGCTTAGGATCATTGGCCGGGTTCGTCCACACAGTCAAACGGAACACCTCATTCTCCACCAACAAGCGCAACGGCAAAATGATGTTCTTCAGCGCCGCAATGTACTCTGTCAGGGAATTAGATTGTAGTATTTTGCATGTTGTACACAGCACTTACGAGCAGGTTGCGAGGGCGCGTGCGCAGGGGCAAGGCTCGAGATAGCAGGGAAGCCTCTGATCGAATCAGCTTGTAGGTAGGACAGGAACTCTGACAAAAGCTTGATATCTGCATCGACCTGCACGCGGTTCGACCCATACGACCATCTAGGAGGAGATTAGCTACTGGAACAAGCTGACATGTAGGCCACCTACTGAGGTCGCACGGCAAACCACGAGTACGCAGCACTATAGAGGCTAATCCTCAGCTGATGCTCGCAGAACACGTCAAGGAATGAGCTCTTGAGCGCTTCAAATCCGAACAGCAAGAAGGCGAATCGAGCTTCGCGCGCCAGAGGATGTGTGCTAAGTCAACATGTCAGTGTAAGTTCAAGGAACCGCATAAAACACATTTACCAGATAGATCGATGCGCACGAGCAGACGATAGGGCCACTATTTGGAAGAGCAGCATCAATCCGGGCCGTCTGTACCTCGCGGCCTGCAGCCTGCTGAACAACAGCTGCAAAATGAGGGTATGCGGTGCGAGCAGCCGAGTGACTGCCCGCGCGGCGCGATCAATCGTAGCCTTGTCGGTAGGACTATATTGTACTTCGTGGAGGAACGGGTCGACATAGCTGCACAACAAAGTCGTAAGCGATGTACGCCATAGAACGCGCGGTATGTGCTCACTTCTGACTCTTCGAAAACATTCCCTTGCCCAATTTGATGCTGATGTCCCAAGCGGCAGCGACTTCAGACATCAGCGTCACCTCGTACTCTGGCTTCTCCGCTATGACCCATGTCCAAGACTCGATGCCCGCGGAGACTGCGGACTGCGTGAACGCTTCAAACGGAAGAGCGACGAGGTAGTGCGCCAGGTCATAATCCCACTACAACCAGCGATCAGGAAATATACATGGTAGCCAGGGTGGTAGAGAGAGCGTACCTCCTCAATGAAGATGAGCGTCGATGCTGCCCTGAAGAGAAGACGTTTGAGGTCGTTGATCGTGAGGTTGCTCCGCTTCTCGCGAATGTCAGCGATAGCGTCAGACATCCGTTTCTTAAGCGTCTCGATCTCCTGCTTCGGTACGAAGTTCTGCGGGTTATCCAAGCCACCAATATCTGTAGACAAGCATGTGTGAGAATCCTGCGTGAGCTGCACGAGACGCCCTTACTATTTATGCGCCCGAAACGGAAGCCGACAGCCTCCCCTGCGAAGTATCCCTTTGAGGTGAGTTGATTAGCCATGGTCTTCGCACGATCTGGCTTCGACGACGATAGAGAAGACAAGGATGCTGTCGGATCATTCGATTAGTTTGAATTCTGACTCAAATCAGCGACGGAGCGTACAGAGCTTCCTGTCAATGGGACCGATAGCCTTCGCCCATTGTACGGCAATGGAAGCGCCAAGCTCAGAGGACTCGGCCAACGACGATGCATGGAGGGTGGCCAAATATTTCTGTGCTTCGATGTTAATGGTTACTCTCGTGTGAGTGAAAGTACATACCTGCAGCGTGGAGTGCAATTCCATCGGTGCCCGACTCAGCGCTAACTCGAACCAGGTAGTTGAGTCGCGCTGGAGTTGGGAAAGCATCTGATTTCGGGCCGCATAGTTGTCCGACAATTGCAGCGTGAGCTGCGTACGATCCGAGCGGTATACATACGTAGGATTGTCCTGTACAGCATCATGTCAATTGCCGCTGCATGGGTCGGTATCATGCGACGTACCTCGTCCAAGAATTCGTTCTCCGTCGCCTGCCGCAAGAGCGTCAAGACTTCGAGGATGGCAAACACGAGTGGCGGGTCGCACATCAGCGACGGGAAGGACGTGATCAGCCTACTCAGGTACCGCGCTGCGACCTCGCGTGCCTTCGGAATCCGGTGCGTGCTCGCGACGAGCAGCGCGCGCAGCTCCTGCGAAAGCCCGCTCGGGAGCGCCTGCTTCGCCGCCTGCCCATTCAAGTCCGAGATCGAGCCGCGGATCACCTTCTCCGCCACGGACTCCATGCAGAGCAAGAGCCCCGCCGTCTTGTTGACGCCCTTGTTTACAAAGTAGGATACGAGCGAAGAGGGGAGGCCGGCGGCTGAGCGCATGCTCTCGATGTCGTGCATCGCAAGCAGGAAGAGGACCTGCCCAGGGAGCAGTGCGCGCACATCGCCCGCGCGGAGGGGCGCATGCCTAGTGAGAAGCGCGCGATGCCGGGCGATGACCGTCTCGACGTACTCCTGCCGGATGACGGTGTTGTACTCGAGGTCGCTGACGATGCTGTCGTGGGCTTCTTCCAAGACGATCGGCGGAGAACGCGCGGCGATGCGCGCAAGCGTCGGCTGGCGCCACTCCATGGCGGTGTGCCCGTGTTCAGGTGGAACGGTGAAGCCGAAGAGTACGCAGAGGAACCACATGTTGCGGAAGAGGGTCACGACATTGTATGAGACGTCTGCGCCAATCTCGAAATCCTCATGGCTTAGGAGTGCGTCGATAGGAAGCAAGAGTGAGGCAAGTTGCTCCGACATCTCTTCCAGCTGCAAAAGGTCACTATGTGCATCCCGACAGTAGGCCGAACTAAACAGCGTACCTTAGCATGATGGTTAGAGATGGCGGCGTTTTGGATGGCAACGCCCTTGTCAGCAAATAGAGTAAGGAGCTCTATCAAGTAAATCTGGTACAAGTCCACGCGACCGCGCAGCTCCTTCGCGAGTCTTGTCTGCGCCGCTAGAACCTAGTTGACACACTTTATTAGCGCGCGTCACCTGAAGATGGTGGAGGCAGATGTACCATGTTGTTGGAGAAACGTGTATCGTCGAGGTTCGCAGAGCGGTTAATAGCAGAGAATGCACGGATGATATCGAGGAATGAGCTCTGAGGCGCGGTGAGTGCGAGGTCCACTAGGTTGTAAGCGATAGCGGCTTCGACTGTCGGCTCCGCCGAGCGCATCCTCTGCAACAACATCGACACAGTCAAACGCGTCACCTGAAGTGATAGCTTGTCAGCTATGTGATCTATATCTTTAGAGAAAAGCTCCGTACCTCTTCGGACTTGCTCTCCAGTGCGAGGCGCGTGGCGACCGATATAGTGCTAATGCCAACGGTGCGTTTCTCGTCCTCCGTCAGGCCACGTAGCCCGGTCTCAGCGGAATGCAGTGTGCCGAAGTCCTCGACGTCTTCCATGTTGATCGCTAGGACACTCGCGGTCTCGAAGATATCCTTGCTGGTGGCTGCAATGTAGTTGAGAAGCGAGTACATGTACGACATGATGAGGTCGTCTCCAGGAGCGAGCTATTTGGAACCAGGGTCAGCACGCGAACCACAGACCATTCTTGATAGACTCGCCTCGACACAGAGCGAGAGGCATCTCGCGGCAGCGAGGAGTGGAGAAGGTGTATGCGCCGTCGACGCAAACTCGAACTCGAAAATAGACAGCGGAGATGTGACAAACCGACGGAGGTGACCGGCCATAGCTGCGGCGGTGTCCGGGAAGCTAGGAACCGCTAAGTGAAGCTGAGTGAGGATCAGAGAGTGGGAGACGTACTGTCGAACCAGAATTGCCGTCGACTTGAGAGCGGACTCTTGCACCATGTTGTCAAAAATCGGAGATTCGGCACTCAGAAGAGACTTGAGGCGATCGTAGAGGTTCCCGTCCAGTTCATTCAGCGCCGCACAGCAGACAGCAGCAAGTTTCTATCACATGTTTAGTACTACACATGATCTTGTTTCGCTACGACCTACCAAGCTCTCAGACATCGTCTCCCAGCAATAGCTGTCCTCTGCAGGGTCGACATCCATTTCTTGGATTTGCACGAGAAGCGTGGTGAACGTCTGCAAAGCGCTCTTCATTGTTGCACGAAGTGCCTCTCTTTGGCCATCATCGGAGAATCCTGATCCAGGAATACCGTAACGCAAGAGCTTCTGCCACGCCAGATTGGCCGCCTCAGCTTCCTCATGCGTGGAGATGAGGTCTTCCGCCGAATACTCCCTGCCGAGCGCCTGGGCAAGTATCGTCCATTGCGCCTCGATCACGCAACAGACGATGAAGTACCCGCTGAGGGGACGTCCGTGTGAAACATACCGAGATATCAGCGTCTGCATGAACTCGATCTGCTCGAGATCCTCCCCAATACTCGAGAGTGCATCGACGGGCAAGCGATTGAGGCGTTCCACGACGTCGGGTTCGAATAATTTGTTGAGGTTCTGTGCCAGCAGGCACCACTCATCGGGGGACCAGTCGAAGGGCACGGAGATGATAGCCCTGTACAGGCCGTGGAAAGCAGGCGCGTATTGGGACAAGACGTCGAACGCTACCCAAAGGTCAGTATTAGTCCGAATCTCACGAAATGAATGCATGCTCACCATTTGCCGTCCTGAATCGTTTGACTATTTCGGCGACGAGCTTCACTATGGCGTTGAAGGCATCTCTTCTATGCTCGGGATGCGCACTAGCAATACGAAGGAGAGCCGTGACCGTTGTAGAGACAAGCTGATCAGGCATAGCCCATTCTACAACTACGTTAGCCCGGATTGACTGCGGTCATGAAGGACGGGGCGCACCATCCCAAGACAGACAGCGGTCGAAATCGATATAGGGGACGTCGAATAGTATATCAATCAGAACGGGAACCGTTGCGTTGACGTGGGCATGAGGAAGGTTGACCGCCAGTTCTGCGAATCCGATGTTACATTGCACTCGCGAGTTTGGCTAGTAGGAATAAGACGAAGTATCAGGACACAGAAGTAGGGACGTACCATGAACACGCGCTCTTCCGCTTCCTCTTCTACAGCTTCCGTTCCGTTGGACTCCCCAGAAACATCGCGCGTTTCGACTCTGGAAGTGACCAGTTCTACTGCTGACAGGACGCTGCTGTCAGGCGTGTCAGTCTTGACTTCCCCGACGCTGGCAGCAAGGTCGGATAGGATAAGTTGGCGAATATTCAGTTCCAAACTGACGCGGTAATGAGTACATGGTACTAGTTCGCGGTAAATGTTATGGCTCACCAGTCCATAGCGTTCTTGCACTTGCTCAGACTCCAGTGCTTGGGGTATGGGTATATGAAGGGACTGAAGGATCGCTGTAGCAGCCAGTGTCGAGTTCGTTTGATCGGTGATGCGTAGTACAGGCGATGTGTTGCCTCTCACAGCGAGTAAGGGTATTCGTCCAATGCTGGAGAGAAAGGCTGGAGCAGGCGGCGCTTGAGTAACTGCAAGCGCCCATATCGCCTACACGGATCACGTGGTTCCCGAACGCGTTGCGGAGTTTCAAATGCGCCGCACAACGGGTCCAAGCCACAGACAAGCCCATCTCTCCCTTGTCCTTCTTCCTCCACTACCACCACCACGAAACACCTTTTTTCCTTTCCTCCACATCCAACCTTACAATGGCACCCCTGAAAAGGCTGCGTGAACTCCGTGAGGAGCTTGCAGCTCCAAAAGCCACGCTTGCCACAGACAGTGGCTTCGTGTCGGAGGCCCCGTCTAGAGAATCAGTATCGCAACGACCCACCACTACGGCAACATCAGAGGTATCTCCTCAGGCTCAACCCATTGATTTCATTACTCAATGCATGCCTCCAGCTCAATGCAAACGGGAAACGGAGCCAAGGAGATGATTTAGCCACCGCAGGCCACAAGCGCATGCGCCCCCCTCCTTTAGCTTTGCAAGACATCGAGGCAGTCAGGACCATAGGTAAGTCTTCCTGCGTATCTCAACTATGCATTTGCTCAGCCTCTGCAGGACTCGGCGGCTGGGGCTCCGTGCAGGTTGCAAGAGTAAAGAGGCCGTCGGCGCATCCGCTGGACAGGCCTGGCGCTACCTTTGCCGTTAAGGTGGTGGGAAAGTTCAACTATCGAGACCTGGAAAGGGTGAGATAGTATCCTTCACTTTCTGTTGTCTCCCTCCCTATTGACCATGCGCATAGAACGACAAGGGTCACCAACGGAATGCTACAGAGAGAAGGAACGCCGAGCGGAAGCATCTAAGCGCCCTACCCTGGAATCCTTTCATAGCCGGCCTCATCGACGGGCACGCGGACCTGAAGAACGCCTACCTCACGTTAGAGTATGGTGCACGTGGATCACTCAACACTCGTATGAGGGATTTCCCCAATCTGACGGACCGCGAGATCAAGTTTTACTTCGCAAACCTGGTGCTCGCCATAGAATTCCTACACACGCACAACATCGTGCACTGCGACGTGAAGCCGGAGAACCTTGTGATCGGGGCTGACGGCTACCTTATGCTCACCGACTTTGGCCTCGCACAAACATTGCATTCTGACGACTCATGGAACCGCATGGGAACGTTGGAGTACATGAGCCCGGAGGTCCTTTCGGACGATCCCCTGGACACGATCGAAAGACGTGTATCCGGAGACTGGTGGGCCGCTGCCGTTAGCCTGTTCGAAATGAAGACGCTGGCTATTGTACGTCTATCTTGTCCATCCCAGTTGCAGGTCATTGACACCCGCTGGTATCTGCAGCCGTTCCCAGCCGACAGCGCGGAAGAATTGGACGACATGCACAAGAACCGAGGACTTGCGTTCCCGCCCGACATAAGAGTCCACGAGGGCTTGAAGGAACTTCTCTTCCGCATGCTGCACTACGACCTTCCACATCGCCTCGGTGCAACAGAGGTCCCTGAGGGCAAAAACGGCTCCCTCATCAACCGGGAGATTCGCCGCCATAAATGGATGGAGTCGGTCAACTGGGACCGGATCGAAAGGAAAATCGCCACAGTACGTGCCATAGACAGCAATCCCCTAGCCCATATCCTGATCGTTTGTGTCTCTGTAGGCCCCGCGGGTCCCGAACTTCATCCCCAAAGAAGACGACTGCGTGCATACTGAGCAGTTCGTGGAGCAACGCAAGGTCCCCGGGCTGCCTCTCAAGCGGCCGGCTCCTCGCCTCGAATATTATGAGCTCAAGACGGAGAATTACGGGCCTCCTCGCAAGAAACGCCGCGGCGGGAAGGATTCGATGTGCCCCCCTCCGGGTTCCCCGACCCCCGAGCTACCGCGTTCGCCATCCATGGCTGTCGAGCGGGGTAGCATCGTGACAGAGGCATAGCTGCGCTCCGCTCTCGTCGTTTTCCTACTGGTGATTTCTCTATGCTGTATCGATACCTGTGCGTTCTCTCCCGGCTTGTAAAGTCTTCCTCGTCTTGTTTCTCCGGAGTTCCCCGACCCTGTATATCTGTAACGTCTGAGTCCCACTGTATCTTCGATTATCCTGTGCTTTTGTATATTGGCACTGAATACCATCTGCTCCCGCCGTTCTACATCCGGTCTCGGCCAACCGCCACATATCAGCGCTGAATTTGTGTACCCCCATGACCCTCGCCGTGCAGCTCGACGCACGAACATTACACGACACGGCCCGTCCGCGATGCGCGCGCTCACAATAAGCAGCCCGCCCCACACAATAACCACACCTTCGCGGACTTGTATCTGAGCCCGGCCGCGCTGCTTCCGTTGCATTCATCGCGCACCGAACCGTTCAGCAGGTCGGATGGAGGCGGTGGCTTTATGTCAATCGTCTTGTGCTCTGACGGATTGGAATCATGGCCCGCAGCCGCAGATCCGACCACCCTGTGTACATCTCCTGCGCTAGCAACGTTGTGTATAAATGCACCGAGGACTCATCGGACAAGACGTGTCTCATCTGAGGCCGAGCTCATGGCAGATCAGAATCTGGGTGGCTCATATGACGCGCTGTTAGTGCAAGATCTAGCTCGGGATGATCTCGCGAGCGTTCATTAATCACTGCGGGGTCAGAGATGGCAAGGGTCCAAGGGATCTAGAAGACAGGGTTCCGGGCGCGGGACCGAGGAGGTTTGGATCCGCGTTTGACCGTTCGGGCGCGAGGTTGCAGACAGCCCGGGTCCTTGCTCGCAGCTCCCCGAGTCGTACCGTTACGCTTCAAGCTGCAAGCTGTAGTCGTGGCAAACAACCTGACAAGTAGGATATGGTCAAAAGCCGCTACTGCCCTCGGAGACTACGTGCGTCCCGTGTCTTCATGTTCCGGTGTATACAGTCGCGCCGGCCTGCATAAAGCAGCCACCAATGCTAGTACGTCCATATACCCGCGCGTCCACATGTCCATAACACAGCGCACCTCCGTCCACGCGCCCCCCGCAACGAGGAGCACCCGCCGCCCGCCGCGCGGGAGGCGCATGCCCAGTCCCGCATTAGCAGCTGCGCGAGACAAGACGCAAGACCGTGACGCGCATCCGCGCGAGACAATAAGACCCTGCATCGAGATCTGCGCGCGCGCATCGTGATCGTCTCTCGCTCGGGGCGCCAGACATACCGGGTCGATTGCGCCCGCATCGAGCCTAGCGCGTCCCGCCGCGCGCCGCTGCTTTCCGACGAGCTGGAAATGTTGTGTGGTGTTTGGGTGTGCCTCGCCGTGGAGAGCCAGAACGCCTTACCCTGCACTGCGCGGTCCCGGTGATCCAGCACCCGCAGGCACCGCGAACATTTTACGAACGTACCTTGGAGTGCGGACGCGCTATGCCGTTACTTACGCCTGCGCGAACAGAAAGTGCAGCATCGCACAGGAACCTCACAGGAACGGGGGTGGGGGGTTCACAACGAGTGTTCGTATTGCAATTGCGTAGCAAGCACGGAGGGTGGGGTAAGGGATACTGGGCTGGGTCCGCGGCTCCTCCACTGCACCTCGGCGGCCCTCTGCCGGCTCCCCACGCGCGGCGCCGACCGCCCGCGAGCCTCCAACCTCAAGTTATCCGGGTCCGGAACGGGAACTGGTAGCGTATGTCGCCGGTGCGCGCGGCGCACGCAGTGTGCGCCCGCATTACGACGCGGGGGCGGGCTGCCGCCCACGCGGGGGACTACTATGGTGGGGGTGAGAGTCTTTGGGGTGTCGTCGGGTGGGAGCGCGAAGGGGAAAGGACTAGGTCGCACCGGCGGGGCGAGCGTGGGGTACGTGTAAGACGAAGGAATGTCTAGGTGAGCGAGTGGGAGGGCGCGCAGATGGGCGATACAGGTGTGGCAGCACTGGGAAACAGTCCCTGCGAAGCGCAGTCAGCATGACGTCTACAGGCCGCGGGGCGGGAAGGGGACTCACGTTCGGGTAGACATACATACAACATGCCCTCCGCCGATATAGGGATTACAATAAGATTAGAGCGTGGAAGATCGAAAGCAGCAGTCGTTTGCGAACGCGCGGGGGCGCTATTAGGTGGGTGGGCGCGGCGTGAATGACGTTGCGGGGGATTTAGAAGAGGTGTTGTTGCGGGGTCGGTTGAGGGTGGCTTTACTTGCTGAGATTGCGGCGTGCGGTAGAGGGGCCCGCTTCCGCCGCGCGGTGGCTGATCACAGGATCGGATGTCGAGTGTCCCAGCCGGCGCGTCGTGCGTTGCCGCCCACGAGGAGGCTCTCGAGCGCGCGCTTTCGCCTTTGCCTTGAGGATGCTGATACCATCGTCGTCGTCGTCCACCATGCACATGCCGTCCTCGTCGGGGTCGGCCAGTGTCGACTCGTCCTCGTCGCTCATGCACTCATCAGAGTCGCTGTCGTAATCGGAGTCGTAGTCTCGATCGCTTTCGCTCTCGCTGCAGTCGTAGTACGCGTGGGCGCGTCGCCAGTAGCGGCCGAGAAAAAGTTTAATCTCGGCGCCCATCTGAAGGTACTCGACGTTGCGGGCAAGGCCCTCCCAGCTAAGCTCTCCGTTCTCGAGCGCTTCCTCCATGAAGGACGTCGAGCCGAAGTAGACATAGTGGATGAGGTGGTGGAACGAGGCAGGATCCGGGATGGGGAGATGGACAACAGGGTGCGTGCACGTCGACGAGGGCAAGATGCAGGGCAGGCGTAGCGAAGAGGCAGAGGACTGGCGCGAAAGGGAGGGCGTATCGAGACCTGACTTTGGGGTTTCCGCCGCCAAGTCGAAGATCGACGCGCCGCTGAGGAGGCCTCGGAACAGAGAAGAGTGCGCACACAGGTAGTCCATGTGCAGCTGCGTGAAGATGTGAATACAGGGGGTCAAGACGCGATTGGCACACAACCGACCTTCATGATCATACGTCGTGGGCGTACCGACTTCCGTGAAGAGGTCGGTGCCGGTGTGGGTCCATCCTCAAGGCCGAAGGACTCCGTGCTCATCGCAGAGCTGATACCCATCTGGCGGAACGCGTCGCAGTCGACGGCGGGCCCGGAGGTCTTTGAGGACATGTCCGCATCCAAAGAAACGACTGCGGACTGCGATGAGCCTCGGAGCGCGCGGCTCGGGACGCGGAACGCTCACCGATGGTGCAGTCGGAGGTCTCGGGCCTGCTCCAGTAGTGGGGGGCGAGGCGGCGGAGCTGGTCGACGATGTACTCGAGCGGGACGCCGGCGAGCGCGGGGGGCGGGAAGGGACGGGGCACAAAGGGGAGGGGGTGCATTGCACGGCGCGGGGCCAAAGAAGGATAGGGGGAGGGCAAGGCACCAGAGGACCGGGCAAACGGGGGAGGGCGAGCGGAAGCGGAAAGGCTTATAGGTGCGGGGGCGGGCGCGTTATTGTCTGCCAGAGACATGTTTTGGGCAAAGTATGTTGTGTGTGCTGGGCGGGTAGGGGGCTCCACCTGATTTAGCAGCCACGAGCCGGCGGCGAGGCAGACTAGGCAAGGAGCGGCTGCTGAGGACGGCTGTCAATTGTTTTCGACTCGGGAGAGTGCCCAAGGATCAAAACGATGAAAACGGAAGGTAGGCCTTCCACGCGCGGAGAAACAAAAGAGGGAGTGAGAACGAAGGACGACCGCAGACGAGAGCAGGAAGTAGAGTAGCAGATTAGCAGACCTGGGGCCGCGCTGATTTATGTAGCGGACGCTGAGCTGATGGCTTTCCCTCGCAACAGTGGCCGGCGCGGGCGAGGGGACGACGGCGAGAGCTGTTGCAACACAGTCCCGCAGATCTTCGAGAACGCCCTCTGCGCTCGCACGCGCTCGATTCGCGCGCCGCCCCGAATCCAATCTCCGTCGCGGTCGCCATCGCTAGCGTTGCCCCCTTCCGATCCTCTTATTGTTCTCGCCTGCCTGTTTGAGAGCCTCATGCCCGACGCGTGCTCTCCCCGCGCCTCTGATCGCGCCTCCGTCCGTTCCCCACGCGCGTCCTCCTCATCACATCCCCCTGACGCTGCCAGAGCCCTCATCGACAAAGCAGTCCTGGCGGGATCATCCCGAGCCCAGCGTCCGACCCCGAGGTCATGAGGCACTCCTTTCTGACACCCGCCGTGCCGCAATCTCGATGCCACACAGACCGCATCTAGCTCCAATAGATGCGTCCACTCGACTGCCGCGATCGAACGCTGCCTCTGATCTTGACTCAGGTGGCCGACCGATAGCCTCGTGCGTTTAATATTTTCTCTCTTCATTTCGCATGACAGGAAGCTTCAGCCCACCCAATCTGGTGGCGGCCCTGTCTTCATCTCCTGTGCTGGAAGCGGGTCACTCTCACACCGCGCCAGATATCTGGTTCCCACTGTCAGGCGCACCTGAAAGCTCGCACCTGCGCAGCGCTGCAGCTGATTGCTCGCTTGCGACTGCCGTTTGCACGAACAGAATTCGATGCGGCACCTAGGCCTAACGCACCCCCGGGGAGGTCATCGCGCACGGATATTGGGTTCAGTCTGCGGCGAGAACTTCCAGTGGAACGCGGGAAGTTCACGTAACATTGTCCACAGATCGCGGTCCACCGTCGAAGCCTGGGAATGCATTTACGGATCGGTCCTTGTGTTTGTTGTGTGCACCCGCGCCGGTCGCGTTCGAATATTCGGACTGATCCGGATGCTATGATACAATGTATGAGCGTGACCTACCGTTGACAAACGATAAGTCGCGAAAGGCAGGAGGAAGAGTGTCATGAGAGGGCGGCAAGAAGCTGCAGAAGCCTTGATTGCAAGTCAATGTTGCCGTGCCCCGGACATTGTGCTAATCGCCGTGATGGCACACAAGCTAAGCAGCACCAGAATGCTTCGATGGAGGCTTCCTGCGGGATCGCCAGCATTGGTGAACGTCGTTCGAACATCTGAACCTGCCACCGCTGTGTTTCGGCCACACGGAGAGTACGAGTTCCGTTCTGACTCGGAGTGACTTCAAGCTGAAGTACATCGCGTCATTAGAGGCCCGCCGCCGTGTGGTTCAGAAGCAGCACATACCGTAACCCGAGCCCTCCTGATCATCACGCCCTGCCGTAGGCGCGCATGCCTGAAGCTTGATCTCTCTCACCGTCATCATGAGGGCCTAGCCAAAGCGTACAGCCGAACACCTTCTCCCCACAACTCGGCGCTTCGGGGGTGCAGAAAACAATAAGAGCCAACCCTCGCGGAAGGCACCGCTGGCCGGCAGAGGGGATCTCCGCGCCGTCACCGGCGACGCCGTCTCCGTTGGACCACATCTAACAGGATGCCATCATAGAGAGCTGCGTGTGGTCTCAAATTTCAATGAATGGATGAGAGCATAAGCTCAAGGTGCGCAGTTCCTGGGAGTAGGCCGCCTGTCCGCATATAGTCATGTCCATCCATATGAGGAACCTAGATCGACATAGGGCACTGAGAATGTGCCTCCAGCGGCGTCCTGGCTGCACCACTGTCTCCACGGAATGGAACGCAGCAGCGAGGCGGTGACGCGAGCACGAGGAAACCCACATAACAGAGCGCTTAATGTGGTTTTGCCCAGGCCCCTTCCGAGAGGACACCGTTTTTGCCACAGCGAGGCGCACTGGCATGCATTGTGGATAACGTACAGATCATGCCAGTACGCCCGGCGAGTCACGAAGAGAGATAGACATGCGCAGCGGAACAACAGCTTCGAGATACGCGGTTTGTGACGGGTGCTCCAGGCCAGATGCGAATGGAGAAGACTCACAAGTCGTGCGGCTGCAGTGGCGTCGCATATGCAATATACGTCAGATGTTGGGTTGCTAGATATTTGGAGTCATTTCCTCGGACCAAGAGTCTGGATGGTCTGAGGAGATGATCATCGAGAAAACACAGCAGATCGAGCGAGTCGGTCTGGTTGAGAGATATTGCGTTTACGAGCATCCCCGGGTCCAGAAAGCTTCTGTTGCGACTGCACAGAATTTGCCGCAGATTGCAAACGCAAACAATAGGAAGATCTATGATATGTCAGACACACGTAGACTGACAGATACCTAGAGTCATGGAGGGGGCGCCGAGGAGGAAGAGGTCAAGAACAGGTCGTGTTGGCGCCCAGTGGACGCGTTCAAGTGGTGATCGCGTCCTGCGCGCGCCAAAGTCGGACGCGTCTCTTGCACCCCCTCCACTCACGGGCCTCTCACTCTGCTGATGTGAAGCCCTCACCACAGCAGCCCGCGATGTCTTCTGCCCTATCAAATAGCACTGTCTTTGAGACGAATCCCTACGAGGGTCATCCCAATCTATCCGAGCTGGAGGCGGAGGTGTTGTGGCAATACGCGAAGCTATCGCAGAACATCAAAGAGGTATGTTCCCTGCGCCATATATCACGCGAATATAGCCTTCTTAGAGCTCGAAGCTGGTTGCAGAAACGCGGCGCGTTAGCGAAGCCCCAGATGAGAAGCTGCTGAAACAGCTACGCGGTTTGGAAGTGAAGATGGGACTTGTCTTGACTTTGGTGCGTCTCATTCTCTCTCATGGATGCATAGCAACGCGCCGCTGAACGTACGCGTCACGACAGTTCAAAGCATCCGTATGGGCCGTCATCAACGAACAACCCATGGCAGATACATCCTCCGGATACGCCGACACCACCGCAGACGATACCGTCAGACACTGACAGCCCTCTCGCGTCTTTCTGCCAAACCCAACTGTATCGCCGCCACACTCGATTTCGTGATTCGGGTTTCTATGCTACACTATTGTATCGATATGTCTACCGCAGCTGCATCTTCCCCAGCTTCCCCGCAAGGCCAGTCGCGCCGATCGGCGTGACCGCGCTCACGTCCCAGATGACGAGCTTCCCGTCCACGCCCGACGTGCTCACTCTCGTAACGTTGTCAGGGGAGCCGTCGTACACGCGCACGCTCGTGATCGTGTTCTGGTGCACGGTGAAGAGCTCAGACTCCGCAGAGGAGCCCACCGTGGGGGATCCGGGCGCGTTGGAGATACCGCGCTCGGCGGCGTTGCGGAACGTGTTGAAGGCCGCGCTGTTAAGCCGGCCAACGGGTGAGGCGTTGCCAAGACCGGAGCGCGTGCCCCCGGAGGCCTTGTTCGACTGGGGGTCGTCGAGGCTGCCGACGAGCTCCCAGCCGCCCTGGTTGCCAGAGAAGACCAGCGGCTGGCAGTCGTGCCCTGCTGCGATAACGGTCTCCTCGTTGGTCCAGGTGAGAGCGACCAGCGGAAGGATTGACAGCTTGATGCTGTATACGGCAGGGCCACCTGGGTAAACGATAGAGATGGAGCTGTCGTGGCCTATGAACAAATGTAGATATCAGGGGCATTCGTTGCAGACGATGGCCTATATGCACGTACTGGCAAAGGCGAGCACATCACCTGAGGGTGAGAAAGCTACATCGTGCACCCAACCGCCGGAAGGGCTGGCATACTCGCCGCAGATGGTATTGAAAGGGAGTTTCTCGCCCCAGACGGAAGCTGCGGGCCTAAATATATGTCATGAGCGAGTTGCCTGAACCGCGTATGTCCACCCAACGTACCTCTTGTCCACGTCCTTAATGTAAGCAGAGAAGACGCGGGCCTTGGCCTCCGCACTTCCGGCAGCAAGAAGCACGTTGTTCGGGTGCCAGTCGATGGACAGCACCGTAGACCTGATGGGTTTCTTGAGCAGGCGTGACACCCACCAGTCACCCTCGGGATCAAAGGAGCAGATGGCAATCGCACTGCGCAAAGCGGTTAGGAGCTGCGCATAAAATACGAGGGCGAGGAGACATACCGAGCGCCGCTCGCCACCGCAAATTTGTCCTCGTTCGGGCTCCATCGCACGTACGTCGCTGCGCGGTTCACGCGCAGCAAGACGAGCGTCGGCTTCCAAATCATATGCCCCGTCTGCGGGTCAGGGCTCTGCTGCCAGACGTACGCGTTCCGATCCTGAGCGGACGTGACGATGCGGTTGGACTTCGGCGCCCAGTCAATAGAGGTGACTTGCTTGTCATGCTATTGCACATATATTGGTAGTTGAGTATCACGCAGCATCGCGATGCGGGGTATACGATCATACCTCGGTGAGAGTATCGATGTGCTTCCAATCGCTCCCCTCGCGCGCGTAGATGAGTACTTCGTTAGAGTTCAAACTCACAGCGACCTCTGTAACGCATGTCAGCAACCGCGACGGACGCGACGAGGGATCCGCGTACGGGAGCGGTCCGCATTGAAAGCATGGCAAGTGACCGGAGTCTGCTGGCTAAGGGAGAACACTTCGGGAGGGGCCATGCTGGCTGTTTCTTCTGGTGATATATAACGGTTGAGCAGAGGACTCTGGACAGTCTACTCTGCTAAGAGAGGCTCGGAGGAGTGAGATGGTATGCGGTTAAGCTGCAGTCAGGGCTGCGATGCGCGCGGTGCAATGACGATCAAGCTGATCTGCAAACCGCTCCGGTTCATCTCCGTTGAGCCTACAGAGGGCCGGGCGCTTCTTCTCCACCTTCCTAGATGCAAGGTTTTCCGAGAGTTCTTCTGTGGTACTAGTCTTCCAACTCTGGCCAGCGGTCTCAAGAGCAGACGCACTGTATGAGTCTATGCCATAATGCCTCATGATGTGGTTATGAGCTGGTATGCCACTCAACAGTGGGATAGGGAGCCCTCGTCACGATGTATAATACAGCGGTAAGTTGGAGCCATGCATATGTGGTACGAACTCCCTGACTATATATTCTACGAATACCCCGGTGAGTCTGCTCTAGTGCTTGATATGGCCCAGTCTCATGGTTACAATATGCCCATTACAGATGTGCATTAAGATCTACTTTCTTATGCTACGCTGTTGCATATGGTATTTTGACAGTCTCCATCAACCACGAGTCATCCTGAGTGGAACTGAGTCAGTTGCACCTGAAGACACGTTAAAATCAATGCTTAAGTGGGTGGTGTTCGTGACCTTTGGGCCCCATCATCGATATGGAAGACGTACGCTGTGTACGCTGCGAGACGACGGCTGAGATCTTCGAGGCCACCGAGGCGTACGACGATGGCTTTACGAACTTGTCCCTGGGCTCCTTCCATGATTACCTCCGCAGCGCTGCGGCTGTTGAACCATCCGAGCCCGCATACTTCTTCGCTGTCTATCGAGGAGATGATCTTTTGTGGGTTCTAGTCTCTTCTGCATTGTTTCCAGTACTGAAATTCATCGCCGTGCAGGCTTACCCTTGCACATCACGCGCTCTCCCGCGCGGCTTGGCAGCTCGTGTGTCCCCAGAGTGCGGACCAGCTCCTGACCCCAGCACTTCTCGATGCCGCTACTCAGCAACTCGCCGTTTCACTTCTCGCAGCGACCCACCCGAACGTTCTAACCAGCGTTAACGGACACGATGGAGCCGTGAAGGCCTTCATGAAGGCCTGGCAGACGCTCGTTGAGAAGGAGGGCACACATCTTCGCATCGCACCGAAACCCATCATGGTGACACGTTCGAGCTATGCGACTCGGGAAAGCCTCACCCCATCCCCGAACACGCCCCACAGTTTCAACCTCACGCCAGCTACCGAGGGCGACTTCGAAGAGATTTTCCCCTGGCACCTGGACTTCATGTCATGGGGCCCTACCCGCCCTTTGGCCGTGGAAGAGGCCGATCTACGGCGCACCATCGCCTCCGGCACGATGTGGATCTGTCGCGACGGACGCTCTAGAGCAGGTTATATAGTCACCTCTAGGAGCACCCCGCGCACCATTGCGATCCGCAACGTCTACGTCCCCCCGGCACATCGCCGCAAGGGCGTCGCCTCATTCATGGTGAGGGCGATGTCCCGCTACCACCTTGGAGTGCGGCCGGCGGGATACGAGGGCATCCCGGAAGGTCTTCCCGAAACCGGCGTGAAGGACTTCGTCTGCCTCAATGTGGCGGAGCCCGGCGCCGAGAGGATCTACCGCCGCGCAGGCTTCCTGTTCCCGGAACCTACGGAGGACGGCTCCTCGCGCGGAGGGCTCGACCCCGTGTCCGGGCAGGAGGCTTGGTACCCTTCTGTGTGGCTCGGCTTCGAGCCGCAATCAGCTCCTTAAAGGCGTCTTTGCCGGCGGGTGAGTTTTGCGCATGCTTCCCCGCAACGGCGCACAGCTGATCATACAATCCAGGAACATATCGACGAGAGCTTCCGTGCTCGAACCTGTGGCAGGGTGGGGCTGTATCCGCAACTTTGACCTTTCAACTCTCCGAGTCCGGCGAACCACAACGGACGTGTCTTGGAACACTTGAGCGGCATCTGCTATTCGTGTGTTGATGATGTTCGTCGTTATGAGTTCTTGCATGCTATGGCGCCGCGTGGCCCTCAGACATACGTACTAGACCAAGAGTAATCACCGCTGTCAGGATGACCGTGACCGTGGCTTTTGGGTTAGTGCCACAGCATCGCCGCAGACAGTTTCGAGGACGACTCGCAGCCGTGGCTGAGAATGGCAGCATTCCATCATGAGGACGCTGCGGACCGTGCTCACGATGCACGGCGACGTAGGATACCGCGGTCGTGCATATCGGTCGGGTGAGCCGAATTCGAGCGGGTGGTGGCGGCGGCGGCGGCGACGATCCATCAAGCGAGTCGTAGCCAATTGCCGCAACGCGGGCCAGGGCTTTGGATAAACTGCATAAGTCGAGATTTGTATTCGAGGGCGACGACGGGTTGCAGGGAGATAAGGGACTAGTAAAGTCCGGACTAGATGCGGGATGTTATGCCATCAATTCTGTGATTGGTCACGCAAGCGACGGCCCAGGAGTGACAAACCCAAGCTGGGGTACTCCCGTTCCCCTTCGTTGTTTTCCCCTTCCCCTTGACATTCCGGACGTCGTCGAGGCCTTGCGCTCTCGTCGCCCCGCACGACCCCCACCATGGCCCCGCCGCCGCCGTCGAGTGCGGCCTCCACTTCGGTGCAAGTCGGTGAGTGCCCGTCGAGCGGCCACCCTGCGACCAGCGGGCGACTCATGTTCCATTGCAGCCCTCCGCATCCGCCCAACGACCTCTCAAGACCTTACTTCCATTCCGTCTCGCTTTCAGCGTAATGCCATCACTGCCGTCTCGAATACCACCGTCAGCGTGGATGTCACTCCTTCCCCCGGCCCTGGTGCACCCCCCGCGCCCGCAGCTTCCGCCAATAACGCCAAAAAGCAGATGTTCACCTTCGACCAGGTCCACCCGCCCACAAGCACCCAGTATGAGATGTTCGTCTCTACTGCGCAGCCCCTTATCTCGCGCTTCGTGGAGGGCTTCAACTGCACCATCCTCGCATACGGTCAGACCAGCAGTGGCAAGACGTTCACGATGACGGGTATCGAGTTGGATGCGGATCCCTCGGACCCTACCAACGGTATGGGTATCATCCCCAGAGCGGTCTCAAATATCTTTGCGCGCTGCAGAGATATGAAGGAAGAACGCGGCGCGAACTGGAACTACAACATCAAGGGCTCGTATATTGAAATCTATAATGAAGACCTAATCGACCTATTGGCGGACACCGCCGGCAAGCGGGACGTGCAGATTCGGGAGGACAAGCAGGGACATATTATTTGGGAGGGTCTCCGTGAGGTTAACGTGAAGTCGGCGAACGAGGTCATGAAGTGAGTGTTTGTTGCTCTACGCACTGTGCTCTCGTCGGCAGCCCGTGTGTGGGTTCAATGCACCCCCCCCTCCCCCATGGAACTCGCCAATACTGCGCTCCGGCAGAAAATGTACTGATCATCACTCTATCTTCAGCTTGATTCGGCAGGGTACCTCCATTCGGCGAACGAACGAAACCGACATGAACGCCCAGTCGTCTCGCTCACATGCCATCTTCTCATTGACGCTGATTCAGAAGAAGTTCACTGGAAGTGGTCCTCCCCCTCGTTCATCATCACCTCTGCCCCCTGGCGGAAGATCACCCTCACGTATCGGGCGGCCAGGTTCCGTAATTGGTCCCGCCGGTAGCAGTAGCAGGGTATCTTCGCCCACCTTCGGCCGCCCGTCTACACCCAGTTTCCAGTCTGCTATTGCGCGGGGCGGGCGACCTGCTAGTTCCTTGGGTCTACTATCCCCGGATATGGGACGGAACGGCGCTTCCAAGGATACAGGCGACGCTTCTGGAGGAGAATGGGTTACCGTTGTCTCGAAGTTCCATTTCGTTGACTTGGCTGGTTCAGAGCGGGTACGTGAGCAACTTTGAGCTGGGAAATACCCGCGTTCTGATCTTGTCGTAGTTGAAACGTACAGCCGCTGCCGGCGAGCGTATCAAGGAGGGTATCTCCATCAATAGTGGTCTTCTAGCGTTGGGCAACGTCATCTCCGCGCTCGGTGATCCCGCACGAGCCAAGTCTCACACGGCATCCTATATCCCCTACCGCGACTCCAAACTCACGCGACTCCTTCAAGACTCCCTCGGAGGTAACGCGCATACGCTCATGATCGCCTGTGTTAGCCCTGCGGAGTGGAACGCGAACGAGACGGTGAACACTCTGAAGTACGCCAACCGTGCGAGGAACATCAAAAACCGCGCGGTGGTGAACGAGAAGGAGGAGGGCTGGGACGACGTCGAGTGGCTGCAGGGCATGGTGACTCGGTTGCGCAAGGAGGTGAAGGCTATCAAGGAGGGTGGAGGCGCTACCGCGTCTTCCGCTGCAGGCTCCTCCGACGTGGACGTCGCACCGAAGCGAGTGCTCGCTCAGATGTCAGAGCTGCAGAACAACTACGAGGACCTCCGGGAGAAGTACGTCGAGCGCACACAAGAGCTCACACGCCTACGCAACGAGCTCGCCGAGAAACAGCGCAACTCCGGCGGCCGCCTAGGCGGGACCGCAAAGTACGAGGAGATCGTCGGACCGGTCATCGAGGAGTATGAGAAGACGATCAGCGCGATGGAGGCCGAGCTCAAGCTCAACCGCGCCGCTCTGAGGCATACGAACGACTTGTACGAGGAGAAGGAGAGCGAGTTCACTACTCTCCTGGAACGGCACTCGACCACAGAGATGTACGTGGAGGAGTTGAAGGCTCGTGTCGTCAAGCTCGCAGAGCGCGAAGCATCCACTGAGGTAAGGGATCCGACAAACTGTACGCGGTCCATCGCGCTAACTTCGTTCTTTCGTACAGGCCTACGTTCATGACCTGGAGGAGAAGGTCCGACAATATGATGAATCGCAGATGTCGTCTAGCGGTTCTATCAGCGACCTGAAGCGCGAGCTCACGCGATACAAGGACACGGAGTCCCACTCGTCGGAGTACATCGCCGACCTCGAACAACGTCTCGCCAAGGCAGACGAGTCCGTTCTTGCCCTGCGTGGAACAGTCGAAGAGCTCGAACACGAATGCGAGAAGCGCCGCAAGCAGGCCGAGTCACTGGAGGCCCGCTTGGAAGCCCTGAAGCTCGATGGCGAGAGCTGGCGGTCAGATCTGGAGATGCGCGAGGCGAAGGTCAAGGCTCTAGAGCTCAAGATGCAGGAGTGGGAGGCCAAGAGGGTAGCTGCGAACGAGGAGCGCGAGAGGCTAGGCGAGCTAGCAAATGAGGTCGCGAAGGCGAAGCAGGAGTTCGAGCATTCGCCCACGAAGACCAACGGCGCCTCGACTGGTGCCCACTCGGAGGTCTCCTCGATCCACGAGAATGATGGCTCGCCCGAGAGTCAGCTCGTCGCCCTCCAGCAGACGCATACAGCCACCCTCGCCGACCTGTCAACAGTTACCTCCAAGTATCGGGATGCTCTTCGCGAGATCGCGGACCTGGCTGCTCAGCTTCAGGAGGCGAAGGTAACTGCCCCCGTTCCTCCCGCCGAATCCCCCGAGCGCAGCGGGGAGCTCTCTCCGAAGCGCAGGATGCACCGAGGTATGTCGAAGGACGGGCAGGAGGCTTCGCTGAACGGAACGGGCCGCCGCCTTTTCTACCGCAACGCGGCGTCGGCCGAATCTCTCCACTCCAGGTTGGTGGACAGTTTGAGTATGAACGTACTTTCTAATAACACGGCAGTCAGATCGCTCTCACAATCTGTATCGCTCTCGCAGGAGCTGTCCTCGGCCAGATCGCGCAAAGCCTCTACGTCCAGTCACGGGACAAGTAGCTCCATCTCACAGTCTCCAGGACATTCGCGGCCGAACCTCTCGATATCCCTCCCGTCTGTCACTGTTTCACCCACCGAACGCTCCGTTGCGAGTCTCGAGGAGGAGATCATGCGTCTCCAGGACGTCCTCAAGGAGCGTGAGGCGGAGATCTCCGTTCTAGAATCCTCGCTGAAAGACAAGTCCGAGCCGAACGGCCACCCCTCGAGTTTGGCTGCCGAACTCGAGCGCTCGCCATCTCTGAACCACAACGACGACTACGTGCACCTCTCCCCCAAGACGATCAACCACTTCTCTGAGATCCGGAAGAGCCTTGACTTGCATCATGCCAACCAATACACTGTGTCCGATGTCGACGAGTCGCTGGTTAGACTCAATGAGCTTATGATGTGCGTCACATATTTCGAACCGCATATAACACGGCCGGCGCTGAGACCATACGTCGTACAGCTCTATGGCCCAGAAGGAGTCGTCCCACAAGGAGGTTGTAGACGACCTCTCGACCCAGCTCAGTCAAGTCCGGAAGCAGCACGAGGAACTACAAGTGCTCTCTCGGGACCAGGTGCGCAACTATCCAGGCACATTAATGTATCAGGACGCTCATACTCGCTCAGACGCTTAACATGAGCATGGAGCTTGAGGCGCTCCGGAAGAAGCATGCGGAAGATTTGGCGAACCACGCTCAGGACTTGGAGAAGTTGGAAGACTTCCAAGCCCGCGAGGAGTCGCTCACCAAGACGCTCGAGGAGTCGCGGCAGCACGAGACCGAGCTACAGTCGACACTAGACGATCTCAAGAAGCGCGAGGCCGATCTCTTGGCCTCGTTGCAGCAAGCCGAGGAGCTTCACGCTTCCGAGATCCAGCAGCTCAAATCTGTGCATGAGGACGCTATTCGCGTGAAGGAGGTAGAGCTCGAGGCGCTGGTGGCTCAACTCAAGCAGGAGCACGAAGCTTCCATCGGACCGCTCCACGCCCAGGTTGCCGACTCCTCGGCAGCGCTCGAGTTGGCGCAGCGCGAACACGAAGAAGCGTTTGGGAAGCTCAAGGCCGACCACGAAACGGAGTTACGCCGACGGTTGGATGAGGCGAACGAGCTTCTTGAGAACGCCCGCACGGAGCATGAAGCCACTGTCACCAAGACTTCTTCCGACCACCAGGCGGCGCTCGAGGCTCTCAAGGTTGAGCATGCTACCGCCCTTGCAAGTCTGGAGTCGGATCACCACGAGGCGCTTCAGCTCCGGGTCAAGGAGGCGGCTGATGCGCTCGAGAAAGCTCAGTCCGAGCACGTCGAGGCACTCACGAAAGCAGCTATCGAGCACCAGACCGTGCTCAAGTCGCTTGAGGAGATGCATGCCGCCAGCCTGTCACATACGGAGGACGAGTACTACAACGGCCTCACGAAGCTTCGTAGCGACCACGCCGCGGTTCTCGAGAAGCAGACCACTGAAGCCGCTACCGCGATGGAGCGTCTCAAGGATGAGCACGTACGAGAACTCCGTATGGCCGAGATCGCGCGCGAGGGTTCGCTCTCCGAGTCTCAGTCCTCCCGGGACGTCGCCTTGCAGGAGCTGCAGGAGGCCCACGCATCAGCTGCTAAGAACAAGGAGCAGCAGTTCGCGGATGACTTGCAGAAGCTGAAGGACGAACACGCCGAGGCTCTCACGACGAAACTCGACCAGCACCGTGAGTCTCTCCAGCGGCTGAAGGCCGATCACGCTGCGGTCCTGAGCAAGAAGGAGACCGAGTTCGGCGACCAGCTGGAACGCCAGGAGGCTGAGCACTCCCGTGCGCTTTCCGACAAGGACAAGGCACACCGGTCCGCGCTTGAAGGGCTCACAGCCGAGCATTCCGCGGCCCTTGCGAAGCTCCAGGACGAGTCCGCGAAGCAGATCGCCCTACTCACCGCTGCACTCGAAGCGAGTAAGGCCGACCGGACTTCTTCGGAAGCCAACCTTCGGACAGAGTTGGAGAACACGGTGTCGGCTTTGAAGGAGCAGCACGCGGCGACCCTGGCCGAAACTGAGCGCGCACATGCGGAGGAACTTCAACGGCTCGTCGAGTCGCACACGTCCGCCCTGTCTTCTTCGGAAAGCGGCTTGGAGGAGCAACGGTCTTCGCTTGTCAAGGAGCATACCGAAGAGCTCACCCGTCTCAAAGCCGAACACCAGAGCGCCCTTGCAGAGCTCCAGGCCGCCCTCGTCGCGACTGAAGAGCAGCACCGCTCGGAGCTGGACGAGTCGAGGTCACAGACCGAACAGCTTCTCGCTTCTGAGAAGGAGCAGCTGAAGGTCACGCTTGCCGACGTGGAGAAGACCCATTCCGCGGAGCGTGAGACTTTGCTGAAGAACCACAACCTTCTTCTGGAGGACCTCCGGAAGAAGCATGCCGAGGAGCTGGAGGCGTTGTCGAAGGACCACAATCTGCTTCTCGATGAGCTCGACACGCACAAGGCCGCGTCGGACGAGTATGCGAGCGCGCGAGAGGAGATGCGCGAGTCGCACGTCTCCGCCCTTCAGGAGAAGTCGCGGATCATCGACAGTCTGCACCAGGAGCTGTCGACGGTACACAACGAGCGCGAGGCGCTTGCGATGGACGTCGAGAGGTTGCGCGCTGAGCTCAACAGCACCCGGGAGGAGCAGGCCGCACTCATCAAGGAGGCGTCGAAGCGGCAGTCGCTCGTCGACGAGCTCGAGCACCACCGGTCCGTCATCGCGGATATGCAGGAGAACTTGCAGAGGACGCGGGACGAGATGGACACCTTGATGGCCGAGAAGCACCGGCAGGACGCACTGCTGCGCGACTTGCAGAGCCAGCAGCTTGGCAGCCCGACGCCGGGGGCGCGTCCGCCCGTCGATCGCGGTATTTCATACACGCGCGCAGCCGGCATGTCGCCTGGCAAGCTGCCGCCGCCCACTCCACCACCGACGGTGCCCATCCCGCCAGCGCCGCGTGGGATGCACGAGCAGAACGGATCGTCGTCGACGACCATGTCATCGCGGAGCGTCAGCGTCGACTCGGAGTCGCCGTCAACACCCGCGACGTCCATCGCACATTCGCTTGCAAACGGACTGCCACCATCGCCGCTGTCGGCTTCCGTTGGGCCCGATCCGAAGACGGCCGCACAGATGCAACTGCAGGCGAAGCGTCTCGAGGAGCAGGAAGCGATGATCAAGACGCTGAACAAGCAGCTGACGCACTGTGAGAGCGACCTGCAGGCTCACATGGACATCGTCGCTACGCTGGAGGCCTCGCTTGGAGACTCGGAGAAGAACCGTAAGCCCGCATCTGTTTCGTGTACGTTAGCTGCGGTTTGCTGACGCCCGCCCTCGTGTTTCCCCGCATTGCCCTGGGCGTTTGTGTGTGTTCGTTTTTTTCCCACAGTTCGGAAGGCGCGGATGCAGGCGACGGAGCTCGCGCGCGAGCGCGATAACCTGAACGGGCAAATCGTGAACCTTCGCCAGGAGCTGAACGACACGAAGGCTGAGGTGGTCAATGTCCGGCGGTCAATCGTGGAAGAGAAGCAGTCGCTCGAGAGCCGGCTGGACGAGGAGCGACGAGCGAAGGAACGAGCGCGCGCACAACTGGACAGCCGGATGGAGGAGTTGCAGCGGCGCAAGTCGAAGTTCGCCTGCCTATGAGCGTCCGCGTCCGCGTCCACGCCCGCGTCGCGCCTGCGGCCCTGCCTCTCTGCGGGTGTCTGCGCCTTCGCGGTCGCCGTCTTCCTTGTCAAGGTTACTACCGGTTCGGCTCGGATCTGTCTTCCCCGCCCTGCGCGCACCCTTGGCCTTCTCAGCCCCACCGTCTCTTCGTCTCTCCCGACCGCCGCATTCCCACCCTGTCACCATCCCGTCCTATTGCATTGTCCCCATATTCCCCCGCACGGCCTCCCCCGCATTCTCACGACCATCCTTGCATTTGCCCCAGCCCGCGCTCCACGCGTCTCCCACCCTCCCTTCGACCAACGATCCATCCATCCACCCACCATGATGCCGCTCTCGGTACCGTCCAGGCCCCGCGTGTTGTCCACGCGCTCGACACGCGTTCTCTGCCGTGTCTATAATTCTGCGCTCCCTGGCGGAGAGGACAGGTCCGGATTTGCATCGCCATAATGCGTCCGTTGCGGCACGCCTTCTGCCCGATGTTGTTGTTTGACGCATGATAGGCAATCGTGTCTCTTCATTCCGGCTGTCTGCTAGGAGGCCTTTTACGTTTTCGCGTTAGCCCCCGGGCTATCTATATACTTTAGAGACGTGTTTATTTCGTGTTCGTTGTGCTAGTTAGTTGCTCGGCTCGGTCTCGTTCTCTGTCCCGTTCTGGTTCCTCGGATACCCCACGCTCGTTCCCCCGTATGACCCCTCCGTCTCGTGCCCTGTCTCTCTCTCTCTCTCTCGTCTGAAACATATTCATAGTCCTGTGCCTGTGCGGAGTGTGTCGTCCGAACCTATGTCCCCTAGCTAGTGAGGAGATCGCGCTGATATATAGCGATGTCGATATGCACCCCAAGAGCCCGCGGGCTGGCCCAGAGTGATCGCATGAAGTGAATGGACGTACGCGGTGTCTGCAACATGGGTGCAGCCGGACGGGAAGGGTCTGGCGGACGAGTCTGGGGAAGGGCCTCGACGCGGGGACGGGAGCACAGGCGCGCGCTGTGGTCTGGGCTGGGGACGGTGATGCCCCGCACGGAGGTCGGACCGGGCGTGCGGGGCCAATGGGGGTGCGGGGGTGCAGCCAATGGGGGGCCGAGTACGGCTTATGTACGGTGCCCCTCCCCCTCCTCCCCCAGGCGCGCGCAGACTGGCTCAGAGTCTGCCTCCGCCGCCTGCTGCCCAGATCTCCCCACCCGGCCCCGCCTCCAATAAATTCGTCCGCCCCCTCTTCCCTCTCTCCCACCACCCCCCACCACGTCCTCCCCCCGTCCAGCTCTCCCTCCCCAGCCAGCTGCACACCCACCATGGCCCCCTCACTACTGTCCCGCGCGCTCCCCTCCACCTCCCGCGCCCTCGCGCGCGCCCCGCCACGCACGCTCATCCACGTCCGCTTCAACAGCGACATCGCACCAGCGGCCCCGAAGCTCTCCGACGTCGCAGCCAAGGCGCGCGTCGTCAAGACCCTCCCCGACTTCTCCATGGCCAACAAGGTGCGCACCGCCCCCGCCCTGGGTGTTCGTTCCTGTCGCGCGCCGCCCACCGCTCACCCCTGTTCCTGTCACGCAGGTCGCGGTCGTCACCGGCGCCGCCCGCGGGCTGGGTAACGAGTTCTGCCGCGCCTTCGTCCAGTCCGGCTGCACCTCGCTCGCCATCGTGGACCTGAAGGAGGAGGAGGCGGAGCACGCCGCGCAGGAGCTCATCAAGGCGGCATGCGGTCAGGACCCCGCTCCCTTCCGAGTCGTGCAACACCATTTCTGATAAGGTGTGAAGTTGACAGTGAGATGGTCCCCAGCGACTACCGCGTCATCGGGGTCGGGTGCGACGTCTCGTCCGAGCTCTCCGTCCAGCAGGCGTTCCGCCGCGTCATGGACACGTACGGGCGCGTCGACTCGGTCGTTGCGTCGGCAGGTGCGTCATGGCCCCACGGCATCCTACCGGCGTTCTTGCTCATCGTTATCTTCATAGGTATCGTCGAGAACTACTCCGCATTCGAGTGAGTGGGGTGCCGGGTTGTCTTCGTGCGGCACGACGGAGTCTGACGCGCCTGAACCCTTTCCCCAGCTACCCCTTCGATCGGATAAAGCGTCTCTATGACATCAACGTGCACGGCGCGTTCTTCACTGCGCGCGAGGCGGCGCGCAACATGATCCCGCAGGGTGGAGGCAGCATCACGCTCGTTGGCAGCATGTCCGCAAACGTGAGTAATTGCCCGCCTGATGTGCTGGGCTTTTGGAGCGTGCGGTGCTGACGGTGATGCCCCACCCAGATCGTGAACATCCCCCAGCCGCAGACGCCATACAACGCGGCCAAGGCTGGTACGTGTCTGAGCCTCCACGCGGCGTTGCTGGGCGCGGCTGACTGGTTACGAACTGCAGCGGTGAAGCACATGGCGGCGAGTCTGGCAGTCGAATGGGCCAAGAAGGGCGTCCGCGTCAACACGCTCAGGTATGATGACGTCATCGTCCGCACCCCGTCGGTGGCTGACCGCCTCCTGCGCGCTCCAGCCCGGGTTACATGCTCACCAAGCTCACGCGGACCATCCTCGCGCACGACCAGGAGCTCAAGGTAACGTACTATGTCCTCCGCGTGCGGGGTCATCTGCTGATACTGTGGCGTCTGCGCAGAAAACATGGGAATCGCTGACACCGATGGGTCGGGTACGTCCAATTTTGAGTTCGCTTCTCTCGGCTCGTGCCTAATTCCCGCTCGCGTAGATGGGCGAACCTGAGGATCTTGCCGGCGCCATCGTGTTCCTCGCCAGCGACGCATCGCGGTTCATGACGGGCTCGGAAATCCGCGTCGACGGTGGCTACTGCGTGATCTAAACGCGCAGTGTTTCTTTTCATGTTTTGGATTACGAACGGACTCGCATGCTTCCAGTGCACTTAGACATCCTTCATAGATGTAACCTACGAACCGGTCTTGGCTATTCCTCGGGGACACTGTTGCTGTTTGCTTGCTCTCACGCTCCCTCACACAAGTCTCCCGCTCCTCTCTTACCCCTCACCTCCCCTGTTTACCCTCGCTGTTCTGTACAAAACTTCCCGCGACTGCACCTAGCCCGCAAACGATACATAGTACCCGTAATCTTATTCGAAAATGTATACGACGGTGGTTCTCCAACATCTCATCACGGAGCTCAGTCCGACACAGCATGTGGCCGTGTGGCAAATTCCACAGCAGCGAGAACGCCGAGTGGCGGCGATGTCCGACACAAAGCCTATCACGGCTGCAGAGAACGCAGTCGTGTGCGGGAGAAGTACAAGACGCAACTTAAATTGACCTGTCGTACGGCACACTAACGTTACACGGATCGGATCCCAAGTAAAACACCGCGGCGCAGAGCCCGCCCGCTCGCTGAGTATTGAGTTCTGCCACCTACGCCAGCGGCACCGCACCACCACCGCCCCCGTAGTGCGCGTCCACACACTCGCGTGGCACGACCCCGCGGTAGGCATCCACGATCTCGCGGTCCAGCGCAGCCCACTTCGGGAGCCGGTCGACGCCCTTCACGTCCAGGTCGATCACCGTGACCGTCCCTTTCTCCCCTACACCCGCGTCTGCTGCTGCCCGCGGCGGCATGCGCAGGATGATCGAGCAGTCCTTGAAGGACGCCCCGAGGAGGTACGCCGCCACGCGGTAGTGCAGCTCCTCCTGCGTCTCCGGCACCACATCGCTGCTTTGGTTTCCTCGCGCCGCGCGCGCGGAGACGAAGCGCGCCCACTCGGCCATGTCGGGGTCGTGCGCGGCGGGCCCGGTGCCGAGGGGGATGGTGGGGTACATGCGCGCCCAGAGCGCGGCGAGCCCCTCGATGTCGAGCGCGTCGAGCGTGCGCTGGAGGGTGGAGAGTGTGTGGAGGACGGGGGTGTGTAGGAGGAGCGGGAGGAGGGTGTTGATGAAGGCGGAGCGGAGGGCGTCGAGGGGGTATGCGGGGTCTGGGTTGGCTGAGGTAGGGAAGAGTTGGGCGGTCAGCGGGGCCAGGGATGTGAGCTGCGATATCATAGCGACGCGTTAGGTACCACAACGGCGTGGATGAGGGGGCGAGTACGCACGTCCGCCCTTGGCTTGATGATCTTGCCCTCCACGAACACCTTGAGGTTGTTCACCTTGCCCCCGGTCCCGATCCACACGTCCCAGAGCGCACGCAGCGCTTTCTCAACGCGAGTCGCGTCGCCCGAGTACAGGTCAAGCGGGCAGTACCCGAGCGCGACGTCCTCGCCCTGCGTGCTCTTCATATGCGCGTGCATACAGAAGCGGCAGGTGCGCGTCTTGATCGCACGCGTCTCCTCAGAGAGGTATGTCGGCTTCGGGAGGAAGCCCCATTTCGGCTAGGGGGAGGATCGTGTGTCAATGCCAAAGTCGGGACGAGGCAGGACAGACATCGCCGCCTAGGGGGTGGAAGACATGGTAGAAACAGTAGATGAGGGGGACGCACCTTGATCTCGACCGCACACCCTGCTCCGCCGACGAGATCCGTCGCGAGGACGGCCTTGCGCCTGCCGCGGTCGATCGTGTCCTTCGCGCGCCGCTGGGGCGGGCGGAGGGGCTCTGTGCGCTCCGCGAGCTCCTCGAGCCACGCCCGCGCGACATGCACAGACTGGAGGCGCGGGAGGTGCTCGATGGGCATGAGCTGCTCGATCACTGTCCGCTGGAAGACTATCGTGGGGTCGTCCGGCTCGTCCGGGTCTGCGGGCGCATTCTTGCTCGTCTGTCTGTCCTCTAGAGTTGATGGCTCGGCAAGCTGGGGTTCCTGGTGCTTGTCCGGGTCCGAGTGCGCGACTACGGGACCCTTGCGCAGGCGGAGCGCGGTCCTGTCGAAGAGGGTGTTTGGCGGGCCGACGTACGAGAAGACGATCGTCGAGCCACCCTCGGAGATGTACTTCCAGTCCTGCGGGGACGTGTCCGCGATGTCAAGCGCGTCCGTTTGCATTTGATCTGAGAGTCAGGCTCGACGTAGAGGAGAATGGAGAGGACGGGCTGGGAGGCACTGCGCCTCCGAGTCCCAATAACGGCATGATCGATCGAGGACAGGGAGAAGCAGTGCTGGCGTCTCTCCAGATGGGCGTACCAGGACGCCAGCATGCGGAGGCGCCCGCGGTGTAGGAGAACTGCTGCAGAAGGCGCGTGTACACTACTCACGCTGTATCGTACAAGCTGTTCGTCAAGAACCATAACATGGAAGCTCAGAAGATGATGCTCGAACCGCCCGCCTGACCCGCATCGGCAGGCCCCTCGCTCTCGCCCTCGCCCGTCCGCCGCGCCTTCTTCGCCCACCTCAGCCCGCACGCGTTGCACAACGTCTTCGGGCCCATCGGTCCCTGACAAAGCGCGACAGCCGCCATAAACACGCGCACTCTGACATGACAAATGGTGTGGGTGCTGTACCTTTCGCCACTCTGGCGAGTCCGTCCGCCCACACGTAACGCAGACGTGCTGCTCCGCGGCTAGCCTCTTCGCCTGCGCCCAACGCCCACTCAGCAGTCTTCCCTAGCGCCGCCCAAGTACGTACACGCACCTTCTTCCTGGGCCCGTCGTCCTCCGCGTCGGGCCCCAGACCCCCCGCGCCCATGTCAAAGCCCGTGCGCGGGCCATCCGCAGACCCGAAGCTCTCCGACGTCGAGAAGAAGCCGTCGCCCTGGCCGTCGAGCGCCTGATGTTGCGCCCGGAGCTGCGCCACGCGCTGCTGCAGCCGCTCATTCTCCATCTTCAGCTCGAGGAACGTGTTGAGCCTGTGTGACAGCGCGCAGCCGATCAGATCCCAACGTCAAACCGCCTCGATGGCCTCCCCAGCGCGCTCGGGAGTGGGAGTGGGAGTGAGAAGAGGAAAGGACGCGTGGTACGCACATAGCGGTGTTCCGACTGGGGTACGGCTGCGCCATGGCGAAGAAGCACTGGAACGCGTCCGAGTCGGGCAGGAAGTGCGGGCGGCCGCGGAGCTCGAAGAGCACCTCGCGCGGTGCGGACGTGTAGTCCGCGGCGACGTAGAACTCGTTCTTGCACTGCAGGCGCGCGTACGCGAGCAGCTCCGTCCGCGTGCGCAGGCTCTCCGCGAACGCGGCGCGGAAGCCTGCCCGGTCGTCCACTAGGTGTCCGGACCGCGTCAGCTCTGGCGTGTGCGCGCTCGAGAGGGGCGTGGGGTGTAGGGCGGGATTGTGGGAGGGGTGCGCAGGGAGGGGAGTAAGGGGACGTACCGTTCATGAGGTCGATAAAGTCCCCGTCAACGAGCTCGTCGTCGCGCCAGCCAAGCAGCTCCGAGACCGCGTTCCCGCAGTACCAGACCTGGCACGCGTCAGAGAGGACGAGGATGATGGTGTCGTTGACCTCGGTGACGAGCAGGTCCGCCCACCGCTTGCGCTTCGTGAACTCGAACACCGGGATCTCCTTCACGGGGCTCTGCTGCTGGGCCGCGGGTGCCGCTGCGTCGGACGTGGACGAAGACGCGGGCGGGGGCATCGATCCGGACGAGGAAGACATGGCTGGCACGGCGTGGGCGGCGGCGGGCAGGTGGTGGGGGCAGGAGGGGAGGACATGGCGAGCTGGAGAGGAGACGGTGCTATTAGCGTTTTGCACCGGCGCACAGGACGAGAACATCGACCTGTCCGATCCCGCCCCTCCTCCCCTTTCCTAATCGGGAAATCTTACGTAGCAATGCGCCTGCGATCGTGGGTCCATGTGGGTCCGAATTCGGCCATCCCGGGCATGCGCAAACATGTGGCTTTGTATATGGTGGTACGACAAGCGTTGTGTGGTTATTTCCCTAAATCGTATAGCAAACAAGCAGCTTTGTATTATAGAGGTGTACCAGATGGAAACGAGATGAAGCTCAGATGTGGGCTAGTACTCCGAGTCGTAGACGGAGTGCATGGAATCGGAGGGACCCGGCTCAAACGAGTGGAAGTAGTCGTCGAACTGCATCCCTCCCTCTCCGTTGCAGCCGGGTTGCTGCGCCTGCTGCATCTCACCCGGCGACGAGTCGTACATGCCCCGATACGCGCTGGCCTCGATCATGCTCTCGGAGCTCTTCACCATCCCCTGTTCGACATTGCCATATCCAGCAGGCGAAAGTGTGCTCTGCCCGCCATACGTTCCAGAGCCCCCCGGGTATGTGAAGTAGTCGTGCGGGGTCTGCAAGCCGGAGTGTGACTGCCCGTCGGAGCCAGACGACGAAGATGAGCCGTCGCGGAAGAGCATCGGTGGGACGGGCATAGCCCCGTTGTCCTCAGGGGAGACAGCGTTGGAGACACTGTTGGCGCGCGCCCTATCGTCGGCCTGCTTGGCGAGGGCGCGATTGACCGCATTGAGGAGGTGTTGCTTGACCTGCGGCGGAGGCGATGGAGGGAAAGGACCGCATACGGGCGGGTCGACCGTGATGGGTGTCGTGTGGTTTCCGTGGACCTCTGTGTAGTGCTGATGAGGTCTGTGGAGGTACATTTTAGCAACGTGACAGAGAAAGCATGCATAGACGGGCACAAAGTGTAAATTTGAAGAGGTACTCACTGCATAGACTGCTTCTCCATTTCGCACGCGTTGCAGTTGGACATCTCGGACAGGCAGGCTTGACAAGAGGGCGAGGCAGCCGGAAGGGGCATATCGGACTGCTGCATAGACATGGTAGACGTAGACCTAGAGACCGCCTGCAGATCGTTCGCCGAGTGAGAAGGCGTAGGACGGCTGGCCGCGGCAGGACGTTTGGCGCGAGAATTCGAGCGAGACCGAGAAGCGATGGGCGCAGGAGGAGCCTGGAGACGCATGTTTGAGGAGCTCGAGACGAGAGGACGGCCCTCGATCATGATGGCAGGGGTACCGAGCGCAGACGCTAGCGAGTTCGTCGAATATCCAGGAGCCGAGGAGTATGCAAGCACCCCATGAGGGTAGTGAGGCTGACCAGCGTACAGGTGAGGCGGCGGCAGAGACGAAGCACTAGCAGCAGAGTAGCCAGAGGAGTTGGACCACGCAGGCCCAGCAGTAGGACACATAGGCATGACCGATGGATCGTCATACATCACCGGAATTTGGCCGTTCACGGTAGCCTCCTCCTCCGCCAGGCGCGCCGCTTCTTCGCGTTCAGCGAGCGCCTTCTTGGTCTTGTTGGCCCGATGTTCCATAACGTATTCGCACTCATAGCCACGCTTCTGGCACCGCTTGCACTGGGGTTTCTCGCCGGTGCACTGCGCGCGATCCTCAGTACACAACCCGACGCGAGGCTGACATGAGGCACTCACCTTCGTCTTCCGTTTCCTGCACCTCTCGCACGCCTGCGGGATCCGGATGCGCCCGAGCGGCGGCGCGACGAACAGCGCGCGCTTCTTGATGGCCTCCATGACCTTGCTATCGACCTCCTCGCGGACCTCGTCCTGCACGTACACAAAGTTGTCCTTGATCGGGTCGATGTCCATGGGCGGATGGACGAGTTGCAGAATCTGCGGCTGGGGCTGGGCATAAACCTGTTGCGCGAGCTGGGCTTGGTGAACGAGTTGGGCCTGCTGCATTGCGAGGGCCTGTTGGACGTGATACTGGCTTGGGGCCATCATGCGCGGGACGCCGGGGTACCCCATAGTGGGGATGGCGGCGCCCGGGGGAAGTTGCACGAGCGGGCCTGGGGCATACCCGAGGGGCATGTTGTTGTTGACTCCAATCCAGCCCTGCTGTTGCTGCTTCTGCTGTTGGGCATACATGAGCGCTTGGATCGCGGCAGAGTTGAGCGCGGAGTGTTGTTGGAGATGGGGAGGAAGCTGGGGATATCTAGACTGTTTGGAAGGGGAGCCGGAGTTGACGCGGCGCTTGGGGGAAGGACGAACGGTGGTAGTCCTCATCTTGAGAGCGGACAGAAAGCAGACGATGAAGCACAGGAGTAGAGAGCAAACAGAGAGTGAGCGCAACGGGCGTTGCGTTCTGAGGCAAAGGGGGGAGGCGAGCCAGACCTTGCCACAGTGAAGAGGCTGACCATACAGATTCCGGCTGTCACTGCAGAAGCCAGCCGTGCATCCCCCGTATTCGATCTGGGGCTGACATGCAATGTCTTCATGGTGGCTTGCACGAGCCATACGACCAAAGTGGTCAAGCAGGGTTCCTGGCGACTGGCGGCAGAGAAAAGACATCCGGGGAGACGTGCACTCTCAAGTTGTACCAGAGGCTACGAGTGCAAGATGACCAGAAGACAAGCTCGAACTCGTACATGGACGAACGAAGAGAGCTTGACTGGCACACGGCACGAGAAATCGCGTGGGCGTCTACTTTCGCGGGGCATCACCATTCACGTGGATGTGACTACACGCGTTGTCCGTGTCAACTCCGTGTCAGCCACCGCCAGTGATCGCAACTTGAACTCATACCATGATCATCTCCAGCGCTGGTATCTTCCAGGTTCTGTTCAAGAGCCTTCCGACCCCGACATATATCTTTGCAAGCCTCAATACTACCGGAATGTTCCATTACTGCAGCCGTGTCGAGAGTCCGCCCATGTTCTGCCCAAGCCTCCGTTTCCGACGGCTTCACACACTCGCCGCTGTGCCAGGTCCGTAACTTACGTGGTGCCGGATATATCAGCGCCGAGCCATGCCCACATCCGCGCCGTACGTCTATAACACCCGAAATTTGAACATACAGGCAAATTCCGTGTTCAATCGCTCAGGGCTCTGCATATCGACTACCACCATCATGATGGTCTCTTCGGCGAGGACGAGCCACTCTCATCGCTTCGGGCAGCCTTCGGTCTCGATCACAACATGACGGTGGACTATAAAGCTGCGGTGCAGATCCCCTCTGAGTCCCCGTGGTCAACGACTGGTCGTCGACTCCGCTTCTGTTTCTATCTGTTGCTTTTTCTTGCTTTCTTAGGCCTCGGTCTTGCCCCTTCTGCTCTCGCTCCCTTTACGCCATTCATTTCTGCAAATTTTTGCCGTGTTCAAGATGTTCATGATTTCCGCGCCTTTGATTGCTTCGGTTCTTGTCTACGGTTCCGCCATCGTCACTGGTCTGACGCTGCAAAGACGTGCAGTCGACTTCTTTGACCCGGCCCAGGGCGGCGGCAGCATCTTTGACAACGCGACGTTTGGCGGGGAGCCCTTGAATGTCAGCCTCCGAATCTCACTGTTACACGCTGAGTCGCTAACATGACGCCATCATTCAGGTCATTATATCCGGGCCGAGCTCTCCTGATGTCCTCACGGACGACGGCATCCTGAACTTTGCGCAAGCGATCGGCTTGTAAGCACATAGCATCAGTCATGAAGTGTGCAACTCATACTAAGATGCCTGATACTTCATAGCTCTCAAGAGTGCCTTGGTCTCCACCTCGGAGACCCGCAGACGGCGAACCTCGGGGATGGGAACGGGTCGGTGAACCAGACCGTTGAGTTCCGACAGGATTTCGGGAGCGATTTCCTGGGCACTTGCCTCGAGAGCCTGATCGGCGGGAACCACTTCCGGTGAGCATAGACACGCCGAGGGAAGATCATACCGGATGCAATATTGCTGGATCGGCGGTACACAGAGTCTTCAGACAGAACGGTGCACAAGCGAACAGCGGAGCGCTCTTCCTAGCGTACGTTTTGCTTCACGCCACTGTGTCTCATGCAGCTGAGCTGACATACATTTTTTGCAGTGCTTCCAAGGAGCAGCCGGTGAACCAGAACCACGACATCATCCCGGATGGGTACAACATCGGCCGGTATGTGCCTGAGCACGGTTGGCTCTCCGGCTCCCTACTAATGACTTTGATGTACCGCAGAGATGAGCTGGTGGCAGCCGCAGTGGGCACGAAGAGTCACGGTGGGGTGACGTACCAGGTCGATGCGAAGAACATCACTGGGATCATGCCTGCGGGGAGCGATGGAGTCAACCATGGTATGTCGATGTGTGTATCCCTCCCGACTGGACCGACTTACTAAACATATGCGTATGACGCCAGGAATCGCTGTAGACGGTATCGTCACTCTCTTGACAGTTACGATCCAGTGATCAAGTTGGTCGCTATAATAGGTTGAGTGTGAACGTGGTGTGTCAAACGAGCATGTAGTAGCGAGCGGGTCATCTACGAGACTATGGCTTAAGTCTAAGAACAATCAGCGTTGAAGTTTCGAAGCGTGAAGCGCACCATATGACCGCACTCCCGATTGCATGAAAGCTGCAAACCCCTGAAAATACCATGAAAGCCAAGGAGAGCTAGAATGGCAGATGGTCGCCGTCGACCTTCCCCGCCCCCGCACTGCTACCCCGCATTCGAGCATGCAAAGTGATCGGACCCCGCACTCGCGCTAGCTGCGATCCTCGACTGTCGCGGCGAAGCATGCTCGCCCCACCGGATCTCATCCGGCCGCGCCGAGCAACGTCGGTCGCGTGAGGTCATGGGAACCTCCATCGAGCGCGCCGAGCGCTGGGCCGGTGCCGGGACACCTACTTCAGCGGCGAGCTCGCTCCTCCTCCCGCTCTCCAGCTGTCTCTCTGCTCTGCTCGACGCTCCTCTTGCTGGTTCTTGTTTCTTGGGTGCATCGCTCTGGACTGGTGTTCACTCTCGCCCACGAACCTTTGATTAATTCTCTAAGCATAACGAAGTGACATGATGCTACGTTCGCTCGCTCGTACGCGTATCCACTCATCTGTTTTGAGGACGAAGACGAGGGCTCCCGTCGTGAACGCCGCCGCACAGCGCAGGCATGTATCGCACTACAATACGGACGTCGCGGGTCTGACGGAGGACCAGGCTGAGGTGCGTTACAGGCGTCCGCGCTCAGGAGCCACTGGCAGGCTGGATACTAACCGTGCTTGTATGCAGTTCCGGAACGCCGTGCAAGAGTTCGCGGAGAAGGAGGTCGCCCCTAGGGCGGCTGAGATCGACAGAAGTAACACCTTCCCGATGGTGAGTGCATCATGCCGCGTCCCGAGTTGTGCCCCCGATGGGAATCGCGCACCCTCGCGAACATGACCACGATTTACTGCTGCTGCGGAGTCTGACCATGGCATTCTCTCCCCCTTAGGACCTATGGGAGAAGCTCGGAGACATGGGCCTCCTGGGCATAACCGCGAAGCCCGAATACGGCGGGCTCGCGCTCGGCTACTTCAACCATACGCTCGCGATGGAGGAGCTCTCGCGCGCCTCCGGCTCCGTCGCGCTCTCGTACGGCGCGCACTCCAACCTCTGCGTCAACCAGGTGCGCGCTCCCCGCACATAAGCCCCCCCCGCGCGTCACCAATTCTTATGCACGCGCGTACTAGATCCACAGGTGGGGCACGGAGGCGCAGAAGCAGAAGCACCTGCCAGACCTCATCGCGGGCAGGAAGGTCGGCAGTCTCGCGATGAGCGAGCCCGGGAGCGGGAGTGACGTGATCAGCATGGCGCTCCGCGCGGAGAAGGTCGACGGTGGCTGGCGGCTGAACGGGAACAAGTTTTGGTACGTCGCCTGCGCGCATACATTGACTTCATGGGGGAAGGTCAACGCGGAGCTGACCTTTGCGCCAGGATCACGAACGGCCCGACCGCGTCGACGCTGGTGGTATACGCCAAGTCGGCGCCGGAGAAGGGCTCGAAGGGGATCACGACGTTCATCGTCGAGCGCGGCTTCGCCGGGTTCTCGACGCACCAGAAGCTGGACAAGTTTGGGATGCGCGGGAGCGATACGTGCGAGCTCGTGTTTGAGGATTGCTTTGTGCCCGATGGTCAGTCGCCTCTGCCACTCGCCGTCGAGACTGTTCCGGATGCTCACATTGGCTGCGTACTGTAAGAGAACGTCCTTGGCCCGGTGGGCGGCGGCGCGAAGGTCCTGATGTCCGGCCTTGACCTTGAGCGACTCGTCCTGAGCGGCGGGCCGCTGGGGCTCATGCAAGCAGCGTTCGACATCGCCGTCGAGTATGTCCACGACCGGAAGCAGTTCGGCCAGCCAGTCGGCGAGTTCCAGCTCATGCAAGGTTTGTCTCGGGGTTCGCGCGTCCAAAGTTTAGTTTACTGACACGGGCGCTGTAGGGAAGATCGCGGACATGTACACGAAGCTGAACGCGTCCCGATCATACGTCTACGCGGTCGCGAAAGCCTGCGACGCGGGCAAGGTCAGCCGAAGAGTACGTCGCCCCCGTCCCCCGCCCATCTTCTTGCACTCACATATACCCTCATTAGGACTGCGCTGGCGCGATTCTCTACTCGTCGGACCGTGCCGTCGAGGTAGCACAGGATGCAATGCAGTGTCTCGGAGGGAATGGCTACATTAACGGTAAGTACACGCTGGCGCAGCCACTTATTTCCGCTCCCGTGCGGGGAAGCTCATGTCTGAAACGCCCTAGATTACCCCACCGGCCGCATTCTCCGCGATGCCCGTCTGTACACCGTGGGCGCTGGGACACAGGAGATACGGCGGATGCTCATCGGACGGGAGTTCAACGAGGAGTTCAGGCGGCGCGCGTCATGAATGCTTGATCGTTTGAACGTTTGACCGCAGGAGGTGTCGTAGCGAGACTACGACGCGGATCGTATTGTATGTATCATAGCTAACGGGATGTCTGCAAGTCTCCCTCGTGCAAGACCAGGAAATGGCGGTGCCTGGCGAAGACCAGCTGGCCAGGTCATTTGTGCGATCGCACTTTGCGTTTCATGACAGTAGGCTGAGTTTGTGGCGGCCATGTTCTCATTCGCCTGGGGGTGCCTCCCTTCTGACTACTTTTTGGGCCGGGAATAGCGGTATGTGCATGATCGACGACACGCCGGTCCGATGTGAGCATCAAAGTTGCCGGCTCGACTGCCACTGAGCCTGTCCAGCTCCAGCGTTCGCGCAACACCCACCTCATATTTGACCTGTAGGAGTTGCACTTGGTAGCCTGCAGCAGCCTCGTCCACACCTGGAGTCCCCGACGCTCGCGCCCTGAGCAGGATGACTCGGGCCGCGGCGGGCGCCAGGGACGGGGTAAACAAAGTGTCGCGGTCGGGGAGCCCAAAAGCGGCTAGCGTCGGTATCAGCCACGGCGCCGAGCGAGTGTGGGGTCGAATGATGGACGGGACGCGCATCTGCGCCGCCCAATAATTTTCTGGCGGCAGACGTCCAGAGCTCGCAGTCATTTCCCGGCCGTGCGCCGCGTAATGATCAGCCTGGCGTCGTGAATGGAATACCAGCTGACTCGTCCGCCCTGACGCTCGCCCGCTCAAAACCAGTTGCGCGCGATGGGCGCGGGGCGAGCTCCCCCTTGTCCCCGCCTGCTCTCTGCTTGCTTGTGGTCCCCGACACGCGCACCGTCGCCCAGGATGAGTGCAGAACGTGAGTCATGCGTGGAAGACCGTGCAGGCGCTGGGTGGCTGATGGTGTGTGTGCGAACACAGACAAGTCGTCTTCTTCCCTGAGCGAGGACCGCCGTGATGTCACCTCGCCAGACGTCGAGAAGCAGTACAACCTCGCGCCCTACGGGAACTCCGAGGGTGGCGACTACAAGCTGCGGTTCCCCAATATCGACGAGGCCAAGGTGGTGCGCAAGATTGACCTGCGCGTGGTCCCCGTGCTCTGTGTGCTCTACTTGCTTGCGTTCTTGGACCGGTCAGTACTTTTGCAATCACTTGCCATGACTGGAGCAGGACCAAACGTGCTTTTGTGACTGCAGAGTAAACATCTCCAATGCGGCCGTGTTTGGGCTGAAACAGGACCTAAATCTTGGAGGCAATCAGTTTAACACGGCTCTGGTCGTCTTGTGAGTTCTCCTTCCAACCTATGTAAGCAGAAACTCATGGCGCACCAGCTTTGCGCCCTACGTCCTCTTCGAAATCCCCTCCAATGCCCTCCTGAAGCATTTCAAGCCCCACGTCTGGCGTAAGTAACCCTTCGCCCTTGACCGCATACCGTACTCACTCTGCGCGCGTCCGAATAGTGTCCCTATGCATGTTCCTCTTTGGCCTCATCACGCTCCTCCAGGGCTTCGTGCAGGGCCTCAGCGGCCTAATCGCGACGCGCTTCTTCCTCGGGGTGGTCGAGTCCGGCGTCTTCCCTGCATGCTTCTACCTCATCGCGATGTGGTACAAGCGCGCGGAAGCGCAGAAGCGCTACTCGTTCTTCTTCTCATCGACCACCCTTGCGGGCGGCTTCGGTGGCCTGCTCGCGAGCGCGATCGGCAAGATGGACGGCCTGCACGGCTTCCGCGGCTGGCGCTGGATCTTCATTCTTGGTGCGTACTTGCTTGCGAGCATGTCTGGCAGATGCTGACCGGGGGATACAGAGGGCTTGGTGACGTGCCTGGCTTCGATTGTCCTGTACTTCACCATCTCGGACTTCCCCGAGGAAGTTGCGTGGTTGAGCGCTGAGGAGAAGGAGTTTGTGAAAGCGCGTCTGTACGAGGACGTCGGACATTCGAAGCGGCACGACCCGCTCACGGTGAAGAGTGTGCTCGAGGTCTTTAAGGATTGTGAGTCGTTCTCTAACTAGTCGCGTTGTACGGATGCTGACGACTATATGCAGGGAAGATCATCGTTGGCGGCTTCATGTACTTCGGTCTCATCGTGCCCGCCTACGGTTATGGTAAGACTCCTCTCCCCTACACACCTCACAGGCCCGCTCACACCTCCTTTAGCGTACTTCGCGCCCAGCATCATTCAGTCGCTCGGGAACGGCATGATCCGCACGCAGCTACTCTCCGTGCCCCCATGGGCATGCGCGTTCACGCTCGCCATGCTGACCGCGACGGTCTCGGACTGGACGCGCATGCGCTTCGTCTTCGTACTCATTCCTACCGCGATCGCGCTCGTGGGCTTTATAATCCTGCTCGTCGTGCACGACAACGCGCATCTGCAGTATGCCGCGCTCTTCCTCGCTGCGATGGGCACGTACTCTGCAATGCCAATCATCGTGTGTTGGTTCAACACGAACTGTACGTTGATTCTGCGTCCCTGTGATGTGTTGTGAACTGACGAACGTGTACAGTGGGCGGCCACCATAGACGAGCAGTCGGTACCGCATTCCAAGTCGGCTTCGGAAACAGTGCGTAGTAAATGCCTTTTCGTTGCGGACACCCTTAGGCTGACTCTGTGCTGCAGTCGGCGGAATAATCGCGGTGTTCGCGTTCCTCACCAAGGACGCGCCGAAATACATCCCGGGCTACAGCATCTGCATCGCCTTCATCTGCGTCTCCGTCCTCGCGAACACCGTCTACTTCCTTGGGGTATCGTGGGAGAACAGGCGACGCGACAAGCTGCAGGCGCAGGGCGCGTACGACCACCTGTCGCAGGACGAGAAGAAGCGCATGGGCGACCTCAACCCGGACTACCGGTACTTCCGGTAGACGTGCAAGTGGGGTTCTCAGTCCTTTCTTTGGAGGATCGCCCCTGTATGTCCCGGGCCATTCGGGGTCGGTCGTGGGCGATATAACGGTATGCATGCGCTCGGCGCAGCGCGTAATGTGTAAGATAGAGACCATACATAGGTCGATCTTCTTGTCGGAAAAGTATACCTGTAGCCTGTACATCGACGAATCCTACGATCTTGAACGATATCTACTATTCACTTCATGGCTGCCTCTATCAGTCCACCCCGGAACTTGACGATTGAGTGATACAATTACAACATGGATGTACGACAACATGGCGGTTCGCAAGATATCAATCATGTGAAGTATCGGTACTCTGGGTTCAAGTCGCCCAGCTTCTCTGTCTCTTCCACACTGAACACAGGGCTCGAGCCGTCTGCCGCCATGCGGTCTCGTCTCCGGTTCTCCGCGCGTACCGTCAGGAAGTACCCGCACCCAGATGCGATGGCGAGCATGACGAACGCGACGTTGATGCTGTACCCGGGGATGAACCGTGGCGAGTCCTTGGTGAGGAACGAGTACGCGGCGACAATCCCACCGACTGTGTGCGCGTACAAACAGTTTCGCCATTAGTACAGGCTACGGAAGTGAAAGGGAATGTACGCACTGTTTCCGAACGAGATCTGCGCGGCAGTGCCGACCGCTCTCCTGTGGTGGCTTCCCACTGTGGGCCGTCAGTCAGTCGTTTGGGGGAGAAACATGGTAACAGGGCATGGTACTGACGATTCGTCTCGAACCAGCACAGCGCGATGGGCATCGCCGAGTATATGCCCATCGGCACGATGTACAACGCGCCGTACTGCAGCTTCGTGTTGTCGTGCACGATGAGCAGAATGATGAATCCCACGAGCCCGAGCGCACAGGAGGCCACATAGAAGACGAAGCGGCGGCGGTAGTAGTCTGACGCGAAGGCGATGATCATGGTGAAGACGAATGCGCACCCGGATGGAGGGACGGAGAGTAGCTGTGTCGTGATGGTGCTGTGTCCGAAGGTCTGCACAATCGTTGGCGCGAAATAACCTAGAGATGAGGACAGAAGGGTGAGTATCGTGTGTCCCACAAGGAGGAAGGTCGCAGCGTACTGTTACTGTACGCCGGAACGATGAGCCCGAGGTACATGAACGGTCCAAAGATGATCTTGGCTGAATATGCCCCGTATTATGTCAGACGAGACAGTATGATTGAAGCAGACGAAGCACTCACGGTCCTTGAGTACAACCAGCACGCTTCTGAAAGTGAGCGGGTCCTGTCTTCTCGAGTGCCCTACGTCTTCATATAAACGTGCTTTCAGATACTCCTTCTCATCATCTGCCAACCACTTTGCGTCCTCCGGGAAGTCGGTCAGGACGAAGTACGACAGCGCGGCCACAACGACGGTGAGAATGCCCTCTGAAACAAACGGCATCAATGCGTGTACATCTGCATGACCCAGATGGAACAGTAGTAGTCGCACCTAAGATGAAGATCCACCGCCACCCGTGGAACCCCCTCACCCCGTCGAGCTTCCCGATCGCGCTCGCGAGCAGACCGCCGAAGCCGCCCGCGAGCGTCGTCGACGAGAAAAAGAACGAATAGCGCTTCTGCGCCTCCCCGCGCGTGTACCACATCGAGAGCATGTAGCAGCACCCGGGGAAGAACCCCGATTCCGCGAGGCCGAGGAAGAAGCGCGTGGCGACGAGCCCACCGAAGTTCTGCGTAAAGCCCTGCAGAATGGTGATGAGGCCGAAGAAGAACATGCATGTCGGGACTGTGGGGGCCGCCATCCATCGTGGAGGTCAGGGACTGTTTGCTCGCGCTAGTTGTGGTTCAAGAACGGACTTACGCCAGACGTGCGGTTTGAAACGCTTGAGAAAGACATTCGATGGTATTTCGAAGAGCACGTAGGGGACGAAGCTATAGCACGCGGCGACGTGCTCAGTACGAAGTCTCCACTGTGATGAACGTGGCGGGTGCTACTTACAACACCACTAGGGCCGTGTTGAATTGGTCTCCAGTAAGCCCTAGGTCTGGCTTCAAACTGAACAGCACCGCGTTGGAAACATTCACCCTGCCGCCGCCAACAACAAAATAAGCACATTCAACATGATCTGAAACCTAGCGATATAAAGCGACGACGTACCGGTCGAGAAACGCAAGGAGATACAAAATGCTGATCATCGGAATGACCCTGAAGTCGATCTTCCGCACTAGTTTCGCCTGGTTGACATTCGGGTAGCGCTCCCTGTACCCTGCGAGGCGCTCTTGGGAGTCCGCAGAGGACACATGGTCGTCGACGCTGTTCTTGCCAACGCTCGCAGTATCCACAGTCACGGCCTTCTCTGAAACGGCGCATACGGGTCAGTTTCCCATTCCCTCCCGGACTATTGGACTGCTCACCGATAATCCCGTCCATTTTGTCTGCCAGTCTGGGTAAGTACGGGGTCCCGACGGAGGTGCCTGCGCGGCTACTAGCGGTATTTTATAGGTCTTCACAAGAAGCTTCGCGCATGGGCGTTCCGCTCGCTAAACCCACCCAGCTGACCATCGCGCCCTAGCTTCTCAGCGTTTGCTGCAGGAGAATGATAGAGATGCCGCGATGCGCCCCTGACGTGCGTATGCAGATAGCGTTCGCCGTGGCGCATTTACGGCGGGCGCAGGGCACGCAGTATCGTCGCGGTCTACCACCCCTGCCAGAGTGGCCCAGAGCCTCATTTGTGTGTCAGGGCAAGGGGCATGGAAGCAGCTTCGCGGGTCCCAGCGCGGTCTTCTCTTGCAGCCCAGATCTACGCGACGGAGATTGATCACGGAGAAGAGCATGAACTTGACGGGGACCTGCGGTAGGTGAGTGAGAAGTGGTCCCCCAATAAGAGCGGTGCGCTACCCCACCTGCGTCGACGTACTGCGTGTGGACCTGCGCCGGAGCCGCGTGGGAGCGCGCCAACTGCAAGCAGGTATGCGAGGCTCGCCCGAAAGAGGCCGTGTATTCTCAGCTTCTCGGAAAAGGCACCTGGATTGTCAATCGGGGGTCAGCTGGTCCCACAGAGTGACAAGAAAAGCGACGCCCAGTGTCGCATGCGCGACTGCTGGCTTCGATGCGCAGGCCACAGGGGTCCCGAGTGGTTCGGATGGCGGAAGCAGTGACAGGCAAGGCACGCTTCAAGTGGCCGCGGTGTGGGCATCGTACACTGGGGTATGCATTTGTGACTTCTCATGATCGTTACAACATCGTCTCCAGTCCTCGCTAACAGACAGTGTTCGTCGTCTATACGTTTCCTTCGTCGTGAGGTATTCCGGGGGTGGATGGTAGCAGTCGCATCTAAGACACTAGACGAGCTGGTCGAGCTGGTGGACGCCGTCGATGCTCTTCTTGTAGCTGTGGCCGAAGGCCTGCCCGCCTTCCTTCTTCGCCTTGCGCAGCACGCGCCCGATCGCGTCCAGGCCTGTTGGAAAATGCCGTCAGCACCCTGTGCCACTCGCTGCGGACCACCAGCGCCCGCAAGATATATATAAACGCACCCTTGTCCAAGTCCTCCAATGGGGGCCCGAACGACAAACGCACGAAGTGGTGGCACGGGGAGTGGAAGAGGTTGCGGCGGTGCGCGGGGTTGATGTCGAAGAAGATGCCGGGGATGACGATCGTCTTCTCCTTCAGGAGCTCCTCGAAGAACGTGAGGCCGTTGTTCAGCGGAGCGGGAAGGCGCTCGAGGTTGAGCCAGATGTAGAACGTCGCAACGGGTGGGACGTCGACCTTGAGCCCGAGTTGCTCGAGGCGCTTCAGCACGTGATCGCGCTTGTGCTTGAAGTGCTTTTGAAGCGCGATCTTCTCCAAGAGAACGCGCTGAGGGTCGAGGAGCGGGATGGCGGCGAGCTGGAGGCTGTAAGTGAAGAGGTAAGCTGTAGTGCGGAGCGTATCAAGGAGGCGTTGTGTTCTTACGGGTGGTTAGCACCTCCATCAAGGAAGGAGCCCGACTGAGAGAGGGCAGTGATTAGGTTCTTGGGTCCAAGTACCCAGCAGACTCGCCAGCCAGGGAGACGCCAGTTCTGTACATATATATGAGCACGCGTACCACACTGACTGTATACTTGGCTGCAAACCTTAGTGAGTCCATTCACGATGACAACAGGGTCCTGGATGCATGCAGTGTAAGCAATAAGTCACCGTTGTTTACATCTTCAAAACTAACCTGGTTGACGTTGTCAATGTACTCAGCGGAAGAGACTGACCTCCCCCAGCTCTCGTTGTCCTCGGGGTACATATACCAGGAGTAGAACTGTATTGCAGAATATCAGCTTATGCGCACGATATGCGTGTCTGATACTGATTTACCTCATCCAAGATGACGGTCGCTGATGATTCGCGCGCGGTGTTGACTAGGGCTTTCAAGTCCTCGCCCTCGATCACCTGACCGGTGGGGTTACGAGGGTTCGATGCGAGGACGACTTCGAGACCCTGGGTGCGAATGTCTTTTCGAATTTGGTCCACATCCAGCTTATACTTATTTTCTGCGTCCAGACTGACTATGGTCAGACAAATTACATCAAAATGGACAATTGGGCGTACGCAGTGGGAACGGGCACGAGACGCTTGAAGGCGCTCAGAACCTGATCATATGCGGTATAGTCCGGGATTTGGTACGACTGCCTCATGCCAGTCAGATTTATGCCCGTGGATCACCGTACTCCCTACTTACGCAGTATACGTCACCGACCACGGCGGCTACACGGGAAAGACCCGCGCGACCTCCGGGGACAATGCAGACGTTCTCATAGGTGTATTGGCTGAGCTTATCTTGACGGTACTGTTGGTTGTACAGGTCGGCCACCGCCTCACGGAGCGCTGATAGTGATGGGGACTGGTCAGACACTGTATTTGCAGCATTGATGCTCCGCTAGCTGCGATGGATCAAACTTACCTTTGACACCAGTCGTGGGCGCGTACTCCAGCGAATCCTCGGGCAGGGGAATGCTCGTCGGGCGTGGGGGAGCGTCGGGGATGTGACCGACCTCAGGTGCACCTTGTCCAAGGTTGGCCCACTCGTGCGAGGACGCGTAGGAGAAGCCGTTGGCCATGGCACGGTCCGAGCAGTAGATGACACCCGTGCTACCAGGATGCTCGATACCTGGGACGGTCTCCTCGTCCGGGTTGACCATCTGGGGGAGAGCACCCGGTGCCTTGTGTCCGGCCGACTGGCGGAAGATCTGCACAGACTATAAGCATGTAGCTCTCGGAGACATGTCTGCTGAGGCGTACTCTGTGTGCCTCAGAGTCCTTCTCATTTCTGAAGTGTCTGATCACATCGTGAACCTGGACGAGAAATGTTAGAAATGCTGCAATAATATGTTGTTTGCGCGACTGACGATATCACGCAAATGCAGCGGGGTAGACCTGCCGGACCTGGATATGGGGGTGTGGGTGCCTGAGAGGGATATGGGGGTGTGGGTACCTGAGAGAGACATGGTGGTGGATGCGAAGGAGGATGCGGGGAGGGCTGTGGAGACGGAGGATATATAACGGGGCCGGTTTCTGGAATCAGGACGACATCTATCAAGTTTGTTATCCAATAAGCAGCAAGCAGGAGGCAGCGGCGTGGTCGGTCACTGGTTTGTTTAGAGCCATGGCGTCTTTGGACGATGATGGTGACCGCATCGCCTGCTATTCTTAGTTGCCGCCGGAGGGAGATGGCGACCTGGCTAGATTAGATTAGATCAGGATCGCTGTCACGCGGTGGCGTCCGGGGCGCCATTTATTCCGGAACTTAGTTCATGCTGTAGCTAGGCGCCCATAGAGTGTTCTTATACGCTCAACTCTGAATTCCTTGGCTCGCTTCCCTCCTCCTCAGAGTCATACTGCACCTCCTCATACCGCTCACGACTTCAATCATGGCTGCCCGCGTAGAATCCTCTGTTTCCCGCTTCCTCCCCGATCCCAAGGCCGTTGCTGTAAGTCCAACCTTTCCGACGTCTACGTGCTCGGCTCTGACCCATTCAGTAGATCGTTGGCTGTCCCTTCAGGTGAGCAATCAGACGTCCAGACGCGGACATGCGTTGACCTCGCTCATCGTTCTATTCTAGTGGTGGCCAGGTAAGCGTATTCGAACCCACATCAGTGGTCCGCGGCTCACATATCCGATCATAGCCCAAAGCCGGCGTGGACGGCGGACCCATTCACCTCGTAGAGGCCGGTCTGCCCGAGCAGCTCGCTGAGCTCGGATGGAAGGTCCAGTTTGACGGGCATCACCAGTTTGAAGAGCTCAACACCCAGGACGATCCCCCAATTGGCAAGCTCAAGAACCCCCGCTTGGTGTCGCGTGTCTGCAAGGCCGTCGCCGACGTTGTGGGCGACCACGCTAAAAAGGGACAGCTTCCCCTTACGCTCGGCGGCGATCATTCGCTGGTAGGTCTCTGTTACCAAACGAAGCTTCGGTGCACCTCACGTTCGGCGAGCACAGGCGATGGGTACCATCTCCGGGACCCTTCAGTATGTTTAGCTCTCTACAGCCTGCGGGCAGCGCTGTCCGTATCTTACTGACATGACGTGGCACAGAAAATACCCCGACGCTTGCGTTATCTGGGTAGACGCACACGCGGACCTCAACACCGCCGAAACCACGGACTCCGGTACGTACTCGCGCGTCCGCTATCGAAGCGCCCCGCGCTTACTCCGCCCGCCGCGTCCTCGCCGCATCCCTGCCACATAGGCAACATTCACGGCATGCCCGTCTCCTTCTTGCTCGGGCTCGGGCCGAAGATCGAGGAGTTTGCGTGGGTGCAGCCGCTCCTTAAGCCGCACCGCCTGGTGTACATCGGCCTGCGCGACGTCGACGTGGGCGAGCGCCGCCTGCTGCGCGAGAACGGTATCAAGGCGTACAGCATGCACGAGGTCGACAAGTACGGCATCGGGCGCGTCGTCGAGATGGCGCTCGACCATGTCAACCCGGGCCGCAAGCTGCCCATCCACCTGAGCTTCGACGTCGACGCGCTTGACCCGACGGTTGCGCCGTCAACTGGCACGCCCGTTCGTGGTGGCCTTACGTTCCGCGAGGGCCACTACATCTGCGAGGCTGTCTATGAGACCGGTTGCCTCGTCGCGCTGGACATCATGGTTAGTAATTTCGCGTGTTGTGTCTATGAGTAAGGTCTAATTGTGCGTGCAGGAGGTCAACCCGTCGCTTGAGGACACCGCTTCGGTCAAGCAGACCGTCGCCGTCGGGTGCTCGCTCGCGCGCGCCGCCCTTGGTATGTCGTAAAGTTCTGTCTTCGGTTCACTCATCGCTGACTATGCGTCGCAGGCGAGACCCTTCTCTGAGTCTCGCACGCCTGCTGATTTATTGGGTGTTCGGTGGACGCTAGACAGCCCTATGTATCCATTCACGGCTCCGTACTAGATGTAGCATACATTGTGTAATACGGTACAGGACGTAAGAAGTTGGGCATCAGGACAGACTAATCCATCGTAGTGTATAGCAGTAGGCAGCACGCAATGAAGTCATTTGTCAATGTACACTCCCGGGCACATGTTGAGTGGCATTTAGTAGCCGTGCATGATTAGTGCAAGACTCACATATGTCAACAGTTGAAGTGCTGCTGCATGCTGGTACTATTACCAACGTTCACTTATCGTGATTTTTTTGACCGACTTGACAGAAAGTAGACAGTGCTGAACCAAACTGCCTGCGCAGCATTATACAACGTTGCTCGTAATTTTATGCAGGTAGAGGCCTGAAGCACGCGAACAGGGAAACGTTTGTGGGCCAACGTTCACACATTCGACAAACTAGATCATTTCATACCGAGGCACGTCGAAAAAAAATTCAACTCAATAATCGTACACTAAGAGATCGTCAATAGTCATCCAGCACCACCACGCTCTCGATCGACCGTAGCAGGCTGCCCATCACCAGCTCCGGGACCGCCACGGTCGTCTCCAGCGTTTCAATCCGAACCCCAGCCGCAGCACGCGCTGCGCAGCACCTCTCCACGAGCCAAAAGTCGTCCACAGACGGCTGCTCCTCCCCACACCAAACGAATGTCAACCGCCGCAGCGACTGGCAGCGCATGCGCTTCCCGCCGTCCGCGACGACCTCCTGCGTGCTGAGCGCCGTCGCGACGTGCTGGGTGTACTTCACGTGGACCGCGAGCGTAAGACGCGTGACCGTCGGGATGGCCGAGAACAGCGGGCCGAATTGCCACTGCAAGATGCCGTCCTCCGTGAATAGCGGGATGGACAGCGAGAGGTGCGCGAGCGCGGGGAGGGGCACGGCGAGGAGGCCGGCGTGGAGGCGGGGGTGGAACTGCTGGTGGGAGTCGACGAACTTGACGCCGTAGTCGACGGTGAGGACGGGGTCGTCGGACTCGATCGTCACGCCGCGCACGAGGTCCACGAAGATGCTGGCGTCCGCTACGGAGGCGGCGATCTGGCGGAGAGACTCGCAGTTCTCGTACAGACAGGATGGGGGACGCCCCGTGAAGTGGATGTCTATCTCCGTCGTGGATGGAAATGAGATGTGAGGGAGTATCCCGAATGCGCCGGGGTCGCTCTTCTCGACGCTTAGGAGCAGCTCTTTGAGGAGCGCGAGCTCGATGGGTGGCTGCCCATGGGGGACGGTCTCGCTCTTTTGCAGAGCAGGAACACGGAGCTGCAGGACCTCCAGTTGCGGGCTGTGCTTTAGCGTGTACAACAGAGCCGGCAAAGTAGGTGCGGGCCCGGATGAGAGCTCCAAGCGAACGAGGCCCTCGAAGGGCATCCATGTTATCGCGAATTGCCTTGCGTGCAGAGTTCGCACTGTCATAAGGTTGACGTTGAGCAGTTGGTTGAAGAAACGCTTTTCGCTACCCTCGTGGCCAGCGTCCAACCACAGCTTCTGCAATCGGGGTAGCGGCGTGTCGTTGAGGGCTTCAAGGAGGATTCGTGCAGGGTCTTGGGGAAGAACGACGCCCAGTTCCAGAATACGTGTGGAGACATCGGCCAACTCGCTCGCTAAAGCTAGAAGACCGTAGACAGGGTTGGGTACGCTCGCGTTCCTGTCAATAGGAGCCGCTGGTTTGGTGAGGAGGATTGAGAGCGGGATGTCCTGAGACCGCTCAAGGAAGGCGTTCATCATCATTCTGTTCGGAAATGTCCCGGTGATGCGAATGAAGCTCCAGAGACGCGGCGAGCCAATGGCGAAAGCGCGCCACCGAGAGCAGACTGAGGACAGGACGATGGGGAGCGTCCACAACGGGAGGTTGGACTTGCGTGCGATGATGGCCGCAGCATGGCCCTTTTTTATCCTCTGAGGAATGGTACACGGGTCAGTAAGTATCGGTGTATATTGTAGAAAGACGAACATCCGGCAATGGGTCGTAAGGGACGTCATCCGACTCTCCCGGAAAGCATATCCAGCTTCGTAGCAACTCGAATACCGCATATAGCGTATCGTCCGGCAGCCTTGAGAAAGGAGACGACGCAGGTTGCCTAAGAGGACGAGAGACAGCATCCATTTCTTTCACGGCAGTGGTGTTGAGTGAGTGGCGCAGATCGTGCAGTACCAGTCAAGGTCAGGCTCAAGGTGGACCGGAGAAGAGCAGGAGAGATGGACGGAGAAGAGCCTGAGAGGCGTGCATGGCGCAGATGCTGCGACACCCAGAGATATATGTATGTTCGCGGCCCTCAGCTCCGAGCGCGGTCGGGGCAGACTAGTCTCAACTCTAAAGCGCGAACGACAAGCCTAAGCGAGCTGCTGTGCCGCTGCAGCACTCAGCACACGCCGCAGCCACATCGCCGCGGCCCGTGCTATCCGCCGCACAGTCCGTGTCCCCGACCACCACCATGTCCGTCGCTTCGCCAACCGTGCTGCCTCGCAGTCCCATATTTCCGCGCCTGCTGCCATTACCGCCGCACCCGCACCCGATCCCCCCGGCGCCGTCGATGCAGCGCCGGGAGCGGTTCATCAACTACCGCGACCTCTGGCGCGAGATGGAGGAGCTGAGCGACGAGGAGAATGCGGTCGACGACCAGGTGCGTCTGCATGCGTTCGATGTGTTTCATTGTCGTGGGTGCTAATAGGAGACGCGCCTATAGACCCTCGAAATTAAGAACAGGGGATACAGCTACCTCATTCCCATTGGCCGAACCTGGACGCAGCACGAGGAGAAGAACGATGTGAGTGCAATACCCCAGCCGGCCGCAGTGCGGCCTCATGCACGCGTGCATGCTAACCCGTCCTTGCAGGCGGAGGACGCGTCTGAGGGCTCGGAGGGCACTGAACATACTGGGGACAACAACTCGCTTATGGATGAGGACGAGAACTCGACTGAGGAGGAGGAAGAAGAGGACCAGGATCTCGATGCGGATATGGAAGACATGGACCAGCCTGCTGATGCCAGTGGCGAAATGTACCCGGAAGAACCCGACTCAGAGGAGGGGTCGTTGTCAGAAGCCAGTACGCTCGAGTGAACGTGTTATACTCGCTTTCTTGTATAAGATGTAGCACCCTATATACCGCGATCTGTAGCATATTTCTCCCACTGTAACATTCATGCCGACTGAGAGCACTATCATAACATCCGCATATGAAGCACACGATAGCAACAATGCAGTACACATGTACAAATGGGTCTACCGATCATTCCAACGAAGGGTCGAATGACAAGAACGCGGCTTTGAACGCCTGCGCGTCCTCCGTGTCCTCCTCTTCTGGCTGCGTGCACGCCTTCCAATCAAACCGATCCGCCATCCCCAGGATCGACACCAGCACCTGTCTATTCTCCATCAGTCTCAGACGCACCCCTCTGGATCTCACTAGCGACTCACCTCCCGAACTGGATGCTGAACGGCCCGCGCTCCCTGATCAAGTGCACCATCTTGCGCCCGTCGGGCAAATCGACGCGGAAGTAGCTCCCGCGCCCGCCCGCACACGCGCGCAGCGCCTCGTCCGCGTCCTCCTCCCACTCGACGCCGAGCGCGCGGCCCTCCTCGCGGAATGCGTCCTCGACCGCGTTCCGGAGCTTGCTCGGCACGGGCACGACCTGCACGTGCGCGTGTCCGCCCTTCGCGCTTATCCGCCCGACCTCGAAGCAGACTGCGACCGCGTTATGTTTGGCGTATAGCGCGCGCAGTGCGGTCTTGTACCTGTCGCAGTATGGTCAGATGGTGCAGTAACGGGAGTCGTGTGGGGGAAGAGGGGACAAAAGGTGCTTACTTCTCTGTCTCGTCGAGAATAGGATCGGCTAAGTCTGGCGGGATGGACAGGTACGTAGGGTAATGCGTGATGGGCACGATGAGGACGTGCCCGCCGCCGGGTACAGGGGGTGCGTTCGGGTGGTTCGCGCCCTGGTGTGTGGGAATGATTTGGCCCTTCGGAAGTGTCACATAGCACTCCGTCCCGATGGACACAATAAGTTGTTTGCTACGGCAGGGAAGCTGTCAGACAGGCTGCTATAAACGAGACGATCTCGACTCACGCCAGATTTGGGTTCGACAGGCAGAACCAGCACTCGTCCGCTGCGCCGTATGGTCAGCTATTGTCTTCACTGTGGAAGCGTCGCGAAGGTGTCACATACGCGCAATAGGTTTCGGCGGCGCTCGTCTCCCGCCGCCTTGGCGACCTCCTGTCTGATTGGCAACGGGACAATCTTGGATGAAGTGTAGTTCACTGCCGCATGCGCGACAGACGTATCCCTCACGGGGCTTTTTGCCGCCGGTATCGCCCACCGCATTCTTCACAGGACAGTCGCGAACAAAGTGGCCGGGCTGGGATGTGCTGCGTGAGCGACGCAAGGGGGATTGTGCGGGCACCCACATACCTCGTTGCAGACGCGGCAGATGTATCCCTCGTGCGGCTTCTCCCGGTCAGGACATTCGGATATGAAATGCTATCAATGGACGTGAGCGAACCGTAGGTTATGGCACGGATTTTGGTAACTCACCTCGGCGGATTCACATATTTTGCATTTGTAACCTGGTGGTGGCTTGTCGGATGGCCCATCTACAGATCACCACAACGAAAAAGGTCAGGCATGGTGCGTATACTTGGATATTATCACGCACCCGTCCGACTCCGCTTCCCAGGCTGTTGCTGGTTACCCCACCGATAATCGTCGCCAGAATCCATAGCAAGCGCACGCTTCGGCGCGCGGTGCAAAAACGGGTTCTGCGTCGCATTTGCGGGTTTTGGCGGCGGTTCGCTCGTCGGCGACAGCGGCGCTATCGAAAACGCGTAGAACCACTGCAACGCAACGGCGTCAGCTGAACGTCCACCCACCTCCGTGCCCGCATGCGGCCGTCAGCTAGAGCTGCTCACGCACCCGCTGCTTCTTCCCGGATGGCTGCTCGCCGCCGAACGCGCCGAGACTGACGAACCTGCTGACGCGCCCGTTCTCGTCCTCCCACAGGAACGGCTCCCGCTCCCAGAACCTGGGCGGATGGCCGCCCCCGGCGGCGAAGTGGTACCGTGGCTTGGTCTTTCGCACCACCTCGCCGACGGGTTCTACGCCGATAGCAGATAGCTCCGGTGCGGGGAGCGGTGCAGAGGAGAGATGGGCGATTCCAGCGGGCCACGCGTTAGTGATGAGGATGTCCACGAGCTGGGAGGGGGTGGTTGCGGATGCGATGGAAGCGAGGGATGTATAGTTTCGTTCTTGCGGTTTGGAGCTGGTCATCGTGTTGGCAAGTAGTTTCTCGACATTTTGCGACGTGAAGTAGGGCGAGGTAAACCCCTTGAAGAATTGTTAGACGAATGCGTGCTTCGAGACCGAGGTAAGACGTACATGGGCAGTTTCAGACGCCGTATATAAATTGGAGTCGTACACACCGCCCAAGCAGGCGATACGGATTCCTTGCGCCGTGCTCAACACCCCGGACTTGTCTATGCACCTCATGCTTTAGCAGTCGACAGTATGACCTATGCACAGACTCACGGAGGAGGAAGACATTCTGGCTCAACACACCGCCCGTCTTCGCGAACTTCTCAATGACTGGGGGCGGCAAGGGGTGTTCGCCCTGCATGACGTAGCATTCCATAGGAGCTGCAACATTATACTTTGAGTGCTGGGTACATGAATAGACAGACGAGCAGCGCGACCTTCCAGTTTCCCCTCCAGCAGCTGTATAAGTTCATGGTCCTCCGTGTAGTCTTGCGTGGCGTCTTTTGGCGCGCCGAAGAAGTCTCCTACACAGATGGCGAAGTCGAACTTGCCGTGCTTCGCGTCAATGGCTTTGATTTTGGCGAAAAGTTCTTTGATGCAGCCGACGGCTGACCCAACGGTAAGACTTGATGAATATGAGCATCACATACTGTTGTTATAGAGTAAATAGTACTCACACTTTCACCGGTGAGGACATGGCTGCGACTGCCGCGATGGGTGGCTGAGAATGGCAAGGTTTCGCGACTCTCCTGGTGAGCTAGTGTTGCAAGCAATGCGAGTGAGCCAGACAATTGCGAATGGTGAAGCAGATCCTAACAGCTTCCAATGCAAGAGATTTAGAGAAGCAGGAGCTGCCTGAGTATATGCTGCAGCTGCCGGAGTGGAGGCGTCGGGGAGGAGGTATGACGCAAAACGCGACTCGTGCGCCCGTTTTCGACGCGTCTTGCCGATTGCCGCCGGCGCACAGCTGTGTGGCTTTGCGTCTTCTTTCACTACCACCACTTGGCCACTTGACTATCACCAGGACGTGCGTGGCTACGCACGACACAGACTGTAGCCTACATCGACTGTAGCCTACATCCACTTCAGACTCCCGCTTGCGCACCAGCGGAGTGCTTAAACAAATGCGCCTTACTTGCGGAACACCTGTTGGGACGGACCGGCCGGTAAGAAAGTCCTGAGGGTCACTCTATATCACTGGCGTATATCTGCTGCTTCCGGGCCTGACTTTGGGATGAGTAAGGGTACGCTCACGCCCTGAACTTCATGTAATTACTTCTGACATTCACTTATAATTTTGACGACAGGCCTCCCGAAGAGGACATGGATACCTTGTGCATAGTCATCATATGCCTGCGCCGACATTCCTCCAGGGTGGGCTACTCGGCAACTACTTCGAGAACTTCTGGGCATGCTCTTCCGTTGTCTGGGCGCGTATTCTGATCCTGGTTGACCACGCGGTACCTTGACACCCAAATGATACCGAAACCGGCTTGCTGCGTTCTGGTTCTGCTAAGCCTGTGACATTTTGGGGGACCCTCAACTCTGGGAACTGCAGCCTAAATTTGAGTGCTTACCGACCAGCCTCCATCGCACGGAACATCTCGTTCCTGAAGCCGAGGTGATGCTTGTAGCCAGTAAATTAATCCCACCCTTTCCTACCTTCAGCGGATGAAGCAGCTGTTGTAATTGAGGCTGTTTCACGATCAGCCTACAGGTATGTGGCCCACCCTGTGTTTTGCCACAAGCACTGACGTGCCATTCTCATATCCCTTGTCCTGCAGTTATGTTCATTTCCGAACAACATATCTCGTGCCCACCCAGGCACCGAGCTCAGGACCCGGTATGCACGGCGGTCATTCCGATTAGACAGCCTCGGTCCGCATCCTTGTATAAGCTGCAAGTGCGTCAATCCCAGGCACCCAGCGTTCATTGCCATAATTAACAACACCGCATCAGTAGAACCTTGTATCTTCAGCGCCGGGCTCCGTTCCCCACATTCTTCCAAACAGAACGGCTGTGCATGTCGGCAGCTTGCGTGCACACGAGCTCCGCCATGCTGGTGCACCCGAATGCCGCCGGCCTGCGTTCCGAACGATTGTCTTTCCATTTGGCTGTGAGAAGCCGAATGGGTTCTCGATGGCCTCGATCACACAATCGCGGGTACTGTGGTCGGCAGTGACGACAGGTCTTGCGGGTGCAATGTACGCTCGACACATTCAGGTATGGTGAGCTCTCCTTGGGATCGCAGCAGGGAGGACCTTGAGGTACCTGGGTCCAATTCTATGCCGCTGCTGTAAACAGGTACGAGAACATCAATCTTTTGTACGCCGTATCTGGGACTTGTGATGATATTTCGATTTGGCTGTGTTTGTACTATAGAGGCCGCGCCCGCGACGAGCGGCAGTGCAGCACGCCGTGCAAACGCAAGTCCGAAGATTAAGCCGCGCGGTGTCGAGCATCCTGATCGCGATCGTGCCTATTCACGACAGGCACGCCAAGAAGAAGAGATGCTCTCCAGGTACGAGCGACGGCGGGGGATGGACGAGCGGATGGGGACTCCCAATCGTAGTACAAGGGAATTACCGCGAAAGGCAAGCGAGCGGATGATTTCCCACAAGGAAGCACAAGCGCCCGTATCACCATCTGGCCCGCGGACGTCTGCATGCCGGGCATTGTTCTTCATGCAGTCAAAATGCTCAGCCCGCTCGGGCATCTCACACACTTCTGTTCCTTACCGTCATCCTCAGCCCCCCTGTCCGTTCCGTTTCTAGAGTCCCACCTTCCCTCAAGGCCGCGAACAGGGTCGGCCACCACGCCCATATAAACCCTCTGTTCCTCGCCTCGGGATCTCAGGCAGTTTCCCTTCGCCCTCCTAGACTTCGGACTCATCCAACCCGGCATCCTCTCGCCTCTCGTACAGCATAGACATGGTTGGCTTTCAGTCCCTGGTCGTTCCCCTGCTTCTCGCATCTTGGGCGGTAGCGCATCCCGTCCCCATCGCCTTCCCGCCTTACCGCTGGAAGACCGAGCTCTGCAAGCTCTCCCCCCGGATTTCGCAGGTGCTGTGTCCGCGCGACAGCGCTGCGAACGCCGCGACCGTCAGCACCCCCATCGGCACTGCGCAGGGGACCGCGGACGACGCTGGGGCCACGCGCTTCGCCGTCAAATACGCGTCTGTAACACGTTGGCAGCCCTCCGCACTGGCCACCAAGTGGGAGCTCCCGTGAGTACCGGTGTGGTACTTCCCCGCGATGGACCATGCGCTGACAGGGTTCTTGACAGCAACGGGTCATCGGACGTCACCGCCCTTCCCGTCCCATGTGCTCAGCTGAGCGGCAGCTCGATCGTGGGCGTGGAGGATTGCTTGTCCATGATTCTCTACGTCCCTTCGACGGTCACTGCGGGCAGCGACGCCCCCACCTTCATGTGGTAAGTATTCCTGCCAGTATGCCCATTTCCGCACCTCCTAACTTGCATGCAGGATCCACGGCGGCTCCTTCGTGACCGGCTCTGCAACTGATGCCGGCCTCGACGGTTCCAAGCTCGCGGCGGCGACCAACTCGATTGTTGCGGTTATCCAGTACCGTCTTGGTGCAGTAAGTCAACAAGTTAGCTGTACAGTACGATCCCCGGTCTAACAGCGCCCTAGCTTGGATTCCTTGCACCCTCCGGCGCGCACAACCTTGCGGTAGCGGATGTGATGACCGCTCTCTCATTCCTGCAAAAGGTTGTTCCTAGCTTCGGCGGTTCTGCCTCCAAGATCACGGTCGCTGGCCAAAGCTCCGGCGCGAACATGATCAGGGCCCTTCTGGCTGTTCCTTCCGCCGACTCCCTGTTCCAGCAGGCGATTTTGCAGTCCGACCCGATGGTGAGATGCTCGATGAATATCAACACCGTCCCCAACTGACCAGATTCGTAGGACTTCGGCTTCCTGTCTACGAGCGTGCACCAGGATCTTTTGGACGCTTACATGGACAACGTGAACTGCACAGCTAGCAACACGGCTTGTGTTGGCGCGCTCTCCTTGAGCACTATCTTGAACGGTCAGGCCACACTCCTCGATCAGGCGGTCAACGGCGACCTCGACGAAGCCGCTGGATCCTCGGAGCCTATCCGTCCCGTCCGTGGCAACGTGCTCATCACATCGACCCTTGATTCGACCGCGCCCTTCCCCAAGGTCTCGAAGCCCGTTATCGTCTCTACCGTGCGCAACGAGGCGGGTCCGACGATCTACGGCGGGTTCCCCGACACCGTCAACGACTCCTTCTACGAGCAACTCGTCTCGTTCACCTTCGGCACCCCGCGCACGGACCGCATTCTGGACACTGCTGTCTACGCCGTGTCGCCTGCTGTTGATGGTGTGGACACCGACCAGCGCCCCACGCTGGAGGCGCTCGGCACGGACCAAATTTGGCGCTGCGCGTCCTGGCAGTTCGCCCGGAACTGGGTCGGCAACGGCGGAAAGGCGTACGTTGGAGAGTACATGGTCGGTGCGACGTACCCCGGCAACGATGAAGTTCCGTTTTGCAAGAGTGGCGGCGCAGTGTGCCACCAGGATGACATCGAGATTGTCGTAAGTCACCTCGCTGCCCACTCTCTTTCGTTTCAAGATGTTCACATACTCTCTGTAGTTTGGCACTGTGCCCAGCCCGACCACCTCGCAGACGGCCCTGATCAAGGAAATGCAGGCGCGCTACAGCAACTTCCTCCACACCGGCGACCCGAACGCGAGCGGCTTCGCGAAGTGGAACGTCGCGGGCACAGACAACGTGAACGCGATCAACCTCGGTGCCTCCGGCCTGGCCACCGTCGGCGCGTGCAACACCAGCTACTGGGGCACCTTCGTCCAGTTCGACTACCAGGTGTTCAACCTCTAACGCCGCCCCGCCTTCGGTCCACCTCCCCCATGGCACCCACCCCTTCTTCCGGCCCCCACTATTCCCATTGTCCCCATATAGTTCTCTCTCCGGGTTTTGAGCGTTGACGATCTTGGCAACGACGGTTACGCATTACCACACCTTCTAATCTTGGCTCCCCACCCCCACCTAATTAATTCGCGACTCTACTACTCGCGCCTTCCCGGCTTTGTATTCACAGACGACCTCTTTCCTCATTCATGAACTTTCACCTTCACCGCTCTCCGCATATTTATCTTGCTTTGTTTTTGGCTTACCGCCGCCCCCGTGTATCCATAATGACCCCCCTCCTACGCCGCGACTCGCGTCGCCGTACGATCTGTAGCCCCCATACCACGTTTCGCCAGCTCTGTCTGGCACTCACCTTGTAGCCTTGCTTGAAATGCATGTCCTTGTTCTGTTCCCATCTGTGCGAAGCCGTTGTCGTGTGCCCCCTACCCAAGTCGCCTGACGCTGTGTTCATGTCCACTGATCGTCGTCGGCGTAGTTTATGCGGAATAAACAACCTAAGATACGGAATACAAGGGCAGGGGTATGTTGGCAACCGGGGCGCCGAAGTATCTACATAAGGGTTCTCTATACAGTTCAGCTGCGCGACATGTGTTGCAGAACGTTCTGTATAAAAACAACCGGGGTTCCCAGCATGCAACGCGTCGGACGTCCTGTGCAACGTGATGTGCTGCGATCCAAGCAAGTGATATAAAATACAACGCCTCCGCTGCAGCGCTACAACTTCGCAGGTTTCGAGAACGCGTGTGCCTCGATTTCGGAGAATACATCGAAGTTGCGGTCCAATGCAAGGCCAACAGCAGCCTGAGTGATAAACCATCGTCAGAAAACAGACACAAAGGGCGAACCATCAGTGCAGAAACACGTACCCCCGCAGGCCCAAACCAGACCTTGCTGCGATGCAGCCTCCCAGGCGACCCCCCACGCGTCTCGTCCCCCTCATAAGTCAACACCTGATACCCCTCCTTCTTCGCATCATGCCCGGGCAGCGGCCGCGGATTGAGCACCATGCTCCCAAACTGCCCCTCCGCGAGCGTGCGCACGCGGGCGCGCTGGTCGGCGGTGTTCTGCGTGCCCTCCAGAACGGTGGCGAGCGTAGTGAGGAGATAAAACTGCGGGGGGAAGAGCGAGATCTGCTTCGCGGCGAACTCGGCGAGCGCGCGCTGCGGGTGCACGAAGCGCGCGGCGACGACCTCCTGCCCGCCGTCGGGCGTCGGGAGGCGCTCCTGCTTGTCGCCGTGTGAGAAGCCGGCGGCGCGGGTGTCGTCGAGGAAGGCGAGGTAGAACTGTGTGTGGAATCGCCTGCAGGCCAGGTCAGAAAGAAGGATCTCAGCGTACTAGTACTTGCATACTGAGGCTGCGCGCCTCGGAAAAGACTCGCCTGGGGATACTGGGAGGGGTGATCCATTGGGTGAAGGGCAGGAGACTCTCGGTGTTGATCCGCAGGTCGTACTGCGCCAGGAAGTCGCTGAACATGCGTTTCTGGGTGTGGATGTCTTCGCGGGCGGCGTCCAGCTCGGCGTCGTTAGGGAACTTCCCGGTCGACGGGTGGACGAGAAGGAGCCCAGATTCCTCGAACAGCTCCCGAATGGCGGTATACGGCAGCCCGTGCGGGCCATCTTGCTTTTCGTCGTAGTTCCCACCAGGGAACACCTGTGAGACAAGGTCAGCATGACGCGCTTTCTGCAGAGTCTCTAGTGAGAGCGTACGTGTGCGTTCGCGAACGAGTTTGACTTCGGGTTCCGGTGGACGAGCAGAATCTCGTTCTGCGAGTTCACGACGACCACGCTGGCGGACGGTCGAGGAATTGCAGGCGTCGGACGTGCTTTCGCACTCCCCTGTTTCCCCTGAGATGGTGGCATGTCGTGCATGAATCGACGAAGTACTAGTCCTATTTCAAGCCTGCCGTTAGTGAGCAATCGCGTGTTGGCCGTGCTGATGCAGGTCTTCCGGACAGAGTGCTGCAGTTGGATGAAAGAGCTTGACACCAGCACGCTCATCAGATGGGCTCAGGTCAGCACAGGGCAATATGTAAACGCGGGGTGAACCACGATATTCTGGGCTGACCGGCTACTAACGTACCTGTACATCCGTAAGCAGTCTGTCACAAGCCAAAGCACCTTGCAGGATCGGACGACGAATCTCGTGGCTGCGGGGAGAGGGGTGCCTCGTGATCCACCCCCATGGTACGACTCCTGATCCGGACATGTTGAGACATCCTGTGCAGTCGGCGCTACGTCTCGGAGGTGGCTTACCGTGATCGCGAAAAGCACTGTAAGAGCCCCACGCCGTCGACTGTCATAGTAGAGACAACTACGCGAATGAGCACGGATTAGCAGAGTATGGGCTAACAAGGACTACTCGCAATTCCTGTTCGATATTCAACAGCGTACATCGTCAATCATGCTACGCGACTCAGCGCGTGCAGTCATCAATCTAACCTACATACAACGAAAGCAGGGGAAGAGTCGATATGAAGCCCAGGGACATGCGTGTGTGTGGGTGCGTCAGTCTGTATGTGCCGGGTCCGGGCGAGCTATGAGCAACCGAGTGGAGTCCAGGATCCGCGGGACGAGAGGTCATTCAAAAAACTGTGAGGGCAAAGACTTCAGGACTTCTTTCCATTTCTGATTAGGCGGGTCAAAGGTTCAGCATTTGCTAGCCGTCAACAGTAGGAGGACACCTACAGAATGTTTCGCCTTGCGGAAATCTGGGCAAGTCTCTGCTAGATGTAGAAGGTACCGGGTGAGCTTGGGGAGCTCCTTATCCTCCATGGCCGCTGGGGTATGTGCGTGCTTGAACGCGGATATCTTCAGGCCTTCTCCCGGGTTGAGCGCGAAGTTTCTTCCCTGCACAGGATAAAATCGAACAACAAAGCGCAAGTTATGGTCTAGTAGGTGAACGCAAGCGGTCTGACAATACGAGCACTTACTAGGTCGTCAATATGTATGGTATTCGCAGGGCCGCTGTGTGGTTAAATTGAGCTTGGGAGAAGTGAACGTTCAGCTCGGTGCTGCACATACTACTGTGGATAGTGATTCCAGATAATTTGGAGCGCTTTGACGGAATGCTTGTATGGTTGACCATCCTTCTTCGAGAACACCGTGAACATACATGTCTTGTCCAAGACTACGCCACGCCACCAGGTTCAGCTAGGGTCTGTAAGTGAACTTGGTACCTAATACTCACCGAACGCGATCTAGAAATCCCACTCAACTTCCGCTATGTCATATCTGACGGAGGAGTAGACCACGCACCCTGTAATTCCTAATGCCGCCCAGCATGCCGAGCTCAACCAGTTTTGTTTCCAACCAAATCCAGCTCGTCTGAGACCTGAGAGCACATCAGTTCGTCTGGGCCCATCGCTCCGGAAAGCAGGCTTACCAGATACAGATGTCATAGTGAGGGTATACCGCTTCCAAAAACTCGTGCAGACCAGGGCGCGCGCATTCATTCGGGGGCAACGCGCCGGAGGTGAGCGGTTTCGTATCGAGGATAGCTTTGCCTCCGCGTTAGCTACGGCCGCCTGGCAACCCGCATGCACACCCACTGTAGTCTATGTCCAGCACGAGCAGCCGCTTTCCTTCGCGGAGGGGGTTGATGAGGTTCGGGACTAGCTTCTTTGTATGCTGCTCCACCCGGCGTTTGTTGCGCTGGTCGTTGATGTATTCCGCTGCAGCAGCGGGGTCCGCGGTGAAGTCCACGTCGAGGTCGTTGATGACGTCGGGCAGGAATTCGAGCTCTGTGGCGCATGTGTATGTGTTCGTAGCAACGCGTTGGTGCACTCACCATTGGGGTCTTTGATCTCGTGCCCTTCTGGTGTGCCTACAAGCGTGAACTTCTTGCCACTCAGCAGTTTCAGGTCTCCGCTGATAAAGCACATATAAATCGACCGTGTCAATAAAAGAGAAGAGCACATACATTCGCTCATCGTCGGTAGGAAGCTTCCCCTTCACCAAACCTAGGATCTTCTGCCGTTCGGGAGGAACATTTGTGAGACTCATAAGAGATGCCTTGAGGTCATACACGCTACGGCGCAATCATCACTGTCAGTCCCAAGATGCTACAATTGTACATCAAGCCGAAGGGAAGACGTACCGATCCGATTCAGCAATGTCCAAGGTGAAGGGTTTCCCCGTCCAACTGAATTGCAGGTGGATCCATCGCTCGGCTTCCGGAGCAACTTCAACGGGGTCCACCTGGAGGACTGCTCAGATCGAGTAAGCGCAAGTAGAGTTCGAAGAACGAACCTCAGCTGTGACGACCGTCGCTCGCTCTAAGGGCAGGGTCTGCACTGTCTGCGCGCCGCTAGTGCTCATGTTCGTTTGAACGTCGAAGTCGTATGCACGAGATAGTCTTATTGTCTGATCGCGTAGAATTCCGTTGGTTTCAGAGTCAGAATAATGATGATCTAGCCTGGTATATGCGGAGAAAAAGAGTTTACGGAAGCTAGACAAGTCGCAGAGGATGTGTTCGTAGAGATCGGAGGGAGAGAGCAGGTTGTGGCGCTGGGGAACGCGTCCATAGATCTTAGATTCATGCGCAGACGCCCATAAAGCGTTAACTCTGTTTCTGGCCGTCATCGGCATGCACGTCTCCACAGCACGCAGCCTCTTGCACATAGACAAGTTGAGTGCTTTCCTCTGAGTATGTCTGCGTACAACTTGCGTGCTAACGAGAAAACGTCGTACAGCTGGGTTATCCTCGCTCATGGGAGGGGGAAAACATGGGTTTTTCCATGCTCAGCGTCCCAGAACCTACACCGCTAACATGGGGCAACGCAGCAAGGGCACACCTCTACTTCCTACCCTACTTCTTTCTGGCGTATCTAACTCGCAGACCCAGAACCTTCATATTGAGGCTATGTCTTCTACCGCTGGTCGTACTGTTGATCACCCATTGCACCATGCAGTACCGGATCGAGAACCCCATATACGGCTGGTATAACTGGGGGAGAGGTAATTTCGAGATATAACCAACTGGAGTGATGAGTCTGATTGATCTTGGCTACAGGGCTCGCTGGCTGTCTCACAATTGCGAGGGCCATCCACTTGGCAGTGGTACCAGCGGGCACACTTAAAATCGGCGAACAAAGTCTTCACGACAGACGCTTCCCGCCTCACAGCGACAACGCTGTAACCTCCCCTTCAGCCTTGCGGAAATACCTCCCACCTTGCATATACGACGCGCTCGAAGTCGGCCTCACCGTCCGCGGTCTGGGATGGCAATTCGCTGAAGGCGCCTATTACCGCGCCCTCGTCGCTCGTCAGAGCGCAGCGCATACCTGAAACAAACATCCCTCACAGTCCTTCGGACCTTCTTCTTTGCGGACCTCTGCGACTCGTTCATCGAACTTCTGCCAGGCGTCACAATAGACGGCGGTTCCATCTTTCTCCCCATGCTCCCTCCCGTCCCTCGATACCTCTTGTCTACCGCAATCCAATTCATCGTCGGTATCTTCATCATCCTCACCCTCGAAATGGTATACGACATCTTCTCCTTGATTGGCGTCGGCCTCCTCAACCAGCCGCCCGCCCTGTGGCCCCCCGTACACGACAAGCCCTGGCACATGTCTTCGCTCCACGAATTCTGGTCCAAGCCCTGGCACCAGATCTTGCGGAGTGTCTTCCTCGTCATGGGTGGATATCCGGGACGCTGGATTGCGGGGGACGTGGGCATGCTCTTCGGCACGTTTCTCGCGTCCGGCTTGTACCACGAAGTCAGTCTCTGCATGGGTGGGGCGCCGTTCGATATGAGGGTGCTTGTGTTCTTCGTGGCACAAGCGTTCGGGATACTCGTAGAGAAGGTCTTCAGGCGCATTACGGGCAAGAGGGTGGGCGGGTGGACGGGATGGCTATGGGGCGCAATATTCCTCTTGGGCATTGGACAGCTCTGCAGTAAGCTTTGCTTTACTTCGGTGCATAACCCCAATTCTTACCTGGCTATAGCGGACGCCTGGGTCGCGCGAGGCGGAGGCGGCCGTCCTATGTGGCCCCCAGCTTGGAGCCCGGCGAGGCGGTTGCTCATCCCTGCTCTGCGCAGTATCGCCGCGGGGCTCTGAGTGATATATTTCCTGCATAAACGTAGAATCGGCGTCTTGTTGTACATATGTATGTATTGGTACTACTTGCCTACCTTACATGAGCCGTCGCTACCACTGTGCATGGTTCCTGGTCCTGGATGCCAGGCACGAGAGCAAGTACGGCAAGCGCCGACGGATCGACGCGTTGAGCGCGAGAACGCCGGCCTTCACTGCGACCTGTGCTCGCGTCCAACGCCAGCTGCCCGCATTACACACTCAGCTCCTCCACACACCACTGAGCTGACAGTCCAGGGATCCCTACCTAAGTCTGACAACTCACCATGTTCGCGGCAGCCTCGTCTTTCTTCGCGCGGACGAACATCTCCCAGTCATATAACATCGGGACTGCGACTAACGGCAGCAGGACATCTACACCTGGGCCAGCAGGATCGTCCAATGCTGCGCTCCCCGCGGCGGCTCTTCCGTCACCATTCAACGTTGGCCCATGGCGCGTGCAGTCCGCTACGCACAAGGTGACCGGCAAGCGCGTCTCGGTATGGAGTGCGGACAAGAGGAGTGCGGACATGGAACGTATGGGGCCCGCGTCAAAGGAGAGGACACTGGAGGTACTGAAGAGCGAGGTATGTCCGTGAACGTGGTTGTCTGAAGGTTACGGTCGCCAACATGACCGATCGACCGCCAGGCCTCTGCACTGAGCCGGCTTCGACACCCCTCCATTCTAGGTGAGGATAGCCAACTACCGGAATGACGTACCGTTGTCTCACACCCAGTACCTGAACTCTAGAGATGGTAGAACCGCTCGAGGAGACTCGGAATGAGCTCATATTCGCGACGGAGCCTGTTCTGTCCTCTCTACAACTATCCATACCTGGCTCGTTGCAGTACTCGCCCCTGGTCGAGCTGGATGAAGTCGAAGTAAGTCTTGCAACGTGCCATGTATCGATATTCAGAGTCAATAAACGCGCTCCGTTGTAGATCCAGAAGGGCGTCCTGCAACTCTGCAAAGGCCTCTCTTTCCTCCACACATCCGCCCGTATTGTTCACTCGAACATCAACCCCGAAAGCGTTGTAATCAACAGTGCTGTCAGTAGTTCCATGTATGAGCTTGGGGTACGCACTGACCTCGCTTGCCGCAGGGTGACTGGAAACTATCGGGGCTCGGTCTCACGATACCTCTGTCTAAACCCGACGGAGGACCTACACGATGGGAGTTCCCCACCTTCGACGGACATGCCCTGACCTACACTCAGCGCTCGTTTGATTACATGGGTATGCATACTGTCGCGGTCGCGTACAGCTTCACTGAACTGTCAAATAGCTCCCGAGTATGCACTGGATGAAGTGCTCGATCCGGCCTCGGACATGTACTCTCTCGGTTGCCTGATATACGCAGTCCACTGCAAGGGTAATCCACCATTCAAGAACCATGGCAGCCTCAGCTCCCTGCGGGTGAACGCAGGAAAGCCGTTAACCGGCATGGAACGCCTGGAACAGGACCTCAGAGGTCAGCGCGCCCTATTGCGTTTTTCGGCTCGCTTGGAGATCTGACCATACGCGTTTGTAGCACTTCTTAATGCCCTCATCAGTCGGCAACCACATAGCAGACCTAGCCCATCTGACCTGCCTCTGCACCCATTCTTCTCGTCATTGGTTGTGTCGACGCTCAACTTCCTCGACCGCTCGAACTTCGCCGCAAAGACGCGCGAGGAGAAGATCTCGTTCATGAAGGGCCTGACCAGCGTCCTGGACAAGTTCTCGGAGGGCCTCCGCACGCGCAAGATTCTACCCTCTCTCCTTGAGGAGGTAAGAACGCGCCCTGCGCTTGCAGGCATGCCTCTTGCTGACACCAGCGCAGATGAAAGATACCCATCTGCTGCCATATATCCTGCCGAACATCTTCGCCATCTCGCAAATACTGTCCTCGACACAGTTCGCGGCGCTGGTGCTGCCTAGCCTCAAGCCCCTGTTCGCGATCAAGGAGCCCCCACAGAACATGTTGACGCTGTTGGATAACCTACAGATGCTTCAGGACAAGACGGAGAAGCCTGTGTTCAGAGAGCGTATGTATTTCTAGAGTGCGTAGTCTGAAGTCAGGACTGACACCTTCAAACAGACGTCCTGCCTTTAGTGTATAATGCTTTGGAGTCCGAGCACGCGATTGTGAGTGCGAATCGTGGTCGTCTGGCAACGTGCTAAAAGTTGTCCAGGTACAAGAACGTGCCTTGAAGGCTGTACCAAGCTTGTGTGAAAGTATCGACTACGCAGAAGTGCAGGGTGTGCTGTTCCCCCGCGTAGCGGTACGTCAACGTGTGGTCGATTCCGACCGCATGATGCTCAGATATACGCACACCAGCTTGTATTCACCAAAACCCGCGTACTGTCTGTCAAAGTCGCCACGCTGGAAACGTTCTTCTCGATGGTCAAGACGCTCGATCAGGTGAGTGATCCCTCGCTAAACGTACTCGATGCAACGCTCTTACACTACCCGTATAGTCGAGCTTGACGCAGAAGCTGGTTCCGTTGTTGTCGAAGATTCGGACAAAAGAACCAGCAGTGACTGTAAGTCTCCTGAGCACATTGCAATGACCGTGAACGCTCAGTAGAGGCGCCTGTCCAGATGGCCACCCTGAATGTCCAGGAGGCAATGGGGATGAAGGTCGATCGCGAGGCCGTCGCGACTCTGGTTCTTCCTCAACTATGGGCGATGTCTATGGGACCATGTCAGTACTTTTTGCGACGTACAATCGACCACGTCTGTCAGCAGTGACTGACCTTCGATCGACAGTGTTGACGGTGTCACAGTTCAAACGGTTCATGGAGGTCATCAAGAAGTTGGGAGATCGAGTGGAGCGCGAGCACGACCAGTACCTACGAGACTCCCAGCGAGTGGAAGATCGCTCGGGGTCGACGATGAACGGCACGACTAGCCACGTTACTGCAGGCGGCGGCGTTGACTTCGAGAGCCTCGTGGCGAACGGGACCGGCGCGCCAGCCAAGCCAAGCTCAACGCCCGAGAACCCGAGTAGCTGGGAAGACGATGTTTGGGGTAGCATCTTCACAAGCGGGCCTACGGTACGAGCGTTCATCTCGAGGCCTGGCAAGTACTAACTGTCTGAATAGTCTCCCGCTGCACAGAGTCCATCTTTCTCTCCTCCCCCCATAGCACCACAGACACAGCGAGCACCATTTCCGCCTCCCATCCCGGCGCAGCCGCAATCGCTACCATCATCCCCCAAGATCTCGAGTGCGCTCAACCCTACCGCTTCGCGGCCTTCCCTAGCGAGCAGGAATGCATCGGGGTTGGGATTGGGTGCGACGCGTCTCACGCCCAGTTCTTTCAACGCCTCCATCTTCCCGCCGGATCCCGCGCCAAGCTTCGGGGCGCCACCACGAGCTCAAGTGTCGACGCCGGTCATGGCCCCCTCACAGCCGACGTTCTCGTCGTTCGCGGCCACCAGCACCCCACCAGCCCCAGCAGCGTACAACGCAGCTCCAAACTACAACATCACCCTACCAACATCCCCGCCGCTCCAACCCACAACGTCAGCCGCTCCCCCTCCACCCTTCTTCGCTGCCCAGATGTCCATGAACAGCGTGCTTGCGCCGTCCAAGCCCGCGCAACCGCAATGGCCAGGGACCACAGGGACGACAAAACAGCTCTCGAAGGACGACTGGGGCGACTTCGACCCGCTGGCGTAAATTATTGCGTGCGACGTACAGCTAGTACTATATCGATATACTCTAGAGCTCCGGTCCAGGAGGAATGTATCTATGCGGGTTCGACTTCTACGCCCTCTGTGGCACGCACGCTTACCGCTTCGACGACAGTATCGTGTACGTGCGTGTGTGCAATGTCTTCAGGTTCGTGCTGCAGGAGGTCGACGTCGATGGGGCGGCCGAGCAGGGCCTTGAGGACGATGAGGGCGCCTGTTTTGGACGATACTACATTGCCTTCTTTGCAGGCGGGACTATCGACGCCTGTGACGAATGACTCCCCTCAGCTCAAGTACGACGGACAAGGTAGGGTGTAACGTACATGAGGTGCACCCGTCTTCGCACTCGCATGCTTCGACGCGGTCGTGGGCGTCGCGTAACACATCGTTCACTGTGGGAAATGAGCTTCTTGTACGATTGCTACGAGAATGGGCGCACCATGATCGAAGGCTTTGACTGCTACACCCCCTGTCTTACCCGCCGGTTCGTAGAAAATAAGCCTGAGAGGTGAAGCTCAACGTAAGCCATCGACTTGTATTCGCGTGCCGAGTATACGCACCTAGCTGGCCTCTTTCGCTGCGAAGGGGCAGCTTTGTACTCCTTCTCTGGGGGCTTGCATTCTGTCTTCAGATCTATGGACAGTGCGAAACGGTTGAGGAATGCGTGTTGTGCAGAGTGAATCGCTTCAGCGGGATTCACTCCGGAAGCGCGCATGAGATCCAGGGCGGGCTTGGGTACGTCGAGCCACATCCCTGTCGTCTCCCGCTGCCACGGAGGAGTGTCCAAATCGACGGCATCAATAATCGCTTTATTCCTGTTTTCAAGTTCAGCTGCGTGTCCAATTGTGGTATGCTGGTACTGCACACCTCATCTTGAAGTATCCTGTTATTATTGCGTTTGGAAATGTAAACCATATGTCCCGTACGCAGCGGATAGCACTTACCGAAGACCACAGTGAGCAGTTCAACCCCTATGTGAAAGCTGTCAGCACGCCCAGATTTTTTAATTCGAAAATCAGTTCGAAGGCTGCTTACGGCCATAGAATGCTCGATGAGGAGAGTCCCTTATCTCGCGGATCCTATACGTCTGCATCGCATCCACGTTCGTGAAGTCCCTGTCTCTCAGATGATCAGCTTTGTGTGGGGCCACGGAGTTGGGAGAGCGGACCTCGGTTCGGTAATCCAGTTCACATCACTCCGCACGAGGCGCGCCATCTTGGTATCATGGCTGACCTCTTGGACCTATCCGATCGCACCTACAAGGTCAGCCATGGTCCCACAACGATCGGCACAGAAGGGGTACTGACCAGGAACGTTAATCCCTGGTGTATAAACTGCGGCAATGTGTCAGTGAGGATCGACGTGCACGTTCCGCAGGAACAAGCTCTGCCACGTACCACCGCGCCTTCGTATATCTCAAATAGCGCACGCGATATCTCGATCTCCTCGAGGATGGTGGCCGACCCGCCCGGCCTACCTAAGCGTGTGACGTCCACAGCGCAGTACTTTTCCTCTTCGATCCCTCTGATCGAGACGTGTCGCGAGGGGTAGGGGAGGTACTTGGGGTGCGTGTGATACCTGGGTTATCGAACGTGAGGTATTGGTTACGTGCCCGGGACCGTTATGAGTCATGACTCACCAACCCTCCTTATCTTTGACCAGCTTTGTCTCGCAGATCTCTTTCATCGACGAACCAAAGTACGCTTCATCTTCGTCCATCAACGGCATCTCGTATGCAGCGCATTGCAGGTGAGCCTCGAGGATAACCTTGCTGTCCAAGTCAACCATGAGGTCATCCGTGTTCCTGTCAAAAAGCTCTTCGGGGTGGTGGATGAAATGCTGGTCGACTGGCAGCGAGTCAGCCACGAAGACAGCAAGCGCATCCCGAGCACGCCGTCCGGCACGTCCAGCTTGTTGCCTCTGACGATGGCGGTACTGTAAACATAATATTCTGAAGTCATGAAACGAGCACTCACAAAGCTAGCCAAGCCGCCCATAGGGAAGCCCAGCATAATCACCGCGTCCAAGACGCCGATGTCGACGCCCAGCTCCAGCGCATTGGTAGCTACAATTCCAAGTAAGTTGCCTGAGAAGGCTTCCCGTTCTATTCTGCGGCGATCCTAGGGCAGCGGGTATTGTCAAATACCGCTCAATCTCCGCCGAATGGAAACAAACCTCCTGCGAGTAGCCACCCCGATAGGACATGACCCTCTCCAGTATGTCTAGACGGCCGTCAGCGGTTAGCTCCTGCCTCAAGGTCTTCATGGCCTGTCGATATCCGACTTTCATCAGCTCTATGGGGCGTCTGATATGAGACGAAGCGTACCAGTTCACACGATTTCCGAATCTGATAGAGTGAGTCAGTGAACTGCGCCGCCCCGTGAATGGCAGCTGATCTTCACCTTGCAGAACAGAATGACGCGCACGCCTCTTGCCATGAGAAACCGCATGAGTCTGGTGGCCTCGGTCATAGAATTGATACGACCGAGAGCGGGATCCATGGGATCTTTCAGTGGTGAATTCCACACCAGAAAGTCTTTGCGCCCGGACGGTGCACCATCTTCTGTCACCTCTTCGACATCCTGCGTAAAGGTGAGCAAATTACTACTAGGTACGCGGGAGAAGCACAGCACTATAACGTACATCGACACCGAAAATATTCTTCATGTGCTGCCCAGGCTTCGCGATAGTCGCACTGCATGTAACAAATCGGGCCCGGCGATCTGCACTCACACCCTGAGCAAAACGGCAGAAGACACGCTGAACAGCCTACGCACTTCCCACCGCGGCGCAGACTCGCCTCAGGCGACGCATTACCTGCGCTACATGGCTATTTAAAAAACACGACTCAGGCTGTCAATCAGAACTCTTTGTGCCAGGGCCTGCACATACAAACCTTCCGAATATGCCGTGATAGTAGTGCAGTTCATCGACCGCGACGATCTTGAGGTTCTTGAGGAATCTGGGCAGTCAGGGTCAGTGCCCCGTGCGAGACGGGACAGGGTCTTGGGCGGACCTTCTCCAGGCATCCTCGTGGGGAAGAATTGAAGCGTGTATCATGTCCTATACACGCGCACATAAGCACCGCTGTGGATCCGCAGGTGATTTTGACACTCGCGAAGTTCGTGAAAATCACGGATGCACTCTCACGTATCCCTGACAAAGAGTCAACTAAATTCACTCGCGTATATTTTAGCAGTCTTACCTCGACGAAGTTCTTGGGGCGTGTCTCCATCGTACGTGGAGACCTGAATATGTTCGAGCCCTGCACAATTACAGAGTAGCTGTTCAAGGGCAGCTCTCTGATCTTGAGCCAGTGCCTGTGCCTCTGTCAGATCCCAGCCGGGTGGTTGGGCTTCAAAATCACCTTCGTGGGATATATGAAGATCGCCGTTGAGTGCGGATCCGCTTCCAGGAACTGCAGAAGTGGGACCTGCGCGAAGCTTGTAAAAATACCGCACCTATGACAAAATGACCGTTACGTGCCTGGTATATGACGCTCTTACCGGACGCGGTGCTGGTGGAGACGATCACGTTCTTGCCTTGTGAAAGAGCAGTTATAGCGGCAACCTGGTGAGTATATAGGGATGTAATCTTCCGGGAATTGCGTAACGCCTGGACTATCGAGTCCGACAAGGGCGGATCCAGTAACGCTGAAGCAATCAAAGTGTCAACGTTGTGTCTCGCACTGAGGTTATAACTCGAACGCATACCGAGCTGACCGTCCTTGGCTTCAAAGATGCGTTTGCACGTAACTTGCTCCTTATACCATTCTTGCTGCTCGATTTCCTCTACAACCTCCTCAATAGAAGGCCTACCGTCGGGCTCTGGGACCGTTCTGTACTTCCCCTTCGCGTCTGATTGACTTAGTACTTCTCCTTGGGCTTTGTTTGCCCCAGGGTGGACGGGAATGTGATCCCGGGCAGCAGCTTGCAACAAGACCACTGGATCGTCGTCGGCCGGTGTAGCACTCAGTAATCTAGCACGGGCATTTAACTCCTTCCTGCTACTTTGCATTTTCAAACTTACTCATTGACGGCTTGAATGAAGCGCTCGTTCCGGCGCTCTACGAGTTTCTTAGTTGCCGCCGGGGTGAGAGCAGGCGGAAGGGCATACGCCAATCTGCGCATATTGAGGACGAATGTGCGCTAATTGGGGTTAAAGACATACCCAGATCCAGGCGTTTTCTTGCCTCGCGAGCTATCCACGAAGTCGAGGACCAGCACATGCTCGTCCGCGTCGACGTCGTTCACGCGCGAGCTCGACGCACCCGCCGATTGGAAGGCGGAGTAGTCCGGAGAGCGCTCACGACGGCCGGAGCTGACGTGCTGGTCGCTGTGTATCCGGAGCTCGGACTGGGGCGTATATGCGAACTTCACCACTTCGGGAAGAAGTGCCCTGCAGTTCGGTGAGCCCTCTGGAAGTCGGCTCCTGAATGACAAGACGTACTTCAGCTCTGCCACTTTCTCGAGCTCAAGGGGTCTGTGCATTGCAGTGTGAGGTATTTGGGATTTCCAAGGAGATATTTGGGGCTTACGCGTGAAGCAGCTGTTCCACAGACTTCCTCACTACCGGGAACGTGATGGCGAAGTTCTTGCGAGAAGAGCAGAATGCCAGCACCGTGTTCAAGGCCTGTATTGCTGTTCATTCCCAAGTACAGCACCGAGAGCACAGCAGGCATACCTTGAATACCTTTACACCAGATAAACAGCATAAGTATCGCCTGTTATAAAGACGGAAATGAAGCCCGCGTGGCGCACCTTGAACAACTGTCGGAATTGACTATCAGCTATGGTTGTACTGGTAGAAATTCCTGCCAAGGGTACTCGCATTATTGAAGTACTCGGGCCACACAGGCGCATCCCTGACGGGTGCTCCCTTCTTGCCAGGACCCTTCTTCGACGCGCGGGGTTTCTTTGATGGTCCAGGGTCACCGGCTGCGGTCTCCGGGACGGTACTGCCTTTCCGTTTGCGTGAGGTGGTCGACATATGTTATATTCGGTTTCCCTGTAGTCGTATAGGTCAAATGCAGAGAAATGCGGACGATCGTGGCTATTGTCGAAGCTCAGGACGAGTTCGAGGGACGTCCAATGGTGGTGGCTGCGGCCAAGAGGAGACGGGCGCCAGAGCGCTCGCGACGCGACGCGTCTTGGTCACGTTTGCGTTATGTGATCTTGTGACGGCACGCACTTGCTCTCGACCTCCACCAGCGACCAGGAGGTGCGCTGTTCTGTCTGTCCTCTGTGGTTGCCGTCTTTCTGACCTTGCATCTCTTCCTCAGCTACGAGTCGGAGCCATGTACCCTACACTCGCCCGCCTAGTCCGCGTCCTGCCACGCTCGCAGGTCGACCCCGCCCTGCGCCCCGTGCCCGTACCTGTGCGCTCGGATGTCCCGAAACAGTCTCTCATCGAGATCCTGCAAAAGCGCAAGGAGGAAGCTGGCGAGGCCTACCCGGCAAACATCAGGATAGAGTCGCTAGAGGCCAAGACTGCGCTCAGAGGCCTTCCCCGGGATGCGAGGCGAAAACTCGTAGAGATGCTGAGGGAGCATTGAGAACTTCTTGGTGCGTTACGACCCCCTTCACATGTTTAGTTTTACTCATATCTCCACAGCTTTGGACTCAATGTTCTTCCGTACGAGGGTTTTTGCCCTTCGTCATACACCGTAATTCCAAGCATCAGGGGAATACATTATTCTACAGTCCGTGTACTCTAGTAATCCAAGCAGCAGTGCTCCTACATCCCTCTAGTGTTGTTCGAGTGCCGCCTTCTCCCGCCCCTCCTTGAAGACCCTCTCAAGTACCTCATTGAACCATGTCCTGTACTGCATGGTCAGGCCGTGACCCCCGCCTTCCTTGAGAATGAACTCCGCCTCCGGCATGTGCTTCTTCAGCAGCTGGCTATTGCTCGTATTGACCATATTATCCGAGTCCCCCGTAATGATAATCACTTTCGGTATCGACGCTGAGATCTTCCGGAGGCGGTCCGGCGTGACATGGTGGCTCAGCGCCGCCGCCATCTGCGAAATGGACCCGAGGAACGTCTGCGGGCGGGTGAACTGGATTCGCCGCAGGTACGCCTAGCGGCGCGCCGCACGCATGTCAGCGCATTCCGCACGGGCCGCGTCGGCGCTGCACCGCTCACCTCCGTTTCCACCTCGCGGTTCGTCCTGCCCTGCGGGTCGGAGTCGCACTTGCTATCTAGCCATTCCGGGGAGAACAGCATCTCGAGGATGATCGGAATCTTCTTCGTAGGCTCCGTGATGACCATAGTTCTGGAGAAAAAGAAGGCGGTATGAGCGGTGTATCGGGCGCAGCAGGTCCTGGGATTGACGTACTTGAGAATCGCCTTCAGACCGGGATACTGGGAACGCGGTCAGCCAAAGTCCTCGCTCTGAACGAGAAGAGCACTTACCGGTGGCAGCTCCAGGTAGCGGCGTCCACCGGGCTTGGTGACGACTAGTGTGAGGGAGACAATGCGCTCCGGGATCTTCCATGCAAGCTCTGCATACCCGAATTACAATTCGATCTCCAGGCTACCGAGAGACTGCGTAGACACACCTTGGGCGATCATTCCGCCCAGGGATACACCGACGACGTGTATTTGGCGCGGCTCCTTCCAGCCCACAAAGTCAAGAAGCGTGATAGCATCTTGGGCCATACCACTCGTGCTTCAGGAGGAATACGCGTGTCATTCAGAGCGTGGAGACAACCGATGCGAAAGAGAGCGCTCACGTATACGGGCCCCGTGGCGCACCGCTGTTCCCGACGCCTCTGTTGTCGAACACGAGCACGGAGTACTCCGGCTTACGCGCAAAGTGGTCCACCTGCGTCACCCAGCCTGCCGAGCTCGAGTTCAACCTGTCCCATACCAGCATGTCAGATACCGGTGCCCCGTATGCGCAGACAGACAGGTAGTGGCGGCACGCACCCCATGATGAAGATGACCTTCTCCGGGCCCGACCCATGGACTTCATAGTAGAGAGAGTGGCTCTCGAAGGGGTCGCCCTGGTTGCGGATCTCCGTGACGGGACATAGACCTTTGCGCGTGCACGTCGTAGGGTCGAAGATGGTTGGCGGTGGCTGATAGTCTGACTGCGAAGCCGCGGGCATAAGCTCGTCTGACATGGTGGAGCACGGTTAAGCTCAAGCTTCAGAACACAAGATGTCAAGCTGCAGGTATAGGTATGTTGTTGAGCAGTGCTCTGATTGCGTCGGTGACTGCGCAGTGCGTGGTACTGGTGTGCTATACACCTCGAGCTGCAGGTCGGTTTCGATGGTGCCGAGTCCGAATCACGGCGCTTAATGCTAAGGGCTATTTACATAGCAGCTGACGTCACTGCACCCGCTACTAATTCGTGTGTAGTGTACGATGACAAATGTTTACAGAGTGACAATGTACATAAATTCGGAGCGTTAGAGCAACGCGTCGCGTAAAACGTAGGTTTTAAAAGTAACGATAACGGGGATAGTCGCGATCCAAGTCCACCCAGAATCACGAGGGTCGACGACGGAGCGGCGCGGGAGAGATCGGAGTTTTGAAACTGGCGGCGCACCTGCTTTTGCTGAGACTCCGACGACTCAGACTTGTGTACACAGCTGTGTACCGCTGTGGATCCACTCCTCGAATGGTATGTGCAAGGTTGCGAGCTGAACATTGTACAAGGCTCTCCAGGACTCTGGCAAGGTGTCGAGCTGATCCAAGGCATGTCATGTCCAGTAATATCTATGGGAGCGGAGACAAAGCAATCTCACGACACTCGCGCCGTTCTTACAGATGTTATCATATGCCTGCCAGTTCTATGCCATCTGCGCCCCACAAAACGTAACGGTAGGCATCACGAGTGCCCGGCATGGACGCGCTGTGCGAACTCACTGTGCGCGGCCCGAGTCCTTAGGGAGGCCAGCCCGAAAGATATGAATGAACCTGGGTATGGCCTGGGCGGATGTGGTTGGGCCATTGCCCGACCAGGGTGCGCGCCCGCCTTTGGTCCGCCACTCTGTATAAGAAGAATGCCGACCGTTCATCAGTAGTCAGACAAGCTCCACTTCCGTCCCACCAGCAGGCAGATACGCTTCGCTTCTCGTACTTCCAACAGGCACCCGGTCATTGATCTGATACAACTCCCGTCGGGGTGTGCGGTTGAGACTTCAACTACCGACTTCTACCGACCGAAGAGAAAATAACTCGGTGGAGCAGAGCACGCGGCACAATGTCCTGAGCCAGTGGGGACTCCCTAAACGACCATTCACAGACGACTATCACCTGTGTGCGCCGCACGGCGATCGGGTCCGCCGTCACGACGGAATCGAAGCGGACACCAAGAAGTAGTTGCAAGGAATGATAAGGTACTCGTCCCTTTGCCAAACGGCGCCACCCCTCATTCGCGAGCTGATAGTATGTTACAGGCAGCGGCCCCTTCGCAGCACGCCAGGGCACTCGTGATGGTGTCGTCAGTCGAAGACGGCCCCCGTGAGCATAACCTTTGCGATAACGAGTTCCCCGAGCGCGCAAAGGGCAGTTGAGTTTGGATTCAGGGGAGCTTATAAGTCGACGGCCGACAATACGCATCGTCGCTCCCATCGCCTTTCTCTCTCGCGACCGGAGTTCCGCTTCGGGTGCACGGCCTCGGGCTATCTCGATATCCTTTCTAGTCCGCTAGCAAGCTAGGTGCGTATCATCACCGATAGGATATGTGTTCGATGAGGTTGTTGACGCATCTATCAGGACCCCAGACCTCATGGCGACCTGGGCCGTCTTAGACGTCAGCGCCGACCCCGCGAACCAGCCGCGCGACAGCAGCAGCTGTCACTTGCTGCCGCAGGAGGCCGTCCAAGATGCCAACGAGGTCCTCGAGGGCGACGTATACTTCTACACCACCTCTGGTGTCGGCATCACCCTGGCCCAGGCGCTCCAGGGCCAAACCGACGACCTGAAAGATAGAGATAAGCCTGCTTTCAAGGATGGCACGGTAACTTCCGCAAAGATCACCATGAGGATCCAGGTGGGTCGACTCCTCTGTCCATAGCATTTCGACAAGCCCTTACAGTAGCCGTATTAGATCCAAGACTGCTCGTCGTACCACAACCGACAAGTGACTGTCTTGCGCATCTTGAAGGGCGTCAGCGAATCGGTGACACGGGGCAAGCTCGCTGAGAAAATAGCTCAGGAGACCCAGAAACATCTGGTCAGTGCACGAAATCAACTTCCATCATAGCACCGCCTGTCACTAATGGCAGGAAATACAGGGCGGCCAGGTAGAATTCATTATAGACGGGCGCACCCTCTCTCTCGAGGACATCTACTTGTGGAAGCTTCGCCACGCGACGAAGGGTTCCTGGCAGCCCGAGTTCTACGTACGCATTTCGGAGCAGGCGTCATCGTAGTACCCGGTGACACAGTGCACGGAGAGGCAGCTCTCGATACGTGCTGTATAGCTTGTATGTGGACCCATTGGTTAACAATAACATGAAGTACTCGGGCATTCTTCGAAGCGCCGCTGCCACTGGTACGCGTCGTAGCCTCGTTTGCGCCTTGCAGATGACGGGCGCTGGAAGTACTGGGAAATTTCGACACACGGTCTGTCTAGCGGTCGAATGTGCCGCATACTTCCTACATATTTTCCCGCAAACATGCTGTGCTTTAAGAGCAGGAGCAGGAGTATGTCCAGGTTGACGCTCGATCACGCGCCCGTCGCTAACTTTGGTGATTAACCACAACCGGACGCCCCTATTAACTTAGTACCCACGGACCGCCGCTAGGCTCGTGGGGTTGCCGAGACTTCTTGAGCGCGGGTCCGGGGCCTCGAACGCTGCCTGCTTCCCGTCCTCCGGAGTGACAGACTTCTAGTGAGTCGGCCCTTCGACGCATCCTAGCTGATTCCATGATGCCATGTCCCGCCAGATATCCGGCTGACTGCGCACCGGCGTGCTCAGCTGATCGTCGCGCGAACTGCTCGCGATATCCGGATGCTCATAGCATCGTGCACATATCCCCGCGGGACGCTGAAGCCAGGATATCGCGATGAACAGCTGGCACCATCCGGACAAACCGAATCTTTCATGTCAGACTGGTGAAGCCCCGCCAGGCCGTGGTTCGTTCAGTTTGCTACCGCGACCGTCTACGGCCAGTGCCCAGAGGGCTGTCCATAGCCGAGCTTTTACACCGTTCGGGAATTCAACATGCGTTATTCTGTACCCCGTGCCCACCTGCGCCACCGATGTGGAAGGGTAGCGGTAACCCTTGTACATCGAGGGCGCGGGACATCTGACGGGGGTAGCGATTTGTGTCTGGATACACTGTCCATCGGCTCCATAATGAGCGGACAGTGGGAAGAAGAAGTGTGCGGACCTATCACAGTGCGACATAGAAGACTGGAAGGCGAACGCCCGGTGGTCCTCGAGGCAGAAGGCCATGCACCGCGCATAGGTCCGAGGTACCCGTAGAGGCTCTGGCCCCAAATTTTCAGGCGTCCCCGTCCATGACTGCGTCGTTGCATACCTTCTGTCCCGTCCCAACCGGCCTCGATGGCATCGCAGGCCTTCGGATACGAATCGCGGTAGGAGCGAGGTCAATTCACAAGGGAGGGCCGTGGCATCGCACCTGTACGGCATCATTGGCACCTTGCATCAGAAGGCAGGACCACATTCTGTGCAGGCGTCCATCTGCCAATGAGGAGGGTGGCCACCTGAGGCGATGTCGTCTGCGTCTCTGCGTGCGAAGCAAGGAGCAGGGCGACTGACTCGACGTATAACAGGTCGGGCAGCGCGATATCGCTCATTCCCAGGATATCCGCCCCCTCCTCTCCCAACTTCACCGAAACAAGGATATCGGCCCGCCCCTTTCCCGTCCCGCATCCGCCCGTAATGCATATCCCTGCTTCTTCTAAAAGCGGGCATCTCCCGCCCGCGTGACACGTGGGGTAGGGTCCGTTTGTAGCCGCACGCACCTTGTCCTCAGGATGAGACGGTGGGCCGAAGCACGTAAGTCCGTCATGGTCCTTGGAAAGCGAGCATGCATGGAAAGTCCGCCACTGATATTGTCATCTACAGCATATGTTACGGTTCAAGCGGCCACGGAGACCAAGTGTACTCATACAAGGCACAAGAGCTGTATGCGTATTGAGCGAGATATACATGCATCGGATAGAAAAGACCACAGACCTCAGGAAGCAATATCCCCCAGTGGACCGATCAATACACGACGTAAAAGATGGGCTGCCACGACCCCTTAGAAACACGCTGCAGCCCCACTAGGAGCACCTGCTTAAACGGGAAGGTGCGCCCGCCCACAGTCAGTTCCTCACGACCCTCCTGCGCAGCTTGTTAACGATCACGCTGATAGGAGCTGAACCGGAGAGACGTACAAGATATGCAACTGTCTCCCTGGCGATCGTGAGGGCTAGTTTGCCCCGTGAGACAGACTCCGCTGAGCTGGTAGACCGGAGCGCCATCACTTGGCGGTGGTGGAAAGGCCTCCGATCCGCGAACTACGGATCGAGTGAGAAGACTGCAGAAGACTGCAGTGTAATGAATGGGATGTATGTACCTGGATCCTCATAGAGACCTTCGATGACACACTGGCTGGAGGAAAAGCTGGACAATCCTTGTCCACTAGGTCATCGACGTCCCCACGGAGCGCGTTGTCGAGAGTTATGTGTCCGCCATGAGTCGTCGCGAATCTGATGACATCTTTAGCGAAATCCTGGTGAGACGGCCCTTGCCCTTGGAAGGGCTCCTGTGGGACGTGCTCGAATCGCGGGGCGTTGCGCGCCTGGAAAGGGTGAGCTTGAAATCACGTTTCGAGGAGAATAGAACGACGTACTGAGATGTATCCAGAGCTCATCTGAGCTAGAGCAGCCTGGGGAACAGCAGCGGCCAAGGCATAATCGCTCGTAGTAGAAAGCGGAGGGCTGTGACGCATGGTCAAATTGTTGAACTCCCAATACTCGTGGTCAGCCACGGCCTGTGCGGCGAGTATCTGGCCCGTCGAGTAGCACGAGCGGGAGGACTGGAGGATGTAAATGGTGAGTCGCTAGTCGTGCCTCCCCAACTCATGACTTACGCCTACGGCGATGTCGTTGTACTGGTGGTCAGCAGTGTCGTATTCTGGGTAGGGCATTTCTGCAATCGTGGAGGGGCGGAGGCGAATGTCTGATGCACTCGAAAGCCGGATGGACAACAAGCTTGTTCATCTATGGGTTTTATGTGCAGCCCAATGCGCCGTACGGCGGGGGGTTCGGGGGTCGATATCCAGATCTCATGTTGTCGCCGGATATCCTCGGGACACTCGCCGCGCGGGCGGCGGCGGAGCACAACATACCGCGCCCTGTGGCTGCGGAGGCCTGTCAGGACTCCGCGCAATGTGAGCACACGATTATCCAGACAAACATGCGATCGAAGAGAAGCACCTGCTCATGTCGTCGTAGGATCCCAGGGAAGAGTCACTCTGATATCCCAACTCTGCATCCCGCAGCAAGTTGCCGTGGATTGGTCGATCTTGCGTTCTGAAGAGCGACGCTGGACAGGAATATGGCGAAACAAGCAGCGGAGCAGTTCCCGCCTGACATGGTCGCCGCCTTCGCCTTCCGCCCCTCGCGGCTGCACGCTCGACGAGACTGGCCCAACATAGGCTGCGTCCACATCGTGGCAAGGCCGTCGGCGTCGGCGCTCGGAAGCGGCGGATTTGTTTGTACAACGCCGCGCGACGGGGGCGATGAGAGGCCATGAAGGGTGTTCGGGGCGCCAGATATCCAGATATGAAGGGGGTTTGAATGACGTTCCTTACGCGCAGCGAGTACCTCTCGCGCGCCTTCGACATAACGATGATCTGCACAAGCTGCAACCTGCTTAGCCTCATCTTCTCCGCCGCTGTGAGGCGTAAGCGGTCGGCGACTTTCTCACCGCCTCCTGCAGGTTCTCATCCGGATATTAATGGAAAACCGTGCCTGAGGAGCGGGTTAGTTTCATGCGATGAAGTCCGGATATCTCTCACCAGAAAAGGATTCCTGTGCGGGTAGGGCATACAGCTTCTGCCACCGACATGACCCGCCCGCGCACGGTCCGCACGTTCCACCAGAACACGAAGACGACAAGACTGCTAGTCGGTGGAGCGTAAAGGCCTACGTATACGTGCTGTTGGTATGATTGTAATCGAACGTCCGTTGGAACGCCGGTGTGTCGCGTCCGAGTTGCATACACTTGCGGAAAGCGCGATCACTCCGTCGAAAATAGAATGGCGGCATGCAGCATTGGAGGCGTCGGACCGCGCCGCCCGCTTCGCCTTCTTGCGCTGAGTTTGTCGCCGGTCTGATAGCCTTGTTCATCAGCTACCACGCTGATCCTCTGCTGACCTGGATGATGACGCGTCGAAAGCATGCGTTCCCCGCGCAAGAGGCCTCATCAGAGTTGCTCGAGCGTTTTGGAAGTGTATAGGTGAGCCTGTATAAAGATCAGTGGTACAATGCCGTGGCAGATTTGAGTCGTCGGGCGTAAGTTCTCACTCGTGGCTGCTTGTGCTCGAGTTTTTCTTCCCAAACTTGATCATTTTTCGATTTCTCGCGAACATCTGACCCATCGTTTGAACCGGTTGTTCGGAGGAATATGTCCAGAAAACATGTTTCGTTGAGCAACGAGACTGTCACAGACGTGCAGAGTGTCCGTGTGGGTCACAGTAACCTGAACCGAGCACTGTCCAAGTGCCAGCGATACGACAGTGCTCTATCATGCGCTATTCGAGCGCACGCGACCACTGCAGTCCATTCGCTCCTTTCCCGTTGCCTCAAGAGGCCGAGCGAGGCTCGAGAAGCCAAAAGAGGAGCGGCTCGTGCAAAGTGTCATCTGGTGGGCCCGGTTGCCCAACGCGCGCGCATCGCGAGCGTGTACGGAACGGGTTTTTGGAGGCGATGCAAGTGACTTACAAAGCGAAACGCGGGGTGCGTCTTCCGAAGCGTGTAGCGTGTAATCCCTGTTGTCATATGTTACTCAATCGATCTGTAGACATCCATTCTGTTCATGAAACGTGTCCAACGTCGGATACTCACAACATAACTTGAAGGTCAGGCGAATGACGTGCAGGCAGTACGCCGTTTGCGCGGCAGATGAAGAAACAGAAGTAACAGCGCACGTTATTCGGACGGAATATTGAAACCTGCGACATCCGATTGAGGAGGAGCGATCGCGACCTAGACATAGCCAGGACTGCAGTAGTAAGCGATTGCCTGGGATGACTCGAGCCTGGTCCTCAACATACCTTAGGCTAACCGAGATCAAATTTTGGAGCCAGCGCGCGGTCGAAGTAGAGTACGATGAGAAGGATGAGAGCTGCCCGATGCCCCCAAGGACTGGAGGAAGGAGGGATACCAGTGGAAGACCATGGTTAAGGTGCGTATGTTTGAGCGCTTAGAGGCCGGAGCTGATCCACAAATTTAAAAACAGCGACACACAACGACAATCATCGCTACCGGGCGCCGTGCCAGCGTACCGCCTGCGGCAGTGCCCCTCCTCGTCCCTGATATACAAATCAGGGATGCACACCTTCGAGTTTCGTCCTGGCTATACATACGTAACCCCTTCGCGATGTCACCGAGTCCGTTGGCTAGCTTCTGCCATAATTAGATCAATTTTTACAACATCCCCGGGCGGCGGGGGCTGACAAAGACATTCAACATCCGAATCGGCTGATGAGCAACACACCAAGTATATGACAATGCATGACCGAGTCCGCACCACCGTGAGTCACACGAACATTATAGGCTCCCCAACCTCACTGGCAGGTCGTCCGTCCAAGATACCGCTGGTGTTACCGGCAGCATCCGATACAGTGACGAGCAAGCTCAGTGAGCCTCGTTAACTTGTACACCAGCTTCCGATGCTCACTGGCAACGACCTCCAAGACATCCACCGTGTTCCTTCTGATCATACGTTTCGCCTGCGTTTAGCTGAGGGGGGGTATTATTAAATACGTGGAACAATCGCAGCGCATAATTAATCGCACGACCCGCGTTATCTGCTGCCAAAGATCCACAACGTCGCAACGCCGACGAAGTTGGGAACAGTACCGACCGGACTTCGGGGTACGGCATGATTAGAAGGGCCCCGCCCCTCACTCTGCACGCAGGACGCCGAGCACAGGCTGCCAACTGGACTTCGACACATGGCGCAACTCCAGGAGCACCAACCTCTCGAACCCCGCAGTCCCCGGTCCCAGGCCGAGCCGAGGCAGCCCAAAGGACGCGCTCTGGTTCCGCTAGCGCAAGCCGAGGATCAGCACCACATGCAAAACAACAGCTTCTAGCACTACGCGAAACTGGCGCGCACTCACGTTCATGTAGTCATGTATCTCTCGTGCAATCTTCTCCGCAAGTTTTCCCTTGGTGATGGAGCGGAAACCGCTCGACGGGGCCCGCACGTTGATCTGTCGCTCGTACGGCCTGCAGCCCACAATCTACCCGCGGGCGCAGTATGGGTCAGCGCTGCAAAAAAAAATACAGCTGCGCGCGCGCCACTACCGCACATCACGGAGCCGGAGCTGCACACACCTCGAGGCGCACTGACTGCTTCTGGCTCAGGTGGTCTCCTGAAAACACGGCCTCGTCCCGATCCAGCAGCAGCGCGACGTTACCGGACAATGCGTCCGCTAGCTTGACGTATGGCGTGGACCACGTCCGGAAAAGGATCGGGGGTTTCGGATGGAACCGACGTTTCGCGACGTACTCCTGCTGCGGGAGGAGCTCGTACGCGCGGTCCTGCACAGTCACTTGTGTGTGCGGCTGCGCCTGCATAGCAAACCGGTAAGCTGGCTCGACGAAAAAAAACACGTCTAACTACCCGTTACTTACCGCCGAGGTCGACGCGGCTCCCGGCGCCGGGCCTTGCGCAGCAGGCACCGAGGTCGTGTGCGAGGAATGGGCCATGGTCAGACCGTGTTCTCTCCAGTACTGGTCGTTCGCCGCTTCGAATGCCGCCAGGTAGTCCTCCGGCGTCCACGGGGTAGATTGTGATCCTGCAGCGTTTCCGCCGGCGCCGGGTTGCGTTTGGGCGTTCTGTTCCATCGGTCGGTTTTAGCAGCGAGCGCGGCGGGGTTGAAAAAGAGGGATCTAGGTGTTGTTCCTCATCTCTTGCACTCCCGTACGACGCAGTCTTTATACTGCGAGTGCGGTGGTGGGCCCGTCACCTTTTGCAGCTTTCGGGATATGAAACTCGACTCACCGGCGAACCTGCGCCTGCGTCCCCCAAAGCCCGCCTCACCGCCCGGCGATAGGAGCATGAAGCACACTGTCCACTGCGGGGGCGCGACACTTCCTCGGAAGGGCACTGCTCTTCGGCCAGGAACACTTTAAAGTGGACACACCCGTCGACAGGCGGCTAACAGTCCGCGGTTAATGGTTGCCTGGCACACGGCGGCAGGTGCCCTTTCGCTGCTTGTCTAGCTGTCGCGAACCGGGAGACAAACACCGACCTTGTCCCATGGGGCCAGATTGGCATGATGTCATCAAAAACTTGCGGGACGCGCGAGGCCTAATGTCACCAGCAGAATGGACAGAACTGACGCGCGCGGGCAGCGCGCCACCGCAGACATGATACAATGAGAAACATTAGACAGTGAGCACGACGCAAGATAGAGTACATAGAGTGAAAGACCACATAGAGTCAAGGCATCGACCGCCCTCCCGACGCTCACCGCTTGCCGTTTGCCTTCGCCTTGGCCTTCGGCTTCGCAGCAGACTTCTTCGCGGGGCGATCCGAGTCGTCGGATTCGTGCCCACGACCTGTCTCGATGCGCTTCTTGTCAGCTGTAAAATGGCCGGTCAGGACGGCGCAATTATTTTCCCACAACGTGGCACAACCGGCGTACCTTTCGCCGCCTTGCGCTCAAGCTCGTCCCAGTCATCGCCTGCGCAAAAAAATTTCGTCAGCAAGGTCAATCAGACGCCAACAAGACCACACAAACCCTCGCTCTCCTCAGAGCCAAAGTCAGAGCCGCTGCCCTCATCATCGCTCGCGTCTGAGCCGTCATCGTAGGCGCTCTCCTCCTGGCTGCTCTCGGAGCTCTCCATATCAGCAGACGACGCCGCGAACTCTGATTCCGTGTCAGAGTCGTCGTCGGCCTCGCTCTGCGTGGGAATTAGCAAAATTTCGAGGCACGACCCATGTGGACACACACCTCCTCCCCGGCCGCAGCACCGCCCAAGAAGCTCCAGCCGCCCTGCTGGAAAAACTCGTATGGGTCCTCGTTGATGGTCTTCATGATGGGCCCCCAGTTTAAGTTGACGGGTCCCTCGCTCAGGGGTATGTCCACGGAGCTAGTGGTAATGTTTCAGCGGGGTTAGTGGCGCCATTTGGGGGACCGACTCACTCTAGCCAGTTCTTCACATCATCAAGCTGCGAGCTGGGGATGGAGTTGATGTGGAGCGGCGCCTTTGTGAAGTCCTTGAAGATAAGCACCATGTCGAACTGTTTCAGTCCGAATTGTACGCGCTCTAGCGACGCGATCTCGATATCCGAGAGAGTGACAACAAGGAACGGCGGGTCAGAGAGATGCACGAGGCATTCCGTCGTGGGCTGCAGACGAACGTTGGTGCGGAAAGGTACACCTTCGAACGACAGCTCGCGGAACGGGATGTCAGGCTCCAACGTGTCACCGGTCTGAATTGAAGTCAGCGAGCCGTAACGAGGATATAGATAAGGCAAGTGCAGTACCGAAGCCGTCGCAGCCTCTGCGATTTTCTCGGAGAAAAGCTTGAACTCCTTGTTCAGCATCTGGCGTCGCTTCCGCTCTTGCTGCTCCAGCTCCAGCTCGTCCTCGTCGCCGTACCGGTACTTGCGCTTACGGTTACCCGTCTCGTCGAACTGAACGTCGGACGCTTCGCGGTAGAATTGGACGTCCTGCATGATAGATGAGCCCACTGTATCACACCGGGTTGGCAACACCCCCTTAAATCTTAACTAAACTTACATGCGCCTTCTTCTTCCCGATCATGATTGGCGCCTTGAGATGTACGTGGATAATGACCAGAAGTTCATGGTCGCACGGCTGGAAGAAGAGGTGCTTCACATTACTGAAGAGGATGTCTGACAAAACTTATTAGCACTGCAGCACATATTACCGGTACGAGAAGTCATACCGATCTTCTGCGAGCCCATAGGCGACTGGTAGCGGAGACCATTCTGATGTATCTCGACCTCGCCGGGAAGGCGTTTGCCATCCAGCGCTGGCCGGACGAAAACTTCAGGCAGCTTAGTTGGGCGCCGTCCTTTGACCTCGACCAACGTGTCCTGCTCGATGACGTCCGCCATCTCCTTCTTCTGTTGCTCGCGTTTGTTAACCTCCTTCTTCATGTCGGTTATCTGCTTCGAAATCGCATCAAAGCGGTGCCCGTCCGGAGACCGATATGTGATTGAGCGGATGAAAGTAGCGTCTGGATCTTCGAAGGGCTATTGCAAATTGCATCAACAGCGGCTCAAGTGCAAGGCATGAAGCTACTCACTGTATCTTCCTTCCTCCCGGCTAGCTGACCTGGTGTTTGGAAGTTGACCCGGAGATAGGTGAACTCGCCCTCGTCGTTCTTGCTGACGTTCTTGATCGTGTTGATGTGGAATGGAACAGCGTAACCATGCACGGGCAATACCACCGTCTGAGCCTTCCGGTCTACATAAATCTGGGACGGATCTGTGAGCGTGCTGTCATGGGCTCCGGGTATAATACGTACCCGGAGAGTTTCAACTTCACGCGGCAGGCCTGCCTCGCCCTTGTAGCTCTGGAAGCGCTTCCAGCCCTTGCCCTCTTTGCCACCAAGTCCACCGCCGCTCTCAGAGAATCGCACGAGGCCCTCCTGGTGCAGCCTCCCGTGCAGTTCACGCTGGTGTTCTGCGATCTTAGCCGACATAGACTGTACTGAATCTTCCTGCGCGGCGCTTCTTGTCTTATTGCGAAGAACCTTCCCGCCGGCCGTCTTGTGTTTGGTGGGCGAGGCGTTACCGTTGGCCTTCGCCGTGGGAGCCTTCTTGGCCGGCGCCTTGGACGGCTGGCCCTCAGCCTCGTCCTGGTTTAGAAAGAACAGCGTGTCCTTGACGGACTTGACACCAGTCGTTAGACACGTGGCCTTGTCAGCGCCGACGAGCACAGTGTCTACGAGCTGGAGAGCATATCTGGACGGTTTGGGCGTTGTTAAAACCGTACTAGAGAGTCAATCTAGGCGATTACGTACTTCTTGCCACCTTCCTCCAGACCGGTGAATCCCAGGACAAGGTTGAAGACCATGTTGGCACGCAGCTTCCGGTTGTTCTTCGGAGACAGGAGGTATGAGGCGTCACGGAATTCCATGCCCATCTACAAAGTCTTCCATAAGATGAAAATCGCAGCCGGATATAAGTCGAATACATACACCGTGGCCCATGTTCTTCACAAAATGGGATTCTAGTTCGGGCTTCTTTTCCTTGATGTAAGAAAGCGCGGACTGATACAACTCCTTGGAGACGACCCCCTCTTTCATGCGTGAGAGAACTTCTGACTGAAGCGAGACTAGAAGAGAGTAGATGGCTTCTTGCTCCTGCATAGGACAACGACAGTTTAAGAAGAGTCCCGTTGAAAGTCAAGCGACTGTCTTACCTTCGATGGATCAACGATGAAACTTCGGCCAAGGTTCGCGCAGTAGCTTCTGTACCGCATGCCGACGGACACGAGCAAGACGCCCTTGTGCGAGACGTCGTCTGGCGAAGACTCAGCCACGGGGCTTAGATCATAGCCCGTACTCGTCGATTGTGACTGGATGATAGGAGGGTAGCAGAACTCGGTAGACCCCCAGTCCACGTCGTTCAGTCCCCGTCCCTTACTCCAAACCTTCATGTCGGGGCCTTTGGCTTTGTCGCCTTCGCCGTATCCGATCCTGGCCTCGATTTGCGTGGCGAAGGTCTCATGAGAAATCTTCGCCTCTCGGTCCAATATCGTTTCTAGCTTGGGGGCAACGTAGTGCGAGAGCAGAGTGGAGGTAAGGGTTGATGCAACGCGTATGCTTTTCTGAAACCGGGAGTCAGACCGGTGAATATCGCGTCAAAAAGGACTTACGAGCTCCTCCTCGTCCTTGGCTGCAAGGAACGATGCCACAGCGGGAGCCATATCCACCAGAGTGGGCTTCTTCTCGGCATCTGACACTGCCTTATTCCACTCATCCACCAGCTTCCCGGACTGCTGCTCTTTGGTCAGGGTGGCTACCTGATCGAGGGATACGTAGGCCTCAAGGAACCGGGGAACAGCGTCGGTCGGGGGCTCTTTCGCCTTGGCTTGGACGAAGAACTCGATCGGCACGGGAGCATTCGAGTTCTTCAGTTGAGACAGGATTTTAGCTAGTAGAAGAGAGTGACGTTCAAGCACGACCCGCACGCGTGCAATTCGAACTTCGTACCTTTTGAGGCCGAGCAGAGTATTGAAAGCCTGTTCTTCTCAAACATAAGGAAGGTAGATGGGAATTCGAAGCCCAGGAGCCATGTCTAGGACGGAAGACACGTGTGAGTTGGCGAGGGCTTGGTCGAGATTCAAGAGACGCACCTGGAACGCCGTGCCCTTGCGAATTGGTTCATCCTCTCCAGCAGGATCTCCAGCAACAAGCAGGAGCGCGCCAACTTCTGATATAGAGCTGTACTCGTCCTCTTTTTGCGCATTCTAAAATGAGTAGCAGAGAAATTAGGTCCCTCCTGGAGGCGTCCGGCTGAGTGTGAGGTTCACGCACATTCCACGCATCATAGACGGTGCGAAGACGTTTTGAGAAGAGTCCCGCGTTTAGCTCAATCTTGGACATGGCGGATTGCTCAAGACTGCTCTGGCAGCTAGACAGGAGGGTCGAGGAGATGGAGGTCCGCAGGAGAGAGCGCGTTCGTTGTGGCGCGTCTGTAACACGCTCAGAGCGGAGTCTTAATGAGTGCGTGACGTGCACGTGATTGTGACAGTACTATTGTCACGGCGCGACTCGACGCGTTCGAGCGGGCCGGCTCGCGCGGCGAGTCGATGTGAACGAGTCGGACGAGTCTGAGTCTGCGTAAATATGCTGGACACAGGCTGCTTGAGCGTGTCCGTGTATTGCCAATGGGGAGAAACTTCGTATTGACAGAGGACGATGACGGCGGGCGAAGCTGATGCGAGTGGACCGGGAGGACGGCCGGGCGAACACAGCGTCTACCGGTTCCAGCAACGTAATATACTCCTCGTCGACGTCCTTCGTCTCTCCCAACTCTCCGCTATCTTCGCCCTTTGCAAGTACTCTTGGTCTTCGCTGGCTGCCCCTTAGCTCTCTCTGAGCAAGCCCACGCAGGCGCACCGATCATGGCACTCTCAGACTATCTGGTCACGGATGACCTTACCATCATCCTGGCTCTCGTCGCCGCTGGCCTCTTCCTCCTACACAACCTCTACAAGCCTCAGGCCCTAGTGCATCCCATCTTGCTGGGAAGACAGAGCGATGTGGCCCGAGTGAGGAACCCGAAGGAAAGCGCGGTCTACCGCAACTACAGCACTGGAATGCTTGGACGCGTATGTGCCGACTCACCTCTCATCATCCTCAACTCACCATCCCCCAGTTCCCTCTGCGCCCGACTAAAGACCAACACGTTCTGCTGGATCTTGTAAAGCCGGACGCAGACGCGCCTCGTACACTTTGGTCCACCAAAGTAAGTTGTCCTATCAGCTTCTTCCCATTACGACTCTCAATTGCACCAGATCACGAACCCCGAGCTCAGAGCTCGCGTCGCTAACGTCGGTGCTGGCCTTCTGCGTCTTACCGGCATCGCGCCCCAAGAGTCAAATGTCCTGCTTCTGCTCAATGACAGCCTCGGTATGTCGTGTCCCCCGATCGAAAGTAGACGCCGGTATTAATGTACATGCACAGAATTCATCGTTGCCGATTTGGCACTCGCGTCGCTCTCTATCCCTTCGCTGACCCTGTCCTCCCTCGCGTTGTTGTCACCGGTATTCGAGAATCACGCACCTTCGGTCATCATTTCCCAGGCGGAATTCCTCCCGCAGCTCCTTGAGCTCGTTTACGAAGCGAACGAGAGCAGCCAGCACACGATTGTCGTAGTTGGCGATATTAGCAATGCGAAACTGCCCCGCTCGAACAACGTGAAGATCGTCAAGTGGGAAGATGTCGAGCGCGAAGGTGCCTCGGCGGACAAGCCCGCTCTCCCTGTTCCGAGTTCGTACCTAAATCCTCCCCTAGTACGCTAAATAGTCTAACTGCTCTTACTAGATCCTGAGGAGGTCTTCACTGTATCGTTCTTCGAGACACCCGCCGGACCCGAGGGCGTGCAACTCACGCATCAAAACCTGACGGCCGGTGTGGCTGCAACCCGGGCCCTGATGCCGCCCTCCAGCGCGATGTCGCCGCTGGACACCATTCTCTCCGCCTACCCCCTCAGCTCTCCTTACGGCCGCGCAGTCGCCTACACCGCGCTCTTCGAAGGGACCAGCTTTGTCACGGTCGACAGCACCAAGCTGATCAAGCCCGAAGGAGGTCAGTACTCCCCACCATGCCGGTTTAATAGCGAGCACTGAGTCCCCCTCACCAGCAACCCCTGCCACCGGCCTGAAGGACCTCCGCACCACGGCCTCGTACAGCACGTCTTCGCCGACGATCCTCTTCGTCCGCCCGGACCATCTCACGAGCCTCAGCGACACAATCCTCCAGGAAGCGAAGAAGGCGTCCTGGCTCCTACACAACTTCGCGTGGCGCCACAAGCTCGCCGGCATCCTCGAAGGCTACATCACGAAGCAGAGCCTCTGGGACCGCCTCGTCTTCGACAGCGCGCGTGTGAAGGTCATGGGCAAGGGTGCCGGCACGGTGCGCGCCGTCATCGTCAGCGGAGGTACGTTACACCTTCTCCGACTCCCTGCTATGACAACTGACTAATGCTCGTTTCGCCTCAGGTACGCTTGAGGCGCAGGCATTCACCCCCGCCCGCATCGCGCTGTCCGTCCCCGTCATCAACGCGCACACCCACCCCCTCGTCGCCGGGCCCGTCTTCGCGTCCCACGCGCTCGACCTGCAGACCTTCGGCACCGGGAACTCGGGCGCCGCATCGACGTCCGCCGCCGACGCATACGCGTTCACGTACCTCGCACCCGTCGGCCCGCCCTCGGTGAACGTCGAGGCGAAGCTCAGCGGCGTGGACGATACCGCCGTCGAGGCGGGCGCGGACCCAGTCGGGGAGCTGCACGTGCGCGGGCCGTCTGTTGGGCGGCCGCTGTCTGTGACGGTTGAGGACGAGTCGCTGGAGGAGGAGCTGCGCGGATGGCGGGCGACGGGCGAGCGCGCCAAGGTCGCTCCAAACGGCACCTTCAAGGTTGCCGTTGGTTCCAAGGCTTGAAACGTCCAGCCTCGTCGACGCTTTTGCGGATGATATGCAGGTTGCGACGGGGAGGCGGAGGCGTAGGATATAGCTGCATCGCTCGCTGTATAACATGTGGATGCTCAAGGACTTGTTGATCTACGACGGAGCTACATTTAATTGCGCATCGACGCCGAAACGAATATTCGTAGCAGTGGGATGAGCTCGAGATCCATAGTTCTTTGTCTCCCAACGCAACGACTTCAGGCTCCCGAGAAACCTTACGGAGCAACCGTGATGGTGGAAATCGAAAAGATATATGCACCCCAACTGCTAGAACACGAACACTCGACATAACGATCTGCCCTATGAACGCAAGACAGCGAGCCACAACGATCCCTTCCACATGTACACCAGTAGCCAGCACGCGGCTTGATTAAGGTCTTGAAGCTTGGACTTCCCTCGTCGGGCGTTCAGGATCTGCAAAGATTAGTAAAACAATCGCAGGATGGACGGGATGTCGCCCAAAATATTCGAATACAGCGCCACCTTCGGGACGTAGAAATATTACCCATGTCGTTGAAGTCTCGAACTTGCGGAGACTGGAGGTCTTCCGGAAGGGGGAAGGAGGGGAGTGGGACGGAAGCAACACTCCGCAGACAAACGCAGGGCCAGTCGAAGACGTGCTTCGAAAGACTCTACGCTCACTGCGGAGGGCCTGACGGGACATCCTCGGCTATGAGGGCTGGTAGCAAGTACCGTCTTCAAAGCGGTCACTGCACCCTGGGGCGTTTCGCGTCTAATTTGAGAGTGTAAGTAACATTCCCGCTGCATTCTGAACACTGGTACGTACCTGGAGTGCTAGCGATCTCGAGTTGGCTGGGGTCGTCGTCGAAGTCGTCAAGCTCGACTTCGTCATATGTCCGCTTCGATGACTTGCTCGCCAGAGTCGCCGAAGAACTCTTGCGCGATAGTGCATCTGCTTGGTCCACGCTAGGGGCCGGCACGGCGTCGACGTCTAGCACATCGTCGCCGTCGTCCCAGTCGTCGGCGAGCCCATCCTCTTCCTCACTTGATAATGTTGTGCTTTCCTCATTCGCCAGAGGATCGTCGTCGTAGTCTGCAGGTAGCGTCAGAAAACTCCCACTTCGACGAGAGGCAGACAACTCACTTTGTGAGTGTTCAGCGTGATCGAGATGTGCTGCAGTCGACTCATCGTCGTGTTGGCCAGTGCCGTCGTCTTGCGAATGAGATTCGTCGTAGTCTACGAGACGGTCAGTGACGCGAAGCGAAGGTTATGTGACGCAAGACTTACTGTCCGCACTGTCGAGATGCGAGAATGTATCAGTATGTTCCTTTGTGTCCAAACCGTCGTTGAGTAATTGAGGATCTGGGCCAATTTTTGTGTTAGCGGAAGGCCTATACTATAGAACGAGGATGCATACCTTCGTCATCCTGCGCCCCGGACGCAGCATACGGATCGCCCAGACCCACATCGTCAGAGAAGCTTTGGAGGGTATCTTCATGCGCATCAACGCCTTCTACCTCCACGTAAGCCGAGTCCTGAGGGGCGTCCTCGACAGCGCCAGTGTGAGTATACTCCGCATTCTCCGTCTGCCCACCGATCTCCTCTGGTAGGTCATCTCCGAATTCATCCTCGTCGTCGGGGAACTCATCGTGTCCGACGTAGTCACCCCCCTCCTCCGCGTCTGCATGCTCGTGAACTTCATTCGCATCAAGTGTACCTTCGCCATCTTCACCATCGTCCTGCTCATGTTCGTCTTCGAGATCTGCCGCCTCAGCTTCGTCGGCATCGAGAGGCGCTGCTGTAGCTTCCCTGCTCAATCCCTCGAGCGCAGCTGTACCATCTTCTCCGACAGATTGTTCTGGAACAGCTTCAGGGAGCTCAGATGCCCCGTGGTCATCTGTCGACCCGAAACTTGGGGCCAAGACCTCGGCTTCGGGACCGTCTACACCCTCGTGGAGCTCTTCATGAGCCCCGTCTTCAGTGCCCTCGATGAGCCCGTCGTGGTGCTCGTCGACGCTTTCTCGCGCATCCCCATCTTCGGCGTAGTGGTGTGGGACCTCTTCGGCATCGTGAGATACTCCAGATTCTACGCGGCATAGGTTAGCCACAGCATGTTCGTGGAAGGCGGTAAACTTACGTTGTTCGTGAACAGGGTCCGACGCAGGAGCACCTGAAAGCAGTTCGTCGCCATCGGCGGTCAGATTAAGCCGTGAGATCTGGTCTCGGAGCAGGTGATAACGAGTAACGAATCGAGGGGCGACAAATTTTAGCTTGAGCCGCAACGGCCCTTGCAAGTCAGAGCCACCGTGTATGACGTCGAGTTCATGCAAGGTGACTTCATGCGCGTATACGTTATCCTAAAGACTCGTCAGTGTTTCGCAGGAAGCCCGAAAGTGATAACAACACACCTCGCATATCGCAAGCTTGAGTTCGTATGCGTCCAATACCAACTCCGCGTCCGAGCTGCCCGGAAGGTTCTCGATGCATTCTTCATGACGAAGAGCATCGAAGACAGAAGAAAGGGGCTCGTAGTACAAGGTTGGTCGATCGTGCAGCAAGAGACGGAGTGGTTCAGCAGCATGCTCAGACTTACTGCCTTCCGGCGTGCTCGGGGACGCATCGGACTGAGGCTGGTTGAAGAGACAGTATTCCGCATATTCAGCGGAAGGAGGAAGAGACAATAGCACAGGTGGTGGGGGATCGATGTAGACGCCGTCCGAGATCTCGTGCGGATCATCAGCAGCAAGCTCATACGCAGACTCCTCGCTAGGGTGCAGGCCGACAGGATCAACCGGTACCGCAGGAGATGCTTGGTCGACATCAGAGGGGCCAGAGGGTACTGGTTCCAGAAGGTGATCTTCTGGCGAGTGCAGTTCCAATGCGGCGGGATCGGTGCTTGTGCTTGCGTCTTCAGCGTGATTAGGTGTCGGGAGCACTGGAAGTTCCCCGGGACTGTTATTGTCTCTGACGACGGCAGATACATCTAGGACAGAAGGAGAGGACGGTGACACAGCGTGGTGTACATCTCCCCTGAGCGTGGTCGATGACTCGGCCAACGCGTCTGTCTCCGCCAGATGCTCCGGATGGGCGGTAGAGTCTGTCTCCACATAGAGAGCAGAGTCATCTCTGATGGGCTCGACGGGGTAGTGCGAGCCTGACGCCACCGGCGCCCCGCCGTCGTAAGGAGGCACGTGCATCATCTCCGGATTTTCTGCTTTGGCGTCCCCGGCGACGTCGGTAGGACCCGCTGGCGGAATGGATGCACCTCGAGAGACGTCAAGAACTTCGACGTCCTCTAGCTCTTGATCGTAGTAGCCGTCGCCATCGTCCGCCATTTCGTACTCGGTGATCGCCGCGTCGTCGTCGAGGTCGTCCAGCATTTCGACCTCGATACCCTCCTGCATATAGTCGAACGTAGCAGTGTCTGCGGGGTACGCGACATCGCCCATACTTGCCTCGGCGGACAGCCAAGAATCTGCAGCTCCGGGATACATCGATACGTCGAGATCTCCGGAGTCTGTCATCGGAGCGTCGAAAGATTCAGCCATGATCATAGACATGAGAAAGCCAGGATGTGAGCGTTGTTTTTGTGGACAGAGTTCCAGTAGAGAGAGGTGGGAGGTGGGATTAATGAGAGAGTCGTGTTGCGGCGGCCACTCTAAGCACCAAGGCTGCGGGTTTAGGGCAGGTCGGCTGGGACTTGATCGCGAACTTGCATTTTGCTCCTGCTTCATTGGTTCGGCGCCACAGCTGGTACCTGTTTCGACTCTCAAGTGTTTCTGGGCACTCTACTCGCGACTATTGCTACACGCTGCCAATGCTCCCATAGTCAGCGTAAATGGCGGACGCAGACACTGCAAGACTTTGCACCGAGATCGTGCGGTCGGTCTTCGGCCCTCTGACTGCGGTGAGTACTACCGAACCTGGCTCAACTCAATATAACTTACCTAGCTCTCCAGACCGTCACCTCCATCATCCTCACCCATGGACGCCTTGGGCTCCCACAACTACTTCGTTTCTCGAAAATGAAGCCTCGGACTGTCCGTGCCGCTATCCTAATTCTCGTACAACATAATCTACTATGGCACTCTCAATCTGAAGAGGAGGGAGAAGTCTTCGAAATCAATATCGACGAATGCCTCATGAGGCTGCGTTACGGTCGATATGTGTGGTTGGCAGAGCAGTTGTATGGGAAATCGGTGCGTGGCTACGCCTTCGCGCACCAGGACATGTCTCACCGTCCGTGCAGGGTGGGGAGATTATACAACTAGTGTTAGACCATGGCAAGTTGCGTCCGCCAGACATCATTGCGCAACTATCCATATACGACCCGGTCAAAGGTACGTCGTACTCAGTGAACGAATAGTGTAGTTACTTGACACAGACATGCTAGGCCCCGCCTTGCTCACTCAAACATTACACAAACTTGTCGACGAAGCTTACCTCAAGCCTTCAACACTACTGTCGCACTTCTCCCCTCGCGAAAAGCTGATTCGGTATGAGGGTGAAGAGAAGAGGAAAATACCCGGCTTTCCGACGGCAAGGGAGGTGCGCGAGGCTCGAGAAACCGCTCAGGCTCGATTGACGCGAGAGGAGGAGGAAGCCGAGCAAGTCGGTATGGTAAGTTCTCCTTTGCATTAAATTTATGAACGGAGGATGAAATGTATAGGTCCTAGAAACGCAAGGCGAAAGATTACTCGCATAAAGCTTCCAAGGTAATCCATCCCTACCGAGAAACCCGCATTCAGCTCACTAGTGTGTAGCGCAAAGCTATCGAAGAAGACGTGGAAGTAGACGTGAGTAACGTTCATAAATTCAATTTGCCTTCGCAGTTCTTATACAAGGTGCCTACAGGACGGAGTGTACTTCCGCGTCAACTGCGAGCGATTCAACGTGCACATCCGCAACAAGGTGAGAATTATAATGTATCCTCGCACGCGGCGTTTCTCACACTTCCCTACAGCTCATCGAAACTGCCGCCTCGGAACGTTTCAACGAGTCCGCAGGCACAGTCCTGCGCGCAACACTCAAAGCTACCGAGCCCAGGCAGAGGAAGCTTACCGACGTGCGATCCGGTGCGCGTCTTCGTGACTCCAATCGACGCATCCTCTGACACGGGAATGCAGATCCAACATCCTTCGCTAATGTTGCCATGCATCTCCCCGACGACGTAGACCTTGCCTCAGGACTTGTGTTGCAATCATCAAAAACTCCGCCAACGATGACGCTTGTCAAGGAATATCTCGGCATCCTAGCATCCGCCGATAATCCTACACCTGCCGGTCGAGCAGCCTCCTTCGTTTCTCTAGGAGGGTCAAAAGTACAAGTCGAGTTCGAGATTATTGCAAGGCGACTACAGCGACGGGTGCTTGAGAGTGTTGCGCGGGAACGGCATGGCGACGAGGGTGTCCGGATCATCCGTCTACTTGCGGACACGGGCATGATGGATGAGAAGCAGGTCAGCGCGACAGTTACCCACCGCCTCGTTATTCTCCGTTAATATGTCGCGTAGATATCCAAAATCGGGATGATGGCTGCCAAGGACGCTCGCCCGCTGCTGTCGGCGATGTCGGCGGAGTCGTTGGTCAGCCTTCAGGAAGTGCCCAAGAGCGCGGACCGCAACCCTACGCGGATGTTCTACCTATGGTGCGCTCATAACTGTTGTGACACATCTTGCGTCATACTCACCAGCCGACTATTTAGGTACGTCGATCTACAGAAGGCGTCGACAGTTCAGCTCCGCAGCTTGTACAAGACATTGTACAACATTGCAACGCGACGCCAGGCAGAGCAAGAGGAGCCGAACCTCAAAGCGGTCCTAGATAAGCGACAACGAAGTGATGTCAGCCAGGACGAAGAGAGGTTGCTGACGAGGAACGAGCGGGAGTTACTGGCACAGTGGGAGAAGAAGAGAGAGAAGTTGACGGTGCTTGAGACGAGGGTGGAGGAGGCCGTATTCATCCTACGCGACCTGGGTACCTTCGCTATCAATGACGATTGACTCGAGCTTCGTCTGGATACTGCATTAAGCTACCGCCGAGAGACGCAAGAGGATATCGACCTCATTACAGCCTGCAGAGATATCGGATAGCGGAAACATGACGTTGTCGTCGACCATGCGGCTTGTGCCACATGGCGTTGCCATGCATCCATTGGACGTGGGCGTGATGAAAGGAAGGAACAATAGGACGCTTGGACAGCGGCGGTCCTACCTCCCGCACGGGCCAGCGCCTACGGTGGCTAAGAGGCAGCGCGCGCGACGCGAAATAAGGTTTGCGTTCAACAAAACGCGCGCCGGGACACGTGACCCGCGACGCGCGCGTCCGTATAAAGTGCGCCGCTTCACCGCCTGGCCTTAACTCCCCTTCAACACTCCCCGTCCCCTAACTCTGCTCCCGCGCTCTCCCGCATCCACACTCAACCGCACCCACCCCCATCATCTCATCTCCATCAATGGCTACTGCACCGCGGTCCACTACTTCTGAGAAGCCTAAGTCTTCCGCCACGGACAAGCCCAAGTCCACCGCTGAGAAGCCCAAGTCTGCTGCGGCGGACAAGCCCAAGAGGGCCACTAAGGATCGCGCTACCAAGGAACCTAAGGAGAAGGTTGTGAAGGCAAAGCCTGCTACTGTTAAGAAGCCCAAGGCTGCTGCCGCCGCGAAGAAGACGAAGGCGACTGCTCAGGATGACGGCAAGTCGCACCCGTCCTGGAAGGACATGATCAAGGTCAGATATCCGATACAGCCATGTCGGCCTTCGCTCACTCTTGCTTCAGGAGTGCATCATTGCCCACAAGGAGGAGGCCCGCTCCGGCGTGTCGCGGTCCACCATCAAGAAGGTATGTGATCAATGTGGCTAAGTTGAACCTCGCCCAACCGACGTTGCCATAGTTCGTCAGCGAGAAGTACGGTCTCGATGCGACTTCGGCGGTCAACCTGTCCCACCTCAACCGCGCTATCACCAACGGAGCTGAGGAGGCGATCTTCGCTCTTCCCAAGGGCCCCTCCGGCAAGGTCAAGCTCGCTCCGAAGATCAAGCCGGCCCCCGCGAACGAGGTACGTTCGAAGCGTTCTACCCTTGGACGTCCTCCTGACAGGGCCGTAGAACGACGAGCCCGCCCCGGTGAAGAAGGCAGCTCCTGCGAAGAAGGCTGACGCGCCTAAGAAGGCCCCCGCGAAGCCCGCCGCTGCTGTGAAGAAGGCTCCGGCAAAGACTGCTAAGGCGGCGAAGGCAGCTCCCGCCAAGAAGGTCAGCAGCGCAAAGACCACCGAGAAGAAGGTTAGTGTCTCTTTCCTCAAACATCTAGCGTTTGCTCATTCGGTTACAGAAGACCGCTGCTAAGGCTGCCGCGACAAAGGCCACGAAAGCCAAGACCGCCGCGAAGCCTGCCGCTAAGCCACGAGCGAAGAAGGTGCGTACAGCTCTGGACGTTCGCGATGCATATAATTAATGTTGGCATTAGGCGGCTGCATGATTCGTTCTCCTTCGCGGTGTTGGTGGTCTATCTTATTATCTGGCTTGTCCCTCTTCATGTCGTGCAGCGTTCTACGGTCGTCGATTTGTGTACTAGTATATTCCTACGCTACTGTGTTTGTGTCCATACGTCTCTCGGAATCGATGGAATATCGATCACACGTATAATGCGCGATGAGCGAATGTCTCGTATGACTGTGGCGTACGTTTCAGCGTGTTTCTGGGTAGGAGGAGCAAATCCGAGTGAGGTGCCACAACGCTACTGGTGCTGTCGGCGTCAGCCACCGACGCGCCGGGCGACGCGTCGCGCTCACGTGATAATCTCCTATCCGGCGCCACGCCAACGTTGCTGGTGATGTCCTTTTATTAGGCATCGCACCTAAACGCGATTATTATTGCGGGCTTGCTGTCCAATCGACCTCATCAAGTAGCCTTCAGACGTCGTATGGAGCAAGGTACGATTTTTCCGCCCCACGCAAGCTCGAGCTCAAGCTCAAAGTTATTAGTACTAGTCAAGGGGCAATCAGCCAAGGGCTGGCCGACTCCAACCTCGGAAAGTGCGGTGCAAGACCCCGGACACCAGTCGAGGGGGGGACGTACCTCAGCCGAGATAAGATTGGGACACAGTCGACTACCGTTTACATGGGTCGTCGCAATCATAGTCGTTCTCTGTCTCATTTTTCTTGGTGCAGCGCCTGGTTCGAGCCCTGCATTGAGCTTGATAAGCCGGTTAATAACGGGAGAGGGACGAAACATCAGGTGTTTGGCTGGCCCGAAGCCTGAGCGGTCGACACCAGCCTGCAGATAGCCCTGCATAGCTCGGCAGTATGATTGAAATGTTGTTATGAGAGGCTCTGGTTGTCTCGAGAGCCGTCATTTGACTTGTCAAGCAGTATATGTGTTTCTGACCCCTCGCGAGCCGGCGGCGAAAGTCTATGTCCACAAGCGCAGAATTGGACAGATGCGCGGCAACCGTTCCGTGCTTGCAAAGCAGGCCGCTGCCCTGACGAGTAGCTCAACCCCTTAGAAAATGTTCTCGTATGTCGGTGTCACTGCGTTGATACTCTCTATACACGAGATCGGGCTGCAGGTTGCAAGAGACACATTCGTACTAAGGTGATGCACGGCGGCGGGTCGACGAGGCAAACTAAGATAAGATATGAGGCCCAGCCCGATATGGCAGCAAAACAAGCGCCTTGCATGGGATCTCTCCTCCGAAACTGTTCATTTGAGTATTGGACTCCATACCGCCCACAGAAACGGCGGAAAAAAGCCCCCATTGATAAAGGGCTATATGAAGCGGCTCATGTGGGTTTTACAGGGAAGCACGTAACGATTTGAGCGGCTGAGGAAGGATCCAGCTGAGACGGGCAGAAAAGTCATTTTCAGGACCCCGGGGACCGGAAAGGGGGATGAGGACGTAGGGTTGGAGTCAGCGCTCCCTTGGCTGATTGCCCCTTGGTACTAGTGGGAGATATCACGAGCGGCTATATTTCCATGACAATCCGGATATATTTGGACTTAACTGACGAATATTGTGCAATTTGTTTCTCGCGCACCGCAGCTTCCGACATCTGGTACTCGACATCGACCATCCGTTTCTCATCCACCACCATCCTCTACACAACGCAATGACATCTGATCTTTGTCTTCGCGTATTTGCTCTCAAACCGATGCCACTTCCCTGGAGAATCACGTAGGGCGGCGTAACGCCCAGGAGTCGAAGATCGGTGGAAGGCGATGGACAAGGAACGGTGAAGTCCTGCTTTACCGCACATTGAAGACTATCGTTTCACTTAGCTCCCTTGAGCTCTTGAAGCACCCCGACGCCTTTCAGGTGAAGAGGTGTCGGGAGGATGCTTCGTGATCGTTCTTTTGGGGCGTGTGGTTGTTGACGTCAACCCTCCGCGACTAGTGCGGGGCCTTCGCTACTGGACCCGATTCATCCACTGGCGATACTCGCGTGCATTGTCATGTGTAAGTTTGCGACCCTTGACCCAATGTCACGACGATGTTGTGGCTTGGGGCAAGTCGGCTAGGTCGGTCCTATAAATCATCCTTCCCGCGAGTCGTGCACGCTGACCGACGATCAAGTAATATAGAACACCCTTTGCGACCCTTTCCAATGAGCTATAAACATGCCCAGTGCGGGTTGCCAATGATGTGCAAAATGTCAAGGTCAAGGGCTCTGTGCTCGCCTCCCCTGTGGCTTGCCTCGCCTTCGGCGCTTGAGGGCTTCGAGCCAAGTACCAGGTACGTCTTCTTAGAGTGGATCCGCCTTTTTTTTTCAGTCCTCTAACGTCTATATGGTAGCAAGATTGACAAAAGGGCATGCGCAGTTTCGCTGCTCTTGTCGACGACCCCTTGGCGGGCATTGCGCTGTCGGCAGGCTTCCAAAGCCTTCTGGCCGAGAGCGAAATGGTCATATCCGCTCACCATGAACGGACACGGCCGGCCCGTACTCGTTGAGGGTGACGCGGGCTTGGTGTCACCGATCGTGAAAAAAGGCTCCGGGCCCTGGGCATGGCCAAAGAGGGGAAGTAGCGAGATATGGAGTCTCCGGCCGGAGGCGCGCAAGGCACGATGGCAGTGAGTGTGCAAAGTCCGTTCCTGCATGCTTTTGGAGTCGAACCACAGGGCTGAGAAAGTACAGGTCTGCCATGTGATGGGGGACAGCGGTCGAGATGGGGACATGGCCCCGGGCGCGAGTGCGTCGGGACGGACGCAAGAAACGAACCACCGTTATCAGACGTCGTGGGGTGGGTCCCCCCAAATAGTGCGCTTCCGAGGGGCGACGACGGAACGTGGAGACGGAAGACAGAAGGCCTCCTTTGTTTGGCCCCCGCGACCCGCGACGCACTGGCCCGTTGGGCTTCAATTTTGCGCATCAGGCGGGCTGGGGCCAGAGATCAGGACGGTCGGAGCGAGGTGAGTGGTGTGGAAACTCAGGGCCCGAAGGGGTGACATAAGAGTTTTGATGCTTCTGGAAGTGCTCGGCGCGAGCGCACGCGCGGGCGCTGTCCCGGACCGCTCGGGAGACGTGTCCGGCGACGTGGGCGCTGCGCAGCGTACGGCGAACGTGGCTGGCGGCGAGGGCGGTGCGATGCACAGCGGGCTGGACACGAGGGGGCGCGTCGGGGGAGGGCGGGGGACGGGCGCTTGGAAGATTAGGCGGACGTTTTAGGTTGCGTCATCTAGATCGGAGCTGCGGCCATCAAGGCTAGCTCGAATTAGGCACGCCTGGGACGGTTACCGCTAGGGTCTCAGAAGCGCGTGTCCTTCCTTTCTCTTCAACTTCCCTCTCCCCCCCACCTCCCCGCCCACGCCCCTCCTCCTCCTAATTACTTCCCCTCCCCCCTCGCTGGTCGACCCGCTACTTCCACCATCTCTTAATGCGCGCCGCCCGTCCCTTATGTTCCACCCCATCCTTCCAGCACCTCCAAAGCACGCGTCCGGCCAGCACCAGTATGGCACCAGAACGCGCTCCAACTCGGCCATCAAGCCCTCCATTCGCCTCCGCCACTCCCCCGACGCGCCGCAGTCCCAGAGGCGTATCAAACCCGCCCCTGTCCGCAAGGCCCGAGCAGACAGCGTAGAGGGCCCTGCCCCCGCGCCCCCGCCACCCGACCTCCCTGCTTTCCCGCCTCAGCACGTCTATCTCCACCCGGAGGACGCCGCCAACAAAGTTTTCATTGCCCTTGGGCGCGCTCTCATGTCTGTCGTACGTCGTCAAACTCTATCTGTTGAGCGTGTATATGCATATGTGCGATCTTTCAGGACAACCGCGCAATCACGGTGAAGGATCTTGCCGAGCTCTCGATGAAGTCGGGTCTTATGTGTCAGAAGTGCGTCGTATGCTCCTCTATCATGTTCTTCCGCCTAACCTCGTGTATATTGTTCTACCAGTGTCTCCGCTGCGGGCCAAGCCATTGCAACATTCATCCGCACCCACTACGCCCGATGCGAAGCACAAGACGACCAACCCCTCCTCCTCAAGCACGGCATGTCCGGTACTATGTTCGACGACGACCTTGTTCCAGCGCTGTACTCCCGCGTCGGTGGCGCGCATTGCACCCTCAACAACGGAGCGCAGGATAGGTTGACCAACTTCCGACGAGGTACGCAGGTCTGGTATCTCAGCAAAGCTGCCGGCGCACCTTGTCCGTTCGCTCGGGCGGGCATCCGTCTTTGCGAGTACAACGAAGACGGGAGGATTGGGACCGTCCCTAATCCCGGCAAGGAGCGGAAGCGAGAGCGGGATCGAATGCGCAAAGCAGCACAAGCGTGTGGCCAGAAACGGAAGCGGCTTCCGCGCTCATGCGCTGACAAAGGACCACTCACTTCTGATTCCTCGGACGACGATGAGGAAGAGAGACCACCGAAGGTGAAGCTCACTCTCAGACTCCGGCCTTGTCTCGCATCTACCCCAGGCGCGTCTTCCTCACACTCGGCAAACTCCGTCTCCATGTCTCCGTCGGCAAGTCCCCAACCAGAGGAGGACTCTGATGTCGAGCAAGACTCGGATTATGACTCCGACAGCGATTCGATGTCTGTGGAGGAGGATGAGGATGATGATATGAACGAACCAGGACCTGCACTGTTGCTCCCTTCCCAGCGCTCCCCCGGACCCTCTCGCCCGTTCTCTCTTCCTCAATGTGTCCCTCCGCCTCTTCCTGGCTTCCCCTCTGCGCCCGAGACCTATCGACGTTCTATGTCCACCCCGTACAGCGAGAGATCCGGCTCCCCTCCGCCGGACTCTGAAGCAGAGGACGATGATTACCATATCACCATGACAGATGCTCGCCGACTGTACTCCCGCTCTTGTGCGTCTACGGAGGACGAAGATTCTGCCTGGGACGGCGACTTCTTCGGCGACGTGGATGTGGACGCCGAAACTCAGTGGGACAGCCCTGGTCCCCGTTCGCCCTCGGTGCAAATCGAGGACGAGGTCGTCGTCAAGCAGGAACCCACCGATGTCCGCGGCCTCCTCGACGCTTGGGAGGATCTGGAGACTCGGGCGACAGACCTGAAGGTCATCGACATTGTGGCGCAGGCCGCAGCGGCCGAGCGTCAGATGGAAGAACAAGCCGCATCAGATGATCTCTCAAAGTGGTCCTGGCCGAGTACACTTCCGGAGAGCACCGAGCATATCAAACAAGAGGACGTCGAGCCAAATCTATTGTTCTCTGACAGCGAGTTCTCGCCGCCACCTGACACCGAGTCTCCTCTCCCCCATTACGACTACGACCCGTACGATTCTCCTGTGGAGGAACGTTCGTTCAGATTCGACGCCGGCTCATCCTACGACTCGCAGTGGAGAGATGTGGAGATTTTGGGTCCGGACAGCGTCAAGCCCCGCGATCTCGAAGATGGAGTTTGGCACGAGTACCGAGGCCGGGCCGTTTCCCCAGAAGAGCCAATTCGGTCGCCCTGCCCTGGATCTTCTACTGCCCCCGACCCTTCTTCCCCTTCGTCTCCGAAACTCTCACGCGCTGCGCTCCCCCCACTGGATGTGAAGTCGACAGATGTGGGTGCAAACATTGCCCAGGGAAGGAACATGTCGATCACCTCCCCGTCTCTGCTCGCGTCCTTGACTTCGCTGTACATCCGGAGCCCCACTATTCCCGCAGCGTCCACCCAGCGCAACGCTGGTTATGCGGTGGGGGATGCGCCTGCCTCAGCGCCCAGCACGTCATGCGTCCGGGATCCCTCGGAGGACGAGCCTTTGGTCGTTCACACTGTCCACGAACTTGAACCGGCTATTTCTGCCACCCAATTCGAAGGTGCGTTGTTTACATGTGTTCCGAGAGCGTGGAAACTGACAAGTCGTGTCTTCCACCTGTAGGAGTGCCCGTGTATCAAATGACCTTGGGTTCATCCTTGGTCCTTCGCCGCATTGACACAGACTTCGTGAACGCCTCTCCCATCGCGCAGCGTCTTCGGGTGTCCTGCCCCTCGGCACCTAACGCCGTGGCGGTCATGGGTGGGTCGCCAAGCATCTGCGGAACGTGGGTCCCACTAGACGTCGCGCGAACCTTGGCCAAGGGCGAGTCCGCCCTCGAGACGTTCTTGTCCTACGACCTGCGCTGTCTTTTCCCTCCGTCCCTCAACGCAGTACACCCTGTTGGCGACCGGCAACCAGCATCCTCCGGGTATGGTCACCAGTTCAAGTCGGCATCAGAGGCGAGGCGTCAATCCATGACTTCGCACCGGCTGGAGCTCCCGCCGCGTGAATTCGAGGTCTCATGGGAGGACCACCTTTCCACGCATCCGTCCTTCATTCTCGCGACCTCTGCGCTTGATGGGCACCGACCGGCGATGGAGGAGGCACCGCTCCCCGTCGTGGAGACGCTCAGCCCCACAGAGGAGGCAATGTTCCATGTGCTGTGCGCCGATCCGGAGTGGGACGAAGCGCCGCGATCGCCGACCGAGGAGCACGCGCCCGAAGTGGGCGACACCGCCATTCGACCGGCGGACACTACGGAAACCCCGCAGGACCGCCCGCTCCGTCGCTCGAAGCGGGTCGCAAACACGGTCACCACACGGTCCCGCACGCGCTCGAGCAAGAGGGGCTCGCGCACGTCGCTTTCTTGATCCCCCTTTACCCTCTCCATTCACCATTCAATTCATGACCCCCTGCTCTCGCGTCTTCTGTTCGAGTTCTAAGCTTATTCCTTTCATGTTCAAAGCCCTCCGTTTCATGCCGTTTCGCCGTAGAGTATATGTGTACCGATTATCCCATCCCCGCTCCGTTCCGTCTATTTTTTGTTGCGCACCCGGACGCCCGCTGCCGGAGAACGGCCTCGGCCGCACACTCGCTGGTTCTGCGCGCCCGCTTCGAGGTGATTTCGAGGGAGGCGAGGATCAGATCATTGCGCCTGTTGTTGACGGGGTGTGATGGACGTGCAATCGCCGCCGATTGCGTGGATTTGCGGGCGGTGGGGGGTGCGGCGGGGAGGTATGGTACGAACTAGTAGTATGCGTGTATGCGCCGAATGCGAACAATAGGACCCTGTTTAGTGCAGCGAGCGAGTGCGGTACAAGGGACGGAGGCTGGCCGCGGCTGTGGGAGCAGAGGTCGAGGGCCGGCGGGCGGCTATAGAAGGGGCGGAGTTCGAAGGGGGGAGGCGTTGGCGGAGGAGCTGGGTGTTTGCTGTTTGCTCCCAACCACCTTCATCCTACTTAGTCCACTATTTACTGGAGTCGTCCGTACTGTAGTAGTCCTGGGCAGTCCCCTTCTCCCTTCCGCCCAAAAACTTGCTTTCTCGCCCGCAAGGCAATATTACGACCTGTAGCCCCCTGCTCATAGTTACCCATCGGACTCCGCCTGCTACTTTTACCCCTCTTGCTTGCTCTCGCGCACTCCTGCTCTAGCTCTGGCTCTAGCTCTGGCCCGTCCTCCCCTGGCTGTCCCAACAACCTCAAGTAATTCCTAATCCGCACCTTCAGGCCCCATGTCGCTCTCCGCCAACGACAACTCCTTTTCCCGCGTCTCCTCGGGCAAGACCCCGCCCCCCGCGCCCTCGGCCGCTTTTGCCAAACGGTACGTCCCCCCTTCCCACCCATCGCCCGCACGATCGTGCGATCTGCCCCATCTGACCCTGCCCACGCTCAACAGCGCGAGGGAGCTCGAGGCTGAGCAGACCATTGGCGCCAGATACAGGCCTCCCGCGCTGCGCGCCCTCGCCTCGGGTGGCTCTCCCCCCAACGAGCACCCCCCGTCCGCGAACACCCCGACCGATCCCTCGGCTTTACCCCCCACCAACTATCCCCCGGGCTTCAGGAGGGCGAGGGCCGGAACCTTACCTTCCAACGTACAGCTGGCCGCCCAGCGCTTCGCCGCTGCTTCGAGCAACCTAGGCAGCCCCGTACAGTCCACCGAGTCCTTCTCCGACCAGCTCAGGCAGCGCGCCGAGCTCGGGACCCCGACGTCCACGTCAGCGGCAGGTGCACCCGTGCGCCCCGGCTTACGTCACTCGGCCTCTGTCGCCTCGTCCGTCGCTTCGTCTGCTCTTACCGAGCGCAACAGCCGTCTCCGTTCGGGCTCGCTCACGCTGCCCACTGGGGGGCTCTCGAACGCGTTCGGGCCGTCCATCTTTTCGTCCTCGTGGCTCTCGTCGCGCACGGGCGTAAACGGGCTGCCGATCCTGGACGATTTGCGCTCCGTGGCATCCATGGACTCTGGCGCTGACGACTTTGACGTGCACACGCTCGATTATCTCGGTCTGGACGATGGTTTGCGCCACCCTCCGGCGGCGACGATCTCGGACTTGCGCAACCAGGCGCAGGCCGCGATCACGGCCAATCTGAACAGCAGTCACTCTCGCATGCGGGCCAGCACGGTCTCGAACCCGTACCACATCCGCCCGTCGGCCGCCTCGCTGCTGTCGACCCCGAACGGTGAAGAGGAGGAGGAGCTCTACGAGGATGATGTGTACCGCCGTGGTGGGCAGGGCATTTATGGAGAGGCTGACAACAGCAACTATCTGTCGACCGACTACATCGCCCAGGGCTTCAAGCAGTCCGACCACCTCAGCGTGGGCCTCGGCACCCGCCCGCGCGCCATCTCCGTGGGTACCCTCGATGACTCTACGTCCCGCCTCCACCGCCGTGCTGGCGTCGGAGAGATGCTCCCCAGCTACGGAGGCGACCTCTCCCTTCACTCGGGTCTCGGTAGCTCCAACCTGAGCCCCGCGGGCATTCTGCGTTCTGACAAGACGGCTACCCCGAGGAACGGTTTGGCTGCGAGCGTGCATTTCCCCAACCAGGAGCCCCCTGCGAGCCGCGCTTCGGCGTACCTTGCCGCTCCCTCTCAAGGCCAGAACCGTGCTGTTTCGCCGAAGTCGGAGAATCCGTCAGGGCAGATGCAAACGCCGACCCGCTCCCTCTGGATCGGTAACTTGGACAGCTCATTCAGCAGCGAGCAGCTCATCCATGTGTTTGCACCGTACGGGGCGATTGAGTCTCTCAGGTTGCTTCCCGAGAAGGTCAGCTGCGTCGTGCTCCGCGGTTATCGATAGAATCTGACATCACCGTCCGGTAGGAGTGCGGCTTCGTCAACTTCGTCGACCAGGCCGATGCCATCCGTGCGAAGGATGACGTCCTGAACCGCCTTGGTGGGGACATCGGCATGCCTAACGGGCAAACCGTGCGCATTGGGTTCGGTAAGGCAGACAGCGCGCCGGTCGCTCCTGCGAAGGGTGCCAACCTCAACAGCCCGATCGCTACGTCCCCTGGTGGCGTTCTTGGTAAGGCCGGCAGCAACAATGTTGGCCTGTCTGGAATGGACGCGCAGCTGCAGTCGACGCCTACCCGTGCCCTTTGGATCGGGTCGATCCCCTCGACGACGACGCCCGCTACGATCCTCAGCGTGTTCAGTCCCTATGGACCAATCGAGTCTGCGCGTGTCCTGACGCACAAGAACTGCGGTTTCAGTAAGCTCTTCTCTTCTTTTGGTTAGATCTTCGGTGGTTGACACGGATTTGCAGTCAACTTCGAGCGTCTGGACGATGCCGTGCGGGCCCGCAAGGCCCTCAACGGTCGCGACGTCCTGGGCAGCGATGTCGGTGCCATCCGCATTGGCTTCGCCAAGGTCCCCGTCAAGAACGGACAAGATGGCAGCGGCGGGCAGGACGAGGGCGCGAATGTCAACGTCCAGGGTGTCGGCGACCTCAGCGTCGGTGCCACTATTCACGCTCTCCGCAATATTAAGGGTGCCTCGACCATCCCGGTCGACCAGCAAGTGCTCAGTGGCTCCTTGGAGAACTACCGCTCGAACCTTCTCCTCAGCATGATCGCGTCTGGGGCACACACTGGATACGATGGCCCTGGCAAGCCTGGGTGGAGTGCTTCAGTCACCGAGCAGCAGATGATCATGAAGGAGCTCAGTGGAGGCAGCCCCGACGCGGAGGCTGACATTCACGCTCTGACTGGTCTGTTCATTAACCTCGTTGTGTCAAAGAGGTTTGCTGATGGGGCCGTGCAGAGTTCCGCCCGCCCACGATGTACTATACCACGATTCCCCTGGTCTCTGAGAGACCGCACAACAGGCGGTGGGATGCGTCGAAGCTGCGTGAGCTCCGCAAGAGGCTCGATACTAGCACGATTACGACCGAAGAGATCGACAACGTCGCCGCCGACTTCCTGGACGGCGAGATCGTCGACTTGGCGTCGGACTGGCTCGGGAACACGGTAAATCACCCCGCGCATGTTTATCTGATGTGTTGCTCACTGGATGCGCTTCCAGGTGGTGCAGAAGCTGTTCGAGAAGTGCTCGTCCGCGCCCAGGATGGCTATGCTCGAGCGGATCGCCCCGCACCTCGCCATGATTGGCATCCACAAGAACGGCACCTGGGCCGCGCAGAAGATCATCGAGTGCGTCCAGACGCCCGACGAAGTCGCGCTCGTCACTGCGAACCTGCGCCCCTACGTTCCCCCGCTCCTGCTCGACCAGTTCGGCAACTATGTCGTGCAGTAAGTTCTCTATCGCCGCCCTATGGGAGTAGGAAGCTGATTGTTTGTAGGTGCTGCCTTCGCTTCGGTGCTCCCGCGACGGACTTCCTGTTCGACGCGATGGTGGACCGGCTGTGGGAGATCGCGCAGGGACGCTTCGGCGCGCGCAGCATGAGGGCATGCTTGGAGAGCTCGCACATCACGCTCAACCAGCAGCGTCGGATTGCTACCGCGGTTATCCTCAACTCGATCCCGCTAGCCACTAACCCGAACGGTGCTCTGCTCTTGACCTGGCTGCTCGACACCTCGAGCTTCCCGTCGCGGTACAACCTGCTGGCGCCGCGCTTCACACCGCACCTCTCGCACCTGTGCACTCACAAGTTGGCGTCGCTGACCGTGCTGCGCATCGTCAACCAGAAAGTGGAGCCCGAGGCTTCCAAGCAGATTGTAGAGGCCCTGTTCAACTCGCCCGGCGACCATGTACTCACCGACGTTCTCGGCGATCAAGTGAATGGCGTCGCTGTCGTCCACAAGATCTTGACTAGTCCATTCGTGGATCCCGCGAAGCGCCCAAGCTATGTGGAGGCCACCAAGCGTGTCCTAATCGAGCTCAAGGTCATCGCCACCCAAGCCTACCGTCGCCTGATCGAGGAAGTCGGGTTGCCCGTACCCAACCTGCAGCCGACGTACTCGACGAACATTCCCCAGCCTAGCGGGAAGACCAAGTTCACGTCGCAAAACCAGTACGGCGGCATGCCGGGCCTCCCGGCAGGATACCCCTCCAACGACCAGGGGTTGCAGTCGATGATGGCTGCGCTGCAGATGGGCGGACAGAACGCCGCGTCCGGCCCTCCGCGCCTCCAGATCGACCCTGGCTACAGCCAGAACGGCGGTGGCGCCCCTCCGCAGCGCGGTGGCCGCGTGTCGAACCCACCCTCTGCGTTCTCGCCTGCCTCCGACCCCTTTAACCCCTTTGCGGCGCGCACGCCTGACGCCAACACGCCGAGGAGCGGTGTGCCCCGCCGCAACGGCGGGATGCCGCCCGCCAACACGCACTCGCCGTCGCCGATCCCGTATGGCTCGCAGTCGCCGAACATGCCGCAGGGCAACCTCATGAACATGAACCAGCAGCCGGCGTACAACGGGATGCCGCCGCAGTCGGTCCCGCCTCACGTCTACCAGGCGTACATGTACCAGATGTATCAACAGCAGAACCCGCCCAACATGGGCACCTTCCACGCCTAGATCCGTCCTCTCCCTGCACCCGTAACCGCTACCGGTCTCACGAACGTCACGACCTGCTCTCCGACACACACCCTGTCGAGCTACGCTACGAGGATAATCCGATCTTTCCGCCCGCTCTACCCCTCTCGATGTGTTCTACATATTATCGTATTGAATCGCGGCGCGGCAGCGCGTGCGTCCCCTCGGCGCCGCCTGCACCCCGCCTTCCATATACCCCGCCCGGTCCCATCTCATCTCACCCCCAATGTCAATAACTCCCCATAGTCGCGCGCGTGCTCACTCGTTTGGCTCATGTCCTGCCCCCACCCAATGTCCCCATGTCCCAATACTTTCTCCCACCATACTTCCGGTACCTGAACGTGAACTCGATACACCCCAAAAATTGGACGCGGCCCTCGCGCCGTAGGACGGTACACCGCTAGCGCTGTTGTCGCCTCCCCCCGGTCGCGGCCCGGGGCCCAGCTGGTTGGCAGCTTGCTTGCATGCGCTTCTGTTTCTTCATTGTCTTTTCGTGCGTTTTGAATCATCAACTCATCCTCATCTCTATTTCTCGTTGCGTGCGTTGTATTACATACGGGGAGGCTTTCCTGGAAGCCACTGCACCATAGAAATATATCACGAAGTACGCTCTCGTCTGAAGCTGTTGGCAATGGGTGCACGAATGGCCTCTACCGGGTGATATATGTTCTTGGTCCCTCGACGGTTGCCTTACCTTGTACTTTCATGACCTTTCAATGGTGGGTTCTGTCATGCTACCGTGTACACCGCCAGCAAAAGTATTACAGTAGTGACTGGCGGCCAATCTCGTAGTGTACAAGGGCACTCATATGACAGGGGATGGTACAATACCAATAAGTAAACAATCATGAACCACAGCGGGTCCCTAGTACTCAGTCGTCCTCCGCGTCGACGTCCATCTCCTCCCCAAGCTCAGCGGTTCGCGCCCGCTCAGCCCCACCACCATTCGTCATGAGCCCGCCCACGTTGACCCGCCCATTCCGCATCCCTGCCCGGTCCCGCTCCGCGAGGTGTCGATCTAGCGCGTCCTCCCAACGCGCCGCGCTCGAAAAGAATTTGCGTTTCATGCCCTGAGCGGGCATGTCGCCCGCCGCCCAGGGCTCGTGCCCGCACCCGAGGTCGTAGCCCTCTGGCGGCGGTCGCGGAACATCGAAGCACTCGCCTGTAAGGAGGCTCATACGTTTCTTCCCGCGGCGCGCCGGGTTGGAGCGGGCGCGCGTGCGTGCGAGAGAGGTGTCCGAGTCGTATTCGGAGTCGGAGTCGGGCTGCGCGGCCCTGTCTTGCAGGTTGTAGACGAACCGCGTGTGTCCTGGTGCGTGCGCGTCAGGGATGGGGTGCGTGGATGGTGGGTGTTGAGGGGGACTTACGGGCTAGTTTCTCGTCGAGGTCGTCTAGGGGGCCTTGCTCGTAGGCGTCCCCGACGCCGAGGTGCTCGCCTACGCTTTCTCGGGGCACGTCCTGCAGCCCTACCGAGGGCGCTGGACGCAGCTCTGAGAGATACCGGAGTGCTGTCTCCCTGCCAAGTGACGCATGAGCTAGACTGGGAGGATGGCAAAATGCATTTGGACTCACCGCACTCTGTCCAACGAGTTGTCCCTTAGATTCATGTCCTCCATGTTGCTCGCGGGGACCTCCAGCCGATATCGCGGGCCAAACCACTCAAAATACTCGTTCCAGGGCATATTAAGGTCGATGTCGTTTTCGATACCCAGCGCACATGCGGTTTCGTACGTCCACGTCCGCGCGACGTTCTTGACCGTGTACCCTCCACCGCCCAGCAACATGAGCGGGATGTTCTTTTTGCGGATGTACTGCACGCAGCTCGCGTGTCCCTGCATCGTGAGGTTCAAGCAGCCCAGCTTGTCGCCAGAGAGCGAGTCCGCGCCGCACTGCAGGACAATTGCGGACGGCTGGAACACGTCGAGGATCTTGTCGATGACCTGGAGCCGGCAGCAAACGTGAGTTCAGTCCTGGTGGGCGGCACATCAGTCCCCGCGCCCCGGCATGGAGGGAAGATGGCATCTCGAAATGGCGAACGCACCGGCTCAAACACGCTCCTGTACGCCTCGTCCGTGACCCCATCCTTGAGCGGCACGTTCACGGCGTAGCCGCGCCCCTTGCCGCGGCCCCTGTCGTCGAGCGTGCCCGTGCCGGGGAAGTACTCGCCGAACTTGTGGAAGGAGCAGGTCATGACGCGGTTTGTGGTGTAGAACGCCTCCTCGACGCCGTCGCCGTGGTGGCAGTCGATGTCGATGTAGAGCACGCGCGGGACGGTGCGGAGCATCTCGAGGATCGCGAGCACGATGTCGTTCACGTAGCAGAAGCCGGACGCCTCGCGCTTCTTCGCGTGGTGCAGCCCGCCGGCCCAGTTGATCGCGATGTCGGTCTGGCCGTTCATGAGACGGTGCGCCGCAGCTGCATGGATTGATGTTGGGATGCCGCCGAATGCGCGAGGGGTACGGCACTCACCTAATGAACCGCCCGCCGAGATCGAGCAGAACTCGAACACACCGTCGAACGCGGGGTTGTCCTCTCCGACTAGGAAGCGCGTTCCTTGATAGGACAACTGCGGCGCATTCTCCGGGGTGACGCGCGACAAGAACTGCACGTACTCATCGGTATGAAACCTTGTCATGGTCTCCGCGGACGCGCGTTTTGCGCGCTATCACCGGCACTCGGCGTCAACATATGTTCAGAGCGTAAGGGACAGGTACTAACAAGAACGTGCATCCTGGGAAGCATGTCATATGCGGTGAGGAGTTCGTGTGTTGCGCGCATGCGTTGCGGCTTCATGGGATGTGTGAGGCCATATGTGAACGCACCGACATCGGCTGTATGCTCTGTGTGAGTACACGTGGTGCGGGAGGTCAGGGAATACGTACGGTCGTAGTAGTAGGTGACGCGCCGTTTGGACATGGCTGGACGTTGTGGGGGACGAGCTCGAGGCTGGCGTCGGCGCCGCCGTCGACGTCCTGCTGAAGGGACTGATTAGACGCCCCTGAGTGGCAGAGACAAGGTGCGGCCCGGCGCATCCGGACATACCCAACGTCATTGACGCGCTCAAGTTGGTGTCGGTGCTTCTTGCTCTTTTCCAGGTTCTGGTCCTCGCTGCTCGTGCGCCTCGTTCTCAGTATCTGCAATAATATGGGCTCAGCTGCCTCAAAACCTGCGCGCAGGCTTGCCAAGACCGCGCCGCCGGGATGGGCTGGTGCGAGAACACCTAATCCTGCAGAACACGCACCGTCTCCTAGACCTGCCGTGCCCCTCGCAAGCGAAACGAAGACAGAAGGTCAGTCATGCCACAATTCCTCCGTGGAATCCGCGACTTATGGACGCACGAAGCCATCATGAAGGACGGTGGTGACACTCTATTGGCCAACCTCCAGAAACTTGGGCAAGTGCGGGTAGACCATAACATGCGAACCATCAAGCCAGTATGTACACCCATCTCGGACTCAATGTTCCGCTCTTTGACGGACGCGATACAGGCTGCAGAACAGGCACAACGCATTCACGATTCACGCTTGCTTTCGGAAGATCAAGCGCGTTCTTCTCGACAACCACACAACCGCCTGGTAGCCGCGTCTCTCACGGAACTCCTCGAAGAACGAAAGTACGCGCCGACACCAAAAGCACTGGAGGAGCTCCCCAAGAAATATGCCATCGACTCGGACAAGGTTGAACGTCTCGCGCGATATGTGAACAGCGTAAGCGTGCACCCAGACTTGGTGAAGAGATGGGTCAGCGAAGACGGCGCGGAGCAGACGACAATGCTGGTAAGCACAGCGTCTAGCGTGATACTACTCGCAACTAAGCTCGAGTCCTTCCGCAGGCTTCTTGGGTGAACCCAAAGGCCCGAGAGGTGCCCCCATAAGCTCAACTCAGAGCAATACACGGTGACACTTCTGCTCGTAGCAAACCCTCTCTCTGTGAGCCGACCCTCACATACCGATGTGTATGACCTTCCTCCAGCTCGTATATCCCGGCGGCTACTACAGAGCTCCCACATCACGGTTTGCTGATTGGGAAATACGAGCGTGATAGTCCTATATTGCCCGTCTCATCAGATTCGTTGAAAAAGCGACGTCGCAGTGTCTTCTCGATCCTACTACCTGATTCCCTCAAGATAGCAACCCTATATCCGTCCGTATATCACAGCATGAGTACACACAAACCAGCTACGCCGGCCTTGTCATAGGCAGCACCTCTTCACCGCTCTTCCCCGGATCTGTCCCGTTAGCAGTCGCCCGTTTCCCCAGCAAGTGGTTCTTCACCAGCCCCAGCGCAGTGAGCGCGCCCTCCCCAGCGGCCCCTGCCAAAGCCGCGTGCAGCGGGTCCAGCGCAATTTTCTGCGGGGAGTCGTCCCCCGAGAGCAACCAGAAGATCTGGCAGCCGATAGGCCCCGCCAAAAGCCGCGGCGCGTACTTCATGAAGAGCAGCGCGTACCGGTTCTTGGGCGTGATGCGCTTGATGAACTCGTTCGCGGGCGCGGCGCTGCCCTCGAGCACGGTGCGGTCGAACGTGAGCGGGAAGGAGAGGAGGAAGATGACGAGCGGGGGGAGGTTCACGACGAGCGCGCCGATCGCGGCGAAGATCATGGTGTTGTCGAGCTGGCCCTCCGCGAAGGCGTCGTCGAGCGTCGCGGGGACGGCGTACCGCAGGACGATGTGCCCGAAGACGACGGTGAACCAGTGGGAGAGCGCGATGAACCAGGAGGCGAGGATGACGACGAAGATGAGCATGAGGACGAGGCCGCAGAGCTTCGCGGCGCGTCGGAGGGTGGCGAGTACTTGTGGATATGTTTCGGCTACTTTCGCGGTTGCTTGGGCTTGGAGCCGCCGACCATAGTCTGTGAGACGGGCCACATGAGGGCTCGCGAGTACTCGGGAGGTCCAAGTAGGTGTTTCCGCCATCGAATATGCGGGATATAGCCTTGGCTCGGAAGGTGGAATGTCATCGTCCGTGACTTTGGGGTTCGACAGGCAAGGCACCGCCTCTATTCCTGCTTCGACATCTGAGCGGACCCATTAGTGGTTGAACATATCAACTAGCGGTAACACATACCTTTGCTATCACCCATTTCCGTATGTGGCTGTCGAAACTCGAGCCTCACGACGCCTTGTCTCCCCTAGGCAGACGATGTGTGATCTATAGAGGGGGGGAGGACGATCACACTAACCACGACGCCGGGCGCGAGTCAGTGGCTTGAACCGTACGTAAGTCAAGTACTGCCAGTGAGCCTCTTGAAGCGCTTTCAGCAGAGCTATCCCCAGGAATAGAGACGATAGTCTTACGGTGTTGTATGCCGAACAGGTGAACAAAGGTGAACAACCGCTGTGGGACTGCGGTCAACGCTTGCTGAGCTTGAGCTCGATCATTCGGACTCAGTCGAGACGGGATCGTGGTCCCGGTCAGGCACGTAGTGGCGCAGCCTGAGCACAGCCACCACTTGAACAGGCTGTAGGCTACACCTCCACTCAAGCCTCGACTAAGTACTGCTGACGCTCCAACCTTCCGGCTTATATCCACTGTTTGGACATCGGGGGGATAATAAGCTCCCTAAATTCACGCTGCGCTTAAAGTTCTAGAGCTGCTTTGCGTTATGACGTTTAGCGGCACCCAAAAACAGCCAAAAACATGGACCAATCGCGAATATTGAAAATAACGATACTGACCTGCTGAGTGGGCGTATCGCCGTAGAACATATTCCCATGGGCCCATCACCTCCGATACAGTCTGGGGACACTGCACCGCAGCCTTAACCGTTACGGTGGCACCTTCATCCAGCTTCACCCCCTTCCAGCAGCTACGCTTTGACTTCAGGTATGTCGTTCAATAGCGAATCTCAGTTCTAAGTTTTCGTTTGACGATGCATCGCCGCATTACAGATGGATTCAACCAATCCTCGAGCACAAGACACGTCCGCTACTAGCGAGACTCCGAGCACGAGCGAGTCTAGTCCTGCACTCGACGGACGCTACAAGAACCTAGTGGCCCTATCACTATTCGGCACCCTCATTTTCTTCGCTATTGGGGTCGCTGCGCTTCAGAACGCCTTCCTCGCGCTCATCGCCCACCTCATCCTCGCCCACTGCGCCGTCCCGCCGATCAATGGCCCGTTCGCTGCAGCCAGCCTCAAGGCGACGTTCGTGCTATCGCTGATCAACACACCCTTCGTCCTCCTCCCCGAGTTCCTCCACACGGCGTACGCCTTGTTGCAAACTGGCTTCAATCTAGAGTCGTTCCGTACCCGCAGAGCCGCCTGCGGTAACAGACGCCCCTCTACAGGCCGGCTCAATGCGCAGCGAGCCATGCGCCACGTCCTGATGGCATCCTCCGGCCCTGTAGGCTCCCTCGTCTACCGTGCGCTGTGGTGCTCGCCGGAGGGATGCGCGGCTTTGGACCCGCTGCACGCCGCCGTCGCCGCCATCGCGGGAAGGGTGCTGCTTTGGGGCTACCTATTCGTCCGCAAATGCTTCGCCGAAGACGTGTCGGAGGAGCTGGAGAGCCTGCGCCAGGAGCAGCTCAACGTGGAGCGTGACGGGCTAGACAAGCAGTCGGCTAGAGCGAAGGATGGTGCGTCTCATAGCGATAGCGTAGTGTAACACCAAGGAAGTCCTTCAGTTCCAGCTCCCAGGACTCGTGCACTGGTGTTGCAGTGACCTCAGGTGTCGTAGTTGTTCTGCGTGGGGTGTCATACTATTTTGAACCTAGATTTCCTGACTGACTTGAAATATGATCTTAGCCTCGACCAGTCTGCATGTTAGCGTTGATATTTGCGCCGAGGAGGGATCCAAGCCGTTTAGACGCTGGTTTACCCTCTTTGAACTTGACGTCGATCTGGCCATCGGCGAACGCTCGGTGGTTTGCATGTGCAAGAGTGTTTCCACGACCTAATCTCAGCTCTTTTTTTCTGGCAAATATCATGACCACCCTACCCCCACGCCCCCCTTTATAAAGAGAAAAGAGAGAAAGGAGGGGCGTGTAGGTCACTGTTCAAGCAAGTTCGAACTTGTTTACTTCAAAGGTGAGCTCAAATCATGAGTCTGAACTTGAGGGCGCCCGCTGAAGTGCGCGCTACTTCCGCCATCAACAGAGTGTACTACAGGGCTCTGTACTACGGTGCCGCAGATCGTGACCACAGTGATGCTCGCGTGCCGCATCAAGGAAGACGACCTCACCAATCCCAATACTATGCAGCTGGAGCCCACATCATCTACTGCGTGTCTACTTGGCGCCGTTCAAAGGCTGCGTGGTGATTACACAGACCCGCCTGGCAGCCATGAACTGGACCTAGAGTAGTGGTAAGCTCCAGTAGCACTGATGAACAGTCGTAGGTTCAGTATCATGGTCTTGTGATACAGTGCTAGCTGCCGAAGGTGGTGTGTCACTAGGAGGCCGGATGCGTACGCAGCTTGGGCTCCTGCTTCCTATCAGTGAATTTTGGTACATATACGGCGTCGTCTCCGAGATTTGACGCAGTGCTGACCAGCTCAACGCCATGCTAGACTCTCTGCGATCCCGATCGGCGATTCAGTCTGTACCAGCATACGCTCTGAGGAACAAGACTCTGCCTCTGCGATGCCGGAGCTCTCACGAGAGTGGCGAGTACGGTCGGCGCATACACTAGGGCGACGGGCTTTCGTCGCGCTTTTGGTATAAAAGCGGCTCAGCGAAGATGTGCAAAGCAAGAACCAAAACACCCCAAGCACCCACTCATTCAACAACTCAGCTACACCTCTTCGATATGTCTCAGATTACCCGCAAGGTTGGCAACTGCAAAGTCAGCGCGGTCGGCTTTGGCGCGATGAGCGTCGCCGGGCTCTACGCCCAGGTTCTATCCGACGCCGAGAAGATGAAGGTGCGCACCTCCCTAGTGATTGCTACGACTGACGAGGGCATTTGCTGACTTTGCACACCCGCTTACAGCTCCTAGATGCCGTGTACGATAACGGCTGCACCTTCTGGGACACCGCCGATGCGTACGGCGACAGCGAGGTGATCCTCGGCAAATGGTGTGCCCCCGTTCCTTTGCGCTGTGTAAGTTTGTCGATCTGACGTTTTATCTCAAGGTTTAAGCGGACGGGCAAGAGGAACGACATCTTCCTCGCCACGAAGTTCGGCATGGCTTCTGGCATCCCAGGCCGCCTGATCTGCGGCGACCCCGAGTACATCCCGAAGGCGATTGACAAGTCCCTTGAGCGGCTCGGGGTGGACCATGTTGATCTGTGGTACCTTCAGCGGTACGTACCACACGCACGCCATTAATTCTTTTTTCGTCGAGGCTCACTATGTTCGTGATCTTAGGGCTGACACCACCGTGCCCATTGAGGTACAGTTGCAGCGCTGCTTCGAAAAATTACTAGCGAATCTGATCAGACCTATCCCTTCTAGCTCACCGTCGGCGCTATGGCTGAACAAGTCAAGTAAGCGCACGGCCTCGTTAATGTGTAGCTACTGAACATGTCTAACATATGTCGCGATTCGCAGGGAAGGAAAGGTCAAGTATCTCGGCCTGTCGGAGGTCTCGGCGGCAACCCTGCGCCGCGCCCATGCCGTGCACCCTATCGCGGCCATCCAGGTCGAATACTCGCCCTTCGCGCTCGACATCGAGGACGAGAAGATCGGGCTGCTCAAGGCCGCGCGCGAGCTCGGGGTCGCTGTCGCCCCTCGGCCGCGGCTTGCTGACGGGCAGATTCGTGAGTTCTCCGCCTTTTCCTCGCATACAATCGTGCCTTAAACTGGTGCGCAGCGGTCCCCGGAGGACCTGGGCAAGAACGACCCGCGCCACATGTTCCCCCGCTTTTCCGCAGAGAACTTCCCGAACATCCTGAAGATCGTCGACGGCGTGCAGGCCGTCGCGACGAAGTACGGCGTCACTCCGGGCCAGGTCGCGCTCGCCTGGCTCCGCGCGCAGGGCGACGACATCATCCCGATCCCGGGGACTACCCGCATTGCCGCACGTCCCCAGTGCCTCGATGTCGCATGGAGACACTCACGATGCCGCTTATATGCAGGGCGTGGAGGAAAATATGGGAAGCATCAAGGTGGAGCTTACGCCGGAGGACGTGGCGGATATTCGCAAGCTGGCGGACGCGGCGGACAAGATCCTCGGGCCCCGGTACCCCGCCCCGTTTGAGGCCCTCGCCTTTGCGGACACGCCCGCGCTCGCCTAGGCGTATATAGTGATGTAGTGTTACCTGTGTTCACCCTCTGTATTCCCTTTGAATGATTGGTGCATGTACATGCAGACCCGCAGTGGATGTGCGGATAGGGGCTCTTACTAGTATACACAGGCTTTCCGAGTACCCTACAGGAGTTGGCGTCGATGTCACAGCGCATCCTCGCTCACCGCTCTAAATATCCGCACAAATGAGGAATGTCGGGTATCGCAAGAGCGAACGAGGCCTGAAAGCTCGCTAACATATGCATTGCGAAGTAGACTACGATACAATGAGGTGGGTTTGGACCGTAATGCGGGAATTGCAGTGGTAGATGAGTGGAACGTAGGGCAAAATCCTAGAGTGGCTTTAAGTATACGGTGGACACCAATGCTGTACAAACAAACCCGAGCAAAAAGAGAAACGGACATGGTCGAGACAGAGTAGAAGGTCATACCTAACTACAAAGCGCCCTCCGCGCGGCCCCCCTGAGCAAGGCGGGATACGACGGAGAGACGCACGGGGGGAAGAAAACATAGTGCATAATCATGTGTCCCAATTGATGTAGATGGTTGCCAAGTGCAGGATTGCGGAGAGTAGATGTGTAATAGAGCAGCGACGAGTAGGTTATTGGGGGAGGCTCGAGGTAACGCACGTAGAGGCACTGTGCGATCTTTTACAAGAACAGGAGCGGTGGGGGTATGCGTGTGAAGGAAGCGACTATCGATACAACTTGACAAGGCGCTCGAGTTCCTGAACGACTTCGGACATCGTAGGCCTCTCTTGGTGTTCTTGCTGCCACATACGCTCGACCAGGTCTACAATCTCCGGGCACCAGGTCTTGCGCAGCCCGGACACAGAAGGTCTGCGTTGGACATAAGTCGCAGTCGTAGATACATAATGACGTTCGCACGCACCTCTGCCTCTTTGCACCAACAGCATCATAGATCGCATGCTCGTTCATGCCCTCCCAGGGGTACTTCTTGTTCGGGTTGTACCACTGTAGGACCTCCCAGTACACCATTGCGCAGGAGAACACGTCCACCTTGTGGTTGTACTTGGGGTGCGGGTGCCACAACTCCGGCGCCTGCCAGTTCACCGTGCCGACCACGCTCCGAACCATCGACCGCGTTGATTCCTTCACCTTGGCAAGACCGAAGTCCGTGATCTTGGCGACACCCTTAGAGGTGATGAGGATGTTCGAAGACTTGCAGTCGCGGTGGATGACGGATGGCTTGCGCAGGTGGAGATACTCGAGGCCGCGAGCAATGTCCAGCATGATGCAGAGCTATACACGACATCAATAAATGACACGGCGAACACAAACTGTGCACATACTGTTCGGTACAAGGATGGAGGGTTGACATTGCGGATGTAATCGAACAGGTCGCCGTTCGAGCACAGCTCGCTGACGATCATAACCGGCGTATCCCGCGTATTCTCTGGAATGCTAACACCAAGCTGGGGTCGAAGTCATTACTCGAGATCAACAGAAGGAGGGGAAGGTGGACGTACGAAGCGAACAATGTTCGGGTGATCGAAATCGCCTAGCAGCTTCAATTCCTTGATATCCACTGCTCAACCCAAGTCAGTGCTGTGTCACGAAAGGCACACGGCAATACGTACTTGAACTGAGCTGCCCTCTGAACTCTGCGATCGCAACCCGACGGCCCTTGAACTTGCCAATAAATACATCCTTGAACCCGCCGCTCCCGATCTTCTCAAGCTTCGTAAGCTTTTCCGGTGGGATCTCGCGATCGTCTAGTCCAAGACTCTCGAGATCGAGCTCCAGTTCGCCCTCACCATCCCTTTCCCTGTGCCGTACAGACAGTGGCGGGGTACGTGGCTCGTCCAGGTGAACATGCTGTGAGCGCAGGAGGACCGGGGGCGTGGCACTAGCACGACCTCCCGACCCGGACTTCGAACGGGTCCTGCGTCGGCGGGGGACTCGGGCTGTAGATGGTGGACGCGCGGTGCCAGTGGAAGAGGGTGCAGAAGATGTTGCTTCGCTACAGTGACGGTCGCGCCACTGAAGGAGCGCTTCAGCTAGCTGAGGCTTCGTACCGCTTGCCTCGATCTCGCGCGCGTCGCACAAGCGGACGAGATCGTCTCGCCGCATCCGCACCAACGTCTTCGCAGTGGCAACAGTGAGATCTACTGCGAGAGGGGTCAGGTTAATAGTGGTAAAATTGCAACAGAAACATACCATCATCCTCCATCGCCTCTTCGCCGTCATCGCCATCCACAGTATCAACCTCATCCGCCGTGGACCCCGTTGACTCACTGTCTTCGGTGGCGCAATCCTCTTCCTCGTCTTCCTCTTCCTCGTCGTCTTCTTCCTCGTCACCAGTATCCTCCTCGATGTCGTCATCTCCAACGACCTTGCCACTGCGAAGCTTCCGTGGCTCATCGAGCAGGGTCTCCTCTTCGCCCTCAACGCTCCCTTCGTCGTCCCCTTCTTCACCAGCAACGACTGTTCCCTCTTCCTCGCTCTCCTCGTCGTCGCCATCGCTAGGTGGTGTGTGGGTCTGCAACTGGCGATTCCTGAGACGATTCCGCACCGGAGTGTGGCGTCCTCGCAACGCAGGCTTTGCCTTCGGAGTTGCCATAGGTGACGGAGATTCGTCGAGCTGATCGACATCGTCGCCCTCAGGATCGCTGGATAGGAGCTCGTCCTCCTCATTACCCTCCTCGTCGGTACTCTCATGTAGGTTCCCGATCCGGCCTTTCGCCTTACGCATAGGCGTGACCCGTCGATTAGCCTCCGATGCCTCATCTGGTTGTCGCCTATCATGACCAAGTCGGCTGACAGAACCCTTGCTCCGGAGACGGCGAGGACTGGGCCTGTACTGGCTGAGCGAGCTTTCAACCTCGGTGAGGTCGGTCAGATCGCTCTCGTCCTCTTCAGGCGATGGCAGGCGGCTGACTTCGACGTTATCACTGAAGCCCACATGCTTGCCCTTGCCCTTTTTGCTCGTGGACGAGCTTGGGCTGGGGTCGACTTCGCCAGAGGCCTTTCGAGTGCGAAGACGGGTGGCGGGTGGAGATGGCAGCGACGCAGATGGTACGGAAGACGTAGGCGAAGATCGACTTGAAGAGGCGTTGCTGGAACCCCGACTACGACGAAGATATGGTGAACGAACACGGCGATGTGGCGAAGGGACAAACCTTCTCGTAGATACACCGTTCGGCTGTTCCGCCACACTGAAATCACCAGAACCACGCTTCCGCTTCCCTTGGGACGGCGAGAGTTCTGTGAGATCTGTGGCGTGGTGCTGGATATGGCTCATAGACAAGCATCGGTCCGGTCTGGGATTGCGCGAAGTCCTACCGAGGTCGTGCAGTGTTGCCCTCCTTCGCAACCCATTTCTGAACCGATGCCCGAAGTCCGTCTCTTCCCCGCCGGCCACATTGCCGCCGCCATCCGAGGAGTAGTCGCTTGAACCACTATCTGCTACACCAGGGGAAGAGGGAGGGAGATCTGCGACATCGTCACGGGCGGCTATGATGCAGTCCACTATCTCCGGCTTGGTGAGTAGGTCTGCATCTTCGGTTAACCCAGCAGCTTCGTAGAGACGAACAAGTTCGTCCTTTCGCAAGCGGAGAAGTTGACGAGAGGGTGCATCGTTGATGAGATAGCTATCGGCTACACCAGAAAATGAATAAAAGATGCGACAGGCCAGAAATGAATCGGACGTACACGAATCGAGGGCATCCTCATCCTCGGAGTTATCCGAACGATTCCACCGCTCTTGCTCGTCAACATCCATTCCACTCGCGCGTTCCTCCTCTTCACTAGAGTCAGGCATGGCTCTACGGCGCTTTGCGCGGCTAGCAGAACGGGCGCCTCTTGCGTTGGAGGTGTTCTCGCTGCCGCTCACGACGCGTTTGCGCTTCATACCAATAGAAACGTCGTAGCCGGGCCCTGCATCGCGCATACTGTCTTTATGACCGGATAATATGCGGGAGGGAAGCCGGCGGAGGTTAAAGTGGAGGGGAACGAGAACAGGACGCGACGAGGAAGGCGGGGAACTGCCAGACGCGTGAGAGGACTGGTCGAGCTGGAGATAGGGCTCTGAGAGTGATAAGACGCGTCTACGAGCGTAGTCGGCGCGTCGGGCGTGTAGTTTGCGGCGGGAGACGATGGCGGTGTCAGGGAGAGATGCTTTCCTGGGGTTAGAACGTCTTTGGGCCATGCCAGTCGAGCGGCGGGCGTCGTGGTGCGTTCGGCCGTGCCGGGGCGTCTGTTAGAGACACCGAGAGCGTAGAGAGTATAAGGGAGGTCGGTGGTTGTCGTTGTTGTGCTCGTCGTCGTTGTCCACAGCGTCGGGGTGTTTGGCTAGGTTTGGCAGGTATGTTGGGGAGCCAAACAGGGGCAAGCAAAAGCCACAGTCACGTGGAATTCATGTGACCTAGATGGCTCGCGCTCACGTCACGCGCGGTCGTTCAACTTTTTCGGCGCTCGCTCGTCCCGATCGGCTTGCAGTCAGTCTCAGCCTCAGCCTCAGCCACCGCGCGCCTTCGCTCCTTGACCTCCTTCCCCCACCTTCCCCCACCCCCCTCCAGCCATGCCTCCTAGACGAGCCCGCGCGGCCAGCGTTGCCGAACCCGCTCCTTCGCGCTCTCGCGCCACAAAGCGCGCATCTCCTGAAGGCGAGGAGAATGCGCCCGCCCCGAAGCGCGTCCTCCGCGCTGCCCCGGCCAACGTTGAGAAGCCCAAGGTCAATGGCAAGGCAAACGCAAAGACGAAGGCCAGCGCCGACGAGAAGGCGAAGCCAGAGAAGAGCAAGGCACCCGCGCGCGTCCGCAGGGTCCCTCAGGGCATCAACGCCCTCCCCGCTATCCCGCAGCACTACCGCCCTCCCCTGAACCTCTTCACGTGGGGTTCGGGCGAGATGAGCCAGCTGGTCATGGACTACAATGAAGAGATCGCAAAGCCGCGTAAAAATGCATTTGTCGCGGAGAAAATTGAAGAGGACGCGTTCGGCGAAGACAACGCTGGCCTCGAGTCCGTCGCTGCTGGCGGCCTTCACACGCTGTTGCTGGACGAGAAAGGCGCGGTTAGTCGTGTTTCTCCGCATGCTCGCCCATCATATCTCTCATACTGGTCATATCCAAGATCTGGTCCTGCGGAACTAATGACAACGGAGCTTTGGGGAGGGTCACCGTGAATGTCCCTGATCCGAACAACGATGCATACTCCATCGAAGCCGATGAGGTCACCAAAGATCCTGTGTGGAAACCTGTCCCCATTCATAGCCTGGTGGAAGAGGGCTTCCGCGCCGTCAAAATCGTGGCGGGTGACAGCTTTTCCGCAGCTATCAGCGACGAAGGCCAGCTCCGCGCCTGGGGCGCGTTTTCGGTACGTACAATTACACATCCTAACTTGAGTATCGCCTCACTCGCCGACTGTAGGGCAACCAAGGTCTCGTTGGTTTCTCCAGCCACGCAAAAAAGCAGTACAAACCCGTTCCCCTCCTTGAGCTCAAAGATGAGAAGTGGGTTTCCGCTGCGGCAGGGAACAACCACCTCCTTCTCCTCACCACCCTTGGCAACATCTACACTCTCGGTACCGGCGAAGAAGGCCAGCTTGGTCGGCGCGTCATTGAGCGTCGCAAAATCAGCGGAACGACCCCTGAGAAGATCGTCCTCGGGACTCGCGCACGCAAGGCCGTCATCATCGGTGCTGGCAGCAATCACTCTTTCGCAGTCGACGACGACGGCAACACCTGGGGCTGGGGCGTCAACTCCAAGGGCCAGACGGGTACCGGCGTCTCAGACGTGAACATCGACAAGGAGGTTCACGCACCTAAACGGGTCATTGGCCTCGGCAAGGCCGAGCTCAACGGCTCGACTGTCACTCAGATCGCCGGTGGCGACCTGCACACACTTTTCCTCACCTCCGACGGCCGTGTCTTCGCCTGCGGTCTGTCTGATGAGGGCCGTCTGGGCCTCGCCGACAACGACGCGGCCCTCAAGGACCGGCAATACTCCGACTTCCTCCCCGAGCCTGTGCAGGTGGCGTTCCCTGACGCGAACGACCCCGTCGTCCACATTGCTGTGGGGACCAACAACAACCTCGCAATCACGGCCGGGGGCGCGATGTACTCCTGGGGCAGGCAAGTCGTAGGCGAGCTCGGTCTGGGCGACGCCGACCTCCAGTTCCAGAAGACTCCGGCGGTCGTCGTCCGCAAGGAGGGCGGCAAATGGGCAGCAGTCTCCGCGTCGTGCGGTGGCCAACACTGCTTAGCACTGCTCCGGAGCAAGGACGAGGACCCAGTGCCCGTTGGCCCCCGTCGCGCAGACCACCCCGACGGGCAAGGTGCGATCAAGGCATGACAGCGGCCCAAGAATAGCCGTGTTTTCCGCTCGCGACACCTCGCTGTATCTACTACCCTGTGCATACGTTCCCCTACCCCATAGCCACTTCCTCATTCTCACATCACTCCATCCTGGTCACCATCCTCGCGTCTTACTCTGTTCCTCTGTGTTGCACCAGTGGCTCGATAGGACCCTCGCACACTAACGCTCTATCTGCAGTACTTTACGCGCTCTTCACAGGAAGAAGGCTCAACAGCAATATCATTCGTACTATACAACTCCATCCAAGCAAGCATTATGCTGTGTCCTATGCCTCCATGGCGAACTAGATCTGCAATGTATACCCAACCAGCAACGATCGGGCGCGCGATTATCACTCAAGCCTCATAGCTTGGCCACCAACTTGCGCAGCTGGACCTTCTGGATCTTGCCCGTCGAGGTTTTCTGTCGGTCGTCCCGCATCAGGAACTCAAGTTCTGTTCGAGATCGGGGTGTACGAAGGGACGCTTACCGGGAGTTCGTCGACGACGGAGACCCACTCTGGGCAGGCGAAACCGGGCAGGCGGCTACGTGCGTGCTTCTTCAGGTCCTGCTCGAACTCGGCGTGGCGACCCTTCCACTTCGCTGCCTTCTGCGGGTGGAGGATGACAAACGCCATTGGACGCTCGCCCCACTTCGGATGCGCACGTGCGACGACGGACACCTCGAGCACGTCGGGGTGCGAGGCAAGCTCTGGAGTCTTGAGTCAGCTATTTGTCGCGGACGTCAACGTGAGGTAAGACTTACCTTGCTCGATCGCCAAGCTCGACGCGTTCTGCCAACAAACCGGTCAAAAACCGTACCCCTCTACCCACACGTGTGGAAGACCTCACCTCCCCGCCGGAAATGATAATGTCCTTGCTACGGTCCTGTACGGCGATATACCCATCCGGGTGCCACACCGCGAGGTCCCCCGTGTTGAAGTACCCGCCGCGGAACGCCTTCCGGGTCGCCTCGGGGTCGTTGAAGTATTCCTTCATGACGATGTTCCCGCGGAACACGACCTCGCCCATCGTCTTCCCGTCCTTCGGCACGTCCCTGAGCGGCGCGTCGGCGGACTCCCCATCCTCCAGCTGGAACACGACGCGCGCGTCCATGGCGGTCGCGAAGCTGTGTCCCTGGCGCGCGAGCAACTTGGCGCGCTCCTCGAGGGAGAGGGACGTCCAGTGGGGCTGGTAGTAGCACTTGGTGGATGGCCCGTACGTCTGTTGTTACAATGTTTTGTCAGCTACCCGCTTGCACTATCTCATGACATTACTCACCTCACTGGAGTCGTCCGGCGCATCAGAGTCGAATGCACGTCAGCAACCGTGTTCACCGAAAAAAGACGGTACGCACGTCAGTCCATACACATGCACAGGCTTGATGTTAATCTTCTCCAGCTCCCCGATGAGGTGCGCTGTCGGAGCCGAGCCAGCAATGACCGCATACACAGGCTTGTCCAGGCGCCTTGCCTGGGGCGCGTTGATCAAACCGATCTTCACGTTCAAACAGCGTTTCAGCATAAACGCCCGCAGGGCCTCATCGTGCAAATCATGGACCCACCTGTACAGTCGGCGCACCGCAATAGTGCGTCACGCCGGACTTAAGCAAGTGGTTCCATATGAGTGGGTACGACACGGAACGGAGGGTAATCTGCGGATGCTGTTCGTCATCTTCATTCTTATATGGGCGTCATGCACAGGGTGTCCGTACCTGTGCGGCGGCAGCGAAGGTGATCGTCCACGGGAACGTCCACCCACTAGCGTGGAACATGGGTAGGATCCTGTGTAGTGCCTGTAGGTCAGGAGATGCTCGGAGAAAGACCCGGAGGGTGGGGTGCTTACCAGAGGTACGTCGACTCGTGGGTCATCCTGCTTCCAGTTAGATTGACATATCATGAGCGTAGTATGTGCTAGACTCACCCAGTTTCATATGCATTGGCCATGGCCGCGAGATACGAACCTATAGCGTTATTAGCCCTTTGTGTGCAGTGGGTTGCAGGAGGCGTCTTACCTCGCAATGTGGTTATGACACCCTTTGGCTACACACGCCTCGTTGAGTAGGTCTCCCGACTCGTGTTGGAGCGATCCAGAATACTCACCCGACCTGTGGTCCCAGACCTAGAGCACAATTAGTGGCTAGGACCCCCCTGAAAGTGCGTAACTCACGTGTAACACAAAGCGCAAGCCGAGTCTTCATCTCGCTCCCATTCCAACCCAGGCCAGCCCCGCTCGCCGCTGAACTTGCGCCCGGCGGACAGGAACTGCTCGTATGGGTCGTCTTCGCGTCCGGTGTCGTTAATCACGACGACCGGCACCTTCGCCCCCTTTACGAGGGGGGTGTACTCGTGGTCAACGAGGATGAGCCGTGACCCGCTGTGCTCTAGGATGTAATCGACTTCGCCAGGCGTAAGCCGGGTGTTGATCGGACAAATGACTGCTCGCGCTCCGAGAACGCCATGGTAGGCCTCTGGCAGAGTGTTCAGGGTCAATAGCTATACCGCAGGGCAGGAGCGTTACGCAAGTACCAGACACGGACGGTCTGTTGTATGACATTAGCCTTCGTGTACTATAACGCAACAAAATACGGCTCGTGCAGCAGCTCACGCTTAGAAAACACTGGGTCCAGTATCCTGGTCTCAGTGTTTCCTAGGTGGCTCTGCACGTAGGATGACGCGTTCGCCTGTGTGCATTGTGTCACTCACATATTTGGTGCAATGATTGCAATGCGGTCTCCCGGGTGTATACCAGCCTGTATGAGCGCATACGCGAAGTTCTGGCAACGTTGCGCCCTATAAAGAGCGCGTCAACTCAATGGCCCTATAATTATATGGCGTATGGAATGAACCCACCAAACTCCATATGAGTATATCACCGGGTGTTCTACATCGGGATGCACGAGTGCCAGTTTGTTGGGGTAGACTTGTGCGGATCGGAGCAAGAAGGCAAGAGGGTTCTGCGTGTGAAGATGAGAACCGCGAATTGGGCCACCTTTGACGGATCTGCGCTCACCAGGGCATGCAGGTGGACGGGCACATTACTGGGAAGCCGGAGGCGATAGTTGACCTCCTGCGGGGGAATGCTGGCCTGCGTTGGGCGGAAGTGCTTTAGAGAGGCTGGTCAGGGGAACCAACGCGTTGGGGTATGAGAACACAGCTCGCGCGACGTGAGAGTCAGCGTACCGTTCGCCATGTAGAATTCGTCTGCGAGCTGTATGGTGGCCATTGTCGTAGAATCTTCCCTTCTTATATATGCGCGGTAGACTGTGCTCCCTAGATCGACACGAAGCAGGTAAAAGTGAGCGGGCTCGCAGCAGAATGCGGGGTAGAATGCGGGGTAGTAGCCGGTTCAACACATGATCAAGCGCGCTTCCGTCATTCCGTCAACCCAAGCGCATCTTGGATGAGGGACTATCAGATTAGATCACTCCGGAAAGAAAGCCAGATAAGATTACGAGCCCGCCTACTATCCACGCACCTTATATGCGGTTTTAGGGTCGTTCTGCAGGGTACGGAAGAATTTTCGCAAGTACGAAATATTCCTCTAGCTTGCTCTTCCGAGCATAAACGTAGAATCGATGAGGAGGAAAAGGCGCGGAGTAGGACACGATTCCGTTTGTGGGCGCTTCTGCGTGGTGTAGACGCCCCGACGCTCTGAGCGGTCCGTGGCGAGCTTCTTATGTGTATTCAGACATTTCGGTCCGTCGTCCTGGCCTTGACGATAGTGATGACGCCCCAAGGAACTTCGTGAGACTTTTCATGGCGGAAAGAGATTTCCGACATCGGAGGACGTCGACGAATCCTATGCGATTCTTCGTAGCGCGTCGGTACTGCAAGCGCTGGCACCTCCTCGTAAGCTGGGCAGCCGCAGAGAAGTTTGAGAACTGAGATGCTCACGTCTTTTTACTCTCTGCTATGTGCAGCTGATACGTTTTGCGTCAGATGAGCAACCTAGAGGGGATGGTCGCTTACAAGTACTAACGATTCGACGGATATGGTAAAAGCCTCTTACTCTTTCACCCTTCCTAATCGAGAAGCGGTAGGCGCCGATGACCTTTTGACAAAAGACTGCCAGTTCGCTCCCCGTCGTTACCAGCTTGACACAAACCACCACAACGCGAATTTATGGCGCCCCGTTTGCGATGGAACATCCACCACACGTCCTAGAAGTGTTTTCGAAGAATAACTACGCCAAAACGTAGGTGTATGCGCTCCCACCGGCGATATCTCGCGGTCCGGGCTCGCGTGGAACTTCTGAAAGCGACGTCCCAGGTAAGTCGCCCCCTTATGCTCCAACGTGGGCAAACCCTCCTCTGAGTTCTGACTGTCCGTCCAGAAGTCCGTTAACCGAGCGATTGCGCTAGTGGACCTGTGTGTACGCCCTGCCAGCAATGCGCCATTGTGCGTATTTAATCGCACTGGGCGGACAATGGGCTATCGCGTGTACCCCGGCTTCCACGAGTCTGCCCCCGCTCGAGCCTCTCTCTGCTCTGCTCTCCCATCTTGAGCCTTTCGCTACTACTACTTGGAGCATTCCTGCTGCTCAGTCGCCGTCACACGCTGAAGATGCCGCTCTATAAACTCACCTCGTTGGACATCCGTGATACGGCGCTTGTTGATTGCGCCACGGGCGAGACGCTATACCGTACCTCCACTCCCGTCGCCTCCCCCAGATCAAGAGCCAGCTCCATCACTAGCTGGGCGAGCTCCAGCAGATCTCAGGAGAAGCTGCCTTTGCGGGATCAGTGCACGACAGCAGTGCTTGATCGCGAGGGCCAAATCGTTGCGGAGATTGTGTGGGAGGGCACGCATACGCCGGAAATCAGGATAGGGGACGAGGTCCTGAAAGGCACAGGGGAGCTCTTCGATGCTGCCTTCGTTAGGGTTCTGTAAGTGCCTGTCTCGTTCACGCTCGCTGTCTCTCTGACCGTCAAACAGCCCAGACGAAACATTCCTCCCTACCCGTATGGAGTATACGTGGAGGATAACTCCGGAGACCCTGACTGTACGTACATAGCGCGTTCTTGGAGCGATCTCTGCCGCTCATGCGAACCCTGTAGCTGCTAGACGACGACGGCGCCGTTGTAGGGCGGCTGTATGCGGATTGCGCGTTCAGCAAAGGGCGTCCCGTACCGGCTCTAAGACCTCATACGGGGCTCGACTACCTCGAACTCCATACGCTCATGTCAGAAGATCTATTGGAAGTAATCGGTGAGTCCCCTTGGGGTTCGATCGCGTGTTGTTTACGCTATACTTCAATGCTTACATGGCGCTCAGTGTCGTATCTGCTCGTCACTACCCTGCGCGAGCGGTTGTTTTCTGTCACCAAATACGTGTACGGCGGTCAACGCAAACGGCCCCTCTCCACACTACGCTCGCACGCTACCCGGAGCTTCGTCAGCCTCCGAGATAGCATTCGCCATAGTATATCGCCCATGAAACACCACCATTAGATAGAGGCGGCGTTATCACCGCACGTCGCTGCTCTTACCACACGTCTACCCTTGGTTTGTCGCGCAACACCACACCACATTCCCTCATTTAGGGTCCGCATACCCACCACACATTCGCTTTCGTCTTCGTTTTGTCGATATTGTTATCGTTCTGCTGCAGTCCTCTGTATTTGCTCTCTCCACCCACACACTTGCGTCAGGCTAGCCCGAAGCTCCGGATGTGTACTTGTACTGTACCATATCTCACGTCAAGCCTGTTCATATTCGAGGCCAGGTTTATTCCCTGCATGTCCGTGCGTGAACATCGCGATCGATTCGGAGAGTCTGTCAGGCCCGTGGTCGACTACCTACCTACCAAGGCCTAAGTAGTGGAGATTAGACGATACGTCACATCCTGTCCCTCACCACCACCACCATCTGCGATGCAACGTGGTCCCCTGCATTCATCCTCGAAGACTGTCAGGGTCTGCATAGGGGCGCCTCGCTTGACGACAAGCCGTAGGGAACTTACGTCGTTGGGCGAGAGACGATCGCTCCAGGATATCCACCCTGCGCACGATCTGACTGGGCACGTAGTGGATATCCCGCATATCCCCTTGCGACTATGACGGAATATGACCATACGCACGGAAACATAGGTCACTTGGTACGCTTTGCAGTGATGTGAACAGGATGGCGCTGATGATATATTCCCTCACTGGTTGCAGACGCAGCGGCGCGTTGCAGAGCATGCACCCCCGAACTTTGTGCCAGCGATATAGACTAGCCCTACGCTCGTTGCGCCGCTCGATCGATTCTATCCTGAACTCTACGACCACCGAGCGCAGGCGTGCCGCTAGCGGGGAATCAGAATGGGGTAAACATGAGCGGCGAGAGCGTGGTGCTGGGCGTCGACTCCCTCCCGCGCGCAGCGCTCGACGTGTGCAGCGTCTGCGTCTAGCGTCAAAAGGTACAAAAGTGAGCACTGCATTCCCTGGCCCCCGGCGTTGATCAAGATCGCGTGCGGCGCTGCTGTGCGGGTGCATCGCACCTGTCGACTCGTCCTGCGTCTCAGCCGCCGCCCATTCCCCGTCCCAGGGCCCGCTCGCCCACCTCAAACGCGAGATTCGCCATCGCGCACCTCAATCCGACTCGGCCGCGCCGAGCTTACGTCGCGGCCGTGGGAGCTGCCAATGCCACGGGCGCGGTGACTCGGAATGGTCCCTGTCGCCCGCCTCCGACTCGGACGCTGGCCCCGGATCACAGCCTCTGCCCAATCCCGAGGAGCATATGTCGGATAGTTGGATGCTATATAATGCGCTGTCCTCGAAGACCAATCCCACTGCCGAGCCCACTACACCGACTGACTAGACCTGACTCTTCCGCACCATCCATAGACTATATAGACCCGACCTCTCCTCTCTCTAGACGCATCCCCCTCTGCTTCCCATATCCAAAATGACCTTCGGTCCTTCACGCGATGTCTCTCAGGTCGACCTCACCCACCACCTCTCCTCGGAGGCTCGCATGCGCAAGCCTAACCCTATGAAGGAGATCTGGAAGCTCACCAGGCGCAAGCCCAACATGGTTTCTCTCGCAAATGGTTAGTGTCTCATGTGTCCCCAATCGGCTTTTCCTGACGACGCGTTATCCCCAAAGGCGACCCGCACTTCTCGCTGTACCCCATGCGGAAAATCGAGTATGAAATGGCGTCTATCGAAGAGGCCGACCCGGTCGCGGCTTGGAGGAAAGCCGGTCCCAGCGCGTCTTCGACGAAGTTGGTGTCCTCGACATACGAACCCTGCGCCCTGCCCCTACAGACCGGTCTGCAGTACAGCCATGGTGCCGGCTTGCCCGATTGCCAGCGCGTCGTCACAGAACTCACCAAGTTCTACCACAACCCGCCCGACCACATGTGCACGCTCGCGCTCGGCAACTCGGACGGTATCGCAAAGTGCTTCAGGTTGCTCGGCGAGCCGGGCGACTACTTCCTCGCGGATGAGTTTTCGTTCAGCTCGATCACGAACGTGCCGCTCGCGCAAGGCATCAAGTGGGCCGGCGTGAAGATGGATGACGGCGGCATGATCCCGGAAGACCTTGAGAACGTTCTCGCGACCTGGGACGCCGCGCGTGGGCGGAGGCCGCACGTCCTGTACATCGTGCCGTAAGTCGGTCGCGCTCACACCGAAGCCGCTTTGTGTCACATTGACGTCGACACTGACGCTTACCGCCGATCCACAGGTGCGGGCAGAACCCTACTGGCTCTACGTTGAGCGTCAAGCGTCGCAAGCAGATCTATGAGATTTCGCAGCGCTTCGACCTCATGATTATTGAGGACGGTGAGCAGCGCTCCATGATCCCCGGGGTTGCACTTACTAACTATGCTATTAGACCCGTACTACTTCTTGCAATACGACGCCCTGTCCGCACCTACGACAGAGTTTTCGACACCTTTCGTGCCCTCGCTGCTCTCTATGGACACCGACGGGCGCGTGATGCGTGTAGATTCCTTCAGCAAAATCATGGCCCCCGGCATGCGCCTCGGCTGGATCACCTCCAGCGCGGCCTTCCACAACCACCTCGTCTCCTACACCGACGCGTCCACACACCACCCGCACGGCTTCGGGCAGATGCTCATCACCGAGCTGCTCTCCGGCCCCAACGGCTGGCAAATCGAAGGGTTCGACCGCTGGGTGCGCAGCCTGCGGGCGGAGTACCACCGCCGGCGCGCGCTCTTCCTCACGCTGTTCGACCGCGAGGTCGCGCCTAGCGGCCTCGCGCGCGCGGCCGTCCCGGAAGCGGGCATGTTCGTCTGGATCCGCGTCGCGCTCGAGCGGCACCCGCGCCTCCGCGCGGACCTCCGCCGTGTGCCCGGGGGCGACCGCGCGGGCCCGCGCACGAACTGTGCGGCGCTGATGGAGGAGCTCTTCGAGCGCTGCCTCGACGCCGGGCTCGTTATCATGCCTGCGTCTATCTTCGCGCTGCCGGTGGACGCGAAGGATGCCGATGTTGAGGATCCGGTAGAAGACGTGAGTGCAAGCTGCCAGCGTTCTGCATGCGACTCGGGCTGACGGCGTTTTGACAGCGGCTGAACTACCTCCGCGCGACGTTTGCGGGCACGGAGGAGGCGATGGAGCAGGGCCTCGCCATCCTCGGACAGACGCTTCGGGAGTTCTTCGCAGACGCACAAAAGGAGATGGAGTTGGCGTAGACGGATGGTATGGTTTCGGACTCCTCAGTATTGCACCCAACAGACACTATCATTATCGCTCTGACATCCATGCATCACCGCTCTCTAACATTTGTACATGCTGTCTTGTAGTCCATGAAACATGCAATCCCCGTACTATAGATATATACATAGCGTTTAAACACTCAACTAGAATGCACCAAGGCTTGAATAGCAAATACAACAAGTTATGAATATACGCTTAAGCCTATAGAAAGGCAGAAACCTTGACCGGCTTGCGGACGGCCGCCGAGTTCCCCTCGTTGAACTTGTAAGACACGCGGTAAACTTTCGCCTTGCGTGCGGCTTTAGCGAGCGACTGATGCGTCTCCTTGGGTATGATAGTCCGCCCAAAGAAGTCCACGGCGGCCTAAAAGTCCAGTATAAGCTTGCGTCAAACGTACACAACTCGCCACCGCGCTTTACCTTCTCCACAAGCTTGTCGTCTTGGCGTGCCCGCTTTGCCGCCGGCTGTCCCTCGTCTGCAGCGGCCTTCTTTTTCCTGTCAAGCCACCCGCCGTCAGCATCTAGGCACGGCCAGGGACCCCCGAGCGCGGCTTACCCTGCGAAGAACGGGTCTGTCTTGCCCTTCGTGCTCTCCAGGCCCTCCGCATGACGTGCAATGACCTGGGCGTCAATCTTATGGCCGACACCAGCAACAGATCGCGTTCGTCAGTACGACATCCGTGGCGGAAAGCATGCGCATAGAGTTGCGGACTGACCTCAGCCGCGACGAGATGCCGCACCGCATAGCGCGAGACCGCGAGGTCCGCAGCGCGCTTGCCGTCGTACGTGACGAACACGTCGACGGGCCTGTTCGCGTGGACGTCCGCAGTGAGCACAGGGAGGCGGTTCCGATCGCGGTTAGAACACTCACGGATCGAGGCGATAGACGAGTTGGCCGTCCTCGTTCTTCTCCTGGACGAACCGCAGCTCGAGCGTCGCCATGATGTCCACGAGTCGTGCGAGCAGCGCCTTCTCGGCTGGTCGGATGACTTGGCTGTTCACCTGCGGTCGTGGTTAGTTCACCGTTTTCCTCATCTGCTCGAGATTATGAGGGCATACCGGACGTAGAGGCGGAGATATGATCCTGTTGAGATATGGGGCTAGCTCAAGTTGCAGAAGCGGCTCGTTCGAGAAATGTCGGTAGCCGCCCCCACACCTCGACGCGGCCGTACGCAGACAATGCGCTAATGCCCCATATATTTCCTGATTAGTTTTCGTCTGGGTATAATGCTACAAGGACACGTCAGTCCGTTCATCGAGATGCGCCAACGTAACCGGAAACATACCTCCCAATCCGCCTTCGGGCGTTCGGCCTTCTGTGCGCCGCGCTCCTGAAAGAGGGGGTAGAATGCGACAAGGGAATATGACAGGTACGGCATGATGGAGTACTCGCGATCGGTGCGCATTGTGCCCGACATCTGGTCGTAATGGCATATCCACTCCATGCCCTTCACGTATCGCGAGAATGTCCCGTCGTGCCTGTGCAAGAGAGCGTAATGCTCGAAACACCCTGCGAAGATGTGTCAGAAGCTCGTGTCTATGAACTAATGCTCAGAGCGGCGTACCGATCGCGACCTTGTCTATGGACCCGCACCCGTCGATTTCCCGACTGAGCCGAGAGACGAAGCGGGGCTCGTCCTCCCGTATGCCCAGCTCCTTTGCTCGTTTTCGGGAGAGAGGCGAGAAGAGATCATTCAGCACGACCATTTGCGATGCCTCCGCCTCCTTCATGCCTTCGGTGGCACTCCGTACCATCGTCTCTGTCACTTCCGTGTTACGGGACTTCAGCATCTAGACAATTTCGCCTGTCAGTGAGCCGTTCATCAATTGTCAGTCATCTGGAGCGTACCTGTAATGTGTTCAAGCAACCTCGGAAGTCGCCCTGTGCGACTCCTACCAACGTCGCCAACGCGCGAGCATCCGCCTTCATGTTTTCGCCCTCACAGATCTCGCGTAGCCGGCGGATGATGTGCAAGTCATTGGGCCGGGAAAATCGGACAATGCGCGCGTGTTGACGCAGTTTCGCGAGGGACGCTGCATACAGGTCGTTGCATATGCAGATGATCGGCCGGCGGAGCGGGCGGCTCTGGGCTTTCTCGCCTTGCTTGCCTAGGACGCGAAATATAAGTCTCATGACCTAGCACAAGCATCGGGAGCCACGTACCTTTCTTCTTGGGTCGGTCGTAGGTGAGTTGGATCAGTTTATGAATGAACCCTCCGGCCTAAAATTACTGAGCACGAGCATTTCAACAGAGGTATATGAGTACTTACGTTTTCAGACCCTCCGGTGGCTCCGTCAATCTCGTCGATGACTACGAGAACCGGCTTCGAGCTTCCCACTTTGGAGCCGCTCTCCAAAGCAGGACGGATACGCAGGTCAACTACTTCCGCAGACCGCGCGTCACTAGGTTGTGTTAGGACACACAAATTGTACAGTGTAGTAGACACGGACCTGGCGTTGACCTCGAAGGCTTCGTAGCCCGCATGTGCTGCGACTATATGCGCCAGGGTGGTCTTCCCAAGTCCCGGTGGGCCAGAAAGCAGTAACAACTGTGGCAAGTGTCAGAGTTGCGGGGGCACAAGAAAGCGCCTTACAGACCTTCTCCTTTGGTCTGCGCCATTCGTCCAAGTTCTCCCCGTCCTCGTCTCCTCTCGCGCGCTTCTTACCGCGGGCCTTGCCTGTCCCGAAGACACAGCTATCCCACTCCTTCACCCAGGACAGTACTTCGCGATGCACACGGTCGTCACCAAGTAGCTCCGTAAAGCGGTTTGGTTTATAGCGGTCGACCCATAATGCCGAGCTACTTGCAGTGGCGGGCTGAGCAGGTTTAGACGCTTGCTGCATGTCCCTGTAAGAATGGTCAGCTTTGCACAGCTGAGCAGCACCACAGACCTACTCAACGATCAGCTTTGTCGCGACTGATGCAGACAAGTCGTCAAGCATCCTATGAATTGGGACGTCAAGTAGATTGCCGAATGGCCTGTTCTTCTCCGGTAGTATGCCCGCACGCGCCTAGACGTCCTCTGTCAAGCTGATCAAAAGGTCTCTTGGGACCGAACGTACCAGGGTGCCTTTAGGGTCCCGTTTGGGCGGTTTACGCGTGAAGTACACTGGTGTACCGCCGAATGTCTTCGTACTGATGATTCTCGAAGTGGATGGTACGGGGTTCACAGACGAGGCTTCAGCTGCGAATGACTTGAGTAAGGTCGCTACGTCTGGGAGGTCCTCATCTTCGAGAACGCGTTAGTAATTCCATGGGTGTGTTTGAAGTAAGGCGGAGCAAGATACCTTGAGACTGGGACTGGGACTGAGACAGAAAGGATGTGGACTGTGGAGGGCTTGCGTCGCCAAATAGTAGTGGTGCATCTGTAGAGCAGGGTTAGCAGGTCATAACACAGGGTCAGCAGGCCACCATCCATGCGTGCGAGAAGTGCGGTTCTTCCAGACGGCCTTGCCGTTATGGCTAGGCGACCGCGTCCTCAACGATACCTCAAGAGAAGCTCGTATCTTGTGTTGATGCTCTAACCACGCTCGTGGATTCTCGCGTACGTAGGGTTCTGCCACCACAGAGTAGCGCGCACATACCTCCGAAAGCCCCGTCCTCCGAAATGCGACTCGGACCAGCTTGGCTCAGAGTTGATGAAGACTCTTGAAAGAGCAGACCATTAGACACAAATGTGTCCTCCTGTGTCTTCGTCTGTTCCGTGGTTTGTGTAGGCGTGTCCTCGAGGAGAGTCTGAGAATCTGACGCGAAGAGCAGACTACTAGGTTGGCCGAACGTCGTCGCTGCCTGCGACCCCAGAGTTGCCATATTGATAGACGAGTAAGAGTGTGTAGTATGAAAATCCGCGGGCGTATCTGTCGTGTTCGAAAGCCCAAAGTTAGTCAGAAGGGCAAAGTGCAGGAAGGACGAGAAGCCCGGAGTTGCAGTAAGCGCGTCACTGGCGCGCGCGACGCGTCTGTGGCTGATAGCGGCGGAGATCGAAGTCGTGTAAAGCCCGCGCATAGCGCGTCTGGCGCGAACGCGTCGCATTCACTCGCGAGGAATCGTACCGTATTATGTGCGCGCGCGCATGGCGAGTCGGTCATTAATGTCTAGCTACCTCGCGAGTACTTGAATTATCTACGCGGACAGACAGCACGAGCCTCTTCTCATTCTGACCATTCAAACGAGCCCACGATGGCAGTCCGACCAACCAGAGAGCTTTGGGTAGGGGCCAACACGGTCATTCGCTTATTGGTTATGTCCATCGCGGTACTGAAACCCGTTACACTATCAGACAGGCCACACGCAGAAGATATGCAAGGAGGACGCACATGACGACGTAGCCCACCACGGGCAGGTCTAGAATCTCTTCGTCGTACCGTTCCGATTCGTCCGGATTCGGCGGGGCAAGGATCGCCAAAACGGCGTTGTATAGGCCCGAACCCGAAGCCGCGGGGTCAACGAGTAGAGGCTGCATCTCAGAGACGACCCGCGCCGCACCGATTGGCAGCGCCGACGTCGGTGCCATGGTTTCTGTAACATACTCGCTTTAGTGTATCATCGATGGCCGACATCTTTCAGGTACTAACCTTCTCCTATCCGGTAGATTGTGAGGTCTCCGAAATTCACGACCATCGACGATGGAGATAGGTGCATAGTGAGCTCGGGGGCTTGCTCTCCAGCCTGGATGTACCCTTTGCTGGTGAGGCCCGGCGGCGGCTCGATCAGGTGACCGTAAAAGTAGTTATGCAGCTGGTACTTGTGTATACGGAGGCGATAGAGCTGATCTAGTTCCACAACCTACATGCTTCGATGAGCACAGTCTGCCTCGCAAGAACGGTACATACGCACCCCTCCAGATTTCGGAATCTTGACTACTTCAATGCGGTTTCCGTACGTCCGCTGCATCTCCACATTGAGCTTTTCGTGTCCAACGATCAAAATCACGTTGACTAAGAAGCAAAACAGTGTGTCAGACGGATACTAGGTGCGACAATTTTAAGGAGGGGCATCTTACTATGAAAGGCGTCCACGCAAGCTTTGATCATCGTAAGTCGATGATCGTTCCCAGGCCCCGAGCTCGCTGCGAGTGCTGACGGAGTATCGACAATCAAACCCGCCGACCGTCCTGGATAGCACACAAGAAATAAGAGCTTTGAACACTTCTCTAGGAAACGTAACATACCCGGCACGTCGTGTTCCCACCTATCCCGTATGTTCTCCCCCAGGTTTCGTATGAGGCGCTCCATTAAGAGCGGATTCCTCTTCATCTCTGCGTGGCCGTACCAATACGACAACGGGAGCAGCCCATTCGACGACACATGATTTGGCGCAGAGGTCGTCACCGCACCCAGAGGTGAGGCGGCCGTCGCGGTCTGCAACGGTGCGGTGATGGCAGCAGCAGCCACAGCTCCGGGAACTGCCCAGCCTCCCTATACACCAAGCACACCGTCAGCACTGTTCACTCACTCGACGTACTACAACACCGGCAAAGCTAATTCAACGCACCTCACTCGGGTCGACGTTCACGTACATCGGCGCCCAGTCTTCACCGCCACGAATGGTGTAATTCGTCAAAATTTTGCATACACTCGTCTTCCCCGAGTTCTCCGGACCCAGTACGAGCACGCGTGGCGCGTCGCTCGGGCCCTTTGCGCCCTCTTCGTCAGGGAGCGGTTCGCCCGTGGCGGCGGCAAAAGCGCGAATGCGCATTTGCTCTAGCGCGACATGTACGTTTGCGTATGCGGACATGGGTGTCTCGTCGGAAAGATACTCTACTGAGGGCTGGCCCTTGACGTTCTAGAGCACAATCCAGAGGGAGGCAAGGCAGGAGGACGGAGGACGGCAGACGCGAGATGGGTTAGATAAGTACTTTATTTCCACGGACTCGCGAAAAGAGTGTAGGACTCATCTCTATGGTGCAGCCTTGCCAGGTGTACACGGCTGCCTTGCATTCCTGGCCGAACAAGTATGTCTTGCCCTCCGCTAGTTCCGCTCCAAATATCTCGGCATACCCGCGAACGAGCTGTAAAATATGTGAGGGCCGCGCAAAGACAGTGGAACATACTCAGGTGATGCACAACAGCGAAGATGCACATGCAGAACAGGGAGTACACACCTTGATCGCGAGCGACTTTCCGGGGTCGAGCTCAAACCTGTACTCAGACTCGGGCTGAAGCTGCCATTGCTTCAAGTGGCCTTCCTTGTTCTCACCACCTCTATCCATCTCCTCTGCTGCCTCTCTATGTCCTCCAAGTGTGGCTGTCAGTGGCGCTGCAGCAAAAGACCAATGCCTTAACCTCTAGACGGGTCAGACCTAAGACGGAGCAAACTGGCTGGTACAGTTCTAGCGTGCCGTCTTGGAGGGTGCAAGTCTCACGACGTGGATCAGACCTGCAGCAGCAAAAGATGCAATTCTTAGCAACACAGCAAGGTACTGAATCGTTCAATGCCGCTTCTTTCGTCGTGTGGAGGTGGTGGTCACTGGTCGAGCCTGCGTTTGCGCCGCGGCCACAGACCGCCACAGTCTCAAGTAAGGCGTGACCCTGCGTGATCATCTGTGACAAATTGCCGTCACAGACAACCGCATCCAAGACAAATTCGCGTATGACTCCATTTCGATTTTGAACGCGGCCAGCTTTCAGGACATTGTCCGTAGCTGACGGAATAATACGCGGTTGAACGCGGCTGGTATTCTCTTTTCTATCCAGTACAGGTGGTAACTATGCGATCATAGCGCAGTGCGATAATCGTATATATCTAGTGTAAGATCGGGAGTGATGGCCTGCGCAGGGCCGAGGGATAAAGCGTGTGGTAGAGAGCATTGAGGAGACCATGAACGCGATGATAGATGGGTTCGTGAAGGGTCGTGAGTCATAGCAGGCCGCGCGGGTTGAAGCAAGGGGGCGACGAGGGTGCAGTTGGATGCGGATAGCCGGTGGGGCAGCCGGCTGGGGGGTGTCGGGAGGAAGAGGGCGTGCGCAGGTGTGGGAGGTATAATAATAAACATCGTAGTGTGGTGATAAATAGCGGAAGGATGAACTTCCGATGCAATGTGCGAGGGATGTGATGCTCTAGCAATACAGCGACGGGGTGAATGATGGTGGGAGCGACGATGAAGCCCTAAGACGACAGGAAGAGAACGGGGGAAGTCCGAGCTTAGAGCTGGAGCTTCTTGGGCTGCTCCCAGGAGTACTCGGAGTTGCCGAAGTGACCGTATGATGCCGTGCTGAGGTACTGCGGCTTTTGGAGACCAAGGGCCTGGACTGTAAATCGCGGGCAATGTTAAAACATGTTTATGACGAGAGCAACGAGTGCAACATACCAATGATACCAGGGCGGAGGTCGAAGTTCTGGCGGATGATCTCGACGAGGTCCTCGTCCGACTTCTTGCCCGTGCCGTAGGTGTCGACGTAGATCGACAGAGGCTCAGCGACACCAATGGCGTACGAGAGCTGGACAAGTGCGCGACGAGCGAGGCCGCCAGCAACGATGGACTTGGCTGCAGTATTGTATTAGCATCTGCGAACCCCTGGATACTGACAGTTACTCACCGATCCAGCGCGCGGTGTACGCAGCGGAACGGTCGACCTTCGACCAGTCCTTGCCGGAGAATGCACCGCCACCGTGCGCACCCCAACCACCGTAGGTGTCGACGATGATCTTGCGGCCAGTCAGACCGGCATCACCCTGGGGGCCACCGATGACGAAGCGGCCCGAGGGCTGGATGTGGTAGACGGTGCGGTCGTCGAGAAGGTTCGCGGGGATGACCTTCTTGATGATCTTCTCGAGGATCTCCTTGCGGAGGTTCTCAGTGGAGATCTCCTCAGCGTGCTGGGTGGAGACGACGATGGTGTCGACGCGGAGGGGGATGGTAGCGCCGCCGTCCTTCTTGTACTCGACCGTGACCTGGGTCTTCGAGTCGGGGCGGAGCCAGCCGAGCTCACCGGAGCGACGGGCCGCAGCCATCGCAGAGTTCAGCTTGTGCGCGAGCACGATGGTGAGGGGCATGTACTCCGGGGTCTCGTCGGTCGCGTAGCCGAACATGATACCCTGGTCACCGGCACCGATGCTCTCGAGGGAGCCGTGGTCGAGACCCTGCGCGATATCGGGCGACTGCTGCTCGATCGCGACGAGGATGTTGCAGGTCTTGTAGTCGAAGCCCTTGGACGAGTCGTCGTAGCCAATCTTCTTGATGGTCTCGCGGATGACGCTCTGGTAGTCGATCTGGCCCTTGGTGGTGATCTCGCCGAACACCATGATCATGCCGGTCTTCGCCGCGGTCTCGCAGGCGACCTTGGAGAAGGGGTCCTGCGCGAGGCAGGCGTCGAGGATGGCATCGGAGACCTGGTCGCAAATCTTATCTGCAAAGAGAATAAGTATTCAAAACAGTCAAATAGCCTAATTCTGCCAGCTGTACTTACCGGGGTGACCCTCGCCGACGGACTCGGAGGTGAAGAGGAAGTGGCCGGGCTGGAGCGCGGAGTGGACGTTACCGTTGGCCGAACCGTTGGCAGACATGGCGACGACGAGGGAGAGGTGAGGGAGGGGAGAAGGACGAGGGCACGGATGAGAAGCCGGTCAGAAATTCGATCTGCTATAAATTTGAAGCTTGGCGGACCCCGAGCACCGCGCAGCACGCCATCTCGCCATCTCCCGTGCTCGTTCCTCGCCGATTGGCCTTTCGCGCGCATCGTTCCCGCGAGCATGTCGTATTTTACATACATCGGCTCTCTACGTCGTACGATATTCATACACTCGTTCTCGGCCGTCTCTTTAGTAAAACGTGGCATCCCAAACAAGAAAACACCGGGCCAGAGTCGTAACTGCGTACTACTGTCATGACCACACTGCTACCCCAAGGGGATCCGACGATGCCGATGAGTCCGCTGACGGCTCTGCAGGTGCTGGAGGCGTGGCATGTGTTGATAGCCCATCGCCCTGCCCCAGGGGCCCGCCGCTGTTCGCACCTAAGCCAGCTAGCCCAGTCGCTTTATCTGAATTGGCGCGAATCGATGGAGGGCGGGCGCCGCCCAACGGGGTACTCCCACTAGTCGTGACGCGTGAGTGTGGGAAGGAAGGAGGAAGCTCGACAGTGGGATCCAAGGGCAGCGAACTCTGTTGCGTCTCCTGCTCGGCGTATAGACTCGCAGGGATGGTAGGGCGCGGGTCGCTCTCCGGCGCGCGCACAGAACTCCATGGGTTGTCCAAGTACATAGAAGGGATCGTCGGTCGCGCTTGGCCCGTGGACCAAGGATTGAGTGTGCTTCCCGACGACACAGTGTGCGCGCGAGGGGAGGATGGCCCGCTACGGGGAGACGAGGGACGACTGTTGTCCCCACCTGCGCCCCACGCGTCGATCTCCTCCCTTGATTTGAGTTCGCCGCCGCGTACAGGGTCTCCCCCTTCCCCTACCGAGAGACCGCGCAAATCCTTCGCCAGTCCGCCATATGCGTCCTGCACAACAGAGAACGCGGCGGTAGCGTTTGTGGAGAACTTGCCCCAGAACGAACGCACGCCGCCTGACGAGAAGAGCTCTGCCCCGGCCTGGGAGGATGTAGTTGCCCGTGGGGAGGTTGTACGCACGCTGCGCATACGGGGAGAAGGCGTACGTGGAGGTGTGATTGGGTCCGAGGAGGGTACCCCAGGGCTTGTTGACAGGGTGTCAAAGGGCCGGAGGCTGGGCGTCCGCGCCCGTTGGACCTCTGGCGCGGCAGGAGATTCGCCGAGTGGAGTGTTTTGAGAGGCCGGAGAAGCTCCTCTCTGCAAGAAGCGCGCTATAGACTGCGCGGTTGGCAAAGCCAACTGCGGCCCCGTAGGAGTCGGAGTGGAGATCCCGGTGACGGAGGCTTCTGGGCTCAGAGGCAATGCAGGGTCTGCCTCTGCGGAGTCGATGGGCGCGGTGAGCTCAGGCTCCTCAACCGCCTGCTTTACGACAAATCTCCCGTTCATCTCCTCGTCGGTCCTGCCGTACAGCTCGTTCCAGAACCGGACGTCCTTGGGGTTGGGCATGAGGACACCCATGTCTGCCTTCGGCCGGGTGACGTCGTCTAGACTCGGGTCGTAAAGGGGGTTCTTGTTCAACTCGACCTCTGGTGGGGAGTTGAAGAAGTCCCATACGCTCACCGTACGGTCGCATGGTGGGGGCCCGCTCTCCCCAACGCGCCGCTCGCGTTCCGAGTTGAAGAGGAACGTGCCAAATTGGCAGGAGTACAGATGATAATGCAACTGCCGGAGGAACCGTTCGTTGAACTCGAAGCGCTCCGGGAATTGCCGCTGGATCTGGCGCACGCTCTCGAGGAACTGGTGGAAGACGGGGCTAGTCTCCTTGATGTGGTTCTGCGATGCGAAGCGGTTTTGCACGGATGCTAGGAACGCCTGCGCAGCTTCTGCTCCGCCACCACCGCCGGAGTTCTCGACGGGGGCGAGGAAGAACTTCTCCGATGAGAGATGTCCGCACCGATCGAGGAACTTGTGTCCGAAGGAGACCCAGTCCTTCTCGATCAGGATCTCGAACCCGCGTTGGGTACGATAGAAGGGGTCGAGACAGAGTTGGGTAAGAGAGGATAGCTGCGCGGTACGATCCCACCCATCAGAGCAGTGGATGAGGACATGGGAAGAGTTGACGTGGACGTTTCGCACACATAGCAGCGTCCCCTCGAGTATAGCCCCAATGTGCCGGAGCCAGCCTGAGCGCCGCAACACTTGACGGTCGAGTACCGGGGCAACAAATGGCGGTTCGTCGTCCGCAGGCGCAGAGGCGGTCTGCATGATCTCGGTGCCTCGTAGCGCTTCCACCACCCGGGCGAGCGCTTCGCGCATTGTGTGGATGTGGTCGATGCCCAGGTACGCCTTCTTGGCGTCCTTGTAGTGGTCCATGTTCTCTGTTCCGGCTCCCTTCGCTGTATTGGCCATGGCGTTCGTCGTAGGGCGCGCGTCAATAATGAGGTTGGTCGCCGTCGCGCCATACACAGGCCCTGCGCTGACACGCGACTCCGGATTGTGGTGGGTTTGGAAGATCGACTCGATGAGTTTCTCGTCCTGGATGGAGCGGTTATTGGTCAGCCCGACCATAGGCTGGCTTGACCGCGTGATAGAACCCTGTGGCAGCACAATAATGTTTCAGCCACTAAGGGACGGAGGCGCACATCCCGTAGGTTCACGCACGTAGTTCGCCCAATGCAGGTATGTCAGGGCGGGTATTCGACACTTGCTGCGAAACTTGGCGGCATATTGTATGGTTGTGTCGCTGATGCGCGTAGGCACCACGAGGCGCGCCGGATATGTTGGCGATAGCTGGTTGTTAGAGAGTATAAGTCACGATAAAGAATGGTACGAGTGCGGCGGTAACGCACAGAGTAGTCTTTGTTAATGTCAGTGAAGCGCCATGCCTTCGAGCGTGTGCCGACGCCCATCCGCAGGAACTCCTCACGAGGAGAGTAAATGGACCATCCGTTCGAGACTGGAAATGGGGGATTCGGAACATAGTAGAACGCATAGAGCTGTGCGACCGAAGCTTGCGGTAGGATGGTCAGTACCCGCAAGCTTTGGCGGTGACAAGAGGACGTGAATAATGTACTCACTTGCAACCGTAAGCTCCTTGACGCTCTCGAATACGTCTATCGCTTCCTTCTCTGATACAAACGAGAGGAACGTTGTCTCGAACGTGCGCGTGTGGATCGTGAGGGGAGATTGGCCTTGCAGAGTCATGGGCATCCGAGACACGAGCGAGATGAGCGGGTATGGAACCTTCAGAAGTAGAGAGGCGACTGGTCAATCAACGTCTGCGCGGAATTGGCTTTGGACTGACCCACATCTCCTCCCTCCCCTCCTCGTCGTAGTGGAAGATCGCATGGTGCGCGGTGAGATGTAGCGTGCCGGAGGAGGTGCTACCGCCCTTGGTGCACAACACGCCCTCGACCTGCAGACCGCGATCAGTTGACTGCAGGGTAGACGAGCCTTCGAGACACACCTTTGTCACTCGCAGAGCGTCCATAGTGTCACAGAAGTCTCATGCAGGACGAATTAGCAAAGCGGTCGTTGTGGTGGTCGAATGGAGACTGTGGCGGCACCATAACCGTACGCGTGCGCACCACCGTCTACGCGGGCGCTTCAAAGAGCATTACCACCGCCGGGACCCCGCGTAGCTTGACAAAGTAGCTCCAAGTTTAGTCGCACTGCAACTACGGTGCAAATATTTACCCTAGGCAACGCTGCTCAAACTGCTGGCAGGACCACCATACTTTCTCACTCTCTTTCGGCTGCACGCCATGCTCTCTGCGCAAAATCATGCATCTGCTCAAGGTCCACTACAACGGGAAGAGAAGTATGTAATGTCGGATATCTCGAGATGATCCCAGACAATCCACCTCAGCGACATGTATGCTCTCATACTCGCCACGCACTAGCTCTCGATATTACCGCATGGTGAAGCAAGCAGCTTATCGTGGAAATCGAGCTATCAAGCTCCTACAAGCATGTACAGAGCCTATGCCAGTGGTGTTCGGCGGCGTTCGCCAGCACATAGGTGTAATACCCTGAATTGTCAAAGGAGGACCCGGGCAACTCCACCAGATGTTTGTCTCGAAGTTGCATAAATCACCTTCCAAACAAGGCAAGTGGCCCTGTCTAGGTTTGCATAATTTACGGCTGTGCGGCCTCTAAGCGCCCATTAGACGCCGATAGCCCTGTCTCGTGTTGCATATTTGAGGGCTCGTCGCGGCCCAAAAAATAGCGCCAGCTGGAAAACTATCTCAAAGCCTGTGAAACGACTTGTAGCTGATGAAATACGCTCTTCAGAAGGTGTTTGGGACGTTTTCAGCCTTCGAAAGCCTCGCAAAGCTCAAAATAAGCGCGCACGTGACCCGTTTCACGTGACTAGCCCTGTCTCCCGAAGCATAATCCGGGCCAAAAGTTAGCATAAATGAGGCCCGATTTGGGGGGTCCGGCTAGACAAACCCTCGCAGGAGTTGCCCGGGTCCTGTCAAAGGTACGTATGAACGGTGGAACTCGAGATTTTATGATCACTAACATTCAGCTATGGACGCGTATGTAAGGTGATAACTTGCCGTGGACATCTCGATGACCCTCTATGGATGGTTATGGATGCCAACTTGAATGCATGAGATGTATTCTTGCTGGTCAAAGTCGACTGTGCTAAAAGTCTCACTCTTGTTGGAAACAATTGTTTGTTTCTACGTCGGGCGAACGTCATACCATGGGCTAGTAAGTGATTAAGGGTATAGGTGTATGAAAACTTGAAGAAAGTGTTTTGAGCTGACGTTGTAGTTGTTTCTGAAGTGCTTTGCTTCACAGGTCGCCATAAATATATGGCTGGGAGTCGCTGTGTTTTAGGACACTAGTCGCTTTTCGAGGACCACCCCAAGGATACAAAGGAGGTTCGCAAACGAACTGTAGCCCCCCTCCTCTTGGCAAGGTTTTCCCTCGCTGGACGTGCGCTGCGATAGAACGACGTGAGTACGCTCATAAGGCGTCCGAGATTTATCCTCACTTTCCATCCTGGCAACGCACAGTACACAACGCTGCTGTTGCTTTCGCGCAGCTCGACAACGTTCGCCAAAAGCCACTGGCGAGTCCGCCTATGGTCGCCAGTCATCGCCCGCCCGTCGATCGGGTCAAGTAGCGGAACGTTTTCGGCCAGATCCTAGTGCATCGTGTCACACAGGCCAAGGAATACGGCGCACGTACCGAGACTCGTAGCGAGCGAGGTGCTGACGCTTAGCCACCCTCGCCGACGGACCCGCTGCCGTCCATCGCCACAACTTTTCGGTCACCCAAAATCGCACCTCAAGGTCCGGGAGGCTATCCAGCACAATCCGAGGCCTCTATCGATGCCCCCAAATATCTGGTGGCGTCGGTCGCGGTTCACGATTGGACAATACTGCGTCACGCCGTGGCTAGTATGCGACGTAGCCGACCCCGCGCCTATTTTACCCACAACCACCAGGGTGTTTCAACCGCAACGAATCGCGTCTGTCTCCCAACCCCACTATCACTCCTACCACCATCATAACCTCTACCCATCCCGCAACGTCAACCCATACACACCCAACCACCATGCAGTCTTCGCAGACATACACCTTCCACTTCTCCGAGCCCCCAGTCGCATCGGGAAGCGACAACGACTGGGCAGCCCGCCCTACACAGGCCATCAACCAACCAGCCGTCCCCGAGTTGTGGCCACTCGGGCCCGCCACACAAGGCACCTCTCTTCCCACCGCAGCGAACTGTCATGACTTCCTAAAGACCGACCAGGCGGAGCCCGCACGGAACCTTGTCTCTCCCGCAGACGGGCAGATGATCTATTTGGACGACCTCGCCTTTCTTAACGTCCCCCACACCCCCGCGGCCGCCGCGGCGAGCCCCATCCCATCCGTCGCGCCAGTCCTCAAGCTCTGTGGGCGCTGCTTGAACGGGTACACCCAGGAGGACGATGGGTCTGAGGTGTGCGCTGTCTCCCACGCCCCTCCCGTCGACGCTTGGATTGCGGGCGACAATGCCATTTACCCGGTGCATTGGTATCCCTGCTGCGGAAGGTACAGGCTAGCGATCCCCGGGCTGCGGCTGAAACGCCCTTTCAACGCGGTATGTCGCTGGGCACCCCACATTCCCGCCAACTAGGTGCACACCGTCGGCGGGCCCGGGGCGCAAGGGTGGCGAGTCCGAGTTGACATCTGTCCCCCTGGTCCCTTACGATTCGATTCAAGCCTCGGATGTATTTTTACGGACTCATACTGTTACTGTACATCCCTCTAGTATATGTTTATACCTACGTTTCTTTATACCACCGACTCCTGTATTTCGAGTGTGTCTGGCTACTGTACAATTCTCGGTGTCTCAATAACAAATTTGCACCCGCCCACGTATCGCCCGACCACCACGATCAAGCTTCACCTCCATGCTAAGGCCGAGCGGTAAGCTGCAGGCCGCCGCGTGGTGGACGCAGTACTTGGAATGCGAACATAGCCACAACGCGACCGCCGATCGCCGGGCAGATCGGGTCATACCTCCGGTCCGCCTCCCTCGTACTACGCAGCCCCCGTTCATGAGCATTGCTTTGTGGTCATGGCGGGACCGGTGCGAAGCGCGAACAGACTGCAGGCTCAGAGTACCCGGCGCATTAGAAGACGAGAAGCCCTTCGTTTCATTAATGTTGTGTGGTAGAGCGCCCAGTGCCTTCGCTCGTATCTACTACGCCCGGAGAAGCACACCGCTGACGTCTGCGGTCGTGCGTCTCGGTTTGAGTTGCGGCCGAGGACGGAGTTGCGTACTGAAGTGCGCAACTTCGGCCTCCTCGCGCGGCGTAGAGGTAAGACGCGCGAATTCTCGGCGTCATCCGAGTCTCTCTCTCCACTCCTCGGAGTGCACCTCAAAGTCGGCACGGCGACTTTGAGACACATCTCGCCCAGAGCCTCCGCACTCGGCGGAGGCCAAGGCTCGCTAGAACAGTGCTCGCTGTTTCAGGTCCTCAGAGGGCATCTTGTTCGTCAACTCGAGCAGGACCCACACCACGTGGCAAGGGTGATGGGAAAAGTTCAACGCTCTCCAGGAAGGAACCTGCCCGCTACGACTCGCTTATGCTCGAGCTTCTGCGCACGTTGTCCTTCAGTGTACGATAAGCGTAGAGCCCGTCAAATTCAGTGAGACTACACCTGTTCTCTTCGGAGCTCCCTCGCACCCTCCTAGCATGGACCAGAGAAAAATGCTGTTCGGAACTCAGCTTCACCTACGCGAGCGGGCACGCGTCGAGCCCTTTGCACCAGCCCCGCGCTTCCATTTGCCTCCGCCTGGGGCAGCGTCGCGGATCGCTGCTGTGCGCACCGCTCTGAGCTTGCTGCGCAGCCCCCGGCCTCTATACGCACACGCGTACCTGGGACGCTGCGAAACCACCCGGCGTTTCGCGGTTATCAGCTCTTGATTTTGTCTTGATCTTGATGAAGCGTGTGAGGGCATCGAAATTCGCCGGGATGGCGTGCCTTGAAGCTGGTGCAGCGTGCACGTCGCGCACGCGAAGATGGGACGGCAGAGGTGAATTGAAGCGGTGGGCCGAGTGCCGCCGGGCGTCATGCGAGCGACACCTGCTTGGACGACGCGGGCGCGAGCCGAAAATAGCCGTGGACGCAGAAGAGTCGAAATCTGATTTGGGCGCTGGAGGGAGGTGTTGCAAACATGTGCAGACGGCGAGCGCTGCGGCGGAGAGAGGGAGAGAGGCGGTGGCTCGACGGAGCTGCACATCCGATCATGGCCGCGGAGGCAGAGAGACGGAGGCGGGGACGGGCGATCGAGCACAAGACGCGGGCGGAGGAGATGGGCGCCTGTTTGGGGAGGTGCATCAAAGCTTGCGTCGATAGAAGCTCGACCATCTCCTGACGCGGACAGGGACGACGCGCGAAGGCGACCCGGTCGTGTCGGAGCCTGCGCGGGGATTCATCTCCTCCCCGAGTCTGGCTTATAACCCACCCCTGGGCGGAAGCCTTCGATACTTCCTCCCCCGAGCATCTCTCCCGGTCCTGCTTGCCTTAACTGACAAGCCGCCCCCACCGCCCAATGGAGTCCGATAGTTCTCTCGAGAAGCGCGGCAGCGTAGGCGACCACGCCCCAGCCCACAACAAGCCCCATCTCGCGACCCAGGACGTCGATGTCGCAGCGGAACTCGCGGCAGGCAATGACTTCGTCCTCGACCCAGCAGAGGCCGCGCGCGTCAGGTGTGTTCGCGCGCCCGCTACCATGCGCACCCACGATGACTGACCACAGTCCGCGCGCAGGCGAAAGATTGACCTGCACCTCATGCCGCTCATGTGCAGTGAGTACCCACCATCTGCTCAATATGCTCCTGGTGGCGCGCGCTGACAACCCCGCTCCTCCACAGTCCTCTACATGTGCGCGCCGCATACCGTCGTGCTACGCATCACCGACTCACCACCTTCTCCTTCGCAGGATGCAGTTCGCGGACAAGACCACCCTCGGCCAGTCCGCTGTCCTGGGTTTGCTGTGCGTGCCTGCATCCTATACATCCTGTGCCTTCGCGGGGATCCGAACTCTAACTTTGCTCGCGCGCATTCAGCACCGGGCCTGACGCCCGGCTGAACCAAGCCCAGTTCAACTGGCTCGGCACGGTCTTCTACCTCTTCTTCCTCGCGTTCGAGTGGCCACAAAACCTCGCGCTGCAGTACCTCCCGGTCGGCAAATGGATGAGGTCAGTCTCGCCCCAGCGCGCCCGAGCCCCGCGCGTGCTGACACGCCTCCGGCGGCGCATCCAGTTTCAACATCCTCGTTTGGGCGATCGCCCTGCTCTGTCACGCCGCCGCGAAGACGTTTGGACAGTTCTTCGTGTGCCGCCTCTTCCTGGGGATTTGCGAGGGCGCGATCACGCCCGGGTTCATGATTATCACGTCCATGTTCTACACGCGTCAGGAGCAGACCCAGCGCGTCGGCTACTGGTGTACGTCCCGCCCCCGCTCGCCCCGCCCCCGGATTCTCGTGCGCTGACCCGACGAACGCTTGCTTGCAGTCCTGATGAACGGCGCCGCGATCATCCTGCTCGGGCTCGTGGCGTACGGCACCCTGCACATCCACTCGACGGTGCTTCAGGCGTGGCAGTGGTGCGCGTCCGAACACGCCACTTAGTGCGTGAATGCACGCTGACAGGTGTGGTTTGACAGGCTCATGATCATCACCGGGGTCATCACGTTCGTCGTCGCCATTCTCTTCTGGTAAAGCCCCTTCTGTCCACCGCCAGCGCTGCGTTGTGTGCTCATTTGTCGCGCTCCAGGTTCTTCTTCCCCGACTCGCCCGCGACGGCGTGGTTCCTCACGCCCGAGGAGCGCGTCATCGCGATCGAGCGCATCAAGGTGAACCAGGCCGGCGTCGAGAACAAGCACTTCAAGAAGGACCAGTGAGTGCCGCCACGCCGTGCTATGTATAACTCGCGCGGCGCGACGCTGACGTCTCGAAACCTTGCGTAGATTCATCGAGTGCCTGAAAGATCCGAAGACGTGGCTGTTCTTCTTCTTCGCTGCCATCTCGTGAGTGCCTTCTTCCCCCATTCTGCTGCATTTGCACCCGGCTGAGGACATGCCGGAAACCAGGAACGTCACGAACTCGGTATGTCGCCCAGACATGTGTCGCGCACTCGGCCGATGCTGATAGATGCTCGCACAGCTCAGCAACCAGCGCCAGCTCATCGTCGCCGGCTTCGGGTTCACCTCGCTCCAGACCACGCTCCTCGGCTGCGTCGACGGCGTCGTCGAGAGTGCGTCCCCGCCTTCCCTGCGCTCCGTGGGTGGATCTGACTGACGCGCGCAACGGCAGTCATCGTTATCTTCTGCACCGTCACGTCCGCGACGTACTGGAAGAACGGGCGTGCGTATTCGGGCGCGCTCGCGTACTGCGTCGCGATCCTCGGCTCGATCCTCGTCAACACGCTCCCGTCGAGCACGAGGGTTGGTCTGCTCTTCTCGTATTGGATTTCGAGTAAGTTTGCTGCGGACTCCGTCGGACGTGTAGTGGTTGCTGACTGCGTGGGCTCCTAGTCACGTCCATAGCGCCCTTCGTGGTCATGCTGGCCTGGGTCGGCTCGACCACTGCGGGGCACACAAAACGTACGTCTCCCCCCTCTTCCTCTTCCCTCTCAAACCTCCCATCTAACCTTCACCGCGCCACAGGCCTAACCACAAACGCGATCGTGATGATCGGGTACGCGGTGGGCAACGCCGCGGGCCCGCAGTACTGGGAGCAGAAGTATAAGCCACGGAACCACGTCCCGTGGCTGATCCTCTCGATCTGCTGGGCGGTCTCCGCGCTGCTCCTGCTCGCGACGCGCGCGTACCTGGCGTGGGAGAACGCGCGCCGCGAGCGCGCGGGGCCGGACGAGCGCTACGACGACGTGTATGTCACGGAGAAGCGCGCGGACGGGTCGGTCGTGGACAAGAAGGTCGACAAGGTGCGTCACGCTCTACTCTCTGTACGCGTGAATGTGGGCTGACATAGGGCGTAGGCATTCTTGGATCTCACGGACATGCAAAACCGCGACTTCCGCTACGTCCTTTAATGGGCACAGCGGTGTTACGCCCGCTTCTTGCCTCTTGCCTTCACGACGCCTCCTAGACGACACGCCGCGCCGCGCCCAAGACCTGCGCCCCCACCCCTCTCAAGATTTACGCCTCACCACACTCACCACAACGCACGCGTCTCCACGAACGGACGGCTCTCATCTTGGACCCGGCGCGCCCCGCGATACCTGTGACCACGCCCACGCATGTAGTTAACGTTATTGAACGTGTATCATACCCACCCAGCCCGCTGCATAATAGGAATTCGAGCATCTTGCAAGCAAAACTATCGGTGCGAATGCCGCGTGTTTTCTGTAGGCGCCGTTTTCTCTACACGCTTTGCGACAATTTTCGTCTCCGCATGTCTCGGCTGCGCCCCACTGTGAGCATCAATCTAAACTGCGGTATGGTTGCATGCGGCGATCTTCACTGGGTTCACCACCTCGATTCTGATACCGGTCCTTAGACACACTTGGATGTTCGTTCGTTCTCATCGGGGCACGATGCCCGTCCGGAAATCGGCTTTGTACATTTCCTCCGTTATATTGTAATTTCTGATCATCTAACAGGGATCGTCAAAACTAACGTCGTCCATCAAAGGAAGACGTAGAACTCGGGCTGCCACGATCCCTTCGACACGCGCCGAAGCTTCCATAAAAAGACCTCGTCAAACGAGAAGGTATATGCGCCCATCCTCATTTCGTGCGTCTTGTTTGCAGAATATTAACGATTGTGATAACAGCACGAAAAGCGGGGGAACGTACGACATAGCGGCACGTCTCCTTTGCAATCGTGGTGGCTAGCTTGCCTCGCGAGATAGAGTCCGCTGATTTGTTGGCCCGAAGGGCCATCACCTGACGGTGGTAAAACGGCGGATGATCTTCCAACTACGAGTCCAGTAAGGCCATGTGTCACTGCCGCAACGAGCATGTAAGTACCTGGATTCTCAATGAGATCTTGGAGGATACGCTCCCCGTAGGAAAGGCCGGGGAATCCTGTTCCACGAGCTCGGCGACGTCACCACGGAGCGCTTGGGCGAGACTGATCAGTCCTCCGTTCATTGTGGAGAACTCGACGGCTTCCCAATGAGCAACATGCAGATGAGCAGCGCCCTGGAAAAGGACTTGCGGAACGAGTGTGAGTCGCGGAGGCTGTGCATAAGAAGGGTTAGTTCGAATGACCCCTGAAAGGTAACACACAGCGTACTGCTATTTCTTCGGAGCTCATGTCGGCTTTGACGGGGCGAGGAGTGGCAGTGCCCCAGGCGTAGTTGGTTTGTGAGGAGGCGAAAGACTGGTGACCACCACGGTGTTGGCAGTGGACTATATAGCTGAGAACATGCCGAAATCAGGATACGGTCCGAGTCTGACCGTCACGGAAGATTATGCACTCATCATCGTCGTGTGCCAAATGTGTAGTACGCAACGGCAAACGTTCGCGGTCTCGATGCACGTAGCGTACGTAATGTCTGAATGGGGTGGGGCTCGAAGAATGCCACCCAAGCAACTGTCATTCCGCGGACGGAGCGCACGCTGTATCAGGGACAGATCAGCGCAGTAGCGAAGAACCTGAGCACGATGCAACAGAGAGGGATCTCACGCTATGCGTGCTATCAAGTGCTGCAGACACTACAGTGTTGGAGCAAGCTGGCTGACACGGAATCCCTAATGTACATGCCGATGTTGATGTCGCCGACAAGTAGGGCCGGCGGATATTACGGACGACGGGGAGCCCCGCAAGGACACGGGGGAGGTGCCATAAGATGGTTACGACCAAGCGGCGACAAGGTTGCGGGCAAGAGCCCAATAAAGCCTTCGAGTTGTGGTCCTTCGTACTCGTTCGCTAATATTGCGTGTAAGTACTCCGACTCTAAATCGATGCATTGAGCCGACCTTGAACTTAAGCTTGAGCTTGCATTAACCGATGGGTACCGGTGATCGGTTGACCTATCTATCCACGCACACCCGGGCCCATCTACCCCAGTGGAAAACCCCTTCGACGTTTCCTCCGTGTCTCGTGTTGATGCATGTAAAAACCGGAGCCAGCTTCTAGTGTGACATTGTGTCGAGATAGATGAGAAGAATCGTTGGAGAACCACCTGTGCCTGTCCGCGCGGCGCGGAGTGTACGTTAGAGCTCGGAAGACGTCACCAATCAGAGTTCATCACCAGAAAGCCAAACCGTGAGGGCGATTGGCATGGGCAGCGAGGGTGTGGGCGTCGATGAGACTGATGTCCGGATCGTGTACCTAGGTATTCGGACATATACGCTCCCAGCACTGGTGGCGGGGAACCATAGTACTGGGAGATGTCGATGAAGTACCAGCCGCAGGCACTCTCCGCGTTACTCCTGCTCGCGACGCGCGTGGGCGCCAAGGAACGTTACGGCGACGTGTATGTGACGGAGAAGCGGCGGGATGGCACGGTCGTAAACAAGGTCGATAAGGTGCGACGCGTGTGTCTTTCTGCGTGTGGACTGACGGAAGGTGCAAGCGTTCCTAGGCCTTACGGACATGCATGCACCGCACCCTAGACCGGTGCCCCTCTATCCACCACCCTCTAAAGATTTGCACCTCAGATGCATCCATCTCAACGCGCGCGTTTACATGAATGCACGGCTCTCACCTTGGACCCGCCCATGCGCAGTTACGGCAGCATGAGCTTCATACGACCGGCCGCCCCCTGCGGCCTCATCCGAGGGATGGAACTCTGCGTCGGATTTCGACGCATGTCGTCCTCCGTTACGTGAGTGTGCGAACGAGTGAACATCCCTAAAAAAAGCTGATATAAGCCAACCTAGAAGCGTAGAGCCCAGGGAGGTAGTCACTATATGAGGGACTGCTTGCTTCGGAAGCTGCGTGTGCAGCTGCCCTTTCCACAACCTCATCGGGTGCGTTTTCTGCGGGTGTGGGACACCTCTAAATTGTCCTGTGGAATATTAGGGGTGACGCCCACGGTTGTATACGAGGTCATTGAAATGATACCTAGGAGTATAGATTGACGGTGGGGGATGAATGGTGTTGTGTCCGTGAACAAGAGTCTACTTCAACGTCACTTGGTACGTCTCACGTCCCCCGAGGCCCGTAATCCTCAAAGAAACCTTGGGACACGGATACTGACAGAGGTCGTCAGGTCGTCAGTCATCATAGAAGCTATGAATGCAATGAGCGGGGGGCTGAACGAACCTGCTCAGAACGCCTCGACAACCAACAGTAGCAGTACACCGCAGAGTACCACAACGTCTACCACATCCATGGGCCGACGTGTTTGGCCCATACAGAGCTCAAGCGACAGCATCAGTGTCGGAACACCCAGCGGCACCTTGAATAGTACAAGCCAGGACGCCTCGCCGAGCACCGCGACCAGTGCGAGCCACAGCAGCGTCAGCGCGAGTAATACCGCAATAGCGAGCTCAGCCGCAACTGCCGTCGGCGTCAGTGCTACGTCTGCAGAAAATGGGTGCATGAGCGACGCGGCCGTGGGCTGCATCAATGGCAGGTCTGCGAACATAACTTCGGATAGCCCCGTTTCGCCCGTGTGCAGCGAGCTCCGTCTTCTGCGGCATGACGTCGACGCTGATCCACGTACGTCAAATAATATCATGATATCTACGCACAGGATTGATAGAGGTCGCCCAGTGTTCTTCGCAACCAACCTCAACGTCTCGGCCGGATGGCTGCAGGTGTACGTCCCGCATGGGCCGCCAGGCGATGAATATGTCTTCACATGTGAGTTTGCCGGATATTATCCTGAGTCTGAGTAGAGCTATCTGCTGATACGGATGTTTTAGTGGCAGTCACAGATGGAGACTGCGCTAAGCAGACGTACCAGAGCGCACCGTTCACTGTCTTGCCTGCTTTGTGACGGTTGGGGACGCGACGTTGAGTGCACAACTGCGCATCGGGACAGAAAATGACACATGATTGACACTTGCAGAGCAATTATAGTATCACGAATGTTTCATGAGGAGATGTGGATGAAGCAACCGTTGTGGTGGTAAGATGCAGGTTGTGGCGGCACCTAACCATGACCACCGTCCATATGGGCGCTTATCGGGCCTTGCTAGGCACTGGCACGTTGCCGGGATCGTAGACAGAAAGCTTCACCGTTTGCACCCTCCAAGCTAGCTAGTCACCACGATGCACCTGAGGCAATACCGACGTCCTGCAAGACCACCAAACTCTTTCTCTTGCTTCAAGCTACCTGCAATGCTCATCCTCGCGGGGTATAGCATCTGACGTGTCAGATATATGTAAGGTCTACGCATCTAGTAGAGTGCTGTGGGTGGATTTCTGATACTACGCAAGACCCAGACACCCAACCACAGCGATACGTATGCTCCTCGCTATGCAGCAGCTCGCATTGCTGCTGTATTGCGAAGAAGGTACAATAAAAGGCTGTAAGGTATGAGGCCCTCACAACGATATGCACATCCTAAGGAAGTCGCCAGCACGTAGGCGAGAGCCTTGAATGACTTTGGTGCGCATGCGCGACGATGGAACCTGAGATTCAAGAGTGCTAACACATAGCTACGGGCGCAAACGGTAGGTATCAATCTATCGTGAATACTAGCTCAATGAAAATCCACAGATGAGTGCCGGCGAACGAGAGAAACACTTTTTATTTGCCAAAGTCGATACAGCTAAAAAGTCTCATTCGTGCCGGAGTAAGTGCATCTGCGTTGTGCCAACATTGGACTGATAGCCTGTCAGTGGCCAAGGTATGCATCACCAATGGCTTGACCGACGCATTTTAATTTGCCGTTAAAGTTGTGCCGAAGTGCTTTGTTTCGCATGAAACCGTATATATCGCTCAGAGAATCGCTCAGCTCAACAATAGGACACTGCTCGTCAAGGACTGCTCCAAGGATATATGAGTGAAGTTCGCAAACAAGCTGCAGCATCTGCCTTGAGGCAAGTTTCTTTATCGCCGTAACGAGGAGTTGTACGACTGCCTCAACAGGACGTGAGTGCTTTCACAAAAGCGTCCGAGCTATTTACTCACGTACGATCATAGCGACGAAAAGCAGACGACCCTGCTGTCCCTTTTGCGTAGTGCAGAAACCGCCGCCGAGAGCCACCGGCGGGCTCGCTCGTAACTACCGGCCGTTGCTAGCAAACTTTCCTCCTGTCCGGCCACGCAGCGGCGCGTCGCCGTCCATATTCCACCGCGCTGTGATACGAAGACCACAGAAGACGGTGTACAAATCCAGTCTTGAGGTACGCGACAACCGGACGTTCAGCCTTCCTCGCCAGTAGACCCGCTGGCCCGCCGTTGCGACAAGCTCAAAGTTGCTCAATTCACGCACTAAGGTCCGGGAGGCTATCCTACAGAGTTGCATTCCTCTGTCGATGCTTACGGAAATGTGGTGGCGTCGGTCGCGGTTCACGATTGGACAATACTGGGTCACGTCGTGGCTAAGATGCGACCTTGCCGACGCTCGCGCTTATTTTACCTACAACCTGCAGACTATATAAACCGCATTGCGTCGCGTCGGCCCTCTCAACCACTCTTACCCCCTCTACCATCACCGCCGTCACTACTCCCTCTTTTTTTGCAACATCCCACCCCGCCGACTACAATGCAAGCTGCCCACACAAACTTCACCTCCTCTCCTGTTGCATCCCAAAGCCACAACGACTGGGCGGCATGCCCTACGCACACCGCGGGCAAATAACCATGCTCTTCTCAACGACATACTGAAATCATTGTGAGAACTGAAAAAATGAGCTTTGTATGTTGGTGATCGGAATATCGTGAAAACATGCTGAACACATGGGGTGTTTTCAATGTCCCAAGCATGTATTCACGATGTTCCACACAGTACACAATGTTCTTTGTATGTTCGAAGCATAGCGCATGGTGAAACAACGTGGTGGCATTTTTTCAGTCATTGCCGTGTTATCAAAATGATTTATCTGGAAACATGCGGATATGCCCGCGGTGGCAGCCGGTCCACGAAGGAACTGTCCCCGACTCCTGGAGCTTGGGGTCCACGACCCCACACGCACACCACCCCACTGCGGCGACTGACCGTGACCTCCTGAAGGCCAACGGGGCCGAACTCGCCCCCAACTTCGCCTACCACACAGACAACCAAATGGTCGACACGGTCGATCCTGCCTTCTTCGGTCTTCACGACGCGCAGGACGCCGCCTCCACGCGCCCTATCCCAGCTCCGGTCCCTAGCCTCCGGCAGTGCGCGCGATGCCTAGCGGTATATACCGACGAGGAGAACAGCGCCGACTCGTGCGGCATGCCCCACGCTGCTGTCCCAGTCGTTGCCTGGATAAGGGGCGACGAGGCGATGTATCCCGTACACTACTGGGCATGCTGCGACACCTACAGGCTAGCGATCCAAGTTCCAGGCCTGCTTCAACGGCCGTTTAACCCCGTATGCCGGCGCACGGCGATGCCACATGTACCCCTCGCCGACTAGGCTAACATCGGGATGCATACAAGGATACGGCCAACAATATCGCCTCTCCCGCAGCGATTGTTTATAACGGCTCTCCAGGATGACGAGACATAGGGATCGCTGATATGGAGGCATACGACGCTCGCAACTCGATGGATAACACACGTTGGGCGTTGTCCACAGACCACTCGACTGGGGCCCTCTTCGCATGTCGGAGGGCGCCCAGTGTGGTTAGCCACTTTGGACAAGCACTCCATCCGGGGACGGTCTTTCACGGTGGCGATGACATCAACACTTCCCTTACGATACAAGTCTCGAATGTACTACCACGGACTTAATCTCTTACTCTCACTGTACAATCTCCCTCGATGTCTCTTTATCTCCTTGTCATTTTACTGTAACACTGTAGTTGTACGATTACGTCTCCTGTCTATTGTCTGTAGTCTTCGGTGTCTTAATAACAGATATGTATCCGATGCCGCTGAGCCCGACCTTTACGGCCAAGGTGGTGGACGCCGGGGATGATATTCGAGTAGTATATTACCACGATAATCATCTGATCACCCAGTATATTGAATCAGTGCATGAGATAAACGCGACTTTAAAGAGTTAGTAGCTTTCGCGACTAGTCCCGACGTCTTGACCTAATGGCGGCAAAAACCAGATGTGCACCGCTGGGTCAAACAACCTGACTGAGGGTCCTTGCGCCGCTCCGAAAGAACTGACAACAAATTAGCATGGAGACCTACGATTGGCGCTTCAGACCGCGGCTATACATTCGCCGCGCTTGTCGCATATTCGGCACCTAGAAATTCTGGGTTTCTATCTCTTCGGCGGTCAGCTGGGGGCCAGCATAGGTTTTGGACGGCAGAGGACTGGATATCGGCACCAGTGGTTGGTTAGACGTACCTGAATTACAAAAACAACAACGCTACGGAACGCGGCATACCTCTGAGGTCCCGGGTCACAAGAGCAGTCATGAGGCTTGAAGCTTGAGGCCTTGAGGCGAGAGCGGTGGGGAACACGTTTGTGCGAATAACTTAATAAGTAGCCGCTGAAACTGGTGATAACCAGGAGGCCTTGACTATTGTGCAGCATCTTCCGAGGCCGGAGCCTGTGATGTAGACATTTCCATAAGATTGCGGTATCCGTGAGCTGTGCTGCCAAATGAAGCGAACTGAGATGAGTACTTATCCAAAGTGAGTCGTGACTCCCCGAGTGCTCCGGACGAGGAGATGGGCGTGGACTTCCTCCTGACTCATAATTTGACAAAACAAGTCGAGTTCTTGCTCACGAGGGCTGAAAGGCGTTCTTTGGGCTGTACAGACGCATAGCCTTGATGATTCTAGGAGCAGGAAACACTCACGCCGTTCTGTTGTGGGCGCACGCTTAAACCTGGAAGACGCCCACGGAAGATGCCGGGAGCGGAAGAGTTGCGCTTGCCGTACGCAAGCGCTCACTCACTCACCGCCTCCTCCTGGTATTCCGATGCTTGGATATCTGGGGCTCATCGATATGCTTACCCTCTCGTGCGCGCGTCTGATACCGTACAGCCCTCCGCACGGCTAGTCGACAGATCACATCGCTCACAGCTTCGCTATAGCGCGCTGGACATATGACTGCGGGCAATACGGATACGCATGCCCAGGGACCATGGCCCGAAGCTTTATATGTTGGACGCGAACGATATGCTGGCGAACTGTGCTCTCAAATTGGGCGCACCGACCTCCGGCCAACTTTCTGACACGACTCACTGGTTTTAAGTAGGACACGATGGACATCACTATCAAGACTCTCCGACTGGCGACCATTGCATCCGCCGAGATCCCTATTCCTGGATTGAGCACTGCCCTCGAAACCGCTCTCAGTATCGCCAAGAAGATCAAGGTCAGTCCCTACTGTCGATATTTCTATATCGTCTAGGCACTAATATACTTATCGGCACTCACAGGAAGTCGATGGCGCACGAGAGGATTGTAAAGCGCTTGCCGAGCGTGCTGCGAACCTCTCATTACGTGTCTTTGAGAAACTCAAGGGGTGTAGTGCCGTCGCTGAGACGAAAGACCACATCAAGACATTACTGCAGTAAGTGCTCTAGCCTTGATCTATGTGTCTTGTGTGTAACACTGACTTGTTGCCTGGCCGTCGATAGGACCCTCCGAGACATCGAGAAATTCATGGATAAATGCCTCCGAGTCCGGAAGAAGCGATTTGGCTGGCTTCGTTTCGCATTCAAGCACGGCGGTACAGCTAAACGAGTTGAGGATCTCAAGACAAAGCTGGCTGACGCCGTGAATGTTTTCTTGGTACGGTCCCGGTAATGCTTGCTATGCGACTTGCGCATTCTGACCTTGCCGATGCATAGGTTGAAGCTGTGCTCGACACCGACCAGAGAATGGACACACTCGTTGACACCCGCGCCGTGGTCTTGCGGCACGTCGAGGACTCCGCACGGGTAGGAGAAGACATCATGGCGCACACGAGAGACATCCGCGACAATGTCACGACATTGGTGCAGAACAGTGACACACCCTTCCGCGGAACCGTAAGACAGTCTTCACGCCTGTTCTAGCTCTCGTGCTCATCAAAAATTCACAGTTCCGCTGCTTTGCCCGCGAGAACCTCGACCTCACGGAGGTGATCGACGACGATTTCCCGCTGGACGACGAAGAACAGCCTGATGACGCTGGCACAACCCCTCAGGAGGGCGCCGTTCGCGTCGTACGTTATCGCGGAACCGTCAAGGGAGCAGGTGATATGTCCGGCATGCCGGTCGTCATTCACGTGTACCCCACCCGCGAGGATCTCCAATATCTGGAAGCTGTCAAATTCTACAAGCGCAATCTGTAAGACCAGTCCTCTAAAGCTAGCACATTACGTCTGTGATTTAACCCTCGTCGACAGTAATCCGTATATAGTGTCCGCTCTGGGATACTCCCGGCCAGGGGATCCCGATGAGGCATGCTTCATTGTCCTCGAAGGTACGTCGTCCAAGTGAATAATATCGTCACTCATTCACTCATTGCATCGTTCAAATACAGACTACCGTCCCGTCGAGCCACATCTCAGCACCATCCGCGGTATAGACAATCTACGCATGAAACTCAAGATGGTACGTCTGATCTTCTGCGCTGTGAGACTCTTGAAAACCTAATCATTTCCAGATCGTGGATATATGCGTGCGTACTCCCTCTCCTTAAATCTAGTTTGCCTTCCGACAAGAAACTCCTCAAATAGTCGTCCATCAACCACCTGGAGAGAATGAAGTTTCATGTAGAGCTCCAACACGACGACCGCGGCACGGTAAAGACGCATCCCTATGCTCGCAGAGCCCGTACCCATGCTAATGTTTACGCGCACTCGCAATAAAGCATTCGCTCAAGTCATACGCGATCAGAGCGGATGAGATCATGTATGATTCCAGCAATGGCGGGCGATTCAAATGGGTCCGAGATCCGTCCAAGCCCAGGGATGCTCGCTACCAGAGCTATGGTAGCATGGTACGCGTTCCCCTCACCTCGGTGCCCAATTGCATTGCACACTGACGAGTTCCTTCTGTAGCTCTCGGGACCTCCCCTCACTGGAGCGAATCGCAAAGCGCTCGTCGAACGTACGCCGCCCTACTTACCCCGCAACCCCGCATGCACAATCCTGACCGCTCATCATGACTCTTCAGGCCTCAAGCCCATCTCGCACGAAGACGCGGACCCACACGAGGTCGCGGCCACGTGGTTCTGGCTCGTCCAGACGTACCCGTGGATTGTGAACATGGGCCGCGGCATGTGTGACGTCCGGCCGTACTCGCCGCAGGGCATCGCGCAAGTTGGAGAGTGGCTCGCGCTCGACCGCGGGACGCCCGGCTGGTCCAACGTGGTCGTGGATGAGGAGATCAGGACATCGCCGGTCTTCACAACTGGCCTGTCTGTCCTGGGCTCACCGGCGGCTGAGCAGACTACGCCGGTGAACGAGCCTCTCAAGAGGACGTTTGGCGCACTCACGGGGTATGACAAGCAGACTGCGGATTGTGAGCTTACGCACGATGTGCGCGTTGGCGGCATGAGGTGGACGAGGTAAGCGCAAGTCATTAGCTACGAAGTGCCACTCCTGACCTATCTTGTACGCTGCAGATATCTGGTACGATGCATGCCTGTGGGCACAACATTTATGTTCCTGCAGGCACTCGATCCAGACGGTACCGGAGACGTGTCCAAAGCGATCCGCGCTGTCGCAGCGGCGGCGTCTTCCGACTTCCGCACCATGGGAATAGGTACGATATCGCCCCGCCGCGCATCACCCGCCGTCTACCGCTACTAACTACTTCCATGCTTTCAGTAACGGGACGTCAGTACCTATTCGACACGACGCTCACGCACACTGCGGACCCCGCGCATAAAGTGCCTGACTCGCTGTGGTTCTTCGTGCTGCGCCGTGATCGCGACCAAGGTGTGGACCACCGGTGCAGCACCCCGTGGGCATTCTGGTCGACCGAGCGCGAGCCCGCCGAAATCCCGCCCAATGTTACGTTCAATCCGACACCGCGTTTTGAGCCGCTCTCGAAGAAGCCTGAGAACCCTGTGTTCGCATGGACGCAGGTCCTCGATGGCATGACCTTTTCGATTCAGGCGACGTGAGTCTTACTCCTCCTTATGCTACGTCCGCTCATATCTGTCTAATTTTTATAGGGTCTTCCATCGATTCACGATGCTCACTGAAGACGAGATCCTAGCCCTCAGGCAGCTAAGCGTGCCAGACGACTCGCAGCGGGCGTACTGGGACGAGATGCAGGGGCACGCGCGCATCGAAGAAGTCCCCGAGTGCGCGTCAGACGAGCCCCAGAACAAGCGGTGGCTTGACATGCCGGCGCGCAACAGCAGAACGTGCCAGATCCCAAGCGCTGGGACGCCGTTCCGGATGGTGCACACCCGCGGGCAGATGGCAATCCAGCGGCTGCTGGGATGCCTTCGTGACCACCATGGCTAACAGGCGGGGCATGATATGGCGTGTGAATGGACTTGCAAGTAAGGACACTGGATGGCAGAATCATCACGCTCTTGGAAGGACAATGGAATATGTAGACTTTGCGCATGATATCAGTGAGCGGTCGTTATTCATTCGAAAGACCGAGGCGGCTCGAATACACGTATGGTGGGTGTATAGTACATACAACTAGAATAGCGACAAACGATAACAGGTCCGTTGATACAACAAGTAGAACAGTGTCCGTAAGTCCATGATGTTGGCAAAGGTCCGTGAGCCCGAGTCCGTGAAGTGCGCGGTGATGAAGTTTACAGCTCATCGGTAACCTGGGAGGTCATAATCGGCATAATGCGGTGTGCACCCCTCCAGGCGTAAGGGATCCTGGCACGGACAGGGAGCTACTCCTTGATAGTGAACTCCTCGCTCCAGTTACCGGAGTCGCCGAATACTGCAGATACACGTGGTCAGCAGAGGCGGCATATGTTGAGAACGTTCGAATGAGTACTCACGGACGACGCTGTAGTCGGAATCCTCGATGACCCAGGGGACGGAGACCTCAATACGGCCGAGAAGGATGTCGAAGCCCTTCGCGAGGATCACTGAAGTGAAGAAAGTCATCAATATCGCTGCTCGATGCATCGCGACGATACGGTACGCACGAGGAGTGCCGATGTTGCCCTTCCGGAGCATGATTGTGCCGAACTTGTTGGTGATGTTCACTGGCGGGTCGGAGACGTCCCTTCGTGCGTATCATGTATGTCAGATCCTTGACCTTTCCAAGAATACGAAAAACCATGCGTACCAGGTGACGTTGTGCGTCTGGCCCTTGTACCAGACAGTGCCGGTATGCGGATAGAGCACGGGCGGCGTGTAAACGTCGCGCTTCTCCAGCGCGGTCACTGGCATTGCAGCCGCGAGCTGGAAGAAGATGCCGAAGAGCGCGACGAAAACGAGGAGGCACTTTGAGAGTGCGGAGTTGTTGTGCGAACTCATAGCTGTCGAGGGCGTGTGGGTTCGTAAGAGGTCGTGAGTGGTTGTCGTGAAGGTTGGGTGGAACGCAAAACGATGCTTTGCTGGAACATGGTGGGCTCAGCAGAGGGGCTTATATACGAGGCGGGGCAAGGCGATTTGAGACCGGTATGGACGAGCTCGGAGGGAGGGACGGAGCGGAACATATGCCAGTGACCTCCCCAGACGCTTCTCGATCGTCGCTCGGAGAGAGCGGCCGGAGGAGGAGGACAGCCACCGCGGGCGGCGGCTCTTTCCGAGGCTGGACGCGTCTCGCACGTGGCCGCGTTCTGCTACCCGCCACGTTGACGGCGCTCTGCCCAGGACCTCTCCCGGTCCGTCGCTCAAACCACTCGTGAACGTGAACTGTTGTCCAACCAGCTCCATAAGCGATACAGGCAAGCAGAATCTGCACACCACAAAACCAGGAGCCCCAAGAGCATACACGCACGTCGACGGAATGCAGGCCACGTGTGTCATTCGCTCATAACATACCGTGCTTTGCATCACGACGTCATTTTCTGGACACGGGTGCGGTCTTAGGAAGCGGTGCGCCCATATCTATTCAGTCTTGCAGCTTGCTGACTTTCCTAGATCGCATGACTTGGCGAATCGCATCATGGAATCATAGAGCCCGGGCTGACCTTCGAAAGTACTCGAATACCGAGGGCCACTCCTCGGTCACAGGTGCCAGTGCGTACGCCGTGCAGTATGTGGTACGGTGTACAGTACACGACTCATTCGAGGTTTCAACATTGATGTCCTCCATAAAATGCACAGAGCTCAGTTCCATACCAACGCCACCGGAGGGCTCCAATAATCGGGAAAGTACTCACAAATAGCCTCCGTACCACGTATGAGCGACGCTGCCGCGGGACGTACGCACAAATCCGCAGTGAGGCTTTTCACGAGCAACGGGATATTCGCAAGGCAAAGGCGAGTCTCCCGACTTAGCTCTTCAGACGCAGAAACTTACCCAGTTCCCTTTCAAACATTGATGTTGTCGATAGGTGGTCATTAATGATTAGCAAGGCGAAAGGCGAATGCGATACACGTATGAAGTGTGTATAGTACAGCTTAGATAACATCAATGACAAACGATAGCAGGTTAGTTTGTACAACAACGAAAGCAGTGTCCGTAAGTCCGTGATGACGCTGAAAGTCCATGAGACGTATAGTAGTCCGAATGTATCGTAAGTGCGTGCGGCGGTACCGTTCACAGCTTATCGACAGCCAGGGAGGTCCGGTCATCATCGGCATGGCGCGGTGCGCGCCCCTCCAGACAAAGGAGCTGTGGCGGCACGTCGGTCGGGAAGTTACTCCTTGATGGTAAACTCCTGGCTCCAGTCGCCGGAGTCGCCGAATACTGCGTACACGCGCGATCAGCAGTCTACTCAACTGGAGGCGATATACAGTATGGACGGATGAGATACTCACGGACGACGATATAGTCGTCACCTTCGGTGACCCAGGGGACGGTGACCTCGATACGGCCGAGAAGGATGCTGAAGTTGTTTGCGAGAATCACTGCACAAAAAAGTATCAGTACCCTGCCTTGATGCGCAGCAATAGGACGACGCTTACGAGGCGTGGGGAGTTGGCCCTTCCGGAGCATGAGCGACGCGATCGGGTTGGTGATGTTCGCCGGCGGGTCAGAGACGTCCCTGTGCGCGTGTGTCGCGCGTCAGAGCCTGGTCATAAACAGAAACGGTGGAAGAATACGTACCAGGTGACGTTGTGGGTCTGGCCCTTGTACCAGACGGTACCAGCGTGCGGGTAGAGCACGGGCGGCGTGTATACATCGCGCTTCTCGAGCGCAATCGATGGCATAGCAGCGGCGTGCGAGAAGAAGATGCCGAACAGTGCAACGAAGACCAAGAGGCACTTTGCGAGCGGGGACTTGGTACGCGAGCTCATAGCTGTTGAGGGCGGGTTCGTAAGAGGTCGTGTGTTGTAGCCGTGAAGGGAGGACGGAACGCAAGACAATGCTTTGCTGGGACATGGTGGGTTCAACGGAGGGGCTTATATATGAGGAAGCGTAAGGTGACTTGAGGCCGGTGTGGACGACGTCCGAGAGGGAGTCGGAGGAGAAAATGTTCCAGTGACCTCCCTAGAGGGCTCTCGGTCGTCGCTCAGAGAGAGCAGGAGAGAGCTGCCTGTCGAGGACAGCCACCCTAGTCCGGAGCGTGGACCGGAGCGCCAATTGAAGTTTCCGGCCGCCGCGAGGCTATAGCGCTACCGGCCACAAGACCCCTTCTGCTTCCCTCAAACCCGTTCGTAAAACGCTTATCTAACCAACTCCGTGCGGCCTCAGCAAGCGGTGCGGCAGAGTGATGCGAAAGAAACTACTCATCCAAGAGCTCCGAGAGCATTCACGCGCGTTCACGGAGTGCAGAACAGGTGTGTCACTCGTCCATGCCATACTGGCTGCTGAACATGTGCACAGATATGTACGTGCGATGCATATATGGGACACGGCTCATCCTCGCCGGACTGTCTCAGCAATGATGCTCCATTGGCTAGAATGGACGGGGCTCAGTTCCATATCAACGCCACCGACAATCGGCTAACTTCAAGTACTCACAGGCGGCCATCATGCCTGCATAGAGCGCGTACTTATTCACTATGCAGACATCAGCAGCTCGCTCCGGGTCCTCCAGCCCGTCGCGACGACTACTGTGTAAGCGCGTCCTGGCACAATTGCGCAATAGAGGGCCGATTGACGATGGGCGCGACTGGGTCGCGCCCAACCCAATAAGAATCCCAAGGCCCACCATCGACCCTCAGGCCTCCAAACGTATACGCGCATACAAGTTACAAAACCTGTATTCAAGGACAGCGTGCATATATCAGCACGTCGGCGTCCGCTCTGCATATGCCCCACAAATCCCACTCACCATACTCTACCAGGCATCATCTTACCGCACCGCGCTACTCGTACTACGACCATGGTCGCACAATATTTGTCCTCGTGGATGATTACGCTTTGCAGCGTTCTTGTGTTTTCCGAAGGGTTGGCCGCCGCACCAGCTGGAGACGTAACCGCGATTGGGAACAACAAACTGCACGTTAAGACGATCCTGGAACCTAAAAACGGAACTGTCTGGACTGCAAACGCGACAGCCAAGATCACCTGGAAAACGTGCGCCCAAACCACTCCCCCGCCGTCCTTGCGGCATGCGAGACACTGAACCTTGCTGACCTCTCATCGCCAGAAATGCATCAGACCCTGATGCCTTGCAGCCGGTCGACTTCAGGGAGCCGCTTAATATTCGCCTCTGGAAGAACACTGCAGACAGTGGCGGATTCCTGCCAGGTATGTCATATCGTGATACGTGGACGTGTATGGGATATGACCGACCGACCGGGACCGATCCATCACGCTCACGATGTCACAATTCCAGTGCTCTTCGATGAGGTGGCCTACCGCGACAACAGCTCGATCGCTGTCAAGGTGCCGTTCCTGGAAGAAGGGGATGGCTTCAATGTCGTTAGTGAGTACTACATGCTCGAGGGGACCGACGAGGCTGTGGCCGATTGTGTCGTAGCGCTGCTCACCTCTCGTTCGCAGTCTACACGAATGACTCTCAGAACAAGTATTGGAGCGAGCCGTTCGTGGTCGGGCTAAGCAATTAGCGTATCCGAGTTTGGAGACATTGGGGGTGGCCCGGGGCCAGGAGGATATCGATATTCTGTAGGGTGGAGCTGTGCTTAGCCAACTGCGACATGTAGCGGGTACTGTAGCATGACGAACCGGATACATACGAAGAAGCTGGTGCCCGTGCGTCCTCGGCTATAACACCAAAAGTGCGAAAAGGGTTATGAGCGACTGTCACAGATTGTAAGAGATCTCCAGCTCTGTTCGCGTTCCCTCTTGCGCAATTTCAGCTTGCGCATTGAAGGATGATTGTTTGAAGCCTGCTTCGGAGATGCCTGCTGTGTAGAGATGAGGGTTTTCGCGATTGAGCAGGCCTCAAAGATGAGGATATACTTCTCTATACTCACTCCCAGAGCTGGCGCCGTCACGACTCAGGAACGAAGAAACGCGCCGGAAGAAAGTTGATAAAATCTGTACACCTATTATGAAGCTCTGATCACATCGTCTGGAGTACTGATGAATGGTTTGATGGTATCTGGTGAACAGCTCGGCGCCTCAGAAAGAACAGACAATAAGCAGTGAAACGTATGAATCAAAACTCACCGATTACCCTCAAGCACCCACAACCTATAGCGGGGGGATACTGACGGTAACTCCCAGATAATCAACCGGTTTGTTACGGGCAGATTGCCTTTGTCATGCGCGCTCTTGGAGAATGCAATACCCCGTCTATTCATCCAGACGTGGTATATATGAGCCCAAGCTAAGCCGGGGGACATAACGATACAACTCACCTTACGTTCCTCTTTAGACTGACACACATTTCTTCTGGCCATGCTCTTACCCCGCACCATCGTCTTCACGGTTGTCGGGCTCCTGCTGCAAGTCGCCTCGGCCGAAGTGATCGTACCGTATCCCAACCGGAACACTACATGGATCGTGCGTGCGCATCACAACGTGACCTGGTATGCAGTCAACGCTTGCCGTGGTATATATTACGCACACTCACATCGCACCTAGGAGGACAGCAGGAGCTGGACAGCAGGACCCGAGCCTCACGTCGAGTCTGACGGCCAACGCCACCAGCTCGACGAGTATTTCCATTAATGCGACAGCGAGTGATACGACGAGCACCGCTATGACTTCCGCGACGAGCGCAGGGAGCAGTACTGCGGCGGCGAACGGCACTGTGACGGTGACCGTCTTTGCAACGGCGAACACCACGTCTAGCAGTGCACGCAGCGACTCGAAGAGTGAAGGAACCTCCATCATAAGCACTACCTCGATAGCGGTATCCGGCGGCAGCAGCGTAGCAGCGAACACCACAGGTGCTGCTACGACTGCTACAGCCTCCGCCGCTAGCTCCACGTCCGGCGCGGCCAGCAGCTCTTCAAATCCGACTGGCAGCGATGCCAACAACACCATGAGTACAAGCACCTCGACATGCACATGCACCAACCAAGCCATTGCCCGACGTACCAACAGCGACCTGTCCGTAGAGAAGATCCGATTGTACACAGGAAATCACATTAGCACCGAGGGTACGTGAGCCGTCCGATCTTGCGAACATTTTCTGACATTTGTGCAAGTGCTCGTGTGGGCCGGGAAGGTGGACTTCGCCGCGGGCCGTGTCGAAATCCAAGTTCCGAATGTCATCAACGGCTCTGACTATAGCATCGGAAGTGAGTGTTGTATTGCTGCGATAAAGGGTATGCTACTCACCTTTGCATTCCGCCGTAGTCATCACCAGCGACGGTCAAGAGGTCGTCGTTAGCGACCAGTTTACCATCGTGTCCGGTTGAGCTGATGCATCACGGCTGAGTAGAGCGCATGGTTTTAGGGTGGGCACTGCGGCTGCGGGGGCCCAATACAGGAGTTTTGACAGTATCATCTTGCGTTCACATCCTTCCATAATCCCGACGTACTGTGCTCTTCCAAATACAACCCTGCGTGATCGTAAGACAACGGACGTAAAGAGAGACACGTTACCTCGTAAGTGCGCGAGCATGGTCGACCAATCGGCACCCAGTTAGCGGCTTTATCATCTAACGATTCCACGACAGCACGAGAGGGCCGCTGACCTGAATTGTCCTGGGCAAAAGAACCTGCGCCGCAGTGAGTGGATCTCATACCAGTGTGCGTGACGACTAATCAAGTACCGATAAACACCAAACCGCTGTTGATTTGGGGTACGTCTGGCGGTACACGCGTGCTATTGGTTACGTCTTGCGCAGAATTATAACGGACCGGATATCTATCATGGCGGGTCAGTACAACTGTCACGGCTCATTTCGGTAAAACACGGACTTTATCAAGAACTCACTAGCTGTTCACCGTGCTTGACCGCCTTCGCTCTAATCTTGGACGTCCAAAATAGCAGCTGCGTGATACAGATGACATTATAGGACCGCCGGGAGGACGTGGCGGTGAGGCATGTGGGGAACGCGCAGACCCGGGAGGGACGCGGGGATGCACGGCTCCCCCGAGATTCTCGGAAGACCGAGGAAATCTGGCAGTCAACTCATGCGGATTTACAATCGTTGCCGAAGGCCGAAAGTACATGATCTCCTCAACGGTGTATCTGGCCGCGCTGCCGTCGGACAAGAGCCTAGACCCGAACAGTATCAGCAGGACCGGGTGCACAACCAGGAAGAAAGTGAAGGACGGTGTGGCCGCTAACGCACCGTATCATCGATGACATCTACAATGGCGTCGTTGCTGGGCGCTCCCATCACTATACTGGTTGCGACGGTCTGGACGTTCGATGGCCAGGCCGCAGGCAAGACTATCTGGAGGAGATATGATCAGAATTGGGTGCCCTGGATGCCCTGGCGCGTCCCGGCCCCGCTAGTGCACGATTTGGTCGAGCCAGGAAGACGGCGGGCCTCGACGCGCTCGACGCGAGGATCTCGGTGCCCGCAGCGGATATCTGGATGTTCGGGCCTGGGATCTCACTTAGATCGCAAGTGAATGTGCGGTCGAGGATATCTCATGTTGTCGGGATATCTCGAGCTAAGCTGGGACTCGGGCCGGGAATCACACGATGACTGTCGGTGTGTGTCTGGGGTAAACACAGGCCTGAGTAAAAGAACGATGAGCATGTCGTGGCGAGATATCATGAGATGCTCGCACCATGCCGATGTCGACAACGTACTGGTGTGTATAGTCAGCCTAAAGGAATGACTTACTGTACACCGGGCTCTGAAATAGCGAGTCGGCATTTGTCAGCCGAGGACACATTCAATGAACGCGTCGGTCACGAGTGCAGAATGGACCCCATTCGAGCATTGTCCACAAACAAGACGATAATCAATGGTACCGCTGTTTCTGGTCGTGTGGAAGGTGCATCGTGGCGAAGATTCCAGGAGAGAGGAAGGCACAAGGAGGCGAGACGCGCGGCTCGAGGAGGGTCGGGACGAAAGCCACGCGAGCGAGAGACGCGCGCACAAAGCGTGGGAATGCGCGAAAAATAGGGACGACAGTTCCCGGAGGACACGCGTGGCAGCACTCCTCCCCCAGAAACCCCCATCCTGCGTTTTCGACAAATCGTTTATGGCGTCCACCTCCGCCGGCCAGCAGCAGCCCGCCCAGGCCTCGTCCTCCGCCACCGCTGCTGCCGCCGCCGGGAACAGCACCCCCCTCCTCGCCACCGGCGACTGGACGAAGAGCCTCATCCAGCTCGCCAAGACCGCAGAGCTCAAGTGCGTGCACGTCGTTGTCGCCTCGCCTGTCTGAGCAGTCTAGGCTCATGTACAAGCCGTTACTTTCTCGCGATGTGTTCCATTTCCCCGCATCAATCTACTTGTCCGCGCGGTTCTTCTCTTTTCCTCGCACACCATGCGGAATGGCGGCGGATCGATGAAGGAAGCATGCCTTGCAATTACAGCTACATACTGCGCACATACTCTCCGCGCATGCCGCGCTAGAACAGAAGAACAAGGCGATACAAGACCTGAAGGAGCAAAAGAACAAGTGCGTCCGCTTCATTCTGGCTGATCAGACCGGCAGATGCTAACCGGCTTGTCGCGCCACATAGGCTCGAGAGCGAACGTGCACGCTTGTTGAACTGTCTACGAGAGGTACCGTGCCATGTGTCTGTGTCCGCACACCTCCGCTGACGCGTGGATTTCCCCGCAGGTTAACGAGGACCGTGACAAGGTTCGCATGCGCTGTGGAACTCCGCCGGCTACACAGTATGCTCACCGTCATTTTAGACGGACATCCAAGAAGCCACCCTAAATAAAGAGTGAGCAGTTCCCTTCCCGTGCCTCTCGCTAGATGCAGCTCACCGTCCGTACGTAGGGCCAACGATCTGCAGGTCAAGATCAAGGCCATCTCGGAGGGCGAATATGCGGTCGCGAAACAAGACGTGGACAGGCTACGGCAGGAGCTAGGCCAGCCGGCACTCCCGAGCCTACAATCCACGCTCGAAGAGAAGTCCGCGGAGTGCGTTCACACCCCCTCTCGCTTAATCTGCCGTCTCACGATATATTGCTCCCCGCTCTTCCATCCTCTCTGCCACATGGCGGCTTCTCCCCGGTTTCCCCGCTGATTGGTAGATATCTGAAAGCGCTCAGGTTACAGAACGACTCGTCAAACACCCCGACGGGCACAAAACGCGCTGGCGACGAGCTGGGTGCGGACGGCCAGCCGGTGAAGCGTCCACGCGGGCGGCCAAAGGGCAGCAAGAACTCGAAACCGAAGTCGAAGCCGTCGTCAACGCCTGCCCCAGGCGGGAGTGTGCCCCCAGTCTAGCCGCTCTGGTAGCTGCACCGCGATCGAGATTTCTTATACGGACTTGTTGGGGGGACCACCTGTAGGAGTGTGTACGCTATGTGACGACTTTGCACGATTGACTTCTTCCTTCTTATCTCCTCGCGTTGATCGTTGTCTGCGCCCCTAGACGTTAGACCGGTCTCACAGGTAACGGGGTAGCGCCCCGGGCCACCTTTGAAATCACTTCAATTGGTTTTGTAGGGTCGACGGCAGCGCTGATCCATTCTGTTAGTCAGGCCAGCGCATGCGGTGCTGCGGCGTTTGACCTCGACTTTGACGCGCCCTCTCCGCGGACTTGTGCTCTCGGCACCACATCCGGCGAAACCACACAACACCCCGGACCAGCGCCGTCCGCTTGTGCCACCCTCCAGCACTGCTATTCCGCGCGTGACGGTCCCGGACACATGTCCATATCCGACGGGTCATCATCGACGGCGAATAGGGTCGTGGAAAACGGGTACTATTCTGTCACCACGATGAGCAAGCCGGGGAACACTGGCAGCTGGCTTCGGTGAGCTACGGTCTCGCCCCATTCACCGCGGAGCAAGCACCATAAACATGTTAGTGCACGGTCCTATCGCATGCCTCCCATACAATTTAATCATATCCCCGCAGCTCGAGGCAACTAGCTGCAAATCACCGCGTCCGCCGTCCGCTCCCGAGCAAGCGACGGCACATCGCGACAGGTACACGCCAGACTGTCGCAGAGGGCGGGGTGTGTCGTCGGGCATCGTGGTCCAGAGCGCGCTGTTCATGTCAGTGGTCACCGGCAGCGGCGTGCGCCGGGCGACGACGGCACGGCGGCGAGATCAATGTTTGACACCCTCCGCAGCCCTCGTGTCGTCGCGACACGGCGGGTGGCGCTCGCCCGCCCCTGACATGTTTGGTATGATTGGTGAGAATGCGTTCTATTCAGGCCCGACAGTGAAAGGATCCTCCCTTTGATCAGGGCGGCCGTGAAACATATTGCGCCTGCACCGCACTATCCCGCCGCGCATCGTGTATCGCCGGGCGGGGAGCGCGTCCTCGCTTGCCAGTGCACGCATTGTCCGCTGCACTCGGCCCTCAATATCTCACACAAGCGGGTGTGGTTGCGACAACAACTGCTGGCCAGCAACCGGCGAGCCAGGCGTCCTCGCCAAGCGTCAAGCGTCGCCTGGTTGGCGACACACCTCCCCCGGGGCATGTCGGAGCGGCCAACTTGAAGACGCCGGAGCGCGTCGTCCGCCTCGACACCCGAAAGCGGCAACCGCACCTCCCCGCCCGTGCCTGGCGCCCGCCCGCCACGCGCGCGTCGAACCCGGGGGAGCGGCGCCTGCCCCATCTGCGATCCTCCAATCTTATCTGCGTCCCGCAGGCGGCGGGATCTCGCGCAGGCGCCCATTTCGCCACGCGCCGGGCCCGATCCGGTTTCCTCGCAGTCAGTTCTTTTTTTGAGTGCACTGACTGCAGAGCGGAGTGATCGCGGCCGCGCTGGGAGGGCGACATCGGCCGATCGCACGCGCGCTGTCCGCGAGTGCTGCTCCCGCCCCTTCCGACCGGCGTTGGGCGCGGGGGGACGGGCGCGGGCGAGGTGCCGTCTCGGTGGGGAGGGCGCGCGAGAGGTGCGTTCTTTCGCCCGTGGCATGATCGGAGGGTGTGCTTTGTGTTTTGTGGTACTGCTAACGCCGGGAGTATGAAAGGGTGTGTGTACAGAAGTCGCGATCGGAGAAGCTTGACAATGACAATATCATCAATGAAGTGAGATGCTATGTGCTATCAGTCGTGGGGCACGGAGTCCGGCCGGGGACCGCGGTTCGACGGGATCGTGGCATTCGAGAGCGCACCAGGAGCATATCGGGATACCATGTTATGACGAAAGGTATGATGGGTTCACTTGTAGATGCCGCCGGAAGCTTCGAAGGTCGCCGATATAGTTTTAGATGCACCTTCATCATGCGCTCCCGCACCCCTGCAGGCTCGCCGAGGGGACGAGTCACGACATGCCAGACGACTGTAAGCGACTTACACTGCCTATACACCGCTAAAAGCGATGTGCGCACTCGAATTCGACGGGACGCAATGCTGACCGGACCCGAGGGAGAGTGCTTAGGCATGCGATCACGCCCTCCGAGACGGGCGGAACGCATCGCAAAGCCATCAGCGCCTGTGCAATTAATCGCTCGCTGCAGCCGCACCGACGCATCATGACTCCGAAAACTCTTCTCGAAGTCGGGATTCGGGAAGAGTGGTAAGCTTTTGCTTACTTACAAGCTTTGTGGTCGTGGCAAGTATTCGGAACCTTGCAACGGAATAGATAGGCGCGAACGGACTCATGACACGTCGTGCGACGCACGCCGAAAGCTAACTTTGCAGCACTCCGAATTACCCACTGCATGCTCCGGAATACGGACGCGGGACGCGCATCGCGGGCGTTTGGGGAAGCACGAGACGCAGATGCATATGGACAGATGCCGCGCGCCGATTCCGAATAACAGTACGACCGGAGCGCGGCGGCATCGAGAACGCACACCGCGTACGTGACGTCCCGGGACGCACGCAGGCGAGCGGAAGCGGAAAAGGAAAATGCGACGGAGCGTGGGCAAATGCACGCATATGGACCGAGCGTTGCTGCTCGCAGCTGCATTAATTTGGCGTGAGTATTCAGGAAGCGCTGCGGGCGGGACGGGGAGGAAGCGGAGGCCCAGGGAAGCTGCAGTAAATTGCGAGTCGAAGCAGCGAACGCGATTCGGCGTGCTCGCGTAGCTCCCATATTCCACGATTCTTCACGATTCCATGCCACGACGCGTCGCGCGCTGGCGCGCAATATACCGCAGTCTCGCACCCCGCGTCCCGGCGCCCGCAGCCCCTGCTGCTGCTGCTTGGCGGCAGCAGCACCGCATACACACCCACAGGAGTGCACAGAACACGTCCGCGGACGGCACGCAGCAGCACACGTCCGGGCCGAGCCTCGGGGAACGGCATCATTGACAACAACTGCGGACACGCATACGCGCGCCGGCGTCGACATCGAACGCATTTGCCCACGGACCCATCATCCCGGCCGAATCGACATTCGGGGGTCGGGCGGCTGCGGTGCCGAGGCCAGCGGGGCTGCAGGACTGGATAGTGCAGTGCAGACAGCTGCGCGTCTGCGACCGCGACGGTGCCTTGCCGCCTGCGGGGCTGGCGTGGCACGTCGGTGTCGCACTGGCGGGCTTAGGGCGATATTTGATGGCGCGCGCGCAGGGAGGCCCACTCGCGTCGGACATGCCAGGCTACGCGGGCAGCCTGGCAGCTCGCATTTATCGCAGTGGGAACTCCGGGTCGTATAGATTGCGCTGCCAGCTGGTGGCGGGGAGGGCGTGGCGCTGCGCGTCTGCTTCCGTGCGACGGGTGGGTGGGATCGACGAGGATCTGTCGAATGCAAATGGACAGGTCGCGCTGCATATCAGATTGCGTGTCAGAGGGTCACTCGATTATTGTGCGACATATGAAGGCGACGAAAGATGGATTGTTGTGCATTTAGTGGATATGGATAGACGATGTGCGAGCGGACGCGATACTGCACGCGTGAAAGGAGAGCGCCTAGGAGTGCGGGACGAACGGAGGTGTTTGGCGCGCGTATGTGGGGAAGGCGTCTGGGAAACGAGGAGGGGGGCCAAGACGGAGGAGCGCAGGCGCGTTCGCTTGGACCGAGTACGAAGGTGTGTGGCCAAGATGGTACGAGCGGCCCAGAATAGACGGCAGTAGACACGTTCGCAGCAGGTATCCGGCAGGGGTGGCAGCTGTGGCTCGACAGGGGGTCTGGACGTGCGCGGTCGAGGCGCAACTGGACGTGGTGGCGCCTAGATCCCGCTACTGTGAGTTCGTAGGGCATCGTATGGATCAGCACATGTCGAGCACTCGATAGATAGTCGGGATGGAAGGGCTCGCACGTCGCAGCGCAGTGGGAGGGCGCGGTCTCGGCCGGGCGGCAGGCAGGGAGGTAGGGTTGGGGTTGGGGAACAGGAATTTAATGCAGGATCTGAGACTGGATCTGGGGAAATGGCTGGGGCTCGCTTACGGAGGGCGTCGGATGTGCTTACGGAGCGAGGAGGACGAGTCGGAGACGGGTGAGTCAACCGAGGGCGCGGGGCCAATCACGCTGGGCCCGACGGCGCCTGCGTGCGCATCGGAATCGCCGCCCTTGCCGGCGCCTGTCGTCCGCCCGCGTTCATTCCAATCTCAGATCTGGCCACCATACCGTCCCGTCCGCGACTCACTCCTCCTCCTTATTAAAAGCCATGCCGCGCCCTCTCCCATCCCCCCAAGCCCGTCCGCCTCCTCCGCCGCCCGGCTACCGCCTCCACAGCTGCCCTTCCTCCTCTCGCTTCTGCAGCAATGGTCAACTCCTCGCCTGTCCACCCAGCCAGCCTCGTCGACTCGACCTCCCATTCACCGGCTCTCCTGGAGCTCATCGAGATCAGCTTGGGCCGCAACCTCATCGGTACGCACACTTTTCTTTCTTTCCTTCTATAACAGGAAGCTCACCTATTCACCTCCAGAGCACATTGTGGACACTGTCGCCGAGACGGTGGACTATGCTCTCGGGCGCCCCTCATCCTCCACTCGTGGTCGCTCAATGTCGCGCCACTCAGAACAGACCAAGTTCACCAAGTTCGTGACCGATGTCATCTCCAAGGCCGAGGTCAAGGTACCCGCCCTCCTCGTCACCCTCGTATACATCAACCGCGCGAAGCCCCATATTCAAATCGCCCTCGAGCAATGGGCCCACGAGCGCGTGTTCCTCGGGGCACTCATCCTCGCTAACAAGGTATGTCTATTTCCACGCACACGCGGGCCCATGTTCAACCCAACTGACATCATCGCAGTACCTGAACGACTCCACCCTCAAGAACGTCCACTGGGCGCTCTGCACCGGAGTCTTCGGCAAGCGCGACATCGGCCGGATAGAACGCGAGTTCCTCGACGTCCTCGACTTCGAGCTCGGCGTCTCAGAATCCGACCTCCTCGCACACCACGACGCGCTCCTCGAGCTCTCGCACGCGCCGCGCCTCCCCGCGCGCCCCGCGCACCAACACCACGCCCGCCGGCGCAGCTCGCCGCTCGGCTCGCGCTGGAGCGTCGACTCCAGCGAGATGGACGTCGACTCCGAGTCCTCTTTCGAGAGCGTCTCGCTTCCCCGCACGCCCGAGCCGCACGCTCCCGCTGCGGTTCCATTCCCGGCCACCAAGCCTGCCGACTCGCATGTGCACTTCGCGCACGACGACGGCCACGAGCACCACCACCATCATCGGGCGCGCTCCTCTGCGCTGTCCATCCTCCGCTCTTTCCCCATTCCGCATTTCCACTCGCACCACCAGCCGCACGCTGCGACGCCAATGCCGCATAGTGTGGCCGCGATCGCGCAGCCATATCACCACCTCGCGCCTCCAGCTGCGCACGCACTACCAGTGCGCGCATGAAGCCTCTCCCTCTCGCGCCTTCAACGACGCCCCCCTTCGCCCTTCGCTGTACAAAAGCATTGGCTCGCACGAGCCTAAGTTATTCCTCCATTAGATCGTATCCTGCTGTTGATCTACCATACACTCCCTCGCTCCTCTCTCTCTTCCAGCCTTCGCGCTGTGTTGTCTGATCGCATTATTCCGTGTCGCTCCATTTCACTCCGCCTCGCCCACACAATATTTCTTACCCCGTACGCAAGCAGCCCCTGCATTAATCACCGGCCGCCCCTCTGCACATTCCATTCCATCATCTGTCCCCGTCCTGTCGCACGCAGCGCACTCATCACTCCATCACCATACGCATACTGTACCACTACTAGTAGCTTCTCCTTAGCACACATCGCAATGCAACGAACACGAAACGTCGAACACCCGCATATTACCGTCCGAGCCCGATCGCGCCATTCACAACATTCGACACAGTCCGCCTCATTCCCGCACTTGTCGCCCGCATGTGAAAGCAGACGCGCGGGCGACGCCACGGCCGGGCGCAGCGACTTGGCCGCGCTGGCGTGGCGACGAAGAACAGTCATGCAAGGTTGCGTAAGCGCCACCGGGTGGCATTACTCGGCCGCGGAGGCCCCCGTGCCCGCGCCGCGCGGCCGTCGCACTGCAGCCTCCTCAGTCACTCCTGAAAATACGGCTCCAGCCTCCTGTGCATGCCGCGGGCCTGCGCATGCGCACTCCTCTTCTCGAGCGTGGACGCAGCCCGAGCCGGACCGAGGCCGCTGCGGGGCGGCTGGTGCATAACGTTATGCCACAGAGTAATGCCACCGACGCTACTTGGGTTGCGCGGCACCCATGCCAATTTTGCCAAGGTTAGGTTCGTATGCAGTATGTACGTACACCGGCGCGGCCACAGTGTGCTGAGTACTGCGTCCCTCTTCCTCCGACTCCGATACCGCGGTGGGTTAGAAGGCGCACCATGGCGACTTACTCAGTAACTCAGGAGCTATCCCGACCGCGCGTGCGTGCGGCCAAGTTGACAATGACAAACGCAAGGCAAGGTACCTGACATCGGAGACGCAGCCGGTGGTCTCATGCACATCGTGCGTGCCGGCGCGACTCGCAGCGCGATACCCAGAGAGGCAGAGTCGCGTCTCGCGTCAGCCGGATCTTCCATGGCCACCGCAGCGTCGACGCGTCTCGCGCAGCGGTGGCCGAAGCCCATAGCTATTCGCGCTGCCCCATCCGCAGATCCGCACGTCCCAAACTAAACTGCTAAACGCACTGGGGTCCGGCCCGCGCCCGGGGAGCGGTAGTGGTGGCATTGATAATATCTTCGATGGGCGGCTGCCGGATATGTGGCATTTGCATCCGCGCCGGCCGCGCGGGAAGGCGTTAGCAGAACGTCTGCGTCCGCCCGCACAACGCTCGTGCATACACCCATTTGCAACTGCTTCACGGCCGGCGTGCGCGGGCGTTATCACTCGCGAGGCTGGGATCGCACCTGCAGGTCGACCGCGAGGCGCGCCTGTCTCGATATAGCGCGGGGAGGGCGCCTGCAGCTGCACGCTCTGACATCATCGCACGCAGAATACGCTGCGGGTTCCATGCAGCAGCGCGACGTCGCGGTGAAGCTGGAGATGGAGTCAGTGTCGAGGTGGCGCGAGCCAATGCACGGCCAGATATGATGCGTGCACACACCTTCTGGCTGCGATGCGTCACCTGGGCGCGGCGCACCCCGCCCACGCGCGCAGGCCACCGTCGGCAGGGAGCAGAATAGCGACTCTCTCCGAGGACACATAGCACCAACTATAATGCTTAGTGCCGCTACACGCACGCGCAGGCGCGAGCGATGGTGGCGTATCCAGAATCCAGGTGGAGCGCGTGCGTATCTGCAGCAGAAGACCCACTCATAACGACACCGAGCCCTTCGAATTCCCGCGCCCGCACACGCAGCGGCCGACACGCACCTCGAAGCCCCGTCGCGCGTGTGATGGGGTGATCACTCGGGCAGCGCGGGGTGCACGGATGAGCGATTGTGGGGGCCATATGCAGCATACGGGCCCTCCGGCGGGGGCGCAGCCACCGCCACCGCGCCGACCGCGAGCTTCGAAGGATGGGCAGTTCGAGCGCCGCGCTGCAGGGAAGCCGGCGCCGAAGCCATCAGCGTCGTCCTTCGACGGGTCCTGCCACGGCGGGGGTGCGAGTAAGGACGGCGGGCGGGCACCCCGGTATCTGGATTGTGCGAAACTTCATCGTGGATAGTGTATCTTGGAAGCGAAGGCGGCGCGCCGTCGACGCGACGCACGTCTGAGACCGTGTTCGGACGGCGTGCTGGCCGCGTTGGCGCGCGGTGCGATACGCGAGTAGCTGGTGCACGCATCGAAGCAGGAGTCGCTCCAACCTCCGAGTCCGAATCCGAGTTCAGTCCGAACGGCAGGCGCGCGCTGTTCGGCGACTTCAGGTGCTTGATGGCGGCCGGGCGCGCCGTCGTCGTTGTGACGCACAGACTGCGAATACGATGGAGGATGGGTCAGATCAGGATCAGCGTTACCGCTAGTTGCGCGCTCACCACCGCTCGTCGATTTCGCCGGTTGTTTGCTGCAGTCGCGGTCATTCTCCTGCCAGCCACCTGTGCATTAGTGTGTCCATCTATCGCTCGCCTAAGTGCGGGCGGCACGACGCCCAGCGTCGGCGTCTGCGACGAGACCAAACTCGTCTGGTAATTGACGCGTGCAATCCGTTCTCTTGCATGTTGACGACCATCGTTTCGTATGTCCTTTTTTCCGCTTGCCGAATCCGGTGCACAACGGGCGCACCGGGGCGGAATATCTGGGACAAAAGGTACGCGGGCGCGCGCGACGGATTGATTGGCATGGCTGTGGCGCTGCGCTCTGGGGTATACAGGACGCGGCCCCGCGCTGGCCGGGGTTCGCGTGTTGTTGTCCAGAGTCGACGTGCTGCGACCACCGCATCCCTCGGCAGCGGCACAGGTCGATGGGAGCACGGTGAGTCTGCCCGAAATCGCGGCCTGCTGCCCGGGTATTCCGGCTGACATTTGTGCAGGTCCAGCATCGCTACGTGGTGATTTCGGAGGGCGATGGCGTTGGAATTTCGACCTGCCGAGACGCGTGGCCATGCATGCGCTTTGGATATCTGGATACTAGAGAACCCCGGGGACCTGCGGACAGTTGCAAGTGGTGTCAGCGTCAACACAGACGGACATAGCACCGAACCACGTTCGCCATGATAGCAATCGCTCACCGCTTTACCAAGGGGACTCGACGTCGGCGCGCCGAGGGGCCTCGCTCGACCTTCGGACTACTTAGTCGCAGCTTGGGCTGGCATCGCAGCCTCGGCGTCGCGGGCTCGCAGATCGCATCACCCTCGCAGCCTGCTAGCGTCGGCCCGGATGGGGAACACATCGAGTGGACAACAAGACCCGGTTCGGCCGCGACTTGAAGCTCGGCTGACCAACGCCTCCCTTTGCAAGTCAAATGCCCCTGCGACCGGCCGCAGCACCTGCGTACATGATTATGATGGATGGGGGTGCCTTCGCACCTTCGACGCTCTTCGGCAAGCATTAGCAAGCCCACCAATTGGTCAGCGCGCCCCTCGGTCGACGTCGGACATTGATTGATCGGGTTGCTGCTATGTATGGGGAGGTATACGTTGCGCTTGTCATTTCTCGCATCTGCTAGCAGTACGTGCGACCCGGATGACTCACCTTTGGCTGAAGACAGGATGATTGCGTGCAGTCGCGAAGAAGGTTCGTATAGCCGGGCTCGAGGGCACGTTCCAGGCAAGCGCCGGTTGACGTATTTGGGATGAGTCACGCGGTACGCGTCGCGACGCGTCTCATTTACCGCGTCTCGGCGTCTGCGCGACTTCCCGGACACCGACGCGACGCGACGAGGTGCGCCATCACCTTCAGCTATTTCTCGTCATTTTCGGCTAAATGTACACGTCTTCCATCGAGATGGATTACCTGAAGAGGGCCTGGACAAGTGGTTCACGATGCGAAGCACGGGCAAGAGTCACGTCTGCATGCAGTGTATCGTCATCTATGGATCGAGCTCCCTGGATGTCACATTCGACAACTACCTCGGCCACGTCAATAAATATCAGCAGTAGGTGGGAGATCAGAAACTTCAGGAGTAATCATACAACGTCCTTCACGAAATTAACTTCTCTTCGCCGCCTAGCCCGACGGTATCAGACATCGAGAACACGAGTCGCTTGTCCCACGAGTTAAGCTTCAAGACCGCCCCTTGCAGTCGGCCTTGTGCTCCGTCCAATGCGACTTTTGGCAGCCGGAGTCACAGTACCTTCGACCCCATCAGAAAGGCTCGCATGCGCAGAAAGGTGAAGGACTCACTTCGTCTTCCCACAGCCCGCGCACTTCCGCAATACCGCACTGGGATTCCCGCACCACGAGCACCGGTACAGCTCGTAGCTCGTCATCTCGCTCTTCGCCTTAGGTACGCCGTGCCTGTGGGCGTGGGCGCCCCCGTGCTCACGCATGTAGATACTGTTCTCGTCATCGGGGTCGTCCATGTCGATCTTCTCCAACCACTCCGCCAGGTCGTCGTCACCCTCGGTACAGCAAGAGACGCTCGCTTGCGCGCGGGCTTCAAGTTCGTCGTATCGCCGCACGAGTGCGCCCCATTCTTTCGCGCCGTCGGTGTAGTGGCGGAGAAGAATCTCCCGTGCGAGGTTCAGCTGGGTTCGCGCGACCGGGTAGCCCATGTACTCCATGAACTGCACCGCCGTTGCCATCTTCCGCCGGGCGGGCTGTGAAAGTGAAAGGACACCCATCAGAAATGCGAAGGTGCGTAGCGAGGAGGTCTATACTCACGTCCAATTCGCGTAGGTCTTCGCTCAGCTCTGGACCGCGCACCACGATCGTCAACATAACGTACCAAGTCAGGACGGCAAGCATATGCCGCCCATCCGGAGGTGCCTCCGAGATGTACGTCTTCGCGTCCTCCCAGGCCGACATCAAGAACGCCGTCCCCTCCGCGCGCGCCTGCGCCGTCCCCTCTTTCGCCTCGCGCAGGACGACCATGCCCTGCTGGGCCGCGTGGTTCACCGCGCGCCACAGCATCTGGTTGCGCACGAAGTCCGTGATGTTCTTGCACTTGAGCCCCTTCTTGACCGCGCGCAGCCCCGGCTCGATCTCCGCGCCCATGCTGACGATGTAGTACGCGTACGCCAGGCCGCGGTTCCGCGCGAGGGCTTTGTGGCCGAGCGCGATCGCCTCGGGGAGCCGGCCGCGGATCATGAAGAACTTCATCTCGACGATGTCGGCGGCGTCGAGGTCGGCGGGCGTGCCCTTCGCGCGCAGGGCCTTCGCGCTGAGCGGGAGCGAGTCCGTCCAGCGGGTGAAGGGCACCCCGGGCATGTTGGCCTCGTTGGCCATCTCCCCGTCCGGGCCGTCCAACTGCCACCCGCCCTCGGCGATCGCGAACTCGGTGCGCTGGATGATGCTCGCGAGCTTCTTCCCGAGCGCGTACATGTCGCGGTCCTGCACGGCCTGCATGATCGCCTTCTGGTACTCCACCGTGCAGCTGAGCGTGAGCGCGACCTCCGCCTTCTCCGGGCCGTAGTCCATGAGGATGTCGGAGAGGTGCGGGGGCGTGCCGCGCTGGTAGATCTCCACGAAGCGCCGCGGGTCGAACTGCGTCTGCTCGAACTCGCTCTCGTTGATCGGGATGCGGAGGATCCCGCTGAATGCGTCCGCGCGCGTCTCAATGCTGCTGCTCCGGGTGAACGCTGCCAGGAGGCGGAGCATCGCGGGGACGGCCTTGCACTCCGCTGGGCAGTGCTGCGTGGGGGCGACGAGCAATCCGAGGGCATGGGTGAGTAGGGTGTATGAAGAGATGGGTTTGCGAAGAGCGGCGACTGTAGCCTCGAGCACCGCGCGAATAGAGGTTTCTTTGACGAGCCTTGGGTCCGGAGTCTCTTCGCATGACACTACTGCCTCTGTGGCATGAGTAACGGTCATGATAACGAGCTCGGCGACTTTCGGGTCATCGGGGTAGTCGTACAGGAGCTTGATAAGGCTGCTGTTCTGACGGGCGATGTCCTGTCGCGCCTGGAGTCCTCCGTGGTGGGTCACCATCGCAAGAGCTTGAAGAGCTACATGACGCGTCGAGTCGAATGCTAGCAACGGCATAACTTTCCTCAGTAGGCCTGTAACACACTTATGAACAATATATTCGATATGTACGGGGAGACACGGTGACCTTTCTGGAAGAGCTTGTCCCGGAGGATGGCATCGGCGCACATTTTCGCCATAATTCCGACAACGCCGCCCATGACTTTCTCATTGCTGCACCTCCGCGCCGATGAGTAGGCAGAGTCTAGGCGCTTGTGATAGTCATTGAATCGAGCGTGAATTTTCTTGAGCCCATGGCGAGTGGTGAGATCTACCAAAGTACTGCCAGTGAATATCACAATTGACACACTGACGTATCTGGGTGCGTACCTGGGATCTTGAGTCCTTCGCACATACAAGACACGATGAGATTCCAGCTCTGCGCGTTGCTGACGTCGTCGAACATGCCGTCGGGGATGACGTATGGATCTCCAGCCATGCTGGCGCCTGGAGCTTTGCTGGACGTTCGTGCCCCGGACATCGCGCTGGGATGGTGGTGGTACGTAACCAAGAGGGTTTGTAGATAGAGTGGCCGCTTCTTGGAGGCGGGAACGACCGTGGCAGCTGGGGAGCGTCGGAAGCGTTACTGTACTTTTAGGTCTCTTGACCCAGTGGCTGTCAGATCCGAAATCGACACACGGACTACCGGTTGTAGGTATATAGTAACAAACACTAACAAATATGTGAAACCTGCCGCTCATTCCGACAATGATGCGCGAAGTCTGTGATTGGAGTGTCTGTGCACAAGATACAAGATTAAGACGGGCCAAGGCTCTCTGAAAGATGAGATAACCTATACAATACATATCATGATGCGTGAACCTTACAAGTAGTCCGAGAACAAAACAATACAAAGTCGTACGCGGACATACCGACTACTAACAAGGTCAGACAAGGTATCTTCGATGGCTCACGACCGCTCCAACTTCCCCGCCACGCCTGCCGCCTCATCTCGCGCCTGCCCTAGTTGTGGATCGATTGTGGGCGGATTCGACAGGGGTCGGGGTTCGCTTGCTGACGCTACAGCCGACAATGCAGCGTCAAGGGCATTTGGGGGAGGTGGTGGTGGCGCAGGACCGCCGGGAGGGGCAGACGCGGAGGCAGCGCCTTGTTGTGGGTGTTCTTGACCCGACCCATTTACGATCGTCGAGCGGAACGGAGACGGGGCGACTAAGGGGCGGTGGAAACGTGCCCGAAAGTCGTTGGCTTGCGCAGGATCGTGGAAGGGGTGTCCGGGAACGTGTTCGCCCATGCCGCCATAAGGTGCGTTCGGGTCTCCGAGCGCAGAACCGTCCGGAGCCTTCGGTGCGTGCGCGAAGTGCATGCGTCGCTGTTCACCAGGGTCAACGTGAGTCATATCCGCAAGGACAGACGCACGCACCTGCTGATCCCAGTGATCCCACGCCTGCGCGATAATGGGCTCGAGCGACGCAAGCTCCTCGTTCGTCATCGACAGCGTCCGCAAAAGGTGCTGCTTCAGCAGCGGCGCGCACGAGAACGACAGCAGCAGCGTCGACGCGAACGTCTGGCCCCCGAGCGGCTGCCCCTGCGGGAACGGCGGCTCGTGGATCGGGTGCGGCTGCGCGTGCGGGTGTGGGGGCATCTCGTGCGGCATGACCGCCTGGTACTGGCCCTCGGCGTTCATCCGGTACTGCACCTCCTCCATCCCGGGCAGGATCTCGTTCCCCATGTCGAGCCCGAGCTCGCGCAGCTTCCTCGCCTTCACGAGCGCGCGGTGCTTGCGCTGCCGCTCCCGCGCTGCGGCCCTGACCCGGTCCCGCTTCGCCATCTCCTCGGGGCTGAGGTCCTCGCCCTTGTACTCGGACATGCTCGACTGCGGGGGCGGGGGCGGGACCTCGACCTGTTGCGGGGGCATCTGCTGCACTTGCTGCTGCTGGGAGAGCGCGAGGATGTTCTGGAGGCCGGCCTGGCGATCGCGCTCGCGCTTCCGACGCTGTCTTTCTGCGGCCTTCTCTCGTTTGTGCCTCTGACTTGGGGTCTCGTTTTCTCGCGAACGCTTGCGCGAGGACGAGGGTGTTGCAGGAAGAGGCTGCGCGTTGGGATCCATAGGCTGCTCAAAGACTATATTCGCGGTACCTCGAAGTGACCGTAACGGTCTGAGCGAGGGTAGTTTCGCGGAGGGGCGGGCGATGGTAACAGTTGTGACGAGGAAGTGACTAGGGGGCGTTGGGGTGCTGTCACACGCCTCTTATACCCCAGGTGGCGTGGGAATGTGAGCGTCGGGGCTCTGCCGGGCTTTGAATCGACTTCAACGTGGTTCTTACAATTTTGTATACACTACGCGTACAGACTTCTACTTTATCCTTGCACTTTGCCTTCCTTCGTCACCATGCTCTCGCGGCCGGGACCAACACCTATCCACTCTATGGGAACGTTCAAGAACTCCTCGATGAAGCCGATGTACTTCTGGCAGTTCTCGGGCAACTCGTTGAAGGTCTTCGCCTCAGTGATGGACTTCTTCCAGCCAGGAAGCGTCACATAGACAACATCGACCTTTGCGAGGACCTCAAGGTCGGCTATACAACACATGAGAACAATACAGGGCATGGATGCGTGCTGCAGCGCTCACCAGGGAATCCGGGCAACTCTTGCTCGTTGACCAGGTATTTGACTGCAACCTTGATCTCGTCCAGGTCATCCAGGATATCGAGCTTCGTGAGGTTCAGGCTGTCGTAGCCGTTGATGAGACACGAGTGCTTCATCACGACCAAGTCGAGCCAGCCGCAGCGACGACGGCGACCGGTCGTGACACCGAACTCGCGCCCGATTTCCTGCAAGTGAACGCCAACGTCCTGGATACAGGTAAGAGACGGAAGGTGTACGACCTAGACATTGACGTACGTTGAGTTGTTCCGTGGGGAACGGTCCGCCACCGACGCGAGTCGTATATGCCTTGATCACACCGATAGTCTTGCCAATGCGCTTGGGCGGGATACCCAGGCCAGTGCACACGCCACCAATTGTCGTTGACGATGAGGTAACGTAGGGGTACGTTCCGAAGTCGATATCCAGCATCAACGCATTCGCGCCTTCAACAAGAAGCTTCTTGCCCTCTGATAGCGCTTTGTGGACGTAAACCACGGAGTCAATGACGTGGGGGCGCAGGCGTTCCGCGAGGGCCTGCGTAAACCAGGTAGGTCAATTCTGGTGTTATAGGTAAGCGAGGCAATGTTGTACCTTGTAACGGAGGATTTCTCCCTCGGTGTCATACTCGAAGTGGCCGTAGCGCTTGAAACGACCCTCAACGAGCTTGCGGAACTTCTGCGCGAAGGTGTCGTGATCGAAGAGGTGGTGGACGCGAAGACCGGAGCGAGACGCCTTAGACGAGTAAGCAGGACCGATGCCTCGCTTGGTCGTGCCGATGCTGGATCCGCCAAGCTCGACCTCCTTCAAGCCATCGACGATCTGGTGAAAGTCGAAGACTAGTTGCGCCCGGTCTGAGATGAACAGACGCCCGGTACAGTCGAGGCCTATACGCATATATGAGCTACTCGAATCACCGGACGGATGCATTGAGAGACGCACCTTGCTCTTGGAGGGCATCCAATTCCTCGAAGAACGAAGGAACGTGCACAACGACGCCGTTGCCGATGAGACCGGTGCATTTAGGATTCACCAAGCCTGATGAGGCATTGGTATTGTGTCGTAAAGTCACGAAGGAGAAGACGTACCGCTAGGGAGCAGGTGGAAGGCAAACGTCTTCTTGACCTTCTCCGGGCCCATGGGGACCACGATGGTGTGTCCGGCATTGTTGCCTCCGGCGCATCGTGCGCATATATCGAACTCCGCAGAGAGGATGTCAACGAGCTTGCCTTTGCCTTCGTCGCCCCATTGTGCGCCCAATACCACGGTGGCTGTTGGGGAAACGTTGTAGACGCATGTCCGGTAGTAGTATGCAGGTTACTCACCACTCATGTTTACGTATGAGACTTGCTTGCAGTTGCTCCGCTACGCGAGTCGGGGAGATGAAGGTAGATCTGAGCTCGGGAGACTCTGGATCTCGAGACGCGTGCTATCTGATTGTGGAGCACAAGCTTTGCGCTGCGCTGCAACGACAGGCTCCCAAACGAATGCCGGGAGAGCTGGAGAGCGTCGAAACGCGAGAGACGATGGGGGTAGGAGTCAGAGTCATTTTCTTTCCAGCACTGGCGGATCGCCAGTATGGACGTCCCCCGGCCGACGATCGTCCGGCGGGCCGCCACCTCGTCCGTCACGTATCGATGTCCTGATATGTCTCTGTTGTGATTCGTGTAGGCGATAAATCTTGATTTACGTCTAGTAGCTAGCTTGCGACAGACCTTGGTACGTACAGGAGCATTTTATAAGAGGATAGAACTGAGGAGCTGAGGAACCCTCACGAATTGCATATCTATGCTTCGGATGGGACCCACGATCGGCCACAGTCACCGCCAGCCTCTTGCCCTCTACTCACTCGTCTCCTCCGGGTCCAACATGGACTACCTCCGCCTCGCCCTCGCCGAAGCGCGTAAATGCACCCCGTCGTCCACCGCATTCTGCGTCGGATGTGTGATCATCGCGACATACCCCCCGAACGCCTCCCAGCCTGCCATCCTTGCCCGCGGCTACTCCCGCGAACTCCCCGGAAACACGCACGCCGAAGCAAATGCTTTGGCCAAGGCGCGATCGCTCTCCGAGGATGAGTTAGCCGCACTCTTCCCCGATGCCACGGAGCCGCTTGACATCGACGCTATCCTCGAGAACGCGGACATCTACACCACCATGGAGCCGTGCTCCGTGCGCACCTCGGGCTTGGCGCCCTGCGCAGACGCGGTCATCGCGGCGCGCATGAAGCGTTGCTTCATCGGCGTCGGAGAGCCCGATGACTTCGTGAAGTGCGAAGGAGCGCAGAAGCTCAAGGACGCGGGCGTGGATGTGATTTGGCTCGACGGTTTGGAAAAGGAATGTCTGGAGGTAGCGAGGATGGGAAGGGAATAGGAATTGCTGCAGCTCTTACAGCAGATATTCACACAAATAATATACATTGTAGCTTCTTCTAACGACTGGCGTTCACTGGAGACACGCCTCCACCAACGATGCCCACTCCTCCAGCAGCGATTTGGCGGTATCCGAGTCCAAAACCGATCCCGCAAACTCGATGGACATGGCAACCTTGTCCGTCTTCTCAAGGACAACGATGTCTATCATGACGTCGTCCTGAGACGCATATGTGTCAATTGTTGTACGGTAGGATGCCTCCAAACAACTTACCTTGACCAGGTCAGTGATACGCATTCTATCTATTCCAGCAGTTGCCTCCGAGGAAACCTGGGGTATGTAATACGGAACCTGAAACAGAATATGAGCATTCGCGCAGGTGGTCGGAAGAAATAATTTTGCGTACCTCTACCGGTTGGAGGAGCGCCCCGTCGCTCTTCTCGACCTCCGGTGCGACCTTGATGATGTTGACGAACACATTCGAGAGCGGCTTGTCGGGGACGCCGACCCACTCGTGCACCTTCGCCAGCCGGCTCTGCTCTACGATGGCGGAGCGTGCCTGCAGGTCCGACTGGATGCGACGCGCCAACGCCAGCCCGTCCACAGCTCCCACGTCGGACACACGGTAGGGCAGGACGTTGATGCACGGAGCAGCGAGACGCTCTACGCTTTGCAGCTCGCCCGTCCGCCCGGAATGCCACAACGAGAACGTCGCGGCGTCGGTCCCAGCGTGCTTGCTCTGGACCCGTGCCCAACAGGCGAGGAACACGCTCTGGAGGGAGACTGCGAGCTCGCGTGCGCGCTGCTCAAGCGTTGCAGCGTTGCCGAGGACCGCACTGTCCGTGTAAACGTGCCGTGCCGGAGTATCTGGTGTGGTGGGCAACGTCGCGGCGTCGGGCGCGGAGTGCTTGCTCTGCACCTGCGACCAGCAGGTGCGTAGAGCGCTTTTCAGAGAGACGGCAAGTCCGCGCACGCGATTCTCCGGAGGTGCGACATGCCGTTCTTGAGTATCGGGTGCAGCGGGCAAAGCGGGGAACAGAGCAACGTCGTCGGCCGCGAACGCCGACTTCCAGTACTTCTCCTGCTCCTTCTCTGTGCTGGGAGTCGCAACACTGTAACGGAGGAAGCCTTCCAGGTCGGTTGAGCTCCGCGGGACCTGGCCCGAGTACAGACGCGCGAGATCGTCGACCAGCAGCTGCAGACTCCAAGCATCGTACTGGAAGTGATGAAGGTGAACGAGGAGATACGCCGAGGATGACGAGCGCAACAGCACCGCACGCGTGATTGGACGTGCCATGGAAGGAGGATGGGACACGAGCTCCTTCATGCGCCGCGCAACTGCGTCTTTGTCGTCGCCCGAGTTGTCCAACGTCCCCGTGGTCCAGCTGGGCTCCAAGGCGTCGGCTTTGAATACCACGACTCGAGGGGCGGAAGCCGCCGAGTCGTAGACAAATGTCGAGCGGAGGACAGCGTGTCTGCGGATGAGCTCGCTCCACGCGGCCTGGAGCTTCGCAGTGTCGAGGTCCGCAGGAAGGCGATATCCAAAGGCGTGCTGGAAGCGCGACCCCTCACTGCGCTGCCACATGCCGATCATCCACTCCATACCGGGGGATGCGTAGGTGATCCTCTCGACAAGATCGACCGTTGCAGGGTCGTGCGATGCGAGCAGAGCGGGCCATTGTTCGCGGGGAATGTCGACAGAGACAGCTACGGGCTTGATACCGTTCGCGGCTGGGGCCTTTGCGTCCTTGAGTCTCTGCAGCAATGCGCCGACCGAGGGACTTTGTACCACATCGGAGGCGGTGAGACGAAGCCCGATGCGACGAGCCTTCGCGACAAGCTGCACGGCCGTGATGGAGTCGATGCCGAGCGTGGCGAGCGGCGTAGATGTGAGGATTTTCGAGGCAGGGACTTTAGTCACGGCGAACAAGACGTTTCGGAACTCGTCGAACCGGGGGTCCCACTCCTGATCAACCTCGCCGTTCACCGGCTGAGAGGTTGCTTGTGCAGGGGCATGCGGCGCTGGAATCTCCGGGAGACCCGAAGACCACGGTTCGTCGGGGAGGCGCACAATGTCGCAGAGGAAAGCGATGTAGCGCTGGACAACACTTGTGAGTCCGATAGCATCGGCGACATCTGACGTGCATGCCGCTTGCACCATGAACCCGTCCTCGGTCTCATGGAGCTCAATGTTCAAAGGATACTGAACGATGGTAAGAAGGTATATACACAGCAAATTTTGCGAGTACTCACGTGGACGCTGATATCTTCTGCCTCGCTCACGTCGAAGGCCCACAAGCGATTGGATTCGGATTCTAGAGACTCCTGCTTCGGCTGGAAGACAAAGATGCTGTCCCAGAGATTGCTGACGCCCAGTTTCCGTTGGATTGACCGCAGAGAAGCATGTTGCCAAGACATGCTGGCAATATTCGACTTGTGGATCTCCTTGAGGAGAGACTTGTTGTCCAACACACTTCCGAAGGAGACGCGGCAAGGCACGGTATTCTATTAGCGTGTTAGCGGCTGTTTCAGACAGAGAGAGGGTTCGACGCACGAGCATAGGGCCAATGACATCCTCTGCGCCGGGAACATCACGACCGGAGATCACGCGGCCGAACACGACGTCCGACGAACGGGTCATGACGGCAAGCAGCTTCGCGAACGCCGCCTGTCCAAGGCACTGCGCCGTGACTTCAGTCGAGCGACAAGCCTGGCTGATCTCGCCGTCGGCGAGCTTGACGGGCAGGGAGAGTTGGTGGACGGTAGATGACTCTCCCACTGTAGACAACCTCGGAATGGGTGCGGCGTTCAGTCCGCGGAGACGATTGACCCAGAAATCAGTTCCGCTCTTCTCCTGCCACAGTAATGCCGGCAAGAGCTCATGATAGCGTCCAGGAGAGGGGGTTTCAACTCCTAGATAGAGCTGCTCGACCCAATGGAGGAGGTTTGCGATCGAGAGGCCGTCGTACAGAGCATGGTGCAGGACGAGCACCAGGTGATCGGTGGAGTCGGGCGTCGTCGACTTCAGGAGATTGAAGTACACGGGTGGTTCTTGGAAGAATTTGCCTTCGTCGGCGACCTTCAAGTACGGGTTGAGCGTTGCCACCACGTTCGCTCCCTCTTCAGCGGGGACCTCAGACCAACGGAAGGTGGAGGTCGAGTGTACGGCTTGCGCCCATACTCCAGGACCAGACAGGAAGTGGAAGGTCGTGCGCAGGATGTCAAATGTTGCAACTGCCTTCTGCCAGACCTCACGAAGACGAGCGACGTCCACGTCCTTGCTGAGACGTAGCGGGAAGAGATGCACGTATAGACGACCATTGGAGCTGACAGTCTTGTTGGGATGTGAGACGCATGGCAGACGTTGGATTTGAACACAAACGTACCTGCGACAGCATACCAGCCTGCAGTGTCGTCGTCGGGAATATGTTGATCTCGTCATCCGCTGAGAGCCTGATCGCCGCCATATCTATATCGCGAGAAAGGTTGTCCCGCTCCTCCTTGAACGATGAAACCATACGATCTCCGTCGTGGGGTGCTGACACCTTAGCCTGGACATGCGCCGCTAGGCGGCGCGGGGTAGAAAGCTTCAAGATATCTACGGAGGTGAGGGCGAAACCTTCCTTCGAGAATTGACGGCTCAGTCCAACAGACTTGATGGAATCCAAACCGAGGGAAAGGAGGGACGTGTCCCCCGCGATGAGCTTAGCGTCGATACGCAGGAACCGGGACGCAATCTCAAGTATCCGCTGGAGGATGCCCTCGTCAACCACCACATCCAAAAGAAGGCCGTCGTCCTCGTTGTCCCCGTTGGAAAGAGGCGAATGTGAGCTAGTCTGAGGAGCATTCCCGTTAGAGACAGGGAGACTCCAGTCGTCGCTGTCCGCCATGCGAATGGCCGTTTCCTCGAGGCGGTTCAAGATATCATGGACTAGGGCGGGGGAGATGTCCGCGGAGGTATAAGCCGCATGCGCGACTGCCTGATCATGCGCGGAGTCCAGGACCACTTCCACCGCAAGAATGTACTATAGGGAGTTAAGCGCACGCGCACTCGAAAGATATGATAGTGACTCACATCGGGTTCGGGGTTCTGGCTCTCAACTACACTCCAGAGACTGCTCTCCTCACTCTCCTTGAACGACACCGAGAACAAGGTGTCGAAGAGAGAACCACCGCTTTCCGACACCCACTTCTGAATACGACTGAGCGGGATGTGCTCGAACTCGCCGACGCGTGCGATGTCGTGCTGGACAGACTGGACTACCGAGGCAGCGTCGTTGTAGCGCACGCGAGCCGGAAGAACGGTAATCATCGGGCAGATGGTGGTGTCGATATCGCTCACAGGTAGAGAGCGTCCTGCACGGATGACCTACCTCATGTCAGCCACGTCTTGCAACATATAGTAAGGGGGATGGACATACCCCGAACACGACATCGTCGTGGTTGTACAACCGCTCCGCAAGTAGGTACCCATACGCCGACATCAATAGAGCCTGAAGGGTCACATGCTTCGACGCAGCCTTGGCCTGAAGCTCTGATAGAGGATGCCTGAGAGCGACGGACGTAACGTCCGCTTGATGAGCGGACGCCTCCTTGTTCAACAGACTTTGCCACTGGAAGTCCTCGAGATAGCCAGTCCAGAAGTCGCGCGCTGCAGTCTGGTCGATGGCGACAATCGGCTCAAGGACTGTGTGTAGCGGGGCGGAAGGAAGCTGCTGCGTCTTCAAGTAGGCGTGCTCAAGGTCTCGGAGCAGTACGGGGAGTGAGATGCCGTCATAGAGGGCGTGGTGAATTGACAGCACTGCATAGGTCGTGCTCTCTGCGGACGCTGTGAAGATAGACAAGCGTACTGGTGGAATAGTCGAGATGCCGAGGTTGAGCTCCTGTGCGATGGACGCCGCCCGCTCGTTGGTGAAATATTGCTGGAAGTCGGCGTCACTGCTGGCGTGCACGTCCTGCTCTGAGACATTCGCTTGCGCCGCTGTGACGCGAAGGACGACTTGGACGAGATTGCTGCCGAAGTGAAACACGGTGCTAGCAAGAGCCAACATATGAGAAGGGCCCCCATATGACGAGAACCTGAGACTCACCGTAACATCTCATGCTCGGCCACGAGCTCCGTCCACGCGTCTCGCAGGCCGGATGTCGACGTCCCGGAAGCGAGGCGCAGGACGACATGTTGCACGTACATCGACGGCGAGTTCACCGAGCGATACAACACACCCTCTTGAACAGGGAAAGGCGGGAGCAAGGATTCTATTGCGTCCGGAGCATACACGCCTCCCACCTCCTCAGCAAGGCCGCGAGCGAACTCATCGATCGGCGAGGCACCGTTAGGCACCGCCGGTGTGGCCAGGCTGCGCTCCAGGAGCGTTGCAATCTGGCTGACGGCAGGATGTTGCATGATCTGGGCAGGGGATAGCTGAACATCGAAGCTCCGCCGGAGGTTTGCCGCCAGCCGTGCGATCGCCAGGGAGTCCAAGCCGCATTCGAAGATGTTCGTGTGAGGTCCAAGGACGTCGGGGGGCAGCTTGACGAATGGCCTCAAAACCTCCAATATCTGACGCTCAACCTCGGTCGGCTCCCGTCTCTCAGCCTGCTTGGCCGCACCCGATGAGCGCCCGCCCGACATCAGCTGTGTCAGTGTCTCAATATCGAGACTAAGGAAGAACGCCGCGAGAACCTTCGCATCCGCCTTGCCGTTCGAGCTCAGCGGAATGAAGCTCAACGGAATGATATGACTGGGACGCATATAGCTGGCGAGCTCCCGGTCGCATGCGCTCCTGAGCTGCGGTAGAAGACCCTCCGGGGGCGTAGTGAGCGACGGCTTGCCGCCCTTGCGGGCGGAGACAGGGACGGAAGCGTCCCATGCGATGAACGAGATGAGCTGGTCGGCACCGATGGCGGGATGCTTCCCAAGTATCGTCATGACGTCGAGGCTCCTCTTCGGAGCAGCGGCAGTGCGGAGGATCGACGAGATACCCTCGGACTCGATTCGGACGCCACGAAGCTTGATCTGCGTGTCGATCCGCCCTATGATCTCGAGCGTAGCGTCAGGCATCATGCGGACGAGGTCGCCGGTACGGTATGCCCAACGCTCGGTGCCGTCTTTGGGGAACTTCAAGAAGGCCTTTTCCGTAAGGTCCGGTCTTCCGACGTAGCCAAGTCCGACCAGGGGCCCTTCGACCACGAGCTCGCCAGTACCGCCGCGAAGGATGATCTCCATGTTCTCGTCGACGACATACCCGCCGACGTTTATGAACGTGTGGCCGATGTTGGCTCGTGGGGTGTCTTTGTCCATGAGGCGGGCGGCGCAACCTATCGTTACCTCGCTCGGACTGCACGCTTGAAGTAAGTCATCAGTGGCGAGATGTATCAATATAACTTACCCGTAGAAATTGGCCAACTTGATCCTCGGATGCGAAGCCCATTTGTCGAGGATCTACAATTTGGGTATGAGAATTTGCACTGGCACGGTGGAATGAGTAGACCTACCGCGTCACTCATCTTCTCGCCTCCACTAGCAATATAGCGAAGGTTAGTCGAGTGGCCAGACGCCTCGTCTTCTTGCACAGCCCCCATGGTCGCCTCGATCAAACTAGGAACGATCCCGACGTGGGATACGCGTAGATGAGTGATGTAGTACGGCAGATCTTCCAGAAGCAAGGAACGCGGAGCGGTCAAGATGGGTATGCCGATGGCGAGAGGGACAAAGATCTCGGCGAGGTGGACATCGAAAGCCACCGCTGTGACACGAATGTCGTGTAAGCTCATTCATCGTTCTACGGACAAAGCTTGGAAACGCACATGCGATGGATAGATAATTCCCGTCGCTCGGGTCTTCCATTTCCACAGAAGCGCATATGGCACTCAGCGCCCATATTGCTTCGCTAAGTCCACGATGCGTCAGAATACAGCCTTTGGGAGCCCCCGTAGTCCCTAAAATTGGATGAGCCGCGGACGCTCCGACAGACTGGCAAAGCAGCGTACCTGAAGTGTACAGAATATATGAGGGATCGCCCAGCTGAGGCTCCTCGACTGCGTCAACACTCTGAGCGTCGAAAGCAGTCTGAACCGAAGCATCCGTGAAATCGACAGCAATGTCGCCGAGAGACGCGAAGCAAGACAGATCCGAAGAAGACAAGATGAAGCGAGCATTGGAATCCTTCGCAATATATTGTTGCCGCTCTACCGGCAGCTCAGCGTCGATCTGAGTGGACGTTAGCCGCTGTGCACGGACGATGAGATAATATAGACTTACAGGCACATAGCAAGCGCCAGATCTAAGTACACCGAAAAACGCGACGTGGAACCCCACGTCCCGTTTCATGCATATAGCCACAGAATCACCTCCCTTGACGCCAGCTCCGCGCAACCAGTGAGCCACCTGATTCGCCTTACGATTCAGTTCAACGTAAGTGATCGTGTCCGCTACGTAGCGGTCGATGGGAACGTCCGTAGATAGGTCAGCGTGCCAGCGGACCGCGATCCCGTCCGGCCGTTCGGTAGCCCGCAGAAGAAGATGGTCCGCGGCGAACTTCACCGGGGGGATGGGTGCATACATGTGGCAGCGATCCTCGAAGGAGTGGGTATCATAGGATGACACGAGCGCCGCGGGGAGCTGCGGAAGGCGAGCCATAGTTGCCTGAGGTTCAGCCTGCGCGTGCGCCACTAACGCGTCTACCTGGGAGGCGAGGAGTGTGCACTGCGATGGGTGGCTGGCGCGTTCCGAAGCCGTGATGGATAGTACCGCATTGTCGCGATCCACAGTGAGTACTAGAGGGGCACTCTCTCCAAGCCGAGGAAAGCGGAGGGGATGGGCGCTGAGCAAAGCGAGGGAAGGCAGCTGCTTCTGAGCGAGATCGAGGGCACTGTGAAGGGCACTGGGAGAAACGCGAGGCCAGTTTGCGTCTGCGAGTGCTTGAGATATTCCTTCCACGGCGTCACCCCATGTCGAGCTTTCGTCCCAAGTGACACGCACCGGGCGCAACTTATCTTCTTCGCCATCTGCGATCGCGAGCAAGACGTCCGTACAGCCACAATACGCACCCAGCACGCGTCCGGCAGCGACCACGACGACAGCAAGTGCCTTGGAGGCGCTCTGGCCGGCACCCAGAGTTAGAGCCTGAGAGACTGTTCGGAGGGTGCCAGGAGCGAAGCGTCTTGAGGACAGGTCTGGGAAATCCTGGTGTCTATAGCCCGCGAGAATGTGCTGGTAGCCGGTGAAGTCGCCGGGGACGCTGGGAGTGGGAGGGGGCTCCATCGTTGTGGGTGGGGCGGTCGACATTTGGAGGGGTGCTGAGCAAAAGACGGAGCGGGTGAGGTTGCGGACCGCTGGACGTGAGAGAAGCCGAGACGGCTTAATTAGCACTCACCACAAGGTGTGCTCTCTCTGCGCTCGCACTGGCAGAGACTGACTCGAGAATGCGGGGCGTCGCGAGCAGCTCAAGGTCGGGGCCTCTGGCGAGCTGCGGGGCCGTTGACGCTAAGCGAGAGCAGCTTTCCTGTGATTCCAGGTCTCTGGTCCAGCACCTTCACAGGCCAACCCTGTCGGAGCCGACGGACAAAATGCGCCAAGAAAATTGAGGAGTGAATAAGCGCAGCGGTGCATGTTGCTCCCCAGGGCCCCGACAACCAGGAACTGCATGAGACACGCGGATTCCGAGCGGAACGATGAAGAGTAGAGGCGGGCTGGCTTGGCTGGTGGGCGGGAGGAGGAGAGGTTGAGGAGCTGATCTTATCTTATCAGATGAGACTGGCCACTGTCCCGGGGGTGGTGATTAGATGGGCCGCGGGGGCCCTTGATCTTATCAGATTGCACATGGCGACCGATTCTGATCTCTGCGCCTCTGTGCTTCAACGCCCACGGAGGACGTCTGGCCCGACGAGCTCTTCATCCCCAGCGAGCCCCCCAAGCCCCCCGGAAAATACTTTTCTACGCCCACATGTGCTGCGTGGGGCTGGGCAGACGCAATGCCTTCTGTTATTCCGCCCGTCCGCCCCTTGCCCATGGCCCGCCGACGCCCACCGCCTTTCTTCGTAGCCGGGTCGGCGAGACCCTAGGCACTGGCCATCGCACCAGCATCCTGGTGGAATTGCCAGGATGATTAAATCGGTCGTGGAAATGACACATCCCAGTCCGTCACTTTCCCTGACCGCTCCTTATAAAGTTTGGCAGCCACCAAAGCCGCCGACGATTCCGTCCGACGGACTTGCTTTCCTCAGCCTATCCCATCCACCTATTCTCGTCTCCTCACTCCAAAACATCTGCGATGTCCTCTCAGTCGCAATCCACCTCGTCCCCGCTCTACGATGTCATTGGACTCGGCTTCGGGCCCGCGAACGTCGCCATAGCTGGGGCTATCATCGAGAAGTGGGGGCAGCCTGGGACCACCTCCGTAAGCGCGCTCGTGCCAGTATCTCCCCGCTATCGGTCGCTCACAAAGTCCTTCCCGCATGCACTCTATCCGGACGTTCTTGTGATCAGAGCCATGCGCCTCTTCAGCAGGTCCTTTTCATTGAGAAGCAGCCCGAGTTCCGATGGCACCCCGGCATGCTCTTGCCCAACTCGCGGATGCAAATCAGGTGTGTGAACCGACGCATGATAGACGTGCGTCCCATACTGAACTTAGCTTGCCCGCCACAGCTTTCTCAAGGACCTCGCGACTCTGCGCTCCCCGGAGTCCCCGATCACGTTCCTTGCGTATCTCCACTCTCAGGGCCGCCTCCTGAGCTTCATCAACCGTGGTAGCTTCACGCCGACGAGGCGAGAATACTCCGACTACCTCGCTTGGGTCGCCGACTACGTAGAAAAGCGCGGCATCCAGGTGCGGTACGGCGAGGAAGTCGTCGGCGTCTCGCGTCTCGACGACGGCACCGTTGAGGTCCGCAGCCGCAACGTTGCGACTGGGGAGGAGTCCTCCAGGCGTTCCAGTACGTGCAGACGATCGATCGATCACCTTCATGCGCTCATCCTTGTCCCTGCAGAAAATATCATCCTCTCCCCCGGCGGTACCCCTAAGCTCCCGCCGGCGCTCGCCGTCATCGCACCCCATCCCCGCGTAATCCATAGCGCCCATTATTTGTCCGCCGTCGATGCTTTCTTCGCCTCGCTCCCGCAAACTTCGGAGCCGCTGCGCATCGCGGTGATCGGCGCGGGGCAGTCCTCCACTGAAGTTCTCCTGGACCTGTACAACCGCCTCAACGCGCTCCCGGCCTGCAGCGGGGGCAAGCATGAGCTCGACATGATCTTCCGCAAGGGCTCGCTGAAGCCGAGCGACGATACCCCGTTCTCCAACGAGATCTTTGACCCGGATGGTGAGTGTTTTTCTCGATTGGTTCAGTTTGAGCACGCGTCTGACGCTCGCGAACAGCCACGGACATGATGTTCGGTCTTCCGTCGAAGCGCGACCGCCAGGCCGTCCTCCGCGAGTACAACCCCACCAACTATAGCGTCGTCAACATGAGGACCATCGATAACGTAAGTCGCTGCAATATTACGCGCGTGTGATTGCAAACTGACAAGCCCGCATCAGCTGTACGAAGTTATGTATCACCAAAAGCTACTTGACGGCATGAAGGCCCGCACTGGACGAGGAGAGGATTCCGACCGCGCCCGTATTACCTTGCATCCTTATACCTCCATTTTCGCTGGGGAGATCGTCACCGGAGAGGCCGCCGGGCCCGGCGCCTCCGAGGCGGTCCGCTTGACCCTCCACGGCCTCCATACCCACGGCGTGTCCCAGAAGACCTACAGCGGCGTCTTCTGCGGCACGGGCTACGACCGCGACTCCTGGATGAAGCTGCTCGCATCCTCGAACCTCGCCGACCACCTCGGCGTCAAGTCCACGCCCATCGAGCTCGTGCCCGAGTCGGAGCCCGCGGAGCCCATCCCCACGTCACTCTTCGCCGACATCGAAGACGCTGGCGTGATCTCCCCTGTCTCCTCGCGGTCGACGGACGGCTTCTCGACGCCGCCGACGCCCGCCACGCCGCAATCGCAGCATTCCAAGCTCAACGTGGAGACCCAGCCGTCGAAGGTCCGCATCACGCGCAACTACCGTCTGCTCGCGCCCGCGGCGGGCAAGAGCGATGCCGAGCTCGCGGGTGAACCTCGTATCTTCCTGCAGGGATGCACGCAGTCCACCCACGGACTGAGCGAGTCCCTGCTCAGCATCCTGGGCGTCCGTGCGGGTTCGGTAGTCGACGAGCTTTGCGGGGCGCAGTAGAGTAGTGACGAGTTATCCTTAGGCCGGCTTCAGCGGGGCCATACTTCTGTCTGTCCAGAACAAGTACTTGTATAGTTAATTTCAGCGGAAACATGGGCATTTGAACTCTGACTGCGATCTGCGGCATCTGAGAGGCGTTATCAAGGTTCTTTCATTGCTATAAGTCTGAATGAGGTACGAGAATACATGTCCGGATCCCCTCGGCACGCCGCATGCGCTCCAGAGGGTGCCGCGTCGCCGCGATGCAATCCGAGCTCATCGTATGGTGCGTTGACATGACCCGACACAGGCACGCATCGAGCGGTGAGAAAGCGCGAGCGAGGATATGGGAATCTCGTGTTAACTGTCCAGTTTCCGCCCGCGCGAGCACACGAGTGCACGTCTTCCATCGCTTGGCGGGCCGATGCTATCCCGCGAAGCCCCGCGATGTGCGCGTAGAATCGGCGAGAGGAAGGTGCCCTTGGTGTCCTGTCGATAATTGCGAGAAGCGCAAGTTGACTGAGAAGCTGAAGAACGTATAGCGTCATCTGTAAAGGGCCTACGGGAGACTAGCGGCGCAAAGACTGAGCGCTGAGCTGCGTTTGAGGGAGATAGGAGCCTCCATGCCGACTCTTTGCCAGTGCCAAAGGCAGGTGTTGGTCGCGTTGAGATCCGCGTTCAGCACACGTTTAAGAGAGGAATCCGGTGGTCGCGTTGGTGTGTTTGAGACCGAGAGAGGCGTGCAGCGTTGGTGGCGCGGTCCACGCGCGGGAGCGGAGTTTGTGTCCAGCCTCGATCGCAACGGCGCTCGCCGCCGGCCCGACGCAGGGCGCGGCGACCTCGCCAACTTGCACGACGACGACGGTCAAATCCATCTCTCAGCTCTGCGTCGTCGGCGACACCTCCTCATACTCCTGGTCGCTCTGGGGCACTCCGTCGACGCTTCCGTTATTTTTCTGTGCTGCTCGTGGTCATCTGAACGCGCATGGTCAGCGGAATTCGCACCTTGGACCCTGATATGCGCCGTCGCACGCGCGAACTCTGCTTTGCATCTGGATGCATCCTGTACTTGCGGCTCTTGCGTCCTGTCGTGACGGGCGTCCCACTCAATCCCTCCTCCCTGGCTTGCCTGCGTCCGGATGGTCGGTGCTGCGAATAATCCGGTGTCTTCATGTTTGTCGTGTTCCTCTTGGTCGTCCACAACTGGAGGTTGAATGGCATCTGGGGCGTTATCCAACCGATGAAGACGCGGCCAGGGGAAGCGTTGGCGTCCCATTCTTCTTGTCTTGAAATCGCGCGGGTGCGGCGCGTAACTGCCCTGGTTGAGCTTGTCGCTTGACGTTTGGCATTGCTAGACATGGCCTCTTTGGCATGGCGTCGAAAGATGGTGCGTGGCCAATTCATGTCTGCTACACACGTTCTCGTGGCCATCGTGCATATCGTGTTGTCATACAATGTCTTGGTTCGACTTCATAAGATCATTTGGTCTTGACTTTCGGCGTTGTCTCTAAATACGGCGCTGAAGGCGTTCACGAGGAGACGATATCGTTGACTATGGCGGATTCCCCGGAATAACGTGGGCTATACTGAGTGCGTATGGACCATGTTTCCTGTGAACCCACGTTATGCATTTTACGAACAAGGGATGGATGGACTCGCCCGATTTCCAGACCATCTCCCCGAAGTACGTCGGGGAGTGACATTTGTGACATGGTGTCACGCATCCTGGACGAGGGATGCAATGTCGGGGAGCAGCGTAACGACCCATTTGTTGGCATTCGAGTCGCCAGGCCGGTTAGGGAACTGTATAACCTGTTGGGAATGCATGCAAACATTTGTTACATCGAACTGACATTGTTGTACGGACTCACCGTTCTACGAGCCCCTCAGCTCGTACATCAACGCCGCAAGGCCTCGTTGAAGTTGATGCATGCCGTGCAGACAGGGCCATATGTACCTGCTGCATCAGAAGTCAATCGCCGAGATGTATGCTGACCTGCAATAGGCTGTTGACGCGTCGAAGAGGGCGCAAGCACTGTCGCAAAGTGACGATCGTGCGTATGCGATTCGCCGTATCTGGACTTGCCGATCCACCGCTGGTCGACCCGACGGTCCTCTTCTGGCGACTTGCTCTTCTGGGACACCCTGCCGTGCTCGCCCTAGTCACTTTGACCGTGCGGGGCTATCACGGCGCGCATGATCGGTCTGGGGAAGGCAGCTGGCGCTGAGGCAAGAGGCAACCACGGCCAGTTGCCGCGCACGGCCGCTCGCGCGAGCGGAGTCGGGCGAGCAGTAAGCTCGTTCCAGCTGATGCGACGTTTCCCTTTTACGAAAACGCCGTTGCCTCGTCCGCCCCCGCCATAAAATGCGCGAGCTCGCCAAGCTCCGCGCCCCATCTTTTCCCTCCCCCCACCACCTCCCCGACTCCCCGCCGCTCTTTTCGTTTCTCTTCGGCTCCCGACTCTGTGCTACGTGTCTAGGCTACTTCTCGCGCTTCTAACACCTCCGAATGCCCAAGCTCGATCCTCCCTTCCCCTCCTTCACTCTCATGATGCACGAATATCAAAACGACTCCCTCCGTCTCCCAAGCTACCGCGAATCCCTCGTCGTCCGATTCCACCCATACCCGCGCAAGCAGTCGAAGTCGGAGGCTTTGATGGTGAGTGGTCCTGTTAAAGACGCGTCGTAAGCCCCCCGTAGCCTCAACTCGAACACAAGCAAAAGGTGGACTATCGTTACGAGGAGCCCGCGCCAGCACAGGATGAGGAAGTCACTCCGGTACGTCGTATACTCTCCGATGCGTCTTCCCCAACGTGACTCGCTTGAGATGTGCTAATGCGCTCTGTGTAGCCTACCCCTACGGAGGAAGGTAACAACGTCGCGCTTTGCTTGGATCGTGCTATGAGCAAGGAGAAGGATGGCGATGTGGGTGTTAAGAGGCGTCGGAGCCTCACGGCGCTCATTATAGTGCGTTCAGCCCACCCTCTGACACCTTGTTTTCGCTGACAACAAATCCCTCGCAGGATCTTGCTCTTGCAGTTCGAAATGGTTATCGTACTCCCCGCCTTGGCAAGCGCAGGTCTTCAGTTTCGAAGGATGTTTGACGCGATTCGCGGCCGTTGCTAGCTTCGTTCTTGTTTGTGCATTCGCGCTTCTTGTTCCTCTTCGTGCGCCCTGGTCGCAGTCCCACAGTCAGCTTTTCGCTCGCGCGTATACGCTCCGTCTAATAAGTAAAATGTATCTATACTCGTCGATGTTCTTGCTTGATCTCCTGTATATTGTTTCGCTATCGTCGCACTCGCACTCGCATAATGGAATGTCTTGACTATCTCTTCAGGCATGCTTCTTGACTTCTTGAGAGCAGCACCCATTTTCGGCACAATGTTTCGGGAACTTGACGTGTCTTCTCCGAGCATCCCACACTAGAACGCAGCACGCTAAGCAGACATTACGTTCCAAACTGGCTCACACTGGACGTCATCTCAGCCGCTGCTTGACGCGTTGTGCGCGGACGGTCTTGTTACATATTGATGGTCTTGCGAACTTGACGTCTTGGGCACACTGTTCTTGCACGCTCACACCACTCTTGAGGCCTTGAGGTCTTGAAATCTTGCTCTGTCGAACTGCACTCGGACTGGTCTTCACGCTAAACTTGCATGTCGCGCCCTCTTGACTACCTTGCTGCGGCTGCACCGATCACACCAGACTCTTGCGCGTTCTTGCGTTGAGGATCTTGAAGACATCTTGAGGCATGCAAACACGGTGTATAACACACGAGAAAGAAGGCATAGGCAGCAACGATTGAGCTGTCGGGACGGTACGTGGTGGCCTGGTCGACGTTGTGGACAACGTCCTGATCGAGCAGCAACGCCAGCGAACTCCGCGTCTGTTTGCGACTGTTTGGCGTGGATCGAGCGTCTAAGAAATTCTTGGTGGAGGACTGTGTGAAGCGCCCGCTCTGCACCTCCATAGCACACATCTTGGACTGCTGCCGCCATGCGTATCGAAAAGTGCTACTTCTGCTCAAAAAGCGTCTACCCGGGGCACGGTATGTGATCTAGCGCTACTGGGAGGATATGGGTCGCTGACTGTCTGCGCAGGGTCCGCGTTCGTCCGGAACGATGCGAAGGTCTTCCGTTTCTGCACCTCGAAGTGAGCACCCCTCCGATATGCGATATATTGATATCTCTGACATCTTGCTGTCCAGGTGCCATAAAAACTTCAAGTACGATCTATCTTGAAAGCTACGAATGAGCAGCTCTGACGGTTCTCTCCAGGATGAAGCGTAACCCGAGGAAGGTCCGCTGGACGAAGGCGTTCCGGAAGGCTGCGGGCAAGGAGATGACTGTGGTGAGCCCAAATTCGCTCTCTTCATTTGCTTTAGCAAACCAAAGTCTCTCCAGGACTCCACTATCGACTTCGAGAAGAGGAGAAACGTCCCCGTCCGCTACGACCGCGAGCTCGTCCAGAACACGGTCAAGGCAATCAGGAGGATTGCGGAGATCAAGTCGAAGAGGGAGAACGCATTCTGGAAGAACCGGTACGCCCTCGTCCTATACACTGATCCTAGGACCGCTCCTCATTCCCCCTCCAACCAGTATGGCTGCCGCAAGGGAGAAGCTCAAGGCTCACCGGAAGCGCAAGCTCGAGAAGACCTCCGTCAAGCTCGTCCAGCCCATTACTCCCCAGTCTGAAAAGATCAAGGAGAAGATCAAGGTTGCGGCGAAGAGCCGGAGCGCTCTCGTTTCAGGAGAGGGCCGGTCAATGGGTATGGAGATCGACTAAGTTGTATCGCCGCCCTGCTTGCTTCGCCTTTTCTCGATTATTCCCCCTCACGCGTCGATATGCTTTGTGGCCAGTCTGCTCGATGTATTGCTATGGTAGTGTACACCTATGGTATGAGATATGTTTCCGGTAATGTGTACAGGTATGACTACGAATGCGGAAGTACAGTGAAAAACATCCGTCTATGCAAGAAAGCAAGATCCTTCCAACTCATCGCTGCTTGTATTTCGCCTCGTTCTCTTGTCTGATGTTGGGATCCAGGGTATTCTGGAGACCGAGCAGTGTCTTGCTCACGGCCTCACTGGCACCGATCATGGGCTTCAAGACCGCGATCGGTACGGCGCGCACGACGGCGCGAACGGGTCCCTACGATGAACGGTGAGCTGCGGGTGTCGCATATTTCTACCACATACACATACCTCGTTGCCCGAACGTTCGTACACTTCCATGGGCACCGCCAGGATGGTCTGCGCCGCGGAATTGAGGTTCCGTTTGAGGCTCTTGTACGCCGACTTGACGCCCTCCTTCACATTCGTCGGCTGGTCCGCATACTTGCTGATCAGATCTCCCGCATCTTCTTCCATACCCTCCTCGTCAATCTCAAATCCGGGAGGTATCTGCAGCGCCTCGGCCGTGACCTGGTCCCTGAAGTGGCCGCCGAGCACGGTCTCCGCCTGCTCCAGGATGACCTGGGTGCCCGTGGCGAGGCGTGCGCCGAGTCGGATGGCCTCCATCGCGGTCGACTGGACGAATGAATTCGCGCCCTTCTGGAGGCCGCGCACCACGCGCCCGTCTTTCTTGTATTGCGCGATGGGCAGCAAGACAAGGTCGGCTACACCGGACCCGACGTTCACGACGGACCGGATCGGGGCTACACCGGAGATCACCTCGACCAGCTGAGTTGCCTTGACGTCAGGTGTCCAGAGGTCGTTCAGGAGGTCGAAAAATCGCGGCCATCCAGTAATCTTTACATAGCGTTAGTGCGGGCCGGGGCGCAGGGGAAGGACGAGACCTACCCCATTGAGCGTAAGGTGCCGCAAGGTCATCTCTGAGCCGTCAAAGTGGAAGAAGTTCATCAGTTCGATTGTGCGACCCTCGCGCAAGGCTCGATAATCCACTCTGCGGGGCTTATAGTCCAGCTTCAGGTCAATCGGGAAGACTTCGGCTTGCTCTGCAAAACAAATATGAGACGTCGGGCTCGTTGGAGACATGTGATGGCATACGGAAGTAAATCTCGTTCGACGGCTCCGAGGGCGCGGCGGGCGGGGCAGCGTCGGGGTCCTTGAAGCTGAAAAACTGCTTTAGGAAGTCCAGCGCATCTTGATCCACATGCAGCCTCAGGGGCAAAACCTTGGCCTGCAGAAGCATAAGTGAATGGCACCATGAGCTAGAAGTGAGCTACTTGCGCGAAGTCTAGCTTCTTCCGACGGGTGACCAGGAACCGGGTGCAGTGTGCGGAGCTCGACCCGTACCATGTTTGAGTCGCTCTCCCGAACGTTTCCGCGTGCATCCGTATGGAGACTTGTCAAGAACTTCTTCCATGTCGAGGTCTTGATGTGGTCCAAGATTTCGACCTCCTTGATGGTAGCCAAGATTCGGGAGACCAGGTCTTCGTCTTCCCGATAGTTGTCTACCTCCGCATCCAGGCCCTCCAACCGGAACTCCATGCTAGGGCCCTTTGCACGACGAAGACGTCGACGATGAGACTTCGTTGAATTGGAGCCACCTCTGCCAGGTGACGCCAAAGGCTGAGGTTTCAGAGACTGCCACGAGCTTTGAGTAGTGGTCTCGAAGTCCTCGTTCAGCTCCTCGTCGATAGCCGCGATGAGCGCGCCCGGTTCCAGCTCGTCGATGTTGTGCTCCAAACCGATGTACACCGAGTTGAAAAGCAGCGCATTCGTCTCCTCCACGCTCGGATCCGGGGTCTGCCCGCTGGCGACGAGTTGGCGGATCTTGGCAAGTTTGCGCCGCATCTCCTTCGCCTTCTCCTCGATGATCTTCCGGGTCCGCACCCAGTCGTACCCATCGTACAAGAAGACCACAACATTGAAGTCGTGAACACGCGTGCGAAAAGTCGTATTACCATAACTGAGAGGAGGGTCAAAACGAGCCTTCCTCACGCCACTGAACACGTACCTGGAATCACCCTGGTCAGGCGGCAAGGTCTCGAAGTAGTTCTCCACCACGCGAATTCCTTCGGGTCGCAGTATCCTGACCGTCTCGCCGCCCCATGCGGATGTGACGCCTCTCGGATCCTCAGCGCCCAGAGGAGTGTAAGAGCCTTCGACATCTGATTCGTCGAACTCGTCGTCGCTGAGCTCACGAAGACCGGCGGCAGCCCCGAACGACTCATCGAGGTAATCCGGATTCGTTGGGAGGTCATCCTCTATCATGTCGGGAGCGGCGCCGACCTCGGGTACGCGCCTGAACGCTTGTTCGTCCAGAGAAGCTGCGAGGGATCATGAGAAAATATCTCAGGTGTAGCAAGAGTAACTTACACAGCATGCTGCGACCGTGCGCAGGCCTCTTGCTAACATTCGGAGGCTCGATACGCGGCTTGACCTCGGCGGGTGTTCTACATAGCTGGGGGTCAATACATGCAGCGGATGGACGTTTGTGACAACTGACTCTGGAACGGGAGGTTTGAATGCACTCGACAGGTCTCCGATAAACGCGCCCAGTGCTCCCATCGTATCTGCGCACATGTGCAAGCGAAGATCACCTTGTTCGATGAGAAGCTGAGGTCAAGCGATGCGTTAACATCCAACTCTGAGCAAAGGCGAACTCCTACTCACTCGGGTATCGGGTGGCGTTACGGAGTCGATCTTCTTGAATGAGAGGATGAGGTCGGACACCTCCACGAACAGCGCATATCCAGCCGACTGTGCACTAGTTGTTAAAATCTGCAATTCAAGGAAGATTGAGACACCGACCTTCCAGAATCCTACGCCATGCGCGGTTGCATGTGCGCGACCAGAGGCGTCTGAATCCTCTGGAGAGCTCGATATATCGTCTATGAGCAGGAGCGACAACGCTGGAATAGCGAGGTTTATCGTTGAAGTGGGTGAGTTTCCCTCTATCACAGTCGAGAAATCGAGCTCTCCGATATATGGGACGACGGCCCCCGGATGTGATGGCGCGAGAAGACGGATCGATGTGTCCAGGACCTTGACGTTGACCCGCGTCCGCTCGCTGGGAACGACAGACTCGAAGGCCTACGGGATAACGTCAGCTCATCGCACATTCGGTCATGACATGGACATTTACTCCTGGCGGTGCCTTGACGAAGCGGCCGAGGTCGGTCGCCCACTTCAGGTCAGGGTAGAAATGGTACGTGATCCCACAAAGCGTAAGCCGGACCCTGGACTCCTTGGCTGTAGTCTCAGGAACTACCAATGAGGTAAAGCGGAGCTTGAGGGCAGACTTGACCGTGGTGTTCTGCCCGGAAAACGGTCAGCAACGCTCTTAGCATGAAAGTTGAGGATGACATACGAGGGAGCGAGGCGTGGTCAGGGAAAGGAAGCAGTTACGCCCCGTCGTGCTGTGGTCGTGCACATTGAGGTCCATTACTCCTACAGTGACAACGGTCTCATCCTGGAAGGGCGAAAATTAGCACTGTCGATTGATAGTCGTAATTGTGACGGCACGTACCTTCCCCTCTGGCTTGAGCTCCAGTAGCACATCAACATCGGACGCTACCAGATCGAAAGGCCGAGCAATGAATTGCTCGTTGTCTTCTCTCGGTACCCACAACCTGACAGCAGCTGAAATAAGGCGGCACGTTAGCGGCAGTCGTCGCGCCTCAAATGATAGACCATACCCTCAGTAACCGTAATCTTGACCGCCGTCTCACTGCGAGGCTCCTGTCGCGCCCTGATCGTACCCGCGAGGCTAGTGACCCCACTATCGGGCGCGCTTCCAGACGTCTCCGTCCTAGCGAAGAATCGGCTACCGATCATGCTCGAGTCCCCGCTACCAGCTCTCTGTGTGCCCGTATCGGACCCTGCTTGCGGGGAAAATGCAGCCTCCATGAGCTGGCTTAGGTCGTCTGCCCACAGCTGGAGGCCGTCAATAAGCGGTTTGGACAGTTCGACGTGGACGGAGGGTATGTCCAGTGATATTGCGGTGGAGCTGACAGCATCGACCGCGCTCGGTGCGACTGGCGTCCGACTGACTAGCACTTGAGGCTGGAGGCTGTTGCCAGGGACCTCGCGTGCAGGTGGGGTGCCCACGCCGAAGATCGACCCGCTATCTTGTGCGGTCAACGGGCCCAAAGACAGGATGGCGCGAGCCTTCGACTCCCCCACAAGCGAGTACGCGACGACTATTCGCTTCCATGTCGCGCCAAGCAGGATATTGTCGTCTTGTCTTGACGCGCGAGGGGCAGGCCCCGCACCAAACAGGTCCTCAGCAGTTCCAAACCTGGCTGTGCGGTCGCCTCCGCGTTCCGGCGCTCTCCCGGGTGTGAGACAGAGGTCGTGAATGTCAAGGATCACGGCGCCTGAACGAGGTTGGCGTTGCGCCGGAGGGGGGACGCGGATCTCCACTCGGACAGAAGGCAAGTTGACAGAAATAGACATCGCTGCTGGTTTGTGTCGCGATTTCTGCAGCACCAATTGTTCAGCTAAAATTGCCCGCGAAGAGCGTTTCACTACTTACCTTGACACGACGTGATCTTGGGGTCGTCTGGGTTTGTGCAGTTGGCTTGCGGTAGTCATAGCCCAGGTCCAGGTCATCCAACACCAGCTGCTCCAGACGTCGCCTCTCCCGTTCGGCATCGTCTTCGCGGAACCCCCGCAAACCAGGTGCTCGAGGCGTCCCAGGACGCGAGCCTCCGTCCTCTGTATCGTCGTCAGACTCCATAGGCTCCGCATCAGCTAGGCCCTGGGTCTGTTGAGGATCACGAGACCCGGCAAGCTCTTCGACGAATCGCAACAGCTCGCTCTTTCCATCCTGCGCGGGGCTGAGCATCGCCCCGACGTCCAGGAAGACGTGAACAGGTGCAAGCGAGACCTGTACGTCGGGCGCGTCGCGGTGGTCTCTCGTCGCGGATCTGAACTTCACGGTGAGGGCCGGAGATGTAGGCTTGGGTATCGCGTGTTGTCCCTTCCCAGGAGATGGTGACAACCCCGCAAGTCCGAGTCGTCCTGGGGAGGAAGGCAATACCACTGGGAATGGACGGGTGAAGGGAGGGCTAGAAGACTCGAAGGGTTCCGGGTCTCGTCTTGTGCTTTGCGACGAGGGACGTGCTGTAGCAACGGGCTTTGTTCTCCACCAGGAGAGCTTCGCGCCAGCGCTTCTCTGGCTTGGGTGCGTCCAGTCGATGATGTCGAAGACCGGTAATGACGCGCTGTGTTCCGGAGAGGTATCAAGTGAGGGGTGGACGTGGCCCGGGGTATATTGGGAAGGAAGGTGTGGGTCCGTGACAAGGATGGGAGACGCCGACATATCGGCATCGGGAGATGAGGGAGGAAGGAAGGCGAATGCAGAGATCTCGGAGATCGTCAATGACGCAGAAATAGATGGTGCATCTCGTCCAGACGATGATCGCCTGCCCTTGGCCACATCTCCGGGACGTATTGACACAGAGCTGGAAATCCCTTCGATATGAACGCGTACGTATCCACCAGGAAGGCGCGGGGGAACCAGAGGCCGAGAGAAGAACTCCGTCAATGCGTCGTCTGGACTTGATGCGGACGTCCTTGATGACGACAACAAGAGAATGACAACGCCACGCACGCGCAGCGCAGCCTCGAGGTCGTCGAAAGGAGAAGGAGAGCTGGCCTCTCCGGCGGCCTTGGACACCTGAAGAGGCGATGGAGCAGGACTGTGGGATGTCCAGACCTCCGCAATGTCGATGACGCTCCGGATTTGCGTCGCGCTGAGCGCACATGCGATGGTCCCCATAGTCAAGTCCACCCGCATGCGGTCTTGACGAGGGGCGCTGTCATCGATTGTCGGGCGGCTCGCGGCTCGCGAATCATGCTGTGCGTTGGACGGTGCGGAAGATGGGGAGGGTTGAGGAACAGGAGGAGGATGCGGCGAGGGAGTGGTCAGCCGTATCTCGATGGGCTCAGATCCCAACGAGAGTACTGTCTCGTCTTCGATCTCGGCAGTGCGAATATCCAGCCGACGCTGGAAAGGGGAGGTCACTGGGGACCGCGAAGCTGGCGGTGTGCCTGCAGGGGACTCGACTGTCTCGACGGGTATGGAAACTGCTTGTTCCTCGACAGCTTCCACTCGTTCGGGAGGCGAGGGGGTCGAACTGCGAGACTGCGACGCCTCCTCCGGAATATCATCGAGGCCTGTATCTGGTGCAGAAGTGGATATAGCACTTTGATACATGCTGCTCGCTACCGAGCTGGCAGGGGATATTGGACGTGGAGGGAGCATTGCAATCGACTGCGACATGAACATCTGGGTCTCCTCGTCCATGTCGGATGAATCTGAATGATAGGGAGAGGAGGGTTCGGCGGGTGAAGGTAAGCCATGAATTTGTGGCACTTCTGGAGAATATTCTGGAGAATATGCTTGACTCTGTGAAAGTTCCACTTCATTGGGCGCTGGCGGGTCCGGGGTGACAGGCGTGGTGGGAGAGGAAGGAGTGCACAGCACTGCGTCGCCCGACGCAGTGTCAGGAGATGTCGCAGGGGACGCTGCCAGAGCTTTCGGGCTCGGGGGCCGCAAACATCGCGTCGTCACAGTGGCACCGGTTATGATGACTTTCCGCACTTCTCCCGGTGTAGCTTTCTCGGCAGCCTCGTGCACGCCGCCTTCGGGGACCTGCGGAGCGGTAGCCTGGGACTCAGTGCTATAACGGATGTCCGGAACGATCAAGGTGAAGCTGGCGTTCTGCGGATTGACAATAGTGATCCTAGTGTCGGTCGCGTCGAACTGGAACCTAGCCAATAAACGTTCAATTAGTGTCGCGAAGATGGACACCCCTGGAGGTTCCGCATCGTGCTGGTGCACTTCGTCCTCGGAGATGAACGGATCGAGACCGCCAGGTACGTTCTCCTCAAACTCGGATATATCGGATCGCGCAAGGTCAGGATGGAAGGATTCACGTAGGGCCGCTTCTTCGCGCGCAGAGAGCTCCTCATGAATGAACGTTTCCGCCACAGACGCGACGGAATCGGCAAGGTTGTCTGTAAACGGCCGTTCGGTGGGATCTGCGAGTGTGGGCTCCAGGTAGAACGTCAAGTGGAGAGACTCGAGTGACAGGCCGACGGAGGAGGTGAGGGGATTCGGCCATGGGATGCGAGCGGTGACTTTGCCTACGGAGCCGTCCCGTAAGCGTATAGGTAGCCCGGAGATGAGAGCGTTGATGGCCTGAGAGATAAGTATAGGCCACGTACAGTGTGACGTTATAACAGCGACCAACCTCGTCGTTCAACTCAAGGTCTCTGACTTGGACGTACCCGGATCCAATCTGGGAATCCACCTGCTGCACATCGAGTTGACCGGGTTTGAGCAGATGTCCGAGGGACTGCCTGAGCGCAAATGAGATAAAACGTTTCTGGATACCCGAGGGAAGAGAGAAATCAATAGTAGGCAAAGCAGGTAGCCATGAGAACGACCACGGAGACATCGTGAAAGTGGGGATGGATCTAGGAGAGCGTTCAGAAGAGATGCATGCAGGTCGTGAGTGTTACAAGTGAGTACCGAGAGCAGGATGAGTGATGTATTCGTCAGAGCAATTCCATGAGGACAATGAGGCGCGCAGGACGCCGGCGGGATCGACGTCGAGGACAAGGAGAGAGCGGGACGAGGAGGGCTGCACTGCGCGTATGAGCCATTGCAGGCACGTGCGGGAGATCGCATCGGGCACACGGCGGAACGCGTTAGCGCCCTTATTGTGGGCTGCTTAACTTGACGGTGTATATCACTTATCGCGAGCGGGACAGGTCGGCCAGGCCTCGCGTTGTGTCTGTTCTGCTTGCATCTATCTTTCTGACTGCCACCAGTCCACCAGGCGCGACCGTGCTGACCCTTGTCCTGCAGCATGGCTCCCACGGCTTCGGAAGCTTCAGATCTTAACGTCATCCGTCCCAGTTGGCGCGGTTACAATGGCCTGCGATACCTGGTGATCTTGTATGTGTCTGCAGAGACGATGTCCGACGGGATTGTGACAGAACACGACTTCTTGCTCACCATAGCGGCGATTCGTACTCGGACATCGGCTACCTGTACAACAAGATCACCACGAACCCTTCAGACGAGGCTCCACTAGGCATAGAGTTCCCTGGCGTGACATGGGCCGAACCTGCGATGCCCAACTGGGTCGGTCATCTCATCACAGAATATAGCCAGTCGAAGCTCTTGGTCTACGACTACGCGGTCGGCGGCGACTCAGTGCAAGGCGTCCGCAAGCAGGTTCAGGTCAACTTCTTGCCCCGAGTTGGTGAGAAGCCTCGCTGGGCCCCCTGGAGTGCCGAAGACTCCCTGTTCGGTGCGTGAACACCTTATTGCAGTACGGCATGTGCTCGTGGCTGAGTATATAAATGGCCTACCAGTAACGTGGATTGGTATCAACGACTGCGCGTATGTGGTCCAATCATCAATCTGCTGTGTAGCACTGACGGACGTTACTTGTAATGCAGGCATCTAGAACTCGTTGAGATGCCCGATGCGCTCGATGAGCTCTTCGTGGAGCAAGAACGGCTCTACGAGGTAGGTGCCCGCAATTTCTTGTTCATCGATGTCCCACCCATCCATCGCACGCCTGTTGGTACGCAAGCATCCATGCTCTCCCTTTATATACCTCGCTCAGAAAGGTCGTAGGTGTCGCATTCAGCGGTGCCGACCCAGGCTTCGACCGCCCATACACGTTTTGGAACTCCTGTCTGCGCACGCGGGTCCACCAATTCGCCCGAGACCACACTGACGCGACCACACTACTCTTCTCGTCGTGGGATACGTTCACGCGCGTACTCGACGACCCTGTTGCGCATGGCTTCGACCCGGACCACGTCGCGAGAGAAGGCGGGGACATCTGGGCCGACAACCTGCATCCGTCATCCAGAATGCACGACTGGATCGCGCACGATATCGGCAAGTTCTTGGAGGCCCAGCGCCCCTACGGCTCGGCGGCGGCTACCAGGGCGGGGGGATCCTCAAATTAATTGGTTCGTGTTTGTAAATGTGTGTTATGAATAATTCTTTGAATCTTGCTTGTGCTGATACAATATGTGATCGAGACGTAGGAGAGTTAACCGAAGAACAATATGGCTGCCACACTATACAATCGCTTTGCACTTGTCCTTGACCGAGACGCACCAGTCCTATATCCCAGAAGATTGAGCTAATGAGCGAACAACCAGACGGATGGGGACTCACGACAAACAATACCCGCATGACCGTCGCGTTGGAAGGCTTTGGCGCGGGTGTGAACTTCGTTGGCAGACTGGTACTGCGCTTCCGGACCGCACTGGTTCGATCACCCCAGCTGAGACGCAATTCGGGGCGCTATTATCAGCGTATTGGTGAGTTGTCTGCTCTTCACGCGTTCAGTGTTTACTCACCACCGAGCGCCGCTTGTTATCGCATGAAGCCCTCATTGCCATAGAGCCGTTGTCATCCAGCAGCTCGGTCGATCGTCTTGAGACGCGCTGAGAGAGCAAGATGAGTCGATGCTCTGTGACGCAACCTGAAATAAAAACATACCTTCAAAGAGTGGGTATGTTGGAGGATCGGCCTTGCGAACGGACTCGATACAGAGTCAATAGAAGCGCGCTGCAGCACAGGTCTCGAGGGCGCCGCTCGCTGGAACTGTCGCCCATCATCGGACTCGCCCTCCATCTCGGACACCGCGAGGGCGAACGAGGGGTACGGGGGCTCGAGTGCACGGGCGTGTCTGGCCATAGTATCAGAGGGGGCCAAGATGACCATGCTGGAGGATAGTAGTCTGGTGGGGGTGAGGTGTGAGTAATGTAGCGGCGGGTTGGTCCTGGGTGGGTGAGTGTCGACGTCGAGACGAGTAGTGAAGTTGACAGCGAGGAGCAGCGGTCTCTTATGCCCCCAGAACGTGAGCCGTGTGCTGCGGCCATCCCGCCACTGGTCCGATTCTAGTGTGGACCAAAGAGGGAATTCCGCGGAGGGCGCGTCGGATCCCGCGACACCGCCTCCCCCTGTGAGCTACATCCGTCGGACCGCTTGCTTAGGCCACGGTGCGGTATTTTCTTCTTACTACATTGAGGTCACCCCTTTCTGAGGCGGTACACTAAATAGTCTATAACCGTCGGGCACCTACCGGGCTTCGACTCACATATCGAATCGATCGTAGGGTGACGTATGCCCCGAAGTTGATGATTGGTCCAGAATTGAATTATTGGCGGCCACTTACAGACCACGGCGACCAGTGATGAACCGCCGATATAACCGCCTCGGTAGGTCGTCTCATAGGCCAAGCCATCGCCCTAAGTATACCCCGCGAGCCGGAAGGAGCAAAACTTGCAGTCTCCAATTAGGGGGTATCATGGACTGGAGTAGCCGATAGACGTTAGGATGAGGTGGGGTAGTGGTTCGTCTTGATGATGTAGTGCTCGTTGTCCAAGGGTTCGACGAATCCCTTGTCCGTCAGAGCATCCAGGGCGTGACTTCACGTAACATAACTCAGCGTATACACACGATCAGCCCTCAACGCATCGACTTACCTGATGTCCGCCTGCGTGACTTCATAGTGGCTCACTCCGCGTGTAATCGCGCGCACGCTCACTTCCTCGTCTGAAGGCGCATTGAAGATCTGCAGGAGGATCGCCCGTTCCAGGGCGCTGAGATGTGCCCATGGATCGCGTTTGATTCCTGAGACGCGGCGCGATTCTATCCCAAAGCATCATGGTGTCAGTATCATCATAGACAACACGACTATAGAAGCTGAAGTTTACCAGAGGATTGCTGGATTGCTGAGGAGCTAGCCCTTGCCGGCGCCGGTGAGGGAGATGTCGGAGGCGATTGTGCCCTCGGGGGCGAAGGGGAAGATGGGGGAGTCGCATATTGGGGCGAGGGCGATCGGGGAGGCGTCGGTGGATGGACTACGGGTGCGGGAGGCGTGTGTGGGCGGACTGCGGGTGGGGGAGGCGTGGGCGGACGAGGCGGGATCGCCGGGCTGCTTGTAACTACTTGCCGAGTGGGCGTAGACTGTAAGGCGTGGGAGGGCCGAGCAACTCGGGTAACCGCTGGTGTAGTGGGTGCACTAGGAAGGGCGCATTGTGCAGGAACTGCTTGTTCGCCACTTAGGAACCTCGGTCCAACGCTACGTCGTACAGATAGGGGCTACAGAGATTTGTATCAGACGTCTAACACCGGGGGAAAGAAGTGAAAGACAAACCGGAGGTCCTCGTTCGAGAGTTAGAGAAACAAACGCGGCCTCCAAGATGTGGAGGAACAACTGGTGGGGATCGGTGACCCTTTGGATCCCCTCCACCCTGAGCGTGTTCTTGCTTTCATGTCCGCGGACAATGGTACCCACGATGCGCGCATAGTACTGCTCTTCGTCGGGCAGTCCGTCGGAGTCTTGGCCGTTGAGCCACCGCTTTGCGAATATTCTCCCGCCCGTTGTGCCATCCTCGAGGTCGAGCAAGGTCGCCGTGTCGTAACGGCGTACGCGGACAACCTGGGCAACAGTGACCACCTTATGTCCAGTTGAGTGGCGGCGCTGCATGAACATTTGAGATACATACTCCCAGAACAAGCTCGTTGCCAATATGAAACGGAGCATCAGAGTGCGCTCTGGTGGCATTCACAATTTGTCGGAGCGTGACTGGACGAATCTTATTCATATCATTTCGCTGTTATTGATCCATACGTCAATACCCCAGTGGCACTAGCAACATATATATGTGCTTACCGATCTCTGAGACTGTTCACTCATAGCTTGGTCCCGCTTGTTGAGAATAAGCGTTAGTGGCAAGGTACCTTCCTGAGTTCACAGTACTCGGTCACTAGTGATCTATCGTTGAGGGAAGGATGGTGAGCAATGAAGTACAAAGGACTAAAGGACATAACCCAGGCCGAAAGCAATCGCGTTACCGCAGCTGTCACGAGGCATCGATGTCAGCTATATCAGGGTCTGGTATGAACCAGCAGAGCCCGTGTACACCGATCTGGATAAAACAACACGGGCGGAGGAAAGCTAAGTCGAGTGATGAATTCTACATACGTATACTGAATAGCTAGACGTGATAACAACGAGCAACCGATATAATACAATACTATGACCACAGCTGGTTTACTCTGACACGCTGAAATGAGAATCGTCGATCGTGCTGTATACGTGACCTTGATCCATGAGATGATCCAAGGCTTGACTGTAGGAGACTTGTGTAAGCTAGACATGGACGAAGGACGCGGATTGTAAATACCTGATTGAGTGCGCGTTTCCGAGATCTGGCCCCAAGGTAGCGACATGTCTGGCGATCGCCGCTACGTGAACACCCTCGTCGCTTTTGGGCTGTGAGACGATGAACTGCATGATCTCGCGCTGCAGCGGCGCGAAGTGGGCGAACTGCCCCGTAGAGGCCGCGGTGGTGGAAGATTGCGCGGTGTATGCGGATTGTCCTGCGGCGGCAGTGTTCGCCCTGTTCATGAGGGCGTGTGCACCCTCGCTTGGCCGGGGAGGCTAAACGCAGGACCATGTCAAGGTTGGTTTCAGAGCGTTGTGTTAATGGCAGTACGCACGGGGCCTCGCTCGAAAGTGAGAGTAACTGTAGCTGCCTCCAGAATGTGGAAGAACAGCTCATCCTCGCCCTTGTACGGCTTGATGTGTGTGGCAGTGATGTATCTCTTGTTCCCAAAGACCTTTAGTGACCCAAGCACCCGAATGTAGGTCGACTCCCTGTTGGCATGTTAGTGAAAAAGGGTTTTGGGAAGTCTGGCGAATGGCTAACTTGATCTCGTCCTTGCTGCCGTTCTCGTCATCAGTGTTCGCGTCCACCCACTGTCGCGCTTCCATGTTTGCGGTGCCATCGTTGAGCAAGTAGATGCAATTTGTGGTCTGTGGCTGTATGGAGAGAACTTGCGCGACGACGGTCACCTATTAAACATTAGGTGATGTCATGTGCACGGCACCGTCAGACTCACTTGTCCCACTTCGACATCTCCAATCGTCCAATCCGCGTCAGAGTGGGCTTGCGAAGCCTCGACCAGTTGTTTCAGGGTGACTGGTCTCAGCGCGTGCGACGCAGCACGCTATACAGACGCGGTTATTGACAGTGAGTAGCAGGAAGAGCTGGCAAGACTTACGCGTGCAGTGCCCCCCGGGCTCCCTCCACTTCCGAACGGCGAATTTTGAGACAGGTAACCGCCTCCTCCTGCACCCCCACCACCGCCGCCTCCGCCGTTACCGTAGAAAGGGTTCTCGCCAACTGTAGACGGCTCAGTGGATGGCAGGGGTGAGCAGCACTGTGTATCACGTACATCCACTCATGTCTCTTCGGAAAAATATGTTCTTGCAAGGGGTGTTTGGCCGGAAAGTGCGCAGGAGGAAGGAGTCGTGGTGGATGAGGTCGAGACGCGACTCAGCCGAGCGCGCGTCTCAAGCACGGAGCGTGACCGTTATGCGACGCGTCAGATATCGGTCACGCGACTGTCACGCAGCACTCGAAGTGCTCGAGGCAAGCAGCGATGGCAAGAAGACGTCTAAAGAGTGCGCGACTAGGTGTACTGCGATTACATAGTTTGCTGAGTGGTGATGCGAGTGTTGTGTCATGTCTACTACAAGGCCAAGTCCGTCCGCCCGAAACCCCAGTGAGCACTACCTTCAGGCGTGAGTCTTGCACACGCGAACCATGCCCTTCCCGACGTGCTCTGTGATCTGTTGGCGAGCACCCGTGACCCTCTTCGCAACTTGCAGAACGAAGTCGTGGTCAATCTGTGTGTGTGCGGGTCAGTGATGTAGTGGAAACTCGACAGCAGAATGAGCGTACCATAGTCTTGAACGTGACGGGCGCGCACGCCTCCACGACTTCCTTCCGCCGCTCTGCCGTTCCCTCCTTCTCGGAATAGCTGATAAGTGCCGCGGAAATCTCCGCAAGAACAGAGGTTGCCTTGGCACGAATCTCCTTGATGTGTTGCGCGAGCTGGTTGACCGGTATTAAGCGGAGGGTTAGGTAAGTGTAAACGAGCTACGTACAGCGTTAAGCTTGTTGACTTTGATCACGGAGGGGGTCTTGAAGCGAGTTGTCTCAATCACGAAGAGGAGGAACGCCTGTAGAAGTGGTCAGCCAACGATCGCTCTGGGGCTCAGGAAAACCCCACCTCTTGTGTGAGAGTGACGATGTGCAGCAGCTCGTGAGGGAACAGTTTGCCTTGCTGGGCGTCCTTGAAACGTTGCGTCATATCTGTAAGGCACAGTGTGTCAGACGGGTGTACAAATTGGGTACTGGGAGGTTGTGTACCATCGAAGTACTTCGTGATGAGTGCTGGAGGGTCAACAACGACGGGAGGCTCCTCGTCCTTCTTCGCTTGCCCGTTTGAAGCGGCATCCGAAGGAATCTCCAAGCCCTTCAACGTAAGGCCAGTCTTCTGCTCCGTGTTCTTCGCAGCCTCTGCTAGGACGGCAGATGGTGGTGGGCGCGTGTAGTCGTGGTAGGGAGTCAACCATTCTGATAGTGCACACGCGTAGTCATAGAACGCCGACTCGTCGGGTGTGAGCTAGATGAGAGAAGAGTTACTGCCAGTCTACAGCTCGATGCTGAGATTAGCTACCTCTGCGATCTCCTCCGGCTTCCGCGTGGCTAGCCGCTCGTTGAGCGGAAGCTTCGTCTCGGGGTCGTAGCTCGGTTTTGGCCGGTCACCAATGAGCAATTTATCTTCGACCGAATCATCGAGGTCGCTAGCTAGCTGGAACGCCTTAATGTAGACCTTGAGGAACACCCAGAGCCATCCGAGCTATAAAGCGAGCAGAATGAGCCCATGCGTATCGCACGTTGAGCTGAACACTCACACTCGGTGTCTTCCCAAGGAACTCCGTCTGCTGGTTGAACGACGCCACGCCACGCGGCTGGTAATTTGCCAGGATGTCGAAGTCCCGGTTATCGTGGTGCACTTTGATGGCTGATGAGCCTAAAGTGTTTGTAAATGCGTTATACGCAGGAGTAATACATACCACGGTCGAAGATGAACTTCAGCTCGATGAGCTCCATGTCGACCAACTCCGAGTTGATCGGCTCGTGGGCAATGCGCATCCGGACGTGTTCCATCTTGACGAGGTCGCGCTGGAGAGAGTTGTCGAGCCGGTCCTCGAACTCGATAAAGTCGGGGAGCTACCAGGACATAGTGAGTCGCTGCGGTGGCGATGTTCGACGAAGCACACACACCTGGGAGTATTTCTCTCCGCTGAAAGCGCGGACGATAAACTCTGCGGTCTAGTAGCGAAGGCTTAGGGAACAGTCCGGAGATCATGCACAAGCCACTCACCTCCTCGGAGTTAGACAGATAGATCCGACTTGACTCCAAGCACTCGGACGTATACGTAAGATCTCCTACTGACGACAGGGAAAACGTCGACGCTCGCGAAAGGATGAAGTGCGAAAGCGTGTCGTTCTGAACCTGCTTCACGTTGATAGCCCGGTAGTGTTCCAATGCCAACGCGGGGGCCCCGAGCAAACGGTATATCCTGATGAGGTGCAGGCGGATCTGGTACGACTTCTTGCTCCGGTAGCCAGCATACTCGAGCAGTGCGACGGCGTTGTACAGGTAAGTCTCGTCCCCAGTCTGTTTCCAGCTGTTCACGAAGGCTTGCACGGAGAGTATCGCAAGGTCGTCCGCGGGCTGCAGGTCGTATGACGGCAAGTCCCTGCCGAGTGTGAGCCCCGTAAGGTACAGATCCGCGTGCTTGGCTGCTCGTTGAGACTCTGCATCGGGAGTCAGAGCGGAGGCGGGAAGGTTATACCTGAGAAGCTTCTGCGCGTTGATATACCGCCAGAGATCTGGCACGGTGGTCTGCGCGGACGATGAACGTTAGAAATGCGCACTTATCAAACTGACGCAACTCACAAAGGCGTCGGTCTGCCTCTCCAGAACAGCGGTCCACTTGGCGAGATCTTCCCCCTCAAATTCGATGTAGGGCTTCAAGTCCTCGTAACAGCAGGCCTTGCCGCCAAACGACTGGAAATAGCTCTCGAGAAGAGAGAGTAGGGCAGAAGAATCTGTTGTCCTGTTAGGCCAATGTTGGCGGAGCAAGCTGACTTTCTTTACCAGTGGCGAGTCCGTGTTGCCGTGAACGCTTCTCGAGCTCCAGCAGGGCAAGGTGACCTGACCGATCCCTCACACCGTCCGTCTCGACGACCTTGCCGAAGAATTCTCGCGTCTTCACAATACGTTGTGACGTTGCCGCCTTCGCCGCCTCCACATCGGACGCCTCGGAAGTCAGATCCGCAAACGTTGCATCGAGCACCGCGAGGAATTCGAGCCAGTTCCGGTCCCTCCAAGCGAGCACGGACAACCGCCGACTTCAGCATGCGTGTGTTTCCCGCCGGGTCTGTGACCACTCACTTCGCTTCCAAGATACGTTTCTCAGCGGCTTCTCCCGCCTCCTTGGTCAGCCCTTTGAGCTTCCAGATCTCTCGTCGGAGTTCTTCGCATGATAGGTTGCTTGAGCAGACTATTTGGCCGGATTCGCTCTCGACCATCTCATAAGCTTCGTCGTAGAGTCCGAGTTGTCGGAGGATCGTCAAGTGTAGATGGAAGCGGTCGGCGTTATAGTAAGAGGGGGTGGCAGATGAAGAGATGAGTCTGTGAGCGAGTTTCAGCAGCACTGTCCGGAGTGCTTCTGGTGTGGTAGGATCGTGCGCCTGTATGTATTCAGATGAATGTGGCGGTGGCGGAAACCTCGAACTGCACGCACCTGCAGTAATGCGCTCATTACGCTCCAGTACAGGTAGTGATCGTCTTGGAACTGCTTGTGCATTTTGGTAGCGATCTATATCTGCATGCATGAAGCCTCCGCCGCCATGTAGAGTACAGATGTACTCACCTGCTGTGCAGCCTTCCAGTTGCCTATCCGCACATTCGCAAAGAACGTTTGGGTACCCAGCTCCTCGTTGCCTGGCTGCTGCTTGTATGCATCTTCGTACATTGTGACCATATCCATATCTGACCAGAGGTATTGAGGTGCAGGACACGAGCATCGTATAACCCAACTCACGGCGACCCAGACCACGCAAGACGTGCATCATTGCGGTGAGGGTGGGGTCGTCCACGGGTTTTGAGGCGAGTACTTCATCGCAAAGGAGAAGGGCCTCTTCGACCTTTTGGGAGCGTACAAGTGCGAGTGATTTCAAGGCCTATGTATGGCACAGTGAGGTCTAGTATGTATCATGGTCCAGCATACGTTCGAAACGTACCTTAACAAGGAGATTGTTTGGTTGCTTTTTGAGCACCTTGTTACAAGCAAGGATGGCCGACTTGTTCGAGCCCGTGTCCAGAGACTCTGCGTTACGATGATCCCGGCGTGAGTATGTGCGTCATGGGTCCGGTCAGACGTGGGGTGGCGAACCGTAGATGGGGCGAATTTGACGATCCATGTGTTGAAACAGTCAGAGCAGTCGGAGACAGGGACCTAGGTAGTCTGGGGCGGGGATGGAGGTGGGCCTTGTAAGTAGAGAACGTGCAATGACACGAACGCGTTTTCAAAAATTGGGCAGCGCGTCCCGAGACGCCCATGCTGGTCTGGCGTTGCAGTCACGAGCGCTGCTCTCTCCGTCCCATCCCGAGCCCGACGGCCACTTCTCTTCCGAACCATCTCCTCGCTGCGTCTTAACCCGACCGACCGAAGCGCGGAAAGCCAGGAGCCGGCAGCGGGGCTGACCAGGTCAGATAACGAGAGTGTAGGAAGTAAAGGTGTGCATTGAGCCGGTGCGGATCGCTACAAGTGAAACCCAAGGCGCGACACAAGGCGCGACCCAGTGACGTCCAACGTCCAATAGCTTGCCATGCCACCACCACTCTTGTCTAGGTGAGTCGGCGTCCTCCATAGGAGCGACGCGAACGCATATCTCATGCCGTGATGCAGAACGCTGGACCCCATACTGGGTGTCTTCACAGGCGGCCTTGCCTACTACCTCTACGAGTCCCATCCTCGCACCGCCATGCCCGAGGAGTTGAAGCTCAAATCCCTTCTGAGGTGGAAATACGCGCGGTGGCAGAAGGAACGCGAACAAAAGTTGCTGGGCTCCGGGGAGGACAATATTGTGGACTGGCAAGCACTAGCCGCCAGCGCTGAAGCGGAGGTGGGCAAGGGTTCTCAGGAGTAACTTCGAGCTGGAGCGTAGTGGAGAGATCGGGTATATTGCTTCTGCAATGAACAGCAATACGACCATCCTACGGCACGACCACTCGCAAGGCAACAAAGGCATCTGCCTTCGGATATACGTATCCGTTACCTCCCCAGGACATGATTGCTTGACGGTAAGCGGAAGGGGATGTCTGCAGGCGACTGTAGATACAGGGCTTGTGCAGAGGAGCACATGGGATGCAGTAGCCCTGGAAGGAGCTTGAGAGCCGGTTCAACATTCGATTGTCGCTGAGGCTGAATGCGTGTTTGCTGCGTGGTCGGCACAAGTGGGGCGCCCGAAACATGCATCGCTCCAGAGACTGAACTAGGGGTTCCTAAGACGTTGGCTTTAGCCCGTGAGGACGAGAAGTACTGCAAAATGCAACTCTGAGAGACCGAGTGTACAACGAGTGTATGGAGGGAGTTCGGCGCCTAAATGACAGTGCGGACCTTTGGCGCCTGTCCGTGGGAATATAGTCGATGAACTGCATAGTTGATATCAGCCACCGCGGCTGCTCACTGCAAGCGTCTCTGTACCGCCCAAGGCCAAAGCCGTCGTTCCTCAAGACTCGCAATGGCCCCCTCAACTACGTGCGTAACTGCATCACGTCTGTCTAGATCTACATGCTGAGCTGAATGTGCAAATCCACAGCGTTCCGTCCGTCCAGGTCAGACCAATACCCGACCTGCCTGTCTATGTGGAAGTTCTGACGTATATTTCAACCTCAGGACGTTGAAGTCCCGGAGACTCTCCTTAAGAAGCGTAAGCAAAACGAAAAGGCCCGGGAGGAGCGTCTCGTTGCCGCGACCGCTGCCCGTAAGGTGAGTTGATGTTTCCACTTCCACACCCAAGCACTTTTTTCTTGCTTGTATGATGCATACCATTACTCTTGGCCAGTGGGATCACCTTTCACTATGCTGCCGGAATTAACCATCTTTCGGGACTGACACTTAAACTATTTCGTTTCGGCGTTGGGAAGAGATTGCTAACGTCCGAGGCAGGCATCCAAGGCCAAGCGCAAGGTCATCTTCAAGCGCGCGGAGTCCTATGTGAAGGAGTACCTTTCCCAGGAGAAGGAGGAGATCCGCCTGAAGCGGGCTGCTCGTGCGACTGGCGACTTCTACGTCCCCGCAGAGCCCAAGGTCTACTTCGTCGTCCGTATCCGGGGGTAAGTCGATCCTTTTCACCGGATGACTTGTCTATAACATGCCGTACAGTATCAACGAGATCGCTCCCAAGCCCCGCAAAATTCTCCAGCTCCTCCGCCTCCTCCAGATCAACAACGGTGTCTTCGTCAAGGTCACGAAGGCCACCCAGCAGATGCTTCGTCTGGTTGAGCCCTACGTCACCTACGGGTAAGTCCAGCAAGCAGTTGATCGTACAAACCCCTCTAACGTGTCGTGCAGCGAGCCCAACCTGAAGACCGTCCGCGAGCTGATCTACAAGCGCGGTTACGGCAAGGTCGAGAAGCAGCGCATCCCCCTGTCCAACAACTCCGTCATCGAGTCGACTCTCGGCAAGTACGACATCCTCTCGGTCGAGGATCTCGTGCACGAGATCTTCACCGCCGGCCCCAACTTCAAGCAGGCCGCGAACTTCCTCTGGCCATTCAAGCTCTCCAACCCCACTGGCGGCTGGAGGATACGCAAGTTCAAGCACTTCGTCCAGGGTGGTGACTTCGGTAACCGGGAGACGAACATCAACAAGCTCATTAGGCAGATGAACTGAGTGGATGCCTGGTCATTGCGCTTCTTGGGGGAGTTGCAGTCCGCGTCTGGAGGGCCGCGGGCTCGCGTGTATGAGGGAGTATGGCTGGCATGCGTTATCATTACGACGACTACTACATCTATCTGTATGCCATTATGTTCACCTCAATCGTTGAAAACCGCATACGCCAGGGCTGCTCACCCGCCAATTCCTTCTGAGTGATTTCGACTCCCCTCGCTTGTTCGCCATGTATTGCAAGTCTACCCCTACTCGTCCCAGGCCGTGAGAAGTCAAGAATATTGTACTGCACAGTTGGCACATTGACAGGATTATACCAAGACGCCGGTGTGTGACATCGTCGCGGCTCCGACAGGATGAGTGTAAGCCCAAGCTTTGCACCACACGACCATCTGTCTCTTACCTGGACAGCCTCATCTCCTAGCTATGATATTGGTTTGTCACTATCAGGTGCTGTCCTTCTGTGTCAGGTAATCTCGCCATCGTCGCGCAAACTATCATCATGCCATCTCGAAGGGAGGTTGACACAAAAGCTACGGGAAGTGCGGCTGGACCCCGAGAGGTTAACAATTTGCTTCATACACTGAGGTATGCAATACATGACCCCCGCATTGACGATGTGCGTCTGATCTTACCGACTGTAGAGGCGAGCAATTCAGGCATTCGCAAAACCTTCGCAGGTCCAAAGCGCATCTCTCATCGGCCACCGCCCACAGCTACAACGACCCCTCCCTCCCGTTCTCCGAGTTCTACCGCTTCACGCACGGCCTGCGCAGGAACACCGCTCGCGATGCAGGGGGAACTGCTGCTCCTCCACCAATACCGGTCATCCGCGACGGCCACCTCGAGCATGACTTTCCTCGAGGCCCCGTCCCAGGTCCGCCTCCTCCGAGAAGCTGGGGCGGGCTCTTCGGGCCTGAGCCTGGGTACGAAGCCATCCTTGCGGCGTACGACCCCGTGCTGGACAAGAGCATGCCTGCGTTCCGACGACGCGCGCTGTCTCTCATACTGTCGCATACGTCCTGGAGCTTCGGGTCGAGCGACGTTCCTATCTTCGAGTCCTCTCCATACGTGGATCTCGATGTCTCGGGTTCGCCCGTGCCGCCCCTGGCGCGAATTTGCCTGCGGGTGCTGCTCGCGGAGTTCCCGGACACGGCGGGTTTCCGGGACGAGCTCCTCCCTGCCATCCCGCTGTACTTCAGGCGCGACATCTTGCGGTACACCGCGGTAAACGACCCGCTGTCGAATGCGAAGCTTCTTCCACTGCTCGAGCCGGATGGGCACACCGACGGGGAGCTGATCATCGTCGGTCCGCAGGCGACACTGCAGCGCGACCATTTGTTGAGCCTTTCACCGAGCACTCCGACTCGGCGAGCCACATCTGAGGAGGAGCTCCAGCTGGAGGATCGCGGCGAAGGCCCATCAGACGCAAGATCACCCTCTGAGCTCACGAACCACGGCGAACTCCCGAGCGACGCGGACGAGGATTCATGGGACGCGGAATCCTCTTCGCAAGAGCAGTCTCCCCTGCTGCAGACGCTCATCGTGCTCAATGCCCCAATACCAACCGCGACGCTCTTCGCATTCCCGCTCGTCCTGACGCGCCTTGCACTCCTGGCGCTGCCCTCCCCGACACCTGTACATCGCCTGCCACGCATCTGCCCGCTGCTCGAGGTGCTCGACCTATCGTACAATCCGTGGCTGAACGAGCCGCCGGGAGGACAAGGTACGGTCGCCGCGGAGACGATCGTGCAGCGCGTCGAGTGGGACAAGTGGGCACGGTTGCGCGTGCTGGGTCTACGGGGGTGTCGGGTCCCGGGTGACGTGGTGGCGAAGGTGAATAAGGGGCGCTGGGAGGAGGTGGAGGTGGTCGTGGAGGAGCATCGGACGTTTCGGACTAGCATGGGCGATGTGGAGGCAATGATGAAGGGCCTGCGGTTGACCGACTAAAATGTTGTATGCCGATACGGCTGTGGCGTTTATATGCCGTCGGCGATGAGTAGTAAGTATGGTACATAGATTCCGCTGTGTTCGAAGAACGAAGTGAAAACAATACAGGCATGCGCACAGATGCTGACGACTACGATAGCATAAAACAAAAGATTACCTCCCAACTTGAGACTCGACGAAGAGATGGAGATCGAAGGGCGGTATGACCTGATGAAGGGTGAGCATTTGGCGCGGTAGCGGATAGAGACGAGGATGTGCGTACCTCATCTGTCTCCTTCTCCGTGGACGCCTTCTTTGGTGGAGGAACGGCGTTTTCCAGACTGCCACCGTCCCTAATTGATATTGTCGGGTCCGGGAGACCAGTTGGAGGCAGCGAAACGCCGGCAGGCCATTTGTTACGAGGCGGTGCAGGGATCTCCTTCTCGTGCAGGAGGGACCATTCAACGCCCGTTTGTCGCGTATACAACTCGATACGGGATATCGTTGGCTTCTTCGCCCAGTCTAAAGGCAATGACAGTTAAGCATAGACAGGATGCAGGGCAGCGAGGAGCTTACAAAGGATTGCGCTGTCGATCTGGTCTGCAACCGCTTCTCGCCGAGCCTGCGTCATATACATAGCGAGGGGGCTCCTTTCAGGGACTGTATACGCAAGGATGCCTCCGACCTGCCCTAGCTCGCCCAGGTACATTGCGCGATCATTTGCCTGTGATAGACGGTTCACTTCCGAGTACAGGCTCTGGGCACGGTGCAGTAGCTGGGCGTTTGATAGTTCGGTGTCGCTCTCAGACATGTCCACGTCTTCGCCATCTCCTGAGCTTGCGGTCCGGCCAGCAGCAGATAGTAGCGGCGGTTGCGGTAATGGTGATTCTGAGCCCGGAGGGTAGTAAGGGAGGGGTATCGTACGCGCTGCTTCGATGAATGCCTGGATGCGGAGATTAAGCGCAAGATGCGTTGGGTCCGTCGACGTCGCAGGCCGGTACTTGAACAGGTAGATCGAGGGAGGTATCGCGCCAGGCTCAGGTGTGTCCGAGAGCACCGTGGGGAAGTGTTTATGGAGGAGCTCCGTCGCCTCGTCGATCCGGCCTGTCAGTATGTGGTTCCGGATGTCTAACGGGAGAAATGAAAAGCTGAGCGCGCGCGGACAGCGGCGAGAAAGTGGGCAGCGCGCCTTTACGCAGCTCGCCCATGGCGAGCCTTTCTTCAAGGGTGCGGAGTTCCTCCTCAGATGTCTTATGCGGCTTGTGGCCTGGGACGAATATCACTGCATCTCTGTCTCTGTCCGTCTCTCCATCGGCTGGAGTAACGCCGCACTCCTTCATGAAAGCGCGTGCGGCGCCTGTGTGGCAGTTGTGCATCAAGTAGTCCAGCACGAGGTCTTTCTAGATCGCATTTCAACGGCTTCAGCGTGGTCGGCGCGGCACTAGAGGCCAATGCACTCACCAGATATTGTGGGGTAGGGTTCATCACCTGCGCTCGCAACTCTGACCTGCTGGGAGCCATGGCGAGATGGCTGAGAAGAGAAAGAGATGCGAGTTATGTGGTTCGAAAAGCAGCGTGAGCGGCGGGACGGACACGGCCAGGTAGACACGCGCGTGCGGGTTCCCTCGCGGATTGGTTCGCGCCACCTGAGCTTCGGGCTCTGTCGCGTTGTATCCTCAGTCCGAAAGCGGAGTTAGTGTCGCAGAAGGTGAGCGAGGTCCGCGGCCGAGACACACGCGAGTCGGTGGGAACGAGCTATTGCTGGAGAGCGTGAGGACGAAAGAATGGAGACCTATGGTCTTGGAGGCGTCGGTGGCTGGATCTAAATAGGGAATGCAGTGGGCGAGGAGGGAGAGGTCGTAGGCGCTGGCTCAGGCGCGCCGCGATAGCACTCGCATTTAGCGGTGCCCGAGTCACCCTATCTCTCCCCAGCTCAGCCTACCCCTTCGTCCTCCTCGCCGTTCTCTACGTCGTCGACGCTGTATGCAACATCGTCCATGGCCCTCTCTGCAACATTCAGCGAACTCCTCGGTTACACATCCATCGCCTGTTGGCTCGGCGCTCAGTTTCCGTGAGTCCGGCATTTACCCCGCATCACCTGCCCCGCCCGCTGCTTCCCCCCGCCCATAGAGGAAGCTAACATGAGGCAATTTCAGACAGGTCCTCGAGAATGCACGAAGGCAATCTGTCGATGGCCTCGCCTTGCCCTTCCTGATGAACTGGCTTTTAGGTGAGTTTCTGCAGTTGCCTCGCGATCTCGCGCGGCAATCGCGTGAGATGTCGCGTGCTTGCGGAGGATGTTAACTGCGTCACTGTATGCTAACCGTCGACGTTGTGGATCTATAGGCGATGCAACCAATTTGGTGGGATGCATTCTGACACACCAGTTGCCCTTCCAGGTGAGTCGATCACCGCGTTTTCATACCTCACACGACTGACGTCTTGCAGACCTGGCTCGCGACGTACTTCGTCTTCGTCGACTTCAGCCTCTTGAGCCAATACGTCTATTACCGCCGTATCTCCAAGAAGCCGTCACGTCCATACCTTCATAGCAGGGATCGCACGACCTCTGTAACGACACGTCGACTGTCCATCGACCGCGGTGCCGGCGCACCTCATTACCGCGCATTATCTAACGTCGCAGCAAATGTGGCTGCCACCGCAGCCCTGGCAGCGCAGCAAGAAGAGCGGTGGCATAGCGGGCGCTCCCACTCGATCGAGCCGCACTCGACCGCCTATGAAGACGATGAGGAGGTCTCCGAAGAAGCTTTGGCACGCCTCACCGAAAGCTTTCACTCTGAGGGCGGGCGCTCGGGAAGACGGAAACATGTCGCATGGGGCACCGACTCCTTCCAAGGGCATAGCCGACACTCGACCACATCACCTCCGGGTCGTATGCACAGCTCATTACACATGACCGCTCCCCCACCACCTATGGATGAGGCAGACCTTGTCGCACGAGGTCGGCCACCGGTCAGGGCGGTGGATCTGGTTGAGGTGGCAGACGATGAGTGGTTAAGCGCGAACGCAAACAGGCGCAGTTCCCGTGCCAGTCGGAAAGGTGCGACCATGGTCTTTTTGGGAGTATGGGCGCTGTTTGGGGTTGGGTCATTGGTGGGCGGGCGGAAGGATGCTTCATCTAGCGCTGTCGGGCACACAGGACGAATATGGACTCGTGCAGAAGTTCCTGTGGCTGCTGTTCCGGCGGTCGTCTCAGAATCTCACCTAGGCGATGCTATCCTCTCCGCTCAACTCTCTGGAGAGCCTTCTGTGTTTCAACCGCTCTACAATATCGGCGACGTCGCCGTTCTGGACGATCCTGTCCCTCCACCGACCATAGAGCATGTCATCGGCAGGATTTCGGCGTGGATCTGCACAACGCTATACCTCACGTCTCGATTACCTCAGATCTGGAAGAACGTGAGTTTATACATTCCACTGTTTTCATTACATCCTGCATAGCACTAACTGAGTCCCTTAGTATGTCAGGAAATCCGTAGAGGTACGATCGCCGCAACGTTCGTCTCAGATCACTCCAGCTGACAGTCATACTTTGCTTGTAGGGCTTGTCAATCTACCTATTCATCTTCGCATTTCTGGGCAACTTCTTCTACGTCTCCTCCATCCTCACCTCGCCCAACATGCAACTCCCGGAGCCAGAGGCATCCGCATTCATGCGCGAGAGCATCCCGTATGTCCTTTCCGATCGTACCAGTCCTGTCGTGCTCAAACTCACCGTGGCCATATAGGTACCTGCTGGGCAGCGGCGGGACACTTATGTTCGACATCACCATCGTGTGCCAGTCCCTTTTATACAAGCCCAAACCGCCAAGCAGGGGCCGGGGCCTCGCCCGCTCGTACAGCGAAGAGGAGGCGGGCCTGCTCGCCGCAGCGGGCGCGGAGGGGTCCCCAGTGGCCGCCCGCCGGCGCACAGGGAGCGTCGGGAGGGACCCCGCGCTATGAGACACTACTAGTTTCCCTAGGACTTGACGAGCCTACGTGTAGTTGTACAGGGGAATATCGCGGTACTATTGTTGTCTAATCCCAGAATGCTAGATGCTACATCCTATTCGTACATACTGCATACCTTTCTTCGGTTTGTGCGCTGAACGTCTCATGCGTGTACTCTAGCGGGCGTCGCTGTGTACCCATTTGCGATGTAGCTGATGGTTGACCTACTCGAGGCCAGCATATCGTACGTCGGCGTTTGCGTCGAGCCATGCCATCCACTTCTTCAGGAACGGGCTGCCGTGCTGTACAGTCGAAGAGTCGCCAACGACACACTACGAGCTGTGAGTTAGGGCTAACATTCACTTGACAGGACGTCCGCTCACCAGATGTCGACGTGCGCGAGTCATCGCCACTACGTCCCTCTGAGTTGAGTTGTAATAAGTCGAGGGAGGCAGATGCTCACCGTTCAGCCTGCGCTTGTCCTTTAAGAAACCTACCTCTCGCTGCGCATGGTTAGTTTGTGAGCATGCCTGCGAGCAAAGGCAGAAGAACCATGCCCACCTTTTCATTGCTGCGTACCAGGCTGATAACGATGGCCTCTTTCTCTCGTCCTTGCATGCCGTCCACAGTGCCGATCTCCAATTCTGCGCCGAATATTGGACGGAGAAGGGAGGTCAGGAGTGTCACCTGCGCCTGGTAGCTGGTCGGGGCCAAATCGTTGTTAGAACGACACATGCGTGCAGCGTTTTCAAGACGACGTACGGCGTGATGACTGCGATTTGGGAGGGTTGGACGCCCGCGCCAACCTAGATAAAGAGGGCTTCTCAACCTTGCATATCCGCTATGACTTCTCAAACAAGACGTACCAGCTGATCCAGCCACATCTTCACGACTGACGCTTCGTTTTCGTTACACCGGCTCCCCTCGTCTCCATCGCCCTCGACGCGTTCGAAGTACTCACAGCCTGCGGTGTCATAGAATACTGCAGGCGTTCCGAGTATCTCCTTCTCATCCTCCTCGGAGTCAGCTTTGGTGTTCGGGAGGTCGCGCAGGAGGTGAGACGCGACCGAGGGGTGGGACGTGAGCTTCGAGTGATACATGATTTTGGACGGGAAAGTTGCGATCTGCTTGTGCATCCTGTATACGCGTCAGTGTCAACCATGCAAAGCTTTTTATATGAAGAATCGTACCGGTACTGGACGGTCAGCATGCGCTTGATCCCGGGACCGTACATCTTCTCGAGCCGTTCGAAGAGCGTCATTTCCAGCGTGGATGGCGGACGGAGCACCGCTTGCGAGCCTGCTTTCCGTGGGTCTCTTGGGGTAGCCTTAACGGATTCCTCGGGATCAGCAGCAATCTCAGAGTCTCCCTCCTCGTCACTGGAACCCGATGCGTCCTCGTCCGGTTTGGCGTCCTCCGCCGGAGCCTCTGCTACCTTTTCCGAGGGACTCTTCGACTTCGGCGCCTTCGGGGCAGGGGGCTTCTTCTCCTTTGGCTTGTCTGATGATGTGCCAGACTTGGATTTCTTCTTGTCATGTTTGTCTAGTGAGATGATCGTGGGCGGGAGCTGCATGGGGTCTCCCGCAAGGATCAACTTTTGCGCTTTGAATATGGGTACCCAGCAGACCTGCGGTAATTATGTCAGTATATGAAGAAAGTGCTGTAATGGGGAAGAATCATACAGCTTCCAATGCTTGGGTCGCCTCGTCTATGATGACGACGTCGAAGTTCTGATTCCAAAGCTGCCTGCCTCCGGAGGAGTGGCATGTCGCGAGCACGACCTGTGCATCCTTCAAGACGCTCCGGACTACACCGCCTTCCCGTTGTCGATACCTACAGTTCTCCACTCAATCATTGAATCGGATAAGTTGTGTTTCTGGACTCACTCCTTTCGCAGTGCTCTCACATCGTCCCACATCTTCTTCCGCTCGAGCCCCCGAGGTCCTTTGCCCTTAGTGCCCTTCCCTTTACCTGAAAGCACCCCGAGCGCGGTCTCGAGCTCATTCTTCACATCCTTTGCCAATGCAGCCTGTATGCAGAGGACAGCGTAAGATGTGTTGTGAAGCTACCTAAGATTGCTACTCACTTCGTCGCTACGGCTCGCTTGGACCTCGAGCGTTGCTTCTATCACATTCTCATGCGCCATAACGCGAGCCGGATGACCGATACGCGTTACCTTGAGCTTCGCGCCTCCCTCTGGTGCAGGTAGAGCGAGGAGCCTCTCCAGGATGTTGTCGACCGACATGTTTGAGGCGCCGCACACTAGCAGCCTCAGCGGCTTTGGATTTGATGGGGTGGCAGAGGTGAAATGGCGAATGAGCTCTATGAGCGTGTGCGTCTTGCCAGTGCCTTCATCATATCAGCCCACGGATTAGATGGCGATTCGAGCATGTGGCTTTACCTGGAGGACCATGGATACATGCCACTTCTGGAGACCCGAGCGCGAAACGGATGGCTTCTTGCTGACTTGAATTGAGAGATTTGTCGAAAAAGGTCAAGTCTTTAACCGGCACTCGTTCTGACGGTGCTGTCATGCCCATAAGCACCCGAATGAGGTTCGTCATCTTCGGCAGGAATTTGTCCTCTTTCTACCGGCCTTTGAGCTGCGGTATAAACCTCGGCCGTTCACGGAACTCACAGCATCGGAATTTGGCAGTACAAGTTTCTCCAGCTGATCCAGTGCTTTGTCCATCCTAAAGCAGTACAGAGACATGCATGAGCGTGTGTCCGCGCTATGATTCAACGCTAGTCTTACCTATCATATGTGACACTGTTAGCAAGTTTTACGACACGGCAGCGTTCAGGGATGTTCAGATCTTCGCCGCTTGTCTCTGGAGGATCTACGGCAATGACGATCTTAGTGTCAGATACCTGGTAGAGTTTCAGTTGGTTGACCGGTGCGGGCGCGGAGGGGGGATGTTCACTTTGTATATGACACCCTCGACGCCGTCATCTTTCGGCTTGTCGGTTGCGCCAGCTTTCTTGGGCTTTGCCGTCTTCTTCGAGGCGGCGGAGGTAGTATGCTCCTCAATGCGGGCAAGATCGCCTGGCCTTCGTAGAAATCTTAATATCACTACATATCATACAGCCAGAAACATACCTCAGCGAGTGTGGAGGAAATATCGGGGTGCTGTGGTATGCCGTCGGTCGCTCGAGCTCTACAAGACTAGGTGTATAAACGATTAGCATGGGATGACTATATGACAAACATCGGATATTGCGTACGTCTTCCCCCCAAGACCAATCCCAACAGATGTGGTCCCGAGGCCGCACAACGCGAGGCCTTTCTGCTCGAGTAACTTGGGCGCGCAATTAGAGAGCAACAGGGAAGTACGCTCGATCTCGGCCTCTCGCTCCCGCTTGAGCAGCTCGCGATGCCTTGCGATGAACGCATTAAGCTGCTCCTCGCTCGCCATATCTACAGAACCTGGATTATATGCGAATCTGTGCCTTGCGTAGGCGATAGCCCGGGGCTGGGTGAGAGAGGAACTCGATGAGGGACGACGCGTACCACAGGCGATCACTGCACGCAAGCCATAGATCCGATCGGGAAGCGCGGTCACATGCCGAAATTGGCAACAATCTCACGTCACGCTTTTCGGGCCACACTTCGCGAGCCGCGTTGCGTCGCGTCTTGCCGCAGCATTGCATCTTAGCACCTCCACTCCGCCCACACCCTTACCGCACAGTCCAACTCGCTACGAGCCACACAATGCCTCTCAAGCACCGCGGATATGGTGCATATATCACCTGCGACGGCCGAGAACTGGAGCAGTTCCAAGTCAAGGTCGAGAGTGACAAGATCGTGTCGTGTTACGTGCCTGGCGACACCGGGACCGTAAGTCAAAACTGGGAGTCAGTTGAGATATTCTGACGCCTAGCATTAGGTTTATAAAGTGCACTGGGTAGATTCTAAACCACCGACTCACCTTTCGGTGGAGGTACGCACCGATGGGCGCAGAATAGGAGTCGTATCCCACACCAAAGGTTCTTCGAAGACCACCCACCCAGGGCTCCGCGTGCCCTTAGATACCAACTGCTCGTCCAAGTTTCTGCATGTTCCCAGCGTAGGTATGGTGATGGAGACTCCTCTCGTAAATGTGCTTTCTTACCCAGAAGGCAGATGATGCTCTTCCCGCTGCATACAGCGAAGAAATAGGCACCATCGAGATTCGACTGCGACGTGTGCGCGATTTCATTGCAGTCCCGTTCCGTCCAAAGCCGTCCGCCCCCTCTGGTCCTCGCGGGCGCCCCGGCAATACCAATAGCGCCAGCAGTAGCAAAGGGCCCACGAAGAGCGCATCGTAAGTTCCTTCTTGCGTCGAGTGTAGTTATTTACTCAGATGCACAGTGTCGGGAGCAAGAAGGAGAACCAGCCTAAGCCGACTGTTCTGCGCCCCATCCTTATCGACGACAAGCCGTACGTTGTCTTTCGGTTCTTCTACCGTCCGTCGGGTACGTCAAACCATCTTGTATGCATGCCATTGAATCGACAGCTCATATGACGATAACAGAGGTATTAGAAGCCAACGGTGTCAAGCCTTCCGGTCACCATAAACCCAACAAATCCGTTCCCGTACCTCCCGTACCGCCCGCATCAAGGCGCCGGAAACGAGCATCGGGCGAGGTACCGTCAAACCTACCGGCCGAAGAGGAGCCTCAACAGCCACCCTCAAAAAGGCGCCGCCCTGCCTCTGAAATACCAGAACAACTCGAGCCGGAGGTGGTCCCATCGGGGTCCCACTACGAAGATGATGAGGCGAGTTGCCGCGATTACCTCCATTCGGCGTGGACGTCGTTAACATTTATCTCGCTGGCGGCAGATGTACCTTGACGTCGGTCATAACGCCGCAGATCAGGACAATGTTTATGATGACACCGTGGGCGACGTCAAAGCCTCTAGACGGAGGGAAACCTCTGACATGTCACGTCCCTCTCCGCCCATACCGGGAGCGTCTGCCATGGATATCTCAGAAGACGGTGAACTCGAGGAGGAGAGACTCGTGGAGGTGAGCAGATCATGCACCATCCCCCGATTCTAGTGTGAAACGTGGCGTATGTCAGGTGCACCTCAGTTCGCGCAACGGTTTTGCGTTACCGGCATCCAGTGGTTGTGGTTCGACGTTCAGGACGCCAAATCCAATAGTAAAGAGGGAGTCGACTCCGGCGCCAGTGAAGAGGGAGCCATCTCCAGAGACACCCGGCGCTATCGGTTTCTGGCCAGACTCCACTGGCGAGGTAGACGTGAAGCCCAAGATTGAGGAATGCGGAAGCGAAGAGGAGTCCGTCGTAGAGGTGAGTGTGCGAAGCTGAGTCTAACGCTCGAGTCTAAAAGGACGCTGGTTCGAAATCCGCTCTAGGTGCATCTGAATTCGAGGAACCAGCACGTCGTATTCGGCATTGATCCCGGCAGGCACCGTATCAAAGAGGAGACAGTGAAGCAGGAGGACTGCAGCGGTGCTGAGCAGACACCGATCCTTGACCGACCTGGATCCCCGATCGGCAAGCATGAGGAGGAAGATGTGGTAGTGGAGGTGCGTGGACCTGCGTTGGCTCGAGTGCTTAGCTTTAACCCGGCTTGCGCAGGTGCACATCAGCTCCAAAGACATCCAGCGTGCTTTGGATGTGGCAAGAAGTGCAGGTTCTGTAAAAGCGGAACCCACTCGTGATTGATATATCTACTGGCATGAGGAAAGGTGCCCGTTTCCGGTGATGCTGTCAGGCCATCCACGCCGCAAAGAAGAGTGCTTGGATTCCGAGTCGCATAAGAGTGCTTTACTAGAAATTGAAGGCGGTTATATCCTGATTTTGTTCTTTACTAAGGGTTTCCGAGCCGGCGCAAGCATACAGACCAGAAGCTTGCAGTGAGACCTGGGTCGTATTATAATACAGAATTCCCGAGCCTGTCAATATATATGTCGGCGCTTGCAGAAGTGGAACAAGGATCGTTTACTGATTTAGCGCCCAAAACCAAAGAGGCCTAGAAGCTTATTAATCGGCGGTTTACGTTTGAACGCAACGTCGATCACCTTGAGACTGCCCACCACGCTGGTCCAGCACTAGGATCGTGAAGACGCACTCGAACCAAATCTACATACCTTAGAAGGACCTATTGCAAGTTGGTCGAAGGTTTTCGTCCGATTCGTCCAATATTTTAAGGCGAGCCAACAGCTTTCTTGATTGTACCGCATTGTCGTCTTACCTACGACAGAGAACTAGACACTGCTTGCTCTAGTGTTCACCTATCATCATCCCTAGCTATGCCACTTCATTTCAACGGGTTCTCAGCGCATATCAGCTGTGATGACACAGAGCTGGAAATATTTTCGGCCCAAGAGGACGACGAAATGGCAACAGGCTGGATAGCCAGTGAGGTCTTGAAGGTGAGATACGGGACTCCTCTAGATTACCGCTACACCGGTGTACAATGCATAGGGCATCCTGGTCCATTGTTCTCGCCTGATTGAGGAATTTGTGGATACCGATGTTGTGTTAACGTCATACCAGGAGTTCAAGGTTCACTGGGGAGAAGAGACCGGGGACATACCCTTCATTGCCGCAATCTATACCGACGGGAACATTGCTCAACGCATGCAGCATCGAACAGGCGTGACAGGAGACTGTAGGGGCGTGTATGTCTCGTCGAGCTCTATCCGCCCATTCACGTTTTCCGACCTTATTCTCACAGGTGTGTGCTCTCGCATTGATCGTGGTGTGTACCAGTATAATTTCATGAAAAAAATCGGCGTGGCTGTGTTCTCAGACGACGACGCCATCATCAACACCAAGAACGTTAGCGACAAACTCGGCTCGATTGAAGTCATATTGACGCGGGTTGAGCGTTTTGAGCCGACCAAGAGACCGTATGTCGGTAGATATGGTTTTACCGAAATCGGACCTGTACACGAGAAGAGCAAGAAGGCCGGGGTCCACACCGTCACGTAAGCTTTCGATGTCATAAAGCCTACTCCTTCTTTCTAACTGGCCCGGAAGTCTCGGTGAGATGGTGCAGATTGAACCCCAGACGACTTGTGAGACTGTCGGCCGGGAAACCGAATCATGCGCACATTTCCTATTCCGCTACAGACCTATAGGTAGTCCACTCAGCTGCAACCGCATGCCTCGGAATTATCTGATCAAAACACGCAGAACTCCTTCGCGCAAACGGCATTGCACCGCAAGTTTCCGGTCTCAAGGATCGCAGTCACGACGTGGAGGAGCCTGGGGCCCCCGGACCCAGTGATCCCAAACGCAAGCGCAAGGGGCCTGCAGTGAAGTCTGAAACGCTGTCCGATGATGAGGATGATGAAGAGGACGAAAAGTCGTTAGAGGTGGGTCCTGCAGATGCATTTTGTGAGAACATCCGTCTCAAGCCTACGATAGGAGCAACTTGCTTTACTTCAGGGCCGCCTGGAGAAGAAGCGTGCCAAGAAGGCGCAGGCACTGGTCAAGCGGGAAATGTCGCCCATCCGCGTCCCGTTTATTTCGGACGACGAAGTGATCGATTTGACCTAGGAAAGGAGTCTACCCCCAGCTTGTGGTGAGGATTTCGGCTTCAGATAGTACTGTCTCCAGACAGCCGTTCTTCTTGTCCGTTTGGCCTATCGTTTCTCCTGGTTCGTCGTCTTCTCTTCTTTACCATATTTCTGTGACATATCACTCGGTGTATGGACCGCCTAATTTGTTCCGATTTCTCCGCTCGAAGTCCCTCATGCGCTGAATGTACTAGCTGACATCTGCATGACTGTCTCCGCATGAAAGAAACAGGATACCGGCGTCGGTCTCATGATGGGTACCAATGCGCGCCTGACGTCGGTATCGCATCCTAGCAAAGCGTCTACTATATCGAGAACTGGCACAGTCACGGCTAGCGGCCGGCTCCGCCTTTGAGAGGCTTCCGAGTTTTGGCATGATGCATGATGCGCCGGTAGTCACCGGCACCCGTTGCACATCTAGCGCCAATCTACTGCTGGCACCACACTCGCAACGACATTGACTTCTACGAGCTACCTGCTACGGTTTGTTCGTACAGAGGTGCAAACACGGTCTTCAGATTTGCAGGTCGCATTCCAAGGTATGTCATTTGGTCTCCTTTGAGCAATCATTATGTCGATCATTCTATTCCTCAGGCCTCAAATCCGGTCACGTCGCACGTTGGTTCTTAAGAACCCGGTTTACCGTATTTTCTTACGCTATGCCTCTCCAAATCGATAAGCTCTCGGCGCGGATACTCAGCGACGGCAAAGAGCTAGAAATATTCTCAGCCAATTATGATGACGAAATAACGGCAACAGGTTGGATCGCCAGCGAGGTTTCGAAGGTGAGACGTCTCCCTAGATTTTAGTGTTGCGCGCAAGGTGTACGAAACCGAAGTATGCAACCCCGACACCGAATCTTCTATCTCTCTCTTGGGGCTTATAAGCATGTGCTTACATTTATGCAGGAATTTCGGGTCCAGTGGACCGACCATACAGGCAAACAGAGCATGACTGTTGATATACAAGTCGATGGACGCCTCGCTCAACAGCTGGCCCACCACCCTTGCAATACGGAGAGTATGTGTATGGGCATATACGAAACAGAGGCTTCCATATGCCCGTTCAAATTTTCCGAGTTGATGCTCACCGGTGCGTGGCGAGTAATCAGCGCCTCACTGGCGCGCGTACTTGCCAGGGGCGGCCTGATTTTATATCTACACAGATGATGATGCTCTCATGAACACGAAGAATACCAGCGATAAGCTTGGCTCTATAGAACTCGTGTTCACTCGGTGTGAGGGTTTCATCGCGGCAACTAAACCATTTGAGCCAACGGGCCTTGTCGAAATCGGGCCCATCCACGAGAAGAGCAAGAAGGCTGGTGTCCACGCTGTCACGTATGATTCCGATCATCGACACGTTTGAGCACCACCTCATTCTCGACAGTCTTGGTGTCCCGCAGGCGATGCAGCGCATTGAGTACCGGAAGGCATTTGGAGCGGAGCCGGAGCCCTGCGCTCGCATCGTGTTCCGTTACAGACCCCTAGGTGCTTCGCCCACGTCCGCATGTCTATGCGTTACATATGACGTGTCTGACATCTGCATGCAGACCTTCTGCGGGCAAACGGAATTGCGCCCCCGGCGCCGAAGCCTGACCATCCACCGAAGCGCGGGGCCGAAGTGCAGGATCCCGAGGACGGCGCTGGACCGAGAGATCCAAAACGAAGGCGTCAAGAGCCTGGAGTTAAGACTGAGGCTCTCTCCGATGACGAGGATGACGAAGAGGACAAGAATTTGAAGGTGGGTCTTGTGGTTAGTACACTCTCTGGAAACGTCCGTCTGAAGCTCGCGGCAGGAGCAACTTGCGTTACTCCAAGACCGCCTCGAGAAGAGGCGGGCCAAGAAGGCGAAGGAAGTGGTCAAGCGGGAGATTTCGCCCATCCATGTCCCAATCGCGGCAGATGACGAAGTGATCGACCTGACCAGCTCGCCTTGAAATGGTGCTGGCGTCGGCTCGAGACATTTCACAGGCACCGTTTCTTGATATCTCAAAGCACATCATCGCTTTCGCTAGCTGATTCTCGCTCTTGGTCGAACGTTACCCTTGCGTTACCTTACTTCCACTTCATAATGGTGGAATCATTTGCTGTCGCATGCATTTTGATCTGGTCCGTTCTTGTGGCACAACGAGTTCAATGATATATTACACGAAGGAGCGCACGGGAGCGCAGGACTGCAAGACTACGAACGTCAATTCGGTGCACTACGGGTCTACGTTCCTCGGTATGATGAGCTTGTCACGGTTTTCAGTACACGTAGGGGATCAACCTGTACGGCGTCGTCTTGCTCCACGCCTGCCACTCCTCCCCAAACTCCTTGCTCAGTACCTCGTCCTCCTTCGGGATGCGGCTGCACAGCACGTAGGTGACGAACGCCAGGTATCCCACCACCGCCCCCGCGCCCAATTTCCCCGCGCGCGAGTCCAGCAGCCCGCTCGCGACGAGGTACGAGCCGGGGCCCAGCAGCGCGAGAGTGTTCCCGGTGACCAGAAGCAGCCACCCGGAGTAGCTCGGGTGGCGCACGACAGAGTACGGGCCCGTCGTGATAAGCTTGTGGCCGTCCTGTACCGACATCTGCCAGCTAAAGAAGCGCCCGAGGGCGCGGTGACAGGCGATCCGGATGAGACCGCCGGTGGTGGCCAATGTCGAGCCCACAATGAAGAGGGGCGTGGCGTAGAGTGAGGCCGGGCGCGCGTTAGAGCTGGGGAAGAGGAACGCAAGCAATCGGTCTGATATGGCGGAAGGGAAGTGCTCAGCCAAGAGGGCAGCCGCTTCTGCAATAGCCACGCCGCACAGCGATGCCTGTGATAGGGATTAGAACGTAGCTTGCCGGGTGTGCACGAACGACATACGCGGAGGACGACGGCGAGTTTGACCATCACATTAGGCGTCCACAGTTGGCCCAGAACATCGCCTTTGGAGAATCTCGCTCGCTCCTGGGGCTGCGCGATGGGCGTGGGGGGCTTCATCCCATGGTAAGTGCACGCCGCGGTTGAGAGAAGCAGCGGCACTTTTAGTAGGGGTGTGACCACAACTGGCAATAGGAGGAGTGACATGCTGCAACCTAGGGGATGTCGAGGGAGGGAATTGGCGAGAGCCCAATACAAAGAACGCGTTCTATAAGAGCCTCGCAGGACGGCCTACGCTCTCGGCGTCGGCAAACAGTTGGCCGTGAGACGTCCCAAGGATAGGCTTGCACAGTCCCTGGGAAATCATCAATGTCTGTACGCACCTCGCGAAGCGAGTCCGGTGTTGATAATTCAGATAACTTCAGCTTGGACGGCCGCCGTTGAAGCCCATGCAAGAAGCGAGACGTTTGACAGCATGGGAAGTCCGCAACCTATGTCAGAAGAGTGCTTGGAAGATGATCCATGGGCCCGGACTCCGGCTACCACTGGCGATACCGCTGATATTGCCTGCTTCCAGGCTGGAGGCTGGTCTGCTGAAAGTCGCAGAGGTGGTCACGCGTGCGAACGGTGTCTATGTTTCGGTGCTGCCAGGTGCTACCCTACGCCGATGATACGCAAAGGTAGCAAGCGGCGAGTAATGGAGGGCAATTGACCTACTTCGTGCTGTGAGCGGGTAGTACGTATATACCGCATGATCAAAACGATAGGGCGGCTCACCGGTGGTATGAATAGGTCTTGACGCTGCTATCGCGCGCACCATCGGAATACGAAGCTGAATTCGAACGTAAACTTGTGTTCCTGGCCTTCCTCGTCCTCTAAATTATCACAGGTATCCGATGGCGGATGGGGTCAGCGCGGCGAGGGTGATGGACCAAGACAAGCAAGGAGCTTCAAGGACGCGGCGGTTGCGTCGAAACCCAATTTCGTCAGTGGCTGCCGGCATCCCGGCCCGCCACTACCGCGCTCTAAGCGCCGTACACTTCCCAACGGTTGCGGCTGCAGCAGCTCTCAGATCCGCTCGCTCACCTCCATCCACAAGACGGTATCTTTCGCCACACCAACCACAATGGCACCCCGAGCAGCAACAAAACGCGCGGCCACGTCCGCCTCCGACACGCCCGTGGCCGAGGGCTCGCGCAAGAAGACGCGCTTCGTCGAGCCGTCCGAGGATCCCGCGAACTTCGCGGAGGAGGTCGACGCCGCGCTCGAGAACCCGTCCGCGCGGCGCAAGGGGCGCGTGAACGCCGAGGGGTACGACTCGGACTCGAGCGACGACGGCGAGGGCGTCGTGAACAGCCGCAAGCCGGGCGTCGTGAACAGCCGCAAGCCGGGCGCCGCGGGCGAGGACGGCGCGGACGAGGACGAGGACATGTTCGCGATCGGCGAGAAGGAGGAGAAGGCGGAGAAGGACGGCGGCGGCGCGGGCGCGAAGAAGAAGAAGGAGGAGTTCATGCGCTTGGGGGACATCGAGGGGCAGGAGTTCGGGGGCGGGGAGGACGGGGAGGAGGGCGACTCGGAGGAGGAGGATGCGGACCCGGAGGACGAGGACGAGGCGGAGCGAAGGAAGAAAGCGGGCATGGGCTTCGAGCTGTCGTCGTTCAACATGCGCGAGGAGATGGAGGAGGGCAAGTTCGCGGCGGACGGGACGTACGTGCGCACGTTCGACCCGCACGCGGTGCACGACCGCTGGATGGAGGGCATGGACGAGAAGGAGATCAAGAAGGCGCGCAAGCTGCACAAGGCGCAGGCGCGGCACCAGCGGGAGCTGCAGGAGGCCGAGGAGCGCGAACTGCGGGAGCTCGGCGGGAAGGATAGCATCGAGCAGCAGCTTGTCGGCATGCTTAAGAAGGGCGAGACGGTGCTCGAAGCTCTGCAACGGCTCGGTGCGAAGGCGAAAAAGAACGGCGGTGGTGCCGAGAAGAAGTGAGTTATACGTGCGGCGCGCGTGTATTCGTCGCAGAGCTGACAGTGTGTACTTGTCAGACCTAACAACAAGACCAAGAGCGATCCCGTTGGAGGCGCGATGGAGGTCGACACCACGCCAAAAGAAGTCTCCGAGATCGACCAAATCACCCACCTCGCATCCACGCTCCTGTCGCTCGGCGACACCGACATCTACTCGAAGACATACGAAGAGCTCGTTCGCGCCGTACGCGCTTCGGGCAAGGTTGACGCCAACTGGATCCCGCCCTCCGCAGACGTGAAGTATGAGTACAAGTGGGACGTGCCCGAAGCAGGCCAGGCGGGCGAGGTGTTTGGGCCGTTTGGCGAGGAAGAGATGCGGGCGTGGCATAGCGCGACATACTTTGGCGCGAGCGGGGAGAAGGTCAAAGTGCGCAAGGTCGGCGGTAACTGGGGCAGCTGGAAAGAGGTCGTTTCATGAAGTATGCCGACTATACCCTCTTGGCTTCTCATTGCTCCAAGAATCTGTGCTTCTGAATATTCGACGTGTAATACTATATGTATCTCTAGTCGACAGTGCTAATACTGCGTGGTGCTATCGGTATATACTAACCGTTCTATCTACAAATACAATCCATGCCATGTCCGTCATCAAGTCATGCAACCAACAAAACCCGAATACAACGAGGGGGGACGTGCCAGACGTGCCGCCTAATGACTGATGTACTGGAACGCGAAGGACACCTCGGGCAGCCCCGTCTCCCCACGCAGCAGGTCATCGTGATTATTTCTCAACTCCGCGTTCGTGAAGTGATTCCACCTATCGAAGCAGGCACTCCATCAGCCACCGCACACACCCAAAACAAAAACATAGACACGTACGTGCTCGCGTCGCCATACAGCAGCGCCTTCGATTTGACGAACTGCCGCCCCTCCTTGCAGCGCTTGCACTTGAACGTCTCGTGCGTCTCGCACAGCGTGTTCTCGTTGAAGAGGAACAGCTTGCGGAGCGCGTCGATCGAGAAGTGCCGCTCCGCGTCCTCCTTCTCGTCGACGACCGCGGACGAGAGCGCCTGCTTGTTCGCCTGCCGCTGGAAGATCTTCTCCTCGATTGTGCCGGTGGAGATGAAGCGGTACACGAAGCCTGCGACCGCATGAGTGAGGATGGGTTGAGACGGAGAGGGGAGGGTTGGTACGCACATTCCTTCTTCTGGCCGTCACGCCATACTCGGGCGAGAGCCTGTTGATCTGCCGCCGGGTTCCAGTCTACAGAGGAGAGTCAGCGACGACTCCACTACTCAGCAACGATGCAACATACCGGGGTCGAAGAGGATAAGTCGGTTTGCGCCGATGAGGTTGATACCGCATCCACCAGCCTTACTACTCAGCAGGAAGATGAACTCCTTGCCGTTGGGGTCGTTAAACGAGTCGACCAGCTTCTGCCGCTTGTTGATCGTCATCGTGCCGTCCAGGCGGAAGTGACCATACCTGGATGTGCATGGGTACGTATGAGGATAACGAGAGCAGAATGATTGCTTACTTCTTGCTGCGACACAGTTTCTCGAACAAGTCCAGTGTCTGGGTGTAATTGCTGATCAAGACGATCTTGTCGTTCGTTTCCGTATGTATGCGGTGGAGGAACCTATACACCGAGTTCAGCACCTCGCTACTTCGGTTTGAACGAGTGGACCTACCGCTCGAGCACCAGGAACTTGCCTCCCCACTCGCAGTTCACGCCCTGGTTCCGGCCCTTGTCTCGTCCTGTGGCACCGGCGCCGGCGTACCCTTCAGGGAGAAGCTTCTCGCAACCTCGAAGGTCACCAGGCAAGTCAAGCAGTTCTGGGTGGTTGCAAAGCTTCTTGAGGATGTTGATCGCCTTGAGCGGCTGCGATTCAGCCCCACGGAGCAGTGCTTGAATCTCAGGCGAAGATATGAAGAGCCGGTAGAGTGACAGTTGGAAGTCCGAAAGCTTGCAGAACACGACTTGCTCGTATTTGACGGGCACTGCGTAGGGGAATCGATGAGCATTGGGAAGTCGATAGGAGTGCCGCGGGAAAGACACATACGATACTTCGACAGCAGGTCGTTCGTGCGCCGAATGATGAATTTAGCGACCAAAGCTCCAAGTTCCTTGAGTTTCTTCTCGCATTCGCTCTTCGCAGCATCTGTTGCGTCCGCGTCGCGGCCACGAATGATAGCATTCTCGAAATTCTTTCGGAAATCGTTCTTTGATCCCAAAAAATTCGGGTTGGCGAAGTTGAGAAGCGAGAAGTACTCCGAAAGATCGTTCTGACGGCGATCGTTAGTAGCGTGAAACGTTTTGGATTTGACGTTCATACCTGGATGGGAGTCCCAGACAGAATGACTCGCCGCTTGACGTTGAGACCGTTCAAAGCCTGGAACGTCAACGATTCTGTGAATGATTGTGAATAAGTGGTCTGCGGCAATGCGTAAGTCCAATACGTACCAGAGTTCTTCAGTCTATGGCCCTCATCGCAGAGAAGCAGGCCGATCGAGCAGTTGGCTAGATGTACGGACAAAGTACGTAGGGTCTCGTAGGATACAATCATCACTGAGAACGCGTCAGATCTGTCTCCAAATATGAGCTAAATCGAGCTTACCTGGCTGCGAGACGTTGCGTCCACAAGACGCAACCCAGCGGGCGACTTTCTCCAGCATCTCGGCTTTGCCTCCCTTTCCGTCGATAGCTAATGCAGAAATTGCGTCCTTCCCTAGCCACTTCACTGAACCAAAATGAACACGGCTCTTACTGACCATTACAGAAGAGCCTCACCTAGTTCGTTCGCCCAGTTCTTCACCAAACTTGAGGGACAAGCAATGATACACTTCTCGATAGTAGGACGTCCAGCATGCGGCGATTGCTTGAGCAGAGTCCAGAGAAGAGCGATACACTGTAGGGTCTTGCCCAGACCCATCTCGTCGGCCATAATGCAGCCGTATTGATTCTCCACGACCATGCCGGTTGTGCACCGATACAAGAACTTGAATAATGCATGAGGACATGTCATACTACATATACTAGTGCGGCGCACCTTGACACCCTCGACTTGATGGGGCCGTAGCACCTTGGTCAAGCGTGGGTCGATGACGACCGGAACCTTGTGCGCATGCCGCTTCTTGTCCTTGCCACCCCCAAGGAGCTCCTTCAGGCTCTTGTGCGGGTTGTACATACCAGCACACTTCTCCTGGGCTTCCTTGAGCGCCTTCTCTTTGGCTTCCTCCTTCTCGCGCTCCTTGCGCTCCTCGTCGGTCTCTCTGTCGTCGATGGTGGGATCATAGAGAACGATAGCATGGTCCTCCATAGGATCGTGGAGCGGCCGAGGAATGATATTCGCAAGCGGCCGGATACCAAGAGCGATGTTGGTCTGTACAGTGGGTATCACGTCCCCGTCCTTGTTGCGCATCTCGGGTATAGAGAAGCGATGGGATATTTGGCCGAAAGGCTTGGGCTTGTATACGGGGTAGTGCTTGATGTTGTTGTCAAGAGGTCGTTCAAAGCCGTCATTTTTGCCGCCCGATTTCTTCTTCTTCTTGGGCGCACCCTCATTCTCGCTTCCCGAGTCGTCTGAGCCGCGCTGGGCGTCCTTGTAGGAAACGCGTTTGCGTTTGCGTTGAGGCTGTTCTCGAGTGCCAGCGGCGGGAGTGGGTGGCTTGAAAGGCTTGTTGATGCGAGAGCTCTCCTGGAACCGGTCCATGACCTTGCCATCTGGCGTCACTGGGGCACGTCGTAACATGGCGGGAGCTGAGGCAAGAGGTGGTGGTGGAAGAGATGAAAGAGACGATGAGGCTTCAGCCACAGCTTAGCCACGGCCTACACGCGACGCGCTGACATAAGGGACGCGACGCGCGTTGAGCACGTGAGCGCATCTTTGACAGGCGCCCGTTGCAGCGGGAGAAGGGCTGGGCCGGAGACGCCTCCGCCGCCTTGGCGTAATAAAAAGTCTCCGAGAGCCCGGCAGGAACACTCACGATCAGCCGCATGCACATCTCTGACTCAGATCCAGCAAGACCGCACCCTCCAGGGCCCAGGGCGACATAATGCATCCGTTCGTCGAGCCGGTCTTCCAGCTCACTTCTCCCTTCCCATGTCGTCCAATGCCTTCCAGTGGTCTCTAGTACGGTCGACACCCGCCGAGGGGCGGACGTTTTCGCGTTCTCTGGGCCCTGCGGAACATAGCTTCTACTACGACCGCATCCTGAACGGAACTGCGGATATCATCTGGCACTATACCCTCGAGCTCACGGACCCTTCCCAAGGCTCCCTCGTCTTTGGCGAGGACAATGTGTCGCGCGCCTGGGCGACGGTCAAGCGGCACTACCCTCTCCTAGCCTCGCGGATGGAGCCACAGCCTGACGGCACGGTCAAATTCTTCGTCGACGAGCGTGCACTGTCGCAGCATAAGCCGGACGAACTGACCGTTCGCACCGTACGCTCTGCGGATGAGGTCGCGGCGGTCATCCAAGACGGGATCCGCGACAAGCCGACGGAGGCCAGCCACATCATGACCCGGGCATGGGTCCTTACACGCGCGGACAAGCCGGGCACGTACGAGGTGCTCTTCCAAGCGGCGCATGCGATATCGGACGGCATTTCTGGAGCAAGCCTCAGTCGGACGTTCCTCGATGTGCTGTCTTCGCCGCCCATTCAGGCACCGGCTTTGGAAAAACGGCTTGCCATGGCGGTCCCATCTAATATCCTGAACCCTTCCCTCAAAATGAGCGTCGCACGGCAGAGGTGGCGGCGCGCCATTGGAAAGGTCACCTTCTTCAACATGCGCAAAAAACTAGCGGTAAGTCTCCGCGAAAGTTCTATATATATATCATCCTATATGCTGATTGTCGTAGGGAGGCCACTCTCTACCGCGAACGATTACCGAAGAGACCTACCGCACGCCAGCAACCACCGCACGCGTCTTTGTCCGCATCGACCCCGTCAGCACCCGCGCCATCCTCGGCTCTTGCAAGAAGCACAAAGTCACCTTCGGCGCCGCGATCCCCGTCATCGCGCAGATGGCGCTCACCCGCCTCCTCCACCGCCGCTACCTCCGCGACGACATCCCCGAGGCGGAGTGGGAGCACCGCCGCCGCCAGCCGATGAACCTCGGCGGCCCCGTCAACCTGCGCCCGTACCTCGACGAGGCGTGGCAGCGCGCGGGCGGGGTCGGCGAGATGCTGCTCATGATCGACTACTACGACGTCGCGCTGCCGTTCATGCCCACGCCGTTCGGCTCGCGCAGGGACGCGGGCGTGCCCCGCGAGGAGGACGGGGCGCCGCCGTACGCGGCGCTGCTCTCGCGCGCGCGGTTCTTCCACCGCACGCAGCTGTCGAAGCAGCGGCTCGCGCGCGCCGTGAAGCACCCGCTCCTGCTCGAGATCGCGCACGCGAAGCAGCCGCTGTACCTCGCGCGCAAGAAGAAGGTCGTCATGCATCACCAGGCCGCTGCGCGGGGCGAGCCGCTCCCCGACTTCCCCGAGCTCGCGGCGCTGGACCGGGCCTCGCCCGAGTACGCGTTGACGAGCGCGCTGTCGAGCGTAGGAGACGTAAGGGCATCCCGCTTTGGCTGATGGGGCATGTACAGCGTGACTGACGCACGCACCCCGCAGCTTACCCCCATACTGCCCAGCACGTATCCGCTCCCGCCTGCCCACCCGCTGTGCATTCGCACGGCGCACGCTCCGCCGAGCCCGGCATACGGCACGGTGGGCGAAACCGCGGTCCCCGCCACGGCTGCGCCTCGTGCGCCAACGACCCCCGCGCCGGCAGTGGTACTACGGATGGTCGACCACCGGACGTACTTGCACGCGCGGCCGACGGAGCTGCTCATCAGCAGCACGACTGCGCGTGGGGCTATCGACCTGGTGTTGACATACGACGCGAACGTGTACCGCACCGAGGACGCGGAGGAGTATCTGGCTGAGTGCCGCCTGGCTGCGTTGTATTACTTTGGGTCAGACGAGTCGTCTACTATCAAGGGAAAGTTGTGATTCTGGGAATCGCGATTCCGCACACTATTCATCTCTTTTGGTTTACATGTACCGGGTTATTATGTATGTGCGTGTCGTCGGAAACACAGACTATTTTGAGCATCAGTGCCAGTTGGCAGTAGGAGATAACTGCGGGCAGTGTCTGCGCAACCTTTGCAGTCGGCTCGTAATGACAAACAAGAGGCGTCGTTCTCGATATTAGCACGCTGTAGTATGACAAGGTACATGAGGAGTGACAAAAGCAGCAGAATAGCAGATAGCATAGAACATCGTCGCAGACCGGGCTTCACCGTCCTTCACCACCGCGCACCGTCCGCCCGATCGGCGGCGTCCGCGTACGCACAATGGTCCTCGATGCTGACGTGGACGACGAGCACCGTTCCAGCGAGACCAAGAAGAGGCGCGGGCACAGCGAGTTTCTGCCCGAGCACGGAGTTTTCGGAGGCGCACATCACCAGCGGCTCGAAGTGGTTCATCTGGATGAACTATGCGATAGCAGCCTTGTCAGTGGCGGACCGACGGGGCAACTGCACAGCTGGGACTCACCAACTCCCCAGCCAGCATTCGAGAGACGAAGCGTTCGAAGTGCTTCTTCTGCTCGTCGGTTGCGCCGTCGCTGAGGGCGACTCTGGCGTATGATTTGCACGGCTTGAGGGTGTTGACCAGGGCGATGGAGTTCTCGTCCTTGTAGAACTTCCCGGTCGGGTTTCGTGCGTTGGTATCGATCTTCTCCAAGAATGTGACATCGGCATGAGTGTCCTTGAGCGTGATGGGTAGGGAGACGGCGGAGTCGAGGTTCAGGTTGAGCGTGTATCTCTTGGGTGAAGATCTGTGTAACACGTTGAACTATGTATACCCTTGTGGCAGGTCGCATATCACGTACGAGCCATTCTGTTCCTCTTGGACAGCCTTCCGGGTGGGACTCAGCCCAAGGGCGCTGTTCCAAAACTTAGCTATCTTCGCCGATAGATGTCGCACAAGCAGACGTACAGAGGGCCGAAGATGGTAGACTGGCTCCAAGCGGAAGTGACACGGCTCGCAAACGTAAGAGGCCGGGCTTCCAGCACGATAGGTGCTTTCTCCGGAAGTTTCGGTGCTTCTTCTGGAGCGGCAACTCCAGAGGTCCCTTCGCCTGCTGCCTGGCCGTTGGGCGACAGAGGACTATTCGTCCGGAACAAAGGTAAGGGCATGTAGGCCGTGGCAAGTGTGGCAACGTACCCTTGCGGTTGCGACGGATTTTCGATGAATTCGACGTCATCCTCACCCTCGGCATCTTCCTCGAAGTCTGGCAAGTCGTTGGCAGCCGTGGCATCCAGTCCAGCCTGTTTCAGTAGTTCCTTGCCGGAAGGAGGCGGCTTCGGCGCATCGTCCAGTTGGCCCAATCCCGGGACCTCTTCTGCGTCGGTTGAATCAAAGAGCGGGCCGTCGTCTCCGTTCTGTTCGACGGCAGACACTCGTTGCGACGCGCTGGACTTGGCGGCACCTGCAGCCGATTTCACGGACGTCAACTTGCCCTTTTGCGCTACTAGACGAGTTCCGCCTACTACGAGACCGCTAGAGGATCTGCCGGGACCCGCCTTTCCCTTCGGAACGCGCCCTGGGCGGGCAGGGCTACTTGCGGTGCTCTCGACGGTGCTCGCTCCCGCGGTGCGCCTCATGAACCTAGCTTTGACAGAAAGGGCACCGCCAGACTCCGTGAGATTGTGGTCATCCATGACCTTCACCCGAGGGTTTGCGGCGCGCGAACGGTGTGCTGGGAGAGCCGTCGAAGGGCCGGGCTCTGGGGCGAGCAGACTTGGCGTGCCGAAAGTTAACGCCTCGCTTTCATCGTCGTCTACAATCATAGCGGAGGCCTCCGCTGCGTCCTCGGAGGCTGATCCCTCGTGCGGAGCGTCGACATCGATAGCAGCTTCGACACGCGAACCGGCCGCAGTATTTCTCTTCGCCGGCGAGGCTCGAGATTTGCCGTTGGTCGTTGGTAGGAATGACAGCTCGTCAGGTGAGGAGGAAGACGCGCGCGGGGCAGGTGGGGCCTTTCGCCCCCGCGTGCGCGGGATAGAGGGCTTCTGTGGGGAAGACGTCGAAGCCTCCGCTACTGGTGCACGTCCGCGGTTTGTCCTGGGTATCTCGGGGACGGAGCGTTTGCGAGTGAGGGTCTTAGATGCCTCTTCAACCTCCACCTCTGAAGCACGTTTGCCCGGAGGGCGGCCTCGCTTCGGACGCTTTGAGGGTGAGGGCTCCGCGTCTGCAGCGCCTGAGGAACGGCGGCGTTTGTTGCGCGTAGTGGTGGTGATGACTGGTTCATCATCGTCGATGATAGAGCGTACTTCGTTCTCAGAGTCCGCGTTCGCTGCTGGAGAGGGGGAAGAGGGAATTTCAATGACATCTTCGGGGTCTTCCGTCTTCTTCGCCTTCTTCCGGCCTGCGGAGGGGTTAAAGGGTGCGCGCTGCAGAATATCTGAACGTAAACATACGAGGTGGCCCAGACGGAAAGAACTCCTCATCGACAGCGAACTCGCGAATGCTCTGGTAGTCGCGTCCATCCGTGTTCACGCGGTTCCAGAAGAACTCTATGAAGTGCTCGGACCCGCCTACGAAAGAGTCCACCGGTTCCCACCTGTAGGTTCGAGACATGAGCATGTGCGTCCACCTGTACCTACCAAGGGACACTAGGTGTCATGGCAGCTGTATATCAGGAGCAGAAACCTACGTGTTGTCTTCGGTGCCGTAGCCCTTCCACTGCGGGGAGTTAACGAGCGTTCGTTACAGGAGCAAGCAGTGATACACACCTTGACACAATAGAGCTACACATTGCGAACTCTTCAGCATCCACAACATACATTCAGCAGCGCTGTGTGTGTTGTCACTTACCCATGACTTCCTCCCCTTCTTCTTCGCGACTTTGGCCCTTACAATGGTCTCTAAATGTGGCGGATCCAGGTGACTTCATGCAGGGCTGAGAGGACACGGCATACTGACCAACTTCGTATTCTCCTGGGCCTCCCGCCATGGCCTTGATATGGTAGAGAAATAAGAGATAGGACGCGAGAGCAGAACGCGGGGGCGCGGTTGAGGCGGAGAACGCGTCCAAGGACAGAACAGCACTTTAGCGCCCTAAGTCAGCGTGCTTGAGGCGCCAGCGCCTCGAGGCCGGCGCTAACGGCCCTCATACCACAACGTCTACTGGCAAGTACTGTCCGCAGGTGCCTCCACGAACAGGACCCTGCTACTAGCTACAACCATGCGAATCGAACGGTGAAATATAGCGCACATATATTGAAAGGAACATATACTAAATGATCGCCAAGATCATAATTTCCCTTTGACAACAGAAGGCACGTCCGTTCCGAAGTAATACAGCGCCGCCAACAGGCACTCGTTCAGATACTCCTCCGTATCCTCGGTGCGATACACGTTTGCGTCGTACGTCAGCGTCATATAGATTTGCCCACAGACCGCAGTGCTGCCGACGAGCAGCTCCGCTGGCCGCGCGTGTAAGAGTATGTCGTAATTGACCATACGGAAGGCCGTCGTCGATGGCGGCGGGCTGGACTGGGTCGAGGTCGTTGCCCCGCGCGTGGCTCCGTAAGCAACGCTGGGAGAGTCGTGTGCCGTGCGAATGCAGAGCGGATGGGTCGGCGGCAGTGGGTAAGTGCTGGGCAGGATAGGCGACAGCTGCGGGGTGGGTGGGTCAGTGCTACTGCATAGACAACTCAGTCTAGCTCGGATATGCTCACGTCTCCTACGCTAGACACGACCGCGGCCATACCGTACTCGGAGGAGGTGACGTCTAACTCGGGGAAGGCAGGCAAGGGCTCGCCCTTCGCAGCGGCCTGCCAGTGCGTTGCAACCTTTCTTTGGCGCGCGACCCAAGGCGGCTGCCTCGCGTGCGCCATCTCGAGTAGAAGCGGATGCTTTACCGCGCGTGCCAGCTGCTGCTTCGATCGCTCCGCCCGGTGGAAGAATCGCGCCCGGGAGAGCAATACGGAGTATGGCGGCGCCCCGTCCTCGCGTGGCACCCATGCATCCCTGCGCGACCCGTACGGGGTTGGCATGAATGGGAGCGCGCAGTTGTACATCTCGATCATGAGCAGCACTTCCGCGACGCCGCCCGCGCGCTGCCAGGCCTCGTCCAGGTACGGCCGTAAGTTGAATAGGCTGGCGAAGTTCATGGGCTGCCGACGGCGGTGCTCCCACTCTGCCGCGGAGATATCGCCACGGAGGTAGCGGCGATGAAGGAGCCGGGTGAGTGCCATCTGCGCGATGACGGGCATGGCAGCACCAATTGTGACTTTGTGCTTCCGGCAGGAGTCGAGCACCTTGCGGGTGTTGGTAAGGTCGATGCAGACGACCGCGCGTGCGGGCTTCGCAGGGGTGCGGTATGTCTCTTCGGTAATCGTCTGCGGTAGAGTGTGACTCCCCTGAGGTAATTATTATATAGGGCATGCACGAAGACATAGGAAGATGGCTTACTGTTAGTCTTTGGCTCATGTGAAAGAGGCAAACTTTCGCGATTGCGCGCCGCCACCTCTGCCGCGCGAGGCTCAGTTTGAGGGAGGGGTTCAGAACGTCAGACGGGAGGGCCGTAGCAAGCCTCTTCTCCAGTGCCGGTGTCTGTATGGGCGGCGAAGACAGCACATCGAAAAATGTCCGTGCGAGGGTTGCACCAGAAATGCCGTCCGAGATCACATGTGCCATCCTGAAGAGCACCTCGTACGTGCCCGGCCTGTCTGCGCGCGCCAAGACGAACGTACGCGCCATGGTTTGGTTATTCTCCACCGTTTTATCACGGATCTCCTCCTCAATGATAGCTGCGACTTCGTCCGCAGAGTGTACGATGCAAATGGTCAGCTCGTCCTGCGTATGTCGCGAGAGGGCACGCTCCTCGACGAAGAATTTGACCGTGCCGTCGGGTTGCGGCTCCATGCGCGAACCCAGAAGAGGATAGTGCTGCTTGACTGTCGCCCATGCTCGCGAGATATTTTGTTGACCGAACAAGACAGACCCTTGGGTAGGATCCACTAGCTCGAGAGTGTAGCGCCAGACGAGATCTGCTGTCCCGTTCATGATGCGGTCGTAGTAGAAGCAGTGCTCCGCAGGGCCCAACGTTCGCGAGAACGTCCGCCCCTCGCCTGGGGCCGGGTGCACTAAAGACCATTGGAGGGCGTTCAACGACATGAGGCGAGAGAAACGAATGTGTTCGAGCTGGACACTGTTGTCAGACTCCGTGATGTTGAGAGACGAACTGCCCACACTCAACGTACCTAGGTGATATCTGCAAGTGCTGTATGAGCATAAAATGATGTGGATAATGAGATGGACGACTCAGACATACCTCGATGGCCGTTGCGGGTGTAGAGACCAATAGAGGGAGGGAGGAATGTGAAGCGCAGGGGGTTAAGTACCAGTATAAGCGTCCGATTATGGTTCTGTCCGCGACATCAGAGAGGCGCGAAATCTTGTCCGAGCGTTCACATGACGTTCGAACACCGATGTCCCCGAAGCATCGTGAACCACTTATAAGAACTTGTTCGTATACGCACCCGGATTCTGCCACTCGAATCCACCGGCGTTCAACGTAACCTAACTGCGTTTATCTTGTACTGTGTCTGCGTGCGTGAACTCGAGCCCGCTCGAACCATGCGGAGGTCGTATCAAGCAAGATTTTCGCATCTACAACGTCCGCACATATGATATTAATGGAGACAATATAAGAGTACAAGCCAAACAGATCATCACACCTAAGGTACACAGCAAGTTGCTATGAAGGCCCAGGGGAGTATGCGGGGAGAACCTCCGACCCTCCGCCATGGTCGGAGAATGCCTCCATGTCAGGGTATGGGAAACCTCCTCCCTCGGTACTCGGTGGCCGCATGTAGGACAATGTGAGCCGTTGTCTTCGCGTAGAGGTCATGGGAGCCTGAGGGCCCTCGGATTGCGAAGGTGCTGTAGCATTGCCTTCGCTAGGTGGAGACGTTGCACCTCCGGAGGAAGTCACTAGGCTCATGGCATCCTCCCCTGACGGTCCCGAAGGGCTACTGCCTGTGCGAGGCATGTAGGGCGCCGGCGAAGGATTCGGTGTGTGCCCATGCAACGAGAGCGAGGAAGCCGTCATGTATGGTACAACGGCGGGAGCAGCATCTGCGACCATCATTCGTCAGCCGTGAGCCGGACTTTACATCCAGCCGGCACTCACCTTGGTGCGCTTTTGTGCCATATCTGAACTCTCCCGACGGCCGTCGATTCCGCCGCCAGTAGAGCGCGCCAATGATCATGAAGAGCACCGCGAGCCCGCCCACGACACCACCAACAATCGCGCCCGTGGGTGCGGTTTGTTTTGTTTCTGCGGCGGCTGAGGTTGTGGCGGAGGGAGACGCCGAAGCCGTGGTCGAGTCCGCCGGCGGAGACGAAGACAGAGAAGATGAGGTCGCAGACGCTGACGAAGTCGGCGCAACAGATGACGATAGCGGTAGGACATCTATGTTGAACTGCAGATAGTCGAGGTAATACGGGGCGCCGGGGCTTGCGTTCGTGATGTTGATCGTGAGCGTGTGGTTCGTCAAGGGCATGTTGCTGGACCGGAAGAACTGCACCACGTCCTGCCGACCAGTCGTTTGAGGCGCAGTGAACGTAGTAGGACTCCCTCCGTCTACGCTGTACATCGACACCGGCGGAGAGCTGCTGCCTGGGTCGACCACGCTGCCGAATACGAATATGTTGGAACCTGTACAGCCGTATTTATGCTCAGTCACGGCATTTCTCTCGGCGGCAAACTGACTAATTTCAATTATGAGGTAGACGCACCATTGAATGTGAACACGACGCTTGCTCCAGTCGTGTTGCACCCCGCCAATGTCGATTCGTACACCGCCCCGAGAAGCGCACTCGACTGGTTGAAAAACCACGCGGATCCCGCTGATGGCGCCGGGGGCGGCGCGAAGAAGTGGACTAGTTGCGTGTCCGAGCCGTCGACGAAGCCGTACTGGGACATGGCCGTAGATGGTCGTCGCGACGGGCTCTATGGGGTGTAGACGGGGACGGGCTTTCGCCCTGTAGACTGTGAGCTGTACGCGATGGATGGTCGGACGAGAAGTGTGCTCAGCGCCCCCGCTGCCGCCGCCTCGCGCGCCCCATCATGTCAAATTGTCAATGAGCCCATCTTAGACTCCGAAACACTAGCCGATACCACATGCTGTGCAAAACGCGCACTAGCCGGAACGCAGATCCTAAGTACCTTTCGAGGAAGCACCGCACAGCGACGCTGCGTATGCCGAGGGCGGGCGGAGGTTCGTAGTAGAGATCGAGTTGAAGGATCCGCGCGTCCGCGCCCATCGTAGGACCACACATGCGGTGCTCGTCTCGATGTGGCAGGCATCGTCGTTCGACCGCCGTACTTGAAATCAGCCCTGAGGACACAAAATCACACTTCCCGGATTTAAAAACAAGCGTTGATATATGCACACATCCAAGAACTTTATACAGCAAGAGTCCTACACGATACACAAACGCGGATTAAGCAAGAGAGCAGCGCGGCAGTACGATAGCGATTACTACTACGACGAAGAACCACTATGATGAGGAGATGAGATGGTGGATAAACGTACGAGAGATGCATAGCAAGATGATGATGGGACGCATGGTGGAGTATGTGCAAGCACAATGCCAGAGCGGGGGTGATGCGGGATGTTTCTACGAGTACACAAATGCAAAACGGTTTAAGTGTCTGGCCGGGGCGGGGGAGGGGGCAGCAGTCGCCCAGAGGTGAGACAGTCCTTGACCCAGTTGACGTCGACGCAGTGTTGCACGACGTTGTGGAACGGCGCGCGGTCGGCATCTTCGCGGACGACAACGTAGTCATACTTTTCCAGCGGGCGGGACGCGTGCTTCTGGTCGCTCACGGCCTCCACCAGCTCCGCGCCCATGCACAATATGATCTGTGGGACGGCTTCCGCCGACGGGTTGCTCTCCTGCATGAAGTGAGGACGGGTCGCATGCGTGCGTAAAATGTTAGCACGTACCTTCTTATTCTTCCCTCGACAGGTCACGAATAACTTGTTGACGCAGAGAATGGCCATATCCGAGAACACCTTCGCCGCGACCAGGTTCTCATTGATGCCCCTCAGGTGCTCGATGCTGTTTCCCCAGTCCAGGTCGACGAGCTGCGAGACGCGGGTGTTCAAGTGCTCCGAGAACCCGGCCGGAAGGAGATACGGCTGCCAGTCCACCTCCACGCCCTGTAACACGCCAACTCTCAGAACATGTCACATTCTACGCAGCACAGCCTACTCACCTGACTTATGCAGCTCGTCACCCACTCGACCGAGAGGCACGGGATGCCCAGCGCGAGCGCGATCAGGAACTTCGGCTTCTGGTGATTGTCGTCCGAGATCAAGAACGCGCGCTCGACGTCGGTGCGCCCCGTCCACTTGATGTCCTCCGCCTTGAGTATCCACCGCTGGCCCCGCTTGTCCACCGCCCCATCCATCGCGAAGAGCGTGGACCAGTCGTCCAGCACGACCCCGCCGTGCTTGCGAATCCCCGTGACCAGCGCCTCCCGCGCTGCCCCGGCGTTGCTTGGGGACGACGTGATAACGAGCCCCGTCTTATGCAACGGCTTACGCCCCGCCCGGGTAGAGTTCTCGCTTGGGGCCGGGGTGCCCTTCGGGGTCGGGGTTGGGACCTTGGGCTTCAGGATCGTCGAGATCGCGTCCTCCGTGAGAATGCGGTCGCCCCACTCTGCGCCCACCGTGCGGGACGCGAGTATGATCGACCGCACCTCCACCGTCTCCTCGCCGTCGAGGTCGAGGTCGAGGGTGATCGCATCGTCGGGCCGGTGCCCTGCGATGTCGGAAGGGGATGAATTCACGACCTTGGCGCGCGACTTGTCTTCGAGGAGGACGTGATCGCCGGCCTTGAAAAGACATGCGCGCATGAACTTGAGCTCCGCGTCTTGCTCGGTGTCGTCGTCGAAGTAGATGTGGTAGCGCCCTGGGCCGACCAACGAGTATACCGTCCCGGGGTAGTAGTGCCCGTCGGTCTTCCACAAGGCGAATACTCGCGTTGCGTCGATGCCCGATACAATGCGCGCACTAGACCCCGACTTCAGACGCTTCGGAGGGCGCGTAGCTGGCGTATTGACCTCCTCCTTGGGCGTCTTCGCCCCATTGCTCTTGTTTGAGTTCTTGCGTGCGGAGGACGACACGGTACGTTTGCGTTTGCCCCCACGAGCAGGCTTGGAGCTCGGCCCGGGGACATCGACGTCCATCTGGTCGTCGGCCGGCTCCGTGTCCTTGTCATCATCGTCCGCGTCCGGCATCGCCTCGTCCTCATCCTCGTCGGAAGAGCTCTCGTGAAGACGTTTCTTCGCGGCAAGCTTCGCCTGGCGCGGAGCCGAGCGGGTTTTCGGGAGCGGAGGGGCGATCTGCGTGACGGGGGTCTTCGGCTTCGCGCTCCTCGGCTGCACCTCCGCCTCTTCGCGACGTTCCTGAGGATCCGAGGACGGGATGACGGTATCCCTCCACGACGAGCTGTTCTGTGCGAGACCGCGGTCCAGGAATCCAGGCTTCTTGGGGGGCTTAGGGGACGGTGCAGCGTAGGACTCGGGCTCGGGCGACTCAACCGCCCTTCGCTTGCCTTTCGCCTTGGCGGATTGGACAGTCGCCGCCAGAGGGACATCGTCCTCATCGTCCTCTTCTTCCTCTTCCGGCACTGCACTGATAGACGGGGCAGTCACCTCCCTAGTGACCGCCTGCAACACCTCGTCCTCAGACTGAAGTCCGCGACGAGAGCGTGGCTTGGCGGGGGTGGATTGTGCAGTCGGAGGATCCGTAAGAGGCGACGAGGAGAACGGGGCAGGTGGGTCGGAGTCCGGGACGATACGCGTCTCCTCGGAGTCGGGCACGATCTCCGTCCGCGGCGACTGGAGTCGCGCTCTCAAGTTCTGAAGCATGCGGGTTGCTGTGGGTAGTGTGCGTTTGGGTGGCATGGACTGTATGCTCTCTTGTATGACGGGCGCATGCGAGGGCTGGGTCTCCGACACCGATATCATGGGCGCGGAGTCGTCGACGATCTGGGTCTCGTCCAGATCATCGACTAGTCCGGCCGTGGTGTTCGCGGCCGCGTCCCCAGTGGCCAACTGCGTGGAGGCCCCAGTGCTAGGCTTGATGTCGAGGTAGCGATATCGCTTGTGGGGCGCGACCAGGCCGAGTAGCCCGCGAGGGGCAGTGGTGGAGGCGGTGGTGTCCGCCGAGCGTACTGAGCGTCCGCCGGGAGGTATGGTTGGGAAGACGACCTGCCCGTTGTCGTTATAGAAGTCGTGATGCTGGAGGATGGAGGACGCATCGGCCTCATAGGAGGGTCTGGAATACTCCACTACCTGTGTCTGGTCCACAGTCATGTGCGCAGGTTGTGTGGACTCGGGAAGAGGGGAGAAAGGGTCTTGGTTGACAAGTCGCTCGTATGAGGAGGAAGGCTCGGGAGAGGCGTCGGATCGAGCATGTTGAGATGGTTCTTCAATATCAGTATCCATGAGGGCCATCTCCGCCTCCAACGACTGCGCTTGACCAGGTGGGAAGAGGTCAGAAAGCTGAGTATCGCCGCCGCTCTCCTGAGAGTCGACATTCTGAACCTGGGAGTGGTGAACTTGATGCTGAGACTGTGACTGGCATTGGGAGTCGTTCGAACGCGAGGAGTTGGACGGAGTACCCTCAACCAGAACTTTGCCAGGAGGAGACGAGGAGCGGGTAGCTCGGTTACGCGGGCGGGACGCCCACATGTTGGTAGAGACAGGAGGAGGACCGTCTTCGCCTTCCGAGAGAGACTGCGAGTCGTCGCCAAGACGGGACAAGGGTATTTGGAAGGCCTTTGAGCTCTCTATGTAGGCCTGAATTGGATCTCGTTCGGGCAGTGGACCGGCAAAAGAATCTTGTGACGCAGGCGAAAGAGACCTGTACCGTCTGCTAGGCGGGGGCATCGGGTTGGCGGGGGTGGTTGCTGCCCGAACAGCAGGCTGTGGTCTGCCGGCGGGACGGGCTGGAGACGCGAAGGAAACTGCTTTACCGCCTTTTGACGGTGGTTTGTTTGGATGGCTAGACAGGCCAACTATCTTTGCGCACGCGTTGTCCTTGGCGTTTGTGGCCGTCGCAACAACGTCTAGAGGCGGAGAAGGATAAGAACCAGCCTGACTTCGATGCGGCGACCCGTCCCCTGAAGAGCGTCGAGGGGACTGGATGATCTTCTCTGCCGGAGTAGGTGCGTTCTCCTTCTGCGAACCTTCACCGAAGATAGCAGGATCTTGACTGCCATACAAAGACTGGGACTGAGTAGGCATGAGGCCATTCATGTGATAGTGGATGGAATTGGCGTTGCTAGAGTGTAGTGACCCATCGGACCCATGAGACTCATCTTGCACGGGAGGATTAGGTTGTGGATCCCGGGGTCTGAGCGCGGCCGCGAGGAGTTGGCTTGCTTGAGACTCGTCGTTTCTTGACGTGGGTTAGCCAGATGACTAACACTATGGCGGCAGTACGAACCTGGATTCGTTACCAGCAGATCCCATAGCTGCATAAACGTGTCTTTGCAAGACACTCCTCCAGTTCCTTGTGATGGGGACGTGAAAGACGCGTAAACGAGCTTGCTGCGCTCGACTAGCCCAAGATCGACGTCGATGGCGGTCTACTTGGAATTTGAATATCAAGGTGGGGGGATCGCCACCGGATTTTCAAGAAGAGAGTTCGAAACAGGGAGGTAGGCAAGATGGGACGAGCAGAGAGGGCCGTGTCGAGGACAAGCAGCGGTGGGACGACGGTGGGGAGAGCAAGAGGGGAGGACGGTCAGGGTCGAGGATCTCGTCCATGTCGCATATCCGAGAAAGGCTAGACTGTGGCTAATCGGATGATGCCGAAACACGGTCACGTGAGTGTGACACCCCGACGCGTCGTCCTTTGGCGGGCATTCGAACTCAGCACGGTGTTCTTGCCTCCTGTCCACGACGTCCGTCCTCGCGTCTGCTGTTGTTTCTGTCTGCAGTGCAGGTCGCTCGCTCCAACTCAACGCAGCCTACTCGTCCTCCCTGCCGACACTCTTTACCCCCACGCTCTTTCTCCACATGGATCTCACTGACGCCGCCTTCATTCTCTCGCGAAAACACACTAAGTCGATCAACCCATCCCAGCACACTCACGCGAAAACAGAGAAGGAGTCGCACAAGTCACTTCCCGACAATGATCTCGCAGAGAGGCCTCAGAAGGCTGACGACGATGGCGGCAAGTCATCCAAGAGCTCCGCCAAAGACAAGTCTAAGTCTACCGGCAAGGGCAAGTCTGACAAGACGACTGAGATCAACGCTGAAGCCGTCCCTGTGCCTGCTCCTAACACTGGCACGCCTGTGGCCGTGATTCATCCAGGTATCCTGCCAGTCATCCCGACGACACTTACCGTGCCGCCGGCCTCTTTCACTCCTGGGTTCTCCCCTTTGCCTTCTTTGGCTGCTCTGGCGACCTCCGCTGCACTCTCTGAGACTCTCGTTCCTTCAGGAACTCCCACTGGTACTCCTCGCACTCTGAGCGCTTCCCATGGGGACCACGCTAGTCAAAAAGGTGCTAAACACTTACCGGTGGTCTTGATCGTGCTCGTCTTGGTGGGGGTTGGCTTTCTCGTACTTGGCGCCTTCATCATTCGTCGAGCCCGCATGCGGCCGCGCCAGCGCACCTGCCCCACGCCGTCTTTGCCCATCTTCCAGGACCCTTTCGCCGATCAAGACATAAAGGTGGATGAGGAGTCCCTCTTTGGCGGCAAGGAGCGCGCTTCCGCTGTTGCGCGGCCTAACAGCAATGGCCTCTGGACCTGGACTCAGTACACTCCCAAGCCGTCTTCGCAAGCACTCGGAACTGGAGCTCTCACTGCCTACCTGTCCTTCCCCGAACCGCCGAAGTCCGTACCCGTAGCACCGAATCAGACCAAGACCGCGCCCCCACCAGCACCAGCACCCGTTCATGTCCCTCTACCAACGACCCCTGCGCCCACAAACCCTCCCATGCAGCAGATGCAGAACGCGCTATCTCGTGCCGCGAACAGAGTATCGGCTCTCTCCATGTCGATTTACCCGACCTCGCCTCAGTCTACTAGCGGTATTGGGCTCGCTATCAGTGGACCGTCTCCTCTTACTGCGGACGGCACTCCTGTTCTCCAGCGCAAGGTGTCATCCCACCGTCTCTCGAAGGGCCGGCGGAGCATGCGCCACAGCGTCGCCGCTACCGAGTACAACGACATGCACACAGACATATACGGAGGCGCGCAGATCGCGTCGCCGTTCATCGTCAGCCCGCAGCCGCCACCGCTGCCCCCGCTCTCTACAATGCCCAAGCCTGCCTTCCCTTCGACGACGACGATCAACAACAGTGGCCAGGGCGTGGGACGCGCACGCGTGAAGGGGCCGTACAACCCCGGCTCTGGTATGCGCTCGTCCTCGACCGTCGCAGGCATTGCCACCCTCGCACGCGCGAACCGCTCCTCGGTCATGGTCCCCTCCTCTGAGACGCAGTACATCCTACCTCCGCTCTCGCCCCCGCCGAAGTCGCCGGCCCACCGCGAGCGTGAGACACGCGCACTCGCCTCCGCCATGGGCCTCGCGAGCCCCGAGCCGTGCGCAGACCCTGCATACATGCTCTCCCCGCAGCCCACGCTCTACCCTGACGACTCGATCACACTCGCAGGTGACCGTCGTCGCTCGCGGCAGAAGAGCACCGCGCACGGGGCACACGGACGCGCACAGAGTGAGGCACAGGCGATGAGCCCGGGCACGGAGGCGAGCGCGCGCCTCGGGAACTTGATGCTCGCGGAGTTCACGAGCATGGCGTCGCTGCCGTCGACGCGCACAGTCGCTGGTGTGCCCGCGAGCGGGTCGAAGGGGCGTGTAGTGCCGCGGAAGAACGTGCGCGCGGACGATAAGCCTCCCCGCGTACCGTCGCCCCCGCCGATGCCCAGCCTGGCGCAAATGGCGATGGCGCATGCGAACCCGGAGGAGTATGCGGACTATCGGAGCCCGACGTACAGCATCTATGGGCTGTACGAGGCGGAGCGGAAGAGCAGGATGCCGAGCGAGGCCGGGTTCTGATGCACGAGCGAGAGAAGGGGATTGACATTGGACTAGGAGAGATGACGATCGTCGGTCCTCGAAGGATAGGACGTAGTGGCCAGACCACGGACAAGGTATCGTGCTTCGAGAGCCGATCTCAGCCTCAGGCAGCGGTAAAGCTTGAAGCTTGAAGCCTGAGGCACACACCTACACACACATTCACGGACTACTCGACTGTAGCATAGAAGCTAGTATGTATCCATGATGTATATTAACGGCGTGATAACATGATATATGCCAGATGGAAACGTGTCGTGCGTGAAAGACGTGAGAGCATAACATCACCTATGCGGCAACCTTCTTCTGCTCCTGCGCTTCCGTGGTTTGAGGAGTCCCCTGAGGGACAGGTGAATGGGCCGGGGCGCTGAGTTCGTCAGCAGCAAGCCGCCTGCGCCTCTCTTCCGCCGCCGCTTCGCCCTTCTCCGTCTCCACGTCGAGCACGAGCGCCCGCAGCTCCGCCTCGAGCGCGTCGTCGTCCACGTCCGCGTCCGCCTGCGCCATCTCCGCACCCAACTGGATCGCACTGTCGACCTCGCGCGCATCGGCGTTCGCGGACGCCAGCGCGTCCATCGTCTCGTCGATCTTGTCGCGCTGCAGCAGCTCGTGCGAGAGGATCTCGCGCAGGGTCGCCGTGGAGGACTCGTATGAGCGCATGATCTGAGAGCAGAGCGGTCAGGGGAAACGCGGAATGGGGAGCAGGCAGGCGGTGCTTACATCGATATCGCCGGCGGATGTCTCCACGCGCAGGAGCGTGGCCTCGAGGAGGTCGAGCGAGCCGAGACGCTTCTTGTGCACATCTTCCAGCTGCTTGCGGGCGCGTAGCTGCGTCAGGGCGGTCTCTTTGCGCTTCTGGCGGAGCGCATCGGAAGCCAGACGAGTGCGCCTGCAAGACGCTCTCAGAAAGTGTTCCACTGGGCTGGTAAGGTAAAACACTCACTCGTCTATTCGGCGTTGCAGACCGTCGACCTGCGCCTGAAGCTTCTGGACGGCGGTCTTCAAGGCGAGAAGCCCGCTATCGACGGCGGTAACCTCAAAGGACTCAGCAGTCCCCTGCTCTACGAACTTGATCACCTACGCTCGGAGTCAGCACCAGTAAATCCCGGAGTGCATGTGCGGACTCGCCTCCCCCTTGACCACTATCGCGCGCTTGTCCCGCTCCAAGAACTTTAGAAGCACCTTCACGTCTAGATCGGACAGCGACCCATGCTCGAACGCACATCCCGCGAACTCTTCTCGGAAGCTATCTGCATTGTAGAGCGCGTCTGCAAAGTTGCCGGTGCTCTTCTGCCTTTGTCGTTCCAGAATGCGCTCCGCGGCCTGTTCTAGCAGCTTGACCGCGACGTAGTCCCCCTTGGCCTTCTTCCACCTCTCTGCTGTGCCTGAGTCCCCGAATGCGCTCGCTTGGGTATCCACCACACCCAGCTGCCCCAGCGCCCACCATAAGGGCTTGCCGACCACAAAGCTTGCGATGCGATACGGCAGCCAGCCAGGGTCGTATATCGTCCGGGAGGCATTGAGGAAGTCGGCCAAAGGAATCAGTCCTTTGGAGCCGCACAGCTCAGACTTCACTAGGGAGGAGCTCCGATGAGTGTCCGCCCTTCCCTGCTACCCTATACCCAGACGGAGACACTCACTATCACAGTGGGGATACTCAGCGGCTTCCCCACACCCTCGAACCTGAAATGCTCTGTAAATGCCACCCCGGTGGCATGCAGCACGATGCGGTCGGGCGTCGCGTTCGCGTTATGGGTGTCCGACAGCCACCCGCGGAGGAGCATGTCCTCGAGCGTGCGGCGCCACCATTCGACGTTGGACGCGTACGAGGTCGGGTTTGACTGCTTCTGGTAGGTGAAGTCAGAGTAGAGCGACTTCAGGCGTGAGGTGGACGACGAGGCATATGTCGGGAGCGTCGACAGTGGCACGGAGGACATGAAGGCCGCAGTCAAGAGAAGGAGTGTGGCCGCGGCAGTGCGCGCCATGCCGCGCAGTGAGGTATACCGGGCGCTAACGGCTTGTAGTCTGATTAGGGTTAGGGTCCGAATTTCTCGAGTAGGACTGAGGACACCAAGGAGGCTCACATCCACGTACCGTCATCACCAAGTCTCGTAGCACCTACATCTTCCAAATTATAGTAACCAGAATCGCGTACAAGACAAAAAAGCATTTATTGACAACGTGTACAGAGAGGGACATTTTCGTAACTTCGATATGTATATCTGGGAGTAGCGATGGCTTCGACAGCGTAAGACATGGAGCAGTGTAAAAATAACAAGTAAGCAAGAGCAGAGGACAACTGAGCAGAGAAGAGGTTTTTATGGAGGGCAAAGGAGGAGAGCGACGAAAGTTACAAGGAAACGGAACGGAGCTAATCAGCAACGATATTCGACAGATTTGATGTGAGAGCGGAAACGAAATAAAACACGACAGACAGCGGGGGATATTTGCGGTATTGCACAGCAATACTAGACTTGCAGGGATTTGCGATGAGAAAGCGAGAGAGCATCAGTCGTAGAACTTGGCGAGCTGTTCACGGTCCTCCGGGTGGTATTCGCCCCAGGACAGTGTTTCATACTCGCCAGAGGCGGAGTTAGGGTCCCATGATCCTGAGAAGGAGCGTATTGCGGGGGCGGGGCGCTGTTGGTATCAAATGTGAGTAGTCGCATATACGGGATGGGCAAGCAATGAGACTGACCCGGCTACCCTCAGGTTGTGTGCTTGGGCCGCCCAAGATGGCCGGGGCCGTGTGGAAATTCGACGGGTGGCGAGGAGTGTCATAAGTCGGGGAAGGACTGGGGGAAGGCCCCAGTCTGGATTGATATTCGTGCTCCGGCGAGAGTTCGGGATCAAGCGAAAAGCGGATTTCGGGCGGTGCGTTGTAGTCGTTCTCTGCATCGTCGGGGGGTTCGTCATCGGAATATTCGTCCTCGTCTTGGTCTTCATCGGGCGGGAGCTCAGAGACAGTGAGGGCAGTAGAACCCGTGGAGGGTGTCATAAGTGCACCCGGATCATGGAGCGGCCATGGCTCTGGCGCATCCCTGAAAATGGCCTCATCCGGACCCACGATGCCTTGGGAAAGAAGCCAATCTGCACATCGTCAGCGGGGATCAATGTTTTTTTTGAAGGTGAAGAACCAACCATGAGTTCTGTAACGGAAGATGAACGTCACGAACGGTCCGGGGTTGTTGGGGTCGTGAGGTCGGATCTTCCAAGTGGGCTTCTGTACGGGGGCCGGCCGAGTCTCTCCGTACCTGCAACTTGTCAAGGCCTGCAAGGCAAATATGTAATGAACGGCCCTACTTGACGATGACTTCGCCTTCCGGACGGTGCCCGCGAATGACTGGAGGAGCCGCGCGTGCTTGGGGCAGATCGTAGCTTTCCATACGTTGGACTTGCTTGATCTCCAGCATGATGGAACCAACGTTCTTGTGAGGCTTTAAGTTTCCAAACCCAACCATATCATCTGGACATCTGCATCAGCTAAAAACACTACTCCGATGAGACGGCGACGTTACCAGCTTCAATATGGGAAAACACAAACGGCCGGTCCTCCTCCGGCCCTACCCGGATGCCACGTCGTAGCTCCTCGCCGTAGCCAAACAGGAACTGGCCCGAGACCTTGAAGCCGTCGAAGTAGATGTAGCTTGCGCTATCGATCTGGCTTCCGTGGTCGCGCCAGTGTACGATGAAGGCCTGGGCAGTTCACTCCGTCAGACTAGAGCTGAAGAGCGTGTACGGATGGTGTGCATACCTTCCCGACAGGACCCGCGATCCAGCAGGTTACAGTGTGATTTTTCTCGTCGAAGCGAGGCTCGAATTCTGCAAGCTCCATATCGTCGCAGGTGATCCACGCAGAAAATCCGCGGAAGTCGATCATGGTGGCGTAGTTTGAGAGATTAAGGAATGTGTGCGCGAGCGAGACGAAGTGGCGTTATGTCTGTAACCCAAGCAAGGGTGAGATCGTTGTGGTCGGGGAACCGAGGACAAAGGAAGGAAGGAACTTGCCGTGATATGATCTCGGACCAGTGTCCCACTGGCAGGAGCTGTACTCGTAATCCACTGAGCGGAACGGAGGTATGGGTTGGCCCTCCGTCTTCACCTCTGTGTCCTATATGTGGGCCTTAGGACGACAATCGGCGAAGGAGTCCTTTACGAGCCGTGGTGGGGCACTCCAACAGACGGTGCTTGCCCAATTGTTCAACTTTTCCAACTTGAACGGAGCGTCCAAAACCGGCCATGGTATCACGTGGACGTGCTTCGGACACAGCCTCCGCAACAGCCGAGCGTCTCCGCGGCGCCTCGAACTTTTGGCAGCGTTCGCTCACTGGCCCAGTAGCGCCGTCGCCAGTACCTCTCAGCCCTTCTTCAGTGTAGTTTAGAGACGAATGGAAGGTCCAAGAGGGGTAAAATGCAAATGAGATAGTTTAAATTCCCTGGAAACGAGGTGAGTCTTGAAGTACCAATACCAGGCAAGTTACTTGACACACTGACTCGAACCGCACACCGCAAAACTTACGAGCGCACACAGGTGAGGCGAAAGATTGAATGGCTACGATATCCTTCTTCACGTGTAGCTGATATATAGAGTCGTAGGCGATGCTGCGAGTGCCCTTCATACTCCCGCATCGAGGGACCGCTTCGACCGGACTGTTACTTGAGACTGGGCCCCTGTGAATACAAGTGAATGCCAACAGATAATCACCGCCTGTGGTCGCGCGGATACAGAATTTGTCGACCGACCACTCACTGGCAGCGCAGCACTGCGATCCGTCTATCCTATCGCTCCAGGAACAGGATACGCGAGCAACGTGCGACTACCAATGCCCACCTGCAATTGCCTCCGACTGATGTGGGATGCCCAACAGGACGCAATATTACGTCCGCCTGCTCATTCATGAGGTGTCCAGTACCCGAACTGTCTTATCTTGACAGATGTGCGTTGCAAACTACACCTTTTTGGCGCGGTCCCGAAGGGTCAAACTGTCAAATATTGATCACGTCTAGTGAGTGCGTCTTCGAATCAGTTGTAGTGTGTCAACGAAGATCCCGTAGAAGTCTAAATGCTGGCCTACCAAACACCGCGCTTGTAGTAGACCAGGTAAATGCACTGCGGATTGACTGTGCCGTCGAAATTTTCCCTCTTCCCCTTGACTCTCCTCTACTTCGGTGTTCCAGTTCATTGAGCCTGGCCACCATGTTACGGTGGTACTTCATCACCATTCCTTTCCTATTCGCGCATGCAATACGGGGACAAACCACGAATGCTGACTGTAAGAATAACTCTGACACGTCCTGGGTAAGTACAACACCCCGCCGGCCATCACTGGAGTACTCACATATTCATTTATGCACGTCACAGTCATGGAATTCCCTCGGACAAAGCCCGTGCATAATGGCGGCATATATCCAAGGGGCATGCCAGCCTGACGGAAGTGAGTGTTCTTCGCTTTGGCGACTCCGTCGAAGTATTGACGGACTGCCCGCCCGCAAGAATTCATGGTACAGGCTCTTCCGGACGCCGCTTTCAACTACCCCGGCCCCACCGCAGACACCGCGAACGTCTGCACTTGTAGCTCGATCGCGTACGCACTGTTCAGTGCGTGTAGTTTCTGTCAAGGATCAGCTTGGCCCGAGTACATATCAACCCTCTAGTATGGCATTGCAAATTTACTTACAATCCACCCCGCAGATGGTCCCAATGGACGAAGAATTGCGAAGCGGGGGACATCCACAACGGCAGGTTCGTCAATGCCCCGACGACGATGCACCATGCACTGAATACACTCCTAGCTTCCCGCACGGAATACCGACTGGAACAGCCATCCCAGACTGGGCCTTCATTCCTATCGACGGATTCGTAAGTAGCATGGTGATATTTATACAGCACCGGGCTTAGACAGTTTTCACAGCTTGATGAGTTCGATGGAGTCGGCTCTGAAAGGATAGGCGGTACGTTAGCTACAGCTGGACAGGGTTGCTGTTATGCTCACGAGACTTGGAACAGATAAGTTCGAATCCATCGGTTCAGTTGCACCAACCGCTGCGGGATCTACCCCAAGCACTACCGGGGGCAGTGTCACGAGCTTGAGCAGCGGGCCGTCCGCTACGCAGCACGCCAGCACCGGCGCTGGCGTGATTCCTACGAGCATTAACAGCGGCGCGCCGGCGAGCAACACCAACGGTCCCGATTCTCCTGCTGAGACCTCCGGTGCAAGCACTCAGACCCACAGCGCCAACATTGGGGGTATTGTGGGTGGAGTGGTGGGCGGTCTTGTAGGCGTCGCGATGATCGCCGGCCTGTTAGTCTACTTTCGCCGCAGCCGCAGCCGACGCACAGACGGGACGGGAAAAGGGCAAATGGTCTACAACTCACCGGAGAACACGGCGTTCATCCCGCCGAGCGCGCCACCCAGCCCTTACTATGCATCTGCTAGAACCGATCAAGACGCCGCGGCCGCCACGAAGGAGTCGTCGCCGGCGGAGTATGTTGAATCGGTATCGTTCATCGCTCCGGAGCCAATCACGGTGGTGGTTCCAGAAATGCCACCCATGCGTTTATACGTGAATAGTATCCAACTCGCTGCGGTTGCCAGCGGATGTTCATGCTCCTGTTACAGGATCCGGATGATCCCACAACATTCCCGCCGACGCCAGCGCCGCTCTTGGCGCCCATTCCTCCTAGAACGACCATGGCGGCGGAGACATACCCCAACGTGGTGCCAGACCAGACGCACGAAGACGGCGATCGGGTGGGCACCGTAGGTCCGGTGTATGGGAGGCGGCCTGTGCCCGAGTTGTGAGATGATGACCTGGAGTTGCAGTTACACCACCAGTGACAATGCTTTGTAAACCTCTCGTAGGGTGCTCGCGATACCCAAACTTATGCTTGCGAAGACCAGATATATTGAGAGCTCTGTCATACAATCGGACACGTAGAGAGTTGAATGTTGGGACACTAGGTGACCGTTCAGTCCATGGAGATTTGAGGACGACCAGCCAAAGAGTGTACCGTGATGGTCTGAGGCACCCAGAGATGAGAGCACGTCGATGTCCCGAAGGCGACGGCAAACATGTGGTATACCGGTACCTGGAGTTGTTAAAAGATGAGAGAGGTGACACAAGCGCGCAAACAGCAGTATACACCCTCAGCTTAGGGCAGGTTCGCTTCGGTGAGCGGACTTGAACGGGTCACGGCATAGACGGCACGGCCGTCGGAGTCCTTCCGCCCGCTCTTCCGTCTTCTCCTCCGTCTGGTGTCTCGCATACTGTACAGAGACGTTGCAAGCATAATGATCAACTTGGAACTTGGCCTTCTAGCACCGATACCTGATGAAAGGTATGATATCCTCTGCCGGACCGTTCAATAAACGACGTACGAGTGCAAGTCAGCAAGATAGGCAAATATAGCATCATTTCCCCACCCGCGTCCCCTCACAGTGGGTCGCCACGTTTACTGTGCGTCGGAGGCCAACTCCCATGCTGTGAAGCATTAGCAAGCTTGGGCGCGAGTCCGTGGGTCATCTGTGTTCTGAACCATCACTGCGGGGCACAACGTGCAGGTCGGTAGTTGACATGTAGCACATAACCGCATAGCTGACGCCTAGCGTGCTATAGGGTGACGTGCGCAAAGGGAATTCTGCGCTCACAAGGGGCCCGACTTTCGTCATCGGATCGATCTTATCGGTCATGGCCTTCCCGCTCAAGTCTCTCAGAACCTATATAACAGTCGCAGTCATAAGCATGGTCGTCCTCTCCGCGTTCCGTCGCTTCGCCACCACCACCATCACGCGCACCATGGCCCCCCTTTCCATCACTCTCAACGACGGCAAGCAGATTCCCTGGCTGGGATTCGGTACGGGCACCGCGCTCTATGGCAAGGACGCAGCGAGCTTCGTGCAAGTTGCTATCTCGAATGGCGTGACCCACCTCGACGGCGCGCAGATCTACGGAAACGAGGATACGCTTGGGGCGGGTATTGCTGCTTCTGGCAAGTCGCGCTCCGAGCTCTTCGTGACCACCAAACTTGCGAAGGTTCCGGAGGGGCAGACTGTCCGCGACACGCTGATCGAGTCGCTGAAGAAGCTCCGCCTCGACTATGTCGACCTCTTCCTCATCCACATGCCCACCCACCACGAGGGAAAGCTGAAGTCCGTTTGGAAGCAGTTCGAGGAAATACAGAAGGAGGGCCTGGCGAAGAGCATTGGCGTCTCCAACTTCCGAGTTAAGGACTTGGAGCAGGTGCTCGAAAGTGCTACGGTCATTCCGGCGGTAAACCAGGTAGGTGTCCGCAGACTATGTGCGCTTACGACATATGTACTGAAGTCGTATTTACTAGATCGAGTTCCATCCATACGTTTACAAGGCTGCCCTGCCAGTACTCGCGCTCCAGAAGAAGCACAACATCGTCACAGAGTCCTATGGGGGCCTTACTCCCATCGTTCGTAACAAGGGCGGTCCCGTGGACCCCGTTTTGGCCACTATCCGCGCGCGTCTCGAGAAAGACACAGGCAAGAACGTCACAGAAGGCCAGGTCCTCGGTCTGTGGCTCCGGGCCCAGGGCGTGGTTGAAGTCACGTAAGTAACATTAGATTCATGGTTTCAGGCGAATGGTTCAGTACTCACACGACCATTCAGGACGAGCACGAAGGAGGAGCGCGTAAAGGAATATGTTTCGACGCAGAGTCTTCCAGATATCACCCCGGAGGAGGTCGAGGCAATCAGCGAGGCCGGATCCAAGCTCCATCATCGCGCCTTCGTAAGTGTTCTTATAGCCCGTGGGCCCGAGTTGAAAGGGATCGATGACTGACTGTCCATTCTTTAGTGCCAGTTCTTCGACGAGTGAGGCCTCGGCTTGCAATCAGTGTTATTATGAAGTATCGAACGGATGTATAGTACAATGGAACTAGAGTGTTGTATGTTGCTTTGAGGGACGAAACTGAGCGAGACTCATGTTACGGTAGGGCTGCCAGCCTCGAGGTCAGTACCTGAAGGTTGAAGCCCAGTGAGAAACCACCACGCGCCAGTACGCGGAAATACGCAGTGACACCTAACCACTGGATGCACGTCAAGCTTCAGTTCACTCACATCCTTGGCAGACATGCTCCAAGCACCCGCTGAGCTCGGGTTTATCTTAGGATTAATATTAGTGTCCGCACCGTCCCCGGAGCCATGCTCAAATATCCGGAACGCGTCAAGCGCGCAGGTGCACGACTGCCAGTGCCGCCGCGCAAAAACCGTCAGAGACGCAACTGGCACACCGCCGGACTCATCACATTGGTGAAGACATCCTTTACAGGGATGCGTCATCTTGTCTTCGAACGACCACGACCATCCCCGCCCCCACCCTCCTCTTTCTCCGGCCCCCTTCCCTTCCCTCGTTCTCTCCCCTCCGACTCTTTCCCCTTCAAGAGACCAATCTCCCAGGTATGTGGCAAAGATTGAGTAGGAACCGTCATAGATGTGCGAAAATCCGGTCGGACGCGTGTACGCGATTGGTTTTATAGGTGAGTGGTGGCTGGGGTTGAAGCGCGCCGTATGATGACGTTAGGGCGTCTAACAACCTTAATGCTCTCCGCCGTTCTCGCGACTCGAATCTCTGCCAGGAACACCTTGCGCTCAGCTCGCCGGTACTCTAAAGTTTACCTCGGACCAGCCCATTTCGCGCCTCCAAGTCCCATTCGTCCAATCATGCCCAAGGATGCAGAAAGTGGCCCGGTATCGGCGCTCTTCGGTGTGATCAAACCGTCTGGGCCTACATCCATGTCCGTAGTGAACGACGTCAAGAAGCTCGTCGCGTCCTCGCCTCTCTTCGTCGAGAAGAGCAAGCTCGCCGAGAAATCGAAGCAGTCGGGCAAGAAGAACAGGTTCCGGCGCGATGCAGTCAAAATCGGGCAGGGCGGGACGCTCGACCCGCTCGCAGACGGCGTCCTCGGTGAATAGACCACTCTCCTCCGCCTTACGACGCGCAGTTTCTGAACGGCGTGCTGCGCATACAGTGATCGGCGTCGGCAAAGGTACGAAAAAGCTCTCTGAATTTCTCGACTGCGTCAAGGTAATGAGTGCGTCCCTCGATCCGTGCAGACACCGGCATTAATGCGGGGCGAGCAGGAGTATCGCACGACGTGCCTGCTAGGGTGCGAGACCGACACGTACGATAGCGAGGGGAAGCAGGTGCGCGCCGCACCGTGGCACCATGTCACGCGGGAGCAGGTCGAGCAGGCCCTGGAGCAGTTCAGAGGCGAGATAGAGCAGGTACCACCAATGTGCGTGTATACTGCGCATGTGCCTGTTATGTGCTCCTACTGATGAGCACGGCGTTGCAGCTTCTCCGCGCTAAAAATGGACGGGATGGCGCTGTACGACTACGCTCGCAAGGGTATCCCCCTGCCGCGCCCAATCGAGAAGCGGAAGGTGACGGTTCATGAGCTCGAGCTGGTCGAATGGCTGGGCAGCGATCACACCTTCAAACACCCTGAGAAGAAGTTCTCTAAGGAGGAGCAAGAAGCGATGGAGGCCGCCCTGAAAGGCGTCGACGGCGGTGCTTCCATCAAGGACGAGCCGGAGCAGGAGGAGCCCTCAGAAAAGCCACCGACGGCATTCGTGTTGCGGATGAAGGTTTCCGGAGGCACTTACGTCCGGTGCATCGTGCACGACCTCGCACACGCCCTGGGATCTGCCGGCCATGTCGTCACTCTTCAGCGATCCAGGCAAGGCCGGTTTGCGCTCCAGCCGAAGGAGGAAGGCGACAGAGCATGCGTACCATGGGAAGTCTTCCAAGCGGCACTAGCCGACGAAGGTGCTGTAGACGACGAAGGTCATAAGGAATGGGAGCGAGAGGTGCTGTCAAAATTAGAGGTCGTATAGACTGACTTTAGGTATACATAATGTGTGGGTTCGCCCTTGACTTTTCGGTCGGAACTAACAACCTATTCAACGTTCCACAGGTGTACATTAGAGCCAATACTGCATGTTCTGCGCACGTTGCAAAAGTCCAGACTGCCTCGTCAGCCACGTATCGTGAGCCTTACAAATGGCCTCGGTGCACCGAAGCAAACCATCGATTCCGACGCGTAAGAAGGCAGTTTGCTGGCGCTTGCTGTGCGAACAGCATGTATACTATTGTGCTGCGGTTAGTACTCGGAGAATCGATGGTGCGGAGGTTATACAGGCTGAATATCTTCCGTTGTCATCTTTAGAGGCCCAGGCATGCTTCGTCGCGCCTTTGAATGGCAAGATGCTTCCTGATCAGTCTGTTATTTCTGGCATCCCGCTTCGCTGGGGGAGTTTGTGACGTTCCTGCCTTTTGCACCCGCGATGCAGTAGATTGTGGCAAGACTTTCGCATCGGGCGGCTTTCGATCGTGCCTTCGATGTGGCCAGGATAACCCAAACGGAACGCTCGTCGCCGTCCTACAAATGTGGATCGCCCAGGGTGGTTCGGCATTCCAGTGGATCGGAGCTCGCACGCCCTGGTGACGAGACAAGTTCAATCTACGTCGCGAATGTCCCGGGTTGCCGCCTCGCTCCCGTCCGCCGCTGCCGGTCGCAGTTCATAACGCGTATCCAGCGGTCCTAGGGCTCGACGCGTGACGTGTTCTCGTGCAGCCTCTGGTCTTCTTGAGGTGTCTCTCTGCCTTCATGTGGTCGTCTGCAACATGGGCAGGGCGGGTTCTATCGCAATGTCGTCGCCGTTCTGAACCTACGCGATCTCGCCATGCGTCAAGTGCGAGCGTAGCCGGTACGTTGCGGGGTTTCTCAACGCCTCCAGCGGGGTTCTTAGAGACGCTTGCTGGTCAGGACGGGAGCTAGCCCTTTTCTGGACGCACACGCCGATGCGCAAGAGGCGGTGACTTGGCAGCGCCGCCGACAAACGCCAAAGTAGCAGGCCGGTGACTGGCCGGGGGCGCGAGACGCGGTCTTCGATCAGCAGGATGGAGCGCGGGCCCTTCGATAACGAACACTGTGCGGGCGGGCCGTCGGTCAGGTGTAACGGTCCCCGCCGGACGCCCCGGTCCGGGCGCTGCGGGTCGCTGCCCATAAAGGTCGCGCCGGCCAATCTGCAGCCTCCTCCGTCCTCGGAATCTCTCCTCGACCCCTGCTCGCCATGGCCACTGTCGTCCGCCCGCTCCAGCCTGGGATCTACGCGCCCATTCCGACCTTCTTCGCGCCGGAAACGGAGGACATCGGTGCGTGCGCAGCGCGATCGCGCGCCCGTCCGCCCCCACGCTCACGCGAAGCGCCCTCTATTTGGCAGACCTCCAGTCGTTCTCAGCGCATGTCATCCGCCTCGCGAAGGCGGGCGTCAAGCCCCTGCTGTCGGGCAGCATGGGAGAAGCGCACCACCTGTCGCACGCGGAGCGCGCGACGCTGATCAAGACCGCCCGCCACGCCCTGGACGAGGCCGGGTTCACGAGCGTCCCGATCATCGCTGGGACGGGCGCGGGCAGCACGCGCGAGACGGTCGAGCTGTCGGTCGAGGCGGCGGCGGCGGGCGCGGACTACACGATCGTCATCTGCAGCGGGTACTTTGCCGGCGCATTGGCGGGGAATCGCAAGGCGCTCAAGGCGTTCTGGACGGAAGTGGCGGAGAAGAGCCCTATACCCGTAATTATCTATAATTGTGAGTGCGCGCGATAGCTTTTGTATGTAGGGATGTGGTGCTGACCGCGAGGTGCAGATCCTGGTGCGGCCGGGGGCATCGACCTCGACTCTGACCTCATCACTGAACTCGCGACTGAGTCGCCGAACATTGCCGGTGTGAAGCTCACGTACGTCGTCCCGCGTCGTCGGTCGAGACCTGCTGCTGACACAAAACAGGTGCGGCAACGTCGGGAAGCTCACGCGCATAACCGCGACTGTATCGGAGCCTTCGTTCGCTACGTCGCACCCCCGAAAGAACCCCAATGCGCCGTTCCTCGTCCTGGGCGGCTTCACAGATTTCATCCTCCCCTCCGCGTTCGTTGAAGGACACGGTGCAATCACAGGGCTCGCAAACGTGTCGCCGGTATGTCCCCTTGCCGAGCATCCTAATACAAGCTTTACTCATGACCTCACCAGTACGCCATCGCCAAGCTCTTCGAGCTCTCGGAGAAGTCGAAGGGGGACCCCTCTCTGCTTCCCGAGGCGCAGCGCTTGCAGGGCATCATCGCTCGGGCGGATTACACCATCGCGAAGACTTCGATTTCTGGGACGAAGTTCCTGCTGGAGAAGCTGTACGGGTACGGAGGAAACCCTCGCCGGCCGCTGCCCCCCGTCGATCCAAGCGTCGCCGCGGCGCTGTGGGAGCACCCACACACGGTAGAGCTGGTTCGCGTCGAGCGGGAGTTGAGTGGTAAGCTGTAGTAAAGTAGCCGTAGATGCGACTTGGTCGAGACCATATGCTGTATTATATCTTGTGTAAGTGCACACGTCCTAGACTCTGTCACGAACGTGCTCGGCACCACCGTCTTCCACCAACACTCGCTGAACTTGAGCTCGACGCCGGCGAACGGCAGACATGATCGCGGACATAAAATGCGGGGTAAAGTCGAGAACGCGGGGTAACTAGCGTGCGGATCAATCAACGCGATCAGGACATGAGCTTGCCGTGTCCGGCGCGGGAGGGACTGAATTGTGCCAACGTGCTGCCGCTGACGATGCCCACCTGGTACCCACGCCCACGCCCAGGCTACCGCTCGAAGCTGCGAAGACAGGAAGCGGGAAAGCTGGCGAGACCCGCTGACCCCGCCGCGCTGCCCTGGAGGACGAGCGATGCCTGGCCCGGTCAAGTGACTCCCTTGCAACCAACCAATCGATCGGCTACAGCGCGCAGCCAGCTGCACCCGGCCACCCTGCCTGCGACGTTGCTCCCCATCCACCGAGCTCTCCTCGAGAGGCCACCTCTACCTCGGTCGTCCACCGCCAGCCATGGGCCTGGATATCCTGCTTGTGCGCTCGAGGGGCGTGCGCTGCAACGCGGCCTGGTCCGCTAGCGCCTCATCTTCTAAATTGCAAAGTGAGTGGCTTCTCCGTGCGGCCGTAGCTAGAATCAGCGTATTGAAGGCGCATCTGCGCGATGTCATAGTCTCGTGCTCCTATCGCAAGTTTCACATCGCTGCACCGCGACGAAACGCCCAGAGCGACGCTAGCCCTAAGACTGCGACTCCCTCCACACAGGAGCTGCCAGGTGAGACAATCCTTCACGACATAGCTCGTGCTCGCGGACGCGCAGTCTAACGCAGAAACCCAATCGAGGCGTGCCGTACTCCTCGCTCAGAGTCGGCGTCCCGCTAGAGATATACCCAAATGAACGACGCGTGGCCCTGACCCCCCAGAATGCGCAGCTGCTCCTCAAGAAGGGGTTCGCGCAGGTGCTCGTAGAGAAGTCCGCAGGCCTAGAGGCGCAGTTCCTAGACGAACAGTACAGGGCGGCGGGCGCAGTGGTCGTAGACCGGAACGAGCTGTTCGAGCGCTCCGACATCCTGCTGAAAGTCCGCCCGCCCGTCGCGGGCCAGGAGGCGGAGCTCGTCAAGGACAGCAGCACGCTCATCTCGTTCCTGTACCCGAACCAAAACAAGGCTATAATCGAGGCGTTGGCTGCCAAGAAGTCGACCGCGTTTGCTATGGAGATGATACCCCGTATATCGCGTGCACAGGTTTTCGACGCTCTGAGGTATGCCTCCTCGTATCCGACGCGCGCACCGGTGCTGAAGGCGAGTGCAGTTCCATGGCAAACATCGCTGGATACAAAGCTGTCCTTGAGGCCGCCAATCACTTCGGACGTTTCCTCACTGGTCAGGTTACTGCTGCTGGGTATGTTGTTCCCTACGTTGCTCGCATACCACTGCTGACAATCTATTACGTACAGAAAGGTACATAAGCATTCACAGACCGTGACCAGCTACTCACCTCTATGCCTAGATTCCACCTTGCAAAGTCCTAGTCATCGGCGCTGGCGTCGCTGGCCTAAGTGCTATCGCTACCGTACGTCGACTTGCTCGTACGAAGTGCTCGGATGTTCACCGCTAGTCATAGGCAAGGCGTATGGGTGCGATTGTACGCGGCTTCGATACCCGTGCGGCTGCTCGTGAACAGGTCCAGTCCCTCGGCGCTGAGTTCATTGAGGTCCCCTTCGAGGAATCCGGTGAAGGAGGCGGAGGCTACGCGAAGGAGATGTCCAAGGAATTCATCGAGGCGGAGATGGCGCTCTTCATGGAACAGTGCAAGGAAGTCGACATTGTCATCACCACGGTAGGATTTCACATATTGAGGTTTCTTTACTCCCTATTGACGTCCCACTCAGGCTCTTATTCCCGGTAAACCCGCCCCGAAGTTGATCACGGAAGAGGTGCGTGGAATTGGACGTTGATGACCTTTGCTCGCCTACTGAGCGCGCCGTATAGATGGTCGCTGCCATGAAGCAAGGCTCAGTAATTGTTGATCTCGCCGCGGAGACTGGAGGAAACTGCGCTGTCACCAAGCCCGGAGCGCTGTACGTCCACAAGGGCGTTAAGATCGTAGGATACACAGACCTGCCGTCGCGCCTGCCCACGCAGTCCTCTACTCTGTACTCGAACAACGTCACCAAGTTCCTACTCTCGATCGGTGGTGAGGGTCGCTTCGCGGTCAACCTCGAGGACGAGGTCGTTCGCGGGTCCATCGTCCTGCACAACGGCACCGCGCTACCCCCGGCCCCCCGCGCTGCTCCACCTCCGGTCGCTCCCCCGAGCGCGGCGAAAGTCGCGGAGGCTGCAGAGGCGCGCGCACTCACTCCATGGCAGAAGGTGACGCGGGAGGTCGCGCTCGTCACCGGTGGGATGGGCTCCGTGGTCGCACTAGGCAAGCTGACGGGCCCTGCGTTCATGAGCAACTTCTTCACGTTTGGGTTGGCGGGCTTGATCGGGTACCGCGTCGTGTGGGGCGTTGCTCCCGCGCTGCACTCGCCGCTGATGTCGGTCACGAACGCTATCTCTGGTGAGTACAGTATCGGTTCTGTACGCGGTGATCAGCGGCTTATGAAGGGCTGGTGCAGGTATGGTCGGTGTTGGCGGCATGTTCGTCATGGGTGGTGGATACCTCCCGGCAACCATCCCTCAAGCGATGGGCGCAGCGTCGGTTTTGCTCGCTAGCGTCAACGTCGCTGGAGGCTTCGTGATCACGAAGCGTATGCTCGACATGTTCAAGCGTGAGTGAGACTCTCGTATCTTGAAAAGGCTGCTACTAACCTGAATTTGTAATGACGTGCAGGTGCTACTGACCCTCCGGAATACACCTGGCTCTACGGTATCCCCGCTATCCTGTACACCGGGGGTTTCCTCTTTGCTGCTAGCACGGGCATGTCCGGTTTAGTCCAAGCCGGGTATCTGACGAGCAGTGTCCTCTGTATCAGTGCGTCACAAGATACTCGTACACAAGGCTTGTCCTGACCCTTTTTGCACGCTAGGCGCGCTCTCCGGACTGGCGTCGCAAACGACTGCCCGGCAAGGCAACATCCTCGGTATCCTAGGTGTGGGCTCGGGCGTCCTCGCCTCCCTCGCCGCAGTCGGTTTCGATCCGGAGGTCCTTGTGCAGTTCGCCGCGGTGGCGGCACTCGGTGGGACGGCGGGAACGATTATTGGTCGCCGGATCACCGCCATCGAGCTCCCGCAGATGGTCGCCGCACTGCACTCCGTCGTCGGTCTCGCGGCGGTCATGACGAGTATTGCGAGCGTGCTGGCGGACCTCAGTCATGCGTCGACGCTTCACCTCGTTACTGCCTACCTCGGTGTTCTCATCGGTACGTCTACCCTTTCACACTTCCGAGGGTTACAGTCTTGATAAATCTTGCTATGATTAGGTGGTATCACATTCACCGGATCCGTCGTCGCGTTCCTCAAGCTCGCCGGCAAGATGTCCTCGCGACCCGTCCGCATCCCGGCGAAGCACTTCGTGAATTCGACGCTGCTTGGTGCCAACATCGCGTCGATGGGGGCCTTCGTCACCATGGCGCCCTCTGCGCCGCTCATCGCCGCGGGCTTCCTGGCGGCGAACACCGTGCTAAGCTTCATCAAGGGCTTCACGACGACTGCGGCTATTGGAGGAGCGGATATGCGTGAGTGTTTACTGCAATTGAAAGCGGGATGTGATATACTGACGATGGGTGCTTACCAGCCGTTGTCATTACCGTGCTGAACGCGTATTCCGGCTTCGCCCTGGTCGCTGAAGGCTTCATGCTGGACAATCCGCTACTCACTACCGTTGGTTCGCTCATCGGCGTCAGTGGTTCTATCCTGTCATATATCATGGTGAGCATCTGTCCGCAGCCGACTGCTTTCGTCGAAGCTTACGAAGAGATGTAGTGCGTTGCCATGAATAGGACCTTGACGAACGTCCTCTTCGGAGGTATCAGCGCGCCTGCGAACCAGCCGGAGCACAAGATTGAGGGTACCATTACGAAGACGAGCGTTGATGACACGGCGGATGCCCTGCTGAATGCCGAGAGCGCCATTTTGGTGAGCAGACTTTCCAAACGGTGTTGCGCAGGGTGTGTCCGTCGTCTGACCAGTGGGTTCGCAGGTTGTGGGCTACGGCATGGCCGTTGCGAAAGCGCAGTATGCCATCGCGGATATCGTCAGCCTGCTGCGTTCAAAGGGTATCCAGACTCGCTTCGCCATCCACCCCGTCGCTGGAAGGTACTTGTTAGCACGCCTGCGGCCGTGATCGTATACTTACTGCCACTCTTCTCCAGGATGCCTGGGCAGTGCAACGTCCTACTCGCAGAGGCGTCAGTTCCGTACGACAGTAAGCACACTCCTTTCCCTCTACTGCCGGAACTTCCATGCTGACGCCTTTCGCAGTCGTGCACGAGATGGACGAGATCAACGACGACTTCGGGAGCACGGACGTGACGCTCGTCATCGGCGCGAACGACACCGTGAATCCGATCGCGCTCGAGCCAGGCTCGCCCATCGCGGGCATGCCCGTCCTACACGCGTGGAAGAGCAAGCAGGTCATCGTCATGAAGCGCGGCATGTCCAGCGGCTACGGTCAGTCTTCTCCCTCTTCTGCCGCCCTCCAAACTTGTGCGGACGCAGTGCTCACATGAATGCGCCTTGGCAGCCGACGTGCCGAACCCGATGTTCTTCATGCCGGGCACGAAGATGCTCTTCGGCGACGCGAAGGAGACGTGCGAAGGTGAGTACAGTCTTCCTGCTCTTGGTCTTCCCACCTCGCGCGCGCCGTATCGCTGACCCTGCCGCCTGTCTGAACTCTGCAGCTATCAAGAAGGGCTTGGAGTCGCGTGCCGCCTCCTCGTGATCGCGCCGCCGCCACCGCCGGGGCCGTCGGGATCACCCATCTGTACATGTACATTGCCCATCTGTTGTATGTATGTACAGGCTCCTACCCACCGTCCGCTTCGAGTTGAGGGGCCGATCTCAGGTGGAGGGTGCGAGGTTTATTCAAGTGGGCGGAGGGAAGCGCCGGGAGGAAGTGGTCAGGTGATTTAAGTTGCAGCCCCTCAACTCTCAGCGACGGCTGGCACCAAACACATGTAAATAACGGAGGGCCGGCGGTTTAGCGCCAGAAGTGCCTCCAAATGGCAGTCCATCAACTGCAAGCGCTTCCTCAATAAACGGAATTTCTACATAGCGTCGCGCCTTCGCGCCTCTCTCCTCGTCGCGCGCGCGGTGCGCGCTCGCGTTCTCCGTGCTCGCGACCGGATCTGATTACCTCTGTCATCAGTGTACATCCTCGCATTGTAGATTTTATGCCATGCCTGAGATATTAGCACTAGTGGAAGTGGCACGGCACTTCGCTCGCTCGCTTTGAGGTAATATACATTGCGCAGCATCGCGCACCGTGTAACGTCAACGCTGGGCAGTGTATTTCAGTATACACGCGATTGTATTCCTCAAAGTGGTCGCGCGTTTTAAACATCACTCACGAAGTTATCTAAAAATGAAGGTCGCGCGGGTGCGAGTGGCTTCAGGCTACTGGTGTGGGCCCCTATTACTCGGAACTATGAAACATCTCCCCAACGCAGGATCAACCCAGAGCAAACTCTTGTCTCTCATAAACGGAAATATGTACATACGGAAGTGGTGTCGATTGTACTATGGTACATACATGGCAGACGGGTGTACACGAAGTTGACAACAGTACTAGTGTGGGGCGAAGCGCTGAAGCAGAATATTAGTTCGTGTCGCGCGCAGCTAGTGTCTGAGTTTTGAGCAGCGAAACACAATATTTTGCTTGATCATGCAGGAACGCTTAGGTCGCGAGCATAGAGAACACGAGGGCGGCACCTGCGCGCACGGCGCGCACGACGGGGAACGAGGCGCGAGGGCGCGAAGAAGGCGCGAAGGCGCGACGCTGCTGCACGCTGCGAAGAAATTCCGTTTATTGAGGAAGCGCTTGCAGTTGATGGACTGCCATTTGGAGGCACTTCTGGCGCTAAACCGCCGGCCCTCCGTTATTTACATGTGTTTGGTGCCAGCCGTCGCTGAGAGTTGAGGGGGACGCAACTTACATCACCTGACTTCCGCATGACCCGGCGCTAAAGACTTCGACCTCTCCCCGGTGAATCAGCCTCCACCACGCCCTCGAATATCGCCCCTCAACTCGAAGCGGACGGTGGGTAGGAGCCTGATGTATGTATCAATATCAAATCCGAATCGCTCGCTCGCACTCGCAGCTGTGCCAAGGCACATATACGCGCACGTGGATCGCGCTGGTCCTACGCGATGTGCACGACATACGGTTATGGATCTGCCGCTGTCAAGATGTCAGCGGAGACGCTACTCGGCGCTGTTCCGCACAATGCGTCGCGCTGGGACGGTCCCACCGGCACCGCGCAACATCAGACATGTCGTACCGCGCTGTGACTCGACCGCCGCCGCCATCACAGACGCGGACCACCCGCAGCCGTGATACTTCGGATCCCCGCATGGGCATACCCGTATAATCCCACCGAGCTCTGCGTAAGTGGGCTTCTGACGCTGCGTCATTGAATGTCGCGGGGCCTTCTTTCTGTTCTGATCGGGAGGTGTGTTCTGTTCAAGAGGGATGAATAGCGAAGTGCGCGCGCGCCGCACCACGAGGAGGCCTAGGTAAGTAGCGAGGATTTGCAAAAACGCGTCGGATTGCCGCCGCACCGCCTTGGCAGCAGCTCGCACGACACGAGAGACGAGACGAATGCGCAATAGGTGTCCATACGTTATACGGTGAAGGTGTAGAGGTACGGTAGGGAGAAGGAAGTGGTATGTGGGCAAGTCCAGCGCGGAGGGGTCCGTGCAGCCAATACGTGATGCGATGTTAAACAAAAGTACGGGAAGACCGAGAACGCGCGGGGACGTCTAAATGGCGTGCGAGTAGGCTAAGGGTGCGGGTGCGGGTGCGGGTGCGGGTGAAAAGCGAAGGCGAAGGCGAATGTGCAGGGTAGGCAGGGTCCGCGCAGCAACGGAAGGGCAGCGCGCGCGCAGGCGGGGAAAGAGGGGGCGTGGCGGAGACAAAATAATAATATACGGTCCAGTACTGTTCAAAAAGTCTTTGCCAAGTACCTGGGCTGGGGGGAACTTCTTCTCCGGTTTGAGGGGGTCGTCGTCGCGTTCCTGTTCTTCGTTTCTCGTTTTCTCTCGTCGCCGTCTCGTCGCGGGGGACGGGGCGCGGGGCGGGGAAGGGGGTCGTAGCGGGGATCCGAGCATGCAAGAAGGATACCGGGCTGACATCATGAATGGTGGTCCTCCTGCGCGGTCTCGGGGACAGTGCCCATGGCGCTCGCGGGTCGTGATGACAGCGCGCTTGGTGGCCGCGTCGAGGGATACGACGCAGATGGCGACACTGATGCATACAACGAGGAGTGCGAGGGGAGGTACGACGCGTTCTCGGAGATGACGAACGATCCGGAGCCGGAGCGCGCGAAGTAGTGCGCGAGACGGGTCGCTGCACGCGACGCACGCAGGGGAGTGGGGAAGAACGGCGTCGGGTCGTCCTCTTTCCGCTTGCCAAGGAGGCCCTTCTCGAGGAGCTGCGGGAAGAACGGCGCCTCGCGCTCAACAGGGGAGCCCGGGTATGACTTGGACGCGCCCGCGGGGACGGATGTGAGCGAGCACAGCGAGGACGTCGAAGCGCGGCGTGAAACGTTCATGTTGGTCGTGGCAAGCTCCAGCGCAGAGGTGTTACGCGCGCCGGAAGCTGTGCGGCTCCAGCCCCATCCCCACCCTGAGCGGCACTCCTTCGGGTACAGGTTGTCGCCGGCGGGCGCGTCGGGCTGGTTGTACATCCAGGTGGCGACGAGGACGACGGTGGAGCCGAGCACGAACGCGACCGTGATTTGGAAGTGGAAGAGCGCGACCGACGCGAGGAACGAGATAACGATGCTCAAGCTGGTCGCGAAGCCCTTGAGGATGTTGTCCGCGTACTTGATGACCAGCGCGGTGAGCAGACCGCCGACCACCTGCGTCAAAACCGTCGCCCATGCCCAGAAGCCAAAGTTCGCAAACAGGTGCTGGAGCCAGCCGGGAGCGGGTCCGGAGGGGTTTGAAGGCGAGAACAGGATGGGGACGAGCGCCGGGAGTAGTGAGAAGAGCGAAAGCTGGACGTTGCGCACCCAAAGGTCGGTCTGCGAGCCCTTCAGGACCATCTCGAAGTACACTCCCGCGAGGCCGGACGTAAAGCACGCCATAACGACCGCCATGAAGCCCTTGAAGGCGTTCATGTCAGGGCCCGAGCCGCTTGAGGAATGGCCGGAGGAAGAGCCGTTCTGAATCTGCACGATGCCAACTCCGATGGCCAGGAACAGCAGCGCGAGCCACTTGGTCGGGCTGAGCCTCTTGCGGAGGAGCACGACGGAGAACGCGGCGGTGGTGAGGATCTTCATCTGGTAGCTGACCTGGAACGTCGCGGCCTCGAGGTTCGACACGGCGACGAACTGGAGATTATTTTGGATCACGTATAGGATAGCGGGGATGGAGAGCTTCCAGCAGTCCGGCCGGAATACCTCCTTGCCGAGCCTCCGGAAGCGGTAGAAGAGCACGCGGGGGTTCCACAGCGAGCTCCCGGCCGCTGCGTTGGGCGAGCAGTAGTCGAGGCGCATGAACGCGACCGTGAGCGAGATGGAGCCCTTGAGCAGCTCGGTGAGCAGCACTGCGGACGCAGCGGAGTACGTGTGCGACGGCGCGCTGGACACGCGCGAGTAGTGCATGATGAGCGTGAGCAGCGCGTTTTGGACTGCCAGAGTCACCAATCTGGGCGCGGCGCGCATACAGGGTCAGCGTGTGCGGAAAGGACGCGAAGGGACGCGTGCCAACTCACGAGACATATTTGAGAGGCATGCCGCATATTGACGGGACGGCGGCCTGCGACTCGGTGGACAAGTCCGTCTGCTCCTTCTCAAAGACCCCGTTGCTCTCTGCGGTGCGTGGGCTGCGCGGCTCGTTGGCGAGGTGGCCCGCGTGCTGGGGGAGGAGCGCGTAATCCTGGTGTTGCGACATGGCGGGGGCACGACGACGAGATGTCTATGGACGAGGCACGGGTATCGGTAGCGTTCCGGGTATGGGTCGTCGTGGGGCGTGGCTTGACCAGCGTGCTCTGCAGCTGGGAGGCGCGAGCGGGGCGGGGCGGGGGCGAGGAGGGCGGGGAGATGAGGAGGAGAGGGAGGAGGGCGAGGGCGAGCGAGAAGCGTGGCGGAGGACGAACCGCTTTTGATGTGTCCCGCCGGTGTATGTCTAGACGCCCGAGGCCTGCGCTCCCCGGCGGCTAAACCCATCACCGTCCCCCTTTTTCTGATGATTGGATATTATCCCCGGGATCGCAATTCGAACCAAACAGAACCGTATGTTTTCATGAAGAGATCTGCTCGCCGAGCGTGGAAACCCGGCGCCCCGGGCGCGCTGCATATCGCACGAGCCTCTGACGTACGGGGCAGGCCGCTCTCCACAAACATCCCATTCCCGTGTGCGATAGCCAGCTTCGACCACGCAGAACGGGGGAACCTGCGACCGTAACGAGCAGTCGCGGACCCCAGCACGCTTCTAGTGTTCCAATCTCTTCCTACGCAGCGCGCTACGAAGGCCGCCATTTAGCGCTACTCCAGTCCCCCTATCGTCAGTCTTCCTTGACCCGCCGCAGCGGCTCGGACGCCCACACCGCGTCGGCGTCCTCCTCGCCTGACCGCCGCCTCTGGACGATCTGGCACCGCCCCGGGCCCCTTCCAGGTGTACGCGACCGCGTCCTCGGCCGCGCAACATTTCCACGCACGGAGCCCCCATCACAGTCCGGTGCACGCTAAGCGGTACAACACACCCTCGGTGGCATCGCGCGCGCTGGCAGATGGCGCAGCGAGGATTTTGACTGTGGCCCGTGGCGTCTGAGTGCGAGACCTAACGCTATGACAGCGGTTGCGCGCAGTGCAGGACGGGCGGCGGACGCACTGGTCGGCCCCGCGCCGCCTCCCCGGGGAATACAGTTTGGCTTGGCCGTTCGTGGTGGCGTCCCCGCGGTGCGCCGGCCGCTCTCGCACCGCCGGGCATGCAAACTCTAAATGTGTCCGCTTCGGGCAGTCGAGCGACCTTATCGGCCGACGTCATTGATCCATCGAGTCTTGTTGAGAGCCCCCGTTGCGATAAGTAACGGTGTCGTCAGCTCACAAGTCCCGGAAAATAACATATGAACTGCTCTCTGCGCACACGACGTCATTCCCGGCGCAGAACAGACGCGGGGAAGCGCCGGTGCTCACCTCAGCCGCCATCTCCTCCCCGTCGTGGTCCGGGGACACAGCAGCCTCAAACGCAGCGTCAGAGCTCGCCCGCGAGCTCCATGACCACAGGACAGTGGTCCGACGCGCCGTACACCTCGCTCCGTATCTCACACATCTTCACCCGCTCCTCCAGCCGTGCGCTCACCACGACTGCGTGCGCGTCCGCCCGTCGTCATTACAGTATGCCCGCGCAGTCGCCAAGATGAGAAAGAGAACTCGTCAGCAACACAGCCTGCGGATGCAACCATTTTAAACTCACACATGTCTAGCCGCCAGCCGATGCCCTTCTCTCTGCAGTTGAACCGGTACGAGAAGTACGTGTAGTGTTTCAGCGCGGGGTGCAGCTTCCGCCACACGTCCACGAACTGGGGCGCGTCCACTTCCTCCTTGGACGTGTTCAATATACGCGCGTATGAGCTCGTCTCCGCTTCGGTGTACCCTGGCGTCTTATTCCAATTTGGCTTCGGGTTGGTCAGATCTGCCCGAACGCACAGTAGGTCAGCACACCGCCCAATAGACTTCGACTGGAGCGTCCACTGATACATGCGGAAACGAGGGTGCTGCGCTCCCGTTTCACGGCGAATGGCGACGCAGCCCTGCGACGTTCGCAGAAGGAACTCACCAAGTGCGGTGGGAGCGACATTCAGGTCACCCGTCCATATCACAGGCTTCTTTGCGTCCAGCTCCCGGATGTACGCCTCGAAGTGCGTATTCCACTCCTTTTTGGCGTCCAAAGTCTATAATGCGTAACGTCATCGCGAGGGAAACGTGTTAGTGCTTCTTGGGTTCTAGTGCGTGCGCGCGGGAGCGATAGGTTCGCACCTTGAGACCTGTGCCGGCGTTCACAACATACGTTCCGACAACATAGCAGCTCGCAAACTCGAGCGTGACAATCCGACCCTTCACACTCTTCGGGTCTGGGTGCCCGGGCAGGGTATAATCGACCGAAAGGGGATCGACCTTCGAAAGGATCGCGGTCCCCGCTGTACATGCGTACCTGTGAGAACCCGGCTGCGGAGAAAGGGACAGAATATCCCGCGTGGCACGCACTACTCACAGTACGTCTTCTTGTCCGATATAGCCCAGTAGCGGTGCGCAAAGCGGCTGGCCAAGGCCGGGTCTACAGGTTCGTTATTCACCTGGAAGACGCGCCCCGTGAGCGCGCGCTTCGAAACCCCCGCCGCGGACGGTGCCGGTCGGAGCACGCACCTTCGTCTCCGTGAGGACGAGCACGTCCGGGTCCTCCGCCTCAACGTAGTACTTGAAGCCCTGCCACGCCGCATCCAGTCAGTCCACCAGTCAGTCCACCGAAGGTCCGAAGTAACCCAAACCGCGCCGCAGCGGCTCCGCATTCTGCGCACGGAAGCGCCCCTTCCCCGCAGGCCCTCGACACGTACAACTCACCTTCTTCTGTGCCGCGGCAAGTCCACAGATGTTCCACGCTGCGATGCGAACGCAGACCGCCTGCTTGGCCGGGAACGTCAGGTCCGCCGGCATCACCTTGTTCGTCGGCTGCGCGCCTTCCACGCTCACGTCCTGGTCCTTCTCCGCCGCCTTGCCCTTGCCCTTGGGCTTGACGGCTGCTGCTTTCGGCTTCGCAGCAGTCTTGCGCTTCTTTGGGGCGGGCGCGGCCTCCTCCTCCTGAGAGGGGGCCTCGGACCCAGAGTCGAAGTGGGACTCGGTGGAGGGGTCGGGGGACGGCGAAGCGGCTTTGCGTTTGGCGGCGGCGCGTTTGGGTGGCATCGCTGGCGGCGTGCTGGTGGCTACGAACTGTCGGACTGTGTGTGAGACGCGGTGAGATGTAGAAATGGGTACCCCGAGTCGAGCTAATGATGTGCCACGCGTCGAGAGGGGACAGGGACGCGTGCGGGAGAGGGCGGAGGTGAGGGTGCGGAGGAGAGACGCGCTCATGCTGGAGAGGCGCGCGCTAGCAGACGCGATCGCGATCGGTGCCACAGACGCGTTCCTCTCAGCTGCGACGCGTCTGTGGCCACAGCTTGTGCGACGTGCGAGGCTTGCCACACGCCACCCATGTACACGGTAGCTCAACGCGTTTACCTCCAAGAGGCCCCGGGGCTATGTTCGAGGGGTGCACACGACAGGTCCTTGAACGTCGGGCGACTGCCACAGGCCTCTCGCCACTACCCACAAGCCACAGCCACGGCCGTTCAAGTACATCCGTGTTTTTATACTGGGCGATCGTACAAGATGGTACAGCGGCGCGCAGTGCGCCAATTCCAAGATAGGTAACAATCCGGACCACCTTCTGCGACTTCCCAAACCCAACTCCAAGCCTCGTCTCCGACTCGGGTCTTGCGGCTCTATACCGCCTCCAGGAACCCGAGCGAGACAGCCTCCGTCCGTTCCTGAGTGCTAGTACTCTCCGAACTCGACGTGACCGGTCTCCGACGCGTGCGCCCGGGCTTCCTTCTCGCCCTTCAGGCCCTTCTGGCATATCTATCGCAACCAAGCACGTCAACGCCCGCCCACCACACCCCAGCCACGCCCCAAACGCAAATCCTACCTGACACTTGAGCTCAAACGTCGCCGTGTTCGTGTACGCCCTCTTCGCCCTCAGCGCCCCCGCGAGCTTCTTCGCTGCCTGCAGCATCTCGTCGTCGTCCCCGTCCTCGACCGCGCCGCCCCCCGCGCCGCCGCCGCGGCTCATGATGGTCTGGTGGAACTCGTCCGGGGCGTCGAGCATCGGCGCCGCGGTGACCGCGTCGTAGTGGATGCCCGAGTAAATCACGATCGCGCGGTTGCCCGAGTCGCGCTCTGGGGGCGGGGAGAAGCGGTCGACGCGGCCGGTCTCGACGTCGACGGACGCGATCTCTGTGCTGTAGTGTGCGGCGAGGATGGAGAGCTCGATGGCGCCGCCCCAGGCGTTCGGCTTTTGGATGGTCTCGATGTACTCTTCGCGCGGGCGACTAAGGTGAGAGGCAGTATCCGGCGTTGAGTACGTGCGCGGGTGCGGAAGGAAGAGGTCACGGTGCGCACCCAAGGATGGCTTCGTCCCATTTTACGGGGTCTTTCCGGATCGCGTCCGCAACGACTGCACCGAGCGACCATCATATGAGGGACGTCTAGCGCGCGGCGGGGACAGCAGGCGGAATGGCACTCACTCTTCCGGATGCTCTGGGCCTTGCTCATATCCTGCTCGAACACAAGCGCAATCGACGAGAACAGGCACGAATTATCGTCCGGCACGACCTGCCGCGTCCCATCAGCACCCCCGCCCCGCCCGCTCTTCCGCCCCGGCGCACTGCGCATGCGCACTCACCCGGTGGACGAGGTACCCGTTGCTCGTGAGCACGTTCTCCGGCCCGTCGCCCTTTTTGCTCGGTCGTGACACCGGCGCGGGCGAGCGGACCTGCGACGCGGTCATGCCCGTCATCGCCGCGGCGGGACTTGACCCTATGGAGGCCGGGGCTGCAGTGGGGGCGGCGGCGCGGGGCGGTTGCGCGGACCCGTGCGTGAGCCCGGCGGACGAGCGCTGGGTCACGACCAGCTGCTCGCCCTGCTTGAGGCCGAGGCTCTCGATAGGGAGCTCCGGGATGAGCGTAAGAGGGTGCGGTGGGTAGCCTGCTTTTACTGGAGCGTGTGCGAACACATGTCAGTTGGGGCTCGGGCAGAACATGCGGAGAGGAGAACAGACACTCTTGCTGTGAGGGCGGGATTTCTGTGGCTGCAAAGATGGCTTGCTGGAGGTCCTGGACTGTTGCGCTGGCGAGGTCGACCTGGATGGTGGTGACGCCCTTGGGATGGCGCAAGCGTACGGGTGCCATGGTGGCTAATGTGAGCTGAGGGGGATGAAGAGAGGATGGAGGACGTGGGCGGCTGAGCTGACAGAGAGCTGCAGTGCAAAGAGGCGCGAGATTCGATCGCACGGTGACGATGCATTTGATTGCGAGAACCCCCGCGTACGTCACTTCTCACGTGCGCCCACTATACACGTCCTCGTCACACATCCCGACGCGTCTCTCCATGCAGAGTCGTTGTTTGCGAGCTATAACACACGCAGGTAAGAGTAGAGATTATGTAAATTAGGCTGGCAGTATTAAGGTGATAAATTCAACCCTTCGTTCCTACTCCTCGTCGTCCTCATCATCTGCCTCTGGTGCAGGCTCTGCAGCAGGCTCACCAGAAGCAGCCGCGCGCAGTCGCGCAGCGAACTCACCATTCTGTGCGAGAAGCATGGCGACGCCGAACCAGATATAGCCCGTTGTTGCCAGAACGGACCCCGCAATGAGGCCCCATCTCCAGAGCCTGTACCGTCGCTCAATTTGCTGCGCCTCCGGCGAGGTTGCCAGGGTGGAGGCTGAGCGGTGGGTTGTCGGCGTGCGAGGCCAGGGGATGAGGCAGCGCAGAGAGGATAGCCAGTTTTGTTGGATGGTCGGCGGGAATGGCACGTTTGGCGGAAAGGCGGCGGAAAGGACCGCGTGACAGTGTGAGACGAGGCGTGGATATGAATCCAGTGCGGTGGTGACCAGGGAGTCAGGGAGAGCGAGCTTGAGGAGCATATGCGTGTGCGCGGCAAAAACGACATCGAGCGTTGTTGGACTGGACACTCGTTAGCGGGAATTCAGAGTCCACGCAGCCATACTACTCACATCTCACTGCCGTTAAAGAACTGGTAGTCTCCCAGCAGCTTGTCGTACACCTCGAACAAAGCTTTTGCTTTCTCCACAACCTGGCAAGTACCAGGTTACTAACGCTCTGTCAAGGCAGAATTCCACATACCTTCTCGCGCTCGAAACTCTTTTTGCAATGTAGCGTTTGCGCAGTGGGCCCGAGCTTGAACTTTTTCCGCCTCCCAAACACCACCCGGCGCTGTTCCTCCTCTTCCTCCTCTTCGTCTTCGGGGACATCCCAGAGCTCCACCGCCTGAAGCCGCGTCTTATGTGATGCTCGTAACCGGTTAGGGACGTAGTAGCGTTGCGGTACGGGCAGCATAGAAACGAGGGCGGGCCTGGTCACACCTGCCCAGTTGTCTTGCAGAGAGTACAGCATGTGGTTCTGGGGCAAAGTTGTGGAATCAGGATGTCAAACCTAAACGATTGGACTTACCACCAGATCTCCATAACAGGATTCTACGTGAGCGATGCGTGCCGTCAACTGTGCAGCCTGCACCGGGCTAAGTCCAGCATCCAGCTCTCGCGCATAGCGGAGTTTGCGGACGTAGGCCACTATGGGACTAAGGCCAGACGCGTAGTAGAGTCCATGGGTGAGGAAGGGGAGTTGACCTACAGAGAGACAGGACAGTCAATTCATTAGAACTGTTGAGGTGTCCTACCAGGATATTCAGACATACCGGTCGGAGAAAGGTCAGGGTTAGCGCAGTAGGCAATGGCGAACTGGCCCGGGAGCGCTAGCTGGACGTATAGGAGCGCCGCGACAGACACCGCATCAAATGAGAGAGCGTCGCCGTATTTTGGCCAGACATGGAAGACGAGGTCGCGGGAGGCAAGGGAGGGAGAGAGCTTCGATTCGCTCATGGCGTCCAACGCTGCACAAGCACAAGTCCCCCCGAAATTACGCGCTCAGGTGACGCAGCGTGACGCTTTACACGCATGTCACACGCCGTTCTGTGTGCGTGACGGTGACACATTTGGGCGCCTGTTTTGCGGTCCCTCGATCACTCCAGCGTCTCACTCATCCTCCTGCTCTCCGCTTACACCCTGGGCTGCACGCGGCGGTGGTACTCTACACCAGCCGCCATACACACCCCCTACCCTCGTGCTCTCCAAATTACATATAACACTATGGCTGACGACGAGGACCTCATCGTCGTAGACGACCTCGACGACAACGATGCCTTCCAGCCCTCCCACCGGGCCACGCCCAAGAACCAGCCCCAGCGCAGCCTCCCCCCGCGCGCGTCGCGGCCCACGCGCCGGATGAGCACCCCGCCCTACATCGACCCCTCCGAGGGGCGCACCACGCGCTCGTCCGCGCGCGGGCCCAAGATCCAGCCGAAGCTCAAGCTCAAGCTGAGCGAGAAGGCCGCCGCGCAGGCCCCGGGCATGTCCTTCCTCGGCCCGTACGACCGCGAGCTCGACTCGGACGAGGAGGAGCTCGTGTTTGAGGAGCAGTTTATTCTGCGCATGCCGGCGGGGGACGACTGCGACCGGTTGCGGAAGATGGTGCAGGCGCGCGAAATCAGCGATGATGTGTGGTTCAAGTTCAAGGGTGTGTCTGTTTATACGTGCGCGCGCGGGGGGACAATGTTGAATATGGGCACCCACAGATTCTCGGAGAGCGGTGTTTCACATTGGGAACAACACATACTCCTCGAAACTTGTGGACTTGCCATGTATAATCGAGTCGCAGAAGACCCTGGACAACAAGCAGATGTTTAAGGTGGCGGACATTTGCCAGGTGCGTTCGCCCTTTCCTGCCGCTTGTTCCTTTTCTTAGATAGCCGCTCTGTGGCAGATGCTGGTCGTCGAAGACAAGATAGCCGGCGAGGAGTCGCTTTCAAATCAGAAGAGCTTCAATATTGACGAGTTCATCTGGCCACACGGCATTACACCCCCACTCAAGCACGTCCGACAACGAAGGTTCCGGAAACGTGTGAACCGTAGAGTACGTCCATATCCACCCACCGCCCACGACAGTATCCCTCATATGTTATTGTAGACGATCGAGACAGTCGAGCAGGAGGTCGAACGGTTACTCGAAGAGGACGCGCTCGCGTCCGAAGTCAAATACGACGTGCTGGAGAACGTCAACCCAGACCTGTCCGACTCCGAGCTCATCGAGCACGAGAACGTGCTGGACCCCACCACGCCCGGCTTCGCAGGCTCCGACGGCGAGGGTGCGCCGACCCCAGGCGGCACGCTCGCCGAGGGCGACGACGACGGGGGCGACGACGGCCGCGGGGGGCTCGCGCGCGACGAGGACGACGAGGCGGAGGGCGACATCGACGAAGAGCTCGCGGCGGAGCTGGATCTCGCGCTCGGGGACGACGAGGACGACGAAGAAGATGACGAAGACGACGAGGACGACGAGAGCGACGACGATGACGATGAGGACGAGGACGACGAGGACGCGGTGCAGGCGCGGCGGCTGCTCAACGAGGAGATCCACGATCTGGAGGCGGCGGTGGCCAAGAAGCGCACCGAGATTGCGAGCTCGGCGAACCCGCTCATCAAGGTGCGTTCCGTCTTCCCTTTGTCGTGGCGATGCGGCGGGTATACTCACAGGGTGCCTTCTATAGCGCCGCTTCGACGACGCCTTGAAGAAGCTGCAGGCGGACTTGGACATGAAGATGGCGCAGCGCGACGAGATGAAGGAGCAGCAGCGCCTCCGGAAGGAGGGCATCATTCCTGGTGGCGCTGGTGGTGGCGGCCAGGATGCGGACGACGATGATGCCGAGGAGGACGAGGACGAAGGCGACCTCTTTGGTGAAGATCCCGGGAACGCGATGGAGATCGGTTGAGCGACCCCCTCCCGCTGAATATCTTCACGCAGTCGATTGTGCTTGCTCGTATTATTATCCCGTGTAGAACAGTTGTATTATAGGGACCACGCGCACTAATGCTAGGACGAACACACATAACCCTCACCGCGGCAGAAAACACACCAACCCCGCCTGCAACACAAGCGGCACATACACAACACACACAAACGGCACAAACCACACCCCGAGCACCTCCCACCGCCACACCGCCTCCCGCACCTCCCGCGGGTACAGCACGAGCCAGCCCAGCCCGAGCGCGCCGTACCCCGCGTACTTCGCCAGCCTCCCGGACAGCGACGATTTCGGCGACGCGGAGGAAGAGGATAGGGAGAGCGGGAGCCCGAGCGCGACGGCGAGCGCGGCGGCGAGGGAGAAGTTGAGCACGGAGGTGATGGAGACGAGCGCGGACGCGAAGCAGAGGTTGAAAGCCTTGAGCACGGCGGGCACGGAGGCGTGCGTGGGCGGGGCGCGCGGGAGGGCCTGTGCTGCGAGGGGGATCGTGGCGAAGAGTGCGACGAGGAGGGGGGCGGTTATCTGCATAGGGCGGGCGGTCAGTCGCACTGTTGCCGCTGGGCGGGTGGAGGCGGGAGAGGACTTACAGATGGGTGAGCCGCGTACCAGGAGCTGCTGATTGGCACGAAGAGCAGCGCGCCGAGCAAGTGTGTGAGCGCCATGATCACCACTGGCTGCAGGACGGGCCTGTGCCGTCTTCGCCATTTTTTCTCTGCGTCTTGCGACGCAGCCTTCTCGTCCTTAGTGTCGGCAGCCGCGAGCAGATCTGCTGGAGAGTACGTCCAACCAGCGTTGACCCACTCCCCGAGACCGGTGAAGAGCATGGCGGTGCCGACCAGAACGGCGCTCGGCAGGTAGCTCCCGATCTTCATGAAGGTGCCAGGCGCGACGAGGAGGTAGAAGAAGAACGAGGCGTGTAGGCGTTCGAGCAGGTTGTTGCACGTCCGCAAGGAGGATTCCAGGACCCTTCGCGATGCAGCGGCGTCAGATCTGGGTACGCATTACGAGAGATGAGTTCGTACCGTCCGATAGCATGGAAACCATGGGGGCCGGTGGCAGGAACGGCAAACAGGGTGAAGGCGTCGATGCGGAACCTACCATTCACGTTAGCATTGTCACCTTTAGAGAAACATCGCCGGCATACTGATGGAACAGCCCATGCACGCCGCTTGCCGCCCCTCGAGCTTGATAGTTCATATGCCTACGCACGTTTCTGGCCCGTGCGGCATATTCTTGAACCTCGGCGTTTTGTGTCAGCACTGCGGGGAGCCATGACGGGAGCAAGCTGGGTTGATTGCGATCCTCTCTGGGGTCGATGTGGTCGTACACTACCACGGGGACACCGGCGGTATAGCGAGATATCAGCGAGACGGAGTTCATGAGGTCCTGGTTTGGTAGTCTCCCGTTGAGGCCCTCTACAGCGATTAAGTACGTCAGAGGGAGGGTTGTAGTGAATTTTCCTTACCGAAGAAGAAGCCAAGGTGAGAGAAGGAATGCCCCGGGTAGTCGATGTTCAATGCGGTCCATATGACACCAGATTCGAGGGTGATTGGTTCGGCTTTGAGGTCTAGTGCGGACATCAGTATCGCGAACGCAGATTGTCACTGACTCCTTGCGCACTCGGCTGAGTTTCCCCATGGTAGGTGGTAATCCACGCTTGCATGCCATCTAGGTAACCGTCGCTGATGACGAACACCAGGTCTTTCGCCCACAATGAATACTCTGCAAGACAATTAGGTATATTTGGCGTGCATATGAGTTCAACAACTCACTCTTCAGATAGCTAGATATGGCAAGGACTGTAGCAACGCCACGTAGGTTAAGCGTTCCGTCGCCTTCCCCAGTTCGGCTCAGCCATGAAGCACTGATGACGATCGTCTCGGTTCCCGAGGCTCGAGGAGACGAAAGTAAAGCGTAGGCATTCGTGCCGTTTATAGTCTGGATAAACAGCGGTCAGCTAACCTGATCGTGGGGACGCATGGTTCGTCAAAGTGTTTACTTCTGCGGCCGTAGTAAATGAATATTGCTGCGTCCGTGCGGGGATTCCATACTTCTCGAACTCGGCGACGGCATACTGTGCAATCCTACAGGAAGAAGTTTGAGGGGTAACTGACGAGAGTGCGCTGAGTAGAACTCACTCATCGCTACTGGCGTTCCGGTCGCGCAGTTGTTCTAGGTCGGCAAGGATGGTGTCCGCACGATGTACGTCTCCCCAGCTCCAGTACGTGTTAACCTAGCACAGGTTCCCGTTGCTCAATACAGTGATACACAGCAGACAACATACCGCATACCTGGCCAGGTTGCAATGCATTCTCGTCAATGTACGTACCTTGGCCCAGCTGAGAAGAGGGTATCACGAGAAGCCAAAGGTATCCAACGGTAAGGAGCAGCAGCCTGCGCGCACCCCATGAGCCTGCAACGCAAGCACACACGCCTCAAAAAGCTGACCTTATGTATGGCAAGCCCTTCCATACGCGTTCCCGCAGAGCGCGCTGACGTCGGATTTTGTTGACGGTGGGGTTTCCCTGGCCACGCAGCTTCTGTTTCACGCGCAGCAGTCCATTCCTGAGTTTATCCATCGCGTCTAGTGGTTTCACTTCACGGGAAGCGTTCAGACCATGTAGAGACCAACCAGAACGAAAGCCACCGGTGTGCAAGGTCTCGGAGAGTGTCGTGGTACAGTGGAGAGTGAGTGCCGCAACGTACGCGGGGCAGCGCGCTGCTAGTCGATCATTCCGTCATTCTCGGAGCGCTGACTCCCTGAAGTACCTCATCTCAAACAACGCTCGTCCTCGCCTCCTCCTCAAGGTCGACGCATGTCGGTAGCAAGATGTCGGCGACAGAGGTCGACAGCAGTATTGAGGTTAGACCGTCTTGGACTTGCTATGTGTTTCAAACCACTTCTAGCCTTTCTTCTCCCTCGCAGCGTTTCACAGGTGTATACCGCTAGTCAGGGCGGCGAGCCACCTTCGAATCCCAAAACGATAGTGGAACACTCGACAACCACGCCTCGGACTCAGTCGCATCCTTCCGAACTCGCGACGAAAAATCTCCTGTGCACGTCTTGCAAGGACGCCGTCGCGGCCTGTTCTGCCCTACAGAGCCACGAGAAGCCTCCTCGGGGCAAGTCTCGCCTTTGCTCTTATGCCGATCGCAAGGCTCTGGAGTCGTCTGCGACGATGTGTCCGTCCCAGGCCTCTAACACACAATCGTGCCATCTGTGTTCCCTCATCTTGGGCAGGATCCGTCAAGCAGAGTTTTGGCGGCAGCCGCCTGAGGATCTCCCTCCCCCTCCTGAACCTATCAACGTATACTTCACAGTCGGGCGCACAGGTGGGACTACGTTGGAGATCGAGGTAGGAGAGAGCGACAGGCAGCGCAGCGTGGGTTATCTCGTGGTCGTTCCAGCAGACCATGAAGAGGCCATGTCAGTGTCTGACACTCCCGACAATCCTTTCTTCAAGTTCTCTGCCACCAGCCCCAAAGGTACTACGGGCGTCCGCAGGAGTGCCCGCCTCGCGAAGTCGCTTGCGTCAGAAGCATCATTCTCTCTGGCTCGAGAATGGTTAACGCAATGTCTTGAAAGTCATGCCGAGTGCACTGAGGCAGCAAGACTAGCGGTGGGACGTCCTTACAGGCTGGTCGACGTCGGAAACGACAACAGTGTAGACCCGAAGATCATCGTCATGGATTTCTCAAGACCGGTGCCTCCATACCTCACGCTGAGCCATTGCTGGGGCGGTGCAAAAATCCTCCGGCTTCTCCTGGGGAATATCGACATCTTGAGGAAGGGGATTCCGATGCACGAGCTACCGAAGACTTTCCAAGATGCCGTCGTCATCACCAGGCGCCTGGGGTGAGTACTAGCGTCCTTCCAAAGTACACTGGCCGCCGGCTCGTACTGAAATACAGACCAGATACCAGTACATCTGGATGGACTCCCTCTGCATCATCCAGGACTCCCCGTCCGACTGGAAAACCAACGCAGCCATCATGGGCGAGATCTACGCCGGGTCGGTCTGCACAGTAGCCGCACTCACCGCGCGCAACGCCTACGACGGCGGGTGCTTCTTCGAACAAGCCCGCAGCCCCCTTTCCTACCGCCACTGTCAGCTCTCTCCCCACTGGACGGTGAAGCGAAACTCCTACCTCGCACCAGACATGAGGCTGCGCCCGTCGTGGTCGCCGCTGGAGCCGTTTCCGCTGCACACGCGCGCGTGGGTCGTGCAGGAGCGGCTGCTCGCCCCACGCACGCTCTACTACGGGGCGACGGGGCTCGCGTGGGAGTGTGCGGAGTGTTCGGCGACGGAGAACGTCCCGCACGGGGAGGTGGCGGAGTTCTCGCCCAAGGCGTCCTTCTTCGAGATCATGCGCCAGCTTAGGCCCGCTGTCCAGGAGGAGGAGCGCGGCCCCGACCCGGAACTGCAAGAGAAAGTGCATGCGTTGTGGCTGACCATCCTCGCTGCGTACGGCCGGTGCTCCCTGACGAGGTTCGACGACCGGCTCGTGGCTGTCTCCGGTGTGCTCAGACGTGTCGAGGCGACGACCGGGTGGCGGAGTATGTGGGGCATCTGGAGGGATAGCGTGCTGGTCGATCTGCTGTGGTTGGTCGACAGACCGAGTGTGAGGCCCCCAACCTCGGACTACCTAGCGCCGACGTGGTCCTGGGCCGGGCTAGAAGGGGCCGTGTTCATGGCGGTCGGGGATGGGAAGGGATGCGAGTGGGCTGCCGAGGTAGTCGAAGACGGGGTGCTCCAAGACGGCCGCGGATACGTGAAACTCAAGGCCATGGCGAGGCAGATGACTCTTACTGCCTAAGGGAAACTGTATCCAGCCTCTGACGCTCCGCAACCCCGCTGGGCCGAAGTGAGTTGGGATCCAGATGAGCGGCTGGAGACCAGGTGGACCACCGATGCATCTCCCGAGTTGAGCATCTCCCGAGTTGAGATGCATCCTTATAGCCAGACTGTCGAATTATTTAGGACAAGGAGTGCCGGTCTTCGAGATAGGCCTGGTCATCGCGAAGGTTGGCGGGCATGACGGGGTATGGACGAGGTTGGGGTTGTTCAATCAACCAAGAGATCGTCCTGTGCCGCTCTTCCCTGATAATCCTGACGAAGTGGAACAATTGACCCATACCGTCGTCGTCGTATAGTATTGTACATCGTACGTTGCACCTTGACACCCTGGACGGGTGCAGCCTCTAACACGCACCACACCATGGGCGTAGCCGCTAGCGGGGCACCTGGACGAAAGCTCCTTCGGAAGTTCTATGTAGCGGGGGCTAGCGGCCTTGCACATAAGGTATGTGCTCGAACTCGACGACGGCTACACTCCACCTACGACGAGATCATAACATTGATGCATTCACCGTATCACATTCAATCCGCCCAAGCCTCAAGGTACATAATGTGAAAGAAATCGGCCTGCCGAGCATGGCACGGATTGTCAATAAGATGCTGTATAGATCTATGTATTTTACAAGGTCCAATGCAAGGCGTCGAAGTCAGCTGTTTACAAGAGAATGGTGCCCGAGAGCGTGAGGGGGCGGGCGCCGCCAGGCCCGGCGGTGCCCAAGACCACCCGTCAGAAAGCGAAGGCGGGAGCGCCGGCATTAGGTTAAATATTCTGGCATACAGTACAGTTGAACGTGATGTGGTCCCGGAAGAGCGCGGCTGTGGACTCGGCGTAAGTATGGTGGTAGCCGACAACGAGGAAATGAACGTACGGAGAACGATGAGCGCGGCGAGGAAAGCGACGACGATGATGTAGACCAACGAGTACTTGACCACCTGGAAGACGGGTCATGAATAACCATGCAAACGCATAACTAATGGTCGACACTTACAATCCACCTCCGCTGGCGCTTCTGCTTGGTAGAGAAGAGCGGCGGCCGGATCTGCTTCGAAGGACGCAGCCAGACTGTATCGCCTGTAAGCAACGACCCACAACACAGACAAAGACCAAAGAGGACTTACACATCATCATGGAGTGCAGCTTGTCGACGAACGGAACGAGCATGGGCGGGGTCATGACGATCAACAACAGATGTCCGAGCAAGAAGTCCGACGTCCAGAGCGACATCTCCACGATCTTCACCACGAACTCACGCGCAGGTTGCGAGAACGCCGACGAGCCGAGCCCGCGCCCGTACCACTTGCCAGACCACCATGCCCTGTTCGTCTCGTCGTGCTTCAACTCACGCGACAGGAAGACCGAGATGAGGATCTTCTGGATCGCGCGCTGGATCGCAATGATCGCGATGATACCGAGGACGGCGTGCGAGGCGTCCCAGAGCTCGAGGAACCACTGTGACGATGGGTTAGTCTACCTGCGAGGACATGTGGGAAGCTAGTGGACTCACGAAGAACTCGAAGAACGCGACGAGACCGACGAGGCCGAGGAAATGCGCCAACGCGGCCATGAACGACGCGAAGCGGGCCCACGACTCGAGCATAGGCCCGAGGAAGAGCGACACGAAGAACAGCGTCAGGAGCACCGTCGCGTTCCACACTACCGGGCCCACGGCGATGACCGCAATGCGGATGAGCGCACTCGGGTTCTGCTGGCCGTTGCGGTCCGGGAAGGACTTGACGAACATGTACGCGACGACGAAGATGGTCGCACCGCAGAGCGGCAGCAGCACCTCGGAGAATAGCACGCTCCGCCACTTGGCACGGGGCACGTCGCCGGCAAGCTTCTCGGACGGGTGTCCGAGCTTCTTCTTCTTGTAACCGGTAATCATCGTCCGCGAGAGACGGCAGTAGCCGTACCAGGAGCTCGCCTTCGTGCGCGAGTTACCACGCGACATCCAGCGCAGGAACTCGCGGTAGTCGATGATGAAGTCGGGGAACGAGAACTGATGGGGGTTGAAGACGAATGGCGCGATGCAGAGAGAGAGGACGGAGACCCAGAAGTAGATGAGGAATGGCGTCCAAATAGACATGGTGGCGTAGAGCAGCAAGAGGAGGTTCCGCATCCCCATGTAGATGCTGGGTCCGGCGAAACGGGAGTAGAGGATGGTGAAGGATATACGCGTCGTCGCGAAGCCACGGCCCGTCGCGATGTACCGAGCACCACCGAACGTCAAGTTGCTCAGGATGGACTGCGAGTAGATCTGGGTCGAGAAGACTTCGAAGATGGGCGAAAGTGACAAGAAGTGCTTCCCAAGACGTATGAGCGCCTTGCCAGTACCGCGCTCGAGCAGCTCTGCAATTGTAATATCAGTAGCTGACTTTCACTAGATCATCGCAGGGACGCACCTTGCATGAACAGTGGCAGGAATGCAATGAAGAAGACCAGGAAAATGGAGATGATACAGTGCTTGATCCAGTCGAAGACCGGGATGAGGTTGTAGCAGCCAGGCTGCCCGCCGAGAACGTTGCCCTTCGAGTCGACCTTGCAAATAGCCAGCTGCTTGTTCAATGTGCCGAGGTAGAGCACTATAGAACGTGTCAGCCAAATTCGCCGCACCACCGCAACCGCAAGCCTGGGAGTACTCACGAGTGACCATGAACGTCTGAATCGAGTAAATGACCAGGATGTTGTTGATGTGGAAACCGGGGTGACCGTAGTAGAACGTGAGGAAGCGGTCGACGGGGAGCTGCGTGCCGAGGTAGTAGTACTCGCGACTGAGCATCTGCTCACCCATACCCGTCCCGAGCTTCGTCTGGAAGTTCAGAATCGTGCCGAACCCAAGATCACGACCCTTTCCGCACTGGTAGTACTCGGAGTGCTTGATGCGTCCACCACGGCTGATAGCCGTCATACCCGCGAAAATATCCTCGTTCAGGTGGAGACCCTTCTGCGCCTTCGACACACCGCCACGCGTCGCCATGAACGTCGCATTCAGGAAATCAGGGTGACCGTAGTGCAGCTTGCCGCCGATCCACGCGAGGACACGCGGCGTGAGCGTACCGAACGTCTGCTCCTTGCCTGCAGCGATGTCGCCCAGAATACCGATGTTCTCCGAGAAGATGTACTCGCGCGTGCCGACGATCGCGACCGGGAACTTCGAGAACTCCTTCTGGCCCCACTGTGCATACGGGCTCTGGCTCGAGACGCTGTACTGCTCGAACTCGCCCAAGATGTTCCGGATCTTGATACACTCCTCCAGGTAGTTGTCCTGGTTGGCGTCGATGAGCTGCAGGAACTCGCCGCGGTAGAACACGATCGCGTGATTCTGGTTGTCCGACTTGCCGTCACCGAGAATAGGGTTACCGGGGAGCTCGATGCGGAACTTCGGCTTGCGCTTTCCAGTCTGCTCGTCCATCTCCGAGTGGCCGTCGATGAGCACCGAGAAGAGACGCGGGTCGCCGCCCTTCGGGGCGGGCTCTTCGTCCAGGTACGCAATCTGCAAGTCGGGGTACGCACGGAGCAGGAACTCGGCGTTCTCGAGCTCCTCCTTGTTGAATTTGGCGTAGCGCTGCATGGACACCGTGAACTTGAACTTGCGGCGCGACATCCGCTCCAGCTCGCGCTCGAGGCGGTCGGTGTTGCCAGCGAACCGCTGCACGATCTGCGGGTTTTCGACGCGGTACAGGAGCTTGATCGCCTTGGAGTAGTTCATCATACCGGAGACCGTGCGGTACAGGGTCTGTGCACGGAGGGACGCCCAGATACGAGTGCGGAGGGTGTACTCCGGCGCGGCCGTCTTGAAACCAATGCAGTAGAACGGCAGATCGTCGGTGCGCTTGCTCCCGGACTTCTCGTTGGTGCTCTGAGTGCCATCGAACGTCGCCGTCTCCGACTCCTCAGCCAGGATCTTGGTGTCCTTCACGAAGTTGTCCCACTCGGTCGGGTGCAGCTGCTTCAGGTACTCGAGCAGCGTGACGCGGGTGTTCTGGTCCTCCTCCCTGATGATCTCGCGCAAGCTGAGCAGGATCTTCTCGGAGTAGTGGGGAACAAGGACGGTGAACGTAGGCATGGACTCCACGGGCAGCGGCTCCGGAAGCGCGGTCGTCAAGGACGAGGCGAAGAACGAAATACGGCGCTCCGCCTCTCCACCAGCCGGGAAGAAGTCGGACTCGTTGCCAGTGTTATTGGTGAAGAACGGAGGCGCGCGGAGAGTGCGGCGACCATCGGGGCCGTCGACCTGGTGGTAGAGAAGGCGCTGGACGTGGTGGATGGACAGCAGGTGCTCGCGGTACATAGAGATAATGATAGCGTTCCAGACTTGCGACACAAGAACCTTCGAGGCTGTCAGCGCCCCCATCTTACAAGATTAGGGTATGGTATAGACGCACCTTCGGCTTATACTTAACCTCCATCTCAGACGTAGCGAGAAGCTTGGCGTAGATCCGCTTCGGCATCCGAGTGTACACCTCCTTCCACGGCGTCCAGATAGAAAGCCCCAGATGGAACGACCGTGCAACACTGAATACGACGATCCAGATGATGTACCACAGGTACGTGTCCAGGAAGAACAGGATGAGGTCCATGACATACATGATCGCCAACGCGAACGGAACCTGGTTGGAACAGAGCGCACTGCCGAAGTACTTGTCGTTACATCCCTGAACCTTCGTCCGCGCCATGACAGCGATGGGACTGGAGAAGGACGACGTCAAGAAGAAGTATGACTCCACGAGCTTGCAGCCGAAGATCAACAGCCACAGGGAGATCGACGCGACACGGGCAGTCCTGCCGAGGTTGGGGTACGAGGCCGTAAAAGTCTGCGAGGCCATGTACTTCCGTGACTTTCCGCGGACACGATCGCCGAACATACGTCCAGAGGGGATGATACTGAACGCGACGGCGGCCACAATCGAGATGAAGAACTGGGTGATACCGATGATGAGCGGGATGTTGCCCTGGTTGGGGCGGTCGTCGACGAGAGCAATGTAGAACGTGGGGCCACCAGTGAGTGCGAGAACGATGAGCAGGAAGACGAGCCGAGTGGTGAGGTGACCGGCGTTATGCCAGCTGGTAGGAATGTACGAGAACTCCGCGATCGTAGCAGCAATCATGATGAGCGTGGCGACCGCTCCTCCGAGAGCGGTGGCGGACCATGTCATAGGCGCAGACGGGCTCTGCTTGTTCTTCGGCGCGTAAACCTTGGGAGAGTTGAACGCAGTGTAGAACCAGTAGAACGCAATGTGGATGATCCAGATACGGTTGAAGTTCACCAACAGATGCGCCCGCGAACGCTTCTCGAAGAACGTCTTGAAAAATACGCGACTCCAAGCGATGCGACCAAACTTGGTGAAGCGCTGTGCTGGAGGTACGTCGATGAGGCGCGTCTGTATATGACAGTTAGATCTCCAGGTGGCAAACAGCGCAGCAGAATACTCACGTTATCCTGGAGGACAATCTTGGCAAGACCTTCAGGATACCAGAACAGCTGGTTGATGTCGTCGTAGCCAATGATCTGATCGTGATCCTTCTCGCGACGGACGAACTTCCCGTCAACGACCTCGTACCCCTGATCCCGCATGAAGCGATACAGCGGCTTGATGACCGTCTCGAGGTAGAGGCCCTCGGGAACGGGGTCGATCCGGTTCTGGCACTCGGGACTCCGGTAGTAGTCATCCGCGCACTTGAAGATGAAGCAGAGACACTCGGGAGTGAAACGAACGTTGCCGGCCTCGCCCCAACAGAGCAAGTACAGCGCAACCTGCCGGAGGCGGTCGTACTGGCTCATGTTGTTCATCGCGTTCCTCCACCGGTTGAGGGCGCTATCCAACGACTTCGTGTTGCCAGTCTTGGGAGCGCCCTTGACGCTGCGCAGGCGCTGCAAGCCCGGGTTCTGGGACTGACCGACGGCATCATCCAGGTTAAGCTGCGCGGCAAAGTACCACTTGCGGTAGTTGGCGTGCTGGCCACCAATGTAGTCGGCGTGGACCGTTAGGAGCGCCTGGTTCGGCGTCATGCGGGATGCCCTCGAGTCGAGGATGGTCATCAGGAAGTCGAACTAGTGGATTAAAACTCAGCCATTAAGCGAGACACTATGGAGCGAGAGAGCGCACCATGTTGCGCATCGAGTCCTTTTGAAACCCGAACTTCTGAGCGAGGTCCAGGAAGATATCCTCGATCTCCTCGGTGGACATGGGTATCTGGCGGTCCGCAGACCACGCAGGGTATTGGTCGCTGGACCCAGGGATGTCGGAGAATGGGTTGTTCGGCGCAATGCTCGTGCCGGTGCTCATGTGCGACTCGACAGAGGCACTGTAGTGCCGGTTGTACTCCGGGAAGTTTGCCTCATCGCCGGCTGCAGTGGTGTATGTCAGTATAGGCACTTGCTCAGACGAAGAGGGCTCCGCAGATGACCGCCCGGACGAGACAGCGGAGGAGTGGGAATAGAGGGCGACGGACTCCGTCGACGACGTGTCGTGGACGGGTGTGTAGGTGGGATACATGTTGAAGGGCGCAGTGGGCTGCGCCCGTCGTTATATCGTATCAGCGCCTCAGCCTCCTCGGCGGTGTCTCACTCCATCCAGGGATGGTATTCGCCCCTTCCGAGTGGTGATGTAGATCGGAGCAGGCGAGCGTCCGAATGCACTGCTTGCGGTATTTGCAGACAGGAGGGGGGACTCACACTGGGGGGTGTAGGTGCCGTCATAGTAGCCCGACGACGTGGCGAGGGGGACGCTGCTTGCGTTGCGGCTGGTATACGATTCGGCGTCGGAGTCGTTGGAATACTGGCGGGCGTATTGGCCTTGGTTAGAAAATGGATTCATTGGTGGTGGCTGATTAAAGCCAGGACCAGGGCGCGCGGCCATTGGAGGCGAAAAAAGGGCTGCGTTTGCGGCGGCAGTCGGCGCAGGAGTGCACGAAGGGCGGCAGGTGGTCAAAGGAGTGAAACGACCGACAACAGCTGGTGTTGGGTCTGGGCTGGAGGGAAGAGAGGATAAAGAGGAGGAGATGGGGTCGGTGTCTGGCTGTGACGGGGGCCTTGTTTGTACACCCAACAACCGGTTGCGTGGGAAGCCCGTTGCCGCCCTCCCGCCTCCGCCTCTTCCAGGGTCCCCCCGCTCTGCCGACCTCCATCAGTCTTTCCTCGCTCCGTCCTCGCCGCCCGGCACAGGCTCCTCCTTGTGCGCTCGACCGCGCGGACGGTTATGTTGGGCGACTTCGCACACGGACTGCCATATTTTTGCGCGACCGGCATGTCCTCAAATCCGCAAAGTCTCCGCGAGAAGCGCGCAGCAGAAGCATCCCGCGAAACAGATGCGGCAACCAATCTGCGCACATGTCCACTGTGCGCCAAGACCTCATTGTAAGTACGTATATGTCGTAGTGTATCTCCGGTGCGTCCGTGTGCAGCCCTCTCCTCCTCTCACACCTTCCTCGCCGCTCTAAGCAACGGCCGACCTGCCCGTGGACGGGCAGACGTCAGCGAGCAGATGACCATCATCCGTCATACGTCCATCCCGCTTCCAAGTGACCGCAGCGATGTGGTATTGGTCCGGACATCCTGCAGCGCCCGGAGAACGAGCGGCTCGCTGACCAAAACAGTGCTTGTGCTGAAATCAAGATCGTCGTGTTCTAAAGCGTCACAGAGCCGCGCCGCATGCGACACATGGCGTCTCAGACATACCCGCCCGCAACCCGCCCCGCGCGGTCTTGTGGACGCGAAGTACGGATCCATATTCCTTGACCCAGCCGTGCGAAGTAGGATAGCAATAATCGATACACGCAGGCCTACGCCCTGCACTTGGATTATACAAGTTGATGTGGATTAGGGTATCAAGACGTTAGTAATGCAAGTATGCGGGTGCTCTATATGCTGGGTGAGAATGATGCAGGTACTATGCACGCGAACAAGTTCAGCGAACATCGACGGCGGCACATTGTCCAAGAAGCTCACCAGTAAGCTGCGCCATGATGGGCAGCGGACGAATGCACAAGGCCCGGCCACCTCAGGCCTCTTGCACTATGGTAACGAGGACGGTGACGCTAGCGCTATGGTTAGCCAAAAGGGTCTGGAGCCTCGACAGCGTGTCTCGACTCACTCGTCCACTTTCTATGAACGCGGACAGTCAGGAACGGTTTACACACATGTGAAAAGGTCGAGACTCACTCCTCCACGGAAATACATGCCCTCTCGCGCAGCGGCACGCTCGAACGGACTTACGCGCTTCCGATTGTGCATGCACATGCGAGCGTATTCCACGATACGTTCCGCCATGGCCTGGGCCTCCGTATCTTCCACTGCCTCGACGGACTCTTGCTCGCCAGTCGTTGTGAGTGTGCGCTTTGTCATCTGGGACTGCCGCGCGACCATAGAGCATATGGTAACCATCTCTGCAGGGAACACGTTGTCCGACAGCCCGTCGGTCTGGAGGGATATATTAGAACCAAGATAGCCTAGAGGACCACGTGTGACGTACATATGCAATGACGATATCGCCGTGGCGCAGCTTCATCTCGCATAAGTCGGCGTCGCTGGGATGATCGACACAAGCTCGAGAGAAGCGCTTTTCTGATGTAGGCAACTTCGACAGTTGTCTAATGGATGATTCATGAGCAGAAGCAACAGGCGCGAAGAAGTTGTGGACAAACTTTGGGCAGTTGAAGAAATGTGTCTGGGATCGTTGTGTGTAGATGACCGCGGAAGCGCGTATAACCAAGAATCCGCTATCGCCCAAGCTATCGGAAAGTGAGAGTCAGTACATTTCGCAGCCAACAGAGCGGTTTAGACATACTTCGCTGCGCGCAATACCCCATTTGACGCGTTGAGCGTAAGTACGCATGCGGTACTCGAACCTGTGGACGCCCCCATACATGAAGACATATCCTCGGTCGTTCGGTTAGAAGAATGCTCACCAGCAAGGACATTACGTTCTCGTAGCACGCCGCCGTAGGCAGACTCAAGGCACTCTAATGGTGTAAGTTCCCAGCCTTCGACCTGCTCACGCTCTTCGTACTCCTGTGTCGGGTCGACCTCTGGCTCGCCGGGCCATGCCACCTTGGAGTAGCGATGTGCGTGATACATGAGTGCTTGGGAGAATAATGACGGGTCCACTCCAGACTCTGTCCATCCCCCCACGCCGTCCGCGACACCAAGTGATACGCCCTGTAACAGTAGTTGAAGACGCGTGAGACGAGGCGCGAACGCGCCCATGTAGGTGAACTCACTGATTTCTCGCGCATCTGTACACCCGTATTTAGTATTCTTAAATGTCTAGCGTGAACATAAATACTCACATCTTGAACATAAAAGAAATCCTCCCCAATATGCGTTCCGGCAGGCGCGTTTGGCCGCGAGAGTATTGTGTCTCTCCACTTGCCTATCGGACTGTCTGCCGGGAACGGACTGGTCTTCACGCGGGGTCCGCGCGGGTCATGAGGCTTCCCAGCCCAGCTTGCACCGACATGAAAGCGGTACGGGCGCGGTAGCGATGAGTAGTTGCGGACGTTGCGGACGGCGCCGGGACATGTTGGCGGTGACGCGCGGGTAGCACTTTTGACAAAGGGGAGCGCAGAGGAGACGTTCATCGACAAAGCAATTCTCAGATTTATATGCGGTGAATGCGGTACGATAGACGCAGCAGCAGAACGGTGCGCGCGAGATGTAGAGGTGGCTGAAGCAAATGCAGAGGATGGTGGAGTTGGCGTGAGTGTCAGACGCGCGATCCGAGGACAAGCACCGCTAACTTGTGGATAAGAGGCGATGCTTCGCACGCCGGACCGATTCTACCTAAGCTGCATGTGGCACGCTTACTTAGTGTACTATAGGCTACAGCTCGAATTCTGAAAATGCTCGCAATATTGCATGATTTGAGGTACATGTAACATTCAAGCTTCAAGTCATTGATACTGCCTTTCCGTTATGATCGTTGTGTTTCTTACAATTCATCAAACTACTTATGTAGGCCAAAGCTGCCACATACAACATTTTCTTCGAGTCGTACAGATAAATTTATAAGAGCTAGCATAATTGCACACATACAGGTGCCTGTCGTCGAATTCCGAAGTGTAATAAAACTGTTAACATGCGTTGCGGCGCGGAGACATACAATACGGAGCACGCGCGGCTATTACCTGCGCGTGGGCGGTAGCTCCGCTTCTGGTTAGAACTGTTGCTGGACACATCCTCTGGCAGTGAGCGTTCTGTCGCCACGGAAATTGCAGAGAGTGAAAACATGGAGGACCAGGGTTCAGATGCTGAAACGACAGCGGCGAGTCCAACGAAACGAAACCGGCGTGCAGTAATAGCGCTCAACGTTCGGCATTTGCCGGTGGTGGGCTCCTCGCACGTGCACGCTGCAACCTAATGCTAGCTGATAATCCGATTCTTGGTAGAATCGGAATTTTTGGAGGCGCCCAAGATCGTGCTACGATGACGCCGATCACATGCGGCACGCGTCAAAGTCGCGCGCGGGTTCTCACCCGACGCGCCGTCCTTGTCCAGTTCGCCGCTCCAGCTGCAGACCATGCCTTGCGCTTCGAACAAGTCGAACATGGTTCGACTTACCATTTCTGTCGTATTTCAACACCGACCGTCTCAGGCTAATCCATGCGACTCGTAAGTACGACCAGTACATGATCTTAGACTTCAGCACCGGCACCACCGCTCTGCAGAACCTACACCTAGACACTTACCGACCGAATTGTCAACATGCCCCGAGGTACGCATACCGCATATAACTCCAGTATTACGACCACTGACATCACTCATCTTCACAACCGCATAGGAGCGAAAGCCCGGACATCTTGCTATGAAAGGCCGAGCTGTTTTCCCCGCGTCCTCTACGGTTCCCTTGACGGAGATAACACCAATGCGCTGCGGTCCTCGATGGGTCTCGAGCACGACGACGCTACTTTCAAGAAGTACACGGTAAGTTTCCAGATTGCTGACTGAAGACACACCGCATTATCAGTCCCCGAAACCGCTATTCCATGCTTACTGATACTGATCTTCAGACCATCATGAGCAAATGTGCTCACGAGTGCTTCTTTGACTCAAAGGTCTTGTCGTTTGGAAGGCAGCCTCCAAAGCGTATAGAGCTCTACATGGAGAAGGTTAGTAGGGCCGTGCACCTCTATCGACCAGCGAGCTAGTAGTCCTCACACGTAACCACCCCACACAGGTCAACAAAGCTCTGCCGATCCTCAAGAAGTACGACCAATCTTGGCCCGCTTCTGCGTATGTCAGAATCTGGATCAAGGGGAAGATCATTGCACAAAGGGTATGCTTCGCACGAACTCGCGGTCTTCGGCATACCGATTGATTTCTAGCCACAGCAGTATCCGCGTCGTCCCCGCACATCGTCCAAGGTACCACTCACCCGAGGTGCGAAGAAGGCGAAGGATAACGCAATCAGCAAGCATAAGGTACGTCGCAGAGCAGTGCAGACGTGTAGATGACAGAAACACTTACCGTGAGGGCATCCTTCTAACCAGCACGCAGCGAGGACATCTGCCCAGGTGATAGAGGTAAGGGACAGTTCACCTGCACAATCCACATCGCCCGTCGCGGGTAGAAACCCCGAGCGCGCCTTCGCCACTGCAGCCACACCACGCGCGTCCGCTCGGAACACCGCTCTCAGCCGCACCATGTCAATCGGAGGCGCCTCCACTGCCCGCTCTATCACAGCGGTCTCCACCAACAGCAACGGCCGTCAAGCCACGCACACCGGCCGCAAGACGCCTTACACCCGCACCACACCCACAGCTGCTGCCGCAGCCGCGGCCGACGGAGGCGCATCCGCCGGTGGTAGCGTCGCGCCTGTGCGGGCCTTCCTCCGCTCGCTCACACAACCGCTTGACTCGCTCCTCCCGGCGTTCCGTACGATCGGTATTCGGGACGCTGAGTCGCTGCGCAGCGTTGTCCGTATGGAAGGCTGGTACCAGTGGCTGTATATGGTGCTCATGATGGATACGCGCTGGGAAGTCACCGAGCTGCAGTGGAAGCACCTTGCCGACGGCTTGAAGCGTCTCGCAGCGGAGGAAAGGCCGTAAATATATTCCCTGGAAAGGCTGGATACGGGTTAGGATAAGCTGTCATTACGACGTTGTACGATCGTTTTGATAGGTGGGTCGTTCATTCGGTGCGCGAAGTGACTGACGTAGGCCGGCTGGGTCATATCAAATTTCTTTGTATACGTGCGTGAGTCCCATGTATGCTGTACGTTGCACTTGTTGTATGTTGTACTTGTTGTGTGTTGTACTTATATTTCGATAGCTGCACGGTATATGTCATCCTATGTCATCCCACACGAATACTGCTCTGGACGGCAGCAACTTTTCAAAATTTCAATGAGTAGGTGACGTCATGATTCGTGAAGCATTGCTGCAAAAGATATCCGTATTACACTGCCAATCCACAAACAAACTCTACAACGAGGCATGCGCACTCAGAGGGCGGACCGAGGTTGCACTACTCCGGGATGCGACGTGGTTTATATTGAAACAGTGATCACAGGATATGTTGTATAGAGGTAACAGATGGCGGGGCGGGGGGATACAGGGTCGTGAGCGCGTGAATTTACAGATCGTCGTCCTCTTCTGGGAGGGGGACGGCCTCGGCCTATGTGCGAGATGGTTAGCAAAACCGCGCATCATCACGGTTGGATCGGTACGCACCTGCGCCAACTCCCTCTGGTACTGCTCCATCAGCGCGGCGTCGACCTGGACCTCGGCGGGGGCAAGAGCGGGCGCGGCAACGAACTCGAGCGAGGGGTTGCTGCGGTAGTGGATGGGTCAGCGAACGCTACGTCGTAACATCTGCGCAAAAACGCACCCAACGAGCTTCCTGGCGAGCCACAGGAAGGGCTTCTCGAAGTTGTAGTTCGACTTCGCCGAGATCTCGAAGTACTGGATGTTCTTCTTGCGGTGGAAGGTAACCTGGCCGGTCTTGACTTTCCGCTCCTGCAATCACGACAGTCGTAATCAATATCGCGCATCGTTACAACGTATATAAAGAAAACGGTGCGTACCTTGACGTCGACCTTGTTACCGCAGAGGACGATGGGGATGTTTTCACAGACACGCTCGAGGTCGCGGTGCCAGTTGGGGACGTTCTTGTAGGTGATGCGGGAGGTGACGTCGAACATGATGATACCGCACTGGCCCTGGATGTAGTAGCCGTCGCGGAGACCACCGAACTTCTCCTGACCCGCGGTATCCCAGACGTTGAAGCAGATCGTGCCGAAGTTGGTCGAGAAGGAGAGAGGGTGTACTTCGACACCAAGGGTGGCTGCAAAACGCGGTGGCGCAGTTAGCATCCCCGCGCAGAAAATCGCGCTCTACGACGCGATTGCTGCACGCACCAATGTACTTCTTCTCGAATTCACCAGTCAAGTGACGCTGTGCAAAGAAAGTTGATCAGCACGCGATCGCGGGCATGGAAGGGCGCGCGAATGATGCATACCTTGACAAAGGTGGTCTTGCCGGTACCGCCATCGCCAACTGTGAGCCAGACGGTTGTATCACGTCGATTGATTGTTTTGAGGGGTTCGCGAGGGGAAAGACGCGAAATTGCACAAGTGGCACGGACATCGATCAAGATAGAGAGCGGGAGCACACAGTTTTCGTTAGGATACTGCATCGGTCTGTGCTGAATCGTGAGTACGCACCAAGGACGAGCTTGAAAGTGGGGATCGTGGACTGGTCAGCCATCTCGAATATCTAGGATATGAGAAGATGGTGGTGGGTGGAGGAAAAAGAAGAGATGCTGCTCGTCTGGTGAGTGAGGCGCGAACGAGAAAGACTTGCAAGATTGTATTAGGTAAGCCCCGGTTAGATAATCACGATCATCTTCCGTCCTTGGATCTGTATATGGGATCTCACCTAGTTCGACAAACGCTCATTCGCCTTTGTATCGCAAACATTCATTGTGAGACTAAGAGCTAGGAAACCGAAAGGCTCGCTAATCTTGGAAAAATATTCTAGGTATCTTGTGTGCTTACACGGAATTTCGGCGCATTTTCCAAGCGGACACAGGTATCCGCGGACCCCATGGAACGAAGCGGTAGAGCTGGTAGAGATTACCTCACCGGTGAGTATGATGTCGAGAAAGGTAAACGAAGATGACCAGGGACGATTAATGCTTCATGATCGTCATGAGGACCATATTGTCGCCGAGTAGTGGTCCCCGGCCTTCTGAAGCAAGTGCCCAATGATTAGACGGGCATGGAAATATTTCAAAGTTCACGAAGTGTGCCTTTGCACCGTTACGCATGTCTGCGCGGATTCATGAACATACAGGCCGGTGCTATGACTGCCCACTGGACCCTTACGACGCCGAAGATAAGGTGTAAGCAGATATAGCCTCGAGGCAGAGAAACCACGGTGCGCAGATGACGACGCTGGTCATGAGGCCACCATTCGATTGCCGTACGGACGAAAGGAGCTCATCGGCGGCCGCCAATGACACTTACGGCGCATGTGTCGAAGTGGACGTGACGATCTCGGTGCGGACGCAGTTCATCTACATGCACAGTTATCGGACGAGAATCCAAGCGGAAGTCTAGAACCCCTTCTGCGAGACGTACGGTAGGTTCAAACTTATGATCGTGGCGACAGTGAGGCCTTACGATGGTGCCGAACTTCGGCCGTCGTGGTCAGTAATTCTTGCGCAGAAAAGCCAGCTGAGACGTAGTTTCAAAGAACAAGGAAAGGGACTTGCAAACCTAACATCGCCTTCGAGAGTAACCGGTGAGCGTCCCTATGAATACGGGATCGGTAGGCTATGTAGGTTCAGTGGATCCGGACGTGCCACATACCCGCTGTCAATATGCCACACCACAGCTCGCGGACGTAGCACTTGGCGGAAAGTCCGGTCACCGCGCATCTCTCTGTACGTGAGCGTTGCGGAGGGTATGAGTCAACTCCGAGAGTGCTTCATGTGCGCAGCAAGCGTTCAGTAAGTCATGGGAAGAAGAACGATGGATTCGTGCAATGCTGCGATGGCGCTTGTAAGCGGCATTGAGCCGATGGAGACGGACGCATTCCCACCGTGCGCATCGACCTGGCGCTCGTATGGCAATCGGACATAGCACAAGCGCGGCAACCCATCGCGAACCTGTACGTAGGCGACGGCAAGAGGTGCTTGTTGTAGGTCCAAGTGTGCAGACAAACATGCCGGGAAGGAGTGAATATAGGTGGCAGGACGGCAGGAGGAGTCTAGACGAGTCAACGGGATATCCGAGATGTTTACCCAGGCTTAGAGTCCGTTAGACGCGAGCGATCGAGAAGGGACCGGCATCTCGGCTGTAGAACGGATGCGCGCCACGGCAGGGATCATTGGATGGGCTCGGAGGACGATTTGTCACGCCTCCGCATTCTCTAAATATCTCACCTGCTCATATGTCCCCCCTCAGCCTTTCCTGGTTTCTTCGCCCCGGCTCCCCGTCCTCCAGCTGCTACCGCTTTCTGCGACGTCCCAGCTCACCAAGAACGCGTCCGTACGATCTGCCTAGACCTCGTTCTCCGTAGCTGCTCTCATGGCCTCCGCCGCTATGGACTCCAAAGAGCTTGACCGTGATGCCACTCCTGCTCCGAGCACTGCTGATCCCGAGAAAGGGAGGAAGCCCGGCCAGCACTGGAAATACAACGAGGAACATGTCCTCCCGAAAAACAACATCCCCGTCGTATTCTGTGGGCTGATGTGCTGCACATTCCTCGCTGCATTGGATCAGGTATGTCCCTTGATCCCTGCCTCCTCCCCTAGTACGTATTAACCAACGTTGTCAAGACCATTGTTGCGACTGCTCTCCCTACGATCGTCGAGAAGCTTGGAGGGGGGAGCGATTACTCGTGGGTCGGCAGGTGCGTTCTCAGTAATGCCGTGTAAATCGGCTCGGTTTCTTACTCTGCGCAGCGCATATCTCCTTGCAACCTCCGCCTTGTCTCCTATATACGGTAAAATATCCGACATTACTGGTGAGTTCCAGATCCCTTTTCGTACAGCACTGAGATTGACGCCTTGCGACAGGCCGCAAACCCGTCCTCTATGTATCCATCCTAATTTTCCTGGTAAGTGCAAATGCTCCGGTGCAGAAGAGATAGCGGCTTACCGGGGTGTTCAGATCGGCTCCGCGTTGTGCGGTGCCGCGCAGAACATGACATGGCTAGTTGTGTGCCGAGCGGTTCAGGGTATTGGCGGTGGAGGCATCATTCAAATGGTGCAGATTACCATTTCAGATATAGTATCGTTGCAAGAGTAAGTTCACACGCCGGTGCATGTATACAGAGTACTCACCATACTTTTCCTCCAGTCGTGGCAAGTACGGCGGTTACATTGGTGCAACATGGGGCATAGCTAGGTTGGTTATTTTTTATTCCTTCTACCTATAGTTCTAACGGTATGCCATCAGTGTTATTGGGCCTCTCCTGGGTGGTGTAGGTGTTGCATTCGCGCATATACTGTTTCAAAACTCACTTTCTTGGCACAGGTTTTCACCGACCATGTTTCATGGCGCTGGCACGTTTTCTGTTTGGGATCGACGCGTAAAGGCCTTACTGACTCTCCTTTTATAGGTGTTTCTTCATCAATCTGTAAGCTATATCTACTTGACGACACGGCACGCAAGTGCTTACCGATCTCTGTCAGGCCCACCGGCGCCGTAGGATTTGCGCTCCTGTTCTTCTTCCTGCACCTCAACCCCCACCAAGGGAAGACCTTCAGGGAACATGTACAACAATTCGACTTCATCGGTCTATTCCTGATCATCGGTGGTGTTGTATTGTTGTTGCTTGGTTTCAACTTCGGCGAGACAAATTGCAAGTGCCAATCTATTCGTGCAACAATCAGGGTCTTAACCGTCTCTTCATTAGGGGCGACCCCTCAGTGCATTGCGACTCTCGCCATCGGAGTTTGCCTGCTTTTTGTCGCTTTCGTGTACGAGTTGTTCACGAAACGGTCTCCTGTCCTCCCTCCTCGGCTGTTCAAGGTCCGTTGCGTTCATTCACCCACTCAGGTTAATCTCGACTCACACTGTCGTAGACGCGCACGACAGCTATTCTCCTGATCTCGTCGCTGTTGCATGCCTTCTCATTCTTCTCTGCTGCATTCTATCTGCCAGTATATTTCCAAGTCCTCGGTGCTTCTGCAACGAATGCCGGTGTCCGGTGAGTACTCAATGCGGCCCGTCCTGTGTTTTTGGGACAGCGTGTTAACGTGGGATCGTGTAGCATGTTGCCCTTCTCGCTGGGTGGTGCGGCATTCTCGGTCATTTCGGGCCAGCTTACGTCCCGGACAGGACGTTGGAGACCCATAGTATGGTTTTCGTGGGCGATTATGACCCTCGGGTGGGGTCTCATGACAATGCTTGACGATAAGTCGAACGAGTGAGCACCAACTTATGCCGGGCGTCGGTGAATCGTACTAATTAATTACTCAGCGCGGAGAAGGCACTTTACCCCCTCGTTGCGGCGGTTGGTATCGGCAATCTCTTCCAGGTGCGTCTTGCCAACTATTTTCGTTTTGGAGATGCCGAATCCCAAGCTGACTGTATTCGCTCAGACCCCCTTGATTGGCCTGCAAGCTGCGATGCCGCTCAAGGACATGGCGACCACGACGGCCGCATTCATCCTCATCCGTACCTTGGGCGGCACGATTGGTATTTCTGTCGGCCAGGCCATCATCTCCAGCGTACGTCTCCTGTGGTCCTAATTACCGGTGAATCGCGCATGATTGCTCAGCGTCGTTTGTATAGGAACTGCGCAAGCGGGTCGCTAAGATCCCGAACCTCACCATCGACACCTCGCCCTCTGCCCTCACGCAGATCGTGCGCCAGATTCCGTTGATCTCGGTGAGCTTTCCCCCCGATGCTTTGGCTATGTCATCGCACACTAACGCTGGTACGCAGGATCCCGTACAACGCGCAGCGCTTGCACACGCATATACCCGCTCGATCGGCACGATTTGGCTCGTCAGCACCCCCATGGCGGGTGTTGGGTTCTTGATGGGTATGTATTCCTAGTCTCTCACCGTCATTAGCACGCAACTCACCTCCGCGAACAGTGCTCTTCTTGCGCGGCTACTCACTGAAGCGCATCGTCCGCCAGGCCGGCGACCCGGCCGCGGAGACAGCAGAGTCGGAAGCTCAGGCGAAGCTTGCCACGGCCGCACCGGTCGCCGGCGTCGAGAGCGGCGACGCGCTCGCAAAGGACGACGCGGCAACAGTCCGGAACGACCCCTCGATCAACGAGGACGAGAAGACGAGGGAGTCCCCGCGAGTCGATGTATGATTTCCCCATCGCAGACATGAGGGGGACGAAGACGCGGCTCCACGAGGAGGCCGCAGGGGAGAGCCTCGGGGCTCGCGATGATAGAGATACACAGTCCTGCGGCGCGGCCCGCCGACAGGTCTTCTTTTTACGATGTTGTCATTATTTGTTTTGATGTTTTCACGCACGCATATGTTACGCACCCACTCAATCTCAATTTCGAAATGCGCGTGGGGGGAAGGTGGTTCAGAGGTTCGGTGCCGTTGCTCAGATCTATCATATTGTATGATCACAGTGCATTTCTTTGTCTTGGTTAGGATCGGGTTCTAATGTAGATGATACGTTGAACCTTTGCAACACCTACTCGACGAACACGCATCGAATCAATGTTGAATCAATGTATACCGGGTACACGCCATTTCAAGAAGCGATAGCACGGGCCAGAGCGAGCTACGGGCAGTGCGGGAAGAACTCCAACATAGGGTTTCGAAGCGTAACGCGCATTCTGCCGCATCTGCCAACATCCGAGATGCGAGCGCATCTGCCCTTGAACGTGCGCACTCCAGATCTCGCAGCCCGGTGCTTTGCATCGGCAGAACGCCCACTTTGACAGACCCCAGCGCGCATCTCGGCACGGGTACACGCGCACTGCGCTTCGCACTCGTGGCCCGGGGCGATGAACCGGGCGACTGGCCTTCTCGCGCTCGACAGACGGACGGGCTGCCGAGCTGCCCCGGTTGGAGGAGGATAGCCAAAATTGTGCTTGGGCGCGCGTTTGCAGGTGCGTTTTTCTTTCAGCTATCCCCGCGCTGTGGGCGGGGAGCGCGGGGAGTGCTTGACAGGAAAGATGGTGGGGGTGGGCGCCTTGGGGCACACACTTTATCAAGTGTTTGCCGCCGTGCTGTGACATCGGGGACGCTCAGCGCTGCGTTCCCTGCGATTGGGACAGTCGCTGTAGTCGTCGATCGGGCGGGCTCACTCGAGACGCTCTAGTGGGTGGATATCTGGGCACGACTGTTTGGCACGATGAGCGCTGGGCTGTCGCGGAGCGGGCGTTCTTTGTGCGCATCATACCGTGCGTGTGCTCTATGCGGGTTGCAGGTCCATTGGGAAGATCCGGACGACGAGGGGTGGGAGAGGCGGTCTGAGAAGCGCTTGTGGGCGCTGCAGATCTGCACGACCGCAATTCTGAACCTGATAAAGGCTCGTCGAGCGCGCGGCGTATTTATCAGTGATGAAACATACGGCACGCACAGACAGTTTTTGTGCGCTATAATGCTGGCCGAGCGGATTGCGAACGCGGACGGACAATCATGCTGCGAATGGCGGGATCACCGGTGGCAACCCGGCGTCCTGGCGGGCGGCGGTCTGACCAGATGGGAGGTAAGTACGTATAGTGGATATCCGGGGCGGCGGAACGGTCGCATCGCGGCGTAGCGCTACTGCAGAAAAAAGCTTGCGGGTGCCTGCTGGCAGAACTCAGCTGTGACAGAGAGCGCCGTTTGCGCGGTAGGTTCGCGGACTTGACCGAAGGCGCGAAGCTGCTGCGAAGCGGGCGTCGGAGGGCGCAAAACGGGCTGCAGCTCCCTTGGAACACGCCTGGGGCGGCAGGGCGCAATTTTGGCACTGACAGCCCTCGGATGCCCGGGTGCCCCTCGCCTTTCTCGGGCTCGGAGCACGGAGAGCAGGTAGGGCGATGCGGCAGCGAGAAGTCCCGTCTAGCGCAGGTCGGGGCGGATATCTGGCAGATGCTGCTCGTGCGCTACCTCGTGTGGCGAGGCGTGGCCGCAGTGCGCTGGCTGCCTGCCTTGAATGGGGCCCGGGGGACCTTCTAGAAGTCGGGGAGGGGGTAGCAGCGCGTGCTGGGACAAAGAGGACTAGACGGGGCGACGGTGATGGACTGTATACAGACGGGGAGTGACCGTCACTGGCAGGGCGCAGAAAGGCGTGTGTGATGCCGCTTGCAGCTGGCTGTATATAGCGCGCGCGATGGCCGAGAATCAGGGGGCGAGGCGGTACGAGAGCGACTCGTCGGTGGGGGACGTGCGGGGACGCTCTGGGCGTGCTGGTCGGTGGCTGTCGTGGTGGCGGCGGGGGCCTCGAGGGCGGCTCGAAGGGTCGGGGATGTGTGGGACGGCGAGCTCGTCGAAGGCCAGGGTGAGGGAGAGAGAGGGAGCTAGGGGCTGATTGGCGCGTCTAGCGAGCTCGGTCGGAAGACGCATTCGAAGTCGGAGTGAGATATTTCGACCTCCCACACAGTCTCCACTCCCAGGTCCTCTCTCTTCTTCCCTCCCATCTCCCTCTGCTACCCTTCCGCCGTCCGCTCATCCTCCCCCATCCCACGATGCCTGCTGAACACCCCATTCCCGCGATACACGACTCGTCCCAGGCGGACCCCTCCCAGTCACAGGTCAAGCTTTGTCTCGCCTGTTGCTGTCCTCTTGCCGCCGATACCGCCAGCGCCGCACCCTTCCTCCTCCACGACGACTCGGACACTCCAGTAGAAACAACTCTAGTATGCGCTTCCTGTCGCTCTCGTCTGCCGCCACAGGCCCCTGTCCGCGATGGGCTGTTTGCCGAAGGCGCAAGGGAGCTCTTGCGACGCGCCGCATCATTGCAGCCTGCAAGCAACGAGGCCGCCTCGCCTGCACCCCATGAGTCCGTTCAATCTCACCTCTCGAGTCTTCTCGTCGTCGAACCTTGTCCGCCGCCGGAGCTCATAATGGAAACCCCCATCGCCCTGGCGCCGCGCGCTATTGCCTCCCCGACGTATGACGCCCAGAGCAACCACTCCTCCCCGGCCCACGCATCCCGATATGACAAGTACCCGACATCCCCCGCGCCCCCTCCGGCGTCGGCTCGTCCGACGCTGACCCCCATCGACACCAGCCACGCAAGCTCGTCCCAAGCGCCGGTCGTTCAACGTGCTGACAAGTCATCTGCGCCCCATGCCTCTAGCAGCAGGCAGCGTACCCACGTCACCTCCTCTTCAGCCCCCGACCCGCTCTTGGATATCACGCGCCTTCGTGTTCGCTCGCAGGGACATCACTGCCTCTATCCTGGCGCCACTTTCCAGGGTACCCAGAAGAGCGGCAGGAATAGCTACGACGTCAACGTGACCATAGTGGTGCGTCCCGAGGACCGACCTTGCTCACCGGAAGTACTAAACAGTGAATCGCGTTTCAGGACGTCGATTTCGCATCATCCCATCTGTGCGGGTACCTCCGCATCCGCGGACTCACAGACGACTGGCCAGAGCTTACAACGTACTTTGACGCCGAGATCATTGGCAGTCGGTATGGTTTCCTGACGCGCAACTGGGGCGCGACTGAGTCGGAGGACATGGTTCACTGGGGGCGGTTCCCGGCGTTCCGACATGTCAAGAACGAGCTTAACAAGCCGCATTTGACGATGAAAGACGCTCTCAACCGCGGGGCTGTGTTCATGCGCTGGAAGGAGAAGTTCCTCGTCCCTGACCACCGTGTGCAGGACATCAACGGTGCCAGTTTTGCAGGTGAGTGACATCATGTCCATCTACTCCCTCCCTTGTGGGCACGCCTATCCGTGACTTGAAATTCGGAGCGATGATCAAGACGGGAATCTGACATGCTCTTGTTCCGGTTCACAGGTTTCTACTACGTATGCGTGGACTTCAACCCGCAACAGACGGGATCTGTGCATCTGCCGCCCCCGGCGGATGACGCAGTAGACTTCGTGTCGTCCCCCACGACGACGCAGGCAGCACCGGCGACGAAGCCTGAGGCGGCCCCACGATCGCGGCGCATATCCATTAACCGCGGTTCCCGTCGTGCGGGCAGGTCTGCTTCACGCGGGTGTCCCTCTAATGTGGCGACGATGAGCGGGTTCTACTTCCACCAGAACTCCGAGCCGTGAGTTAAATTGATTCCCATGACCGTGCCAGCTAATGACGTTTGTCTCGTCTATAGTTACCAGCAGCTGTCCTTGGTCCACGTCCCGGAGCACACCAGCTCATGCTTTGAATTCCGATGAGCTCATGACCCGTTCGCCGGATGTCCTCGAAATTTGGCTTTGCCAAACGCTATGAGGGGCGAATGACGGCGTTCGACAGATCGTACCGTCGTTCACCTCGGTAGCTACCTTACTCTAGTATACTCGTTCTGCGACACGACCATTCCCGGGCCCTGCTACCATGGGCCACCCCAATGTCTCCCCGTCCCCACTCGAATATCTCTGGACATGCTCTCAGTTCATCATCATATTCCCCGATGCCGCGCTAACGACACGTCCATCATACCACTTGCATTTCCATGACTTCTCGTGTACTATCTTTACTCGTGGCTTAGGTAGTGGTCACATACCTGTTGTACGACCCCGCAATCGCATCTCTCTTCGCAACTCGCAAAATGAACCGTGGATGCGTGCCCGACGAGCAGGACGAAAGGCCTTAGCCGACCTGGGCTCGGAGGATATAAGAGGCAGGTGGATCGGCGGGTGCCGAAAGGGCTCGGTAGAGTTCCTGGTCGCTTTCGCCCTTCGTCGTCTCACCGGGCCTCGGGTCGACCTCCTCATCCTCCTCATCTCCCTCCCCGCCGCCGCCCCTCCTTTCCTTCTTTTCTCCCTACCCCAGACGCCGACAAGCCGGCATGTCGTCCCACAACTCCTCGTCCAACAACATCGTCGGTGGCCACTACCGCGTCGGGAAGAAGATTGGCGAGGGCTCGTTCGGGGTTATCTTCGAGGGTGCGTGTCTGCCCCATCCCGCAGACCAACTGCGTGCGCAAGAAGGGCCCACTCTGACCGTGCTACGTGTGCACCCGTGCAGGCTCGAACCTGCTCAACTCGCAGACCGTCGCTATCAAATTCGTACGCCTCCGCAGCCGCACCTGCGTGCCCCCATTGTCCGCTGCTCATGCCCCCGTGTCACGCAGGAACCGCGCAAGGCAGAAGCACCCCAGTTGCGCGATGAGTGCCGCTCGTACCGCATCCTCGCAGGCTGTCGTCAGTACCCGCCCGCCCCGTCCTATGTCCGTCCCGCCCGACTGACTCTCTCCGTGCCTCTCCGCTCCGCTGGCCCGTGTGCGACGTGCAGCCGGGATACCCCAGATATACCACTTCGGGCAGGAGGGCCTGCACAACATCCTCGTCATCGACCTCCTCGGCGCGAGTCTCGAGGACCTGTTCGACATGTGTGGCCGGAAGTTCTCGGTCAAGACGGTGTGCATGGCTGCGCGGCAGATGGTGCGTGTTCCACCACATCCTGCGCTCATCCGGGCCGCGGGGGTGTGCATGCAGGGGCCGGGAATGCGAGTTGACGTGGGGTGCGCGTTGGCATTGGCAGATCACCCGTGTGCAGACGATCCACGAGAAGAACCTCATCTACCGCGACATCAAGCCGGACAACTTCCTCATCGGTCGGCCAGGCACGAAGAACGCGAACAGTATGCGTTGTGTGGTCCCTGTGCGCGGTGCAAAATACTAATAACTGGGCGTTTCTTTCCGCGCGCGTTTGTTGCAGTGGTTCACATCGTCGACTTCGGCATGGCGAAGCAGTACCGGGATCCGAAGACGAAGCAGCACATTCCGTACCGGGAGCGGAAGAGCTTGAGTGGGACGGCGCGGTACATGAGCATCAACACTCATCTGGGACGGGGTATGTCCGCGGCTTGTCGGTTGCTGTCCGGTTGTGTCAAGTCCTTACGTCACGGTCGCAGAGCAATCGCGGCGAGACGATCTGGAGGCTCTCGGCCATGTCTTCATGTACTTTTTGCGCGGCAGTCTACCATGGCAAGGTCTCAAGGCGGCGACAAACAAGCAAAAGTACGAGAAGATCGGGGAGAAGAAGCAGACAACACCAATCAGGGAGTTGTGCGAGGGCTTCCCCGGTTCGTGTCCCTGTTTGCAATATACGCCGCCTGGCGCTGACCTCTCGGCAGAGGAGTTCAACATCTATCTCAACTATGTCCGCAAGCTCGGTTTCGAGGAGACACCTGATTATGATTTCCTCCGGGAGCTGTTCGCGAAGGTTTTGAAGAACAACGGCGACGTCGAAGATGGCGTTTACGACTGGAATCTTCTCAATGGTGAGATTCACGCTGCGGTCCCACGGACGCTCCGTTAATATGAATCCCCCCGATTTTGTCTAGGTGGTAGAGGCTGGGAAGCGTCAATGGTGCGTATAGTCTCCGCGCCTTCTCTTCTTCCGTTCAATATAAACTCGGCGCGCCGTGCTAACATTTTACTTGGCTCGGCAGGGTGGCCAGAACCAGATCCTAGCGCAAATACAGAATGCTCCCGCCGCGCCTGCGCAGCAGCAGCGCCGCGAGGTCGACCGAACCGGTCGCGACGATCGTCGGCGTGCGTCACAGGCAGGTGGTGCTGGGCCCGTCGTACCCCCTTCGCCCGCGCTCGTGCGCACCGGCTCCAAGACGCGGCACCCAGCGAACCTCGGTGCAGGACAGTCGGCCGCGGCCCAGGTGGACGTCCCGGTGGCGCAGCGGCGGATCAGCCAGCAGGTCAGCGCGTCACATCCATACGCCAACGCTGGCTACGATTCGTACGGCCGCGACGAGTACTCAGCCAGCCAGCAGCCATACGGGCGCGCGTCGCCGATGGTGTCGAGCGTGAACGCCGCGCCACCTGCACTCAGCAACGTGCGCGCGATGGGCGGCGAGGTCGGCGCGGCGAACGGCGGCGACTACCAGGGACAGCAGGAGGAGCAGCCGAAGAGCACGCTATGGAAAATCCTCACGTGTCGCTGTGGATGAGCCGCGCCGCCCCTTGCGCGGGCGCACGCCCGTCCGTCCTGTCCTTACCGTTTGGTCTCGTACGTTTTGTCGGCTGTTTCCCCTCTCTTTTCTCGCTGGATACTTTGGTCGCGGAGTCTCTCGGTCTCCTCATGGGTTTCTTGCTCGCTCATTCTCATTCACCACATGCTGTCTTCCGTACAATCCCACTGATACCTGCTCGCCAATGATGCAAACACTTCTCCGAGTACCCCCTCCATTCTACTACACGCGCATGCGCGTGCGCTGCGGCTCCCCCTTGTGCCATCTACTCCACCCCACCCACCCACTCGCCCTTACGATCTCTACAGATACACATCCCCCAGCGTAATAAGCTAATACAGTTCAAGGCTGTCTTGACGATGGTATTAGACGAGCGGCGCGTAGTAGTACAGCCAGTCAAATTCAAACTACACACAATATCCGGATGCCACACTCTTGGAGACGCGAATATCTAAGATTATACAAAGCGAGATGGGCAGAAAATGTACAGAAAATGCAAAACACGACACCACAACAAGGCTTATGCCGAGCCCGAAGGGACCCCGCGACTGTTGCCGCGCGAGGATCGCTCCCCTTCCGGCCGCAAACCCAACTCTTGCCCGGGCGACGGATAGCTCGAGGCATTAGGCGGCGGAGGGTCGCGGGCGTCTGTGTGTAGCATGAGTACTTCATTCCGCGGTCTGAGCGCGATGGATATCGCACCATTCAGGTCCGTGAACGAGCTGTTCTGGATGGACGACAGCGAGCGGGCGTGGTCGGGCGGGGACGGGTACGACACTATCGTCGACGGCGGCGTGCGCTCCTGCCGCTTCCCGTGGTCGCTGAACTCGCTTATGGGAGAGACGTCCGCGTTCGGACGCGAACGACCTGCAGGAAGCGAGGGCTCAGTGTCTTCGTCTTTCGCAGCAAGGTCGCCTGCAGGCGCGAACTCACTGCGAGCGCGCTCGGGCGGCGTGCGCGTGCGGTCCTGCGGGCCGCCTTGGAATGCGTTGGACCGGACGTCGTGGTCTCTGCCGCGCGATGTATCGTCATACCGGTTCTGGTTGTTGTCCCAGTTGGAGGTTTGGGGAGCGGCATCTCGTCCTTGGAAGAACTGCTGCCTGCCGCCGCGGCCGGAATGATGGAAACTCCTCGAGGGGCCGTTATTGTTATGCCCATTGAACCGGCCGTTGTGGTTGTTGAAGTTGTTGTGGGTGTAATTGTTGGGATTACTGCTATAGTTGGGGGGTTGGTTACCCCATGACGTGTTGTTCCCCTCAGGCCCGTTGAAGTGAACGTAGCCAGGGTTCTGACCCATCTGCTATGAACTGGCGGTGAGTGGTAGGTCGCACTCGAGTCTGGGGCCGGCTTACCTGCATGGCCGGCTGCATTGTCCTAAGCTGCTCTTGGACGGCCCTCTGTATCATATCCCCAACCTGCGCCATGCCCATGCCGCTGCTACCTGCTCCTGCTTCGATCCGCTCAATCTTGCTGGTCAGGTTGCGGATCTCTTGAGCCATGAGGTTTCTCTCCTCGCGCTCTTTCTTCGCGCTGTCCTGCATAAACTGCAACCGCTCCAGAGCTCTCTCCAGCTCGTGCCGCTGGTCGACTAGCTTCCCGTCTTGCCTCTTAACTTGACGGCGCAGCTCGACATTCTCCTCCTCTAGATGCCCCATCTTCTCGTGTTGCTTGTCGACAGTAAGGCGCAGGGTCTTCACCTCTTCCTCCAGGCGCGGGTCCGACCGCGGAGCAGAGGCAAGGGCGAGCCCGCTGTTGATCAAGCCAGGCAAGAGCGGGACGAAGGCCTGGATCGACTGCGTGAATCGAGCCGAGTGGTCGTCGACACGGGAAGGCACATCCAGGATAGGCTGATGGAGTGCAGGGAGAATGGGAGCGAAGGAGGTGCTGGGGAACGCTGGGGCGGATGACGTGTCGGAGACTAGCGCATTCCGGCGGGGCAACGGGGGTGGGGGTGCTGGTGAATTGACCTTGGCCATCGGAGACGGTTCAACGCGCGCGTCCTCCGCCCTCGACGCCGACTCTGCGATAGCTGCGCACACCGACGCCGCCGCGTCGGGTGGGTCGTTAGGCAGGAGGTACGAGCCGTTGAGCGACGACTCTCCGCGAGTGCGATGCGCGCTCGTAGTACGAGCGGAGAGCCCGCTCTGCCGGCCAGACGTGCTGCTGACCATCGCCCGGCTGTCCGACGCGCGGGAAGAGCGTCGGCTCATACCAGGCGCCACGGAGTTGCCGGAGGCCTTCGATTTCCCCTTCGTCTTCGGTGCGGGTGCGTCGTCGCTCTTCTCTTCGCTCTGCCTCTTGGCCATGTCTTCCTTTGAGATCCCGGGTGGGCCTTTTCGCTTCTTGGGAATGGGCCCGAGCGAGGCGAGAGAGCTTGCCGACGAAGAAGTCCGCTCGGGAGGCTTGTCGGACTCGAGCGCAGCGTCCGCGGTGCGCTTTAGCATCGAGCGTCGAGGTATCTGCGGCGTACCAGGAGTGGGGGCAGGTGCGCGCTCTTGCGAAGAGGGCGGCGCGACAGAGCCAGAGAGCGACGGACGGGGAACCTCTTCCACATCTGGATAGTCCAGGTCCATGTCGGACGTCAGCACCTGCGCGGAGCCAGGGCGTGGCGGAAGGGTCGACGTTTGTTCAGAGTCAGACAGGACCACTGCGGGGACCGCCCTGCGCCCTAGATGTGACTTCTTGATCGTCCGCGGCGGAGGCGAGTAATTGCGCTTCGTCCGCGGCGGTGGCGAGTGAGGAGGCGGCTCGCTGTTCATTTGCGCCGCTAGTTTGAAGGCATCCACCAGGCCCTGGGATGCGGAGTTGTCGGCGACGCGGGGCATCGAGGAGCGCGAGGCGGAGTTGTCGCCGGACCGCTGTGTTAGTGCAGGGTCAGCATAGACAGACGCATCACGAAGGACGGGACAAACATGGCGGCGGTGGCGTGAAGGGTGCTCGGCTCTGTCGCCGGAACCTCTTGTATGAGGCGTAAGCGCGGAGGCCTCAGGGTCACTCCGGCCTGCAGGTTTCGGCTTCTTCCGCGGTTGGCTTGCGAAATCAGACCGAGAAGGGGAGGGCGCCCTCTTGAGCCCGGATACTACATATGGGGGCAGAGGGGGGACCGCAACGTAAGGGACGATGCCCTCGGGGGGCGGGTGCGCGACGGCGGGCATGGAGCGCTGGCTGTCGGTATCAGAGTACTCGATTTCGATCACGTCCTTAACCTGGCCCTCTTCCGCGCTTGTGCTGGAGGACAAGGCAGGGCAAAGCTCTTCGGTCGTCGATGGCAATTCCACCATGGCCAGAACGGGCGAAGGCGACCCTTCAAACAAGCTACCCGCGCTCTCGTCCGAGCTGTTGACAGGGGTGAGAGGAGACAACTGGTCGACCGTCTGCTTCGGTTCCGCCTTGGACATCTTGGGTGTCACAGGCGCCGCGGGGACCACTTCTAGTTCGTCGACCGAAATACCCATAGCCTGCAGGCGAGCTGTCAGTGGACCGGTCCACCACGTGGTGGCATTGCAGGTGCTTACCCCACTTTCCCGGTCGTAGAACCCGAGTGTGACGTTCGCGTGACCAGGCCTGCATTTCGGAAAGCTCAGCGCGGCGACCGTAAGGCGTTCGGAGGCGCTTTTGATGCTGTCGATGTTGAAAAGCTTCTCCTTGATGTTATGCTTTTTGGTCTCCTCTGCCCTGCGTTTGTGAAAAGCGTGCCAGGCCTCGTCGTCTGAGCGCCCACTGCGATGCTTGACGATCGCCTCCGCCGAATGAATACCTAGGCCCAGTAGATGATAGAAGCACTTGCACCCGTGGCATTTGGTACAACGGAGCAAATCCACGGGAGACGAGGAATGAGACAATGCATGCATATAGCGACATACGGTGCTTCTCCCGTCGGCCTGAGAATAACCATTGCGTAAAGTCAACTTGGGTCCTAGGAGTTCATCGTAGGGCCTGCGACGCACCTGTTGCTTCCTATGCTTACGAAGAGCGCAGGCTGCCTCGAAGACACAGACCTCTTCAGGATCCCATAAGTCACTATACGCGCAGTATGCGGTCAGCATTATTCCAAACCCATCCCTCGTGCCTACTTACTTCGGCTCCTCAGCCTCTGGCGGAGATTTCCCAGAAGGAAGCGCGGCAGCGATAGCCCTCGCAGCCTCGTTGCGGTCGGAGAACAGCATGTCGAAGCGCCTGGTCTGCATCGGCTCCATCTGCCCACAGTCGCAACTCCGGCCTTCAACATAGCACGCCGGGCATATCAGAAGCCCATCGCCCGGTTGCGGCGCGGTCTCGTCCTCCGCCGTCCGACATTCCTTGCACTCGAAGAAACTCTGGAAAATATCGGCGCCGCAGAAGTCGCAAGCAAGGTTGCACGACGCCGCGCGGTCGCTGTCACGATGGTCCTTGGAGGCGGTTTGCGGCTGGAGTATGATCTTCAGTCCGTTCACCAAGCTTGGCCTTGCTAAGCTGTCGCCGTCTGTGGGATTAGCAGAAGCCGTGGCAGTGGCAGTCAACACCCAGTCGGCACCCGTCTCGTCGTGGAGGACGCGCTTTAGCTTTGCGTGACAGGCTGCGAACTCGTCGCGGAGGACCTCGTCGAAGAGCCGCACGATTCGCTTGAGCTTCCGCGCGCGTTCGCGCACGTCCGGCTGCGGGGGTGGTGTGACGGCGCGGGTAGACTTGCCGTCGGACGAGTCAGCGTAGCCGACGAGGTTGCCCCAGCCGGGGGAGTCGCAAGACTCCTCAGTATGTTCCACTTTGGGCGTGCGCGTAGGGGTGAAGGCGGTTTGCAAGGCCTCGGTGAGATGCAGCATCGAGCGGTACAGGACGGTCCTAACCCGATACTGTTCGGGTCGACAGACCCTAAGTTCGAGACAACGGTAAGTATCAATCACGAGTGATAAAGAAGCGCCCCACCTGCGGTAGATCGGAAGCTCGCAATGGAGCGCAGTCCTGAGATTATCCAAAGTCATCCTAGACCAGCTAGTCTTCATCGCGAGCCCGCCAGAATTGACCACCTGATGGCAGCTGCGTGGTGGAACAAGGACTAGGTCTCCAACCTTCTGTTCCACGACGTAGACGGTAAAGGGAGCCCTGCCGAGCTCCTCGAGTGTGGTGACGTGCGTCTCCCAATCGAGATCCTGCCCGAGCTGCTTGTGGAAGTACTTCGCGACAGCGGGCGCGTCGGCGGCGGCGGTCATGAACCAAAACGACCGGCCGTTGTTCTCCGACACGCACATCAAATTGTGGCCTGAGGAGGAGCACAGGTCCTTGTGTGCCGCCGTGTAGGTATCGCCGATACCCATGTAGCACAGTAGCGACTCAACGGCTTCCTGTTAACCAAAAAAGCTACGTTAGTGAGTACGAATCAACCGTACGAGTCAGAAACTGACCGAGGGAGAGAGGTATTTGAGGTAGTTGTCCGGCGAGCTAGGTAGCACACTGGTCGGAATTTCGCTGGATTTGAAGAGCCAATCACGCCACTCAGGCGGGCAGTCAGCATCCTTCCAGTACCACCGCTCGGTTTCTGCATGTTGGGAGTCTCAGTGAGCCAAATGTGAGTCAAAAACCGATGTGGCGGCTGACCTCCGGGGGTGGCGTAAACGGATTGCGACCGTGATAGTTGCACGAACTCGGCCAGAGTCGTCGACTTGTCGCGTCGATCATGCATGTTCCGGACGTAGATCGCTAGAGAGTCCATAGCGTGAGATAGAGCACCAATAACAATGTCCGCCACACACATTTATCGCCGGAGGTTTGAAGCAGCCATTCCAGGCTGAAGATGTCCTTCGGCCAGTTAGGATGCTGGTCCCATTCTTCAAGCACCAAGGGTATCCCATCACGCTCATACTTCTCCAAAGCCTTGGACAGTACTTCGGGTTTGGCGAGTGCGGATACACGATCAACATGCTCGAAGCTTGCGTATTTCGAACAGAGGTCCGATGCTGACCAGTCCTTGGCGGTCACTCGCGGGAGCGCGAACCGCGCGCTCGAAGAACTAGGGCCAATCTTAGAGGGAGAAGAGGAGGGTCCGGGTATTGGTTGCTCGGTGGGGGGTGGGCGGACGGTGGCGAGCGGGCGTGGAGGGTGCGGCGCTGTCTCGGCTGGCGCCCTTTGCGCCTCCGAGACCGTCCGGCGGGGTATCGCAAGCGTTGTCCGCGGAATCGGGACCGAGGAAGGTGAAGGCTTTGCCTTACCGAGAGGTGTTGCGGCGACAGCCCCGCCCAGTATGAATTGTTGGCGCATGCTTTCCATCGCGTCCTGGCGTGGGCAGAGCGCAGTAGTATGGGGCGCCTGAGTGTGAATTACAAGATCCGACAGAGAGCAAGATGAGCGAGGACAAGGTGGAGGAGGAGGGAGAGGAGGAGGAGAGGGGAAGGTGGGGGTGCCGCAGACGTCGACTGCAGGATTCAATGTAAACCATCAGACGCTCGCCCAGGGTCCTATTCTTCTCTGGCGCCCGCAGAAGGCCGCGCCTCTTCGCCCGTTCTAACTCTCGCGGCTGTGCGTCACATAGCTTCTCTGTCAAATCTCCGTGCCTCAGCATATTGGACCACCACGCTGTATCTGCGTTGTGTCACATTCCATGCCAGCGCCAGACTGGATGCATTGCCAGTCCACCGCGAGGTCGGGCCCAGCGTGAGTGTCACATTCTGCCGCAGCTGCGACTCCCCGACACCCGGAGAACTCCGGTGATAACAACAGTTTCCCTAAAAAGTTAGTCTGTGACACTGTCACGCACACGAGGCATCACACACCGTGTCATGCGAACACAGTTCATCCATCTCGACCGCGCTCGACCGTTCGTTCAACTTGTCCTTGTTCCACGCCGAGGCCGTCGCCATCTTTTCGCTTGTTCTCCTCCAGTGCTACATCTCGACCTCTTATCAGATCTCTTCACTACGCACACAGCCCGGGCACGAGGATGTCCAGCGTATCCGGCGCGTCCGCGGACTTCGACTTCTGGGAGTTCGTCAACTGCGGTGTGTGCCATCTGGAATTCGTCAAGGAATCTGGGGCACTGTCCTCGATGCCCTTTTGGCTCTCTGAGTGCGGTCATGTCATCTGCAATGCCCATCTCAGTGAGTACCTGTGACCGAAGTTGCGAATTGCGGGTGCTCACACAGCCTGGGTGGTATAGATGCAGATCAAAGCTGTGCCGCCTGTGGGAGTCCCGGGATCCAGCTTCTGCCTTTGCAAAGAGAGGTGGGCAATCGCTACTTAGGTGTCGCCATGGGGTCTAACAGGCTGTGTAGATGGAACCGCCGATGTCAAATTGGTTCAACTCGGTTCCAAATGCGTTCGACACGGTCGCCTACGCTCTCAGGGTACGTCATAGAGAAGCCCTCTATATATGCTTTACGGAGTCCCTCGTAGTTTCAGATGAGCAACATGGCTACCCTTGTTCGCTATTTCAAGAAGAAATACCAGCAATACCGCCCGTTGTACGAACGCCTCAAAGAGGAACACGTAGAGACCAAACGTCTCAGGAAGTAATGATTCCTACTCGTCTGTGCTTTGACCCGGCGAGCTCAACGTATCTCCAGGCTGGTTGATGATTTGCAACAGGAGAACCTGCAACTAAGGCAACGTTTGCAGATGGGTGGCAGCGACCATGCGGATGTACTTAACAACAACCGCAAACGAATGCGAGTGGACGATGACGGGTGCGTTTCCAAAGCTGACCTATACGCATCCCTCACAAACCACCGTCTCCGGATCAGGTACTTGAGCGGACAGCGGTCTTCTAGTCCGCGCTCGGCGGCCACTCCTGTTGCGCCGGACCGATTGACGCTTCCTCCGGGACATCATCAGCCGCAGTTTAACTCTCGTCTATCTCTTCAAGTACCGGAGTCCACGCCGGCGACTAAACAAAGTCTAGAGTAAGCTTCATCTCACACCTTTGAGGTCATACCATAACGCAACTGTTCTCCACTCAGGCACTACGCCTACGCACCTCCGCAAAGCGCACAAGCATCGGCGATGGCGATCCCATCTTTGACGCACGCTCAGTCGGGCTCTACCCGCCGCGCACAACTCCGCGAAGAGGGCGAGCTCGAGCAAGCCTCCGCCCCTCCAGCCAACAGGCCTCGTCAGCGTGTGTCCATGGATCCTCGCAGACGGATGCTCCCTCCCCCAACGCCTCAGCCTGGTACTGGTTCTCGACTACTTCCTGCGCGACCATCGTTCCTCCCAGCCACCCCGCAGGTAGCTTCTGCCGGATCTACGCGCTTCGTTCCGCAGACGCCCAGCAAGGGGACGACGAAAGCTACACCGTCAACACAGCACGCATTCGTCCCTGGACCTCACTATGGACAGCAACAGAGCTCTGAGACTCAACGATTCATCCCCTCTAACAGCGCGCAGCGGCTCCCTGGAATGGTCTCTTCCTCTTCCTCTGGTTCTATTGCTCGGTCTGGCTCTGTCGCTCAAACCCCTACTCGGACGGGAGGGCAACGGACGCCGTTCGTGCCTAGCGTCGAAGGAAGATTCTCATGAGCGGTCTCCTGGTTCATCTCACCTCGCTTTGTCTCGGCGCATCCTCTGGCTCTCGGCGCTCAGTCTGTCTGGACGATATTTCATTCTAACTTATAGCCTTGTTGTATTCGTGTATCGCTATGTGTTTCACTCTACCTCTCAGCGTACCTTAACATACATTCTATGCGCATATAGTCACGTTACGGTGTTGCGCGGTTATGCGGGAACTTGCGCTGTGCTCGGTACTAGTGCTTCCCGGTGATGCCCTTCAACAATCCTGGCACGAAATGTCTGGTTCAGCCCTATTCGATGATGAAGGCAATGATCAACAATGAAATTAGAAATGCCCTGTATGTTATTGCGAACCCGCGTTCTAGTGTGTTTAGCGCCGACTATGAGGCGTAAGGTAGACGCCTGTGGGACAGAATCACGTGGCGCGCCACGGCTACTGCGGGGCTGCGGCGGACGACGGCTGCACCAAGGCTGTCCTCCTCGGTCTCGCTTGCACGTCCTTATTTCCACTCCTCCCACCCGGCGTGCGCAGGTCGCCCCATATCTCGCTCATACGCCCCACCACTCGTCCCACTCCCCGCTCATCTGCCTCCTGCCTCCTGCTCGCCTCTTACGACCGTCTCGTTCACGACTACTCTACCGGAAATGGCTACTTACAACGATCCCTATGCGCACGGCCAGTACCCGCAGCAGTACCAGGATGCGCCCTTCAACCCGTATGAAGTGCAACAACAACAGCATGCACAGAGGCCATACGATCAGGGCGGGTACTCCGATCCTAGTGACGAGTATGCCGCTTCTGCTCGTGCGAAGGAAAGCGCCTCCGGGCTGCGGAATGGTTATGGACACGGAGAAGATGCAGTGCCAGTACCGATGGGCGAGAAGTGAGTGCATTGACAGCCTTCTGTGGTCGTATAACGGAACGGGGATTCTGATGTGCGTTCGTTCCGCAGGACGTCAAGTAACATGCGGCAATGGCGGTACGAGCACCAGGGCAAGATGTGGACGAAAGGCAGCCGTGCTCGCTGCTTCGGCCGCTTCTTTTGCTGCACGATTATGATCTTCCTGTTCCTCCTGATCAGCATTGTGCTGTCGCTGGCCCTGGTATGTGGTCTCGCTGGCGTCGAGCGTGCTTCCATGCATCGTGTGCTGACCGGACGCCCGTGCCACAGTGGCTCCGCCCGCCGAACATCATCGTGGGACAGCCGACCCCGGATTTGAGCACGTTCGCCATCGACGTGAACACGGAGAGCCTCAGTCTTGGGATGCCCGTGAACGTCAGGTATGTCCCCCCTAGCGCACACTGGCAACGCTATTACATCCGGGGGGTGCTCATATGTATGTGCACAGCATCAACAACCCGAACTACTTCCCGGTCGACATCACCTACCTGGACGCAGTCGTGCTCTACCCGATCAACAACACGCAGATCGGGTCCGGGCACAAGGGGAAGGTCGAGCTGAAGCAGTTCGAGCAGACGAACTTCACGTTCCCGGTTACGGTCGCCTACAACGCCACCTCGGACCCGAATGGCGCGGTCATCCTTGACCTCGCAAAGCACTGCGGTCTCGTCGGGAGCACGGCAACAGATGTCTCCCTCACCGTCAACGTGAAAGTATGTCCGCTCTCCGCCTGTAAACTCGCATGGCGTGCAGTGCTGACCGTTCTTCCTCAGGTCGCGCTCAAGATCTTCGATATCCCGATCTCCCACACTATCACAAACCAGGTATCGTTCGCGTGTCCTTTGAGCAGCGTGGGCACAGAACTTGAGGTAAGGCTTACCGCAGTCCTGCTAACGATGAGTGCTTATACATTGATTGTGTCTAGGACCTCCTCAAGGCCCTTGGCCTCTCGGACATCGCGAGCTTGTTGTGATAGACCTCGTTCTTGTTTTATACGTTTTAACTCAGCTCATCACGGACTACGTTGCTTAGCTAGAGAAGTGCTGAGTGCTCTTGGACAATGTTCTCCTAGTATTCATACACCTGCTATTAGGCGTTCGCGCCTCCAATAAATAAAAAATCACAGTACACGTCTACAGTCAGCACACGCAGTCCCTCGCTTCCTGAGAGACACTTATGGAGGTACTGCGTCTGAGCCTGGCCCGGCCTTAACAGCCCGCTCCGCCTCCTCCTCGGTCATGTCCACCTCCTTCTCGATCTCCGCCGCCTTGCGCGCGAGCTGCCTTTCCACCTCCGCCTTGTCCACGCCTGGCGCCCCGCACTGCACGAGACACTGCCCAACCAAGCCACGCCACTTCAAATGCCCATCCACGTCGCACGCGACGTTCTCCACGCCCTGCACCTCGACGGGCTGCAGGCCCGCGACGCCCCAGTTCATCCCCGACACGCGCGCGAGCACCGCGAGCACGTAGTCGTCCGACCCGTAGGCGTTCACGACGCGCCCGGCGGCGACGCGGCGGACGGCGGCCCACTGCGCGCGGTCCACGGGCAAGGGCGAGCCGAAGAGAAACACGTCCTGCACGAGCCCGATGGTCTGGGACGGGGGGAGCGAGGCGAGGTGCTGGAGCGCCTCGAAGATGACGAGGGAGCCGAGGGAGTATCCGACGAGCGTGATGGGGCGGGTCCCGAGGACGCGTTGGGCGAGGAGCGTGCCGAGGACTTTGCCGGTCTTGACGGCGAGGGTCTTGGCTTGTACCCAGGGGTTGTCTGAGGATGTACGTGAGATTCGGAGGAATATGGGTAAGGGGAGATAGGTGTACCTATGATCTTTGTGATCTTCATCCAGGCCATGGGTGAGAGGGCGGAGAAGAGGGCGGCGAGGATGGTCTGCTTGATAATGGCCCCCTTGATGTATAACATCGCCTGGGCCTTGATGAGGTCTACCAATGCAGAAGACAGGTTCTCAAGAGCTTCGACTTCCTACGATCCGTGAGACGAATGACGGAAATATTTATGCATGGGTCGCTTACCCACTGCAATGCGAAAGTATCATCCCCACCGAACACAGTCCAAGGAGCCGTAACATCATCGGGGGACTCCAGCCAGCCAGTAACACACAACCTGACGGCCATCGTCTCCGTGGGCTTGCGCACGGGCTTGATAGCCAGGTCCCGCACTTCCCTGGTGTACGCGCCGATGACTTGTGCGGTCTTCCTCGACCCATACGCGCCAAACAGCGCCCCGCACACGACGGACGACCCCGCGAGGCCGGATGCCAGTACGCCGACCGCAGTCCCCCCGACCCCAAGCCAGCCCAAGACCGAGGTAACGCCCGCGCCTACGGCAGGCGCAGCAAGCCCGCCGGTGACGCCTATGAGGACGCCCCCGGCGACGGCGCCCACGCCAACGCCGACCATCCGCAGCACCTTGCTTCTCCGCGCATGCTCTTCCTTGGCCGCGTCGGTCTTCTTGCTGGCCTCTTCGATCGCTTGTTTGGGGTTCTTGAGAGTCGCTGCAACGACTTCTTCGTCGATGGGGCCGACGAGGAAGAGGAAGGTGCGGGTGCGACTGGAGTACTCCTTGTTAGAGGTGACGTGGAGAAGCAGGACGGTGTGCAGGAGAGGCGCAAGGTGCTCCGGGGGTGGCAGTGGTGGTAGGCCCACCGTGGAAGTGTCAGAAAGAGGGTCGAATTCGGGGGGTTCTCCTGCACATGGGCACAGCAGTTAGTATGATCTGTACTGAGAAGAGCAAGGGAGTACGAAATACCTCCTCCGGGTTCACGGCATGCGAGCCATAGATTCTTCTGGGTCTCCTCCGCCCAAGCGTTGAGGGCTTCTACGAAAGCGTCTTTCGTTGCAAGCGCGGCCTGTGTGTTTACGAACGCCGACTCTGCTGTAGCGTGGAGCTCTGCAGTGTTGCGGAAGGCAGCGAGGCGACGCTGAAGCCGCTGGAATGTAGCATGACACTGTGCATCTGTGAGGTCCTTTGAAGGGGTCACTTTCGTCAGGCCACTCTTCGGAGACATCGTTGTGCAGTACGAAGGCCAGATCTATCCACGAGGCGGTGTCTGGCACAGGCCCGCGGGCGGACGCGAGCGACGTCATGAGCTGGGGCCCGGAGCCGGCTGCCGTGTGAGCTCTTTTCCCCCAACAACGCCCAAATATTTGTCCCAGTGTATACCCCCGCCACTAGTTGCTCATCCAGCGGCCTTTGTGAACTGCAGCGAGCAAATCTTGAGCATTCAGAATCCATTGCCAACGAGGAGAGATGTCTCTTCGGTGACTTGATGGGTGTCGTGGGTCGGGAAAGCCGGGTCGAAGACCGGAGCGTCTTCGTCTTCCAAGAAGCGCAGAATATCATTCGAAGCCCTATGCCGCGAGCTGCAAGTCTCTAGTTTTGTTGAAAGCAGTGAAAATTCCGTGAAGAGTATGCCCTTTGTGCGCGGTGTCAGAGGATGCAGCATTGCGAATTGACATGGGGGAAAAGAAAGAGCAGACTCGGAGCACAGTTGTGGGCGCCTGGCGAGTCCTTGAACCGTTTGGCGCCCACTGTTACGCGCCCACAGCTTGCGTAACGCACGTGCCGAAGCCCGACTACGTCCTCGGACGCGCGCCAGGTTTTGTCTCTCCTCCTCCCCGTACCTGTCCAGACCCTCTTCCCCGGACGACTGCTTGGCCGACTCCTCCAGCGCCGTTCGACGCCGCCGTCGACGATGTCGATGTCCGCTGTAAGTCTAGCTGTGCTTTGCCGCAGCCTCTCTCACTCACAGGATGACACGCTCGTAGTTCCTTAGGCTTGGTACATGTTGTGCCCAAGCACGCCCACTCCGATCACCAGCACTTCATCTGCAGCCCTTCCGTTCGCTATCTACCTTCCCTAGAACTGCTCCAACACTTCGCGCGTGGTCCCTGCCCCAGCGGCCCCCAGCCGTCGTTCACAGCCGAGCACTATCGCTCGCCTCTCTATTTCGCAGGCCAGGCCCTCTCCCTTCTCCGGCAGTGGTAGCGACCATCTCGAAGCTCGAAGCAGAGGCCGACGCACACCCGAATGATGTGGAGAAGCAGGTAGCGCTATTCGAAGCTCTGGTCGGTACCAAAGCAAAACCTGGTTTGGACACGGTAGTGGCGAGATGGGAGCGCTTGTGTGAATTCGTAAGTCCTCTGTCATATGGCTTGGATTCAAGGCCTTACACTCGCGTAGCACCCCTCCCACCCTCTCATTCGCTCGGACACTGCTTTCAAACTGTACTTGGTTGCTCTCCGCGAACTCGGTCTTGACGCGTCTATCAACTCTGCTGTCAGGCGGAGAGACGCGCTCCTCGCTGTTTCGTCTAGTCCTGCTGCCGCCACCGTCCTTGAACAAGCTCCGGAAACTGCGTCTGCCTCTCCAGATTCGTCAGCAACCGCTTCTGCCACTCAGGCCTCGTCTACTACCACCTCGGAATCTGCGCCCTCGACGTCATCACCACCTCCCACGTCAAGTCAACAAGCTGCACAAGACGTTCTGTCGGGTGCAACAGTCACAGCACGATCGGTACACACGGACTTCGACGCGCTTCGAAATGCTCTTGGTCGCGGCTCTGGGGTCCCTGGGAACCCCATTGTTGTATCAGTTACTGAATGTGAGTGGCTCTTGTCTTGACTGAATAATGGTGTCCGTTGGATGGTACGGGATTCCTCCATGATTTGGGAATGTCTGGACGAGAGCTTAACTGTCACACTTCACATACGCGGTGGATAGCGATTCTCAAACAGGCGCAAGGGACATTCCAGATCAACCGCTAACGTCAAGTGTGCCTTGTGCGATAGTGTTCCGCCGGCTGCCCATGCAATGCATGCATCATGGGACCGGCTGCTTTATGAGGTTACGAGCACTTCTGCTGTACTATCATAACGGATTGGTGTTGTGTTCTCGCACGCGTCGATCCGCGGTCGTCATTCCGCATGCTCTCTCCACACTTCCTTGAATTGTAGGTCACGACGCTGACAACATCTTCCTCTTAGCGAAAGGGGAGATCTTTCTACGACTAATGCGATACGCAATATTCTCGGCCCTTACGGTATTCTGTGAGTATTCTTGTTCCTCACCTCACCTGCTCTGCTCATCCAGATTGGCCCGCAGTCGTCCTCGTGTTCCTGTCGCTGTGGGTCGAGAACTCAGGGATGCTCAAAGCGGGCCCCCGTCAAGCCGAGTTCGAGCCCATTCAGGCTAAGACGTACAAATTCAGTGACGTACACGGCGTAGACGAGGCTAAGGGCGTAGGTAACCCATGTCATCCTTGTGACAATTTGCTCAATCCGGCGGCATCTCCAGGAGCTCCAAGACATTGTGGAATTCCTCAAGGACCCTTCGGCGTTCGGCACGCTGGGCGGGAAGTTGCCTAAGGGCGTCCTTCTCACCGGTCCCCCTGGAACAGGAAAGACCATGCTCGCGCGCGCCGTCGCAGGCGAGGCCGGTGTGCCGTTCTTGTTCGCTTCGGGGTAAGTTGCAGCTGCTTCTTGTTGCTTAAATGCAGCGCCGGCTGACGAGCTTCCTACAAGCTCCGAATTCGATGAGATGTTCGTCGGTGTGGGTGCGAAGCGCGTCCGGGAACTGTTCGCTGCTGCGCGGAAGAAACAACCCGCGATTATTTTCATCGACGAATTGGACGCCATTGGTGGCAAGCGCTCCAGCCGTGACCAGCACTACATGAAGCAGACCCTGAACCAGCTCCTGGTGGAGATGGACGGTTTCTTGCAGAATGAAGGCATCATTGTGATTGCGGCGACCAACTTCCCGGAGACTCTCGACCCGTACGTACTGCCGTTTCTACGTCGGCTAATCCTATGACACTGACAGGCCTTCGACGACAGCGCTCTGGTCCGTCCTGGCCGATTCGACAAGCATGTCGCCGTCCCGCTTCCCGACGTGCGCGGCCGTGTCCAGATCCTCCAGCACCACATGACAAACGTAACCACTGCGCCTGGTAAGTATCTCCCATGGTCGCTTATGCGTGTCGGCGACTCACACGCCCATTACGTCGGCCACAGAGGTCGATACGATGGTCCTCGCCAGGGGCACCGTCGGTTTCTCCGGTGCCGACCTGCAGAATCTGGTCAAGTGAGTGTCCATTACGGCTGATTCGTCGAGCGACGCTCACAGGCGTGTCCAGCCAAGCCGCCGTCAAGGCCGCGCGGGACGGCGCGAAGGCGGTCGACTTCAAGCACTTCGAGTGGGCCAAGGACCGCATCATCATGGGAGCCGAGCGGAAGACGTCGTTCATCAGCGAGGAAATAAAGAAGATGACGGCCTACCACGAGGTCGGTGATCCTCGCTCCATACCGTGTCAGCATTGGGTTTGAATGCCGAGTTTCCAGGGCGGACACGCGCTCGTCGCGCTGTATACGGAAGGCGCGATGCCGCTGCACAAGGTTACCTGCGTGCCCCGCGGCCACGCCCTTGGCATCGTACGTACACGGCCGAAGCCCTGCTTCGCGGATGCGCTGAACACCCGCTTTGTTCTCTGCAGACCAGCCAGTTGCCCAAGGACGACCGGTACTCGGTCTCGCTCAAGGAGTACCTCGCCGAAATCGACGTCTGCATGGGCGGCCGTGTGGCCGAGGAGCTGGGTGCGTGCCGCAAATATCAAAATGTGTTTATTGAACATTACTGACCGCTACACGACTTCGGCCACCGCCTGCAGTCTATGGGCCCGAGAACGTGACGAGCGGTGCTTCTTCCGACCTGCAGCACGCTACGAGGACCGCGCGAGCGATGGTGAAGGTAAGCATATGCTCGATCAGTCGGCAGCGCACGATCGCGGCTGACGCGCGCTCCTATTCGCGCACTCTCCACCACAGAACTGGGGGTACTCTCACAAGATTGGGCCCGTCTACCTGAGCGATAGGGAGGACACGATCAGTCCGAAGAAGAAGGACGAAATAGAAGACGAAGTGCGCAGGTACGTAAAACTCCCATGTGGTCCCGCGGCGTATCCCCGCCCGCCAGAGCCCTCGCGCTGCGTGCGACACGCAGCGCCAGCCCCGGGGGCCTGGCCGGCGCGGGCGCGCGACCATGCGACGCAAACGACTGATCGTGCTTCCCTCGCGCTTCCGCGCCGCAGTCTCCTGATAGCGGGCGAGTCACGGGTGACCGCACTCCTGAAGTCTAAAGCGGACGAGCTGCACCGGGTCCGTGCTTCCCTCTCCCGCATCTACGCTTCTCCGCATGTGCTGACTGGCGTGCGTTCTGTGCTATTGCTACGTTGCTGCTTTCGTACTTTACAGCTCGCGGACGCGCTCGTCGAACACGAGACCCTCGACGCCGAGGAGGTGCAGAAGGTCATCAAGGGCGAGCGCATCCGCGCGATCGACGAGGTCATCAAGGAGGACCTCTCGCGCCTGCAGCACGAAGGCGTCGCGTCACCGCCGCCGCGCCCGCCCGTGCTCGTCTCCGATCCATAGTGCCAATCTCATTGTCAACGATAGTCGGTCTTGGTCGTATACGCTGTCTGCTGCTGCCCGCACGGTCTAATAGCTCTGTTGTAAATATACTCCTTCCCTCTCCGGCCGCGTCCCCCGCAGTGTGTCCGCGTACGGTGTGTCACAGGCACTGTCCCCGTGCCCGCCCTTCGCGCGCAAATGAAGGGGCGCAGCGTCCCATTGGCGCGCAGCCGCCCGGCCTCGTCTGGGACGACACCATCCACTGACGCACCCCCGGCGTTCTCCCCGCGAAACTCAGCGAAGGTTCACGCGCGCAGATAGAAGGGAACGGTGCGGGGCAGCTGCGTGCCGCAATAATTGAATTACAGGCTCATTACAGTGTGCGTGGGTCCGTCAGAAAATCCGCGCTCCTGCCCCGCCCCGCTGTGCTGGGCAAGTGTCCGAGAACACCGCACGCGCCGTATGCAGAGGCCCGCACCCGCGCTCCCCTCGCGGGATCCGAGGACAGCTCTCCGGTGGGAACGGCAGAGCCATCTCGGGCCTGGTCCTGCGGCGGGTGGGAAGCTGGTGCGGGGGCGTGACCGCGCGCGCGCTCTCGAGGTTCCGAGGGGATGCAGGGATGTCTGCGGGTTGCGCCCTGGATGTTCAAGGCTGAATGCGCGATAGCCCCGGCCGCGTCCGTCCGCGGCAGCTGCGCTGCGGAATGCGCCCGAGCCCGAGCGTAGAGTTCGGCGGATGACGCACGCAGGGGGCGAGCCCGGCGAGGTGCCTGCAGCTGCTGCAGATCGCGCATCGAATTCCGAGTCTTCTCGCCGCACGCACGCCGATGATCTGGGGAGCGGGACGGGAGAAGCGCCCCTCCGGAGGGACATGGGAGGGGTGGGGTACATATGCATATTCATTCGGGCCTTAGCACTGGGCTGGGAGCCCAGCGCGGTGTGATCGCGCAGGGCCTGTGTGGGTGGGTGGGTTCTCCGGCAATCCTCGGCTGTCAAAGCGGTGGACGTCCGCGTGCTTCTGTGTATTCGCAGGGCGCAGGGCGAGAGGCGGACGGATAGGGCGTGCTTCGGGGCGCTGCTGCTCGCGGTGTATGATGATATTCGGGTTCAAGCTCACGGCTGCGAAGCGGCGGCCAGTGACCAGTGGCTATGGGCGGGCGCGGACACGAGAAGCAGGTGCGTGGCGCTGCAGGACTCCAAGATGACATAGGCACGCACCCTTCGCTTCGCCCGGGAGAGAGACAAGACGCACACCGGGACGACCGCCGTTGTACCGTGTACGTACCGCGTGCGCATCGGCCTCGCTCGCGCTTTCGGGACTGAGCAGACGCGATGGGGGCCGCGGCTCACGGGCGGATACGCATACGTATACAAGGGGCCCACCCCATGGGTCACGATATCGCCCATGATAATCGCGAACCTGATGCGGGTGTGGCGAGGGTGCCAGCGGGGACCCCGCACGGAAGCACCCACCAGGGTCGCGGGGTTTGGAATATACAAGGTAGGTACGGTATGTCGCGAAGAAGAAGGAACGGGGGCTCACCGTCGCCGTGTCCCGACTCCCGAGCGTGCGTGAGCGAATGCCGTGCCGCTCGGGTGCGCTCCTCCTTGTCCGCTGTCCTTCCGCGGCGCTCGCTCGCTCGTCCAGCGGCAGGCGTTCTTGGGTGGGTTGCGCGGTGGTGGCAGTGGCGGCTGCGCACTGTCCGTCGCCGCGGTCGCTGGAACCTTGGCGCCCTCGCAAAGGGAGACGGGCGACCACGACCACCGCGGGGATCTACGACGCCGCTGCCGGAAGCGGCGACGGAACGCACATCCTCCAGCGGCCGGAGCCCTCGGGACGGAAGCCTGAGTGGGGGGCGAGCACTCGGAAGCGTGCGCGCTAGCCAGTGCCAGCCGTCCACATCTTGGCCCGTCCAGGAGCAGCTGTCTGCCGGGGCCGGGGGCTATAGTTGGACGGGTGGACGCACGTCAGGCCGCTGATCCTAGGACGCGCGCATCCTCGAGATGCGCGTGCGGACGCTGGGCGAGCGCTGGGAACAGGGGAAGACAGGGCGGCGCGCATCCGCGCACGTGTCCTGCGAAGCTCCGGCCAGCCGAGGTTCGTGAGGTGGTGGGAGGGGCTGCTGCTGCATTGCGTGCGCCCCGCCGCCGCGAGGCGGTCGGGCTGCTCCGAGGGACGTTCCCTAGGGAAGGACGCTGGGGCAGCCGGTCCAGACCGCATGAATATCGATGATGCACACTTACTCACAGAGCAATTACGGCTGAAGATTGGGCGTGCTTGGCCATAGACGGCGACGGAGAGAACTGCCACCTGCTCGGGCTTGGCCAATTGGCGTTTGGGCGCAGGAAGCCGGGGCAGCGGGCTAGATAGCGAGGGAATAAAAGGGGGATTTGGCCGCAGGCAGGCGTCGTATCGCGGCGCGGAGGAGCGGGAGGTATGCGAAGCGGGATATTTGGGGACGCACCGTACCGTGACAAGCGGATTATTCACAGCTGCTGTGGTATTGAAAGCTCGGGCGTGGTTTGGGGGGCGTGCATCCACGCGCGCAGAGGCTGCCACACGCAGCGCGTGGGCTGGGCGGCGTCGGGCGGGTGGCGTTGGAGGCGGTCGTGACGTTTGGAGGTGGGTAGGAGGTAAGAGAAGAGGTGCGGCGAGCTGCAGACGGTCATTTTACGCAAGCGAACGGATCGGGCGGGCGGTGCGGGTCGGGTGGGTGCAGGCACTGGCACTGGACGGAGTGCCTGCCCTAACGGCACGGGTGAAACACCGGCAGCCCGACGCAGCAACGATGATGTGCATGCACGGGGCCGAGTAACGGGAGGGGTACCTGTGCGGTTCGACTGAAAATGCCACGGCGCTGACAGGCCGGCAGACGGGCGCGCGGGCGGGCTGTAGGCAAACAGACGTTGCGTGGTGCTCCGGGTGCGGTGGGCGCTGGCGGAGTGCGTGCAGTGGGAGGTGCGACGGGATGGAAGAGGGAGAGATGCACGCGGAGAGCTCGCCCGGAATCACGGTTAAATGATGCCTGTCTGGGCGATGATAAATTGCATGAGAACGGGGGGAGAGGTGATATGAACGGATAGCTGTATCTAGCCTAGTCTGGGACGCGAAGGTTTGGGAGAGACGTCAAGCAGCACGAGATGAAGGCTGAAGCGCCTCGGCATGTGTAGTGGAGAAGGCTGCTGGGGCGGCGCCGGGCAGTGGGCGGGCTGGTGTCCGTCGAACAAGGGATTTTACGACTGCGATCGGTCGTGAAACGTGTTGGCGGCTGGGAGGAGCTGACGACGAGGTTCGTAGCCGCACGGGGAACGGAACAAGGGCCAAGCAAGCCGAACCGCTCGGCGTCGACTCTGCGCGCCAGTACGAGCAGGACCTGTTGTTACATATGCCGCTGATGTCTGGGCGGGAGTGTGCGGCGACAAGAAAGACCGCGAGCGGCTGAGGAGGACGCTAGACAAGGGAGAGAGTGCTGCGGCTGTGAATGCAGGATGGGCTGCAGTGCGCGACGGTGCGGTGCTGACGCGGGCGCTTGCGCGTGGAGCGGGATCAAATTGGTCTGAACGTTGCTCGGCGACTCATCTTTCTCTGCTCGCCGCGAGCGTCGTGGGACGCACGGTGCACTTTGTGCAGGATAAAAACATGGACGAGCGACAAGGAGAGGAGACCGATATACAAGGAGCCCCTTTTTGCGGGGCGATCTACCCCAGGGTCGGGGGCTGTCCGGGGTCTGGGGACACAGCCGCGGGGCGCAGATTCCGGAATGGCGGGCTCTGGTTCGATCTGAAGGGGACTCGAGCGAACGTTGTATTTGCATTAATGGATTTCTGGCGGGGCACAGACGGCGCACAGGCCGGGTCAGCGATTTCTATTCGTCCCCATGCGCTGCCATCATCTGCTCCCCGGCTGCGCTCCCGCGTCCCAGCTCTCCGCCCCGCCTCCAAATGCACATATCCATCCCTCGTAAAAACCCACCCAGCTCGCACCTGCCCCTTTTCCTCCCCCCGTCCGAGTCTGCCACACGCTCGTCAGCCCCACCAGCCACCGCCAGCCGCACGCCGCACAGACACAGGCCCCCACCCGCCCACGCAGCGTCAGCCACCCCGGGCGAAGGCTCTCCACCCTCGGCTCGTGGCTGGACCTACATCTGCAAGCCCCCGATCGCAATCGCGCGAAGTTCTCGATCAGCGACGACGAACATAAACCGCGTTGCGCGCGAGCGCACCCACCATCACCCAATCTCCCACTCCCCGCGTCCTCCTACCTCCGCCGACGCGCAGAGCGCCCGTGGTGAGTTGCCCGCTTTGTCCTCGAAGCCCCCCTCCCGTCCGCGTCCGTGCCCCCCGCGTCCGCGCAGATGCTGCCGTGCAGATCCCGGCTCATGATCCAATCACCGCCCCCGCCACGCAGATGTGCCATCGCCAGTTGCGCCTATGGAAGGCCACAAAGTGCGGTCACTTGACCTTCTCCGGCGAGACCAACATCGACTGCGCTTCCCGCGACTGCTACAATAGCACCGCCCACCCCGCCACCTGCGGCGCACCCGGCTCGGGCACCCAGTGTCGCTGCCGCCGCTACTATACGTGCGTCTCCAGTCCTTTTGCGGTCCTAGTTCGCGCCCTGACAGCCCCCGAAGCCAACCCGAGCGCATCATCACGCACGAGGTACGCCCCCCGCTCTCCGTGCCGCACGGAAGAAGTCTAACTGTGCGCCGCACCGACAGGTAGATACCAAATGCCCGCGGTGCCCGTAGCCGCCTGACCCCGCCCCCGTCCTCGCTCCTGTTCTCGTTCACGTCCTCACGCCGTCCTCTCCTTGTATATCGCAGTGTATATTTCCCGCCCTCTCCCTCTGTACCACGTAGTAGACAGCGACAAGCTACTCATACGTCGAGGTCCAGCGCGCCCACCGCCGCGTCGTCCAGCCCCCCGTCCCCGTACTCGTCGTCGTCCTCCCCGTCGTCCCCGTGCGCCGCCGCCGCCTTCGCTGCGGTCGCGCGGCGCTCCGCCTCCTGCTCGAGCGCGAGCTCGCGCTGCTTCGCCTGCGCCTTCTCGACGTCCGCGAGCGTCCAGAGCGAGATCCCCGTCTGGTTCTCGTTCGGGTTCTGCGAGATCACGCGCATGAACTGCTTCGAGAGCGTGAGCGCCATGTCCGTCGACAGGTTCGCCGCCGTTTCGGTGATGTACTGGTTGATCCACCGCGGCAGCTTCGCGCGCTTGTCCGCCCGCGCGAACCGCTATCGAGGCGTCCGTCAGTGGGTGTCCAGGGCGGGGATGGGCGGACGCACCTTGTCTGCGAAGACCATGAGACCCCAGTCGGTCTTACCGCGCAGGACACGCCCGACGCACTGTGCGGCGTTCCGCATCGCGTCGAAGCCGAGGAACTCGGACTCGCGGATGCGGTACGCGTCTCTGAGGTACTCCAACCGCGCCTTCAGAATTCGGCTCTCGGTATATTGGTACGGCACGCTGTTTCGAGCAAAAATCGGTCAGCGTCCACGCCCCCGCCGCGAAGAGTGAGGCGCCTTAGCGTACCCAAACATGATGACCGCACGGCCGTAATTGTGATCAAAATCGATGCCTTCGGAGACCTTGCCACGGGCGACAGACAGCAGCACTGCGCCTCGGCCGTTGTCACATGCCTGCGGTGTGTAGAAAAAGGGTCCGGGTGTAAGCGTAATTAGCAACGAGAGCGAGCGCGACAAAGTGGGGTTCTATCCACCGAAGCCACGCACCCTGCGGTAATTCTCAAGCGCGATGCTCGTCTCGTTCGCGTCCGGGGTTTCGACGAAAATCAGCTTGTGCTTCCAGACTTCGTTCAGGATGCCCTAACCGCCGACCTGTCAGCGCATGCACGCGCGCGCCACGAAACGTACACACCATGTCGTTCCACGCGGCGACGATGGACTCCATGTACAGGTAGCTCGGGAAGAACGCGACGATGCCGTCCGGCACGATCTTGCTGTACTCGATGAGGATGCTCCCGAAGTTGCGCACGACCGCGGGGTCGTTCCGCACCTCGAACCGCGAGCTGATCGCGACCTGGTCGCTCCCGCGCGTGATGACCTGCGGCGCACGGGCGGGTCAGCGGTAAGCGGGCGCCCATACACACGAAGTGAGGGCGCGAGGGCGCGGGGACGCTCACGAGCGGCAGGAACGAGTTGCGCGTGAGCGACATGGCGTACGTCTCCTGGACGACCGGGGTGAACTGCAGCATCTTCGGGTACATGTCGAGCGGCGAGAGCGTCCCTGAGGTGATGACGACCGTGCTGAACCGCTCGAACACCGGCTTGATCGCGATGGCGGGGTCCAGGCAGCTGTGGCAGGCAAGCGTGAGCCGGGCGGTGGGGCGGCACGCACAGTGCGGAACGACCTACGTAAGATGGAAAATCGGATTCGGGACGGTCGCAGCCTCCGTTTCGTACGGCTCGAGGATAAGGAGGAAGCCTGCGGGCCAATCAGCGGGCGGAAAGGACAAAGGCTAAAGGGTATAACGTGCCTTTCTCGTACGTGGCGACGAGCGTTGCAAAGCTCGCGACCTTCTGCAGGGACGAGAACTCGTCTACGCGGTTGACCTCGAGGGTGCGCACTAGCGACTGCAGGCGCTCCGCGCAGAAACTGGCGCACACTATTGATCGGCGATGCGTTCTGAAAGCGGGCAACGGACATGAGGACGACGTACCGTAACGGCCGCCGCTCGATGTACGTAATGTCCTTCAGGTGCTGCAGAAACGAGAGCGGCGTCTCCGCCACGACATGCAGCACCCGCATGCGGGTCTGGCCGGCGCATCCCAACCAATCAGGGGCGCGGCGCGATGACGTGAGTGGGACGCCTGACGCACCTTTAGGTACTCGACGAAGCGCTTGAGGAACGCCACGAAATGTTCAGCCTTGCGGATGTTCCCAGGGATCGCCTCCTTCAACAGGTCCTCCGGGAGCACTATGCCCGAGCGGTCAATAAGGTTGCGCCGCGGGCGGTGATTCGGGGGCCATAGGGGCAGTGGGGAGAAGCGTACCGGGATTAGACACAAAGGCGTCTTCCGCGTCGTTGGCCTCCTGCAGGCCTTCGACTAATCGCATGTATTCGTCCTGCAATTTGGACGCATCGGTCTTCTTAATTCTGGAATGCCGATCAGACCGCCGTATGCCTCCTCGTGGAGCGGCTAGCACTCACTCGTCGATCTTGTCCCCTAGTCGCACGACGCTTCGTGCAGCCGAATCAAGCATCGGCCGTGTGAGGTCGATGCTCAGCGATTCAATGCACACGTTATCTATAAGCGGTTAGCGTCCTGTCATCGAGCGCCACTTATGACCCCGGAGTCCCCTACCGATGTTGTGGGCCTCGTCGAACACGACGATGGCGTCCTTGGTTATCTCCTTGGACACCTGCTCCGCGACTTTCGGATCGAGCAGGTAGTGGAAGGAGTAGATGATCACGTCCACAAACGGCATCTAGCATGCATATCGGCATGTGCTCACGGCAGAATGATTCCGCTAACACTTACCATGCGACGAACGAGGAAGTATGGGCATACACGGTTGTCCCGACCGTGCTGCAGGACGTCGGCGAGGGTCCAGATGCCTGGAGGAATCAGGTTGCCAGGCTCCAACTTGCCTAGCTCCTGTTGGACGTTTAGTAAGGTGGTACGTTATTGATTCTTCCGACCGACCTCGTGCCAGTCGCAAAGGTCTACAGACCCAGGATTTTCGCGGCCTTTTTGACAGGCGGCGGCGTTTGTGAGGTCTCGACATCGAGCATCGACCACCTTGCCCTTCTTCTCTTTTGATACCTAGATGTTGCGAAAAAGTTCAGCCCTGCTCTAGACAACCACGACAACATCTCAAGGACGATGTAACGTTCACGGTGAGGGCGATTTTGTCAGTGGCCCTGAGTTGCACTGACCTCGGGATGTATGCAAAGGTTTTTCCGACTTGTCAAGCCGATGCCGTAGAAGCTGGCTTCCTTCTCTCGCTGCTCTTCCGTTTCCGCATGCTCTTTGCGGTAATCCATCAGACGTTTGAGTTCCGCAAGGGCTTTCTCGATCTCAGGGACCGTCCGCGAGCAGTAAATTAGTTTCCGTTTCGTAGGGTAGAACTGCACGGCCGAAGTCAGCGGAGAAACTATGGGAAAACCATGTGGGCTATACCTGTTGATATGATACAATGAGAGATAGCAAAGACACTGTCTTCCCGGTCCCTGACGGCATCTCGAGCAGACAGTGTCCCTAGAGTGATGTTATTTCGACGAACCTACAGCGGGCAATCAGGAGCACGCACTGTCGCATCGAGCGTACGTTTGAGGTCACACATGTACGCATATTGTTCTGCAGACGTCTGTGAGCATGTACAGATAGCAGCTCATGTCCATAACCCATACCGGGATATATTCGGTCATAAGGGAAGATTATCTGAGCATTGTGAGAGCAGCTCAGCACACCATCTCCGCGGGCGTGAAGGCACTTACAGGTAGGTCGTCAATAAAGAACTTCATAACTACGCAAAGCAGAGACAGCAAGACAGAGGGTGCGTGGTCTGCCGGGCGTCGTGGTCCGGAGACAAGATGTGTTTCGCAGCGCCCGTGCGTGACGCGTCCGGTAAGTAACGCGACGCGCTTCGATCGCCGATCTCGTGGATGCATCACGCACGTTACTCGGGGTCACGGCAGAGCGCCTCCAGGAACGGGCCTCACTCTCGATGATGCTCTCAAGAGCTCGCCGGCGCATCCCTGCGGGCCTCCCCCGCTATGTCCCCCCTCGACCCCGGCTCGTCGCGCGACGATATGCGTCGAGCGAGAACAAGCCGCCTGCGCCGCTGCCAGACGATGTGCGGCCCACGCCCTACCTGAACGACAGCTTCGCCTCCCACACGATGTTTACGGTCGACTTCTTCCGGAGGTTCATCAAGTACACCGCGGTCGGGATCGTCGTGGTAGCCGTCACATCATGGACCGCATTTGAAGGCGCCCACATGTGGGTGGAGAACGTCGCGCTTGCACAGGACACGGAGGAGGACGCGAAGCAGTGGGGGTGGGATGTGGAAGCGGACAGGTGGTCGGGCTCACCGAAAGGAGGCACAGACCCCGGCCTTGGGTTCACGGGAAGACACGCCGTGCGGAGCGCATGGATGGTGCTCTACTGGGGCACAGGCTCGAGCACGAACGTCGTCGCGTCCAAAGCGTTCACCGGACGGAACGGAGAGGGTGCGACGCTTGCTCCTATCCATGCTACACTCGAGTACGCCCAGGAGTTCCTCCGTCTCGCATTAGAGGGTGCGGAGCAAGCAAATGCCAAGGGACGGCTACATCCCATGACTATCACTTCTCTGCTCGCTCGCCGCGCCGACGTCATCTCGCGAATGGGCACCCGCAATGCGCTAGACGAGGCTCGATCGGAATACGAGCGCGTATGGTCGAATGTGGCCGGGAAGGGCGTCCAAGCCGCTCGGATTGCGCTGAAACTCGGCGACCTCAACCGCCGACTTGGCGACACCGAGGACGCGCTGTTCTGGTGGGCTCGTTCTATCGAGCTTGCTGCCGGCAAGGACGACACCACGCCTCCGAACGCCCACCCAATAGTTCCGGAGACGGTTCCGACATCTCCGCTGGCTCAGCGGACATTGGTTTCAACGTTGGTATCCCTCTCCGCCTTCTACGCAACGACCGGTCAGCTCCGCGAGGCGAAAGCTGCCGAGGAGTCTTCCTTGAACCTTCTCCGCGCCATCCCATCGCCCCAGTCGTTCGACGACGCCTCGCCAGGACAGGCCCTTCATTGCCTCTACATCCTACACCGCTCCTCCATCATAGCTATCCATCTCGCAGAGGTGTTGTACGCGCTCCGCACGAAGCCTGCGACGTCTGTCGACTGGCTCACTCGTGCCGCCGAGTCATCGGAGCGTGTGGCACTCTCTCTGTCCGGGCTTCCGCCTACACATCCCGACGCTCCCGGCTCGAAGATCCCTCACCCACCCGCGTCCGAGACGCCGTTGACCGAGCAATACGCCAAGTCAAAGTCGATGAATGGCCCGGCGAAGAACTTGCTACGTGACGCACGGCGAACCGCTGCTGAGGCGTGGAACCTCATCGGTGTCCTTACGGAAGGGAGCAAGTCCCCCGATGCACCTGCGAAGGCGTTGGAGTGCTATGAGCGGGCGCTGGGATGGGCTGGGGTTGGTCGTGACAAGGCGGGAGGCATCGGGCAGCCGGGAGAGGGTACGTTGGAGTCGGACTGGCAGGTGTTCTGGGCGAACTACGTCCGCACTCGGGAAGCAGTCAAGAAACTAGAGCAAAAGTAGTTCATTTGTGTACCTTGTCTTCTATGGCCTACTACCTCTGCCACTCTACCTCGCTGCGATTGGTTTTCTATTGCAACGAATCTCGAATCTCTGCATCGACATGGAGGTAAGCCGTGGCGAATTTACTGTGGAGAACAGGCGTATATTTCGTACACTTCTAACTTTCCGCGGACTCCACAAGCACCCAAAACGCGTCGTGTCACACCGCGTAGGCGCCCAATGCTGCGCGCGCGCGTCGAGTCGCGACGCGTCGGAATCAACGCGACGGCTCAGCGCCACATCCGCTCTTGTTCACGACCTCCACGACGCCCATGACATGAACCACAAGGCGATTGTACTCTGGGACCCCAAGAAAAACACCAAACTTGCTTCCGACGATGCTTGCACCACCATCATCCAGTACGAGCTACCCCGCGCACCGTCCACCATCCGCCCGCCCTACCAGTCCCCACACCCTCCAGACGTGAGGCTCCGCTATGTCCCGCCACTTGCCTATTTCTGCATTAAAGCCTTGGCGGAATACCCGGACGAAATGCACGCTCTAGGGGTTGCGCGATTGCGCTACGAGGCTCCGTGGTCCCGCAGCCACTTCGACATTCTCTCGGCACTCATCCCCAGCTATCGCCCCTTCGACGAAGCTGAGTCCGACGAGGATTTCGACCTGTCCCCCGTCGACCCGCGTCTCTGGGCCGTAATAGTGCAAGTATACGAAGGGCTGCCAGACGACTTTCGCCACTATACGATTCCGCTATCCGACGCGTACCTGCCTCTCTTACAGACGATCCCGAGCACGAAGCACTTCTCCCTCATAACAGCCCTTTCTCTTGGGCGGTGTAAAGTACTCACGGACGACACCATTATACAGCTGTGCCAGCTACATACCCTCGCTGCTCTTGACGCGAGCGCCACCGCAGTAGGAACCTGGGGCATCAGCAGGCTGTCCAAGAGCCTCAACTGGAGCGAGGCGGACGCTACGCATCCTGCGCAACGCCGCGGGCCATGGGGTCTACGCATCCTCTACTTACGGGACTGCATCAACGTCGACAACAAAATACTTCCCTTGCTTGCGCACTTTCCGTTGCTCAGTGTCGTCGGTGCGTACGCATGTCAATATAATTACAAGGTACATAGCCACAGCTGAGTACATGGTTCTTAGATTTGCGAGGCACGATTTGCCAGCCTTGGCGAGACCCTAATCTGCCTTTCAAAGCCTGCACCGACACAACCCTTTTCCATCCTAGTTCCCTCACCTCTGTTTTGTACCGCTGGGCAGAAAGCACGGACGGACAGCACAGATCGATCTTCTCACATCCGAAGCCATTTGTGCTAGACGTCAATAAGCTACACCATACAGCTGCACCTGTACACCCTAACAAGTATGCTCTCAACGACCTGTACCGCGACACCGACGACGATGACCACCGCCCTATGGAGTTCATCGGACGACGCAGGGACGTCTTCCTGCCCTACGAGCCCGCTCGCGAGGAAACTCCCTCCGAGGACGAGGAGACGTTCGACACCATTCTCGCCGCCCGCCCCCCATCCCCCGCATATGACGACGACGGCGCTGACAGCGGAAACTCCGAGGCGGACCTCAGCGACGGCGAGAGTGCCTATAGCGCTGGTTCGGTCGTGTCAGCCTCCCACCCGTGGTATGCGGACACCCGCCCACAAGTCGAGGGCCCCGCGCCGCGGCCCCCCATCCCAGAGCCCCAGCCGGAAGAGGACAACAGCTGGATGACGGAAGTCGCCGAGGACGAGGTGCGCGAGTATATGACGGGCCGGGACGTGGACGCGTTCTACAAGCAGAACCCGAACGCCCCGCGCGATACGTTCCTCCTGCGCCGTATCCCCTCGCTCAAGCCGCAGCCCCAGGGTCTAGCCGATCAGCTCATGCTCTTCCGCCCGCCGCCGCCGTGGAGCGCGCTCCCCAGCGCCCCTCCCGTGAAGCCTGCCTCCAGGGCCGCCGCGTCCTCTGCGAGTGCGCTGCACGGGATGCCGGACAGCGTGTTCGCGTCCGGGTCTGGGCACGGGCACGGGCCCAAACGGAAGCGCAGCGGGCTCGACGACGCGGCTCCCGCTCAGACGGACCAGGCGCGGCGGAAGATGCATGCGCTCTCGAGCATCCAGGGTCTAGTCAACATGGTACAAAGCCGCGGAGATGGTTCCAAGGGGAAGGAGAAGGCTGGGGGAGGCACACAGGTGCGGATGGTCATGCCGGGGCGCGTGAATCCCTTCGCGCGTGCAGCTCAAGCTGGGAGGCAGAAGGAGGCCGCCCTGACCTCGAAGCCGACCTTGAAGAGGAAGGCTACGGAGACGTCTCCAGCGCGAGCTGCGGCCACGGGGCGAGAAGGTCCGCGGAACGCAGAATCGCGTCGTTCTGCCTCGAACCTTGTCCCGCAGAATGTCAGTCCCACAGCCGGGCCGTCCAAGCCTAAACCGACAGGAGCACCCAAGGCAGCACCGCCGACTCCCAAAGTCGCTGCGCCCGAGCGCGCAAACCATTGCACCACCGCGACAGAAACACCTGCCGAGACCCCACGGCCGTCCAAGAAGCTGAAGCCCATCACCTCGCTCCCCGTCCCCGATTGGCCAAATGCTAACCACAAGCCGGTGTCGCACCACGCGCCGAAGCCAAAACCACCTCCGCCCAAGACAGAAGTCCAGACGAAGCTGCCAGTCTCCCGGGGCTCTGTGAAGCCCCCTGACAAAGCAAAGGAGAAGAGGCGGGAGTCTGCACCGATCGTGACGACTCCGCGGTTGGAGATGGTTGCGGAGGCGAAGCCACAGGCTAAGACGTCGGTGGGGACGAAAGGCAAGGTAGAAAAGGCGTTGAGCAAGGGCGGGAGGGGGAAAGAGAGGGAGAAGAAGGGCGCTGGATTTGACTGGAAGAGTTGGGGTAAATAATCCGGACTTCATGGACGACGACTTACAGCACATTGCTACTTACATTCACTCTAAGTACTCCACACAGTAATGCCGCCGTATATCCATCGTTATGCGATGGGTCTCGTTCCACGGAGTCAGCGTCCAGGGCCTCAGACGAGGAATGATATTACAATACACTAAGGATAATAGACACCACAAGGGAAGCAACAAGATGGTCTGACGAACGGGACGGCCTCTCCGTTCAGTACCTCCGGCGGCCAGGCGAACGCGAGCGCTCTCTCCTCCGGTCACTGCAACACAAGCACACACACACATCATCAGCTATGCCTCACGCGACATACAAACGACAGCACTCACTCGTATCGCGACGAGTGTCCCCCGCCGTAACCGCCCCGCTCACGGTCGCGGTAGTCATCCCGCGATGAGCGGAAGTCGCGGTCTCCGCCGCGCCCGGGCGTGGCACCTGGGGGCGCACCAGAGCCGGGAACGCCTGCGGGAGGTCCCATGGGCTGGCCCGCGGCCTTGCGCTTCTCGCGCTCCTCCTTGAACTTCAGCAACATGTTGCGGAGCTCGTGGTAACCCAAATGCATCTTGTAGAATGTGAGCACTGCTTTAACGAAGAAGTGGACAAATAAGCAGCGTACCTTACCACCGAAGTGGTCGGCGAGACGACGATCGGAGTCGAGGACGGAGAGGTAAGCACCACAAACGTCGCAGACACGGAGCTTTTGGTGGCCAGACGCGCCCGACGTGTCGGTGAGTTGTTGCAGTTCTCGCTGTAAGGACGTGTCAGCTTCCTGCGCAGGTCGTAGGTACAGTGGACACGCACCTCCTTGTCTGCTTTCTCGCTCTTCAACGCCTCAATGGCCGCCATCTCCCTCATAGACTCGTCCACCTTGCCCTGCTCACCGAGCGTCTCAATCTTCTCGGTACCACCCTGAATGGCAAGCTCGATCTCCGCAATTTCCCTCATCTGTAGAACACGTGTAAGCAACACGCAGCACAGCACGCGCACGGGCAGGACGCACCAAGTTCGTCGTCTTCGCGTTCTCCTCGGGCGTCTTCTCCAGCCGCCTGTGCGCGGCGCGGATCCTGCGGTCGCACTCGTCGACGAACGCGAAGATGTTGGACTCGTACTCCGTCTGGAAGCGCGCGAAGATGGGGTCGGTCGGGTTCGCCTCGCGCGCGGCCAGGAACTCGGTCTTCAGCCGCTCCGTGTGCGACTTGGGGCATGCGCCGAGGTCCATTTTCTGCACGGGCTCTGTGAGTGGCGCTTCGCAAGAAGTGGGGGAAGGGAACGCACTGTGTTGGTGAAGAGGGTGTGGGGGCAGGTTCCGCAGAGGAAGTTCTTGCATACTTTCTCGTCGGACCAGTGGAGGTTGGCGTTGGATACACCCATTGCCTCCGGGCCCATCATTTGCTGTACGAGGTCAGATACGCTTGCTTGCGAATGCTGGACAGACGTACCTCGAGGAGCTTCCTTTGCATCTCTGCTAAGCGACCCATGATGTGCAAGCAAGAGGAGTGTGAACCGAGGTAAGGATTGAGGGGGCTGTATGTAGCGAGTGGGTGAGGGTCTCGCGTCAAGGACGAGTTTGCGCGTGTTTGCTCCTGGTGCGCCCAAAGACACAGCTGCGGGCGCCTAGTCCCGCCGCCAACAACGTTCTTCATCATGCGCTCACTCAATGCGGCCACTTTCAAGCTCCATAACAGCTTGTTAACAGATCTTATGTCGGGCGGGTTTATGCTAGTGATACAGATTGTATGATATGGTACACCTCCATTGATTTCTGCTTCTCCAGCTCCCCTTTAAACCAAGCGACTCTTCTCCGCAATTCCAACATCCTCGCCCGTTACACCTGCTGCGCCAGAAAGAACTGAATCCCTCTGTTGCTTGTCCCGAGCAATCTCGTCAACTTCCCCAGGGGCTTCGCTCTCGAAACTTCGCTTGTTGATCTGCTCCTCGAAGCGGTCGACAGCTGCACAGGATGCATGAGCACTCTGGAAAGCATGGGACTAGGGATTGCGGCCCTCACCTCTATCTACGCGTGCTGGTATACCTCTAGGTCAGAACACTTGTAGTCAGCTACACATTTAAGGACGACGCACATTTCTCTCCGCGAAGAGCAGCAGTATCGACCTTCTCTTCCTGCGGCGGCACCATCCATGACTGGCCGCTCACATTCTTCGTCGAGTGAGCAGACTTCTCCTCCTGAGGGGGTACGAGGAAGCTGGCATCGGTGATAACGGGCTCGGACTGAGACACGCGGGTGTCCTTTTTCTCTTCTTGGGGTGCGAGGAGGTGGCTCATGATGGGTGTAGATATAAAAAGGGGGTGTCTTGGTGGTGAGTGTGTAGTAGAAGTTGGTAGAAGAGTGAGTGCGACTGGCCCCCTCCCTTACCGTAGCTTCAACCTTTATATATGAGAAGGTCATGGGAAGGTTGACATCATACGGAGCTACCGCTCCTTCCCGATGGACTTGTCGCGCCAAACACACCACCTTCCTGTTTTGTAACCACACTTTCGCGCGACATGACGCGCTCCGGGCGCTTCCCTAACTCGACGCACTATGCTCGCGCGCCGCTTTCTATCTTCAGCAGCCTCCCTGCCCCCCACCATCCGCCAGCTCCTTTCTCACCCTCCTGCGCCCTCTGCCGAAGCGATACATGTCAATGGCTGGGTGAAGTCCATTCGGAAGCAGAAGCAGCTCGTGTTCGCCGTCATCTCGGATGGCTCCTCCGAGGCCGGCCTCCAAGCCGTCTTCAAAGACGTCACTTTGGCAAAACGGTGCGTCGGAGCACCAGGGAAATTCCGCGCGGACTTATGAATCTATGCACCAGTTTGACCAATGGCGCAAGTGTACGGGTGTCAGGGACGTTAACAGACAGCCGTGGAGCAGGTCAGGCTAAGGAGCTGCTTGTTTCCGACGTCGAGGTGATCGGGGAATGTGATCCAAAAGTACGTCGCCCTATCATCTGTTATGGCCGAGATTAATTGTACATGCAGACATACCCCATGCAAAAACAAGCCTTGACAGTAGAATACTTGCGGGACCACTGTCACTTGCGCGCCCGCACCAACGAGATCGGTGCCATGCTGCGACTGCGTGATACCACCACCAGAGTATTAAACGACTATTTCCAAGTGGGCCAACATTTTTCCTTCATGTCTCGCGCGTACTCATGTTCTCAGAATAATGGCTTCGTCCACATACACACACCTATAATCACGTCCAACGACTGCGAAGGCGCAGGCGAGACTTTCCGCATCGTCGCTTCCTCTGACTCCCCGTCCCTTTCCTCTTCCACCACCACGCAGATTGCTCCAGCACCTCCCACCACCGACGCCTCACCCTCAGAATACTTCAACCACCCCGCATATCTGACCGTCTCCTCCCAACTCCACCTCGAAGCCGTCGCATCCGCCATCTCGCGCGTGTACACGCTCTCCCCCTGCTTCCGCGCCGAGCGCTCCCAGACAAGCCGGCACCTCGCCGAGTTCTGGATGCTCGAGGCCGAATGGGCCTTCACCTCCTCCGTCGAAGACATCTGCGCGGGCGTCGAGGGCGCCCTCCGCGCCGTCCTCCGCGCGCACCTCGACAGCCCGGACATGGCCGCCCTCCACCGCGGCAAGCCGCACGACCGCCGCCCAGAGCTCGCCGCGCTCGCCGACGCCCCACAGCCGTGGACGCGCATGACATACACCGAGGCCATCGCCGCGCTCGAGGCGCACCACGCGACGCGTGCCTTCACGTTTGCGCCCGCGTGGGGACGCGCGCTGCAGAGCGAGCACGAGCGCTGGCTCGCGGACGAGCTCGTCCGCGGGCCCGTGTTCGTCACGGACTACCCCGCGGAGCTCAAGCCATTCTACATGCGTGCGAACGACGACGCAGTGGGGGCGCAGGGCCCGACCGTCGCGTGCTTCGACCTGCTCATCCCCGGGCTGGGCGAGCTCGTGGGCGGGTCGCTGCGCGAGGAGCGCTTGAAGCTGCTGGAGGCGGCGATCGAGCGGCATGGGCTGGACAAGGCGGACTATGCGTGGTACATGGACCTGCGCAAGTATGGGGGCGCGCCGCACGGCGGGTTTGGGATGGGCTTCGAGAGGTTGATCAGCTGGATTAGTGGGATCGAGAGCGTGCGGGAGTGCGTAGCGATGCCGAGGTGGGCGGGCAGGATGCTGCTGTGAGCACGGTGCTGGAGTGTTACATTAGGATCGTGTGTTGTTATAGACCTACAGTAATTGATTGCTGCACCCCCGTTCAGAGACCTTTTTGTTCAGAAGTGATGCAACAGTCAACCCAGGTGTGAACCTCCAAGGCGCGATTGCGATTGAGCTTTGCAGAGATACAGTATTTACACTGATACAGACTTGCGTATCGACGGCAGGTACACTACCGCCATTCGGGACTAGGTACACAGGCTACTCTAAATAAATGCAGGGGCGGTAACGTAACACATGGGACAGTGTGTGCAGAACGTGGAATGGTGCAAGAGGCAAGATGCGGGAGGAGGAGTAGGGTTGCGATGTCTATGTACTATTATGTGGTTGTTAGGGATTGGGAAGTGAAGCATGTGTATGGACAGCGCAATATGGAGGAGAACTAGCTAGAGATATGAAACTATGGACACAGTGAAACGTGCATGGAAGGTGGGTGGGGAGCAGACCAGGGCAGTGAACAAGCGACGGAAGGATGCAGAGCGGACTGTACATTTTGATGCTGAGCAAAGAGGGCAACAAAACAGATACACTTGGGGAGCGACTCTCAAGCAGCAGGCGGCGGTGCGCTTCCGGCAGCTTGCCCGCGACCACGACCACGGCCGCCGCGGCCACGGTATTGGCCTCGTGCGCGACCACGACCACGACCTGGTTGGGGGGCGCCGTCGACGGGAGAGGGCGAGGAACCTTGGTCGACATTCGGCGAGGCTGGTGACGACTGCTGTTGCGGCCGCGGCTGGAAAGGCTTGCCGCGGTTGCCTCTCCCGCGCGAGGGGCGCGGGCCGGAGAAGTTTGACGGAGAAGCTGAAGATGGGGTGCGCGAGTGTTCGGAGACGGGGGACGCGGCCTCGGACCGCGCATCCTCGACAGTGACAGTGGGACGGGGGCGGCGCGATTGGTTGCCGTTCTGCTGGCGCGGCGGCGCGGGCGGCGAAGGTGCGGGCTCTTCTGCGGAAGCACTGGCGGAGGAAGGATCGTACTTGCCGTACGTGACGAAGAGGTTCACGAGCTCGTCGTACTTGGCAGCTGGAGAGACGCTGGACTTGTATGCATGCGTGTTCAGAGACTTCCAGGCTTCGTCCATCTCTGCACTGGTGTAGAGGTGCTTGTCGAGGACTGCCCAGACCATTTCGGGCTCGCGAGTGTCGAGCGCGATGCCCAGGTTAGACTTGGCCTCTGGTGAACGGTATATCGCTTCGTAGTCCTCGTCATCTGGCGGGTAGGACTCGAAGAGGTTGCGGATCACAGCGGAACGCTGGTTCACCAGGGCGACATGGAAGGCGGTCAAGTCCTTTCCGTCGCGCTCATCGGGCTCGGCACCTGCGAGCACATGAGCGATCTGACATGTCGTGCTTGACATTCCCCGACTCACCGTGGGAGGCGAGCCACTCGACCAAGTCGGCATCTCCATTCTTGGCAGCGATGTGCAGCAGCGTCTGTTTCGGATCCGCAGGAGGCGACTTCACGAAGGCGTCTGCACCTTTGCGGACCTCACCGCTCGCAGCGTCGACGTTGTCTTCCCATACACCCTTGCGGACAGCTGAAGCGTCTCCGCGCCGTGCAGCAGCGAAGGTCTTGGAGCGCGTGGCCTGCAGCTGCTCCTGTAGAGCACGCGCTTTCTTCTCTGCATTCTTGCGTGAAGCTTCCGCCTCAGCCTTCTTGGTAGAAGCCTTCATACGCTGTCTCTCGTCCGCTTCGCGACGCTCTAATTACGTCTTGTCAGTAACTGTTCGCAACAATCTGATAAACCTAAGCCTACCGCGCTCGCGTTCCCTCTCTTGGTTGGCCTTACGAGCGGCCTCTTCCTCCGCTCGCTGGTTGGCTGCTTGCTCCTGCCGTTCACGCTGCATGCGCAAGCGAGCGGTGTACTGGTCGGGCGTTTCATGAGGTGCTTGGTCGGCTTCGTGATGGTGGTGGAACCCTAAAGAAAAATCAACATATGCTATTGAAATGTGCGAGCTTCAAACCCACGAGCTTGGGCGTTTCGGTTTGCACGACCTCTCAGGAGCTCTTCGAAGAGGAACCTGAGCCGCCGTCAAGTGTCAACGAACGTTGTGCGGGAGTAAATGCGTGGAGCTCACATGTAAAAATCGAGATGTTCTTCATAGCCTGAATCATAGTCGTCATAGTCGTCATCGAAAAAGTCGTCCTCATCGTCGTAGTCCTCATCATCATAGTCGTCGTAATCAAAGAACGGATTGAAGTGACTATGAGAGTGGCTGTGGGAGTGGCTATGTCCAGGACCGTGGCTGTGGCCATGCGGATGAGCGTGGCGGAGGGGTGGCGAAGAGGAGCGGTCGAGGTGCTTTAGGAGTACGTTGTAGGCCTCGCTCAGCTTCTGAAACTGGGCGGTCGCATCTGCGTCGCCGGGGTTCTTGTCCGGATGCGTTTTGAGCGCGAGCTAGAGTGCATTACGCGTCAATACCATCGCGAAAGTGAACGCAACAAACGCGTGTGGCTCACCTGTTTGTACGTCGACTTTACGACCTCGAGCGTAGAGCCCTGCGGTAGGGGTGGCCAACGCCACTGCTCAGCGCGCGAACTGGCCTGTGTATCATTTCACGCACCTGTTCGAGCCCGAGAACAGTGTAGGCCTCGCCGATGCTGGCATGCTTGTGAACCATGGTGTGTGGGGAAGAGCCAGTGGCGGAAGAGACCGAATCTGGCACGGAGAAGGAGCAAAAACGCGTGTTGCAGGCGCCCAAGTCGCGTCCATATATCCGTCGCGTGCCCCCTGCCTTTTTCGGTAAAGCCTCAAACGCGTCCCTCGCGGCGTCTCTCTCTCGTCCCTCCGTCACCGCGACCCTGCCTTGAACCCGTTCTCCTCCGCTTTGCTCGCTCTACGTCTGGTGGTTGCTGCTGCGTCTTTTCGGGCTGCTTGGATACGACATTAACACATCTTCGTGCTCGCACCGCTACGACAACTCTTCTTATTCCAAGCGGTCATAATGCAGCCAAGCGCGACCGCGAGTTCGAGCACGCTACCCACCCAACATGTTGCCGGGCCTTCAGACGTAGCATTGTCTGCGACGTCTGTACCTGTAACAGGTGGTCTGAACGGCGCGCAGAACTCCTTCCTGTCGGCCATTCTAAATGACAAGTGCGTCTTCTCGCGCGCCGGGGCAGCACTGTGACTGAAGGGGCCACCGTTAAGCATAGTCCATACTTCCAAGCCGGGTTTGGTATAATGGTGCGCTTTCGTCCCATACCTATCTGGGGGACGTACCCTGAGGGATAATGCTCTCGTGTAGGGTCTAGGCGTCGGCTTGACTGTCCTCCGCCGCGGTCTGACACTGTCCGCGTTTGCGCTCCGGCGACAATTGCTCGTCTCGCTCGAGATGAACAACAAAGACCCGGCGTACGACTACTTCCTCACCTGGATGTCGCATCAGTCCGCCCGCGCAGAGGCTGGCGGTGCGCCGTGGTGGAAGATTCGCTCTGCCCCGACATGGATGCGTAGCCGCCAGCTTGGCGTCCAGACAATACACGAGCAGCGGAAGAACGGCAGCTCGTCTGTCATGTTCAAGCTCGTCGCCGGACCTGGGACGCATTACTTGCGATACCGCAAAGTATGGATGCAGGTCAGTGAATATGTACGATAAAGCGAGGAGCGCGTAACGAACAACCGGACTGTTTAGATCAAGCGTGAGCGCGAGACAAAATCGCCTAACCTCATGACCGGCTCGCCTTGGGAAACGATCACGATCACGACTCTCTTCCGCGACCGGGAAGTGTTTGCGAACCTCCTCTCAGAAGCACGAGATCTTGCGCTTCGCGGGCAGGAAGGCAAACTGGTCATCAATATTCCATGGGGTATTGAATGGAAACCGTTCGGACAACCAAGGCGCAAGCGGCCAATACGGAGCGTCGTCTTGGAAGATGGCGTGGCCGAGAAAATAGAGGAAGACGTCAAGGCATTCCTTCAACGGCGGCAGTGGTATGCTGACCGAGGTAAGTACCACCCATCTACTCCGCCCTCCATACCGACTGAATAACGTTATTAGGCATTCCATACCGCCGCGGCTACCTCCTGCACGGCCCGCCGGGGTCAGGCAAGTCCTCGTTCATCCAAGCGCTCGCGGGCGCGCTCAACTACGACATCTGCGTGCTGAACCTCTCCGAGCGCGGGCTCGCGGACGACAAGCTCATCCACCTGCTCGCGAACACGCCCGAGCGCGCGTTCGTGCTCATCGAGGACATCGACGCCGCCTTCAACCGCCGCGTGCAGTCCTCCGCGGACGGCTACCAGTCTTCCGTCACGTTCTCCGGCTTCCTCAACGCTCTCGACGGCGTCGCGTCCGGCGAGGAGCGCGTCGTGTTCATGACCACGAACCACCCCGAGCGGCTCGACCCCGCGCTCATCCGGCCGGGGCGCGTCGACCTCGCCGTGTTGATCGACGACGCGTCCCCGGGGCAGACGCGCAGCCTGTTTGAGCGGTTTTATGGCGCTGGAGAAGAGGGGCAGGAGGGCTGGGAGCGGATCCCGGAGGACGTGCTCAAGCGGCTGGCGGACGAGGTGGAGGAGACGGTGCGCGAGGAATCGGCGAAGGGCCGCAGGATCAGCATGGCGGCGCTGCAGGGCCTATTCATTAGGAGCACGGCGCGCGACGCCGTGCGCGAGGTCAGGACGCTGTTCGTCGAGCGGGCGCCGCAGATAGAGTGAACGAAAAGTACCGATACAATCTATCACACCACCCGTTGAATAACTTAGTGTGGTACAGTGTGCTAGAGTGCAGCAAGATGCGATGTGAGTAGACGGGATGCGCGAGGCTAGAATACAGCTTTCCGCTTGCGCCCGGTATATTGTGAGTCGCGTGGTACGCCCTCTTTTCCCCGTTTGCGGTAGAGCTATTCGGCGGCGACGTCTGAGCAATCGACTTGTAAACCACGGCATCGGGACACGCACCTCCTTTTTCTTCAGAATCCAGTCCTTGTCCTTGATGCCCTTCCGCTTCCCGCCCTTCTCCCTCGACCGCAAGCGCTCCCTCCTCTTCTCGAACAACGCCCGCCCGTCGTCCTCCTCGTCCACCTCCTCGCCCTCCAGCCCCTTCGGCACCTGCTGCTGCCCGCCCCCGCCCCCAACATACAGACACAAAAACACCTTGCGCGCCTTCTTCGAGTTCGGGAAGTCGACGACGACGCCCCCGCCGAACCCCGCCTTCTGCGCGATCGACGTGATGAGCTGCACCTGGTCATCCGAGGTCGGGTAGAACTGGAAGACAGCGCGCGAGGGGTTCTTGAGCGCGGCGTGCAGGGTGGTGAAGAAGCGCGTGAGGCGGTGCGGGGGCGAGGATGTGGGGTGCGAGGTTTCGGCGTTCAGGAGCCATTGGAGGACGGATATGCTAGGAGGACGGCGGAGGTTTGAGCATGAGAACGGGATACGGGCGGGAAGGGCGTGTGGAGAGGGAGGGTACTGACCTGATCGCGCCGTCGAAGCTGCCAGCCCGGAATCCGAACCCTTGGCCGATGTCTTGCAGGAAGAGATCGCCCTCGACTTCCCGCTCCAGCGCGACCTCTGCCTCCAATGCTTTAGTCGCTCGGCGAAGGGGAATAACCGTACGGAGTCTCACCTAGCATGCTGGGTGCAATGTCGCAGCCGACCCAAATATGTCCCTCCTCATCTAGGATCTCTCCAGATAATCCGGAGCCACAACCGATGTCGAGGAGGAAGGCAGGCTCGTCTGGGGGGAGGTTGAGGAGCTCGAGGGCGCGGTAGGTCATGTCGGCCTGGATCTGCTGCACTCGGGTGCTACATTGCAGTAGATGCGTCGGTAATCTTTTCGAACGAGAGCCATGATTATACGCACTTGTTGGTATATTTTGTGGCCTCAATGTCGCCATAATACTACGAGAACAGATGTGAGAACATTGCGCGAAGAGTCAGCGGATGGGCGTACGATTTCAGGCGGTGCCTGGAGCTCTGGTCTGGACATCGGGGCAGCTTGCAAGCGTGCGTGTCTGAGCTGTTTGTTTGTAGAGGGACAGTGCTTGTGCAACGGGTGTGGCACTGAAAGCAACAGGCAGCTGCTGCCGCCCGATCGGTGCGGGGGAGAAAATCAGGGTGCACGTGTGGTACACGCTCACGTGCGCGGTCGATAGATATCCGTCGCGTCGCTGTCGTGGTTCTCCTGGAAGAACGGCGGTCTCTGTATGGCTTTAGCTCCCGTTCTCCTCGTCGAACAACCCCCTGGAAGATGGCTTCTGCTCCCGCACTGAAAAGCCTCGCAGTTCGCCGCTCATGGTTCATTTTCAACGTCCTCCGTGAGTCCGCCCCTTCGTCCACCACCTCGTTGCTGCGAACAGCACACGCGGGCTCCCCGTTCCGCCTTCCGTGGATCCTGTCTTGTTCTCAGACTCCGAGGTGAATATGCCACATCCTGCGCAGGACGATCCAGCAGCGTCAGGCGCGCCCGAGGCAGGCGCAAACCTCATCCCACAACCAAAGAAGGTCTCAGAGCACCTCTCCCCGAACAGAAAGGGGAACCCATCCCTAGCCACGCAGATGAGACTCGGGAAGACGGCCCGCCGCCTCGCGTTTTACTGCCGCCTAGTGGTGAGTCCGAGGGCTTGTCACATGTCTCATAGTTTTAACTGGAGCTCGCTCGACGACGCCGGCTGATGCACGTCCGTAGGCAAGAATCGCTGCTTTAAGTGAGAAGCACGCGGCTGGCATCACGTTCATCACCACCAGTACCAAACATCCCCAGTACGCGGAGTGGCAGGCGTTTGTCGACATCGTAAGTGTTCATGCACGCTTTAGCCAGTGTGCAGCTGCATGCACGTACCCGACGGGCTATCGGTTGATGATACGCGTTTTGGCCCAGGTCAAGGATGAACTGCCAATCATCAATGCCTACGAAAACGCGTGGCCCGTCGCGGCCATCGTGCGTGTGCACCGTCACAAGAAAAAAGTGGGCAGCGTCGGCCTCTTGAACTGGGAGGACAAAGCCGTAAGTTACTCTCCAACCCATTCTTGCGTCCTTACAGACACAATTGCGACTCTCCATCCTGACGTACGTCGCGCAGCCCCGCGGGTCCGATTCTACGCACCAGGCGACGCTCGACTCCGACGCCGAGCATCCGGAGTGAGTGCCACAGTACTCTAACCATGCAATACGCGGTGTGACCTCCTCTCCAAGACTGCACCACGCCGCTGATTCCGCTACCGGCCGCTCAGCCTCAGCCTCCGCCGCGGCAAACGCCCCCTCTCTAGTGGCATCCCGACGGCCCGCTCAAGACCCCGACGCAGGGCGATCCCGCGACCGCACGTACAGGCCTTACAACGGGCCCCGCGACAGCACCCCCCGTACCCGGGGCCGCCAGTTCCTGCAGTCCGTCTACATCCGTGCACGCCCTGCGCCCTCTACCGGCACCTCCTTCAGTGTCGGCCTGTCCCCCGGCACCGACATTTCCTCCAGTGCTGGCCCCTCCTCCGGTGCCGGGTTCTCCCTTAGTACCGGCCCCTCCTCCGCTTCAGCCGCCGGAGTGCACAGCTCGGGTTACGAGGACGCTTCGGGCCTCGCACTGGCACCGGTGCGCGAGTTCCTCCGCGCGCTGCACCCCGAGCAGACCGCCCTGCTGCCCGTCCTCGTCAAGAAGGGTGTGCGCACCGGGGCGGACCTCGACGGCCTGGCGTGCATGCCGCGGGAGCGCCGCAAGAGGCTGCTCATTTTGTGGCTCCTTGAGGAGGCGATCACCCAGCTGCAGTTCGAGGCGCTCGACGCGGGCTTCGAGGCGATGATATCCTGAACAACGGGAGCCATGTGAAAGTGAAAGACAGATATGCCGCACTAGCTGGTCGAAGAGCTGAACGATAATGTGCACCGTGAAGAAATATGTCGAATCCGATGCGTAAAACTACTTTTCTTGGCCTGTTCTACGTCGTGATGTATAGTCCGGCATGTACACAAAAAAGGGGGGTACGACGATGCTTTTAATTTTCAGGAAGTCCAAACCGTGGCAAATATACAATGGGATGTATGGCGGAACATCTGTACACATGTGGGCGACTCCGGGGCCCTGCAGGGCTGTATGCACGCGAGCGGTGGGGGGATGGACGAGGAGGAATATGCAGCAAGAGCGGCGGCGCGAGCACGGGGCGGGGAACGAAGGGGAGGAGGTGCAGGAATGGGAGCGGGGGCGAGGTGGGGAGGAGGGTCGGGGCGGCGGCAAGGGATGTGGTAGGACATACATGGGCAGAGCAGCGAGAGCGACCTTCACCTTCTATCTAAATAGGACTACGGAGACACATGCTTGGGAGCGGGGGAGTCGAAGGGGGAGTCGCAGCACAAAGCACAACCAGGCCCGGCACCAGCACCCAGCACCAGCGACGGACGGACGGGAGGGGCGGGGAGGGAGCACGAACGAACGAAGGCGAAGCAAAACAACAACACAATAATGCGGCGATACGAACACATGCGCGTCTACAATACGCACGCGAGAGCGGGACCGGGCGGGGGACGACGACGACACGGCAGACCCAATATCACCAGCACATAAAAATATACCGTACACATACACATGCGCGCGCAGACAGGGAGCGCAGCACACACAATCAAAGGGGCGTCCGTACCGGGGGCGAGCCGGTATTATGAAGGGGGGAAGTACACCGCGCCCGACGGGGTCACTGCTACGGGCGGCGGGAGGTCGAAGGGACCTGGGGGCGAGTTGCCAGTTGAGTGTGGTCGCGGGTCGTGGGAGGAGAGTCCGGACGGGCCGCGTGTCTGCTGCTGGAGCAGCGACTTAGCGGTCATCAGGACGTCGACCTCGCTCGACAGCGGACCGACCATGCCCACGGCCTGCGCGACCGCCGACTGCGTCGCAACCGATACCTCCTTTACCGTCACCTGTGGGGAGTTACCAGCAGACGCAGGCAGCCCCGACGACACGGCGGCGACGGTGCGATCGGCGACGACCTGGCGCGCGGCCTGGAGGACGACTTGCTGAGCGGCAGCAGTGAGCGCGTTCGACTGAGCGACCGCGTTCTCCGGCACCTCCCCGGCCATCTTGGAGCTGATAGCTTGAGCGGTGACAGTGAGAACGTGCTGCTGCTTGGCCAGGGCCTGCAGCTCCGGGCCAGCCTCGTTGGGGGACGCGACGACCTGCGACTGGGCCTCCTGTGCAACGCGCTGCGCGGCAGTGGTGAGTACCTGGACGACCTGCGACTCGGGAGCGACGACGGGTTGCGGCGGGGCGGAGAGCGAGGGCGGATGCCTGATGAGCCTGAACACACAGCAAGCAGCACGCAGCGAGCAGCGATTAGCATCGGCCGGAGACTCGATCCGAACATGGAGCGCGCAGGACGTACCGTGGAGCAGCGTTCGGCTGTGCGACGCTAGACACGACAGAATCGCTCATGATCCGCCTCGGGTTGTGGATGTCGCCTACGAGCGAGGGTCGCCGCGAGGGCGTGAACGAGGAGTCGACCGCCGCCATCGGCGCGATGGTGATGTGCACCGTGTGCGTGAGCACCTCTTCCTTGCCGTCCTGCATGAACTGCATCCGAGGGTCAGAATCGCTGCTGCTGCCGGCCGGCCGCGGCGCGCGCTTCTCAGGCGCGCCGAGCGGCGCAAACGGGGAAGAACGCACCCTCGCTTCGACCGTGACATCGCAGCTCTGCGCCTCCGGCGGAGGGATCCCGGTCAGCGACTCCTCCTTCCACGACAGCCACGCAGGGAGCGCGGGCGAGGAGTATGTGACGGGCATGTTCGCGCGCGACGCCTGTGGGTCCCAGATGCGCGGCGTCCACGTCCAGCGCAGGCCGACGTACGCGACGCCGGGCGGCGTGCCTGCGAGCTTCCGCCTGAATGGGCGGAAGGCCCAGTTGTTGCCGTCACCCTGCTTTTTCGCGTCGACGTGCCAGATGTGATTGCCTTTTGACTTGGACTTCTTGCCCTCCTCGTTGAAGCGCGAGATGTACGGCTGGTTCCAGAGGAAGTTCCGGATCTGTGGGGCGCACGCAACAACGCGCGGCGGGGGGAGGAGGCGCTCCGTGTCAGATGACATGCCGACGCCGCCAGAACACGCAGCTATCATACTCGCCTTCTTCATTGGTATCTTTTCTTCGGGGTAACCCTGTCGCGCGAGCTGATCACGTAAAGGCCAATCAGCGCCCTGATGCCGGTGCGTTCATCAAGGAGAAGGGGGGTGTCACCTCTTCCAAGAACGCGTTGGTGAACGCCTGGATGCGGAACTTGAATGGGCGGAAGTCGGGCGACTCGTCCAGCCGCTGCATCTTCTTCGCCATGAGCGTCTGGTGGATCGGCTCGCCCTTCGAGTCCGTGGCATCCACTGTGGAGCGAAGCGTACATACACATCAGCGCGGGCCCATGCGAGGAAAAGGGGGTGGGCGGCAGCGCGGGTGCCGCCCACGCGCACCGGCGCAGAGGGTGGGTACGTACGATTGGAACAGATAGTATTCAAGAACTCAAAGAAAATGCGCTCGACTTCGGACCGGTATTCCTGCGGCACCTCGTTTCCGTGGCCTGAGGGGCCGCCACCCTCGTTCGCAGGCGAGGTGCGGCTCATGCGCCGTTGTCCGGCATGGCCGCGCGAGCTGCCGTTCATGGTGCCCTCGGCACTAGATCTACCCTCGCCTCCAGCGGGATCCCCCCCGGGCGAGTAGTGGTTCCCCTGCTCCTCGTCGTCCGAGTCCTCATCATTGTCATACTCTGGCGACGACGGCCGGCTGTACCGTCCCGCTGCCGCTCCCGCCCCTGCCGTTGACGGTCGCGACTGCGTCGACTCATACATGGTGGGGTGGGACACACCGTCCGGAACATACGCAAACGGGTTCCCGTGCATCTGCGATATAGACTGCGATCGCGACGCGCGACCGAGCGTCGCCGAAGCCACATTCAGCGGGGGCTGCTGGAGGTGCGTGCTCCGCGTCGGAGAATACATGGATGTCGTATAAGGCATGGAGGAGGGGCCGGGGATTGGCATAGGGTTAGACACCATCGACGCAGTCGTGAGGATGGATCCGGTGGACAGGGAATGGTGATGCTGCTGACGCGGGACCGCAGTACGTCCGTCTGACCACGATGGATAGCTGGCGATGACAGTCGATCCTGCACTTGACACAGACGCCGGGGAGCCGAAGTCGGCGGGATGTGACATTGACGCCACGGGTTCGAGGACTGAGGGTTGGTGGAGGGCCGGACGCATGGGAGGTGCGACATGCTGGGAAGGATCGGGAAGCATTCCCAATGATAGATGCGCCGCAATTCCGGCAGAGCTTGGCGGGCGGGAATTGGAGAGCACGGAAGGTAAGGGCGCGGGTACTGATGCCAACTCAGCCACAGTGGGCAAAGAAGGCGTCGCCGATGATATCGGGTAGGCGTAGGAAAAGTTGGTAGGAGGAAGCATAGACGAAGAGGCCACCGCCGGTGGGGCAACCTGGAGCGCAGGCGGGCTATCTTCCGGGGACTCCAGCTTCATCGACTTGATAACACGATCGCCAGCGACAGACGACGCACACCGTTTGCGAGACACCTCCGACCCGTCTGAATAGGAAGAGTCTACCGAGCCGTTGGAAGTGAGGCTGCTGAGGCTTGACTGGTGCGTCGGTGATGGGTGCTGCAGCGGCGGGGGTGCAGCCTCGACGCTCATACTTGACGCCGCAGATACCTGCACAGACGACCCGTTGACGCTAGCAGTGGAAGAACCCGGATTGGAAGAGAGGTGTGTCGCGAAACTGAGGGATCCGTCGTCGAGTTGCATGGCAGCCACGAGCTCCGCTACAAGCAAGACGTTTTTCTTCAGCACGCTCACAATATCCCGCGCATCCCCACTCTGGCCCATATGGCAAGCTTCACTGCCTGTACTCGCAGTCCGCGCAATGCTGAGTAATACGCCGGCGACGGGACATCGTCAACACACCGGTAAGTTGGAAATAGGTCAGGACACACGCACTTTTTCAGCATGTCACCAAGAACGAGAAGATGGGCGCCGCCGGGGACTTCCTGCATGTTGTCATCGCTCGCCGCCTGCAACGGGTTCTCGAAACCAGGCGGTGGGAATTGGAAGCCCGAGTCGTGGGCCGTGGTTGGGGGGCCGCTCCCACTGGACGGGAAGCCAAAATCTGACCCTGAACTGGTCAAATGTGCGGGCGAAGCAGATGAGCCCGAGCGACTGCGCGAGACACCCATACCGTCAAGGGCGGACGCGAGAGAAGATGATCCGGCGGAATATGATGGGGTGACGCCCGTCAAAGCGGGGGACGAAGCGTGCGAAGCGTTGGTAGACGCCGAAGCCGCGCTCGGAGAGGAGAGAAGCGGGTGAGACGGATCGACTGCATCGATGCTGGTGAGGCGGGGATCCATCCCATACATCGCAGACTGGGCGGCGAGGTCGGAAATCACCCCTGGGGACGCCGACTGGGATGGGGGAGGCCCTCCGGAGACGTCCATCGCCGACAACTCCTCCGAGGAAGGCGGGAGGGTGGACATAGACAGGTGCATACCCAATGAGACGGCGGAGGCCGTGTCGACGTGCGACGGATAGAGCGTCGGCATTGAGAGATGCATGTGCACGGCGGGGTCGGGGGTGAGCGAGGTGTCCGGGTGGGAGGGGTCGAGCAGGGATGAGAAGGACTGTTGGGCGTCGTTGGACTGGTACTGCTGAAAGTGCTGTGGGTCGCCTGGGAGGGGAACGGGGGACATGGACTGTATCTCTTGCATGGAAGTCATGCTCGGAGGAGGATAGGGCGATCACAGAACGCCGCAGACTATCCTGGAGCAATCAGCAGGGAGATGAATGAAGGGCGAAGCAGGATCGGGGCAGAAACAGTGGTGTCCGATCACTGGTGAGAGAAGGCTCGGGCAGCAGTCTGCGGCATGGCAGAGGGGATATAAGACTGGGCGCGGGGGACGACAAGACGAATAACTGACCTTGGGGGGCTGCAAGGCGCAGGAGGGCAGGTGAAACTCACAAGCGGTGTGTTGACGAATCAAGCGAATCTGAGCGTGCGGGGGAGAAGAGCGAGGCTGTGGCTCGGAGGGCGAAAGTCAAGGCACCCAGAGACACACAAAGGGCAGCCTGGCCGCAAGCGAGCACGAGTCGTGGAGAACAGGAAGCAAGCGGGCGAAAGGCCTGGGCGCAAGGGAGGGCGTGCAGACGGGAGGTGGGCGGCTGCAGTGCAAGGCAAAGCAGAGGTAAGTCTGAGACGCGGGACAAGCTACGCTCAGCCTGCATTCGCTGACCACAGGCGCCCGTCTAGAGTGCGCAGCAAACAAGCCACAACACACCCGACTCAGTCTCCGTCCGCTTCGAGTTCGAGGTCCGTCGCCCGCGAGTTTATGCCACATCCCGTCCCTCTCTCCCATCAATCATCCTTCCTATCGCCATCCGACCCTATCTATCTCCTCCGGAGGCCCGTGAATTCCTCAGCTGCTAGCTTGCACTGCTTAACACTCGCGGCGTCGAAGGCCTCCATCAGACGCCCCTCCGTGTCGCAATCTCCTCTCATTTTCGGCAATTTTTTCTGCAACTTAAACTTTTGCCTCCCCCGCTTCCGCCGCTGGCCCACAGCCTCCTCGTCTCTCCAGCACTTGGCGGTGACTCTGCTGCCCAAAACACACCGCTACCCAACCGCTACCGCGGTATCTGCACGTCGCGGCTCTCCCGACACACTCGCACGCACCGTGCCCGCCCTCTCCTGCATGGTTCGTACCATATCTGCACCATCAACCTTACTCAATCCGTCGGATCGTCAGCATCGTTATAGTCCGCCTATTGCGCCTGATCTGCCACGATACCTATCCGCTCAGTCATATGCCCTTCCTTTGATGACCTCGATCCGTCCGAGCTCTTCCCTCTCGTCAGCTGCATCCCGTTCAGCCCTCGCAATAGCTCGCGAGGATCTTCCGCCCGCCTGCCCCCTTCCCTCCCACAGCCGTGGCTATCTTCTGCGCTTCCCGGCGGCAATTTGCCCTGCTTCTCCCAGTCCGCCCTACCTTCACACTTCCGCTCTCCGTCTATTGCCGGACCTCTGTGGGACTTCGCAATGTATTCGTCCGCCCGACGTTTACGCCATCATCGTTGACGTGTTGCTTCCGCGTGGATCAGCTGTGAGAACGTGGGATGGGCGACCGCCTGCACGGTTCCGCCTCTGTATCTTAGCGATGCACTTCTTGTGTCCTTCATACACGTCCCGTTGACAGTCCGAAGCCCTCCCCCCTGTGCGCGGTGAAACTCGAAGCCAGGGCGATCCCGCGTCGCGCACACGCCGATGCATGCCCTCGGACTGAGAAGTACACCCGTCAGACGCGGACCACAAAATTACAAATTGAATGCGCGAGACCCTGAGCCACGCCGCGGCTAATAAATAGTAATACGGTATCCGTGCGTCCTGCTCGGCCCCGCGACAGGCGCGCCTGCGCTCCGCCCGACAGATTGGCGCCCATTGTGGCCAACTCCCATTCCGAGGATGTGGGCGCTCCGCTGCCTTCATCCACCACGGTGCCACGGTCCACTTAAGCCCTGACGCAGACGCCTGAGGCATGCACATAATTCGCTCTAACGGCTGCAGTTCTGACGCAAATACCACACTAAACAGACCGAGCTACGCGCAGGGAACGCTAAATCCGAGTCGAGTAGGCACCTTGCCGGTCCCCGGGGTCTTAGACGTGACTGTCCGTACAAGCTGCATTTTTCTTCAGTCGCTCAAATTATAATGGGATTCCCTGAAGATAGAGCGACTTCACCGACCCCAGCTGTATGCGCGGGGGCTTTATTGGGTATGTCTATGTGTGTGGTTTGGATCCAGACGAATGGTTTCTCAGGTCGCCGAGGTATTACTATCTAGATCGACGTAAGTACGTGCCATAGTAAGCTTGCAACTTGGGTTGTCTTCCGAAGTCTGACTCGCTTGCTGTTTCTCTTGGTCTTTTTTGAGGGCGTCACGTCTGTGCATGTTGGACACAGGAGGGTTTTGGAGGGTCGAATTACTTGCCAGAGCTAGTAGTATTGCAATCAATTCGCTAGCGGTGCGACCGAAGCCTTGAGCTTGCAAACCATCAGATAACATACTTCTCTAACCGTCTTAGTGAGTCTATCAATATTTGCAGGACTGCGCTATAATCACGCTGATACTTATTGTTTGTAGGACATGGTCACTGTCCGCGATTTGAAGCTGCCAGTGTCTGTTCCTCTGAGCCAATGATGTATGATGCTCTATTCTCTTATTCAACGGCTGAGTGATATATATATATATATATCAGTGTACAGGGCGTATACCAGACGATGCAAGAAGAAAAACGAGACGGAGTACTCATTGATATAACTTGAATTGCGGCCCATGTATACGGTTTTACTCAACCTGCGTCGCAATCTTATCTTAGCTGAAGCACACCGCCTCGGCTGGAGTCCGGGGTCCTGCGCCGCACTTCCCGAGATTGGACTTACGGTCGGCCAGCCCTTCACTTATTGCCTCTTGGCCACACTCACCCCGCTCAGACTTTAAGGCTGTCTCGCAATGGCGTCGACGAGCAAGCAATACAAGGCCGTAGGAGAGGATCTCTGGAAGGGCCGCACGGAAAAGATCGTAAGCTCGCGCATGCAGCAGTCCCTGCCGCGGCCGTCCTGACGCGCCCAGGAGTAGAACGCAGAACTATTCGCCCTCACGTACGGCGCGCTGGTCGTGCAGCTCATCCAGGACTATGAGGACTATACGGAGGTCAACAAGCAGCTCGAGAAGATGGGCTACAACATTGGCACGCGCCTCATCGAGGACTTCCTCGCGCGCAGCAGCCTAGGGCGGTGTGCAGACTTCCGGGAGGTGGGAGAGGTCGTCGCAAAGGTGCGCCGCGATCTTACGTGCACGTCATGCTTAGTTCCGAAGCTACTACTGACCCTGACGGCGCTGCGCACGCAGGTTGGGTTCAAGTCCTTCCTCAATATCACCCCGAATGTCACGCACGGCGCACAACCTGTCGCCTCCTCTCCGACCCGCACGAGCATGCCTCCCCCACAGGTGAACGCGCCAGGATCAACGTTCGTGCTGCAGTTCGACGAGAACCCGCTCGCGGAGTTTGTCGAGCTGCCCGAGGAGGCCCTAGAGGGGGGTTTGTGGTTCAGCAACGTCCTCTGCGGTGTCATCAGAGGCGCGCTAGAGATGGTGCGTTCCACGCCGATCATTCAACGACCCTGTGACTGACATTGCTCCCGTACCACGCAGGTCCAGATGCAGGTGCAGGCCGCCTTCGTATCTGACGTGCTCCGCGGCGACGAGACGACCGAGATCCGCGTGACCCTCACAAAATACCTAGAGGAGGAGGTGCCCGTGGGCGACGACTAGATACCGAAGTATGGATGTACAGTAGAAGTTCTGCATGATGTATCACCACCTATTGCGGCAGCACGAGTTCTCCCTGCAGGCACAATACCACCGTGTGACGGAGCACGAAAGCGACGCGAGGTGAGGTGCGGCGTCCGAAACAAGCACGCAAATCGCGATTCTAGCACGCAGCGAGACGATCAGTGGGTGCGCATGCGCACAGCGAGGCGTGCAGCGCTCACCAACGGGGACACGAAGGACAGGGGGAGGGGCTTCCGGCCTAGCCCTAGTTGTACCGCTCGACGCGATTGAGCTTCCGCGCCGAGCGCGCGTTGCTCTGTGTGTTCTGGCCGCGGACGGGCAAGTGCATCGCGTGCCTCCTTCCGACGTACGAGCCGATCATACGCTGGTGGGCGATATTCTCCCGCATTTGCCTGCGCAGGTCCGACTCAATCTTGATCTCCCGTAGACGGTCCACCGGTGCGGGTTGCTCCGCGGCCGCCTGTACGGGCGCAGCGAGAGAAGGATGGGGAGCGGCGAGGGGTTGAACGGAGACCGGGGGCGAGTTCGTGGGTGAGGAGAGGAAGGCGGTGAGGGCGGTCACCTGGGACTGGTTCAGGTGCCGGATGCGTGCGCGGTCGTGGATTTGCACGCGGGCGCAGAGGCGGAGGGCCGTTTTCTGGCCGATTCCGTAGAAGTGCGTCAGAGCATGCTGCACCACCACCGTATGTCAGTTCTCCGTATGCATGCGGGCATGGTGTGTAGCGCTGCTCACCTTGACGAAGTGGTTTTCCGGGAGGAGGACGCCGAGGATGTGCATGGTGGTGGAGGAGTCGAGCCAGCCCGGAAACTCAGCGACGGCGGAAGGAGCACTCGGAACAGGCGCCCATGCCACCGTTCGAACGCGCTACTGCGGGCGCCTAGACCAAGACCCTGCTTGACCCCGACGTTCATCATGTCTACCAGCAAGGCGGAAGGCCGCCGCGAGGATGCCCTTGTCAAGCAACGCGACCAGATGCGCGAGGACTTTGAGCGGCAGAAGCAGACCCTCATCAATGAAACGGAGAAGGCGCGGCCCTCTACGAACCGCTTCATCGGGCAGAATGATTCCATGGAGGACACGCTCAAGCTGAGCACCGTCGGTCTCGTCCGGCTCGAGGACTTCCAGCAGCGCAGGAAGGAGCTTGAGGAGGCGAAGGCGCGCGAAGCTGCCAGAACGAGCGAGCTGAAGTATGTCACGATCCCTTTCTGAGGGTTGTGGAGCGGACCCAATCCGTCCGGCCGGAACGCTTACTTTGCGTGGAGGATTTGTTTAGAGACGAGAAAAAGGTGAAGAAACGCAAGAAGGCCAACAAAGCAACCCTCTCGTTTGCGCTCGACGACGAAGAGGGCGAGGAGAGCGGGTCTGCATCGCAGGGTGGCGAATTCGGCGAACCGCTCTCCAAGAAGGCGAAGTCGCGAAAGAACCCTGAAGTGGACACCTCGTTCCTGCCCGACAGGGAACGCGAGGAAGCCGACCGGCGTGAGCGTGAAGCACTCCGCCAGGAATGGCTGCGCAAACAGGAGGACCTCAAGAACGAAGAGGTCGAGATCGTCTACTCGTACTGGGACGGGAGCGGCCACCGAAAGAGCGTGTCGGTAAGTCTGCCCCGAGCAATGCATATCGTGGCGGGCCTGACCACCTAGGTACACGCACGTGGAACGCCGGTCCCCGTCACATAGGTCAAGAAGGGCGACACCATTTCTACCTTCCTCGAGAAGTGCCGGCAGCAGTTCCCAGAGCTGCGCGGCATCAGCGTCGACAACATGATGTATGTGAAGGTATGGAAGAAGCATATTTGAAGCTCTCATACGTATTCTGACACCTGTTACTAGGAGGACCTCATCATACCTCACGTACGCTTAAATAACCTCGTGGATACCCGTTTTTGTGCTGACGTCGTTACGTAGCATCACACGTTCTACGACTTCATCGTGAACAAGGCCCGCGGGAAGTCGGGCCCATTGTTCAATTTTGACGTCCACGACGACGTGCGCCTTTTGGCCGACGCAACGGTTGAAAAGGACGAGTCCCACGCCGGTAAGGTGGTCGAGCGAAGTTGGTATCAAAGGAACAAGCATATATTCCCTGCGTCCCGCTGGGAGGTACGTTCTACATTCACACGGACCGGCGACACCTTACTTATCTTTTCTCCCGCCCGTGTAGGTCTACGACCCGGACAAGAACTACGGTAAATATACCATCGCTTAAGTCCTTACTCGTTGTCTGCTATTGTGCTATGATGTATATATGCGCCAACTTTTGCTCTGCCGAGACAGAGCACGCTCTCATGCAAATCTGACATGGCAAGCAAACATCTGCGTGCGGTATTGAATAATTTGAGTCCTACCAACAGGTCGACGGTTGTGCATTATCTCCGAAATCTTGGCACAGACCTTTCACTTGTACCTCGGTCCCAGGCCGAGGAAAGAGTGCAGCTCGGTCATGACGAACGTGGCGTATGGACTTGCGCAACCTGCAGCTCATAGGATTGATAAGCCGATATGTCATGGTGCGAGCTCTCGCTAGGAAGCCTCTTTGGATCACTGACATCCCACGAGGCCATTACCGAGCGGGTCGCGAGCTTTAGAAGGCTAGCCAAGCTCCAAGTCAGCATGAAATGCCTTACCAATCACATAGTATGGCCGTACCGTGGCAAAGCAACCACGGCCCACATATATCGTCTCCCCACACGGAGAGAGGTTATTACCCCTCGCACGAAGAGCGTCGACCATTGACTCACACACGATTAGCACCACGCCCGATTTTCGACACGTATCACAGGCATGCCGTTAACGATCTCAACGATTCCACAAACCATGAAGGCACTGGTTATTGAGGAGGTCAGTTCGGCGATATCTTGATGAACCCTCCGCATGCTGTCGAGATTCATTTCGACGTCTTCGCACCAGGGACATCGCGCCGTGGTAAAAGACCATCCCGTCCCCGCTGTCGGCAATGACGATATCCTCCTCAAGACAACCTCTGTGGCTCAGAATCCTACCGACTGGAAGCGTACGTCGGGCTATCTTTATCGCGTCTGCAGCGCAAACATCCGTGTCCCAGGCTCACATAGCTTCCAGATGTGGATACCCGCGGTATACCCGGCACAATCGTAGGCTGCGACTTCTCCGGATACGTCGTGAAGGCCGGACAGAACGTCACGAGCCCGAAGGTCGGTGACCACGTTGCAGGTTTTCTTCATGGCAGCGCGTTCCCCGACGAGGGCGCGTTCGCCGAGTATGTGAAAACTCCCGGTGATCTCGTCTGGGTAGTCCCGGAGAACACGCTCTCCCACGACGAGGCGGCCACCCTTGGCTGCGCGTGCGTTCTTCCTATTTCCGTCGTCGCGCGGGTACGGAGAGTACTCACCTTCCGACATCCCGTGTTAGCTTCTGGACAGCGGCGCAGGCGTTGTTCCACGAGAAGCGCCTCGCTATCGTCGAGCCTCCCGCCAAGGCGTCCGGGGACGAATGGATTTTCATCTATGGCGGAAGCTGTATGTATTTTGTTGCTCTGCCTCAGACGAATACGTGCTTCCGCTAATCAATCCCTCAGCTGCTGTCGGACACTTTGCCATCCAGCTCGCCCACCTGGCGGGCTACAAGGTCGTCACGACCGCGTCCCCACGCAACTTTGAGCTCGCCAAATCCCTCGGTGCGGATGCTGTGTTTGACTACCGCGATGCAGATGTCGTGGCGAAGATTAAGCAGACCACCGGCGACTCCGTCACAAAGGCACTCGATGCAATCTCCCTCAAGGAATCACAACGCATCAGCGCGGAAGTCATCGCGCCCACAGGCGGTAAAGTCGTGCTAGTGTTGGGACCTGAAGCTGGTGCAACCGATCGCAAGGATGTTCAGTTCATTCGTGCGTTTCGTTTTCCCTCCTCGTCGCTCGTGCGGGGCGTCTCCCATAAATGGAACTGACGCGCGCTCTTCACGTACATGATGCAGTGACCCTGATCTACACGTCGCTCGGACGCGAATTCGGCTTCGGACCGGGCAGCCACTACCCCGTTTCATCGGAGGATCGTGCACAGATGGTCGAGTTCCTAAAGAAGGTACCGCAGATTGTGAAGGATGGCGCAGTGAAGCCGCCAGCGATCAAGCTCTGGGAAGGGGGTCTTGGGGCTATTATCGACGGGCTGCAGTACATGCGTGAAGGAAAGGTTAGCGCGGAGAAGATTGTCTACCGCGTGTAAATTTGGTGTTGTTGAGGTTAGTCCCTCACCATCGGCATCGTATACTGTATTTTGTCCGGCGGCTAATGCACACCGTAGATATTATTTTGTACTTATGTGGACTGTAGTAGCTCCTACCGAGAGCGCCGGTCCTTGGAACTTCCCCTCTCATGTCTATCGAGTGCTGCAAACCCGCAATACTGTGAAACACCCTCCTTTCATCGGATTTCTTCGCAGTGTGTATGTTAATGATATGTTCGTCCTAAGGCCGGTGCACGCGGAGCGCTGACGGTGTCGGTATGGACCATTGCATGCGAATAAATGGCAAGCACTGCGCATATGGCCGCGCAGCTCTTCTTATTCACGCAAACTCCGAGAAGTCGGCGTAGTCTAAGAGGTTGATAAGCCTCTACGTCACGGTGCGAAGCTGTCCGAGAACTTCTTCATCAAATCACTAACAAGGCTAATACAGGTCTATCTGACCCACGGATCGCCCGGGGTAGCGGGTCTAGAGCCTTCTGTGGGCTCGCAGCGGTGGGAGATAATATCGTAATGGGAAGCAGGCACACAAGGGTGCTTCCTTATAAACGCGGTAGAGAGAACATCACTCCTTGACCAACAATCCTGTCACACAACATACATCTAGTAAGCATGGCGGCAGCTTTTACTCGAACCATGAAGGCTCTCAACGTCGAGGTGGTAAATAAAGTACCGTTTGTCTTACGTTTCGCTTCAGATTGACCTCAAATTCTGCGCTTAGGGACATTGCGTAGCAGTCAAAGATCATCCCGTACCGCCCGTCGGCGATGAAGATATCCTGGTGACGATAGTCTCTGTCTCCCAGAATCCCACCGACTGGAAACGTGAGACGCAGTGCACAAGTCCCATACACGATACAGCACTGACCCCTAGCTCAGATGTCGACACCATTGGCGTGCCCGGCTCGATCCTGGGCTGCGACTTCTCCGGGTACGTTGTCAAGACCGGACACAACGTCACAACTCCGAAAGTCGGCGACCACATTGCGGGTTTCGTCCACGGCGCTACTTTCTCAGACGAGGGAGCGTACGCTGAATATGTCAAGACTCCGCGCGATTTAGTTTGGGTGGTCCCGGAGAATACGCTCACCCACGACCAGGCTGCTACCTTCGGCTGCGCGTACGTCTGTCTTGCCCTCTTCGAAGCTGAAGATACAAGTACTTACTCGGATCTACTTTCAGATTCTGGACGGTCGCACAAGCGTTCTTCCACGAGACCCGCCTGGGTCTGGTCGAGCCTCCTGCTAAGGTATCCGGAAATGAGTGGGTATTCATCTATGGCGGGAGTTGTACGTATCCATGCATTTACTCAGCACACACGGACGTCCCACTGACTAGACGACATGCATTCAGCGGCCGTCGGTCACTTCGCAATCCAGCTAGCCAAGGTAGCAGGCTACAACGTCGCGACCACTGCGTCACCGCGTAACTTCGACCTCGTAAAGTCCCTCGGTGCGGACGCAGCATTCGACTACCGCGATCAGGAGGTCGTTGCGAAGATCAAACAGGCCACCGGCGACTCCGTGACCAAGGCGCTCGACGCGATATCGGACAAAGACTCCCAACGCATCAGCGCGGAGGTCCTCGCGCCCGCCGGCGGCAAGGTCGTCCTTGTCTCGGGCCCCGAACCGGGTGCGACGGAGCGCAAGGACGTCGAGTTTATCCGTGCGTAGTCCTTACACCCTGCATCAGTTTACAGCTAGGTGCTTATTATTGTGCATAGCCGTTCTCATCTATACTGCGCTCGGACGTGCGTTTGACTTTGGGCCAACGATGCATTTCCCCGTCTTGCCCGAGGACCGTGGACAAATGACCGAGTTTCTCAAGAAGGTGCCGCAGCTTGTGAAAGATGGTGCTGTCAGGCCGCCCGCGATTAAGCTCTGGGAGGGAGGCTTAGAGGCAATCCCTAATGGGCTGCAATATATGCGCGAGGGGAAAGTCAGCGCGGAGAAGATTGTTCACCGTTTGTAGGCTTCGCGTTGTGGAAGCAACACATCGTCCGTTTTGGCTTCGATACAGGGACAGCTGCTGGTAACATACACTGTGAGATAAAACTTTCGTTATTATACATGATTACGGACCGGACTAGGAGCTCATCACCATCTAAGGACTACAATGCATACATCGCCAAGGCTCCACATCATGCTACAACCCGAGAATTTATCCGAAGTTACAGAGTCCGTGTCGCGCATTGTCCCAGGTCAAGAGAACGTAGAAAGCCGGTCCTCCCATCCAGGCGCATCGTAATCCGCCTCATACATGTAGTCCCGCACCTTCAACCCCACCGCCGTCGGGATCGCCACAACCTCCATGGGCTCCCAGTCATCCACGACCATAGCGCCGTCCTCCATAACGATATCCTCCAACTTCTCGCGGCGGATCTCGAACCACGTCGACCCGAGCCGCTCCTCGTCGAAGACCGGCTCGTCCTCGCGCATGGAGCGCCCGTCCGCGAAAGACAGGCCCACGAAGCGCAGCTTCGAGTTGTGTTGGCCGAACTGGCGGGCGAGTGCGGCGATCTCCGCGGCCGGGTCCATCGGCTGGTGGAACGCACGGATGCACACGAAGAGTACGGTGAGCGCGGGAAGTCGGGTGAGATGCATGAGCATGTATTTCTGTTGGGAAAAGATGTGTCAGCACTGGCACTGCTAACGGAAAGCTGCTTGGGGATATAAGGTAGTGAGGAGAGGGAGGAGAAACTCACCCTCGGACTCCCAGAGAGCTCAAGGACACGGACATCGAGGAACCGCAGCTCAGTCGCGATGATAGGCAAGCGCACCCAGAAGAGGTTGTCCGCGTCGATCGTATATGCGCACGCCAAAACCCACGGGTTCATGCGCTCGACAGCTGTCAATGCCTCGACAGAGTAACCCCCACGGAGAACGTCGAGGTCAAGACGACGCGTCGCGCTCGCAACTGGCCAGATCTCGAGGTCGCGCGCGTCGATTTGCGCATCCTCGAGCATGGGCCAACATGGGGTGACATCGACGGGTTTCTGCACCCGGACTGGGCCAAACTTGGGGTAGTGGCGCGCATTGCTGAAGTGGAGGCGCGTGACGTTGGGGAAGGCGGCGGAGGCAAGCGCGAGAGGGATATAGGTGCAGGTGAAAGTGAGGTTGCGAACGGAGGGCATGCGGGCACGGGCGAGCGCAGGTTCCCAGTTGGGGGGGATGATGATTCGATCGTACATCCTGGAGATGGAGAGATGTGTGAGACGGCGATGGCGTGAGAGCTGGCCGAAGAAGTCTTCAAAAGTGACTTTGTTGGCGTGGAAGAGCAAGTCGAGAGTAAGCTGTTCGATGGTTATCGACTTGGAGGATGTTGCGATGTTCACGATCTCGGGTCCACCTTCGAGAAGAGTGAGCTCCCTCAGCTCTGTAAGGTAGATGAGGTTCTCCTTGATGCGACTATCCACGGTGATGAGTTCGCGCATGGCCCCACAGCTGAAAGCCTCGAGCCTGGTGGTCTTCTCCAGCACGTCAGCGAGAGCACGTGCAATATCTTTGCTGTCAAGGTCCCACGTTACGGTCTTTGTGATCTTCAAGGACTTCACAAAGAGGGCACGAGAGGTCTTGGCTAGGAGGAAGTCCCGAAAGTGGAGGAGCTCCGCTGAGGAGCGACCAAGTACAACCGTGTGCAGAGCTGGGTCGATGGAGACCCTGCTAATGGCTTTACAGGTGCATAATAGGGACAATGCATCTGGGTAGGTGAGGAAGGATGTGATGTGCGACAACACGTCCCCATTGAGCGATTGCAATCGCAGTGGATTCGTCTCGATACGACTCGCGCCATCTAGTGAGACATCTCTGTTGGCAAGCTCAGAATTTGGTTCATGTCGCCAAAGTAAACAGAACACTCACGTAATGTCCTCGCTGAAAGACATTCCGACAGATGGTGGTCTCCAGAACCAGGAGTGCTCGACAGGCTATCTGATAGCCTTGAGAATCGCTATAGACGACAGCGAGGATGCCGCAGAGCAGCAGTACACAACCCTGTGATCGTCGTGGGTGGGATGGTGGTGGAAGCGAGTAAGTAGGCAAGTGGCACCCATGGCCGCGAAGGTGTTGAACTTAATATCATGTCAGGCGGCTCTTCGGGTCCAATGCAGGCTTCGCAGTGGCAGTGCTTTCCCTTTTAGCGAACCTTTGTATGATCCTGTCAGGCCGCCCATAGGCCGTACAAACGAACCCCCTTCACTTTCAAAAAGCAAGCAGGAAGAACATAGCGCTGCTGCTAGCGCAGTAGGACTCTGCAAACCCTCTAGGCACGACCCTAGGCTTGGGCCGGGGACTACGCAGTGGACCACAACTGCTACTCGAAGATCGGAGGGGCTATCTGGTCGCCATGAGTCTGTCGATGGCAAAGACGCTCCGAAAAAACACGATTTTGTGTTTGACGACGCGGGTTACCGGTGGTCCGAGAGACGATGGCGAAGTCCCGCCGATCGCGGTACCGTCTGGTCGGGCGTCTAGGGTTCCGAACTGGTGATTGCAAGTTGCTAGAAGTTGTGTTTGTCTTCCATCTACCTCCTCTAAAGTAGGTTACTGATGCTACTGATAGACTTGCTTAAGTTCCCTTTCTGAGGGTCGGTTTCTAGCTACCTTTCAGTATTTGGTTGTGGTTCCTCCAGAGACTCACTTGGCGATGTTGTGCATTAGTAAGGGGCAAGTTGCGGTGACAAAGCACCCGGCTGCCGCGACGATCGTCATCCCGGTTGGGGGTGCATCGACGTCGTGGAGCCGTGGAAGGCGAACGAACACTTGATCAGATCGTTTATCCGATGGAGGACAACATATATACGCTCCCAACAGTTCAACCACGTCTAACACACCTTGAAACTTGCATAGCAGTACTGCAAAAACGACAATATTCCAGATGCCTTCCACTGTTCCCCAGACTATGAAGGCTCTCCTTATCGAGGAGGTTAGTGACGCTATATCATTCCCGAGTTGGAGAATGTGCTAACAACAACGACAGGGACATAAAGTTGCGCTAAAGGACCATAGCGTCCCTCCCGTCGGTGACGACGATGTTCTGATTAAGACGGTGTCCCTCGCTCAGAACCCTACAGACTGGAAGCGTAAGTTTACTCTTCAATCACCTCTAGCGCAATCGTGCTCACTGCGAGTTTGGCACAGACGTCGATTCCATTGGAGTACCTGGCTCGATTTTGGGCTGCGATTTCTCGGGACACGTCGTTAAAGTCGGCAAGAACGTTACAAGCCCGAAGGTTGGCGACCATGTCGCGGGGTTTCTGCACGGCGGCGCGTTCTCAGACGAGGGCGCCTTCGCTGAGTATGTCAAGACCCCGGGAGACCTTGTCTGGGTCGTTCCCGAGAACACAATCAGCCACGATGAGGCCGCTACTCTAGGCTGCGCGTACGTCCTTTGTTTTTGCGTTATACATATATCGAATGCTCAATAGTAACCTTGACTTTGTGTGTTTCTTAGTTTCTGGACGGCCGCACAAGCGTTGTTCCACAAGACACGCCTCGGCCTTGTAGAGCCTCCGGCAAAGACATCTAGTGCCGAATGGATTTTCATATACGGCGGAAGCTGTATGTATACTCCATACCCATATTTCGGCTTTCTCTGATTGCTAATGGGTTATATAGCCGCCGTCGGTCACTTCGCCATCCAGCTCGCACATCTCGCCGGCTACAAGGTCGCTACTACGGCGTCCCCGCGAAACTTTGAGCTGGTCAAGTCCCTCGGTGCTGACGCCGTGTTCGACTACCGCGACGCAGACGTTGTAGCGAAGATCAAGCAGGCCACCGGCGACTCTGTTTCCAAGGCAGTTGATGCTATCTCGCTCAAGGACTCGCAGCGCATCAGCGCGGAGGTCCTCGCGCCCGCAGGTGGCAAGGTTGTCCTCGTACTGGGCCCTGAGCCGGGTGCGACGGACCGCAAGGACGTCCAGTTCATTCGTACGTCCCCCGTCATCCTTGATCCTGCGGGCTTACAACAAACTGACGCTTCTTGGCTCCATACAGCCACACTGATTTACACCTCGCTCGGACGCGCGTTCGACTTCGGGCCATCGACGCATTTCCCCGTCTTCCCCGAGGACCGCAAGCAGATCGTCGAGTTCCTCAAGAAGGTGCCACAGCTCGTGAAGGATGGCGCGATCAAGCCCCCGGCGATCAAGCTCTGGGAGGGGGGCCTGGCGGCGATTTCCGACGGGTTGCAGTACATGCGCGAGGGCAAAGTTAGCGCAGAGAAGATCGTCTACCGCGTTTAACGCGATCGATATAATATCTGAGAGGACAGGACTTAGAGAAGTAAACACCTAGTTAGTGTACACTAGAATCATTGTACAATCAAGATGAACTTTCCGCCTACTCGAGAGTCAGAGAGGTGTCTTCCTGCCGTCAACTACGCATGCTGTCTCGGAAATGGGTCGTCATCGCATACTCCCTACAACGGGTAGCGTATGAAGGTAAGACATAACTATCTACCAGATCGTACTCATGTACAACAGTAAGTCCATCCAGTAGACTCCATCGAGCATGTACGGTAGTATAAACTTAAGTAGTACGAGAGCCATGAATGACAGCGAGCACACTAAACCCTGCGAACACCAGCGTCATACAAGGGCCGAGAAACCTACACCTTCGCGCCAACGAGCACACGGACCGCCCGACACGGCGGCTCGCGCTCGTTCTCCGCGCCTGCGGCTCGTCGCGCGAGCAGAATGTCTTCGCGCAGGCGCGCCTCCTCCATCTCCTCCGCCTTCGACATCGGGTCGCGCTGCGGGTAGTCCCACCCAAAGTGAACTAGAGAGTGCCAAATGGACATGCGCACATGCATGTCGCTGCCATACGCCACCAATCCATCAGCTCGCCCGCCCCAGCGCAAGACACGAGAGACACTTCGAACGCACCTTTTATACTGATCGAGCAGCGCGACGTACTTCCCGCGCACGCTCTCCGACGTGTCCTCCCCATACGAGAACCCGTACTTCTCGAGGTCGACGTCGCGCATGTGCGGCGCGGCCTTCCACACCGCCTGCAGCTCGTCCCACATCGCCTCGCGCAGCGAGAGCACGACGCCGAGCGCGCGCCGCAGGTGCAGGCACAGCGAGTGCAGGTCGAACATGAGCAGCCCGTCGACGGGGAAGAGCTCGATCTGCGCGCGCTCGCCGATCGTCGTGCTCACCGCCGCGAGGTCGCTGATCGCCGCCGCGCGCCGCGACGCCATCGACGCCATCGACGCGTCCGACGCGGAGCGCGCGCGCACGGACGCGGAGGGCGTGCCGTGCGAGTGCCCGTGCCCGTATGCGTCTGTGCTGAGCCGCCCGGCTTTCGAACTGCGGCTCTGCGGGGCGCTGCCCCCGGACCCGGACCCGGAGCCTTGCGAAGATTTGTTGGACTTGGCGTCCGAGTAAGAGTGCTCGCGGATGATCACGCCGGTCGCGGTGACAGTTGTGGACGTTGGGGCGGGCCCGGACGAGGCGGAAGCGACACTTTGTGTGCTGGCGGCGGGCCCGCCCCTGTGGAGCGCTGCGAGGGAGAGCTCTTCATTCCCGTCGCCGTGCGGAAGGATGTAGGTCTCGTCTCCGAACAAAACGGACTGAGAAGAGCCAGAGTGGCGGGAGGACTGGGAGCTGCGTGGGGGCGGACGTGGCTGGACGGGTGGGAGGGGCGGCATGGGCACGGTGAGCACGGGTGGGGAGATGACCTGGCCGAAGTACGCGGAGAAGTATGCGGGGAGACTCGCTAGGAGAACGAAGACAGCGTTGGTGAGCCACCGTAGAAAGACTTTGACAAGGGCAGGACATGCACTTACAGCTGGGTTTGGTGTTGATGAAGCGGCGGTCAAATACCTTGTTGTATAGGATCTCGAGCAGCTCATACTCGTGACAAATGTCGCTGTCTGGCATGGCTGAAGGGTTGGAGAATAGTTTGGACCCGTCTTGCATGCTGATAGACGGCCATCGTGTTCGCGCATGAAGCGGCTCAGTAAACCATCTAGGAAGCACGGGGAATATCGCATCTGAAAGAGACGGTCAGGACGGGCTGAGAAGCCGCACGAGGGAAGTGCTTACCTTCTTCGATGATCTCGATGGTCGCCCCTGGCTTCATTACTCTTCTAATTTCCTAAACGTGTTTATGAGAACCCCCGTGTGCACGCTTCTGTGAAGTCATGCGGCGTACCTCGAACACTGCGGGCCACTGCGGCGTTTACGGTGAGAACCATAGTTAATCCCGACCGGACATGTCCCGCGTCGTGCGTACCTTGTTCTCGGGGATACCCAACGCAACCTCGGTGAATCGGACATGGTCGAATTCGTCCTCGTCAAACGGAAGTGGCCCTGTCAAACTATGACCCCGATCAGCGCCGAAACCTCGCGGTGCGATGCCCATGGTGCCCACATGTTCCCGTGTACCCATTCTATTCGTCTGGCGTCGTCGGGTTCTAGAATCGATAACGAAATTTGCACATCCACGAGGTCGAATCCAACCTAAAGATAGCGTGCGGTCAGTCTAAGATGTTCGACGAATGCGATTTTGAGAGACCTACAAAAGTGGAATTCCTCCAATATTTGGCGGACTGGACCACCCACAAACCTAACTAGGGGTGAAGCCGGCGGTCAGCATCCTGGCAGCAATATCAGCACCTCCCTTTCCCAATAAGCTTGTCCATCACATTTCACAGAAGCAGGACTCGGCTGCATCTCAATCATGATTAACTTCAAGGAAGAACCTCGTTGAGGAAGGTGGGTCCCTCGCGACATCAACCTTATACCTTGGCTTAGCCTGTGATCCACACGCTTGTTACTCCGTTGCCGACAGGCTGCATTTGCAGACCATGCACGAACACAAGGCTAACGCCGATGCCCATGGGAGATTTACAGGGCCATAAGAAGCACAAAGGGATGCCGCATGCAATCACAACGTTACGGCAAAAGAGCCAGTAGCGTTGGACCCAGGTTGTCTGCAGGCGTCGGCTAAGTTGGCATCACGGGTCGTTGTGCCGGCATGCGAGAAACGAGGAGAAACTGCGAACACCGCGCGGGGGCACCGACACGGTATGCGCAAGTCCATCCGCATCTCGCCTAAAAACAGGGGAGAGACACATACTCCTGTGCCAATGTCGAGACACCTTGCGGGCTCTTCGCCCTTGTGGTCTACAAGAGACACGGCGCCTTGGTAGCCAGAAGTAAGCGCCGTGTCCATCATCTCTCTGTAGAGTTTAACGCGTTGAGTCAGCCGCAGCTCAGGAAGCAGAGAAACAACCGCCTGGCTCACAGCTGAAGCGTGGATTCGTCGTATGACAAAGGCCATGGCGCTTTGGCTGTCTCATAGGCGTGCAGCTTCGACCCATGCCTGTTTGTAAACTGGCGGCCTTTTGGGCCATAGTGGCTTTTTCTGCGAGACTCGGGGGATGGCGGTGGGTTGTCCGGATACGAGTAGGAGGTCGAGGGGTGCGGGGAGTCAGCAGCCATGGGGAAGGGGAAATTGAGAATGGAGAGGGGTGGGGCGCAGAGGGGTATTTATCGCGTACTACGCTAGCTGGGTATCGGGTGGTATGTCTTCTGATATTTAGCACGACTCGAGCCGGGCGTGATGGACGTACGTTTGCGGAGATCCCCCAGACCCGCTCGTCCGTCTTGTTCTGGCCGCGCAATTTAATCCATTGTGCCCCTCCGCCATCGCCCCTGAGACGTCCCCGTCCCCGTCCTCCGGAGTCCGCGCACTTGTCCAGGCGCGCGCCCATTCTTGCCTATATCGGGCAGTCCGGCTCCGCCTCCCGCTCTCTCCGGCGGGTCCGTCCAGCGTCTGTCCTCAGTCATTCTCCCCGGCTCGGTGGTAGCCACTCTGTCCTCATCCTCCTCCCATCATCTACTACACACACTCGATCGCCATGTCTACCACACAAACCGCGACTCAAACACGCACCGGCAACGCTCGCGGACGCGGCGCAAGCAGGGGCCGCCGTGGGCGCGGCGGCCAGAAGAATAATGCTGCCCGCGATCCTACCCCCGCATCCAAGCCTACAGACGCGCCCTCCGACGCAAACGGCGAGCAGCAGCTTGCACCTTCCGAGGCGGCCAGACAGGCTGCAGCCAAAGCTGATGCCTCTGGCGTGGACGACGGCACCGTCTGCTGGATCTGCGCCGAGCCCGTCAAGTACTGGTCTGTGTCGGAGTGCAACCATCGGACGTGCCACGTCTGTGCCTTGCGCCTGCGCGCGCTATACAAGAAATTGGAATGCACGTTCTGCAAGGTTAGTTCCCCAGATGGCGTGTTACACGTAAAGGTCGCGCACTAAACACAACTCTTCGGTTCCCGCTCAGGAATCCCAACCTTCCGTGATATTTACCACGTCCGCTGACGAGCTCTGGGCGGCATACACCCCGGACAAGATCCCCTACAAAGATGCAAAGCTGGCCATCTCGTTTGAGACACAGGAGATGATGGAGGAAACCCTCATCCTCCTTCGGTTCAACTGCCCGGACGCGCAGTGCGATTTCATCGGCAACGGTTGGAGTGACCTCAAGCTGCACGCGCGTGCCATCCACGGCAAGCTCATGTGGTGAGTTACGCTTTCCCGCGCCATGCATTTGAGACCAGGCGTGAGCTGACATACATCAGCGACATCTGTATACGATTCAAGAAGGTTTTCGCCCACGAACATGCGCTCTATGATCCGAGCCAATTGCCCCTGCATCTACCCATGATGGCACGGGGCAATCGGCATGGTCATTCAAAGCCGTCGCAGCAAATCGAGGGCGGCATCCATCCGCTATGTGAGTTTTGCCGGGAGTGCTTCTTCGGGGATGACGAAATATATGCGCACATGCGCGAGAAGCACGAAGAATGCTTTGTCTGCAAACGCAACGAAGTGAAGGACCAATAGTAAGTCGTGGCGCCCGTATCCCACATCGCTTGTCTGAACCAACTTCGTGCAGTTTCCGCAATTACGAAGCCCTTGTGAGTACTGCTTCGAAGGCTGATACTGCGCCGCCGCTTCCTGTACCGCGCCATTAACGTGCCGCCCAATCTGTGCAGGAAGATCACTTCATGCATGCGCACTATCCCTGCCGGCGCGCCGAATGTCTCGCCCGCAAGTTCGTAGTCTTCGGCTCCGCAATTGACCTCAAGGCGCATATGGTCGAGGACCATGGCGCGGACATGTCTGCTCGTGACCGCAGGGACGCTCGCCGCGTCGAGACCGAATTCGAGTTCGAGGAAGTCCCCAGCGGCGCGGGCGCCCGCCGTGGCCGTCGTGAAAGAGGGGACCGCGACCGCGACCGAGAGCCTCCACCGCACACGCACCCGGCTGGTCAGCCCCCGGGTAGTGGCCCTCGCCCGCAGGCAGCTGGTACGCGCCGCAGGGAGGCGTTCAGCGGTGCTCTTACTGCCGAGGCTGCGCAGAGCCAGAGGCAGTCAGCGAACGCCAGTCAGCAGCAGCAACAGCAACAGCAGGCGGCCCGTCGCCAGTCGCCGTCGCCGGATGTCGGAGACCTGTCGGCACTCGTCCGACGCCTGCAAGGGCTTGCGCCGAACCCGGCGACAGCGGTTCCGGCAGTGAAGGCGGCGGTACGCTCGTACAAGGCCTCCGAGTCGTCCGCTCGGGACCTCGTCTCGACCGTATGGAACGTCCTCGATCGCAACCTTGATGGCACGGCGAGCGTCGTAAACACGCTAATTGACATCGTCGACGAGGATGACAAGAAGCAGAGCTTGCTTATCGCCTGGAACGGTTTCAAGGTTGAGGTAGGTCACGACTTCCGTGTGATATCTACTATGCATCGCTTACAGCGTCACCACGTCCCTGTACAGCAACGGAATCAGTTCCCGGAGCTCGTCCCTACCGCGACCGGCTCCGAGTGGTCGGGTGTAACAAGCGGCCGCGTGCTTAACGCGAAGAACTCCACTGTCGCGCGCTCGCACACGCAGTCCTCCCGCCAGCTCTTGGACCGCGTTGCACGCGCCGCCGCTTCGACATCCGCCCAAGCTGGACCTTCCCGTGCTTCGGCCGTCAACAGTTTCCCACCGTTACAGTCTGGAGCGGCGTCCGGGTCGTCCGCGACGCCTTTCCGACCACAACAGCGCGTCACGCCCTGGGCGTCCGGCGGTGCTGCGTCCGCTCCAGCGCCCGCACCTGCACCCGTTGTGCGCGTCCCGACGTCAGTACCCGGGCCTGGGGCGAAGTCGAAGGGCGGTCCCGCGGCGTTCTCCAAATCTGCATTCCCCGAACTACCGAGCGGCAGTCAGCAGCGGGTGCCGAAGGGCGCGGTGGGCGGGAACCAGTCGCTCCGGAAGATCCTGGGCGGGTCTGCGCCCGACCAACCGGCATGGCAGAGCGGTGGCAAGGGTAACGGGTCTGGAGGGGACAGCGGAACGTCGACGCCCGGGGAGCCCTCTGCCCCGGCCGATGGCGAAGCGAACGGTGCGGGTGGTCAGGGTCAGGGAGCGGGAGGCAAGAAGAAGGGCAAGGGCAAACAGAAGCAGACCTTGTTCACCTTGGGTTCGTTCCCTTCTTGAGGTAGCCGTTGACCGCATAGGAGGATGAGTAGTAGACCTAGATGGAGCGTGACTTGATGTAGCTATTAGATCCAGCTTTCAGCGTATGTCGCTCCAGTATGTAGCATTCAATGCACGTCTCTTGGTCAAGCATGGATGATGAATTTGGCCGTTCGACTACGGTATAGTGGCTTGACGTAGCCGTAGTTTGTGGTTTTGAGTTCGACGCGCGTATTGAGGAAGCACCATCACGCTTTGCAAGAAGTGTAGCTCATGCCATGCAAAGTGAAAAAGCAGAACAATTAGCAGCAGAAGATACATGTAGGTAGCTAACTGGCGCCGTTAGCGTTCTGTGTCCGACCCTAGTACAATGCAAGGACACTCACCAGCGAACCCGACCGCCTGACCGACCAACTAGCCCGCATCCCTCACTGCGTCTTCATGAAGTTCGAATCCCGTATCTGCTGCCGATTCGCCTTGCGTAGACGGATCTTCTCGCCAATGCCGCCAGGGCCGTCGTCGGGGATGTGCTTCGGCTGGAGGAGTGTCCAGAGCCAGGGCGGGTACGCGTCGTCCGCGAGCGCGAGCACCTCCGGCTGGCCCTTGAGGTAGTTCACCCCAACGAGCACCGTGTTCTCCGTGCAACACGACTGTGCGAGCGCCGCTACAGGAGGAGCGCGTAAGCAGACGTGCGAGTACAGGCGGGGGCGGAGGGTTGGACGTACGGTGCTCGGTTTTTGATGGCGCATTGCCGCTTGCTGGCTGCACTGGGGCTGCGGCTGGTGCGCTCTGGGACGCGAGGCAGCGGCGAGGAGCCCAGAAGGCGTTGAGGCGTAGCTGCTGTCGGACGGCCTGCACGAGAGACATGGTGTGTAGAGAAGCGCCTGCGAGCGTCGTCGGAAAAGGTGGACTGCCCTATTTGGTTTACGGCGCTACCGCGAGCTAGACGCGACGCGTTGCCGCTCGTTCAACAGGATCACCATCCTTGCGACGCACAGGTGAAGCACGAAACGGTTGTGTATTAACGGAGTTGCGGACGTAGCCAGAGACACAGGACTACTGTACATAACGTAGACAATAAGGCAAGAAAAAGTACAGGTATACTTTCGGGTTACGTATCGAGATCGGCCTTCAATGAACACTCCACAGCCATCCCAGTAATTACTTCCTCGAGGAACGCGCGCGGTCCCAAGTCGCCTTCACGGAGTATGCAACACCCTGCGCGGCATGTCAGAAGCGAGGCATATCACCGGAGAAGGGCCGCGGCTCACCGTGAAGAGGGACTTCATGCGTATCCTGGCGCTTTTGCTGGTCGAGACGGAATTGGCGGTGTTGGGGGTGGAGGGGAGCACGGGCGATATCTCGATCTCCACGTCTTCTTCATCGCTCTCGAAGATGTCGGACTTCATATCACGATGCAGGGTCAGCAAATGGACGCGTGCCGTCCGGTATTACAGACGTACCAATGCAAAACTTGACCGCGCCGGCCGCTCGCTTTCCGCGTAGCGGTGGTCGACGGTTTGCTGGCAACGACGACCGTCAGAGCCTCGAACCCATGGTATGCCCGTAGTGTTGATGGAAAGTATACTCACCATGAGATCCCGCTGGGGAGGAATGGGCATGGGATGGGTGGTGTTACAGCGAAGGCGAGGTGTTTTGCGCTTGCGTTGAGAGTTACAATGGGCATAGATAGGGAATTGTCGGTCACACGGGAACACGAAGGGCTGGAAAGAGTGGGGAGAGGGCTTGTATTGATAATGGTAGACATCTTGGTGCTCCTCTGACGGCGAGTGCATGGTGTACGGGGAGGTAAAGAATGAGGGTGGGCCTACGGCGCGGATGGGGGCGATAGTGGCAGGCGTCGACGTTCACAAGCTAGGCAAAAGAGTGAATGTTCTCGGTGCCCTCGATGCACGATCGCCGGGATGTTGAGGGCAAGAGGTAGAGTATGAAAAAGCCGGTGGGAAAGTGTCCGCGCTTTATATCACCGCCCTAGCGGTGCTGGTTTTGGTAACCTCGACAAAACGGGGCGAGATGACTAGGGACGTGTCTCGGTCGGGCATGTACGATTTCTGCTTTCGTACTGTGCCTGTAGGAAACTACATCCGAGGCCGCGATGCTATGTTTTGCGATAACACGCCCTACGGCGCACATCGTCTTGCACGTCTCGCCTCCAGCGAGTAGGCACGGCGTCACCTGCGCCCTCAACAGGTGCAACACGGCTGCGTCTGCCACAGCAGCTACTTCTAGATATGATAACCTGCACGACCCTCGTAAAGCTCCGCCATGGGAACTCGAGGCTTCCTCGTTCTCCAGTGCAGCCCAATCCAACCTGTGTCCATCATCACCGCGACCAATCGGTACACAACCCGTACACGTAAACGACTACCACAACACGCTATCGGGGACTTCGTAACCAAGAATATTCCTCGATATAGAGGCATACAGCCTTTAGCTGCAGGTTATGAAACACAGCGACACATGCTCATGTCAGCCCCCAACAATGTGAGTAAGCTATGAAGCAAAGCGAGGAGTGCGGCTACTGTCGAGAAGTATGCCTACACACTGAACAAGAAGGAAGGCGGGACCCAGGGCAAAGCCTCACGAGCATGCAGGAACAGCCTTTAGCTGACTGCACGCCTCGAAAATACAGGTCTGTGCAATCAAGAAAAGAAGGAAGCACTAGTACTCATCTCGGTGATTCCATGCAGCAATAACCAATGCGATCTAATCCGGAAACCAATCACAAAAGAACGAAAGACGCAGACGAGGACGAGGACGGAAAACTGAGATAAATACAGATGGTGAGCTCGAGATGCTCAACCAACGCAATTGCGGTGGTTGAGCATCCTCGAAAATGGTTTAAGCACGTACCTTTACTGCTGCTGATGCATCGCACATTGCAGTGGCATGCAACTTGGTGAGGCTCGTGCGAGCCCCGGTATGCATGGGCAATGGGTGTAGGGCACAACCGATCGCCTCGCCCCAGCGGGTAGAACCTGCGACAAGAGACTAGCTGCCCAGAGATTGACGTACAACCAGGACCCTGGGGGGGCGATGAAAGCAGGCGAGGAGCTAGAGTCCGGATGTTTCGTGCGACGCAGCAGGAAGCGTTGAAGTGCAAGCCCGTCGCGTATTGTGGTGGAGCCCTATGCGCCAAAGACACCAACTGCGTAGGATAAGCGCATCGTATCGAGTGACATGAAGACGCAGAGCCATATGAAAACAAAGGAGAGTGCAGCTGCAGTCGAAGGGGATCGATGGTGATGGACAAGAGCAAGCGGAGCCGCCAGCCTAGGAGTCGCCCCCGACGTTCGCGACTCACGCAGTCGCGTCAGGCACCGGGCGCGCCGGTCCAACTACTATATGACTGCCTCCTTTACATTTGGTTGTGCTCAGTGCGTGCAACATTATTCATGCCTGTTCTTGCACAATTTTACAGGTTTAACGGAGACCTAGGGGTCGAACGACCATTGGGGGTGAAGATCTGGAAACGCGCTACGACCAAGCTAGTACGACGTTGGGTCTACGGACCGCTCGGACTGCGCATGCCACACACTGATGTGGCATGGCATCCTAGGTACTAATTGCCTCTTCCTGCCTGGCATCCAAGTTCACGCCAGAGGTGGAAGTTCGCGCCGTAAGAAGTATATGTATGACGCAGTCCCACCGGCACTATGTGGATTACAATGCGCTCGAGTAACGCTGCATTGACGCCACTTTTCAGGTTGCGGAAGCATCCCCCCGATTCTCCGTGAGTCCTTCATTTCACCAAAACTTTGCTTATAGGCCTGACTTATAGCTAACCTCAAGAACAGGTTTAACCGTTCAGCGCGTCGTCGATATGCGCACCAGTCAAATGTTTTGATTGACCACTACGTGATAGGCAATTCCACAATCACATACTAGTACGCGCAACCAAAGTACTATCATAGGCACGAGATACCTCGAATCTCCTGCTGGCGATGAGTGAGTCTACGAAACACTATAGGCTTCAACTTACGCACAGCGTACTACCATCCGTGAATCCCGTCAACGAAGTACTTAGTAGCGTGATCCGTCGCTTACTCCGTAACCAGCAGTCTCTGATACTGCAGCATACGTCCGGCAATTCAATTACAGGGACAGACGTCAGGCAGTGTGCCTATACCTTATTTCAATCACACAGCGACCATTTCTGACCGCTACATAGCGTCCATGAATGGAATCACTCTGAAGCCTAGTTTGTCCCCTCCTGCTCAATTTTTTGCCTCGTTATTAGTACGGTAGTTCCGCTAGTTTATGTGTGCCATCTGCCAATGTATTCGAATTCAATGCATGCCCCTGGTTGCAAGACCTATCACTAGCTCGTCCATTAATCATTCACCGATCCTCGTGGCAGGGTGTGCTTCACGACGCGTAGCGTTATAAAGCGTCTTCTTCCATTCTAGCTAGCTCCCATTAGGTGTTACATCCGTACTTGTTCTCACTCGACGTCGGAATCGATGCCATCCTTTCTCTCTCCATCCTCCTCTTCACTACTCTCCTCGTCCTTTGGGCTAACCGCCGTTGCCAACCTCCTCAAGCTCGGGCTCCCACTAGGGGTCGCCAACGAGGTCTTGGACGCGCTCGCGCTCGTGCCCGCGTGTACACCCATGCCCGACCCGAACGACGTGCTCCGCATGCCCAAGCCCAACATGAACATCCCTGACGTCGTCCGCTGCCTTGGCCCCGCCCGCTGGGGGCCACCCGATCCGGGGCTCAAGCCGCCATACGTTAGACTACGCACGGGTACAGGCACGGCGATCCGCAAGCCAAGGTTGGCGAGTGGGTCCGTGGGGGAGTCCACGGGCGACTCGCGCGGGCGGGTGAACGATGAGGAATGGCGCAGCCGTGGAGAGGTCATGACTGACCCGAAGGTGGGCGCGGGGCTTGTCGAGCGTGGGGGACTGAGGAAGCTGGGTGCCCAGCCGGCCCATTTCGGCGATGCGGACGGCCGCGATGACGGTGAGGTGGCAGAGAGCGACGACTCCTCGGAGGACGAGAGCGCGAGCTCATGCAGCGTCCGCTTGATAGAGGCGATGTCGTGCTCGAGGTCATCCAGCTTCTGCGTGAACGACTGCGTCGCTTTCTCGACGGCGCGGTCCGTGCCGTTGACGAACGCAGCGACCTCCCTCAGCATCTCGCTCGAGTTGACGTTCTCCGAGCCGTCGGCGTGCGCCAACGCACCCGGGATGGACAGTAGCGCCTCGTAGCCGCTTGAGACGCGCTCGTCGTCAGCGATGCGGATCTCGAGCTCCACCCGTGCGTCCTCGTTGTAGTCGTCGAGGCGTTCGACCGCTTTCCGGAGCAGCGTGTGCATGTCTGCAGATGCCGCCGTCGCAGGGGAGGAAAGCTCAGCCAAAGACTTCTTGAGCTCCTTCAGTGCGAGATGACAGTCACGGAAACCACGCTGGACGTTGTCGTAGCGGTGTTTGACCTTCGATAAGTTAGCGAGGAGTGTGGATTCTTTGCTTGTCTCCGCTGATACGGCGGGTGACACGGGCGAACACGGTAACGGCGAGAGGGCCGAACCATCCGTGGCGTCTAGCTGTAAGGGCATGGGCACAGCAGCGCGAGAGTTCCCCTGGGATGCTTCCGGCGTAACATTCGAAGGAGCTGATGGTTTGCTTATCCGCTCTACAGAGGCGTGAGGGAAAGATGGCGCGAGTGTGGGTAAACCAGGATCTGTAGTAGCATCCACGATTTCTGCGTCGGAGGGGAAGGAGACAGGCAATGTATCTGAATGCGCCACGACGAGCTCGGGGGTGGGAGAAGATGGGGCTGCTGCCATAGGTGTTTCGGCAGCATCGATATCAGAGGACTGGAAGGTATGACTGGCAGTCGGCACAGGAGCCTGGATGTCGCTCTGGGTATTATCTGACAAGGCATCTACGGTATGCGACTCGTCGTCGGCCACGGATGTCCTTGGTGAAGGATGGGAGAGGTGGTCGGAAGCCTGAGGTTCCGAAGAGTCCAGAGAAGGAACGATGACAATCTCGTCGATAGAAACCCCCGGAGAGAGGATATCCTCTGCCACGACCGCCTGTGATGGGCCTGCAGGTGTCACGTCGAGGGCAGAAGGGGGCGAGTTCTGCTCCAGCAGCGATATCTCGGCTTTGCCTGCGGATGCATGATGCGGAACGGGGTGCGCCAAGGGCTTCGTTCCCGGCGCGAGAACATCTTCGGGATGGTCGGGAGTCTCCAATCGCGCGAGTTTCCTCTCGGTCCTCAGCCTACGAACCGTCTCTTCCTGGAGTTCGTGTGTCAGGGATGAAACAGTGTCTTGCGCAAGTATGAGCCTAGCGACAGAACCACTTGGGCTCTTGTCGCCTTCCGTCAATGGCTGGCTGTTCAACATCTCCAGCAACCCCTCTGCGTCCAGCATTGCCCTCGAGAACGCTTCTTTGAGCACATCCGCATCCAGTTCACCGCTGTCCGAACCACCCGCTGCCCGATCGAGTGATTCCCGTGCCCTGCGAATCCATCGCCTCAAGCTTTCCGCAAGATTCTCCTCGCGTCCAAGGAATGCCAGGCGCAGAGAGACCTCGCGTCGGCGCCCAAACGCTTCCCGCGCAATGTCCTCAGTGAGATCGTCTAACGCAGAACGCAATCGATCGGTCTCGGCGCGCTGGTGCTCTAATGCGTGCTGGAGATGAGCGATCTCCGCGTTGAGAGTGTGTAGTGTAGTGGAGTGTCGCGACCTGAGCGCGTCCATGGCTTTCTGGAGAGTGTCTGTAGAGGTCTGAGAGAACTTCCTGTGATCAAGTATTTAGTACAGGTGCTGTGAGACCATACATAGTGCCACGAACATGTAACGAGACACCATTTTGGCTGCCGTTGTATCGTCCGCATGATACTTGTCGAGCTCATGCCGTATTTTCGCTAGCTCTGAACGGTCGTGTTCTGCCGCAAGGCGCGCGACCTCGAGTTCTTTGTAGAGCTGTCCGTTGTCGCCTTGAAGCTTCGTGATCTCTGTTTCCAGTCGCTCGCTATCACCGTTGAACTCTTCCAGCAAGCGTTGAAGCCCAGACTTTCCCTCGGCAAGGCTGTCAACGAGAGTAGCCGTTGACCCATTGTTGGGTCGCTGCAGGTCGATTGACGACGTAGAGGATGAATCGGAGGGCATCCTGGTCCGCCCATCGAGTTTGCGAACGAGGTCGGCGTACTCCTGCACGACCAGGTCTGACATGCGCCGTTCCTCCTCTGCAGCCTTCAGCTTCCGCGCGAGGTCGCGTTCGCGAGCAAGGCCCTCTTCTTCGCGCGCACGGGCATCGGCGGCCAACGCGCGCGCAGCTTCGAGTTCGTTATGCCCATTCGCCAGCTGGCTCCGCGCGTGGACCAATTCCTCCGTGCTCGCAAGCAGCGCTTCTTCTACGGATGTGAGCTTGTCCGAAAGTCTCCGAAGCGCGAGGGTTAACTCAGGAACTTGGAATGTAGCTTGGGTCGGACTGGTGTCTGGGTTGGCTCTGAGGACTGCGGCCTCCTCTTTCAAACGCGCATTCTCCCGCTCCAATGCGCGCGCATGTTCGATCGCCTGCGAGGCTTCGAGAGAGTGTCGCTGGAGCTTGAGGGAAGTGGCATGGGCTTCGTGCTGCCAAGGAAGCCTGCGCGTCAGTCGATGAGCGTTGCGTGACGAGCAGTGTAGGACCGGACGGCGCGCGAGACGTACCTGGTAGCGAGAAACTGCTGCGCGTAGACTGCTAAGTTCGAGCGCGAGGGGGTGGTCGTCGTTGACTGTAGACGAAGTGTCGGCCATGTGCACGAGCACGTACAAGCTGCGTAAAGCTGCAGCCTTGCGCGAAATGTGTGATTACATGCGTACACGAGGTTGTAGCGGAGACTGGAATGGAGAACCGCGGACGTTGAAATACACACATAATGGGCGGCGTCTATCTGTCGGAGTGTGTTCTGCGTGATCTCCGCTGTGGCACGGGTGCGGGGATGTGGGCGACGTCTTCTCAAGCCGTCCCCTCGTCGTCTCTGTCCTCTTCGTCGCCGTTGATCTCCCCGCAAGAGACTGGTATTCACGGTCGGAAAGCCTTCTTCTTGCCACCTAGCACACGCCAAACGTCTTGGGCACCGCGCTGCACCGCTCGCTCAAGCCAAGCTTGACCAAACCTCAATCCATCCTCGGCCGACCACCCTCGCCCACCCCACGCGACTTCGAGACACACATTCGTACTTCCAGTCGCATTGTAAGCAAGCCCGAAACGCACTGTATGTTTCCTGTGCGATAGTATCTCCTTTCGATCCACTATAGATCGTTGTTCTCCGGTATGTGTTTTCCGCCGTGTATGTGGGGTCAAATATATTCATCTCGCTTGATCGTTGTACCTTCCTTGTAAGCAGAAATGGCTAGCCCCCATACACCATACCATCCCCAGCCGGGGCCATCCTACTATCACCACCCACCGCCTCCGCCGCCTCCCCAGTATGCGTATCCTCCACCACCTGGTCCGACGCCATACTATCCGTACCCGATGCCTCCCATGAACGGACACCCGTCTATGCACCAGCCCGCTTCCCCTAGAATCAACGGTGCTGGTCGTGGTAGATTCAATCCACACCGGGGTGGTGGGCCGAGTTATCATTACCAGCCTTTACCTCAGCATCATATGCCCCCGCAGGCAATGCCGGTACAGTCACCCCCGCCCGTTTCCCCCGCGAGTCCTTTCCACCATCCCCAAAAGTTCGCTCCACACCCCCATCCGCATCAGGTACCTTATGGTTCTCCCTACCATCATCCTCAGGCCAACGGACCCTATCCGCCCACGTGGCCAGGTCAAACACTCTCGCCGCTGCCAAAGCAGATGTCTATGCTGCCTCCAATGGTTTCGCCCGAGCACGTCCCGCAAATGCACATATCGCAACTACCACATCAACAACATCCGCTGCAACATCAGCCTCCGGTTATGTCCCAGACGCATATGTCGCCTGAGATCCCCCAGCACATGCAGCCGGTGCCGTTGCAAGTTGTCGAAGCTCGCGGTCCTCGGATTGCCTCCCCTTCTGTCGCGCCATTTGTACCCCGCTTCTTACAAGTAGCTCAACCCCCGCCAGAATTGCCACAACCAGAACCTCCGGTATCCGACCCGGTTCAGTTCGAGGCGCCTCAATTCGAGGGGCCTGTTGTCCAGGAGCAGCCAGAGGAGACCCTAGCGGTGCCCTTACCCGACGCCGTGGAGTCCGAGCCTCAGGCAGTGTCTCCAGAACCCGAGGTCGCGGCAGAGACACTGGAAGAGGTAGAGGATAGGGTATCAAGGCCCGCGACTCCGAGGAGTCCGTCTCCCGGTCCCACACCGTCCTCCACCTTTGTGTCGTCCTATGTTGTCTGGTCTCGGCGTCCTGGAGATCCTGGCCGTGCACCCGGCGTCATAATTTCCACTCACGCTTATCCGCCCCAGGATGTCGCGCAGAAGGCCCTCGAGCTCCCGTCTCCCGCAGCTTCTCCGAAGCCCCGACGAGTCACACTCCCTCAGCCCTCGGTCCCGACCGCTGAGATTACGGATGCTTCATCGGATTCTACAACAGCTCTCTCGGTGTCCACTACTGAGACGACTCCGGCAGGCTCCACCACGGCAGACACCCCTGTACCTGGCTCCCCGTACTCGTGTGCGACATCGATCTCAGTGGCCGTTGGTTCCCCTTCTGCGAGTCAGGCGCCTAAGTCTCCCGTATCCCCGCGTGTCGAGGCTAAGGCAGAGCTCCCAGTCATGAATGCCGCCGTTACGGAGCCTACCACCGCTGCGGAAACTTCGACGCCTCAGCCTACTAGCGAAGCGACTATCGCTCCTGCAGCGTCTTCGTCCGCCCCAGCCGCTCCTGCGAAGCCCGTTCCTGGACCGAAGAAGTCATGGGCCTCCCTTCTGCATTCAGGTGACTCTACAGCTTCGTCGTCAAAGCCGCGCCTCCCTGTGTCGAACGTCGTCGGGTTCTCGATCCCCGCTGCTTCGGGTGGCAGTACTCCTTCGGCACCAGGCATCTCCGTCGCTACCGCGAACCGCAACGAGCTCTTACATCTGATTAACAACGGTCCATCCGGTTCTTCGGCCAATGTCGCGGCTGCCATGAAAATTCGTCCTCGTGGCCTCGTCAACACGGGCAACATGTGCTTCGCGAACGCCGTCCTGCAAATCCTCGTCTACTGCCCGCCCTTCCATCGCTTCTTCTCGGAATTACGGAAGCACCTGGCTGGCCCCGTTGTAGGTTCGCAGCGTGAAGGCTCGAAGGCGACGCCTCTGGTCGACGCTACCATCCAGTTCTTGAAAGAATTCGTCCCAGACCCGCCTTCCCCCAATGCGGACTCGAGGTCGAAGGGCAAGGAGCGTGAGGAAGATATCTTCGACGAGCTGGACAGCTTCATCCCGACGTATGTGTACGATGCGATGAAGGAGAAGAAGCGGTTCGCGAACATGATCGTTAGTTCAATTCTTCGCTGACCCTTGTCTGTATTGCTAACTGTGTCCTTAAAATGTAGGGCGGGCATCAGGAGGATGCGGAGGAGTTCCTCGGGTTCTTCTTGGACACCCTAGAGGAAGAACTTTTGTCTATCTCCCAGTCTTTGTCGCCCAAAGAGCCTGCCAAGGCCCCCGAGGAGCCGCAACTGCCTGACGGCGAGTGGATGGAAGTGGGCAAGAAAAACAAGCTGGTCACGACCCGAACTGTAAGTCCTCCTCGTATATCAACAGTCCTTCTCGCTAACCTGGTTGTCACAGGCAAAATCAACGGACTCGCCGGTGACGCGCATATTTGGTGGCAAGTTCCGCTCGACCCTGCGCACGCCGCACCAGCGCGACTCTGTCACGATCGAGGACTGGCGATCGCTCCAGCTGGACATACAGCCCGAGAACGTCAAGTCGCTCCGGGATGCGCTCCAGCATATCTCGCAGCCGCAGCCTGTCCAGATCTCTATCCCAACGCGACCGGGAGCGATTCTGGACGCGACGCAGCAGGTGCTCATCGAGGCGCTACCCCCTGTGCTCATCCTGCACATGAAGCGCTTCTTGTATGACACAAATGTTCGCGATGTGGTCAAGCTTGGCAAGCAGGTGTCGTTTTCTCCCGAGCTTGAGATCAGCCCCGGTATGTACTTGCGCTTCAGATCCTGAACGTGCAAAAACTGACTAGACGATGTCACTAGATCTCATCGCGCCGCCGAAGAGGACAGCGCAGCCCGTCAAGTACCAGTTGTTCGGAGGTATGTCCTGCTCTCTCGTCATAAACCACGCACGCAGACTGAGCGGTACCTGCTAGTTCTGTACCATCATGGGCCTTCCGCATCCGGCGGACATTACACTCTCGATGTCCTACACCCGAACCGTGAATTGTCCGAGCGACCACGGCCGGCATGGATTCGCATCGACGACGAGCTGGTTTCGGACGTGCGTCCAGAGGACGTCTTCGGCGGATTCGAGCGCGACGACCGGCACGCGTATCTGCTGTTTTACCGTAGGGTGAGCGCGTGGGGACCCACAAGGACAAATTAGTTAGCTACTTCGTTCGTCGTCGGTATTGCTGCAGCCGCTCTTATGTTACTGTGCCAGTACTAGTACTTCTGTTGTGATACATTCTCGGATTTACCCTAGCCCACGTTTGAGCTCGCAGGGACACGCAACTTACGCCTGATGGCATCGACGTCAGGCAGGATCCACACTACGTATCCGCATGTCCAGGGAACTCATTATAGATATATCCTTTTCCGCGGAAAAGGGATCGGGGAATACATATCTCACACCGTCCATTGCGAGACAAGACTATAGAGACCGGTTCCAGTGCAGGGCTGCGTATACGATAATTACTCATTATATAGGTTCCAGTTCTGCACCGGGAAGATTCAGTACGAGCAACGAGAGGGTGCGCGAGAGAGGGACATACGGAGCGCCATTTGAGGCCCCAGTGCTCGTTGATGGGCCCATCGATGCCCCACGCGACGCCGCGGAACCACCAGAAGGTGGCGACGATGATGAAGGAGATGACGCCGAAGACGATCTGTTTTGTGCGGTCGGAGAGACGGCGGGAGGTGAAGATGAAGTGGTCCGTGAGGTGCGAGAACATGAGCACCGAGAAGTACAGGGTCGGGAGCTAAGAGACAAGCGGAGTTAGGGATGTTCGGGTTAGGGAGAACGTTGGACCCACGTAGTGGTGGATGTAGGTGACACGGCCCATGATCATGAACGGCGCTGTATCAATGTCAGCTAGAAAGAAAAGACGCCGTGGGTACGAGACGTACCATAGTGCAGCAGCCAGCCGACGGCAGCCACCTTGCCCACGTACAAGAAGTGCTCCCATTCCCCTACACATGACGTTAGCATCGCCGCTCCTACCGCATCCTCGCGAGACACTCACTCGGGTCCATGTCAATGAACTTGCGCTGCTGGCGCATGAAGTACACCAGCACCGCAGCACCGCCGAGGATCAAGCTGATGGTGCCACCCCACCAGATGACGGGTGTGCCGACGAGATAGTACTTCGTCTGCTGGTCGCCCCAACCGCACATGCGGAGACCGACGTGGAGGAACGGCCACTCGGTGGGCTTCGAGGCGAGGATATCCTCCTTGTCCGGGTCGGGGACAAGCGCGTTGTTGGAGGTGGCCATCGCGACGTTGAGGTGCCAGAAGTCGCGCAGGAATGGCGACTTGTAGAAGCGCACATCGCCAGCGGGCACTAACAGGGGTTTCGTCAATTCTAGTGTCAGGTGTAGAACGAAGGAAGACGTACTGCGGTCGTTCCAGTGGCTCTCGACGTTCCAGTAGGTGTGCACATCCTTCGGGTCGTTCTCCTTCTCACAGCTGACTTCAATCTGCTTGAAGCCCCACTGGGGAAGGATGGCGTTCGCGGCCCGGAGGTAGCAGCCTGACGCGTGATGCTTGAAGCGGAGACGGGTTGTCAGCGAGTGAATGGTCTCGAACTTCGCCTTGTGTCCACGGTGGATGTCGTCCACGACCTCCACAACCCAGTAGTCCTGGTAGTCGCCGACCGTCGCGTTGCCGTAGCACGAAACCTCGTTGTTCAGCTTCGAGACCGGGGCGGGGATGGGGTGCGAGTGCAGGTTGCGCGTCGTAGAGGCGTGCTGAAGGCGGATAACATCGCCGTCCTTGAGGTAGCGAAGGGGCGTCTCTGGGGAGTACGGGGCCTGGTCCCAGGGCGGGAGGAGCACCCAGTCGTTGTTCTCGTCCTTGTAGTGGTAGCAGGTGACCTGCTGTTGCTCGGAGCCGACAGGGTACGTCTGGACGTGCGAGTGGAGAAGACCTCCACCCCAGCCCATGTTCTTCAGAGTGACCTTTGAACCGATTGCAACATCTGACACGGAAGAAAGTATTAGTAACACTATGGCTCTATGAAAATGAAACGCACCCAGTGGGTTCTCATGGAAAGTGTTGCCGACGAGGTTCGCCTGGAAGAGCGAGCTCATCTGAGCGTCACCGGGGCCGGAGTGATTCAGGATGAGGAAGTGCATCTTGAATGACGCCATGTAGATCAAGCAAGGCAGCACAATGAGGCATGCGATGCGGGCTGCCCAGTGCCGTACTTGATCCCGCTGCAGTCGGGCTAGGTCAATGGACACGTTAAGTGGCTATGCAGCGGACGCTTACCAGAGACATCTTAAGGTCGCCGAACTTCTCCCAAAGGTCCTCGATGGTGTAGGCACCGACCAGTGACGTGACGAAGAAACCGACCCATTTGACGCTAGGAGGGCGTTAATGAAGCGCAGCTAATGGCAACGCCTGCTACTTACCTGCAGACGCAGCCAATGGACCATCCTGTCATCGCTAACCACAGCCACCAGTCAAAGGTGAAGGATCTGCACGACATTGTCAGCCTGCTGTCTCAGTGGGGAACAGACAGGCACGCACCGATATTGTTGGTTATGGAACTTGGCCATGCAGAATACGGTAGTGAACGTGAAGAAGAGGAGCATAGAGTCCAAAAGAATGAAACGGGAGATGCACAACCACGCGACGTCTGGAACGCCCTCAGTTTTCTGCACGCGCATATAGACAGGGTTTAGGCACTCACCACACAGCACCATGAGCGCAACCAAGTGACAGGCCATCTGGCTCATGCCCAGCTCGACCGCGGTGTACCACCCCAGCGGTACCATCGCGACACCGAACGTAGCGAGCATGACCCGCATGGCGACGTACGGGACGGTGTCGGGGTATGTCGAGCCGCTCGCGAAGTCGAAGGAGCCGTCGTAGCCTGCCAGCAGACCGGCGAGGCCGACGAGCATCTTGCCCAGCGGCGGGTGCACGTCGAAGTAGAACTCGCGCTTGAGGTAGTACGAGCCGAACTTGCCAAAGTGTGCCTCGTCCCACACAACTACGTCCGCCTTACCGATCTTGTGGAACCGGGTCCAGCACGAGAGCAGCGTGTAAATGATCGGCGGGACATGCTCCAGGTTCTGTACGAAGAACTCGCGCTACAGGACGCGCATATAAACGGTCGGTAACGCGCATATATGGACGAACGGAGGGACGTACGATGGTAGTGGGGGGCGGCGGGGGCGGCCGACGAGGACGACCGCTGCTGATGGGCCCCAGGTTGGAGGCCTTCATTTTGGAATAGACATCCTTGCCCTCGTCGTCGTATGCGTCGTAGTCAAGGCTCTTGTCAGACACCTGGCCGGCGAAGCCGCCGCCGCCGTTGCCACCAGGGCCGCGGGTGACCCGTCTGCGGGCCTTCTCCTCCGACATGTAGTGCAGCGGGAGCTCCTCGTCACGGGCGCGTGTTGTGGACGGCTGAGACCAGTAGGCGTTCTGTGAAGCAGGGTGGGGGATCTCCTCAAAGTCGTCCGACGAGCGGGGGTCGTCGTCGAAGGGTGGTCCGAGGTCGAGAGCAACTTGGGATGGTTTCATCAGCCAAGCTGACTTGTTACAGCTGGAGGCCGTAGGCTGACGCGACGGCTTGCAGTGGCGGGGGGAGGGTTCTGGGCGTCTATTCCTCGCTCTGCATCATAAAGTGCACCGCGTCTGTATTGCCACCGCAGCACTTCCAATCCTGACGTGGCCGTCCCAACACCGTATGGTCTAGTCCCGCAGCACGCATTCCGGCAAAACCTACAGCATAATAGGACTACTTTTGAGGGAAAATGTACTACACAGATACAACGATGCGAACGAGACGGGCCAGACGAACAGAGCAAGACAGAGAGACGGAGTCCAAAAAACACATGCCCTTTACTTGTGCCGTTGGTAAACAGCTATAATAACCAGGTCAGAAACATCCTGCATGAAGTGGTGCGCCCTGCATACCTGTCACCATTGCGTGATCACGCTCGTACGGCTCCAGAGTGACCTGCTCGATCGGCTTGAACTTGCTTTCCCGCAGGACATCGACCTCCCGGGCGAACACGGCCTCAGGGGGCGCGGTAGAGTCGATACAGCTGGCCTTGATGGAGATGACAATGTGCCCGCCGGACTTCAAAAAGTACTCCGCGTTGTGTGCGACGATACGAGCCTGGTCGGGTTGAGCGACATCGGCGAAGATGACATCCACGGTCGAGAGGAGCATCCGATATTTTTGAGGTGTACGGGCGTCCTCCACGATAGCTGGACCGAGCAAAATTGATCAGTACCTTGACATGGAATCTGGTAAAAGAGAACATACGGATGACATTCGTCCGCTTTTTCGCCATGCTGATCAGGTCACGCCCTGACCTGAGCGAAAATTCAACGGCGTACACGACACCCTCCTAAAAGGCCATGAGCGGTGTACACATGCAAGAGTAGTCCAGTACTCACAGGGCCAACAATGTCCGCGACGTGACTGACACTGGTACCGCTGGCAGCACCAAGGTAGAGCACCTTCTTGCCGGGGGCAATGAAGATCTGGTCAAGACCGCCGAGGACACCAGCAGCGAGCTTAGAACGGAAGGGGTTCCAGACACGGTACTCGGTCTTGGTGCCCTCGACGCCTCCCTCGATGGATATCCGCTTCTCGCCGTAGACGGCCTCTCCGGGGACCAGGTTCTTCGTGACCAGCAGACTCTCCTTGCCCTCCGCGATGAAGACACCAGGGTGCCTGTGCGGCTTGAGGATCACGTTCGAACCACCGCGCGCACCGCCCCTTCCACCACCGCGGGGAGCTCCCCTGCCACGGGGAGCACCACGACCGCCTCCACCACGCTTGAAGACGCCTCCTCCACCACCGCGACCACGGTCACCGCCGCCGAAACCACCTAGGGTGTGTTAGCAAAGGAAGACACTCAAGAGACTATATGAAAACTCACCACGTCCGCCGCGGCCAGGAGGGCCACCACGGCCACCTCTGGGAGCAAACCCACCCCTTCCGCCACCGCGACCACCTCTGTCTCCTCCTCCACGACCACCGCCAAATCCGCCGCGTCCGCCTGGTGCACCTAATGATGGGCAAAAAAAGGTCAGAGGAGGCGGCAAACAGTCGACCTATCTGAGCTCACCGAAAGCCATAGTACTGTCTTGTGCTGGTGAGGGGACGGTGATGGGACTGCGAGCGGAGACTTGCAAGTTCGAGCACGAACCTTTGCACAGAAAATTTGAGAAGCGCCCGTACCGCCCGAAATGGGCAACGAGGGTCCTACCACGTGGCTACGAAGCTCGATCGGACTGTCAAATCCAGCGCAGACGCCCGTTGCCGGCCAAGTGCGGGTGCCCGATATAGACGCGCGGAGTTACTCCGAGAACGCGCCATGATCTTGGGATGAGCTCTTCGGGGAGTGCCTTTAGGTGCTCTGAGCGTATCGCGAGCTCATGCACTACATCGCAGGCGCTATGTAATACGTCTTACTATCATCACGCGACGTATGCTAAGATCGAGACCTTCAAAGTTGCTCAAATACGTCTTACGCATTTTTCTATCGAAAATTGCTGGGAGCGAACCCGGAGTTCTGCTTGGGGAGGACCTCCTCAGTCGTATGTTCTTGTGTCGCTGCAAGCTGTGCTGATAAAGCCTCGTTCCAAGTGACTCGATGATCGGCAGGACGACGCGGGGCCAGGTGGTCTCAAAAAGCGCGAAAACAAACGCGCTCTCTATATTATATGCTCACACGGCCATGTGTTCTCACTGAAGCCGTGCGGGGCGGAACGAAGCAAGCCTTCCGCCACCGGCTACTTATAACGCTGGTGTCTGAATCAGCACGAACCCCTCGTCAGACTCACCGTCCGTCCCCCGCCAGCAGCCTCTGTGCGCGCGTGCGCACATTCGAGTCACTCCTACGCGAGTCCGCCCAGTCATCCCCCTCACTTCCCCGGAGACAAGGCACCTATCACGAACGCTCACGACTGACGAGTTCACGACATGTCTGCAGTGGGGCAAAGGACGGTAACCCGCTCGGCGTCTTCATCGACCATCAGCGCGGCAGTATCGCGGGACCCGTCCAGGATCGACGAGAAGACGTCGATCGAACAGGAAAAGCAAAACGTGCAGTCAGAGGTCGACAACATCGACTCTGAGCTACAATATGGCGAGGCCCCAGATGGTGGGCTCCGTGCTTGGCTCGCAATCACAGGGGTGCGTTTCCAGTTACCCTTTTACGTGCTACAGTTTTCTGATCCCCTGCACAGTGTGCGGCCGGCACTTGCGCCACCTTTGGCCTAGTGAATGCATGGGGAGTAAGTTGTCTTACGGTGACCTACGCTGATGGCATTGTACTAATAATCCCGAAGGTTTTCCAAGAGTACTACCAGAGACAGGTGCTGTTTGGCACGTCCCCCTCTACGATGTGAGTTCTCAAGCTCTCGCCATATTTTGGGCTGCGCTGACTCTAGGGCGATCCAGCGCGTGGATAGGATCAGTTCAGGTAGGCTTGCAATGAGACTTAAGACTAAGCAAGTACTAAACGAGCTGCCAGTATGCTCTTATTTTCCTTCCGGGCCTGTTCATCGGGCGCGTTTTCGACATGGGATACACAAAAACGCCTCTAGGGTTGGCGAGCGCCGTCATCATAGCGGTAACCTTCCTCACTGCAGAGTGTACGAAGTACTGGCAGTTTCTGCTGTGTCAAGGCATAGCTATGGGAGTACGCATTCACCTAGCACTAATAGCCAATCGATTCGCTGACGAGGCTCATCGCAGCTGGCCTGCGGTGTCGTGTTCGGTACAGTCATGGGCTGCCCCGCGCATTGGTTCAAGAAAAGGCTAGGGCTCGCCCTCGGCATCATGGGGCTCGGATCCACCATTGGTGGTGCCGTCTTCCCCATCGCCGTGCGTAACCTAGTCGATCGAGTGGGGTAAGTTATAACTGTCTCCGCTCCCCCACCCTCGCATACTCATGCCTCACAGATTCAAGTGGACAATGCGTATCATGGGTTTCATTGAGATCGCACTGCTCGCGTACCAGTTCGCTGTACGTCCACTGTCCCGCCGCGCTCGCGCTTCCGTGTCTTATTAAGGGCTGATATCCTTACGCAGACCGTAGAGCGGCGCCTGCCGCCCAAGAAACATACCGGTCCGTTCGTGGATTTCTCTGCCTTCAAGTCGCTGGCGTTCTCCCTATACTGCGTCTCGAGTTTCTTGGCCTTCCTAGGCATCTATACGGTGGGCCTGGTTGATGCTGCTTAAGCGAGCGCAATGCTGACGGTGGGATTCCAGGTCCTCACCTATATTGACGTCAGCGCAGTATCGAAAGGCATAGACCCGAACTTCTCATTCTACCTGCTGGCCATTGCCAACGCCTGCTCGGCGATTGGCCGGATTCTCGGCGGACTATTGGCGGATCGTATAGGTATGCTCCCCTCGTTCAACGACTGCAATTCGGCGCCAACCATATTTTACAGGGCCCCTTACGGTAATGACGCCCGCGACGTTCATCGCCGGGATCCTGACCTACGCATGGCCGTTCGCGAACACCACTGGGGCGCTCATCGGCATCGCTATCATCTACGGGTGCGTCCTCCCTTCCCGCGTCGCGAGGCGCTCATATGCTTATTCAGTTCGCTCTGGACAGCGGTGCGAGCGGCGTGTATGTGTCTTTGCTCGTGGCGCCAGTCGTGCGCATGGGCGGGACACAGGACGTTGGCGTGCGCGTGGGCATGAGCATGACGGTCATCGCGATCGGCGCTGTCGCTGGCCCTCCAATCTCCGGTGCCATCAACGCTGCGACAGGCGCGTACGTATTCACTGGGGTCTGCGCAGGTACGTGACTTGGTCATATATACTCGGTGGGGGACTGACGAAGTCGATTGTCTGGCAGGCACGACGGTCATGGTGGCGTGCTGCTTCCTCATCGCCACCCGTGTTGCCATCCTCGGCGGCTTGCGAGGGAAATGCTAAACGTCTATCTTCTATCTTCGCTCTTCTCGGGTTCTCTTCGTCGACGTTCGCTTCTCACAAGGTTTACGACATCCAATGCTCTATGTATGGCTCTATAGACGTGCAACGGCAATTGGCCAATGATCATCATACGGATACAAAAGCATTTGGATCATGCCCGACTTATATACCCAATTGGCCGTAGCCTTCGACGATGGGGCCGTCGCAGTCGTAATTTCTATGATGCCGATCCGCGCCCTGCACGGGCAAGATGAGCTTAGACCAGACGGCCTTGAACATCCCGACGCGCACTGAGTCTACGAGTCTCTGCGAATGATAGTTGTCCAAATATCGAACATCTGGCTTGAACGTCGCGTTGAGCTCTGTGTGGGGCGCGAGCACGAGATAGGGCAAGATCTTCACCGGTGGGGAGTGTGTTTCCTCGATGCGAACCAGGTGCATCGTTTTAGGGAGAAGCGCGGGGCAATTTGATGCGGCTCAGAGAAGGTGTTCATGAGGACGAGATCCTGGAGAGTGGTGCACGCGGACAGTGTCTGGAAGAGGCCAAAATCCGACACGTCGCGGATGTCCAAGGATGAAAGATTCGACCACATGGTAGTCGGCGCGTCCACGGCAACGCCGTATAACTGTAGGTGTGTCATGGCGGGCAGTTCAGAAGCTTTTATGGAAACACGGCGTTCAGGGTGTCCGTCCACGTAGTTTGGACTTCTGGGATCTCCAAACAGACAGAGATGGGTGACCCTAGCGCCGAATGCTGCCAAGCAAACTTCCGCCTCCGGGATCTGCGCCGAGGAGAAAACCAACTGCAAGGTCTTGATACGCTCGGCATGCGGGAGGAGTAGGTCGATAGCTAGTTCCTTCGGCATCGGGTGCGCGGTTTAAACGCGGTATCCCGTGAAAGGGCGGTAGTCGTCCGTAGAGCCGCCTACTACGTCGAGGGGTACATTCCGGGATCGACGAAGTGCTGTGCGCATTATCTTCAGGCGGCCCTCGTGGGTGATGATGATGCGGGACTATAGGAGGGGGTAATCCAGAGCGACCTGCCGCCAGAGACAGCAAACGAAGGCTGGTCGAATCCACTCATAGCAGCTGGTACCTGAGGTGTTTCGTAGGGCTATGAACACCTCTATAAGGAGCTCCGCCGGAAGCCTAGAGAATCGGCCGGAGGTTGACATCCCAGTCACTAGGAAATTGTCACTAAGTAGTAGTAGCTGCAGTCAACGTGAGCCATTACATATGCTCACGCGAACCTACGAAGTCCTACCTGAGATAGATTTTGGAGCCTTGTATTGTGATCCGTAGGTGAAGAGGTGCCGCGGGTGAACTTGGGGCCTAAAGTGCACGGTGCTCTTGGAGCTTGAACGAAGTGATAGTATGGATCCGGTAGAGCGCCCTGCCAAATTAGCTCTTACCTAGAATCCAGCAGGTGGCAGGTGGCGGCCAAGAGGAAACAACACGCGGCAACAGACGCAAACAGTCCTGCGAGCGCCGAGGACCAAGTTCGAATCTTGCTGTGTACTAATAGTATTATAAGTACTGACTATTCATCAACTGTCAGAGTGTTGAGCTCTACGGGGCAGCGGCCCATTTGCAGACGGTGAAGATTAGAAAATGAGATCGATATTGCCAACCCGAATTCCCCACAGTCTACAGAACAGAAGTCACATTGCTATCGGAACGGAGTCCATCGCAGGGGCTAGCCAGCCTAAACGACCACCATCCCTCTCTCTTCGATTGCTTCGGGTAATTCAGGCGCTTGATTCATGGCCCCCATTTTGATGATGCGAAGGGCTCATTCCACTCCCGGACCTCCACTGGCTCGGTCTTGGCTATGGGCCGTGACCAGTCCACTGCGTTAGCGAAAAGAAAGCGCCGGGGATCATATCACGGTTGCTTACCTTCACGTGGCTTGCGATGGCAAATCTCGCAATCGAGAAAGTACACCTCCACGGACGTCCGAACCATCTCCGCGTTCAGGCGTGCGATCTTGACGCTAGTCTCCGTGCAGCTTGCCATGCGTTGGGGGAGACGGAAGCGGAGGACAGGCGGGGCGACCAGCTTCCCCTTGCCACACGATCGCCACTCCGCGATGCTTCTGAACACGTCCAGAATGGAGTCTGCTACCTCCGGGACGCAAAGGGTCATCTCCTCGAGGGTAGGAATCCCCCCGCACTGAGAAAGGAGAACCAGAAGCTCCTCGATAGCACGTGTGCCGCCGAACGTGCATCTACGCAGCTTCAGGAAACCGCCTACGGGGCCGGGCCAGGTGCCGAACATATCGAGCTGCGCGGGAAAGTGGCACTCGAACTCCTCGATGATCTCTCGGGGGAGCAGCGTGTCCAACTTGCTGACCGTAGGAAAGGACATTATTTCGAACTTCTCGCCGTCAGGGAGATCTTCAGGGTATGCGGTTGCCTGACAGACCGTACTTTCCGCGCCGTCAGCCCATGCGGTGCAGTCGAAGTCCTTTCCAGCACAGGTGCCCGGTAGCACCTTGGCCCGAAGGAGGACTGGAAGCACCTTTTCTCTCTCGTCGGGGAGGAAGGGGATAGGGTTCGTGGTGTCCGCAAAATCCATGGAGGGAACGTGCCAACGGTTGTGCGATGAGCTATGGAGGTTTAATGAAGCCGTGGCAGGAAGGCGAATGATGTTAAGGAAGCTCGCAATGGCCTCCCTGCTACTGTCTTCCCGCATGTTCAAGTTTCGTAGCCTCAAAAACTCCATCGGCTCGGTCTCAGGCTCCCGGTCGAAGCGATCCAGACGCTTCAAAGTCAAGTGCTCGAGGGTAGATGATGCAGTTTCGAGAACGTCACGGATCCATTGTTCAATCCGATCGATACCAAGTCCGAGTCTTAGTCCATTGAATCCGTCTAGCTCGAGACTGACTAAGTCACGCAGGATAGGGTGGGGGGTGTCAACTATAACCCAGGCGATGGAGAGATGACGAATGGCGGGGACATCAGGAGGGGAGAGGGATAGGGAGGAAACAACGTAGATGCCGTTGTCAATGTCGTCTCCGGCTACATCATCGTAATCTGCCCGGAGTGCTAGTGTTCTGAGCCTGGGCTTGACCCCATCCAGTGCCCCTTGAACTGCGAGAGTTTGGTCGTAGTGGAATAAGATGGAGAGAGAGCAGAGACGGTGGGCGTGCTGCAGGATCAATGCCACGATGCCGTTGATATCGCCTCCCATGGTATTCACCTCGAGGTGCAGGTCGGCTTCACCCGAGCGATCGAATAGAACGGACATGAAGGGCGGGCTCAGGGGACGGGGAAGACGGAGTTGGGCCCAGAGGGTGCTAGTTTCAAGAGCGACATGTCGCCAATGACGGCAGACCGTGGCGACCCGGAGCCATTCGAGCGACAATGCCGCATCCCGGATCGTGAGGAACACCAAGGCTAGAATCTCGAAGGGGAGATTGTTGATGTGCGAGGGGGATCCTCGTCGCTGAAAGGCTTTCTTCTGCTTCCGCGCGCGTATCACGGCGCGCGTGCGTTTGGACATGGTAGGAGGGCGTCGGTCGATTTGAGGGTAGACGTGCAGTTGAAGCGAATGGCAGGGGACTGGAGGGGGGAACTGGAGGGAGAGGGGGAATCTGAGCGGTTATTTTATAACATCTCGTCAAGCGCCTGCCACTCCGGGTTGGCTCTTGCCACTCGACCTCCTGGCGTTCCCTCGCAAGTCCTGACCTATTGCCAATGTTTCCGCAGCTGAGGAGCATCAGTTCCTGCGCCCACGAGTCCGTGGCGCACGCCGCTGGGTTCCGATGTTGTCCGTCGATTTGGGCGGCGTTGTGTACGCTGCCTTGTGCGTGCCACCACCGTTGTGCGGGCGAGCCACTCCAGCGTCCATCGTGCCGCCAGACCGCGACCGTAGCCTGATTATTGATCTGTGATCGATCTTCCTGCTTCAGGTCCTTGTATATCGAGCTACAAGGGCGCCAACACCAGCTTGGCGACAATGTATGCCGCTCGATACGAGGTGAGACTGACCGGCCGCCGTGCCACCAGGCGAGGGTCGCCCTGGAGCGGTTCGCAGCAAGTTGTCTCGTCCGTGGGTCGCTGTGATAGGATGCTTTCGCATACTAGCAGGTGCCACCCGCGGAGGCCTTGTAACGAATGGGGCTGTAGACGTTGCTCGGTCTCAAGTGCCGTACTCACAGTCTCTTCGGTGGACCTTGTGCTGTAAGGCGCATCGGAGGGCAGTTTCCCGGAGATACGACGCCGCCAGTACGCAGGCAAACGGCCCTACAACAGTATAGATCGCCCTACAGACGATCCCAAACGACGCTAATTGATAAGTGAGTAATAGCACTCAACTTCGCTCACAGCAAGTGAATAACCGTCCTCCATACCGTAGTAAAATTTCCACCTATCGAAGGTGTCAAAATCAGTTGAAGCAGGCTTGCAGGATCGTTTTCGTCTTGACGAGCAGCTTGCGTTCAGTACTGTATTCCGGTCACCTAGTGACAATCTTTCCAGTACTTCACCGCACTTTTCTGGTCGCAAATACACGACCTGAATGTGCCTTTACGAATCCGTGGTCTTCAGCAGTCACTACGCACGCGGGAAGGAGGATTTGACATGAGCAGGAGATGCAGCCGTAGGCCACTGTGCCAGCTGAAAGGTGCATTGCCTCCCATGACGCCAGTGTATCCGTCAAGACGCAACATGCAAGCATATGAAGCATAGTCAAGCTCTTGCATGGTGCGGAGTGATAGCGCTACTGTGTAGCGGAACTGGAGTCGGAGAGGCCGGTATCGATTCCAACTCGGGACGGGTTGAAGGCGTTAGACAACACGTGCAAACAGAGCAGGACGCGTGTGCGGAGGAGGTACGCGCGTCGGAGTCCTTCAGCCACCTCCTCCGTCTTCCACCTCTGCACCTCCCCCTTCTCTCGAATCTGCCATGGTCGCAACAACAACAGAACAAGTACGCGTGTAGCCCTTTGAATCAGGCTTTTTCTGACCTCTCCTAGCTTTCAGCACTCTCAACTACCACCGTCGGTACGCTCATACACCGCACATAGCACACAAGCGTGATACTTATCCGGTTTTGCGCGTGCAGTGGTCCACCCCCTCGTCCTGCTCTCCGTAGCAGATCACCATGCGCGTTCGGTACCGCGGGGATCCAGCAAGCGCGTCGTCGGTATCCTACTAGGCCAAGACAATGGTACAAGCATCAACGTCGCGAACTCGTTCGGTATCCCATTCGAAGAGGACGAGAAGGACAGCAAGACGTGGTTCCTGGACCACAACTACATCGACGGCATGTGGGAGATGTTCAAGAAGGTTAACGGTCCGTAAGTTCCCCGCTTCTTCGCGCGCACCGGTGTGCTCACGGCGGACGGTAGCGCGTGAGCGGATGATTGGGTGGTACCACACGGGTCCGAAGCTGCGCGCGTCGGACCAGGAAATCAACGACCTGCTGAAGAGATACATTGCACACCCGGTTATGGTCATCGTCGATGTACGGCCACAAACGGTCGGCATCCCGACAGACGCGTACTTCGCGGTGGAGGAGATCAAGGATGTACGTCTCCTTATGCAAGTTTCGGGATGCTACTTCTAGTGCTGACATGTTATGTGTTAGGATGGCACGGAGACCCGGAAGACATTCCTGCACGTTCCTTCAGCAATCGAGGCAGAGGAGGCGGAAGAGATCGGTGTCGAGCATCTCCTGCGCGATATCAAAGACTCTACTACCACCACCCTCGCCACTCGCGTCGCAGAGCAGCTCGCCTCGCTACGAGGACTCCAGTCGCGCCTCGGCGACATCCAGTCCTACCTTGTCGAAGTCGCATCAGGGAAGATGCCGCTCAACCACCAAATATCGTACCACCTTCAGGATGCCCTCAACCTCCTCCCCGACCTCAACGACCAGGAGCTGACGCAGAGTTTCGCCACTACGACGAACGACGAGATGCTCGTCGTCTACCTGAGCAGCATGCTCCGGGCGGTCATTGCCTTGCACGCCCTGGTTGATAACAAGGCGTCCATTGGTCGGGCAGAGCTAGAGGAGAGCAAAAGCGAAAAAGAGAAGAGTAAGAGTGCCAAGGTCGAGGAGAAGGGCGACAAGGACTCGAGTAAGACTACCAGCGACGAGAAGGGATTGTAGATACTACTTCGGACTATCATGCATAATGACCTGCGCTGTGTTCTCTCATCTTCGAGTGTGTAAAGAAGCATCATGACGCATTCACTCGTCATTTGACGTGGGTTGGAAGCACATCGCCGGCTGCAACACAGACACGAATCCTCGCACGAGCAGATAGCATGCGACTGCACTTCAAGTTGGTTGAGGAAGCAGGAAATAACAGGGAGATTACTATTGTTGTAACTATCAGCGTTCGACACCGCGGTCGACGCAATGCGCACAGTCCTCTCCGTCCTACGAGCGGCCGGATGATGGGATCCAGGCTCGCTCCCTCTACTGAACCTCGAGCGACAGGCGACGCGTTTACTTCTGCGTGACGAAGCCGGGGCCAGAATAGCCTTCCGACGTGATACCTGGCGAAGGACGAGGAAGAGGCCGCGTCGGAAACTGTTCCACGATAGGATGAGCGGGCGGACGTACCAGAGATAGGGTTGATTTTCATCTCAATAGCACGCTCGTTCGTGGCCTCCTCCCACTCCTTGGTGATAGTGCGCGGTGGCGGCGGGGCTACAGAAATTCGGTCAACTCAGTCCACCCTTTACGACGTAAAGTGCATTCTTCCACGTACCAGCGGCCCGGACGGCGTAGAACACTGCGCCGGCAGCAACGACGAGGCCAGTGACCCCCAGGACGATCTTGGTGCCAGCCCCGGGGGCGTCAACCGGCGCTCGGGGGCCATGGGGCCCGAATGCGACGTAGTACGCTGCGTGCGCGGCGCGCGGGCTCGTCAGCGAAAATGGCTCTTGGGCGCGACGGGCGGGCACGGGCGACACGTACCGGCCTTCTTTTCGTCGACGGTGAGCGTCTTCCAGTCGCGCTTCTGGAGCTCCTCGAGCTGCTGGTGGACGACGGCCTGCTCGTCGGCGGAGAGGCGCTCCCACATCGCCTCGACGTTGGATAGCGGGACGACCGACTCGGCGGACGACGCGGCGGCTGCGGGGGCGGCGGTCTGCGAGGAGCTCGCGGCGGCCGCGAACGCGCGGGACGCGGGGCGGAGGGGGAGACGGGGACGCGCCAGGCGGAGGGCTTGCATGGGGACGACGGGGGAGGGGGTGGAGAGGAGGAGAGAGTGAGCAAAGTGCGTGGACGGAGGCGACAGGGGACAGGCGCCCGTTTGACGACACGAAAAGGCAACGCCCAATTGGCCGGCGCTGAGCGGCACGGAATCCCCCGCTCCGACATCCCAGCCCAGAGCGACCTCGACGGCCGGCCACTCCTCCTCGCAGTCGAGCCGCGCTAGCCCATCACCGCAATTCCAAATAATGCCACTCGCACAACCCGTGCCCGGCTTAATTGAATCGCTCGACGAGAGTGAGATACGCTATATTGACTCATGAAGCAGGGGATCGTACACCGCTCTCAGACAACATGATGCAAAACAAGACGAGCACGACGCAGAGACCGCAGAGACAGCAAGAGAATACATCATGTACAGTCTTTTCACCCCCTAGGCGCCCTCGGCGGCGGCGGTGGTCTGCCCGTTGTTGGGGCAGTCACGCGAGATGTGGCTGCAAGATTCCGACATAAGTAGGTGAGCACACAATCAGTATAGAATACGCACCCCTCAGAGCCGCAGCTGTAGCAGGCGCGGCGCTGGGGCTGGGGGCAGTCCTTCGAGATATGGCCCTGTAGATCGGCGGTCAGACACGCAATATCCATGTATACCGTGATTATGACTTACGAAGCCGGAGCAGTTGTAGCACTTGGATCCCTGAACGCAGTCGCGGGACAAGTGGCCTACGCCACCGCAAGTGTAGCTAAACAGAGAGTGAGCTCTAACGCGTATCAGACAAAGAGAGTCCTCTTACCAAGACCTTTGCTGACCACCGCCGAAGCTGCCGTAGCTTCCGCCGCCGAAGCCGCCACCGGCGGCACCGCCGGGAGCCTCAGGACATGCGCGCGCAATGTGGCCGGCCTTGCCACACCTGTAGCACTCCGTACCGGAGTTGCTGCTGCCGCCGAAGGCGGCGAAGTTGCCGCCACCAGTGGTGCCGGCCGCCGCAGCGTTCTCCGGGCAGTCCCTGGACTGTTGACAGGGTGAGCGAGCGCACGCGTAGTGTTGTCAAATGTAGACTTACAATGTGGCCCTCCTGGCCACACTTGTAGCAGGTCTTCGCCTTGGTCTCGGCGGTGCAGTCTCGCGAGACGTGTCCCTCCTGTCCACAGTTGTAGCTGCGAGGACGTGAGTGAGATATATAAGCAAGAATGTCGAGATAACTCGTACCAGGTGGGGGTGCCGGCCTTGGGGCAGTTCGCCGCCTGGTGACCGACTAGAGAGGCGCGTTAGCAGAGTCAAAGAGATCGGGGCATCCGGTCGCGCATCGCGCGTAGTCGTGCATCAGGGACGATCGAAAGAGTGTGCACTTACAGCCACCACAGTTGAAGCATCCGCGGGCAGCCATTTTGAGAGAAGTTTTCTTGGGCTGCGACAGACAAAGGGAGTGGATCGGCGTTCGTGAGCGACGGCAGACGCGAGAAAGACGGTCAGAGCCGCGGGACGTGGACCTACAGAAGGAAGACGGGCGAGACGACGGCGAGGGCGAGGAGGCGATAAAGATTCGGAGGGGGAGATGAAGAGACAGGCAGGCGAGCCCGAGGCGAGGAGAAATCGGTCCTTGGCCTACGTAAGCAGATCCCGCCCATATTTGTACATACCGCGCCCCGCCCACGTGCGGCGGCGGCGTTTCTGCGCCCTCGAGCCCTGCGCGCCTATCTGCAATGCCGCGCCCGGGCAGGCTCGCGAAGCCCCCTCGAGCGCGGCGTGCTCGACATTGCACCGTTGCGGCGGCGTCGCGGGCCCTGGCAGAAGTGCGGCCTGTTCGCGGCGTGGGTGCTGCGATCACTCGGAGCTAAGCCCCGTCGTGTCGTAAAGCATAGTCAGATTGAATGGGCGGCCTCCACGTTGGTGGACTTCGACAGGATATGATTGAGGATTTTTGGCTTCGCGCCCGCGAGGCCCACTCGAGGACTCAGCATGTCAAACGCGCGAAGTAGAAGTGTAGAAATCTAACCGCGTTCAGTAACCTATTGCTCGGACGAGGCGAAACGAGTGGGGGCCGCGAGGCGACAGAAGTCGCCGCGCTTATTCGTCCTCTCTCTTTTATCGCTCCGGAAAGGAGGACCGCATGGGTGTCCTCACCCGTGGCGGTCCTCCTTTCCGGTCTCTTCCCAGTCGTGTGTATGGACATATCCTGGGTAGATGCATACAATCCTGAGCTATAGGCTGCATCAACCAGACGTCTTTGCATCATGGATTCAGAGGTGGCTGAGAGGGACGTATTCTTAGAGGAAGGGGCTGGTCGAGATTACCTTACGTATGTCATGACTACCCGGTGGTTTACTGAATAGACGTGGTGTCCACTATAGCCTGTGTGACAGCATTTAGACCAAGGCCGAGGTAAACAGGGCCCGTTGAGTGTGTAGATGTGAAGGTTGGAGGGTCTGGCCGGCACAGTCAACGGAATGGACATCTGGCACCGGCAGCTATTCCATTTCTAGGTGTTCTAGGGTCCCAAATACATGACGCCTATACAGCTGCAGACTTCTTCGGCGCGCCTTCGTCGGCGGGAGGGACGAGGAAGGTCTATGACGAGATGATTGAAGGTAGGGTGCCAGAGATCGAAGGCGGCCGGTGCGATGCAGGACGTGGAACGAAAAAAGAAGACGTGAATCGTGTCGTGTTGGGCGACGGAGACGGAGCGGGAGCGGTGACAGAGATAGTCAGCAAAATAATCGGGGTGGGCGGACGATGGTGCTCACCTGAGGGCCGCCGTGGCCGTTCTCCCAGCGCTGGTACCTGAGGAGGGTGAGGCCGCGCTTCTCGGCAATTACACGTTCCTCCTCCTTGAGGGAGGAACGGAGGGCGCGCGCGGCGATCTGGGTGTACTTGTTGTACCTGCGAAGTGGAACGGCCGAGGGGAGTCGCGTCAGTCACCAGACCCAGCGACACATACCAGCAGGATTTGTAAAGCCATATCCTGCATGATACATGCTAGTAATGAGGAGGACGTACGTGAAGACGTTGCGCCAGGTAGCACTGCTCATGGTGGCGGATGACTTTTGGAGTGAGCTGGATGGTTGCTGTCGTCTGCGTCGGCGCAGACGCAGAGAGCGAGTCCCGGGTAGCCCCGAATGGGCCACGTGGGGGAAATGGCGCCGGCGGTCGCGCAGCTCACGGACCGCGCGCGACCGAGGCTCACTCCACGACGACCACTACCACAACGACCCCAACAACGTCGCCACTACTGTCCAAGACTCTCTAGCACACTCTGTGCATACCCAGCTGTATCTTTGTCATTGCAAACATCTTGGAGCGCATCTCAGGCCTCGAACCACTTGCTATACAGCGCTACACGCATCGCTTCACTCGCTCGGACGCTATTGCACAGATACCAATCACCCCATACCCCGACTCTTACTGGTTCTGACTAGACTGTATTACAACCATGGCTGGCGTGCAGTGGCACTATGTTCTCAAGTTCATTATTACGGGTGACGCTGCAGTGGGGAAGTCCTCCCTACTCGTTCGGCTTACGGACCAACGGTTCCTTGCCAACCCCGACCCAACAGTGAGCACTCGTTTTGTGCTTGTTCCGAGAAGCCGTGGGCCTTGTCTCTGACAATGTATCAGCTAGGTGTTGAGTTTGGCTCCAAGCTAATCACGATACCGGAGGAGAACAAGATTGTAAAGTTACAATGTGCGTTGTAGCCTACTGGTAGGCAGCTGCTATGAACATAGGCTGACAACCATAGGTCAGGTTGGGACACCGCCGGCACAGAGTCATTCCGGTCTATAACGCGGTCGTACTACAGAGGCGCCGCAGGATGTTTGTTGGTATACGATGTTACCAGTCGTCAAAGTACGTCATCGCACGCTTCAACGTTCCTCCGCCAATACGTCATTTACTCATGACTACCGCTGTGGTCAGGTTTCGTGAACGCGCGATCATGGCTTGCAGATGTCAGGGAGCACGCAGACCCTCATCTGACATGTATCCTCGTCGGTAACAAGCTCGACCTCTGTTCCGACGAGTCGTCCGACGGCGCCGCGGCGGGGGGCAAGCGCAAGCGCGAGGTCTCCGTCGAAGAGGCTGAGCTCTGGGCGAAGGAAGAGAACCTGCTCTTCGTCGAAGCGAGCGCCAAGTCTGGGGAGAACGTCGAGGCAGCGTTCGAGCGTGCGACGCGCGACATCCTGAGCAAGGTGCACCGCGGTGTGTTTGACGACGACAGGGTGAGTGCTCGTTCATGTACGCTTTGGCACCCGCGACGATCGCCGCGCCGCGATCTCGGGTGGTCCGTTCGGGGAGCAGACGTGATGCTGATGCGCTGTTTGTTCTTGACTGTGTCTGCGATGCATCTCCGTATGATCTGCGTTAGTCGCCCGGTGTCAAGCTGTCGAAGCCTTCCGGGAGCGGAGTGGCGCTGGAGGACGCGCAAGCGCGAACGGGCTGCTGCTCGTGAAGGTATGGGGTCGATGTGTTGTTGTTGGGTTGGTGGATGTCTTTTCGGTTTCATTATTCGCGGCTATACGGAAGACACGCGGACGATACTGCATGTATGTATTCTAACCTACTGTACTGATATACCTCAGGTCATCATGAACTTTCAATCAACGTGCGCCCGAGGTTCCCACTGACTGTCCGGTTGCAGAGTCAGGCATGCGTTTGACAGCGGATCCTGTGCACTTCTTGTGTTGAGTCGGCCCTCGCCAAGCTCAATCACACGTCCTGGGTTCGCAGTCCGAAGCTTTGCCTCCGGACATCCAACTCTGACAGCTGCCGCATGCCATGCCCACGCTGGTCACCGCGCCTGTACGGCTACTCAGTCGGCACGCATGTGGTTAGTACCGCCCAGTCAAACTTCGACGCCGGCTCCAAGTCCTGACGCCGTCGTCCTCGCTACATGGCACGCGGACAAGTGGAGCTGCTCTACGTATTCCAGGTACGCACACATTGCACAGGACACATCGTCATCACCACCTCCCAACCACGGCCGACGGCCCCGCGCCCGGTACCCGCCAATTTGAATGCTGCAAGGTCCGGGGCCCAAGTGCCCGCAGGCTGTGCACCCCAAGTACTCCACCTGGTGGGCTGTTTGCACACTCAACCTCGCTCGCGCCTGCGCATGCGTGATTGAGTTTGCGCGGGGCCTAACTCAATCATGCATCTCGCGATGCATCTGTCGATATCGCATCTCCTTCCGGCTTCTCCAAGTTCGCCATCGACAGGATACTCCGGACCCGGTACTGTACTGTACGTGCACACCCAGCTACGCCGACAGCAGCAGCATTGATCAGCCCCTCTGCACATGGACCGCGCGCGACCGATGCCGACGCTGTCGCCGACATCGCTGCCCCGAGAGGCCCGCGCTCGTGCCTCGGAGCGCGGACGCTGTGTCATGCCCGCCGCCAGTCTGTGAGCCCATATTTGCGACGGAGGACATGTGCCCGCGTGCCGCGGCTGCGCCGGGGGCTCCCAATCAATCCAAATTGACTTCTGCGATCTTCAAGGGTCCTGCGCCGACCCGACGACGCTAGCGCGCCCGCGACAGACACTCGCTGACATCGCGACGCGCGCGACGTCGCGCACATCCTGCCTTCCGAATTCCCGACCGCCACATTCGCCGTCTGAGTGCGTATGTAGCACCCAACGCGCGCTCGGCCGCCGGGACACGCGAACCTGGCCCTCACTCAATCTTTCCGCGGCTGAAACAGCGTCCTGCGTGCCCGGAGTCGCGTCGGAGTCGGGTGGGCAGTCAGGCCGGCTTACATGGCGACAATGTGCTCACTGACAGTGCAGCCACCGTTGAAACTTGCAACCGGTATGGCGTTGGTGGCCGGGGTGCTTGGTCATGGCGCTTGGGGCGCAGTTGGGCCGGAACGTCGAGACTCTGCGTCGGGGGAGTGCCAGGCTTGTAGGGGTGGCGAGCACATACCGTACGCGTGTTCGGCGAAGCGGCGTGTTTTGGGTAGTGGTAACTGGAATACTACATACGAGGATGACTAGCACTGCGGTCTGCTTGACTCGGTCTGATCAGGTTCTCATCTTCGCGCCAGTTCTTCGAGCTCGAGGCCGGCGCGAGGTCGTACCAGGGTTTGGTATCGTGTGCCCGAAGCTGCTCATGTGAACGACGCGTCGATCAGGTTCTAACTTATCCAGGATCTAAATCATACACACTCTGCTGCCTCGAGGGCCACCATCGATGGAACTCCTTCCGATATATCATTCCGATGATGATGACGATGTCGACATCATACTGAGCTGTATATGTACAACAGATTGAGCCGAGGCGAGCCGTAAAATAATTGCGTGCAGGTGGCGGGCTTTATACAATTGTGGTACCCTAGGGCGCATACTTAGCCAGGGCGGCCGCCGCGCCGACGTCCGCGCCCGGGTGGGGAGTAATGGTAGCGAGTCGCAGCAGGCGGGCGAGTGACAGTTGGTGTGTAGGTTTGATTGTGTGGTGGGTGCGCGTGCGGGGCATCAGGGAAGTCCGTACGGGAAGATGATAGGGCGGAGAAGTCGCGGGGCATATGACAGACGGTATCATAGACGCGGTGGGCGGGAACGGGTGGGTGTGAACGGCGCGGGGGGAACGTGTGCGTGTAGGGGCCAGGGGGGCATCCCGGGGAGGCACGCGCGGCAGACGCGCGGGTCGCGGTGGCGGAAGCTTGACGGCGGGGATGGTCCTGGTCCCAAGATCATAGGGAAGAAGCAGGCCTGCAATCGCCGACCGACCGGTCATCGCGAGGGCGTGCTGTGGCCACCGTGCCCGCGCGGCGCGTGCAGCGTCTGCCAGTACTCGCCGAGCTGCGAGACAAAGCCCGGGTTCGGCTGTGCGCACGGACGTTTCGAGCGGACGAGCTGCAGCGCTTGCTCGGGCGTGCACCCGTACTGGGCGAGCACAAACGCGGCGGCGATGCTCGAGCTGCGGCTCACGCCCTGCACGCAGTGCACGAGCACGCGCGCGCCGGGGTCGCGCAGTGCCGCAGCGATCCACGCAGTGGCGCGCGGCAGGAACGCGGCGAGCTCCGAGAACGGGGAGTCCTGCAGGGGGAGCTGGAGCCGCTGCAGCGTTTGGTGTGGCGGGAGGTGCGGGAGCGCGGAGGTGGGCGGAAGGGCGACGTGCCCGGGCATGGCACTGACGACATGGGTTATACCGAGTGTGGCGAGCACCTGTGGGCTCTCCGCGGCGGCGAGGTCTCCGACATAGAGGCGCGGGATGATCTCCGAGGGGGGTAGTGTTTGGAGCGGGGCGGGTGTGGGCGCATAGCGTGAGGGCGCGCGGTGGGACGTGGAGGGGCATACGATGGGTGACAGAGGAGGCATGAGCAATATCTGGTGGCGGAGACGGGTTAGGTGGGAGGGCGGAAGAAGGGTAAGAGGGATGCGCACCATATAGAATAACTTATATGAACCAAGGGCGTGGGCGTGGGGGAAGGGTGTGGCTCTTGCCCGGTCCAAGCGCGGGGAGAATGGAAAACAAAGAAGATGGAGGTGCGGACAGAGGAAGGGACAGGAACATAGAAAAGGGAGCTTGGCGGCCTAGGGGAGCATGGAGGAGGAGGCTAAGTAGTGCTCGCAGACGGCCGCCGTCCGGAAGGGGCGGAGATTGGCGGGAGGGGACGGGGTCTGGCCAGTGTCGGGGCTGTCAGTGCAAGTGTCTGTCGCTGTCTGCGCCGAACATGCGCAGAGCCCGACTCGTTTTGACCGTCTCTGACAGCCGCCACTGCCCCGCGCTTCCCCCAGGCTGCCCAGTGCCCCCGCTGGCGTCTCCGCAGCGCACCGCCCCCGTGCCTGGTCTGCGTCGCCCCATCCGTACCCCCGACGCCCACCATCACTGATGCGCATTTGCTTTTCCTTGCGAGACAGCCCGCCGCCGCACTCCTCTCAGTCCATCAGAATATGTATCTCATCATCGTAGCGTACTGCACACTCGGTATGTACATGCGGGGGGTCGTAGCGAACAAGAGCAGAATACCGCCACCGATCCATCGTACGGGGCTTTACAACAACAAAGACGGTCAAAGCTGGCGAGCTAGTCTCCTGGTGTCAGCGGCGGGCAATGGATGGCGCGGTGGCGAGCGGCGAGTGGCGAGCGGGGCGGTAGGACGATGAGTACGATCGATGCAATGAGGAGATGGTGGAGAGACGAGGCAAGACTGTGCGCTTTTGATCCGCAGGTGAGATCAGGGTGTCGATGATGGCGAGTGTGCGATGGTACAGACAGGAGGAGACAGGCGAATAAAAATCATCTAAATCAGGTCGCTGCAGAGGGTATCATTGCGTCAGCATCTCGTTTGCGCAGAAGTGATCGACCGGCACATACGCGACGTTAAGAGGCATTTCATCAATCTGGGTGTTGTAGAATTCTGTGCCAGGGTCGTCAGTTTCATTGCCTGCGCCTCAAATACCCGTCCAGTCAACTTACGTTCGATATCACGCAGCATCCGCACATCCTCCGTGGTGACGAAGTTGATGGCGACACCCTTCCGTCCGAAACGACCGCCACGACCGATACGATGAATGTAGTTCTCGCGGTTGGTGGGAAGGTCGTAGTTGATGACCAGGGACACCTGCTGCACGTCGATTCCACGCGCGAGCAGATCCGTGGTGATCAGCACACGCGAAGAGCCAGAACGGAACTCCTTCATCAGGAGCTCGCGCTGCTTCTGGTCCATGTCGCCGTGCTTCACACGTAATGTCAGACCGTGCTTCTCTCGCTTAACATCGAAAAGCATAAAACTCACCATGGCAGACACGGTGAACTCCCGCGAGTGCATCTTCTCCGTGAGCCAGTCGACCTTTCTCCTCGTGTTGCAGAAGATGACGGCCTGGGTGATCGTAACGGTCTCGTAAAGATCGCACAGCGTGTCCAGCTTCCACTCCTCCTTCTCGACAGCGATGTAGAACTGCTTGATACCCTCGAGGGTCAGCTCGTCGCGCTTGACGAGAATCCGAATGGGGTCACGCATGAACTTCTTGGTGACCTCCAGCACGTCGGCGGGCATGGTGGCCGACAGAAGGACGACCTGGGTATCCTGGGGGAGGAGCTGGAAGACCTCGTAGATCTGGTCCTTGAAACCGCGGGACAACATTTCGTCGGCCTCGTCGAGACAGAAGATCTTGATGTTGTCAGTGCGCAGCGCACGACGGTTGATCATGTCGAACACACGGCCGGGGGTACCGACGACGACCTGGACGCCCTCCTGGAGCTTGGCCATGTCCTCACGGACGTTCGTGCCGCCAACGCAAGCGTGGCACTCGATCTGCATGTAGTCGCCGAGGGCGATGACGACCTTTTGAATCTGCTGGGCGAGCTCACGGGTGGGCGCGAGGATGAGCGCCTGGGTGCCCTTGATGTTCGGGTCGAGCTTTTGGAGGATGGAAATCGAGAACGTCGCGGTCTTTCCGGTACCGGACTGGGCCTGCGCGATGACGTCGTGGCCCTTGATGACGGGGACAATGGCGCGCTGCTGGATAGCAGAGGGGCGCTCAAAACTGAGGTGGTCGTAAGGATCAAGGCGGGCATGCGGAGGGCGCTGCACTCACCCGTAGGCGTAGATACCACGGAGCAGCTCGGGCTTCAGCTCCATGTTGTCGAAGCTACACATCGCCCTGCATCAGCAGCTGCACTCGCATACAAGCCTTGCAAACTAGACTCACTTGTCGACGATCTGGTCCCAGTTGGACTCGATCTCATTCTCCTGGAGGTCCTGGAGGGATCCTTCGCTGTAGCGAAGCGATGATTCAGCTCCTCCTCTTCATCAAAAAGCTCTAATGAAATTCTACTAACGTAGCCATGTTGGAAATAGTCGGTTTTAGGGTCTTCCTGTCGTAAAAAGTCGACGAGTGGGTCGACTGAGGTGGTGGGGGTCGTTGAAGGGTAGATCGAGTGGTGGGGGTCGGAGACCTTGATTGCAGCAAAATTTGCTGTGTCCGACTCGCTCTCTTCCTCGTCCGGGCGGTGCCGAGAGATTCTGACTCCGACGGGCCGTCTTCCCCAGGCTGCCGGATTATGTCAGCAATTTGGTGCTCGCAAGCGTCGCGCTGCTGGTCGTTGTTCACGCAGACTTGCTCTCGTCCACGCCGCCACCGCTTCAGTCGCCTTTCTTGCTGTGACTCTAGCGTTCACTATGGCTACTCAAGTCGCGACTGCACCCGCCACGAACGGCATCCACACGAATGGCAAGATCAAGTCTAAGAACCAGCTTCGCCGACTGAAAGCCAAGCAGAAGAAGGCGGAGGAGAAATCCGTCAAGGAGGTGCGTTTCACATGCGCTCCTCGTATGTGGTGGCGGCATTAATCTGATAGTCTGTGTAGGAGGTCAATGGAGACCGCTCGCAGGAACCTGAGGTGAAGATGGAGGTGGACGAGCCTCAGAATTTCGAGTACGTATCTGAGCCGTTGGATATCAAAGACCCTGCCCTCGAAGCATTCTCCGACGTCTTTGCACGCTTTAAGCCTCCACCGGAGTCTACTCTGGTACGTTTCTTGCTCTCTGTGTACGCACTGAAAGGCCCTCATGTTCCTCACAGCAAACGCGAGATGGCGACCCGTCAAAAGGAGAGATCATCTACTCGGACGACGACATGGCGTCTGAGGGCGACTCAGACTCAGAGGAGAAGAAGCCGCTATCGAAGAAGAAAGCACGAAAGATGAATAGGCTCACCGTCGCCGAGCTCAAGCAGCTCGTGAAGAAGCCTGAAGTCGTAGAGTGGACCGATGTCACCGCGTCCGACCCCCGTCTCCTCCTCCACCTCAAGAGTTACCGCAATACGGTCCCCATCCCTGCCCACTGGAGCGCAAAGCGTGACTACTTGCAAGGCAAACGTGGTATTGAAAAGCCACCGTTCCAGCTCCCGTCGTACATTGCGGACACGGGCATTGCAACAATGCGCGATGCGATAAAGGAGAAGGAGGCCAACATGACCCTGAAGGCGAAGACGCGTGAGCGTGTTCAGCCCAAGATGGGCAAGGTCGACATCGACTACCAAAAGCTTCACGACGCGTTCTTCAAGTTCATGACGAAGCCTAATGTCACCGGCTTCGGAGAGATGTGAGTTTGGCATGCATGAGCGCCTCAGACAGAATCAAACTGATTGCGCGCCGTTCAGGTACTATGAGGGCAAGGAGTTTGAGACGCAACTGAAACATAAGCGTCCCGGTGAGCTCTCTCCTGAGCTCGTAGAAGCACTCTCCATCCCGCCACTTGCTCCGCCACCATGGTTGATCAGCATGCAGCGCTTCGGTCCACCGCCAAGCTACCCGACGCTGCGGATACCTGGGCTCAACGCTCCTATACCTGAGGGGTAAGCCCGGCTGAAATCATGTCAAGAACGGGAATCCTAATATGTGTATCACAGCGCTCAGTGGGGCTTCCACCCTGGTGGATGGGGTAAGCCTCCCCTCGACGAGTATAACCGACCACTTTACGGTGACGTCTTTGGTGTACTGCCCAAGAACACTGACGCAGATGTGAGTCTCACAGATCGAAAGATGTTGCACCGAAGCTTACGGTTTGTTTCAGATGGGTGAACCTGTTGACCGTACCCTGTGGGGTGAACTCGAACCCGAAGAGGAAGAGGAGGAGGAATCCGAAGAGGAGAGCGAAGAGGACGAGGACGAGGAGGAACAGCAAGAAACACCCGCAGGCGGTATGCAAACGCCGTCAGGTATGGAGACACCATCCGGCATGGCCAGTGTTGTTTCAACAGTTGCCGGTGGTCTGGAGACGCCCGACTTCCTGGAACTTCGCAAGAACTCTGCGCGGGCACCCTCAGAAGCCACGGACAGCGGGCCAAGATCGTTGTACCAGGTTGTCCCGGAGAAGCAGACATCAGTGCGGGGCCTCATGGGCAGCGAGCGTGGGTACGACGTCAGTGCTGTTGCCGGAAATGGCGCTATACCTGTCCTTGGAGACGAGCGGGGCACCAAGGTTAGTGCCGTCAGCCCCCTATTTTTGCGCGTACTTCTGTGTCTAACATTATCTCTCACAGCGGAGGCACAACGGTGTGGACGTCTCGATCGACGCCGCAGAGCTGGACGGCATGTCGACGGAGGATCTGCGTCGGAAGTACGACCAACACGCGCGCGGCAACGCAGGGGTCCCCGGTCAGAGAACGGAGGACTTCTCGGACATGATTGGGAAGGAGATGTCGAAGAGAAAGCAGAAGGCCGAAACCGACAGGGAGCGTCGGAAAGAGAAGGACTTCAAGTTCTGATCTTGCCTGCCTTTCGTCCTGCTTCCTGTGTTTTCCTGCTTCGTCCTGCGCTGTGTATGCTATTAGTCATATTGTACTTCTGTGAATGTAGTCGGCTTCGGGATTTTTTGCGAGCATCATCTTTCTGCTCAGAGTGGCTGGAGCTAAAGGAAAGGGGCTAGAAGTGGACATGACCGTCATGGCCATGACTCAATTAATTTGAAGCTCTGACTCGGACTCGCGAAAAGCTTGCGCTCTTATACGCAACTTCCATGCCACCCCGCGTCTGGTGATATACACTGCTTCCCCCACCACCCCCTCTATTTTACGACCAGCCATGCCGATGCTGTAAGTTTCATTTGAAGGCCGTGCAGCCGAGTCCTGGCAGTGATCGCGGCTACTGACCGCCTCTCTTTCGCCTCCCATGCAGCGCAAATCCCTCCATCAAGTACAAACCGTACACCCCGCTCGACCTTCCCAACCGCCAATGGCCTGGAAAGGTCAACCGTACGCCGCCCATCTGGCTGTCCACCGACCTGCGCGATGGAAACCAGGCCCTCGCGAACCCCATGACGGTCGCCCAAAAGACGGTCTTCTTTGACACCCTCGTCAAGTGTGGCTTCAAGGAGATCGAGATTGCGTACCCCGCTGCAAGTGATACGGACTTCAACTTCGTGCGCGGGTTGATTGAGCAGGGCAAGGTGCCCGATGATGTCTGGATCCAGGTTAGTCCTCAAATTCATTTTGTTTGCGGGCGTCATTGGCAGGAACGGGGTGCGCGAGACATGCGAGAGAAGCCCGTAAGCGTATGGAGATGCACTGTGTCAGCTGCGAAGGATGCAGATGGTATCTATGGTCTGCTTCGCGAAACACTGCGGGCTGACCCGTACCCCACAATACTGCATCCGCCACAGTGCACAAGACTTGAGTAGTTTTTGTCGCTTCTTCCCCTCTGATTAATGCGTTCGGACTCCACCTCCACCTCTCGAATTCATCGTAATGGACACTGAAAGAATGTTGAGCTCAGGTCCTCACCCCCGCACGAGAAGACCTCATCAAGCGCACCGTAGATGCCGTCGCAGGCTGCAAGCGGGCAATCATCCACATGTACAACGCGACATGTTGCACCTTCCGCGAAGTAGTGTTCCGCAATTCCAAGGAAGAAACCGTCAGACTGGCCGCCAAGCACACCGAGATCGTAAGGAAACTCACGGAGGAGTGCACAGCCAAGTATGGCACCCAGTTCCGCTACGAGTACAGCCCCGAGACGTTCTCCCAGACAGAGCCCGCGTTTGCGCTGGAGGTCTGCGAGGCCGTCAAGAAGGCGTGGGGCAAGGCAGGACTGGGCGACGAACGGATCATCTTCAACCTGCCTGCGACGGTCGAGATTGGGCCGCCCAACCACTACGCGGATTTGGTATGTTACCATCTATCAAGTTCTACGAAAGAACTTACTCTGAATATCATTTTCAGGTCGAGCACTTCTGCCGTAGTATCTCTGAACGGGAGAAGATTGTCATCAGTCTACACCCTCACAACGATCGCGGTAAGGGACCATCCTGGTTGTTCTCGACATCACTATCTGAACAGTTTTGCTAGGCACCAGTATTGCCGCAGCGGAGTTTGGCATCCTCGCCGGTGCAGACCGAGTCGAAGGCTGTCTGTTCGGCAATGGCGAGCGTACTGGCAACGTGGATCTCGTCAATCTCGCGCTGAACCTGTACACGCAAGGGGTCCACCCTAACGTCGACTTCAGCGACATCCAAGCCGTCATAGACGTCGTCACCGCTTGCAATGACCTCCCTGTCCATCCACGCCATCCCTACGCTGGCGAGCTCGTTTTCACCGCGTTCTCGGGATCCCACCAAGATGCCATCAAGAAGGGCTTCGAGGCGCAGCGCATCCGCCACCAGAAGGCGGAGCGCGACGGGGAGATGCAGTACTGGGACATCCCCTATCTTCCCATCGACCCCGCAGACCTCGGATGCAACTACGAGGCCGTTATCCGAGTCAACGCACAGTCGGGCAAGGGCGGTATTGCTTACCTCGTACAACATCACCTCGGCCTCGACATGCCGCGCAAAATGCAGGTCGCGTTCTACCAGGTCATCCAAGACATTGCAGATCGCGAGGCACGTGAAATGACTGTCGAGGACATCACCACCGCATTCCGGAGTACGTACCACTTCGGTGGCTCAGCATACGAGGGCAGACTGGTCCTCAAGTCGTACAAGATCTCGTCGGAGCCTACACCAGATAGCCTCAGCGACGAAGCCGCCGACGAGCGGAGACAGTTTGACGGGACTGTATCCGTTGACGGCGTCCTCCGCGTCATCCGTGGCGACGGTAACGGTCCCTTGTCTGCACTGCTGGACGCCCTCCGGACACACCTGGATATCGACCTGACGCTCCGCGAATACTCCGAACACACTATTGGCTCTGACCAGAGCGCCAAGGCCGCATCCTACGTCGAGATCGTTCCCCAGGGACCGGACGTCAAGCAGACCCGCCAGTCCGCCGAATCATGGTGGGGCGTTGGCGTCGACTCCGACATCGCTGGCTCCGGTCTGCGCGCAGTCCTCAGCGCGGCGAACAGCGCCATCGGCGACCGCCAGCTGCCCGAGCTCAAGCTCAGCGTTGGGTTCAACGCGAAGACGGGCCAGGCGGACGTCGCGTCCGCGATCCTCAACTCGCTGCAGCTCGAGCTCCCCCGCCGTCTGCAGGCGTCGTTCTTCGAGGTTGTGCAGCGCGCCGCTCGCGACCACGGCGGCGAGATCTCGTACGAAGCCCTCGTGGAGCTCTTCCGCGAGACGTATGGGTACTACGAGGAGGAAGGCCGCTTCGTGGTCAACAGCTTCAAGCTTGAGCACCTTCCTGAGACCGGGCGGGCGCGCCTGTCTGGGAACTTCATCCTCAACGGGAAGCCCGTCGCGCTCGAGGGTGAGGGCAACGGCCCGCTGTCCGCCACGGTCGAGGCTGTCAACCGCGGGCTGGACGGGAAGGTGTCAATCCGCGAGTACGCAGAGCACTCGATCGGCGAGGGCTCCGAGGTCAAGGCGGCGTCGTACGTCGAGATCGCGTACGAGGGCCCGGGAGGGAGCCCGAAGTGGGCCATGTGGGGTGTCGCGATCGACCACGACATCACCGCGTCGGGGTTGAAAGCGGTCCTGGCTGCCACCCGAGCAGTCGAAAATGCGGACAGGGCGGCGCAGGCCGCCGCTGAGCGGAAGTAAAACGACGCTGAAAGAAGGAGAAGGAATGTATACTGTATCTTTACTCGATGTGTCCAAACTAAAAACATCACGCGCCCCCTATGGCGCGATTGTACACCGTGACTTGCACCAACCGTATCGCGGCGAGATGGTTCTCGCTACCACTACTTCCACGGAGTCAGGTACTTCGGAGGACTGTCCCCTCGCTGGCTGAGATGTGCGTATTCCTCTGACGGGTTCTCCCAACCGCCTAGTCGGCCCTCGACCTGTGCGCCCCATTCCTCCCGTGCCTGTTGCGTCCATCGTTTGCTTACTGGCCCTCGACCTTTCGCAGGTGGTACGATGTATAGGGGCACTGCAGCCTGCGCTTGGGACCGCCATAGGGATGTCACGAATCGAAGGTAGTTCATGAGCGGGTTCCCACACCAGCCCAGACTTGGTGGCGCTTCCGGCTGGATGACGACCTGTTGCAAATGCTTGAACGGTAGTCGGCCCGCGTCCGAACGGCCAGAGGACGGATCGCCTACAGGATTGGACGAACAGTACACTGGTCAGCATGCGCGGTGACAACTCAGCCACTATCAAGCGGAGACTTACCAACGTATACAGCCTTGACGATGTCAACATACGGACTTGCCAGCTCGGATATGCGAAGGTGCGCCACGGAAGGCGCGTGCTTTGTCCACTTGCTGAGGTCCATCATCGCTCCTCCGGGATCCCCGCCACGCTCCAATTGCACCCAGGGCGCCTCCACAATGAGATGTAGACGCCTCACCGCGGGGAAGAGTGGATGGCTACCAGTGCTGTCGGCGAAGTCGATGAGATGCCTCCCCCCATCGATGACGGTGAGCTCCCGCAGTTGGGGGAACGTCACGTCGGCCGGCAGAGTCTCTTCCCCCTGCAGAATGGTGAGGGTTTCGAGGTCGGCCGCCACGGCGCGGATGAGTGCATCGACTAGGCCGAGAGAAAGCTCCTGGTCCTGCAACCGGAAAGGCTGGCAAGGCTGCGAATGGACCGCCTTTGTATCGTTATTGTGTTTGGTCCGAAAGATGGACCCTTCCGGAGAAGAGGGCGGGTCGGGTCTGGGGAGCCCGTCGAGTAACAGCGCTAGCTCCTCTAACCTCTCCTCTATACCGGCGGTCACGAGGAAGAGGTGACGGGCCCTGGGCTTGGTACCACATGGTCCGAGCATGGCCTGTTCGTCCTCAAGTCGATTGACGAGAAGCTGGAGCTTGCGCGGGGACCTGACCAGGGCGATGGAGTAGAAACGGAGCGGACGCGAGACTTCGCGGATATGTTTGGATACGAGTGAAAGCGCACAGCCTGTCCGTCCGCCGTCGGTGCAGGCGAAGGCGAAGACCGTAAGCATGAGTTCAGCCGGAAGTTTTTCCATGGTTGTTTTGGAAGCTATGAAGCTCGGGGGGCTGCTAAGTAGCAGTTGGAGTGCGGGGGTCACAGCGGAGGTCAGAGAAAGACGTATCTTTGTGTATATGGCCGCTGTCATGGTACTTATAGTTGCACAGTAGCCTGAGACACGAGACGGCGCCCGGCTGTTCCGATGTCGTGAAACCATGCTGCACATGACCAGGATGACCTCGTTAGGGTTATGCCAAGTCTACAAGCGGCACCGGGACGACGTGCACTACATAGACAAATCTTGATGATTGCGGTTTGGAGTTGTCTGTAGCCCGACATGAATGAAACGCTATGGACAGCAAGGTTATAAACTTCGAACAGACTCCGAGACTCGGAGGAAAGACCGCCGTCGGATCATGATCATCTACTATATGCGTGTTTTGCTTCTTTTCAGTGTAAGAGCCATACTGACAAGTGTTGTATCGTTAACGTCGAAAATTATGAGCATTAAGTGTCACGAGCACACTATCCCCGCTCCGAGCCCGGTGGCACTCGATTAACTCAACGTGAACTCCTGCAACTACAAACTTGAGTATACACCGGCAGGCTGGTACTGTCTAATGCAGTCAATTCGACAGTGATTACCAGTCTACTGTAACTTCCCGACCAAAGCGGCGGGTCACAGGTCACAACTACCCCCGCCGCCCCGCATTTGGGGGTCTGTCCCGCGTCACAGCGGCCTCCGCCGCTTTCCCCTGTGGTCCGGCGCCCGTCACACCCGCAAATGGCATTTTTGGCGGCCCTGCGGGGCCGCGCGCCGCTTTTCGTACCGGATGGTCACGGTCACCACCGGTCGCGCCGCTTTTTGGGCCGTGCCGCTTCGTATCCGGGCGGTCACACCCCAAACCCCCCGCCGGATTGGTCGGGAAGTTACAGTATTCGTGGAAAGCCTCGAATAGTTGGTTGGAGAGTATGATGCTAATTGGTCAAGTATAAAAGTACGTACATGAGAATGCCGGTAAGGGACGAAATATACAGACTTCATCGATCATACTTATATTCGTCTCGATTCCAAGAATTCGCGTGAGACCCTCCACATGCCGTGGCCCTGATGTGTACTGGGTAATGGTTCTATTGCAGTGCATTCAGTATCCTATAAGCACCTCGCCAATCTCTCACTCACCACTTGGCAACGAGAAGAGGGGGTAAGTTGGAAGCGCATCCCAACTGCAAAAACTCGGCGGGTCTGCTAGCGCATCTTGGAAGGAATCCGGAACCGCCTCGCCTGAATACTTGGTACGCAAAAGCCGTTCATCAACGGTCCACTGGGAGTCCAGCTCGCCTGTGCAGTTTACTTCGTCGACCCAAGGGCCGACCGATGGGATAATATATGTCGGGATGATAGCACGGTCGTGCGCCTTCCAGAGGTGACTGAATATTGCGCGGTGCCCACGCGTCGACCAACTTGAAGGCCATGTTGTAGGATTTATCCCGTGTGAGATTGCCTTGTGACCGGCTGCCTTCATAACTAGTAGCTTCAATTTCGGGAAGGGCAGCTTTGTGAAGGACTCTCTATCCGTCGGAGAGTGGTGTGTTCCTATTCGGTTGTTTACTCAGACTCAACATGACTCGGTACACTGGCATGAGCTGCAGACCTACCATTGAATTGTTCCAAGTTCCTTGAGCCGCGCGGTCCTTTTGAGTTCCTGGTAGCCCAAGAAGGTGCGCCTGGATGAAGACAGCGATCAGCAAGAGCCGAATGATCATAGTATTACTCCCTGAACCAAAAGCCTTACCATTGACCTTTGCCAAAATGTATGCACCAGCTTTAGTGGAGATTTGCGACACGTAGAGGTGCGTCACATTAGGGGCGTGATGTGCCCACCCCTCCACATCCGAGTTGAAGTCTCCTACATGGTGCAGTCGCTCCAGCGCGGGATAGAGCCTCACCCCCGGTTCGATGCCTTTCGCGACGGAGCTGAAGTGTTTCGGGCCCGCAACACAGTACAGCTCGCGCAAAGCGGGGAATTCCACTGCCGGCATAAGCTGCGCCAGATAGTACCCACAGACCGCCAGTGTCTCGAGGTGCGGTGCGGCGAGGCGGAGTATTGAGGATAGTAGTGCAAACCAAGGTTTGGCTATTTCCGCATGGTAAAGGGAGTTTCGTCCCCGTACTCCCTTCTGCCACAGCCGTGCCATGTCGACCAGGCGGATATGTCGCACTTTGGGGGCGTGTGCGGGGTCGTGAATAGCGTGTTCCTGCTCTAGAGCGGCCAGGAGTGGCATGATACGGGTGGCGTCGGCCCCAAGGCGGATTGAGTGGAAACGGAGTGGGAGCGCTACGGCGTTGTACTGCTTGCAGACGAGGGATAGCGAGCGTGCTGTGGCCTGTCCACCGTCCGTGCATGCCATAGTGAAGATTTCGGTCAGCAGCTCGACTGCGAGTTGATCCATGTTGGTGAGCTCCTTAGGAGTAGATGTCGTCCCTACGAACTGGGTTGGAGTGGTGGTGGTTGGGATTGAAATGGGTACTGCAGGTGGCTAAGATTTATAGGTCCGCCGACGTCCATCTGAGCGCCCAAGATGTCGTCGATTCACCCTGATGCGCCATTGTTCTCCACGTCTAAGCGAACTTCTCTATCGGGAGTCCTGTAAAATTTTTATCAGCTTTCAAGCCGCTAGAAATGTCTATAGACCCGTGCCGGGCTCTAGCACCGTCCGGGCAACCCCCTGGCTAGATCGCCATGGCCCGGGATCGCTCTGCAGTTGCGAGCCGTTCATCCTCTCTCTGGCGCGCCGGACCACTACGCAATATAGAGTAGACAATATTGATAAGTCTTGTCGTCAATTATACACCTTTGGATACAGGTAATAAATATCCTGCCCTGCTAATGCGTGCCGTGAGATGGATTGGCACTGGCAGCGCAACAATGGAGAACTCACCTACCGACCCATCCCACCGGTGTCAACCATGTACAGTCAGCCCTCGGGGACGGGCGGGCCACCACGGGGCTAGGTAACCCGGAGTCTCCTTCTCCTTGTATGCGCGGCGCGCATACTCGTTCTCGACGCCCCAACAGCCGACTCCGCCCTGCATCCGGTCCTCCCACTCCTCTCGGTCAACGTCCCCATACCACGCGCTCCCCGCGCCTGACCAGTCCCCCTCCATTTTGTCCTTTCCCGTGGGGAAGATATAGACGGGCACCGTCGCCTCGGCTTGCGACTCCCAGAGCGCGGCGACGACGCGCTCGTACCGCAGACGCGGCGTCCCATGGCAAAACCGTACCGACGGCGGCGGGGCGAGGTGAATGATCAGTGTTTGCAGCTTCTTGAAGGGTTGCTCCGCAGGTTGAGTCCCAGAGCAGTCTACATTGAGTAACCCACGAGACTGTCAGATAGCTGCACGACCGTGACTGAGGGTGAAGAGACAGACCGAAGAAAAGTTTGAAGCTTGTTACGTGCGTTCTATAGCCCACGCTAGAGACCGAGATATACGTGAGGCCCGGGGCGTGATACACCCAGTCATCACTCCGCTGTCCATCAGTACTCCGTCGCAGATGCAGGCGCGTGAGGGAAGGATATGCCCGCTGTGGCAGGAGCGATCTGGGGTTGCTCGACATGTGATACAACAGCGGGCTGCCGAGCGTGATCTCACGCAGTACAGGGAAAATGATTCCCGGATCCAATGGCTCCGCATCGCGTGTGATGTTCAATGGGAGGAATACGAGTGTCTCGAGCGTCGGTGCGATTGCGCGCAGCAAAGCAGAGACGAGCTCCGTGTACTCGGAGCGCGTACGTGGCGGTGCGGCATCGTCCTCGTCCTCGTCTTCGCGGCACTGTCCATGTCCAATGTCCTCTTCGCTGGGGGTGGCCCGGGTCTCCCCAGACACGGACGTGGACGAAGCTTGATCCAATGGGCTACCCTCTACGCGTTCTGTCCTTATGAACGCGTGACGCACTTTGGGTGCGGAAGTCGCTCCCAGAGCAGCGCGTTCTCGTTCAAACAGAACGAAAAACCGTTTGAGCTGGTCCGGCACACCAGTGAGGGCGACAGAGTGGAAGCGCAGCGGCCTGGAGACCTCGCGGAAGTGCTTGCACACTAGAGCGAGCGAGCATCCCGTGCGGCCCCCATCCGTGCACGCGAATGCGAAGATAGCCATGAGGAGCTCGACGGCAAGGCTTTCCATGGTGGGTGCTGCAACTGGACACGGGTGAGTTGATGGTGGTCGTGGATCAACCTCGTACTTACCAGGCGCCCATCCACATTATGTCAACTAACGATAACGTTGTTAGTCTGCAGCATATGATGCGAGTATGTGTTTTGTATCCATCATCGTGTATGCATATGGCGGCAGAGTCTAAGTCGCTACAGTGGAGGGCCAGCCTGAGAATAGAACAGGTTTAGATAGTTTCAATTGAACCAAACCAAATACTTAATCGCACCGGCCAAGACCGGCTGCCTAGTATCATACAGATCAAAAAACAGAGAGACGGCGTGAGATAGTCCAGATACGGAACGTGTAGGAATGTCCAGAGTGCAAAAGAGTGTACGAGATACAACAGCGTCCTTTCAGTGTTCGAATTTCATACTTTCGCCGGTCACGCCCGCGGCGGCCCAATCGCCCAGCATCCCGGGAGCCCCTCAATCCGCGCGATCCACAGCCTGCGTAGGTTCACTATACACTCCTTGGGCGCGTCAAGCCCCTGGTGCGGGCGAGCCTTGATCATGGGCGGCAAGACTTCCAGCGGCGCCTTGACGCGCTCGGGGAGGTCGTGCAGGTACAGCTGGAACTGGTGGTAGCATGCCTCGGATACGCTCGTGCCTGGAGGGGGCGGCGGGTGGGGTAGAATGATCACTTGCTGCAGGTTCGGGAAGTACTCGTTCGTGGATGCATCGCCTGCAGGTACAACGATGTGAGTACCGCGGATAAAACAGGGTGATTGGCTCGCGAGACACTCACTGATGACCTCCTCCAGCGTCTCTACCGTCGAGCGTGGCCAGAAGTCGAGGCGCGAGACCCGCAGATGCGTGAGCGCGGGTGCATGCCTTGCCCAGTTTATGAAGTTAACGTCTTTGCAGTTCGGCGTGAGGATGTGATGCAGGCGCTGCAGCGCAGGGTACAGCGGCGCGCCCTCCTCGTCCGCCAGGGCAAACGGGAGGAAGCTCGGGTCGCCTCCGATGCACGTCAGCTCGCGCAGGCGCGGGAAGCTGCAGCGCACAGCAGCCGTGCTCCGCCAGCGTGACTGGTTGAGCGCGAGCGAGTGCAGGTCTGGGGAGACCTCGCGCATGAGCATCGGGATCACGCGGTTGTACTGCTCGTCGAGGTTAACCTGCGCGGAGCGCCAGCTCTGCGTGCGCCGCTGCAGCGCGGCGAGGAACTCCGCGCGCGAGGTTGGTGGCTTTGCAGGCGCGACGGCCATGGGCATGCCCGAGTGGCCCTCGCCGTTCTCGTCGTAAGAGAGCCAGAGGTGGCGGACGCGGGGGAGCATGTCTGGGGCGCGCGCACGTTCCTGTTGGTAGGCATGGAGGAACTGCTCGATCTTTGTGGGCGAGCTGAAGAGGGCGACGGAGAAGAAGCGGGCTGGGCGGGAGAGGGCGCGGACGCGCTTGGAAACGAGCGCGAGCGAGCAGCCGGTCTGGCCGCCGTCACTGCAGGCATATAGGAAGATCTCGGTGAGTAGTTCGACTGCTAGCTTGTCCATGGTGGGGGTGCAGTGGATGCAATGAGGAGGGCGCCGACGGTGCAGCGACTTTGAGGCGGGAGCCATGTCCTAAGTATATCCCGGCTAGGCGGTCAATCACAGTGCAATGTGCAGTGCAGCCATGAAGATCAGCTTGGGATCCGCCAGCCTGGGCTGCGTTCACACTGCGTGCTGCGCGCTGGGGGCGGGCGGGACCAGTCATGCGCAGACAAAGTAAGCTCGATCGTCATGCACGCTGTTGGCGGAAGCACAGTTAGGTGGGCGCACAGGATCGCAGCACGCACTTGATGAGGGCCATCTGCGAAGAAGCCATACTGTGCGAGAGCACTGGGCGACGCGGAGATAGAACCCGACACTTAATCAAACTTGGCCCTACTTGGGGGTGGGAACACTGACGGTCGCATGAGCGGCGAGCACGTCGTCGCCATGGGCGTCAGCAACGTCTCGCGTGCGATAGACATGCATAGGAGATGAAGCCGAAACGTGTAGTGCTGGACAGGCAGACAGATTTCGCACTGGCTGCGAGAGATGGTGGAAGAGGGCGAGAGTTGGGAACAGAGAGAGGACGTAACGAGCGCTCTACAGCTGCCGCTCTTCTCCTTACACAGCCATTCTCAACAAGGAACGGGCCGGGAGAAAGTTTGGTCCTCCCTCTCTTCCAACCACGATGAAAATCACCACTTCGCCAGTATCATCAACGTCCTGAGCTTCGCTATGCAGATGAAGCATACAACTAAGGATTGGCTGGCCTCCGACCGACGTGCTCTCCGTCCACATCACCGCCCAAGATGCCGACCGATGGTTCGTGGGCAACATCCATCATGACTTCCATCGCGAATCTCGCCACTGACTGTCAGCAGGGCGCGCTCCAGGGCCCGGCTTGCTTTCGACCATACATTTGCCGACGCCGGGACATTGCATCCACTGCCAGTCGAATAGGACGTCGCACGAACCTTCCACAGACACGGCATGATGCCGTCCTCTTCAAATCGGCTCGCCCTAACCTGTGCACGCAGCGCCAGGACATGAACATTGCATCCGTTGAAAAATTGAGAAGGTTACTGGGGCATCCGCTTTCGCTGAATCACCACCTACAGAACAACCACGGGTCGACGATATGATCACAGCCCCACCGCATTGTCCGAAGAAAGCGTGTTCGTCGTCTTGCCATCCTCGCAAACGGGCGTAGAAGCCAGTTTTGTCAAGTGCTCCCGCACTACGAATCATGCAGTAAGTTGGCCGCAACCGCGCGCTCATACCTGCCTTCTAGTTGATACATAGCAGCTACAGATATAGAAGGCGCGCGGCGGCATGGCACCGCCATCCTTCGACCACAATACGTTCAACAACATGTCTACGTCTGCGATCCCAACCCATCGCGTATATTTTAGCGTGTAGCGGCCGGCCTCATCGGTCGACTTGGCAGCGCTCCTGCCCAAGTTATCATGCTTTGGACACAGCCTGCCTGTACGCAATCGTTACACGCTCACACACCGACAATATGATTTGCACTGGATTTTACGCCGCTGTCGGCTCCATGCAGCCTCTCGACAACAACAACCTGGTGCATATGCTCGATGTTGTCAGCGTTATGTAAGTCTTTGCCAAAATGTACCTGCCCTTCGCCCTCTACCCCCTGGCAATGCTGCCGACACCTCGTCAGGCAGCATTCTGGTGTGTTTGCGCTCCCCTGCTTCCTTCGTTTTGCGCCATTCTGCCCGTCGTGCACCAACCATCGACAACGGGAACATTCTACAGATATCACATACACCCAGAGCATTTCTACAGTACATTTACTATGGTTTCCTTCTGGCCCCAATCACCCCCTACGCGCTCTCGGGCTTCACGCCATACACGCTCTGCACCTTGTACATCTTCGTGTCTGCCGGCGTCGGGACCTCCCCCTCCCCATACACCACGCCCACCTTGTACATCTTCGTGTCCACTGGCGTCTCCAGTGACGACAACTGCCCGCGCTGCTCGTCCGCTTCCGCCTTCTGGGCCGGCGCCCCCACGGGCGTCGCTGCCCCCTTGGGTACGGGCGTCGCCGCGCCTGTCTGTGGCGCGGCCTTGCTTGCAATGCTCGCCGCGCGCCCATCCGGAATGCGGATGAACTCCAGCCGGCCGTCCTCCTTGCTGACGCCGTCGAAGATGTAGTACCCCTTGCGCTCGAATTGGATGATGTCGCTCTTCACAAGCGTGCGCACGTTCGCGTCTGCCCGCGCGAGCTCGCGGAACTCGGTAACGGGCGTGACGAAGTCTTTCACCGCGTCCGCCTCCTCGAGCTTCTTCTTCGTGATGAGGTAGTCGTAGTCGAGCAGCGTGACGTCGATGAGTGGTGCGGCGGATGTTGGCTGCGCGAGCCAGGTGATCTTCTTCTTCGTCTTGCGGAAGTCGCCCGCGAGGTGCAGGTCGAGCTCGAGCCCGGTGATGATGCCCGACGCGTCAACGGTCTTGGACCGCACGATCGCATTACCCCAGTCCATGAGCGTGAACTCCTCGTTGTCCTCGAGCGAGATCGCGTCCTCCTGCTCAATGAAGATTTGCGACGAGTACACCGTCTGCTTCTCGCCGACCTCAGGGTTCTTCTTATGTTTCGGCAGGCTCTTAATTTCTGCCGTCTCAGGGCCGCCCTTGACCGTCACGGGCACGCTATTGATTATCGCCGTCAGTCTGCCAGCTAAACCACAACGATTGGCAGGCAGACTCACATGTTCGTCTCTGATAGGGCCCAGAAGCGGGGCGCGACAGGGTCGATGACCTTCTTGTTCAGCGTCCAGAGCGAGTCCCACTCGAGCGAGACGACCGCCTGCGAGGGGCCTTGCGCGAGCATGAATTGACGGAGCGCCTCGATGGTGAGGCCGCGGCGGCGGATGCCGCGCACGGTCGGGAAGCGGGGGTCGTCCCACCCCCGCACGAGGCCGGTGTCTACGAACCAGTGCAACTTGCGCTTGGACAGGAGCGTGTAGATGAAGTTCAGACGACTATAAGGGTAGTATCGTAAGGGCGTGATCGTGATATGGTGTAGCGACGATGGTTACCTGAAGTCCCAGATGTTGACTGGGCGGAGGTTGAGCGCCTCGATCATCCAGTGGTACTGGGGATTGCGGTCGCGGTACTCGTTCGTACGCAGAGCATGCGTCACACCCTCGAGCGAGTCGACGATGGGGCAGGCGAAGTCGTACGTTGGATACACCTTCCACTTGTCACTAGTGAATTCGTGTCAGCACGCTATCATAAGATCTCGATGTCGTCTCATACCCAGTGCGATGATGGGGGAGCAGGTTCGTGCGGAAAATAACAGGGTCGCGCAGAGCCTTATTCGGGTTGTCCACGCTCATCTTCGCGCGCAGGCACCACCGGATGCCCTCGGCGGAGCCGGTGGTCATCTCAGCGAAATGCTTCAGGTTGTCCTCGACGCTGTCGTCGCGGTGCTTGGACGCGATGCCGTCCCAGCGCTCCTTGCGCATCTGCTCCTGCTCGGTGTCGTCCGCATAGGCTTTGCCGGACTTGATGGCCTGGAGCGCGTAATTATAAAGTTCCTCGAAGTAGTCGGACGTATGTGTGATCCTGTCCCCATGGACGTCGAGAAGCGCGAGATCCTCGAGAATGGTCTCCTCGAACTCGGTCTGTGTGGCGAACATAAGTGGATGTATACAACATACGTCGAGGACCAGTACTCACCCTCTCTTTGCTGGGGTTCGTGTCGTCGAAACGGATGATCATCTTGCCCTTGTACATCTTTGCGAAGTATTGGTTCAACATAGCGGCCTTCGCATGTCCGATGTGCAAGTAACCGGAGGGCTCAGGAGGGAAACGCGTAACGACCTGACCCTCCTTCGCATCTTGCAGACCAAGTGCAAACGACGCAGCAGTCTTATTATTACGAGCCTTCGCAGACTTAGCCTCTAGATTGCTCATCATGAGCCACAGATCGGTTGCTTTATGGATTTCAAACGCACCGGTCAGACCAGCGATTGCTAGCTGTGTAGACTCAAGCGACTCGAGGTGGTTGAACCAGCGAAGAAGATGAGGGTGCTTGTTGTTCTTGAGCAGACCGACAATCTTCACGCTACCTAAAGTGTATATTAGTATTGAGAGTTAGCAGTCCTTTGGGGTATAGCGAGACCTTTCAGCGCTCCCCAGACGATCCACTCGGCAGCCGTGATATCGTGCCCAACGAGGAACGTGCGGTACGCGAGATGGTCATCGAGAGAGTCGAGCGCGGCAGTGATCTCCGGAAACGCGGTCACTGTAGGGAGGGTCTTTGCCAAAGCAAAGTATGCGGCAGTCTGTGGTGGGTGTGTCGGTAAGCTGAGCTGTTTGCCACCAATTCATGCGCACTTTTGCACTGTCGTCGGCAAGGCCGCCAGCCTTGGCTAGAGCCTGCACAATCTCATCCTCTGCGGTGATCTGGGATCCGTCAATTTCGAGGGTGACACCCTTGGCGGCGGTGTCGAAGTTCAATGTAGCCTTGCTGGTATATGTGGAGATGGCGGCCGCTGCCCATGGGAAGGGCGATGCAGCCGGCGTGAGCGTGAGGACGCCAGACATGGTGGTAATGAGGAAAGAGGCTCGCGTGCAGAATTTGCAGACACTGCACGAGATGACTCTCGATCGAGATCTGGATGTAAGTGCTGCGGTGTTCGGAGTCTCGTCTACGCCGTATACGGATGGGGCAAGCGGACCGACGACACCGCCCATGCTGTCGTTTGCCATGTGCTCATCGTGTGCGCCCGAGTCCCTGTCTCTCACCGGACAGACGGATACAGTGCATTGCGATGTGCACCGCCCACTTCTAAGCCAGGTATCCGTATTGACAGCCTGCATAGCCCCCTCGTCTATTCTCGTACAAAATGCAGCGGTGAAGTTCTTCAAGCGCCACAATGGACTCTGCTCTAGTCGCCGACCTGCTCAACGAACCAATCCCTGCTCCTCCTACAGGCAGGGCAGTCGTACACGACAAGTACGATCTTACTCGTGTTCCGAAGCATCCTGGAGAAGGCTGGACCCGCTTCGTCTGCATCTCAGACACCCACTCACATGTTTTCCATGTCCCTCCTGGTGACGTGCTGCTTCATGCTGGCGACCTCTGCAGACATGGCACGCTCAAAGACCTCGAGGGTACCCTGAACTGGCTCAAGGGACTTCCTCATCTCGCTAAATAGTCAGTGATCACTCTCTTCCCAACTTGAGCCACAGTTTTGCTAATACTGTCGAAAGTTTCATGGCAGGCAACCACGACGTATGCTTCCCTACTTGATCTCAATGCCTGCTTCTCAACGGCACATACAGTTATGTTTAGACAAGCAGTACGAAGACGGTGGTAGCTTGAGTACATTCAAGCCGTATGGCCTGCGAGGCAAGGTCAGTGGCGGGTATTTTCTCCGCTTGCAAGGCTCGCATCTAATTGTGTTCTAGGATGTCGCGACGGCACGCAAGTTGGTTCACAGTTACCCTTGCCGCAAAGCGGGGATGCATTACCTCGAACACAATACCGCCACATATACCGCCAAAAGTGGTAAGACGTATACAATTTATGGTTCACCTGTTCGTGCCCTCTCTGTGCTCGCGATCTCAGCGCCCATGACTCATTCGCTTTCTGTACAGGCGGCTCCGTTCTATTCCATCGGCGCCTTCCAGTACGTCGCGGAGGACGCCGAGGCCATCTACGCCCGCATTCCGCCCTCTGTCGACATCCTCATGACCCATACGCCCTCCCATGGAGTCTGCGACCTGACCAAGCGCGGCAAGCACGCCGGGTGCCCCAAGCTGGCAGAACGCCTCGCTCACGACGACCTGAAGAGCTGTAGGTTACACCTCTGCGGGCACATACACGAAGCCCACGGCGTCGCCGTTGTCGGTCAGAGCGAGCAGAATCCGGACGGGAGGATTCATGTCAATGCGGCTCTGCCGGTCACGCCGCTACCCATCATCATTGACCTCAAAGACTGACGTATACCCGCCTGGTGGACGCGCTGATCAACGATATTTGTACATATATACGCTCGTATACCCCTTCAACCTCGATCTTTAGCTCCGAATGGCTTAAAGTTCGCAGCCCGTAGGAGACTTGCTCAGCAGCCAGGTGACCCTTATATACCAAGATTTGCGCAGTGCACAGTGTTTCGATCCAGGCTAACAACGTTATCATTGATTGACATAATCCAGACGGGCGCCTGGTAAGTACGAGGTTGTTCCACGACCACCATCAACTCACCCGTGTCCAGTTACAGCACGCACCATGGAGAGCCTCGCCGTCGAGCTCCTCATGGCTATCTTCGCATTCGCGTGCACGGATGGGGGCCGCACGGGATGCTCGCTCGCTCTAGTGTGCAAGCATTTCCGCGAGGTCTCCAGGCCGCTGCGCTTCCACTCTGTCGCCCTCACGGGTGCGCCGGACCAGCTCAAACGGTTCTTCGTTCTGTTCGAGCGAGAACGCGCTGATCTGGGGTCGACTTCCGCATCCAAAGTGCGCCACGCGTTCATCAGGACAGTACGCCTGAAGGCCCTGCCGTTGGATCAAGCTTCGTCCACGTCCGTGTCCGGGGAGACCACCCCCAGCGAAGAGGACGTCGAACACGGACATGGTTGCGAAGACGACGATGATGTCGCAGCGCCGCGTACGCGCTTCGAGTACACTGAGCTCCTCTCTGCTTTGCTGCGCGCAATCGCACCGACGCTCGAGACACTCGTCTTCCTTCCATTGAACATCACGCGCGACGTGGAGCCATTGGATCCGGGGATAGTTTTCCCTGTATTGCATGAGCTCACGCTCGGGAGCCCGCTGTTGTATTACACGTCCAATAACCCCACGCCCCCCTTGCCACAGCGGGCGTATCCCTCCCTCACGCGCCTGCATCTACGGTCAAGTATCCACGGACAACGAAGTGATGACTGGGTGTATCACGCCCCAGGCCTCACCCATATCTCGGTCTCTAGCGTGGGCTATAGAACGCACGTACCAAGCTTCAAACTTTTCTTCGGTCTGTCACCTTACTCTCAGTCACGATCGCACAGCTATCTGACAGTCTCGTGGTTGAATTAATGTAGACAGATCTGCGACTAGACCGGAGGAGCAGCCCTTCAAAAAGCTACAAACGCTGATCATTCACCTCTTCCAACCGCCATCTGTACGGTTCTGTCACGGTACGCCGCTCCTGCGGTACGAGCGCATGGTCGCCGAACTGTGGGAGTCGCAAGCCGAGGCGATGGTACCCGTGTATATCTTCCCTCCGAAAATGGAGGGGGATTGGTCGGACGCGGGGGGCGCATGGTACGGGGACGTTGACCGAGAGGCGTGGGAGGACCGCATGCAGGGTGGAGAAGGCTGTTGGGGCGTCGAGAGTGAGTATGCACGCAGCGCATACAAGGCAAAGGAGGCGCCGGGTTACCTAGCCCCTTGGTGGCCTACCCGCCCCCGACCCCGAGGGCTGAGTGTACATGGTTGATACCGAGTGGATGGGTCGGAAGGTGAGTTCTCCATTGTTGCGCTGCCAGTGCCAATCCATCTCATCGCACGCACTGGCAATGTACTAATGTTTTTGCACAGTGGGAATTCTCGAGGAAGGCGTCATGTTTAGAGGAAACGCGGGGAAGGAACACCAAGCCAGGCGGCGGTTTGCTCATCGAAACACCCGGACACACAACGGTGTGGATACAGACGCGAGAGGCGAGTGTTGTTCGCTATCGAAGCCTAACTCAGTCCGGTGCGCAGTTTCCGATACTAGTACGACTGTAAAGACGCTCTTGTCGAAGTTGTATCTAATACGCTCTCTTGTACCGTGGACATTCCCTCATGTTGCCTCTCCGGACCAGTATACAGACGGTCAGCCACACCCTCTTTGTTCGACATTAATGATAGGTCTGGGGAGCCAGAAGGTTCGCACTTGTTTGCTTCCCAGGCTACCGCTCCATTGTACACATAGCTAGACCGCGCCGTCATATGCATGCACGACACTTGATACTTCTTACACACACTGGCATATCATTTCGGCATACTCATACAGGTTCCCGTGCCCTCCCTTTGACCCAACCTACCAAGCATGACGCATCCAACCACAGAGATGATGGCAACCATCCCACAACCCGCACTCAAATCCTGTACACGATCTTCTCCGCGCTCACATTACCCTCGCGCATATACTGGAACCCCTCCGGGATCGCCGCGAGCCCACCCTCGAAGAACTTGATCGGGAGCGGCCTGATCTGCCCCGCCTTCACCAGCCCCGGGACCTTCGTTAAGAAGTGCTCCATGTGCGCCCTGTCCTCCGGCCGCACGGGGTGGTCTGCGGTCGGCCCAAAGCTGAACGCGCGCCCGAGGGCCCAGTACAGCAACGTGTCTGCAGAGGCCCGTGAGCGAAAACGTCCGTGGCCGTCAGAATGGGAGGGGGTGCGCGACTCACAGATGCGCTCGACGTCCGTCCTGTCCGTCACGTCCGGAATGATGTTTATGATATGCACCACTTTCCCGCCTCCCGGTGCGATGACGGCCGTGCTCAGAGCCTGCGCCTCGCGCGTGCCGATCGTGTCGAGTGCCGCACGGATCTTGTCGCCCGTCGCGTCTTTGAGCTTCGCCGCCGCATCGACGTCGCGGTAGTCGAACACTGCGGAGGCGCCGAGCGAGCGTACGAGGTCGAAGTTGCGTGGGGAGGCGGTCGTGGCGACTTTGTACCCCGAGATCACGCCGAGCTGGATAGCAAATTGCCCGACGGCCGCTGCAAGGGCGAGAGTGTGGTAAGCCAAGGTCCAATAGGGGATAACAGGGTGAGGACATACAGCTTCCGCCGTGCACGTAGAGCCACACGTCCTCGCTCGTCTTCTCCGGGGGCTCAACCAGGGCAAGGCGCGTGGGGTGGTACAACGCCTGCACCGCCGTCCAGAACCTAGCATCACCACACATGCATTCAGCACGACAAGCCTCATCCAAACATCACCAAAAGAATCCCGGACGTACGCGCATCCCAACGTCGCAGCCTCCTCGTGCGAGAACGTGCCCTCGGGGACGGGCCACACGAGCGCCGCGGGCGTGCGCACGTACTCCGCAAACGCGCCGTAGTCCGCAAACGTCCCGCCCATCACGAAGCCCGCGACCTGTGCGCCGACGCGCAGGTCCGGGTGCGCGGCGGCGGCGGCGGGCCCGATCTGCACTATGGTCCCGGAGAAGTCGCACCCGGAGACCGTGCCGGGCTTCGCGCGGCCGGAGTCGATGACTGTAGGTGGGGGTGGGGTGCGTGAGTTTGGGTGGAGATGGAGGTGGTGGACGGGCAGGTGCATGGGGGACGTACATTTGTGGTCGGTAGGGTTCTGCGCGACGGCGACGACTTTGACGAGCACGTCGTCTGCGCCGACTTCGGGCACTGGGTGGTCCTGTACCGCGACCTTGCCATCCTGTATGCGGAATGGTGGACGTAAGCGCGCGATCGTGTAATGTTCGCAGCGAACCTACCCCAAGTGCAACCAGCGCCTTCATGACCTTCGGAATTTCGACCGAGTGTGCCATATTTACGTCGTAAGCTGAGAGCGTACTGCGATCTTCACGTCAGCTTCAAGGACTCGTAATAGCGATACTCAGAGTTTGTGCTTTAAAGCGTATGACTGCAGCAGCGAGATGGTTCCGGTTTAGGCTGCGGGAATTCCCAGGACCTTAAATCCACCATCGACGTGCTCAGTCAGCCACAGACGTTGGCGCAACCATGAGCATTGCGACATAGATGACAAATCCATGACGAATGTGGGTCCGGTAGTAGTATGTTTGAGTGACCTAGATTAAACCGAGCAGTGCCATGTAGTACACAGGCTGACCATGGCCGCGCCGCCCAATTGAGAAGCTATCTTGAGAGGTAGGTGGCTCCTTTAGGGTACCGGATGCTTATAAACATGAGAAGTGTGAACGTGATTCTTTGGAGTCGCGCTCGCGAGGGGAATTCCGGGCGATAATGCGGCCACTGAGCGGTACAGCATCGCAGGCAAGAGCTTTCTTTCTCGAGCAAGCTCAGTCCCGCTGCGGGCCGCACGCGCGTCCGCACGCACGACTAAACTCACGCAGACAGAACGCATCAGCGCCATTGGCAGCCCAGCCAGCCCGAACACTTCCGAGCGCGTTCCGCACACCTCGGTACCAAGTCAGCATCCCACCCCGAACCCAATGCCACAATCCCGATAGGACTCACTCAGTCATTCCTCGAGGGCATAGCACGTACGCCCGTCTACCTCCATCCGGGGTCCACACGTCCGGAAGTATTCCCGTCACCGCGGAGGGCGCCACGACGTGCGGCGGCGCGCACAACGCTCACCTGCTCCAGACTGAGATCCCCCACACCCCACGCAAGATCGAGGCACGCCCTCTAACGCCACAACGAGACGTACCCCGCGCGGGGCACCTCCCGCGCTGACACTCACGGCTGACACGTAGGTCGCCGAACGTCTTGTGTACCTGAGCGGCGAAGTCAGTGCTGATACCCTCGAGGCCAAATGTGTGAGATACTCACGTTATGCTCCAGCGCGCCGCGCAGCCTAGCCGTCCTTGGTAAGAAGGCCTGCTGATACTCGCGCGGGCGGTGGCGTCCCGGTGTAGTCAAGCAGCGTACGATATCGCACTGCGGCCCGCGGGAACACGACGGGGATTACTCTGCGACTCTCACCGGCACATCCTGGCGCCTGCGGTACACCTCGGCGCAGTACAGAACACCGCGGAGGAGTGGTGCAGACAATACGCCGGCCTCGAGGCGTGCTGGGAGTTCAGTAGCGGCTCACTCGGGTTGCCCGAAATCGCAAGTTCCGGGCTTCGCACAGCGACAGGGGGTTCGCAGAGGTCTGAGCGCGGACGTCGGGCCTGTGGGAATCCGGCGGTCGCGAAGCGACAATGCGACAGAGCAGCTGAGATGGTGAAGCTGCAGCGGCCTGAAGCTGGAGGCTGGAAGCGCTGCGGGCGCAGAGCCTGAGACGTCCGCATCCGGGCGCTCGGGCGCCCCAGCCGGAATGAGCTGCTGCGGCGCGCTGTGTTCCTGTAGAGTTGGAGAGATGCTATGGCAAAGAGCACCCCGGTAGCTTGAAGAATTGGGTTCCGCGCGTCGGAGGGCACGATAGCGTGCTTTGGGGTCGGCGTTGTGGATGGGGCGAAGAAGGTCGAGGAAGGCGGGCTTGGAGAGGCGGCGGGGATTCGTGTACTTTAGTACGCCTTGAGGCTTGCCAGGGCCGGAGAGGCTCCCGGAAGGAGATGGCTTGGGTTGTTCAGGTGCTCGGGGACGTGCGATAGCTTGAGGTTCTTGAATAGGTGAATGCGGTAGTAGTGTGCACGGGGTGCTCGGGAGGTTGATTGAGGCGGAGATGAAGCAAATATTGGTCTGCGTCGAGTAATCTAGCATGGGTAGAAGCTTCGAGTGAGTGCAAAGCCGTTTACTGGTGACCTCATGTGGCGGGTCGAGCAACCCCTTAACCCATGCTGCGATAGGGAAGGTGGAAGTACGTTGGGGATTATTAGGATTATACCGACTCCACTTTCTAGGCAAGCATTTAGCATTCGGAAGGGCCTAGACCGGCATAGAGCTTAAGAGTGCGTGTGCGTCGTCAGAGAGGTGCGAGATGTGTGGCCGAGATCGCCCCGGTATGGTGTTGGCGTAGACGTTGACGTCAGAGCGAGAGAGGTGATGAAGAGCGTGGTGAGTGCGGTGGCGGGGTCATCGGACCTGGAAGATAAACGTGGAGGACGCACGGCGGCGAGAGAGGCAACAAGCGAGGAGAGCTGGGAACGTCATCGCGATCTCATACCTATAACTGGGACGAGGGCCTCATGCCGTTGCGAACAAGGACGGCAGCGGACCGTGTGCGCGCAGGCGGTGGGCGAGAGCGTGGAGAGACGTCGAACAGAGTGCACACGACTCACGCTGCCGTCCTTGCTCGCCTCCCAACTTATATCTGGTGACGTCACGCGTCGCACTTAGATGACGACACGCGTTTGCCCGTTGGACGCGTCCGGTCGCGCGCAGTCCCCTGTCGTGTCCGCGGTCGGACGCTTGGAGCTCTGCCAAACGCATATCCGCTCCGGCACCGCGGTTGTATCTCGTCCACGCAGTTGCAACGTCAGGACAACGTCAACGGCTGCTATCCGTACCCACCCCTATGCGGACCCACAGCGGAGAGACACGTTTGGTGAAAGTTCCACACTCCTTCCCATGTCAGACTGCGACTCACGGGAGTACCCCACCGCTTGAGTATTTTCTGCCGTGAAAAAACACAGGTCTGACCGAAAGTGGTATCACGTTTTTTCAGGTGGACAATGACCACTTCGGTCCAAGGGCAATCGAGAATTCGTAACCCTAGCGAAGCACGATAAACGGGCGCGAGTGCACCCAGACACCCATCACAGCAACACCAAAATCTTCCAGTTCACCCGCGCCGTTGCCCAACAAATCCGCCAAAATCATCCATCCCCGTGCGCAGACGCGGCGGCACCGCGCCCCATTTCCACGACAACGCGCAAAAAAGATGCGCTCTCGCCTTTCGCCCCCGTTCCCGAAGGCTGAGCACCCCAGCGAGCCTCCGCATCCGCCGCGTCCCCGCCCGCCACGTTCGCGCCGTCGCCTACGCGCTCCCGTCACCAGGGACGCCGCTCGCGAGCTCGGCAGTCACCGCAGCCCTTCACGCCCGCCTTTGATGTCCGCGTCGAGCGGCATCCGTCGGGCACTCCCGACGCATCTGAATCGCGCCCACAGAAAACTCCCACGCACCTCCCTTGCTTTGGATCTCCGCTCGAAAAGCACTTTCCCGCGCTCTGTGTGCCCGTTCGGGACGCGTGCCGGGCGCCCGATCGGCCGAGGGGCATCGGAAGCCCGGGCGCCAGGGGGCCCTCCGAGGAAGTCGGGGAAGCCGGGAGAGTGGGCAGGCTGCGAAGGGGCGGGCGGGCGGTGCGGCGTCAACGTGATTATCCATGCGATCTAAGCGGCCTCGGACGCGTTCTGTCAACGCCCGTCGAAATCATGACCCAATTCTCCGGAGGCGGGGGCTCCGGCGTGCATGTGGTTTTGGATGGTGGCAGGCGTGCTCGCGTCCGAGGCGGCGATCCTCCAGCTGCATGCTATAAACCGGCGTCGTTCCTGGATATCCTGGCACGCGTTTGTGTACGCCATCGCACGGCTGCGGCATTCACATGTGAGCACAAGGTTTGCTAGATTATGGATATCCGTACCTGCAGCCTGGCTGCTGCGTATACGTAGCAGTACAGCTGTGCCGACTCAATGCGTCACCGTACCTCATGATATCCGGATATCCAGCGGCGAGTACACGTTGTCTGGCACCTGCGCTGCCGCGATGCGTGCGCAGCAGCTATAGCAGTAGAACGTTAATACCACACCTCGCATGCAGTGCACCGTCCCCGGGCCAGCCCGTTCACGAACGCGACTCGCACTGACTCGACTACGCCAGCTGCTGCACGTCGTGGGTCCCCGCTGACCAACCCTATCCCACAGCTCCCCCGCTCGAGTCTCATTTGCGGTCACGCAACCCCCATCGGATCCCGCGGTGGCAGCGCACTGCGGAAAGCCTCGCATAGATGCGCAATCGATTACACGGCTTCTGTCGACAGTGGCAGCTTCTGTACCACAGAACCCCCCGCAGACGCGCGAGGGGTTCATTGAGTTCTGTAGCCTGGCGGCGCGGGCGCTGCATGGACGCAGTGCGAGTGCGGTGAACACTGAATTTGACTGGGACGGTCCGGGGAGAGAAGCCCCGGGTGGACTCGTCCACACTGGGGCCGTGCGCTTCCGAAGTGCGTCCATGCGGAGCCCCAACTGCAAAATGAGGTGCTGACTGCGGGGCTGCAAGTAGAAAGCGCGGTATTTGTGGGCGTACGTGTGCACTGCCGCGCGACGTGGGCTCGGAGTCGGAGCGGGGTGCGCACGGCCGGGTTGCAGGCTGGAGACAAAATGGCCCTTCAGATTGGCAGTGCACGAGCAAATAAGCAGTCCCCGAGACATTAAAATACGACATACGCGACGTACGCACCTCCCCGGAAAGCGACCGACGGCGGACGCGCGTTCGCGCCGCACACGGAACGGCGGCGCGCCTTGTGATCCCTCGCGCACTTTGTCACCATGGGCCGCAAGGCAGCGTAAGACACCCCTGCACAGGCCGCGCGGGCGAATCAGCGTCAGCCGACCACAAACAAGAGCATGGACAAGAGTGCGCGCCTCGCACGGCGGAGCAAACAGGGACTCGGCGGGCCACCCCCCGCCACAGCCACCGCGGGGCGCGAGCCGATCGCGCGACGCTCGCTTGCTTGCCCCGGAGCGCCCGTCCGAGGCTCGAGCACTTTGCTTTCAATGATGCGCCTGAGCCTCCCCGCCTCCGCCCCGGGAGCTTGTTGAGTGGGTGAATTTTCGAGGAAGGCGGGCAGAACCCCGTCCGCGCGCGTTCCGAGGGTGTTCGGACGCTCGTCGCGCCCGGCGTTGCTTACTCCTCTGGGCCGCCCCGGGGGCAGATCACTTTGACCGAGCGAACTCTATCAGCACTCAAATTCTGCGAGACGGGTATGTACGGGCTTGATGTCATCCACAGAACGGATAGAAGGATAGAAGGAAAACAGAGAAGACATGGAGTCATCCAAGCGAAATTTGTTTGCTGCACACGACTGAGGAACTAACGGTGCACGCGGAAAAGTGGTCATCGTCAAAACTTCATCTTCGTTCGTCACAGATCTACTCCTAGATACTACTGCTGCTGCTTCTTCTTCCTATGCGCCCCACCAGGCAGATAACCAATGCGATGCGACGTGCAATGTGCGTAAAAATGAAGTCCGCGCCGGGGCGGGGTAGATGCGTGATGATGCGTATGAGGACGTGTGGTGCGGGGATGAATGGGATGCGTGGTGAAAAAAATATACTGTGCAATGAGAAGCGACGTGAAAAAAAGGAGAATGCAATGCGAATGCGTCGAAAGCGTAGAATGACGTGAGAAGCCGTGTGGGATGGGATGCGGAATGCGGAATGTGGATGGGCGTGTGGAAGCATGGGGAGAGGCAGAGAGACAGAGCGTCCTGGGCGGGCGAGACATCGTTCGTGCGTTCGTTCGTACGCGCGGCCATGCGTGCACACGAGCGTGAAGCGGGCGGGGGAGACGGAGAGCATATGTATGAGACAGGTGGGAGAGGCGCGTGGGAGCGCCGCGACGCGCGCGCGAACGCGTGCGCCGCGCACCATTCGGTGCCGCGAGTCGTGAGGAAATGCGGGACGGGCCGGATAACTGCGAGGCCAGAGAGTCCGAGGGTGCCGAGAGGGGGAGGAAACATGAGAGAGACGGACGGGCCGATGATGTGAATGCATAAGGATAGCGATGCGAACGGCGAGTGGTCACCGCGGAATAGATATTCCACGGGTCAGCAGGCGTGCCTATGCGCGCTGGGGACGGGAGACAGAGGCAGGGGTCGAGCGGAGATGCGCACATCGACCTGGCCTGCGTGTCCGCGCGCACGCGAGCCGAGTCGACCGGGGCCGGCGTGTTTCTTCAGCCTGTGCGCCAGCAGAAAGCTATGGTGGAGGGAAAGAGGATCCCATGGTGAAGAGAAAAAAGTCGTCTATGTGCGTCGCCGGCGGAGTCGCCGCTTCGCGTGGAACAGGCCGAAGCGGACGCGAAGAGAGAGGACCTCCCATTGCTGACGCAGGATATGCGTGCACGTCGGACTAGACAAAAGGCTGTCAGGATATGGCTCGAAAAATGGATAGGAGAGAAAAATTACTCACGTTGTCGCGTGCTCGTCAACGTCGTTCTCGTCGAACGCGCTCAGAACCTGAGTGGGCTCCTCAGACTTTTCGTCCTTTGGCGCGTTTTTCTTCGGCTTGGTCGTCTTCCTGATGAGGCAGACTGACCGGGAGCGCACATCCTCCACAACTTCCTCGGTCTCGTCTTCCCCGAACGGCGACTCGTGCAGGCCGAGCGCGTTCGGGTGCTCCTCCTCCAACGAACCCACTGGACTCGACGTCTGGGGCGCGTCGGCGAAGTAGTAGTAGTTTGGAGGGTGGTAGGGGGAGAAGTTGAACGCGCTATGCGACGTGTTCTTGCGCGTTGCCGCGTGTTGAGACGCGAAAGGGCTGAAGTGGGACTGACTCTCGGTGTCGTCGTCGAAGTCCTCCACATCCGAGTCGTCTACCTCTGTTCCCCAGTCGCGTTCCCAACCAGGACGCGTCGGGTTCGCGTTGACCGGATACCTGTCGTGGCTACGCGACCGTGCCGCGTTCGCGCTACCTGTGCTGGTGCGTCGCTGCTTGCGGGTGGTCGGAGAGTGCGTTGTCGCGCGAAGAACGGGGAAGTCGCGGTAGTCGGGATCGTGGAGGTCACCGTTGTGGTCAACGTAGGCGCGCGTCTGCGCGTGTGGCGAAGGCGTCGCGCTCATTGAGGACGAGGAAGAGCTGCTCGCGTACGCGGGATCCAACAGACGCGAGATGTCTGCAGCGCGTGTTGATGGCGAGTATTGGCGGCGGTGGTGGTGATGGTGCTGGTGCTGGTGGCCGCTGGTCGGGAGAAGAGTGGCGAGGTGAGGGATCGGCGACTGCGACCTCCTGTGCAGGTGTTTCCGAACAGGCGATGGCGGCGTCGACGAGGAGGAGCTTGGTATGGGGTAGTCGTACATGGCTGGGGGGAGGGAAGGTGTGAGGGGGGGATGTTGGTTTGTGGCCAGGCCTATAAGCAAGTTGAACTTTGGTGGGAGAGGGCGAGGAATGCTCGGGGAAACCGTGGGTGAGGCTAGTCCTTTATGTACGGGGAAGGACCAAGCGTCGAGGATATACAAGCTCAAGCTTTGTGCAGTGGCACAGACAAGCCAAGCGGGGAGGACGGTGCGGGGATGTGACGGGGGAGGGTACGGGCGGGGAAGGCGGAGGAGGGCGAGGCCGGGGATGTCTTTATACACACTACCTTCAACGACCAAGGGCCGATCCCCAAATGAGTTCATATCTCCCACAAGACCCACCATTATCTCCCGCCGAGCCATCAATTTCCGATTCAAACTCCGAATACTCGCATTTCGCGCGTTCCCACGGGGTTACCGCCGCTGGATACGTCTGCAGCCGACCCTTCCTGGCCGGCTCTCCCACCACGCCGTGGCCTCGTTGTGGGCCTCCTCTTCGACAGCCCGCTCCTCTATCCAGCTCGTCCTCCCTACACGGCTCGCACACCGCTCCTTTCGCCCCCGCAGAGCCCGCAGCGCACCCGTGACTGGTCCGCAGAGTCCCCACGTCCCTCGGCGAGCCATGACGAGTCAATTCGGAATACGACCGTCCCTCCGACCAATCGGTGCCAGCCTGCGCGTCCCCGCCGTGGCGTCCCGAGCCCGAACCCATCTTATCCTCGGCCCGACGCATCCCCGACATAATCTCCCCACACGTGAGCGTGCACCAGCTGCTAGCGATGCTCTTCGAGAGCCATCCACTCTCGTCCGACTCGACGCAGAACCTTCGTCTGCCTTCATTAACTCCTCGAACTATCCGTCTGCGTGCCTGGCCAGATATCCTGACTACGCATGCAATCACATCAACCCGTTCGGCGCCCAGGAGTACTGACATCGCTCAGCTTTCTCTTCCCCTGACTAATCGCTCAGTTGCCCGGCTTCTAGCAGCGTCTATGCTATCCCGACCGTACGATAGCTCAGTTGACTCGAACGCACATTCCCTGCGATTGCGTGGCCCTCCCGCTGACGAAGAACCTCAGAGTTCATCCATAGACCACATCGCTGACTCAGTTCTCCGTAGGTCTCTCCGCTCGTCGCGCACATATGCTTTGCATGTGCTATATGCTATTGGCGTACGCGATCTGCATACACAAGCCATAGCTCGCAGACGCTATTGCACCGCATGCACCTAAGTCGACATGTTCCAATCCTCGGCGGCTACACTGCCGGGACGAGCTCGACTTCGAAGGCACTACCGGACACCGATGAGATCGGTCACCGGAGTCCACATATACGTGCCTTCTCTATGCCCGGCTCCTCTTACTATAGCACTGCACACACACTTCTATCCCTCTCTCAGCTCATACTGTACTCGGCCTTCCTTTCTGTCCTTGACGCACACACAGCGCTTTGCTCCGCTTCGCAACTCTGCCCAAGCATAGCTAGACGCCGGACATCTCGCAACTTCTTCCCCCTCCTTCAAAATGCCCGGCCTTCCCATCAAACTCCGCCACCGGACTCGCACGACGTCCAAATCCAGTCCCCGACGCAGTAATGCTCTCCGCTCGACGGCAATACCCATCAATGCGTACATTCACACCCCACGCCTGCTGAGATGCAGCCGCGTCGACCTTCATGCCGCCCCGTCCAATCCGCGCTATACTAAGGCACTCGCCATCCTCGCCTAGACTGGACATACCGAAGGGCAGTCCAGACGCCGACCGAACCTAGGCCGACCGTGGCCTGCACTGCTCTGTTGCGATTCGTTCGCGAGCACACACGGTCGGTTATGGCAGATGCGCCAGCCGCGGACTGAGCGTGCAGGCGCAGCGCAATCGCCCGCGTATGATGGGTGACCATATCGGCTGACCCGGAAGGCGGTCTCCGAGCTCGGGCGCGCGACGATTCCGCGCACCGTGCATCTCTTCGTCGCCCTTCGACGGCCGACGACGCGCTCCTGGAGCATCGGGATCAACCTCAGGAATCCACATCGCACGGAATGCATGAGCGCATCGCGGTTGACGTAGGTTCAGGGGATTGCATCATCTTCTACCCGGGGCGTCTCTACGCTCGAGTGCTCGTCCATACCCGTACATACCATTCACTGACGCGGCACTGATGACGCCGTGTATCACCGCGCTGCGCGCTCGGCCGGGAGTCTGAGGCTGAGCTACGCGCGACGCGAGTGCATTCTTCAAATAGCCATTCCCAGCTCATTCCGAAACTGACCCGCTTCCTCAACATCCCACCAATCATATCGTCTCTTGTTCCAAGGCTCGACCTTCATTGAGGTGCTCTGGGGTCGAGGCACTGCGCCTCATACTCTCCGCAGGCCTCACAAGACTACGGCGTTCAACATCCGCACACGCACACACTCTCCGCAAGAAACGAGACCGCACACTAAAGATTGATGGGCCTCGTCCCAACATAGGTCTGGATGGCGCAACATTTCCGCAGGCTGAGCATCCGAATCCAGCCAGTGCCCAGGCGGCGCGTCAAACACATCACGCGGGCCGTCTCAGTGTTCACAGGTCTCGCGCGTGCTCACTCATGCGCGTGTAAGGATGCAGAAATACCGCCAGGTACACCCTCTATCTCCCACCGAGCCTGACCGACGCTAACGAGTGCAAGAACAGCATGCGCACGGCCACCTTCCAATCGCTTTCCGGGAACCACGTCGGAAAGCCAGTAGCCGTGCATGACCCCCCACTCTTTCCGAGCCCGAACCCGGTCTCAAACTACCCGCGAAGTTACGCCTCCACCCCGCCTCCAATCCGGCCCACCCATGTGAGTCCCGCACGCACCTCCGGCCCCAGACGCTCACAGGCTGATTTTGAAGATGCCCCGCGCTGCAGGCGCCCGGAGAGACACCGCGCGAACTCTGTCGTGGCATGCCACCGGCGCCCAACTGACCATCCCCGCTTCTCCCTAGGTGGACCGGAGCACCCGTTGGAGCATGCGAGCTTCCCTGCGCGCTGCGGCTCTACCGCTGGTCGCGCTGCTTCTCCCCGATGGACCTGGATCACCGGCTCCTCAGCGCGCAGCACCCACGCTCGCGCATTCAGTCGCGGGGCGACCACTGGCTCGTGAGGCGGCGTCGGGCGGACGACCTTAGATAGGTCGGACACTGTGAGCTTGTCCGCGGGTCCTATTCACGCCCTAGCGCTTGAGCTCCTCCGCTTCACTCGCAGTATCGCACCCGCCAGTTCACACCCTCGGCGTACCCGGACGCGCCCGCAGGCGTACACACAGGTGAGCTTAACACAAGCCCTCAAATATCCTCCGCTCGCCTACCTGACACACTCGCACTCTCACATGCCCGCGCGTCCACGCGCCGATTGGACTTCCTGCAATACCGCGGTCAGCTGCAGCACGCTCGCGCACGCAGCGGCCGAACATACCACGGTGGCCACACCGTACCGCAGCCCCGCGACTCACAGCGGGAACGCGCTCCCAAAGCAGGCGCCTCTCGGGGAATGCTCGGGCGCCCTGGGATGCCCGGGCCATACGCGGCTCTCTTTGCACTCGCGGTGCGCGTCGGGCGGGCGCCGGGCTTGTACACGTCTACGATGCGCTTCCGCGTGTCTTCCTCGGGCAATGGGACAGCGTCAGGCGGGGCAGCGCGTCCTCCTGGTCCGCCCGGTCGCTGGAGCGCGTGCCCGGGCTTCTCGTTCTCCCCTGCTCTTCCTCTGGCGCGCAGGAATCTGTGGCTTACTCCTTCGAGGCCGACGAGCCACACGCCCCCTCCAGCCGTGCTATCTTATCGCCATACGCATCTGGCAGCTGCTCCCGCCGCTGCTCGCGCGGATGTCTGGATAGGAAGCTGCAGAAGCGCACCGCGGAGAGTTCGACGTCGCGAGCTGCGCGTGATTCTGGCTGCTCGCTCAGGTAGCTGCGGCTGCTTGGTGCTGGAGCGCCCGTTCGCGTGCAGGCCGGGCTCTTCGCTGCTGACGCTGCGGCTTCGCCTCCTATGAACGCTTCTGGCTTGGCTCGTGCTGCGACGCTGTCCGTCCTGGGGCAAGTCTGGGTGCGCCGCCGGTCTGCACGCGGGGAAATGAACATCAAGAACGCACGCTCAGGTCCAGGATCCAGCGACGCGCACGCGGAAATGGGACGCGGGGTGTGGTTTCCGGGCGAGTGGTGAGTTTGCGCGCACCCAATCTGCATATTGATACGCGGCCAGTGTTCATCTCAGCTCCAGCTCCTTTGCAGGGCCGCACGAGCGCGTATGGGCAATCGCCGCGAGCTAGGGTTAGGAACGCGATGGCACGATTTGCGAGTACTCGATTCAGGCGCCGCCCGAGACAGGTGCCGTCCGTCAATTGTGCGATGGTACGAGGGATGCCGCAGCGCTGAGCCACCCGAGGCCTGCAGGCTCGCCGTCGAAGTTCGAGGACGCCTCGCGCTCGCGATATCCGGGATCTGGATTATGGCACGCGCCGATGCGCGGTCGGAGGGCATCGCGCGGTCACGCGGTGCGCGTCTGGGCGGATATTCCTGGCTGGCGTGGGTGAGTACCACCGCCTCGAGGCGCGCGCCCCAGTCCGCTCGCGCCATCCGGCGCGGGGCAGCGGGCACAGTGGGCAGATGAGATGAGATTGGATGGGACGACAGGTGCGTCGGCGCGCGATTTCTCGATGTGGGCTCAGGAGTCGAGTCGCGGGAATCCGATGGACTGCCGAGGGGATCTGCGCGTGGGGGCGTGCGCGAGCGGTGTACGTGATTTGCGCGACCTGGACGCGCTGACTCGCCGCGTCCGGTCGCGCATCGTGCGGGCGAGTTCTTCACACGTACAAAAGCAATCGCGCACGCGGTGGTGGGGGTGGTGGCCAGAGGCCTGGTGCCGCGTCGGGCAGGTGAACCTCGGGAGCGAGGCGTGGATCGATATAGATGTGATCTGCAGTTCTCCCGGGGTAGACGCGGTAAGCTTTAGTCTCAGCAGACCACAGCGTGCCCTAGCGTGCCCACTCAGCTGGTCGGGCAGAGGGTATGGATTGATGCCATCGTCGCACGGCGTGGGGCAGATCTCCTGCATCCCATGCGTGGTCGGATGGATGTATCTGTGTGGCACGGAAGACGCGTCTTTGTGCCACTCATCCATCGCATATCTATCTCATCTGTGTGCGTGCAGAGGTGAGGTGCGTACCTTTTGTGGCTCCGGATGTCTTCCCGGCCTCCGCTGACCCGCTCTATTGTCTCGCAGGGACGGGTACAAACGAACGTTCGTTGAGTGGCACAACCTAACCCTGCGGTGGCAGTCTGCAGGCCTGCATGCGAGCGGCGTGTTGCTGCCGGCTGCGGGGAAGACTGCTGCAGCTGACTGAGGCAGATGAGAGGTTGCCCGTATAGGAGCCGCGTGCTGCACTAGTGCTGGATATCCGTTTAGATTATGAGGGATAGAAGCTTCTTTGTCTCACGTACATTGTGCGGATGCGTTGTAATGTACCGGCATGGAACGCTCTGCGCGACAGATGCACGCCCATATGTCTGCGGCATGAACACCGCCCGAAGCGTGGAGAATGAGACCGGACACGAAGCTTGGGGTAAGGCGTCCGCTGCAAGTTCGCTGAAATAGCATGTTCGAGGATGCGGATGAGCTGTGGCGTTGCGATTTGTGAATGGACATGCGATCCGATCTGGGGATGCGGGGAAAGCCGATGCATCGATCGAAATCGGGGAGTGCTCGGGTATCGCGATCGGGCTTCGCTTGGCACGACTCGCCACCTCATCCTCCTCTCTCCTCCGTCCATGTCCCGCTATCCATGGCCAATGTTCTCTCTTTCTCGCTCAGCTTCGATGTCGTGTCATCAAGGTCGCAGGATGGGAAGCATCTGCTCGAGTTATGCTCTGACTCAGCCGAAGCAGGACTGGGATGCGGCCGACGAGCTGATTCAGCCGTCTCCGTCAGCCTGCGTGCGGTCGTATTCTCGTCCTGCTATACCATGACTCACGCCAGAATTCTTTCGCTTGTGACTTGCAATATGGACTCTTGTCTCTGCATCAGAACCTAGTTTCCAAGGATTTCGGAATCGCGTACTCCGCAACTCCGACAGCGGTCGTTTATTCGGCTTTCTGGTAGCTTTGCCCGTACCATGCGCAACTGAGCAACGGCTCTCCTATCCGGCCTCGCCTTACAGGTGTGTTGACACGACGCATGGTCCGCTAGAGACCGGAGTTACTCCTCCCGGCCCTCGCTTCGACACCAATACTTCGTGGTGGCCCGCTGGACAAATATGGTTCTGTCATCCTTGGGTATGTGGTTTAGCGTCTCGCAAGACGCTTTCGCCAACGTTCTGTCAACTTTGCTTTACAGCGCGCAGCTATTCGCACATCCCAGTGCCCCTTGGAGCGGGCAGCCGACCGCGTTGCAAGCGTCGAATATCACAGTACGTAAATTATCTGATATTCTCTAGCCCGGATTTGGAGCCGCACAACGCCCCGCTCGCCTCAAGGCCCAGCGCAGGACGTGCCTCGCATCGCTACGCTCGGGGTAGCGGACACGCCCTCAAGGCTCTTCGGCCCGTCGTCGCGTCTGTTGCGGGAGGTCAGGACCCACAGCAACCCCCTGAGATGCCACCCCGCATCCTGCAGGTCGAGGTCCGTGCCCACAGTCTCTTTCGATCTCCGTTCTCTGCGGTTGGCCCCAATCGCGTTTGTCGTCATGTCCGCTACCTTGCATGCGCCGTCCTGCTCTCGCACTGTGGGGTCGGTCCCCCCAGAACGTGAACAGGAGGCTGGTGTGAGAATCGCGGTGCCGCCGCATTGACAGCGAGGAAAACACAGTCTAGAGAGGTCTTGTGCTGCTTGTGAGGCCGCACGGAACAGGGCTGGTGCAAGCAGCAGTCGTTATGACTACACACTCTCAGCGCGGTCAATGGCAAACGCGGGAAGCCGTAGCCACCGCCAAGCAAGCTCCCCGAACGTTATGGTCAGACACATCTTGTCTCCCGTCTGATTATGTTGGAGGTACAAATCATAACTGGTATCCTGCGTGTATAGGACTCACACAGCCTCTCAGGAACATTGTTTCATTTGCGCCTCCCGGACGATCGTGTTCCTCCTTAGCGAGGGCTGATGGCTGTCGATCTGCGTTCTTCAAGCGCCGGAACTCAGTCCAGGCAACCGCCATGACGGACGCGGAGCGCTCTCCGACGTCGACACTTTCGAGGCAATGGAGCTCGTCCGCCTGGATTGCACGTTGCGCCGCGTGCTGGGCTCGACAGCCTAGATAGCGGCGTCGCACAGCGCGAGGTGGTCTATCTATGCCGGCACGCCCTGCGGAGGACCGCCTCTGGTTGACACACGTCTTATTCTTTCCATTTTGCGCGACGTCCCGCACGCTGCCTCAGCGCGGACCGCCCTGGTGATCCTTCTTCGCTGCCTCGCGCGCGACATGTTGGGGGCGAACCCGGACGCTCGTTCCGTGTAGACCACGTACGGAAAGGCGTCCTCGACGGTACGCGCCCTCGAGCTCTGGGTTTAAATTTGGTGGCACTCAATGCGGCGCTCAAATATCCAGGTAGAGTTCCGCCCAGCGCTCGGCGTGCAGTCCAGAACGCAGGGTCGTCCTTCGCTGTGCTCGACCAGCCCCACGCAGCCACCTGCACACGCACCGCGTTCCACTTGCTCGACCTCGCACGCCCCACGTCCCAGGTATCACGGCACGCCGACGACGGCCCAGGAAACCCCAATACGCGGCGTGGGCCCGAACACCCTTCTGCGGACGCCCCAAGGAATACGGCACGGTCTATTTTCGCGTTTTCGCCTCGATTTGCGGCGCGAGGTGCTCATGTGGGCGGGGGGCGGGCGCCCACGCCCGCTCGTCCCGCCTCGTGGCTGATGCAGGAAGCTTCGACCGTGGGCAGGCAGCCCGGACAAGCCGGATAGGAGCAGGCGCGAGGCGTCGGCTGTGCGCCGACATGCGGAGGTCTGTCCTTGTGGGAGTCACCCTCCGGGGAGTGGAGCGGTGCAGTACGCGTAGGCGGCGAACGATCTCGCAGCGGTCACCAGCGACCTACGACGTCACAGTAACGCTGCCCCCAGCGCAGAGCGAGGTGCGTGCGCAGGGCCACGCGTTTGTCGCGAGCCTGCCTTGTATGTCCTGGCTTGCTTTGTGGGGCCAGATCGCCTCGTCTGGGCCGCTAGCGCTACACGCGCCCGAACACGATACATACTGTGATCGGTGGCGCGTGGCGTTTGTGATACCAGGGATAGAAGGCGCGAACGCCTCTGCACAATCCCACCCTCTCTGACCATGGGAATTCACGCTTGTGCAGAAAGAGCATGTTCAAAGGCGATGCGGACATTCTCAAGAGCTTTCTAATGCTATCGCTCCGCTATTAGCGCTAGACCATCAGATGGACGCGAAGGTCGATACAGAATGTCGCGAGTTCGGCATCGTCCACCTTTTGTTTCTCAGAGCAGCATGGGAGGCCTCGAGGCGGAGATAGCGCCATCGCATCCGCATATGCCCCTGAATATTGTTCATGTGTCCGGTTGTAGATGGTAGGTGTTAGCCAAGGTTCGGTCGGTCGTACGACGGCGGAAAGGAGCGTCCTTGAGTTTTATCGATGGGGCAGGGTGTGCTCGGGATATACGTAGTTGCACGCTTGGGAGAACGAATAGAAGTCTTCTCCGCTTTATGTGTGTGGTTTAAGGTACGAAACCTACACTGCCGACGAGCAACTTGATTGACTGTCATGCACCAGTGCAGCACGCAAATACTACAATGACGGAGCGTGAAATTCTATCCGCATTGCAGAGGCGGGATACAGTAATACAGGAACATTTCACGATGTGATTGCATCAGAGCATCTAAGAATCATGTCGTATATCGCGCCGAGCGAGCCACTTCATCCTATGCCCTCATAATTTTACAGCTTCTATCTAGGTGTCAGTACGGGCAACCTGAGAAAGAAAGTGAACGGTAGCGGAGGAGACTCCCAAGAACGTGCATGACAAACAGCGAATACTAAACACTATCGTAAGTCTACTACACACTGGGCATCAGAGTCATCCCCGCACGACCGGCCGTCGGGTCGGATTACCAACGCGATAGTGCCGTCCAGCCAGGGAAGGTGGGTACCCCGAATAACTGAGGATGCAGGCTTAGGTTCCCTTCCCTCCGAACCCAGAACGCGCAGAGTGCTACGGGGAACCATATATATCAGTAATTATCATCAGGCGACGTCTCGTGAACCAAGACACTCGTGTTTGGCCGCCGTATTGCCCTCCTTTGGGGACAGTCGCTCGGCCTGGCAGGTGTAAAAGTGGCTAGCCTCCGAGTCGGCTGGGCTTCCCGCACGGTCTGCCCCTGTCTGCGAGAACTCGAGCGGAAGCTCTGCAACGTAACTCGGTGCAACCTTGCGCCAAACATGTGAGTTTGCGGCGTACCTGTTGTATTCCGAGAACAGCTCACATTAGCATCGGTGTGGCTTAATACAGGAGAAGGACACCTCACGGCGCGACGGTGGAATGTCGGCCGCGAGAGCGAGCGCGATCTGCATGGTTCTATCACGTCAATCAGCATACCTGGAGGCATTGCGAGGGACCTTGTGATAGAGGACTCCTTGGCGTTCTGCTCGGAGGTCGTTCCGGTCTGAGTGAGCCTGAGTAACCTCGGAGAATGCTACCTGCTGTGATAGAGTTGAGAAGCACTGTGCATGCGTGTGATATGTTAAGGCTAAAGAGGGATATACGCTGCCTTATGATGTAGTATGGGAGATGTCCTAAGACTGTCTATGCATATGGATGGACGTGGGCTCTAAACGAGAGGTCGTCGTTCAAGCGGGGCCAGATGCGTGGCGACTTTGCAACCTTGGAACATATTTGTCAGTTATGCGATTATGCACGGCGCTGTAACCCGACCTTACATGCAAGTACAGCCTGCCGCCCTTTGTTCACGAGCACATTATAGGTAAACTGGAATGGATGAGGTGGGTGGTGGTGTAAATACAGGTTTGCAAAACGAATGCCAGGAGCGTGGATTGAACACGCGACCTCCAGAAACCCGAGACGATTTGTCACTTCAGTCTGTTGCTCTCCCAGCTGAGCTATCCCGGCTTGAAAAATGCATTGCCAGCACAACTTCGATCAGATCAAAATCAATACACTGTCAGTGACGTCTGTATCGCGTCGACCAGCGTCGACCCCGTAAAGGCTCGCTATCCGACTTGCCTCTGCCCGTTACACACCTTGCCGCGATTATCACTCTTGAGTCACTTCTGTTATCATGTCGGGCACAGGACCAAGAGAGAGCGTCTTCCCCACGCGGATGGCCCTCACGAACACGAAGCTCCGTCTCAAGGGAGCCCAGACGGGACACTCTTTGCTCGCGAAGAAGCGCGACGCCCTCACCACCCGCTTCAGGGCTATCCTTCGGAGAGTGGACGAGGTGCGTCTCTTATAGGCAACACACACTCCTCATGACCTTGCATAACCTGGTACCGTACCTTTCAGGCGAAACGGAAGATGGGCCGTGTGATGCAACTCGCGTCGTTCTCGCTCGCCGAGGTCACGTACGCGACGGGCGACATCTCGTATCTCGTACAAGAGCAGGCCAAGTCCGCGTCGTTCAAGGTCAAGGCACGACAGGACAACGTATCAGGTGTTATCCTTCCCGCATTTGAGGTCGACCGAGTACCAGGATCAGGTGCGCGCATCTCCTCGCTCTGCAATTGTGCACTACTCACACAAACCGCTAGACTTCAATCTGACCGGTCTTGGTCGTGGTGGGCAGCAGGTTCTGCGTGCGAAGGAGGTGTATGCAAAGGCGGTCGAAACACTGGTGGACCTGGCATCCCTCCAGACGGCCTTCATGATCCTTGACGAAGTCATCCGTGCTACCAACCGCCGAGTCAACGCAATCGAACACGTTATCATCCCCCGTCTAGAAAACACCATCAAGTACATCTCAAGCGAGCTGGATGAGATGGACCGAGAAGAGTTCTTCCGGTGAGCAGTGTCGATTTTATATGCGGATTTACGATGCCATTGATTTCTTGCAGCTTGAAGAAAGTACAGGGAAAGAAGAAACGAGATGCAGAGGCGGCGGAAGTTCTCAGGAAGGCGAAAGATGCTGAAGAGGTACCGGATGTAGCCCCAGATCACGCAGGCGGTGGAGGAGACCTACTTGGAAGCAAGGACGAGGATGTCATTTTCTGAGCATCTCTCCCTCTCCGGACTTGATTTTGATGTCATGCCATCGAATGGAATACCCTCATCCCCGTGTACAATACAAAATGCATGACTCTGCGAGTGGTCGCAGTAACCCCCTTTTCTGCGAGCACTCCCGTCATTCCAGATGGGGCGGGTCGGCCTGAGGCCCATGTAGCATAAACATGTCGTAGTGGCATACATACATGCGAGATTTTGCAGAGACAATGCAGGGAAAGCCAGGAAGAGCAATGAGAGGAGCCGAGAAGATTACTGCAAAGAGGGGTGAGTGACTGAGAACGGCACGGAATACATCTACGCACGTCGACCATCTCGACGTCCTCGCCCGCCGCCTTCGTGCTCTTCTTCCTGTCCTTGCGGTCAAGGATTGCCCGCCTGGTAGTTCCAACGGATTATTAGTGTCAAGACATTGAGTTGAAGATTGTCACGCACCTGTCCTTGTCCAGCTTGATGGTGGTAACGACAACCTTGCTGGGGTGGATGCCAATGGGGACGGATGCGCCGTTCGACTTGTCGCGCTGGACACGGTCGACGTGGATCACCCACTTCTTGCGGTACACCTGGGTGACCTTGCCCTCACGACCCTTGTACTTGCCCCTCACGATCCGGACCTCGTCATCCTTGCGAATGGGTATTGACCGCGTCTGCTCACTGTGTTACTGGGCGCTCCTAAGGAAATCTACCGGCAGAGGTGGGACGTACGTTGTACTTGGTGCGGAGCTCCTTGGAAAGCGAAGAGGACATGATCTTGCGCCTCACCGAGGAGGGCGCGGCGAAGTGCGCCTTGCGCGACTTGCGGCGGGAGGAGGAGACGTCTGCACGCAGAGGGGATCGTATGTCAGTACACCGGACTGACCGTACACACCACATCCGAAACGCCTCCGCCCAATCCATCCCATTCCACCTCTCCGGCCGCCCCGAAACCTCTCGACAGCACCAGGACAGCGTTTCGGCCTGCAATGGCAGAGTACTCACCGGGGTTGAACTTCATCTTGACGGTCTTGAGGATGTCGGCGGTGACGATGGCAGATTTTCCTCCCTCAATCAACCAGGCGCGGGCGTTCAGAGATCACGCGTAACGGCAGCGTGTCACGCCGTTTCTCCGTGATGTTGTCACACGCATTTCGGGAAGCGCTGGTGACTTCATCGCTCACCACCGCTGCAGCCACCTTTGACCTCGAGCACTCTCTTGAGCTTCGCGCTGATCTACACTCCCTGGTCATTTCACTGTATCTGGGGCTGCCACATATACTGCATCTGCCACCATGTCTAGCGAGAAACCGCGTCCCTCCAAACTGAAGTTCAAGGGCGAGAAGACTAAGAAGAAGCGCAAGCATGAGGACAGCGAGGAGGGTCCTAGCAGGCGGCGACGCAAGGAGGACAACGACGAGGCACCAGAGACCTGGGTGCTCCCCGATAGCGAGAACGAAATCCGCGGTCCTGCGTTCATCATCCACCCCTCCGACCCGTCTCCGCTCTGCATCACGTACAACTCGACGCGCGGTCGCATCGTCCTGCATTCCGTAGACAAGGACAAGACGGACGACTCGGAGCCGCCCACCATCAAGGAGCGCACGCCAACGGATGTCTCGCAGGTATGGGTCGTCACACGCATCGCGGGGTCACCGACCATCAACTTGCGCACCGGTGTGGGCGAGGGCAAGTTCATCTCGTGCGACAAGCACGGCCTCGTCTCCGCCGACCGCGAGGCGCGCGGTCCTCAGGAAGAATGGACGCCGGTCGTACTTCCAGACGGGATGGTCGCGTTCCAGAACGTGTATGAGAAGTACCTCAGCGTGGACGAGGTCGCGGGCGGACAACTGGATCTCCGCGGGGACAGCGAAGAGGTCAGCTTCCGGGAACGTTTCTGGGTCAAAGTCCAGAACAAGTACAAGAAGGAGGCGCACGACGAAGAGAAGAAGCGGAAAGAGGGCTTGATCGACGTCTCCTCCGTCGACGAGGCCGGTACCAAGTACGCCATGCCACCGTTTGTCTTATAGTAACGCGCGCTGACCCGGGGCTCAGCAAAATATACCAGGCATGGGGTGCTGGGAGGTCGGTGGTGTCTTCAGGAGATAAGAGCGAGGTCAGTCATTAGTCTTTGCTATATGATGTACATTATGCTAAATTCCGTACGCCAGCTCAAGAAAGCAAAGAAGGACGGACGACTAGCAGAGGCCCTTCTAGAACGCCGAGCAAAGCTCAAGAGGTGCGTATCTATCTCTGAATGCTGCCTGCACGACTCACGCCCTCTTCAGCGACCGTTTTTGTTGATTGCGATCGCTGCTGTATATAAGTATGTTTGATGTATTGGTAACGACTACAGTCCAGCCCCCGGGTCATACGCCGCCCCTACTGTTGTACTATTACAAGACTTCACCTTGCCACCGTGGAAGGAATCAGAGTGCATATGAAGCAAACGGACGTGCTAGTCATACATTCGTGCGTGAACGTCCGATCTCCACCCTCCGCATTTCCAATACTCTCATATGGCCTCCAGCCCGTCGCTGACCATCTTGAATTGCAATTCCGTGAGTTCTCCAGCGCTCACCCAACCATACAACCATCGCCGCCAGTTCTCTGCACGGAGCAGACCACGAAGCGCGCCCTCATCGCCTACGCCGTATCCGATGAAAACGGGAAGCAGGTGGCTCAAGTCTTGTGGCAACCCTTGCAGGAATCGCTGTATGAAAAGCCTGTCCTTCACCGGCTCTTGAGTCAGGGTGTTGCTTGGCGCACTGCTCGCGATAGTAGTGGAGACAGCAGTGCCCATACAGGATGCGTTCCGCTTAGAGCCGCTCTGAAACACAAAGTCAGTCCCGCACCATCACCCAATAAACGGGTCAAATGCACCTTGCACGGAGACTCACCGCACTGGCCATTTTCCAGATGGGTCTTGGCGTTACCATTTTTCTGTGGCGACGAGGAGGTGACAGTCCGACGGGACGTCTTTCGACGGTCCCACGACTTACAAGGCCGGGTGAGGTAGCGTCAATATACATTGTAAGAGCTTCACTCGAATGAAGCCTTACAGGAACGTCACTTCCGCAGTTCACTATGCCTGTGGCATAACCATTCTTACGAATCTGACGATGCAGCAACAGCATAGTAGAAAATGGCCAAGAGTCTTCGTAAGTCTTCAGAACAGGATGTATCCGAGTGGCCTGTATTGACGTCGTCGGTCCCAAGGTCAAAGATGCCGATGTCAGTGAAATATCGATGGGAATACCTCTTCGATCAGCAGAGCCTTTGATGGCGAGCCGACCTGCATTTCTTTTTGGTGCGGAAAGTAACGGTCGCAGAGCGTTCCGACAGTTTTCTACGGTCGCGAGCGCGTAAGTATTGGATGAGTGAGGCCAGCGCGTCACGCTGACGACGATATTGGACAGACATACAAGGATCTCACGATACAGGTCTCTGTCAGCCTCGGTCTTGGTGAGTCCCATCTGGCTTGCAAGGCACTCCGTCTCATCGAGGTATACGTTGAGCCGCCGGGATACCTTGCGTGGCCGGGGGATTGTGCTCATTGTGCGCGGGGCAGAGTGAGATTCAGGGTGGAGGTGTGCACCATTTTTCACGAAAAGTACTGACTTTATATAGCCCCATGCCTCGTGCATGTTGTTCAGAGACGAACATGACATCGACAGCTCTCGCGACCCTGCAAGTTCCGCGAGCCACGACGCGTCGCGTCAACGCCATCACGTGCTCCTACCTGGCTCTTGAGGCCTTGAGGGCTCGACGGCGGTTCACCTTCAAGCTCAACATTGCCAGTACGTGTCTTGTCTGCCAGAGCATCCCCGCACATCACTGGTACCGCGGCGGGCCGGTGGCGTGCGCCTGACAGCCTTGTACTTCAGTACTTGCCGCACGCCACTGTTCTTGAGTTCTAACCGCACATGGGGCGTCTTGATGTGACTTTGTATTCGCGTTTACGGGTCTTAGCTTATGGCCGCAAAATACTTATAGCGGGTTGCGCTCGGTATCTGCTCATACCAGTCTACTCAGGGATTCGCTCTCTCGGTGAGTGGCTCCGATCGATTCCCCTACCTGCTCATCGAACGCCAGTGATAGTAACCTGGTTATCATGACTCGCAAGGATCTCCTACATCCTATGGGGAACCTACAACTTGAACGCAGCACGTAGGTCATGTTCTTCCATCGTGAACCAAGCATGGTATACTGACTGGTTCCCAGATCGAACACCCTGGCTGACGCCGCGGTCCGACACACTACAGAAGAATGCGTGTTGGACGCCCATCGTTTCGAATGTGGATTCCCAATCGAGCTATGGGCGGAAATTATCGCATACATCGCTCAGCCCTCTGTGCTCACCCACCTCGCTCTCGCCTGTCAAACCCTTCGCCCAGAAGCCGAACGAGCTCTATACCGCAACGCCTCCGTTGGTCCTCGCGATCAGTCTGTGCTGCAATTTTGCGAGACTGTCGCTAAATGCTCGCGTCGCGCGGCAGCCGTGAAATCCCTTCGAATCGTGTTCCCCTTCACGTCGGATTCTGCCGTCGTCGTCCGACAAGCCTTGGCCAAAGCCTTTGGGGCCATAGTCTGCGTGGAGGGCCTTTACTTGTTGCGTCACTGGTCCGGGTCGTCACTGACCTCTGGCAATATGCATGACGCGTTGAACTACTCCCTGAACCTCCATAGACCAGGACCAATGCCATCCGTTCATCGACATCCCCGATTCGCGGAAACGATGTTCGACGAACTCGGTGGGAGTCCTGGCTGGTTCGTGAGAGCATCAGAGGATCCCCCGCTACTCCTGGAATGGCCCCACATCCACACTCTGGCGTGTCCCGGTGTCTTCCTTCTCAATCTCGCTCTACCGCGCTCGCAAATTACCTACCTTGACTTGCGGGAGTATTACCATGATATTCTTGTCGACGTCGCCACCCTCTTCGGTCACACCCTCGTCGGCCTGCGGCTTGGTCTCACAGAGCCGCGTCCATATCACATCTGGTCGCCCGGGGACATCGCGGCCAAGTTCCCCCGTCTGCGACGCCTTCATCTGGAAGAACACTCCACGATGCTCAGCAGGAGCCTGAGGGGTTGGAGAGTACTTGATGGACGCGCAGTACGTGGGTACCCGCCTCCTCCTAGAAAGGGTTTCTGACATGTATAATCACAGAGGCCATTTCAGGGACACGGCATTGCCTGGGATGCAGAGCCGACCACGAGCACGCTGGGACGAACGACCGGGACCTTGACACTCGTCTGGGTCGCATGGCACCTGCACGGGGATGTTGAACATCTCAACCGGGCGGATTTGCACCATCTCGCGAACGTCGACATTGGGGGCCTGGCCCAGCGGCTGCTGAGGCGATGGGCCCCGTATATCACTCGAGTGGCTTTCTGGTTCAGACCGCGTTACGAGCCGCTGCGGGCTTTCACCTCGTGGACGGTGGATAATGATGGTGGTGTCGTGGTGGAGCATACGCCTAACGAGACAATGGAGTACTCGTGGGAAGGGGGGTGTCGCTTCTGACCATGCCTAGAGATGGCTGCCGCCTCCCTGCGCAGGAGCATATCCCTATGTTACTACCGCACTACAGTCTTGACCATGTCAGGACATGGCTCTGTCCAACTGATGAATCATTACCGCCATGAGATGGGAATAAGTATCATGTATCCATTAGCGTCTACCTCGTCTTCGTATTATAACCCGCATGACGAAAACACATTGATCAAGCAATTCATATCAAGCATCGCGCAAAGAGGTGTCGCACATCGCACACTCCGTGTCTACCGGCGCATTCTCAAACGTACACGCAGGGCACGCCACAGACCCCATCGCGGGCGGGCTCGATGACGGCGGGACCGAGGAGTGCCCCGGGCCAAACGAGCTCCCACCACCCAACAGCGTCCCGCCGAAAGCCTGGCCTTCCGCCCGCTTCTTCTTGGGGCCGCCGCTCGGGCCATCGATCTCGATATCGCTGTCGGTGAGCAGATTGATGTCCTCGTTCTCCTCCTTGAGGTCGAGGAGGTCGTTCGACAGGATCCCGAGAGCGAGCATCGTCGCGGAGCTGTCGTCCAGTTCTTGGCCGCGGTGGAATAGCCGTTGTGATATGATCGGGATCCCGAGTTCGTCACTCAGCTAGAAGGAAAATTAAGACATTGCGATGCCGGTGCGGAAACACGAGTGCACCCACCATGACTTTCAGTTCCTTCACCGACATGGCTTTCGTGATCGTGATCTTACGCCGCTTGCCATACTCCCGAACTTGCCGGATGCGCTTCGACTTGCGGTAGCCCTCGCTCTGCTTCTTGCTGTACGTCAGCAGCGTCGTCTGCCCCGATTTTGCGGGTTGGACCGGTTCTTCGATGTATGTCTGCGCGGTGGGGATTGGGTCGTTGGGACCGAGGACGCGGACGGTGATCTCCGTCATCTCGAAAGAGGTGCGCCTGCGAAATTGTGTCAAAACAGGCTCACACGCCATTGTGCATGGAGCACTTTACCTCTGGATGCGGCAGTCGACACACACCGCCAGCTCGTGCGTAAACTTACCGGCCGCGTTCTCCACAGCAATCAGTGGCCCGGCAGAATACCTGAGAGCGTGAAGTCAGTATCCCACCAGATAATCCCCCGAATGTCCCGCAAACAAACTCACAACTCTTCCAGGGCGTCCCAATCGCTCCTCTTGACGATAGTCATTGAGGAATCCAAATCCCCACTGACGTTTGGGTCGAACGCGAGAAGTCCGTGCTCGCAGATGAACTGTGAATTGTCCGGGCCCTCGGGACGCGCAAGCTCGCTTGGGCGCATGGTCCACTGCCTCCAAGAGCGCACGAACTGCGCCGGCACGATCGCACACGGCACGTCTTCGAGCAACGCCGTGTTCCCGTTGAGTGCGTTGTCGTGCATGTGCTTCAGTCGCGCCTTCTCCTCTTCTGCCTGCTTCCGATATTCACGCCTGTCTTCTCGGGAGATGTGCATCTGCGCTTCACACACTGGACAGGGCTCTGCCGACGTCGACGGGGGCCTCCAGTTCGGAAACACTTCGTGCAGGATCGAGTACGCCTGTTCTCAACCTTCAGCACAAAGCTCACGCAAACGAGCATGAGCAACCGACCTCTGCAGATATCCGCCGCCGCGTGGCCACGTTCGTAGCCAGGTTCCCGTGTTCGCATACGACGTCGCTCAAATACTCCTCCGCGTCTGGCGGTGGATCGGGTGCACCGTCAACGTGCATCTTGGGTCTCGCCAGTCGCCAGTCTGAGTGCGAGCGGTGAGTCAGTCGCGGTGTTATTGGCGGAGAAGAGTGGGTTTACCTTTCAGCCAGGTTTTCGAGATGTGGAAGCCATCCTCGTCATCGGCAACCGCAGCGACCTCGTCGAAACGAGATACTAGGCGTGGATGCTCGATCTGGTATAGCTTGGCTGTGGGCGATGTGCTCAATACTCCGTCGTATCTAGGATAGTCGGAGCCATGGACGCACCATTGAACATGCGTTCCACACAACTTGGACAGACGTCCGCGGGAGTTAGCTTCGGTGCGAGAACGCACTCCTCCTCTTCCACAATGCGAGCATGTGCACTCTGAAACGCTCAGGTTAGAGGGATGACACGACTGTATGTGGGGAGTGCTCACTGCTCGTATAACCTTCATATCTCCGGCCTTGTCTGGGTCGAGTTTGCCATGACTGCACACCACATCGGATGTGGAAATAGAAACTTCGGAAGGGCTCTCGGCGGGTGGCACGGCTGCGTCTTCCTTCTTGGGAGCATTATCTGCGGGAGCAGGGGTAGGTGTTGTCTTTGGTGTCTTCGGCTTCGCGATATGGCGCGATATCCACGACTCCAGGCTCTGACGGCTTGCAACAACACAGTCCTGCTGTCTCATCAAGATATGTCACAGGCCGCGTGCAAAGCCGAGACGTACCTCGTCACGAGAAGAAACGTTCCAGCTCCGGTAGATATCCATGACGGTCTGTCGAGTCTTGTCGAACCTTACTCTGCTCTCCTTCTCCCTATAGCAGACCCATGTCAGTCATCAGGACGACGCATGCAACAGGCTCACGGACCGTTCAGTGTGTTCTTTGCACGCCTTCTCGTGTGCAACGTTCAAAGATGTCACAGCTTCCATTGCCTTTGGCGGAGGGACAATCTCTGATACTTGAACTGGGGGCGGATCTGGACGCTGTATCGCCCTGTCCACTATAGCATCCTTGTTATAGACCCGAGCGTACACGAGCATGTATGCGTCCTTCGAAGATATGTAACTTTCCCAAACATCAGTTGATGCGTTTTGAGAGACGCGTGGCGCACAGCACTCACTCTGGGCGTTCTGGGCGTTCTGGTGATTCTTCGCTCTTCTGCGGTTGAGATGGGCCGCTGAGAAGCACGAGGTGAGTAGCCGGGCATATATTCGTATGGCGTGGAGCGTACTCGACGATCTCGATGTCGCTGTCACTGTCTTCAACACGCCGTCGTTTACGTGCGGGGACGCGTGCCTTCGGCGCTGCGCTACCGTTCTTCCTAGGAATTGGGTCAGCTCTCGTTGACACAAGGTCAGCCATCGGGTGATTTCTTACTTCTTTGTATCCTTGCCGTTGCGCCCTCCCTTCTTCGTAGTATCGATCTTCGGCACGAGGGAGTCGATCTTGGTGACCTCCTCGTCGTTGAACTGATACCACGACTGGTTTCTACGAAGCGTGTCATGAGAGTCATTTCCGAGGACTACAAGGCGGAAGACGAACTGGACGTCGAAAACCTGCGCTTCGTAGTGCCCGTGGTATGCACTGGCACCCTTGTGCAAGAGCACGCCCCGCAGTTCGTAGAGGTTCTCACTGCAACGCGCCGGCCACGCCCCGCGCCGTCTTCGCTTCTCTGGAGGGCCAACGAAGTGGTTCATATCGATGAAGGTCGGGAAGAGGATGGACTGCTTCGATTTCTTGCGCTCCATGGTTGCGAGGTCGTACACGAAGCGCAGGAGCGAGAAATGTAGAACTGGTGGCAGCTCCAGAAGCTCGGTGTAGCGCTTAGCATCTTGCAGGCTATCGCACTCCTGACATAGGTACCTGAAGACGACGATGAGCAGGCTATGGCAGCAGAATGGGCCGTTCGTCCAACGCACTTGTTGTCTCCGGACAGGATTTCAGGCTCCAGTAACGCAGCCAGGCGCTCCTGTAGAGTGGCATTATTCTGGAAACATAGTTAGCGTTGATGCCAGCAGCTGATGTCAATATAGAAGGGCTGCGGTGCACCTCGATGTTCAGCTCTATTTCTAGGAAGTCGGAGTCCCGTTCCGATCGTCGCCCACAATTCTGGCAGACAGTATTGTACACCTGCTTGCCTTCGAACTAGCTGGTGATCAGCTAACAGCCCTGCTGACGTTCCCGTTGACCTACTTGGTTGGCTATGAGCGATTGAAGTTCCGGATCCTGCTGCTTCTTGAATTCGGTGTCCAGATGAGCCATGAATAGTTTCGAGAACCTTCGGAGGGTCAGCTTGCACGACACATGGTATTCCGCGATGCCACGTACTCCTGAGCGTCTTGTTGCTCGGTGGCGCGCAGCTTCAAACTCTCGACCAATTTGACAGGGTTGAAGGTGTTCAGAGCGCTATGTTGCATTGCAGCGAATGTTACTTGGAGCTGAAAAATAGGCGACTCCTGCAGACAGAGCTAGTAGTTAGAACCATCTTTGTAAGGATACCTTGCCTTGCGTTCCGTTTACCTCGAAGGCATGCGCCGTATCTTGGGCTGGTTGGCATTGGTACACGCCCTTGCGAAACAAGAGGTCTTGAAACCACACCTGCGTATGTCTGTGATGTTATGTACGAACACAGACGTTGATATCAGCTTACCTGCAAGTACGCATTCGCATAGCAAGTAGCCCCAAGATTCTACGGAAGAGATGAGGATGTGCACTTTTGCAAGGGGGTTTCCAACGAGAATAAACAAACCTTCAGACCTATTGGCGTCAAGCCATCTCGCGAATTGAGATTGGGGTTATTTCCAAGGTCGTGTGCCTTCACATACGCCTCGTAAGCTTTGTCTGCGTCCACTGTCACTGATCAGTCTGACAGATAGAGCAAGACATAGCTCACCGACGTCCTCCCACTTGTCCTGTCCAAGGTAGTTAATACAATAAGGATCGCTCTTGCACACCTTGTTGCTGCATGTCGGTCCTTCATCGTCAGATATTACGATGACATCGTCCGCTGCTTCGTCGAGGTCGGCCGGACCAGAGCTGCCATTTGGTATATCTCCAGGGGGCGTTTGTCGCTTTTCCACGTATTTGTTGCGACATAGGGTATGTGTGCTACCGCCAGAAAATCCGCAAGTAGCCAATTGGTGATCTCGGGTGATACCAGACGCGTCCGCGACCTCAGTTCCGACCCAGCCCCAAGCAGAATACGCAGCATTTCCAGTGAGCTTGGCGCGCTTCAAGCGTTCGCCAGCAGAGAGACCAGATGGACCTGGCGAGTTACGCCGAGTGCGTTTAGGAGGCATGAGAGAGATCGCAAGCCTGTCGCCACAGGATGGTGGAAGAGCGAAAGCGAGCGTGGGCGGTCCTGCGCTTTGCCGTCGCGGCGGTGGCTGCAGTGAGCGGGCGTCTAATAACCTACGCGTCGCGGGAACGTGATCTCCTCTTCGATCGCGTTAGCGCCCAACGCGTACCTCTCCCCTCCATCCTGCGCATCCGCCGCTCGCGATTGTCGTCGTGATAGGTCGATGAGATAGCTTGGTGAGTTCGTTAAACATTTATATATATTGCCTACTCGCAAAGGTGGGCAACGCAGGTGCACCCGCACGCGACCGATCTGCAAGCTACTGAGTACTCTGCAAGTCTCAAACACTGACGCAATCCTAGGTTCTTTCGGATCCTTATAACTTGTCCGAGTACATTCTACAGTGGGACGGCTTTTAACATCGCCGGACCTGTAAGGTTTTTCCTCGTGCATGAGTTGGACCCAAGTTGGACCGGGAACCCCCTTGGGATAGCGTCGATCGATCGCTGTCACTGAGTTGTTTGTCTCTTGTTTGGGCGTGGTTGAACAGGTGAAGTATAAGAACCTCGCCCACCCACAGCCGGATCCCTACCTCTCCTGCTGGTCTGTGTTCTTCCGCACGGGTCAAAATGTTCCTCCTACCCTTCATCTTCGCGGGCTGCTTCATGCTCACCGTTCTAAACCCGCGCTATGCCACAACTCTCCTTTCACAGGCTATCCCTCAGACCGGGCTCCTTGGCAGCGTACTATCCCCTGTGATTGGCTTACTATCTGGTTCTCAATCTGTACTGTCTATCTGGCGACCTCTGTCTTTGCCGTCGTCTTCATATGCCTCGGAGACCATCACTCTCGGTCGCCACCAACGCCGCCCAGCAAGCACCCCCGGAATTTGCGGCTCTGTAGATGGCTCCTTCAGGCCTATGGCTCATGACAACGCTTGTTTCGATGAACAGTATGACGCTCCCGTGGCAAGCACGGAGGGACTGGAACTGGTCGTGCTTTTCCTCTTGCTGTGTCTTCTCTGGGGTGCATGCTCCTCCTTCGTTGAACGATTCCGAGTGCCCAAGCCTCTGTCGACCGCGACGAGCGTTGTAGAGGACATCCTTGCCCAGGTACGCACGTTCCGCACACATATACAATGATTTATGTGACAAACCTCCGTAGCCTGGACCCCAAGCCCTCATAGCCAGCAACTCAGTCGAATTTGGCGACCTCGATGAAGTGGAAGAAGACAGCGGACCGATCCCCGCACAGCTGCATTTTGTCACCCCTGACGGTGACGACCTTGCCCACGGGTCGCCTTTCGTCCTCAACACGCGTACTTCTACCGAAGGCATCTTGGCTGTTCCCTTGCGGGTTTGCTCTTCGCCGACGAGTCTGAAAGGCGGCAGTCTCTACGCGCTGGAGGAACGCTCAGCGGACACGTTGTCCGCTCCATCGTCCCCAGAGATATCTTCCCAGAATGATGAACTAGCCTCGGGAATGGCGCAGGTACGCATCGAAGTCTATTCACTGGCTCTGGTAGTACTGACGAGCTTTTTGCCAGGGAATAGCGAGAATTATGGCACAGTTTGGACGCATCCCACCCGCACCAATGCAGCAGAGCGCTCTGAGCCTAGACAGCCTTACGCTTGGACCCGACACATCTATCTCCGATGCAGACACCCCAACTCCAGACGTCGGCGACTCCAGCCCTGAGGACATGAGCCGTCCCTTTATGCTACCTGATCGCCCTGCCGTGGCCGACGAAGATCTCAACGCTCGCGCACCGCCTCGCGCACGCAGCCATTCCTATTGCAATTCTCTTTCGCCTTTGCTTGAGGAGGCAGCCATGTTCACAGTCGTGAAATCAGCGAGTACAAAGGGACTTAACGTACGTCTCATTCACATGACTCGCCACTGGTTCACCGGGCTGATCTCACTTCGCACATTGTCTTAGCTCAGGAAAAGTGCATCTGCCGAATTTCCGGCCTCAAACTCGGGGCCTTCGCGTGCCTTCATCGTCGAAATCGAGGAGCCGGCACAACCACACCCAGCGGGTCCCACACCAGCCGCCGTAGAGTCAGCGTCGACTTTTGCGGCGCAACTACCTCAGCGCCACCAACGTCCCGCGAAACCACCGGTCACTGTCTGGCCCCGCGTACCACTTGAAGCCCGGAGATCGAGGATGCCCAGCTCTCAGCCTATCCGCATGACGACGGAAGAGACCAGCACGAGCTCCTGGGACCAGCCACGCAGGTCACGCACGGTCACTGGCGTATGAGAAGCACACATCCCGTCGACTTCCGCGGTTTGTCTACAGCCTATTTTCATCCGTTACTGTTCACATGCGACCCTGTTTCACGCTATCCATGTTGTACTGTGGTGATGTTTTGCCTGTGTTCGCATCTAGATATGTAGCGTACTAGCAATTCAGGTCAACCATATTCGACCAAGACATTTCTGCCGTCTGAACGCCGGTGTAACCCTTCCCCTTCTTCTGGCCGCGTCTGATATACTATTCGGTGTGGAAGGGGTTGTGAGCACCCGATAAATCATATGTAGACAGGGCACGACGTACATTCATAGTGCCCGTTTTCTTGACTTCAGGATGCGCGATACGGAGATTATCCATGGTTTGCTCGACAGCCTCGGTCTTCCTGAGACTCGCCCGCTCTTCCGCGACCTCGTACAGCATGCCCTGCATCTGCTGCTGGACGGCAGTCGGGCGCTGTCTGGCAAACAATTCCAGTAACGACTTTACTCTGAGGTTCTCTTCCTCAAGAACTTCACAGCGCTTCATCGCAGCCGCCACCTTGCCCTCCCAGGCCGCACAGTCGCGCTCGCTGGCCACCAGCGCCTTCTCCGTCGCCTCCCGCCGCTCCGACCCGCTCGCGACCTGCTCAGCGAGGTAGTCGACGAGCGCGCGGAACTTCTCCTCGGAGCGCAGGCGGTGCGTGCGCTCCTGCTCGAGCGCGACCGCCAGCTGCTTGGCGTCGCTGTCCTCGGGCGAGCAGAGCCGGAGGGACTGGCGGAGGAAGCCGACTTCTTCGCGGAGGGCGGCGTTCTCCTCGACCAGGCCGCGCTGTGCGGCTTTCTTCTGCTTGCGGAGCGCGTCGACTGTGGCGCGCAAGTCGGCCTCGATGTTTTTGGGTGGAGGGTCCGAGAAAAAATGGGAAGGCGGGGGAGGGTAAGGGTTGGACACAGACGGGCTTGCAGCGTAATCCTGCGGGAGAGGAGTCGTCTGAGAGGCTTGCGGAGACAGCAAATTGGGCGACGCCGTAGACAAGCAAGCTAGTGCTGTAGGACTGAGCGGGGCCGGAGCTGAGGGAGTTGAGCATGCCGTCGGTCTGCCAGGAGAGTCAAGCGCAATCGGATGTCCGGAGTCTACAGAGCAGTTGGCCTCAGATTCGAGCAAATGTGCAGTAGTGTTCTCGTCTAGCCAGGGAAGCAGCGAGTGATCCTCGGAGGCATCGAACGACGAGTGCGTCGATAGAGACATGACTGCGAGTCGCCCGGGGACGCTGGTAGGTGTTGAATGTGAGTAGATATGGCTGGTCCCTGCCCACTATGCAGCGCATCCTCAGCTGGCCGCTATGGGCGCGGTTTGCAAGGTAGCCTCTGTTAGCCGCAGGCGTAGAGTCGCCGTTTGAGGCGGCTGACATTCGTGTGCATTGAACATGAATGTCCGGCACCAGTAGACGTGGGCACTATAGGTCTTGAGGTCGGCTTGAGATATCATCCAATAGAGCCAGCTACGCTTGTGGTGGTCGAGAGGAAAGGTGCGGGCGCGTCTGTTTCGGGGCGCTCGACGCGCGACGCGTTCTCCTGGCGGGGACAACTTGTTCGCTATCGACGGCCACCCTCTGGGTCGCTCACCATCTTTCTCGGCTCTGCTTTCGCGCTCTTGGGTATCACTGCTATCGTATAGTCGGGGTCTAGCTGGATGGACTATTTCTCGAAGTTCCTGCGGTCAGGCACCCAGCCTGCGCCGAAGGCGGAGGTGTGTGCCGGTCAAGCCCATCGGGACTGAAGTCAGAGTCTCACTGGATACCATCCACTCCCAGGTCGACCATGCGCAGGAATTCCACAAATCATGGGTGCTCGTCAAGGTACTGGCACCTTGCCACGGTGTTCACGTTCGCTCCGCTTAATGGCCATGCCACAGAACACCCTCTTACACCCTGACGAACGTCAGTTGACTCGCGGGATCAAGTCCACGGATGTTCCTGCCCACCTTCAATCTATGGTGGACTCGCTGGTTTGGGAGTCGACGCGTACGGAGGAAGGGTGAGTCTTACGCCCCAGTGAGCATACCCCGCCGTTCCCAACTGGCTCTCAACCAGGGCTACTGGCGCCTGCTTGGAGTACCTTCTCAAGAACGGTATGTCCATTCTCTGTATATTTCGTGCCAACTAGCCTGATTTTGCCCAAGACATACTGGGAACCCTGGTGAAACTGAGCGAATCCGATCGGCCCTTCGGTATCCAGGCAGAAGTCCTCCGCGCAGTGCAGAACTTGGTAGTCCTCCTGGATGAACAGTTCCTTGTCCACTCCGCAGTACACAAGGCCGTTCTACGGCTTCTTCGCAACTGCGTAGGGGACGATTTACAAGAACAACTGGATGGCAGGAACAAACCCATGGGAGCGGCCGGGAACGCAAGCCGCACCCAGCCCTCCGAGTACGAGGAAGACTGTGAGTATGAGCTCTTCATTCATGCACCCTATCCCGCTGAGGTTCTTCCAGTGGTCAACCTGCTATGCATCTTGTGCAGTAGGATACGGACTTACCGCGAGCTGCTCATGATATTCTTCCACGACAAGCAGTGGTACCGGCCAGAACCCCTGTTTTCTGTCGAGGAAGAAGAGGAAGAGGAGGAGGAAGAGGAAAATACGAAACCGGACGAGCAACCTTCTGAGCCTGCGCCCTCTGATTCTAACGCGCCTGCACGGGCAACATCTCCCTCTCCTTCCCACAACACAGACAACTCAGGGCTCGCTTCGTCCGCGACGAAGAAGCCTGAGTATGAGTTCCTCTTGTTCAACTACCTTCTCCGCTTCTGGCATCGAGAAGGACAAATCGGCGACTTCGCGCGAGCCGGGTTGCTCTTCCTCATGGATGTTGCCATGTCTCCAGTGGACACTTCGCACGGGTCAGGCGCGGAAGACCTGCGCTCGTCGACCTCTACCCTGTCTGCGATGGATAGTGATCCCAACACTGACGCCGCACTTGCGCTCGCGGAGTACATTCTGGACGGCGACTTTTCCGACGTTCTTGCGGCCGGTCTTGCAGCGGTGTATTCGTTGCTCCCAACGAAACTCGAAGTCCGGCCGCCCGTTCCTGCCGATACCACACCAGGATCAGCTATGATCCTCGGTAACTCAGTGTCTGATCTGTCGCAGGAGGAGAAGGATAAGCTCGAGGCGGAGCGGGAAAGGAGCAGGGCCATGGGGTTGGAGGAATCGTCAAGTCCCGACTTCAAAGCACGACTTGATCACTTCCTGAAGCTGCTAGAGTTCCTGCAGGACGTCTTCCGGCGTAATGTCTCCCGGGATCCTAACGACGACAGCCTCGACCCTACTCAACTAGTCGGGTCCGCGATTGTGCAATCTATCCTCGACGCGTTCCGGCGCGTATTCCTGGAGAACATTCTGTATCCCTCAGTCCTCGAGTGCTCAGATGCGGACGGCAGCGCTGTCGCGGTGATGTCGTATATCGAGGTCATGATTCGGACGCTCGAGAACGGCCAGCTTGCGGACTTGCTCATCGACTTCCTGATGAGCGAAGACAACGCAGAAGACCTCTCTTCATCACGCAACCGCCCGTACTCCATGCTCATGCTTGGTGGGAAGCTGCCTCCAGTTGCAAAATCCCAAGAGTCAAACCGCAAAGCGAAGCAACGGCGACGGAAGAGTACCGCGATGGCGCTCCTCGAGATGGAGGCTCCCGACGCTCGTCGAAAGTCGTCCTATTTCACCGCCGTCGGACGGTTCACCCTCAAGGACCTCCTCCTAACCAGCCTGCGCTCAAAATCCCAACCTACCGCCACTGCCGCGCTCCAGCTCCTCCAATCTCTCCTCCTCCAGTACTGCACGCTCTGCGTGGATCGCCTACTCGTCGTCATTCACGATCCCCAAGCCACCTCGTTCCCCCACCCCGCTATGCTCCCGGAAGCCATAGAAGATATCCCGCCTACACAGCCTGAGAACGACTCTGACGACGACGAGGCGTTCATATACCCCGGCACGGACGATACCAAGAAGGCGTCAGAAGCCAAGCTCCCGGCGATGGTCTTCAGCCAGCCCGATACTACATACTGGACGCACGAGCGCGAGATGGGACTTTACCTCACGCTCGTCTCGCGGGTAGACCCGAACCACAACGAGGACGCGTTCAGCACCGGGTACGATCACTACCTGCGAGATGCCTTGCTCTCCATCCAGGGCCAGTCGTGTTTCCGCCTCGACATCGAGGAGGAGGAGAGGATAAAGATGAAGCACCGTCTCAACCCGAACGACCCCGTGCTTTCCCTGGTGCTCGAGTCGCTACGGAAATTCTTCTCAAACACCCCGGAGATGAACATGGCCCTCACAGGCGCGCTCGCAACGCTCGCCCTCTGCCCAGACCGCTCCCTCGCCGGCTGGCTCACCTTCGCGCCAAAGGAGTCCCCGACGCCTTCTGGTGCTCGAGCCCAAGATGACGACGCGCTTCTATACTCGGACGACGGCGACGACCGCTCGATCGACTTCCGGATAGAGGAGAAGCTCGCATCCGAGACACATATTCTCCCCGCGTCGAGCATGGACGAGCAGTCCCGCCCGGTCATTCACACGATCTTCCACGGGCTCGTCTCGCAGCTCGAGCGCTACCGCCAGATGGTCGACCACTTCGACCAGTACCTCCTCGAGCGCCGCCAGGGCCTGCTCTTCAACGAGAACCTCACGGACGCTCTCACGCTCGCGCTCGACTTCGAGGGCGGCCTCGTGCCGCGCTCCGCCGGGGCGGCGCTCGTGCAGTCCCCGGCGACGGAGAGGGCCCCCACACAGCTGAAGCCGCAGCCAAAGACCGCGTCGTCGACGATCATGTCCTTCCTCACCCCGAAGAAGAGCAGGCCGACCAAGCCCGCGCCGTCCGAGCCGACGACCCCCTCGCGTGGCTCGCGAGCACTGGACGCGAGTCCGTTCGGCCCGCACTACATGAAGACGGGCGCGATCACGGTCGAGCCATACCTCGCTCCCGCGCCGTCGTCGGGCCCATGGACCCCCGCGAAGTCGCGTAAATGGGATGCGGACGAGGAGGACGTGTTCGGATCGTCGGGGCAGTGGGGCGAGGGGCCCGCCGCGTCCGAGAGTCCCGTGGAGGAAGCGGAAGAGGAGAGCGCGGCGATCGTGCACGTTACGCTGTCGCAGTTGTTGGACAACGTCGTGATCTTGGAAGAGTCGATCAAGGAACTTGTAGCTATCATACATGCGAGACGTAGTCTGGGCATAGACGCGATCCGGTACCTGTGATATATCTGCTTGTATTGCGGACTATGTGTATGAACTCACGGACGTTAACTGCTCCTGCTACTCAACGCACATCCCCAACCAAGACAAGAATTGGCTGCAGTAAAACGAACATAGGGATTATAAGGAGGTACGTGATTACGGAGCATTCGTATCGTACTCGGTGGGGCCTCATTGAGGCAGACAGTCCAGACGATCGAAACGGGACTATGCGGTAGAATCACCTTCGCCGTACGCGCCGCACAACGCGCTCTCCATCGGCATAGGCGTACATGCAAATCGAGGGCAGGCCACGAGTGTCGGTCTCCAGGTGAATGTAAGAGTGTCGGCCCAGCGTGTCCTCGTTACTAGCCGTGACGCCGTGCCTACACATGATTGGAGCATAGTCTCGTCAATACAAGCCAAATCTTGGCGGGCAGAACAGCTGCTGCATACTGGTATTTGAGATGGCTTAACATCCACTCGTCACGCACGGTGTCATGCTGGCAGTAGATACAGCCGAGCCTGTAGTGGTAGGGCAGGTCCAGGTCCCGGCGGCCTCGTATGCGCTTTTCCTCTCGCCGGACGGCTTTGGACTCGACCTCGTTGAGAGCCTTCAAGCGACACGGAACACCGCGAGAACGGCGAGACTGATCCTTGTAGTGCAACAACTACGGGAATGCGATTCCGGGGTATCACAGGTGAACTCAGTCAGTCTCTAGGTCGCTAGTAAAGCTGCGTATCGGACTCACAGCACGCAGCCAATCAAAGACTTCGACCTTGATCCCGTCGTCGCGCTCGGAGACGCATTCGACACATACCAGCCTCTTCTTTACCTTGTCAAGTTGCTTTTGTGTTGTCCGAAGGGGATCCAAGTCGCACGCCCGTACTACCGCGGAGAGATTGCGCACAACGCGGAGATCGACCTTGAGGAACTTCAATGACAGTGGTGCCCGCTGCGAGCTGGAGTAGTCATGAAGAGCATCCACGAAAGCCCCTCCTTCCCAGGACGGCAGCCATGACGCGCGAGTGCAGGGGTGCGACAGTAGCTCGGGCCACCGCAGCGGCGTCGCTCGGTCGCAGTGGGTGCAGGAGAACGCCGCGATCGCGAGGGTCAGCGGACTGCCAGCGACACCCACTAGCTCTGGGAGCACGCTTGTAAGCATTGCAATGAGGGCGATCTCTTGTTTTCGTTTCCAGTCCCTAGTCAATGCATCGAAAATGGCGTGAATGTCTTGGACCGACGAGCGAGCAATGCCCAACGAGACGATGTTCGGGTCTTCGCAGAGGGCCCGGACTTCGGGCATGAGGATGAAGTCGACCAGAAGTGGGTCCATGTCGCCATCGGCAATTCGGAGTCTGTCGGGAGGACGATGAATCGCGAGAGCTTGCGCTATCTCTTCGAATCTGGCCTGTAGGATGCCACGGTATACTTGGAAGAGACGTTTTTGTCGTATCTCATCCATGAAGGCGTATGCATCTTCCCGAATATTGGCCCATGCTACCGCATCGGTCTCGTTAACGTGTGATACGGAACGCGCGGAGAAATGACTACGCGTACCTCGATCGGTCAGCTTGGCAGGCTTGCGAACATATGGCTGTTCACGGAAAGCGTAGATGCCCAATTCACTCATATAGTTCAATTCGGCCCCCCACCCATCTTCACGGAGGCGGTCTAGGATGCTGATGGGTATTCGTCAGCGCCGCAAAGTGGAACAATGGTCAAAGAAACTGACTATGAGAACCGTTCGGAGCGAAGATTATCAAGCTCGAGCGCTCGGGCCTCCGCCTGTGCTTCCTTCCACGCATATAATCTGTTGCATGTCTGTAATTTCGCTGTGAGCTCTGGATACTGCACGCTTCATAGCGTACTTCACCTCTTCAATCAGGGCCACGGCAGCAACCTGTTCTTCTGCGAATCGCCTTCGGGCATTCTCGTCCTCTGCAGGTATCTCTGACCAAGCCTTGATTTTGGCGTCCACCTCCGGCACATGGAAGTACTCTACCTCACTGCACATAGAGAAACCCAGCGAGCGCATGAGCACATTCTCTGCGTGAGATATTTGTAATGCGGCGTTTGACGCACCAAGCGGCATTGCGGAGGAGAGCAGTGTTCATTATACGTCTGAACATTGCGTCGCATCGAACACTTCATCGTCGAAGAAACGGACATCGTCCCACTGTACCAATCTGTTATAAAGCAAGTTGCGTCAGTCATCAATGGACATCTGTGTGTTAGGATGTAGGGCTCACCGTTCATCCTTGCAACCAGAACAATACCGGACGGAGAACTCGAATATTACAGCCTGTATGTTAGGCTTCAAACAGTTCTAGCAACGCCTCAAGTTAGCACCTAGCACCGAGTGTGGTGCACGCTGCAAAGGCCACTCAACGTACATGACAACAAGCGAAAAACGTCAGGTTAGCGTACGCGGGCTCGCTCAGATACGGTGGGCAGTCGGGGAGACCCTCAACCGTCTTCCTCGCGTCCCTCCAGAACGGTGATGCGGCACGGTTCATGAGGAAGGATCGGAATGCTCGTGTGGTGCGGGCCAGATTGAGAAGGTCTCTGGGATGCATTAACGAAAATATCTGGATGTAGGCCGCTGTCTAGATATTGCTTGATGAGTACTAGTAGCTCAAAGCCCACCTCAACCAATACGTCCAAAGGCATGTAAGGCATGTCCTTGAGCCCTCCTCTGCGGCCACGGAGTCCACGACGGGCGACTGAAGAGACGAAACCGCCAGGATCCATGTGGATGTATGCGGGTCGCGCAATTCTAGAGATGGCTGTATGCGTGGTGGTGGAAGCCAAGTTGCATACGCGGGAGGCGAGCTTAAAAGGTTAAAGTAGCGCCCATTTCTCAGTCGAGGTTATTGATCGCAATGATGTCACTCTACGCGACTTCAAAGCTTCACACCCACGTGTTAACGTTACACAGTAATACCTATCAGCATGCATTTGCTATGCACGCATGCGAGGTCGGAGTGTCTGTGTATACGGCCTTTTCAGTCGTACGTTTTCGAACGTCTTCTAGTAACCTAGTTAGCTAATAGGCGTACGTACAACTTAGACAAAGATGGGGACCGGTAAACAGAATCACCCTTATACAATATTGTGCTGCACAAACCGCCTTCCATCCGAATATGCGTAGATATAAATCGGCGGCACGCGACGAGAGTCGGTATCGACGTGGGTGTAGGAGTGGTAATGCACCAACTCATTCGCGTCGACTCAGGCTGTGATTTCGTGTCTACACAGTAAGGGATATGCCGTGAGTGAGTGCCAGGCTCCATGGTCGGGCCAAAGGGACGGTGTCATGTACTCACATGTACTTGAGGTGATTCATCATCGATAGTTCAGAGTCGCAGTTGAGCCACCGGCAGTGGGTGCAGCCGAGCCTTTAGTGGTACGGCAGGTTCAGGTCGCGACGCCCCCGCAAGCGCATCTCCTCTAGACAGACGTCCTTGGAATCCTTCTTGTCGAGCAGCTCTAGACGACACGAAACACCGTTAACGTCGTGGGAGGGATCGTCGTGATGCAGAAACTTGATAAACCACATCTATCAGACCATTGTCCGCCGGGATTGTGTTCGAGACTTACAGCACGTAGCCAATCGAAGGCTTCAAACTTGCGTCCGTCTTCGCGTTTGGAGGGACTTCAGTAGAAGGGTTGCAACCCCATGGCCTATTAGGCCACCGGGGTTGTCCCTAGGACTTGACACCGAACGACTTCAATTTTGTAAAATACATCATTAAAAGTCGATAATAAATGGCACTACAGAGTATTGAACCAGCGACACAGGATAGCTCAGCCCGCAAGCCGAGCCATCTAACCACTGCACCACTGAGGCTTACTGTCTCGACTAATTTAATACATTATATCGCTTTTGTGGGTTGCGCGAAGAGGACCCGCCATTCGTGCTCCCTCCCCTCCCTCGCTGCGCTCGGGGGGTCCCCCGAACCGGGAGCACTCAGGCGGGCACACTAAAGCCTCGTTCGCGCATTTTTCACAGACCGGCTCCTCTCAGGGGAGGGAGGAAGTCCCTATATTGAGTTGCCTAACCCTAATACCTAACCCTAAGCCGAACCCTAATGTAGCACACAGGCCTAAGCCAAAGGAAAGGATGTAAGGCCTTATGGTGTAGGGGTAATAGTGGTCGGCGCCATACTAATGGTGCTGGTTCGAATCCCAATAATACCATTTTATTTAATATGTGCCAAGTCCCCCGGGGTTAACCCCGGGGTCAACTACGGGTGGCCTAATAGGCCGGGGGGTTGTAACCCCTCTACTGAACATGTTGCGCGTTTGGTGACGCACTTGACACATTGAAGCCTGCCTTTCACATCGTCTAGGCTCTCCTGCGTCGTTTGCAGGGGGTCTAGGCCATACGCTTCCATCACCGCACACAGGTTGTGCACCGTCTTTGAATCGACCTTCAGGTACTCCAGCGAGTGTGGCCGTTCGAAAGAATCAAGGTTGCGCAGCGCAGACATATAAACGTCCTTGTCGCCGTCTGTCGGCAACGCGGACAGGCGAGTGCACGGATGTGCCAGCACTCCGGGCCACCAAAGGGGCACCTTCCGTTCGCAACCGGGCCTGCAACAGGAGAACGCCGCGACCGCAAGCGTGAGCGGGTCGTGGACATCTTCCAGTTCCGGCATAGCGCTCTTGAGCATCGCGATGAGGTCCGTCTTCCGCTCGTGTCGCCACCGCTGGGCCATGCACTGGAAGATAGCACGGACGTTGTCGACCGGCCAGCGGGGAACGCCAGAATTTGAGGCAAAATCTGGGGCTTCTGCAATCTCCCGGACTTCGGGCGCGAGCGCAAAGTCGACCAGGAGCGGCTCCATGTCTGCCTCTGCAGTATGCCGCCACCCAGAAGGACGGCCGTCCGCGAGGGCCTGCGCCAGCCCTTTGAACCTGTCGATCATGACCGATCGCTGTTCCCGTTTGAGACGATCACGTCGCACGTTTTCCATGGAGGCGTGTGCGGCGTCCCGTATGTTCGCCCATGCTGCCGCGTCGTTCGCGTTAGTATAGAATGCCAAAAGAGTGATTGAATCGACATGCCCCGGTCGGTGAGCTCCGCGGCCTTCCGTGCGTATGGCCGTAGACGATATAGGGTGTCGCGAGCGTTTTGATCCATGGCGTCGATCTCGTCAGCCCACCCCTCTTCACGAAGGCGGTCCAGTATGCTGAGGAATATAGATGAGCTCCACAACCTGTAACCATAGCATGGACACTACACTGACTCGGAGAATCGTTGGGAGCGAGTGCTTTCAATGGCATCTGCCCGGGCCTGCGTCTGCGCATCTTTCCATGCGTACAATTGTGGACACGTCTATTGGTGCATCGTAAGATATAACTTTGTGCAGGTGCAGTACTACTGACCTGTTTGACGAGAACCACATGAGCAGCGATGCATTTAGCCCTATCCCGGCGGGCATCTCTATCTCCTTCGGCTATTTCCCCACAAGCCTCGAGAAAGGATATCACTTCGGGAGTGTGAAAATATTCCACCTCTCTGCGGGACAAATAAAAAGGAGCGTGGGTGAGCCGTTAAGACCTGCGAGACCGCGCAATTTCAAGAACTTGTGTAAATGACTTACTTGGCACCCTTGCCAGCGAAAATGGAGTTGAGCACATCGTCTCTGCAACCCGACCGCCTCTTTCCCCTTTCGAAAAAGCCGTCTACCATTACCGTCTCCCGGGAGAGAACCCTGTGCAAGGCGCGCGAAGTTAGCTAGGGTAAGAACACATACAAACCACAACAAACGTAACCCACAGTTTCTTCTTGCAAGCAGGACAATAACGCGCCGAGAACTCAAATATCACAGTTTGTACGTTGGGCTTTAAGCAATTCTGACATAGACCCATCGGTAAGCTCCAGGGACGACTCAAATATACGGCGCAAAGCGACTCACATGACAGTGGGGGAAGAACATCAAGTTGGCGTAAGCGGGCTCGCTCAAATACGCCGGGCAGTCGGGAAGATCCTCGACCGTTTCCCTCGCCTTCTTCCACAATGAACTTGCGGTATTGCGGCTCATCAGGAAATTCCGGAAGGCCGTCGTGGTGCGGGCTAGGTTGAGGAGGTCTCGAGGGTGCGTCCAGGAGAAGATCTACCGTATATTTCAGATAAGTTGCGGCCAACCGTGTACCAAATATGGTGGCCTCGTACCTCTACCAGAATATCCAGCGGCATGTCTTGCATACTTTGAGTCCTTCCAAGGCCACCAGGAGCGTCGCGGCGGCCTAGAACCTTGCTGGCATTACTAGGAGCGCGGGGTGGCATGCGTACCCCTGTCGCCAGAGCAGGTATAATACTTCAAGTATTACAGCGACGGTCGAGAGTGTGGTTGAGAGCGAGAGACAGCGGACTAAAGGTGGTGAGGTGTAGCAAAAGACTTGGCATTGGGTTGGCGCGCACGAGTCGTGACCGTGACGGCGCACGTAATATATCGCGCCTGTCACGCGTCAAACGCGTAGCGTCACCGTCTCGTGCCCATCTCGCGTAGTGCCGGTGCCGACTCCTGCGGTAGCGTCTGCGGGGTTCTCAGCAAGTACTTGCAGCTTTCAGGACCACCCATCCCAATGTGATTGACGTGTAATAGCTAACATACGCCCTAAACATACCATACTAGTACCACACAGCTCGGAATATCCACAACTTTTATTAGAGAGTAAGTACTAAGTATACTACTGTACCTCCAGGACCAAAGCGGCGGGTCACAGGTCACAGCGACCTCCGCTGCGCCGCTTTAGGGGGTGTGTCCCGCGTCACAGTCGCCCCCGCCGCTTCAGCGGCGGCGAGCCGACGCCGGTCACACTCCAAAAAGGCGTTTTTGGCGGCCCTGCGGGGCCCCGCGCCGCTTTGCCTACCGGGCGGTCACAGGCACCGCCGGTCGCGCCGCTTTGGACGGTCGTGTCCGGCCGGTCACACCCCAAACCCCCCGCCGCTTTGGTCCTGGAGGTACAGTACCCGGCAACGTTCACGGAATTGTTCACGAGCTTTCGTCCACAAGCGTGAAATATCCGCCGCCGACACGGTAGTTCACCCAGATTGGCAACATGAACGGCTTGTTGTCGAGATGTTCGTAAGCGTACTGGGCCACCCCGGCGACGTCGACAATCTTGTCATGTCTGCACAGGTGCGGAAACGCCGTTATCAGCACCTCGACAGGGATACAAAACAAGGACGACGCACTCCTGCAGGTGCCTCACCATGGAGGACGCACCGACGCAATTGTGCCAGCAGTAATGACATCCGAACCGCCACACAGCGCGGGCAGCCTCGGACTCCAAAGCTGAAGGACGTTCGCGGAGTCGTGTTTCCTGACGGCGCACCGAGTGTGCCTCGCTGGCTTCCAGCACGCTCCAGCGGCACGGTCGCGCGCTATTGCGGTAGTGGCGGGGGTCATTGTAGTGCTCCAGCTATAGAGAAAGAACGACGAGGGACGCTAAGATCAGCATGCTAAGATCCAGCATCGAGAATGGGTGGCATACGCACCGCGCGCATCCAATCAAACACTTGAACCTTGACTAGAATCTGCTCCTCCTGACCCCGCCGTGGCGCGTGTTGACATTTGGTGCACCACAGTCTTCCTTCGGTGCTGTCCAGCTCCTCCAGGGTAGTGCGAAGGGGATCCAGGCCAAGCGCCTCCATGATAGCCCGCAGGTTCTGCACCATGGTAGGATCGACGATCACGTCCTCCAGCGACAGCGGCCCGTCGTCACACATGGTGGACGCAGTGGCGACGTAGAGGTCTTCAGACCATGTAAGGGGCTCCGAGCGGAGACAGGGATGCGCGAGGATCTCGGGGAAGCATAGGGGCGGCATGCATTTCCGTCCTAATCCGTAAATCTCGCATGTGCGGCAGGAGAATCCTGCGATCGCCAGGGAGAGCGGGTCCTCCACGTGTGCCAGTTCCGGAATGACCGCGTGCACCTTCTCGATGAGCTCCCTTTTGAGTGTCTCCTTCCAGTCTTCCATTGCAAATTCGATAGTTGCGCTTATGTTCGCCGGGTCGGTGGCGGTGAGCTCGACGGGGCCGTTTCCAAGAGCATCCCAGATTGCTCTGTAGCCCGGCGTGAGTGCGAGGTCGATGAGCAACGGGTCTGCGTCCCATTCTGCGCGCCGTAAAACTTCAAAGGGCCCGTAGAAAATGTTGATCATGTTGTTCAAGACAGTGAAGCGACCCTGCAGGACCGTCTGCCGTTCGACCCGAAGGTGAATGGTGCGAATGTCGTCCATAAAGGTGTGTGCGTCCTCTCTGATCTTTGGCCATGCTGGACAACTTTGTGAACATCTGTATCGAGAATGCGAAGTGATACTGCAGGACGTACAGCGCGGGGTCAGCTTCGCGGCCTTGCGAGCAAAGGGTGTCTGGGACAGTTCCGTATAATCGTCTTCGTGCATCATGTCGAGCTCTTCTCCCCATCCCTCCTGCCGCAGGAAATCCAGGAGCCTGCAAGGGTCATAATTAGCTTTGCCTCGATAACAGCCCATAGCACTTACGTGTTGAAACGCTCCGTTCGCACACCATGAAGCTCGTTCGCTCTGAGTTGCACCTGTAGATCTTTCCAAGCATACAACGAGATGCATGACTCAAGCGGATTTTCAGCCTCTGACCGCATATTCGCGAGATGACTACATCGAGACTTACCTGTCGGACAGCTTCGACAGCCGCGGCCTTTTCTTCTACTAGTCTCTGCACGTCTTCCGCGCCACGTATCGCTGCTTCCCAGGCAATCCGGAATGCTTCATATTCTAGCGTGTGAATATATGTATCTTGGCTAAAACATAATCCATTTAGCACAAACGATGAGCACAGCACTGGCGAACGTTGACACCCACATATCGTCCTTGCCGATGACGAAGAAGAAGTTGAGCACCTCCGTTTCTATACCTGTGACCTGCCTCGCCATATCTACGAGGTAGTGACACTCGTCGTTGAATTTGGAAAGCCTGCAAATATTGCCCGTTTCAGCACGTCGCGCATATTTACGCTACGAAAATGAGCTATACTTGCCAACACTTCTTGCACTGGTTACAATAACGGACCGAGAACTCAAAGATGATATTCTGTATGTTGGTCGTCAAACAGCTCTGTGTAGCTCACATATCAGCGTCAGATGCGCAAGGAGGCATAGACAGGAGAGCTCACATGGCAGTACGGGAAGAACATGAGGTTCGCGTACTCTGGCTCGCTCAGATACGGCGGAAGATCGGGTAAGCCTTCCACAGTTTGCCTTGCGCTCTTCCAAAAACGAGCTGAAGAACGGCTCATGAGGAAGGCCCGGAAGGCCGGTGAGGTGCGGGCAAGATTGAGAAGGTCTCGGGGATGCAAGAAAGAGAATATCTGCAGCGTACACACCCTGATTAGCGCACATTACAAAGCTATATCGTTACAAAACTGAGCCTTACCTCTACTAGGATACTTAGAGGCATGTTGGGCATATCTCTGAGCCCTCCACGGCGACCGCGAAGGCCACGACGGACCACAACAGCGACGTCTCGACCGTCCATGGCTACTCAAGTACGCAGTCGAGTGCGTGCGTACGGAATGAGTAAGATTTGCGAGAGTTGGAAGTACTCAGGAGTCCAAAGAGAGATGAAACGGTGGCAAGTACTAGTGCGTGGAAGATAGGAAAGGAATTTGTACGCCGCGACGCACGTAATATATCGCGCCTGTCACGCGTCGAACACATCGTGTCACGGCCTCGTGACCGTTTCTGGTGCAGCACACCGGCGGAACGTCGTGCATCAAGGACACCGTGGTTTGATCAATGCTTGTAGTACTTATGCCCATATGAATACATACATATTAGTAAAAAGTCAAAGCGCTAGTTGAATATTGTATTACTCCGCCCCTCTGGATCCACAGTCATGAGTCGAACCGTCAGTACTGACTTTGACTATGTCCGGGTTCAGTGTCTGCTTCCTTTCTTCTCTTACGCTTTACTGTATAGACCTTACCGGCGTCGAGGTGTCGGATGAACGTGCCCTGCCAGACGTCTCTCGGCTGGTATGTGTCTAGGGTAGAAAAGTGAACCTTGGCGATCAATTCCCCCTTGACTGACGGATGCCTGCAAGTCATGTCACCAGTGATCAGTTCTCCTGGGCACCCGACATCCCACAGAACACAGTCGACTCACTTGGACCGCACGTGTGCGACGAGATCGTTGTATTCATACACTTTCACCCGTCCTTTCCCCTTCTTGCACTTTAGGCAGGTCCAACAGGTCCGGCAATAGGGACACGGCCTCGAGCTATCTCGCGCCGCATCTTCGAGAATCTGCGCGCGTTGTGCGGCCTCTTCCGGCAAGGTTTCCCAGCGGCATGGTTCGGTATCGAGCGCATGGTGCACGCTGATTTGGTGGTGTAACTGGGAGTGAGCAACCGAACACCATTAGCCAGATATCGGCACGGCGAAGAAAGGGAAAGAAGTGCACTGCTCGTCGCCAGTCGAACACTTCGAGTGTCGGTTCCTTGCTCGTGCTCGTGCTCTCCTCGCAGTTGGCGCATGTCATGCGCACCCCACAACTGTCAAGGTCAGCGGGCGACGCGAACTCCGGATTCAGCCCACATGCGCTCACGATCGCATTGACCATGGGTGTATACGTGAGCGAGCTGACGCGGACATGGAGCTTGTGCCACGCGAGGTGCATGTAATTGTCGACCATGTACCCTTGGACGACGCGGTCGTAGTTGTCCGCCGGGACCTCGTCCTTCCAATATTTCTTCATCCACCCACACCGGTGTTTGAACATCCCTGGGTAAGTCATGAACTTCTCGGGGCACTGTGGGTCCGCGCAATCGAACAGGCATACTGCGAGCTCCACCGGGCTCGCGGTCTGCGGAAAGGTTGGTCGGGCCTGCCTGACCATGTCGTTGAGGGCTGCCCTACGGGTATCGTACACATCCTTGACGATCTGGGGCATTTCATCGCCCAGCGTACTAAGATGTGCCGCGATGGTGAGGTCGTCCATGTCCGACATCATGGCCTCCTTGACCTCGGACACGAGCAACAGGTCTGCTGGACGCAGCCGTGCGAACGCTCGTGGGTCGTCGAGGTCATCCGCTCCCCCGCCACGAGCCCATTTCTCCTCCCACTTTGGGGATATCTTGTCGAGGAATGTCTTGATGGAGGTCTCGAGCGGGACTCGAAGTGACATGAAGTCGGCGAACTTGGTGACCTCCTTAAGAATACTGGGCCACTCTATATGCAGGTGACGGGGTCAACGCACTAAAGCATTATCATTATTGGCAAACAAACATACCGTGTTCATCGAGAGGCGTACAGTTGTCCGCGAAATGCTGCTGGGATAGCTGGTACCCCCAATCATTGAGCTTCTTCAGCTCATAACCAGCCTCGACCACACGCTTCTCGATTCTAGTCAATGGTCAGCAATCGAAACCCCCACGCATGGCAAAACAAGACGTACGCCTTCAGGCGTAAGGCCTTCAGTGCTATTTCCTTGTCTCTACACGCCTTCTCGATGTTTGCGGCCCAGAGATCGTGTTTGTAAGTGTGCTGCCAACAAATGTCAGTGTCGCTCCGCACAGTCAGACACAAATACCGACCTTGCGTCTGATGGCAGCGTCCGCAGCGCTGTCCTTCGCTAGCTTCTCCTGGCCCTCCTTGTCATTTTCCAACTGGGCCCATTTCTCGCGGAAGGCATCAACCGTGGGTGCATGGAGCACTTGATTGTGCGCCTGACAGAAAGGGATCTTCACCCCCGTGACTTGTTCTATCTCCCGGACGAGGTTGAAGTGGCGCTCGTCCAGGTCTGCCTTTATAGTCCTGCGCACCATGAGTGAACAGAGTTGCCAAGCCGATACACGAGAAGTGCGTACATTGTGGGGATGCAGCTTTGGCAATAGCGCACGCTCCACTCATGGAAGATCGTGCGCACATTGTTCTTGCCGCATTTCTGTTCAGACCAGGAAAGGAAAGTCAGGTCGTGTTCAAAGGGGAAAGAGAATACGAGGGGGGCATACGTGGCAGTAGTTCAGGTACAACAACCTGGCATACTGCATTTCGTTCATATAGGGCGGACACACGGGGAGGCCTTCTACGTTACTCAACGCTACCTTCCACGTTTGCCTCCCGCTCTGACCAGTAAGGAAGACGTTAAATCTCTTGTTTGTGCGGGAAAGATTGAGTAAATCCTGCAGTTGGAGGTGTTGGCAGATCTAAGGGGCCATTAGCGACCAGGGACACCACGGCAGGGACATTCACGATTGAAACATGTTGTCGCTGTTGGGGAAAGACTCGTACCTCTAGAATGACGTCGGGGGGCATAGCCACAATATTGGCTAATGCCTCGCTACTGCCTCTGATGCGGGGCGGGTCACTTTCTGCCAAAGTAGCAGCCAGTTGGTGAGCAAACTATTGGTATGTAGGATGACCATAGACTGACTTCGAGTAGTAGATTGAATGCTGGACTCAGCCATGATGAAGACAAGTCCAGAGCGGTAGGTGGGGGTGATATCCCTGGCCCGCTGCTGAGGATAGTCGTATTTATAGGCACATACCATGATATGAGATGTAGCTAAGGCTAGTTGAGCTACCATGCAGGTGAATGGCCGGTCGTGGGCACGGAACGCGATTGTCGCGTTAAAATTACACAAACGGCGCTCGCGACGTGCGCAAGCCAGAATGGGCCTAACATAATAACATAAGATAGCAAATGCGAGAACATACAAACTTACAAGTATCCTACAATATCCGACGAATGGAGATCATTTCGCCTTGCGTCCCTTGGCTGCCCGACCCTTGGCCGAAGACGGCTTTGACGAGGCGCCACCGTCTCCGCGTTTGGCTTTCGAGTCCATGAGCCGCTGCTGCACCCGCTCAAACTCGGCCTCGTCGATCTCAGGAGGTGGTGGGATGTCTTTCTTTGACTTCTTCTTTGGCGACGCAGAGGGTTCGTCCTCCTCTTCCTCCGCATCCTTCGCGCGTTTCTTGCCCTTCTTGCCCCCCTTTGGCGCGGGCGCCGCGTCCGTGTACTTTGCGGCAAGGTTGTCGAAGAAGCTATCCATATTCTTCCGCTTCTTCAAGATGAGAGCTTGCAAAGCTGAAGTGTCCTCCTCCTCTTCGCCGCCCGCCTGTTGTTTCCCTTTGCCCTTGCCCTTGGACTTCCGCGCGCCCGGCTTGCCGCTCCCGTAGAACTCGTCCCATACACCGAGTTCTTTGGCGAGTGTCTCTGCCTCCTTCGCCTCCTTGTCCGCTTGCTTTCTCCGAACGAGCTTTGCCTTCTCGTCCTTCGTGCTCGTTTCCCATTTGGGCAAAGAAGTGAGCTCGCCCTGCTTGATGAGGTCGGTGATGGTAATGATGAACCGGGCCTCATCTTCATGGGTCGAATGGGGAATGTGGGTCATGATGTCTTCGATCGAGCCCTCGGTCTCCGCGTATGCCTTCTTGAGGTCCGCCACCTCCTCGGCCGAACCTGCGTGCGAGGATGGGTATCAGGGTCAAACCCCAAGGTACGAATTACCCACCCTGATACTCCTTCTTCAAGTCGTCCAGCTTATCGCGCGTAACGCGGTCGTACAGCTCCTCGAAGTACGCCTCCCAGCCGTCCTCGCCCGGCCCAAAGTCCGCGCCCTCGTCCGTCTTGCCCGTGGTGTCATAGCGCGCGCGGCGCTTCGCGTCAGAGAGTACGGCGTACGCGAACCCGACCTGCTGGAACCTGAGCGACGCCTCGGCTTTGGCGTCCTCGCTCGCGCCAGAGTGCTTGTCTGGGTGGAACTTGAGCGCGAGCTTCCGGTAGGCCTTCTTGATATCGTCGGGGGACGCGTCGGACTTGACAGACAGTACGTCGTAGAGGTCGACGTCGTCTGCGTCGGGGAAGAATTGTGCAATGGGGTCCTCGCGGTCGTCCATGTCTGCGGTGGTGGTGGTGAACGAATGAGAGACGCGTCTGTCACACATCACGGGCAGCGCGTCTCCATTTAGCGCCCATACGCGTGGGACTTGCCGAGGATGTTCCGGCGTGGTTTATGGGCGCCCACCGGAATGACCGCGTACCTGGACTCGGCGATGTCGACGTCGAGAGCTGTTGCCATCGCGGGTTCGCCGACGTCTTCCCGGACGCTTTTCATATTGCGCAACATGGATCTCGTAATGTCTCCATATAACTCTCTTCTTGCCCCCAAGGATCCCACCGCTCGCTGTTGTTAACATGCACCTCACGCTCGTTTTCTCTACCTTTCTCTTGAGCTCCTTCCTCGGCTGTGCGCATGCACAAACCTTAGTAAATGGCCAGGTCTTTACGAGCGGTCTCGCTATCGTGGATGCGCCCGCGCCGAATAGGTAGGTCGTGCCGTGGTCGCCAGACTCTCCACCAAATTGAAGCCTCTCTCCAGCCCCATGCATGCTGGGTCCGTAACACAAGTAGCCATCGACGTGAGTGACTCCTCTCGTTCACCATTCATCGCGCGGAAGTTGACTTACATCTCGTAGATATCGGGAGACGGAAAGCTCGACCAGAGCGCATCCATCCCCGGCTCGGACAAGTCGACGCGCTTCGACAGCCTTGAGATCTACCTCGTCTCCTACCAGACGAAGCTCAACCTCACCGTCTCCTCTGGACCCGGTCTTCTCACCCAGGAGCAGGGCAGCACCGTGAAGCACTTCAACTACAACGTCTCGACCTGCATCCCCGCCGGGTCGTACAACGTGAGTGCGCCATGCGTCATGGCCGACGCGTGCCCCTTGGCTGATCTAGGCCCATGCCGCTCCAGCTGACGTTCTATGAGGCCTCGCACATTAACGGAACGGCCTTCTTCTCAATTACCCCGCTCCCGTGAGTGTGTGATTCACGCTTTGCGACGTCATATGTTTAATTATTACCCCGCATTAATTTTTGTAGAGTAACGGTCCAGAATGACCACCCCACAGACGCGTGCACGAACGGCACCAATACGCTTCTGGACTTCCCACAGGCGTCTTCACCTCCCCCGCAGTCCCCATGGCTTGACGGCACCTCAATTGCGACGCAGCCCCTTCCCACTGCCACCGGAAGCAACTCCGCATGCACCACCACCGCCCTAGCGCCGCTCTCCGTCCTCATATTCGCCTTCCTCTCGTTGCTGTCCCTCTAGTGCTCTCGGGTTTTTGTGTAGAGAAGGGTTGCAACGACTCGTAGATCGTGCGCTCTGGATTGCAGTACACACGGCGATTATAATTTAAATACGTAGCGGTATAGAAACGACTATCGACAACAGCACTAGTCATGTGGGAGCACCGAGCAAGTCCGTCGTATGAAATCAAAACCCTCCACCCAGGCGAACACATCCAAAACGCGGTGGTATCAGAAATGACATGTCGTGACGAGGCGTAGCAGGGAGGCATAGCAGTGGGCTCGATCGAAAAGGGTCCGAAGCCGCAGCAGGGGATCGGGGGATGGTCGCAATTGCGGTCGCTGCGGGCCTTTTACTCTATGGACACCCGCTGGCCGAGCGCCGCGCCCGAGCCGTACCCGCCGTCCTCCTTCTTCGCACCTGCCGTGCCAGGGGTAGACGATGAGTATCTTCGCCGGAAAGTCACGTCTGGAGAAAGGGCAATCACCGAATAAGCTGGAGATGTAGGGCTGGCCAACAGGTCGGTAGGACTGACCATGCAATTTGCTCTTGAGCAAACCCTTGTCGAAGTCTGCGAAACAGCGCAGCCCGATCGCGAACGTCGCGAAGAGTAGCAGGAACGCAATGATTGCTGCGGCGACAGATGTGAGCCGGGCTTTCCGGAGGGACGAGCCACAGAAGGTGGAGACGCACTGAATGTGGTGAGCGTTGCCCGTACGGTGATGTATTGGTCCCTTGACGCGGGCTCATAGAAGCGCACAAGCTTGAAGACTGGAACAAATTAACGCTGAATCCGCAGTTCGATGCTTTGCACTACTCACTGACTACGATCAATGGTCAGTATCAACTGAGGTCACCACGCAACAGTGTCAAGGACTCACAGTACGACTCAGCCGCCAACATGAGGACGAGAGAAATGGTCATGAGCCTGAAACCGAGTGAGCACGCGGCAATTGTGGTGGATCCATCAAACATACCACTTAATCTCGCGCTGGACGGCTAGCCCTGCACCGATTAGCAACACGAGCACAATCGGGATGGCCGCCACTGTGAGACCGAACTCGGCGGTGTTTCTTTGCAGCACGATGATGAGCAGCTGAAACAAGATCTGTTAAGCAAAGCTCCCGTGAAAGTCGGCAAAATTAAGCGAACCTGCATCGTGACGCCGATGAAGGCGAAGAAGTCGAACTTCAGCAAACAGATGATGACCTGATAGAACTGGTACATCGCTGGATGCAGGTATATCAGTCAAGTCAATCGAACGCTGCTTCATGCGACTCACTCTTCGCTGCGGGGTTCGCTCCAACGATATGGAAGATAGCCCAGCTAGGTTCGGTTAGATAATTCGCAGTGGTTTGATGCGAAAAAGCGACCTACCCGAATTCATGATAGAGCTCTCTCACGAAGAAGATCATGACGAGCCAGGAGACTCCAATAATGACTGGTGAAACGATGAGGAAAGGAAGGACGGTCTGCCACAAGGTCCCGGGGCCTCCGCCACCCTGTGTTGCATGCCGTGAGTAGGCGGTGCAAACCGAGAACGACGGTACGTACCACATAGTTTGTGGTCCAGTTAGCACTCGCGTCCAGAACCAAAGCCGCGCGCGTCTCGTGAACTTGAAGCGCAGCCATCACGACCAGCGCCGAATGGAACACTACAAACAGAGTCAATATGTCTGCTTGCACTCCGCGCCCATGCATGCAAACACCCACATAGGATTCCGACGAGCTGAATGACATTTCGTAGCCGAAGCGCGTCGTATGCCATGAACAACTCGAACACTCTGCGATGATGAGGACATGTAGTGGCGTTAGAAAGGGGGGGGACATACTCTGCTAGGATGAACAGGGCCAGGTAACAGGGGATAGTCTGATGGGAGACTCATGAGGGGAAGTGGATATGCAGGTTCAGGTAGCATGGACGTACCTTGTACCGCGAGAGTTCCAAATCCACATGATCAGCCACCTTTCCGAACACTATTGCGACCATGGTGATAACCACGATCGCCTCTGGAGAGGGGGTTCAGTACGGCGCCACAACGCAGACTTGGCCGGAAGCGGCGATACTGACGGAATAGCACTGCGCAAGCGAGATGAGCATTCCCGCGTGCGTGTAATACAGAACATCCCAAACGTACCAGTGCCCATGAAGGCCCTCTGGGCCCTCGTACTCAGCGCTTGAGTAACAGCCATCTCAGGAACAAGGTGTCGGCCAAGGATGCGGATCAAGAACGAGAAGCAGGAAGAGGAGGGGGTGGTGGACGTGGAGTCCTGGGGCGGACCCTAAGTCCGTGCGGTGGGAGGTGTCGTGTAGCCGGGCGTGGGGGAGGGAGAGGAGAAGAGAGGAGGAACGAGGCAGGATGCCGCTCAATGTGGACCGCGGCTGTATACGGCCGCTCTCAAAACGCCCGCAGCGTCCAACCCCATCTGTACCGCTTCATTAGGTAAGCGGCCTACCCGGCCACCCGTGGCGGTGACCTCCTCCGCGCGTCCAAGCATCGCCTCTCTCTTCGGGCCTGCGCGGAGAAACGAAGAGACATTGCAGGCTAGATAGATAGATAGATAAATTCATGGGCTTATAGTGGCGCCCAGGCCGTTTACGGCCAATGTGGTCACTACCCGATACTACACGAAGGCTACAAGCGGCGGATCTATACTAACACCTCCCGTCCGTTAAACGGAGGAGCGCGGGGTACAACCTGGCCTCTGGTGCGTCATAGATAACTATGTTCGCCCTGCCTCTTGGTCTTGGGAGGTCCAGGAATGCGCGCCGCCAGTTGCCCCGGCGGCGGCCAAAACTCCCCCCGATCCCCGGGATCGGCCGGGATCCACCAGCGCCCGGAGGTGTGCCACAGTACGAACAACGAGGCACGAGAGGGGCCGGTAGGGCGAGGAAGTGTCTGTGTAGTCGGAGTCGGGCCGCAATGGGTCCTTCGTATTGAGAGGTGAGGTTCTTGAATGTGAGGTCGGAGTGACTTGATGGGAGGGCGAAACTTGGACGGGAGAGGGTGGCGTGTGTGTAGCATGAATTATGTGCATTGCGTATGATATCTGCAGCAAGGGTACAAAAGAAAACCGGTGTACACGTAGCCAACGACCAAGCGTGCCAACCAACCGCTCAAAACTCTACCCCAGCTTGTATGCTAGCCAGGACAGCCTCAGCAACTTCCAACTCCTCCTTCCAGAGTATCCGCACGCTCTCCGACTGCCAGGGCACCCACGCGGATCCGCCTTGCGGTAGGCTGGCGGCATCCAACGCCGACACACGATCCTTCCTCGCCCGATACCGAACCGTCTCGCAGAGCCAGAGCAGCTTCTTCCTCCACGCGTCCTCGTTCACGCGCGAGATGATGTCTTTTGACCCGTTGGTGACATCCAGCCACGAGTCGATCGCCAAGCGTGTTTGCATTGTCGTTTCCCCCGAGTAGCGCTCGAGGGCGCAAATTAACCGTAGGGCCGATATTAGCCGCCATGACGGGAAGGCTGAGTTCGGCGAACTGTGGAGGGTCCAATCGCTGTGGAAGGAGTGTAGTTTAATCACTGTGGTAGTGGGAACGAGGAAAACATGTCCGAGGACATACCCCCAGTATCCGCCCTCGTCGAGCGTGGACTTGATGAGAGGTGCGACTGATCCCGTCTTCTCGATCAACTCTTCTACCAAATCCTGAACGTCGACCTCTGCAGAGTATGTGCTGGTCGCGACGGCACCGTCCGTGAGGGGGTTGACGAATCCGTATTCTGTGAACAGGAAGCGGTTCGGATGTGCGCCGTACTTGAGAAGCAGCTCTTGTCCCTCCGCAAGGCCGTAGTCGGAGGATCCCAGGAATGTGAACATGCTAGTCCTCGCCTGGGCCCGACTATCGCGCCGATGATGCTTTGGAGAGCCCCATATGTCCGAGTCGGTCACAGGGAAGATGTGGGTAAGACCTGTGCCGTGATTGGCAAAGTCCAGGATGGGACAGAGCGTGAAGTTGTCCGGATGAGACGGACTCTGTTCGAGGCGACAGAAAATGCACCTAGTATTCACTGCAAAATAGCAATGAGATCTTAAAGTGTGGGACGCGCGTAGTAGACCACAGACCATTCAGCCAAGCCCAGAGATAGTCTAAAAGCGTGTCGTTGCTGTCAAGAGCCTTCGCTGTCTTCAAAGCAGGTCTCGACGACGATGCCACTATGGCCGAGTCCTCTTTCTGCAAAGTGTTATGAGGTGCTCGTGGGCTTAGACGTACAATCTCACCATGAACTTCGCAACAGCATCCCAGTCTTTCCAGAACCGCTTGTTTAGTTTCACGATTGACTCCCAGGTACTAGGCGGGACCTGGTCGAGGAAGTAGCTCTCGCAAGGGTCTTCTTTTTTGAGCTTGCGATTTACAAGCCAAGTGAGAGGGTGGCTAGAGAAATCTCGGGGAAGCGTCGATATGTATGGTCCGAATGTCCTATCAAGAGAGTCCGCATCGCCAGATGGTTTGTGAAGCAGCAAATACAACGACACAAGCTGGGTGCCCGTGAGCCGCCCTTCCTTGATGTGAGGATAGCGTGCGAGCACTGTCTTGACGTTGATCAACGCCGTCCGCGGAATTTCGAATAACGTAGAGGAAGGCTAACGCGCAATGAGTCAACGGGTCGAAGGTGAGTCACGGTATTAGAGATGTTTCGCAACGCGCGATTTTTCGTGGGGTAGTACCGGGACAAGGCCGAAGTCCACGAGAAAGGCCTGGAGCAAGGCCAAAAAACTGAGAACGTCCTGGGGGCTGCGGGATGTGTTTCGGAACATGTTCTACGTTCCGGGTGACCGAGTGCGACCAAGATGGCCACAGTAGGCTCGTTAACCAGCACTCCAGGTCTGCGGGAAGACAGTCGTTCCTTGACCGTAGTGGCAGCGACCACATACTGTGGCGAGCCTACAAGGTCACTCAAGTACTCATGTCGGAGCTGGCAATATGCCGCACACAGCATGGTATTGATATACACACCGCTGATCACCTCTGACACTCGACCAAGCGACCAGAACGGGGAACATGAGCCTGTACGTGTTCTGCGGGACAGATTTCTCCGCCGCCGGGACGTTCTGAACGAGCTCCACCCGAGGCAAGACAAACGCGTTGCGAAACAGCTATGTTCTGTACGCACCGGGATCTCTGCCGTAGCAAACAAGCCCCTGCCCGCGTCTGCAGCTGTAAACATACAGGTTCATTCGTGACAACTCTGATTGAACGTAGTAAGCGAACGCACCTGGCACGTCCCTCGCCTCAATGTGCAAAGCATCCGTCTTCATTCCGTGCTCCTGCTTGAGCCATTTTAGGAGGCGTTCCCATCGTTCTTTCTCGAGGTCGGCCATGACATCAAATTCGCCGCTTAGCTTGTTCCCATCAACACAGGCAACACAGGCCCGGGCGCAGTACACCAACTTGACACTGAAGCTCGCCGGCGCGGACTCGGAGACACGGGGGAGACTGAGCTGGGAGAGATGCCGATGACGGTGAGAGTGCAAGATGGGTTCGCGCTGCCCACGGCGATTGATGGCAGATAGCAGCTCAGAGTCATCCGTGAACGGCTCCCCTTCATTCCGCAATTATTGCGACCCCGCGCGATTGCGCAAGGCCAGATTGCGACGCTCGCTGCGGTAAACGGTCGACGCACAAGTTTTGCTTTTACCTGCACGCCCGCCTTCACCCAACACCGCGCAATGTCTGTCTTCAACGCCTCTCGCCTCGTCGGAAAGACCGTGCTCGTCACTGGCGCGAGCGCCGGTATCGGTGCAGTGAGTGTCGCGGGAGTATGTCGAGTTTACGAGGACTGACGGCATCATCGTGTTGAACAGGCAACTGCGATCCTGTTTGCGAAGGTGTGATTTAGTGTGTCCAGAGCGAGGGGCCGAAACTGATGGATCGATGGGCCTCGTAGGGCGGCTCGAATGTGATCTTGGCTGCACGCCGAGTAGATGCCCTCAAGTCCGTCGCGGAAGCGTGCACGGCCGCGCACAAGGAGTCTGGTCTCCAGCAGGGTGGCAAGTTCGTGACTGTCCCGCTTGATGTGAGCGACAAGAAGCAGATCGCCACCTTCCTCGACAATGTCCCTGAGGAGCTCCGGAAGGTCGATATCCTCGGTATGTGGTCTGCCTTCCTGCATGTCAAGTGCATCTTTACTGAACACGCTGCTCCAGTGAACAACGCCGGCTTCGTCCTGGGTGTTGAGAAGGTCGGAGAGATCTCCGACGCCGACATCGAGGCCATGTTCTCCGTGAACGTGTTCGGTCTCATCGCTGTAACCCAACTGTTTATCAAGGGTCAGTGTCTGTCTAGCCCTCCACCTAGGCCCTTAATTTGACACCGGCTCGTAGACTTCAAGGCGCGCAAGGCGGGACACATCATCAACATCGGTTCGATCGCTGGTAAGCATCTCAACAATAGCTTCAATTATACCCAAGCTCACGTCGTTTCAGGCCGCGAGGCGTATGCTGGCGGAAGCATCTACTGTGCGACCAAGCACGCCGTGAACGCCTTCACTGGCGCACTAATGCGCGAGGTTGTCGACACCCCCATCCGTGTTACGGAGATCCAGCCCGGTGCGTCATCTTAACTCAAAAAATACCATATGATACTTACGGCTGTTTCTGGATGCAGGTATGGTCGAAACCGAGTTCTCTGTCGTCCGGTTCCGTGGCGACAAGTCCGCCGCCGACAAGGTCTACCAGGGTCTCCAGCCCCGTGAGTGACGTTGTAACCCGCACTCCATAGGTCCATTATCTGACATCATTGCATCTAGTCGTCGCGGAAGACATCGCTGAGGAGATCGTTTGGGCCGCGTCCCGCCCTCCCCACGTCAACATCGCCGAGCTCTTCGTGCTCCCCGTGAACCAGGCGAGCCCCACCATCTCGTACCGCGGCGGTAAGTAGAGGCAACCGTCGCACGCGAAACGTGTTAAATACGAATCCTGCTGTATTATACAAAACCCCTGTATAACACTTACCGGTCGGTCGGATACAACCACACACTAGCAGCGCCGCTGCCTGCCAAACTTTGAAGTGTCCTGCCACTCAAGGGGCACTAAGACAAATTCGTGATGGCATACAAGGTACGATATACGATACTGCGCTCAACAGCCATAAACAATCATAGCGATGCGATAAAGTACGGATATAACAAGAAATGCGGGACATATATACGCCTCCTGTGGCCGCGCTCCTCCACATTTGTAAGATTAAGAGTGGATCTATGCTATGACTTCGCCTTCTTGCTCTTACTCCGCGTGCTCTTCACCACCGGGGCGGGCTCAACGGGCTCAGGCGCAGCGGCGACCTCGTCGTCATCGAACACGAACTTCTTCACAACGATATTCTCTCGGACGAGGCCGCCTACAGGCAGCTCAGCGTTCAGGACGTTGCCCAGGGTATCTAGACGTAGAGCCTATACCAAACAATCAGCACGAAGTTTCCGATGCATGGAAGGGAAATAAACGCACCTTCGCAGCTGGCGTCAGGCAGCCCTTGTGCGCGGGCACCGCGCCCTTGTTCCGCCTCGGCTTCGGGGGGCTGTCGTCCAGATACACCGTGGTCTGAAGGCCCTTGTCCCACTTGACCCTCTTCGCATGCGCTTCGTCCTCCTTCTCATTCTCCTCCCCGCCGTCGAACCTGGCACGCTTGGCAGGCCGTTCAGGCTTCTGCGGAGTCTCATACTCCTCCTCGTCGCCTGGAGCTCGTCGATGTCTCATCGGTTGCCCCTCGGAGTCATGATCGACGCTCATGAAGCTCATATCCCCCATCTCGCTCCCAGCCTCGCCCTCACCCGCCCCCGTACCGCCAGCACCTTCCGCAGTGCTCGCCCCATCCGCCGGCTCGCCCCCCGACCGCCTCGCCCTTCGCTCCGCACGCGCTTGGCGCTGCACGACGCGCTCCTCGCGCTGGCGCTCGAGCGCCGAGCGCACCTTCGTCGTCGGGCTGTCCGGGCGCGCGCCCTCCTTGCGCACGACCTCCGTCTGCAGCACCGCAACCTGCTGTTGGTTCTTCGCCGTGTTCGCGCTCGTCAGCGTCTTCAACGCGAGCGCGCTCATCCCCGCGAACGGCCCGCTCTCGGACAGGAACGGCAGTGGGGCGGGCCGGCGGCGCGGGGGCGGGCGTGTAGAGGGCGCGACGGTCCCGAAGACGTCTGTAGCTGCGGCTGGGGCGCCGTCGAGACTGCGCTTGGAGCGCGTGGATCGCCGGTGCCGGCCGGGCTTCTCTTCTGTGGGTTCGGGCGCGGTGGAAGGTCCAGGGACGGGGACGTCGTTAGAAGTCGCGGTCAGGGCCGTCGAGGAAGCAGGGGCTGCTGGAAGCAACGGAGGGGAAATGACTTCGCGTGCTTCCTTCACAGGACTCGCTTGAGCCGTTTCGACCGGGGTAGAACGTGGCGCAGGCGCCGACACCGGGGCTGGTGCTTGTACTGGTTCTGGTTCGGGAGGCTGGGCAATGGCTGTTTGTGGCATTGGGGGCATGGGCGAAGGTGGCGGCTGACTCTGAGGTTGTGGTCGTTTCCAGTTCGCCGCAGAGCGCGCTCGTATGGGCCCCGAAGCCTTCGCAGGAGACGGTGCGGGAAGAAGCTCCTTTGTTTGCGCAGTGGCAGCGGAGGTAGAGCCGGCTGCCTTCTCTCCCTTGTTGAACATCCCAGGCACGACCTTCCGAATGACGATGACAGGCTGAGGTGCGGGGATGGTGGGTTTAGGCGGTTCCACTTCTCGCTTGCGCTTCAGGCCATGGGCGGAAGTGGATTCAGACGGTGCGGTGGCAGGTTGCCGTCGATGAGATGGCTTCGCAGCTGAGGGTGGGACGCCGTGGCCCTCGTCAGAGCTGCCACCGCTACTTGAAGACCCAACAGACACGATACGAAGAGGCTGCAAGTGCGTAGCAGAGAAGTGTGAGCAAGGTAAAATACATCAAACGCTTAAAAGACACACCTTCCGAGCGGTACTGCTTTTAGTGGGTGCAGGTAGCCTGGATTGAGTCGCAGTCTTCGGCCTCCCATATGGTTTCGCACCGATCCGTGGAATCTTGCTCCCAGACCCTGCAGACGGTTGTCTCAGGCTGGACACTCCTTTCGCTGGGCTGACCGCAGGCGCCGCAGTACAAGGAAGCGCAACGGGCGGACGAACAGCAGAAGGCCCGGGCTCGTCCGTTTCCGGTATTGCTGGATGCAACCGTTGGGATTGCCCAAGAGGAAAGGGCAGAGCCGTCCTAGGCTTCAACAAACTGCTGCCCGAGGCTACACCTTCAGTGGACGCGGGTTTCTGGAACACAGGTCTCCGCCCGAGCGCAGGTGGACGCGTCGTAGGCTCCGCTGACGCGCCTCGTTCTTTCCGACCGGGCTGAGGTTTCGGCTCAGCCGAGCCACTCCGCTGGCGCTCTCGGGAGGCCATGCGCATCGGCGACAAAGGGCGAAAGACATTCTTACCCTTGTCGGGAGACGACGGAGGAACAGGCACGGCTTCGCTCATGGGAACGCGCCTCGCTGGGCTTCGCAAAGGGTCATCAAGGGCCGTGCGTCTGAACACGGGAGTTCCGGGAATAGCGGTTGGTCGAGACGCGCTGAACAGAGCAGGGATCTTCTGAGTGGAGTACGTGCCATCCGCGATGGCCTGCGAGATGGGTACGCGTCGGGCAGGTGTGCGGGCCACCTCCTCGAGCTTGAAAGGGGATGCAGGGAAGGGGCGCAGAGGACTCTTCGGTCGCTGGATGTCGGTCGCGGTACCATCGACCGCGCCTACCTTGGGGAATACGAGGTTGATGGCATGTGGGGGTGGTGTACTAGGCGCGGGAGGGGGCACGGGCTCAGACGGCCCTGTGTCAGTCTCCGGTGGCTGGGGAGTATTTGACCGACTGGCACTATCACCGGCGGGCTTCGGAAGCAGTTGCGTGAGTACTGCAGACGACATAGGAGACAGAGAACCAAGTTTGCGTTGCGCCAGGGCGGCTTGGGGAGTCTTCTTGGGCGTAGTTGCATAGGTAGCGCCACTAGAAGCTGCGATGTTAGCATCTAGCGGCGGGACGACCTTAAGCTTGCGTTTCCGAAAGGGACTAGGCTCGGGTCTTTGCTGTGAGTCGTCTTCGGTGGTCATCTCAATCTCAACAGCTTGGGCAAGAGGAAGGGGTGGTATTGGTGGGGGTGGTGGTGTAGCCACGGTTTGAGGAAGGGAGTTACGACTACGCCGTGGACGTGCAGAACGCCGAAGGGGTGCCTCAGCGGTCTCTACCTCCGTGACTTGCGCGTATTCTTGATCAGGCTGAGCGACTTCGGTGTCTGTACCAGGTTGCTCCGCGGAATCCGCTTCGATAATGAGGGAATTTGCAACCTCCATCTCATCCTCTGGCTCTGTGTTGTCACCCAGATCCTCGCTCGGTGGCGGATCGAGTACGTTAGGCTGCTGCGTTGTGGCGGATGCGGTAGGTGGCGGATTAGGCGACATGGAAAGAAGGTCGTCAACCGTAGCGTTAGAAGGTTGTGCGGGAAGAAGTTCGTGGTCGTGTGCCTCCGTCGTCGGTGGCTCGTCGTCATCGTGAGCAGCAGAAAATGAATCGAACGTTATGAGGTCAGGCTGCGATGTGTTCGCGACATCGAGACCGGGCGGTGTTGGGGGTGTCAGGCGTGACACGATAGGTGATGAGTTCGCGACAGGATCCGAGATGCCCTCGATAGGAATGAGCAGGCCACAGTGTGGCGAGGCTGCCGCGGCGGGAGGTTGTGGCGAATTTGAGACGTCGAGGAGTTGTACATCCATGTAGGATGATGGCTCAGGTTGTGGAGGAAGTGGAGGACTGGGTGGGGGCGAAGGATTCCCAGCCGCACTGAGTACTCTGCTAGCCAAAATGACCGACGGCTCTGTACAGGATTGGTTTATGTGAAGGTGCGACAAACTGAAGAATGCGACGAACCGTCTGCGCCATCTTCGTTTGGAGTTCCATCTTGTGAGCTCGGCATGTAATCTCCAAGCACCGCAGCGTGGTGCTGCGGGAAGAGCGGTAGAGGGACCATCGCAGAGGAAAGTCGAGCCGATCGACGCACAGGCGTCCGGAACGAGGCGCTACCAGCGCGCCGGACAAACTTCTTCTCTGGAGATCGAACAGGGCCAAAGAACACTCTATCTGCAGCACTACTGGAGGCCTCGCTAGCTTGAGACGGAGAACTGAAGGCAGAGAGCGGAGAGTCCAATTGGCCCGAGTCTAGGGCGACATCGCTAGTCATAGTACGCGGGATCAGACCGAGGATATTGTCGTCGCCAGCGCAGGAGGATATCGCAGGAGATGGTGAGTGTGTCCGGAGAAGAAGGGTTTGGGGCGAGCGGACGGAGAGAGCAAAGCACATCCACCGCACACCACCAGAACGTTGAAGTCGCGTTGGTCCCACGTGATCGAGGGGCGTTACGCGTGACTCTCCCTTTCTCCTCCTCCATGCGACTTTGTAGAGCACTTCGAGAGTCAATCAGGATATCTTATCTACGCATCAGCACATTTCTGCTGACTTTTCCTCCTCCAACGGCTTATGCGAAGGGACACTGCACGGGCTGCAGACGAGTAGGGTGTTCAGCCACCGTGACAGGTCTCTCCACGTCGCGTCACATGTCACTAACGTGTCACAGGGTATCAGGGTGGGCGGCAGACTGTTTGAGCTGCCCGACAACGTTAACGCAATGAACCTAGCATGTCGTGAGACATAGTAAATGTTTCCCAGATACTAAGGTATATATCCGCTGTCTCAAGAGGGATTAAAGCTACGTAAGATACGTAGCACTCGCAGCGCACAATGCAACTCTAACGATACAAGATATAGAGCAAGACAGCGATCCTCCAACACAAATCCATAGCTATCCACAGGCAGCAGAACATGGAACCCAGGCCAATCCCTATCGCGAACCATCCGCGACCTCAACCACGCGCAAGACGTCTGAAATCACCTTCAGCGACTCCTCTGGTGGCAGGTGGATATCAGCAAGGGTTGCCTGAGGAAGAGATATAGGAGACGCACCCATGAACGGCATCTCGTACCCGAGCTTGCGCGCGCTGACGTCGATCGTCTCCAACGCTGCGCCCCAGGACATGCCTGCGGCCAGCGTGGGCCGGTTGGCGACGTGCACCACGATTTTGGCGATCATCGACCAGCACACCTAAACACGTCGTCAGCATTTTGACCACGCACCGTATATCGCAGCCACTCACCCCCAACAACGGATCGAGCAGGATAAAATCATTATCCTTGAACCCGCGCGTGATGCCCACGACCTCCATGACCGTGTCCAAGCTGCGCTGCATGCTCTCCGGGTGGTCGCGGTGCACGAGCCAGTGCAGCTCGGCCTTGCTCGCGAGCGCAACGACGAGCGTGAACTTGAGCGCGACGCCGTGCGCGCGGTCGCCGTAGAACGTTGCCTTGAGCATCTCCGCCTCGACCGTCGTCGCGTGGGCAGATACCTCTTCGAGCAGCGGCCAGTAGCGCTCGAACCATGCTGGGCGGGCGGGTGCGAACAATCCTCCGTGCGCGCCCAGCTCTGCCCACTCGCGCGCCGCGTCACGCGTGCGCACGAGCAGGAGCAGAGAGCGGGCACGGAGGTAGACGACGTTCGTCTTTGCGATGAACGGGTAGAAGAGCTGAGTGGAGGGGCGGGTCAGTATGAAGGCACGCGAGAAACGCACACGGGAGGGGACCTACTGCAATGGCCTTGAAACCGTCGTCCCAGGTGTGGTCGAGCCGCGCAGGGACCCGGAAGACGAGTGCGGAGCAGCGGTCGAGGTACATCAGGTGACTGAGCGTGCTAATGAGCTCCGTCTGCGCAGGCGTCGTCTCGTGCATCGTGAGCGCAGCGTCGACGAAGTCGTGCGGGCCGGGCACGGGGAACGCGAGGCGGTGCGCGAGCGCGACCTGTACCGCGGTGCGGAGCTGCTCCTCGCCTTCTTCCATCTGCTTCTTGAGCAGAAAGTAGATTGCGAGCAAATATCGGATCTGGATCTCCGTAACGGGGTCTGCGTCCTCGAGCGCGATCCAGAGGTGATGTAGCTGCTCGAACTCGACCTGTGGGAAGACGAAGATGTGCCGCTGCACCTGCCACAGTAGGCACCCGAGTAGCTGCGCGACGTATGTGAAGGACGGGTGCACGGCGACGCCGGAGAGGTCGCCCGCGAGGATTGCCTGCAGTTTCTCAGTCGAGAGCGTGCAGCCGCACTGGCGGGTGTGCTCGGTGAAGACGGCACGGCTATGGGGAGAAGGGGTTAAGGTGGCTGCATACGGGGATAGGGTTGAGTGCTCACAATTCTTCGAGCCC